TTCCTTCTTTGGTTCTTCCTTCTTTGGTTCTTCCTTCTTTGTTTCTTGCTTCACAGCATCCTTGGGACTTTCCACTTTGTCATCTATAAGGGTTTCCTTTGGTAATGCAACTTTACTGGTATTCTCCAAGTTTATCAATGCGGACTTAGAGTTATTATTCTTGAGAGACAAAGATGGACTCAGTGATCTCAATGGGGTTGAGACTCCACTAAGAGGGTTCTTTGATTTTTTGATCGACACACTAGCAGGAGTGAATGCAGTTTCGAAATTTTCAGTCAAACCGTATTTCTTCAAGGCTCTTTTCTTTAACACTTCAATGTAGCTGAATTCTCCCTTAAAAGCACCCTTTCCAAATTCTTTTCCATCTGGATCATGGAAGGTTAATTCCCCTTGGTCCTCGTCTTCATCACCGATACCATATTCATCATCTCTAGAGCTAGACAAAAATCCTTGATCTTCTCTAGTTTCAGAAGAGTCAATGCTGAAATTACCAGCATCCAAGTCAGTAACATAGTTATAAATGAATTCAACAAAACTACCAGCAATAACGAGCTTAGTATCAAAATCTCTACCAAAGATGATCATTTGACCCCAATTACCATTGGGTCCTGGAGACAAATCTATGGCAATTTGATTTCCTATGTGATCTTTCAAGATTGGGATCCATGCTTTATGATAATAAGTAGATTGGACTGCATTTGGAGGAATGGATCTTTGGTTAGCCATGAAATTGTTGGATCTAGCTTGATTGGCACTTGAAGTTCCTTGTAACTGTTGATTCTGGGCAAGATACTGCTGTCTTTCCAATCTTTGGGCAACCTTTCCCCAGACAGCATATTCCTCTGCGATACCTTCTAAATCCAAAAGGGCGAGACCTAAGATTAAACCGGTTGGTCTACCGCCTCTAAATTGACCATCGTGTCTCTTGTAAAATTGTCTGAACTCTGCTGGCAAAGATCCGCAACCAAGATCATTTTCAAACTCATTCAAGTCTGCCGTTGTGACACCATCGTTCAAGTAATCTTCCAACTCAGGATATTCTTCTTCAATCCAGTGTTCAATCCTGTCCCACAAAGAATCCATCGAAGGCAATGGAGGTTGCCCATTGGCATTCAAGTTTTGCATTGGCAAGTCGGTGGTCGAGTTGGCGTTGGAGCTGCTTCTCAATCCTGGGCGGTATCCCACGTTGGAGGAGCTGTTGTTTCCACCTATTAAGGAATTCGTTGATGAGTTGACAGTGGCCAAACGGTTCAATTCGTGAAGACGGGAACCAGAATCCTGGTCCCTGTCGTTGCCTCCGCCAACAATACTTCCACTATTATTGATGACGGAGTTCTTGTAAGGCGAGTCATACGACGCGTAGTGGTCCTCCGTGGTTATGGAATGTAAGAAGGCTTTGAAGTTATCTAGTAACCCCATGATGAATATGCTTGTAGTAAACCGATCTGACTCAAGGTGTGATGAGGATAACTGATTACTGAGTAACCCAATTTACGTTTAGTGTCTGTCTGGTACTGTATGGAGTCCGACAAATCGTCGTCATAGCTTCGCCTTTTTGACCATAGACGTGTGTCGGGGAAAGGGGGGGTCGTGCGCGCGACATTAGCTGACTTCACCTGAAACATGCCGACGACAAGCCATCTCAAATAGTGGGGTTAAATGAACTAACTCTACAAAATAGTCTATTTGGGAGGCAATTGAACAGGCTGGCTAGCTAGATTGGAGGTATTATTCACCATATGCTGGTTATTCGGATTAAATTGTAGATATCGTGCTTGCTGACCTCGTCTGTTTCATGGGAAATTGCAAACATACCGCAAGAAATTGCGGTTTTACGTGAGCCTCCTCTTTACCCCAGCTAGACCATCGCTAGTTGTAGCCTTAGGGGAGGTGATCACGTGTGTTAGAATGAACCCATTGGGGTACGACTGTGCCTATTTCGGCCCCATAATAGATTACGTGACCTGTCCTATTCTATTCTTGTATTGAAGAGATGATCACTTGGTCCATCTGCTCTATAAACTGCCTAAAAGATATTCACCCACAGTTTCACCGAAGAAGCTCAACACTAATTCTCGGTTCAGCAAGTCAGTAATCTCAACTGCACTCTGGACCAAATCGTAGTTAACACGGACACCGACCTTTGAGTCACGCTCGTACGACTCGTGGTTCAATACCATTGCTCTTATCCAATTAGCAGTGGTTGGGATCTTACCACTGGCCCTTTGGGAAATCAACAATAAGTAGTGCTTAATTCTAATCAAATTCTTCGCTAAAACTTGAGACTCACAATGATGCGATTGTTGTGCTGGCAATAAATCGTTGGCGATGACCCTAATAATCAATCTGATCAAACCCGGAAATTTATCATTACCATTGATGATCTCGTTAATGGTGTATTTCTGATCCGTTCCCTCGTCGTCGACTTCATTGATTGATTCAACAGTTTTGGCACTCGAACGGTTACCATTTTCCTGGTTAATTATAGCTCCATTGCGAGAATATCCGTTAATATACACTTCATCGTGTCCTAATTCATCGTTTCCAGCGTTCAAATAACGGTCGAACCATGATAAATCGTAACCTATGAAGTCGTTGTTGTTCAAATTCCATTGGTCAAGGGACTTAAACCAAAATTTGTCCTCAAGAACAGAGTCCACATTATGGGCGGTCTTCATGTTCCGCTCAATCTTCGAAATTGGAATGTACAAGTTGGGTCTGAACTTGATGATAGCTTTCGACAATAAAGAAATAAAGTTAGAGTATGCAGCATTCTCGAAATCAGTTAACTGGATTTCCATAGGACGGAATTCAACTCTCCAACCCGGCTTGGTAGATAAGTCAGTTCCATTCTCGTATAATGCAGGTGGTTTGAATCTCAATGTTTGCCAGTTAGTGGATTGGATGTTCTCAAAATGGTCATTCTCGAGTTCATCATCTTGATTAATTCTTTCACTGAACAACACTAATGGGTCACGGACAAAAAGATGAGCAAAGTGGTTGGCCAAGTAGGTATCAAATAATTCTGGATGTTCATTATGCAATTTATCAAAGACCTTCTTGTTGATTGGGGCTTGGATATCATTCAACTTGGGATTGAAGTAGCTCGTGGAATAAGAGCCGTCACCTAAGTAATTGTCAATGGAATCATATCTAGACTTGGGAACCCTTTGAATTGGCTTGCCATCGTCAGTTTTCAAGTTTTTCAAATCCCCATATTCATTCAAAGTTTGGTTGACATCGACAGAAGATAACAACTGGTCTTTGCCAATATTCAATCCGCCAAATACATTGTAGCCAGCATAAGGTTCGCTGTTTCTCTCAACAAAAGTTCTATCATCTACTGCACCACTTACAACGTTCCATCTCACATCTTGGTTCACAAGGAAACCCTTGAAAATGGGGGCAGCAGCACTCAAACTTAACATTATTGGGGTTATAGGTGCAAGAGTATCGTAAAGGTAACGAGCTTCATCAATATTGGCAGCTTGCATAGTAATTTGTAAGCAGCTCGAGCCCATACCAAAACCCATCGAGTCCATGTACACATGACCCGGTTTAGAGGCACCAATGAAAGGTTCCTTGTCACTATCGAACAAGTCACGGTTATGAGGAATGGAGTCATCTAATAATTTGGTATTAATGTCTGGATAGATCGGCAAATTGATAGCAACCTTGCACCCTCTTCTCTTTCTAATGTTGGCCGTTAAGGTTGGGAAACGGACGTGTCTGTTGATGATCTCGTCGGGCAAGAACAACGACTGGGACGCAGGCCCTATAGGCTTGGCGCATGGCGAGGTAAAGTTTGGACAACCCATTCTAGGGAAGGTGGTCAATGTCAACGGCTTGATGTGGGCAGGCAATTCGGATTCACTAACCTCTCTTCTCTTGATCATGTTCTTTTCGACATAAACGTAGTCATCCAAAGAGTTTCCGTTGTAAGGGGAGGCAGGCGTACCTTCCAACATATAACGGCCATACTCGGGATGGAACGAGATGTTGTTGTCCACCGATTTGTGGAGGGACAAAGATTCGTCGTTCAAGGACTTCAAGATGTGGTCCTTGTCGATCGATAACTTGGCAGTTTTCTCTGCCTCGTCTATGTCGACCAACATATACTCGACTTCGTCTCCCCATAAGAAGGTGTCTTGAGTTCTACCAGCATGTTGCTTGAACATGTTGATAAGCTGAATAATCCCATGTTCTCTGACATGTTCGTTATGATGGCGGGAGTCATGCCAATCCAAAGGAGTACCAAGCGATAATAATCCCATTTCACACCATACACTGTTGGAGCTGGCGGACCACCTTTATCGCAGGATGAAATAAATAAAAATTAGGATGAGCCCGAATTGGTAAGGGTTTGCGAGCCAATGTTCAGAGACGCACACTAATCCAATAGATCAACTCGTAAAGCGAAGGTAGAGCGGCGGATGGGTCTGTCTGAAAGCGATATCACCGGTGCTATAAACGATTTGGTGCAGCAGTTTTTTTCGTCTACTTGCAGAATCAGGCTGGGTAGTGGCTCGAGTGAGATGAGATCGGTTCTCCTATCAATTGCGCTGAATAATGCGATTAATAAGCACAATCCTAAGCTGTTGGATTACTCGAATTATACAAACGTTATATTACTAGTATGATCCCGTACATACCACTACTTCCTGGTAGCCCCTGATTCGCCATCATCACGTGTAGGCGGGCGGTGGCCGTTCTGCCAGGCACCCGGGAATTGGTGTCGATAACGCCAAATCACGTGCCCACGGCTGGGGCAATATTTTTTTCGCAGCTTAATACAAGCCTTCGGTGTTCTGCACGATACACTGGGCTTCTCCGGCAGCCAAGTCCACCAATTCTCCGATGACAACGGCTTCTTCGCCTTCGTTCTTCAAGTTGGCCAACACCTTGTCAACGTTGGCTTGGTCGACGATCAAAACCATACCAATACCGACATTAAAAGTCTTCAACCAATCATCTTTAGGCACGTTACCTTCCTTACCGAACCACTTGAAGATTTCAGGCACTTCCCAGGCACTGATATCGATCTTGGCCTGTAAATTCTTTGGCAATGCTCTTGGAATGTTTTCAACTAAACCACCACCAGTGATGTGAGCCAATCCCAACAATAAGTCTTCACGCAACGACTTCAACAATTGCTTGACGTAGATCTTGGTTGGAACCAATACTTCTTCTCCGATGGTCTTTCCAGATTTGGACCATGGAGCAACTGTAGTGTAATCGTATTGCGAGGTTTCAATGATATGACGGACCAATGAAAAACCGTTGGAGTGAATACCATCAGACTTGACACCAATTAAGACGTTACCTGCGGCCATAGCATCTATTCTTGGTAAAATCTTGTCCTTGTGGACAGCACCAACAGCAGTACCATTGGTATCGTAGTGGCCAGCATCATACATGCCCGGCATTTCAGAGGTTTCACCACCAACCAAAGCACATCCGGCTTGGATACATCCATCTGCGACACCACTGACAAACTTAGAAGCGATGTTAATGTCCAACTTACCAGTAGCAAAGTAATCCAAGAAGATCAATGGCTCAGCACCTTGAACCACCAAATCATTGACGTTCATGGCAACCAAATCGATACCAACGGTATCATGGATATCCATGATTTGAGCGACTCTCAACTTGGTACCAACACCATCAGTTGCAGCAACCAATAAGGTGTCGTCACCAGAGTAACCACCCTTCTTCAAATCAAACAAACCACCGAAACCACCAATGTCTGAATCGGCACCTGGTCTGGCAGTAGATTTAACCTTGGCCTTGATTTGTTCGACCAACAAGTTTCCGTTATCGACGGAAACACCAGCTTCGGCATAGGTAACACCGCTAGCCTTCTTATCAGCATCACGGAAGGCTCTGTGAGCAATGTCTTTACGGTTGTACTTCTTTTCAAATTGCACGTGGTCAACACCAACGTATGCCTTGTCAACGGATTCTCTCAAGGTTGCAGCAATTGCAGTGGAGGCAATGACTCGTCCTCCCGCAGTAAGGACCTTGCCATCCTTAGCACTGGTACCAGCGTGGAAGATGAAAGTGTCTGCTGGCAAGTCGGATTTGATAGTTATTTCATCACCCTTTCCGTAAGCTTCTGGGTATCCACCGGCAGCCATGACCACAGTGGTACTGAACAATGGCTTGGTGTCGATGTTCACCGAGTCCAATCTGTGCTCAGCACATGCCAACATGACCTGTGCTAAATCTGTGTCGTCGGTCAACAAAGGCAACACAGTCTGCGTTTCTGGGTCACCAAATCTGACATTGTATTCCAAAACCTTTGGTTCTTTGGTTGGAGATAACATAATACCAGTGAATAAAACACCACACATTGGGGTACCATCTTTTCTCATACCATCAATGGTTGGCTTTATGATTTGCTCGTCAATTTTCTTCAAGACATCGGGAGTGGCAATAGGAGCAGGAGCGTAGGCACCCATGCCACCGGTGTTCAAGCCTTGGTCACCGTCACCAATCCTCTTATGGTCCTGGGCAGCAGGCAAGTTGAAGAAAGAGTATCCGTCAGTGATGGTTAAAATACTCAACTCATCACCTTCCAAGTATTCTTCGATAACAATCTCATTACCGGCATCCCCGAAGTTCTTGTCAACCATGATTTCGTTCAAGCCTTGCAAAGCTTCCTCCTTTGTTTCTGGGATCAAAACTCCCTTACCAGCAGCAATACCATCGGCCTTCAAGACGATCTTGTAGTCGACTTGTTCAATGTGCTTCTTTGCTTCTTCTACGGAAGTGAAGTTTTTGAATTGGGCGGTTGGAATACCATGCTTATCCATGAAGATCTTGGAGTGTGCCTTAGAGCCTTCCATCAAGGCGGCCTTGGCGGAAGGACCAAAAACTGGGATACCCACCTTGGTGAAAACGGAGGTGATACCATCCACCAATGGTTGTTCAGGACCTGGAACCACCAAATCGATCTTGTTTTCGACGGCAAAGGCTTGCAATGCATCAAAGTCCTTTGGAGAGCCGGACAATGGGATGTTCTCGACCTTGGAGTCGAAAGTACCACCGTTACCTGGAGCAACATAGATCTTCTTGACAGAAGAAGACTGTGCTAATCTCCACACAATAGCGTGTTCTCTACCACCGTTACCAATAACGAGGATGTTTAAAGACATGGTGGGTTGGGGTCTGGATGAATGGACGAATGAACGCTTAGATAGAAAGCTTGATTAATGAAACGTGAGTCTCTTGAACAAGTGAAAAGTCAAAGATCTTATAAAGGAGGCCCTCTTTTGTGTCAGTAATTTTCGCTGCGATGGTTTGACTCGGTCCAACCTGCGCATGGTGGGGAAAAGATAAGAAGAGGACGAACTATGTGATAGGGAAGAGATCCCAAGGGTGTCTGTGGGTGATACTGTGGGTAAAAGTGTAAGATCATGTACCTAGAAGACTTTCGCAAAATCTAGGTTCGAGCCTTGCTACTTATTAAGTGAGTTTTATTGCCCTGTATTGATAGTGAGACAAGAGAAATTAGATGAGTATTGAGCTCATAAGACATAAGACATAAAAATGACAAGAGAATTATTCTAGAATGTCAACAATATAATCACCGAAAGTATTGATAGTCTGACTAGTAGTTATTTCCTTTCCACGCCTTCGTCGATGTATTTCGTGGTTGTTTGACTCCAGCGATAATTGATTAGTTTTAATGCGGGTGGATAAACATTTTTGCGACCTCAGAGAGTGGGACGATATAGCATTTGAATACCCGATGGTTAACTACCGAATGGGACAGGGTTCTTATGTGGCCCAAACTGGCCCATTTAAACAATCGAACTCCTCTAGCGTAAGACGGAAGACTAAATCAAATGTTTTTTGGATTTGTTTCTGATGAAATGATGCATCAAGCACTTCTCATGTTTTTTTAGGAATCTGCTATTTTCGCACAATATTTATCTCATGTAATGCATAAATTCTTACGAAATTTAAATCTAACAGTCCCGGCCAACAAAAGAAACAATAAGGCACATAAGGCTTTATGGAATGCTAAACATCCATACATCATTCACTATAGACTCAAGGGAGACTCTTTTCCGGTGCGCATTGTGTAGCCAATCCTGTTGAAGTTTAATTTTAACAATCGCTTTTGATCAGCTTCCCCCGTTTTACTGTCTAAGGAGAGACACAAAGGTTGGGACCATATTGAGAATTTTGTTTATCAGTTTCACCTCACTTGTACCCCATAGTGTAGGCTGAGCACATTAAATGCCAAGTCCAGTAAATTGACTCATCTGCGAAAAGTATAAGTAGTGGATGTATCCCCCAAAATCTCTACATATATTGTAGTACATACACAGATAAAATGAAGGGGTAAGTGGTGTGAAGAAAAATAAAAGTTAGAACACGATGCCATAAAAATGTGACAGCTTATTTACCATCCTCGGTCATTTTTCGGCATTGCCTAACGAACGGCATGAGAAATCCCCAAATCGCTATGGCCCTTTGACAGCAAGCTTCCTATGCACTCCGACACTTTCCCCCTACATATAGATAGTGAACCCTACAGCTGGATCGGGAATACACAGAGACAGGTTGGCCTTGTGCGAACCCTTCATTGGTTGGAATTTGACATGCATATGCGGCACATTGATTAATTAGATAAATGAACTAATATGGGATTCTCGCAAAAGCCCCGTAATGCGATTGGGCCATTCGCCCATCGAGTATAAATACAGTTATCTTTTTCATCGAATTTTATAGTCCATCAGAAATGTTGTTCAAATCTGTTGTGCTTGCTACGTTAGCCGTAGCTTCATACGCTTCCACATTCAATTTCGTTCGTGATGAAGCAGGCTACGCTATCTTACCTCCTACTGAAGTAGTTCTTTCACACTTGTCGTCGCAAACTCCCGAAGAGGATCCTAGCGAATACCATGTCATCAAGACTGTTGCTGAAAACGGTGAGGTTATCAGAGTCAACTTACACACCCATCAACAGGCCAGTACTGGAATTTACAAGAGAGACTATGACAATTCTGTGTACTACGATCAGTCTAAGCTTGCTGCTAGAACTATTTTCAACAATGACGGTACTTGCTTCAACAAGGACGAGGACTTCGAGACTGGTGCTTGTGATTTCGACTTCGTTGGCTACGATAACCCAGATAACTGTAGTGGTGCTGGTGGTAGTAAATACTCCTGTGTTGTCGACATTGAACATTTACAAGATGCCACTGTCAAAGCAAAGGATCTGGACCCCGTCGCAGCCTTGGTCAGATGTTACAAGGACCTTGATTCCGCTAAGAAAGCCAATGCCACCGGTGGTGCTTGTGGAAAGTAATCATCTATGTTAATAGTTAATAAACCGATTTTGGTTCTGGATCACTTGTACACCTCTACCATTGGCTGCTATTCATCAGGATTGGTTGCAACCTACAATATTTAGTAACAATAGCATTATCGGAAATACATGCGTTTGCCAAGCCCAAGAATTTGAGAGGCTACCGAGCCTCTAATATCCAGGTTTTCGATTCTGAGAACATTGGTCCTGTACTTTTTATTGGCTCTTCGAATATTAAATTTGTCTATGACTAGCCCCGAATGAAACAAACCAATGACACTTCTTATTCAAACCTTCAATACAGGTAGTACTTCTTATGATAGCGAATCAGCGTAGATAAGCCAGCAAGATCAGTCCTATAATCGGCGTACAACTGGTTACATGCTAATATACTACTCTCCTGCAATGTCTATACTATGTACATGATTAAATAGACACATCTCCTAATCCAACAATACCCTCGAACTTATAATCTTTGTCGCTTGGCACCTTGGCAGCATTTCCTTCAGAGTCTAAAGGAGAATACAAATAATATGACATTAAAGCGTTGACCACAGATCTGGTCTTAGCTTCAGCAATGGAGGATCCGATACCCTCACCAAGCTTTTCGGTACCACAGAAAGCACCGGCAACATAGATGGCATGTGCAGATAAACGACCAGTTTCGGCAATCAACCTGATTTCGAGTGGTTCTGCGAAATTCAACTTGTCACACAATCTAACCAATTCTCTAGTTGGTTGGTTAAATTGGAACATTTCTTCCAAAGGTAATTTTCTGGATAAAATGTGGTCTTGGATGAACTTCTTGGTAGCCTCTTCGCCGGTATGAGTGTATAATCCACCAATGATAGATCTTACGGCAGAAGCATAAGCCTGAGCTTCGTCAGAAATAAATGAAGAATCTATCTTGGTCTTAGATTCTTGTGAAGAAAGTTCATGAACTCCGCTTTCCTTGACTTCTCCTTTCTGTTGTTCACTCAAGAATCTCAACTTACCATACTTTATGAATTCGGATTCTTGGCTTAAGTACTTGTCCAACTTTGTAGATGAATCGACTTGAATACCCCATATTTTTCCTATTTCATGTAATGTTTCATGTCCCATCAAGCTGTCAACAGCAACATTGTGAATAGGCATAGGTAATCTAGGGTACTTGACCAAAAGGTGTTCAGAGACGTAGTAGGACAACAAGTTCTTACCCAAAGTGTTAAGGCCAAAGTTGTTAACTAACCCGTCATTGATATTCAAATTCAATGCTTGAGATAATGTAGACAAGGAGTACTTGGATGGCAAGTTTAATCTTGAATGTAATGCAACTAATGATGGGGATTGTTGAGCAGTCGATTCTGGTAATCTATGAGTGAAAACATTGTTCTTGTAACTACCATAGTCGTTGATGGTGTCATATTCAGTTTTTAAAGCCTTGTTGATACTTGGGACATGGTATGAGCGCCGACTGACCACTCCAAGTGATCTAGACCATGTTTGGTGTATGGTCCCTTTTATCATGGTGTTGATGAAGTACACTTAGTGTTGGAGAAGATTTTTTTACGTGAAAATTTTCAGATTCATAAGTGATTACGTAATAAGTCTCCTTCAAAACTACTGAAGAGAACGGTCGAAATGGCGAATAACATTGCAAGTATGGTACATAGATATGTCATACAAGTTAGTTGTGTTTGTTGTATCATATAGGACAAACTCTTTCTCGTTCTTGGTGCTATTGAACAAGGTGTTGTCCGACTAATTGCAAACATTGATCTTTCACTTATCTACGGGTGTGAGACATAGAAAGTCAACCATGACTCTTGTGAGTTGTGAATTCATGTTCGCTATATGTATTTTCTTACAGTTACAAGCCTTTCATCAGAATCCTTGTTCAGTTTCCATCATCATAGTGAAAGAAAGTCGTGTGTGCGACGAAAAGAGCGTCCAACCACATCAAAGCAAATCCAATCCATCATTACTCAATATACAAACGAAGATGGCCCATGCACCAAAGTTAAGCATCGCTGCTATTGCGACTATGAGTTCTGTCTTAGTCATCTATGCCACCATCAAGTCTCCTTTAAAGTACCAATGGGCTTCTGAGAACAGAATCAGTCCTAAGGCTGACTTGGCATGGAGAAACGCTGCTCAAAAATGGCTCGAAAACAATTAAGTTCATCAAACGAAGTGTGTCTCTGTGAAGTGACTGATAATCATATAGAGAAGTCTCTAGACGTCATTCAAGACCTTCAACAAGAGACCATATACATCAACAGGGTTAGGTGAGCCACTCGGGCTGGCTCCTATGAGCATTGCATAATTTTTGTACGATTAGTTAGTTTCTATAAATATGAGTTTTAATGACTATGTAGATCCACTTCATGATCAGCTCTGTTTTGGAATTTCTTCCAACTCTATACTTGACGCAGCACCCAACTTGACAAAATCCGACTCAAGTTTGAAAAAGCACCACATCCAACGCCTGAACAATTCGAGGAATTCTATAACCGTATAACCGAATGACAAAGAATCATACCCAAATAAAAAGGTCGACAAGATGTGTAAGTAGGTCAAATCTTGAGAGTTATTGAGGTCATGTTCGACAATAAATGGTTTAAGTACCCAAATAAATCTCAACATGAAGTCAACGACTATTGCCACATAGTATATGAACTCACTTGGATAATGCAATTGATTCTTTGTTCGAATTGCTCTAAAAGGTTTCTCGGTATCGAATAACTGGTCAAATAGACCAAATCCCCAATCCATCTTTATATCCCAAATAAAGGAGTACGTTGAATTTATGAATGATGTCAAATACCACCAGTTATTTAATGTTTGCAATCTCTGTAAAGCGGCTTGCTTTAAATTTTCGTCCATCTCATGATCTACCTTGATAAATCTCTTGATGCATAAGTTGACTCCTAATGGGCCAAAACTGGATGCGTACTTGAACAAATTGAGTAAATGAGGCCTTTGCTTTGTTGTAGAGTATTCGAACCAACATTGCTTAATTCGAATCAAGATTGGGATAGACAAAATCGAGATTTCCAAATAGTCATTATATGGACCCTCGGATATATAAGTTTTCCACACAAATAATCCAAAATCGTTGAGAACTTTACTGTAGGACATCAATGAATCAGAAAGTAAAATATCGTTTACTCTCATGCTGGAAGAATTGATCTTTCCCATCAAGACCCTCTTTGCTGTGGTGAATATTCTGTATTGGCCCTTGTAATTGGTGTTGGACGATTTGTAAAACACTCTATGCAAGGTGAAACCTATCAAGGCTGCCGGTATTATGGTATGGCTAAATTTGAGGACAAAATCATTCTGACTGTATTGAAGAAGCTTGTAGACAATGAATCCCACAATATTGACAACAGTAGTTATCCTGAAGTTTCTCACCACACCTTTGGCAAGAAGAATGTTTTCCTTCACGGCACTGGGGATACTGGCAGCATACTCCCCAGAAGAAGGCAAGGTCCGGTCTAGCTGAGTGTAATTATGAGAAGTGTATGACAATTTTAGAAGATCAACCACATTGATCGGAGTAAGCTTGGTGCATATGATGATCAAAAAGAGCCACAAGAAGACACCTAGCTCGAGAAAGAATAGGATTTTGAACGGAAGGGGTACCACGTCCTTGAATAGGAAGCCATCTGAGTCCATGGCATGTACAGTAGCTGATCTAGGAAAACCGAATCGTAGCGACGTTTTGTTTACGTGGTTGCGGGTTCGCGGTGGTGGTAGCGAGAGGTGGTGCTGGGCGCGGTGCTGGGCGCAGGGAGGGCTCAGCGCAGGAAGGGCTCGGCGCAGGGACAGTTAACCAAGGCTAGGGCCAGGTTAATTAGATGAGTTAGATTTACAAGCTTACTGGACTCTCATCGCAATACAGTCTGGTTCTGGCCGTATGTGATTACGCCCATTGAAATCGGCAATAAATGTTTACAGTTCGGTGCAAATACACTGAAACTACAGCCACAGCTCGATTGTTGCTTCAGCGTACTTTTAAGCACGAAAGGTTTTAATCATAAGTATCATGATTAGCATGGAAGCATCATTAGCAAACAATACTACGAGTCTGTACAATAATAATTTGGTAACCTGAATTGTTAGTACTGAATACGAATTGTTGATAATGGAGTAGTCTCAGAATTTTCAGTGTGTTTGGCATGAATCGAATCGGTCATAGTCCTGAATAGGAGCCTCCGTTTGGGGCGACATCGTGTCATCACTATACTCCTTGGTCGTACATACTATAATAACTTAACCCGCCTAGGTTAGGTGACTATTTGCTTACTGTTGTAACTAGTGCAAATTTTCTCGCTTTATAGTTGGTGAACAGTTACCCGGACCGAGGGCTGAAGAACATACTGGGGCACCATATAGCTGCGAAAGTGCTATACTATTAGGAAGATCCAAGAGCAAGTATAATGAGCCACAAGGCCGTTTTGGATGGGGAAAAGAGGCCTGAAGATACAGGTGATGAGTTTCTCGAGTCTCAGGTTTACACGGCTTCGGCTAGACAGTATTATCCGCATTTATTGGACGGGTATGTACTCTATATATTGCCCTGGCCATTGACTTCGCTGGATCATTTAGCAGGCCTCTTGTTCTTGGACTTTTCCTTTCTAGTATTTTCCCTTCTTTCAGCCTTGGATAAGTATCTGAACTTCTTCTTCTTCTTCTGCTCTGGCTTTGCGACACCGGCCACCACGGCATAGTTCTTAGCTCTCTTTATGGACTTTTCGAGCACATCCTCGGACTTGGCCAAGTTCACGTTGTTGGCCTTGGCAATGGCCTCCAAGCTGGCTTCTCTAGCACTGGCAACTGCAGGGTTGTCCAAAGACTCGACGGTCACCGTGGTCTCATCGTCGATGATGGCATTGGTGGGAGGCAAACTGGCCTTGTCGACTTTGTAAATCTCCTTGTGGTGCAATATTCCCTTAGGCGCTTCATCTTCGTCATTTTCCTCGGCCTCGTCACTGCTGCCTTCATCGCCACTGAAGCCTGACCACTCCTTAGCCAGTCCCTTCGTGCCTTCTTCTTCGTCGTCACTGTCATTCAAGTTCGTTATATCCTTCATGGTCTTGTTGAACTCGCTCAACTGGTTTTCCATGTCCTTCTTCCTCTCCGCTCTCATTTCCTTCCTTTCTGCTATTCTATTCAATCTTTCTTGCTCTTTGATGTACTCCTGGGCTTTCTTCTGTCTCTGCAACTTTCTCTTGTGAAATCCCGTCAAATATTCAACTCTGGACTCCTTGTCAAACACCACCTCCTCTACTCTGTGCTTCTTGGCTGCCTTTTGGGCATACCTCTTACCACCTGTTAAGATCTCTCTGTTCTTACGTATGCCTGCCATTTTGTTCTGCTGGTTTCTGAACTGTTTAATTGACTGTATTCAAGGCACCCACTTATTCTCGATGTTGGTATGTCCTGTGATCTGTTTCACGTTATTTTCACCAACTCTTAGCTGTTTCGACTAGCACCAAGTTGGATGTTTCGCACCGATGAGCATCCCAAATTTTCATCGTAGATTCTATTGCGACAACCTCATAATCCCCCCAAGATGGAGAACTTAGATAACGTACGGCTCTATATCAAGTCGCTAGACAACACCGTGGACCTGCTTCAGGAGTCGCTTGAGCCTATTCTCAAAAAGTCACTCGATGAATTAATTGCAGGAGTCCCTAGCGATAACCACATCGATAAAATCAAGATATACAACAACTATGCATACACCCTTATCTCGTTGATGTTCTCCTACCTCAAGAGTGTAGGGGTCAATACCGAGGGTCACCCTATTATGGATGAATTAACCAGAATCAAAACGTACATGAAGAGACTCAAAGATCTCGAGACCGGAGCCAAGGGCCAGGAAGACAAAGATAAACAGGACGCCGAAAAAGCTAAAGAGTTCTTACAGAATGCATTGGGGACAAGAGCTAATGGTGGCGGAGCCGCAGCTAGTGATGGAATGAAAGGTCCTGCCATCAGTAGCGTCAACTTCAAAGGCACCCACACAAGGTTTGAACTGGAGGCCAACGAACAAAAGGGTAAGCCAGGAAAAGTAACCAAACCAAAGAAGAAGAAGAAAAGTAAGGACTAGGTTCAAGGCTTTATTGATCTTTAGTAATACATCGGCGACTCGTCAGGTTTCCGCTTGTTGGTCAAGAAAATCCATGGGGTAGTCTACCAAATCCGAATGCTAGATTTACTTCCTTAGTCAGCATTTGCTGTAATATACCTAGGCATTTTACGGAGTTGAGATGCCAGTTACAACACTATTTTACATAGATTTATACGGAAACGAAACCCGGGGGGTAATAAACGTTTATCATTGGATATATTGATCAGTAGTCAAAAAGCATCCCCGCTGAACTTGGAAAACAACTGGTTCTTCGAACTGCTTTCGGAACCGATTAGTGAACTGAATCAATGAACACCTTTCACACATCTACATAATATACTACTTTAATAAGTAAATAGTTAGAATTGAACGGACCTAAGATCTATATGAACTATACGATGTATAGAGAATGCATCAGGCTAATTCAAGCACCAACCAAGAAGTCTTTGAAAACATGCTCAGTCGATAAGCTTTCATTAACCAAGAAATAAATTTCCATTAGTAAATTGGGAAATCTGATATTAAAATATTTGTAAAATCCATCAGGCAACGGGCTCATTTGCTCTTGTAATTGCTGAGGCATGTCGTTGTAATGATGATACTTGTTTCTAATTGCTCTCAACAAATCCATTAATTTTTCAGGGTGGTATTTTCTATACTTGCCCAAGTTATCAATGAATTCCTCGTCAAACTTATTGTGCCAGTTACCTCGATGAACAGCTTTAGCGTGTGTCTCTAATTTTAACAATAAGTCGCTCGGAGGATCCCTCCTCTCAATTTCAAATCTGTCACTGACCTTGAGCAAAAACTCCAACCTTTTCTTTGGGTTCCAAAATAATGGATGATTAAGTATCATGGAAGTGCTAGGTCTCATTGAAGGGTTCGCGTGAATCATGGACGAGATGAGATGCGTGGATTCAAACTTATCGTTTGGACAAAATGAATTCAATAATGATAAGTCGTATTCACCTTTGATGATGTTCCCCTCCCTCAAATATCTATCACCAAAAGGATGGAGTCCTCCAGTTAAGATATAATAAAAGACACATCCTAATGAGAAAATATCGATTGCTTTGGTCAACCTCTTGCCCCCTGAGTTAGCAGGTAAAGTTGAGTCATTTGCGGAATGGCGAGAAGAAATAGAAGAAATCGTATCTGGTGAGATCTCGAGTAAATCGTAATTCAATAACAATTCTGGGGCTCTCCATCCAGAAGTTCCCAGGGCGGCGTTTTGTGTAGTTGCCCTAAATGATGATTGATCTGAATCTAATTTTTTACACAAGCCAAAATCAGATATAAGCAAACGTATACTTTTCTCGACTGGCTCTTTCGTGACAATCTTATTATTCTTTGCAGCTGCCACCAATATGTTCTGGGGTTTCACATCACGATGAACAATCTTCAACGAATGTAAGTAATGTAAACCACTAACTAATTGATGAAGAACTTCATTCAAATGATTTTCACTGAGTTTCAATGACTTCTTAGGTTTTTCAACAATGTCCTCAAGAGAACACAAACATAATTCCAATGCAATGTAAAGAAACTTTTCTGACTCCGAAGACTGTGAACAGAAATACCTAATGACATTTGGATGATCATCACTTTCTTGTAATAACCTCACTTCATGATTAGCAATATCAAAAAAGTCTAACAACATTCTTTTCACTGCAACTGGCCTATTCTCAAATGTTCCTTGGTAAACGATGGTGCCATGAGATCCATAACCCAAAATCTTGTCAGAGATTACCAAATTGTTTTCAATTTGGAGTTTCTTGATAGGAACTTTGACTTGTGTAATAGGCAAAGGCTTCACTAAACTTTTGGTATTGATTACTTCGCTCTCCTCGTCCTCTTCCTCTTCTTCATTTGAGTCTTGTTTGTTCTTGTTTACTCTCCTTCCACCACGTTTACCACCCCGACTTCCTCTTTTACGCTTTTTCTTCGTGACTTCTTCAGATTCGTTCAAGTCTTTCGTATTTTCTTCAGTGTCTGTTACTGCTTTATCAGCAGTTTCATCCTCTGAGTGGTTTATCTCCAAAGATTCATTTGGTGTAAGGATTGTTACCTTCTTCGATTTGGTTGGCACATTTTTCAAAGTACTGTCTGGTTCTTTTTCGTCCAGTTCTTCGGGTAATTTAGGTAACTCTTTACTTTCTAGATTGTCCGTGAAGATTCTAGGCTTCTTAACTTCAATACGTTTCAATTCTTCTTCCTTTTCCAGAATATGCTCTTCGTCTTCCTTTGATTTACCATCAGAACGAATATGTAATTTGAAATCGGAAATCAAGTACCTGAATATTACGTATAAAATGATACCCAAGATCAAAACATCTTCAATGATCCGCCTCGCAATTGTGAATGTAAAATAGCCTATCATCTTATGAATTGTGCTAGAATTTTCAGCGGCTTGCACTTCTTCGATAATTGGTCTTGTGGTGATCATTGGCAGTTGCATTTTGTCACGCTTCGGATCGAGAAGCATTAATTCTGATCCCATTGTTTTACGATCTGGAAACTTAATTCCATCCATAACATTTTGGGATTCGTCGGAATAAGTCTTCTCCTCATACTTACCTGACGAAGATCCATCGCCAATTAAATTTATTGTAGTAGGTTTTTCAAATTTGGCAATTGGTTGGTACATAGTTTCACTTGTCAATTCGTACGTTTTATGAATTCCACTGACTAAAGCTTCTACCAGAGATTGTGAATCAGTCAATAAACGGAAATTTTTCAAATATTCAATATCCACAGGAATCTCGTTTTGAAGCTTGTACAAATCTAATTGATATTTGGAAATAGGAGCATTTTTGATGAGAGTTGGATAGTTGTTGAAACTCATGGCAAACCATTCTCTGCAATTACTTGTCTTGTTCACGAATACTAGGTCATTATTTGAAGTATGTGTTTGTTCGTCAATCTTGAATTGTAAATCATTAAGGACCTTCAAAGGATGAGGAAGTAAAACGTATTCTGTGTTCTTCAAATTATGAAATACATCAAATACATTCACTGCCAAAGAAGGTAATTTGCTTATCCAGATAGTGGTACCCAAATCTTTGTTAATGGCCAATAATGATTTGTCGTGGAAGGGGGTGAAATATAATTTATCTAGACTTTGTTGGTTTTGCATAATAAGGTCATTATCTATGTTGTTTGGGCCCCATTGGGAGTATGTAACATTCCACACTATGTTTGTGTTCAATTTGGAATAGATGGATAATTCATAAGTTGTTTTGCCTATCATTATAGTGTCCTGGTTGTCTTCCATGTGCGGTTGTAATTTATAGTGTGTATTTGGCACAGGGCATTTTTCTTGGTTTCCAAATGAGCTCCTAATCTCTCCCGTGTGAATGTTGATCGAGTAAAGAGACGTCTTTCTGGTACCAGTGTAAATTTTGTCGTCACCACTGAGAGAAAAGGGAGATTCCAACACCAAATCTTTGATACTGGTTGGCAATTTGTTCATTCCGAACTTGGGTGTGAAGTAGAACAAGGAGCCATCTTGATACGGCTCCACGAACCAAAGGATGTTAGATTGGTTATTCTCGAAAGAGTTATTGGAAGATATTCTCACCAATGGTTCATCGATGGGGAGTGTCCATAATAGAGCCCCGCTATTACGTTCCACTCCATGCAAATTGCCGTCTATATCACTGACCAACAATAGATCTGTCAACCGGCAGTCACTGATAGACCTTAGGTCGAGGGGAAGGAAGCTTGATGGTGAAGGGGTTGGTTCTGGGGGTTGGGGGTTCTGCTCTGGATAGCTGAGATAACGAGTAGTGACTTTTTCTAGTCGGGGAGATGTGAAAACGAAGGCAAAGTAGAACACTAGTATCCCCACGATTGATGTGTGGAGACGCATCTTTGGTACTAGGTTCTTGCAGTGAACCGGTCTTTAATACTGATGATACGATGTGAAATATTGATGATGTTCCCCGGTTATTGATGAGGGCCTTGTATCTGTTTGCCCTGAAGAGTGTGGAGGGCTTTACGAGCGAGTAGCTGGCTTCGACGCTGGTTTGCGGTGCCGATGATCTGAAATAGTTGGGATCTAGGATTGAAAGGGTTTTTTTTTTCTGAGAATGGTCGGACGAGGGTAAACGGGTGCATAGTGAAGTGCGTCGTGAGGAGTGGTGTGGTAGCGAGCACACATAGCGACGATCGCCCTGCGCTAGGGAGAGACCGCACAATTGTTGGGGCGACACATTCACTGCCATAAATCACGAGGTACTGCCAAGCTAGTTCCGAAAGTAGACTATAGGGGAGTCTGAAAGATGGTGAGTGCCAGACACATTCAGAGGTTCTACTGCATATGGGCCTGCTTCTAGCACCTTCCGATCTGTGCTGCCTGAGGCGCTGTGCTGCTTCCATTTTAGTGAGACGGTGGTGCAGCTACTGAGCCCAGAGATTCGATCGAAGCTATAAGCCTTTAGTGCATCTGGTCGCCTGTGGGGCGCTAGTGGGGTTACCCCAGCTAGCACTTGATCGGGACATCGCTACATCGTATTCTCAATTCTGTATATTATGAGCTAGAAGCTCGTCTGATGCTGTGATGAAATAAATAGTATATGTACAAAGTCGGGAATCAAATGCAAACAGCAATACGAACGAGGCATGCTATCATAAGCGAAGGGGACATTAATACTCGAGGCGAGACGTGAGACTCGAGTAGGCTATTAGATTGGTGATGGTGCAACTCCCAAGAATGCCGTGGGAGTGTGCATGCGCTTGTGTAGGGGACTATTCGTCCAGGAGCTCGAACTTCATCTCCTCTAAGATATCGGTCGTTCTCAACTGTCTCTGGTCGGCAATCATGGTGACAAGCCCTAGCGCGATGTCTTTTAGCTCATGGTACTTCTTTAGCTGGCTGATGTGCTTTTTAACGATGGCCTCCGGGTCTTTGTTGGAGTCAAGCTCGCTGATCAAGGCCGAGCACTGGTTCTTAATCTCGTTCAACCGTTGTTCCTTGAGAATGATGCGCTGACGGATGAGCTCGTTGGGGTCTTCGGTAGGCACGGCGTCAAGGTTTTCCGTTCGGGGGGTATTGTCGATGGTGGGGACGTTGGAAGTAGTTGAGGTGGCCACCACAGGGGCGTGGGCACTGGAGGAGGACTCCATGAGCGGGAAGGGCGACGAGGATGTGAGGGATGTGGGTGATGGAAGGATGGGCGAGCCGTCAGTAGATGCTGGGGCAGCGATTTCTGGAGGAGGTTGCTGGGAAGGTGGTGGGGGATGGGTGTTGTTTGGTATGTCTGTGGGACTCATGGATTTGAACATGGTGTGGTGGTGAGGCTAGTAGGGAGGGGGAAGAAGGCAGAAGGCAGGGACGAGGATTACCAGAAGTGGCTAGCTTACTAGAATCGAGCAAAGAAAATGTGTAGGGAAGGAATCCGTCAAGTGTGTAGGATCGGAAATTAGGCGTAGAGCAGGCTAATGCACGATAAATAGTAGCACTGGTTAGTGACGTTACTACAACAATCGGAGTTAGAAAGGATGTTTACTAATTGCTTTTATGGTGCAGGAACGAGCAGGAGATGCGGGTGGCCGGAGCTGGGGGAAGCTCGTCGCGGGGAGGAGCGGCAGCAGAGGTCGGCAGCTAGAGAATGCCAGGGATGGCGGGATCGCAAGGTGGCATTTTGGCCGTAGTGGACATTTTGGTGGGTAGACGATTTGGGACCACTTGACGCGATGTGACATCATGGGACATGATTGGCACCTGGTCATGTGACCTACGGTCCGATGGTGCAACCCAATAAGGGGCAGCCAGCAGGTGGGCAGGTGCCGCAGTCCTGAGGAAATAGGGGCCACGAGTGGGGGGGTTGCGATGGCGGGGGTATGGGAGGCTACGGGCGTTGTGCGATAAATCGTTGCGGTCTGGTGTCAGTGTGCAAATCCGTGCATGCATTTTGGCTGCATGGTGTCGCAATTAGGTGCAGCAGACACAATGCGCTATTGGCCAATCTAGGGTATGAATAAATAGTAAAGGCACCGTATGATAAGTAGCCACGGTATAGTAATTACCGTTAATAAATAGTATGTCACCGTTGGTATATAAGCCATCACCGTATCAGGAATCACCATTTCGTATTAAGAATAGCCCGTCCAGCAGCCCACCCTTGCGTCCCATTTTCGGCCCTCAAAGCCAATCACGGCAACGCATCCAAGGTGGCCACATCATCGCACTAGGGCGCCATGGGCAACGGTTTTGTTTCCCGTTTGGGAAACAACTTGTGCTTGTTCTGGACAAAGAACCCGGTGTTGATCTTATAGGAGGATCTAGGTTCTGGTGCGGCTGGGCCGGAACTGTGGTTGATGCTGGGGTTCAGCGCCATAGGCGTTGCGTACTCGGTCGCGGGTGCTGGTGCCTCCTGTGTCGGGTACTGGGGGTACGAGTTGTTGAAGTAGTCGTCGTACACGCTCATGGAGAGCGGCTGCTGGATCATCTCGTCCATGATATCATCCACAATGGCATGCTCCACCAGAGGGATATCTCCGAAGTTCATGGACGGATAGGGAGGGTCGCTGGCGCGATGGCTTCGCCTTCTGGGGCTCACGGACCCTGCGGCACCCGAAAGCGACCGGAGCGAGTGGTTGGAGGGCGACTTGCCAATGGGCACAGCCTTCTGCACCGAGCGCTTCCTGGAGGGTGTGGAGGAAATGGTCGATTCGGGGTCGGGGCCCCGGTGCACGGCGGTGACCGCGCGCGAGAGCCACCGCATGGGATGCGAGAGTTGCCACGGCTGGGCCGGGAGCTCGTGGCGGCTGGCAAGCTGGCAGAGGTGGTGCTGGAGCACCAGCACGTTGGTTGTGCGTGAGGAGGCGCTCACCACGTAGTGGCGAAGCACGGGGTCCACCCAGTTGTGCTCGAACGCCAACAAGTCCTTGGTGGCAAACACCCGCTGGAGGAGCATGGAGTTGGTGGTCTTAAGGTTGTTTGCCTGGCCGTAAAACAACCAAAGACGAAAGGCGGTGGCGGCAAGGAGCACGCTGTCGGAGCGGTCCATGTATGTGTGGGTGAGGTGAGCCACCACTGCGTAGTAGGCCCAGTAGTTGAGGAGAAATTGGTAGGACTGGGGCGGGGTGGTAGAGGTGGTGGACTTGTCCAAGGCCTTGATGGTGAGGGCCATCGGCACGAAGAAGGTGAGGAGCGAGCTGAGCAAGTATAGTAGGAGCATGCTCAATGAAAAGTCACTGGAAAATGAGAAGTTCCTGAAAGGTGGTTAAGAATTTCACTGAAAGGTCGTAGAGAAGTCACTGGCAAAGACTGGTAAGACTGAAGTCAAAGAAGTCTGAAATGTTTTGCGGAAGTCGTTGAGAAGTCACTGAGAGTAACTAGAAAATGCCTGAAAAGTCTGAATCGCTGCTGCGTCTTAATGACAAGAATAGCAGCCGCGACTGATCTTATATCTACGGGTGCAAATGCTTGCTCATTTGTCTGAAACACACCGGATGATTCCGCGGTGTCAGACCAGATGATGCTGGGGCAACTCTGCGTCATTCGCCCTGGAATGTGGTTAGGTTACGGGCCGCGACGCCGGTTCTAGATGTGGGCCTCCAGGTGGCCTCTAGGTGCCCGGGTGCTCATGCCGATAGAGGCGCCAAGCTGAGATGCGGATCTACCCTAACCCCGTGAGGCCCCCAGGTGCGCAGGGACCTGGATGACCTATTTTTAAGGTGCGACAGAAGATCGTTCCCTCAGTACGACAAGGATCAGGAGGCCAGTGGGTGCCTGCTGAGAGATGCAGGTATTGGCTTTCTGACAGACGTCACCGCCATGCGCATGCCGGGAATAAGCAGTGGACGGGCAGCATACTGGGCTGTCACACCCCTTCAACCCTGCACTGGCACCTCGCCTAAGATCTGAGACGTTGAGTTAGTCGTCGCCTGCAGGAGGCCTTATGACCTCATAGGTGCAGACTCCCTCTCGCCCAAATGCTACTGTGCGTGTCGACAACTGTCCCAAATGCTACCGGACACTACGGGGTACCGCGGATGCATGCATTGCACTACGTACTACTGAAGTCAGGATGTTCTGTCGGGGAAACCTCCCCAGCATGGTACCTGAGGACCTGTACGAGGCTGCCTCGAATATTGTCGGTCCGTGGCGGCTAGCACCGGCTCTAGATATCGAGCCTCTGACTCAATCGGTCTAGCTTCATCTGCGCAAGCCTCACGATCTCTCGTAATTCTTGGTCACTGTATTTCTGGTGAACCTTGTCGCTGCCACCTGCCTCGTCGCTTTCGATATGTAATCGGTTGTCACTGCGTTCCCTCACCCAGTTCCAGAGATTAACCTCGGCCTCCATCGTCATCTCCTTGTTGTTCAAACTGGGGCTGATAGTGGGGATGATAAGGTACTTGCGGTTGTTGATTCTTATCTTGGACGAAACATAGCCGTCTCCTCCTAGATACTGAATTCCGTTATCCAGTGACCCATGTCCAGTGACGCTGTTTGCAAGCTTGACGAACAACACTAATCCTGCCAATAAAACAATAATTCCGGTGACCATGTCTCCCAAGTACGGAATAGGCACCAACTTACCAATCGACACCACGAGGTTGGAGAATTGCTGCTGAATTCCCTCAGCTGCGGGCCCGGCCTCGGGTTTCTCCTCCTTAGGCTCGGTGCTCCTAGGTTGTGATGTAGTATTCTTTCTGCTTCTGCTCTTCTTCTTGCTCTTTGACTTGGACTTGCTGTCTCCGCTGTTTCCATTACGAATCATCTCATTAAGAGCTTCGACCATGACCTTCATGGAGTCCTTCTGTCCATCAATACTTCCCTTTTCAATGGCACCTTTGATCCATGATTTACCACTCCATTCGACGGCGGTAACCACATAAATCTTAGTGGTATTGCCTGGCCCCCAACTGAGGTAAATCTTGGTCCGCACTTTAAAAGAATTTCCACTTGGAACATCTGGGGTTTGAGTTACTTGTTCCACTAGAATATACTTCTCTGGCAGAAATTCAACCAATTTGTCTTCAATCAAACATTTAGTTTGCTTGGGCCCAATTGGTCCTGCCAATGGTTTGATATACGTATAATTTCTTTCTTTATTCTTAGCACCCAATCCAGTGATATCCAGTTCGCTGATATCGAAATTCTTTTGCTTTTTCAAAATCAGTATGAATTTCGAAGTATCATTGCCGAACAAAATAAGAAAAATGGCACCTAAAGGCGCTTTCAATGTTTCTTCGGTAATAAAGGTGTCATTGGGCTGTTTTTGGTAGTCAAACTCAGTAGGATCATGAGTCAATGGACCAACAACTGGAAATCCTTTGAAATCTCCACTACCCTCATCTCCTCCATTACCTGAAATTGCCTTTGATTCGCGATGACTACTAATCTTCTTTTCGATATTGGAAACACCAGCATCTTGGTCGTCTTTTGGAGACTCTTCACTCGAAGAATCTGCTTCATCGTCCTCTTCATCGGATTTCTTCTTGTTGCGCTTATGTCTTTTCAAGGCAATTCCACTTAACGAGCCATCGTCAGCCTCGCTATCGTCATTCTGATCATCATCCTCTTCGTCAACTTCATTTAGATGCATTTGATCGTCTTGACTAGAATTTCCACTGCTATACTCATCCGAATCATCCAATGTTTCATTGCTCAAAGATTTAGATACAACCGTAGATTTAGAACCGTTTCTTTTTCTTCTCACACCACTATTTGTTTTGAACAACTTGGTGGTATCCACATCGGCCCCCTCTAACAACACTCTATGCCAAATATTTGTAATTAAATCAAAAGTCGCATCACGACTTAAGAATGTAGCGAACACATACTTATGATGCAAAGTTCTAACAATCATACCATTGGGGAATAGAACGGCAGTGGATTTCTTTTCAATCAATATAACTTCTTGCAAAGGAATGGTGATGTTGGTGACCCAACCTAAAATGTTTGAGTTGAAACATACGTAATGCTCACTGATGTACATCCTTCCTTGGACAAGAATATCCTTTGAAAGAGCACAACTACAGTCATGAATCAATTTTTCAGACTGGGGCAACTTCTTGAACGTTCTGTGGAATTCCTTGTTCCTCTTCTTTGATGCAAACTTTAGTTGTGAATAATCAATAATGCCGTCTAGTTCCTCGGTATCCGAGGCATCGGAATCAATGTCGCTATCACTGTCACTGGCATCTGATTTGGAAACTTTGTTCTTCAAGTCATTACTTGACCGCTTGGATTCATCAATAGGGGTACCTGGAATGTTGGGCACGATACTGCCATTGCCAATGGACTTACGGTGGACCCTTTTGGAATCAGCGGCACCACTAACCATCAATTGACTAGTGGAAGGCAACGAGCGATTGACTCTATCGGGACTCATGCTCTTTCTCAAATCATTGATGTTGTCACTGGAATGATTAGGGGTAATCATCAACCGCCTGCTGATGGATTCGGATCGCTTGCCATTGAGGTTAGGCGAGTTCATACCTGCTCCTGGAGTAGTGACCAGAGCCGCGTCTAACGACTTGATGTTACGGTTCTTAGCAAAAGCGTCAAGAGATAGATCGCCTTGGCCAAGGGAGTTCAATGGGGATTCACGGACGGATTCGAACTGAACGTTGGCTGTGAGATGCAGAGGATGCTGGGATTGTTCTTGCACGGGATCGCTGTTCTCTGATTCGGCGGGCTTGGGTTCGCCTTCTTCACTCAGAAAGCTTTTGGAGGTGCTGCCGAGCTTCGCAGGCTTGAGCAAGAAGTCTAGTTTATGCGAGAAGGAGTGGTCCTTCTTAGTGTCGGGGGTGGCTACCGTGTTGGAGGTGGCCGAGCTGTGAGAGTCCAAGTGGTCCTGGGAATGGCGGTCCGAATGTTTCTTTTCCTCGTCAATAGACGAGCTGATGATGTTGGCGGCGTTGTGAGCAGCGGTGAGAATCGAAGACAAAAACCCGTTGGAGTCCGACTTGACTGGCGCCCTGGGGGCATTGTCCGGCTCTTCGTTCATGGTTTCCGATTGCACCGTGTTGTCTTCTTGCTCCTGCTTGATTATGTTTTTGTGTGTCTGGTAATCGCTCCGGTGTCTGGTAGACGATTTGGCCAACGAGTTGACGGTGGGTTTCTTGGTGGATGACGAGCGGGAAACTACATTTGACGACCCCTCGGGGTTGCTGGAGTTACTGACAGAACGGGCATGCGACGGAGTTCTTCTCGTGGCCACGTCGGCGTCGTCCCTGTCCTCGTGTCTCAGCTTTTTGAGCAATGGCATGGTCTGGGGGGAGCGACTGTGGAGAGATGGCGCTGGCAGTCTGAATCACTAAGTGCAGATGGGGCTAGCTGTGGTGGGTAGACGCAGTTGGTACGGATAGCGGAATGAAGATCCTTCAATGATGTGTCAAGGATGTCGGAGCCTGGAGATGGATGCAGGATGGGCCACTAGAGGGAGTTGGTACTATAAGTAGTGATGGTGCGACTGGAAGACTCGGAAAGCAACAGTGAAATTGCTGGGATCCGCCCGGCGAGCGGGCGAGAAAACACTACTGTGGGGACGTTGCGCCTGGAGCTACATGTGCGTGGGGCATTGGCTAGCAATGTAGGTTGCCAGTAGGGTTGGCAGATAGAGAGGCACCATTGGCAAATGGCAAGCAATGCGGAGGAGATGTCATTATAGGAGACTTGGCGGGGATGCGCGACAGCCATCATTGCTGATGAAATTTGCCTCAATTTCTCCTCGATCTCCTACATCATGTAGTCAGTTACTCTGTGGGCGTGGTATTTTAACCAGCCATTGTTCATCAATGACAATTGAAGTATTGGCTTACAATGATATGAATAATAGGAATATTCAGATTTTGTTTCAGTGCTGGACTGTAGATTTCCGGGTCCAGTGTACCCTTTCCGAGACATTGAATACAAAGTGGGAAGACCCCAGACGACGCACTCGAAGAATAAGGGTAATATCCGTAGCAGGAGGAGTCGTACAATAGGGGTTCGTAAATCTAACCATTACTATTGCCGGACAATAGGACTAGCGATTGAAGTTCTTATCTGCGTTTCCCATGATGGCGACTACCAATTGATAATTTTGAGACGTATATTGTACGGCTAATCGAAAGAAATAGTAACGGAAGAAGTAAAAAGTCTATAAGTCGGGCTCGCAGACAGACTCGGGCTTAAGCAAACAATGGCTTCAAGAGTTCGTTGGTTTGCTCGGTCAAGGCAGCGTTGGCATCGTAGTCAATGTTGAAAACAGACACGGAAGATTGACACTTGGTGTGTTCGACAATGTCGGTTTCAGATGGCAAGGTACAGTCACCGTTGGCACAGACAGTGAGAGCATCCAAGGTGCTGGTGTGGTAGCTGAAGATTTGCTTGTCGGCATCGTAAAGCAAGTCTGGGGCGTAAGCGTTGTGACCAGTAAGTCTGGTAGAAGTCCACTTAGGGTTGGTACAGGATTCGTTACGGTAACCAACGTCTGGCATGTTGACGTTAAGACCGACACCCAATGGCAAGGCTCTGTCGTTGTTACCTTGGGCCTTGAAAAGCTCATCGACAAATTCAACAACCTTGTTGGCGTAGATGGTGGATGGCTCCAATTCGTCAGACAAGTCCAAGAAGTCGGAGTAAAGGGTATTGTTACCGTTAGAACCGGAGAAACCGACGGCTGGAAGACCTCTGTAGACAGCAGCAACAGTACCACCAATGGTACCGGAGATGGTGAAGAGACCTGGGGACAAGTTGGTACCTTCGTTAGGACCAGCAACAACCAAGTCGATGGTGTCGTTGGTCTTGAAGTGGACTGGGAGGACGTACTTCAAGGCGAAAGCAACACTGGAGGCTGGGGAGCCACCGAAGTACCAGATGTGGTCGTCGTTAGGTTCGTGGCCCCAAGCTGGGTCACCGGCCTTGACATAACCGAATTCACCATCGACAGTCAACTTGTTGGAGGTTGGAACCTCGAATCTACCACCGAAACCGGATCTTTGGTTGGCTGGGGCAACCAAGTAGACGGTGTGGCCGGCCTCCTTCAACTTGTAGTAGGTGGCTCTGATGTTGGTGGAAATCCAAGAATCATCGTTGGTCAACAAGATGTTCTTAGCGACGACGGTGGCCAAGAGGAAGTAGAAGATAGCTGGGAATTGCATGGTAGATTGGTGTGCTGATGAGGTTGGACAATAACGAGGATTGGATGCTTATTTATAGTTGGACCATGGGACACATGGTCCGGAGAGTGCCACTTCATTTGAGATGCATAACGCTTACCTTCGAGGATCCTCGCTGCCGCTCATCACTGGCATGCCAACATGGAGAAATTAATTAATCAGATACGAAGTGTGAGCCCCTAAACAAATCTAAATCCGCCCCCATCGCACAAAGTTTTGCAGCTACCGCTATCCTAGCGTCGCAACCTGGGTATGGTGACATTGCTGATTGCTTCAGCCCAGCCCCTGCCCAGTCCTCGGCAATGCCTAGCCAAGACGTCTAGCTTGCCAATTTCGCATATGCACCGACTGATAGCCACGTTTGTTGGAGTCGCCTGTATCCGACGTCAAAAGTTATTTCTGGCGCAAGCAGTCGCACGTTGCATGAAATTGACTTGTCTCGACCGGAACAATAATTGTTATCGCCCAATTGGGATTCCGCCTATTGCGACACCTGTAGGTTAAGGGAGAATTGCAGCAGTCGCCGATTGCATGCAGGCATGGAAGCTCGGGTCAATTTACTGGAACAACTGCGCAATATAGACTGGAGAACACGGGGGCTTCAGGCATGGATCGAGCCGTATACTTGTTTTGTGCCTCCACTCCAACGGCACTAGTGCATTTCCCCATTTTTTGTTTCGTACCGTAAGGCTCTAGCGGTCCAATCAAGAGCCCGGTACAACGGCGAGGATTCTCCCCTTGCGCTCAGGCGCCAAACCTCGTGGGCAATTTTAATATTACGCCTACCGGGGGTCGGTTACGAAATGTGTTGGAACCACCATCAGCATGTTAATTGCAGCCTCCTTTTTGATCGGAACCGGCGTCCGTTAGAGTTGGGGCCTGAACAACCCCGCTTCTGGGTATAGCGTATTGTCTTCAGGAAAGAATTCCGGTTTTGGGCAACCATCCGAGATTTGGGCCATTGTAGTTCCTACTATCTGACAAACGGATGAAGCAACCATCCACAACCCCAAGTGATACCGTTATCACTGCTTGAAGTTGGGGAATTCCGTTACGTTTTACCATCTTCCATGCGGGCAGCCCTCTATTGCGAATTCCGATTACAATGCTAGTGGGGCGTACGGCAAGTGAATTTTACGAATAAAATTGTGTTGTCTACGGGAGTTCCCGAGTTTATGCCGCACAGTGAGGACATCAGTCTTGCGATTGGTGGAGCTCTAGGCGACGCTGCAGTGCTCATGCAAGAATTATAACATATTATCCTACAATTAGTACACTAGTACTGGCAAAATAACGTCAACTTCTTCCTCATAATCATCTATAGAAAAAATGCCAATGAGAAGACTGTGGTGATACCACTCCCAGTTACCAAACGGATTATCATCTGTGATCTGATCTACAGGGTCTTAGATCGCCTATGTCCAACGTCCTTCCTTCGGTCGATCGCCGTTGGTGATCTTTACGGGGTCCCATGGCATACTTGTCACATGACCACCAGTTTGGTGGCGCCGCTGATTTCCGAACCCCACACCTCGGTTCCCCCAGCCCCCGACATGCGACACGCGACATGCGACACAGTCTCAACACCCGTCCCCATAACTTAGTGTATCACCCTCTCCAAATAGATCAAACTGCCATGCCTGTCTTCTCGTCGTTATCATCCTTCTTCAACCGTCACAAGCGGAAGCTTATCGTGACTTCTGCTTTTGCAGTTTCCGCCTACTTTCTTATAGACCACTTTATCGTCAAGAAATTCAGAAACTTCCAGAACTCATTGAAACAAGAATTAATATTCAAGCAGCAAATCAAGCAAAGATTCATTCAGACACAACAGGATTGTTACCACACAATTCTCGCATTGTTACCTGTGTTGACAGCCCCTATAGTTGATAGCTTGCCGGTTGAGTTGATCACTAAAGCATTACGGTTAAAGAAGAACAACCCTGGGCCTTCTCCCAACGCCAATAATGGTGACAACAGTCAATTGACTACCGACAACTTGAACTTACTTGAGAATAACCAGAATCCTGACTCTGAATTAGCGGTCTACTTGAGCAAGTCGAAAATCGAGTTATGGAACTTATTGAAGATCAAGACTATCACCAGGACTCTTACCTTGATTTATGCAATCTCTGGTTTGCTTTTGATAACAAGAGTACAGTTGAATATCCTTGCAAGAAGATCCTACTTGGAGTCGGCCATCTTAATGGCGGGAGTCAAGTCTACTTCCACTGCCGAATCCATTAACCCTCAAGAAAACTACATCATTGAACAAACATACCTTTCTTTGTCCTGGTGGCTTCTTAACAAGGGCTGGGCCAACTTGCACTCTTTGATCGAGCCCTTGGTGGTTAAGCATTTTGAATCCATCAACCCTAAATCAGAATTGTCGATCTCAGACTTCCAAGGCATTTTATCAGACATTGTGAACGAGTTGAATCATCCTTCAGTCAACATATCTGAGAACTTGTTTCCGATTCATTATGACGATGTGGTGGAATCACTTCTCAATGTCAATCCAGAATTAATCTCCCAACTCGATAGTCCAGAATCCAACTTGTTCAAGTTGGTCAACGAAACTAAGTCGATAATCTCCAATGATAACGCATCCTACTTCCACAACTTGTTCAGCACTTTGGTAACTAGCTCCTTGAACACTTTGCATGGTAACTTGCTCGTCAATCTTCAAGGAGGCTCCTCTTCGTTGTTGCTCAACTCTTCCACCGACTTGAAGGAAGAGAAGATTGTTGATCTCGAATCTATAAACACCAGATTCAAGTTAGCCAGCTTCTTAGCCCAATTGTCTGTGCAAAATGGAATTATTATTGATAACAACAACATTAAGTACGAAGAAGAAGACGATATTGAAGGATTTATCAACAACTTAAGCAATCCAGATGGATTTGGAAATGGTCCTAAGAACCTAGAGCTCTCAGGTAATGCCTATGTCAACGAAATCAACAACTTGGATGAGTTGGACGAATTCAGTGCTGGAATCTACTCCAATTTCGAGTAAATAGAGTTTTTGTTGGCATCAGTTGGATACCAAATGGACATAAACTTTTCTTATAGTAGATTCCATAGCTAGTACATATTTAAATAACTTGTCTTGTGCTTACAAGTAATCACTTCTAGAATCTTGTAGCGGTTTATATGCACTACGCGAAGCTGGTTAAGTTCGCGACAAAGCAATTTCAACATTTGTAAGACCATACCAATATGTCATCTCCCAAAGTGATCATCATCTCATCTGAGGATGAAAGGTTCCCAGTCGACCCTAAGGTGGCTGAAAAATCTGTTTTAATCAAGAACATGATCAACGATTTGAATCCAGACGGATTAACCGAGGATTTCGAAATCCCTACTCCAAACGTCAGAGCCAATGTGTTATCCAAGGTTTTGGAATGGTGTGAGCACCACAAGAACACCACCTTCCACGAGGAGGAAGATGATGACACCAAGAAAACTACCCCTGTTGAAGAATGGGACAAAAACTTCTTGAAAGTGGATCAAGAGATGCTCTACGATATCATTATGGCGGCCAACTACTTGAACATCACCCCGTTGATGATTTCGGGGTGTAAGGTTGTTGCTGAGATGATCAAGTCCAAGTCTCCAGAGGAATTGCGTAAGACGTTCAACATCGTCAACGATTTCACTCCTGAGGAAGAAGCTGCTATTAGAAGGGAGAACGAGTGGGCCGAAGACCGTTAGCTGCGCTAATGGTTATGATATACGAAATTGATTAATAGTACTACTAATAGTTACCAGTTACCAGTATTCAGTACGATGTAACGAAGGTATCAATGTATGGAACATCGATCATGTGTAGAACTATACCCATCACGATTCACGCAATTACGCAACATTCCCATTCCAGGAATTTGACACTAGTTTGTGACAAAGGGGCACTATTCCTGTCGAACGTACCTTCTCTAGAATCTGTGGGCATTAGCAATTATGTCCCTTCGCTCTCACCCTCGTTAAATGCGATCGACAACTTGACCGACCCCTGGCCATTTTGGGCCAAGCCAGGAAAACAGAAAAATCTCTGGAATCATCCTTCAAATACTACAAATAACTGGCGACCACTCTTGTCTATGGAGGAGCTTGAAAAAACTGCAACCATCGACTTTTTCCAAATAGAAACGGTGGGCCACCTGCGGCCCCTATCTGTTCCAACTACGTTTCAATCACCTACGGCAATTGCAATACATGGCCATATTGTAAACTTTTTGTAGCTGAACAGTGGCATATAGTCCCGAATACCGCCACAGTGTCTTCCCAACCTGTACTCCCTTCTAAATACTCCACCGTATCACTATTGCAACCATTGCCACCCCGGCACGACCATCCGATTATCGCAAAAACTTCACCGTTACAATCTACACCAAGCCTTGCCAACCTGCGCTACGCCTTATAGTCAACTCGTTCATCTGTCGTGTAGCTGTTTGCACGAAGAGCGTTTGTCTGTATAACTGTCCAGTTCGAAGCGTCACAAGAGCGACGTTTTGGCCGTGTTGCACCCTGTCTGTCGAAATCGTCAATTTGCAATATAAAATATCTCAACTCCACCCATTCTATCTAGCCATTATCAACAGAGACTATGAGTGACTCCAGGGAGATTGAATCGGGTTTCGATCCCAAAGTTTTGGGTCAAATTTCATCGTACACTCCTAAACAGCTTATGGACCTAGAAGCAGTCATTTCTGCTGAATTCAAATCAGTAGGCAAAGATTATATCCAGGCAAGGTTGGAACGGGTGAACAAGTTGATCGAGAAGATAAATAAGCTGCTTAAGGCTGCTAACGCCAATGACAAAAACTGGCTTAAGATCTACAACTTTGAAATTGAGACTATTCACAACATTAAGAACAACACAGAAGATCTCATACTATCGAGTGAAGGAATGGTTCCTAATAGACCAGATATCTTGAAGTCATTTGATGAATACGAAGAGGAGTTGAAAGAAATCTTCAAAAACCTCCAGAGTCCTCTTGATTTTGACAATATTCTCAAGGAAAGTCAAGAGGTTGATCTGGAAGAGTCTATTTTACCCTTCCCCTATTTATTCAAGCAGTTCTTTAAGCCACATAAGAAGAATCTTGAGGCAATAGTAAACGAGAAAAACTATCAGACAAATTTGATTTATGATACGTCATTGGGAAACTCTACCATCATCTGGAAGCAATATTACAATAATCTTGTTAAACAAAAGCAAAAGTTGGTCCAAGAAACATATGATGAATTGAACAACTTATACAAAGAATACCATAACATAAACGAGGAAGAAGTGGCGATTACGGGCATAAAGCATTACTATCGTTCTGTTATAGGGGTAAATGAGGTCAAGCAGATTTACGAGGATGAAACTCTAGTAAATACTTCTAACTCAAGAGACCTCAAAAGCATCATAGCAAATAATTACGATTCTGGCTATTTGAATCTCGATAATCAATATGTGAAGAACAATAGAATTGAAGCCTCGAATACAAGGAAGGCGATTCTCCATAACTTAAAACGATTCAACGAGTCACAATCGTCACTTACTGATACATCTACGAAGAGAATCAGGTTGGATGTGTGCAAAGGATTGGATGATAGTGAGATTGATCTGGACATTTTCAACTTGCGAAATGGATTACATGAGCAAACCGCCGTGATAGAGAATCCTATGGATGACAAGGTTGAAGATGAAGTTGAAGTTGACGACGAAGATAATGATGAAAACGAGGATGATGCCGTAGATGAAGAAGATTCCATGCAAAGTGAGAAAGAAGACAATGCAGAAGATGCTGAAAACGAAATTCTCGAAAGAAGTCATGATGCAGAAGATCTAAAAAGAATTGAAGAAGAGAACGAGATGAAGAATAAGTATCAAAAAATTCTTGGGTTAGACAGACCCTACTCTGAAAGACCGTACTCTTCCGCCTCGTCAGTTGGCCAACCATTTTATTTTCCTGCAATACCACCCATTGAGAGTTTTCGATATCATTGAACCGATATTTCAATAGTTCAGAATATCTCATTCAACTCTTCATGTTACATTAAGTCATTTTCATTTCTTCGTTAGGAGTATGTATTATTAGGTATGTGCTATTTAGTCCTAAGCCTTTTCTAACAATAAACTTGCATTTTTCAAGTTCGCTTCGTCAACCGTCAAATCTAGGGACTCTATCAATTTTAATGACTTGTGGGCGTTGTTCGACAAGGTGAATCTTTCATCGCTGCTCAAGCCAAATTCTTCGGGTTGCTGGCTGAGGGTAAACTTGAGCCATTGGAAAATAGTTCTTACCTGGTCTGATAAAGCAAACTTATGAATGGATCTTTTACCATTCGGAAATCTCACTTGAATTCGAGTTGTAGCTCCATCCGTGGGTTCTATGTGATCTGTAGGTACCAATAAATCGAAAGGATCTTTGGGTTCCACCAGTTCCTTAGGATCTGTGTCTACCAGTTGCTCATCTAAAGCAATAGCATTTTCCTCGGAATTCCCCTCGTTATCCCTGATAGATTGTTTCAAAGCGAATTCAATCTGCTGCTCTTCAGTTAATGCATCAGGGTCAAATTTGACTTCATGCCTGACCACAGGATTATTTGAATCGGGGTTGAGGGAGAATTCGGTCAAGAATTGCTCTACCTCCAGAACCCACTCAGACGCTTGTGGCACCTCACCATCGGTCCATGTACGCACTCTTTCACCGGTCAATGGATCTAGAATCGCAATATGTGGAAATGCACTCGTAGAATAGAAATTTAAGTAATTCACACCATTTGGTGAATCGTTCTGGTATTGCATGAAAATGAATTCATCATTGACGACTTGCTTCACTCTCGAGTTTGACCAGAAGTCTCTATTTAGCACTTGGCACTGGAATTCAGAAGCATCTTGAATATTGATCAATATCCATTTCTTTTCTTCTCGGCCTTGCTTTTTGGCGTTGTCGAGGCTTATCTTCGACATGATATCGAAGGGTGGTCTGAACAAATTGAGTAATCTTCTCTGGTTTGAGGTCAATTCCTCGTCTCTGTTTTGCCTATTCTGCCTTCTCCTGGAGGTTCTTACTGGTTCTTCCTCGTCGCTGTCTAACACAATGATTTCATCTTCGTCCTCTTCGTAAGGGTTATCCTCCTCCAATGAGCGTTGAGTGTAGTAATCGTTCTCCTCTTCATCGAACCTCTGGTTAAAAATACCAGTTCTGCCTGCTCCAAAAATATCTGTGGGACGGTCGCTGATCATGTCAGGAAGGTTAAAACCGCCACCGCCAAACCCGTCGACCAAGGTCTCGTGTCTATGAATGGCAGTATCGGCTGCTCTAGGTTCTTCTTGTGCGCCATAGGCCTCCTGCTGCAATCTTTGGGCGTACAGTTCATCGTCAGCGTGAGGGTTTGCAGTTGATGGCGGTTGAGATTCCATGAATAAAGTCACAGCATACTCCAAATCTCCTCCAGTGAGTTCCAAATACTGCTTGGCAACATCAGCATCCTCGGTACCAGTGACTGCCAAGAATGTGGGCACTTGTTCGTCCATAATTGTTGTGGATCAGACGGTGGATACAGGGAAGCCACTGTTTGCTGTAGGCAAAAATGTCGCGACCACCCCAGCAAAGGCCAATGTCGATCTGATGACTCGAGACATTTTAGACATTGTCTCCATACGTCCATTGACACCAGACAACTATTATAGGCGTTAGATCAATCTCTCGTATCACAGGTGATCAGAGAGCTACCACGTTTATCTCCCGGATACTTAGCCACATCCAAAGCATAACGCAGTTTTCTTAAAGCCCCGTTGGTAGTCAGGACTGCTACGAATCATACACCCTGGTCAAGCCACTGATCATAGGTACCAGCATCATTACATTACATTGCATTCCTCAGAGCCATTACTTATGAGCATATAACTACACTCCCCTGCATCTTATTATTGTGATTCATTATTGAGTCATTGCATCTTTAATTGTCGTTAGCATCGAAATGATGGATGAATACGAAAGGTACGATGGTGGTGAACTACTTAGAAACAGATACCTCAAGGTAGGAGACATCAGCGAAGGTTCCTATGGGCTAGTCTCGGTAGCCAAGGATACGAAAGAAGGGGACCGTTTCGTAGCCGTCAAGTTCATTTATCCTGTGGATTACAAAAAGACCAAGAAGTCATCGAGACCTTCATCCAGTCCAGTCCGGCTTAGATCCACTACAGAAAAACCTTCAGAAGCCTCGATTTGGAAAAGTCTTTATGACGAGGCCCAAAAGGAAATCAAGATCCACAATATTTTGGGAACTCACCCAAACATCTCATCATTATATGATCATTTCGATTCATGTTTAGTGTTAGAGTACTGTTCCAGAGGTGATTTATACGAGGCCATTCATAACGGAAAGGGTCCCTCTACCTCGCAGGATATTAAGGATGTGTTCCACCAAGTACTCAATGCCTTGGAATTCTGTCATTCTCACAGTGTCTACCATCGTGACTTGAAGCCGGAGAATATATTGATTACTGAAGATTGGTCGATCAAATTGTGTGATTGGGGATTGGCAACTACCACAAAAATCATCACCAATAGGGCTGAGTTTGATATCGGCTCAGAGCGGTACATGGCTCCTGAATTATTTGATGATGAGATTGAAAGCTATGACGCATCCAAAATTGATATTTGGTCAGTCGGAATCATTTTGTTGACTTTGGTTTTCCACAAAAATCCATTTCAAGTAGCCAACTACTCTGATAAGCGTTTCCTTCAGTTTGTTGGCAATCGTGAAGCTTTGTTTGATATTTTCTCCACCATGAGTGGTGATATGTTTTCGGTCTTGAGATTTTGCTTGAACATCGATCCCACAAATCGTGATTTGGCAAGTCTTAGAACTGAGCTAAACTCCTTGAAGTATTTCACTATTGATGAAGAATATTGGGGAAGTGATTATGATGAAGAGGACGAATTAGAGGATGAAGTTGAGGCCAGAGATGAGGACGAAGTGTTTTACTACAAGAAGGAACCGGTTTTGTCTATTTCTCCCGTGAAACAAGCACCTATTATAACTACTTCCGATTTTGATGCTGCAGAGTCTCCATTAATTGAAGATAAGCAGATCCCATCAGAGCAAGTAAAATTCAGGGTACTGGTTGATGGGCCCCATATGCCTCATAATCATAGGGCAGATGCTCTTCTTTCATCAAACACCAGCTTAAAACCAATTCCGATCGGAGGTTCGAATTTCCGAAACATTCGAAACACGCGTAAGCCCTTCACTGTGGCGTCATATAACCAATCATCCCAGAATAATGGACGTTTCGGTAATAACAAGTTCAACAGAGAGGATTTCTTTACTCCTAAGTCGGTTTTCAATCATTACATGGATAAATATGGTGAGCAAAGGTTTGGAAACAGCAATCAAAACGGCTCTCATCAAAGACATGGTGGTAGCAGAAACCTCGATAGTAGAACAAAAGGAAGAAAGCCAAGATCATGGAAGAAAGCTTACAAAAAAGGGAAACCAAGGGACAAAAATTTGAACGTCAATCGCCATCATAATGGGCATGATTATTCCCATCAAACAGGATATGACACTAACAGGCAAACAAGTAGACATGGAGGAAACAGAAGAAAGTCCAGACTGTTCTCAACTGGGAAGCAACAAAAGATTCCCACTAGCAACTCAAACACCATAGCTAGCACTTTCCACAACTTATCACATCCCGCGTCAAATATGATCAGCTCGGTTAATTCTTCAACTGGAAAATACATTCCACCGTATTTGAGATCCCCAACTTTTACGAAATCACCAGTCGTGGCTCCTTTGACCGAGGAGATAGATAATTTAAGTTTGAGCAATGATTATGATGAAGTATTTCATTTGGAAGATGATTTTGACCTCGGAGGTTCTAAGCCCGAGCCCCCCAGCAGTGGAATTCAATTCAAGAAACCTAATTTCCGGGGGCTTAACAGTACCACTCCAGACTCCATGTCAGATGCCAGTATTAGAAATGGAATGATGTCAATTCATCAAAACATAGTTCCAAACCAAGGGCTAAACGGTAGTCACGGCAATGGGAGAAGAAATTCGGTGCTCTCTGGAAATCGGAGACCGATTTCTGTTGGATCCAACGCCTTTAATGATACGTCAAGCTCTTTGGGATCATGCTCAGCTGGTGGTAAGTACATTCCACCGTTTAGAAGAGGATCGCAATCCAAGCCGAAACCAGAAAAGAAGGGAATTGAAGATCTTGCACAGAAAATGACCAATCTTGAATTGAACGATTTAAACTCGTTCAAAGCAAGTTCCGTACCTGTTAATGGATCATTTGATTGGCTCTCTTCTTACAAAAAGGATTGGAGTGATTATGACTAGCTGAAGTGATCCGGTTTGCTTATTTTTGGCTTCCCTGCTTCATGGCTTGGATTTAGCTTGAAAGATTTATGATAGGTCTATAGTTCATTTCATTAATTTCAGAGTCGGTATCACGATGTAGAGTTGAAATGAAGGATCCATGTTCTCGATGGTATCCAGACACTGATGTCCTTTCACAAGCCCACGTGTGGTAATAATCGATGATTTTCTAGTAGTTGTAAAATATTCGTTCAAGTGTAGATTTTGTTCAAAATTGTAGAAAAATTGCAAAAAAAATATTAGCTATTAGATAAATGAATTAAATGGATACGATTAATTGATCCAATACCCCAAACTTGTTAAAACTTATGATGGAGCTCTCAGACTCCGTGATATATAAGTACCTAAGCCGACAACACTGTCACACGTGCTGAGGGCTTTTCCGCCTACATCAACATTAACCAAGCCACCGTCATAATGACGGTATCTCAGAAATGATCCTTTCCTTTTCCCTTTCGTTGGGAAGAATACGGATCATTCCCATGGAAGCCCTATAGTTGTAGATTTTGGCTGCATCGTGAGCGCCGAATTTTCTCACCAATTTGGAGTAGAACAAGCCACAGGCATTGCACACGGTGCGAGACCCCAACGGACCCTTTCTCCACTCGGGAGTATCCTTGGATTTGCAGGTCGAGCACCTGGAGACCTTGCGGGAGGTTATATATGGACCCCTAGTGTTTCTGATCCGGGGCGGGTTAGGGGCCAGGGGCAGAGAATCGCCATCAGGGACAGGCGAAACTGAGTTAACAGGTGAAACAGGGAGGCGCAAATGTCCAGGACCGACATATTCCGACCGTAAATATGCCACCTCATGTAGAGCCGAAGTCAATCTGGGCAAACTGGAGGTGATGGTTTGCAAGTCGATGTCGCTTAAAGGTAAATTCTTAACAAATTTACGATACGCATGGGGGTCTCCAGCATGATCTGAAACCGTGGTGTCGGTTAGCACCCGAGAGAGCCGTTGGAGGCCACTCCAAGGCGAGGAGTGGTGGTTGCCGAAGAACAGCAACAACTCGTGCTTGGCTCGGATGCCGGTGGCATTGTTGTCCCCAATGGAGGGACAGGGCGGTGGTGCCGTGGCAAACGGAGGCTGGTAGATAAACAGACAATCGAGATCAAGATTGAGGGCGGTAGTCAAGACCCGGAAAGACGGTAATACCGTTTTGGGGGTCTCGGTGCCCGCATTAGGCAGGTTTCTTCTAGTTTTGCGAGCGGGTCCCTTTTTCGCCCTGGGGGGTTTATGCACCAGGGGAATTTGTTTCAGGTTGGAACTCAGAATGGCACCACACATCGATGGGTCCTGCGTTAACAATGGAGATGAGATGGGCTAGATAGCCAGGTTCAGGCACAATTATACCATGACGTGGGATGTTCTGCGTATGCTAGGCACAAGCATGCCAGTGATACATGCTGCTTAGCATAGCTCCGTTGGGGAAAGCCCACCACCCGGAGCGGTCGTGAGCGTGCCACCCGAGCCGCAACTGATTAGCTCCAGGCGACTGCGAACAGCATTGCCCCATCAGGGCGATGCAGTGAATGGCAGGCACGGTCCTGTTCCAGAACAAGGCAGAGGCCCACAGCATCCTTTGTGGCCGCAGGCTGGGCTGCCACGAACAACAAGGGAGCAATCGCTGTCGTCTCTGGCGATGGGGTTAACCGTGCCGTAAGCTTGGAGTTTGCACCCATATCAGGCAATCCCAAACAGTCGCCTGGCAAGCGTGTTTCAGAAGTTTACCCGGACATGCTCTGACGGCGGATCAACAATCCCACTTCCTGCATGGGGTCCCTCCACCAGTGCCGATCCTGCAAATAATAGGCCCGTTTGGTCTAGACCGACGCCCGCCGGCCCCACACGACTGCGGCTTTGTGAGGTGTTTTACATACAAGATCTGAAACACCGACAAGACCACTTAATTTGGCGGTCAAGTATTTAAACCCATGCTAAGGGCCCCAAGCGATTTGAAGGGTTTCAATTGCGAATTTAATGAGAGTTTAAGGGTCAACTCGAAACATCCATCAAGCGCATCCGTCACATCCAACATTCACTTCCTACATACCATTGCCTACCCACACTCACCCACAAGGATCAAGGTGGGACATTCCTTTAATTAAGTCTCAGATCTGTACGATCCTGACATACCATCATCATACTTTCGTTAATGTCAAACAAACCAAAGGTCAAGTTCGAGGACGAACAGTCCAGCACTGAAGAGGTCAAGGAATCATTACGTTTAATCGAAGATCTCAAGTTCTTTCTCGCAACCGCCCCCGCCAACTGGCAAGAAAATCAAGTCATTCGGAGATACTACCTAAACCACGATGAGGGCTTTGTTAGTTGTGTATTCTGGAATAATTTATACTTTATAACCGGGACCGATATCGTCCGTTGTATTGTATATAAGTTTAACCACTTTGGTAGAAAGATCATTGACAGAAAGAAATTCGAAGAGGGAATCTTCTCCGATCTCAGAAACTTGAAATGTGATACTGATGCAATCTTGGAACCTCCAAGATCAGAGTTCTTGGAGTTCTTGTTCAAAAACTCCTGTTTAAGAACTCAAAAGAAACAGAAAGTATTCTTTTGGTTTAACGTTCCTCACGATAAGTTAATGGCAGATGCCTTGGAACGTGATTTGAAGAAAGAAAAATTGGGTCAAAGTCCTACTACCATAGCTAATAAGGAACCAGCAAAATCATTCAAGTATGACGAAAATGCCAATTTGTTCACTCAATTGGCTGATCATATCGACAGACAGAAGAGATTGACAGAAACTCCTAGCTCCTTTGTTGAGGGTTCATCCTCTTCAACTTATAGAAACCAAGACTATTCCAATCCAGCAACAGCGACAGCCACAACAACAAACTCGACCTTACACACCAATCAAGTGCATCCCAAAGATGAAGGTTATAGCTTCTTGAATCAAGACACACCAGCACAGTACAAGACGAATTCAGACTATGAGGATGATTTTCCTCTTGATTATTTCGACCCTAACGAACCACGAATGCATGAAGAATATATCACTTTGGATCCAAATTATCATCCAGGTGGAGCATATGGAAACTTGACAGAGGATAATTATGATTCTATCGTTGATCCATTAGTGTTTACTCAACCCAACATGGCATTGTCTTCTACTAATCAAGTGGCATACAATGACGAATATCTCATTGAACAAACCCAACCATTGAAAACCCCTTTGCCCCCTATACAACAACCAAAATCAGCTAAATATGGCCCAATAGCTTCTGCATCTGATGAGTTCTTTCCTACTTTTCAACCACCTCCACTTTCTGCCAAGTATCAAACCAGTTTCCCTCGTCATGGCACTACTCCATCTTCTATTTCTTTTCCACCATCAATCAACCAACAACCGCAATACTACGACCATTCCGTTCAACCAGTTTCATATTACCAACATCCAATTGAGGGCCCGGTCTACAATTATGTGCGCCATGAGCCAGACTACTGGCCTCAACCACCACAGAGTGCCATGTATGGTGGGTCAATGGATCAGATGGTACAAGTACCAGTGCATCAACAATATGTAATCATGAATGAGGAGTATGTTCCCAATAACAACATGTACCAACCACAACCGTACGCCAACCCTATCATTTACTCATCCGGCCAACCCAATGCATCAAGACAATCAAGTCATATTTTAAAGAACAAAAGACATTTGTATCAGAATAAAGGTGGAGTTACGAAACCTGATTCTGATCCTAGACATTCAAGGAATTCAGCATACTCTTCGTTAGACGAAGTAATCAATTCCAATGCGACGAAGGTATTGAATTTAAGAAAGGATGATGAACACATAAAATCTGAAATTTCAGAAAATACAATACAAACTCCACCACCTTCTTCTAGCGGTCATGTTCAAAAATAGACTTATTAATGACTAATCATTTTAACTTTATAGACGACACGAGACATATTTATTGTCCGTATCTGTACTTCTATTCTTCATCTGTGTATTTATGATTTATACTTTTATTTCTATCTAATGAATATTGAAATGATATAGGTGAGCAAATATCGTGATTTTGACTAAAATCATCGCCACACAGCACATACGTACTAGAAAACCTACTACATTATTGATTTCTACAACCCTTTAAAGGTATTGACGTTCAAAAATGATATTGGAACTTGGACATAGAACATAAATTGCTCAGCAAAGCGATCTTATATACTCGGTTATTATTCACCGGCATAGATTCATTCATGGCTATAAAATTCCACTAGTTTCTGTTGGGGCAAAGAAAGTCTCAGTAGCACCCTTTGCATTGCACCATTTTTATCATCAACCTGGGCCTGGTTTCTAGAATTCCGAGAAGTCTTCAACAATATGCTGTAGATCATAATCACCGATCTCCTCACCTCGACCGCGTCGTTGTTCATCAACTTAAAAAGTCCTTGATCCACCAATTCAATTTGGGCGTCACTTATTGAAATAGAAGTTTTCAACAATTTAGACAAAGAACCCATGATAAAAAGCAATAATCTTTGGCAATACTCATTGCTACTAGAGTTCAACGAGTGAAGTACACATGCAAATAATTCGTGACTACCATAGAGCCCGGAGATCATTTCTTCGAAAGTTTCGTCAGTAGCGTGTACCAATTCTCCACTCATATTTGGAATTTTGTTTAAGAGTAGTAAAGTATCCCAAAGCGTTTGCAAATCAAGAACGTATCTGTTAATAAGAAGTTGTTTGAGCAATATTATTCCACTTAAGATATTTGACTGCGTAAGTACTTTATCATTCTTGAAAAAGCTCCATAAAGAGCTCTCAAGAAGGGACTTTCCATCTTTTTCGAAAAACTTATGAAACTCTAAATCACATGAATCAAGGTTTTGTAAATAATTCAAAGCTCCGATGAAGTCTCTTCCATTCACCGCGTCCGACCTAATGGTAGTACAAATATCCTTAAAACTTTCTATTGGGATATCTTCAGTGCTCTCAGGTAAACTTTCAACTGATGTTTTTGCGAGTTGAAAATTGAACCAATTTTGTTTACTATAATTGTAATCACGAACTTTCTGGGGTGAGCCTTTGGCATCTTCAAAAATGCTAATTTGCTTATTCTTGTTCGAGATTGACTTCAAAGGGTCCATCTTTTCAATGAATTTTTGAACGGGATCTCTCTGCTCAAGCTCGCTTGTCAAGGTAACTTGTGCAAAATCATCAACAATTTCAATTGAATGATCACTACTTAATTCAACTTTTGAGAACAAATTCGATCTGCGACTCTTTGTGTTGGAGTCCATAAAAATGTTATCCTCTTCCACATGAACTTCATGAATTTTTTCACTTAGAATTCCACTATGATCAACTGGTGGATTAATTGAAGCACCAGGCTCATTGTTATTTGAGGCCTCTCGATTCACACCTTCATTGTTACTATCGACCTCCATACATTCACCCTCCTCTTCATTCACCTTTGAATTGTTTGCTTCGGGTTTGAGTACTTCGTCTTCTTGATCAATGGCTGTGACAATTCCATGTTTTCCTTGATCTTGAATTACATTTGTCTGCTTCAGTTTCTCCGTACCACTAGTCTCAATTACCTTCTCTGGTTTGAACTGGTGCTCGTTCGTAGATTCAGTATCATTTGAAACAGGCCTGAGAGGTTCAGCTTTTGGTATGTATGTAAACTCATTATTGTTTTTCATTATTGGCATGATCATGGTGAAATCGGAATTTAACTTGACAGGAGAAAATTTGTCGATATTACCCCTGTGGTTTACCTGTGTTAAATCAAATAGAGAACCCAAATTGTTCATATTGTTCAACGTTTTAGCTGAATTACGATCAATTCCAACTAATAGCTCAACTTCCTCCTTCGTACTTTCATCTACCAATTCAAGCTCTGAAGTATACAAAATAGGATTAATAGTGTGTAACTTCACCATAAGGCTCGAGAAGACTGGATAGACTTCAGTCGACTTTAAGAGACTCACCAACTCCAACAAGTTGGTACATAATTTCAGAAAGTTGCTATCGCTGATTGGAATTCTGTCAAGACTTACCAATAAGAATGATACCGCCATTTTGATGATACTTGATTTGAATCTGATTATCTGAATAGTTAATTCGTCATCATCCAATATGTTAGATGTACTTATAGTGTAAGATAGCAACCTAGTCACAGAGTCGTAAATTTGATCTGCACTGATGAGGGATATTATAGACTCAATCTTTTGATCCGTGGAAGGTTCAATCAAGATACAACAGATACGAAGAAAGTCCTCAGGCGAAAAAAATTGATAGCTTCTTCTGAAAAGATTGTCTCCTGACAAAAATAACGGTCCAAGTAAGTATGGGTCTCGTATGGATATTTTTCTCAAGAGACCATTGATTTCCGTTGACAAATCTTCATTACCCAAAATTGCATACTTTAATAAGTTCACTCCTTCCTCGATTAATCCAGTTTGATTTGAAGACAAAAACTTTAAAATTGGATCTGCTTGTTTGTCAAAAGCTACCTCAGTATGGGCTGGTTCTTCAATAGCCTTTGGCTTTTCAGGTTGGATAGTTGATTTCAAAGGTTGCTCCTTTCTAGTAATATTTGGGAGATCCTCAATGACTTGATTTGTACTCTTGGCCTTTATATTCAGGCTTTCAGTAGGTGTAGCAGAACGTGAAACGGCCCTTATACTATTTGAGGAATTGGAAAAGCTTCTCTTCGGTACTCCAAGTCTTTGGAACTTAGAGTTTTTGGGTTCAATCAGATGAGGGTGATTTGACGTATTATGTAGATCAGAAGACTTTGTGGAAGGCCGGGAATTTATTGCAGCTTCCCTTTGCTTTGACTTCAATTCCTTGTTTCTCTGGATTATGGATTCTTTGATAGAAGACCTGGGTTTCTTTGGTGCGCTTGATAAACGTGCAATGCCTGCGCCTGCTTGTGGTCTCGAACGTTCTAAGTTTTTCACTATGTTAGGTTCAAGTTTGGTTAAAAGGTTTTCGGCATCATTTTGAAATTTGGACCAGAAGCACCAAAAGGTATCTTTAGCCACTTGTCGGACAGCTGGGTTAGGGTCACCTAACAACTTCTGGATAATTTTTGATGTAACTTCAACTCCCGCAGCAGCAGTGGTATGTACCGATAGAAAAGATTGATTTGAATGGAATCTTAAAAGCAAAATCTGAACCCACACACCACTATAAGTACGAGGCTGTACATTTTTCTCATGAGCACAGCTCAGAACTCTTTGAAGTAGCCGGTAGTTGTACGAACAACTGGCAAAAATGGCCGTTATAGCATGATTAGCATTAGTAGATGCAATCAATTTTGTTGCTGAACATAACTTAATTAATGTGGGTAAGAAACACTCAACCAAGGGATCAAAATCAGCCTGAAGAACAATTGCGCACTCTTTCACAAAATGACAACCATGTGATGATAATGTAGTTCTTAAGGTAGACACGGCTTTGTTAATGGCATCTGAAGCCTCTTTGAGATATTGCAATAAATCGTCTTTGAACTCGATTGGCGTGTTTCCACGGAGAATAGATCTCAATTTAATTATTTGCTTCTCTCTCGGGGTCCAGTTGAACTCCGTTTCTCGACCATTAAAGATCGAGATGACATCGTTCATAATATCTTGTAGCATACCTGAATTGCGGACCTCCAATGGCGGAATTGAGGAGTCAACCGCATACTTTGCATTGTTAATAATTGACTGCAATTTTGGATCCATACCCGTCTCCACCTCTGTTTCCGTTATATCTGCCTGAGTTTCTTGGCTACTATGGGCTTCTGCAGTAAGCATTTCTGATTGTGAGGAAGGGGCCCTTGGAGGTTTTGAAGATAAAATCATTGGAGATACCGAAGGTTTTGAAACTGTAGATATGGGAGAATTTGTTGCAGAGACATTGGCAGTGACTCGCACTTCGCCAGCTCTGATAAAGCCTTCATCAATACCGGTAATATCTTTCATGATTTCATTAATTAGCTTCAACGGAACTTCATGATTTTCCAATTTCTTTGCCAAGTCAAACTTGTATAAGCGATTTTGCCTTAAGTTGTAGTAGTTAGAAAAAAGACTCTTTATACTATCAACCACATCTGGGCTAGCAGGACTGGTGCTGGAAGCCAAGGTCTGGGCTAAAGCTGGAAGAAATGAATCTAATTTGAAGTGTTGATTAACGTTCATGACAATGTGATCCAACCACAAGATAGACTCCAAGCTTATGCTTGGGTTGCGATGGTTTAATGCTATTTCTGCAACAGCTTCCTCAACTTGCTTTGGTGCAGAGAACCAGTAGGCTTCCAATGCTTTGCGGGCAGAACTTCGCGTGCTTGCTTTGGAGTCACCCAAACGATTTATGATAATTGGGAGGATGAGAAAGCTTTGACCTTTGAGCACATTGCCGGACTTATCTTGCATACTCACACGCTTCACGAGGTGTGAAAGCACGCTGAAGCTGACGGTCAGGATTCCAAGGTCCGGGATATCGACTGCTATGGCCAATGCCTCCACATATTTCGCGACTAGAGAAATATCCACCAAGTCCTTCTTGACGTGAGATTTGAGTTGCTGTATGTGATGGAGCTTTGTCTCATTAGTACTGCTCTTGGAAGCTACCACCAGAAAGAGCTCGTTTGCGGAGACAGTAGGGCTCAGCATCGTGTGGTCAGTGGTGTATGATAGGATGACTAGTGTTTATAAAGACCGCGTTTGTTATGAGGTTAGTATGCAGGGGATCTGATGGAACGATTATGAAACAGATGCGAAACACTCAACGCACACTTCTCCACAAAGGTGGTAGAAAAGTATAAAGCCGGGAGTGAGTTGTCATGGCACGATATTTATAGCCATTGATGTAGAGCGTTGGTTTCTAGGGTGTTATTTTGTGATTTTTTTCCGTGATTAGGATGTCATTCAATGATATACCGAGCGAAGTTATATTACAGATTGACAAATACTACCTGGAACGATTTTTAGTGCTAACAATCAAAGTAGACCAAGACTGCGATGAAAGTAAGTAGCGACGAACGAAAGTGATAAGAATGGAGCCGTTGCTCAGCCGAAATGATAGATCCTACAGTTTTTGTCGTTCTGCCATGATTCAGGAGGTCGTACTAATAGTGCCATACATACATGCTGTTAAACGCTATGCTATGAAAAATGCTACTGGGTGTGAGAAGCGCCCCAGCTCGCTTGGTTATCTATTTGAGGAACAACAATATAAGCCCTGCTAAGAATACCCCAGCAATGATCTTTCCTTGCTTGGAGGTTGAAAAACCTTCGGTAGATGGAAGGTCGAAAGCAACTCTATTAATAGCCTTTAAAGTCTTATGCGAATCATGGGTGATTTGTGTACCATTTGCATAGTGGTTAGAAATGTAGAGAAGGTCGTCTTCCACCTCGTCTACTACCACGTCCTGAACATTTCCAAAAAAGTCGGTGAGCAAGACATCTTTGACTTCTCTATTGAAGAGATCGGTTCTGATCCCCGGTGTAGAATGGATGTTTTCAAAGGTATACTCGTCGAATAATTTGTCCATGGTTACCTTAGAATTAGTTTTGATTTTTTCAAGGAAATCCAATGTGTAGTAGGTGAATCTATCAATAACAGCCACACCGATATCCATATCGGAATGGTGGGAGTATGAAGACTCCTCAATTTGTGAAGAGCCCACTGCCAAAATGTTGGGAGAATAAAATCTTTCGTACATCGTGTTGGCCTGACAAGTATCGATCATGAAGAATATCTCATTGTATCTCTTCTTTTCATGCATCTGCTCAAAAGCATCGGCAATGTCATAAGATCCTATTTCATCAGCATCTTGGAACTTCAAGAACTCGTTACCACCATGGCCAGTCAAGTAGATGAAGATATTAGAGTTTTCATCGGTCAAGAGACGTTTGGAACGTGGATGGTCGGGATCCCAACGGTCAGTCAACAACCTGACAAAGTTTTCCACAGTAACCTCGTATCCACGGTAATCTACTTCGATCAGATCACCGTACAAATCGATTGCTTGATCCATGTTATTGAAGACAGTGCCTGGGAATGCATTTCTTGGGTTGCAGGCTATATCGTCAGACAACATCAAGATAATCTGGGAATCAGGTATACCCAATCTTTTGACGGTTCTATAAAGACTGAGGACATTGGCCATATGTCTATAGTTGAACCAGAATCGAGATGTTGATACCAATACAGCCCAGTTGTTTGTGTGGCCCGACTTCGCAATGACGGTTTCTGCTTCGTCCGTATTCACCACCTGAGGCGATCCAAGCGCAAGGCTAATCACGGAACAACATAGAACAATAAGGGAGGAAAACTTCATGGATGTTGTTGCAGCTGAAGATTGGTATTACAAATGAACACCATATGTTTATGTGTCAGGTGCGTACTCTGGAGTGCACATAGACAGAGTGCATATAAACCTGTGGGATAGATACTGATAATCCGACTGGGAGTTAGCTGGCCGATGGGACGGATTAGGCCGTGCAAATGGTAAAGCTGATTGATGTTAAACGACGGAATTCACTCATGAGCTAGTTTATCTTTTATCAATTCAAAATTTCCGTAATGTCTTCGCTATATTAAGATTGATGGAATTAGTCACTGAACAATCTGCTCCTTTAGCTCCTTGATTTCACGTTGTATGCTAGTCATCTTCTTCATAGTTGAGAGTGCTTTCCGGTCAGGCCCAACCATCTTTTGCAACTCCCAGCGAATCCAAAGCGATTTTTTGGAGTACTTGAACGCGAATATCAAACCACCAGCGCGTTTTTTAGAGAGACCTTGGATTTGGTCCTTCAAAGATTCCTCCATTTGGGTTGTAACATCATAAAACTGGTTTAGCTTTTGAATCATTTTTGGTATGAGATAACTGGCCTGTTTGGGTGTTAATGGCTTCTGGAAATCTTTTACACGAAATCTGAAGGATTTATCAATCGAAGTGGCCAACTTCTCAGCATCGATCAACAATGATTGAAGATTCGTACTAGTTGATATGTCAGAGACAACTGATTGTCTTGGACACATAAACGAACTCGAGACAAGTTGGGCATTGCTCGCAAACCGATTCAAGCTAAGATTCCATTTAGTAGTATCTCCTTCCACAAGCTTGCGTATCAACAAAAAATGTAATTGGTCAACCAGCAACCCCCATAAGTCATACTCTAATCTTATCCAAGGGAGGTAATTGTTGGAAAACTCCTCATTTACAACTTTGACTAATTGGTATTTTTTGGTACTTTCCTTTTCTAGTGCTAGGAACCCATCGTATGTTGAGACGTTTAAATCAACACTTTGTACAAGATCCTCCATCTCGAACAACTGTTCACTTTTCTTCTGCATTTCCAAAAGCTTGAGAGCTTGTTCTTTGTTCAAGTTTTCCTTCTTCAATTGTTCTTGTTCCAAATCATATTGCTCTTTTTCTTGGGTTAATTGTTCATAAGACTTGCCGTGTATAACATAGTCTGGTGGTAGGGAGAACAATGTAGGAACCGATTGGATACCCGTTCCTTTGGTTCCCGCAATATCAATCACATGGCAATGCGATTTACCTTTGTATAATCTCAAACCTCTACCTATCATTTGAACTAATAGTACCCTCGACTTTGTTGGCCTGGCTAAGAAGAGAGAGTCAATGTTGGGAATATCAGTACCTTCTGTGAAAACCTGAACATTGCACAACACATTTATTATTCCGCTCTTAAAGTCATCTATAATTGCCCTTCTCTCATGCTTTGAGGTCTCACCCGTTATATATTGTGCATTGATACCCTGTTTTTGTAGCACCCCACATAAAGTTTTACAATGATTAATATCAACACAAAAGATCAATGTGGATTTGAAGTTGAACTCCTTTTGTAGCTTGATATATGACAAAGCAACAACTGAATTAACATCCGCCGTGTTCATGGCCTCCGAAAGACTACTGATTTGGTAGTCATCTTTTCTAGAGGCTACCTTGTCCAAATCCACATGGACATCTATCGATGAAAACTTAACGTCCACCAATTCTTTGTTTTTTACCATTTCGAGTAAACTTCTTTCGTAGACAATTTCATCAAAAATCTCTCCTAAATTCTTTCCATCATTTCTTTCCAACGTGGCAGTGAAACCTAATACATATATCTCCAGGCTAGCGGTGTCTGCTCCGAAGTATTTTAGTATTTTTAACCATGAACTGGCTGTTGCATGATGGCATTCATCGAGGATAATGGCCTTGAATTCAGAAGGATTGTATTTCTCTAACCGAGAGCTTCGTATTAACGTAGGAACAGAGCCCACAATTATTTCAGCATCCGAAGAGGGCTTCAAATTCCTCATATCAATATCAACTTTGGCTTCAGGATATGTGGAGGAGATGGTCTTTGCAGCCTGATGCACCAATTCTTCCTTGTGCGCCAATACAAGCGTCTTGTTACCTCTAGAGGGTAGCAGTGGTGCCAAATCCTTTATGATATGAGAGAAGACCACCGTCTTTCCACCACCTGTTGCAAGGACTACTGCTGGTCGTCTGATTCCTCTTGCGATAGCGTTATGGACTGATTCTATTGCATTGACTTGATAGTCACGTAGTTTCAACATGGAGGATTCCTGAAGTGTTGCCAGCGAATGGGTACATCTTGCCAAAGCCCTGTAATACGATTGTATTTTGAAGGACATTGGGTAATAGGTTGTGAAAAAGTGAAGTAAATAAGTGGTTTGTATTACGTAATCGTTATCGGGCTAGGAGTACTATATACCTGTAAAGTCATTATAGGGCAAAATTTGCCTTGAAAAGAGCACGCCCAGTGAATCATCGCGTGACTTGACGTTTTCACCATTCAATGCAAAAGTCCTACTGATTTGGAAAGTTCTGATTAGTTTATCAAATCTGTCGCTGAGACAAGTTAAAAGGGCAAAAATACAATGCAAGGCTAATAAATTTCTGTACATTAATCATTTAGCTCTTCATAATTTCAACTCTGGCTCTTTTGAACACATTGTGATAGTAAACATCCAGACCCTCGGATACCAGCTCCACATTATCATCGTTCTCATCATCTGGAGCATTGATGGTAACCACACCGTAAGTCCCCTGTGTACCTCTAGAAAAGTATCCTGGGTTTATCACAACGACTCCCTTAATAACTTTAACGAAAGACTTCAATTTTGACGGAGAAATTAATATATCTGGCAAAGAATCACCCAATTCTGTGAGGCCTAAATACGGAATCTCGAGCGATGAACCCCCTATCGTGGTGTTGGTATTATCTCTGGTGACAACTCCTCCTTGGAGATTAGCCAATTCGTCTTTATTATCATTGTTGACATTTAATCTCTTGATTGAGCCAGGGAGGTAAGGATAATATCTTCGTTGTTCAAATATATGATTGGTAATTCTTTCAAATCTGTTATTGAAGGCTCCAATATTTGGGTTCGACGAATCCACCTGATAGACATCTCTTAGATCACCAAAGATATCCAAATTCGAGCAGCCAACTAAGACTTCATTAATGGAGAAACTTGAAGGATTGGGGAAGACTTTGAAATTCTTAGGGAGCCCAAGTGCCTTCCTATCAAAGGCATCTTGTGGATATGAACAATGCTTGATACAAGTGTCGCTCAAACTTGGAATCAATATCACCTGAGTCTTTGGATTGATTCTTTTGAGTATCGGGGTAATTAACTTTTTAAATACCTCATCCAATGTCTGAGGTTGTTGCTTTTCATCAGGAAGGTTTATCTCACCACTGGAGACAGCTTGGTTATTCATGTCCAAAAATGGACCAAGCAAAACAACCACATTGGGCTTAATGTCTTGATTAATTGTGTCCGTTAAATTAGCCAATTGTTGGTAGTCCAATGTTACTTCATTGGAGAATGGTCCCGAGGCCACCAATAATTTCAATTGTGAACCACCTAATTGCTCCTTGTATTCATCAAGTTCGTCCTTTGGAGTAATTGGTAAACCTAAAGCTGGAGGAGGAATAACTTCTTCCACGATAAATGTAGAACCTGTCGGGTTCTTACCTCTGAGTGTAACTATTTGACCCGGGAAAAGCGAAAATTGCTTTAGATGATTAAGATCCAAACGTATTCTCTGGCCAATACCCGAAAACCTCGATGTTTCCAAAAATAAAGATGATTTATTGGGGGTGTAATTCAACGAAGTGTCGTCTGTAGGCGAGTCTGGAACAATTCTTCCAGTGCATAGTATATCCGATTGTGAACTCATGCATGGGTTACCGACAGGAATCTCCATGTCTTGAAACATTTGAGCATATGAGTCGATCTGGTCATCCAAGACATCAGCAGATTCTAAGAGCTTCATCGCCATTGTACGGAATTTAAATTTACCCGCATCGAAATTACTAGCCAACTTGACCCCACGGACTTCGTCAGCTTCTATGATTTCAATATGGGGATTCAAGCATTCAAGCACAGGGTTGGATTCTGGTTGAGGAGGCTTTTTGATTGGGGACGACGATTGGAGGGTCTCGTTGGCAGTGTCGTAAGTGACTGGAGATGAGAGGTACGATGGCTTCAATGCAGACGAGGGCTCGTTGACTTTTCTTCTCTTGAGATTAGGAGTAGAGGGACCCGTAGGACTCGAGGTCAAGGGCGCATTGGGTCTCATCATCGGCTTCATTTTGATGCCATTGGACTGCAAGTCTCTGGATTTTTTGATAGAGGGTGTGCCCTTAGACAATGAAGATTGGAGATGTTCCTGGAAAATGTCAAGGTTGACCACTGTCAATGGTAAATCATCATTCATCTTACTAACATTGAAACTCTCCCATCTGATGAAGAGCTCCTCTGCATCGAGGTCGAAAATCTCCATCAACTTGGAGAGCTTTTCCCAGACAGATACATGCTCCTCGCTAACGGGACCGAACTTGCTTTCGAGCTCTTTCTTGGTTCTATCTTGAACTGGCATGGGAAGAATGATAGTACGCGACGCGTATAATTTGAGGTAGTAAATAATTCGCGTAAAGTGCTCGAACGAAACAGATTTTGGTGATAGTGAGTGTTAAGAAAAGATCCATACACCAGAGCACTAAACATATGCTATGTAATAGAAAGAGAAGGCAAAGACCGAGCAACAGAACCCGATCGATTTAGCATCTTTCTATGGGATTAGGTCTACACTTGGCCTTTACCAGGGGTACGACTTAGGCTACATAGGCTGCGAAAAGTTGCGACATAGAGACTCCTGGCAAAGCCTTTTATTATAGGAAAGTGAGACAATAAATACAAGAGACCATAATACGGGGGAGATTTACTTAGTTTCCTCCTTAGTTTCCTCCTTAGCTTCTTCCTTGGATTCCTCCTTGGCTTCCTCCTTAGCTTCCTCCTTGGCTTCTTCCTTAGCTTCTTCCTTAGCTTCTTCCTTAGCTTCTTCCTTGATTTCGTTTTCTTCCTTCACATCCTTTCTGGCCTTCTTGTTCTTCTTTCCTCCCTTGTCGTTGAAACTGTTACGTCTCTTACCAACTTCGTTGACACCGAATCTCTTGCCACTTTCTCTCATTTCTTGGAAAGTCAACAAGGACATCTGCTTCAAAATGGTCTTTTTGTCAACGGATTCATCGTCAGCCTTGACAGCACCTTGTGGGTAGCTGAGAGTCAAGTTCAATAAGTATTCAGCATCTTCTTGGGTCTTAAGCTCAACATCCACAACACCAAAGAATTCTCTCTTGACTCTGCTCTTGACTCTACGTATAGAACTGACGTCCTTTTCCTTTGGTAATTGTTCGACAATCTTACCGAAGAAAGCTTCCAAATCTTCTTGGGTGGCTTCCTTAGGGAATCCCTCGATGTGTACTGTGTTTCTCTTTCTGATATTCTTCAACTCGTTGAATTCTCTCAATGGTTCGGTTCTTCTGACCATGTCTTCGTTGGCAGAGAGCTTCAAGAGCTTGGATTCCTTCAATGCTGCAATAACACGTTCTTCAGGACGGTATTGTCTCATTCTACCGAAGGTCAAGATGGTCTTCAATTCAACCCAACCATCATTGGCCTCGTAAATTTTCCACAAAAATTTGTCAGTTTGCAAATTGCTGTCGGAGAAGTAAAACTCGACTTGCTTTCTGACCTTTTGTTCGAAGTCTTCTCCCTTGTAGATGGAATCAGTCATGGCGATGATGATGTAGAACTGAAAAATGTCGGCGTACTTCAAAATCGATGCGATGGACGAGATCGAAATCACGTGACAGAAAGTCACGCTCATTTATTGGTCATCTCCATGTTTCAGTCACCGATCCAATGCAGAGGATTCGAATCTTCACCCGTACAATGTCCAATTTCCCTCAAGTATCGGAGGCTCGCCAGAAGAGTTTGCAGCAGTCATATGAAGCTGTGTTGAGCCAGGTAAATCTGATTTCGAGCACTCCTGTTAGACTTGTTGCAGTCTCCAAGCTCAAGCCGGCCTCGGATATCATGGCGTTATACAACGTTGGAGTTCGTCATTTTGGAGAAAATTACGTCCAGGAATTGATCACTAAGGCTCAAGAGTTGCCCAAGGATATTAACTGGCATTTCATTGGTGGTTTACAGTCGGGCAAGTGTAAAGACTTGGCCAGAGACATAGAGCACTTGTACGCTGTGGAAACCATCGACTCATTTAAAAAGTGCAAAAAGTTGGATACCAGTCGAACCAGTCATGGTGGGTCGGAAATCAACATTTACTTACAGATAAATACATCTGGGGAAGAACAAAAGTCCGGTTTCGCCTTGGACGATCCAGAGTTGGACCAGACTGTGGAGTACTTGAAGTCAGAAGAGTGTAAGAGCTTGAAGCTCAAGGGTTTGATGACTATAGGCTCTTTCACTGAATCCACTTCTGAAGGAGACGAAAATCTCGATTTCAAAAAGTTGGTGGAATTGAAGCAAAGGCTTCAAGGAACGCATGGTGTCGAGTTGGAGCTTAGTATGGGCATGAGTAGCGACTTTATACAGGCTATCAAGCAAGGAAGTTCGAGTGTTAGAGTGGGTACTGCCATTTTTGGGGAGAGACCACCAAGGAACTGAGATATCACTTCGGCTTGCATTGATTGCTAAGTGTTCTTGACTACAAAAAGATAGATATTGTTCAGACAAGTGTGTCGTTTAAAAGTTTATTATTTAGGGTTATATCTTAATCATTGATTTTACTTGTAGTCAATTTGGACAACAAGATATCCTATCAGTCCCCAAATAACTCTGAAACCTTTGAAACTACTTCTTGCCCTTGAAAAGCTTTTTAATAGTGGACTTTCTGCTGACCTTGCTGTTGTCACTGTTCGTGACACTACTGTTCTCATGGTTCAGGTCCTCGGTGAATTCCTTAGCGGTTTGATCGAGATTGCGTTGAGCTTGTTGTTCAGTTTGCTTCGCATTTTCCTGGAATTCCTTTGCTGACTGCTTGGTATCTTCCTTGAATTCTGCAACAGATTCCTTAGCATTATCAATAAACTCAGGCTCAGGGCTAGTCTCACTAATATGTTGATTGTTATCGATGGTTGAATAAATTTCACGGCCATCTGCTTGTTTGCTAGTGATGATACGGTCTCCCTGTTCGGAAACGTTCTTCAATTGCTCCTTGCTTTTCTGTTGGGCAGCCTCTAACTCGGCCTGCTTGGCCCTTAATTTCTTAGAGCGCTCTTCTATAGAATGCTTGAATTCTTCATCTCTAGAAGTCAGATAGCCAGCAATGGTCTCTGGAATAATTTCAGGCTTCAACTCAGCAATTTGTTTGGCTTGCTTGTTAGTTTCGTCTGCAGACGAATGTAACTCCTTCTTGTCTTGGGTACCACTTGCAGGCTTGACTTTGCCAGCGTAATATTCACGTCTTAACTTGATGTCATTCTCCACAAAATCATTTTCCAACTCAGCTTGGCTCTTGAACAAGGAGGCACTCTTAGCGAAGGTGAAATATAAAATTAAGAATCCATGTTCAGCAGCAAATAAGATCAAAATCAACTGGGCAGCACTGGAAACATTAGTGCTGGCTTTATCCAAAGCAAATTGCCCCAATGTCTTTGGTGGAGCAGTGCCATGACGATAGAGGGCCGTGACGACCGGGGAGATCACAGATCCTATCCATGTTAATATAAATAAAGCATAGTTCCATGGGTGAATAGAGTCTACTCTTTGTTGAACAGTTGGTCTGAAGTAATGGCCGCTAGACAATTTCAAGAGGTCCAACTTGAAAGTCAACACGTTGAACACAATAGCAATGATTGGGGCCAAGGGCCAAACAGTACCGAAGAGGATCAAGTAACCGTATTGCAAGATGACTCCTCTGAAGTCATCATTAACATTGTATGCAGGTAAAGTTAATGCAACACGGACTTTAGATAACCAATCCTTTTCGTCTTCTCTATCTTCAATCTTAACCTCAGGCGAACCAGCGATAGTCGACTTCACAACAGCAATACCCTTGCTGAGCACAATGGGTAAGACATACTTAAGGATGACCTGAATAATTTGATTTGTAACGATGAAATAAAAGAACTGAGCACTAAGTCTTCCTTGATTAATTTGAAATTCTTCTTGTCTTTTCAATTGAGTAATATACTTGTAGTAGAAACGATCCTGACTAATTCTAGCAGTAATAGTGTTCTTGATGTCACCCAAGTGGAATTCGATCAAATGGGCAAAAGGCAAGTAAATGAATGAGGTAATAATCAAAGGCATGTAGCTAGTTAAAAAGTTCAATACGAACGTCTTGATCAAGATAGAATTGTTACGACTGTACTCGTTGTCGTGATTTTCCCAGGCAATAACAGCACTAGTAACAGTGTTGTAGACAATTGTCAAAATTGGCACAAATACTGAGATCAACACAGTAGGTAACAAGGTCAAGAATATTTTACCTGGACCGTCATAAATCTCAGACAAGAAAATTTCCAAGACAAAGCAAGACAATTGATAGGCAACCAAGACAGCAGTGAAACCTAATGCAACTGGAATAAAAGACAATTGCTTCACAAATCTGGAGGCTCCGGTGTCGGCCTTTGCGTTTGAAGTCTTATTCAAACGGGCCAACTTTGCGTTATTCTCTTCAACCAAGTGAGAGTTTTGCACCCCCCAGAAATTGACCAAGTATTGCTCCTTTCTGTTCCATAAGGTGATGAAAAGGGTTCCCCAGACCAAATTGACAAACGCGTAGGTCAAGGAAAAGGTCTTCTTCGCCTTGAAGTAGGAGATGAGACCAAACACGGACAAGTAGACAAGCCAAATGGTGTAGAACTTGAGGAACTCGAAGTAGAGAGCCACGTTTACCCCGTACTTTTCCTTGATGGAGTTTGTGGTGAGTCTGGAGTCCGAAAAGATGGCCACGGCCTTTTGAGACACCGAGGACTCGTTCAAGTCGCCGGCCACCGGGACAATGGCGTTGACAAATGCCCATTTCCCCTTGGTGGGGGTGATTTCAAGGCCGCCAACCTGTTTTTTGCTAGTCAAGAACTGGTGGATGATTCTGGCACGGTCGGCAGAGGTGTCGTTCTTGGTGGTAACACCAAACTCGTAGTTCTTGATGACGTCTTCTTCTGCCAATTGGAGATACTTGGAGCCCAATTTGGCGAACACCAACAATTGAGGGCCATCAGGTCTGGCCTGGGTGGTGAAGCCGGCACTGTGCAAGGTTTCCGTCAACTGTTGGAGGTCACGGTCGGCCTGCTGGGTAGCCTTGCCGTCCTGCGTGGGGTATTTAACCAGCAAGACAAAGTCGGGGTTCAGTGCTTGGATCGACATGGTTTGGTTGGACAGTCAATCGTGGGCAATGGCGTTTAAATATACTGCAACTGTTGCTAATGGATGAAATTCGCCGTAGCAAGATCGTGAAACAGTCGCGCTGCTTTTTCAGGTGTTATTGGGGCTTGCGAAGACAGGGCAGAGAACTAAAAGCAGATATGGCGGCAACTGGCGTGGGACGACGAAACGGTGGCTACAACTGTGGAGAAGGGCTAGGGGACGATGCTAGCATCCGCGAGGACAGGTACCGTCCACCACTAGTGCTACGTGGTGGTTGGGGGCCTGTACCTCGCGGCCCCAATCTCGCGACTACGCCACAGGGTGGCCTGTGCTAAAACGGTAGAGAAGGCTGCGCCGCCACTGAGGCCCACTGCTGTGGTGTTATAGATGGACATCTTGGTGGAGAAGGCATCCCCAATGGGTTCACCCCCACGCAAGCCCGCAATCGTGGTGTTGCCAGGGGCCAGTTGCTGGCAGGACTTGAATGACCCTGCACGTGCAGGGGTTGGCAGTTGCCAGTATAAAAGCCGCGACTTTCGCATAGTTGCAACCGCCCACACCACCACTAGCTATGCAATCATCTATCTGTTCTAGACCAGCATAAGACACCCCGAAGTGCTATCCAGGTAAGTATTTACGTCCCAAAGTGCCCAAGCCCAGTCCCCATCTAGTCCTTCCTTCAAGTATAGTCCCCAACGAACGCGTGCCACGCTTCAACCCCGATCCAAAGTATAGTCCGTACGACTTATCACATTACCAGTCCCTGCCCACGTCGAGTAGTCTCATCACTTCACTAGTCCCTGCCCACGCTAACGAGTAGTCTTATCACTTCACAGGTCCTCGCCTATGTCTCATGTGCCCATCCCCGTAACGATTCACGATTAATGTCCAAAGTTTGCGACCCTCCATTGAGCCCGTCAACTCCCGAACTCTGTTGCAGTCCTTGTTACTATAATAAATTTGTCCTTTTTAGTATCCATTTCGTCTGAATTCTGAGTATTTTTCCCATCCAGCATGTTTTCTTCCTAGAATGGGTTTCTTGTTTGTTTTTTAGAGGTCTTCACCGTTTTAATTTCTTCTTTGTCCCCAAAAGAATGAAACGAAAAACAGGAAAGATTGGGTGTTTCAAACCCAGCGATTTTCAAACGGTTTATGTAAAGTAATTGTTATACCCTGAGGCTTTTTCTATTTGGTGGACTTTGGGCTTATTTTGTGGAATTGGATAGAGGAGCTTCACTTATACTGGTCTAGGATACATAAGTGCTTGCATATATAGTTTCTAATAGACGTAGCATTCATAAAAGCTAAATAGGATACTTACCAATCAACATAACCCTTACCGACAACTCTAAACACACGGATTCTTCCACTTTTCAAGTCTCCAATTTTATAGCTTTCCTTCTTCACATGACCAGCTGAGTCCAGTTCGATAACCTTAAACTTTTCCTTCTTTGGATCAAACTCATAGATTATACTGGTGTAGCTATCTTGGGGGTTGTTGCCTTCTCCCAAGACTGTGCTCTTGTTACCCAAAAGTCCCTTTTGGGTGGCAAATTTACCATTTCTAATCCATAAAACATCACCTGCCTTGATTTCATCAATTTTAGCAACATTGGTGTTGTTAATATTCTTGTAAATGGTCACACCAAAGGATTTATATCCGATAGGTTTAACAATTTCAGTCTTGCCTAGTCCTTCCAAGACCACAGAGACAACATTATCAGCAATCTTGGTACCAATCAATGTAGATGCCTTAGAGACAATTGCATTAGCGAAGGCTCTGTGATATTTATCCAACAAATCCTTACGAATAATAGGAATTGGCTTGGTAAAACGTCTAACAAAGTGAATAGTTGATCTTGGATCTTCTGACTCGTATTCTAATTCAAAAATGATCTGAGATAAGTCATAAAACAAAACATAATAATCACGATAATTCACAGTTCTATTACCTCTCTTTTTGATTTGATTGGATTCGATTTCATAGACTAAGTCTACTCCAATCTTTCCTGCGAGTGACTCTGGTAATTCACCTCTAAGCCACCAGCTCGCAGATCCACTTATGTTAGCAAGCTCATATTCTAACTCACCAACAGCCAACTCTGCCTGAGTTTGCTCCACACCATTTCTATCCTTGAGAGATTTGGATCTAGAAATTGAATCAAGAGAGCTTCTCTTGTTGTAAGAGCCAATGGAGGTACCAGTCGAATTTCTAGCGAGTGGAGGTGGTGGGTTTGACTCATGGATGTCTGTAGAAGCTCGTTTGGGGACATTACCAAAAGGAACAGCAGGTGGGGGGTTTGAAGTTGGAACAGGAGGGGCAAAATCACCAGAAAGAGTTTGCGACCTCTTTGGAAAGGACCTATCAACCGGAAAGCTATCCTCCTCCTCATCTGAGGATGAGTTTTCAACTTGCTCATCAATGAGGGTTCGATTTTGTGGATCATCAGACTCATTCACATAATCCTGAGGACTTGGGGGAGGGATGGAACCTGGGATTGGAGGTGGTGGCGGAGGGATCTTTAATGCGGGAAGGTCATCGGAAGGAGAGGCCAATTCATTACTCTTCAAAGTTGAAGTAGAAATAGGTGGAACGTCAGATGGAACTGGAGGTGGCCTGGTTGGAAACGTAGGAGCTTCTTGAGGAACTGCAGGAACCGAAGAATGGGGGACAGGTGGAATAGGTGCCTGGGGTACTGGTACGCTTCTAGGAATTGGAGGAGGACCACTAGGAATACTAGGTGCCTCGTGTCTTGATGGTACTGGTGGTTTTGCCAAATCAGACAAATCTTCATCTGCTTCATATCCAGTTGCTTCTGTTTCTAATGGCTGCCTCGTGATTTCGATTTTGTCACCGTCTTCTGGTTCGTCAACCCCACTGTCAAGTGCATCTGGCCTTGGAACTGGGGGAGGCAAAGGATTGACAGTTTCTGGATGGGTTTGAGCAAAACCAGCTTCTGGAAATTTACTGTCCGATTCAGTGAGATCATCATCTTCTCCCATAGATGAAGATTCTTCTTGAGAGTGAATTTCATTATGGGTTTCGTTATGGCCCTCTCTCAAAATACGTGCATCTGGGATTGCTTCTTGTTCTCTTCTTAACTCTTTCGGAACTGGTTGATCACCCACTGGCAATATGGGAATCGCTCTAGGTAAGTCATGTGCAAGAGAATGCTCTGGTTTCTTAACTGCTTCCGATACATGAGTTTCTGTTTCCGCTGCCAATTCCTGTTCATTTGACTCCCCATCATCTTCATGCTTAAGTTCGGGTTCTCTTTGGGCGGAACTCTTAGGACTGGACTTTGCAGCTGGAGCGCCAAAAGGACTTGCCATGCCCATCATGCCAAACATATTTCTACCACCCGAAATTTTGGCCATTCTTTCGACCAATTTTCTTCTTTTCAACTCTTCGTCATCCTCTTCTTCGGGTTGTTCTACTTCTTCTTGTGGTACCTCGTCCTCGTCCTCGTCCTCTACCTCCTGCTCTGGTACATCTTCAAACTCGTGTTCTTGTTTCAATTCCTTGCTGCCAGCAGTATGCGTGCTCTCAATTGGAGGATGGGCATGTTCAGAAGCTTTGTGGGAGCTAATACTGTGAGAACGAGAGATCTCAGAGGTCTGAGAGTCCAAGGACTTCCTAGGGATGGGTTCTTCGGGGACCTCTTCATGAGTGGCGGTGGTGGCAGCCACGGCAGCAGCTTCCTCCTTCCGCAACTTGGCTTTTTCTTTTTCTTCAGCGAGCTTCTTCTTTCTTTCCTCTTGCATCATTAATGCAGCAGCTTCTCTTTCCGCCTCTTCCGCTTGACGTTTTTGCAAAAGGGCAATACGCTCTTTCAAGCTTACTTTGGGTTCATCAACATGCTCTTCGGTGACAGAGGTTCCCTTGATCACTTCGACATTTTCAGGGGCTTGATTGTGGGCGTGGCCAATGATGTTGGATTCGTCTCTGGGGGTGACCTTGGGTACATAAGACGATTTGCCAGCCCCCAAAAACTGTTTCTTGACACTGTACGGATCCTTGACTGGTTGGTTAGGAAACACAGGCAACGGTGGCTTCGTTCCTTCTAATTTGCCATGGTTCGAAGGTTGGACTGCTTTTACAGGGGAAATGGGAGACACTGGGGAAACTGGCTGAGGCTCAACCGATTTTATAGGAGCCGAGGCCACGGGAGACTCAAGAGACTCTGATTCATCTTCTGAATCGGGGTCCACTTTCTTCTGAACTTCCTGAGCTGACTTGGTGTCAACTGGAGCCGGTTTCAGCTCCTGAACCTTGGGAGCCGGACGGGACCGTGGGGGTGGGGGATCTTTGATCAATTCAACAAAGTTGCGAGGAAACATTCCACTCTTACCATCGTAGTTTCCGGAAAACCATTCCTCATCCTCCACTTCTGTGACGGTGATGATTTGCCCCACGTCAAAAGTCAAATCATCCTCGTATTCCGATTTGTATTCATACACCGCTTTGACTCTAAAAGGTACTGTAGGCTCAGACATGTTGCGAATACCTTTGGACGAATTGCAAAACTGTACTTGATGACAAAGGATGTGCAATTGATGTGTAAACTGTCAATTAGACTGATACGGCACTTCCAGGTGGGTCACGATCGTTGCTTTAGGGGCTATAATGATGGTACGCGCACGACCTGTTATAGACATCCGAGTTTGGGGTCAGTCCGAGAACTAGTACACATGTCACGACTGCATTCGACGGTGGTGATTACCGACAAGATCCTAGCCACGTGCAGGCCCACCAAGAGGTTTGACTACCATGACAAGGCCAGCATCACCTCGCTCGACTTTGATGACTCGGGCCAGTACTTAATCTCGGCTGGTATCGACAAATCGGTCCAGCTATACGATGTGCACAAAGGAACCCATTCCAAGGACATCAAGTCGCAAAAGTACGGGGCACACTTGGCACGCTTCACTCACAATGCCTTACAGTATTTACACGCGTCCACTCCTACAGAAAAGGCGGAAGTGGACCACGCCATCCGGTTTTCTGACCTTTCCAATAACCAGTACTTGCGGTACTTCAAGGGGCATAAGGGCCAAGTGACGTCGATCGAAGTCAATCCGTTAGAAAACACCTTTTTGAGTACGGGGTACGACCATACGGTAAAGATGTGGGATCTCAAGTCTTCGGCCCCCATCGGCAATTTGGATATTGGTATGGAATCCGTATTGGCCTATGATCCACAGGGCCTTGTTTTCGCTGTCGGATGCTCTAGCAGCGGGCAAATTTCGTTGTACAACACTGCGTACTTCGACAAGGGCCCATTTTTGAGAGTGAACGTGCCGGTTACCACCTCGTGGAACAAGCTAGAATTCTCCAACAATGGTAAGCTCATTTTGGTGTCGACAAATGGGCCGCTGCACTTCATATTGGATGCGTTTCTGGGCCAGATATTGACTACTCTTGACACCAATAGTGACCCAATACCATATGGCTACCCAAGCACTGGTTCGTGTACTTTCACACCATGTGGAAAGTTCGTGTTAGCTGGTACTTCCAGTGGAAAAGTCAGCCTCTTCGACTTGAACCAGATCAAGTCCACCGACGGAGATGTTCATGTGGTTCATGATGATACAAATCCAACAAGGCTAACACCATTTAAGGTGCTCAATGCCAATGGTGGTATCCCCAAAATTGTGGCCTTCGACCCGAAGTTGTTCACCTTTGCCACTGCTGACAATACGGTGGCTCTTTGGCAACCGCAGGATCGCTTGTAGCATATTCCAATACTGGAAGAGAACTCTTTGAAAGGGTTCAATTTGTACATATAATATTTAGCTCCATACGTGACTACTGGAGCGTGTACCATAACAAGCTTAATAGAGTTTTAAAATCTGTAGAGCTTCTCTGCTGGCATTTGTAAATCTCCTGATATCCAAAAGCTTGAACTACAGTTGTTCAACGACTCGTCTATTTCTAGCTATATGAATCATTCCACGCTTTTCTGGCTTTCTTATTATTGCATCTTCCAGTATCTTAGTACTTTTCGCAATAGTGATCCATGAAATGCCATCGCACAATCAAATAACTACTCTTAGATTCAGAACCACCATGCTGACATGATTAGCACGCTCAAACTACGCATTCCCCCTATCCATAATGAATTGAAACGATGGTCTCAGGTATCATCAAACCCTCCCAGCTCAAGCCAGTCACAACAGACCCAAGTAATACCAACTTCACTTCAGAAGTTCTTGACCCGAACAAAACCCGATGCCAGGGCACCGGTACTGTTCCAGTCATTATCTTCCCGAGTAGATGGAATTAAGCGCCGATACAAACCACGTCTGGACTTCACTGGACGTGCAACCAAGTTCAGGGACCATGACCAGTTCCTTAAAGACTCTCCAGTCCCTATCCATATACAGTCAGGCAAACTTCCCCAGCGCCCCACAGACATCAAAGGGGTAGACGAGGCAGTGTATCTGCACCTAAGGAAGCCAAAAGTGAGCAGAACCATGCCACGGGTCTTCCGTAATGAGTACTTCAGCTTAAGGTTCTTTCCTCAGGATCATCATGTGTCCAGATTTCGAAAATCAAATGTGGCCTACACGTTCAGCAATCGAGGTGGGTACAAACTAAATGACAAAATCCTTGAGGAAAGTCTTAATAAGTACAAGGGAAAGTACCGTTCACTCAACTATTTCCGAGAAAACCTTCAACCACTCCATACTGCATTCGGAAGAACCACCTATAGAAAATTCATAAAGAAGTGTCTATTCAATTCGCTTCACAAACATACCAAGACTCAGCTGGATTTTGAAAAAGTGTCAGGGGTATTTAGATTCATGTTCAATTTGGTTCCTGGCACCTCAGAGGAAAGGCAAATCATTAAACAAGATATGGACCGCTGTATCCAGCGGGTCTTATCTCCGGCCTTCGAAAAAGAGTTAAGAAAAGCTACAATTTCAGGGAACGCATTAACAAGGGATATTGAGGTTCTTACAAAGAACGTCAGCCCTTTCAATACTCTTGGAGAATGGAAAATTCCTGGATATATCCCTAAACTCCCATTTCTTCCAAAGGATAGCAGGGAAAGAGAAATTCGCACATCAAGAAACAATAATCGTACCAGGAGTTGAAAGAAGGTGAATCGTGCAATCAATTATAAACAGAGCCCATCTATATCTATGCCTAAGGTTGCTTTGTTTGTAGTATGATCAATAACAACTACCCCATGTGTTACTATTCCCGACTTTGCGTTGCTGCCTGCCATGGCAAATAAGATCTTGACATTATAATATCATGAGCATCAATTTAATTCTCTTGCCCATGTTGGCATATCGGTTTGAAAGGAAAATCCTGGTTTTTCCCCTAAATACTCGTATCTGTAAGCATGTAGCCAGATACCCAGCCCAGTCATATCCTTGTCAGTATCAAATAAACTTCGGCGACACTCAGTGCATACCTCACCGTGTTCCTGTTTGAGTTCAGAAAGCATAGCTTGTCTTTGAGTTTTCAAATCTTTCACCTTAGCATTTAAGCCAGTATCGTCGTGCCAGTTGGTAATCTCGAACAAATTAATACATTTATCAGTTTTGATCACAGAAACATCGGGGGCCTGAAATTTTCCAAAGGATGGAAACTTCTCGAAAACACGCCTGTATAGCTCCTTTTCAATTTCTCCGTTAAGTACATTGATCTCATGATTGGGCAAGGTATCCAATACTGGGTTATAGATATAATCGTTTGAAATTGGATGTCCCAAATTCCGCAAATGGATTCTGATTTGATGCATTCTACCCGTGAGAGGCTTACATATCACAATACTTTGATTTAGTTTTGGACAATACTGGATTCTTTTGAACAAGGTAGTTGAATTTATAGGAAGTGATTCAGCATTCAATGGCTTGATATAACCACCGGTAGAATTCACCGAGAAAATAGGGCAATTGACCATTACCTCTTGAGTGGGAAATTCGCCATCTACCCGGGCCACATACTCTTTCACCAACCTATCTTTTTGGTTCTGGATGATGCCCAGGTAGCGAATTCCTGCCTCTTTTGTCTTTCCTAGAATCAATATCCCCGAGGTCACCTTGTCCAATCTATGACATGGCCAGACATTCGCCAATCCTAACTCATACTTGCATATCTCGGTAACGGAATTGTAGTAGTAATTTCCTGTAGGATGTGTGGGTATACCACAAGGTTTGTTCACTACCAAGAGCTCGTCATTTTCAAAAACAATTGGAATCCCGGGGCTTGTTGATTCTTCACCAACCGGAACACTTGGTTCGTGCATGTGTTTAGAATTACATATCATGTCAAACCGTTCAATTTTACGATCACATAGAGCCTCAAGCCCTTCTATCTTGACAGGCCCTCCTTTCTTTCCGTAGTTACTCAACACATATATCACCTTTTGCGATAAGTCATGCTCTATTATCTGGGCCTTCTCACCGAACTCTGATGTATATACTTCGACGAGTGTCCTTCCCACCCAACGAGGTTTTACATGTGTCTGGTACGAAAAGTGATACGGTACCACTTTGCGAAGTCCATTCTCGAAATTGTACCTGCTCATGATGGTGACTTCGTGAGCTGGCTGTGTTTGATGTGTTCAACTGTAGTGAATCTCGGATCACTATTGTGGCATTTTTAGAGTCTTGCGATGTGCTTCGCTCCTGCATTCGAACATATGCATTGCAGCTGAGGTTGGGGTAAAAGTGGCCAAATAATATAAATGTGGGATTAAAGAGACTTTTCCTAGAGCAGTGGATAGATTATGATGTTAGGAACTATCTTTGTTAGGATCATCTTGTCAAAATATGCATTTTTCGAGAGGCTCATCCTTGTATTGCTAAATTCGCAGCCATGGTGTCAAAGTCCAAATACAGACTAGGTGAATGTGATAAACAAATCAGATCAAAGTAATCGTATTTGTTATTTCACCTCCTCTGTACTCTACGCAATCATGATTGACAATACTGGACATTATGACCTGTTACATGTTATCAATTTTTAAGAAATCAGTATAATTTCTTAAAAATAACGAGGAAATTGTCAGCTTGCTTCCGCGGACTTTTCTTGATGAACTTGTAGCCAAAAGGTGTACTCTACAGCATAAATAAAATTCTTTTTGTATTAACTAAAGTTACAGAACTGGTATTGAAGAAGTGAAGTCCCATTCGTGATTTTGGACAGAAACGACCTTTGGTCCAGCACATTAAGCTGATACGCAGTGGCCGTCTCCATTAATTTTAGACGTTAGGCCTTGTCATTTTAATCATGATCCCTGTGGAAAGACATTGGCCTTGTTTTGGCCAACGACGTTACCAGGTGGGTCGTATTCACATACAACATATAATCCCCAGTTTTCGGCACGACAGTCCTTGTAAGCACATCCAACGGAGGAAGTACCCTTCCAAACCACCTGGGTGAAGTGATCGTAACTGTTGGCAGCTTGGTAGTTGTAGGAGGTACCTTCGTCGTACCATGCCTTGACAGCGTCGGGACCATTGCTGTAACCAGCAGCGAGGTTTTCCCCGAATTTTCCGTGGGTGTGAGTTAAAACACCGGAACAGTCGTAGTTGTTGGCGTTGTTTTGTGCGTACTGGTATGCTTCCTGGTTCCAGGTCAAAGCAGCCACCCCATGTTGGGCTCTATATTGGTTATGTGCGCTCAAAATCAGTTGGGCAAACGAAGAGTCTGCACCAGGACTCCCACCAGAGGAACTAGTAGGAGCTGACAGAACAGTAGAGGTAGTTGGGGTATTAGGCACGTAGGTGTTGGCTGGAGATGATGAAGCTGGTGCCTGGGCCTGTGTAGTTTGGGGGCTTGCAGCTGGCTTAGCTGGGCTTGCAGCTGGCTTGGATCCAAGACCAAAGTAGGAGAGCCATTTCGGCAAGTTGGAGGTGAGGAGGTCGTCCAAGGTCGAGTTGGTGTCGTCAATGTTGACTGGCTCGTTTGAAGCAGCAGCAGTTGGTGCAGCAGCAGGAGCAGCAGTGGATGCAGCAGCGACGGTGGCAGAAGAAGGCTCATTGTTTCCAAAGAGGGCATCCCACACAGATCCGTCTTCGTTCACAACTTGGGTTGCAGTTTGGTACACAGTTACTACCTGAGGAGCAGGTGCAGCCTCGACTTGTGCTGCGAAGGACACCAAGGCAGCTATGAGGGCTACCGAAGCCTTGTTGCTCAACATATTGACAATTTGATGTTAGGTTAGTATGCCAGGCTTGCTTCGGAAATGGCCAAGTATATATAGAAAGATGGCCATGTAGTGGCACACCACATGTGGGTAAGCTGCAAATTTGTCGCTAGATTCTATTACCCAATAAGGTGCACTTCCCGATTGGGCAATGGTGGTTCCCTTCCTAATTAGGAAGATGGATGGACTAATTGCATGCGGGTTATTGCCTTTATGGCCGCAACTGACTAGGCCCACTGAATAAGCTTCGTGTGTTCCACCAGTGTGGCCATGAGTGACGGGTGATTGTTGACATTAAGACAATTTCGTGCTGTCCTCGAGCAGCACAAATGTGGTTGGCCATCTTTGCGGAGCTGCGACTGGCCGACCAACACCCACACCAACCCTGGGCCATCCACCACTACAACTCGTAAAATTGCCCGGTTAGGAAAAGCTCATGAGTGCCGAAGCATCTCTTGGTTTTCCAGCCAGCCCAGATCAAGCATTGCAGCGAGGAGCGACACTTGCATCGAAAATCGGAAAATAACCTTACGGGCACAGGCAGTGAAATTCCTTGACCAAGTGGTAGTTGGCTGTCCACACTGGCAATATACACGAACTGACGAATAGCATCTGCTGTTGACTAAGAGATCCATCCTCCGGTAATCCTACGATAGCTTTAGGAAATAATGTTGGTCCTTCAAGATCTTAGGACCATCTGGTTCCATGCGTATTCCGGCCCCAGCAAAGCCCAAATGCGCCTCGACTCAAACCAGGAGTCAGTTGTTGGAGGATCTATCATTTCAAGCCAACGAAAGGTTGGAAAATACGTAAATCATCAATTCTAGAACATACATAAAATCGGCCCTTTCCTAAATAGGAAATTTTCAAGATATCTACTGGTGGACCCATGGCACCGATATCCGTCTTGTCTGGGCGAGGCCTCGCTCCACACGTCTATATCTAAAGTTGGCGCAAAGATTCACGTCAACCGGGAGTTGAATAAGGTTTGGCTTTCCAGTCTATTGTAGCTCGGGTTTTCTTGATTACCCCAGACAACGAGAATTAACCTTCGAATATCTCCTTCAAATTCATAGCTATGACTTCTGCTATTCCTCCTCCAGTACATCTCACCACTATTTCGAACTCCCTTCCAATATTGTCCACACTCTTGATAGTAGCCAAGAGACCATAGTTGGATTTCTGGGTGTGGAGTATACCCCCACCCATTACCAATATGCCGTTCTCACTATTGTCAGGTGTAGCATGGACCACCGAGAAGCCCAATCTTGAGAGAAGTCTAACTATATTGGATGAGTTGTGCCTGTGGCTCAAATCTATCTTCACGTGGTGCTCGCCCTCTTTTCCTAAGAGTTCGCCAATCTGCAACCATCTCTTCTTGAAGTCTTCCAAATTGCTCAAAGACGTAGATGATAAGGTCTTCATTAAAGATACCGGGAACTTAAGATTGAGTTGGTTAAACGAACCACCACACATAAACTTGATCGAAAGGATTGGACTTTGATGGTTTTCCACAACATCTCTCACTTTCACATCGATATCAATGGCGGACTTATCATGAATTGTTGCTTCAGGTAATTGCCTCAAATTAAGAATGTAGCTTGGATCTTCCTTACCTGAAAAGCTCTCAAGATTCAATACTGTGAACCCAGTGATATCTGTGCCAGCAGTCTTAGCTGAGTTATTGATGATGACAAACTTTATTGTGATATTGTTCTTATCCTTCATGATCCTATATGTGAGCTTAATAAGTTGGTTTTCGAAAAAGATACCAGCATCATAATGCAACATTCTATGATATCCAGAATACCAGTTTGGAGTAAGTGCTGTTGGTCTTTCTGCGAAAGGATTATCCTCTTGAGGATTTTCAGCCAATTCATCATTATCGTTCTCCTGCGTGATTGGTAATGCAATTGTCGAAGTTGATTTCAAGCCTTTATTGCTAGATTTTGTTATGTTTTGAGCAGCCACGAGAGAGCTGGACCTATTTCTCCCCACTATATGGTTAATGCTTCCAATCCTATTCATTAAGGGACTCTCCGTGTTGACAAATACGGGGAAAGGCTTTATAAGTTGGTTGGTAAATTTCTGGTTGATTTGAGTTGTGAGCAATTTGAAGTATTCCGTAGATCTAGTTTGAATTTCCAAATCGATAGATTGTGATTCAATATCAAACAAATCAACAACGTCTGGAACAAATACTTCTTCTCTAAACTTTAACAGAAGCTTCAAAAAAGTTGTCAAAAGCATTGCTCTAGTAAGCAAAGAAACCTTGAAATATGATTCATACAAAACTCTGAATTGCGCTTCAATCGAATATTCAGGTGTTTCCTTAATCTCAGAGCCATACTCACCTAATACAAACGCTGCAACTTTCACCAAATTTTCTGAAAGGCCAATTACGGGTTGAGGTCTACCTTTGACATTTTCGGGAGCAGCCGGGTTTCTCAACAAGTTTATTACCAATTTACAAGTTTTTGCTTGCAAATCTTGATTGTTGACCACAATTTGAACAATTCTCTCCCAAACTTCGTTACTAATATAACCAATTCCACTGGAGTTCGAACCTCCCCCTATGGAAAGTAATTTAAGCATAGTTGTAACGTACCATGTAGAATCATTCGCAAACTTCTCTGCAAGGATAGCAATTTTGATTGCCAAATCAGACTTCAAGGAGAAATCAGCAAAAGGGAAGAACTCCAACAATTGAGTGATAACTATGTTGTATGTCTCTGAATTGCAAATAGTATAAATCAAATCCAAAGATTTCCTTTTTACCGAAATATCCTTATCATACAACAAGTTGAAAATCTTTGGTAGGTTCTCATCAAATTTATTGAGATTCATGGACGATAAGTAATTCGCGTTCAGTCTTGCCGTCAATTTTATAAGAGCATCCAAGGAGAGATACCTAGTGTTAGTATCTGGAGAGTCTAACAATAACATTAGAGCATTGATAGCTCCATTAATAGCTTCCTTAGATGCATTCAAAAATACTGCTAAAGAGACAGCCTGGAATAGAATAGAACTTTGAGAATTTCTATTAGGCAACCCACTTATTGGTTTGGATGCATTTTGAATAGACTGTGCAATGACTCTTCTTAAATTGTTAAGTGTATGTTCATCAATTTCCGAGACTGAAAGTGCAGGTGTCCCGTCTGGAGAATCGAGCAAGAAGAATTGTTCGACCAATTGAAACAATTTAACAATAAGCCAAGGTGCTGGAGATTTGTAATAATAGTAAGTTGCATGACAATCTTCATCAATGATAAAAGTCACCAATCTACTAGAAACCAGAGGAATGATGGATTTGACAATCTGAGGTTTAAAGTTCATGGTGTATTGGATAAGTGGAATGCACGAAATTACAACTCCCAAGTCATCACTGTCAATGAGCTGCAATAGTCTTGGAATCCAGTTATTATTTGAGATGATGACATCTGGATAAATCTTTAGTAATGTTAATAAAGTTAGTGACGATTTTTTCTTGATGAGACTGTTCTTGATGGGGGAAGTACAGTACGAGTACAAAATATCTATAAGTTCAAGCCACTGTGGTGCACTTTCGTCAGACTCTACGATCTTGACCATGTTTGAACCTTTACTGGTATCATTTATGTTGAAATTCGATGCAATAAATTGGATAGCCAAACAATTAATGTCTTCATCGTTGGACTTCAAGTCTTTGACAAGGTTTGAGTGAATTGAATCCAAAAGTGTGTTCAAGTACTCCTTCTTGCTTGCGTATTTGTGTTTATCATATCCGTCTAGAATCGCGATCGATAAGTATCCAAGCTGTTTTTCAGTGAATGTTGGCGAGTTCAACAATTGATATGATTCTTTGATTCCCAAATCGGCCACATCCGAGTATCCCAATAAGTAGATGTATATGAGCTTACAAATGTACTTTTTCTTCTGATATCCATTCAAGTTTGTGTTGAATTTCGAATGGATATTGTTGATTTCGAGGTTTATTCTTTTGTCTTCTTCAGAGAGATCCTTGGAATTTCTCAAGTCTAGGATGAATTGATTCAATCCCTTCATAGGTTGTGGCATGTTGAGATACGACGCCTTTAAACTGTGAATGGATGGGTGAACTTTAGGTGATACAAGATCAAGAGGTGGTCCAAATTTAGTTTTCCAACACGTGACGGGGATTGTCCTAAAGCGGGACTTTCGGGGACGCTTCCAAAATGCAATCAACACGTAAAATCATTGGCCCAAAGCTGGCAGCTGGGACTAGAATAGTAGATATGAGCTAAAAGGTTCATCAGAAGGATCCGAGAGATAGAAGGTTCCTAGCCGGCGAGAGAAGAAGTACTAAAATCCTAAACCATTTGCAAAAAAGGCAAAGGCCAGCTTAATGGAAGGGATTTTGGCTTATTACTCGTCACCCAAGAAGATCTACTGGTTAGTTCTCTTTGAAACGGCTCTCTGGGTTTAGTATGTATTATTTTTGGACCCTGAGACAAACAAGACAAACAAGACCTCACATCCGAAAAATGAACCAAACATATATTAAATGGGAAAACAAGCTCGTCTAAAATAGACACCCGAAACAGTATTTTCTACACAATTGTACCCTTCCTAGTACCTGGCTATCCATTATTGCAGCAACAGCAGTTGGTCCCAGGAATACCACGTGACCAAGAGAATAGTCGTGGCTTACCCGCGCGAGCCCACAGCACATCCTCATTGGTCAAAACAAATTTTGGTACGAACCGGCCTAACTCAATAAAAATTCAACAGTGCCAACTGAACCACATCAATTGAAACATCATGTCCTCCGTTGCTAAGAGTGCCTCCACTAAGTTGAACTGGGCTAAGGTCATCTCCTCCTTGGGTTTGACCGGCTCCACTGCATCTTCATTGACTGCCTTCAAGAAGAGATACGATGAAGCCAAGAAGGAAAACTTGGCCTTGAAGGAACAAAGCACCGAAGTCGACTTCGAACACTACAGATCCGTCTTAAAGAACACCAAGGTCATCAGTGAAGTTGAGAAGGCTGTCGCCTCTTTCTCCCCAGCCACTTACGACGTTTCCAAGAGCTTGAAGAACATTGAACTCTTCGAAGAAAAGGCCGTTGAAAACGCCAAGTTGACTGAAAAGTCTGTCAGTGAAGAAATCACCAAGTTACAAGCCACCCTCAAGGACATCGAAGGTGCCAGACCATTCGATCAATTGACCGTTGACGACGTTGCCAAGGCCAGACCAGACTTGGATGAAAAGGTCACTTACATGGTTAAGAATGGTAAATGGGACGTTCCAGGTTACAAGGAGAAGTTCGGTGACTTGACTGTTATGTAAACCCGCAATTTATTTCATTACGATTTCAAGAGGAAAATACAGATACATTTAGATGAACGTAGGCAGTGTAGACAACATAGGAAGAGAAGCGTATTTTGGAACGTCCAAATTATGATGCATGAGCATCCTTGGGAGAGCTACAAATAGAGATAAAGTTAGTCTCTGATGTTGAAATTTAGTGTTCATTGCTATGAGTTATCCAGATTGCGTTAATTACTTACACCTTGGAATATCTCCAATCAGAAAATACCTGGGTAAATTTAGCACCTTAACTATTATTACCAATTAACGTAGCCCCAATTTTGCTACACGATCGTGAGTTCCATGTAATGTTCTTTACCCTTCTATCCACTGTTCATGACTGAAGTCCCAAAATTTAAACTCTATTCCCCTGAACAAGATGTAGTCGAAGCGCTTTAAGTATGCACCACGCAAGAAAGATACACTATCCAAATCTTTAAATTGCACCTCTTTAAACCCCGATTTGTAACCCTTATCAACATTAATATCGTACGAAGTCACCACCAAATTACACTTGTACTTTATCCTTACTCTGTCCAAGTAGTCATTGAAGGTGGAGTATAATTGCAGAGTACTAGTGAACTCTTTCAAACCAAATTCCCTGTAATTAGACCGATTTATCATTTTCAACTCCCAGAAAAAGATTGAAAGGCAATCAATTATCAATGTTTGCAAAATTACATCAGGAATCAACTGGCCGCCGAGAATCTGCTCAAGGATATCGAGGAGATGAGCAAAGTTTCGAGGAGTTGCTAGTACAACTGATCCGGCTTGAATGCTCGTTCCACCACACGGTATGATCACCAGGCTAGCGTCTTCAAATTGGGAAAGGAATTGGAGCCTTTGGTGCTTGTCACTAAAAAAAATATGGCATGATTGGTTCTGAAGAGTTACTGAACTGCAAGGCAATGAACTGGCATGTATGGGAAGCTTTATGAAGTCGAATAACCTCTGCTCAATCATACAGTGTGAAAACGTGACTCGCGTGGAATTTATTGTGTTACTCGATCCTGACACCAACTTTTAGACCCTACCAGCCTTGTCAGTTCTGCCCAGCATTCCTAGTTCTTCTAGGCTTGTCCACACTCCACCACCTCGCCGTATTTTTGCCTGCTTTCGTGGCTGCGTCGTTCCGGATGTTTGACTGGAAGGTTGCAAGCAGAAACTTGAGAACAGCCATCTTTAATGGTCGGCCTCCACACGTCTTCCTAGCAAAATCGGTCGTTAACCTCAGCTACATCATCCTTTGGTTATTGATCGTCATACTCATCAACCATATACCGAGGTCTCACTATATCTTTACCAAATTTTTATTGAGGTTGGACTCATACCTTTTCGATATTCAAAATGAGGCCTTTGGCTCCATATCGTGCTTATTTTGCGTGCTATCGGGGAGTTGGCTTATCTATGTTAAAGGATTTACCCACAGTCGCAGGGTGGAGCATGTGGGCGCCATAGAGCTAGATGAATTGCCCTCATCTTCGTCATCGAGTCCCTCAAACCCCTCAAGTCCCCTAGACAAGAGTTCCAAACTTGAAAAATTGGAGACCTACTTCAACAATGACAAGTTAATTCAACATGTGAACGCGAAAGAAAACTATAGACCGTACAAATGCTGGAATTTGACTGCTCCCATATTGCTAGCATCTTCGTGGCTTCTTATCAATACACTTTATGCGTGGAAAACTTCAGTGAATAAACCTAACAACTTGGTTGCCTGGATATTCTATGTGCCATTGCACATTTCAGTCCCTCCATTGATAGCAGGGTGGCTTTACTTATTCCATACCCCTGGCGCATTAAAGTTGTTCACCATTTCGTTGGGACTACAAAATATATTGGTGGCGTTGACCCAATTAGCATTACCAGGAGCTTCTCCATTATTTTTACAGTTGTATGGAGAGACAAAGGACCCCGACTATGATATGTTGTATACCGATGGTATAACCAGACAGGACATGAAATTTGGATCTACTATATACAAGGCAGTGTATTATGTTGCCCCACATAAATTTGCAACTTTGCCTTCTGTTCATGCATCCATGTCATCATTAGTATTTTTCTTCGTCAGTTATTATGGGGAATGGAGATCGTTCAAATTGCTCGCTCTAGTCAACCTTTGTGGACAATGGTGGTCGGTGCTATATTTGGACCACCATTGGAGGTTGGACATTCTTTTGGGACTTGCATACTCGATGGGAATCTGGGTGTTCATTCGCAGCTGGAAATATGGAATCAAAACTCTGGATGAGAAATTTATAAGACTGAGACTTGATTCCGATTTTGCCAAGAGCAGCACTATGGGAATGAGGCTTTTCAAGGGTACGCTGTTGCAAGATTTCTTTGATCCTCTCCGCTAATACTTGTGCAAAGTGTCTAATAACAGGTCCATTTTTTGAAATCCCAGACTTCAAATGTGAAAACTGATACCAAGTTATCATCAGTAAGGAAAGAGAAGCTTCAACGTACTTGCAACAGTATTTTGCCGAACATTCCGCATCCTGTTGCCGGCTAGCACAACCTATGGTAAATACACAAGGTAACATAACTAATGCATGAACATGAAAATTTACCGGGTACTCAGCACCTTCGGCCCTACGATAAAGTACTACATTACCGTATAGAACCAGATAAAAGTGTCCATGACACTTTCATTGCGGAGGAAGATTCCGGTATTAATGGGATTTTCAAACTGGAAGACCTTTACACCAGCATACATTTATGGGCCGAAGCGATGCAGTTGCACTTGCAACACGCCATATTCAAAACCAATTAACGTTCACCCAACACAATATCATCGTCGTTTACGATGGTCACAATCACGCTACCAGCGCGACTATTGTTATTGTCCTAGGTTTTGATACTTGAGATGGTGCGAGAACAATGCGGTTGGGTTGGCGTCGATGTCGAGTATAAAAACTAGGCTGGAGGAATTGAAGACCAGCACAATGTTATTTGGGTTGTTCTTTCTAGCTGCCATTGCGGTAGCCAAAACAGTGCTTCTTACCAATGATGACGGATTTGCATCCACCAATATCAGGGCTGCGTACAGAGAGTTGAAAAAAGCTGGCCATGATGTGATTTTGGTGGCTCCAGTATTACAGCGGTCAAGCTGGGGCGGTAAATTTGATCTTCCAGACTCACCAACCTTGAATTATGACGGTGAGTTTGGGTACGTGAAGGCTGGGGACCCATCGTGGGGTCACGAGGCTGACGACAACAGAATTTGGTACTTCAACGGCACTCCTTCATCGTGTGTGGCATTTGCTTTGGACTATGTGATTCCGGAGCACTTTGGCAACGTCACGGTGGATTTGGTGGTGGGTGGCCCTAACGAGGGTCCCAACTTGTCGCCAGGGTTCTATACGGTCAGCGGAACCATGGGTGCGGTTTACACAGGAATCTACCGGGGAATCCCAGGTATCAGTTTCAGTGGCAGTGACTTTAATAACAGTTTCTACAAGGACTCGTTGAACACTGCCAAGGACAGTCCCGCCAACATCTATGCCGGAAAGGTGGTGGAGCTTGTTGATAAGGTGTTGACCAGCGGAGGGCTTCCGCATGGGGTCGGGCTTAACGTTAATTTCCCTACAGTGGGCACTTTGAACTCCAAGTGCTCCGATCCCCAGTGGGAAATCACCCGCATGATGGGGTCGGGGATATTCATGCAAAGCTTGAACTTCAACTCCAAGTCTGGGTTGTTTGACTGGAATGTCACCTACTACGATGGTATTTTGGACGGGTGCGATGTGGGTGACTGTGGTCTCAGCTCTGAGTACGAAGTGTATCTCAAAAACGACTGTCGCTCGACCGTTAGTATCTTTAGCATCGACTACGATGCCAGCATCAACAACAGTAACAAGGTGCGGAAGGCATTGGATATGTAGTCGATATCTCCACAACCTCCATAATGTATGACCGCATGGTTCACGGAAATTTCATGAATCTCTGTAGTTTGTAGCATTGGACTGGAGATGCAGACCGTTCAGAAATAGTCCGGATCGTATCGCTAGCAAACGGTACAGAATAAAAAGAACGAAAAGGCAGAATATCCGAATTAACCACCCAGCTGGTGCAATACCAAAACTAATTATTAATGAAAAACTCAGATATCTAGAGTCTATTCCACTTACTGACCTGGTGTATCTAGTTGTGTGGAAGCGGTCATCTATGGACTGATTTATCTTTAGATCCTGGCTAATTCAGGGTTACTTGGGGATTCTTAGTCACGTTATAGAGCGATAGTGAAATAGTTCTATGTTTAGAGTCTACGAGATTCCGATGGCGAATCACTCCATCTGGGCGGCCTGGAAATCTCCACGAAGGTGTTATTGAAATGTCTAGTTCCCAATTGTCCATTTCAACACAATAGGACGCGGTGGCTCGAGGTCATCTGGCATCTGAAACGTCTCTGAAAGCCTCGCAAACACTACTGACTCGATGTCGCGGCCGATTCATCCGTCGGAAAGGTGGCGTCGCCTAAGACTACTCTGTAGGGCTCTTAGTAGCGGTGCCTGGACCCTGGTATGCCATGCCTCCAAATCTGGCGGTTGGATCCGGCCCAAAAATAGACCATGCATACCCCAGAAAAAGACCCTACTATTAAGCACACCACTCAACTTTACGAGCACCACCCGGTTTTGTGAGCTGCGAATGATGCCTGCTGGGAACGCCGGATTAATGTGGGGCGTCTGGATGACTCTAAATTCTACATAGTCCTCTGGCATCACCCAGGATGTACGAAATCCGAAACAACAAGCCTAGACCAGCCAGGCTCGGCCCGATTGTCTTCCCCTGTGGGTTTAGCCGCTCCTGAAACTCGATTGTGCCGTTTTTCTGGTGGTGGGGCTTACCATCACCACAATGTACGACAGTATTTTTAGGCGAATGTTCGAAGACAATTGCGCTTTCGGGGGCTCCGGGGCTGAAATTGCTATTTATGCAAACACCACCACATGGGCCTATATATACAGCAGAAACCACTGCCCCTTGTTTAACCGAGCATCTCTCTTCCGCCATGGACTCGCAAGTGCTACTGATTCCTCCGCAAGAACGGGTGTCATTAGCAGTGAGGAATCTCACCGTTACTGTCAAAAAAAGATCGAAAAGCCACCCCGAACTAGACCGCCACAACATCTTGGAAAATGTGTCGTTTGACCTCAATCAAGGCGAGATGTTGGCCATCATGGGTGGGTCTGGAAGCGGCAAAACCACCCTCCTCAATGCGCTATCCACCAGGTTAGGCTTCCACAACAAGACCCTCCAATTTGAGGGCTCCATCGCCTACTCCACAGAGGCAGACCTTCCTCGGATCAAAAACTCGTACCTCCTACAGACCGACATCTTCCTTCCTGGTCTCTCTGTCTTTGAGACCCTAAAGTACCAAGCGGACTTGCGAATGCCCCCTCTGGTGTCCAAGTTCGAGAAGGTCGATTTGATTGATCTGTTGCTAGACACCTTGGAATTGACCCATCTTCGCAACGACAAGGTCACCAGCTTCACCAACAAGATCAACTTGTCTGGAGGCGAACAAAGGCGACTTTCGTTAGCTATCCAGCTCTTGAACAAGCCATCCTTACTCTTCTTGGATGAACCCACCACCGGCTTGGATGCCAGCAGCTCGTTGAAGTTGGTGTCAGTGTTGAAGAAATTAACGGGTCCTAATTACGGCCTAACCGTCATCTTGTCGATCCATCAGCCAAGACTCGAAATCTCAAACTTGTTCGATAAAATTTGTCTCTTAACTAGAGGAGGCAGGGTGGTCTACTACGGATCGCTAGCGAACTCTTTCAGCTACTTTAACAGCTTGAGCTTTTTAAACAACTCCGAATTCAACAATAAAGAGTCTTCCAACTTCATAGATTTCATCATGGACCTATCGGTCAAAGATACCTCCTCACGGGCCAAAGAACAGTACAGTATACAGAGAATCGATCACCTAGTGGAAAACTGGAAGAAGGTGTTCCAAATAGACTTTAAGCTACTATCGCCATCAGAAACAAAGGAAAGCTACAACAAGCTCAATAAAATCCTTTCCAAATCCACAAAAGATAGGATCCTGTTTTTCCGAGAAGTGGTGGTACTCACCAAAAGAACATTTATATTGACTTCTCGTGATAGGCTTTCGTTGCTAGCATTGAACGGCGGTTCTGTTTTCATGGCATGTGCTTGTGGATGGCTATTCTTGAATCCCAAAGGAGACTTGGCGGGAATTAGAACTACCCAGTCTAGTTTGTATGCTATGATGGAAATCATTGGTTTTGCACCTATGTTCATTGAAATCGAGAGGTTGTGGGCAAACGATGGCCTTAACTTTTTCAGAGAGTATAAAGAGAACTATGTTAGTATAACGGGTTTCATCATTTCAAGGAGGTTGGGTAAAATTTTACTCGAGGACTTTCCAGTAGGTGCGCTTTTTGCGATAATTACTTACTTTATGTGGGGTCTTAGAGGAGGTGTTGGTCATTTTTTCATTTACTTCGCTATTGTTGTGTTGACAACTTTCATGGGTATGGCCACGGCTATGGTATGCTTCGGTATTGGCACGGATCTAGCCATTTCCTCGTTGTATTTGAATATCTTCTATCAATTACAGAATAGTGCATGTGGCTTTTTTGTCAATGCCAAGACGTTGCCAGTTTACGTTAGATGGATCAAGTATATTGCATATTTCTGGTATACGTTTGGTGCCTTGAATTCAAATCAATTTTCTAACTGGAACGGAACATGCACATATGACAATGCTCTGCAATGTGCTCAATTTACAGGTAACTATCAGCTCGATTTGTTAGGGTATCCAGTAAACTGGGTTGGGGAACCAATCGGAATTTTATGTGCATGGTTAGGTGGATTTTACATCATCAGTTATTTTGGGCTTTACTTCAAAAACTATGATCTTGAGATGTCAAAGACGAAACAAAATAGGATAGGTGACGAAGAAGAAGAAGATGAGGAAGAAGTAGAGGAAGGGAATAAACAAGACTACAAAGAGGATAACTTAGCCGAAAATTATGAAATGATGGATCACATAAAGCTGAATTGGTATACAGAAAACTCTAACCAAAATGAGAATTTTACTGGAGCTTCATCACCCACAATTCCTTCTGGAATCAATCATCAAGATTACATCCAGTCATCCGCAGATAAGTTTGAGAAAAATAAAACCCCTAGTTCAGATAGCTTCAGGTCACCAAGTCCAGCTAACAATAAAGATCAATTGGCAATGGCTCCAGTAAGTTCATTAATCCAAAATTATAACTCAAGCAGTGTCGGTATCAGTCTTCGCAACGTAAACTTGTCTGTGCTCTTTAAATCTCAATTTTGGAAACCCAGACAAGAGAAGGTGATTCTTGAGGATATCTCAGCGGAGTTTGCTGGAAACTCCATTAATGCGATAATGGGCCCTTCAGGAAGTGGCAAGACCACCTTGTTAAATTACATTTCTAGGAGATTGTCAGGAGGCTCTAAGTTTAACAAAAGCGGCGAGATTTTATTAAATGAGCACCAGCCCATATCAAGTCATGAGTTGGCCAAAATCTCGTCATACGTGAGTCAACATGATAACTCCTTAATTGCAAATTTGACTGTGAGGGAAACACTTTATTTTCAGGCTAAGCTTAGATTACCTCCAGAGGACTTACCTCGAATTACTACTATTGTCAATACCCTAATCCGGAAAATCGGTTTGATGGACTGTGCTGATACAGTTATTGGTTCAGAATATGTGAAGGGTGTCTCTGGAGGTGAACAAAGAAGGGTATCTATCGCAATCCAGTTATTAAGCAAGCCTAAAATCTTGTTTTTGGATGAGCCAACGTCAGGATTGGACTCTTCAACTGCTTTATCGATTTTAAACCTTTTGAAGAAATTATCGAAGACTAATAACACAACTATTGTACTTACTATCCATCAACCAAATGAAGATATGACAAAGATTTTCGAAAATGTGCTTTTGTTGGGCAAAGGTGGACGAGTAGTCTATAATGGAACTAATCGTGAAATGAAAAATTATTTTCACGAAATAAATTATGATATTCCCGATGGTGTCAATATTACAAACTATATTTTGGATTTAATTTCGAGGGGGGTCGAAGAAGACAAGGAAACGACTGATCTTCGGATTGATGGATTGGTAAATGAATGGAGATCTAAGACGGAACGCAGTCCTAAGGGTCTGGAGTTCCCAGTTAGTAACAGCGATATAATTGATACCAAGTTGTTTCACAAAAGACGGTCATCATTTCATGTTACTTTGACCACTATTATCAGGAGACAATTTTTGAACTCTATTAGATCAGCCGATATCCTATTTGCAAAGATGTTTCAAACAATCCTTTTGGCAATTGTGCATACGCTTTTTTTTGCTAGATTGAAGGACAATCAACAGGGTATTACAAATAGGTTAGGGTTGGTTCAAGAAGTCCTCAATTTGTACTTCGTTGGCTTAATCAACAACATATCCCTTTATCCGATAGAGAGGAACATTTTTTATCAAGAGTATAAGGATGGTGTGTATGGAGTTGCCGAATTTAATTTGTCCTACTTGATTAATGAGCTTCCGATTGAAATTGCACCTTGTTTGCTCTTCAGTGCGTTGATTGTCTTCGCAGTTGGATTGCCTGCAACTGCAGGTATGTTTTTCACTATGTTCCTCTCCTGTTTCGCAGCAATCAATTGTGGTGAATCTCTCGGAATTATTATGAACAGTGTATTTGACCATTTGGGACTCGCAACCAACATAATGTCAAATATAACCATTTTGGCTATTTTCATGGGAGGCACCATGGCTTTGAACATGCCGCATTTCTTCAAGGCGTGGAATTGGATCAATCCAATGAAGTACGCTGTTGGAATTTGTGCTAAATTGGGTTTTAGTGGCACATCATACAGATGTACTGAGGGAGTCGAATGCTCCTTAACATCTGGCCAAAAAGTTTTGGAAACATACAGTTTGGATATCGATCTAGGAGTGTACTTTGGAGCGTTAGCTGCTTGTGTTATAGTCTACAGATGTGTTGGTTTTGCGTCTGTTTATCTCAAGATCAGATACATGAGTTCGAATTGAAGAAGAAAGTGAATTTATTGAAGACTTCCGCAAGAATTGGTCTGCCTTTGCCGCACCGGTTAGTTTGATACCAGAATATAGAACAGATACCGTAGTGATACGAATAAATGATTTTATGTCTTGATTCCCTATTGCTTCTGGTAGTGTTATGAAGCTTTGATTCCTAACACACGTCCTGTGATTAACTTCTGGTTTATCGCGATTTAGGATTTACTTGTGCCTGACCATCACTAACCTGGAATGAAAAAATAAGTATTAAGAAGTTGGTTTGGGCACTTAAATCACGACCTTTGGCATGACCATCGTAGTATTAAATCCTGCTTTAGCGGTGGAGCGAAAATGGAGAAGTAATATGTATGATTTAGAAACTCCGGAGAACCCGAAACTCGGAAGACACCCAATTTTGGGCCTTAAGAGAAAATTTTTAGCCTGTAAGTCTCGAGTGATCCCTGTAAGCCCCCAGATTCTTAGTGTCGGAATTTCAAACTAGCGGCTTTCAAGCAAATCCTCCATTAGGTGGGTACAATTACGATTGCAAAATCGCGATCATAATTGTCAATACAGACGATTAAATCTCCAGCACAAAGTTAATAATGACAAAAGTACCAGATAGTAACAAACCCCAATGCCTTAATATGCCAGATTGGCGTATGCTTAGGGGTGCCAAGCAGTTTCTGCTATTCTCGAAGCTCATGGATTATTTTGTGATGTTTGGTTGCGAGTACTGGGATTCACATCACGAGTGGTTTAATTAGGCCAAAGCAGTATACTGAGACATTAGATAGCAATTAACTAATCACCCAGTCTAGTGATACCTCTTGAAGTGTTTTGAACGCCATTGGTGAGGTTATTGTCACGACTTGTAAGGTATGGATACATACAATTGCTTCAGAATTCAACAGTAGCAAAATGCTCTCCTACAATCCTACTAGAAAACTAACCAGCTAAGCTAACACTTCAAGCTCTTGGATTTTGTACTCCTGGACTAACAGTGTGGTAATTACTCCTCTTGGTGTGGTATTTACACCTCTTAACGTGGTGCAGTAAATGGTGCTCAAAATGCCCCTGCATATGCGTCCACCAGTTAATTCACAGATGAGTAAGCCAATCAACCATCACCCATCAACATGTTCTCCAGAGGATTATTGAACTCCAGCAGATTCGTACGTAGATGTCACGGTACCCACTCCATCCATACTAACCATCAGGCGCTCGCCAACGCTGTCAAGACCCCAAGGGTCCAAGTCAGATTACTCTCGACCGAAATCAAGGAAGCCATCGACAAAGCAGTTGAATCTTCCAAGGTTGTTTTGTTCATGAAGGGTACCCCTGAGTTCCCTCAATGTGGCTTTTCCAGAGCAACCATCCAAATCTTGGGCCAACAAGGTGTTGACCCTGAGGTCTTCGCTGCCTACAACGTTTTGGAAGATCCTGAATTGAGAGAAGGTATCAAGGAGTACAGCTCCTGGCCTACCATCCCACAGTTGTACGTTAACAAGGAATTCGTTGGAGGATGTGATATCATAATGAGTATGTCAAAGTCTGGCGAGTTGGCTGAATTGCTTGAATCGAGTGGTGCGTTGATTCCTGAAGAGGAGGAAGCACCAGGAAGTGCCGATGTCAAGGTCAGCGAAAGATCATAAGTGTATATAGATTAACCACCCAATATTAGCTCAGATGACCCAGTCACGCTATTGCAAATAATAATATTGAATAATACTCGAATGCCGTTGTGAAGTACAGTCTTGAAGAAGCAACAGTGAATTGCCACATTCAAACTGCATTGAGATACTAAGCAATTCGTAGAGGGATTTTACGAAATCAGGGCGTAGCGGAAGTACTTTAAAGAAACCAATTCCAATTTCAGATCTACCGTATCCGTATTGGGAAACGGTTAGCAATTATTGTAACAATAGCTTAGAGAACTCCCGTTCCGTTCCGGTGTAATCCTCTAAGCCATTCATACTACTGTTTCAGTCACTTTTTAATGTTGCTTACGTTCATAACAATATACACTAATAATAAATCCAGCCTGAACTAAATGAAATATCCTTGATGCTCCTAATACCTAATCCAAGGCAGCATATGACCATGTCTATCCAATGGTTGATGTTAGATTCCCATGTGGGAGGGAGGGTGAGTTATTCGACTGAGTCTTTTTCAAGCTCTTCGAAATAGTAGAAGACCTTCTTCTAGATAATAAGTTTGATTCATTCAAATTCAATGTAAACTTGAAATCCCCATTGATACCAGAAATTATGGAGGACGAGCGTGTCTGGTAGTCCTCTTCTTCTTCGCCGTCGGTTAAAGAATTGGTGGAAGACAAATCAGCATCCTCGTCATGAGAAAATATGCCTGCTACTTTTGTTTTAGATGAATTCTTTCTCCTTGAATTTGTTGTTTCAAGACTAGTAATTTGATCATCCTTCTCTGAATCTTCGTTCTCGTCGTCTTGTGACGAAGACGTATAGTTGCTGTTGATCTTGAAAACGTCTTTGAAATTCAATTTGTTTAGTTGATCCTTTGTAGGATTTGGCGTCCTGGGGATGTTTTTGATCCTGTTCATCCCTCTCTTGGCAACAAAATGGTCATCGGACGAGGACGAGAAAGAAGTGATATCACTGTCTTCAGTATCATCTTCATCATGCGATCTCTCTTCGATGTTCTCAATAAATTGGACCACCGACGATTTATGTTTAGCAGAAAAGTCCTCTCCGCTGGAAACTAACTCACCGGCAACATCAACACCAGATACCGAAACTGCGGCTCTTGTGCCAATCATGGCAGGGTTGTCAAATACTCTTTTGATTGCTTCAGCACGAGGCGATGGCAATGGTTGGGCAGATGGTCCGCATGTACCAAAGAATGAGTTGTCAGTAGGAGGAATGCTTGGATGCAAATGCAAAGGTGAATGTGAGTTTGACTTGAGGGCGAACTCGACGTGCTCAACGTCATTGTCCTTTGAAAATGGATCTAATTCGTGAACTTCATATTCATGGTAAGCTTCGCCGAAATAATTACCACTTTGATCATTGGAAACTTCCTTTACCCAAGGGTGTTGCCAGATCTCATCAATTGAAATTCTGGTCTCTGGATCAGTATTGATCATTTGAGAAATAAGATCTTTGGCATCATCGGAAACTTCATCCCACCATGGTTTGAGATACTCAAAATCACCATTCAATATCTTGTGAGTCAACTGGTTGGGGTCTTCATCGTAGAATGGAGGAAACCCGCAAAGAATGGTGTACAAAAAGCACCCAAGTGACCAAATATCGACCGCTTTAGAATAGTAATTCTTACGGGAAATCTTGTTTGGGAAGGTCTTCTTTCTCAAAGAGAAGGAAGAAACACCACCATTAATGTCAGTGGGAGATGCAGTGTTGCAAGTGATGACTTCAGGAGCTGTGTATCCAGCTGTACCACAAGGAGTTTTCAAGTTCTGGTGGACAGAAAATGAAGATGCGGATGGTAACTGTTTAGCCAAACCAAAGTCAGCAAGCTTGATAATACCAATGGTTCCACCTCCATGGTTTGGTTTGAATGCACCTTCGTCAATCTTGGTAGAGTCATCCGATTTCCGGAGGGCATCTTTGAATGCTTGGGTTGACCGTGGCATGTAGGGGATCTGGTTGAAAAGCAAGTTCTCAGGTTTGATGTCCCTGTGCACTATATTGTGGTTATGAAGGTACTCTATTGCCGAAAGAAGCTGTTTGAAGACATGTCTGGACAACTGTTCCGAGAAGTAGGTGTACTCAATGATCTTGTTGAAGATCTCGCCACCGTTGCAGTATTCAAGAATAAGAAAACAGTGATGAGGAGTATCGATGTAATGAAGGAGCTTGAGGATGTTGGGATGGTGTTTGCCCAGTTTTTGCATGATGTGGATCTCGTTTTTGATGTTGTTCAACTGCTTAGCCGAGAGATGGTCCTTGGAGATTATTTTGATGGCCACAGTAGCATCATCGTGCGAGGTGTCGATGGCCTTGTACACGGTGGAGAATGCGCCTTCACCGAGGAGGCAGATGAGCCGGTAAGACGGCGGAAGGTCGGGGTAGTTATCGTTCAACGAGCCGTTGAGCGAGAACACGGGGTTTGCGTAGGCGGGAGGAGGCAGTGGTGAGGTTTTGGTTGACAAGGGCTCGGTGATTTCGGGGTTTGCGACCGGGAGTTTGGCGGGAGAAAGCGAGGGTTGGGGGGTGTTGATAGAGGCGTTCTTGGGGTCTGCCACACGGTCGGAGCCGTCATGGGCTGTGGAAACGAAAAGTTTTTTGAAATTCTGGAGGTTAGTACCACGTCTTGCAATAGATCGGGGCGTACATGGGCTTAGATGGTCCACACGAGCTCATGGCAGGGGGACCCAGGCGAGCCAGCCAGGGATACTTACCAGCATCAAAGTCATGTTCTAGGCCAGTACACATCGGATGTCCGCGTTCAGATCAACATGGAATTGGAACACTTATAAATGATTAGGGGAACAGGAAATAAACAAGCCATGAAAGTTGTACGGATCTGGCAGAGGCTCCCCTCGCGGGGCTATTGTGGAAGGCAAGGTCGTGCGCTGGCGTGCATGGTTGCAGCGACTAATTTTAGGGTTACGTCATGAGTGTGGGGTGGGCTTGCTGGCCGGTTTCTGGAACCACCATGGGGGTGCGGAGGGCTTGGCTGGGATGGGTCAGTCAGGAGAGCACGATGGCAGTGGTGGGGTCAGGTCTGGGGGGTGGGGTGGGGCTGGACTGGCGGAGCTGGTCTGGTGGCGCCTGCTTAGCTAAACGCTGAGTCAGCGTACCCCTCGTTGCGGTGCCCACGGCCTATTGTGTAATTCCATCATGGCGGTGGGGAGCGCTCGGCTCGGGTCACATGGGGACTGCGCCGGTTACCTTGGCATCGTATGCCAGGCCCCTAAGTACTCCAGGGGAGTTTGCATTGGGTTGCAGCATGCACCAGTGGCACCACCAGCGGGTGCCGATCGTGCATGGTGCCCAGCTGGGCCCGCATTAACGCTCTGCTCTAGATCTTTTCGTCGGGGCTGGGCATGTCTTGGAATGCTGTCTCAGACATCAAACACATTCTTGGCCCCCCAGACCAATCCCAAAATGCCGGTAGGTCCAAACGAGTTTTTTGGTCGTTGGGCATCTATGACCGGGCCCATATGTAGCCAGCGCTGTTGTGAGCACCTTTTGTATGGCACATCTTGGTTTTTGAGTCCTGTGCCATTGCTGACAACCGGTTGGGGTTATCGGGACCAGTGCGCGGTGCTGCGGCCACGGACTAGCCAGCGATGATCCCCGCCGGAGATGCTTCGATTGTGCTTGTGACATGATTGTTCCGTGCTGTCTGACCAACGGTGGCAGTGTGGGGCACCCCCCAGCCAACTTGAAAAGTTCCAGACCATTGGCCATTGCTCGCACGCTCCCGTAATAGCGCACTACACTGCCTCTAGTACCACCACTAATACCATTACACTACCTCTACTACTTCTGCTACTTCTACTTCCGTGCACACTCAATGCCTCTCATCAGCGCTGCTTCTACCCGTGCTGCGTTGTTGTGTCACCGATCATACCGAGCTGCCCTGCAGCCTGTGCGTATTTCCGACGCACCACCGATCTCTGGGCGATCGTGAACATCGCGAGATTATTATCACAATACGATTATTATTGGAAAATACGAGTGGCCGAGCACTATTTTGTGGTTGCAGTTAGAGTGAATGTTGGAAATAAGTCTCCGTCCTGCTGTCTTGGCGAAGTGGCCACGCTTCCACCGTGCTCCATTGTGGAGTTTCCAATGCCCCGTGTCTGGTTGACTTCCAGGGTAGAGTGCCACCAAGCCTGGTATCTTGAAACGTGCTACAGGATTTTCCACCATCTACCATGGGTATCGGCCCAGAAACACGCTGCTGAGGTATTTATTGGCCTATCAATGTGCCGTGTACTTATAATATATTATTATTATCGGTTTGACGTACGACCCCAGACACCAACCAGACACAGGCGAGAGCCCCGCCGGAAATACACATCCGTATCGAGTACCACCGCCGTGCAGTTCCGCCAGGTCCATCATATGGCTTGGTTCAAGGATTTAGCTTCCAGTGTCCTTTTCGAGTTCATCGAAGCCTGTGGTTTATAGCGCTCAACAAGTATTTTCAGTGGAGGGCCATATAAAATGTGATATATTATGCATATTCAACCACTCTGCTGTTGTTTATGAACTCCATTTCCCATCCCGTGACACTAGTCCTACACTGCGCCTTCCTACAAGTATTATGCCTATGCTATCCGAGAATCACCAATAAAAAGGACAAGTATCTGACAATACTGAGTAATTTCTTCAATTATGGCAGAATCCCATGACCTGTATTCCTACCAGCTGGCAGCCTCGTCAGATACTGTGAACAGAATACTTGTACGAGAGCCACTGCTGTCCACTTGGATCCTTGAGCACAGTCTAGTTTGTACCTCCGTTCACACTGATTTTTCACTATTTTCTGCCCTTCCATACTCTCGTATATCGCAAGCTAGTTGCAGAAGATCTGCTCCTATACTAATAACTGCTAGTGTGTCTTTTCTATCCTAGTTCAGTTGGAGACCTCTAAACAGCTGCATAGCATATACATTCTAAGATTTCTCACCAGTCGTACTCATCTCGCACTGTTTGGCTGGCGCGCTACTGTCTATTAATTTTTCATCTCATCACATCTCATCCTTCAGCATGACTGAACCACACAATCCAAACAAGAGGAAGTGGGAACGTCCCACATCGTCCAACGTGGACTCCTCACTCCTTGAGAAGCTCGCAGAAATTGTGAATTCGAAGGATGAGGCGCCCCTCATTAAGTTCATCGAATCATCGTCTCTTTCTAGAATCTTGTCCAATTGGTCCTACTTTGCCCTGGTCAACGATCAAAGCCAATTCATCGACATATCCCTGAAGTTGTCGCAAGTCACACACCGCATCAATTCAGTTACGAACCCAGATACTACCTCGGACCCAAATAGTGTCACCAGCCAATTGGCTATTCTCAACCTTAAGCCTCAGATCATCGAATTCTACAAGTCGATCCTAAATGACCACATCAAAGTGGTCTACAGAGCCTTGAACAACTACAAACCTTCTTTGACCAATCCTACCTTGAGAATCCTTACCAATATGATCGAATACGATGCATCGATAGCCATCGAATTTTTAAACACTTTCGATTTAACCTTGACGATCTTGCCCAAGCTCTTACTTCCTGGCAAGAACGACAACGCAAAGAAAGGATATCTTCCCATTAGAGCTACCTTTATCAGGTTTTGGATTGCTCTTTTGTCTAAAGCCCCTAGCCATCACAGACAAGATTTATTGGTGACAAATGTCAAGATCATGAACAATTGGTGGAAGTTCATGTTTGAGGCCGATTCTATCGAAACTCTTGAATTAGTGATCGAATTCATCGATACTAAGATATTGAAAGAACCAAACTTCAGAAGATCAATCAAGTGTAAAATATTGAACGAAAACTTTATGCATAAAATCCAATTAATATTCAACAGAAATGATAATGAAACTTTTTCTGCTAAATTCACTGAGTTTATGGAAGTTTTAGCTACCGATTCAAAGATCGGGTTGGTATATCCTGTGGAGAAATTATGGCAATCTCAGATCAGTACCGGGGTGGATATTCAGTTAAACAACAAGACATTCAAAATTCATAATAAGTTGATCTACACTCTTTTGACTACCCTCAAGCCGTGGGAAAACAACGGGCAGCTCCAATTTGTTGTCAAAATCTTGAAACTGACGCCTGAATTGGTTCCCGCTTATATGAACTGGATGATCCAGCATGGAGGTGGTTATCATGATCCTACTCTTACATCGTGGTGGGTGGGCCATACTTTATTGTACACGCACATCATCCAACTACCAATCCCTCAGCAAATTTTGAAGCAAGTGACAAACGATTCGTCATTCATCAGTCAAGAACATTCTTATGACTCTAAAACTGTATCAGATAACATCTGCCTTGCTCCTTTATCTAAGCAGGCACTCACAAAATGTTTGGAAACCAATAAGCTCTTAATTACCCAATTCACCTTACAATTGATTGTTTTTATTTTACAGAAACTTGACGAGGTTTTGAAGTCGGGAATTATCACCAATAGACAGGAATTGATTGATTTAACCTTCTACAATTTACCAGACTTATCCAACATTATTCAGGTTTACTCAAAGAATCCAGATAGCAAGTTGATCAAATTGACCCTGTTGATGATCATCAACCTTTACGAGAAGATGTATCCCAAGGCTGCATCTTCAGCCCTTGTTACCAAAGTGTCTAGCAATGGTATTAATGAGGTTATCAAGGCTGACTTGATTAATTGCACTGGTTACGATTTGACTTTATTGAACCATTATCTTTCCATCCAGTCAAACCAAGACCAAGAACAAGACTTGAAATGGTGGAATAAACCAAATGACGGAAACTCATTCTTCACTTGTCTAATCAGATTAGCATCTTCGGCTGCACCAGCTACTTCTAGAACATCCTTGGACGAATCTCTAGTTTGGAGACTTTCCAATTTGCTTTCCACATTGACGGATAACAAGCTTTTATTCAACAAAGATTTGATTGCATCTCCTATCTTGGCACTTATCTATGCATCAAGTGATTACACCACCAATATCACTATCTGGAATTTCCTTGATGAAGTCATCTCCAGAACAATCAGAACCCCTTATAAATATCTTGATTTGGCTCATGAAAAGTATAATGATGTCAGTTTGTTTGTTGTTGCTATCTACGAACAATTCAAGTTCGTTCTCAAAAACAACACTGATGACACTGTCCTTGAATGGTTATTTAAATTATCGAGATATCTTATCGTTATCGGCGAATCAAAGGATGCTTTGATTTCAATTATGAAAGACTACTTGGTCAATGAGAGTGGTTTCAAGGAAAACTTCCAAAGCTTGGAATTAGACGACACAGTTGAACAATCTGGCAACTCATTTGTGAACTACATTACAAATATTTCAAATAAGGAATTGGTAAAGAAGTCCAGTCAATTGTCGAAGAGAACTATTCTTTCTAAGTTTGATTTGGCTGGATTGATCACAAGGTTGAAGTTGATTGTGAATGATAGTTCTATAAATAAGGTTGACGATTTGTTGGTTGAGCTTGTATCCAAGTTGGGAAACTTCTTATTGGCTAGTGTGTCATCGGATGCCCAATTATACAATTATATGGTGTCAAAACATTTTTGGACTGGGTTGACTTTAGAAAAGCAAGACTCGGCCACTGTGAGTGGAAAGAAGCTCTTCGTTGGTGGTCTCTTGAATGAAGTGTTTCAACAATTACCAGGTGTTCCGCAAGCCGAAAGCTATTTGAATACTAAAATCTATCAAATCATTTCAGGTAGGGAGTCTTACTCCACAGAACAACAGCTTTACTTTGCTCAATTTGCATGGATTTTATCTGATTCTCAAATCAGAGAATTATCTTCGCAATTCGGGCCCAATCAATTATTGACCCTCAAAGTATGCGAATATTGCCTTGAGAGAGACATTAAAGTGGGATCTAAATACTTCCGGTCCATTCTTTCTTGTGAGTTTGACAAGACCTTTATTGTGGACAAACAGCAAATCTTATCAAGATTGGTAGAATCAAACTTGGTCGAGTTGGATGAGAACATCGTTGAGGAAATTGAAAACATCTTGTCAAGCCCATCCAATCATTACCTTCTTAAGAGTTTGATCAATAGTTCAATCAGTTCTAAAAACGAAGTTATCAATTACTTGATTGGAAAGTCAGAAACCATTAATGATGAAAACTTGCTTTGCTACATTGGTTACTCAATTTGTTCTGTACTTGAAACGATACAAAATTCCAACTTGGAAATGTTCTTCATCAGGATTACCAAGATTGCAACCAACCTATTGGAATCTGAAAACATTGAACAGTGGGCTCAATTGTTGACAATTTTGGCTAATGGATTGAAGTACATTGGTCAAGAAGAGTCTGAAATAATAATCGGTCAAGTGTTTGTTTACGTTGAGAAGGTCGGGTTAAAGAATAGTATGTTGAGTGAATTTGCTTCATTCATCCTTGGATTCATTCAACATTCCAAGAATATCAATTCAGAAATCACATCCTGGATTCACAAGTCTATGTTGTACATCACAAAGAAATTCGCTGAATCCCCTGAATTATCCTCAAATTTTGACTCATTTTTGAAAGCCATTGCATTGATCGTGCAACAAATTACTTCTATGAACAACTCGGTATGGAAGTTGATTCCCGTCAGTATCATTAACACTCAACTAGAAGTCATATTGAATCACCCCAAATGGGTAAACTATGAAAAGTATCTTGAGTACGTTAATCTTGTAATCATGACTGGACAAAGAAGTACTATTCAATATGAGAAATTATTGCAAATTTTCATCAATAATCCTGCCAACGAGTTGAATTCTTTGCCAAATATTACGAAAGCTAGATTCTATTCTGCATTGATTATTCACAATCTCTTCCATTATGATGTTTCGAAAAATTCCAGTGTTGGTTTATTGGAAAAAATCGCTTTGTTCTACCTTGGCTCAATCAGATGTGAAGATTTATTGCTTAAGACTATATTTGTTGAAATCGAATCAAAGATTGCTACTTCTTGGGTGTACAAGGTGACTTCGTGGGAATTCTCTGAAGAGTTAACTAATAACGAAATTGAATTGACAGGAGAAGGAGAAAAGAGATTGGTTGAAAAGGACAAGTCTAGCTTGACCATCTGTTTGAGCAAACGGTTCATTAATAACACTATCAAAAACGGTGCTCGAATCACAGCTCCTGTCCATATCAAGGGCGAATCTGTCGAGAACTCATTAAGCAAATTAAATGAATGGTACTCTACAAATGAGATCATGATTGATCAATCGTACCAAAATACTATTTATGACACCGAGACTCTTTTGATGTTGTTGATCCATAATGATGAGTTTGTAAAGATCGAGAAGGATGAAGAAGGTGACAAGATTTCATTTGATTTGAAGAGTTTAATTGAATCAAACATGTTGCAGGTGATTATTGTCGGACTCTCTAGTCCATCCGAGACAGTCAAATCTATTTCATCTGTTTTACTCCAGCGTATTCTCAAAAACTTGGAGGTTCTCGAGAGCTTCAAGGATAAGAATATTTTCAAGGTCTACATCTCTAATATCTTGAACACGGTCAGAAATAAAGAGCAATTACCAAACATAATCTGGTACGTCTACTCGTCCTTGGTCCCTATTCTTTCCAACCCTGGTCACTATTTGTACGAGAAGGCATACCGTTACGTTCTTTCCAACCCAAGTTTATCAAGAGATATCCCATTGTACAAATCAATAATCCACTCACAAACTAGTTCCGACAGTGAATTGGAAAATGACGAATCTTATTATAAACAACTCGTGTGGCTTCTTGAGCAGTTTGTGGACGGAATCACTGGCTCTGAAGATATTAACTTGTTCAAGTTCAAAGGTGTTTTTGAATGGGTGATGAACTTAACCAACTCTCCGTTCATTACCATGAAAATCAAGTCATTAATCTTCAAGTTCTTGTATATTATTCAAAATATTGACCACGGGTCTGATGTCTTGATCACCAGGTTTGGAATTTTGACTAGCTTGGAGCAAATCATGCAAAACTTAGATGAGACCCTCTTAGACGAACAATTGAAGTTGAATTTAAAACAGGTGGTTTTGCGGTTTGGAGTTAGCGAGGGATCCAGCAAGAGAATCAGAGACTGGACTGGTGACGATTTGGGCGAGTATGTCAAGAGAATCCACAAAAGCTGAAGCATATCCTGAAATCGAACGATGCCGTAATGTATTATAGAGCGTATAAAAAATATTATCCACATTTAACATATTAGAATGAAAATGTAGATTCATCGTTTGAAGAGTAGAGCAAAAATCGACAGCCTGATCCCCAGCTATTTAATTTAAGAAATAGCATCCTTTACTGTGACCCATATGCCTTTGACGAATAGAATCATTCAAGCAAGAATAAATTGAGCTAGAATTACTCAATCTAGATTCAAGTTTAGACTGTTAAAGGCCCTGCTTTCCACCATTAGGGGCATATGAGCCCTCAACATTTAATGCAACTTCCTTGAAGCATGATGGCACCAAGCTGCATGCTGTCGTTGTAATTAAATCCTGCACTTTTAACATGCTTGGAATTCGCAGCTAGATACCATTCCTGTATAGTGATGCGTCCCTCGGCTCATACTATAAGCTCACGCCCCCAATCACTTCACACATTTATCTTCATATCATGGGTGTAAGTATAAGTAAGAACGTTCTTCGGATAGCGTACTAACTTGCAGCTCGGTAAAATTGCCCACTATTCGTTTGACTTGGTGTTGATTTCCATCGTGTTGGCAGGAATCCACCGTAACACTGGGTTGGTGTTTGATACTTCGAGCTTCTCATCAGTCGACTTCCGTAGATGGTTCGGCAACTATCTTGCCTTTGGTGAGAGATGCTATGACACCGTGGTGTCTGGCTTGCGGATGTCAGGGTACTTCAAGCAACGGAATTTGGTGTATGACTATGTGCAGAGAGAAGCTGGCAAATTCGTCAAGGAGCAAACTGGAAGAGATATTGGCGACTTGCCTAAAGCTGACCATTAAGTGATTGGTGTATGCTGGAAGTGTCGGCATTTGGTTATGAAGTATTACCAGAAGGAAGGTATTGTTATGGTATTTATTGTGTATTGCAGTAGCCGTTGGGCTTTGTTCATAAAACTGCTATTATTGTGAATTCGTAGTGCTCTGTAGCAGTTGCTCACTTCATCTTTGTTTCTGGTGGTGAGGATATGCTTAGGTGTCTATTTGACCTTTTGACCCATCATAATATCGACTACTATTTACGAAGATTCTCTCACCAACCAAACTGCTATTTGGGAATTTTCCCCACCACCTGGTAGTAATTTTCATTGCTAAGTGAGCCTAGGGCCATATGAACCATTTACTCGGGTAATTCTGGAAAACGAGGTCCCAATACATATATTCCAATATTCTCGCAGCCACAACATTCCCAGCGTATATCCCTTTCGTCTTTGGCATGTCAAAGCTAACTAGAAGATTTAGTCGACTCTTTAGGAACTAGTAGTGTCTTTTTTCAGGTTCTACTGGACAAATACTTTTTACAGACCTGATATCTTATTTGGAAATAGTAATGCTTATGTTAGTCGTGCGCAATGGGATCAAAACTGTACAGAATCATCAAACAGGTGAATTCCACCATTACTTTAACAGTATGTTAAGTACGATACAATCGTACAATGTATAAACTGATCTTTTCATCCGATTCTCATCTCCAGTGTGAGCAATCAATCAGTGAGATCAAAAAGCAATTCTCCACGTATCAAGATGCATAGAGTAGATCGCTGTCCCACATCTATTCTTGAAAAACGGATACTTACAATGACACATAATACTAACGCCTGTAGCTAAACATGAGCGAATCCATTGGTTTCATTGAAAAGTTGAAGAATGCAGTAAACTTGGAGCAAAAGTCCGACGTTCTTTTGACGAATTCATACCTCGAATCATTTTCCTCAAAGAAGTTGGCTCAGTTTGGGTTGGCGGTGGTCAATTTAGTAGTAGACAACGTGAAGACCGGTTTGGGTGGAAAGACTTTGCTCGAATTGGTTGTTGATCCGGCATTGAAGAACAATGATGACATACAGCTCGGGTCTTTGAGAGTCGGAGATATTGTAAAGCTAGACAAAATGAGTAGTGCTGAATCTTTAAAATCCAAGAAAGCTCAAGAAAATTCATCCAAAGGAGCCAGTCCAGAGGATGAGTCTCTTGATGCGGTAGTCATCAAGACTTCGTCGCAATCGATTACTATCTCGATAGAAGAAGACTCAACAGAAGACAAAGTTATGAACCTATACAATAATACCTCCAACGATGGAGTAAGAATGTGGATAGTAAAACTCTCTAACAGCATTACCTACAAGAGAATGATCTCCACATTGAACAAGTTGGCTGAGCTAGACAACAATCACAATAATGATATCGTTAAGCTATTATTGGGCCAAACCAAGTACGTTCCAAGGGGCTCCAACGCAAATGTCAAGAGTTTCTTTGACTCCAACTTGAATGAGTCGCAAAAGAATGCTATCAATTTTGCCATACATGATTCACCAATAACTATTATTCATGGTCCTCCAGGAACAGGAAAAACATATACATTGATTGAGCTCATCAAGCAGCTAACTTTTAACCATGGAGAAAGGGTTTTAGTCTGTGGGCCATCCAATATTTCTGTGGATACAATTTTGGAACGCTTGTCTCCAATATTCGTTGGCGATTCACCCGATGATTCTGGTACAAAAAAGAAAAGATCGACTAAGAAAGCTACTAAAAGTTCAGCGGATAAGCTCATAAGAATTGGCCATCCTGCTAGATTATTAGCCAACAATCTCCAGCACTCTTTGGATATTCTATCAAAAACCAGTTTTGGAGCTGACCCCAGTGACAACAAGTCAATTTTAAGAGACATAGAAAAGGATATCGGTGAAACCCTTGGAAAAATTAAGAAATGCAAGAGATATTCAGAGAGAAGGGTACTTTGGGGTGAATTAAAGCAATTCAAGAAGGAGTTAAGAATCAGGGAAAAGAAAATCGTGCAAGACATTTTAGTGAATTCTCGTGTGGTTTTATCAACACTTCATGGAGCAGGATCATACGAATTGACATCTTTGTACAAAGAAGATTCCTTGAATTTCAATCATGAAAACCCGTTGTTTGACACTATTATAATCGATGAGGTTTCGCAGTCGTTGGAACCTCAGTGCTGGATTCCGTTGGTAAATCACATTGGCTTCAAACGGTTAGTTATCGCTGGAGATAACAAGCAATTGCCTCCAACAATCAAATCTAAAGAAGAGGTGGAAAGACTTTTAGGTAACTTGAGCTTGGACAATATCTCCAAACAAAAAGAGCCTGAAGCTAATACAGCTAACTTGGAATTAACATTGTTTGACAGATTGGTTAGGGATCATGAAGGTGACAAGTTCAAAAAGCTTTTGGACACACAATACCGCATGAATGAAGCAATCATGAAATTCCCATCTTTGGAGTTGTATGAAGGAAAACTTAAAGCACATGAATCGGTTAGAAACATCAAGCTTACAGATTTACCCAACATTGATGAGAACGATGATACACTTGCTACTTGTGTGTGGTACGATACACAAGGGGGCGACTTTCCAGAAAGGACTAGTGGAGAGGATGACGACAAGAACGCAGGGGCAAGATCTGGGGGCTTAGTTGAGGCTGGGTCCAAATACAACGAAATGGAGGCTCTATTGGTTGTGAAGCATTTAAAAAAACTATTGGGGTATGGAGTGGCCCCAGAACATATCGGTGTGATATCACCCTACAGTGCCCAGGTCAATATTGTCAAGAAAGCACTCCAACATGAAGCATCGGCGTATTCTAGAATCGAAGTCTCGACCGTGGATGGGTTTCAAGGACGAGAAAAGGAGATTATCATCATATCCCTCGTGCGATCAAACGACGCGTTTGAGGTTGGATTTTTACGGGACGAAAGAAGATTGAATGTTGCAATGACCCGCCCCAAACGCCAATTGTGTGTGGTTGGGAACATAGAGGTTATTGGCCAGAGTGGCTTCGGGTTTTTAGAGAAGTGGGCTGCGTATGTGGAAGATGGAGACAACGGCTACGAGGTGTACTATCCAGATTTGGGAGACTATTAATTGGATGTGGTAATTTCTGCCAGTGAAGCAAGTACCGCATTGGTTAAATTGGACATGAGCAGTCCACCACAGGCCCCGGGTGCTAATTCGACAAGGGATAGGGGTGAATAGACTGTTTCAAGACCTGGCACTGGGCTCTTCCGCGGTATGGAATCAGCCGTGTATGTAGAAAGCGGGAATTGCGACGCTGGTTGATCGGTGTCAAGGGCCTTGCCAGGGATAATAGCATGGGCTCGGTTGCGGCATCTGCGACATTTGGACACAAGTGTTCCAGAAGGCGTTCTAGTCAGTGTTCCAATGCGCACTGGGCACATGTGCCAACAATAGAATTTCCCGAGTGTGGAAGGCACAGAGCTGCCATGGCCTCATCGGCCCACTCCAATAGGGTAAATTGCCAGGATGTGGGCACAGAATTGTCGGGATGAGGCGGAGATTGCTGGTGGTGGGCCCAAACCAGACAGAAAACTACGAGAACGGACAATACCCAATCGGTGGAGTCCACAGCTCTGGCAAACTGGTAGAGAAATGTACGTTAGAAGTGCCCCTTTTCAGTGTAGCAATTTCCAGCTCCGACCTCCAAGGGCTGGTGGGACGTGGGAATGTTGGATCAGGACTGGGGCATGCCGCACTCGTCTAGCGAACCGAATTCCATATCCACACAGAGGTCAGAATGATTGCGAAACATGACAGTCTCGAGGTTGGGGTCCAGGAATGTGGCGACGCCAACGGCCCGTTTGCAAGGGAGTCGGACGTAATGTACCTGTCGGTGGGAATGTCAAACCTAATCTCGACACGATGGTCCCCCTAGTCTATAGCTTATTCGGTTGATTAATGAGGTACATTGACGACACCAGCATTCCTGCCCACGACGTGGGTGGATGCTGGTGGGCGCCGCCAGGTTGCGAGCGCGCGCCTAAAAACTAACCCCTGCGGCCCCATGCAGGCTAAATGGCCACCGCGTCCCCATTTTTCTCCTGCCAGGGCCACATTGGGGTAAACAAACACGGTGGGTGTTTTGAAATATTGCGAAATGTCGTGTCTCCTTTGGGGCCTTCCCCAATGCATCACGGTTATGTGATGTTTGAACTGACAATTTTGTGCCTTGGACCTGGCACCTGTGCCCCGTGCCAGTTTCCAAGCATATATATTGACCCATCCGCTCCTTCACTTTTGTTCATTGTCGCAGACACAGTCACTCCTTAGTCTTACTACCACAGTCGCTCCTTACGCTCCTTACGCTCCTTACACTCCTTTAAACCCCCCCTATCGCTACCATGAAGTTCTTGACCTTAGCCACCGCTTTATCCATCTTGTCTGCCGCCTCGGCCAAGACCGTCTACGTCACCCAGACCCACCTCACCACCCTCTATGGAGGTGAAGCTGCCCCTACCCAAACCCAAGCCGCTGCTCAGTTCGCAACCACCATCATCGAGTCTGCCAACACCTACGAAGCCAAGGCCAACAACCAAGCTGCTGCCGAGTCTGTCGAGACCCAAAAGGCTGCTTCTTCTCCAGCCTTCACCCCCACCACCCTCGTGACTGCTGCCTCGCCAGCTCCATCTGCAGCCCCATCCTCTTCTGCTGCTCCATCTTCCGGCTCCAACTCCGGCTCCGGCATCTATGCTGACATCTCCAAGTCGTCCAACCTCGACCAAGACTTTGCCAAGTCCATCTTGGACGCCCACAACAAGGTCAGAGCCCAGCACTCTGCCCCAGACTTGTCTTGGGACCAAGAGGTCTACAAGTACGCCCAAGCCTACGCTGACAAGTACGACTGTTCCGGTGGCTTGACCCACTCTGGTGGTAAGTTTGGTGAAAACTTGGCCGTCGGCTACCTGACCGGTGAGTCTGCCTTGGAAGCTTGGTACGACGAAGGTAAGTCTTACGACTACTCTGCTGCCTCCACCTACGACCACTTCACCCAAGTTGTCTGGAAATCCACCACCAAGCTCGGATGTGCCTACAAGGACTGCTCCGCTCAAAACTGGGGTAAGTACGTTATCTGCTCTTACGACCCAGCTGGTAACTTTGTTGGACAATCCAAGGCTAACGTCTTAGCTAACTAAAAGTCTTATTCAGCGTGATGACACTGTTGAATTTTACTTACGACCCTAAAAGGTAAATCTCTGGATATTGGTTTTCTTCTTATGATCCCAAAAGGTATATGTCTGGATTTTGGTTATTCTTCTTCTTCGTTAAGGTTTCTGGTTTTGGGTTTTTCTTCCAATGAATGTTTTATCAGAATCAATAGTGTAGTGTCCAACGGATACCTGTAGCCTTGGTGGGTGGCCACAAACCCTACAAGTGGTCCATACCCCAAAATCCCAAAGTTTGGCTCTGGGAAGTCTGCGACTTTCCTCGAAAATCTTTATGACCTAGTTTGGTGCAATTAGTGTTTGGTTGGCCCACATTTCCTCGCCCAATTGGGTGCAAATTATTGCTTGGTTTATTGGCCCACAATTTCTTGCCCTCCATAATGTGGATGTTTATTTTCTTCTTTGGGTAAATTAAGCCCTTTACAAAATAATTCTTTGCTCTCATAGAATACTATTAAATTCGCAGTAGTGGTTACTCAATTTTTCAAATAGATATTTTTCACGTAGTAGTCTTGATTGTTTATCACTATGCTAATAGGTAATACTTACGCCAACAAAATATATGTAGTATTCAATTGGCTCTTAGTCTTAGTGTAGCATTATTGTCCTTAAAAGGTCATCCACTCTTGCCAGGTTGATTTGTCACCACAAATCGCAAACTTCGACTCTCATTTGTACATAATTCCCAGTCTCATTAGCTCAGTTTGATTACCGCATAACCCGAAGTAGGAAATATATGGGAAGTACGGCAACTTACTTACTTCGACGCGCTCGCCAGTTTCGCATTCCCAGGTGTACAATATCATACTTCCTCTCACCTCCTGGAAATGAAACCAATTGTCATTGAGTTGCAAATGTTTTATACCAGTTGGAACATTATCAAGCTCAATCTTGGTGATATTATTGTGTTCATAGGATAGAAATGATAAGCTGCTGGGATATGTAGTATCTTTGATCAGGGTAATCTTATTTTTCGTCAAGGAAAGTGTACGAAGGCATGGTAGTAGAGATCTGAAATCGAGCGATAAATCTAACAGACTAGGGTTTTCGGACTTGTCGTGCAGCCAGGCAGTATGGTCTAATCGAAGTTCCTGTAACGTATCTGGTAGTTTCGATATGAGTTCATTAGTGAGTTGACCCAATGCAATGTCTTTGAGGAGCAAGTTGGTCAATTTTGGGGGTAGTTTCATGCTCTCAAAATTACCAAAGGGGTTGTGACTCAAGTCAAGATATTCAAGACTTGGTGGTATGTTTATATTATCTTGAGGAAGATTGAATGTGGTCAATTTATTTTCACTGAGATCCAATCTCTTAAGTTCGCTGGTGAATTGAAGATGCTTAAATATGCTAATTTCGTTGTTTGCAAGGTTTAAGATCTCCAATTTGCTGGGAAACTCGAGGTCTGAAACCTCAACCAAACCGGTCGAGTTCATGGAAAGTTTTTTTAGGTTTGGGGTGAGAATGTTGGAATAATTACTGTAATCAATCTCGTTGTTGTCCAATGTAAGCTCTTGGATTGACATGGGTAACTCTCCTAGCTCATCTAAATCATCAATCTTATTGTCTGATATATCCAAAATCCGTAACTGGGTTGTCAACGCAAAAAAGTCATTTGGAAACGAGTAAAGTCCATTAGCATTGAGATGCAATTCTCGCACTGTAGATGGCAATACAAAGTAATCGTCGAAGTATTTGATCAAGTTTCTCGAGAGCTCCAATACCTCGATGTTTGTGGGTATCTGCTCTTGATCAATTCTGAACACTTCGTTGTACGAAATTCGAAGCGTCCTGAGAGCAAGGGGAAATTTGATATTTTGAAGGCTTGAAATGGTATTGATGGAAGCATCTATCGTGTGCAACTTTGTGCACTCATGATAATTGGGGCCTTCGAGGCTTTTTAGATTATTGGCACCAACCAGAAACTTTTCTAACGACGGAGGGAGCACCAATTCTTTCAAGGACATGATTGTATTTGCTGTGAGATCTAAGACCTTTAGTACTGGGGGTGACGTGCGAAGATATTGCTTAATGGAGTAGTCAGTTATGGAATTATTCCACAAGTATAACTCCTCGAGGTTCTCGGACATAGAAGCATGGAAAGGATGGAGATTGTTTGCCTGGCTTTGTGAGTTAAACCTGTTGACGCTGAGCAATTTCTGAGTCTTGTCACCAAGGGCCTCAATCCTTTGGACTAGCTTCAGATTGAGGAGCATCAACTCAGGAGTCATGGTGATATCGTACACCAATTGGAAGCATATTTTTGGAGTGACACTGTCTTGGTAATGGTCGAACGACAAGAGCTCTAGCACTTTGGCAAAGCTAGTGATTTCGTCAACTAGACCGGGATCGTCCGTAAATCGAAAGAGCATGCCCATCTCGCGAGGGAAGACGTGGTTGGCGGTTTCGAGGTTGTAAGAGGTCAACTGGCGCAAGAGCCGGTAAGCGAGGTCGAAACCCTGCACCAAGAAGGCGTTGTCCACGTCGCTCTTTTGGTAGTAGAGTTTCGAGTGGTCAAAGCCTCTTGTTTTATGGTAGTTGCGGACCAAGAACGGGTTGGAAAATATCCACCTGTAGGCCAATTGTTGGATCTCGTTCCACAGCCCACAAGGGTACGGATCGATGAGCTTTTGGTATACGAAGTTGGCCAGAAGGATATCGAAGATGCGCTCCAAGAGCTCAACTGGGAGCCGTCGTATGCCGTGGTGGTTGCTCATTGTACTGTGACACTTCCAGCCAGGCCGTTGGGTATTGTATTTCTGGAGGTGGCGGCTACACTCTTCTAGCTGTGGCAGCTACACTCTTCTAGTAGTGGCTACACTCTTTTGGCACTCTTCTGGCGCTGCACTACTGGGCCCCAATCTCCCACCGATAGCGTGCACCTATGACAGATGTATATACAGGACGGCACACCAACTAGCGAGGCTAACGGTAGCGAGCGATCAACAGTTTGATGGCCCAGTTCCTACTCGATTGCACCCACCACGGACCACTACACCCCACTATGAGAGGCGGCACGATCAAGCCCGAGAATGATACTACCGAGGAGGCCATTTCTCACACCTTCCTCAGTGCCAACAACTCGCCGGACGGTGCCCCTGATGGGGAGATGTTGAAGGATGAGGAGATGAACCCCTCCGAAAACGGCACCCGCACGGCGTCTGGCTCCAACAAGCCCAAGCGTACCAGTTTGGCTTGCATCCGCTGCCGAGCAAGACACATCCGCTGTCCTGGAGGCGACCCCTGCAAGAAGTGCCAGTTGGCCAAGACCAAGTGCGAGTACGTGGAGGCCGACAAGAAGATCGTGGTGTCGATGAAGTACCTCTCCAAGCTCCACGACGACATCGCGCGCCTCAAGAAGGACAACGCGTTGTTGAGAAACCTGCTCAAGGAGGAGAAGACCAAGTCGCCCCACCATCCGCCACCCCTGGTCCAGCCCAACACGTTTGCCAACAACGCCAGGTACTCCAGCGAGCCTCCGCGCTTCAGCTCGTCCACAAACCCCGACACAAACTCCACCGAGGTCATCCAGCCTTCCTTGGATAAGCACGGGCGACTCATCCAATCCCGAACCGGCGAGAAGGTCTACGTGGGTTCGTCCTCCATGACCCTCTTCGGTTTGGAGATCCAGAACATGGTTCCCTCGTTCCTGTCAGCATCTCTCTTGTCCAACGGCTGCTCCACCTCCGCCACGTCGTCCCCAGGAAGTCTCGGCACCCCTAAGACCAACATAGACACCCAACATGAAATGACTCCCGTGAAACGAGAAACAGAGATCTTGGAGAAGGAAGGAAATGCCTACAAGATTACCCTTGCAAAAACTAACACCCGCCCTGGGTTGTCCATCAACTTCACTCTCCCTTCATATTCCTACGCAATGTTGTTGGTAGACACCTTTGTCAACTACAATGATGGGTGCTTTTACTTTTTCAACGAAGGGTTGGTCAAGCGATTCTTGATGAATTTGTACTCAGGAAATACCCAAGACAACAAAAAGATCTTCAAGAGAAATATTTCGGCCAACAAGGGGCCGGCAAGAGACGAAAACTCAATCAAAAAGGACGCCGATGATGACACAATCCTTGAGACCATCTGGTTCTGTAAGATTCTTCTAATTTTTGCCATTGGTGAAATGTACTTGGGCACTGAATCTGACACTCACATTAAAAAACAAAGAAATGTTCATGCTCCAGATAGCAGAAAATCCAAACCAAAGGAAAAGAAAGAGAAAAGGGATACCTTGCCCGGCTCGGGATTTTTTTATCAATCATCCGAACTTTTTACAGGATTGTTTGCATCTGGTGCGATCGACAATGTCTCCAAAGATGGTGGTATAGAAGTGATGTTGTTATACGCCTTCTACCTCCAAGTTGCAGACTGCACCATCGCGTCTTACTTCTATTTTGGGTTGGCCCTTAGATCAACTTTAATTCTTGGTTGGCATGTTGATGCAGACAAGGAAAATTTGAATCGTTTCGAGTTGGAGCATAGACGAAGAATTTGGTGGACGGTCTACATGTATGAAAGAATGCTTTCGTCAAAAGCTGGTCTTCCATTGAGTTTTGCAGATGATAGTGTCTCGACAGAATTGCCTATTGACTTTAGTATTGATTTAAGTGATTTTCCAAAGGACGAAAATGATGTCAGAGGATACTACATCTTCCCATCAGCTGAGTATATTAATAACTGTGTCACTATCACTCAGATTAATGCTATCATCTTATCATCTTTATATACGAAGCAACCAACTTTCAATATTTTACCGGTTGTGTCTGACTTAGTTCATAAGTTGATAGCATGGAAGAATGCCTTACCAGAGTTTTTGAAGGTTGACATGTCAGGTGATAATTTCAGAGTTACCAGATTAATAGTCAATCTAATGACTGAATATTTCCAAGGTATGAATCTTGCAGTCAGACCATTGTTATTCCACTTTGCTACCAAGAAATTGAAGGAGTTACAAGCTCAAAATTCAACAAACAAGTATGTGGATTTGACCAAATATTCTAAGAATGTCCTCACATTATTAAATGCGTCTTTCCAAGCATCAATCAACACTATCAAGTCAATATGGGCATTGCTACCAGAAAACATGGTTGCATTATTTGGGTGGATGGATAGAGAATACTTGTTCACTTCAGCGTCGACTTTGATCCTATTTAATGCTTCATTCGGTGTCCATGAGGCCACTAAGGAGCATTTAGATCATGCTTTAACCATTTTTACGAAAATGAAACGATTAGGAAACTACCCGGCTGCATTGAGAAGAGCACAATTACTAAAACTCATCCGAGTTCTAGACTTTAATGGAGTTATGAACGAGTTACTAGTGAAACATGATGATGATTACAAAGATCAAGAAATCTCAGAGGATACGTTTTTGAAGGACCAGTTTAACGATCATATCAATCAGGTCAATCAGATGACCAATTCGAATATCAACAATGAACATTTGAGCCTGTTGGACAATGAGTTAAACAGATCAATGAATCCAGTTCAATCCTTAAGGCAAATGGATTTCCAAAGGCAAGACAGTGCCCCTCTTCCTCAGGAACATTTCACAGAAAATTTGACGAATGAATCTTTCAATTACAATATTTCAGTGCCAGGACCTGGTAACAGTGGTGACGTTTACGCAAATTCCGATTTGGCAGGAATCGAAGGGTTAACATACCTTGATGAAGAGCAAAAGTTATGGAATGAAATAACCAATGACGCAGTTTGGTTGAATGTTGCAGGTGGTAATCCAAACCAACCTCCGCAAAGTACAACAGAAAAGGCTGATGTATTCAAAAAACCTACAGCGTCTGAAAGTGATCTATTGGGATTGAATTTCCAAAGCACGTCTCAAGGAGTGTCTCAGGGGACGTCACACACTGGGTTCGGGATCCCAGGGTGGAATTCTGGTGGCTATGGTGACATAATCAACCAAGAGTTCCAGGATATGATGGACTAGTTCATGATCAATTCGAAGAATGTGATCAGATGTCAAAGGCGATAACCGGAAATTAAATTATACGATTCACAGAATCGCTGGGTTTGTAAATTAGGAGGTTAAGAATAGATGTATTATTAGGCTAATAATATTATACAGTGTCAGAAGGTCCCTGGCCGACGTAGCTGGACCATTAAATAAGTTATATTACATAGTGATGATGATCAAGCATTGAAAAAATCCATCATACTGTTATTATCGTTAGATTCCATTCCCTGGTCACCATTCATCTGTTGAAGAATCTGCTGTGGTGATATGGCTTGGCCCTGGATTTGTTGCTTTTGGATCTGTGGGGGTATATTGTTGACATTGAAGTTCGAATTTTGGGGATTCATTCCGCCCATCTGAACGAAATCGAACTGTGAATCTTTCATTCCGGATATTTGTCCACCAGAGGGACCTCCAGGTGGTCGCTGGTTGACTTGGGCACCAGATGTCATCATCGGGTTAGAGCTTCCCACTCCCCCTGGGCCAGAAACCGGTCTTTGGCCCATCTGTTGGGGCTGACCCTGTGGTGACTGCTGAGACTGTGCTTGTTGCTGCTTCTTCATCTGGTTAATTTTCATCTTCAAGTACTGGAAGGCATCCGGATACAATTCCTGGAGCTTTGTGTATAGCTGGTTCAATTCTGGCATGTCTTGTGGTGGTGACATCATGATGGGGAACGTTGTTTTATTCTGAGAAGCCTGTTGTGCAGCTACATCGGTGTGATACTTCTCATGAATATAACTAAGCACAGTCAAATTGCAATGTATTCTTCGGGTACAGTTCTGGTATGATTCTATCATTGATTGCTTTGCTTGTGGTGGAAGTTGTTGTAGTGCTTGTTGGTTGCTCAATATATTGTGATAGATGTTAATCGCTTTCTTCATTAGCTGGGTATTGATTAGAAGAAGACATGTCACACGTTCACGGTCTAGTTCCAATGGAGACCTTGAATCAACGGCGTTGCTCATAGTGCCCGTAGTTGTAGTGGTGACATAATGTTTGGTTTGATTAAAAACCGTGCCGCACTGGTCACGTGCATGGCTGCAACTCCGTGTCGTACCCTGAAATCCATGATGGAGGACAAGTGCTACCTCCTAAGGTCAGACTAAGGATTGTCGTGCCTATTGTTTAATGGACCAAAGTCATGTTTCAATGTTATTTTCTTCTCTTAGACGTATTTCGATTTTATTCAAAATTTAAAAGAATTGTAACAATTTTGAAGAAATTACCGAATTTCTAATCTTGGTCAAGCATGTATAGAATTCTTGAACATACTTCGCTACTTGCTTGGCTTTAAAAGTAAGCGTCTCAACCTTCAATGAGTTGCTATTTAAATTTTATATGTTTTCTTATGAAAAATTGGTAACCAGAATTCAAATTAATTAATAGTTGTTATGTACATTTTGTTCTTTATTTACAATTTTGCAGGCTATATTTGCTCTTTATGCATATATGTCCATATAATCAAGAGAAGCCACTACTTAGTTGACGATGTTCATCTCAGTCGAAATGGCATCCAACCTAGAGCTGATCGCTCTTCTCATACCAATATATGTCATATCAAAGGTTCCACGTCCCTGGGTGATTGACCTCAACCTAGACAAGTAGCCAATCATTTCTCTCAATGGTGTCTCAGCCACGATAATCTTCTTGTTTCTCAAGTCAAGCGAGGAGTTTCTAGATTTGAGTGTGTAGTCTGGTGGTAGAAACACTCTTTCTGACTCGTCATTGGCCCATGCCAACGCATCGAGGTTCTGGGTTGTTTCATCTTCAATCGAGGTGATGATTGCCTGACACCTATGTGTCAAATCATGGGATACTTCGCCCAAAGTGTCCGAGCTGACATACACCTTGGTTTCCATGTATGGCTCTAGAATTCCAAAAGATGACTTGTTCTCCTCAATGTATTCCAAAACGCCCCTTCTACCAACTCCCAACAACGCAGAGGAGTTTTGTCCTGGTTCCTCCACTGGATAGTCCCAAGAAGTGATCCGAACAACGGTAGAGTGTAATGATAATCCAAAAGTAGGTCCTCCTATCTGTAATCCTGTCAAAAGACCCTGAATTAAAGTTTCTTGGAGATCTTGTAAAGATTGCTCACACTTCCACCGTCTTTCTTTGATGGAATCTGTCATGTGTTTCGGAGTAGCTGCAGGTTCCAAAATCACTATATTGTTCTCTTGTTCAAAAACTATAGCACCATCCTCTTCGGCGTAGAGAGATTCTGAGGCCATTCCTTCGAAGGAATCCATAGTCAATTCAATAGATATATTACCCTCTTCAGTTTTCAAAGGCTTCGATGCTTTTGTAGGAGACTCCTTGTAAGAGACGACCACATCTCTTAACCTCACCTTTGCTTTCATGTCATTCACTAATCTTTCCTTGATGATATCTAAATGCAATTCACCCATTCCACTAAGGATTGTCTGACCCAAGTCTTCATCTACCGACACCTTCAATGAAGGATCTTCTCTAATTAATCCCTTGATACATTCATTCATGTATTTCTCATCACCAGCAGTGAGTGGTTCGATACCAGAATTGAACAATGGTGGTGGGATTTCAATAGGAAGCAATTTCAAATTGGATTCGAGTTCGGTAAAACTCTTGCTCACTGGACCATGAGAGACTAGTGTATCACCGGTGATAATATCATCTTCATGACCTGTTATCACTCCGATGTTTCCGGCACCAATATATTTGACTTCCTCGGGTTCGTCTCCGTGCATCAATAACAATTTCTTGACCAACAACTTTTTACCAGTTCTTGTATTAGTTACAGTAGTGTTGGAATTTAATTTACCACTGTACACTCTGAAGAAGGTCATAACACCCTTAGTAGCATGAGTCATGACCTTGAAGGCCAAAGCAACCGTCAAGTTCGGTTTATCATTAATGATTAATCCACGCGTAACGTCCATAGTAGCAGGCACGTCCATAACTTGAGTAATACTCTTCTTGGCCTTTTGGTGCTTGACTTTCAAGAGCTTGGAGCTGGTGGAATGGATTTCCGGCTTGGTAATCTGCAAAGGCGATGGTAAATAGTTGACCACAGCATCCATCAAAGGTTGAACACCAATGTTCTTGAATGAAGAGCCGCAATACATAGGAGTCAAATAGTTCGAGATTGTCGCCTTCCTGATAGCTTCGTTGAGAATTGGAATTGGAATTCTCATGTAGTCTTCGTCGTGCTCTAAGAAAGAATCAATGATGGATTCATCAACTTCACCCAAGGTTTCAATCATGGACTCACGAGAACTCCGGACCATTTCTTCGATTTCCGGCAAGGTTTCGATATCAATGACCGAGATATCTTTGCCTGTTGGATCTTCCGTATCCCACTTTAATAACTTCTTGTGGATGATGTCAACCACCCCTTTGAACACGGGGTCATTGTCAGTAGACATCTCAAAATGAGGTATAGTACAGAGCACCACTCTGGTCTGGAGCTTCTGGATGATCTCCTTGACGGTTCTACTGAACCCTGCACCGGGTCTGTCCATCTTGTTGACGTATGCGATCTTGGGAATATTCAATGATTGTGCTTGTTTCCATACCTTTTCTGTCTGGGCTTCAACTCCTGCAACACCGTCCAAGATGGTCACAGCACCATCAAGGACTCTCAATGATCTGGTGACCTCGAATGTAAAGTCTGCGTGCCCCGGAGTATCTATAATGTTGATCTTGTGGCTGTTCCATGGAATAGTGATGGCTGCCAGCTGGATCGTGATACCACGTTGCCTCTCAGAGGCAAGGTAGTCTGTCACAGTATCACCCTCATCGACATTGCCAATTCTGTTAGTTTTCCCACTGTAGAATAGCATTCTCTCGGTGGTGGTAGTCTTGCCCGCATCAATGTGGGCTATGATCCCGATATTTCTGGTCTTGCTGATCCCCACATCATTGAGCTTGGAGAGTAGTGGAGGAACGGTATGGAAGGACCGTGTCCCTTGGAAGATTCTTTTGGCAAACATGCCAGGTATTACTAGAAGTAGACGTCCTGGATGAAGTTTGATATCTGTGCGGAGAGATTTGATAGATGCACAGATTTGGAAGAGGCGATGGATGAAAATGACGACAAAAAACAAAACGACAGAACGGCTTGAGTATTAAACCGGGAAGGGGGCGGACATCATGTGGAAGTATAGCTATGGTAATATCATGAAACCAAGAATTGTCCCCAATGATTTGTGAGACAAACAAAGTTTGCTTGGAGTAATAATTGTTGGACTTCTGTAATGTCACACTTCAAAATACGGATAGCCGTACTATTCTTTAGGCATTCAAGCAATTATTGAGAGATTATGAGGCTACAACTTGTTAGACCTGGAAATGCTAGGATTTGTTTTGCAACTATAATCTTTACTCTAATATGCTCATTTTCTTTTTGCCCAATTTATCCCGAAGTACTACTGGATATTGTAGTTCTCTCGAAAACACACGAAGAACTAACTAGCGTGACAGGTATGGTAGCGCCGTTGCGCAACATGAACCACAACGAGAATGGTATCTTTGAGAAAGAGACAGCTCAGGTCAAGTACGATCCAATAGAGTAAGAGGTAGCACTAAGGTTTCCGACACCAGATTAATCAAAAGCAATTAGTGCGAAGATAAGTGCCATTCAAAAGGTTAACAAAAAATTGCTTAAATTACTAGAGGATTCAGGATATGGCACCTACACCTTACTAAAAGGTAGATTAACTTGTAAATTATCTCAATTGTGGTGGTTTCTATTTTTACGTTTTGAAAAGTGGTACTTTTTGCACAGAAGACAATATTTATGCGATGGAGGATAAGATCTATACAAGGTTTACCAAAAGAAATTGGATGATGTGTGAATTAAGAGCACAAAAAATCACCTAAACAGCAAGACACGGAACATTATTTCTGTCATAGCATCAATCTTACGGGCATGTGGTCTAGTGGTATGATTCTCGCTTAGGGTGCGGGAGGTCCTGGGTTCAATTCCCAGCTTGCCCCTATGGTTCCGCTTGGGCATGTGGTCTAGTGGTATGATTCTCGCTTAGGGTGCGGGAGGTCCTGGGTTCAATTCCCAGCTTGCCCCAAAAAATGGAACCATAATTTTTTTGCAGTTTTTGAACGGACTGCTAGTTAGAGGCCCCAGCCTAGGTCCTCCCGCCCGTAACAGGACAATTACTAATGCGATCTGCCATATATGTGGCCCGCCGAATTCTCCACAGCAGCCGGGGTCTGCCACAACAACTGACCCATGCACAAACCACCACTGAAGATAGCCCTAATTGGCCTGGCCCATCGCAGGGTCTTCGGTGCCAAGGCTGACTCACCATAACGGTGATACCGGCTCGTACCGTGTTTTGGCAGAACGGATCTGCAATATGCACTAGATTTTCCCCACTGCGGCTGCCACATTGGGGGTTTCCGCGGAGACCTGCCGGACCGGAGTCGAGCCGATGCGTTAGACTGACGTACGGCATGGCAGTCATAAAATTTATCACTAATGGTACATGCATAAATATATCTATACACAATTGGCATCGTCCGACAGGTAGAGGCATCCGAAACCATCCACCATGAGCACGCAATCTTCCCCTCGAAAGTCGGCGGAAGCGTCGTACTCTTCGCCAGGCGAGCCCTCCAGAAGCGATGAGCAGACACTCGAGCCTAATCCCGATACTCCAGACGACTCGGAGATCCACCTTGAAAAGGAGGTCCTCCCGGAATCAGACCCCAACATAGACGGCGGCTACGCCTGGGTGATATGCTTCTGTTGCTTCTTGTTGAATTTTAGCACCTGGGGCATGAACTCGGGGTTTGCCATCTACTTTGCATACTATCTCAACAACGATACCTTTGACGGGGCCACCAAGATCGACTACAGCTACATCGGAGGTATCGCGTTCGGTGTGGGGTTGTCGTTGTCGCCCGTAATCAACTACATCTATGGACATTTGGGCACCCGGTGGACCATCATCATCGGCAACTGTGCTCAGTTCACCGGGCTTATGTTGGCCTCCTTTTCGGTCAAGTTGTGGCAGTTGTACTTGACGCAGGGGTTGTTGCAGAGTGTGGGGTTGGGGTTGATCACCGTGCCCAATCTCACCATCTTGCCACTGTACTTCAAGAAGAGACGGTTGTTTGCCAGCAGTTTGGCGTCCGCAGGTTCGGGTGTGGGAGGTATCTGCTTCAACTTGGGAATGCAGCGGGTGGTCGAGTCCAAGTCGGTATTCTGGGCGTTGCGGGTGCAAAGTATCATTGGCTTTGGCATGATCTGGATCGCTGTGTCGCTCATCAAAACTCCTCGCACTGGCTCGGTCATCAAATATACCTCTTTTGATATGCCTGTGTTCAGAAATCCTGGATTCTGGTTGTTGGCGTTTTACGTCATCACCTGTATGTTCGGATACGTTATCGTGTTGTATACGTTGGCCTCGTTTACGTCCTCGCTCGGATATTCCGAGTACCAAGGCTCCATTTCGTCCGCCATGGTCCAGCTAGGTTCCACGATAGGAAGACCCACTTTTGGCTCCTTGGCTGACAGATACGGGGCTCTTACCATGGCTACGCTGGCATATTTTCTCTGTGCCGTTTTCTGTCTTGCCATGTGGATCCCTGCTCGGAACTACGCCACTGTCATTGTGTTTGCCTTGGTGGAAGGGTCCATGATGGGATCTATCTACGGCCTGATTTCACCCATCGTTGCTGAGACTTTTGGGATCTCCAAGATGAACGTCAGTTTCTCTATGCTTTGGGTGCTTTTGGGTGCTGCTGGTCTCTTCTCACCAGTCATCGGGGTCAAATTGACAACTGGACAAGGAGGTGAAGTCGATCCAACCCAGTACAGATATTGTTCGGTGTTTGCTGGAGTTTCGTTCTTCTTCTGCTCATTAAGTCTTTTCTTGCTCAGAGGATATATTACTGCAAGAAACTTGCTTTACGATAACGGTGAGTTGGATGCCGTAGACTATACCGACTTGAAGGTGCCATTGGGAATGAGCATCAGAAGCTGTCTTAAGAATAGCAAGCGTAAGGTATAATTAGTGCTTCCTACAACTTCAAGAAATTTGGAGTATTTAATAACCTTCTATCCATCTAAGAGATTTGGGGTGTTTGAGGGCTTCCATACATGCCTCCTCCAGAAATTTGGGGTATGGCCTTCCATAATATCCTCCTCAACCTACACTAAATCCACCAAGTTGACTTACCTCACCATAACGGGTGATTTACTCATATGATTTCGTTGGTACTTGCATCGGAAAGTACATCGAAATCAATGTGGTTTGCATATGTTATTGAAAATCCTGCCACCTCTTTGCATTATGATAGATATATAAAATTAATATTAACGCCTGGCAGTAATTAGGCGTAGATTTGCCTTGTCCCTGAGAAATATTAGGCAAAAATTCGGAATCGATGACAAATATCTTATCTGTGTAATCCAAACTAGATTCGAGCCAAGATCGAGATCTCGACCACTACTCACAGTTATAGTGTTTAAACGGATGAAGCCCGAAGCTCTGGTGTAGATACGATCACGTGATCAGCCATATCAGCGCAAAAATTCCATCAGTAAACATTACTGCAAACCCATCTGATGTCAGTGTAACATGTCAGAACTGCCAAAAGGTGTTCAAAGCACGGAGATACCGATCCAGGTAGCACAAGAAAACTCCCCAATTACTCAAAACAAGACAGAAAATGGCACTGGCCCAATTTCTCTGGGAGATGAGATAAAAGAAGAGAAGACCGATGCAGCCCACATCACTATACCCGATGATGTCAACAGTCTTCCCGGAGGAGAGCAGTTTGAAAATCATGCAGAGGCAGGTTTGCCAGCTTTTCAATCACCGAGTCAAGTCATAAATATGAATCAAAGTATGAGCAGTACAGTACCCACACCCAGCGCAACAAACCTTGAAACTACGAATGCAGAAGGATCAGAGGAGCCAGAGAGGAAAAGAATGAAGCTTGAAAGGGATCAGCTGGTGCAAAACGACAGTGACGAAAAGGAAGCCAAAGACCCTGGTGTGAAGGATGAGGTCAATCAAGTCATCTCCCAATCAATTTCACAACCACAATTGTCTATGAGTAGCATATCGCCCATTCAGAGAGAACTTGAGTCAGACTTGGAGAAAAACCAAGAAAAATACAGTAATGGCGTTGACACATCCATACATGATGTTTTGCCTGAACCTTTTCAAAGTACAACCACTCTCGAGTCTAACTTGCCACAGATCAATGATTCAGCAGACGACCTTCAAAAACTTGAAACAGGGAACCAACCTATAGATGCTCCACATCCATCCAATTTAAATTCTTCTCTCGTATCGAGATCATCAATTCCCTTGAATTCGACAACTTTGCCCATTAGCGACGCTCCCGGCGCAGCTTCTGTACTTCCAATTATCAATAACAATTCCAATCTCATAAATTCCTCAGCAATTGCTACTAATTCCCAGAAGTCTGTCCTGAATATCCCTGTGTACTCTAGATCGCCCTCATCCCCAAGAAAAAGATTGGTACTTCTTTACGACAAACCACGATACTATCACATGATAATGCAGTTAAGTGAACTTAGGAGTAATCCTCACGAAATAGTCACAATCGTTGAGCTCTTTGAAATTGATAAGCTAGTCTCTTCGACTCAGAAGTATGATTATCTTAATATTTGTATTGAATACAATGATGAATTTGAGAATAATTTGAAGAGATACATTGAATTCATCGAGAAAAACCATACCATTTTTCAAACCGATTTTGATGAGATAAGTTACCATATACATTTTGCCCCGGAGAAAAAATGGAAATCTGATTATACCGAATCCGAAAAGTATCAATATCATCAATTCATAAATATCCTTGATAAGTATGTTTGTGATAAAATAGTACACTGCTCTATCATTAACAAATATGATATGGATACAGTGTACATCACAGAGCGGAATGAATTGACGAAGCTTGGACAAGAGATACAACAAGATATTGAAAAATGGAAGAATTTAAGGATTCTTGATTATGGTGAAAGTAGTATACGATTTTTGCCTGGAGTGAAATTTCCAGATACATTGGAAACACTCAATATCGGAGGGGGATATGCTTTGGAGACATTGACTGGATTCAAAATGCCCAATAAACTAAGGACTTTATTAGCATCTCAGGGTGCTATTCAAAGTATTGATACAATATCCTTTTCTCTAAGTCTTGAAAGGCTTGAACTAGCTGATAATAAGATCTATTTCTTGAATCAAGTTGAGTTTCCTCATACGTTACTACATTTGGACTTGTCACAAAACAGAATAGAAAGTCTTAGAGGTGTCAATTTCCCCAGACAACTAGTCTCATTGAACCTTGGATTCAATCCAATTGAATCAATCAAAGGGGTTAAATTTCCAGATAACTTGAAATATTTGGATATCTCCAATATTCCCAATGAATCAATGACCGGTGTAAAATTTCCCGACCTGTTAATTGTGTTAAACCTTCAAGCTTCAATGACTAATACTAGAGGACTCAAATTACCGCCTACCTTAAACAAAGTAATTCTTTGTGATAATGGCGTGAACAGTATCAACCCTTTGAAATTACCAAATTCTATCGAGGTTCTTTACCTTAACAATAATAACATCAAAACCCTTAATAAGGTTCAGTTCCCCTCTTCCTTGAAAGAATTATACCTAGGTGATAATTTAATTACAACTTTGAAAAATGTCCAGTTTCCTCCCACCTTGGAAGTGTTAGATATCGAAATGGACCCTGATTATGATGAACATGAAAAGCATATAACAACCCTCAAAGATGTCTATTTTCCGCCAAATCTTAAGGTGTTGAAATTAGGGTACCATAGCATTAAGTCTATTGAGTCTTTCGAATTTCCTTTCTCGCTCGTAACTTTAAGCTTGGCATACAACGAGTTGAAGACAGTTCGAAATGTGAGATTGGGAAACAATTTGAAAACTTTGGATTTAAGTGGAAACCCTGAGTTAACTAACATTGACCAACTTATAATCCCCGAATCTGTGTCTGAGTTGAGAATTCCTCCAGAATTGATCCCATTTTTGCCAAGTTACATTATAGAGAGAGCAAACAAGAAGCAGTTGATATTGAAAAAATCACAGAAGGGTCCCATTTATAATTCTCATAACGACGAATTCTACCGTGGGTAATGGGGTTAAGGGTAATATCACTTCCACCACTGAGTTTATAAACGGAATGCAATAACTAGAATCACTAAGCCTTGTAGAAGTCTGAGTTCTTCAGTATATATCTTTCTTGACTATTCATTACAGTGTAGATTATTAATGACTTTCGAAATCAAATATGGATTAATAAATAGCCATTTTTGTTTGTGTTTGCCCACGCTCGTTGCTATGCTACATTTCTGCTAGCTGCACTAGCTAATTATCTATGAACATGCATTATATACGATTAATCTTCCTCTTCCTCGTCTGAAGATTCCTTATCCTCAGCTTCCTTTCTTTCCAATAATGCTTGTAATTCAGCATCTTCACTGGCAGTGACAGCCTTTGGAGCCAAAGTGACCTTGCAAGCACCTCCCTTAGCAGTGATGGTTTCAGTGATCTTTTCGATGGCTTGCTCTAATAAAGCAATACCTTGGGCTTTATCTAATGCTTGTGTGGAGATAACATACAATGGGGCAGCCACCAACTTGGCCTTGACTTGCATTTGTTCTGTGGAGAGTTCTTCTGCAGCTTTTAAAGCTTCCTTGATGGCATCGATACCTTCGTAACTGAAGCAAGAGACTTCGACATCGGCTCTTATCTTTTGGGCTTGTGGGGTCAATCTTCTGGAAATGTATAACTTCAATTCATCTAACACATCTTGAGATGGACATTCAATCTTGTCAAAAATGGAAGGGTCAGTGATCGATACTTTGAAGGCGTCATAGGCGTGACCGTAGACTCTGCTCAAAGGCCATCCAACGGTTTGATATAAGGTCTCCAAAGAGACGGAGAACTTTTCAGCACAATGTCTCAAAATGGAATGAACAGCCTTGGACTTGTTATATCTCTCATCACACTTGACAATATCTTCAGCGGAAACTCTTCTCTTTGATAAATCAATGTATCCCTTTTCTTTGTCAACTCTCAAGACAACGGCGACTTCGTTCTTTCCGACACGGATCAATTTCTGGATAGATCTGATACGTCTTCTGGATAATTCTGATAATAACACCATACCTTCGATATTGTCATATTCTAATAATTTGACGTAGGCACCCATTTCGGCGATTTCTTGGACATTAACCATGACCACCTCATCCACTTCGGGGTACTTGTTCTCGTAGAATCTGCAATTGGAGGAACTCATCTTGTATATTGGAATGTGAGTTGCGTTAATGAGGTTTAATGCTATGTGTGATGAACAGATGAATCATGAGTGTACATTGAAAATTTTTTTTCATTGAGATTATGTAATACATTACATAACGATAACCTCTGGGAGAGGACTATGGTTGGGGGTCACAGGGTGAATGTGTTTGTAGTTCGGTGCGTTAGGGCCAGATTGTCGATCTCTTTGGACAGTAGCATTTTGTTTTCTTTCTTGACATTTTCATTCTTCTTGAATCAAATATTCAAGGTTAGTTCAGATGTACCATGACAAGAGGAAAAAGAGATGCAACAGGAAACTTCCCGATGACAGCAATTCAGATTTTGATACAGTAGAGCAGTAGAGAAGTAGAAAACATTCCATGACAACTGCTAAGCAAACTGGGATTAATACTGTAGTCAAAATAATTCCAAGTGACGACACTCATGGCGATTCACTACCAGATGGCCCCCGAAGTCGAGGGTGCCTTCCCTGTGACAGAATTGAGTTTTTGTACTTTTCTTAGGTCTATTGTATTTGATTTGATGATTTTGTACTCGTGGTAAAACCTTCCAAAGATTTCGCAGTTGCAAAATAAAGCGGCAAAAGATCTCACTTGGTGATGTACCTAAAATACAGTAACACCATCTACGAGGAAAGGGGGGCTGCTTTCCGGGTCAATTCGAGATACAAGATCGTGTCATTATTGGGGAAAGGGTCGTACGGAACTGTTTGCTCGGCCATTGACACCAACAGCACCCCCCTCAAGGTAGCAATCAAGAAGATCAACAGTATATTCACCAGGGAAGTGCTTTTAAAGAGAGCGGTTAGAGAATTGAAGCTTATGAGGCACTTCAGAGGCCACGGAAATGTACGTGTATCCAGGATACCATGGCTAATAATACTGACCATAAGATTGCAAGCCTACTCGATGCGGACATTATCCACATGAAACCGTATGATGGGTTATACTGTATCCAGGAATTCGTCGATTGTGACTTGGCCCGGGTCATATACTCATCCATCCAGTTCTCGGAGTTTCACATCCAAAGTTTCGTCTACCAAATATTGTGTGGATTGAAGTACATCCATTCAGCAGACGTAATCCACCGAGATTTAAAGCCTGGCAACATTCTCGTAAACGCTCAAGGCACGCTTAAGATCTGTGACTTCGGGTTGGCGCGAGGGATCAGCACCAAGTATGTGATTACAAACTCGTCGCCAATTACAAATTACGTCGCTACCAGGTGGTACCGAGCACCGGAATTGATGTTATCAAAACACAAGTACGATAAATCAGTGGACGTGTGGGCTGTAGGATGCATAATGGCCGAGTTGTACGGGAGACGGCCCCTTTTCGCAGGTAAAGACCAGTTGCATCAACTCCACGAGATCATGAAGATTCTAGGGTCCCCTCCGGTTGACGTAATCTGTCGGTTAAAATGGAGGTGCACAATTCCACCCAGCCCGCAGTACATCTCGGTGAAATGGAAGCAACTCTACCCCTTTGCTTCGAATGATGCACTAAGCTTGATTTTTGCACTCTTGAAATGGGACCCCGCAGAGCGCTTGGATGTGAATGTGACTCTTCGGCATAACTTTTTCGAAGATGTCCGAGACCCGTATGGCGAGCCAGAATGTGACCGGATCTTTGACTTCAGTTTCGAAAACAATTGTCACACAATCCCCGAATTGACTACGTTGCTTGAACAAGAAGTACTGGAGTTCAAAAAGGATCGATTAGGCTAGGTGTTTCTTGCAACTGCTACTCTAGGTTCATTGTTCCAATCAAGTGGCCCGAATAGACCCATACAATCGAGTTCAAACCTTATATAATTCGCGTCTGCACATCGAAACGGGTAAAGTCTAACCCCCGTTGCCCGAAAACGTCACCCCCTTACACAATAATTGCCATAATTGCCCATTACTCAGGCCATGAATTTCATATGCATTTACGCGGTCATTGGTGCCACTACAATTCATTGAACTGTATGCACGTCCCACCGTTTTGCTACTATAACAGGTGTGTGGCACAAAGAGTGCCCCACTCGCGGTGATCCCGAGGCAAGTCGGGATTTTTGCACCACCAACTATATATAATAGCAGCTTCCTCCATCAGGGTACTAATTACAACTACACACTATACAATGCCTCACCCAGATCTCGAAGTCCACAAATTTGTTATTGAAGTTGAAGGCGGTGCCACTTCTGAAGTTCCTGTGCTCGGAGCTGACAAGATTGAATTCAAGATTCCAGAATCCTCCAAGTACACCGTCACCATCTTCTTCAAGGTTAAGAACAACAAGTTGACTGACCTTAAGTACAAGCAAGTGGTTAAGAAGGCTGGTATTCCTATCAAGACCAGAGAAAACGAGCTTGGTACCTATGAGCCATCCGATGAGCTCTTGTCGGTGACCTTCCCTCAAGATGAATCCCCAGGTGGGTACTTTATCAGAGGCACCTACCCAGCCCAATCCACCTACTACGCCAACGGTGAAGAATTGACCGTTGTCGACTGGACCTTAGAAATTACCAAGAAGTAAGCATATAGAAATACACCTATTTTGTGCCGATAACTGTAGTTTTGTGGGGGAGTAACACGTGATCTCAAGTCCCCTATCTACTTAAGCACAATGCCACCCAGCACACGGTTCCGTATTAGCCATGCTGAACGTGCGGTCAGCCTCCCATGCTGGCAGTTGGTACTCCGCGTATGGAAGCACCTTGGAGAGGCAGCTCAATGCATTCTTTGCTAAGGCCAAATCCATATCCCATTCACTAAGCGGAGAAAACACCCACCAATCAATCCCAGGGGCCAGGATATTGATCGGCCCCCATGCTGGATATCTGTACTCCGGAGAGAGATTGGCTGAAGCCTTCAACGTGTGGGACACCTCCAAGGTGAAGCGTGTATTCATGCTAGGACCTTCCCATCATGTCTACTTCAAAAGCAAAGCGTTGGTGTCCAGGTTTGATGCTTACGAGACTCCCCTTGGTAATATTCCCGTAGACACCGAGGTGGCAAAGGCTTTGGTTGCTGGGAAAGGCTTTAGGTACATGAGTGAGGAAGTAGACGAGGAAGAGCATTCGTTCGAAATGCATGCTCCGTTCATCTACTACGCCACTCAGCACTTGCCGCAAGGAGTCCCAAAGATTGTCCCGATCATGATCAGTGACATGGACGACAAACTCAGTAGTACTATTGTGGAGGCCCTTCTCCCATTTCTCGAGGACGAAGGTAACCATTTCATCATCAGTTCTGACTTTTGCCATTGGGGGGCTCGTTTTGGCTACACCCAGTACTTGGCTGCAAACACCCCACTTTCTGGATTGGCCACCTTAACTAGCTCCCGTCAGGTAACCACCCCAATCCACAAGTCCATAGAAGCCCTCGACAAGGCTGCCATGGAGATTGCTTCCAAGGGGGACTCCCAGCAATGGGATGAGTATATCATCACCACCGGTAACACCATCTGCGGTCATATGCCCATATCGGTGGTGCTCAAGCTATTGGAGCGCTTTGGAGGGCCGGGTTTTGAATGGATTGGTTATTCTCAAAGCAACTCTGTCAAGAGCATACACGAGACCAGTGTCTCCTATGCCTCGGGATATGTCAAGATATAGGAATATAGGGTATGGAAATAAATATGCATGCAAATCAGTCCCTCGATTCTACAGAATTGGCGGCAGGGCCTGCGGACAACCAGAGTAACAATTGGGTAAGACTGCAGCAAGACTCTTCCAACCACCAAACCTGGTTTATGTCTATGAACATGAGAACAAAGACTATCAAAAGATTGGAAGAAGATGGTATAGCGAGAACAAAGAAAAGAAAACTGCCAGAAGATAGCGAATGTAAGTTAACCAACAAGTTTATCAAAATAGGGTAATCAACGTGTGTTTAAGACCCTTGTTTCGATTGATCCTTGTATTTAGCTCCCGAGCTTACTGCAGCTATAGACTTCCCGTCTTGGCCAGGTATAGCGGGTATCTTCTAGTCTTCTTCAACTCAGTACTTTGACCTCTAGTGATACGTAACTTACCACACTGAATAATTTCCTCACAATTACTAAGTATCGGAGTAAACTACGTCATTTGTGACTTGTTACAGGACCCCTTCTGTTCTCCTGCTCACATAGACACTAATAATTAAAGCTAAGACTAGCACGAAAGAATAGAGGTTATTGGCAATGGTTAGGATATCGATGAGCATGCTTTCAAAACCTATGACCAGGAGAATCCAGACACCGAGTTGGATCAATAGTATGGCCACGAACAGATTATGTGCTATGCTTGGTATTCTGTAATTACGGGGTTGGACATTTGAGTTAAGGCCGTCTTCCATAGGTATTCCCATGTTTCTAGTTCCCTTATTCTTATGATTTCTGTTTGCTCTTATAGATTTAGTGATACATTTAGAAACGAATTATCCTAGGTCCCTGCTCCGTATCCCGGTCATGTGACCCAGTCTCGATCAGGTACACTTTTCAAACCCGGAAGGACTGGAAACGCGATCAGCATCCACGCTCCAATTACTCCACACAGCCTACTGTCATCATCAGATTCAAGAACATTTCAACTGAACAGCAATGAGTGACGGGAAGCTCTTTACGAAATCCAAATCTGTTGAGCTCAAAGCAGAACTCGATCAAGCGTTCAAGAAGCTGAAATCCCAAAATCGGATAAAGATCATCCTCAAAAAGGTTATAGCCAATATCGTTCTTCACAACAATGAATTAGTCAATTTGATGCCGGACATCATCAGTTTGATGAAGATTGATGATTTGGCAATCAGAAAAATGTGTTTCCAGTACCTTATTGCCTACTGTCCGTTGGCACCAAAACTGGCATTGGACGCGATTCCATTCTTGAACAGATTCAAGGACGACATCTCGCCCATAATGCGATCATTGGCCTTGAAGACAATGACCTCGATTCCCATCAAGGAGTTCATGGAACTATCGTTCAGCACTGTTAAATTTAAGCTTGAGGATGCGGATCCGTACGTTCGTAAGATTGCAGCATTTTCAGTATCCAAACTCTACCAATACGATGCAGAACGAACTGAGAAAGAAGGTTTTATTGACAGCTTAAACGAATTATTGTATGACAAAAACCAAATTGTGGTATCCAATGCATTGGCAGCATTGAGCTATATTACAGAACAATCAAAAACGTTGAGTTTGACTATCGATAAGGCTCACTCGTTGACACTCATTTCATACCTCAGCAATACTAATGAGTGGTGCCAAGTCTATTTGCTCAACTCGCTAATGTCGTATGTTCCAAGTACTACCAACGAGGCCTTGGATTTGATCGAAGCAACCATCCCATCTTTGCAACACGAGAACTCTTCAGTGGTATTAAATGCGATTAAAGTAATAATTTACTACAGCAACTATGTGAAGAATCCAGAACTTATTTTACCTTCTCTACCAAAACGTTTGGGGGCTTCCTTGGTGTCTTTACTCTCTAAACCTGCTGAAATTCAATTCTTGGTGCTCCGTAATGTTATCTTACTATTATTGGGAAGAAAGGAGCTCTTGAATGTCGATGTTGAAATGTTTTTCTGTCGTTATGATGACCCAATCTATGTGAAAGATACCAAACTAGAAATAATATATTTACTAGCCAATGAATCCAATAGTCATATCGTGTTGCGGGAATTGGAGGAATATGCTATTGAAATTGACGTCTCAATGTCTCGAAAGGCTATTAGAGCATTTGGAAACTTAGCAGTCAAATTACCAAAATCATCAAACGAATGCGTGGATTGCATTTGTGACTTGATATCAAATGGAATACCTTATATCATACAAGAATCGGTAATCGTCATCAAGAATATCTTGAGAAGGTATCCAAGAAAGTTCAATTTTGCAATCGACGTTTTGGTAAAACACTATAAATATATTGATGAACCTGACTCTAAAACTGCTATGATTTGGATTCTTGGACAATATTGTGAAGGGATTCCAGACGTTTATTCAATATTCGAGGAGTTTATTTCCACTTTTAAAGAAGACCCAATAGAGGTTCAATCTGCTACTTTGACGGCTGTGACCAAATACTACTTGAAAATGCCTCAGCAAGGTGAAGCATTAGTTTTGAAGGTATTGAAATGGGCTACGGAAGAAATTGATAATCCAGATATTAGAGACAGGGGATTCTTTTACTGGAGATTGTTATCCTCCGAAGAAGCCAATGGGCAAAATGGCGAGTTCCAAGAAAACACGAAACGCATAATTTTGAGTAATAACCCATCAATATCATCGGAAAATGATAACATCGATCCGAACATTTTGGAGGAACTTGAACTTAATATTGGTACTCTTGCATCTATTTATTTGAAACCAGTTCAACATGTTTTCAGATTGGCAAACAGAAAGTTCTTGCCACAGAGCCCTGCATTGCAACCAAGACCTAAACAATCCCCAATATCATCAGAATCGAGTCCTGCTCCTGACGAAGAAGATGATCCTGCTCCTCCTCCCCTGCGTCCATATCTTAATGGAAATCAAAGTGATAATTTTTTGCATGTTCGGAGAAACAATTCACAAAGATCAAGCAAGCTCAGTCTTCCCAGACAAGCGTCATTTGACTCAGGGTTCTCCAACGAGGAATTTCCGGCCAAAAAGGGAAGTTTTGCCCAAAGACTTTCACGGAAGGCTTCAATGATTACTAGTAGAAAAAATTCCACTAAGTATTAAATTGGATGAACGCATATAGAATTCAATAATGAAAAGAAAATGACCAAACAAAGACTCATGAAGCAAACAAAAAGATAACTAAATCTCAGTAATTTCAATCACTTCATGAAAATCCTCTTCCTTTACTTTAACCTCCGGACTGTGATTACCTAGAAAATCCAGCTCTGAATCTTGAATCTCTTCTTTCACTTCTTCGACCTTCATTAGTTTCTTTGTTGCTTTTCTTACTTCAAGAATCTGAAGATCGGGCGAGAATTTCACCACCAGTCCACCAGTTTGGATTGTTTCAACTTTCAAATCGGGCATATTTGCTTCTGGGCCATCTAAAACTTCGTCTTTAATCACCGACAAATCGTATCCTAGAAGTCCTGCTAAAATCAAAATACAAGCAGGTTTTGACATCACTTGCAGCATTTCTTTACAGAACAGCGCAGTTACACAACCAGGACATCCCCAATCGCACTCACAGCCCCTAACTCTCATGTATGTTGTGTGCAAAATATCATCTATGTGTTCGAATGTTTTCAATGAAATGCCAGAGCCTTTCTCGCCACCATTGGTATCATGAAAAATCAATCTGGCTGGTCTTTTCCTATTAGTTTGCCTTTGGGCAAATTCTTTCTCAGGAGCCTTGCATTCAGTCATAAGTTCGGACTCACCAATATTTGAACTGAATTTAGCGTTCGGATTTGTGGATGCGCCTCCGTTTATGAACAAAGGTAAGATATTCATGATGGCGTGTTGAGCAGCATGAATTCCTCCGGCTGGTGACAATGATTTTTCTTTTATTACGTCGAAGACAATATTTGGTATGTCAATCCAAAATCCTTTGGATTCTAACTTAATTGGCGGGTTGTTTACCTCAACGACTTCGAGGATTTCCGATCTTCGATTAACTTTAAAGAAGCCAAAGACTATAATTGTTGTAAGTATTTTTCCAAAATAAACAGGAATATCACTCGGTCTTTGTGAATCGGGAGGGCATAATTGCTTAACGTAATCAATTTCCACGGGATCAATATCAGTGAAATCCCTTTGACTAGTTGTCCAATCAACTTTTACTCTGGTGACCTTTGCGAATTTTTCATCGTAATTGAACTCCTTCACAAGGTAAGGCATACCTTGATGCAAGAATATACCCCCCTCGTATAGAGTAAAGCTAGTACGGGATGCTTCCACTTCTTCAATTACAACATTCCTGTTGTTGGTTATATCGACCACTGCGAACATGCTGTTTTCAATAGATCTAATTGTTACGTGCTCTGAGGGCCAAGGAAGATATTTTGGATTAGTGCGATAAAGATCTTTAGCATCCTTGTATAACAGTTTTCGGCAGAGCTTCACAAAGGTATTCGATTTTGAAGCTGATTCATCGGGTGCAAAATAATCCATGTCGTCCGTAGAAATTGGAAACTCGTAGGATGAACATTGTAAGTGTTGTTCCATAATCAACTCATTAGATCCCATACCCAAAAGTCCCTCAACGCACAAGTCCTCATACGTACTCTTGTCACACAACTCATCTATATTTTTAATGTAATGCTGGTCTATTGGGTTGGGACCACCCACAAAAAACGCCAAACTTCCTTGAGAATCTCTCGACCTACCAGCCCTACCAAATTGTTGATGTAGATTCAGCTTCAGCATTGGAAATCCGCAAGTTATCACAACGTCAAGATCAGATAGATCGATCCCCAATTCCAATGCGTTAGTTGCAATGATGGCTCTTAACTGACCTGAAAACATCTTTTGTTCAATCGTTCTTCTGTCTGACTTTGAATAGCCTCCTCTATAGGACATAACATCTGCTTCACTCAATTTATACAGCGGGTTATTCTGGATGAGGGTCTTGACTTCTTTAATTAGAAGTTCACATACAACTCGAATAGGGCAAAAGACTATCACTCTGATCGATGGAAATTTGTGCAAGATATGGAGTAAGAGTCTGGCAGTTTCCGGAATGATATTTTCTCTTGGGATAAATTTAGAAGACTTCGATTTAGAATTTTCATCATTGGTGTCTGTTTCGAAAAATGTTTCAATTGAGTGCTGACCTCGTTTATTCATTAGTGGTGGTGGATTCCAGACTATCAACTTTTTCTCCCCGCAAGGACTGCCATCTTTAGATACATGAACGACTATTTCATGCTTTCTTATTGCACAAATAGTTCTGAAATGTGAAATTGGATTCATGATTGTTGCAGAGCAGGAGATGAATCTAATTGAGTTGTTGAGATAAACCTTATTACATATTCTGTTTAGTCTTGCCATCACATATGACACGTGAACCCCAAATGTCCCTTTGTATACATGTAACTCATCCATTACCACATACTTCAAAGTCTTTAGGAATTGACCCCATCCCGAAGAGTTCGAAGAAGCGTAGCCATCGTGGTTTGGAAGAATGGACGCATGAATTGTATCAGGATTTGTGAATATAATATCTGCGAAAGACTTTGCCCAATGTCTATCTTTCGCTGGGGTGTCACCGTCATATGTTTCTACAATAATTCGTCTGGTCTCGGATGATGGCAAATAATTGATAAATTCTTGCAAATGTCTCTTCTGATCCTGTGCTAGGGCTTTTGTAGGGAAGACAAAAATTGCGGTTGTGGACCTTTCAGTAATCCCACTATGAATGTTCCATAAAATATCGTTTAAAATTGGTAGTTGATAAATTAAAGATTTACCTGAACTGGTGGAGGTGCTTATGATTACATGTTTTTTTTGCTGTGCCATTAGAACTTCAAGTGCTTCGGTTTGATGTGAATACAAACCATCATCTATGGAGATACCACGATAATTATACAATGCTTCTTTCAAGTCGGGATGAAATTCCCAGTCGCCGCTGGGTTTAAATTTTGTTAGTTTTGCTTCCTGTGCTGGAGTCAAAGTTCTAACACCCACGATCTGATTTTTGTAAAATGGCTTTTCTTTGATTCCCGTGATCATTGCTTCGAGGCTTGGTTTTTCAATTTCAAAACTCAGATTGGTTTCTGCGCTTTCTCTCAAGGAGTCCAATGGGTCACTCATATCTGGAGGTTGGGGAATTTTGTCAGCTACTACTTCTACCAAAGCCTGCCATGGTCTTCCCTGATTGATTTCATCCTCTGTGAAATTGTGGCAGTAGTCTGTCACAATTTTATTGAACTTCTTATTTCGGCTTTGGATCATCTGAAGCAATTGAGCATTTGTGAGTCCCTGCATTTTTAGGTCCTTACTTGAAAGGAAAAATCCTAGCCTATCATCACTTTCAACCTCATTCCGTTTTCTCTTTTTCGTGGCTGCCCCGATACCGTGCATCTTGGTGTCCTGGAAATCAAACACTAGCAATTGTCTGGAATCGTGTTGTTCGCCGCCGATATTCTCATAAACATCATTCTTAGTCTGCTGATAGCCCGTGGACCACTCGAACTTCACATTCTCTATGAAGGATAGCATGAGTTGATTTTCGTCGCAGTAGTCGAAGAAGATCTCTCCTGGGGGCATGAGGTGCTTGATAATGGCGAGATCCAGGGGAACGATTGCTGGGTTTAGCTTCTGGAGAAGCTCGATGGTGGAGATGGTAGAGCGTGAATGGGCGGCGAGAAACGTGAGATGGGTGTTGATCTGTGCGAAGATGCGGAGGAGACGGTCCATACTGGTTGGGGACATGTTGGAGTCTAGTCTGCCGAGCAAATGCCAGTACCGTGCCGTGTGTACCGTAAGGAGAGTATACTGGGGCAGATATGTGTGTGTGTGTATGCAACTGTCGTGGGTCTGTGAGAGAGCCCAGAACACTTGAAATAGCGCACCGCGTACCTATCTATGCCTGATCTGGTTACTTCTGGTCACGTGATAAGCAACTCGCGATGGTTGGTTCCTGTTTCAGATGCCCCCAGCCGCCAAACAGGAGCAACCCACAGCATTGCAGTAGGCTGAGTCGTGATCTGATTCACTCAATTGAGAGACTATCACTCCATGAACTCTGGTAGTCACCATAAGATGCATTGTAAGTGGCTGTGGGCGCAATGGCAGCACTAACCTCGCCAGTCCTTCTCCGAAGGGCCCCTGACTGAGGGAACTTGGATCATCGCTGCAAGGCACCGCCCGGGTAGGCCACGTGACCAGTCATTCTGGTTCAGGTAGCTAGCAACCATAGGGGTATAAGTATCGACTGATTCGTGCCATTGATTGCCTCTACCTTCAATTGACATAGACAATGTTCGACAAACTCAAGCTCAAAAGCAAGTCTTCAAACATCACCGCTTCAGAACCGGTGACCCCCGGTCAGGCCCCCTCCAAGAGACAAATCTACCAATCCAGAAGAAACTTCGGGGTAAATTTGGGTGCTTGCTTCGTGTTGGAGAAGTGGATCTACCACTCGATCTTTCCCGAAGGTGCTGGGTGTGAATTGGAAGCCGTGGCCAAGTGGACCAAGGACGAAGGTGCCGATGGCGCTAAAAAGCGGTTCGAGGACCACTGGAACAACTACATTACCGAAGACGACTGGAAGTGGTTGGAAGACCACGAGGTCACCTCCGTCAGAGTCCCATTGGGCTACTGGGAAATCGGTGGTGGAAAATTCACCAAGGGCACCAAATTCGAGCCATACAGTGAGGTGTATTCTAATGCCTGGGACATCTTTAAGAAGAAGTTCGTGGAAACCGCAGCCAACCACTCCATTTCCGTATTGGTAGACATTCATGGTTTACCTGGTGGTGCCAACGGTTCGGACCATAGTGGTGAACAGTCTGGAGGAGATGCAAAGTTTTGGAACGATGAAGAGAGCCAATTGCTTGTGCTTGATCTCTTGGGTTTCGTTGCTTCTGACTTGAAGAGTTACGACAATATTGCTGGTATTCAAATTGTCAACGAGTCTGAATTTGCCGACGATCCAAAGAAACAGACCAGATACTATGGAGCTGCCATCAACCTGATTAGAGAACAAGATAAAGAAATTCCAATTGTGATCTCAGATGGCTGGTGGCCTGACCAATGGGCCAAATGGGTGCAAAGCAAACAAGGCCTGGGAACCATTGGTGTGGTCGTTGATCATCATTGTTACAGATGTTTCTCTGATGATGACAAGAAGAAGGCTCCTGATCAGATTATTGGTGATTTGGAGAAGGACCTTTTAACCAATATTACTGATGATAGTAAGGGAGTTGACTACATGGTTGGAGAGTACTCGTGTGTCTTTGATGGTGCCTCGTGGGAGGTCAACAACTCTGACAACCACAGGGACCAATATGTGGTTGATTACGGAAACCGTCAAGGGCAATTGTTTGCCAAGAGAGCCAGATTTGGATCTTACTTCTGGACATTTAAGTTCGAGTCTGGTAATGGAGGTGAATGGGACTTCAGAACCATGGTCGACAAGGGAGCCATTCGTCCTGAGGGCTCCTTGAAGGGCAAGAACGTTCCTGATAAATCTGTGTTTGAGGAGAAGCTCAACAACGCTTTTGGCGGTCATACCGATTATTGGTCTAAGACTGATCCCAAGGGAAAATATGAACATGAAAGATTTAAGGAAGGGTTCACTGTTGCTTGGGCCGATGCTTCTGAGTTTTTGAAGTTCAACGGAAGTCTGATCGGTAGAGTAGAAACACTCAAGATTGCCAGGCTTCAAGAGCATATTGCTGCCAAGGGCCTGCTGAAGTACTTGTGGGAGTGGGAACAAGGTTATGACGCCGGATTGAAGGAGTTTGAATCTAGTTTGTGATTTAGTTCATTGTGTATCATAAATTTAAGAGAACCTGAGAGACCACGGCTTAATGTAGAACCAGGGCTGGGCAGGATATTGGATAAGAATAGATTCTGTGAGCAGAGTATTAGGATTCAAAACTAGCGACCTACCTGATCAGGGTTGTGCACAGGGATTTTGCAACCATTAATAGCTGGGTTGCTTGGTTACTCCGAATATTCACATGCCATTCATACAATTCTTTATCAGTGTACACGAGTGTCTGATGAGCTCTCTTGGGTTTATGTGACCGAATACTTCACTGGTAGCGAAGTATCAGATTTGCTCACTAGTACGGTGATGAGACCGCCAATACTCCGCCATTGGATCCCAGCAGGGACTAAAGTACCCATTTGGCTATTTGATGACTGTGCAAGCTCCCTTGAGATCGTATTATGTCTGGCTCTGTCTGTACCGGTTTCCACAACTGGCTGTATCAGTCTAGTGTTGGACTTCGCAACCACCAAGCTTCAGGTAATTCCGTCTAGCCACGATGCGCCTACCGATACCAGCAATGAACATCCGTACTTCAATACACAACCAGCAGACAATACATCAAGGAAGAAATCTTTTGCTGTTCCCTTCTACCATGCCTCTGACTGTTGACTCTCCCCGTCCAGAAGAGCACTAAAGTGTAGCACTAAATCAAACCTCGCAGGTCTTATGTGCAACCCCACGCTCACACTTATCGCACCGATCCCCAGTTTGCCTCCATCATCAACCATGACCATATCACAAGTGGACACGCTCGTGCCCCCCCTCTACCAGGCGCTCATCGATCCGTCGCCCTCGCTAGCCAAGGTCCTCAACTACCAGGTCAGTCTCCTTGAGATCTTCACCCACGAGGTCAAGAAGTTGGACAGAATCAATGTATGTGATCACGAATTAGCCTATGTTGCCTACACCTTGACAGCCCGGTTGAACAAGTATGCACAAGCGTTGGCGTCAGATAAGACCAGGGCCTTCTGCGACAGCATCCGTGACACCTTGGACCGCAAGAAGCAGGCATATGATCAGGTCCGAGCCATGCTTGAGGGCACAACCACCACCCAGGTGCCTCCAACTGAAGATCCTTTGCTATCGAGGTTCAACAAACTCAAGTCTCCCAGCCAGGCGCTGCCAATCATGCTGAATGTACGCTTGGTGCTGCCTGGTGGCGCACACCCTGAAGGCGTTACCCCAAAAGAGCTTAGTCCATTGCTCCAGCTGCAGAAGGTACTTCTCATTGACTACAGGGCCACGAAGGACTTCAACCACAACCACATCAACTACTCCGAAATCATAAATATAGAGCCTTCGATTGTCCAGTCACTCTTCTCGCTGGGCGCATCCTCGGTCACTGACCAAGACCTCGAATCAAAGCTTAAGCTCCACTTGCCAGAAGACAAGTTCCAAAAGTTCCAAAATCGATACAAGTACGACATGGTGGTATTCTACAACTTCCGTTACGGTCCTTCTACCCCAGGTATGAATCGTTTTCAGGCATTAATTCAAGCATTGATTGATGAGGACACCACCTATGTTCCTTCCAAGAACCCTTTTAACACATTGACCGAACTACTCATGTTCAACAACAAATACATCAGTTCGAGATTGAGAAACCACCCATGCTTTCTTATTGGTGGTGTTTACGCATGGCACCAGACCTTTGGAGACAAAGGTTTGACAAAAACAGTCGCGAATCTGATCTTAACAAGACCTCTGGCAAGCTTGTCTAGAGGTAGCTCTGTATCTTCAACCTCAAGAAAAGATCACATTACTCGCCCTAATGGTAGCTCGCCATATTTGAAGAATTTTGGAGAGTACTTATCCACAGCAAACACAACCTCAGAAACTCCAATTTCAAATACATTCACTCAGGCCTCGTCTAGACCAGTATCGGCAAACACTCACATTGGTGCAACTGCATACGAACCTGATTCTCCACCTGTTCAGCAAGCTCCAAGAAGACCCTCCAGAACCCCTTCTTTATCTTCAACTACATCAAGCATCACGAAAGCTGTGTCAAAAAACAGTTCAAATGGCTCTTCAACTTCGTCAAATGGTACGACAAACTTAAGCAGTTCCAAATCGGCGAGTCCTGTCAAGTTTTTAGAACAATACACCACAGGACTTGTTAATCTTGGAAACTCATGCTATATGAATTGTATTATTCAATGTTTGGGAGCAACTCCTCAATTAACGAAGTTTTTCTTTCCCACAGTATCAGCAGCGATGCTGTCAAATCAAGCAATTCAGTCATATCGGCAACATATAAATGTGAATAACAAGCTTGGCTCGAAGGGAATTCTTACGACCAATTTCGTTACATTGTTGGTGAATATGTTTAACAATAATGGAAAATCATTCTCACCCAATAACTTCAAAAAAGTAATGGGTTCTTTGTCACCAGGAGGTCAGTTTGCATCTTTTGATCAGCAGGATTGTAATGAATTTCTCAACTTCCTTCTCGATGGACTTCATGAGGATTTGAATCAAATAGTCATCCAAAATCCAGAGGAGAAGAAAGCAATTCTTGAACTAACTCCAGAGCAAGAAAAGACCCGTGAATTATTACCAATTAGATTAGCATCAACAATTGAATGGGAAAGATACTTGAAGTTGAATTTTTCCATTATTGTTGATTACTTCCAAGGCCAATACTTGTCACAGTTAAGGTGCTTAGAATGTGAGTTGACTTCAACGAGCTACAATGCATTCTCCAGTCTCTCTTTACCCATTCCTGAAAAGTTAGGATCTTTACATTCACAGGTACTGTTAGATGATTGTTTGAAAGAATTCACAACGACTGAATTATTGGATGATAATAATAAGTGGCATTGTCCAAGGTGTAAGAAATTTACCAAGCTGACCAAAAAAATCTCTATCACAAGATTACCCCAGGTTTTGATTGTGCATTTCAAGCGTTTCAAAATTACTCCACAAGGGTATTTCAACAAGTTGGACAAGTTCGTGGTGTATCCAGTTCAAGAAACTTTGGATCTTACTAAGTATTGGCCTGGAGTTGGTACGATTCTCAATAAGAATAGTGATGTTATGAGTGTTGAAAAGGAAGAGCAGATATTATCATCATTGCCGGTGAGAAATCAGGTACCTCCATTCAGATACAAGTTGTATGGAGTAGCCAATCATTTTGGTAATTTGACCACAGGTCATTATACTTCATATGTGTACAAAGAAAACGATAACAAAAAAACAAGAGGGTGGTGCTACTTTGATGACTCAAAAGTCACCTACAATTGTTCTCCTAGCCAAGTTTTGAACAAGAATGCCTATTGTTTATTTTATCAACGAGTGTGAGTTGAATTGGCCTTCATGCCTTTTCAGTAATTTCAGTAGAGCTCAGTAGCTCAGTAAAAATATAGACTAACGAAATCTAACGATAAATATATGTCAAATCTAGATAAAACATGGGAATTCAGTTTCCAATACTTGTAAAGCTAAGTCATAGAATGGTAAACCTTTCAACTTTTACTAAATTGAAATGATGCTAATCAAAGCAGCGTTATGATTGATAATAATTACAATCACTGATTGGAGAACAATCTCCAAGTTCGGTAAACATTATCCTGCTCTCCCGAGAAGCAGTTTATATCTTATATCTTATATCTCATCTCATATCAAAAGCAATTTGTGAGACTTTCGAACTCTTTTGGCGTGACCAAGGAATTACCATTACAAGGTAACTCAGCATGAACCCTTAAAATTGATACTAGTAATGGAAAGGGAGCTTAACTTCCTTTTGAAACCAGAGCCTGTTCAGCTTAGTGACAACAAATAAGTCATCATTCGCCTGTCTCAGCTGCCTTCTCGCTGACCTTAATCCTTGGATGTGCCCCTATTACTCCCTTGCTCATTCCCACCCACAACCATTCCACCTTGTCTTCACTGTGTATACTTATCTCCCCCTTGAACCCTTCCACGAAACTACGATCATTCACTGTTATATTCGTAGTAAAGTTGATGAACTCGTTAAAGATTGATATGGATGACCAGAACTGGAGTTTCCTCAAGCATGCTATCACAAGACTTGTTACTTGTCCCCCGTTGAGACAATGGATATATACTGGAGCATACTTATTGTGAATAATGTAGTCCAAAACATTAAGTATGGTAGAATACCCCATGGGCACCCCTCTCTTCTTGCCTTTGCCAGACTGTGAACACTCCAAGTGGATTAGGTCAATGGCATTGACTCGAGCAAACTCAAAGAGTACGGGATCTGTGGACAGAGTGATGGGATCAGGAGTCAAGGAAATGATTGTCTTGAGTTGAAGGGTCTTGAGGAAGGCAAAGTTGATCTCTCGGGGGTATGCTCCTCGGTAAAGGTCTTTCTGAACCGTGTTGAACCGTAAAGGTGGTGTCAATGGCCCCGGTATTTCAAGCTCCATGTTCAAGCGCGTGTCTAGGAAATGATGGGAAGATAGAAGGAACAGATAATAAGACTCTCTGATACCATATATACAGTACGACTGCTTTATATCCCGTTCAATTCCCAAATGGCTGTTGAATGATTGCAACTGGCTGGGGTATCGTGATGTCGAGTCGAGATCATGATTATGTTATCTGTTACGTAATCTATCCCACGACCCACCATGAGATACATTTGTTGGGTCATAGCTGCAAGTCTGTATGTCGACCATAGAGTGGACTGTTGAGTTACCAGACCCTACGTAAACCTGAAGTGAACATGTTATTAATTAATAAATAATCTGATTACTATAAAAATCAAATCCTACAACCTAACAAGGCTAATATTGACAGGTCTCTATAATGATCCCATAAAAACAATCATGAATCATCCTGACATTGGCTTTTTACAATCTTCCACATTAGTTGCCAATACTTCCTCAATGGTTTGTCTTGGAGGTTGACCTGGAATCTTGGAACCTCCAGCAATACCGCTACTGAACTTCAAGTACACCAAATCACCGACTTCAGACATCTTTTGCAACACATAGTCCAAATCATCTTTGTTCAATGCAGCAGAAACACAAAGTCTAGCTCTAGCACTAATCAATGGAGTTGCTGGGTAACTGACGATAACAACAGCAATCTTCATGTCGTAAAGAATTCTCGAGAAGGCAGGCATCTTGGCAGGCAAGAAGATCAACAATGGAATAACCGGGGAGTCATCTGCACCATAAACAATAAAACCTAACTTCTTTAATCCCAATCTCAAATAACGAGAGTTGAATGCAATTCTCTGCAATCTTTCTTTACCTTCGCCAGGGTTAATGGAGCCGTTGATGATACTTAATGAAGAAATAATTTGTCCTAGCACTGGAGGTGGAACAGATTCGGCATAAGCATAAGTGATGTAATTGAGTCTCAATCTATCGATAGTAGACTTATCAGCTGCGATGTAACCACCAGTAGCACCAAAAGACTTGGTGAAAGTACCCATCAAAATATCGACTCTGGCAGGATCCACTTTGAAGTAGTCACAAACACCACCACCGTTTGGACCAAGGGCACCAATGGAATGGGCCTCATCAACAAACAAATAGCACTTGTACTTTTCCTTAAGTTCAACAAGCTTTGGCAAGTTACAAAAGTTACCTTCCATGGAGTACAAACCTTCAACTGCAATGATGATCTTCTTCCATGGACGGTGGGTCTTTGGTTGGCCTTGGGCAATTTGGTTTCTTATCAACTTTTCTAAGTCATCCATATCGTTATGCTTGAATACCTTAACAGAAGCACCAGATAATCTGATACCGAATCTAATGGAAGCGTGGTTCAACTCGTCACTAATAATTAAAGTCTTGGAGTCAGCGATGGATGCAAAGAAGTTGGCATTGGTACCGTAACCCATACTAACAATAACGACATCTTCCTTGCCAACGAAATCAGAAATAACCCGTTCACATTGCTTGTGAAGATCGGTGTAACCGGCAACCAGTCTTGGCGCGCATCCAGAAGCACCATAGTTGTCAACTGTGTTCAAGGCATAGTCGGTACAAGAGCCGTGCGATTGAGCGAATCCCAAGTAATTATAGGAAGACAAGTTCAAGCACTCGTCGGTGTCGCCACTGTAAAGGTACCCGGTCTTGCCCTCACGAACACGGTTGAAACACTTGACGTATCTACCTGGAGCACCATGGATGGGTCTGGCGAAACAATCGTCGATTCTTGCTTTCAAACGACGAACGTAAAAGTTCTCGAAACCGTCGTACCATGGGGCGTAGCCATCCTTCTCTACCAAGTCTTCATACTCGCTGGGTTTGAAGATCTTACCGAAGAAGTCTCTGACATGACCGATGAGGATCAAAATAAGGTAGGAGATGTAGGTGGCTATGTAGATGATGTATGGAGGTTCATCATCGATAGGAGTGGGCCATGGTTTCCCCACGGGGTGGCCCGAGGTGTAGAGGTGATCCTTGGATACCAAGCGCCCGAACTCGAGGTCCTTGAGAACCTCTTCTGGACGGTCGTCATCATGGGCGTTTGGAATGAAAGCGGTTAGTTTGGAGTTAGTACCAGACATCTTGATTCAAACGGGGCTGTAGTGTCAAAAGGAACGTGGATAAGTAGCGAAGCAGTCTGGCAGGGGACTGGGATGGAGCAACGATACGTGAGACAATTGCTGGACCAGTTATGGAGGTGGCACAAGCTCGGACACGTCTGGGAAATCGGCGATTGAAAGGATTCCACCAGCCAGAAAACAACTAAGGGGGAAGCGAGTCCTTTGTAGGGATGTACCAGAGAAACACGGACTCAAACAAGCGCTAGTAACTCGACGGCAAACAGTTGGAATCGGACAAACTAAACTTGTTCAGTTTACTCGCAAAGTTTATTTGTCGATGTCTGCTTATAATGGACCTGAGAAAAGCGCGTACTGCAGATACTGCTGGACGGGGCACCCGGTAAAAATAGCTCTTGCGGATGGTCCTGGGGCTGGGGTCCTGGCCTGATGCTACGTCTGGGTTGCAAGCGGATGTGTGGCCGGCTGATCCGGCTATCTGCCACAGCGAAACGGGCCTGGCCTGCTTTCTCCAGCCCGTACCGAATATTTTTAGTGGATAGGAGTACAAATCGGGCCAGATAAAATTCGACCTGCAAGGGTCCGTCAGCCAGAGAGGCATAGGGGCGGGTCATGTGGAGAGCCTGGCCACAGTCAGCAGAGGCCTGCTCTAGATACCCTTTTCTGCGTGCCGAGTATCCGAAGTATGGAGAGACCCCTATTCTTTGGACCATGCAAAATGCAGGTTTCGCCTGAGTCAATCTGCATGTTAGTCCAACAAGCCTCACAACTACTACCAGAGCCCGGCACGGCCATCACCAGAGTATGGTAGTAAGCAGGCCGGGCAATGTAGACCTAGCGCGATGCTCTTCGACCCCTCGTTGGTCACCGGCTCTTGTATGCTGGAGTCACCCACACCTCTACGTTAATTGTGGGAATTCGTGTGTGTTCTCGCAAGCAATTGCTGTATTCGTACGATAATTCTATTATTGTCTCACTATCTCTCTAGCAGAATAGTGTACCGCTATTGTCACCTGAATTGCAATCAAATCGAGGCTTTGGTGCTCGCCATCCACACCAGAATTTGAGTTGTACAGTGTAGAACGTGCTCTTACTCTCGCTATCGTTACCCTGGGTGGCACTCGGGTCTGCTCCACAATCCAGAGTAGTGGAGTTAGGATGGTTCCTAACTTCTCGCCATCGGACCAAACGGATAATCCATGTACGTTTCGCTGTCTAACCGCACAGATATTCGTTGGTTGCAGCTCGAAGCTAGACCAATTCTACCTGAGGCCCAATATAGAACACAAGACCAAGATGTGGTTACTTCGGGTACAAGCCTAGGAATGACAGCAGTGGGTCAACAGCCATGAGCTACTGTTGCCCCAATCTATTCCGCCATCTAAAATTGGCATGGTTTTTAAATGCAAATGTAGTACTATAGAGAACTAAAAATAAACCCCAGTGGCTGTCCTGAATGGATTCTAGTAGCACCACATCTACCTTCCGTCCAGGACCACCTTGTAGATCTTGTAATTTCTTTCCTCGTCTCCAAACAACTTCAATACGTACTCGAAATTGGGAAGTTCCCACTCGATATGTCCAATTGCCAACACGGTGCACGGCAATGAACCCACCAACTCTTGACACTGCCTCATTAACACGGGGTCATCCATGCAAGAGAAGGCTTCGTCAAGAATAAGCAATTGTGGTTCCTTTACCACTGCTCGCAAGAAAAGTACCAATTTTTGGTGAGTAATAGACAAATCCTTGAATTTAGTGTTTTCGAGTGTATTCATGATAGGGAACTTGTTGACGAGTTCGTGGTAGGTCTCATTGGGCTCTCCTTTGTAGAAGAAATTAGTGTTTCCAACACCCCTCACCAATGCATTCACAATGATCTCTTTGGCGGTGTTATTGTCAGGTACCAATGCGTGCATTTCTGGTGAGGAGATACCGATTACGTTGTTCACATCGAAGAAATTGGCTCCAGATCCGGTTTTACGGGGCTTTCCTTCAATGGATATCACCGATCTCCATGATTGTGGATGGTCTGCTGTAATTAACGATAAGATAGTAGTTTTTCCCGTACCATTGTCGCCCAAAATCCTCCACTTAGAACCATGAGGGATATTCCAGTTGAATTTATCCAACACCTTAAGTCCTCTGTATGCCACGGATGCGTTTGTAAATTGAATGTGGGATGGGGAAAGGGAAGAATTCGAAATTTCTTCAAGTTTTGCTGGAACAGGTTCCGTTACTGTGGCCGCTTCTTGAGGAATATACACGTCTTCCTTGAAGCCATTCATCACTAATCCATCTTCTGTGACGTGCCCAGCGTGAGTTACCCATGCCGGGGTAGGATCTTGTACTCTCAACCCCAAAACCATGGCGATTCCCAAATCTTGACTGACTCTTCTTAACGACTCCAGTACAAGAATAGTTGCTTTAGGATCCAACCCCAAAAATGGATCGTCAATAATCAACAAATTTGGTTTCAATATGAGTGATTTTGCAATTCTAGCCCTTCTCAATTGACCATTGCTTAGGGAGTTGATCCATTTCTTGGAAAGGTGCTTCAAGTTAAAGAGTTCCATTAAGCGATCAACGTAAGCTGCTTCAACTCCCTTTGCTGTATTACTATTGTAATTATTGGATCCAATAATGTAGTTCAGCACTGAGTTCACATCGTCGGACATTTCAAGTTCTCCCTTGTAGGAGTATGATTCGTATCTGGCTGATAAGTGAACTTTGTCAAGGCCAGAGCTTTCCTTGAAGTCGAGGAAGGTCACACGGTCATATTGAAAGGTTTTGGAAATGAAGGGATATGTTCTTGCAAGCTTAGGGGATGCAAACAGTCTGCCCGCTAAAACTGAGAGAAAGGTAGACTTCAAAGGACCAGTAATGGCCCAGAATGCACCTGAGTCACTCGTGTACTGTTTGCCCTCCAGGGTTGAATTTTGGGGTTTCCAGACCTCGAATTTTTCAATCTTGTTTTTGAACAAAGCTGCTGCATTGGGCCCAGTATGTTTGCTGAAAGTAGCCCCATTAATTCTTACCAAGCAATGTTGGTGAAGTCTCGTGGTAAGCTTCATGTTAGTGAGTCGACAAAGGTAATCTTCCCCAGAATACCATTCCAATTATATGTATTGGGGATTCCGATGTCGACCTGCATAGTGGAGACGTTCCGACTACATCCAGAAGCGGCCCGACTCGGAGGAGCGGATGCCTGTTAGGTTGAGACACCTGTCAAGAAGAGTGAAGAGTGAAAGTGCAGGGTATCGCACTGTAAGATGAAGAAACCTCAATGAATGTGGTTGGATATTCTATGGTTTAATTATGAGTTTTTACTAATTCATCTCAAGAGCAGTTTTTGCGACTATCTTCATCGATTTCTCATTTTCTCACAATTTTGCACCTAAATTGTCAAAGTTTACTATATTGTGAAGTATAGATTGGAGCGATCGTGTAATGATAACTCACACTAATTGTTTCAAGGAGAATTGCTTGAGATCGTTCATCTATATACCGCCACTCGTTAGAGGTTTTCGGAGCCACCAATTATCGCAAGAATTCTTCTCTTGTACTCTCTTACGAAGACGTCCATCACCCGTTCTTCTCCATTATAATAGTCATCGAAGTTAGGAACATATGAGAGTACCGCATTCAACCCCCCCTCTTTGCTACTAACCACACAAAGGGTAGTGTTGGTCTTGATTCCAACTGTCTGCGAGAAAACTACATCAACAATTTTGTAATCTTGCTCTGTTTCCTTAATTCTTCCAAGATTAGATAAGACGTTGGTAGCACGGCTTGGTGTTCTTGAAATTTCCCTTAACTTCCTGAGCCTGAAATACCCATAGAATGAAGCACGGCCAATGCTCATAAAGTTGGAAGATGCCTGTTTGCTGAGTCTGCTTTGGAGGTATCGCACAAACATATTGGTCCGTCCCAAAACTGGAGGCAATTCCACAATGTCCACGTTACTGAGCATACCAACTTGAAAAGATTTCGAAGGAGGTAAGCATCTTCTGACATCGATGGCAATGCATGTCAGAGTGCTAAACTTGGTGCTGGAATCGATCTTCGAGAAAACAACTTCTTCTAAGCATTGTAAGTAGGTTGCGTGAAGTAGTGGTGTTAAAGTTAAACTATTGGATTTGCAATAACTCAAAGCCTGGGAAATTTCTGCGGGTGAAAGCTTGATGATGGCAACTCTGGTTTCGGGGCCTGGAATAGGCTTGCCAAAGGTGAATTGGGGATTTTTGTATGTATCAGGAACCATTAAATTCCACCAATTTCTGAATACATTGAAGACATTTCTTACAATTGGAGGACTTTTTATGACAAGAACCATCTGGATTAAGTCAAGAATAGTCGGATTCAACTCTTTGTAATGTTCCAGTGGTGGCATTGGGGCCTTGACAGTAGTGGACGAATTTCCATGCTCAAACAAGATTTCGATAGGATCCGCTTTTTTCAGGCTAGATAATTCATCACAGAGGGCCTCTTGAAAATAGACCCCGGATCTTCCATCGTATAGGGCGTGATCGAAATAGAAGGTTAGGTATTGTTCACCGCTTGGTAACTCAAAAACTATCAATCTCCATAACGGAAGATTTCTATGGTTGTAAGGGCATGTCAATTTGAGGATATCGTTGAGTACAGTCTCGTCAAATGCTTCGATCTTGACGAAGCTGACCACATCCTCAAACTTTATTAGATCCACTATGCTAAGTCTCCACCCGTCGTCATCTTCAGTGTCGCTAAAATCTTCATCCCTGAAAAAAGAATACGTCAACCAGACTTCTTTCTGAACAAGTCTTTGCAAAGCATTTGCTAATTGACTAGGTGTCACACCACGGTTGTATCGTGCACTAACGTTGAAGTTCGTGTAGGTAGACTGCAAATTTTTGTAGAGAAAGTACCTCTCTACGGAGCCTGGGAGTCTTGATAGTTGAGTCATTGGGCCTCGTCACTTCAAGCGGCCCAAGCATGACCACTTATATACAAAACTATGCATGCTTTTGGTTAGGGGTAGTAGCATAAGAGAAATACGACATTGAAGTTGACGACATTCGAGGTTACGATATTGAGCGAAACACGACCAAGGGAGACATTAAGGTAAGAACGACTCAATGATCAATAATTAGTAAGAAGAAGAGGAGAGTAAGAGGAGAAAGGCGGAGAAGGTATCACCAAGAGAATTGGCAGCCGTCGGGACAATTTCCGCTCGAAGGGGAGAATTGATAATGAGGAGAAGATGATTATCAGAAAGATTCTCGGAATGAAAAGTGGAGAAACCATATCTACGAATTATGGTATAAATAGACGGTAAATTGATGATTTATCGATGTGCTCAAGTCTACTGATTAAGTATACTAAATATTGTTTCAATAAAACTACAATCTAAAATCCTATTCTCTCAGTGCTAGCTTCGCCTGCACACAAGGTTCTATAAAAACCAACACTAAGGACCTACGAGTATCACGTGACTCTGATATTGATATTTGTTGGAACATACGTCCTAAACGACATTATGGCGCGACATCATAATTCTGACGACATTAAGAGAACCGCGACATTGGTAAAACACGATAAAATTCCGCATTAGCAAAGTTGCAAATAAGGCGAGGTTACACTATGATGTCAGGACAACAACCATTGTCATTCATACGGCAATGGCTTAAGATGAAACAAGTCAAGACGGAATGAACGAATCTAGATGAGCAATTACCAAAAAGAACGAAAGTAATCGCTCAACTGAAAACAGAGACGGAAAGAACGGGTGAAATTCTCCCGTACCGATCCGATCAAAGAGATTGAAATTAGTACAAATTCTAACAATATTACCTCCATAACATACAATTCACTAGGGAGAGTAATAATGCCGGTGAACCGACACTGGGCTATCACATGAAGCCGAGTGTCGGCAAGACACAAAAGCCCGACGGGCTATATAAACACCTATATTTTGAATAGTTAGCTCCCCAGTTAATAAAAGGATCTTAAGTGACCAACGCATACTACACATCCTAACACTTTTCCAAACAATAGGCAAATCTGTTGGTACCGAATGCAGATGCAATTACAGCGCCTTTTTTTATCTTAAAATGATACACATAGCTGTGTTAGAGCGAATCCACTCTCCTCCACCAGTCCGCATCTCTCGAAGCATCACCGAAGCACCAACCGTGGTGGTCGGGAATTGAATGACAGAGTACTGTTACTTACCTGCACCCAAGACACATCAGATCAACAGAATTATTTCGCGCCACAATTACCCAACACAGCTTATCGAAAGATTGACATTTTGCAATGTTGAGCTATCACCAGTAGGCCAGTAAATAGCACGAGCTTGCCCGATGAAGCCCGATGAATCCCATGCATACTTTTGTAGTTGCTGATACAGCTAGTAGATGTGTTTGAGTCGACTAGCGTCTTTTTCAGGCCAGGCTTCTCCACGTTTTACGTTTCTAGAACACTAGCCACCGATCGAACTGGCCACGTACACGACCCGGCCACCCCAGAACAGAACACCAGGGCCTCTTTAACTTCAGCACCTCCAACATACGGCCATGATCCTCAGGTTGCCTTTACTTGTGCTCAAGGTGATCCTCACCTCGTTTGTGGTCTGGATTGTCCTTTCTACCACCATTCCACAGGCGTTCGTCCGTTTCACTGAACCTCAAGTCCAAACCAACCACTACCAGAAATCAACCTATCCCTATAACTCCATTACATCGCCCACGCCCTTGCCCATTCAGAACTCGTCAGTGTACTTTGTCATTGGCCACCCTGACGATGAGGTGATGTTCTTTTCGCCCTCATTAATCGAAATAACCAAGGAAAAGAACGGCAACGAGGTCCACCTTGTTTGCTTCTCCAATGGGGACTCCTTGCACGAGTCCATGGGCAGGATCAGAGGCAAGGAGTTAGTCAACTCCGCTCGTATTTTGGGCGTAGACGAGAGCAGAGTCACTGTACTTTCCTCCTACAAAGATGGTATGAACGAAACATGGGACTCCGACAAGATCAAAAAGTCCTTGAGCAGCATTATAACCAAGGGAACCAAGCCCGCAGTATTGGTGACGTTCGATGAGAATGGGGTTTCAAACCACCCCAATCATATTTCGTTGTACTACGGCACTTTGAACTACTTCCAATCCACTGGAGACAAGTCCAGTAAATTGTTCATCTTGAAGAGCTTGAATTTCTGGGAGAAGTACAGCTTCACGTTCTTGACCAACATCGAATTATTTGTGGACCACCTTTCCAAGTTGGTAGTGGGTAATATCTTGAATCTCGATATAAACATCAGTTTTTTCAGCAAAAACTCCAGTTCCAAATCTATCAGATTTTACTCCGATTTGAACATGTTGAGTGTCAGTTACGCGGCAATGTCATATGGCCATTTTAGCCAGATGGTGTGGTTCAGATATGGTTGGTTGATTTTGAGCAGATACTTAACGTTCAATCACTTAATTGAGGTGACCAGATGAACCATCAGGAAGGCCGCAACAATCCTCAAACCCGACTGCCGTAGACCGGCTGATAGAGCATAAAAAAGGTATACCTTTTATACAAAAACAGATCTTATTCTCCAATATATTCCTATAGCTATCAAACAAAAGCGACATGATACACTAATCGATACCATATTCATATCGCAGTCATACATATAATATACACTAATCTATACCGTCACATTATTGTCATAAGCGACATAATACACACTTATCTATACTGTATTTTTGAAACCAAATTGTTTTTGGCACCAGTTTGACCCATGCTCGAAGTACTCCTTCTTGCTGATACTCACATCATTAATGATTTCATCATTGGTCAAGCCCACACCCCCCATCCAGCTCATCTCATCCAATTTACTATCCTTTGGTGCCTGCCTCACCCTGACAAACCAGTGCAGAGGCAACTCTTTGGTGATCTCCAGAACAAGTCTGTTCGTGAAGTTGGGGATATATGCCGAGCCTCCCACTATACTTATATTAGCCAGCAATAACGGTCTAGCAGTTTCGGGACATGCCATGATGGACTCCACCACGAGGTCGGTCAAGTTTTTGATGGGGGAGTTTTGCACCAACCCCGAGTTGGCAGTGGTCGAGTTGTTGTCGAAGATGATTTCGGGATGGTACAAAGACTCTGGCACAGTGAACCGTTCGTCTAGAAGCTTCAACGACTGGGTATCTGGTGAGATCACCGTGTTTTTGTCTCGGAGGTATCCTGTCATGGTGGTCTTGAAATCGGGAAGAATAAATTCACACATGTACTTATCCCTTGACGCCAATGCCTTGTTGAAGTCCTGGGCAAGGAAACAGGTTTGTTCCTTGATGGTGTTGATAAGAATGGGTTCTTCCAGCACGTCGTAGTGTCTGAACGAGATCAACTCCTTGAGTATGCCATTCAAGAGCTTCCCTCCTACCGGGAGCTTTCGCACTCCCTGCCAGTACACTGTCTGGTATAAAACAGGTATGATCCATGTAGCGTTGTAGCCAGAATCTATCACCAACATGAAGTCGTTGGGTGCGGTCTTGGAATTGTCCTCGAAGTCAACCCACGGCACGAGAGATGCGGCCGGGCACCGATAGTACTCGTTGAAGCCATACTCCTCGAACACAATCTGGTCGGTGTTTATGGAAAGTTGAGGCAACTGGAACGGAGCTTCGGTTAGGGTAAGATGGGTCTCTGCGGGGTCCAACTCCTTCTGGGGAGTCAATTGGTCGATAGTATAGTCCCAGATAGCCTTCTCGGTCTCCCAGGACGTCAAATGACCCTGTTCGTACGGTCTCTTGAAGAGGATGCCTGAGTGGAGGTTTGTGTGTGCGATATGCTCATTGCCAATGTGGATGATGCCGTCTTTAGTTTTGGTGAGCGTATTCTGCACTTTGAGCAACGGGCCAGACGCGAAGCCCGCCTTGATGTTGTAGGAGCCGTTATCGATGATGAGGTGCATGGGTAGGACTGGCGTTGTGGGAACTCCAGATGAGCAGTGGGCGAGACCGAAAAACCGAGGAAATCACGTGATCGCCATCAAGCGGCTGGAGCCAGCGGCCTGTCGGGGTCTGCCTGCTCACATGTTGCTGCCTGTTAAGCGATCACGTATCCGTGTCACTGATAAGCTCCCGCTTATCACACCACCCTAGGCCTCAGGCCAGCCTCGGGGATCGCCGAGGCCACCCGGAAGTCCTGAACACGTGATCATGCCACAGTAGGCCATATACGAGGATTCTCGCACCACTACGGAGATAAAGATTAACATAAATCCATCACTACACGCTCTGCTTGGTAAAGACTTCTTCTTAGGTCTCAGCATCTTCTTAGCTTATTCATAGTCGCCGCCATCCACCGGACTCCCACAAAACTTGTCTGTCTGGTCCCCCCCACCATTCCTGTTCTAGGACATTTAGCCCTCATCGTTCAAAGCCCTTCTCCAACCAGATCGACCCTGCCACAAACTTCGGGGACCAAACTCCTACCCTCCAAGCTTTAGTCACCACTGCCATCCAAGCTCACCTCCCAGCATCCGCATCATGGCGTTACTTTCGAGAGTTTTGCATCATAGTGCCGATAAGGACCGCCCATCGGTGTCTCGGAGTAACAGCTCGTACTCCAATGGGCTCACGCCCACCACCAGTGGAAGCTCCACCCACTCAGTGACTCCAGCCACAACATACAGTCTCAGCATAAATTTGGAGTCGCCTCCCATCATTTTGTACGGACAACCTCACGAGTCGACCGGCTCCATCATCTCGGGAATCTTGACCTTGGACATCAAGTCGGGGTCTCTCAACGGAGCACTGTTGCGACCCATAACCAGTGCCTCAAGCACAGAGTACGGGTCGTCACGTCTGGAATTAAACATGGAAGCAATCACTCTTTCCCTTGTCCAAACCATCAGATACAGCAAGACGTTCGCCATCCCGTCGTCTTCGGTGACTGGGTGCAAGGACTGCAACACCAAAGCAACCACATTGGCCAGATGGGACGTGCTTGCCTCACCTAAGCTGTTTAGCTCTGGAAGCTACGCATACCCTTTCTCCCATTTGCTCCCAGGCTCCTTACCACCCACCTCCAAGCTCGGCTCCTTCCACTCGAACTGCTACATCAAATACGAGCTAATTGCTGTAGGAATAAGTCCCAACTCGTCGAAAGAAGTCTCCGTCAAAATGCCAGTGAACATCGTACGACTGATTTTAAGGGGCCCCGACAGAAACTCCCTTCGCGTGTTCCCTCCTACTGATGTTACTGCCGGTGCAGTCTTGCCAAATGTGGTGTATCCAAAATCGAATTTTCCAGTGGAACTCAAGTTGGACAATATTGTTAGCAAGAGTGGAGATAGAAGATGGAGAATGAGAAAATTGTCATGGAGAATCGAGGAAAACTCAAAGGTTAGAGCGTATACTTGCCCCAAACACGCCTCCAAATTGAGATCCGTAGAGCAGACCCAGAAAAAGATTGCAATGCAAAAAGATTCATCCAATTCACAGCCAGCAAAAACATCCAACATGCATCACAGCACTATCCAGTCGTCCATGTCATATTTGACCAACCCTAGTGGTCATTCCAACTCCCACACTATTCCAGATATACCTGGAAACGAGGATGCGGAGGCTATCGAGCCCGAGCTTGAAGCTCCCAGAGATGCTCACCAAAGTTTCCTCGAGGATTTTGCACCCACTGCTACACAAGCACAAGCAGCGGACGCATCTGGTGCAACGGAGCAAACGACACCAAATAATGGTGCTAGCAATGGTCTCGTGCCTGCCTTATCTTCCACTGGCTCCATTAATCCGTCCAGAAGCATATCCCCAGTGCAAGAATCGCATGGGCATGTATACCTTGAGGAGACTCGTACGGTTACCCATGGCGAAATCAAATCAGGATGGAAGTCTGATTTCAGCGAAAGGGGACGTGTCGAATTGGTAGCTGAAATCAGCGCCGCAAATTTCGCCACCGGTTATCACCCTCATATCAGTAAGCGATCCAGTGACATCCCCAACAATGATGAGAAACACTTGGAGAACTTGAGAAACGTTGCCAATGTCGCATGTGATATAGAAGACCCTACATTAGGGATTTTCGTCAACCATACATTGATTGTGGAAGTTGTGGTTGCAGAAGAAGTGGTTCAATCTGGCGATAAAAAGAAGAAAGACCACAATTTGACTCCAGTCTCCTCATCACGCACCAATTCCCCATACATAGCACCAAGCTCGCCTGCGCCTGCCCCCAACCCACAGATTGGGGTACCAACTGGTGCTGCTCGAGTATTGAGAATGCAATTCAAACTTCATGTGACAGAAAGATCAGGATTGGGGATTGCATGGGATGATGAGGTACCTCCAACATACGAGGATGTGAGAACCCTCAGTCCTCCCACATACGAGACATCCCAGAAGGGTACTCCAGTCTCCACACCTCTTTTTCCTGCTCCATCCGCAACATATAGAGGTACACCTGGTGTGTTGTATGGAGTCGGAGATACTCCAGGAACCGGCCTGTTTGGACTTAGAGGAGATTCGGCACTTAGTATTGACCAGATGGTCGATCTAGATGAACGGATCCAGGATCTTACCATTTAGGCAATGAGATACACGATACAGGCATGATAAGAAACTAGTAATACATTCTAAAATAGACATTCCCGTGAATGTTTGTCCATACTGACAATTCCATTTGTAGGCCTATAAATAACATGGGATTTCCCCTAGAATACATATTCTACAGATTGGTTTTGGCGAAGCACCAAAACACGCTTAATTTCGATGGACTAGTCCATAGTCCGATATCATTTGTTCTCAACCACACTCACCAAGGCACTCACTGCCTGACTCTCCAGATCTCCTTCTCCCGCTCCGTCACTGTATCTGCTGACCTCCAAAAGCGAGCTGTACAAACTCGTCAATTCCAATAAATCTGCAACCGAATCCGACCGCAAATCATATATAAGTTGCTGGAATGAGTGGGACTTGATGGCATTGATGGGAAGCTTATTTTCCGTCAAGAATTTCATCAAGTGTTTATGGAATTTCATGGATGTGTAGGGGGTATTGTCGAAGTCGGCCGAGAGAAATCTGCGGTTGGACCTGACATCAAACAGTTCTGGCTTCTTCTTTTTCTTGCCCTCTTCTAACGCATGTATGGGAGCATTGACGCCCACATCGTGAGCCAACCCTGCATTGGAGGTGTCTGGAACCGCAGCAGACTCTTGGTAGTTGGCAGGATAGCTGATTGGATCACCATTGTTGGTATAAGTCACGCCATATCCATCGATTGGAATTGCACGCGAGTAGTTGATGGTCTCCTTTGTCAACTTGTGGGTTTTCAAGTGCTCGATGAGCTTCTTTGGCGAGCCTTTGTCTGAAGGGAGTCTGACCAAGATCTTGCCACAGTAGTCGCAGGCAGCGATGTTGGGGTTGGACGAGTCCTGGACAAACCAACTCCATACCCAAGACTTCTTCTTGGCCCCAAACTTTTGACCAGGACGGTTTTTACGTTCTTTCTTGGGGGGAACCCCGGAAACTGGAGGTTTGGGGTCGGTTGTGCTCTGAGCTTGAGGTGGCTGGACGGGTGTTTGCTGTCCCTGGGCCCGGGGCTGTGACTGAGCTTGCTGCTGGGCCTGGGCCTGCGCAGCTGCTGCGGCAGCAGCTGCTGAGTTTGGATCGTGTGGGGGACCATGGGTCTGTATGCCTTGGATCAGTGGTTGTTGCAAGTGGCCAATTGGGCCGTTTCTTTGGGGATTGTAGGTCCCATAGGGAAGAGCAGTGCTACCAGTCGTAAAGTAGCTCATTGGAGGGATAGCTGCCACGACTACGGCTGGGGATGTGAATGGAGGTGTTGATCGATAGAGATGGCCTGACCCGGTAGTTGTATTCCGGGAGATGAATTGAGGGAGAAAACGAGATTTGTTTGGGTCGATGCCGGCAAGTGCGGGAATTCGACTGGGCCGAAATTATCCCGGGTGTGGCACCACCAAAGAAGGGAATAGCTGGAGGCGATGGGGCACTTTTTTTGGGGCGGACTAGGAGGGCAGAGGGAGTACTGGGATCAGCGAGAGGGAAATAGAGTGGTCATGGTCAGACTAGCCTCCGTTTCATGTCACTGTGGGTGAATGGTGGTGTCTATTGCCGCCCTACTTAGATGGTCGGAGTCAGGTGATGAGCACGCCAAATTCTGGTCGGCAAAATGCGACCACCGGTTCGCGACCGGAGGTACTGTCGGGCGCGAGATTCGAGTGACCGGTTGAGAGAACGCGTTGGCCCCGTAATGGTGGGTCAGCACGTTTAAGATGAACAGGAATGGAATAGTTTAGAGTGGGGTCTCCCAGTAATCGTGATCGATGTCAGTGTAGGTGGTTCAGCTGAGCCAATTTAGGTGGGTCTGCGGTGCAGAGTGGCCTGGAGGCGTCATGGCTGGCTACATGACCCGTTGGACACTCGGGGTGGAAGTGTGTCTCAAACAGTGGTGGTATATCCTTTATTGGGAGAGGTAGTGGTCGAGGTGGGCGACGGTTACAACGACGTGTCATCCTTAATCTGTGCTAAATACTTTCTTGGAGGCCTACTTGGGCAAAGAAGGCCCGTTTTGGTGCTTTAACGAGAAGCTTATACCCAAACTTAAAAGTGACGTAACGGAAATATTAGGTTAGGTTTAGTCAGCCATCCGTCCAACGAACATCTCAACTCACATCTCTACTGGTCAGTATTCTCTTGCTCAGATACTTGATATGTCCCGCCAAAAGCATCAAAAGACTTGGTTCGTGCAATTATACTACATGTGCTTCTGCTATGTCAGGAACTCCCCGCCAGTGACATCTCCTCACGCACAATTTCAGGTACATTAATTCACAGCTATTGTGCTGTTGGAGGTGTCCAATGATAGCGGAGCACACGGGGGATAAACTAAAAATAAGTAGAGAAATAACCCGTTTCCACCAAATGCTGGTCGTTTCCGCAGCGAAGGCCGAGTTCCATTGTATCCTAAAAAAAAATACAAGCCTCAGTAACATGGCTGGCTCGACCTTGGTTTGACTGCTGAACAAAGCACGGTTTATGAACAATAATGCCAGTGCCACTCTCGCCCTATTTTTTGAGCTGACGTTGCTAGGCATGCATATCCCATGGGACAACTCCAGAGACCGTGTTTGATCATAGCTTTGCTTGGTCCCGTGCGAGACATGGGTCGACTTTTCAATGCACCACGCAGCCTCATTTTGCACCGTCGTAGAAACTAGCAACGACCGCGCAACTAGTAGCGGGAACATCTCAAAGCCAATCTGTACCGGTCGGATCCGCATCTAGCATGCCTCGTACCCAGAACAATCTTACCTAGCAGCCCTTCCTGTATCAAACGCGTCCTCATTTAGCCTCCTGTGTCCGAAGAGGGCAGACCCCAGCCAGATAGTTGTGACACAAAACCCGTTTTGGGATTTCGCAGCCAGCTTGGTGCAACCGCCACCAATTAGGAAAATGCACCAGTAGGAACTGTACGCCACCACCAAGCAATGCAAGGAAGCAATTAGTCCGTAGCTTACCTACGGAGATTATTTTGTAGATGACGGTCGTACCGGGCCGCTCCTGCGAGATCCCCATCAACTAGGAAAGAACCAGCACCAACAGCTCTCTTGGGGTGACTTGACAATCTTGAATTACACCATGGAGATCCAAGTATAAAGGGGACAAGGTTTGCCACATTTTGGAGAGAAGTATCACATAATTCCACCACCACATCACTGATTAACGATACGTATCCCTAGTGCCCACCTCACCCTCTTTTCTCTCTCTCTTTAATCCAACTATAGTCCTTCACTACTTATTCACCCCAGTCGTTCTTTACCTGATTGTTCTTCTACTTACTTCACAGGATACCCTCATACAGCATGCAATTCTCCAAATTATTCATTTCCTTGGCCACTGCCTCTTTGATCACCAGCTCCATTGCTTCACCTGCTCCAAGACGTCATAACAGACGTGACGATGGCGATGATGACGATGGCCCAGTGGTTGTTCACTTGACCACCACCAAGCATGAGACCAAGACTAACTTCCACACCGTGGAAGGGGAGCAACACATCCAAACCAACACCAAGATCAATACCGATACCGAAACTGTCACCAGGTACACCGCTACCGTGACGTCGGTGGTGTTTGGAACTGAACATGTGTATACCACAGTCGCTACCACTCCAATAGAGACCTCCAACGCCCCAGAAACCCATTCTGAGGCTCACACCGATGCTCCTGCTCCTGCTCCTACTGTTGGTCAAGACACAACCACTACTTCGAACAAGCCATCGTCTGCCACCACCACAGCCACCACCAAGGCTGCAACCACCGAAGCTCCCCAAACTACCCCAGCCACCACCAAAGCCGCAGTGGCCACCGATGGCCCAACCATCACCAACATCAAGAACATCCCTACTTCCACCGGTTCATGGATTATCGAGAACGTGACTACCTCCTCAGCCAGCGGAGTCTGTTACGTGGACTACGATTACTATGGCACCGACGAGTCAGCCGATGAAACAATCACCTCTACCTCCACAATCTACAAGACCGTGACCCGGGCTTAAATAGCGAGACATCGCTCATCATAGCATGGGGCTCGGAATTATCCAACGATTGATGGTTCGATTGTCTAATTTCCAGATTGCCAATGCTTGTTATGAGAACTAAGCATCCTTCTTGTCTATCATCTCTGTATTATATCTCTTTCTTCCTTCCAGGCTAGTTCCTGGGCAACTAGGGACGTCATCGATAGGACGTCCATTAGGCATGTCCTTTTACGAATTTTCGACATGTGTCGACACATCTATGTATAGCTATACACGTTTAATTGTTTTTAAGTTGTACCTACTAGTGACCAAATGACTGGTAGGACCGGTCAATTTGTGTACAGCAAAACGGATCTATTTTGCGGTAACCAAAGTCTTCAATAAACGCAATTAATTTGGGTTGCAAGGACTTTCAAGTGGCTGGCTTTCTTGATTGAATACACTCTAGTCTACTCCAGAGCATAAACACATGAGGTGCTCACAAGAAACGTCATCGGTTGAACACACAGTAAATAGTATTGGAAAATGACCCTAAGGGTTGCCATTGGCACGGACAAAGTTGAAGGAGTTAATAGGGCTCATGGATCTGACCTTGGTGGTGGGTGCAAATTCTGGAGGGTCACGTGAAGTACCCAGTCAATCGCCGGTCTAGATGACAGATGGTGTAGTGAAAACTCAGGGTGGCTACCAAGTGCTGGATCCGCCTCGCATATAGTACTAATAATAAGTACACAGAGACTGCATCAGAAACCTTACGCTTGCTCCCTTTGCACCTAGTCCGTAATGGCTAGCGCTTCAATGGCAAACTAGTGAGTACTAGGGCTCGCGCCCTTGTACACGTGATTCGCATTCCTGCCTACAACCGTATCGCCTGCACATATACCAGTACCGCGCACCGCGAGGCCCCCCGTAGTAGCGCTCCAGTAGGGGAAAATTTTTTTCACTTAACTAAAGTCCAAGTGAATCTTCTTCCTAATTATTACTAGTTCAACAAGTCACAATGGGTATGTAAAATGATATACCAAATGGATACACAAGCACAGTCAAGAGTCTCAACAACAACCGCAAAGCATCCGTACATCCCCCGTCCAGTTCACCCTGAATGAGTCCAAACATGACACCATCAACTCGGCAGAACAAGGAGATAGTCAAGAATCACTGAAAGGAGAGCAGCAACCACCCGACAAAGACATCCAGCACTCGTGCATGGCTCGACCAGTACTAACATATAGTTAACGTTCCAAAAACTAGAAAGACCTACTGTAAGGGTAAGGAATGTCGTAAACACACCCAACACAAAGTCACCCAATACAAGGCTGGTAAGGCTTCTTTGTTCGCTCAAGGTAAGAGAAGATACGACCGTAAGCAAAAGGGTTACGGTGGTCAAACCAAGCCAGTTTTCCACAAGAAGGCCAAGACTACCAAGAAGGTTGTTTTGAGATTGGAATGTGTTGTCTGCAAGACCAGAGCTCAACTTTCTTTGAAGAGATGTAAGCACTTCGAATTAGGTGGTGACAAGAAGCAAAAGGGTCAAGCCTTACAATTCTAAATGTGATATATGTACCATGGTATACGTTTCATGTATGTAGCATAATGCATACACATTATAATTAGCAAGCCGTAGAGTGTAGCAGTGGAAGGAAGAGCATGAGTGGAACGAAGCGGTGATGAATGCTCTCTCCACCACGCTTCATGCCACAGATTCGCATACCATTACTGGGCGAAATCCTGGCTGAGTCGCAACCGTGCGTCCGGAAAATGTGTCAGTAATAGCTACCGTCCATGGCTACGCCAAGCTGTAGCCGTGTATTTCCTCTTCCCACCGCTTGCCATACTCCTCCTGAACGCCCCTGGCTCCTCTTGTCGCCCCTGAACCTGACTTCTCTCTGCTATTGTCCGGCTGTCGTCTGCCTCGCGCGAATCTCCGCTGCCCAATTCGAATCAAAAAACATTCTACAGACAACGCACCCATTTACTTACGCCAGCGTACCCCTGTGAACTGCAACGCTAACCACCTTGGTACTACCACTGGTCCACCCGACACTAACCGTCCACTGCCGTCGTTCTTTTAGCTAGCTTCTCCAGCCTGATTGCTCGGCTATCCACTAGTGTATACGAAACACGTCCCACGGGCCATCCAGGCAGATCTACTCGCTAGCCACCACAAATACAGCAACCACAGGCATTGAGACCCCGATCGATCCAGCAGCCCTGTTTCTCGGTCCACGTTCACGTCTCCTTGCATTAGCCGCCGGCTACCACCGCATCTACCGTTGTTATTGTCGGCTATTCAGTTTCCAGTGTTTTTATTGATCTACTAGACAAACACCTCTGCCATGAACTACGACTACTTGACAGACGAGCAAAAGCAGCAGCTCTACTTTCAGCACTTGCAACAGCAACAACAGCAGCAGCAACAGCAGCAACAGCAACATCAAAACTACTCTGGCTATGAGGAGCAGTCTCACTTCCAACAGAACCAGCAGTTCGAATCCAATGATGACAGCTTTATGGACGAGGACACTACTATCCAAAACCCTCCTTCCTCCACCGCTTTCGAATACAACAACTCGCCCATCAGAAAACATGAAGACAACATAGCACCCCCCGCCTCTCAGCTGGCATTTATGGGTGCCTCTCCGAAGTTCCTGAGTGACAGCCATTTTGGCGATGATCGTGTTCTTGATGACTACGAGGGAAATGGCTTCAACGGGCCCCACCTGAACGGCGCAAACAGTAACGTCGGCAACAAATTCACTTCTATTGATTCATTGAGCTTCAAACCTCCAACCAATTTTACTCAGTTAAACAACAACAGTAGCACCAACGTTTCAGAAATCAGCAATTCTAATTCATTGACAAATTCGTTGTTGTCTAATCACAGTAACACAAACATTTTGAATTATGGTGGCCCTCAGTCGCCCGTATCGCATCAGTTTCAGGTAAATCAACTGCAGAACCAGCCTCAACAGCAACAGCAGGTAGAGGCGCAAGCACAAGCCCATGCTCAATTACATGCTCAACAGCAGGCACAAGCCCAAGCTCAAGCACAAGCCCAACAGCAAGCTCAACAGCAAGCCCAGGCTCAACAACGAGCTCAATTACAGGCCCAACAGCAAGCTCAGGCTCAGGCTCAGGCTCAGGCTCAGGCTCAGGCTCAGGCTCAGGCTCAGGCTCAAGCTCAGGCTCAGGCTCAAGCTCAGGCTCAGGCTCAGGCTCAAGCTCAGGCTCAGGCTCAAGCTCAAGCTCAAGCTCAAGCTCAGGCCCATGCCCAAAAGCAAGCACAACAGCAGGCACAGCAACAGCAATCTCGTCAAATTCCAGTATTAGCCCCACCTCAATCCAGTACACCTTCCAGTTCTGCAAATGAAAACCTCCAAAATGTTACTTCAAACAATACACTTGCAAATTCGAACATTGGAAGTGGTCAACAAGGAAATATCAAAGCATCTAACTATGTGTATTTCAATAGAAATCCCAATTTCTTGGGAAAGGATACCCAAGATAGAGCAGCAGCGATCAAATTGAAGATGGAGAACTATTACCAAATGTCCGTTAGTCATGCAATAGAAAGAAACCAAAGAAGATTAGATTTGGAACATAAATTGATGACAGAGGACGTTGGTGCAAGTGAGGAAAGAAAGAACAGACAATTACAAAGTTTGGGCAAAAAGGAGTCACAATTCTTGAGATTGAGAAGAACCAAATTGTCCTTGGAAGACTTTACAACTGTCAAGGTTATTGGTAAAGGTGCCTTTGGTGAAGTCAGATTAGTCCAAAAGAGAGACACTGGTAAAATCTATGCCATGAAGACCTTGTTAAAGTCTGAAATGTACAAGAAAGACCAATTGGCACACGTCAAAGCAGAAAGAGATGTTTTGGCAGGTAGTGATTCTCCATGGGTTGTGTCTTTGTACTATTCGTTCCAGGATTCGCAATACTTGTATTTGATTATGGAGTTCCTTCCAGGAGGAGATTTGATGACCATGTTGATCAGATGGCAAATTTTCACCGAAGATATCACCAGGTTCTATATGGCTGAATGCGTCTTAGCAATAGAGGCTATCCACAAGCTTGGGTTTATCCATCGTGATATCAAGCCCGATAACATTTTGATTGACATTAGAGGACATATCAAACTCTCGGATTTTGGGTTGAGTACCGGATTTCACAAGACGCATGACTCTAACTATTACAAGAAATTGTTAGAGAAGGAAGGGCCAGGTAGCCACTTGCAACCAAATCAGTTGACTAGTAATCCTAATGGAAGAAACTCGATGATGGTGGATGCCATCCACTTGACAATGTCGAACAGACAACAGATGCAAACATGGAGAAAGTCGAGAAGATTGATGGCTTATTCTACTGTGGGTACCCCTGACTACATCGCACCCGAAATCTTTATCCACCAAGGATACGGCCAAGAGTGTGACTGGTGGTCACTCGGAGCTATCATGTTTGAATGCTTGATCGGATGGCCACCATTCTGCTCCGAGACTCCACACGAGACGTACCGGAAGATTTTAAACTGGCAAGAGACCTTACAGATTCCTGAGGATATCCATTTGTCACCCGAAAGTGAGGATTTAATTCGCAAGCTTCTCACCAACAGCGAAAACAGATTGGGAAGATACGGGGGCGCGGACGAGATAAAGCAACACCCATTTTTCCGCGGGGTCGACTGGGACACTATTCGCAAGGTGGATGCGCCGTTTATTCCCAAGTTAAGATCTATCACCGATACCAGATTCTTCCCCACAGATGAGTTAGAAAATGTTCCGGAGTCGCCTGCATTGAGTAAGGCCATGGAGCAGAGAGAACAAGAGGGTCCTGGCAAGAAGAATGCCAAGGAAGACCTCCCTTTCATCGGATACACATACTCTCGGTTCGATTATCTCACCCGAAAGAACGCATTGTGACCACTTCCCAAGTCCTTTGCGGAAGTTGCTGATCAACGAGTCGCTTTACGTGAATTTATGTTTCAGACACTTTATGCTTTATGTAGAAACCGCCTCAGCCACTTTGGCTGCTACGAATTCTTGAAGCGTTTTATTTGGCATCTGTATCTCCGTACTGTAGGAGTGTATCTTCATGAACTTCACATGCGCAAGACTATAATTATCTCCGCTATTAATAGTGGCTCGTAGTTTATCTAGCTTTCGACTGTGCTCTTAGTCATGATTACTACATAAGAATAGCTCTATGGAAACGGAGTTAATAGACGGAACATTTCTAGTTTGTGGTGATATATTGCATCCTCAGCCACAATGGCTGCGACAAATCCGTAATCATCGTGGCTATATCGTGCTTCAGGACGTTAGTACGAGGATGTGACTATTAATAGTAGTTCGTAATTGATGGTAACGTTCGTTAAATCCACATAGTTATCGTTATAAATCCGCTATTAATAGTAGTTCGTAGTTTATCTAACTTTCGACTGTGCTCTTAGTCATGATTACATCATAAGAATAGTATGGAGACGGGGTTAGTAGATGAATTTCTAGTTTGTGGTGATATTCTGCATCTTCAACCATATTCGCAGCTACAAATCTATAATCATCGTGGCTATATCGTGCTTCAGGACGAGGATGTGACCAATAATAGTAGTTCGTAGTTGATGCTAAAGTTCGTAACATCCACATAGTTATCGTTATAAATCCGCTATTAATAGTATTTTGTAGTTTATCTAGCTTTCGACTGTGCTCTTGGTCATAATTACATCATAAGAATAGTTCTATGGAAACGGAGTTAGTAGATGGAGCATTTACAGTTCGTGGTGATACTCTGCATCTTCAGTCACATTGGCAGCTACAAATCTGTAATCCTTGTGGCTAGATCCTTTGAAGGACAGTTCGTATGAGGATGTGACTAATAATAGTAGTTCAAGTTGATGGTAACGTTCGTAATATATCCATATAGCTATCTTTTCTTAATCCGCTATTAATAGTAGTTCGTAGTGCAACGCTCGTACTACTTGGCATGGAATAACCTATTCGTATGATATTCATAGTGCAACGCTCGTACTACCTCTTTTAACTGATCCCCTATCGTTGATAGTAGTTCGTATTGTCTAAATAGATTTCATTCCTATTCGATGTCGTGAGCACACACGGCTATCTCCACTATCAATGGTCTGCGATCGTCCCATACTTAGTCATGCTTACATCATACGAGTAATTCCATGATAAACTCCTCTACATGTTACTGTAAATCTTTAGTTTGACTTTCTTACAATAAGTCAGACAATTGCAAATTTTAATGTTCTGGGCAGCAACCACAATTGCCGAGGTGGCTCGGTTTCCAGACATAGTCACCGGGTGTAAACCCTTAGTGGCCCCATCGTACAATTGCTCCCCACTTCCAGCCACCACCAGGGCTCGGGTGTTCCCGCTTACCGTTTAATGACTGGGTTTCGAGCGTGCGCCTGCGTCGAAAATCCAACTCAGGGCACCACCCCACCACCGACGGCAGAAGACTATTCCGTGCCGTTAGTGTCTCAATTAGTAATATCCCGATGGTTCCGGTCACATGACCTGCCGGACTTTGCAATAGCAGCCCATCACTATAAATATACCGCACCTGCTGCAAGGCCTCTGGTTGCCACCAACACCATGTATGCATTGAAGGTACTAGTGGCGGCAGCATTGGCCGCCTCGCTCATACAGGCCCACGAACACCCCCACGCGGACCCCCATGAAGACACCCACGAAGACCTCGTCCTCCACGCGCCATCGCAAACCGACACCATCATCTCCTCTCAATTGACGCCAGTGCCCCACGTCGGCCACCACCACCACGGCGTGCCCATTCTCGACACCTCCCTCCTTCCCGAGGAACGGTTGTTCTGGGAAAACTACAACTCTACCACCAGCTACTTTGCCCACCCCTCCGACCACCGAGGCAGTCTCTACGCACATGTGGTGTTGGGATTGCTATCGGTTGTGTTTGTATATCCCATGGCCATGGTGTTCAAGAACTTGAGCATGGTGTCGTGGTACCTCGGTGGCCTTGTGCTCCACTCGGGCCTCACGGTGAGTTCGTTGTTTGCCTACTCGGTGTTCATGAACTCCATCCCCGACTTGTACCCAGGTAATGCCTACAACAAGATGTCATGGATCTTGTTCTTCTCCACAGTAGTTCAATTGGTCACTGCCGTCATGAAGTACGCCTACAATGCCAACTCCGACGTCTACCACCCTATTGGACTCGACGAGAACGGCCTGGAAGGCTCGTCCGTGGGTTCGCCTGCCACAAACCTGTTTGAATTTTCTAGAAACAGCTCCAACTCCATGAGCTACTCCGAATCCGACGAATTGAAGACATCTAATAACGCGATGTTGGCACTCAAACCGCCCTCCACCTCCTCCTGGACTGGGAGGTTGTTCGGGTTGCCTATCTTCAAAAAAATCTCCTCCTCGATCTACCTGGTGGTCAATTTCACCTTCAACTTCCTCCATTGGGCCCATTTCTTCTTCTTCATGATCTACGTTCCAACTGGTTTGGCCACATTTTTAATCTTGGGTGAAGGCTCTGCTGTGTTCAACTTGTTGGCACACTTCATCAAAGGAGGTGTATTCTTTGCATACGGTATCTTGACATTAGCCAGATACTGTGGTGCATTCACCGGGAAAGGCTGGGCGTGGAACCATCACTACGTCACCGCTTTCAACAACAACACCCGGTGGAATAAGATTCAGTCCAAAGGATTGGTCACCATGGAATTTTTGGAGAGCTCGCTCATTTTGTTCTACGGATGTACCAACATCTTTTTGGAACATTTATCTAATGCCGGAGGTGCATGGAGCGCCAAGGATTTGCAACATGCTTCGATTGCTTTCATATTTATTGGATGTGGATTGTGTGGTGTGATTACTGAAATCAAGTTGAATACCTGGAGGTTTGAAAAGTCCAATGATGATTTTGCAGCAATGAAGGATGTCTCGGACGACTCATTCGACAATATCATCAAGTCATCTCCCGGGTTTTCCCCCAATCCATTCCCTGTTATTACTATTTTCTGGACTGGAATCCTTATGTCGAAGCATCAACAGGCTTCGGAAACGTCTACTGAGATCCACACCCAGTGGGGCAACATGTTCATCATCAGTTGTGCTTTCCGTTTGATCACCTACGTGATGATTCTTCTAGGACCTACCAACAAACTGTTGACGCGGCCATCGAGACCCATGACCGAATTGATAGTCAGTTTCGGGTTGTTGTGCGGAGGATTGATTTTCATGGAGTCCACCGACCCCGTCATCTACATTTTCGAGTACTACGGACTCACCCCGATGTTCACCTTGAACTTGTCGCTTGGGTTGATTGCGTTGTTCATGGGATGGGAGATGCTGTTGTTTGCCATCAAGGACTGGCTCGTATCCAAGCGCAAGCTCCAGTGAACACCCACGACATACTCGCAACGAGTCCATTCTGCCATAATTACAAAAGTCATACTCGCTATGAAACCACTAATGCTTAATACTCTAATATATGCTTTGCACACCATGTCGCGTTGCGATGTCGCGCCCCTGTGTCGCGGAACCCTGAGGGGCATCGATTCAGCCGCTGAGCATCAATGACGTAATTGGAGCCGTTCCCAGACAACTTGGAAACCACCACCACACGGGGGGCCAAGAAGACCACTAGTGTCCCACTCGCCTCTGCTCCACTACCCCCAATTCTCCCTCACCTCTGCCCGCCATAATACTGTAGTACGGATGTTCCCTTAGCCAATCCTCCGCCACGTGCAGCCACAAGATGTCCTGCCGTGCCGACTGCCGCAGCAGCCCACTCCTTGCAGCTCACGTGCGCCACCTAGTGTTGATGCCAGCTAATTATAGCGGGAAGGGATGCCAGGCACTCCTACTTAAACCCCAGCAGGCCCACTGTAGTTGTGTGGACCCTGCTATCGCTTCCTCTACCACCACCCGTCCACTGACGTTCCCCTTTCCCCAATCCCGACTTCGGACTGCTCGTCTAGCCCCTCGTTCCCATCCTGCCTAATCCATCTCGTGTCGCAATTTCACCACTCGTCACCCGGAACTTTTCGCATTATGCTAGTGAACCAGGCACCGGCTATTCATCCTAGAGACCTGCAGAACTCCTCTGATTCTGATTCCGTTGCCGCCACAAACACCTTGGCCTCGTCGTCTGCATCCTCGTCCCCCAACGGCCCCCGTGACTCTGGTTCCTTGACTATGAGCACACCCCCATCGTCCCTTCCTAGCCAACTTTCATCCACTTCCATTTCTGCATCCATGAGTCTGCCTGTCGCCTCGTCGCTGGACAGCCTGATCCAAGAGTCGCTGGGACTGCTCCTGAGTCCTGCCGTGGGCTCATCAGTATCCAGTGGCACTTCTGCCGTGCCCTCCAGCACCATTCCGTCCTCGTCATCCGGCGCTGGGTCCTCCAGTGTGCTCCTGAGCACGCTGCTGAGCGTCTCCTCGAGCTCTTCCTCGAGTGTCTCGTCGTCGTCGGCGTCTTCCAGCTCCTCAACGCTTCCGTCGACCTCGTCCACCACCACTTCGTCCACAGCCCCAAGCTCGTCCTCCAGTACGATCTCGTCTTCCACCGAGTCTAGCTCCTCCTCCTCCTCCTCCTCCTCCACCGAGTCGAGCACCACAACGTCTTCTTCCAGCTCGTTCTCCTCCTCCAGCTCCTCCAGTGAGTCGAGCACCACCACCTCGTTTTTCAGCTCCACCAGTTCCACCACCACCTCTTTCTCTTCGTCCTCCTCCTCCTTCTTCTCCTCCTCGTCGGAGTCATCATCGTCTTCTTCCCGCTCACGCTCATCACTCCCATCCTCGTCGTCAGCACCATCCACCACGTCGTCTTCTCCAAGTTCCACCACCACTGCGCCTTCCACCACAGATGCTCCTTCCTCCTCCCAGTCTTACACCTCCATCATTACCTCGCCCCACACCACCATCACCACCGTCATCACCGTACCCAGCTCGCCTGCCAACGACGCAGCATCCTCCGACAACCACGACAACTCGCTGAGAAACTCCAAGTTGATCGGTGGCCTTGTCGGCTCCATCGGAGGAACCATCTTTATCGGGGTGTTAGTTGTGTTGTTCCTCTTCTTGAAGAGAAAGAAGAATCTTAAGAACCAATCGCCAGACTTCAACGACGGCTCGTTGAGCGACCGTCAAGAAACCGCCGAAACCTCTAAGTTTGGCTTCAGCAAGCTCTTTGGCCCCAAGAAACAGCACCAAAACACTTTCGGTGACCAGCGAGGCTCGGTTGCCGGAATCAACGACTTGGAGAGGCAGCTCAACGTCACCAACACTAAGTACTACGGGGCTGCTGCCACCGGAGGCATGGGTGCCGCCGGAGCTGCCCATTCTGGAAATGGCGACGACGACGACTTCTTCTACCGTGGTGTCACCAATAACAACAACCTTGACTCGGTGTTCCGGTTGGCTCCAAGCTCGGGCCAAACAAGTATTGGCAAGGGTGGTGACACCACCACGTCTGCATCGTCACGACGCCACACTCAGTTGAATTCATACGGCCATCCATTGGCCTCTCCTGAACAGTTTAACTTCAACGAAGACAGTGAAAATGAGCCGTTGAATTTCCACAGCCATGGCGATATTCCCTACTCGGATGGATCTGAGTCGGAGTCGGAGTTCAATCCGTCTGACTACGATGAGGGCATGTTGCCTGGTGCAGGAGGGGCCCATGGCCACAATAGAAACATTGACACCTTGAGGGCCAATGTGTTCATGCACCCCGAGGAAGGGGGCAGCAACAACTCGCGAAGCAGATTCGCCGAAATCATCTGATCATCCAACGTCCAGGGATAGTCCTGAAACCGTCAGGACACAAAACATTCATTTTGCGTTACCTTGCCGGAAGACCGTTGAAGTCTTACCTGCCATACCGTTCTAATCACTCATCTAATTAATTTCCAGAGCTCGTGCTCTTCACCGTGTTGTATAGACGTCCATCTACATTACCCTAGAGGGTCTAATAAATGTCATAATTAAATGCCGAGAACCGTGCGAGCCGTAGGAAGATGAGCCTCTCCACGGGTTTACTTGAGTCTAGAGACAAAATGAATTTAACGAACTCCAATGTACTATCGAACTTGAATTTGCTGAATTTAACACTTACTTTCTCTTCACTACCACCCAACTGATGCAAAACCTTCAATCCATCAAGTTAGGAAAGCACATAACTATACCTCCACTGGCCAGAACTAACTTTCGTAGATAATTCAACAACGTAGACCGCTCTTGGCAGAATTCCAATGGAAATTCTTGCTGTTAGACTATCTCTACAGTACTAGCATTCGGTCTAAACTAAGAAATATGGTTTCACCTGACAATTCATATTGTAATAAATTCGAAGAAGGCCTATCATCTCATGGAGATTATTATCCTCTGCCGCTCCTTTTCATTCCAGTCAACTTTCGACCCTTAAACTCGCAGTATGGGTACTCTCGTGTCGTCTCTTAGTCCATCTACCTGCCTAGGGGCCCATTGCTAAGACTTTCTATTCAATTGTACCTGATCGTAGCCGTGCAAACCGCGCATCATTAACAATCATCTCGCAATCTCCACACTGTCAACCACACTGCCAACCACACCCAGCTTTCCACCACCCATGAAACTCTGGCCACTACTATGTCTAGTAGCACAGTCCCTAGCAACACAGTCGTCAACCCCAAGTCCCCCTGGTCCTAGCTGTGATCAGAATGACGGAGTATGTCTCCGACACAGCTCGTCCTCCAACGTCTTCTCGTCATCCAGTGAAACCAATTCAGCATCGTACATCAGGCACCCCCGCCTGATCGATGCCATGCCCACCACCTCCACCGAGGTGCTCACGGAAGTATCGTCATCCCTGCCAGTTTCGCTCCTATCGTCGTCCTCACCCATCCTTGATGGCACCATCTATGAGGTGGATGATTCGGAACTCCAGGACCTCGAGATCGATGTATCGATCGAGTTTTCCAACGGCTCCAACCGTACCAGTAACGCCCCCCAGAACCAGTCCAATCTTACGCTCGACGACTGCCACTTCATGTCGTTTGAAGAGTGGAAGAAACAGAAAACAGATGGCACCAATGACAAGGAGGAGAAGTCCACCAACTATACTGTCAACATCAAAAACGAATCTTCATCCATAACAAGTGACCTTGCCATACATATAGAGAACATCACCACCCCCCAATCCAAGGCATCTAAAGAGGACCAGGGCAAGGTCTACAAGGATAAATTCAATTATGCATCGGCCGACTGTGCTGCCACAGTTGTCAAAACCAACTCTTTGGCCAGTGGAGCCATGTCGATATTGGTGGAAAACAAGGACTCTTACCTTTTGAACCAATGCTCGTCTCCTAATAAGTTCGTGATCATAGAGTTGTGTCAGGACATCTTGGTGGAGAATGTCGTAATAGGAAACTTCGAATTCTTCAGCTCCATGTTTCGGGATGTGAGGATCTCGGTCAGCGACAGGTTTCCAGCCACGAACTGGAGAGTGTTGGGGGATTTCGAAGCAGAGAATATCAGAGACATTCAAACGTTTAAAATTCAAAATCCTTTGATTTGGGCCAGGTACTTGAAATTGGAGATAATTTCCCACTACGGTAACGAGTTTTACTGTCCTATCTCTATTGTGAGAGTGCACGGGAAAACTATGATGGAAGAGTTCAAGGAAGGCGAAGTGCCTCTCGAATCCAACGTACCTGAAGTGGAGCCGGAATTGACTATCGATCTAGAAGATTTAGATGAAACAGCGTCTATCGATGAAGAGTGCAGGGTTGTCTTGCCTCATTTGAGATTAAATGAATTTTTGAAGTACATCAATACCACTGGAAATGATTATTGTGAGGTTACAGCTGAACCCGGAACCACTCAGACAATTGAAATACAAACTACCCAGGAGTCCATTTATAAGAACATAATGAAAAGGTTGTCACTATTGGAATCCAATGCTAGTTTGTCCTTGTTGTATATTGAAGAGCAAAGCAAATTATTATCAGGCGCATTCACCAGTTTAGAGAGAAGACAATCGAACAATTATGAGAGTCTAATTGAGTCGTTCAATTCCACCTTGCATAATCAATTATTAAGCTTCAAGAAGACTTACGCGAATATGCATAATGAATATGCTAAATTGTTCAAGATGCAAGAGTTCAACCACAAGAGTTTATTAAACGAGTCAAAAAGGAAAGTGGAGGTATTGGGTAGCGAAATCACCTTTCATAAACGCCTTTCCATATTCAATAGTGTGCTTCTTGCGTGCTTGTTGGTGTACGTCATATTAACCAGAGATGCATACATTGATGAGATGGAGGTCAGAGGTACTAGTGGTAAGAAAAAACGCAGAAGAGACTATTTCCCAGCTGGCTTGGTTAATAGAACTCGCAGATCAGATGAACGGATTCGTGGTAAGCGGTGGAACGGATAGAATATGTAAGCACCACGCCAGTTGACTTTTTGATTAATATGAAGTGCTAGCTCCTCCAACTGATTCCATCCTTTTGCATATATCATCACTACATCTTAGCTCATTATCCCTTGTCTTGAATTATGTTGACTCCTATATACAGTTTGGAGTCATGGACCGGTCACTATATACAATTAGCACTCGTGCTTAATATACACCAAGACATCTTGCATCAGCATTGGTGTCTATGTTTAATATCTATCGTAACTGTTGAATGACTTTCTGTCGCCAGACCTGTCATTTCTATTGTATGATCTGGAGTTCTCTCTGTTTCCTGAGTAAGATCTCGAACCACCATCTCTGTTTCCTGAGTAGGATCTTGATCCACCATCTCTGCTTCCAGAGTAGGACTTAGAACCATATGATTTCTTACCTCTTCCGCCTCTTTCACCAAAGTTTGAAAAGGTGTTTCTCTTGGCACTTCTGTTGTTATTCATCATTTTGAACCCTCCAGGGACTTCGAAGTACTGCTCAGCAACTCTGAAGTCAATGTTTAAGATCTGGCTAATGAAGTTCTTGGTGACGAAGAGCTTGAGGTCTTCATCTCTCAACAAAACTCTGTAGAATTTGATGACGTCGGCCACCATAGTCTCGAAATCCAATCTGAAGACTGAAGAAACTTGCTTTTGGAAACCCAAGAAAGTCTTGATAAAGTTCTCGACTTCTTCTTCGTCAAGAGCAATCTTCGAGAAGACTTGGTCCACTTGCTCGATTTCCGACGACTTGATTTCCTCAGCAAACTTGATACCTCTTTGTTTTTCCAAAATTCTCTTGAACTTTTGTTCGGGCTTGGAAAGGAAGATCAAGGCTTTACCCTTGGCACCTGCTCTAGCAGTTCTACCAATCTTGTGGATATAGTCAGCAACCGAAGGACTTGGGGAGAGTTGGATAACATGACTAACATCACTGAAGTCCAAACCTCTAGCAGCAACATCGGTACAGATCAACAAGCCATGCTTGGATTGTCTGAAGTGTCTGACCGAGTTGTCTCTCGCATTCTGGGACATCTTACCGTTCAACTTGAGGATCTTGGAGCCGAACTTCTTATGAACAATTGGGTCATAGATTTCATTGTTTCTGGCGGCCTTTAAAACAGAAAAGAACCACTCGGTGGCAGTAATGGTTGGCAAGAAGACTATAGCCTTGAAATTAGGTTGATTCATGTTTGTGGAGATGTATGACAAGGCGGATTGATAAGTATCGGTGGTGTCTTCAGTTTCAACCAAGGTTTGATGAATGTTTTCGTGGGCTTCGCCCTCACTTTCGTCAACACAGTTGATGTAGTTGTATTGAGGGTTGATCTGTTCACGGGCGAACTCGTCAACTCCCTTGTCAATAGTGGCACTGAATAAGATAGACTTGAACATGGGAGTGTCGGGATAGTGTTCTTGACGGGCATCCTTCAACAAACGATCGATGTTATCCAAGGAGTCCTTGAATCCCACGTCCAAGATTCTATCAGCCTCATCGTAAATTCTGTAGTTGATACCAGAGAAGATCTTAGCGTATCTGGGTCTGGACAAAGTGTCTTCCAATCTACCTGGGGTAGCAATAACAATCGATGGAGGGTATCTGGTATCGATCTCTGTCTTCTTACCACCCATGAGTAAGCTGATGCTGATCTTCTTCTTGTGCTCACCATTGAGACCAAAGATCACCTTCTTGTATTCGTTTTCAATCTGCATGGCCAAGTCTCTGGTAGGGGCAATCACCAAAGCAGACACCTTGCTCTTGGTGGCTCTGGAGCCCTTTTCGTCAATAAGATTCTGGATGGTAGGAATGACAAACGCCAAGGTCTTACCAGTACCGGTTTTGGCTCTGACCACCAATCCTTCTTCCTCCTGCAAGATGGGCATCAACGACTTGGACTGGACAGGGGTCAAGGTGTGGAACTTGGCCTTGTCCAAAGCATCCAAAAGGGACTTGGAAAACTTACCAGTAGCCTTCAAGTCTGTCAACGATAAATTCTCGGTGGCATCGGGGGATGGCGATGGGTCTTGCGTAGCGACTGGCGATGCGTTCAATTTGGGAGCATAGACACTGAAGCTTCGGGAAAGAGGTCTGCTGACCGTACGGACCGGGGTCAACGGCACCTTAGACCTTATTAATGTTTTGAATATGAACATTGGTAAGGATAAAGAGTGGTGAAGTTTTTGCGATGGGTGAAAATTATGCGATCTAGGGCAGGCAGGAGTCCAGGAACCGGCAAAAAAAAGGTCAGTTTTGGTCCGGTTGGGTGCAAGAGAGACGGAAAAAAGGTCAAGAACGATTCTTGATGGGACGGACGTGAATCTACCTCTACAGAGTACGGTTGGATGGGGAACTGGCCGCACGGTCGCATCGATGAGTATGGGAATATAGCCACTTCAGGTGCGAAATACTGGAAGAAAGAATACCAGTACATCGAGTTGTCTGATATTGGAACCACGGACTCAGAACCGAAGCTGAACGTATGTGACAGGCTAGTCGGATGTATTACCGGTCTTTAGGCGTGGGGAATAGAGAAATCGAATTTTTTAGACCTATTCCAGGTAATTTCATCAGTTTTTAGCATTTTTCTAAAAATATATAAAGTGTAGATGTCTAGCAGATAGATATTGAATGTGCCAACAGCTATAGGTACTGTCAGATAGCACCACTACGTTACGTCACACCATCTCTAACATGCTTGCCCTGATGGGTCCCTGCGTGGATAATCGCACGATCTCTCCTTCCCTGCTCATGTTTTGAGCTCGCCCCACAGTGCTCATTTTGGCACCATTTGAACGACATTCTTTGTCCGATCTACAAACGTCACCATGTCCCAGTACAGCAACGGCACGGGGTCCTCGGGGGGCTTCTTCTCCAAGATCAAGGACAACTACAACAGCAAGTTCTCCAACCTTTCCATCAGCACCAGCACCGAGAAAGACGGCCAGACCGAGGATGAAACTCTCATCCACAATGCCTTTGTCAGGTACTACGATGCCAGGAACGAGCCGTATCCCGAATGGCTAGGTGTCAAGAAGCCACAGCCGGTGCAGAACAGGGCTGCCCAGAACCAGTACCAGAACCAGTACCAGAACCAGTATCAGGCAGCCCCAAACTCGGGAAACCAGTACCAAAACTCGCAGTTCCAGCCTGTAAGACACAACAACACCTACAACAACTCATACAACCAGCAACAAGTTCAGGCACAGGCACAGGCACAGGCGCAGGCACAGGCGCAGGCCCAGGCGCAGGCCCAGGAGCCTGCCAAGCCCACGTACCAGTCCAGAGCGTCCTCCAGCAGATTGCTGGACATGCATAATCGTTCGAAACAGCAGGCTGTCCCTGGCCAAGGCTACAACAGCCAGCCATACCAACCCAATAGAAGCAATAGCACATCAGTATCCGGCAATCGTCTTAGAGAGAGAATGCTCCAAAATTCACCTAGCATGACCCAGCTCTACCAGAACGAAGGTGCCCAAGGACAGGGCGTTGGACAGGGAGCTGGACAACCTGCTCCCAGGGCTACTTGGGGAAGAAGATAACTACATGATATATGATCGATGTTTATTAAGTGGGACCTCCGCTAAATACCTTGATTGAGACTCTTTAAGTTCGACTCCCAATAGTCCCGTCCTCGGATGAACCATTCTGGTAATCTATTATCCGGAGGCAACTTCAATTTAATGACACTAACATTCTCAAAGTCCACAGGATACTTATTCAAATTTTTATAATATTTAAAATCGTATTTTTGCTTCACTGCTTCGATTTCTGTAGGGGTTAAATTTCTCGAGTCTTTGGGTCTGTCTTTAACCATCTTGAAGACCGGCGAAGTACTTTCAATAGACGATCTGTATCCTGTCTGGATGGGTGAGTTTTGATTCCTGAACTTGGAGCTGTTCATCCGAATAAATTTCGAATCTATTGATGATCTTCTTCTGTCAAGGTTAGCTCTCGCAGTTGTCAAGAAGTCACTGCTGAAACTATTGTGTCGACTACTTCTACCAAGTTTTGGCGAAGTTCCTGGAGTTACAGTGGGTTCCGAGTCTTGATCTCTGAATTTGTCATGCTTTCTCTGTTCTACCAACTTCAACAAGTTGGCTGGAATCTGGGGTGATGCAGATAGAACATCGTCGTCCATATCTTCATCATCTATGCTGTGTTCATCAGAATCATCCCAGTGAACCGCATCCTCTAACGATTCTTTTCTCTTATTTCTGAATGCTTCGGGACTTTTGATTCCATAATCGGAGGGATCCAAGTAGGAGGTCTGCCATTGTGGAACCCCCTCGTATTTAATTTCTCTTGCCTGTTGTAGTTTTTGTTGTTCTTTTACCTGGTCTATTTCGTGGGGAATGAGTTCTACTTGGATCAATTCAAGGAAATTCTCAGCGTAGTAATTGCTTTTGGAGGAGTTGCCAGTATACGTCTTGTACTCATTGAGAATTGAGTTGAAGTTCCATTTTTGGATCTTCCTTAGTATACCTATCAATGTCGATGTGGAGTCCACCAAGAGTATATTGTGCTTGGATTTGTTGAGAAGTAGTTCAAATGTCTTCAGTATCACATTTTTTTCTATCAACATCCATTGGTCGGTCTTGGGCCTTTTTATGTGAAGGTTTATAACATCGATGGTATCCTTTTCATCGTATTGATCCACTTTGTCAAGGGAGCCTTTGCTGGACCTTCCGTCGGTATCTTCTTCCTCTTCGTCGTTGGTAGTGGAGTTTCTCTTGGCGTTGTGATGATGATTGGATATCTTAAGACTACCAAGATTGAACAACTCTATCCTGTTGGCCTCAACGAAATTGTTCAAGGTACGGGGTGGCTTCTCAGCATCTAGCACTATTAAGGATTTGAGTCTAAGTGTTTCGAGGAATGGGAAGTTGTCAGAGTCAATTTTGGAGCAGCGGTAGATCCCGGGCTCGACAAGGCCGAAATTGTCTGGCAGGACTAGCATGGGCCGTTGTAGTTATGGTGGTGGTGTTGGGTGGGGCATGTTCTAATCGTGGAAAAGAGCACTTACTCAGCCATTACGTAATAATAGAAGTCCAAAATTTAACTTCCTTAATTTCATTCACTCCGGGGTCTACCTGTGCCTAATTACTAATTTATATTGTATGTTCTACGTAGCGTTCGTCAGATTCTCCCTGTAACTTTAACCTCTGATCTCCAAGTCATCTGGAATACCCTCGTACTCTCCGTAGCCCATGGAAAGATTGATGTTTTGCAAACATTGAGTAGCAGCACCCTTCAATAAGTTATCAATGGTGGCCACAATAACCACTCTGTCTTCCTTTGAGTTGACAGCGAATCCTCCGATGACAACACCGTGCTTTCCACTGATGTCTCTGACCAATGGGGCTTCACCACTCACGGTTATCAATTGTTCTCCTTGGTATCTTTCTTGGTAAATGTTTCTGATTTCTCTGGAGGTCAAGGAGCCCTTCTTGATTGGAATGGAAACGGTGTGGGAAATACCTTGGAACCATTGGGCGACGTGTGGCATGAAAGCAACATCCAAGCCTAACTGGTTACTGATTTCTTTCTCGTGAATGTGGTCAGTCAAGGAGTATGGGATCAAGTTGTTGGCCAAGAAGTTGACATCGTTCTTTGGCGAAGGTTTGGTACCAGCACCAGAGTAACCTGAAACACCAAAGATGTTGGGTGTACCGTTGATGTATTCCTTCAATGGAGCAATGGCACATTGGGCAGCAGTGGCATAACAACCTGGATTGGAGATCTTCTTGGCCTTGGCGATTTGCTGACGGGAGTTCAACTCTGGCAAACCGTAGGTCCATTCGCCAGTGGTGTCGAATCTGTAATCGGCTGATAAATCGACGATCTTCGAGTTCGACGAAGCAACAGACTCAATGGCATCAACAAAGGGTTTGCACACACCGTTTGGTAAAGCCATCACCCAGACGTCTACTTCATTGTTCTCCTCCAATTTCTTGATGTCTTCGACTTGCAAGTTAGAGTAAACAATGTTACCCTTGTTGTAGCCTTGTAACTTTTGTCCTTCGAGTTCACGAGAAGAGACATGGGAGATTTCCAAGTACTTGTGGTTGTCAATCAAGCTGATCAAGTTTTGACCAGTGTAACCTCTAGCACCAATCAAGGCGACCTTTGCGACCTTGGTGTTGGTACCTTCCTTCACCGGAGGGTTAGGGTTGGAGCTGAAATTGGCAGAACTAGAGTGGAAGGATCTAATTCCAAATGTCTTGGTGTGAATACCTCTCTTTTGGGTTGGTGAGCTGAACACACCAGATTCCTTGGAGGATGAGAGTGACGAGCCGATGTTGGAAGAATCAAATTCCTTGATCAAGTTGGAAACTTCACCGGTGTTCAACCCGTACCAGAACAAGATTTCGCCGTTCTTGGCGAAGGAGCCATCGGATTTGGAGAAGTACCAGGACAAGTTGGAGTCGTTTTCGTGAACCACCCAGAACAAAGAACTGAAGTCCTTCTTAATGGAGTTGAAGATGTTGTCGGTGACGTTGTTCAACCATCCAGTTTTCGACGATAAGAACTTGTCTAACTTGGGTATTTGGGCGTCATCCTTGACAATGGCCAACACTTCTAAGGGTTCGTCACCGTAACTCTTGAAAGAAGTGGTTTCTAAGGTCTTCAAGTAAGAAGCAACCGACAACTTTCCAGACTTGATTTCAGGGTCTCTTAACAAAGCGTTTCTTAACAAGTCTGGGTTACCAAACTCCTTGAGACTGTTTCTATTAATCAACTTGTAACCTCTTCTGATCAATGTACCGGCACCAGAATCGGTGAACAACTCCTTTTGTAAATCGTCCACGTCAATGATGGCGACGGAAGAAGATCTTGGCAAGTGTTGCAACAAGTCGTGAATCTCCTTGATCTTCAACTTGGTGCCATACTTGACCCAGCTTTCCTTCAACAAGTCTTCATACTCTTCGTCCAAGTTGATAACACTGACCTTTTCGCCAGTGTTTCCGTTTATGATCCCACCCTTTTCGTTAAGGTAAACGATCTTCAATGGCTCAAATTCTCTGGCCAATTCACCAGCAGCCACATCGGCATTAACGTTCAACAATTGGCCCGATGGGGTCTCAGCCAACGAGGTCAAGATAGGCAAGTATCCAGCTTCAATGGCGGCCTCAATGGACGACTTGTTGACGGAATTGACCTTACCCACCAACTGGTACTTGTCCTTGTCCAAGTATTCAGCACCGAAAACTCCGGTGGTGATTGGTCTAGCGTGGACACCCATCTTTTCCAAGGCGGTGACAAGTCTCAAGTTTTGTTCCAAGAAGCACTTTCTGACCACTTCCATGGTCTTGGGGTTGGTGATTCTGATACCGTCGATATACTCAGGCTCAACGCCCTCGTTCTCCAACAACTCATTGATTTGAGGACCAGTGCCATGAAGAACGATGGGGTAAAGTCCAACGTGGTACAAGAAGGCCAAACAGGAGGCCAACTCAGGTAATTGTTGGGTGATGATGGCACCACCCACCTTGATGACAGCGAATTGTTGCTGGGACACCGAGGTGAAGTACTTCAAGTACTGCTCAACCTCTCTCTTGGAACCAATGTTGTTCAAGAGTTGGACCACCGTAGATCTGGTGGAGTATGGTCTGGTGGCTGGGACAGCCCTGGAAGTCAGATACGAGGCCACGGTAGCCTTGAGTCCCGACTTGACGGCGAGCTTAGAAACGCCACTTAGCCTGCGGCTAATGGATGATTTGGTAGCTTGTCTCAACATATGGGAACAAGAAGAAGAAAGTGGTAAGAAAAATAGAATTGGTGACAAAAATTTTCATTTCTTATGGGTATAGATTGGTTGACTCACACCGTCCAATTAGAGTAATTTTTCTTGGTTAAGCGCGGTTTGAGATCAGTGAGATACACCCTGATAGCGAGATGTTGGGGCATTTCCGGTTCACCCAGGGGCGCTGTTTGAGCAGACACAAACGCTGGGTAAAGCAGTAGATGCGCTTGAAAGTGACAGGAGATGTAATCTACAGTTCTACAAGTGTTACTACTTCAAAATGATCGATGCTGATTATAGTGTCCTCGCTCGAAATAAGACCCTTGTAACAAAAAAGGCTCATTTCTCATGTGATCGATAGCAAAATCCGCCTCGTCAGCGTGATGGCGGTGGCTCTTATAGGCTTCTGGTGCTTCAGCGGATGGTGATGCGACATTTTTTTTCCCTTCTCACCTGGGAGGCATGGGGCACCCTAGGTCCATATGAATCCAGTTCAAAAGAGGATGGTACACTCGGTACACATATAAGATGTCGCGCAAAGACTCAGAAATCGCCCTGTCGACTTGCCTGGCAAAATGGGGGAAATTTCCGATCAAAATCGTGTAGTAGCCCTCCGTTTTGTAGCTGGCAAAAAGTTGCGACAACTTTTGCCGTAAGAGTTTTCCAACCAGGGCGTGACTTCGATCACAGTAATTTCTCAAATCATTGAAACGAGGATCAATGCTATGTGGCTCTAGAGCTTCAATTATTACCCTCAGAATAGCGCCCCAGCGGTCACCCTTAGAATTCACAAGTGCCTTTTTCAACCCCTTGGGATCTAGGTGGTGCGAGTAGGCGACTGTACCATAACAGGAGTAGAATGTGGTCACAGTTAGTACCATTAGGTTGTCTTCGATGATTCTAGTGAAATGTGAATTCCAACTTTTCAACCTGTTCGAAAATAACCCACTGAGCTCATGGGCCGTGAAATCGGAATCTTTTCCTTCAATTATTAGGTCAACGAATAGTTGCTTATAGTAAGCAAATGCTTCTTCTTTATGTTCCTGCAAAATAATATTTGGCATAGAAAAACTTGCTTCAATCATGGGCACATAATTAGAAATATTCAATTGGTTGTATTTTTTGAAGGATCTCAACCACTGATAGAATTCTGGAAATAAAAAATTAGGGGAGTTTGTGAGAAGAGTAGGCCTTAAACTCAGAAAATTCTTTGCATTGATCAAAGTATAGATGTTTTCAAACTCTTGGAAATGTTGGAAGTCGTCAAAAGAGCATTTCTCGAACCATCTTCGGTGAATAACATGCTCTAAGTTAATTACCTTGTCAACAATTTGTTTGAAAACAAAATCACTCAATTGATCACATTCAGCTAAAATTATGCAACACTCTTCAGGAATTCCTAACAAGTCAAGTCTGTTCTCACCAGTCAACGTCGTTATGATCCAGTCAAAATATGAGTGCAACACTTGCAAATGGTTTGCAACAGTTGCATTAGAAATTTGGTGATATCTATCTACTATATCAGTAGTTATAGTGGTTGGACAGAAGTTGTGAATGAATGCAATAATATCCTTTATGACATCTTTGAGAAAACAAATTAGATGATTGTAGCTTCGATTTGTATATTCTTCACATATCGAGTACTTCAGACATACAGGAGGCTCACCCAATGATTCTAGTATTTGGTCCACATCTAACAACTTCTGATCTTGTGTTATAGATAAGCTGATGCTAGTACGACCCGACTTCATATGAATGGGGGAAGGCCATTTCTGTTGAAGAAGATAATACTGAAACCAGTATAGTCTCCACTTGGATGCCAGAAAATTAGTAATCTCCGGAATTTTATACAACAATCCTCCGTAAATTATTGTTTGGGCTGAATTAATAATTCTTTTGTGTTTCTGGGGCCTATTTTCGGCTTTGACTACCTCCAAGTTGGATCTCAACGAGCTCAAAAAGTCTAGACATTCGTCATTTAGCTCATCTTTGTTCTTGAAACTCTTGAGTAAGTGTTTTTCGTTGATGAGACGTTTTTTTCGATCTTGAAGATTTGAATCTTCTGTGAATATCACGGCCTGTTTATCAGCTATCTCAATCGCTTGCTCAAGTATGGAGTTCACATTGTCAAAGTGAAATTTCCTGAAAATTCGAAACAAGAAGCTGTATGACTTCCACGTCTTATTGAATATCTGGCTACTTTGAGTATCTATCATCCTGCGGAAGTCATGTATAAGCTCGTCTGCAAATTTGTACAAAAGTACGCAAATGAAATTGTGATAGAAACGTTCAGTTGGATCATTATCGATGTTGGAGTTGAAACCAGGATGGCCATAACCATCGTTAAGAAACGAGTTGAAGTCATTAATTAGTAGAAATGCATAAAGTAATGGTCTGAAAGGTTTGCTTGTTCGGACTTCGTTTTCTTCATAGTGTGGAATATTCATGAAGGTAAGGTACTCCAAAAAGTATTTTTCTTTGGAACTCATCAAATAGATAGCTGTTTTGTAGGGAACCTTCCAGATGGAGTCATAAAAGTGGGCCAGAGACAATATTTGCCGGAGAAATTGAAGGCGACTGTGGCTCACCTTCGGCTTGAGATAACCGGATAATTTCTGAGCACACACGGGGCCCAGACTGGGGTGGGTGGAAGTGCTCGTGTTGGATCTCAAGAACTTTTGGGCATTTTTCCTGACTTCAGCCAAATAGCCGAGTTTCCGTCTATTTGCAGACTCGTAGTTGCTGTTCATGGCACGGATGCGCAGCTGGAGCAAAGCACTGCGCTGTTTCTTGATATCTGCGATTCTCTGATCGATCATTTGGGATCTTCTGAGTAGCTTCTGTCGTCTCTGCTCACTGAAACGGGGCCTGGGAGATGTATCTTTCCGCTTGTTCCTTCTCGGGCTGACCGGAGTCAAGTTTTTGAGGATGTACGGAGGGAGTTGAAGATACCCAGATGAGGAGCTGCTCGTAGTAGCATCTTTGGGACATTCGGATTGGGAGGCCCATTCCATTTTGGTAAGAAGTTCGGCGGGGCCAGGCTGGGATGTCCCACTTGGGTCATCGTTGTGACTGGACTCGGAACTCATGGTGTGGGGTGCGTCCACACGGGAAGAAAGACAAGTAATTGATCCGTTCAGAAGCCGACAGCGCAATGTCGAGATGGGTTACGTACGGTGCTTACTGCTCTTCTATGGTGATTCCGGCCCCTGGAGGGGTGCCACAATCTAGGGGATTCTCGCTTTTGCAACTGCTGTCACGTGCAGCGATAAGCCAGCCAGGGTGCTGGGTTACCAAGAATAGAATCCGAGTTGCTCCAGTGTGATGGCGATGGGCCGACGGATCCACAGTTCTAGCCGGTAGTCCCGGTACGGAAGTGCTTGTGGTGGCGTGGACTACCACACTGGTAGCGAACTGGCTGGAGATGAGCTTGTGAGATGTGGGAATGTGGGGTAGAAAGAGGCGAGTGGATGCACTACGGACTTATTGGTTGTTCTGGAAGCATCGCCAGCCAGAACAATGGAGAGCATCGACTGATGATGCTGGCTAGCTGGAAATTGAGCTATCAGTTATGTTGACGTGTTGTTGGGTGCAATATGATGTGCTTCGCTTATCCTTTGGAGACAGATGATGAAGCATGCTAGCGAATATTCTTTAATTATTTTTTGACCCAGTGAGTCGCCATGACGCCGGTTGAGTGAGGGAATTTGGTTAAATTGACTGTTACTTGGGTATTATTCTAATAATAAGTACATCTCCTAACATGATTCTGTCACTTGGGCATTATCACTCCAGTTAGCGAATGACTGTACAAGTTACATATCCTTGAGAACATGTAATTGTATGTATAGTTAACATTCTAGGTTCAAGCTTCACTCTAGTTGAGTATTAATACCCCCTCGACCCCTCGCAACATGATCTATATGATTCTCCTGTTGACTTACAATTTATAGATCTCAATATACTCTACTTCAGTGTATCGAAATTTCTCCTCTAGACATTCTTTATGAATCGACCCTATAATCGGTACAACACTTCGTCTGAATGTAATTCAGACTTCTACACTGGATGTAAGTTGGAAGGCTAACAGGCCCCCGTAGTTCTATAATCTATTAGTTATGCTCTATAATCGCTATTATACACGGTCGTGTTTCTTCTTCGACCAAAATTTGAGACCAGACCCGGATGGTTCGTCGTCATCATGCATGGGGCTCCCACTCAACGAGTGCAAGGTGGTTGATACCGAGTGCAAAAAGTTGGGCGAGTGAGAGGCTCCGTGGGTGTGGTGGTTATGGTATAGTTTGAGGTGGCCCAATAAATTGGAGATGGAGGATGAGGACGACGAGTTGCTGGACAATGCTTCGTTCATCACGGTGTGCGTAGGGGTGGGTTTGTGGAGAAACCGCTTCTTTTTGGACTTGGAGTGGGATTGGGTATGGGAGGTGGTGGGGGAAAGGAGAGGAGATGCTATGGTGGAGGCTGCCTTGGGTACGTTGACAATGGGGTCGTCGTGGTGTGGATCGAACTTGAGGGACGAAGGCGATGCCTGCAACTTGGAGATGGGGCTCTGGAGGGATGGTCCGAGAGAGGTTGCGGGCGACTGTGGCGGAGGCGCCGATACGCTTAACGGAGGTGATGTGATGGGGGAAGCCGTGGCTTCGGACTTATGCTGGTGGAGATAGGTGAGGTATGCGTTTTCTTTGATTAACTGGAGCACCTCGTTTTTGGCCTTGAGCAAGATACCTGGCGGATGCACGCAGTCGACGTTGGTCTCGAGCAAGATCTCTTTGTAGAGCTGCTCCGACAAGTTGATCTGTTCGGGGGCGTCGTTGACGATATAGTTGGAGATGATGAGGCCCCACTGGGACGAGAGGATGTCCTGGTCAAAGTCGCTGATGTGCACGTCATTGTGGTCTTCGTCGTCTTCCAGGTCTTCGTTGACGTTACGCTGGAACATGTCGTCCCATGCTTTGGTGTTCTGCTCTGAGAGCTCTTGGGACGTGCCGAGATCGTCTATGGTCGACACGAACACGTCGTCCACCGACTCAGGTGCCGCGAGGTTGAGGTTGTTAATGCTGGTGTTGATGCTGTTGCTGTAGAACGCGTTGAGGTCGTCTTTGGACGGCGTTTTGCGCATGTGGTCGCTGTGCAAGTACTGGCTGATGCTGGGGCTGGGGGTGTTGTTGAGACGATCGCGCCTGGGTTTGGATGTGTGGTTGGTGTTGACGAAGGGAAAGATGCGATCGTAGTAGTATTCGTACTTGTAGACCTCGATGAGGAAGCGGAGGTTTTCCTGGCAGTGGAGTTTGGCCACGAGCCGCTCAAACTGGGCCACGCACTGTTGTTTGGTAGCGTCTGTGGGATGGTTGATGGCGCGAAGAAAGCACTGGTTGACTATATCGTCGAGCGAGGGAGGTCCGCTACACACATGAGGCGACGAGGAAGTGTCGTTGTTGTGTTTGGAGGTGGGGGGCGACGCCACGTAGGCGTACTGACTGTTCAACGAGGACGGTTTGGTCGGTATAGGGTACTGGAACAGGTAGTGGGGGGCCTGCGGTAGCGGCGCAGGCAGGACGGGGGCCTGCGAGGAGCCTCCGCTGGGGTTATTCATGATGGTGAAGAGCAGAATCTCCAGATCTGGCACACTATATAGGACTAATACAGAAACAAAAAAGAAGGAAAAAAATTGTTCGAGAAGGCAAAAAGAAACGAGCACGCACAGGAACGTGTGGGAGAAAAGACGACAGGCAGCGGGGGGCAGGAAGCAGAAGAGGAAGAGGAGGTCGAGGTAGTGGTGGTAGTAGCGGTGGCGGTAGCGGTGATAGTAGTAGTGGTATGGTGGAGCGGTGGTAGAAGTTGTAGTGGCAGTGGTAGTGGCAGCGTGGTGTGGATGGCCAATTGGCGTGAGATCCGCAACGCGCGCAGGCGTTGATTGCTCGCGATAACGGTTATTGCTGCGGAGCTGGTTGCTGAGGGCGTGGGGAAGCAGATGGGTGCAGCGGGACACCGGAAGCCCAGGGGCCAGGGCCTTGGGCCAGAGCCAGCCCGGTACAGGAGGAGGTATGTGTGCCAATTGTCCAGTGGAACACTCCGATGGAGGCCCCTAATAGCGAGTGACCTTGTTACCGTCACCGCGTGCGTTTTGTGTCCGAGACAAGCGCAAAAGTTTGCGAGAACGGCATTTCTTTTCGGTTTCAGGGTCCAGCCCAAAGCGGCGTCCGAGCCATTCTGGCGGTCAGCCTCGTCTACAGGGTAGTCAGCGCCACTAGGAGCTGGTACGGATGCTTTCAAGCCTGCAGTGCCATGCCCTCCGATGATCGGCCAGATGCCGGAGTCGGGAATCTCGAGAAAATAGAATGATGCTCCGTTACGACACATGCGCCTCTAATGTAGGCTCGCCTAACCTCGCACCCGGTGGGTGCATATGGGATGGCGTCCAGCCGTTCTCGCGGATGGAAGACATCTCAGATTGGCTGAGCCTCGCGACGCCAATGGAACCACAGGGGGGCTCAAGGAGGGTGTCGAACAGAAACGGCCGTCCAGTGGTGCTTGGGGCTCGGAACACCTTGCGGCTAGACTGAGACACTGTATACAAGGCGTGGGGTGGCCTCCCGGATAAACTTGCGGATTATTTACCCAGACGCCAGTTCCTGCAGTTGACGCCATGCTTGCAACGGGTGGTGCCACTTTGGCGTGCACCCGCATCACCACAAACGTGACAGGTCACGCTGGGGCAGGCGACATGGCACGTGACCAGTCACGAGCCCATCCTTCCTAGTACCCCGTTCCGGACTTCTTCCTCCACTGTGGAATCATGCCCTTGGCTAGCCACTTTATGCACACCTGATCTCCCTGCCTAATCGTGTGCACTCCCCATTTTTTAGCGACACCCCCTACCCTCCCTTATCTATTGCTCTCCCTAATCACTGATCTGCTCATCAATACCACTGTCGGTATTAATTCCAATTGTTCCTGGTACAGTCCCTCTGCTGAGCATTCCTCAATTCAATTGGCCCCCTGGTCCGAGTGCCCCTGAGCCCCATCTGCTTTCCCACTCGATCCAGATCAGTCAAGTGACCCCTGATTTCCATCCACCAGGTGAGATACAAGTGTTGAGTCCGAGAACTCCTTGAGATATCTTTACAGGTCAACGCACCAGTGGTAACCATATATTGTGGTATCGTGTCTAAGCCTAGTATCCTATCAAGAGTATCCTATCAAGAGTATCCTTATCTTACGAGGTTCTATCTGAGTGGTATCTATATTCTAACAGTAATATTTTTATCTTCGGAGGGTCCTCCTTAAGACTATTCTGATCTTAAGTATCCTTATCTTGTGGTTATCCTATCCTCATTCATCATGCTCCTGAGCCGGATCCTAAAGCGCATAGGTGCCTCAGGCCACAAGGGCCCCTGGCTATACTGCTCCAGACGCTTTGCGACCTCTTCTGAGGACGACTTCGAGATCGACTTAATCACCTTAAAAAAGACTCCGAGAAACCATTCCAGCCCCGACTCGCGGCTTACGTCGGCATTCGAGCTGTTATCTTACTTCGAGTCGTTCAAGCCCCGCAACGTGGACCACGACTACGTCAAGCAGTCAATCACCAAAGTCAAATCGCATGTGGCACCCCCTGCCCTGCCTTCCGTGGAGGAAGAAGATAAGGGCTACCTTCAATTCGTGGAATTGTACCGCCTGGAACTCCAGCAGTTCTTGAAGTTCATCAATCAATCCTATAACGCCAAAATCAGCCAGTTCAATCAATTGACCTCGCTTGAGGTCTTGAACGCATTGTACGTGTTCAAAAACTACTATCAAAAAGGAAAAATCCCAGAGGTCACCAAGTATAACGCTGCCTCCTATAACCACATGTTCGGCCGGTTCGTCACGTACCTCACCAAGGACAAGTTGTTTCCCCAAACCCTCTCCAACGACCTCATCCCTTATGTCAATGACTTGAAGATTTTGCAGTCGTTGTACAAGGACGGAGTAGGTAACTTTGTGGAGGAACTCAACTCGTTGTCCACGGAGTTCGATTTCGATCGTATCGAGACCTGCTCTCAGCTCCTGGACGAAATCAATAAGACTCTTGACCAGTTTACTGATTTTCTAAACAGGAACCAGCAGGACAACGAATTCAAAGTCGACTCCACTTTTTTCAGAATTCTTATTCAAATCAATAGGTACAAGTCATTGAAAAAGGTGTTAGATTCACATCCTGATGTGGCTGTTCGTCATTTGAGAACTATCCTCAACGATCCTGATAGTATCAAGATTAACCTAGGAATTAAGCAGTCGTCAGGTATCACCAGCGAAATTCAAAACTCTTTGAATGTAGCTGCTCCATACTATCAAGTGTTGAGATGTATCGAAGACATTGAGATATCTGACTATGATTCCTTCCTCAAAACTGCACCTTCATTGTATGAGTGGGCAAAATCTGATGACAAGAAAATTATTCAAGGTGCCTCCTTCAGAGTCTTGCAGGTGTGTTTGTCACTATTCAATAGTGGCTTGGTATCGGAGGGTGAATCGAGCCACATATTGAATTATTTAACTTCTGGAAATACTTTTGGCAAGCATAACTTGATAGAGGTGGTTCCGGGAAACACTCTTTTGAATTACGAACTTACCATCTTTAAGTACTCTGGTTTGTTTGACTCTTTGGATATTTTGAAATTGGTCAGAGCCCATTCGGGTGGTTCGTTTGCGACTAAATCTACCACCGAAATTGTCAAATCATTAGAGACTTACGTCTCGAGCAACACACTGAAATTTGTTGCAGAAGAGCTAGTATTAGTAGACAATGCTCTCCATTGGTTTGTCTACTACGTTCCCTGGTCCGATTTCGCTATTTTCGATCAAATGATCGAGAATAGAAAATGGATTCAAAAACTAGCAGAACAAAATCTGCAAACGGCTCAGAAATTCAACAATTTATCATCTAAGGATGCATTGGACTTGTTTAACAATCAACAACGTCTAATTTTAATCGAGTTTAAGGAATGGCTCGGCGGACATAATTTGGGAACCTTCAACTCTTCAAGGTTATCGTATCTATTCTCCCGGTTTAAGAACTTCAAGAACAGTGGTGAAGAGTACGAACAGGTCTCTAATATTTTGAGTAATTATGCCAGTGAGTACTATTTCTCGGATGTCTTGGATGAAGTTGCCTATGCTACGAAGCCCTATGTCCAAATTCCTGACGAGTTGAAGCTTGAAGATTTTGTTAATGAGTTACTGATCCTTCAGAGAGATGTATTGAGGATGGACTTCGAAGCAGCCAGTTCGTCGCAAATTCTTAAATGTTTAAATGAGGAAATTGAAAAAGCATTTGCAGGCACTTCAAAATATCTTGATGAGGAATCTGTTTTTGAATATATCAGATTAATGCGAAGATTGGATCAATTGTTTGATTTGAACGGCGATCATACTGAAGTTTTGGACGCATTATTGAGAAGTCACTCAGTCTTTGAACAGATGGAATTGCGGATCCAAGAAAAGACCCCTGAAGAGTATGTTCAAATACCAGATGAGTTAGGGTTGCACAAATATATCAAGGAATTGGAAATATTGAGGGATGACGAATTGAAGAAACCTTTCAAGAATGCATCTGTTCTGGAAATTCAATCTTTGTTAAGTGCAAGGATTGATGACATATACGCGAACTTAAATGAATCGTCAACTAATTCGAGAATGAATAGTCTGAATGTCATTCAGTTCGTGAAATTGAGTAAAAGATTAGCCAGCTTATTTGAAATCAACGGTGGAAATGCAAACATCCTAGACACCTTACTATATAATCAACAAGTATGTGATGATCTTGACTCGAAATTGGCACTGCAAAAGAATAATGAATACGTTCAAATTCCGGATGATTTGGAATTGCACAAATTCTCTGATCAACTTGAATGCTTCCGTGATGAAGTTTTGAAAAAGCCATATAGAGATTACAGCCCAGATGAAATTAATTCATTATTGGACAAAACTATCGACGACGTGATAGGTAAAGGATTGGTTATCCAAGGTTCTAATATCAATTCGGATACGATTTACAATTATGTCAAACTCAGTAAGAGATTAACCAGATTATTCAATACTAATGGAGGTTACACTGAGGTTTTGGACACATTAATTCACAGTCAAAGTGTTTTCAAGGATTTTGAAAAGAAGATTGGGAATACTCTGAAAAAGTTTGAAGCGAAGAGGTTTATTAAAGGTAACCCCTTGGCTTATAAACAGATTCCTGATGATTTCCACTTAGAAGAATATACTCCAGAATTGATTCAATTGAAAAATGAATTGGGACAGGAATTTAAAATAACCCCAGCTCAAGAGATAATTGATAGGTTGGGTCAATTCATAGAGAGGGAATCTAATCTTGACAAAAAAGTAACCTGGATCCAACTTCAGAGAAACTTGAGAATGCTCTTCAATCATAACAATAATGCCACTTTTGTTTTGGATAATATCCTAGTGAACAGTGAGGTTTTTTTGAAGTTTGAGTCCAATAAAGCATTTAATACCTTGTCAAATAAAGAGAGCTCATTGATTGGAGAAAACAGCATTTTGATTAATGACTCCCTTGAATACATTGAAAGGTTTTTGAAGAAGCTGGAGTTGATCGCAAAGAATGGTATTTGGGAATTAACCTCGGATGAGTTTAGTGAATTGTTGAAGGAGTTTGGGAGAACTGTGGATAAAAATGCTTATGATTATCCAATTTATTTAAACTTGGTACAAGAATTGGAAAGATTCAATTCGAACCTTGAGTATTATCCTAATTTTCTTCAGGAATTGTATGAAATCAAGTTGAACAATTTGGACAAAAGATTGACTAAACAAGACGTGGAAGTGATTTATAAAGCATTCATCGAAAACTTCGAATATGAGGATGAAAACACGGAACATCTGGAACCCATAAGCACATTTGATATGAGTGAATTTAGAGATGTTTCAAAGGATGCTGTTAAACTTAGTGTACCCAAATATGAAGTTGTTGATGAAGCAGAAGCGGTTGCGCTCAAATCTGACTATAATGATTCTGAAAAGTTGCTATCCATACTAAGCAAAAGTGAAGAACCGTTAGACCTAGAGAACAACTCAGTCTTGGGTTACCATATGGAGAATGATCCTGAAGAGAGAAGTGAACTGGACATTAGGGATGCTGTTTCGATTGCGTTGAGCGGGCGCAGTTCTTTTAAGCCCAAGCAAGTGAAGCAAAAGAAGCAAAAGTACGACAACCAGGAATTTGAAAACTCTATTGCATCTACAAGCGAGTTGTCTGATTCCATTTCGTCTTCTTTGGAGAATTTCTTACAGAATGCTAAGAAGGAACAAGAAATGATAAACGAGATGAAGTTCAGACAGTCGAGAGCGTTCGATTGGAACAATAGTATGTCAAACTCACACAGATCATTGGAATCACACAATTTTTTTGATCCACTCAACTCGAGGCCTGGCCGTTCCAACAACTTGTTTTTCCCATCTTCTGAGTTGGTCGAACCAGATCTCATAAGCATGGAGTACTTATTGTTAACTTTAGAGGGCGCTACAATCAAGTCCGATAAGTCTTCTATTGGAAATCTCCCAGAACTGGACATCTTCAAGATTCTAAACACTTTTGAAAAGCAGGATTTGGATAAGTTTATTAAGAATTTCAAGAGACTCCAAAGAAGTAATTGGAAGGTGGTGGGAAGCAAGATAGAGGGAGATCAAAAGTACTTGATCTTATCGCGCCCCAGCATCAGTAAGTCCAGAATAGTTTTGAATCGGATTAAAACGCTCTTGGCTACCACGGGGGCTATTCTTGCTTCATTGGTTGCACTCAATCTCTGGTTTGAGGAGACTGTTCCTGGAGAGAAACTACAACCCACGGTTCGAGAGCAAACACGTGTCGAGCCAGTGGAAAGTCATGCGCTCGGCCAGGAGCAGCCAGCGACTACGTCCAGCTGGAGGAGCCTATTATGGAGTGATAGAGAATAGGGAATTACGAGGCTGTGGTTTAGGTTCATCTGGTATGAAAATGAATATTTATGATATTAAATAAATGATTTGTTAAATGATCGTAGAATAATCTAGCCGAGGCGAGTAGAACAAGATGGTAATGGAGCGTAGCACTTCAAGGGTGGTTTAGGTCGTAATCTATGTGGAAAGAAAGGTTAAAACTTGGGGTGGAGAGCCATGCATATCAGTTTACTCGTCCATCTTGACCTCCTTGCTAGGCATGCTCTCCATGTCCTTGTACACATGCACGAACTTCATCACCGTTGTGCCACCAGTGGTTCCGTTCCAGGCCCTGATTCTGTCGACTGTTTCCTTATCAGTCAAGTTGGGGATCTTCATTCCGGTCTCGTAAACGTGTCTGTCGTGCTTGACAGCCTCTTCCAAGATCTGTTGTCTGTTGGTTTGGGGTCTGCCGGGTCTTCTGTCTGCTCTCAACTGATCGAGCTCATCGTCGTATCTTTGGATGAACAATTCCACAAATCCCTTCATTTGCTTCAAGGTGAAGGTTTCGAATTTGCTGAAGTCCTCATCATCCTTGATCAATTTCTGGAGGAAGAATATCACTGCAAGTTCATTTTCTTTCTGTTCCAAAGATTTGAGCTTTTTGGCGGTGATCTTCTTGTCTCTTAAGGTGGCTCTGTTAAGTTGCTTGAACTTTCTTCCCTTGATGTGGATGGTTCCAGTGGACTTGGAAAGGTTTTTCGTCACCTTGTTGAGGTTGTGGGCGAGAGGCATGGCGGAGAAGGACGAGGATACCGTTGTGGGTATTGGCGAGATGGATCATCTCATCGGGAGGGAGGGACATCCTGCATATAAGCACAAATCTTCCCAAGCCCACCAAGCTCTAGAAGACCCAGGAATGGCCCATCAGTGGTCTCCCAGCCCCATAAGCCCCTCCAGGTTCTCCTAGCCACCCCAGCGGTCTCCCTGTCCCGTGGTGTTAGCCACCAGAGAACGGTTCTAGTCGTGTGCGACTCCATCCAGTCAGTAAAAAATCTTCAACTGTTCCACCAACACCATCCACACCCAAAATGGCCAAGTACACTGAAGAACAATTGATTGAGCTCAAAGAAGAAGCCTACGTTCCACAAGAGGGAATTTTGGAGGCGTTCAACCAGATGGTCGAGCAAGTCCGCGAACACGCCGCCGCCGAGTACGAAAAGCACAAGAGTATCAAATGGGGTAACGGAGACACCTACATCGATGAAAACGGAAACGAGCGTTCCTACAACCATTTGAACCGTAGAAGAGCCTCCAGATCCAGTGGCAACAAAAACCCACGTAAGAAGACCGGCGAGCAGCAGGTGGATGAAGACGGATGGGCCACCTTCAGCAAGGCCAAGAAGTCGTTTGGTGCTGAAGATGAGGACGACAGACAGTCCTTCAGACAGGCAGTCAAGGACGGTCTGATTGGTCCTAACAACGCCGTCAGAGTCAAGCCCAACAACAAGAACTTGGGCTCGTCCAAGGCTGTGGATCCCAGAGACGCCATTGCTGACAAGCACACCAACACTTTTAACGCTTTTGAAGCTTTGGGGGATGACGACGATGACGAATAGTTGATAATAGGTTAATAATACGAGGGAGCTAGCCGTCTAGCGACCAGGCAGGACTTTACGGTGTCTTTGTAGAGGTGGTCTGCCCACTAAACCGTGTAGACTTTCCAATTATGTGGCACGCTACATACTTGACTCACATAGCTCATTTGTATAGCATTGGCTCGTATCTCCGGCTCGAGATACATCGGCTGAAATGTCAGGGTCTTATTGTGGATTTCGCCAAATCAGCCACACCTGGAAGACCAGACAAGTCCAACAATTTGATGCTAGAAACACTATCAATAGACCAGTCGAATGCACACGAGGCACTTCTGTGGAAGAGAAATGACATAGTTATGGATAATTCACTATTGGCAATTTTCTATCCCTATCCCTGAATTCTAACTTGGGTAAACTGTCGTAAGACATTAAGGACTCAACTGATAGATTTTCCTAGTCGTGAGACATTAACGGTCGCTTAACTGACAGGATATCCCAGACGAGACCCTGTGGTCAATTAGGCCATTCTAACACTATATTACTTGAACTCTACATAGTTACGCGGATGTCTTTTTATTCATTTCTTTAAGAGAAACGACCTGCATTTTTTAAATCATCTTTCATACAACGATGGCAGTGTCATCGTCGCTGTCCAAACCTCCCAAAATAGAGTCCATATCGGAGGTCACCATCTGTCTGTTGAGAACTGATCCCGGACCAGTTGACAAAGAAACAGCGTCAGGGTTAAACGAAGGCATTCTGAGAGACTTGTGCTCCAACATTGAGTCCTTCAAGTCAGACACCTTAGGCAAGTTGTAATACTTAGGCTCAACCTCGGAGGCATGATCATGCGCCAAAAGGCTTCCCAATAATCCATGAGCTCCTCCGTTGTTCAACACATTAGCTCTATGGTTGTGGATTTCTGAATGAATAGAAGTAATGTCGTTAACATTTCCAAGACCTAACGTGGTATTATGGTTTCTGAACGAGTAGTTGGCAGTTGCTTGATCATTGATTGATGCAGATTCTGCTACCCCGTTTCCGTTGATTGGTCCGATGGTACCGTTGGTACTTTCGCTAGCACTGAAAGGACCATTGAGACTACTGATGTGTGGTTCGCTGCCCAAGCTCAATTGCAATGGTCTGTTAGGATTAATCCATTTCGAAGTGAAACTGTTTCCTGCCACGAAATCTTGGAGCGCCTTCTTTGATTCATTGAATCTCAAAATACCATCTTCATCGGTGTGGCTACCGTGAATTCTGGAATTTTGCAAAAGCTCTTCATCCGTGGGTTCCCCATCAATATCTTGAATCCAAACCTTGTTCAATTTTCTAAACTCAATATCAACCAATAAGTTACTGTAGAACGTTGATGAACATGCATAGTCTTCCAACTCATCAGGATACATCTCATCTAAGGATTTTAAACTGTGATACATTATCACATGTCCAATACTATCCTTAAACTTAGTAGTCTGAGTGAATTCATTCACCTTTGAAAATTGGAACATCCAGTGGTAGAAAAAGGGAAGGAAATTGCTGACAAAATTCACTCCAAGCACACTCAACATATCTTTCATGATTTCAGTCAAAAGTGACGCGTTTTCAATGTTTGGAAACTCAGTCGTGTTAAAAAATTTGTCAACGTAGATCAAGAAATGACTAATGAAGTTATCATTAATGGTGATATACTGGTTTGCATCTGGGATAGCATAGTTTTTATTGTCATCATTGAAATTGACTGGCTTGCGTACGGTAGAACCCCTTCTGGATATGCTCAAATCAACTGGCTCTGAAGCAGGTGGTTCACTAGAGTCTCGTGAGTCGGATTCTTTCACAAGTTCGTTGTTCAAAAAGTTTCTAAAAACCTTGAGGTACTTCCTTTGGATTTCATTCTTCTGAGAAATAGTCAACGAAGAATGAGACTTTTGATTGGAGAATTCAGAATCAATTGCCAAAATTGCCAAACTGATATCCCAATGCTCCAAGTTAACATGGTTTCTGCTAATTGTACTTGTGTTTTTCTGCAAAAGGTTGAACATGATGGAAATGTTTTCCAACAATGTAATAACTAGTTTGTGTATTTTATCACCAGAAATCTTAGCTTCACCAACTTCAGTGGAGAAGGAAAATTCCAACACAGAGTCAATCTTTATCAAGATCTCCTGGATAGAGTCTGGAACTTGATCAAAGTAATAGATATGCGTGGACAAGTTACAGATACAATTCGAGTACACCATTGATAATCTGTCAACGTCTTCCACTTTCAAGAATTTGGACTGGTGAATGATCAACCCTGACTGCAACGATAAGATTTGTTGTATGAGATCAGAGATTGAAAGACCTATCATATTGACATCCGAGGAAACGAGGCCAAGAACATAGTTGGCATACTGACTTTGGGTGTCATATTTGGGCAGCTTTTGTGTTGCCGAGTGGGCGATGGTTGAAAGGCGAGAGAGAAGCGTTCTCAAAGTGACAAAACGTAACTGGACAGGAACCCAGGTGGTGCACATTTCCAAGAAGGTGGTGCCCCAAGATTGTTCAACAACCGACTCGTGGCAGTAGTTGATGACTGCCTGGGTAACTTCTGCGATCTGGGTGGTTGCAGAGGTGTTGAAGAAGGCCTTGATGCCTCTAAATGCCTCCTCAGTGATGTCATCTGCGGTCAAGGCGTCGTTGTCAAAGTCCTCATCGATGTGCTTGTAGATCTCCTGGTTCTGCCTGGTCAGGGCGACCTTGGAGAGACGTTCGCCACCGGTCTCAACATTGACACTGGCGTTGAGTCTGTTCTCCAACGATCTCTGGCTACAGGCGCTGTGGATGGTTTGGATGTAGACGGGGATCGAGAGGCCAATGAAGCGTTTAGCGTAGGCAGCATCGTGGCCAATGCAGTTGGCGAGGTGTCTGGAGGCCATCAAGGCGGTCATTTTCCACTCCAACTGGTGGGGAGTCTGGGCCTTGGAGTTTGCCATGCCAATGGCCACCAACGACTCGGACAACTTGGAGAAGAGGTCCATAAACACCCCGTCACCGGGGAATAACGCATTGTTGAGGTTGTGGCAGAACACGCCGTAGGTGCTCAACACACTCTTGGCCAAGGCCAAGTCTTCGATGTGGGCAATCCGGTGGAGAATGGTGCAAACATGCGATGCAAAGACATTCAAGTCGTCGGAGCACTTGTCGATCAACGCAGCAAGAATGGCCAAGGTGACCTGGAGGTTGCCGGCACGGTTGCGGCTGACGTCGGACTGGTTGCGTTTCTCTAAGAAGTTGGCGACCTTCTCAAGCTTGACACGGCGGGTGGAGGCGTAGTAGAGAAGGTACGAGAGCTCTGACGGGTTGGGCTTCTTGTCGACGCCCTTTCCGGGCGGGTAGCACTGTAGAATGAGCTTCTGGTGCTTGGAGTGGATGAACATGTGGTGGGTGGCTCCGGTGCTGGGCAGTTGTTGTGGTGGGGTTCTGGTGCTGGAGTGCTAATGCTGGAGTCCTCGTGCTGGAGTGCTAATGCTGGTGTCCTGGTGCTGGAGTCTGGAGTTCTGATACTCTGCTCTCTGGCTTCGACCGCTGGTGTGGCCGTGGTGGAATAGCCTGTTGTGCTCGTGCGGTTCGTGCTGATCACAGGATCGCACTTGGCCGTGGCGGTAGTGGAGAAGACTTCAAATCTCACCAGCAATTTTCACACCCACGGAACAACGGCATGGCACCACCGATCTACGTGAAAGGAGGGGCATGGACCAACATCGAGGACCAGATCCTCAAGGCGGCAGTGTCCAAGTATGGACTTAATCAGTGGTCGCGGGTTGCGCTGTTGTTGACCAAGAAGCTGGCCAAACAGGCCAAGGCCCGCTGGAACGAGTGGTTGAACCCAGCGGTGGCGCGTGGCGAGTGGTCACAGCTCGAGGACGACAAGTTGTTGAGCATGGCGCGGTTGATGCCCAACCAGTGGCGGACTATTGCGCCAGCGATGGGCCGGACCGCCACTCAGTGTGTGGAGCGGTACCAACGGTTGTTGGACGGGGCGCTAGGCGCTACAGGGAGTGCTGACGACGACCTAGGCCTCAGTGGTCCAGGCATGGAGGCCATGCCTGCGGCAGGTCCCCAGGCGGGAGATATCAACGTCAACCCCGAAAGCAAGCCTGCCAGACCCGACTTGGATGACATGGACGAGGACGACCGTGAGATGCTCGCAGAGGCCAAAGCACGGCTTGCCAACACCCAGGGCAAGAAGGCCAAGCGGAAGGCCAGGGAACGAATGCTTGTTGAGAGCAAGCGCATTGCGTTGTTGCAAAAGCGACGCGAGCTCAAGGCTGCTGGAATCAACATCAGCCTTGAGAGCAGGAAGAAGAAGAAGGAGTTCGACTACAACGCCGATATCCCGCACGAACGAGCACCTCTAGCCGGGTTGTACGACGTCTCGGAAGAAACGGCGGCAAACGAGCTCGAACGAGGCAAGTTTAGCACCGAGGTGGCCAGGCACGGAATGGACATGAAGGAGGTGGACGACAAACACAGAAAAGACAAAAGGTCTGAAACAGAAGATGCGCAGAGAAAGGCCAAGCAGAGCATTAAGGAGATCGAGGCCGCTGCCGAACTCTATACCGACTTCGAACAGGAAAACTTGAAGAAGAGAAAGTTGGAACTTCCTGAGCCGGAGGACAGCAAACGAGCTAGAGCTAAATCAGAAAATTTGGAAGCCCAGGTTGATTTAGATACCCAGATTTTGAGCAAGGCCAAAGAGCTCATTGCCCAACAGGCGACCAAGTCGACGCTTTTAATTGATGATAGTACACCTATTAACAAGCAAAGCACCTCCAGTCCCCACAAATCTAAGGATGCCGCAAAAGAAGCAAAAAGAGCGGTTGCAAAGGCAAAAAGTGCACTCGTTGCTACATTAAAATCCCGTTTCAGTCTGCTCCCAAAGCCCCATAACGAGCAGGGAGTTATCATTCCAAGCTTTGAATCTAAGGAAGAGGTTTTAAAATTGGACACAGACGATGTCCCTTCTGCCGATGAAGGTGAACGCTTACGAAACCTTGAGATTTTGAGGCAATTAGACGAGGAGAAATCCAAGTCGAGAAGGTCACAAGTAGTCCAACAGGGCCTTCAAATTCCGAATCCTGCATTATTAGACAAAGTTCAGGAACCAAAATCACAACTTGGAAAACTTATTCATAAAGAGCTACTTGATTTAATACGGTCAGATTATAGAAAGTACCAGGACCAGCTGTTTAAAGGTAAGTTGGTTGAGGATTTAGATGAAGAGATTCACGAGCTAGTGACCAATGAGATCGCAAAGGAACTAACCCAGATGAACACGGATCAGCTACACTCTGGGGTTAACTCTAGCTCAGTGATGTCTTATAAACTTCCAGAATCTTTTGAGATCGCTGAGAAAGGCATCGCCAAACTTCACAAATACCACCAGAAGGCAGTATCCAAAGAAAATAAATTATTCCAGAGTATCAACTACGATGGGTATGAACAGAAGAAGTTGAACCTTATTTCTGAGATTCACAACGAGTTCAACGAGCTTTCCAACGCGGAAATCGAGCTTTCAGTGGTTTCGGATTCGGCCCAAAGAGAAGAAATCGCGATGGTAAACCGAAGCACGAAGATGAAAGCGATGGTAGACCGCTTGACGGAAGTGGAGCACCGTATCGAGGAAAAGATCAGGCTGGCCAAAGTCAGCTAGTTACCACTCCCAACATTTTTGCCACCACTATCACATGTATATTAACGAGATTTAACGAATAAATAATGAACAATAATAGACGCACATGATCAGCAATCTTCAGGACAACAGTATTCTGCACTATGCGGGGCACTACTTACCGTGGATCTTTATTCTCGATCACGAGCCGCACCTAGATACTTTGCTTGAGATCTGCATTAGGCATTTGTGGGCTCAAGATCGGTTTCTTTTCTCTCAGCTCGGATAAGGAAGGCTCATCAGCTATGACGAGGCTAGAAAAACGGCGTCTCTCTGTAATATTTTCTCTAAAACCACCACCTAGCTTCCATGTTCTACTGTGAAAGAGCCAGATAGGTTATAGATTTCGAGCCTGTATTCGAAATCTTACATCATACAATTTATTACCTTTTTAGATATCTTTTGTAGTGATTGGATTATCAATGTAGCTTTGTGCCTCCAGCAAGTATATAACTCTTGTGGTGCTTTTGCTCAAAATACCACGCATATCACCACCTATATGAGGTAAGATTGGTTACAGGATTGAAGAGCGATCTCAATGGTAGTTTAAATTTTCCATCTATACATTAGGTCTGCCATATTTACTAAACACTTAGTATCTTGGGGCTGAAGAAGCGACAGGGGCATATTTGACTGGACAGTTATTGATGCACTGCTGGAAGGGGTACCGTAGCCGATTGCTGCCACGAAAAGTATGCTCCTTAGGTTAGAAATGTGAAGACTTATCTGTAAACAATTTGACTGGTAGGTTAAAAAAGAATTTAAATTCCCCTACACCTAGGGACATACTGGGCCAAATTTGAGTGCTACGAAGATTAGTCCGGACTTATTTTAAGTCACCAGCATGTTTAATGTAGCAAAGGACCTTTAAATCAATAATAATCAGACCCTTTACATGCATATAAACGCACCAATCGCAAGGCATTAATGGCCCTTTTGACATTTGCAACAAGTATCTTTCAATTCTAACATGGTAAAGGTAGAATACTTCTTTTAACCTTGTCTGGCAATCTGTTGGAGGTATGACAATTAATTAAGCCAAAAAAAACGGTTGTACTACCTACATTATTAATCCTTATCCTTGATACTACGGGCAAGTACTGCGTCCTCCAGCTACTATTCTAAGATCTCGTTCCTTGCACCTCTAACATCAAGTGGTACTTTCATTTTCTCTTCTAGCCACTACCCATTCGCAGCCTTTGAATCATTCTCAACCGTCTCTATCGTCCCTCAATGAACACGTTGTAAACGCTCAGCACACAACCATTGACTTCCGTGGCCATGAACCTTCTTGTCATCCCTCTTCGCCAGGCTCGTCCTATGGATCTTGGAAACGAGCTCTCGCAGATCATCCAACGGGACTACTTTCAGACCCCCTCCAGCTTTCACGATGATCTAGCCACAGTCACTGCCCTCCGCAACAAAGTGGGAGCCATCACCAACGAATCAGTGAGCACTTCGGACGTGCTGCTCCTTCAGGAGTACTATCTGCATCTTATTCACCTCAAGAGAAAGTTTCCTCCTGACAGCATCGAGTTTGCGTGGTATGGCACGTTAACGTACGGACTCAGTGGCCCAGCCAAGTTGCGGTCATTCTCCATAGAGCAATTGAACGTGTTGTTCCAATTAGGCAGCTTGTTCTCACAATTAGCCCTCAAAGAGTCTCGACACACTGACGAAGGCTTGAAGCAAGGCTGCGCAAAGCTCCAACTAGCAGCAGGATGTTTCCAGATGATCTTGCTAGAGCAGGAAGCAGGAATTCCCGTGCCCAACGACTTTACCCACGATACTATCCAGGCGCTAAAGTGGTTGATGTTGGCCCAGGCCCAAGAGATGGTGTGGCAGAAAGCAGTCAGCAACGGCAAGATGAAGGACTCAGTGATCGCCAAGCTAGCCATCCAGACGTCAGAATTCTACAGTGAAGCCTTGAAGTATGGCAATGCTTCCGACTACATCAAACTCGAGTGGATTAACCATATTACTGTCAAAAAATTCCATTTTCGGGCTGCCGCTTTCTACAGAGCTTCAATGGGATACCAGGATACTTTTCAGTACGGGGAGCAGGTGTGTTGTTTGCGTGTAGCGTCGGAAAGTGTGTCATTTGCATTGAAACTGAAAAAGTACGTTAATTCGTTCGTGATTGAAGACTTACAGGGATTGGTGGATACCATCGAAAGAAGCTTGAAAGTTGCAGAGAAAGATAACGACTTAATTTACTTGAAAGTGGTGCCAAACGAAAAAGACTTAAAGCCTTTAGTGGGAACCGTTATAGTCAAACCTATCGAGCCAAAATTTGAGGAACCTACAAAACCACTTTTCGAAGACTTGTTACCTTATATTGTCATCCAGGTCTCGCAAGCATTCAGGGAAAGAATTGACAATTACATTAAGGAGAAGTTTGCCAATCCAGTAGTCAGTTTGAACAAGATGATGATAGACTTCTTGACCGAGCGCAACTTACCGGCTTCTATAGATTCGCTACAGCAGCCAGAGAATCTTCCAGAACTGATTATTAAGCATTCACAGGAAATTATTGGCATAGGTGGAACAAACGTCATTGAAGAATCTATAACGGAGACATCGCAGATAGCTGGCCAATGTAAGGGCTTGTTGCAGGAATGCAAGAACAGAATTCAGTTGGAAGCGCAAGAAGACGATATGTTAAGGCTGAGACAGGGAACACAGCGTTGGACCCGTGAATCCAGTTCGGTAGCAGGGCAAAAACTTTTCCCCAAAGTCGAAAAAATGGAGCTTTACCTCCAACAGGCAGAAGCTGGAGATAAGTTGGTGTTATCCAAGTATTACGATCTCAAGCCTTATTTGGAGATCTACTGTGGAGGATACAAGACTTTGGTCGATTACATCCCTAGCTCCAATTACACTCAATTGGACCAGAATATCACCTCGATCATTTCTGACATCAGAGCGGCTGTCAACGAAGCAAGAAACTTGGAGGACTCCAGGAAAGATTTGTTAAGAAATGTAGAATTGAAGACTAAAGATAATCCAATATTGCCCAAAGTTATCGAAGATTATAAGGTCAACAAGACTCGGATATACCAAAATGAGGGAGTCATCAGGGAGAGAGAGTTTGAGGGGGTCTTTGAGCTGCATTTGGGCATCTACAATAAAGAGTTGATGGAGCTCGAGGCCTTGAAGAACAAGCAAATCTCGTTGGAGAGCGAGATTGATATGCTCAACAAACGTTTCATCTCCGAGTTTAACATTAGAGTGAGCGAATCACAACAAGCACGTGGCGAGAGCTTACAGGTATTAGAGTCAGTCTACTCGAAGTACTTGGATATTATCTCCAATTTGAATGAGGGGAACAAGTTCTATAATGACTTCATTCTGAAGGGCACGGGGGTGTTGAAAGAGTGTGAGGATTTCTTGTACAAAAGAAGAATGGAGGGAAGAGAACTTGAGTTGAGTATCCAACATGATCATTTACCTGCTAGAATACCGCCGGACGAGGTGTGCCCTAAGAGCCAGGCCCCTCATGACATAAGCTTGGCCGAGAATAGTGCTCCTTCTGCCCCTGGAAAATGGCAGTGAGGCTTACTAACATTCAAACCCCATTCAATTCTGCTCTAAGGATACTAAACTGTGAATGAAGAACAAACCACAATCTTCCAGCGAAGGGTCTACTATTCCTTCAAATGAAATCAGAATAGAGATGCATTACTTATGTTTATCACCAATGGGGGCCTGAATAGTAGTTAGCATTTTTCAGTTGTCGAGTCAAAGTGATACTGGCTAACACCAATCAAATCAACCTTTATCGGTGACTATTTGCAGAGCGGACTACATCTTCAGATACGCCCCAGGATAATCAGAGTTCCATTTGCTCTTTATGCTTCGCTGTAATTCACAGATTAATAGTGGAGGCATATTATATGTCTTTTGATGTAATAAATAGATTGAAACTTCTAGCAGACCCCAACACATACTGGCGTGGGATATTTATAGTAAAAATTACAATTAACAATACTAATTAATGGATTAATCTCAAGTTAAACTGCTGCTAATAGTCAACAGAGAAAACCTGGTAAAAGAAATTTGCTAACATCTATGATAGATCAATCCACCTATAAATCGTAAAAATGGGGCTACTTTATGAAGACAAAATGTGGATTTGACCAAAAAGTGTAATTCTTGATGAATGAACTGACACGCTCAATTGAGCTCCTTTATCGCACTGGCCAATATTATCCACCAAAAGGTATTCATTGCTTCACTCTGGTCTTACAGGTTATTATTCTAAAGATACAATTATAGAGTTGTTATATGGAAGCTCATACAGTTAGTGGATGATCGCACCAAATCCGGGGTCATCGTGTGCAGGTCAATTTCCAGCTCATCTTCAGATCCATCTGCTCACCAACTCCGTATGATCACGAGGTATTTCCGGTACTTGAAGAACAGAGTGATGACCAAACCGAAGAAGAGTATTATCAGTATCGTGGGAACCACAGGCGTGGGAAAGTCCCAAGTAAGTAGGGCCAATAGTGGGCATACAAATCAATGTGAGAACCGAGCCATCAGGCAGTAGTTGAGAAGTCACAGAGAGATCTGGAAATAGTACATCAATGGCCGACTGAGATATTTTGCGGAGCTGTTTTAGACTGCCAGGCATCCAATGTCTAATTTGGAAAGAATTCGTCGATCAGATGGACAATTCGAAATATCTCCACGTTCTTTCCTAGACTGTTATCCATGCTTGATGTTGTTGCCGTTCGCTAACTGCATAAGTAGGGCACTCTGTGGCCTTTTCGCTGCAAAACTCACCAGCTTCTAAACACACACTAACCTCTAGTTCAGCATTGATCTCGCCAAAGCCGTCAATGGAGAAATCATCAATGCTGATTCCATGCAGGTGTATCGGGACCTTGATAACATCACCAACAAACATCCTGTCGAAGAAAGAGAGGGCATACCGCACCACGTCATGAATCACGTCAACTGGGACGAAGAGTACTTCATCCACAGATTTGCGCAAGAGGCAGGAGACGCCATACGGGACATCCACGCCCGTGGAAAGGTGCCAATAGTAATCGGAGGAACCCACTACTACCTTCAGACACTCCTTTTCAACAACAAGACCATGGCTCAGTCCAACGAACCCAAGCAGCACGACAAGGAGACTACACGCGAAAGCGACACTGTCGAGGCTGGATCAAACGTCACTCCCGAACAGCTAGCAATCCTCGATGGGCCTGTTTCCGAGCTTTTCGAGGCTCTTTCACAGATTGACCCTATTATTGCCCAGAAGTTCCATCCCAAAGACCACCGGAAGCTCAGAAGAGCATTGGAGATCTACTACAGCACTGGCGAGCTTCCATCGAAGCTCTACCACGAGCAGAAGCTCGAGGAACTCGAGGACTCGTCCTTGGTCTACAACACATTGCTCTTCTGGGTGTACTCGGACCAAGAGGTGTTGGTGCCTCGATTGGACGCCCGAGTCGATAAAATGATGGCTGGTGGGGGCATCGACGAGATTCAGCAGATGTACGGTGCGTACCAAGCCCAGGAGCCCCGTCCCGACTGCACAAGAGGAATCTGGCAAGTGATTGGGTTCAAGGAGTTCTTGCCATGGTTGAGCAGCCAGCAGCCGCAACCACAGCAGTTCCAAGACGGCGTGGAGCGCATGAAGATCCGCACCCGCCAGTACGCCAAGTACCAGGTCAAGTGGATCAAGAAGTTGTTGGGGGTTGAGCTCCACAAAGAGAAGCGGTTTGGCTACAAGTATGGTGGCAAAATGTACGTGTTAGACGCCAGCGATTTGGAAACTTGGCAGCAAAACGTAGCCGAGGTGGGTATATCCATTGGCAAGCAGTTCTTGGAGAACGGACCAACGGCAGTTGAGCAGGCCCAAACGCCTGCCAGGTTGTCGCACTTGGTTGGAGGCGAGATCAAGAGCAACAAGCAGATTGGAGCCGAGGCTGGCTGGAAGCACTACAAATGCGAGCACTGCAAGGACAAGACGGGAATGCCGTTTGTGGCAGTGGGAGAGGAGAGCTGGCAGCTCCATGTTGGCAGCAGACGCCACAAGCGACAGGTGGGAGCTGGGGCCAAGAAGCGCAAGCACGAGGAGATGCTCCAGAAGTATGGGAAGGGCGTGAAGCGAGAAGAGAAGGGCGAGGAGGCGCCAGCAGAGAAGAGTGAGGGTGGAGAGGTGAATGGAGAAAAACCGGCACAGAAGGGCGAATAGGCAGCGACGAGCTGATGTCCGCCCAAACTGCTGCTGTAGACTCCCAAAGCCGCCCCAAGCCCACGCCCAAGGCGGAATCCAAGAGTCCAAACTCTCGATGGCCAAATTGTATTTGGCACTAGTGTCCGTACTCAGTCGTTTACGGCGTCTACACCGCGAGGGCCCAAATGGGCTTATCTTGAATTTCAGCCATCAAGGTGGAAATGCCCCACAATGTTCTACGAGGGATAAACATCCACCCAGCCACGGATTAAATTAGCACATGGTGGTTGGTAAAAACCTCTACTGCCATCCGCAAGTATTGCTGCCCTAACTCAGAATGGGTGCTGACTATCCAATTCTGCCACAACCTGCAAGAAACCGCGCCAATGCGAATGGATATCCACTGTGATAATTATGGAGCACCATCAGGGCTTATGAACCCGATTGGGTGTTCGCAGACCAGACTATCTGTGAGGCGGCGAACCTCATTGTTAGAATTGTCTGGAGATGGGGCTGGGGTGAATTGACCCCATTCTCACGGATTTCGTGGCTACTCGTGAGAGGTTAATTGTACATAGAAATAGACATCCTGAAAAGTAGCATTTATTGGCGGGATGCGACGCAGGCGGATTCCACCACCGTAATTGCCGGTTATGGCAGACACAACCAAGCCAATTGGCTGGGGCTTCGGGTGGTGGCGTATTGCAATTGTGGGTGGGCCAGATGGGTTTAGCTTAAAGTTTGGACCATGAAGGCTCGGAATTGCGAGCCTGCCGGAACCAGGGATGGTGTTTGCCCGAGTTGTGTCGGGGCGATTGTCGTGTCTGATTAAATGCATGGCTTCCAACCAGCACTGCGAAGATACGAACCGATATTGGCCATGCACAACCGCGGAAATTTTGGGCCCAGATGGCCATCTCCGAGAGTCTGTCCTGTAGGCACTGGCAGGTGCATGGCATCACGATGCGGTGGGCACAAGTACCGAGAGGAGGTGGGCTGCGGGCTAGGGAGGACATCCGGGTGGCTCGGGCCCGCTGGGTCAAGGGAGGCCGTTGCTGGGGCTCTGGCGTAGCGGGTTGACTGGGTAACTCCCCCAGCGCTGGCCCTGGGCAGGCGCCATCCCAGCGGTGTTGCCCGCGCATGCAATTAATGCCGTTTGCGGTAATATAAGTGCAAACCTTGCGCAACCTGCAGAATTGCATGGCCAGTTCTAGACTTACCTGCAAGTCTAACCTGTAGACAGCCTGGTTGTGGATACCAGCTCAATGCACTGCTGGTTGGGGGCCCCGCCAGAATATGACGCTAGTGATACTCCTGGTGCTAGTATAACGGCTCGGTAGTGTCACTGACACCGGCGATAATATTGTGACATACGCCAGAGATTATTTCTTGCCCACTGGCAGATTTGCTTGCTCCCTCCACCACTCAAAAGGGGGCTCCCCCTATTCGTGGTGTGGAAGTGGGCCTGTGGACGATGCTGGCGGTGGACATGCGGGCGACGCTGGGGACCTCGCTGCCTCAGGCGACTCTACTGCGCTCGGTGCGCTTGTGTCTGTCTGTGTCTAAAAAAATCTCTATTAAGCGTATAAACGGTTCACCCATGGTAGCCCATAATGTAAAGTAAGGATCTAGTAGTAATATTAAGCAAGAAGGAAATCATTAACGAAAGTAGTCGTGAAGGAGGTGATGTCGCGAGACACCCCCAGTCTAGTTGGTCAAGTCCACAAACGAAAAGCACCGGCTTTCCAACACCTTGAGACTGGGACTGATAGGCATCTCTTCGACGGCAGGACCCACTCTGCGGCGAGGCTCGTTGTTCATCAAACTCATGCCAAAGTCTTCGTTCAACCGTTGTTCGATCTGGAGAAGCTTGGTGTCGAGCTGGCTCAACTGCGAGTCCTGCTGGAGTTGTAAGTTGTTCATGTCGTGGGCTGAGCACCAGCCACTCTCGGTGAGGTGCTGCTTGGTGACCTCGAACGCCTCGTGAATCGAGTTCTTCTGTTGCTTGAGGAACACCGAGTATTTGATGAGCTCTTCAGCCGAGTGCAACTCGGAAATGGAAGACACCCGGTCACGGGCAGCCACCGAGCCTGTAGACACGGTACGGGAGCTGCCAGCGCTAGTGGCTGGTTCCAACTCTTTCTGAGCCATCGAGTTGGCGTATCTTGAATTGATAGTGTCGAAGTAGCTTTGTTCCATGCTGGACAACGCCTTTTTGGACGACGACAAGTTCTCAGAAAGTGTGATGATGGGCGAGTTCAGCGGAGGAGTCAAGGGGGTGAGAAGAGCCGAGTTTGAGAGCGTTCTGGAGCGGCTGGGCTTGTAGTTGATCGAGGTGACTGGTGGGTGGGAGGTGGAAGGATTGATGGAGGACGAAAAACTCGAAGATGAGGATGTGGACGAGTGGGATAAGTTGTGACGGTGGCCAAACCCCAAGGAAACAGGCCCGGGGTTGGTGGCGGAGGAGAGGCCTCCGGTGGAGGGTGCAGAGCTGTCGTCATACTTGGAGTCTGTTTGTAATGGGTGCAAAGTGGGACGTTGTGGCACCGGGTTGGTGATGGGGGTATTGGACGACGAGCTGGAGGAGCCTCCCAACGACAACTTGCGGATGCCGTTCTTGAGACTCTTGAGCCTCTTGATGGGCGAGGTGTTGCTGGTGGAGGAGATGCTGGAGGGGGCAGTTTCTTTCGAGGCCTTGGAAGTCTTGGAGCCTGTGGAAGTAGGGCCCAACGATGGGAATGCCTGGAACTTGGCGTCGAAGCCGAGACTGGGCGAGTCGAGCTCGTAGTTCATGAACGACGGGTTGTCAAGGAATAGGTCGGAGAAGTCGGTGGAACGAGCATCGTCGCGAGAGTTGCACGAGGTGCTGGAGTTGAGCGCAGACGACACTTCCTCGTCATCGCCAAAATGCTGGAATTTGGAGTTGCTAGTGACCACAGGCGAGTTGTTGTTGCTGTTGGAAAACGAGCCGGATGTGATGGCAGAAGTGACCTCCAAGTCGTCCTGGTCGCTTGGAAGCGGCGGAAGGAGCGACTCACTCAACTCAGCATCGCCACTGATGGTCAGCTCGGTGTTGCTGGAGCTGTTTCTATTCATTGGAGGGACTGAGGCGGCCGACACTTGCAGAGGGGAGGCTAGGCTGGCGCTGGGCGCAGACTGGGAAGGATGGGGGTTCGGTAGAGAGGGTTCTTTTTCCTCAACGAGAATGCCCAAGCCACTGAAATCATTCATGGCGAAGTGGCAATATTTGTAGGTGGCGGTGGAGGTGGCGGTTAATTATGAGATGAATCACAAATGGTGGATGGAATGTAACGTGCGAAAAGTTTGAACAGGTAATGGAAAGACACGGAGGGGATGGTCCATGCGACTGGAAGGGCGCTGGGATGGGCTACTTTGGCGGTGATGACGGTGGTCAGACAATAAGGTGAGCGATGGAGTTTCCAGTTTGGATGTTCTCACAAATTTCTTTTGGGAGGCACTGGAGACGGACTGTGGAGTCTGAACAGTAGCAGGTGACGATGGAGGGAAGGACAATAAGTAGGACGAAAGGGGAACCCTACGGGAATGTGGAGCAGAAAAGACTAGTCTTTATATTGTAACCAGTTTGGGATACAGGTCAGCTAGGGTTGTAGGAGCGCGGCGTGGAGAAATAATCTGATATTGCAGGAAACTACGGTAGTGTCAGCATAGATCTGAATAAGTAGTGGTGCAGCTGTGCAGTTTAGGGGTGGTGCAGGACCAAACTGGCCAGTTAATGTGCAAACATATATTGAAAAATCTGAAAGTTTTTTTTAAAGTTTATTTTGTGGGAGCACGATTATTATTTTTTATTTTTTAGGCTTTCGCCTCGAGGGAGCCGCGCATAGGCCGATGTCAACCACTGAGGTCCGATCCGCCATCCATAGGGTGGTTGGGATACACCAGGGGAGCGCATAGGCGATAGCAACCTGGAAGCCCCGAAGAGCAATTATTTTGGTTGTTGTTGCTGATGCAATGTACCCGCAAAAACGCATTTTTCAATGCAAAGACTCCAAGCCACAAAACCCGAATATGACCTGCATTTGTCAAGGACCAATATTCAATTTTTCATATTTTTCTACAGGTTACAGGAATGGCACATGCTGCGTCCACTAAACTGCTGCGGATGTAACAACAAATCCATCAAATTAGGTGAAACGACTGCGCACAAACCCCGGGTCGCATTTGTTGTCGCAACTATGCCAGGTGACAAGCCCAGATGTCGGTACAATGGCACATGAAAGTAAACACGGCTCTGGGGCAAATGGATGCTCCCTGATCAGGGAGTCGAGGGCTCGGGGTTGCGTGCAATTAAGGCTCCCAAGGTGCACAATCATGCAAGCTTTCTCCAGGTGGACGGAATTCTGCTCGGATCGCATAGCGCTGCAGTTATTAATATGCGGTGAATGAAGCGCGCCACTACAAATTATGCGAGCTTCCAAAATGTTCTCCCAAAGGCGTTTTCCCCTCCTTGGGCCAGTGAGTCGTGGCAAGTAATTCTCTTTGCAGATCGGAACCTCCTTTGCAACTTCCGGTGTCCGGATCTAAGCATGGCCAAGAATTGTGGTGCTCAGAGCTCCGGTATCGCTGGACCATTAGATATCCACTAGGAGCGACAACTGTAATCCTGGAAATGGCGCCATATGTGGTAATCGGAGAGCAAATCAGAGGGTGCCTCGTTTATTATCGCCAATCCCCCCTCTACAGTATGGGGTTAGTACAGGGTGGGCATGCCGGCCCTGTGCATGGTGCTGATCCCGAGCTGGCGATGCTGTATACCAGTTTCCCATTTCCAAATTGGTGAGTCGCCTCCTAATCGTCCTGCAAGTACTGAATTCTAGATTTGGGGAGCTGCTGGTAATTAAGTCCGAATATGCTGGAGAGAATGCACCATGTAGTATTCCCGTGAGACGCACAAGCACTGTGGGCGTAGATGACGCCAGATCGAAGGAGTTTGCCGGTCTGCATGGTGGTCCAACCCTTCAACGTAACCAACCAGTCGCGACGCCAAACACGGTCATAATCCACTGCTGGGCCATTGGTAACCATACGATCCACAGGCTCGACTCTGGTGCCAATCTGCAAAAAGCTACGTCAGAATTTTGAGCGCTCTCCTGCTCGCTTGATTGCTTCGTGCACATTCTAATTCCGAGTTACCCAAAAGAGACGGTCTCCTAATCTATTATGCGACTTTGACAATGCATCTATCTTGGGCATCTGTGCGCCACTATTTGTACATCACCACATCGAGCATAAGTCGCCACAAGTGTCTTGCTAGCGATTGTGATTCTGTCTGTGTAAACACCAAACAGGCACATTGTCATCCATTGCTTGTAAATCACTCGCATGGATTGCTCGCCAATTCCGTCCCCAAACACCATCGCCAATGTCATTCCCGAAGCCCGAGGAATGCCATTGATGCCAATGCTGTTTCATAGCCTTATCCACTCTTACCACACTGATAAGAGATACACACACTGGGTATTTTGAAGACTGTCTGTGTTATCCGGTGTGAATTCTTCGGACGCAGTCAGGTTTCAAACGTTATTTACGCCACTAACTGCAAAGCTTATTTCTGGCCCACTTGTTGACATTATAGTGTCGTAAATGCCAGAAACCAATAAGCTTAAGCAAAGCAGCGTTGGGGCCCACCAACAATTCTGTAGGCTAAGCTGGAAGCAAAAAAGAATGGTCCCTAGCAGGATCGAACTGCTGATCTCGGCGTTATTAGCACCGCGCCTTAACCAACTGGGCCAAGGGACCGATTTGTTAGCGTTATCCGTCCTGCTATGAGATAGGCGCCGATAAATACTGCGTTATATGCAGGAGCATTCTATCCTTAAGTGTCTGTTTTTTCGTTTCTTCATAGCAGGAACGGCTAGTCCTCTATGACTAACTAGAAGACACTTGAAGGGATCGTACTCCCACAAAATGCCCATGCATAGCTTCAGCACTAATGTTACATTTATCTACATGATTATGTGCAGTCCATTGGTGGCTGTTCTTACATGGCCTGGGGCCACAGTGAACCCTAGGTATAATACGTAATAATCAGAGGGAAATAACCAAGATTGGTAAAGCCACCAGTCACCAGATTAATGGGGCGAGTGTGAGTTTGTACGGTTGAGCGTAATTTGCCACACTGTAAATTGGGAGTCTAAAGCATGGCAGTTCCGCTGGTCCATTGGTCTGGACCACGGTTTACTTCGTTCCCACTTGTGTTATTGCCCCTAGTTCGTGGTTCGCTGAACAATAAATGTGTATCGCAGGCTTTTCGTGACTACAATAGACAAATTATCATAACACCTACTTGAAAAATACTTTTACGTTCTTCAAGTGCTAGTGAAAAGTAACCACCATATTCTTGGGACTGTTGACACCTAGAATTACTGTACGAGTCGAACTATGCTCAACTAGTTCAGTTGCAAAAAGTTCGACACTTCACAAGGAGCACCATGCTTGGAGCAGTGTTCCGCTCGTTGATTTATGAATACTTCCCAGAGAGAGTTATAGAGTATGTGTTTGACTAATATTCGAGATTCAGTCATAGGGAGTTGTGGTTTAGCCTGAATTAGCTTTAGAAATTGGCTTAACTGTAATCCTGGTTTCCATTACATGAGGCGAAAATCTGCATGAACTTTAGCTATATTCTCCAAGATGAGCAATGTATGCCAATGCCTCTACGCACGGGTGATGGGCGGAAGTAAGCAATACGCCCCGATAAGCCGAAACTGACCCGATTTCACTGATTGTCGAGGCAGGACCACCTGGGGGTAGCCAAGTCCATAGTACTAATCACGGAAGTGTGTGGTAATCTCCGAACCTATCACGAAGACGAGAAAATACCATTGGTACCCACACCTCCAATCAGGGGGTGGGGCGCAATATTCAACCACGCTCAGTTGGAACAGAAATCTGGTCCCATTCTGGGTACGGGAATAAGGTTTCAGTCTCTGTCCCTTTTGCGATGGTTTCCGCTCTATTACAGAGATTGATCGAAATTGAGACTTCCAAGCTTGGGAACTGAACGATTGCCCCTTGAGCTTATACCTAAATGCTAGGAGGAAGGGTTGCTATGTTATGACATTCAATTGGCAACGCTTCATTTAGTAGGGAACGTTCGGCTCTAAGAATAGCCCTTGGCTGAGACAAGCAATTATTAGACAGTTGGCGACGGATCTCCGCTACCCCCTGAAAATATGACCCGACGCTTTCCGAAATGGGGCATTAAACCATGTATAGTGTGAGTTTCTAGTATTGGTAGAAAATGCCAAACAATACTGACACTCAACGGTGGTGGTCTCGACGCTATTCTTGGAGTTCTAGAACGTCTATAATTATTGGGATACTAGATCTTGCGCAAAGTGGTTGATTAATAATCAGAATGTGTGTTAACTGATAATCTTGAAGAAATGAAATCAAGTCTCACAGATAGTACCACTAAACTATGAGAAAGCCGAATGCAAGGAATATCTTCCGAAATTCTGGCAATTACCACTCAACTATTAGTTTGAATCAATATCACAATTAGGTGCAAAGTCTCTTATGTTTAATACCCATCAAAGTCCATTGCCGCAACTTTACTCCAGGCTTGGGTAAGGCAAAGAAACTCTACATAATGTACTCGGTAGTTCAATCTGAGGTTTTTTTGATTACCGAGGATACATTTTCAACTATGTCAATCCGCGATTGATTTTGTTAGTGGGAAGTTTAACATTGTCGCTCTAGATCTACCAATCTAAAGGGGGATATATACTCCCGGTGGGTGAATATTTATTAAATTTTAATAAATCCCGACCAGGTTCCCCTAACCGAACCGTTACCAACTAACTGCTCATGGCAACTTAGAAAGACTAGGCACCTGAATGGACAATTTACCAGAAGCGTACCGTTGCTTGACAATTGATTTGAATTTTTGTGACTGAGGGCTCTATGTAAAGCATACTTTCATGGGCAAATCATGTTTAAAGGTGAGTTTGACCAGTCCAGTATTTACGAAATCATGGGTGAAAACGAGAAGTTTTGTTACAGGGTCTATTGATCGCAGTTTTTCAAAGTGGCAGAAAAAGGTCCCTTGGCCCAGTTGGTTAAGGCGCGGTGCTAATAACGCCGAGATCAGCAGTTCGATCCTGCTAGGGACCATTTATTTTTGCATTTTTATTACCCATTCTTCCCTCCATTCATCTCACATCCTACTTTCAAAACTGACTACAAAATTCTTTCATGAACTAAAATCGTTAATACAATAAGCTAATGCACAAGAGCTTCTCATTGGAGTTTTCATTTTACGCAACTCCTGAAGCTATGGTCGAGCACTGTTTAATTGGCTTGAATCCGTGACTTTTCATATCTCCAGTAGTTTCTTCTGATAGGATCGTATCTATCCCCAAGCAAGTCGTAGATTTTTCCAGACTCCTCTCGCTTCTGTTGCTCGTTGTAAATTTTTGCAAGCGTCTCCAATGCATATGAGCTTTTTACGTCTTCGTTATTATAATCTGCCAATTTTTCACAAAATGGTTGCAACTCAGCCAAAGACCTGGAACTCTTGTGAAAAATCCCAAGCAAGTAGTTCCAAGCCGAAGGATTCTGGGGGGCCTTTTCTATCAACAATTTAGTATAATCAATTTCTGCTTTTAACTGGGCTTCCGTGATGTTATTTGCTCCAAACTTGAGGAAAAACCGGTGGCTCCAGGCCGAGTTATTTCTGAGGTCTAACAATAAGCAAGCTTCCACGAACTCTAGTTCCTTAGGGTCCTGGTACAATCCGAATTTCTCGACCAACCACTTGCGGTAGGACCAGACGTGGTGGTTCTTGGTATCTTCCTCCAACATGGCATTGATAAGGGGCCCCTCCCGATGCGGATCGTAAGTGTTGGAGGGATCCTCCAAGATCTTGTTGATGATCAATTGTCTGTAGTTCCAGATCTGGTAGTTCTTTTCGTTTTCAAGAGCGATCTGTTCACACCAGTCCAATTCGGCAACCAAGTCCCGCTTCAAATGCGTCAAGATCCTATACCTGTAGACCCAGATGGTGTAGTGAGATGCCAACAACTCGAGACCCAATTCGGTGATGTAGAGGGCCCGTTCTGAGTATTCGTTCTGCTTGAGGAGGGCTAGTAAGATGCCCATCACGCTCTTGTACTCATCGTCGTAGAGGATCTGGCATAGTTGAGGCTCCTCCAGATTAATGTTGACGGGTGTGACGTCTTCATATGAATACTGCTCCATGTTGGGTGTTGGGGAAGTCGATGTTTGGCCTGGTTATGCGGTGGTGAAAACAGTTCGTGGTGGGATTGGTGCGGTGCGAATAGCGAGAGTAGTCCGCGTGCGCTAGCGAGAGATGGGTGATAGGGAGTAAAGACGGTCGATACTCGTTTGGAACTGGACTAAGTGACTCAATCTTGGGACAGCAGCTCACCACAATAGTCTATGGAACTCTTGTTGTCTCCCATCGCCCGTTGTCCCACTATTTATACCGCATTTTCCCTATTGCCGTGTTGACACTTGCTACCGCCTGGCGAGATCCACCGGGCGGTGTCGCACCGCAGTTCCAGTCTCGGACCTGACAATACGGAGTAGTTCCCACCACCACTCTGTACCAGCACCAGAGGATCCGCCACCATCTCGTTTTGGCCCAGTCCCCTACCTCCAGTTGCTCTAATCCGGCTCGTCCCATCTGTCCAGAACGAGCCTCTGCTCGTGTGTTTCCCGTCCACAATTGCATATGCCCACTCCATCATACCAGGGAGGTCTTTCTGACACCGAGATAATTCTTGTGACTGGCGTAACCTGCCTGTGTCTCTACATCGTACTTTCTATCCTTCTTCCCCGCTCGACCATCCCGCTACTCGTGGTAGTATTTTTTGGTTCCAACATGGCGTCTCGTACCAACACCTTCCGATCACTCATCCCCAAGGTATCCAAGCTCTTCGATCAGGTGACAGGAACCACCCTTGCCACCTCTCTCCCCAAACTGAACGGAGTAGGGTACGAGAACTTTGCCAGATTGAGTGAAAACGCCCAGATCGAGTTGTTACAGGCGGTAAAGTCGTTACAGAACTACGCTGAAAGCGCCAAATCCACCAATGAAAGACGCAAACGGTTGTTCCGGATGATGAGCTGGAGACAGCAAAAGATTTGCGAGGATGTGGGATACTTGAAGAAGCTCAAGCGCATCGACCAGTACATCCAAAGCAACCAGAAATTCTTGAATGGCATAGCCGACCACGCTGTGCGGTCCTACGGGCTCTCGTTCCATGACTTCGCAATGTTGAAGTCGGCCTCGAGCACGAACCAAACCTCCACCTCCAACTATAGAGTGATAGAATCGTTGAGCCACTACATCCGTGATTGGAGCGTCCAGGGTGACCAGGAAACGAAGCCCATGATGGACTACATCATCGCGAATTTGAACACTGTCATTCCTGCCAGTGAAAGACACAAGACGTGTGTCATCGTGCCTGGCTCTGGTTTGGGCAAAATTGCCCACGCCATTGCCACAATGGGAGATGGTTCCGACAGTTTTGGCTCTGTCCATGCCGTTGAATACTCGGGCCTCATGCATTTGTGCAACAAATTTGTCTATTCTGGTTCCACGGAGCTTGTTGCTTCCTCGCCCGGCTCCTATGACATTTATCCTGGAATTCACACTTGCTCCAATTACTATACCACGGATTCTCAGTTCCGATCCACAAAATTAGAACCATTCAAGAATCAGCCTTCCAATTTAAGCATACATCTTGATGACTTTAGATACTTCGAGGCTCCAGACTTAAAAAATTGGGATAACGTAGTAGTCGTCACTGCGTTTTTTGTCGATACAGCAGAGAATTTAATAGACTACTTCGACAAAATCCTGGCCTTGACAACCCCCAACAAAAGATCAAATAGCATCAAAAATGGCTACTGGATCAACGTTGGACCCTTAAAGTATGGGACGGCTGCACAAGCGGAATTGAACGCTGATGAAATCAAGCATGTCAGAAAGGCCATGGGTTGGAAGGACAAAAGCTCCGTGAATTCACTTACAGACCCCAATGCTTATACTACCGACGGCTTGGTTGGTTATGTCACTGATAAGGAGAGCATGTGGCAAGGCTACTACGGGTTGAGTATGTGGGCCTCGGAGAGAAAGGAAAATGACAGAAAGTAGTGCATAGACCTGGATCAAGTGTCCTAGAAACGGTGAAAAACAGTGCAAAGTGTAAATTCCTTGTCATGACCATAGTTCTACTGTGGATTGCATCGGCCAATTCATTTTAGGATTAGGATTATTTGTATTTAGTAATATCCATATTTTAATGATTGTCATCATATATATAGCATAATAAGTACCGAAATAGATAGCATAATAAATACTAAGATATGTGTTAAAGGTGGCATCGTAGTGAAAGCTACCCAGAAGTATTTAATTCTGTTTCGAAGAAACTAATGTCGGAAATTATTAATCCTGCAACTTATATATAGCAGCCTGTAATACGGAATGTGCAGAATAATTGTAGAACGATAGAATCCACCATCTTAAACGAATAATAAGAGTCTATCCCAACAAACTGTGATTGTTCTCCGAAATTTGACAAAGTTGCATTTGAGAAGTGTAGTTATCCTACTGGGGAATTTTAGAGGGCTAATTAGAAGTTATATTTTGCACTGGAGAGGGATAAAATCCTACTCAATAAAGTATATTCAATTTCTGCTGAAATTACACATCTCTTAGCCAGGAGGTAGAACACGAATAAATCAAGTCATTAATGACTTGTCAAAGGATTCCTTCCTGTCTCATCCACCCACCTCCGAAAACTGTGAGGAGATCACTCAAATCTCAAGGCAAAATTCTATCGAAATGACTTGCTTCATTTGCAACTTAATCATTTATTGTCTCTTTAGAATATATTGCTTCATCTATCTATTGAGTCTATAATTACTAGCGGTCTGGGCGAATAGGTATCTATAATAAACACCTTCTAGCAGATAGTAATCTATAATGCATTTATTAATATACAGATCTAGTGGCATCTACCATGGTACGTAGCTCCTGAGGAGCACTTTGTCCCATACATCTCTACGTTCCCGAGTGCTGAAGTGTGTGCACCACACTTCTCTCTTTTTCTAACTTACTTGCTCACATTCTGGTTGATCTGGATCTTCTTGTCCTCACCACCACTGACAATTCCAATCTGGCTATCCCAACACACGTCAAACACCTTGTCCTTTCCCTTTTCAGCCTCCAGCTGTCTGGTGATAGTGTACAATGACTTGTCAGCCCTCACATCCCATACCTTGACGGTACCGTCGTGCGAGGCAGATGCAAACATGTTTTCGTTGCTTGGAGAAGCAGATAATCCCACCACGAAGTTGGTGTGGCCTATCAACTTGGCACTGGTTTGTTCGGTGCTAGCATCGACTCTTGGATCATGGAGATTGATATGACGGGCTGAAGATCCACTTACCAACAAGTGCTTGGTTGGAAGCTGTAAAAGACTCAACAACGAGTAGCCAGTGGTTCTGGTATCGATACAACGAGAGGTAACCAAGTCCCAGGTCTTGATTGTATGATCCTGTGATACCGAGTACCCCACAGTGGCATCCTTTTGGTCGAATATAACGGCCTCCACGGGCTGAGAGTGGCCCTCCAAAATAGCCAATGGAGAACGACGTCTGATAGAGGCGTCTTGCAATGCCATCTTTCTTCTCTTCTTGGAGGAGGTGGACAACACGTTGGAGTCATATTCTAATGGCTGTATGGCGGTCATTTCTTTGTAGTTGGTGGACCAGAAGCCAACAGTATGATCGTAGGAAGCAGACAAAATTCTGCTGGTTGTTTGTTCGATGTCCAACGAGACAACTGGGGCTTTGTGTGCTTCCAAAATGGCCAAGGTCTTACCATCTTCAGGTTCTTCCTCATCTGTTTCATCAATTACATCGCCGTTGGAAGCCTTCCACAATCTCACTTGTCTGTCATTACCAGCAGAAACGATTCTGGTAGGTGATACCCACTTGACTGATCTTATTGGTCCGGAGTGGCCCACGTATTGCTTTTCGACGGCTCCTGACATGTTGTAGGTTCTTACAATACCATCGTAGCTCCCTGATAAAATTTTTGCGGCGCTGAGAGTCAAGTTGGATGTGGTGACGGCCTTGGAAGTGCTGTTGATAGTGGCTAAACTCGAGATCCAGTCTTCATTATTGAACGATGCTAAGAATGATGGAGGCAAGACGGCTCTGGTGTACTCCAAGCTGAGGTAAGCTTCGTTGGACAAACCATTCTTGGTCAAGTAGTCTTGGAGGGATGTTCTCAACAATGCTCCGTCTATAAGGAAATCGAAAGGAATTGGCTTGGAATCTTCATCTTCGCCAGCATTGCCTAATAAATGGTTGACAACTTCGGACAAACCGTATCTTTTTAAGGAAACGGGCACATACAAAGGAGCGTCCGAGACTTTTATGGACTCATCATCTTCTTTGGTGAAGAAGTTGATCTTGATCTGGGTTTTATCTTCAGACATGGTGACGATGGGGTATGATAGTGTAGAAGAGATGAGATTTTTTCAAGTCATCGGAGGTCGGGTCACGTGCACTGATCGAGTACTGGAAGAATATAGTGATAGAGGCAGAAATAGAAGAGGGATGTAGTAGCGGGAAGGAGATGAAGTATAGTAGTAACGTGAGTTGGAATGGCTACAAGTGTTCTTGACGTATGAGTGAGTTTGGACTTGCATGAGCTTTCCATTAATTTTTATTGCACCTATTATGTCGCATTTGATTACAGATGAAGTGTTATAGTGTAGCTTGAAAGTACATACATTGGGATTGGCCTAAGTCTGAAAGAAGCTCCAACAATTTCTTGAATATGTAGAAAATTCATCACACTTTTATCTCGATGAATGGCAACACTTCTACAAAAAGTATCAACACCATAAGATTCTTATTCCAAGCCCAAACAGCACCATGGAAAGAAAGCAATTTCCTTATACTGGCTATGTAATCTATGCTCGAGTCATTTATTTGAACTCAATTGGCTCCATCTTCGTGGAATTCATGATCTCCAATCAATTGGGGCCGATTCTATTTTGGGTGCGAAAAACCCAAGCAGTCATCGAATACCACTTGTCGCATAGTAAGAATTAGATCATGAGAGAGAGCAATAGTAGATTTGAACTCACACTACTAGTGACCATTCTTGACCAGAATGACCTTCAAAATTCCCTGGTACTCTTACTACTTGTCCACCCTGCTTAGATATTTATACTGATCATTATCCCAAAGTGAAGCCTTAGACTAGCTCAGGCCAGTAATTGTTGTTCATTACTTTTATTACTTATTAATTAGGGGCTTTCCTCATACTATTAATTGTGGTCACCAGAGGCAAGCAGCATCCTAGTACTGATTCCTCAGAACCTGACACTCAAATTTATCTTGGACGATTTGTGCCTTGGACGAAGAACAGGAAACGACGCCCTGGTTGCAAGTTTGCCCATGTATCCAGCTGTTCTAATTCCAGCAGAAGCACCCTCCCTCAAACCCATGTCTGTGAAATTCCTCTTTCTGAAACGGCTGGTGAGTCGAGATTTCTTGATTATGGAAATATGAGACCTCGAGCCGTTCTGAGGCAAAAATGCACCAGGATCCGATACGTAACCCTGTGTGAAAAACGAGCGAATAGCCCTTTTAATGCGCTTCCATCGTCTCAGACGGGTTATTCTGGGGGGAGGCAACGATCGCATTTGTGCACTGGTGCAAAAGGTATTCGTGAATTTGGATCTGTGTAGTGAGATTCTGCGAATTTCTTTTGGTGCTCCCCGAGGAGGTTCCGGCTTATCTGGGCGAGGAGGTGTGCAGGAAACGGCTTTTTGGGGAGTTATTAGCTAGATATTGCCAGAGTCAAGTCACGTGTGGCCATTCCCTGAGTTATCCCACGAATGTGAGGAGTTACAGCACCGAAGTAAACCGACAAAGCAGTCATTGAGACAGCCATGTCGCTCCCACTCTGGCCAGCACGCTAGCTCGCTTACGGCTGCACTCACCAGGCCTCAAACCACCCATATACGAGGAGCCCAGGCGCCAGTTCCGGGGGTCGTGTCCTCGGAACTGGTGCGATGAGCAAAAAACCATAAAATCTCCCACGCCCGCCATTACAGTCTCAGATCGGCTACACCAATCGCTCCTACTCAAATGTCAACCACCAACGATGTCCCCATTGAGGTCTCCAAGTCCTTCGACACCATCCTTGTCTTGGACTTTGGCTCGCAATACTCCCACTTGATCACCAGAAGATTGAGAGAGTTCAACGTCTACGCAGAAATGTTGCCATGCACCCAAAAGATTGCTGAGTTGTCGTGGACCCCTAAGGGTATCATCTTGTCTGGTGGACCCTACTCCGTGTACGCTGAAGGTGCCCCACACGTCGACCACGACATCTTCAAGTTGAACGTGCCAATCTTGGGTATTTGTTACGGTATGCAAGAGTTGGCCTGGATCAACGGTAAGGGTGTTGCCCGTGGAGAAAAGCGTGAGTATGGTCCAGCTACCTTGAACGTCGAGGACGCCGAATGTCCATTGTTCAAGGGTGTTGATCACTCTCAAGTTTGGATGTCCCACCACGACAAGTTGCACGCCTTGCCAACTGGTTTCAAGGCAGTTGCCACCTCCACCAACTCTCCATTCGCTGCCATCTCCAACGAAGCTGAGCACATCTACGGAATCCAATTCCACCCGGAGGTCACCCACACCACCCAAGGTAAGACCATGTTGAAGAACTTCGCAGTCGACATCTGTAAGGCCACCACCAACTGGACCATGGAAAACTTCATCGACACCGAAATCGCTAGAATAAGAAAGTTGGTTGGCCCAACTGCCGAGGTTATTGGTGCTGTTTCTGGAGGTGTTGACTCCACCGTGGGTGCCAAGATCATGCACGAAGCTATTGGCACCAGATTCCACGCCATCTACGTCGACAACGGTCTCATGAGATTGAACGAGACCGAAACTGTCTACAAGACCTTGACCGAGGGTTTGGGCATCAACTTGACTGTTGTCGATGCCACTGACTTGTTCTTGGGCAGATTGAAGGGTGTCACTGACCCAGAAAAGAAGAGAAAGATCATTGGTAACACCTTTATCCACGTCTTCGAAGATGAAGCTGCCAAGATCAAGCCAGCCTCCGGCCAGGAAATCGAGTACTTGTTGCAAGGTACCTTGTACCCCGATGTCATCGAGTCCATCTCGTTCAAGGGCCCATCTCAAACCATCAAGACCCATCACAACGTCGGTGGTTTGTTGGAAAACATGAAGTTGAAGTTGATCGAGCCTTTGAGAGAATTGTTCAAGGACGAAGTCAGAGATTTGGGTGAATTGATGGGTGTTCCTCACGACTTGGTCTGGAGACACCCATTCCCTGGTCCAGGTTTGGGTATCCGTGTCTTGGGTGAAGTCAACAAGGAACAGCTTAAAATCGCCAGAGAAGCCGACGCCATTTTCATTGAGGAAATTAAGGCTCACGGTTTGTACAAGGAAATCTCGCAAGCTTTGGCTGCCTTGTTGCCTGTCAAGTCCGTTGGTGTTATGGGTGACCAAAGAACCTACGAACAAGTTATTGCCTTGAGAGCCGTCGAGACTGTTGATTTCATGACTGCTGACTGGTACGTTTTCGAGGCCAAGTTCTTGAAGAAGGTTGCCTCCAGAATCGTCAACGAGGTCGACGGTGTCGCCAGAGTCACCTACGACATCACTTCCAAGCCTCCTGCCACTGTCGAATGGGAGTAAACAAATACAACTGTAAAATTAGAGTATTCTTTTTCATAGTCTTGTCTTATACATTCACAGTCTAGACATTAAACACATAGCTGTAATATTTTGACTTCAAAACCAATACAAATTGGCAAAAGATGCCAGGTCCATATTAGTACGTTTGGACGGTTCCTACATCCAGTATCAGTAGAATGAGTTTTGAGGCTCGTAGTAGTGTTTTGCATGTATGTGATTATTTATGGTGGTATTCCCAATACTTTTATTATGCCTGATATATCTCAGCGAATACCGATTGTGAATTCAATCGAATAAGCCTTGAATGTCTAGATACCAGCATTTGTTATGGATCCAAATCCAGTATAAATGACTTTATCAAATTCTTTTGACAGACTTTTTCCTGGCTAATAGGTCGTTTTTAGTCCTTGTTGCCTATTATTATTTAAGCGGCTTAATATTTGAGCAATAGCCTGATATCGGACCCGACAACTGATTCAAAACTAGAACAAGTTACGAAATTTGGGCTAGTTGGACTTGCTGCAATCACCGTCTCCTTCCCATGAGATCATTTGGTCTTGATCCACAACAGGAAGCTTGTTCAAGTAGTTTGCTATATATTACTGCTCAATCGAAAATATTATCATATCATTGTAATTGGCAAAATTAGACCGTAGAAAGCTAGTTCAAGTGAATGGCTCCCAAAATCACTGCTCAATTGACAATGTTAGCGCATCCCGTGTAATTGGAAATAGTTGTTGAACCCAATGAAATTTATTCCAAGCAGCTAATTGGCCACTTAACCATTAATTTGCTTTTTTAACTGTGCGCTATGGAGGTTCTCCTATCTCAATACATGCTGACTGCGTTTGCAACCAATCAGAGGGAGCTGGTGTCCACGTTCTTCTGCCTTAGCACATTGGCAACCAACACTTCCCCATCGTGTGAAACACTGAGGAGGAACTCCTCGTCCTTGTGCTGATAGTGGTCGTTCCGGATAAATGGCTTGCCTTGGGGGTTGTAGTGGCGGTACCACTGGTTGAACTGGAACCGTTTCTGGTCCACGGGGTCCAACGTCTTGAACAACGCCTCTTTGGCTGCCCAGGCTCCCGACAACTGGTTGATCTGCTGGGCTGGTGGCGACTCCACGAACCTGGGGCGTTCGGATGGGTGAAGAATACGGGCCATGAACCGAGCCACGTAGTCGTCGTTGCGGGCGAGAATACGCTGGAAACGAGGGGTGTGGACGACGTCCACGCCTATCCCAAGTGTGACACCAAGCCTCATGGTGGAGAGGGTGGGGGTAGTGGTGGCTATCGGTACGATGGTTTTGGTCGCAACCAAGTATTTTGATCTCGCTAGGGGAAATTTGCCGGTGCGAAGATGATTAGGTCTCGCTAGAATTTGTCGCAGCCCTACTATGACTTTAGCTCGCTAACAACACCAGAGTAGGGATTCCAATGGTTCCTGAGCTTCCAGAAAACTGTCACTACGTTTGATCTTCAAATGATAATTCATCATCATGAACTGGTTTAGACGTTTGGAAGCAGAGCTGTTAGAACTTCCTCTAGAACCGTTTGTCGCTGCGACCCCGCCGGCATCGCCCTAGCCGCGCTCCCTGGCGAGCCCTGACTCACTACCTCGTTCCAGTCCCGGTACAGGGCAAAAACTGCCGCTGGACCATCTACCACCACCTACTCCTCCTAAAACATCACCATGGCTTCCTCCATCCCGGGACCCGTCCCTTTGCCCCAATCCAGATATGACTTGGACACCTACTGGGGCAGAGTCAAGCACTGTGCTGAGATCTCCGACCCTACCATGTTGCTCAACACCTCCTCCGACATCGAGAGTGCCAAAAGAAAAATCTGGGACTACCGTAACGGCGTCACTCTGGCCATGTCACCAGACCTCTGGCGGGCCAAGAAGATCTTGGACTCCACATTGCACCCAGACACCGGCGAAACCGTGTTTCTTCCATTCAGAATGAGCTCGTGTGTGTTGTCCAACTTGGTGGTCACAGGAGGCATGTTAACACCCGGATTGGGCACCGCAGGTACCTTGTTCTGGCAGGTGGCTAACCAGTCGTTGAACGTGGCTATCAACACCGCCAACGCCAACAAGTCCCACCCCTTGACCACCCAGCAAATCATCACCAATTACTCGTTGGCTGTGGGAGCTTCGTGCTCGGTGGCGTTGGGGTTGAACGCCATTGTGCCTCGCTTGAAGTCTTTAAAGCCCAACACCAAGATGATTTTGGGCAGATTGGTGCCTTTTGCAGCCGTGGTGTCCGCTGGAATTGTCAACGTGTTCTTGATGAGATCTGAGGAGATCAAGAAGGGAATCACTGTGTTCGATCACAACGGCGAGGCGGTAGGTACCTCCAAAACTGCAGCCTGGTACGCTGTCGGAGAGACGGCTGCTAGCAGAGTCATTAACGCCACTCCCGTCATGGTGATTCCCCCATTGATTTTGGTCAGATTGCAACAATCGAGGCTCTTGAAGGGCAAGTCCAAGATGTTGGAGACCATGGCTAACATGGGTTTGATCTTCACTACTGCGCTTGTGGCCTTGCCATTTGCGTTGGCTGTTTTTCCACAAAGAAGACAATTGCCCGTCACGAAGTTGGAACCAAAGTTCCATGCTTTGAAGGACAAGGAAGGCAATGAGATCAAGGCTTTAGAATTCAATAGAGGAATTTAAGGAAAAACGCTTAGGGTTCCATAGAATGACGTTAGAATTGCTGGAATTTACCATTTAGACTCAATAAAGATTGGACATTTAATCCCAATGAAGGTTTTATTTGATTTGCACCATTACAATCTATCGGAGGTTTTGAAATTATTTATTCGGAGAATATCCAGTTCATGTATATAGCTACATCCATCTAGACTAGATTTTAGATTATATATTAGTTATGTTTGTGCTTTTATAGGCTCTTTTCTAGATAATATTTTACATATGCTAGTGCTTATCAACTAGTTTCTAGATTATATATTACTTATGATATATTGTTCTCAGCACATGCCTAAAATACAGCAAGAATAGCAATATTTACACGAGCACTCCATGTTCAACGAGCATGAACACCTAACGTGCTTTTTCTTCAGAAACATTTGGAAGTTAGGGAAGTTGGAGCTCTGACGGTTTTCCACTCATCGCCTACCAGAATCTCCAGCCCTCCAAATTATCCACACTCAACACGCCATCGATCTCAAATCTGTCTTTGTAACTAGCAAATGCTTCGTCCGAGAATACCTTGTCACGAAGGTCCTCCTTAACCAGGTCAAACTGCAACGAGGCAACACCCTTCCCTCCGAGGGTTGTTTCATATGTTTCGTACCCATGGGTCTTAAACTCGTCAATGGTCCTCTGGATAGTCTCCTCGGCAACGTCATCGTTGACCAAAGTGATGGCACAACCTCCTCCTCCTGCACCAGTCAATTTGGTGGCACCAATCTTGTTGACCTCACTGATAATCTTGATGTTTTCCAAGGATGGATGGGACACACCCAATGCCACTAATAACCCGTGGTTGATGTTCACCAATTCCCTCATTTTCTCCTTTTCCTCCTTGCCAAAGAACGGCCTGGTCATGATCTGGTACGCGTCATTTGCCAAGTGCTCCATGGCTTCCAATATGCTGGCAGAGGTCTTGGGGTATTTTTCGTTGATTTTACCCACCTGGCCCACCAAGTATGCCGTTGATCTAGGGATCTTGGTGTTGGTGAGAAGCAACTTCAATGGAGGCAAGTTTCTCATGTTGGTTCTGACAGACGGCTGAGAAGGATTCTTCATTCTTTGGTACATAACAGCACCACCGTATGTAGCAACCGCGTTGTCAATACCCGAAGGATTTCCGTGGTAGCACTTTTCACCTATGAGCGACCACGAGTCTATAAAATCGGCCTCTGGGTTGTGATTTTTGGTGACTTTGTCATTTTGATGGAGGGTGGCATGCTGGACGTGGCCACCTAGCACTGCCAATGCGGACGCCAAACAGACAGAAACGGATGCAGACGAACCCAATCCTGCCCCAATGGGCAAGGTGGATCGGATGGAGAAGGTCATACCTGGAATCTCTTTGGAACACAAGTGGGTGTACATGTAAAGGAAACAATGACTAGCGACATAATGCAAACTTGACTCAAGGTCACTTAACACACCACTCAACTCGTTGGTAATTTCAGGCACCAATTCCTCGGTGGCCAACGGCCTTCCGTCCTTGAACTGGACGTGGGCTTGGATCTCATCCCAAGGAATATCCTCTTTGTTCCATGAGTGGGAAAGCTCCACATCTGGGAAGTTCAACGTGATCTTTTTAGGGTCCTTGCTAGGAGTCACCAACAAGTACGCCCTCAAACTGAGCGCAGCAGCTATGGCTGGCTTGCTGTAGACAGCAGAATGTTCGCCAAAAATGATCACCTTACCAGGAGCGCTGACGAAGAAAGGCAGAGTCATGGCTGCGTATCTGTTGGATTAGGAAATGGTAGGGATGTTTAGAAAATAACCTTGAAACGAACGACTTCTCCTTGAGGGGAACTGGTATTTGTAAAAGTGTCGTATAAGTCCACCGTATAGTACGAATTTTCCACTTATCACGTGATTGAGATTTGGTGACGTGTGTATATTATTTCTAACTCTTTTTTACTCAACAAAAGTGGCTCTTTGGCCGAGCGGTTAAGGCGGTAGACTCAAGTTCTACTATCGTAAAGATGCACGCGTTCGAATCGCGTAGGAGTCATTATTTTTTGGTAATTTTTGGACCCCTGTTAACATCAGAAAGTCTCTTGTCTGACCCACCCATCAGGTACTCTACGCTTTCAAATTTGCTCAGATCGCAACTTCAATGAGACTTGTCCAATCGGTGAGTGTTGAATTCGGTAAACGAGAATTGTTACAAACCATTCCATGGGATAAATTCTTACTCATGTAGATATAAATACCTGACCAATACTGCGTTATTTAATGCTAACAATCATATATAATCTGTAAATAAAATGCCCTCTCAAACACTCAATACGGGCAATGTTCACGGTCCAGTACTGGTTGCAAAACAAGTGAACTGGAAGTCCATTTAGTGCTCGCAAAGCGAAAATTCTCTCTCGTAAGGATCGAAGATATCATCGTCGATAATCACAGACCTCTCCTTCATCAAGTCCTCTCTCATTTCTTTGGCCTCTTTCATCGTTTGGGGCCAATTCTTCTCGCCCTTAAGCTTGAGGATTTTCTCCTTCAATAAGTCAGGAAGGTAGTCCTTTAATTGTTCATCTGCCCACCATTCTTCTTGTTGTGGTGGAACATCATCACTAGTAATTGCCAAAGTATCGTAGGGGTCCACAACAAAGAAGCACAAAATCTTTCTATGGCCTGGCTTCTGTTTATCTTTTAATTCAAATGGGTCAACGTGGTGTTGGAAGAAATTGGGGAAGACGATAATGCGATCTTCAAAGGCTTCAGTACTTCCAAGTGGACTCGTCATTACATCCTCATCCTTTAAACCAAAGTAAGTACTTAAGTACTCGCTATCACCTTGTTCATATCTGGGCTCTTCAAAACCGGCTCTGAAACTCAATGTTGAAGTGGTGATATTCTCCACATCGTAGTAATACAACACAGTCGCAACAATGTTCTCGTTGATAGTCCCTTCAACGTGCCAACTGCCTCCAGGGTAGCTAGGGTTTTCGGGAGTCAATTCGATGTTAGCCATCTTGACAATTACCTTGAGCTGGTCAAAATCCTTGACATTGATTGGGTTCGTAGGGCTGGGATCTTCCTTATATGAGACAGTCAAAGGCTTTAAGAATTCGAGTCTCTTAGCACTTAGTACCTCTTCCACCTTGTCATAGTCATATTCGTATCCTTCTATTTCCTTTTCCTTTTTGTCTTCTTCATTATATAAAGCATCCATGTACTCTTCATATTCCTTTGGGTAAGCCTCATATCCATCGGGTACTTCTACTTTGTAGCGATAACCTGAAGCGTAGTATGATAAGGAAAAGTTCAATGCGGGCACGGCCGCATTGAAGACCTGTGAAATAGTCTTGTAAAGGCTTTCAAATTTGACCGGGTGCAAATTATTAATGTAGGAGGTAAACTGGAAGTCTTGCGAACTGTCCAAAGTCATTGAAGTGGGTAACCATTGGTACTTCTTGGAAATTCCAAAACTGACACTTTTCTTTTTGTTTTCGATCTCTTCCAGATATTCCGAAACACTTACACCGCCGTCCTCGTTTTTGATTGGAGTCACACCGTACTGCAATGGGAACAACAGTGGATGCACCAAGTCAACAACAGTGGTGGTACCTGGATGGTAGTCAACCTCATCAAATGATTTAGCCAATGCTTTGGCCTGTTCTTGCAATTGTAGCTTGACCTTTTCATCCACCACAGCGTCAATTCCCGTACCACTGGCGAGGATCTTCTCGTCCGGGCCTAGGGTAAACCCGCCAAGGGTAGCTTCAGTCTTGTCGATCCACTTCAATTCCAGAAAGACGTAGTCAAGCACGCCCTCCATGGATCTTGTTTCTTTGCCAAACTCATCCCTGAACTCCTGTTTCCACTTGGAAGCAATGTCACTGTTATTATACTTCAGTTTCCATTGGGGCTTGCTTCTTATGGTCTGGCTGAATTTCTGGATGAGTTTCTCTTCGATACTAGGAAACCGTGGTCCGTAGTCTGAGAACACAATCCAGTATGGATGTGGAAATGGCGATGGTGGTGTTGGTTTGGGTAGGCTTTCAGCCAATTCACTCAAGTTGTGCAAGGACATGCTGGCTTCAACTTGAGTGAGGAACAACGGCAAAACGAGACTATTTATACAATTTAGTCTTTGGTAGACATGCAGCCAGTGACGCAGATGCTTTAGAGGCTAATATCAAGAGCACAGGGTCTTTTGGACTTGGTATACCTTCCAGAATCGACCTCATTCGCTACTAGAGTGTGATAGAGGTGTTCACCATTCCAGTAGTTACCATTGACGAGCTTGAGGCCACTGGCACCTACCATCATTTTCTTCCTTGCACAGCATGACATCATTGGCAAGTCCTTACCCGGATTTTTATGGCCAAGGCCAACCACATGAGGTGGTGCTACACAGATGGTGCAAAATACGAACTTTACGAGAAAATCATGGAACAATAGCTTACGTAACTTGGATCGGAAGTGATTCCTGGTATTACCGGCCAGGTTTATAGTAGATATGGACAGTGGGAGATGTCTAAACAGCTCATATGAGGCACTGCTGGTTCGATGTTCCATCTCTGAATAGAATCTTACCCCTTAGTGTTCTGGGTTGTAGACGAACACTACTGGTGGAGTATTTAGTGGTGGTGCAGATCTGGAAACGGATTGAGGGGTTGTTCAAAACTGGAACGAGCCCCAAGAAAGAAAAACGTCTTAGGAACAACATTAGTCAATAGTCAAAGAACGTACCCTGGCCCACGCTTGAACAGCAAAGCATAAAATTAATGTATCTTTTCCATTGCTTTCGATAAAACCTTGGACCTCTAAATTAGAAGTATTTGTCAATTCACTGGATCTATCATTAGACCCTCACTCTTAAATAAATTTATTTGCCTTTGGATGAATCCTCCGACCTCCGCATCTAATAGAAATAGACTGATTGCTTACGAATTCGAATCAACAAGAAGAGTCTGATATATTCAGAATGCCCAATCCTCTAATTCCTAATTCTTCTTGATATCTCCACTTCGAGCCATTGATTTCGTTGAATCACTATCAGGTGACTCCAGGCTTGCCTGAATTGGTTCGAAATACCCTTCTTCCGGTCTCTCACTGCTGGCATAATTTAAAACTTGCCGCAGTCTGATATTGTTTCTATTAAAGTTAAACTGTTGCACTAACTGCGACACCTACCACATGGCAGTCCAAAAAAAAAGGCTTGGAGCGTGCAAAAAATTGTGCTCTTTGCACAAATCAACATATTCTGACCACTAGCCGTATCTCTCTGATTAGAGCTCAATCCAGCTTCATGCCTACGCGCACATCTAGTATATGCCTGCAAAAAGTCCCTGTCTATATACACCTCCAGCTACTCGCACTCGCTGGCACGCACGACCTTGAAAAATCCATCGTTCAAATCTAAACAAGCATTACAGTTGCAGGACCAATCGTCCATCAAGATGACTTCCTTAGATTTGCATAACCCTAAGGAGACCCTCGCCTTGAAGCCCATTCTACCCACTCAGTTTTGGACTTTTGGCAATGCCCTTTCCTTGCTAAAATCCTGTCAGGATCCATACATATTGAATGCTTTGGATGAGTTTTTGTTGTTCAATCGACAATTACTCATGAATGCAAGCCCATTCGAGCTGAAAGACTCTCAGCAAACCTTGGCTGACGACCTCAAAGAGGTCACATTACGAACCATCTCCTATTCTGTTCTTCAATCCAATAATATCAAAGATGCAAAGAAGACGAACGCGATCTTAGGCAACTTGGATGTCAAGGAAGTGTTGAGAATCATTGTCCAAACATCGAAAAAGGTTCCGGAACGTAAGATTTATGATTTTGAGAAGTTGAAGTCAAAACTCCCTGACGACCGAGAGAAGTATTTGGAGAGTGAACGGATTCTCATGTATGTCAATAAGATCTTGCGGGAGAGAAGAATCATACTAAAAATTGTTATTGAGTTGCTCAATAATAAATCAAATTCCTTTGCATCTTCTACTATACAAAATTTGGGTAAGGAACTCTTCCTTTCCAAGACTTACATTTCATCCATCATCGACAGTATCAAGAACAGCTTGGCCTTCATTGTAAATCAGCCTTATCAAGATGATGTGTCTCAAAACTTGAACGATTTGATTGTTAGGGAAACAGTCTTGTTTGTGATTGACTTGTGCAAGGTATTAATAGAACTAACCATTCAAAACCCAGTAATAGACAATGAAATCACAAAACAGTGGTTCGAATTTATGGGACAGAACAATTTTATTGCAAACTTAGCTCCCTACTTCAAAGTGCAAGAGTCATTCAACTTAACACAAACTTTATGCACCCTTATTTCAATACTGTTTTTGGATTTAGAAAATGCATTTGATCACCAAAATCTTATTACCGGCAATGAATCGTCCCCAGAAACTCTCAATTTTATGGGTGATTTGACAACATTTAAGGCCCTTAATTCATTGATCAGTAACCCTGAAAACTCTAATTCCATCATTCTTTACGGGTGGTCCATCATCCTATTACGGAAGTTGTATTTCATTCAGGAGGTTCCCAAGGATCCAATTTCTGCAGAATTTACAAAGTCATTCCCAGCCGAAGAGATTAATTTTCATATCAACGACTTAAACGCAAGATGTGTGAAACTTAACGTATTCGAGGAAATTAATACTTTGAATGAATCCCTCAAATTCGATAATTTGTACTCGGCAATTCTTTCAACTGTATTAATTTCTGCATTACCATTAATAACTTTAACTCCACAGGTCTCCAGAACAGTGGCAAATGTCATCAAGAATTGTCCCAACAGCGTCATTGAGAAGTTTTTTGAAAATGAGTCATTTGTGAACCAAATTATTCTTTCAAGAGCTAAATTTCCAGTCTTGTTGACTCCTTACTTGAAGCTCTGTGCTATCAATGGAAACTTTGCATATCACGAGTTCAATGAGCTCAAATCCTTCATTCAAGTTTTCAAAAAGGACCACTTTGAACAGTTATATAAGATTGATGACGAAAATTCGGATCTCGTTGTCTTGAAAAGCTCAATCGATGTATATCCTCCGTTTGAAGCTGCTAAAAAGTTGTCTTTGGTGCTTCCAGAAGGTACAAAAGCTAAGATTTTGCCTACTACTAGCGAAGACGAAATATTGGTTACATTCTTGTACAAGTACAATGGATGGTCATTTTTGGGGAGAATCGTTCAGAACATCTCGAGATCATTCAACGATCAAGATGAAGATAAACTTGACTTCATCATTAACGTATCTGACGTGCTTGCCAAAGTTGCTCAAGATACCGATCATATATCGTCGGTGTTGGAGTCGATGTCCACCTATACTGACAATTCTGATATTATCGAAGTATTGTTGAGAATCTTCGAACAAAGCTTGCATTCCAGAAAAACTCAAATCCTCGAATCTATTCTCGGCTTACTCACCCATTTAACCCCACAATTTTCTCACAGAATCTGGCCCTACTTATCAAAGTCGTCTCTCTTATCCAGAAACGGAAAAGAGGGTTTTATTACCACAATTTTCGGCTCAATAGAGATGATCAGCGGAGAATACTCATTTACCATATCTTTGATAAAATTCATTGATGGGTTAGTTCAAAGCTGTTTGACTCTAAAGGAAGATTACCCAACCAAATCAAAGAGCATGATTTTGATGAAGTTTGTAAACCATCTAATTTCAATCTTTGAGAGCTTCACGCATTGCAAGTTTATCAAATCATACCAAAAAATGGAAATTGGAGTCTTAATATTAGATATATTCTCCAACATATTAGCATCAATTTATGGGGTGAAGAAGACTACTTCAGACAATAAAGTAACAGCTGTTTTGAATGAAGTCTCCGTGACGATCCTCGATACGTTCTTGATCACTAAGAACGAATACTCAAGAAGCTCATTACCTATTTTCCTAATGATTGAGTCTTTGTCTTCAAATTTGAGTGTTTACGAGCTTTATGACTTATCCGGTTTCTGGTACGAAAACTGGATCAGATGCGGTTTGTCATTCTCACAGCTCATCATCTCAATTAGGTCTTTGATTGAGTATAAGCCTTCTTCATTTGAGAGAGAATTTTTCAAGAAGTTACCGCAATTAATATCTACATACTCTCAGTATGAACCATTGAGAAAGGATATAATTGATGTGATTACTATTTTGGCAAAGGGTACTTGGGAGGAACAAAATAAACCTTCGTTGCTCGGTCATTTGGGAAATGACTATTCCAGGGTTCTATTGAGCTGTTTGATTGCTGATCTTGACAATTCGTTGGATGACTACAGATTGAAAGTTTCATTGTACGACTTTATCTGCTCAGTTCTCGAAGGGAATCAAGAAGGTTTGGCAGTTTTGTTCAGTGGTAGAGATGTGTTCGGAAGATCAAAAGAAGTCGAAGCAGATGATCCTACTAACAAAAAGGGTTCGTTGCTTTCTATTTTGAAGAAGAATGTGAAAGAGATCAAATACTACCCGAACTCTGTGAGTATCCATCTTTTGGACGCTTTGTCCCTTAGCTATAACTCTTGGAACACAATCAAAGAGAATGATGAAGACTGTGAATTCATAGATGAACTCATTAATCGGATTCAATTAAGTCTAAATGATCAACCAAAGTCTTTGGATGATTACATTAGCAAATGTTATGAGCAAAAGATTATATCTAAGATCGCCGAAATTTTGTCCTTAATTTTATTCACCACTAGAAACGAACAAGTGAAGCAAAAGATCAAAGCATTAATCGTGTCGGATAAGTTCATTGATATTGTCAAGGACAAATTCATCATCAAAGATTATAATCCAGTCCTTCATTCTAAGGTGAACGAGTTATTTGAACAATTTGCACCAAATTTAAGACTCGACCAATTCACAACTACTTTGGGTAAGAGAAATAGATATGGCGTTTCTAATGTGTTTAACATCTCCTTAATGGATGGATTGTTCGGTGGAAATCCTAAGTGGCCAGCATTGAGAGCTCAAATTATGGAGTCCAGCATCAATATTCAATACTTAAGTTCTCAAGCTAGTATAACAAAATCATTAGGTGCATTATTGACAGTCTTCTGCAGAAGATTTTCCAGCTCATTGACACCCAACATGTTGGATTTAGTGCACCATTTATTGAAGATCAATTATATTGAAGGAATTCCATCCAACTTGTTTGATCTGATTTACCAGGAGAGAATTGAAGTAGCATTCTACCTTATTTATTCCATGACCCATGAAAGTGGTATCAAGAAACAATCGAAACAAATATTTGAAATAATCAAGGTTTCCTTGGATTTGTTGTCGTCATCAAGCTTGAAGTTCTTGGCCTCTTTATCCGCTTCTAGTGGCAACTATAAGCAATTGTTAAGGATTATTTACTGTTGTCTATTAATTTCGAAGGATGATGAGGAAATCTTGATTGAGTACTTCAGTGTTTTCAAAGATTTGTTTGATCTTATCATCACCAAGGGAACCCAAGTTTTGTTGATTGATATTCAGAATGAAGTTTATCTTCAACGCAACAAAGGACAGATTGCTTCTAGTAATGGAGTTCGTGGAGTCTTTTCTGTGGAGACTCTTCATTCCAAAACAGATGATCTAATGTTAATTTTATCAATTTTGAAATTATACATGGGTATGAACTCTTCCAGAAATATGAAGCTTGAAATGGCAAGGCTTATCAATGATAATGGTACGATCAACGCCTTGTTGAGCTTGTATTCATTGTCGCACACCATTGAAGTTAATGATGAACATATTTTTGCACAATTGAGTTTGATGTTTATCCAAGAATTGATGACCGTGGAACTTATTGCAGAAAAGTTCATCTCATCTGGTTTGTACGTTGTGCTTGTTGAAAGTCCTATTTCAACTCAGATTAGAGCTGGTGGCTTGAGCGTGACTTCCGGTAACCAATACCACAAACTCTGGATCAACGGTATCTTACCAATATTCATCATTAGTTTGAACAAATTGGGTTTATCTGTCATCAAGGAAGTTTGCTTGGGATTGCAAATGTTCGGAAAGCAGATCGAATCATGTATTGAAAGTTGGTCTAGAGATTCTTCGTCTATAAAGATTACCTCGTCTACGGTTATTGAAACTAGTCAAATACTCTTGCTATACGAATCATTGCAATCCATGAACGTTGAACAATTCATGAGAGACCAAGACTTATCTCACTTGAAGATTTTACCAGGGCTTGATACTGAAGGTAAAAGAGATGAATTTATTGATTATATCAACAATTTGTTAAAGCATCCAAAGTTCTTAACCTCTAGAGTTTTGCCTAGCTCCATCGATGAGCAAAGAATAATTGAAAAGGGAGGCGTGGGATATGAGAAGTTTGTCAACAACTTGATTGAAGAGATCAGGGACTTGAAGGAATTCTTGATCTAGTCGATGGGCTAAACGACTTCTCTTCTGTACATTATTTAGATCAATATAACTTAGATTGATTATCGTGATCATGCGTCGTATTTCCGCGATCTGATACTACTTGAACTCGTAATAGCTTGTATTACATATATACATCGTGAATCTATCGTAAATCTACTCAGACAAGAAGTAACTCTTCTGGATCTCAGTTGGAATTGGCGCATCGGGTTCGCTCTTTCCTTCCAACAACTTTGGGTCAAATTCTTGGATATGTCCCTTTGTTCCCGACAAGGTAGCGTTCTGGATGGTTGGCAATTTGGAGCCACTGACTTCGCCGGAAATCAATTTCTTCCAACTGTTGTGGCATCCCAAGATGATGTCAATTGTCTCTGCTTGGTTCTTGTAAACTCCGTTAAAAGCAAACTTGTTTTTTGGCTTGCCGTCTGGCAACTTGTAGTCTCTGAACCATTGTCTGGTTGTTTCCAAGAGTCCTGGACACTTGACGTACAAGTCATGGATGTCAAAGAGTTCCTGCGACAAGGGGTCCTCGACGTTGATGGCGATCACCTTCCAGTCCAACTCGCCGTCGTCAATCAAGGCAATTGATCCCAAAATCTTGACTCTTTTGATGTCTCCTGTGTTCAACACGCTAGCACCGATGTCACAAACGTCCAACGGGTCGTTGTCTCCAAACAAATCGAGGCCGTCGTGTTTGGTGGTAGGATCCTCCCATGTCTGTGATATGGCCCCGTAGTTGTGGATGTATCCGTGGTGAGGGAACAAGTTTTTGACAAACCTGACCTCTCCCTTCTTCTCGTCTTGCACAATAGGATTACCCTCCAACTGAGTGTCGATCTCGAACTTGGCGTTTGACCAACGAGGGATCTCGACCACCATGTTGACTTCTTTGGTGGTGGTGTCCAATCCCATGGGCACGTCATGGAACCACGAGACTACCTTGTTGTTGGCGGTGGCATATTGCTTGAAGCTGGAAGTGAACTTCTTGCCGTGACTGGCGCTGGATATCTGGGCAGGGTCGACACCAGCACTGGTAGAGTTGAGTCTCAAGTGCTGCCTGTTTAAGTCAAGACGACTTCTGGCGGTGGAAAGGGTTGATTTCATCACTGATGTGGTATCTTTTCTGACAAAACGGGGCAAAAACATCCTTATAGTTTAGAGTCCAGTGCTTATGATTTTTCCTAATGTTTTACCGAGGGACGTCAAACAGAGATTGTCGGTGCGGAGGGTGACACTAGCTTATTCACAAGTGCCTCCTGGCAGAGAGTTGAGTTAGAGCTACTGGTCGCTTATGGCATCGTCACTTTTGATGGAGTGGTGCTGCTCTTGCCCTGTCTATTTAGCCTGGGCATTCTGACTTGAATCCGAACACCGGGAGGGGAATGGAACAGTGGGGTTGGGCAAAAAAGACTATCCAGAAGAACTGTAGAAATTTCCTTACATGATGGGTCGAGTTTCGAGAGGAATCGAATGATAGGACACTAGAGGAGATCCTTTAGGCAGTGGCTGCGAAATCTTTCACAATTATCCTGGCCGTTATGGTGATGAGATTCCGCACCCATATTGCCTCATATGTATACGACTGCATTCACGATTCATTCCTTCGTAAAAAAAACCTTACTACTATGAGTGCCAATGACCCAAATTCTAGAGTATTGTAGTACGGGTCTGAGCCTAAGCTATGGCTTGGAACAAAGCCTGATGGGTCTGCTCGGTTTGATTATTTCACATACGTTCCGAATTATGTTTTTAGCCTATTTTTGCAAATTCTGTTAAAAAGCTAAGAATTTTCTATAATTGGTAATATTTAACTTTTATTGACAATAACTACAATTGGCCAAAACTATCGTGGCAACATCTCGGAGGAATTCATCTCTATTACCTCCTTCTAACTATCCTATTCTATACTATTTACATGTCATCTCCAGAGTGATTATTTCTTGTACGGAGCTCGCTGACTTTCTTGGTTGCTGGTTAGGACATCCATCTTGTAGGTATGTAAGTAATCCAATTATCTGCACAAGATGGCAGCACTGGTAAGGTTTCTCAACCAGTCTTCCTTGTCAACGTCATGGGTATCATCCACCTCGCCCCATCTTGCAGTTTGGAAAATGATCTCCAAGTTTCCGAGCTCCACCAAATCATCAACGGTTGTGAAGAAATGAGAGTCTGGACTGGACTTATTTATTTGGTAGACGTTATCGATCACTTCAGGGTCGGTAGAGTGCGATCTGAGCAAGGAAACACCACAAAGGAACGATTTGGTTGTCAAAATGGCCTTTTCAAGGGCAACTAAGTCGGCCACTGGGATTTGTCCTAACCAATGGAACACAACGTTCTGGGTGAGGAGGGTTTGCTTGTTTCCTCTTAAACCATCAACCTCAGTATCCAAGTATTCGAGAGTAATTTTGGAGCAAGGATCGGGTAACAAGTTGTTCTTTCTTGCGTAGTGGGTAAAGAAATCCTCGTACTCGGCAATCAAGGGTAAGTATAACTCATCTTGTCTGGCTCTGAATCTACCTTCGTATTCACTCTTGGGAGCAAAAATGAGACAGGTATCGGTATCCAAGTATCTCAACATGTTGACTTTCACATCTTCCAAGTTTCCCACTTTCACAATAGTTTCCTCAGTTACTTGGTCATTGTTCTCATTGATCATTTGCAAATCAATAGCTCTTGAAACGATGGAAGTCAATGGTAAAGAGCTAGTTTGAATTTTCAAGTTGGGCAAGTTGGCCCACTCGTGTGCAACCAAGTAGGCTAATTGTTTCTTACTTTCCGGCAATGCTAAGGGAAACCCAGCTGGGGTTCTCAATGCCTTTCCATCCAATTGGACTTCGTATTTACCATCAGTGTGGACGGTATCCACCTTTTCCCAGAACTTGGCCAATGTCTTAGAGAGTCTATTGGTGTCAGTCTTGAGGTTATTTTCAATGGTCTTATCGCCAAAGGTTTGGACCTTAGGAATGAAGCTTTTCACAGACCCGTCGGTGGCGAGGTATCTTTTTGAAACACTAAGGGATCTTGCAAGGGTGCTTGGAATGGAGCGGTTAGCTCTGCATGGTACGTTTCTGAAAGTCAAACGAAGCATGATGGATAATACTGCTTACTGATCAAGTTGAAAGTAGATGAAAAAGATCGATAGTCGCGTTCGCGCACGACCCCGAATATCAAGTTGGCCATGGATCTGGACGGGCCAAACGTTTAGATATCTTTAGTAGGACGAGTTCCAGCCACACACACCATGTCACTTAATCCTGAAGCTTTGCAAAAATTGTTAATTGAGATGGATAACCAACTCAACAAGACAAAGAGTGATTTGTCTTTATGTAACTTACAATTGAGCAGAGTTGAGACCAATCTCAGTTTGATCAAATCCACATTCTCCTCCCTCAATAAGTTGTGCAAGCCAGACGAAGTTGTTTACCAGGGTGTTGGAAAAGCGTTTGTGGCCAAGAATGTCAAGGAATATTTGGGAGAAATCAGCAGAGATGAGAAGGACTTCTTAGACACCAAGAAGAATTTGGTGATCAAGAAAGACTACCTTGAGACCACTTTGGAAAAGACCATCAGCAGCATGCAAAAGATCGTTCAAGGTAAGTAAATTAGGTGGCAGCTAGCTACAAGATGCACTTACGATTCAGTCTTGAGCAGTTTATTAAAAATAGCGTCTATTGCTACACATTCAGGGCCCTTTTTCCTCCGATTTGTCAATAGGCTGTGTTCTGCGGATCACACTGCAATCAAAGGGCCCGACACACATGAAGCTCTTCGTGTGGAGCAATCTCTATCAATTTACCTCACGATTATAGTCTTTATTGTACCATATTTATGATAGACCTAATATACATATCCAGATTTAAGAAGCAAAGGCCCCTCTGGCTGATGCCGTTGAATAGCATGCTATCCTAGTCACTGTCATCTTCGTCAACTCCATCATCCAAGATTCTCCTTTCGACATCGGTCTTATCCTCTTTCTCCTTCTTCATGCGTTCGGTGAGAAACTCGTTCACCTTATCTTGGACAGTCGTCAATTGTGCTCTTAATTGGCCCAACGCAGTATCCTTGGCTTCCGTTGGCTTGTCTCTGTCTTCACCTCCAGCTTTCAACACGATATCCGAGATTTGGGTTGTTCTACCATTGGTGGTATGGATCTGCTGGCCAGGCTCAAAAACTATAGGTTCTGATACATCTGGGGCGCCGTAAGTGGCGGTAGGTACCGATGACATCGTTGTAGTACTGGTTAGTTGTAGGATGATGGTTCTAGATATTCGCACTACAACACTGGTTCACGTGACTAGTACAGTCGATTGATTATAGATAAATACGAAACTGGCTGCAACTCATGGAAAGCTCTTAATAGGAATCCTCTCTGCAGTGTTCGAATATGCATTGAACTTAATTTCAATTATGTCTTCGCTCAGGAAATTCAAGTATGGTATATCGTAACAAGAGCATGATAGTAAGTAGCCGTAAAGAACCTTGAGGACAGTTTCGTCGGCTATGATCAATATGTCTCCACTCATTCTCTCCATCTCTAAAATAAGTGGTTCAATTTTCAAGGCCAAATCATGATACGACTCGGCTCTAGAAAATCTGTAATGGTATGGGTCCTTGATATAGTGTTCGTACTCATCCGGAAACTTTTCTTTGATCTCATCGTTACTGAGTGTACCAAGCACACCTGGATTCTTTTGCGACAACTGGATTCTGTGTCTTATCTTGATGTTTTTCTCGGCGAAGAATTGTGTGGTTTCAATGGTTCTCTTTTTGGTAGACGTCCAGACTACTATGGAATCATCAGAAACTCCATCAACACCCGCGGCAGGGTGTCTTTCTTCAACTGATAATTGTCTCTTTGGAGCTGGAGGTCTAGTAGACGTAATTTCTTTGACGTAATCCTTACCTTGGCTCTTGAGGTGACTAAATAAGGTCTCGGTAACATTTTTGGCATACTGAAGTCCCTCTGCATCCAAAGGAGGGTCTGACGTATAATCCAAAGAGTTCTTGTAGCATCTGGCGAAAAAAACGGAACCCAGCTTTATTCTGGAGTTCATGAGGAAGAAAACCACTTTATTAATCAAGTATCCGTAATTTGAATTGTGCAATTGGATTCTTTCACCGAAGTTTATGAATTTAATATAGGATAAATCTACGTCCTTACCACCCATTTCCTGGTAGTATGGGGTCAAGAACTTGATTCTTTCACTGTAATCTTTGTAGGCTTTATCGTAGTCCCAACTCAAGTAATCAGGAGAGGACCTGGCTGCCTCTTCCATGTTTTTCATGATGATGGAATCGTCTGTAACCAAGCTTTCGATAAACAACACTTGGATGTTCAAGTCAGTAAGCTTTTTGTGCAAATCAGTTCTGTATTCAGGCAATGCGTTGACGGCATCATAGATAGCAACCTGGCCCTTATCGTGCTTGAAGAAGTTGAGGATGTCGTTGACACACTCGTCGACTATGACTTTACGGAAGTCATTGGCCTTGGGACTGTCAGGCAGAGGAACAAACAACACGTGGTCCAAGTCGGACTCTGCCTTTGCTCTTCTGTAGTTGCCCAAATGGAACGAATGGGTTTTCACCCCCAACCACCGCAAGTATCTGGTCAAAGACACCGACAAGTGGGTTTTGCCTCTCCCAGGCAAGCCGGCCAAAGCAATGCAAATCTTGCCGGCGTGAAACAACCTTCCCGATTCTGTGGAGTACAACTGGCCACCGCCCACGATTTGGGACAACGCTGGATTCATGGGGTCGATTTCTTTGTGGACGTTGTCCTCGCCTGTGATGTCGCTGAGGCGGCGCTGGCTGGTGGAGGCCTCTGAGGGCAAGTCTACCAAGTTAGGTTTGGTGTTATTGTGGAAGGACCATCTCTTGGTGGGTTTCAACGAGGAGGTGGATGGGATTGGCGAGGAGCCGAACCCGTTGAAGAGCTCGCCTTCGTCGTCTGACTCGATGGCGGACATGGCTGGTGTATACAGACAGAGTTCGCAGCGGTTAGTGCTAAAGAGCAGTGTGGTGGATACTGGTTAGTGCGCCAGGCCGAGGAGTGACCGCAACGCGGCATGGGGAATGGCGCTAACTTACAGAGGCAACGGGGCGCGCGACATCGCTAACTATCTAGGCTGGGGAGCTGGGGTAGGTCGGGAGTTGCTGCCGTAGTGTGTGATAGGAAAGTTGCGGGTAAGGATGTGCTGGTAAGAGTGTGAAGCGTGAACTGGCAGCGTACTACTACCATACTCTGGTGGCGTGAACTGGTAGCTATCTATTCTAGCGGAGGTGGTGTCAACCACCACATCCCAGCAGGTGGAGCCCCCACAGCAATTGGAGAAGTTTGCGCTACATCACCCAGTCGCAAGCGCTAATGTACGCTAGATGGAGAAGAATATCTGCTCGTGCGGGTCAATCTGACGTAGCACCTGGTGAATAATTAGTGATAATTCATTTTCACGCATCTACTTGATGAGCATCCATGGGGAGATGCCAAAACCTGCAACTATTCAACAGTAAAGTTATCCAATAGTAAAGTTATCCGACGAAGAGCATCTTGTACCAGGACTGCTGTCTTTCTCCTTAGCCCAAAGTGATTGAGAGTGTGCACCCCTGTTAGTTCGATCGTATTTATTTCTGGAGATGCCAGAATAAACAGTAAAGACACCGCGGGGCTCCAAAGGTCAAGTGCCAATTGGAACTGGTACTCTTCTCTGTCCTCCCTCAATTAGCACCTCTGGTGCAAGTTGCCCCTCATACTACAATCGCGTACAGCACCTTACCATTAAAATACATTCATATTATAAACACAGAAATCTACGTGATATGAATAATTTATTCGAGCTTACCACCCTTTCTTTGAATCAAAGCCTTTCTGTCCTTGTCCAAGTGCAACTTGGTGATGACGACCTTAGATGGGTGAATGTTGATAGGAACAGAAGCACCGTTGGACTTTTCCTTTTGCAATTTTTCGAGTTGGACGGCGAACTTAAGTCTGTAGACAGAGTTGACCTTACCTTGGGAACCCTTCTTGGAACCTCTGACAACTAAAGCTTCATCGTTTTGTCTGATTGGTAAAGATTTGATGTTGTATTGTTCTCTCAATTCCTTGGACAATGGAGCAGATAACAAGGCTCTTCTTTCAACGGAGGAAGAGGTGAAGTAAGCCTTTCTAGCTTTAGAACGAGAAGAAGAAACGTCTAGATGTTAGTATACGCCTATTGGGTGTCTTGGGCATAATGCTGGAAACGAAATGAATAGATATTGAGTGTTGATGCTTGAGTTGCTGGCTGACTTCTTGCGGTTCTTTCCACATCATCTTGGGTTGTTTGGAGTCTAACTTCTCTGGTCAAAGTATCTCATCGAGGGTTTCTCTCCAGTAAGACCACAGCACAATTCACATCACGGTTGTGTTTCTATTATCCACGTTCAATTCCTATGCCTGGTGTGTTCATCCAATAATTACCTTGACTGATTTTGGCCATTTTAACTATACTGTATTGATCAAGATACAAGAAATCTTTTCAAGTTTTATTGAAAAAGTGTTTTCGCTATGGTGGAAAATTCTCGCTAGCATCGGTAGGGCGTAGTGAGAGGTGCACGGGAAAATTTTTCGAGGTAGTGCATGAACTGTGAGGGCAGAAACCCTATCCAACACAATAGCACGTGATCTACAAATGCGAAGTAAGTAGAGTCAGAGTGGAAACTACCGCCTTGATGGATACTTATTGTACTGCTGGGGTTACCCATACATTGTCTAGAAGAAATATTAGACCTAAGTTGAGTGGAAAATGGTTATTATGTGGTGAGTAGTTTAGCAAAAAGTAATAGCTGAAAGGATCAAAAATATTAGCCCCCGGCGGGACTCGAACCCGCAATCATTATCTCCGGAAAATAACACCTTAACCAATTAGGCCACGGGGGCTAATTCGTATTTCATTCAACCAGTTAGAAGAACCAAGTAGTACGTAATGGGCCTATGATTTGTAAGTGAAGACATTTTCAGCTAATCTTCACATTGAGTATGTCATTGAAACTTTAAGTAAACACATGATATTTTAAAAACGTAAAAAATTGTCTTTTTGCCTTAGATGGGACAAAAGTTTGGATACCTCTACCAGCCACTATTAAAAAGCATGCGAAAGTTCTGGTTTCTAGATTTGTCCTTCTTCTCTTCTTTCACCCAGGTTTTAATCAATTACATGTCAAATGTCATATATACGAATTTAGTATAGTGATAGTCTGGGTTCTTGTTCCTGTCGAGTTTAGGTATTTTATAGTCTCAATGGAAAGCAAAACATCTCTCCATTCTGGTTCGTTATCTGTAGCAAATAATCCTGCAAAAATGATTCCTATGTATGAGGATTCCTATGTATCATAACTTTCAATTTTGAAACTGTCACTTTATTTGACCTCATATCTACCTCTAAGTATTTAGAAGAATTGAATGAAACAGCTTAAATAACTCTTGAATCTATCGCAAGCTTTGTATCTACTACTCTGGCATTTGAAATGTTATTTTGTTGATTTTTTTGAAAAAATCAAATATTATTATAATTGTATTATGAGATAAATTATCAAGCTTTTCTACTAGGACTTGGAACTTTGTTAATCAGTTTACGATTGAACAGCTCATAGACATGTACATTTCGTACATGTCGTAATTATCAATTGGGGAGAGGGGACTTTTTATTAAGCTTTTCTATATTTTTATTGACAAAATGAAACGATTGCCGGAGGGTTTCCTGTGAAAGTATTTTGAAGCGAGCAGAGAATTGAGCAATCGATGATGGAATTCAATTTGTTGGCAATGTTCTAGTTCGGTATCAAACCCTTGATAAACCCGGATTTTATTTTTTAACTTAGAATGCACTCACAATGCATCAGATTGCCTCAAATACCCGATTCTCAACGTCTACCCATTAAAGATACCAACCACGTTATCGAACCAACGCGGTATCAATCAAGCAAGGGATGCTTTAGTTGTGGGATTTTCATTTCTCACTATTGGCACGCTCGACGGTCGACAAGTGCTTCTATTCTATATATCGTTCGGTTCAAAGTCACCAGGTTTTCGAGAAAACGACTTCTATTGGAATAATTGTATTACATTGAAGCATTGAATGTGTATCATTGATGAGGAAGCATTGATCCTTGATCAAGGTGTTTTTTCATTCCTTGTCTGATTCCTCAGTGAGTTCAATTGATACTTTGTTAATACTCAAAGAACATATTCCAGAACCTTATGGATCCCAAGTATTCTTGGCACATTGCTAAATTATAAGGCAATTTTATTTGCAATCCTTGAAATTAGCTGATTGATTATCGAAGGTACTGAACAATCCAGCAATTGTCCAAATTCTAGATTATTTTTTCTACTAATGAGACGTTTGGGCGCAAAATTCAGTGTCAAACCGCCCTCATTTTAACGTTGCAAAGAATGCTGGAACATTGAGAATGTTAGGCACGGCCCTATCAATTTTTTTAGGAGGCCAAGTATCTATACGATAGGCCTATGTGTAGTAAGATCTCTAAGTCAGAAATATGGATCAATTTAAATAAAAATCGAGTGTGATTGTGGTTCGAGGTCGTGGGGAAAAATTAGAAGGACAGGTTTTCCTAGCTTCAATTGAGCGTGATGTGGAGAAAAAATAATTCTACGAGGACATAACTACCCCTTGCATTCCATGCATGATAATGCTGCAACTTTGCAACTATACTAATCTTTGAACAAAGAATGTTCGTCAAAAACGATTATTGTTATAGATTTCTATGATTCGTTCGTGTCGCATTATTGGTAATATCAAAAGTGTTTTGAATTGATATGCTGCAAAACACAAGCTCTGCCATTGTCCCCAACCACCATCGAGTACAACCTATCGATGAGAAAACGCATTGTATCAGAGTAATCAAAAAAGTATAAAAGACCGTGTATCCTTCCAGAAATATAGCATCAATAAACCAGAATTAACCATGCTTTCCTTTTCATATGGTATTGTCGCTTTGTTAGCTGTTGCTGTAAATGGCCTTGCAGTTCCAGAAGTCTCCAACCATGAATCTAGAGACAATCTTAAAGTTTTATCCATGGACTTTAATGTCAATAGAGATCAATCCACTGCCCCTCTGATCAAAAGAAGAGCAACAGGTGTAAGTTCTACCATTGAGAACCGTTACTACTTCTATTCTATGGAATTGTATGTTGGCTCAGACAAACAGAAAAACGTTGTTTCAGTTGATACTGGAAGTTCAGATTTGTGGGTAGTTGGTAAAGGTGCACAATGCAGTGATACACAGTGTTTTGAAGATGGTTCATTCGATGGTTCGACATCCTCAACATTCAAAAATTTAAACCTCCCTTACACTTTCAAGTACATCGACGGAACTAGTACTCTGGGAACCTATGTCACTGACGATGTAACTATTCCTGGAGGAGTTACGGTGAAGAATCAACAGTTTGCAGTCTCAAATAAAACTACTTTGGGACGCGGACTACTTGGACTTGGATTGGTCACCGAAGAAGCCAGATATTACCAAGATCTTCCAGGTGTTGAGGATTACCCTAACCTTCCAGTACAATTGAAGAACCAGGGTACCATCAAAAAGTCTGCCTACTCAATGTACTTGAATGCTCCAGATTCGCAATCAGGTGTAATCCTTTTTGGCGGTATTGATAAAGCCAAGTACGAGGAGCCATTAACTACAAGAAAAGGATTCTCTACCAAGAGATTAGGTATTACTGTGGACTCCATAGAAGTAGGAGGTAACTCTCTTACATATCAGGGAGCAACTATTTTTGACTCTGGATATTCGTTTTCTAGATTACCTCAGAATGTTCTTGATGCTATTACCAACGAAGTTAAGTCCTCCAATGGAGCTTTAAACTGCTCACCACCAGAGGACAGTTCGATTCTGTTAAAAATCGGCGATACTGTGGTCAAGGTACCCCTTTCCAGCTTGGTAACCAATGCGAGCAACGGATGCAGTTTGACAGTCTCTTTGGCCGATCCTAACGATTTTAACAACTTACCTACCTTAGGTGATGATGTCTTGAGACATGCTTATGTGGTCTACAACCTTGATGACAATACTATTGGTGTTGCACAAGCTAAGTACAGTAACTCAACTGACATTGTTGAGATTTGATTTCTGTAGAGGTTTGATTTGAATGATATATGTTTGATATATGTTTGTGCCAAAATTTGATTAAGTATACCCTCTTGAACTTTGTAGGATTATAGAGTGGTTCGCAAAGATAGTGAAAAATCATTGAGGCGATGATAATTATTCATTTTGTTTGGCAGTTCTTTAAGCACTAAGCAACTGTATATATGGTTCACTAGAGAAATGTGGCAATATATATAGAAAACCTGTTTATCAAAAGCGTAGTCAATCCTACCGTGCTTCTGCAGGTTTGTTAAATTTCTACAGCCTTGGTGTCGGGGAGGTATCTTATTTATAGGTTGACAAGCAAAATACTCCCGGCTTCATAGTACCAGTGACACGAAAAGTATTGATAGAGAATTAACCAGCTACATTTATATTCAGTGAAACTTCTTTTTCAAATATTTGGGGGACTGAAACTCGTCAGAGAAAAACTATGGCAAGCAGTAAAAATCAACTTTATCATGAACTTATAAACTCAAGTCTTCACTTGCTCAGTTGATGAGGTAAGTAAGCATGAATACTTGAAGCATGCCGACAGAGACTGATTTCTATCGCAATGCATGGAGTGAAAAGAGCAAAAAAAATAGGAGTCTCTTTGAACTAAATAAGTTCACCTAACATGAATCAAGGGATAATATTCAATGCAGAGTTTTTGATATTTACCGATAGGTCTTGGGTTGTTCCAATTCTCTGTCAATTGAGTGTTGAGATTTAGAGCGTTCTTTACATATGCCTTACTACAGTTTATCCTATCGACTGCATGCTTTAGACTTTTTTATAACTTCTTTTGTAAAATACAGAAGATTTGGCTTCTTAATGTCGATAAATTTACAACGAAAGTTTTCATGGTACAATCACAAGGTGAATAATAAAATATAATTTTTGAAAGAGAATTACGACAAGCTAATTCAAACTGGATCATAGCAGCAATGGGTGTTGCTGATAGGCCAGCATTTCTTTTTTGATACAATGTAAGTATTTTCCTCTATGCTGCTCCCACCAGATTTGCTGGCATGAAATTTCAGCTCCCATGTCATCTAGAATTTTTCCTAGAACAACTAATCACAATCCATTCGATATAACCCTTTCCTAGCAGACTTAAATAGTACCAGGTATAAGCCAAAATGAGTTTATGTCGGGCTTAGATCTTAATTGTGTCTCTGATCAAGACTTCTCCGCTACTCACCTCACCACTCACGAGACTTCTTTTGTGCGACTTCAACGTCAAACTCATAAAATTCATTCATCTTCAAATAGTCCATAAACGATGCAATCCCTCGTGCTCCTTGGTAGGAGTGGCCTCAAGGCATCCAGATCCAGTCTTATGAACAGATCCCCATCGCTTTTATTGTTGAATTCTAGAACATTTCTCAAGCCAGCCCACAATCTCAGCATCTTCAGAGCTCATCTTCAGGGTAGACCTCAGGTATTGAAACCATTGATACCATACTGTGCTCGATACTCCACCAAGACGGCACCACCACCACCACCCCCTCCACCTTCTGACAAGAATGCCAAGGGAAAAGTACTTCTTAATCGTATCACCAGAGCTTTTACATTCTCATTATCTTCAGTTCTCGTTCTTGGAGCTGCTGGTGTAGCATTACTAGTGGTTTATTTGATCTTATCGGAGTTGTTTCTTCCTTCTGGTGACACTCGGACGTTCAACAAGGCCATCAAATTGGTGGAGAAGAGCAAAGTCGCCCAGGACATCTTAGGGTTCGAGCAGGGTGACAGATTGAAAGCATACGGCGAAACAGGTGGAGATAAGTGGGTTCGTAATAGACCAGTCCATGGTTTAAGATCAAAGGGCCAGGATGGCAGCGATCACTTATTGATGAGGTTCCATGTTGAAGCGGACAACGGGAAGCATGGTAGTGTTGTGTTGGAACAAGTGGACACCTCCTTCTGGAGCTCGGAATTTGCGTACATTGCGTTGGATGTTCCAGGGTCTAAGAGAGCTTACATTATCGAGCCTAAGTTCCAATCCAAGGGTTACGTTCCTAAGATGAACGGTGGGAACGGATTTTTGGGGCTCAAATGGGGTCCAAAGAAAGATGAATAGATAGGCGTTGCACTTGTTATTTCCAATCTTTTCCGGACTGTTATGAGTGATGCCATCTGTATTTTATTCAGTTATTTGATACAAAATAGCTATTTATAGCGTGTTAAATAACATCAATAAAACTGTAATTAGTTTACCCCAAGCGCTACTACATTGAAGCAAAAATTATCGAGTACTTTGTTGCATAATTCTGACAGATTGAGCTAGTACCTTCAGGCTCCTCAATGCAATATAGTCCCAACACACTCACAAAAGTCTCATCTTTCAGTAGTTGAATAATGTAGGACCACCAAACATGTGTTTATGCTAGAATAATTCTCCTTTAGATAACCTTCAACATTTCGTAACTTGGATAATATCAAATTTGGTCGTGGTAAATTTTGGTTTCTAAATTACCCAGAGGGATGTATGGAGTAATCGGTTCCAAAGCAAATTCAATCTATCAGACTCGAAGAGCAACTACAGGGGCTTGAATTAGAATCGGGTCACGGACATCCAATTGTTGAAGCTATGGACTGTGTTAAGCTTGCTAGAAGTTTTTCAAAATTAGCTACGAGTATCATTTGTGTAGCTGGTTTTGCTGACTCAGCCCTAACGACTCGATAGCAATTGATGTCACACTAATAAAATAATCTGTTCTTTAATTGTAGCTCAAATTTAGACAAACTCAAACCTTTAACAAATTATATAGCTCGCCATGATCTCTGCGTAAGACTACTTACGACTGGGTTCAAGAAAATTGAGATTACAGACAATTTTGTAATCAATCCACAATTAATATTGAGTTACATTGCACTTTTCTAGGTTTATGAACTTGGAACTGACAGCTTGGTCTTCGTGCTGCTATATGATATGATGCAACGATATATCTTTCACACCAAGTTTACTTCTAAATTATCCATTTATTAGGGTATAGATACAGATTTATTCTTCATATCATTAAAACACTTCGAATAATTGACGGAATTCTTTCTTCCCTCTACATTCAACCATGTAATAGTCCAGGTCAGTGACTCTAATCAATAGACCGGCTTTTCCAATCCTCTCTATTCTGTCAAATTTTTCCTCTTCACTGATCAACCAGTCGAAGTCTTCCTCAATAGAGTCTTCATTTGTGTTCTTGAGCACCAAGTTAAAATAATCCTTGTTTGTGAACACATCTGAGATAATTTGGACACTGAGTGAATACATTGATAAAATTTTCCAAGAAGATAAAACATTGATCTCATCGTAGGATCCCATTTGCTTTTGAAGCCTGACGGTAGTTTCGCTCAAAGCCAAGAATTTGGAGTTGTTTGGATTGTTTATAATCTGAGCATTATTGATCTCTTGTGTACTGATTGAAAAAGACGAGTGCTCGTGTCTGAGCTTAGAAGGCTCTGTAATCGTTTTACCTTCATTTTGGGAAGAAATACTGGACAAAGTAGACGACTCGCTTTTCTTTTCTTTGCCACTATCCATTATGGAAGATGAAATAGTTCCATCGGAAGGATTATGCTTTGAACTTATCAACGAGGTGTACTTGTTGGACTTGGCCAGGGCAGTAAGGACACCCATAATATTTGTGATACTGGTAACCAAGGAGTTGACAAGAGAGCCTGTTCTGCAACGAATTATAATCAACATTTTCTCAGATGTTATAGAATTGATTGCTTGAAGTTGCAAATCAAGTGCAGATGATTGTCGAAGGGCCGTGTTCACCTCATCAATATCGAGTAACAAAATTGGAATATCTATATCTTCTTGAACTTCTTCATCAAATTCTTCCTTGAACACAATAAACCAGCATTTATTGAGTTCGTAGTTCACAACAATCTTAATGAACAAATTCTCGTTTGCTGTTATCAACTCCCATTTACCATACTTTTGTTTCCATCTTGAGATTTTCATAGCCTTAGGGGCTGATTCAGTCATGAAGAAATCTAATGATGGATCACTATTGATGGTGTCTTTCAAATTTTGAGGAATCCTCAAATCACCTTCATTATTTTCAGTTGGTAATTCTGTTTCTGCATTACCGTTTTTAAAGTGCTTAAAGAAATATGTTGATGTAGAAGATGGCAAAGCGAATGGAGAGGGCAAATTGGATCCCTTGTCTTCAATGGACAGCAGACTTACACTAATTGCAAGGTTATTCTTATTCTTAACCTTCCCACTCTTTCCATTATTCTCATGTTGTTCCGTCGATTTGATTGGAAGCGATTGTGAAACTTCTATGGTCAGAATAGATTTATCTGGAGATGGTGTCTTATTTTGTAGTTGCTCGCCTGACCTTTCTCCATATGCCTCTATCCCATCATTTACCAGGATTGGAGATTGTGGTAAACGGGGTGATCCACTAACAATCACGTTAGTCTTCTTATTCGACTTCTTGAGAAAATTGAAGAAAGACTTTCTTCTTGGCTTTTCACTGCTTGGTTCCTTGGAATCTTCTTGTGCCAAATCAGATAAACCCTTAGGTATACTGAAAGATGGATTATAACTCTTGCCAAAATTGGATAAATCGACAGCTGATCCAGTAGACAATTTATAAATAGATCCCTTAGTTTTTGTCAAATCGGGTACCGAATTGAATGCATTTCCCTTCTGCTTGTACGGACTGCGCGATTCATTGTCATTAGTTTCCTGTGGCTTTGGGGTGTCTTCAACATAGCTAATTTCCCCTTGGGAAGAACGTGGTCTAGACTCATAATCGGAAATTGGAGCCTCCAATACTTCTCTTGGAACGACCTTAATATGGTTGTCATCCTTTTTAGCAAGCAGGCTGCTGGAGGTATTGGTAAGTGCCTTGTTGATTATACTCAAAGATCTATCATATTGGGATTTAAGTGATTCCGAGGATGCGTTTGACTTGAGAGACGAATTTGAGTTTTTGCGAGTGTTGTTGAGAAAGGCAGGTTGTGGTACTATTGAATCGATGGCCCCTTCTGGATCGGTTCTCTTCTGAGGTTGTTGTTGAAATTGTTGTTGTAATTGTGATAAAGGCGACGAAGAGCTGAGTGACGGGGAACGTATTAACTCCTTGAAGGTGTTAGACTTACTGCTGTTCAAAGGTGTTTCGAAACGTCCAGAATCTTCCTCGTCCCACGTCTTTCTGTGATCAACATCAGAAAGCACATTGATTCCTAATCCAGACATTTTAGGAGGACTTCTGTTGGATTTGATTAAAAACGTTTCACTAACTGGGGTATTGTTCAACTCCAGAGGAAATATTATCAATAATTTCTTGTACCACTGGGTTAAAAAAGCCTGATTTGAACCCATAATAGTCAATTTTGATTCAGCTGTATGGATACTGGAAAAAGAAATTGATTTCAAAATTATGGAAGATTGTTCAAAGTTGATGGAAAGTTCGTTTATTCTGAACGGAGGGTACATCAAAGACCGCGATGCCTCAGTGGCATCAGGACAGACTTCGACTATTGCCAATGCATTGTAGGAATTGGAATATTGCTCTCCCATCAAATTTAATAGAATAAGCTCGACCTGGTACTTTCTTTGCTTGGAGTCACAGAGGAAGAGAGTTTCATCTCCAGACCTCTCCGTTATTTGGTTAACTTTGAAGAAACTTGACACGCGTTCCGGGCTTCTGGTTGACTTTGCATTAGGTGACATGTTTATGAATGCCTTGATGTTGTTGAAACTGATGCTATTGAGCCTCTTGATATTCGACTTGTTGGTGTAGGTGTCGAGAAGTTTCTGGAGTGAACTCTTGGCTTTCGAAAGCTGCTCAAGTATGAAAGGGTTGCGCAAGAGTGCGGAGACATCATCGATGAATGTTACGTAGTTATGGCAATTCAAGATTGGTTTGCAAAACTGGTCTGCATTGATGCTGGCAGCGGCGGCTTCAATGTCGAGCGAGTCTGCATTCAAGTCGGTAATTTGGCTGCAGTACTTCTCAAAGAGCACAAATCCGTCCTGGTCCAACCAGATGAGGAACTCGTTGACGAAAGACTTCAACAAGTCCATTTCGTTTGCGTCCTCATAGGACGCAAACTCAGTGAGGGTGGAGTTCAAGAGGCCTAGCAATTTGGTGTTTTTGGTGAACAAACCCCGAATTAGCGAGGTCAACGAGCTGCCCCCAGACCTGGTAGGCTTGACCTTGCCCATGATATCGATCAAGTTGTTGTTTTCGGCATTCTCGCTGTGCAAAAGGTTTTTCAACGCTTGTTCGGGCAGTACACTCGGGCCCTGGCTTTCAATGGTCATGGTGGTCCAAATGAGATGTCAAGAGACGTGATGGATGGTGGCGTGTTGTACTTGGGTGGGCCTGGGTGTCTCCTTTTACAAGCAGCGGTCATCTGTCTATAAAGACGGCTGGGGTTCGCAGGACCATTATTCCCGATTAGGAATAAATGGGAAGCGCGTCGATTTATCAAAAGCGTGTTGCGTCTAAATGACGGGTATTATTCGTCGTATATTATAATAGGAAAGGGTCGAGACTTCCGGCCACTGTAAGGAGAGAGACGGTAAACAGCCACTTGGGAAGGGCGGGGCCCAATTGGGCCATAACTTGCCCAAAAAGGAAAGGATCGTGGCAGAGATGGGGCGGTCCTGCCCGAAGAATCGGGTTGTCCGGGCAATTTAATCCACAGGAGACAGTGCCTGTAACGGAGAGTGGCGTGGTGCCAGGAAGCAGCCAGGTATATGTAAACAGTATAGCAGCTTCGACAAGGGCGATAGAGAAATTATCACGTGATTCGTCACGTGACATATATCTTGGTAGCTTCTCTATTCCACAATTGCTTCAGATGCACAGTGTGCTGATACTTGGATTTTATTGCCATTTCGTATTTCTTTGAGCGTAAATAATTTGCAAGTGATCAAGGGACTTCATTTGGCTCATATAGGAGCCAAACATATGAGTTGGTTCAGATGCATCTTATTGTACCTTTTGATTTAGAAATTTCTTGATTGAACCATTGGAAACGAATAGCTTCTTGGGACTACCCTGTGTAATGAGCCGTCGGTGTTATTCCACTTCCAATGGATTAAATTCCAGAAATGTCGATGAAAAGTATTTGTAGTCAAAGTAACATCCTTTTCCAGACCAAACCATGCAACTTCGATAGGACAGTTAATTATTGGATAACTGCTTCAATTAACACTTTCAGGGAGATCTGTCAGAACAGCCCATCTTCCTATCGTTTTCAGTTACATGATATCCATAACAAATGATCGAAGTCACCTTCAATCTGATTTAAATTCAACCATGGTTGGTTGATATGTGTTCTGGCACCCAAATAGACACTTCTAGGTGCTATTCTTTTCCGAGTATCCTCTATTACTTTCTGTAAGGTCTTCGCTAGTTCTTTGACCCTCAGTAGTCTCTCTGGACCACCCAGTCAAGCATCTCGTCCAACCCCTCGCCGGTGATGCCGCTGGCGAGTGCTACCGTCCACTTTTCCGGTTCTACCAAGTTGTCTAGATCCAACACCTCCACCACCCGCTGTTGGAGTGCCTCCAAATCGCCTTGCCACAAGTCGATCTTGTTAATCACCACCACGAGGTAGACCCCCACCAACCGATCCTCCAAGATAACCTTCTCGCGCAACTCAGTGTACGACTCGTGGAGCCTCTCCACACTCATACAATCCACAACCCACACCACTACGTTGGTCTTGTCAAAGTAGTTGCCCCAGAACCCTCGCAACGTGGTCTGGCCACCAATGTCCCAGATGTTGAGGGTGTAGCCTGCGTGGGTCATGGTGTTGATCTGAAAGCCCATGGTGGGCGAGATCGCCTGGGTGTCTTCGCCCAACATCTTCTTGACGATGGTGGTCTTGCCTGAGTTGTCTAGGCCCAACGTGAGCACACGGACCTCAGCGTCCTTAGCCTTCTGTTTGCGGATGATGCTCAATAGTCCCATCTTAGTTTTTGGCCAGTGCGCGACGTACGCTTGGTGCTTGTATCGAAGTTGTCTGTACGTGTAGGCGGTTCTCGTGATCGGACTGTTTGTTGCGATGCTGCGACTGTCTAGTATATCGCGTCTGGTTGATCTCACGGTGGCAAGCACTTTTACCGTTAGATATCGCCACCATCAGACGGCTGTGCCCTCCAGAGTATCTACGCATTCGACCCATCGACTTCAGCAACACCAGCAGCGCTGTCAGATCGTTTGAACGTTTGACTTTGACCGTTTGCCGTCCCAAGAGATGTGCACAATTGCTGCTAAACGCCAATGATCTCCCACCACAACCACGACAATGCCACGGCCACCACCACCCACAGACACCAAGCGACAGAGCTCGATCTTGGAGTTCACAAGGATCAGAGACGCTGCCACTCTTGAGCACGCCGGTGCTTCTGCCAACAACGTGATAGACCTCACTCACGATGTCATCGAGATCAAGGAGGAGACCCAGGAAATAATGGTCGAGTCCGTGCTGGGGATCGACTGTCCCGTGTGTGGGAGGGACCTCACCGTGTGGTCCATAGAGATCAGGACCCAGCATGTGGAGGCGTGCTTGACTCGCCCCCAGCCAGAGACAAAGAAGCGCAAGGTTGCAGCTGGAGCTCCCAAACTGGGAGCCAAGCCATTTTCCAACGAAAAGGACAAGTACATCAACTCGACTGTGATGAAGTCCGAGACCAAATCGGTCAAAGTAATAAAACCCCCCACCAATTTGGGGGTATCCAGGGCCAAAAAGCCCATTCCAACCGTGAAAATATTGAGTTTTCCTACCCAGAGCTTGTCCATGTACGACATTGCAGTTGACGCCTTCTGCTACTCTCCTCATGACACCATCTCTCAATACTTCTTGACCCATTTCCATTCAGACCACTATGGTGGAATTACCAAAAAATGGAGCTACGAGAGGGTTTTCAAGCAAGACACAGACTTCGAAAACGATGCAAAATATAAAAAAATCATATATTGTACCGTGATTACCGCAAGGCTACTTACGTTACGCTTTAGCGTGGACCCTAGATTTATAAAGGCCTTAGAATTGAACCAGAGGTATTGCATAAAGAGATTTGACACTTGTCCTGAACAAGCAACCATTATTGACAAAGAAGGCGCATATGAAAGTGTTGACAATCATCCTGGACTATACGTAACTCCTATAACCGCTAATCACTGTCCTGGGTCGGCAATCTTCCTTTTTGAATCGTTTGGAATAGATGGTACCATACGAAGAACATTACATTGTGGTGATTTCAGAGTGAATAAGGATATTCTTTGTCATCCAAGCTTACTACCATTTAGTGTCAATTCAAAGTCCGAAGATGCACTACTATTAGACAAAGTATACCTTGATACTACCTACATGTCACCTTCATATAATTTTCCCAAACAAGAATTAGTATGCCATACCATAGCAGATCTTTTTGAAGCATTAACTACCGAGGAACAAAGCGAGGACTCGTTGTTTTCTAAATGGTTTGGTATTCTCAAACAAAGTAGAATCACTGACTTCTTCTCGAATAGAATAGCTCGAAAGAAGAAAAAGTTCCTAATTTTAGTGGGAACATATCTCATCGGTAAAGAAAGATTGGCTATTTCTATTCTGAAGAGGCTAGGTTGTCCCATATACATCCTGAACATTAATAGCAGAAGTGATAAGTTGGAAATTTTACAAACTTATGATGACGAGTACTTGAATAAAACAATCGTCGATAATGACCTAGGATCCGAAGATAGCGAATGCGTGATTCATTTAGTTCCGATGAACATTGTGAATGCAGTTGGCGAACTTTCGAACTACTTTAATCATAACCGCTATTTTGAGGTTTTCGAGAGATGTGTGGGTTTGCGACCAACGGGTTGGACTTTTCTGGGGAGAGGGAACGAACAAGAGACAGAGCAGTCAACAATAGATGACAGTACTATTCAGTTTTCTCAGTTGCACAATATTTTAAAACATTGCCCCAAATATGATTACATGGAGGATATCTTGCCTCAGTCCCCGGTATTGAAAAAGGTCCCTAACAAAAAAGGCAGACCTGACGAATGCTTGTATCGTATTTATTCGGTCCCTTACAGTGAGCATTCTTCATATCGTGAATTAGCATACTTTACCATCTTTTTTAATATTGGCAAAGTTATTCCGACGGTAAACATTGGAAATGAATGGAGTATCAAGAAAATGGATGATATTATAAGGCGGTGGGAGATAGCTAGAGATATCAGGTTAAAAAGGATGTCCAAATTAGAGGAAGTGGATTTCCAATTAGTTGAAGCTTTTGATAAGCTTTCGCTTGATAACTTTTAAATCTACAACAACAGAACACGCACTTGTTTTAATCTATTATATATTATGAATGATTTGATGCTAACTTGATTTCTTGGTGTAAGTTTCCAAAAACTTCTCGCATTCGACACCAAGAACACAATCAGCCCATTGCACAACAAAATCGCCATCCTTGTAGTTATAAACCTCGGGCTTCTCCTGTTTAACAACACCTGCATGCTGACTTGCAATTGTCTTTGGTGGCACGATGGAGGCTTTGCTCAAAATGAATGGATGCCATTGCAAGATATGAGTAAGAGCCGAGTCTGGACCGAAAGGAAAGTTTGGATAAGTCAAATAAAGGTTGTCACACCAAAACTCCATAATAGATTTACCAACATGGTCATTTTTGATGATAAATGAGTGAGTTTCTATCTTGGACTCGGACTGGGTGAAAATCAATTTAACTGATTCTGCCTTGGTATTTTTGTAGGTCTTGATGGCTCCATCTGGAGGAATAATTGCTTGTTCCCTTTGCATGATAGGGTTCAAAGACTCTGCATTCAACATGTATTGTTGAATGTCGACATTGAGATCCATGACCAAGCCGTCTTGGTCAAAGTACCAGAACCACTTTGCATGAGGGAATGCAAACATGGCAGCACGCATACAGAACAATCTGACCCATTTGGACTTCTCCTTAGACTCCAAGTAACTGAGGGAGTTCAAGGCTGGCAAGAATTCCTGGTACCATCTGACATAAACACCGTACGAGTGTTCGTGGGCATAATCCACTCTGTTCTGGACGATTTTGGTTAGAGCCAGCTGAGAGTACTTCTCGAAGTCCACTGCGGTGACTATGATGACTTCAGGGTAGTTACGGTTGTTTTTTGGTCTGAACACCACCTTATCTTGGTTCTTGAACGAGTTTTTGGCCAACAACAATTCCGATCTCTTGTTTTCGTCGTCTTCCTTCTCCTTTTGAAGTACTGGGTCGGGATCGTCCAAAGTGTTCAATGAACGAATCAAGTTCTTTTCAATCTCAGGGAAGTTGGCGTCTCTGACCTTGAATTCCTTGATCAACTTGTGCACAGTCAACTCTTTCAAGAGCTGGGTGTCTTCGATCCGGGGGAAAATGTAGGGGCTGGAATGCTCGATGACACGGTTACTGGTGAAGGGGTGTCCAGCAGGGTACTGTGGTGGATGGTGGCTTCTGAAGAGACCCCCAAGGAGACTGAATGGATTGAAGAAGAACCAGAGCAATATCACTCCGATGATTGTGTAGGTGATGTTTTGCTTCTGTTGGATCCGGTTGAAGGTAGCAGGGAGAGGAAGAAACCCTTTGCCCTTGCCATACCTTGGCCGGAAGTTGTTCCCCGAGTTACTTGAAAACATGGCTCCTAGCTGGTGAATAGGCTATCGAGAGTTTTGATGAAACGGGTGGGATTTTGTGTTTTTTGGACGCGGCACGGCAGACTTTTGGGTGGTAGAAACCAGAAACAAAAACTGGTGGACGGCTGGCCGCAGGACGGGATGGTTTTAGAAGAGAGTCGGGGCGGATTGGTGGATGTCTACGCTAGGATTTGTGTTTAGCCAGTTGGTGCCTACAAAGGTGCAAATCAAAGCAACAACCACACTGCCAGATCGGGATCAGGTAGTGTGTGATTGAGTATACGCGGTGGTGCCCACACCACCGGCAATTGATTGGTATTTACTCATATAGAACCATCTTTAGGTAGTATCAACGGAGTTGATTGAGTCTTTGTTATCATTTCTGAGTAATTGTTAAAATTACTCATTTAAAATCTGAGATGGGACTCTTCTCCAATTGCGATCGAACCACAATAGAAAAGGTTCTACAGTTGAATAGAATTGACTGGGGGCCAAAGTCTCTACTACTGCCTACTTTCCCATGGCAGAGGTAATATGAGTAGAACCCCAGTTTACAGCTGTGCTTAAAATCTATCCATAACTCTATCCTACTTCGTTATATGTATTAAAAAATCCTCCTAGGTTTACTCTGCTTTCGATGCTCCGCTGAAACCATAATATGTTGATAGCATTATGCCTATAACTAAATAACCCGAAACTATATTTATTAACACGCAATCCTTACAGTAACAATGTTAACTACAATATTTATTTAATCCCCAAGGTAATAACATACTACTACTATTCGGCAATGGGCAAAGTTGACATATTACGTAAGTGAGGGTAGTATTTATGAGGGTTCAAGGGTTACAGACTCATTAATATCCATCGACTACAACCTGTCCCTACATGTCAGAACTCGAACCTATTCCTACTATCATAGGGCGTATGTATTTGTGGGTCGTGCTAGCCATCACCGTGCTCAACCAAAAATTATATAATTGTAATTGATGTTTATCCATAATTACCCCATCATTTCTTGGACTCTTTACTGATTCTTTCCTCTATCACCTGCAAGGCAACCTGTCTTCTTCTCTCGGCAACAGAATTGGCCACACTCTTCAGCACTTGGTTGGTCTGTTCTTGTCTCTTTCTAACTCTCATGTTGCCCTGCTCGATCAACTCATCGTTGAATGGAGTCACCGCTCCCAAAAATACACCCAACTCGTAGATCTTATCAAATACGTAACCCAAGTATGGCTTGGTGATACTGGGGAAAAACTCCACCAATTGGAAGGTGTCAGAGGCATCGCCAGTGATTACACTTCCGGAGCTGGCCGACGCCGAGCCTTCTTCAATGCCATCAAGGGTGGTGATAGGCAACAATGGATCAATGGTGAATGTCTGGTAAAATCTCAAGTACAAGAACGACACCACGAAACTGCCAATGGAAGGTAAGAAGGGATATAAGGTGCCCATAATCAACGAGATAGCCAACACCACCAAGAGCAAGATGAATGGGAACTGCTTGACCCGGAAATTAACCATGCCGTTGAATAATAAGATGTTGTGCTCAGGAATCAATTGCTTCAACACCACCAAGAACCCGAAGTAGTATGAAATTCCCCCACCCAAGGGCTTGTCCATACCCTCCACATCCTCACGGAAAATGTTGCACAAGATTGTCACCAACACTGTCCACAAGTTTGTAATTGACCCAATTAGTATCACGAACTTGATCACCTCTTTGTAGCCCCAAAATTTCTCCACATATTTTGTCGAGGTGTATAACACCAAAGTGGACAAAATGAAAGGGAACACAGAAATCTCGGCAAAGATAGCTGTGACTAACACCCATGGATGGAAAAGAGTATATCTGGGTATCAATTGGACGAATGGAACAAGGATATCATGGAATGTGAGGGTGTCATCGACCACAAATCGATAGATATTGACCTTGAGTATGAATATGATGGTGGTGAATGCGAAGAGGGCACAAAGGAGCACCTTTGACGATCTAGGGAGGGCCTTCAACGCCATGGTAGTTAGTTGGAGTAAAATTGAAGACAAGTGAGGTGTTTATGGGCGATGGAAAGACTGGGAACGTGATGCGAAACACGTGATGCTTAACCCAGGTCACCACATCCACGCTAACTGCCCAGTTTTTCGTTATTATTATTTAGGACATGGGGTAATATCCCTAGTTGTACACGCGAAGCCTACTGTAGTTATATCAAAAGGGCAATTTGCTTAATATACAAAAACAATAAAAGAATAGAACAATAATATACGTATATACACACTTGACCCACCCTAGAAGTCTTTAGTGGTGTAGGCTTTTGTATGATGGGATCTTGCGGATTGATAAACCCAAGTGTAACCCTTTGGTCTGTTGGTACCAGTATCGTTGTTCTTTGCGTGTCTTGGTTGGAATAATCCCTTCATAATACCACTCATGTCGGCAAAAATGTCTTCAGGAACATGAGCAGCAGCGATAGCTGGAGCAGCAATAATAATGACGAACAAGACCAAGATAAGGAAGTAAAGAGTACAGTACTTTCTCACCATTCTCTTTCTCAATCTGGCTTGCTTCAATGAGTAAATTGGTGGTCTAATCAATCTAGAAGGCTTCAACCAGAACAACATGGTGGAGTGCCATCTGTCGACCAATGGAATGAACAAGATTGGTAATTGACAGAACAAGATGATGTGAGCTAAGACGAAATCACCAGCAAATTCAGACATTTCAATAATCTTTGCACAGAATTCACGAGCTGGCTGAGTGAAAGCCATGTAACCCATACCAGTACCGTACCACTTACCAGTCCAGAAAGCAGTGTTGGCCTTGTCATGCTTAAATTCCCTAGTCAAGAAACACAAGGTTAAGAACTTGAACAACAATCTTTGGATGTACACCATAGTAGCAAGACCCAACATCATTCTAGCAAAAACGAAACCTTCCATAACCCACATAACAATGAAGAAAATCAAGTGAATAACAACAGCGATACCGTGGGCAACACCTGCAATCACAGCACCAGTCTTCTTACAGCACAAGCCTAACATTGGACCAGCACAACAAGCTAAACCAAGACATCCACCAAGAACACCAATGTCAATAACAACTGGGGCCAAAGCACAAATGACAACTCTTAAAGTAGAGTTCACTTCGATAACATCCGTACTTCCATCAATTTCGTAACTGTAAGTAGTAACACCGGTTTGGGCGTTAATGAAAGTGTAAGCGACAAAAAGACCAGCAGTGTAGATAAGAGTTGGGAAGAAGTCGGCGAATAAGACGTTGGATCTGTGAGCTCTGGTAGCATCACCGGAAGCCTTTTCGGATTCATCGTTAATCAACTTACGCTTGAAACCAGTAACACGAGATCTAGAAAGTCTGACGTAACCGATCCAAGAGTTTCTGTGCCACTTGGTGTTACCTCTAGATAACCATCTGATGAAATCACGGTAGTCAATGAAGAAATCTTCCCAAGCGAATTGATGTGGGTTGAACATGAATGGAGAGAACATCAATGATGACAAGGATGCCCAGAACCATAACAATGGTGCTTGCCAGTGAGAAACGGTACCGAAAAGCAAAATCATCATTAATCTTGCACCCATGTAAATGGAAGATTCGGCGAAACGAGTGTACAAAAGAGTGAACTGGTTTCTAGAAGTAGCAAAACTTCTACCGGTAGAAATATATCTGGCACCACCAACAGTCAAATCAGTGAAGACGGATGAGGAATAGATTTGAGCAACGAAAACTTCGAACATTGGGGACAATGAAACAAAGTGACGGGTGAATCTTTGGAAAGCCTTCCAAATACCTCTTTCAATCAATTCTTGCACAACTAACGGAATGAAAGAAATGAAGAAAACAATGAAAATAGACAAAGTATAACGTCTAACCCAGTCAACAGCTGGAGCGAAATTGTAACAACCAAATGGATACAAAACATCAGTGATTGGAATGTTCTTGTTGTAAGAACACATAACAGATTCGTGAGCCAAAGAGTTCAAGTTAGCCAAAACCAAGATGAAAACTTGCAAGGACAATTGAATGAAAATATTGTTAATATGGAAACCTGGGTGACCATAGTAGAAAGACAAGAAACGGTCAATTGGCAATTGAGTAGACAAGTAGTAGTATTCTCTGGACAACATCTGTTCACCCATACCTGCACCAATCTTAGTTGTGAAATTCAAAATGGAACCGAAACCTAAATCTCTACCCTTACCACATTGGTAGTATTCACAATGCTTGATTTTACCACCTCTTAACATAGCAGTCATACCAGCGTAAATATCTTCGTTCAAATGTAAACCCTTTTGGGCCTTAGAAACACCACCTCTTGTCAACATGAAAGTAGCATTCAAGAAATCCGGGTGACCATAATGCAATTTACCACCGATTTGAGCCAAAGTTCTAGCGAACAAAGTACCGAAAGTCTGTTCCTTACCAGCAGCAACGTCACCCAAAACACCAGAGTTTTCAGAGAAAATGTATTCTCTAGCACCCAAAATGGCAACAGGGTACTTTTGTTCAGAAGCATCTTGAGACTTCATAGTAGGAGCATATGGGTTAACATGTTCAACGTTTAATTCTTCGAATTCAGCCAAAACGGATCTAATCTTCAAACATTCTTCCAAATAGTTATCTTGGTTAGCATCAATTAATTGAATGTATTCACCTCTGTGGAAAATAATAGCATGGTTTTGGTTATCAGACTTACCATCACCCAAAATTGGGTTACCAGATAATTGAACTCTAAACTTTGGACGACGTCTACCATTTTCTAATACTTCACAATGACCATCAATCAAAGCAGAGTAAACTCTTGGTTCTTCGTCTTCAGTCAAAGCTGGTTCTTCATCTAAGTAAGCAATTTGTAAGTCTGGGTAAGCACGTAACAAAAATTCAGCATTTTCCATTTCATCGTCTCTGAACTTGGACAATCTTTGCATAGAAACCAAGAATCTGAACTTTCTTCTGGCCATCTTCTCCAAAGCTAATTCCAAGCCTTCTGGATCACCCCCGAAGTATTGGACCAACTCTGGGTTTTCAACTCTGTATAATAATTTGATGGCTCTAGCATAGTTCATGAAACCGGAAACAGTTCTGTACAAGGTTTGAGCTCTCAACGAAGCCCAAATTCTAGTTCTTAAGGTGTATTCAGGAGCAGCAGATTTGAAACCAATACAGTAGAATGGCAAATCATCAATCTTGGACTTCAAGGCATCTTCGGACAACTTCTCGGCATCCTCACCTTCTTCGTAAGCAGCGGTTTCCTCTGCCAAGATCTTGGTGTCCTTAACAAAACATTCCCATTCGACTGGGTGCAATTGCTTCAAGTATTCCAACAAGGTAACTCTTGTGAACTGGTTGTCTTCTCTGATAATTTCTCTCAAAGACAACAAAATCTTTTCAGAGTAATGAGGAGTGAAAACAGTGAAAGTAGGCATGTTGTCAACAGGCAAAGGTTCCAATATTGGAGTAGCCAAAGATTGGGCAAAGAAAGAAATTCTTCTTTCAGCCTCTGAGTTTCTTGGGAAGAACTCCGTCTCGAAATTGTTATCATCTTGAGAAACGAAGAAAGTTGGAGCTCTCAAAGTTCTCTTACCTTCAATTTCTGAAGGAACTTGATGGTATAACAACTTTTGAACGTGGTCAATGGCTAATAAATGTTCTCTGTACATGGAAATGACGATAGCATTCCAAATTTGAGAGATCAAAACCTTTGGTTTGTACTTGATTTCCATCTCAGTGGTAGCCAAGATCTTGGAATAGATTCTCTTTGGTAATCTGGTGAAAATGTTTCTCCATGGAGTCAAAATAGAAATACCCAAATAGAAGGAACGACCAATGGAGAAGATACAGTTACAGATAATGTACCACATGTAAGTATCCAAGAAGAACAACAACAAATCGACAGTGTACATCAAACCTAAGACAATCTTGGCTTGGTTACGACATAACACGTCACCGAACCAAACTTCACCAGTACATCTCATGGTAGTGGTTGACAAAATTCTGATTGGATCTCTGATAGAAAGAATCAAGAAGAAATAAGATTCAGTCAACTTAGCCAAGAAAACAATGGTCCACAATAAGTAAGATAACCACATGTCCAAGCCTCTTAACTTGATAAAGTTAGCGGTAAAAGTTTGTTGAGCCAAGTACTTTCTAGATCTGTTGTTCAAGTAGGAAGTAAATAAACCACCCAAAGGCATAACAGAAAAGAAAACAACAGTGGCAACAGCAATAAAGAAACCAACAATGGAAATAATATGCGCTGACTTAGAGATAGCAGCTAATCCAGCCCAGTAGAAGGTATAGACAACGGGAACCAAGTTCAATAAGAAGACACCAATCAAGAATAACAAACGACGACTCAAATGTTGAGCACCGGCCCATTCTCTTGGAACGAACATCCATTCAAAAAGAGTAGCCAAAATTTGAATAAAGGAAGCAATAACACCACCAATGGCAGCAGCAGCCCATCTAGAAGATGCAGTAGGCTGCTGGTTGATGGTTTGTTGGTAATGTAAAGTATAAAGGGTTGGGGAGTTGTAGGCACAGTACATCCAGTAAAAGGAGCCATGGATAATCCAAATTCTGTTGAAGTTGGTGATAAAATGCAACCAAGTTCTGATTTCCTTATAGGTCTTGAAGAAGACATTTTGCCATTCGACTTCACCCAATCTAAGGAAACGTTCTTCTTGAGGAATATCGACCAATCTAGTACCATCGTTAAAGATAATTCTAGAAATACCTTCTGGGTACCAGAACAATTGGTTAACATCATCGTAACCAATAACCTTGTTGTGATCCTTTTCACGCTTGACGAATCTGCCATCGTAAATCTCATAGACCTGAGATCTCAAGAATCTATAAAGTGGAGTAACAACACGGTTCAAGTAATCACCCTCTGGAACTGGCTCTTGTCTTTGTTGACATTGAGGAGACAACAAGTAGTCAAAAGCGGCCTTGTAGATGTAACACAAACATTCTGGAGTGAATCTGACTTGGTTGGATTCACCCCATAACAAGAGGTAAAGAGTGATGTCTCTAACTCTTTCTTCAGGAGTAAGAGAGTTCATCTTCGCCTTCCATCTGACTTCAGCAGCTTCGAGGGAGTAATCACCTTCTAATTCGTTCGCCAAAGCGTCAATGTCTTGACCGTGTTCTTCAACAGCAGCTCTAGCCTTCTTAGACTTCTTCGAAGCCTTTCTAGCCTTTCTACCGATCTTACCCAAGTTCATGTTGGCGAAACCAAGGGAGTCGTCCAAATCTTGTTGGGAAGCAAAGTACCATTTCTTGTAGTTAGCATTGTCACCACCGATGTAATCAGCGTGCAAACTCAAAAGAGCTTGTGCTGGAGACATACGGGAGGCTCTGGAATCCAAGAGGGTCATGAAGTAGTCGAACATGTTTCTCATGGAATCTCTCTGGAAACCGAACTTGTTTGTCAAATCAATGAAAATGTCTTCAATGTGTTCAACCTTGATTGGGGCTTGAGGATCAGCAGACCAAGCAGGGTAAGGCAAGTTAGAAGACATTTGAAATTGAGTAGGATCGTACTGGCCCTGAGCACCATAGATAGGAGTCGAGGCACCAGAAGAACGAGGATCACCACCGTAACTCATTTGGGATGGAGTGTATTGAGTACCGTATTGATCGTAACCAGGGGTGCCAGGGGTCTGACCACCGTAGCTGAAATCCGAGAATGCTTCTGGATCAGCATTGTAGCCAGCGCCTTGTTGTTGAGGCTGAGCATGAGCACCATAAGCAGCACCATTGGGATCTTGGTATCCGTCCATATCATAAGGTTGTTGATGATATTGGACATTTGGATCATAGAAGTCCTGATGGGGCTGTTGTTCATCGTAGGGTTGTTGGTAATAGCCATCCGCAGGCGGAGCCCCACCCTGATGGTTGGGGTCGTAGTAGTGACTATTATCGTTGTACGACATCTAGCACGTTAGTAACGAATGTAGACAGTGAAAGAAGTGGTGGATAAGGTTGAAATCCTCCAGTCAAAAAAAAGCGAGAAAAGTCTGGTCCTGATTGTAGAGGGTTATTTTGTGATCCGGTGGGATTGCTCCTTATAGCAGAGGTTACCAGTTTGGAAAGAATATTTCTAATCCTGATAAAAAGAAAAGGGACAGCTCAGACACGACACACAAACGCGAAAAAGAAATTTCGCGATGCGGACAGGGGCGTGTTGCGCCTCCGTGGTGCAGCAAATGCTGGATTCATGCCGACAGGCACGGATCCGGCGGCAAATGCACCATCGAAGGAAGCAGCTCCAAGGGCGACTGTTGACAATAGGTAACGGGTGGAGGTTGGGGGGCCAACCGCACTAGAACCGTGCTGAACACGCGCGTTAAACATTCGGTTTGTCGCGAGCGCGCGCGTCGTCCCTTACCGGACCTCTCGGGGCAGTGTCAGACGTTTCTAAATATAATTTCATGGCGACACTGCCCAGTCACGTGTGTGCTGTTGCTTGTTCCCGCCAACCTAGACGCCATGGGTGCCAGACCGTAGATGCCAGGGACCGGAGATCCCAGCACTTCCAGCACGCGTAACACTGGTCGCTGGTGCCTGTCCTCCACCGTGTCTGTGACTTGCCCTTTTCCCGATCTTTTTCTCTGCATTCTCCCTTTTCCTGCCATGGGTGGCAGTTGCAAGCATTGACCACGCAAGCGGCCGTTCCACACCGCACAATTCAGCCCAGCGTTACTCGACAGCTTCTCAGCATCCTCTGACATTCCATAGCTTTCTCTTGACAATCCATCCACTCAATAATACATACCTATGCCACGATAACGAAAGAAAGTGAACTGTTTGGAAAAGTTCGATCCTGATATCTACCGCGACTCGTGGATTGGGGTAACAATAGGCACACCCAATGACAAAACAAGGCGATCAGAAGTGGCGTGAAAAGTTAAGCGTGGCGGCGTTTGCCCCTGAGTAGGAGCATGGTGTCGTGGTGGGGGTGACGACCGCCAGGCGCCAGGACCTCAGTGCTGGTGTCTGGGATCTTGTATGGGGGTTATGTGATCCAATCACATTTCCTAATTGGGGATGGCATCGGAACTGCGCAGGAGTGACAAGGACTTGAAACGAGAGTTGTCCTCGGTAAAACAACCCAAAAAACGGCGACAAAAAGTACCCCAAAACTGCCACTACACCCGTGCAGCACTGCGCCCCATGGCAGTACGTCTTCTACCCTTACACTTAGTGTGGACCGGGGTTGGTGGCATTTTTCATACAGATCGCCACCAGGCACGCGATTCGCTCCTGCGCTAGATGCGAAATCTGTGAAATCCCACCCAGATCGGGTGATGGAGTATCTATTTGACTGGAGTTTTAAGTATGTTAAAACGAGAGGCTACTGTTAATCTTATTGGTTAGAAGGCTAACATTGCAAGAATGCTCAGATGTAAAGACTTTTGGCATCTCATTCCTGTCCTGTCAAGTGTTCTGTAGGTGTCCTATATCCGGAAGTTTCAGCAGCTTGAACATTCTTCTGCATGATGTTGGTGGTGTATACTCCATAATCTATGCCTCCCCTCTACATTCGTGCTGTTGACTGACGTTGGCTATTTCGCCCAGTAATATTAACTATATTTCTATTCATTCCATCCCAAAAGGCTCAATTCCTTTCTGATGTCATCTTCCTTTTGGATCTTGCTGACCTGAGTATCTTCTAAAGGCTCGCCTCCAGCCTGCTTCATCTTTAGCTGTTCAATGGCTCTCAACTTCTTCAACAATGATCTGATCTTCTTCTCTTCGAGCGAAGCAACTCCACCAACGACAGCAGCCTCAGGCTGGGGCGAGGCTGGAGTGGAGGTCTCGGGAGATGGTGCAACACCCTCTTGCTGCTGCTTCTTGGCCTCTCTCTTCTTTCTGTTCTTAGCAGCACTCTTGCTCTCCTTTTCAACTGGTGGAGCTGCACCTGGAACAACACGGGCCCTGCCACTGGAGGGGTTGATTCCGTTCTTTTGTGCCTGTCCCTGTAACTTGTTCTTCAACTCTCTCTCGTACAACGAAGAGGATGCAGTGGAACTGGCGGAGTTTCTGGCATGAGGTGGACGGTAGGCACCAGAAGGCTTGCTGGCAGCTGCAGTAGCAGCAGCCTCCTTCTTGGCGGTCCATTCCTTTGTCGAAACGTGTGGCTCTGGAGCAGGTTCAAGCTGTCTCAAGCCTGGGAAATCGGTAAGTGGCTGAGGCTTCCATCCAATGGAATACAACTCTTGGTACTCCTTCAAGTAGATTAACTTGCCGCTAGCATGCCAGATCTTGCACCCGTTATCAACACGTAATCTGGGCGAGGTGGTGGCAGTCAATATAAATCTGCCACATGGAGACCACTCGCAAACCGAAGTGTTGGAGGCTTCAAAGGACACAACCTTTGCAAACTTGTTTTGACGGTCATACACATCAACGGTACCCTGCAAGTTACCGAAACCAGCTACCAAGACGAATCTGGCGTGTGGAGAGTACAAAATGGTGTTTCTTGGGGCTGTTGGCAAATGGTGGATAGCATTTCCTCTGGCATCGAAGAAGGTGGTTTCGGATGGCATGTATCCGTATATCACAGCAAATTCACGAGCAGAAGGCGACCAGGTGATATCGTGGATAGGGCCTTCTCTCTTGAGATCAATACGGGAGTCGTAGGATCCGGCTATACCCAAAAGATACAAGTTGGTTTCACCGTAGTACGACTGGTTGGTAGAATCGTGGTCAGTTGACGACAACGCCAATAACGCAGTACCGAGAGAGTTCCATTTCAATTGACACTTCTCAGCCTTGAAGAAGTTCTTGGAACAGGTGGGCTGGTTGAAGTTTGGAATGTTGTAAATCAACACACTGGCTGGCTTGCCACTCTTTTCAGGAATGAAAATGGCCACCGAAGGGTTCATACCTGGAGAAATCTGGAAATTCTGGTATGGGATCTTAGGGTCACTAACCTTGTATTTGTGTGCTGGTTGGTTGATATTGATCAAGTCATCCAAGCTTGAATTTATCTCAAAGAAATGTATTTCCTTGTTGTTGGCAGCAGACTTGGCGAAAATGGTCTCGTTGGAGGTGAACTGAGGCTTCCATCCGTTCTGATGCTTTTGGGACCATTCGATGATGACTTTCTGGGTCTTCAAGTTGAAGATCTTCAAGTTTTTGTTCCACACTCCGCTCTCCTTGTCCAAGCAGATTGGCTTGCACCACAAACACAAGTATGTACCTTGAGGCGAAAAGTAGATGTCAAACACTTCCTTGAAGTCGATCTTGCAATAGAGTTCTGCCTTGGTCTTGGTGTTGATCACTATCACTTCTTCTGGTTGGGTATAAGCAAAGTACTCACCATTGGCAGAGTACAATGCAGCACGACATTCAGCACTGGCTTTTGGAGAGGGGGTGATGTCTTCGTAGTCTTGCGTCAAGTCGATGTTACGAGGCAGACGGCCTAAATGTTAGTAATTGTCCTGCAGTGCATGTGCATCGGATGCCCAGGGGCCCATCTCTGGCTATACATACAAAAAAATTCGGTGGATTTGGACATGCTGGATTTTATGGGTCAATCTGGTGGTAGAATTCAACGGGATAAACTCTGTCTAAGTGCAATTTCAACTTTTGGGTCACAAATGGTTTAGTGGCCTTGGGTGTAGATGAGGTCACTGGCTCGGGTGATGGATGAAACGAACAGGAAAGTGGTGGCTTTTGAACAGTGGTTGAAGTTTTCCCAAAGACGGTGTGAAACGAGTCTGGTGTGCTTTCAGAGAACCTGCAATTATACTCAGCTAGTTACGGCCGTTGGTGTACAGTGTCGATAATTTTTCTTCCACTCGACGTGTGCTTGCGTAGTCGTGCGCGCTCCGATGATGGAGGGCCACCACCAGAAGTATGGAAGCATGGGCCACCCGGTCCTAGCGAGCCAACAGGTGTTGTCGGGCTCCTGGGGTCATATGTGGTTATTATGCTTCGGTTTAGTGAAGTCTACGAGTGGCTAACGGTATCATCGGCACTAGTTTCACTAATCGTGGCCATGATGGACACAACCTACTGCAGAAACATCCTTACTCCATAGCTAGGTTGACATCTGAAGAGAAGGCGCATAATCCGGGTCTCCAAGCGCATGACCCTCTCAATCTCGGGAACCACGCTTCCAACATTCCAGGATCCATCGGTGCCACGGCCACCACGGCTGCGAAAACAGCAATTATGCTACCCAAAACGGAATGGCTTGGAGGCGTCAGGTTTGGGGATGAAGCTAGGTATTCCGTCGTATAATAACAGATGTGCCATCCAGAAACACTTTAGGTTATCAATATTGCAGGCACAACATACATACACCTACTCTATCCTTTCCACGATAGCATCCCGGTAATCTCAGGTTTATATCAAATTACACTTTAAATGTGTCCAGAATATCTATGGAATGTATGGAGTTAATAATTAATTGACCAGCCAATACTATTGTCTGGACTCGAGGGTGAACAGATGGTGATTTGTTCCTAAACAAACCACACTTAATTGAGCAAGACCCCTTTCTTTATACAACGGTATATCTATGGGTTACATGGTATGAGTATTTATTTGACTTCGCCAAAACTATAGTGGCCAGTCTTTTCTGCATGCTTGCTGGCCCCCATTTCGCCAACCAACACCTCGTAGCACACCAAACATCGCACCCGGAATGTCGTGGTGTTAGTAGCGTAGTCTTGAGACTGAAGCTTTTTCCCTAGCTTCTTGCTAGCAGCAAGCACGGTTGTACTCTCCACTGGCCAGCTGGTGATGTCCTTACCTCCCGCATTTTCCGCCACGTAGTCGTAATGGATTCCACTGTAGATCAACACGATATAGCTAGGTGCGGAGCTCTGGTCTTTTCCAAACAGAATAAACTGGCACAGCTCGATATCCAAGCATTCGATCCGGATGTTGAACCATTCAGCGAGGATTTCCAACTCTATGGCTCCACCCCACGAGTCCTTCTTGATGATCCAGTCACAGTATTTTCCAGGTTCTTGGCCCAAAATTACTTCTGTGTAGGTCTCAGGATGTCCTCTGATATGATTTGCCACCACGCTACGGAGCTCCAGTGGATGGGCATCGACCATGGCTGCATGCACTATGGCATTAAAGAGACACGAGTTGTCGTCAGGGATGTTACGAAGGAAGAGATTAGAGTCTGGCGATAAATACTGCATTGCAACTCCATTATTTTCTGGTTGGCTCTGCTGGCTTGACTTGGGTTTGGTTGTTGCTGAAGAAACACTTTGACTACCTCCTCCTTCTCCGAACTCCAAAATGAGCTGGTCTCCATCCTTGATGCCTTTGGCTGCAATTGTGCTGGTCTTCTCGTCTTTTAAGTCTATGGGCTTCGGTGGGAATCCATGCTTGATCGCCACAAGTCCAGATCCAGATGGATTCAACTCCTCAATCTCAGCTATTTGCGACAAGAGAACCAAAAATGGTGCGGCTGGGTAAGGGGTGATGGTCTTGGTCCCACTCTTAGACTTCAATCTCAATCTCATGCTTCAGAAAGGTGGATGTGTAGCTATCCACAGTGAAGTCATTGTGGTTGGGTGTGATGTCTTCACGTGCCATTCGGCACGTGCCACTCTTCCCATCCGGGTCTCTACCACGGGCCAATACTGCGATATATTAAACGATATAAAGAAGAAATGAAAGCTAATGTACATTAAATGAGTGCTGTGCAGTGGGTGGCTTTTTATTCGGTCATTGCTTGGTCCTGTTCCTTGGGCTGGAACTCTTCGGAAGGAATACCGGTGATGAGGGCATCCAAATTGTCCTTTCTCTGATGCAATAACTGGTCAATCTCTTCCTTATTGGCCTCCTTGTGCTGTTCCTGTGCCTTGTACTTCTCCACTGATTCCATGAACTTCAACAAGTTGACACCTGCCGCGGCCTCCGATTCGAGCGGAGTGTAAGGCTTCTTGGACAATTCCTTGACTCTTCTTCTGTGTGGCTTGGCCTTGAGGTGTCTGTCCAAACTGGGCTGGTTTTCATAGTACTTGGCACATTCAATACAGTAGTATTGACCCAAACCAGGCTTTGTTTCGTCGAGGGGTTGGTTTTTCAACTTCATTATGGATTCCTTGGAGGACATGTCATCGTAGATCAAATCGAGATCTCTCGTTCTTCTCTTGGTCTTGTATCTCTTTACACTGTATCTTCCCATTTTAGGCTGTGGTAATCGTATAGAGTATACAACCAGGTATTTAGAGATGCGAGATGAGCAGAATTTGCGATCTATCATGTGATTCGGATCATGTGCTTCGGCACGTGAAGCGTCTCGCGTGACCCAAAAAGCAGTCACATAGTCACGCGCGCACCCTATTTGTAAGCATTCAGACAAGTCGGTTGCTTATGTAAGGGTCAAACATCCACACCGCAATAGTTACTGAGCGCACCACCATCCTGTCGCAGGCTCCTGGTTAAAAAGATTTTATTAAAATTCCCTTCCACTTCTTTTTGATTTCTAACTATCAGTTGAATAAGGTATGTAATAATAACATCAATATTGAGTCCCATCACTTTACCAAGCTCACCATATCACCGACAAGAATGACCAGCTCGGAATCCCGATAGCTGAAGTGGCTGTTCCCCAGAAGGACTATCCCCACTGATTTGTCAGCGAGGCATGAAAATTTTTCTGTTCCTAGCATTGCCACAATAAGTAAGCAGGGAGGTGACGTGAAGTGACTCACTGTTGGTATAAAAGGTCGGGGATTGCCGTTGTCTCCGTCAACGAACATACACTAACAGTTTAGCCAAAATGCCTAGAAGACCAGCTAGATGTTACAGATACTGTAAGAACAAGCCTTACCCAAAGTCCAGATACAACAGAGCTGTCCCAGACGCTAAGATCAGAATCTACGATTTGGGTAGAAAGAAGGCCCCTGTCGATGAATTCCCATTGTGTGTCCACTTGGTCTCCAACGAATTGGAACAATTATCTTCCGAAGCTTTGGAAGCTGCTCGTATCTGTGCCAACAAGTATATCACCAAGGTCTCCGGTAGAGAATCTTTCCACTTGAGAGTCAGAGTCCACCCATTCCACGTCTTGAGAATCAACAAGATGTTGTCATGTGCCGGTGCTGATAGATTGCAACAAGGTATGAGAGGTGCTTGGGGTAAGCCTCACGGTTTAGCCGCCAGAGTCAACATTGGTCAAGTCATCATGTCTGCCAGAACCAAGGACTCTAACAAGGACGTCGTCATCGAAGGTTTGAGAAGAGCCAGATACAAGTTCCCAGGTCAACAAAAGATCATTATCTCCAAGAAGTGGGGTTTCACTCCATTGAACAGAGACGAATACGTTGCCAAGAAGAACAACGGTGAAGTCAAGGATGACGGTGCTTACGTCAAGTTCTTGTCCAGAAAGGGTAACTTGGAAGCTAACTTGAAGCAATTCCCAGACTTCCAATACACCGCTTAAGTGTACTTGAGTGTCTAATGTATAGTCTAGTTTCTAACAAAAGTGTCCTTTAACGAGTGTAGAATAAGTGCGTAAATGTTCTTGTGAACAATGCAGGGCACGATAATCAGAAAGATACCACTGCCCCAGGCATCACCCGCTTCCCACTCTCTGCGTGCCCTGCAGCTGCACAACGTCGTAGTGCTCCGATGCCGCCGGCCCTATCCACACCGAAGCAGTTCCATTTGGGAATATATTAATTGCTTCTAATTACGGCTGTGGCAGACGGGCACTGCGTGGTGTCTGTTTACTCGCAATTTTTCGGCCACGCGTCGGTGCGTTGTCCACTATTTAACCATCGAGTTTTCACCTCACTTGCACGTTGACTTCTTTTGATAGCACAAACTACACCATGTCATTCTCCCACAAACAAGACCCAAAGACCTTAGTCTTATTCGATGTTGACGGTACTCTCACCCCAGCCAGATTGGAAATCTCCGACGAAATGAGACAGACCTTGAAGAAGTTGAGAGAAAAGGTTGTTATTGGCTTTGTTGGTGGATCCGACTTGTCCAAGCAAGTTGAACAGTTGGGAGCCACCGTGTTGGAAGACTTCGACTACTGCTTTTCCGAAAACGGTTTGACTGCCTACAAGTTGGGCAAGGAGTTGGCCTCCCAATCCTTCATTGGCTGGATTGGTAACGAAAAGTACAACAAGTTGGTCAAGTTCATCTTGAGACACTTGAGTGAAATTGACATTCCTGTCAGAAGAGGTACCTTCATCGAGTTCAGAAACGGTATGATCAACGTTTCCCCTGTCGGTAGAAACGCCTCCACTCAGGAAAGAAACGAGTTCGAGGCCTACGACAAGGAACACAAGATCAGAGAGACCTTGGTCAACGCCCTTAGAGAAAACTTCGCCGACTACGGTTTGACCTACTCCATTGGTGGCCAAATTTCCTTCGATGTTTTCCCTACCGGTTGGGACAAGACCTACTGTTTGCAACACGTTGCTGAGGAAAACTTCAAGGAGATCCACTTCTTCGGCGACAAGTCTTACAAGGGCGGTAACGATTACGAAATCTACGAAGATGAAAGAACCATTGGTCACGCTGTCAACAGCCCAGCTGATACCATCAGAATCTTGAACGAGCTTTTCAAGTTGTAAGTGAATAGAATAATAAATAATTAATACGAACCATAGTAGCAGCATGACTTAAAACTGCAGAGTAACTACTTTCCATACTTCTGTGTGATTCGGGTACTGCCGAAAACTATTACTGGAGTAAATGCTAAGTGAGGTTTGAAAATGTGAATTTTAGAGACCCGAAATTGGAATTCGATAAAGATGACTGACAGAAAAGAATATCATAATACTTGAAGTAATGGTTCTGGGTAGATCCTTGTGGAGGTATCACATAACTGCTTTGGTTTCTTGCGTATGAAATAATTGAATCAATCGACTACGCATGTTAAAAGATATTCATTGTCAAGGAGTACCCAAGAGAGGCACCTACCTTCGCCGTGAAAACAAGTTAAGGCTAAAGGTGGCCATTTCTGAACACTAACGTCATAAACCATAAAATCGAATCAGCCTATTATTTCAAAAGGCCGGCTCAAATGAGACGCCTCCCTAGTTCAGAACAATCTTATTCACATAATACTTACTATTTTTGGTTGCAAAATCTTAGGTAACATGCCAATCTCAGATCTCAAGTCCTTTTTCTAAAAGCGAGGGTTGATTATCACTTTCAACTTTGAGTATATCTGATGGTGTTTAAATTGTAATAAATCCTACTTGTTCGACCATTTTCAAACTTTTTCCAAATGTGAAATCGCTACATTTTCTAGAATTGAAATTATTCAACGAAATTTATAAAAAATTTTATTTCTTAGACGGATGATGATAAATGAATATCATTATTCTCCATACCCATCTCTATTTAGAAGGAAACTAATCGGACATAATGGCTAGTACAATTCGAATCAACCTATCAGAATAAATGATATAGGGTCCGAATATGTTTCTGCGAAAATTGGATCAATGTGCTCATACTTGGAAGGAAATAGTAAATAAGCTACACTGAATTCATTCATTACCCTTATAACAACGAATGACTACTTACGCCACTTTTATCAACTATGCGTATCATTCACTACCCCGTTCGTACCAGTCATAACTTCAAATTACTCAAGATACTATTACGAATCGGTATTCTAGCTTATGATTATTATTATAGGGCAAAATGAGTGTGATCTGTAGAGGGAATTTGAAGATAACCTGTAAAATTATGAATTTAATGTAGACTTGAAATCTTCGATTACGTAATGTAAGATGCGCACAGTATATTACTGCGATGTACTATTTTGTATATAAAAGTCCGATATAGTGTAACGGCTAGCACGGTTCGCTTTCACCGAGCAGACCCGGGTTCGACTCCCGGTATCGGAATTTCTTTTTGTATGCTGCTTTCACAATGTAATACACTGCTGCGTGGTAGCTATTTCGTTTTTTAGAGTCCATTTTGTTCATTTGCTTTATACACGATATATTTACAAGTTACTTACGTTTGTAGAAAATAGCAGAGCCATCTTCACCGGCAACAATGACTTGTTGCAACTTATTACCCCAAGAGTTTAACTTGTAGTCATCCAAAAGTTGCAACCTGCTGTTGATCACGGTGTCAAGCCTTTTAGCCAACTTTTTTCTTCTTTGTTCCTTAGTTGCAGAGGAGTCATCTTCATGTACATCTTCAGGCTCAATAAGCTGTGGTATCTGGATGGGCTTGCAAGTTTTGTGCTTTTTACCAGTTCCAAGTTGTCCCTGTTCGTTGTCCCCAAATGCTAGCACATCTTTGTAATTTCCACCATTGTCCAAGGTCAAAAAGACATGGTTGTTACCAACACTGACATCCTTTAAGCCAATTTTTTCAACAGATTGTGTGTTTTCGTTGAACTCGCTCAAATTGACTATTGACTTTACTAATTGTGGACTTGAACTAACGTGGAGATACTTGTTCGATCCAAGTTGTCCTTTGACACCGTTACCAAAACCAATGAAAATATCTTGATCTTTGCTAGAGTTGTCAGGATCCTGGTAGTGAACAATGGCATAAGAACTGTCATCTGCAGCATACACTTTGGAGACCTTAAAGTCTTCAGGTCGAGTTGATCTTGCAAGAATGGATGAGGTTAAACGTTTGAAATCAGAGTTTGTTAAGACTACCTTGGGGATTGGTTGATAATCAGTTTTGTAGGTGAGGTCAATACCACACTCACCATAGAGATTCTTACCCCATGTCCAAATATTTCCTAGATTATCGGCAGCCACATTGTGATACTTACCAGATGCAATCGAAATAAACTTTCTAGGATTCAAAGATTTGGTACCATCCTTGTTTTTAATTATCTCATTATTCAAAAGTGTCATTTCAAATGCTTGATTAGTTGGGATTTCTTTAGCCTTATCATTGAAAGGAGAAAAGTTGGGCATTCCAAATTGACCTAAGTTCTTAAACTTATCAGAAGTAGAAGGGGCAGTGCTGGCGACATAAACCTTTCCAGATTTGCCTAAAAGTAACAAATGATTCTCTCCTGAGGTTAGCTTTTCAATTTTTTCTTTGATCACAATTTCATTATACAAATTAGTTTTAGACAAACCAATCCAATTTCTTGATTGGAGTGGTTCAAACTCAACCTTTCTATCTAATCTTGGCATATACTTGACTTCACCTCTATTGGTCAAGAAATAGATGGTGTCGTTGGACAAAGTACAGCTTTCGACATTGAAGGGTAATTTTGTTAAAACAGGCTCTTTCAATTGGGAATGGAAATGGTAGACTTGACCCTTGTCATTGATTACCACCAAGTAGTCTTTTAAGATTTTCACATCATTAATCAACATATTATCAAAAAAACTTAACCTCAAAGGCAATTTCTTGCCATTTGGACTTCCACAAACATACAAGCCAGACAACTCCTTTGAGTTCTTGAGACCTTTCTGAGCTTCATCGTCTAGTTCAGCACTCAATTTATCGAGGAGGTAGCTCAAGTTTTTGGTATTCTTTTTGGGGTCTGACAAATCAGAAGCCTTTGATTGGTTCAACGGGTTGATATACTTGGAAGTGAACTGACCCTTCACATATTCATAGTTTGTCAAGACATAATGACCGGTGATGACTACGACTAGGAATACGACTCCTGCAGCCACTCCCTTGACACGTTCCTGGAACTCAAACCGTTTACGGCTCTCTTTTTGGTGTTTGTTGAATTCTTCATGAACCTGGTTAAGCATGAGCTTGTAGTCCGGCGAGCCCTGTTTAAGGCTCAAGAGTCTGGGGTCATTTTCAAGCAATTTGTTGATGTCCTTTTCCTCTTGTTCGAAGTTCAGTTTAATCCGGCTGTGCAAGTCTGTGGTATTGACTGGTTCGGGGCCCGAGTTTGGTGTTTCCTTGTGGATCTGCTTATCCAACTCGTCCAAGCTGCTGAAGTTGTGACCAAACAGATATGAGGTCTTGGACTTGTTAAATTCGTCGATAGGGTTGGTCCGTGGCGGTTTGGAGTAGAGCCTGATGAGGCGTGGGAGTCTTGATCTGAGCATGATGTGGGATGGCAAAGTCGTGGAAATCTCACAAGATCAAACAGGTCTGGCTGCTATGATTGGGGTTCTTTAAGTATTGGCCTCTTTTCGTGGTGGAATGGATGCAATGGTGATAAATACCCAGGCTAGCTATTTTGTGATGGGCGCAATGACTTGTGATGGCCGCTGCGTACTCGTTGCAAAGGTCGATTCTGGGGCAAAGTTTGGATGGAAACTTCAACTCAGTGTGGCTGGCTGTGTCTGTGGCACCGTGTACTGGTTCAGGCTTAACTTAGTACAGTAGTAACGGCTTTGTCGCTTCTGGAATGGTTCTGGTGATGGCTCCCGCGCGAGCAAATCTTAATAGCAATACGCAGTCATCAGTTGACACCTAAACAGTAAAACTGCTCAGGGTTTCTTCGTGAGCTAGTAGAAGTTACACACAATCCTCCACAGTACTATCAGCACAAACAACAAAAGAAACACCAGCAAGTCCCCAGAATGCTCGTTTCTCATAGATTTGTTGCGGGATTGAACGTCCTTCACCGCAACCCGACCAGGCAGTTGTCAGCCATCACCAAGTTCGACACCAAGAAGTTTGTCCAGTCGCTCCAGGAGGGAGGGTTCACCAGCCAGCAGGCAGACGCTGCCGTGAACATCGTGAACAGGGCCATCAATGATGGAATTTTCTCAATTACGAACAACTTGGTCACCAAAGAACGGTTGTCGTCCACCGCGTACCAGCAGAAGGTGGACTTCGCCAAGCTCAAGGGTGAGTTGCAGACCATGGACAAGACCGAGTTCACCACCTTGAAGAAGGAGCAGGAGAACCTCAGAACAGACTTGACCAACTTGAAGAACCGGTTGAAGGAGGAGATCACCAAGAACCAGGCAGGCGTTCGGTTGGACTTGAACTTGGAAAAGGGCCGTATAAGGGAGGAGAGCTCGATCCACGAGCTGAAGATAGAGGACACCTACACCCGGATCGACGAGGAGATCGCCAACATGCAGATGCAAATCAAGTCTGTCAAGACCCAGGTCATGCAGTGGTTGATCGGTGTGTCGTCCGGTACCTTTGCCTTGTTGTTGGCGTTCGTCAGGTTTTTTGGTTAGGGACCGACGCCACTATCAGTTCGACAATCCTACTGAAAGTTCCAGAACCCACCCACTTCTACCGTCTATTTCATGTTCATTTCAATGCTATGGTAGGATAGCCCAAGACGATAAAGAAAACCACTGCCTCCCACCACGCACTGACATGAATTGCTGGGCTCACAGAGTCATTGCTTCTGGTTATTAAATTACCACAAGTGCACACTACGAGGTTTGAAATCCTCCAGAAGTCGTTGTCGTAGATCGAAACTGCTGGCAACTTGCCGTGCTCGGGGCTGAGGTCTTCCACCAATGGAGGTATTAAATACTCTAGATACTACAACTAAAACATCTGGAACCCTGAAGCGAATGATGGTATATATAATCGGATGAGAATATGAATGAATCCCCCTGTAGAGCGCCAGAGCCAGTCCCATCTCCTCACATATGGCGAGGCACAACGACTCAGTATCCCAGACCATCTCTACTCCTCTCAATTATGGTCGAGCACTATAGCCCCATCGGTGGCAGTGTCGCGGTGTCGCGCACGCGTAACCTGGTCGAACTAATATGCACATTCAAAACACAGCGATTGAGACACATCACCAGATCACCATGAACTCGTTGTTCAACCATGGCATTAAACAGACACAGCTCATAGGCAAGGACTTGAGTGCGTTTGAGAAGAACGTCTCCACGTCACCGTTGTCGTTACAGGGCTCCATCACCACGTCGTTAACTGCATTCAGAAAGACCATCAAAGAGTACGGAGACTTGGTGCAACAGAATGCCAAGGAGGAGAGCGGCGCCAAGCACGAGAGCAGGTTGGCCAAGTTCAAGGAGGATCTCCAGGCGTTCACGTCCAAGTTCGACACCTTGAAGGAGCAGCGGGAGGCCATGCTTCTCGAGAGCAACAAACAGGAGTTGCTTGGACGAAGGACCCACCAGGCCACCAGCTCGGAAAACCCCTACAGTGCAGCCGACTCCCAGCAGCAGGCGCAGGCCCAGCAGCAGATGTCGTACCAAGAGGGCCTTTACAACGAGAGAAATGCATTATCGCGAGGCTCGCAGCAGTTGGACCACATCTTGGAGATGGGCCAGCAGGCGTTCGATGACATTGTGGACCAGAACGAGACCTTGCGCAAGCTCCAGATGAAGTTTGAGGAGAGTTTGGTCACCTTGGGGGTCAGCCAGGGGACCATCAGAAGCGTGGAGAGAAGGGCCAGGCAAGACAAGTGGCTTTTCTGGGGCTGTGTGGTGATAATGTTGGTAATTTTCTGGTACATCACCAAGATCTTCAGATAGCATTAGCATGTGTATAATAGATAACGAATCGAGACCACCGTTCTCTCTCCTACCGTTGTAAGCCCCGACTTAGTGTGGGGAATTTTAGTTATCGCCTATGACTAAATACGGCCCCGGAACTGAAACCCACCGGGCCGTTGACTAACCCTGTCTCGTTCTCGTGCATCCGTAAAACTCTGGCATATGCGTTACTAAACCTTGTAATCTACTATGGAGAATGGGACTAGATCAATAGGGTGTGTGCAGGTCATCTTTGTCATTACTCGATCTGGCAATGCACTTACTTCACAAGGACGATCGTGGGGCCCTCCTTGGGACAGAAGGCTGGGACAGAAGGCTGGGCCCGAACCGTGCCTTGCTACTCCTTCGCCATTACTGAGCAGGAGGCCTTGGACCAGCGCCAGGAGTCGGTGCTGAATTGCCCATTCCGGACTTCGCAGCCACGCTGGAGTCAGTGTTAACTGGAATTAGGCATGTAGTCAAGGGAATCAGCGGTAAATCCTGCGAGGTGGGTGGCGGACATCGATGACCCCACCCAATGGGTTGCCCAAAGCAGTAGTAATTCATTGGTAGCCGGAGCCATGATGGGCTTGAATCTCGAAAAACTTTCCCAATTAGGCAAGGGTTTTTTGCTGCGAAGGAAAAGGCCTAATTAGGCAATGTAATAGATACGTCAAGCCCAAACCATACCCTACAATGGCCACCTTCACGATCCGGCCACTTACGAGGCCAGGCCCCCATGCTCATATTCTGCATGCGTTCCCGAAACTATATATTTGCTTCAATTCCCGTATTTGCCTGGCTAATCTGCATATCAGCACTTCCTGGTTCTTCGGTTCTTCATTTCATTCTAGACTTTTGTATCTCGACCGCCCATAGGTCTTCCATTCAATCCTTTCGGTATCCTTAGCAGCCCTTCCTTCGTGTTCTTTGGTATTCTGCTGTTTTCAACTTCGTTTCTTCCATGAGATATTCCCAGTCGATTTTAGCGGCCATCTTGGCCACCATCACCGCCGTGGAAGCCTTGCCTATTGGTGATATCCAGTACGTGACGGTGGTAACCACCCAGAAGGTCCCCAAGAACCAGTTCTTTGCCCAACAAGCAGCTGCCACTCCGGTTGCTGCTCCCGCAGCTCCTCGTCCATTCTTTGGGGCCAACTCGCCAGTTGCCCCAGCACCTGCTGCCGCCACTGCTGCTGCCGCAGCACCAGCACCAGCACCAGCCGCAGCACCAGCACCAGCACCAGCACCAGCCTCGGACTCCGACTCCGACTCCAACTCGCTCTTTTCCGACGCAAAGAGTCTCTTTGATTTCTTACTTGGAGGAGGCAGAGGCTCCTCGTCTTCCAGCTCTAATACCCCAGCCGCTGCCCCAAGTCCTGGCACCTCTTCCAACAACGGCTTCTCAGGCTCTCCTCTGGTGGGCACCACCACCTCGTCTACTGCCAACAGCAACTCATCCCCACAAAACTCCAACACCCAGAAGCCATTCGCCTCGGGATTAGTCCAGGCTCCTCCACCACCAAACCTCCCAGCAGGTTTCTCGTCTGGCAGTGGTCCATCTGCACCTTCTGCTAGTAGCAGCCCCCACAACTCTCCCTCTTCAGGCTCTGCGCCCGGTGCAGCGGCAGCCGTGGGCTCCAAGGGAATCACCTACTCTCCATACACCAAGGACCACCAGTGTAAGTCTGCCCAGGACGTCAAGCTGGACTTGCAAAAGTTGCAGGACTACGATGTCATCAGACTCTACAGCACTGATTGTTCAGGAATCGAAAATGTGTTGGCTGCGCTCTCATCCAACCAGCAGTTGTTCTTGGGGGTTTGGAACATCGACTCCAACTCTGTCCAAGGCGGTTTATCCGACATCCTGAAGGCACTTCAGACCTCCAACCGTGGCTGGAGTGCGGTGCACACCATCGCCATTGGTAACGAACAGGTCAATGCAGGCACTGCCAGTCCCTCGCAGATTGGTTCTGCCATCAGCACTGCCAGATCATGGTTGAAGCAAAACGCCCCTCAATACTCCGGCCCCGTGGTGTCCGTGGACACTTTGGTGGCCGTGGTGTCCCACCCTGAATTGTGTGAATATTCCGACTACCTCGCAGTCAATTCGCACCCATACTGGGACGGAAACGTCAGTCCTTCCGATTCAGGCCAATGGTTACAGCAACAAATCTCGAACTTGCGTAACGCATGCGGCTCTTCGAAAGAGATCTTGATCACAGAAACCGGATGGCCTACTCAAGGTAAGCCCTTCGGCAACTGTGTTCCATCAGTACAAAACCAGGTGGATGCCATGAAAAGTATTGTTTCCGAGTTGGGAAGCCAGGTGATTGCTTTCACCATGTACAACGACTACTGGAAGGACCCCGGACAGTACGGCGTCGAGCTGTACTGGGGCTTGTTCGGTAACCCCGACGAATAGTATACCTGTAACATAATAATAAAAGTAATTGAACGGAACTTCTTGTAAAACGTGCTTACTTCAATGAGAGTGTGGCCACAAGTCAGAAGAATAAGGGAATTCGAGCCATACTAATGTTCAGATTAGCGGTCGCTACTACGGTAATAGTGGCCTACACTAAGCAGGTACCTTAGCATTAATCAAGCCACTTGCCAGCGCTAAGTGAGCTGGCCAAACTTTCCTTCAGGACCTCCGCTTAATAAGGAGTTCAAACAGATAAAATATGGAGTGAAATACCGAAGACTAAAATTATACCGTGAGTTACATATCACGGATTACGCTCACACTACTGGATACACGAAGATCCGATTCATGGAAGGGTACATTTGCTTGGAAACTACGAACCATTTCGCACCCACTGCTGGCTCATACCAATTTCCAATTACCCGGTCGTGTCGCCACCGCGCGCATGAAATATGAAGATTTTATCCCTCTTGTTTTGACCCACCATCCACTCTATCACCACCATGTCCGATAGAGAGAAGAAGAAGCTCGCCAAAAGACTCCAGGGTCTCTTGGATCGTCTTTACCTAGTGGAGGATAATGGTGTAAACGTCTCAGAAACCTTTCACAGATTGCCGCTGCGCACTGGTACTGACTACTATAAGGTGGTGTTGAACCCACTCTCGTTGCACGCGATCGGCCGCAAGATCAAGAAGTTCAATTACGATAATGCCCAGCACTTCATCGACGACTTGGCGTTGGTGTCGTGGAACGCCAGATTGTACAACCGCAAGGATTCCATTTTCTATAGACATGCCCTCATCTTGAAACAATTCGTGTTGACCGTGGCGTTGCCCAAGTTGAGTGCAGACAGAGGCATAGTCAACCACCGCACGTTGTCATATCCTAGATTGGGCGACTTGCCTGACGATATTGGCGACAAGCTCACTGCCGACGACGTTCACTTCAGTGAGGCCCCCGAGCCCAGAGAGTTCGAACATAGCGTGACCCCACAATCAGAGCCCTATGTCTCCACTCCGTTGTCCTCGTACCAACACATGCAGGTTCCTGAAATCCCTCCTCAGCCATCCTACTTGCCCACCATGATGAACAAATTGAGCACACCCACCCCATCGTATAACAAAACACCCAAGCCTGCCGAAAGCGGTATTAGAAGAGGAAGACCTCCAATTATCGATAAGCCATTTGAAACAAGAATCAAGTTGATTTTAAAGCAGTTCAAGAAGCTCCGTGACCCCAACAATGAAAATAGACTGTTGACCCAGCACTTTGAGAAGTTGCCCGATTCGAAGGTGTATGTCGATTACTACAACAGAATTCCTAATCCAATCAGTTTGAATGAAATCAAAATCAAGGTCAGAACTAGAAAGTACACCAATGTGGAGCAATTCATCCATGATTTGGATGTGATGTTTGCCAACGCCCAAATGTACTACGAAACTGACCCCTACAGCGAGGAATATATTGATTTCGTGAACTTCAACAAGGAAGCACAGGTGATCATCCAGCAGGAAATCAACAAGAGTGACAGAGAATTGATAGGCCAGAGCACCTCTGGGAACGATGGAGTCATTAGATACCCCTTGGATTCTTTGGAAGTCAACGGTTTCACCTACAAGATTGGTGACTGGGTGTTGATTGCCAACCATAACGACCCAGAAAAGCCTACTGTTGGCCAAATCTTCCGGTTGTGGTCAACCGAGGATGGAAACAGATACACCAACGTGTGTTGGTACTATCGTCCCGAACAGACCTGCCACAAGTCTGATAGATTGTTCTTCAAGAATGAAGTGTGCAAGACTGGCCAGTACCGTGATCACTTGGTCAACGAGATTGTGGGACCATGCTACGTGGTATTCTTGACCCGTTACCAGAAAGGTGATTTACCCGAGGGGGTTGTTCCCCAAGGAGCCCCATGGTTCATCTGTGAATTCAGATATAATGAGTCCAGTCATGTTTTCAACCGTATCAGGACCTGGAAAGCCTGTTTGCCGGACGAAGTCAGAGACAATTTTGAACAACCGTTGGTTCCTTTGAATGAGCCCAGGAAGTTGATCAAGTATGAATCGCCAATCAAGTCGTTGTTACCAGCCGATGCCCACATAGGCATGCGTATTAGGGAGCCAACTCAAGGTCCACACACGAACTCGCCTCCATTGGCAGGCCTGGTTTACCTTGCGCCCCCCGTCCCCGAAGATGATTTGGGTCAGTACATCTCCAGTCCCAACGTAACCCGCATGGCCGACCATGACGACCATGCCTCTGGTCGCCAAGCGTTCCTCTTCACACCTATCTCCCAGTTGAAGGGTGGAGGTGGAGCGACCAACACCATCTACACAACCAGTCACGCCCCCATCCACTCGGCAGGAGGCGTTTCTGTGGAGTCCCACCATTCGCCAGCTCCGGCGTACGAAGACAATTCGTACCTTCCCAACTCATACAAGCTGTTGCAGCTCCAAATCCAGGAGAACCAACAGAAGAAGTTGCAGGAGCAGCAGCTCCAACAGTTGCAGCACCAGCAGCACCAGCAGCTCTTCAGAAGAGTGGAAACCCCGGCCCCCACCAACCTCATTCCCGAAGGCGTGAACTACCATGCGGTCACCTCGGCCTACTCTACCATGTTGGCAGGAGGCGTTCTCTCTTATGGGATCGAGGATGCAGGTAAATTGGCAGACGTTGGAGATCACGTCAACAAGAAGATCAAGTTGGTGGGCGAATCGGAAATCGTGTTCTACAGAGCACCACCAATTGCCAACCAGGGCAACAGAATCATCACCAACAATAGCCTTCAGTTCGGCCACTCGGCCAAGTATTTGGCCTGGAAGGCCAGACAGACTTCTAGCTAGAGAAAAGGACCAGGATCTGATAGCCCTAGAATGTCAAATTGAAGCTATAATGCTGCTTAGAGTGAAGGATGTTAGCTTCCAGTGAAAAATGCAGTTAGAAACCATTCTAGACCACCTCCTGGCTTTCCAGCCTCCTCGCTTTCCAGCATCCTGGCTGTTCTGACCACCACCTGGCTACCTAGCCTCCTCTGCCCTCCTGGCTTCTAGCCTCCTGGCTTTGCCTATCCCTAATCGCGGACAATGTCCGTACTGTATAATACATGTACTTTTTCTGGTATCACCGTAATAGTCCGCGCCAGGCACCATTGCAAACTCCACTGAACCACAACCACCCGCTGGCTCCATCTTCGGCTCCACAGCAATGAAGGCACTCTTGGAATTCCAGGACCATCTCCAGAAGTCGAGGCGAATAGTGGCATTGGTGGGGGCAGGATTGTCGGTGTCGTCAGGACTTCCCACCTACCGAGGCACTCAGGGCCTCTGGAAGAACTTCAACATGATTGACCTTGCCACGCCAGACGCATTCTACATCGATCCAGGGTTGGTGTGGCAGTTCTACTCGTGGCGACGGTTCAATGCCCTCAAGGCAAAACCCAATAAGGGCCACCAGGCAGTGTCGCAATTGGCCCAAATCAAGGGAAACGACTACATCACCATCACCCAGAACGTTGACGGACTCCAGTCTCGTAGTGGCCACCCCAAGCATAACTTGTATGAAATCCATGGGTCGTTGTTCGAATTGAAGTGCACCAGTTTCACCTGCAATTACACCGACAGAGACAACTTCACCAATCCGTTGACTCCCGCCTTGGCCGACACCGAGTACGAATACGACAGCAAGCGCAAGAGGCGAGACTTGGATACCGACCAGAGCATATCGCCCCAGTTCCGCCCTGTCAAGGAGCTCGCCGAGCTGGACCTTCCCAGCTGTCCAGCATGCAACGAATTACTTCGACCAGGCGTGGTATGGTTTGGCGAGTCGTTGCTGTTGCTGGTGATCGATCAGATTGACAACTTCATAGAAGAGGACCATGTCGACTTGGTGTTGGTGATAGGCACCAGTGGCACCGTGTACCCTGCCAACAGCTATGTGGATAGAATTAAGCTGAAGGGAGGCAAGGTGGCAGTGTTCAACACAGACATCGACCAAGACGTTTTAGAGGGCAAAGTTTCCAACACGTGGGGGTTCAAAGGAGATGCTGCTGAAACCTTACCGTTGGCCTTGAAGCCTTTGCTCGAGAAGAACCCAGCGAGCACCACCATATGATGGTGAATGGCAGCAAAACCCATCCTGACCACATCTACAATAGAAACTCCAAGCTAATGTGGATGACCAAATCGTGGAGGAAACAGAGAAGGGCTGGTTTTTGACAAAGGGAATTGTCCAGATGTGGGAGGGCGTACTCGTCAGGTCAGGTATGCCTAATTTCCGGAAAGGAAAGGGATACATTGAGAGATTAAGGACTTCAAGGTAGTCCAGAAGGACAATTCAGTTCGAATTGACTCAAATACAAGCACACTTCACTAGAATTGAAGATGTTCCACTACCCCAAGGGACTACAGATCGAGTTGTACTGGACAACACTTCATCCATAGAGTTTTAGGAGCTCAAGAACACTTCCCCTAGTTCAGGAGACTCAAGGACACTAGGTCTAATGGAATTCTTTCCCACCCTCCTACATCGTTCTGAGTACCATTATTACAAGACCTATATATCTATATAACATAGCTGGGCTATGTGGTCGCCAGGGAAGTAAAAGACGGGAAACGCCGAACATCGCACCAGCAACTCGGGCTGCCCTTGCAAGGAAACAGAATCATACAATCACCAGGAAGATACGATGAACCAATAAAGTAATTAGGAGAATTGAACTGTAGCGGATGGAAATTGGTCGTAGGCGCGTGAATGGTGGCTTGCCACAAGATGATGAAGTTGACCAGAGACATCTCGTTCCAGTCCGGCAAATCACCGGTAGAAGATGAAGTCCTCAAAGCCTTTGAGGGGGTCGAAGTCGTCAATGTCGTCCCTGGCGTCCTCCAAGAAAGACCCGTCTTCAAATTCGTAGTCCACTAGCGAAAACGACAAATCGGCGGCACTAGCCATGGGGCAGAACGTTTCGGAGGAAGTATGAGAAAAGAGGGAGGCGTGTGATGCACTAGATACGTCAGACAGGAGAGACGTTGCTGACGATGTGGACACCTTCCGTGTTTTTTCCTCTGGGGGCGTGCTTTCCAGACCCTTTTTCTTGGAGGGTTTCTCGAATTGGGCAAAGGTGTCAATGGAAGCGATGGTTACGAACGGTTTCAACGGGGGACGGGACTGAGAGCTGGAGCCCCAGGCCTTGGTACCCTGGAACGCATAGGAAAAGATGTCGTTGCTGTGCTTCTTCTTGGGCTTGGATACCCTGGACTTGTCCAGGGCCACTGTGTGATTCCTTGTGGCGTTTCGCAACCAGGGACTGGGCGAAGCCACGGATAAGGGAGAGTGGAGGGAGGGTGACAGGACCAGTGGCGCGGCAACAACGCCAAAGTCCCAGTCCCAGGAATAGTCGAGGTTGGAATCCATGGTGATGGATATTCTGCCAGGGGGGCGGTGTGTTTATATACCCCTTCTTTCATGGATGCTATATATAACGCCGGCATCATCGAGATTGCACGGTCGCCATGTTACCAAGCCTTCCTCATACGCTCGATAACGGCGGGAGCCAGTATCGGGGTATTTCCCCAATGGGGCATATTGCAGGCATTGTCGTGGTTAGAAAATAGTGTCCCCTGCACGGGCTTGGCCCCGAGGTATGCAAAGGGGGGGACAGCGACGGAATTGTGCCGATCAATTATTGTTCCTGACTATATTATATGCCATCACAGGAGTGGTTCGCTTACAATTTTCTGGGGGGAATGTGATAATAGAGGTAATAGAGGTGCCTTTCACATTGATCTTGCGGAGCGGAGTAACGTGCTCGGGGCACAACCTATTTCATGATGATATTTTATTGTCAGCAAACCGCATCCTTCGGTGCTGGGGTTGTGTTATCAACACACCAGCGAACATGGGTTTTTTTGGGTTGCAAGGTCATAACCGTCCATGGCCCACCGTCACTCATTGGCACGGTCATTCCGGTGTCAGCAACCTTATGTACCGAACCACCTTACGATCTAGTTGGAAAACGGCGTTCTAATTGACGCCAGATCGCCCCTGCGATTGTGCTGGCGCGCAATCGGGCATCTGGCTGCGTTTCAGCTCCTTCTCTCACGTCCGCATATGCGGTGTGCGGATTTAGATGGTTTGGTGGCCTCCATTGTCGATCCTGCTATGGGGCTCTGGAGGATTGTCTCCATCTGGTCCGCTGGTCCCTGCTCCGTCATCCTATCCGCCCACCCGCTGATACCGGCGGTGTTTCCCAAAAAGCCCACCTGCCCCTCCCCACCTCCCCTGAATCGGCCCCACTTAGCCTAACTCAAAATTGCTTGTCGCAATATTCTTATCGTGGAATCCCTTTGCTTTGTCTATTGTATCGACTATAAAGACCCTCTGCAACCGTGGCAGAAATTTCACTAACAATAGCCCATAATAAATAGTAAGCTGACCCCATTCCATCGCCTGGAATCTTGCTGGTTTCACCAACAGTCAGGAGCGTACTCGTACTCCTCCCGTATGCTCGCATTCTCTCTTCTCTACCGATCTCCGCCTGCTGTCATCTCCAACCACATCTGGCCCGTCATCCCACCGGACTCTCCCTGGATCACGCCTATACTTAACACACTCGCGGCTCATGATCCCATCCCCTTCCACGCCTACACATTATGGTCCGATTGTATGGGTCCACAATTACATTATTTTGGTCCTCAGCGAATATGTTCCAAGGGTTATATGTACATTATTTGCATCAACTTCCCACGCCTATGGTGGAATGTAGCCAAAAGTCAAACCATACATCCAAATGTCTCGCCCGAGTCCAAATCGCCGCTACCTGTTGAGCAACTCCTCGTCATATTTATCTCTTATCACCCGCTGTGGTGTCTGAGATTCCTCGGGAGGGATGCCTAGCTCAACATTGGCATCCACTAACAATTGGTTGATAAGCCACAATTGTCTTTTCTCTTGCACGCACTTCTCGAGCTGCTCGCTCACAATTTGGTTAATGCGGTTTGCAGTATGAAGTTGGTTTTCCATCTGCGTGTACACCCGTTTGAGCTCGTCCACATTGGCATGTTCCAAGCTCTCGGTGTGGAGTTTTTTGTACTGTCTCTTGATTCCATCGCTGTCTTTTTCGATATGGTCGTGGAACTGCTGGTTATAGAGAGCGAGCTCTTCTTCTTGGTCGTCCTCCTCTCCCCCACTGCGCTCAAGCCTCTCCCACAATTTCTGCCTCCTGATAATATTCATGTTATGGGTGGGCGCAAGACCTGGTCCAAATAGTAAGCTTTTATTTTCCACGAAATTCTTATACCTTAAACTGGCGACTTTGTGCTGCTTGAAGTCAAGGGGTAATTTGTACAACGTCCGAACCGGAACTTCGGTGGATTCTGCCAACTTGCGTTTCTTAGTGCTGTCTTCATGATCTTCTGTTCCGGCAACCCCATTCAACACGCCCACAAACTTATTGCCGAACCACCAAGGGCTCTTCAACTCGTAATTCTGCTCGATTATTTTCAAGAGCTCTCCTTCAGACTTGTTCTCCACACTTTTGGCCTTGTATACTGCCTCTCTTAGCGTTTGTAACTCGTGGACAGATTTGACGTGCTTGGCCAACTGGTCAGGACGACTGAATCTCTCGTCACACTCAGGTAACGGGCACGCAAGCTCTTCGAAGATATGACTTTGACAATGAATACGGAGTGTATCCTTGGACTCTTGTTCGACTCCGTACTTTTCACACCCTGTCCACTTGCACTTGGCCTCGTCCTCCAGGGACAAATGGCTCGATTCGAGGTGGGATACCAAAGAGGGCGTGTTGGCGAACACGCCGGGACAGCTATTCCAGTGACATTTCCAGGTGCTGGTGCCAGGCGTTATTGATGGAGCGACCGCTGCAGACTGTGAAAGCTCCGCTTGTGACATCTGGACGGGCCGATTATATGGTGATGATGGCGTATGGGTATGCAAAGCTGATGGCAGAATCGTCGGACTCTCTTGGCGTGTGCAGTTCCTGTAGGGAAGATTGATCGAATGGTGAAGATGGTCGTGCACGTGCCGAAGCCTACAGGTTGCCGCAAAAGCCGGCTTGAGCTGGCGAAGCCACCCTTCCCTGTCAGAAGCAGCCCCGTACCCCTGAAAGTATCGCTCGTGTAGGACGCCGAGTGCAAGACTTTTCTACGCATTTCTACTGGCTCAATTGGCAAATGCCTCAACAAGGTGGCCAATCGTAAAAGCGGTGGAAATTGACGCAAAATTAACAAAATATGAGCTCAGTTTCAAAATTTCCCCAAACTGGGCCATTTCTTAAACCTATTGCAGATACGCGGCCATCAACATAGGCGTCAAATTTAAGTTGCTATTTATTATCCAATATGTATGAGAGAGGGAGGTTTTCTATGAAATTAATGTTTAAACCAAAGCTTCGTCTAATCTGGCAGCGGGGTTGGTTTCGATGAAATCCAAGGAAACCTTGTGTCCCAACAATTCTCTGATGTTGGAGACTCCGTACTTAATCATGGTAGGTCTTTCTAAAGAAAGACCCCAACCCAAGACACGTAAGTTCTTTGGTAAGCCCATGGACTCCAACATTTCTGGTCTGAACATACCGGAGTTACCAATTTCAACCCACTTGCCTAATCCCTTGTGGTAGGCGAAAATTTCCAAAGATGGCTCGGTGTATGGGTTGTAGGCAGCCTTGAATCTCAAGCCGTTGACACCCATCTTGCCGAAGAAATCTTCCATGAAACCAATCAAGTCACCCAAAGTGATGTCGTAACCAGCCAACACACCTTCAACTTGGTGGAATTCGGCCAAGTGGGTAGCATCAACGGCTTCGTTACGGAAAACTCTATCGATGGAGAAAAGTCTGCATGGCTTAGGGTCCTTGGCCAACTTGTGCAACATAGCGGAAGAAATGGCAGTTGTGTGAGTTCTCAAAACCATTCTTAAAGATTCGTCTTCCTTCCATGGGTATCTGTAACCAATGGAGCCGTACTTACCTTCTTGATGGACCTTTCTAATGTTGTCCCAGTATTCCATGTCTTCTGGCTTTCCAGCCTTGACTGGATCTTTCAAGTAGAAAGTATCTTGTAAATCTCTGGCAGGATGCTGTTGAGGAACGAATAAGGTGTCGAAGTTCCAGAAACCAGTTTCGACGTACTGGTTGGATGGCATTTCAGTGAAGCCCATGGAGAAGAAGATTTGTCTGAATTCTTCTCTCACCTTCATCAATGGATGTAATGCACCAGATTGTGGGTAGACACCTTCGGAGTTGAAGTTGTAAGGCTTGAATTCAGCGTCCTTCCACGAACCGTTGGCCACCATCTCAGCAGTGATATCGGTTTCGTAACTCTTGATTTCCAAGGCGAACTTGGCGGCCTTTTCGACCTTGTAACCGACAATCTTTACCAATGTGATCAACTTTCTCTTCTTCAACTCAGTTAATTCCTTCTTGTCTTCCAAGGAACCAGTTTCCTTGATTGTCTTCAATTCTTCCAACACTATATCTTGGGGCAATTTGTCCACCTTGGCGACCAACTTGTCGCCATCTTTGCTCAACCACTTGTTCTTGAACGCCTTACCTTGGCCGACGAGACCAATAGGACCCAACTTGGCCTTCAAGTCATTGATGGTCAAGGTCTCCAAGGACTTCAATACCTCATCGACAACTTGGATTTCGGGGGTGGCACCGTTGGTGACGAAAGATTCAGCTTCTGGGGTGAGGTTCCATTGGTCGATTTCAATCTTGGAGAATGTGATCATTTCCTTGGCCCATAACGAGGTCAAGTTGGAGTGTAAGGTATTGGCGTCGATGTCGGCGAATTCGGGGACCTGTAAGGTGTTTTCAATGACACCATTGGAGTCGTGGACTTTCTTCAATATGCTCAACTGTAAATCGGACATTGTGGGTTATGCGGAGCCTTGGTCTATGATTGTACTGGTGTGAAGATCTGCTCTGGCTATGATTCATACACCCGAAAAAAATTCAACGTTAGTGCTGAGATATACGGCCTGGAGGGACTGGAGTAAATCACAGCCCATGCCCGCAGGATGTCGAGAAAATGTCGCGGAGTGGCCCATGTCGCAACTCCCTCGTCTAGGTCACAAGCCACCCCCACGAACACCAGCCCCTGCTCCAGGTTGAATTGTCGCCCGTGACGAAGTTCGCCCAGCATTACCACCATACAACAGCACATCATCTATAGTTATATTTAGCCCTCCCATCTCTTGGCCTGTCTCGTCGTCGTCATTTTCTTCCAGCTGCGCCGGCAGACGCACCTTGTGCATGAGCAAGCTTCTTTCGCAGTAACATTGCCAGGCCTTCCCAGCCACCAGAAGTGACCATGGGCCTGTTTGGAAGCTGAATGTGCCACGCTTGCTTGTTGGCTGTTAGCCACATGGTACCTAGACGGGCGCCCCGCAACCGTCGCCGCGGGGGGCCCTGCGCAGCGCCGTAATGTCCCCTGGGGATGCTGGAACCGTCAACCGGCACTTTGACACCCTGGGTGGTTCTAGACACCAGCCAACTAGCCCACCAGGATATGCACGTCCTGGGCTTGTCCCGAGACCACCAGTAGGGCACCGGTACGTATACGCATGCAATTGCCATTTATAGCAACTTGCTTGATTCTTGCTATTGTCGAAGGCCGAGGAATGATGGCGTGCGGCTAAGCAAGGAATGCAATGGGGCTGGCCCCAACTATAAATTCTAGGCGATCCCCATGGATTACTGGCCTCAACAACAATCATGCCTGTGACCTGTTCCGATATCTTCAAGCTCATATTCGCCATCATCTTGCCACCTTTGGGTGTCTTCTTGGAAAGAGGCTGCAGCTCGTCCTTCTTCATCAACATCATCTTGACCATCTTAGGTTACATTCCTGGTATTATCCACGCGGTGTATGTGATTGCGCGATACTAGGCGGCGCGAGGCTAGCAGGGCTAGCACATAGGTGAGATCCATTCACAGGCCTTTGGCCTCCCGTTGGTCTGTTAGATGTCGATTGTCGATTTTAGTTCTGAAATAGCAATAAACATATCTCGATACTTTTTGTAGTCAATGCGCATGGAAGAGCGATGGGCTACTGCTGACCTGCAATGGGTGGGCGATGGGCTGCGATGGGCCCATACAGGTGTTGTATTATGTATGAAAGCTAATACATTTGCGTTTATTCACATGGCTAGAGTAAGATATGATGAAACAATTAAAATGCGGTGAGTTTCTCTTGCACCATTCATACCATCAATAATGTATAGAATAGACGGCTATATCTTCTTGGGTAAGAGGTACCATCGTGCCAATCATGATTGCAAGACACCGTAGGGTCTGGTTACGAGTCGGTGTCATGTGGCTAGTGCGTCTGACAGAAGAAACATCCCAACTTCACTATCAGGGAAGTGCCACACGGGTGCAAAAGATGTAGCGTGGGTGCCTGGAACTAGTCTACCAGGGCTCGGGCTACAACTACAGCAGAACAACGGCCAGACCCCTGAGATTATCACAACTTGGGCCTACGACATAGCCCACACTACGCGCACCGCATGGGGATTCGAAAATGCCTGACGGGCACTGCCAGTTTCGCCCGCTGGGCTGCGCCATACAGCCAAAACAACGGACTTCGACGGGGGGCGCAGAACCGACTGACAATAGGTGTGCTAGACCACCTTTAGATAGTCTATATATAACCCAACCTAACCTAACCTGCTGGTGATGATGTAGTGTGCGGGGAGGTCTCAGCGAACGTCTCCACAGCAATCCTTGCTGGGATTGCTGACATCTGCAAACTAAAATTTGCGGTGATCACCCGACAATCGTCCTCGACTAGTACCTCGCGTCACGGTTGTATTAGGTGCTTTGTGCGCGCGAGCTGGGGAGAACTGGCCTCTAAGCCTGCACCGGGATTCAGCCCCCATCTAATCTTGGGGCCCTGCACCTCATTCACCGGTCCCAGCACCACCAGAGTCACCAAGCCCAAGCCCCCCAACTGGCTCCCCGGCCCAAGCCCCCGGGCCTGAGCCGACGTTCCCAGCCTTCTCTCACCACCAGTTAGATCTCGTGTGACGAACAGTGCCATCTGCTCAAGCCATGCACAGTAGCACTTGCCAGCACAAAACATAGTTAGTTGCTAGCACTGGCATAAATGCGTTATGCACCCACGGAGTAGTGGATCTGGGGTCTCACTCCACGCCAAAATCGTAGCGCCCATTACTAATATATAAGAATCAATCAGACGCGAATCTGCCCCAGTCCATCGCTAGCTACATCCATGACGTTTGTAACGCTCAGCACCCGTTTCATAACAGGATGCTTCCTCCTAGTCATCACCGTCAACGTCTTCTACTTCCGCAAGATATACAACCTCGAGGAACAGCGCCTCCGCGACCTCGAGCTCCAGCATCTCCACTCCCAGAGCTTTGAGGACTACATTCCCGATGCTCAGATCGAGTACCCACCAGACTCGCCCTACCAAGAGTTGGACCCTGACCAGAAGGTGGCGTTCCTCCTCCACAGCGTCCAAGCCGAATCCAACAGCTTCCATGACAACAGCGCCTACCACCTGGCAGAGTTCTCCCCCAAAGAGGTGGAAACATCCGAGTTGTTGTATGACCCACGTGTGACGTTTTCCGTGTACCTCCACCACCTATTGCATGGCGATGGCAACACCAGTGTGCCGTTTGCGTGGTCGGACTGGGTCGACTTGACAGTGCTCAACCAGGAGTTGGACAAGCTGGACTCGTCGAAGTTGACCTGCTCGTGGCTCCAGTCCAAGGTCAACAAGCCCACCAACCACCCCGACTTCTGCATCAACAAACAGGACTTATCCCAAGAACAGATTGACGCCATCGGCTTGCCCTTTGAGCAGCTTCCAGGCTTCATCGTCACGAAGTCCCCCCAAAACAAGATCCCCAATGAACAGAGCATCATGCAGGCCAAGGGCCACTTGTTGACAAGCGCAGAATTGCCCATAAAGTTGGTTTTTCTTACCTCTTCTGGAACTTACCAGTTGGATGTGCAAAATGACAGAAAAGACATTTATCGTTCAGGCATGCTCGACAATTACTTGCAACAACGCGGCTTGAGTGACGAGAAGAAGGTGAAGTTCACCCCCCGCGATATAATGAAGGAATTGACTAAAAAAGTCAAACCCAAGCAGCAAGACACAAATAATCCAGTATATGCCAAGGCACCCCACGGAGGATCTCGGGAATTCAATCTAACCCCTGAAATGTTCCATTACAGCCAAGAAGACGTGGAAGCCCAGATCCACGAATATCAAGAAATCATGAAAGAAACCACTCGGATACCGAGAAGCGAAGCCTTCGCAAAGCTCGTGGATGAATGGGATAAGAGACTGCCAAAGAAATCGAAAAAAGATATTCAGGCACTAGTCCACGATTTGCAACAGCTGAATAACAAGAGAGATATTTACCCGCAATCTTTACCTGGTCCAGATGATTCCCAGTCTGGAAGTGAAGATAATATCGAGGAAGAGTCTTTCAACTACGAGAAACTCTCGAAACAAGAACTAAATCACTATCAAGGTCTAGTTGGTGCTAATCGTTACTCCAATGACGATGAGCCAGTATACTACAAGCTAGCAACCTTGTACCTTGATGAGGAGAACCAAGATAATGGATGGCATTACGAATGGAGGTTCTTCAATGGGGCTTTCAAGTACATGAAAGATAAAACCTGGACTCAGAAGCAATTAGCGGCCAGAGAAAAAATTATCTTAGAAAGACTATTGAGAAATTGGTTCAAGTTCAGCAAGGAGATGGGAATCGTTTCATGGATCTCACATGGCCCATTATTAGCCTGGTACTGGAATGGTTTTATGTTCCCATTTGACATCGATATCGATATTCAAATGCCAATTGCAGAATTAAACAAACTTACCAAGAACCACAACATGACCTTGGTGATCGAAGATGTTGAGGATGGTTTTGGCAAGTACCTTATCGATTGTTCCACCTATCTTCATCATAGAGACATTTCAGGAAAAGGCAACTACATCGATGCTAGATTCATCGATGTTGATAGTGGTGTGTACATAGATATCACTGCACTCAGTAAGAACAATGAAATTCCACCACCTGAGTATAATAGTCTCATAAAGGAGAAGACGGCTAAAGGAGAGCTGGTCGAATTATACATGGATAGAAGAAAACACTGGATGAACTTTGAGAAGTTGAATCTGTTGAGATTAACGATGATAGACGCAGTCCCCGTTTATGTTCCAAATGACATAATGTCCATGCTAAACTTCGAGTACTCACAAGGTACCACGGCATATTACTTCAATCATTACTTCTATGTTCCTATTATTCGTCTTTGGTTACCAGAAGGCAAAATTATCAAAATTTTTGAACAAGAAGGCAAATATAGGGACCGGAAAGGAAAAGTTAATGTAAAGAAATTAGTGGGAAGAATCAAAAACATGGATCTTGATGATAAGGTTAGATTATTGGAGTCAGATAAGGAAATCTTGATAGAATATGAAAGAACCAACGAATTTACCTCCATGCACAATTATGAGAAGCTCTACATGATGGACTTTTCCCAACAACTCTCTGTGTTGGATCTTCACAACAACACTGAATACCATCAGCTAACCAGCAGATACGAATTGGGAAGGCCCTTGATGAATAGTTTATTCGCATTCGAATACTATGATAGGGCAGAGGGCAGTGATTAGCATTGGCTGATGCCAGTGAATTAATTTGTTGCATAGGGAATTATGACTAGAGATAGTATATTTGCATTAGACCAAGCATAGCACGGCCTGTGCTTGGTTTACAATAAAAGAATTAGCATTTACACCAGTGACGTAAAACTCTGAAACACAAATTCAAAAACCAGTCGTAGTGATGTTGAATACCGATGGGTGCCTATCGCCTACTACTAGGTTGCACTAATTTCGCTATTGGCTGGGTCTTGCTAGCACTTGCCAGATCACTTGCAGATACTCACTCGGAATAGCACATTCACCTGGCCACGACCCCATACTTATAGCTCATTTACACGGGCACACTTGTAAGCAGACGCCATGTTTCCAAGAATAAGCACAATCTCGAGGCCTGTACTCCAGTGCTCTAAAAGGTATGCCACATTCAAGCTGGCATTCAACACCAAACGGTCCTATACGTCTCCTGTCTATGTTAAAGTGGGAGACAAGACTGCCTCTACTCCAAGTGCAAGCACCAGCGAAGGGTCCAGCACCAGCGAGTCAGTGGATGTGAGTTTCAAGGACTCTCCCATCCAGAGCTCTCCAGCAGAGTCAAACCAGCCCATAAATTGGTCAGATTCCTTCCATGGCTTAGGATCCACTCCGTTCGCGAGAGAAGTTGCAGACATCCTCTTGGCCCCCATTGCTGCTGAAGACATTGAAATCAAGCCTGATGGCTTATTGTATCTTCCTGAAATCAAGTATCGTCGTATCTTGAATCGGGCATTTGGTCCTGGAGGATGGGGGTTGGCCCCCAGAACCGAAAGCTACATCACCCCCAAACAAATCAGCCGAGAATACGCGTTAATTTGCCATGGCAGATTGGTGAGTGTAGCCAGAGGCGAACAAGACTATTTTGGAGGTGAAGAGAAAGTGACCACTGCGTTGGAAGGTTGTAAAAGTAATGCCTTGATGAGATGTTGCAAAGATTTGGGAATCGCCAGTGAGCTCTGGGACCCAAGTTTCATTAGAGACTGGAAGAAAAAGTACTGTGACGAGGTTTTCGCCGAACATGTTACTACCAAGAAGAAGAAGAAGTTGTGGAAGTTGAAAAAGAATAAAACTTTGGATTATCCCTATAAGATTTGTTAAGCCTGTATATATGAAGGAATAAATATTAGATGTACAAAATGCCAGGCCTAACCAGTGACACATCACAAGCGAAGATGATGGCATACACTGGAACCACCATCTAAACATGAAAAAATGACAAGACATGCAAGTAGCCAGATCGAATCGTCTCAACTGACAATTTATGGCTTGAAGATACCTCTACCCGCTCCCAAACTTTCGACAGTTTGACTCAAAGGTCTTCTCTTCCACACGTCCCAGAATTGTTGCTTGTCAAGGACTTCTTCAGTGTTGCCTTCGGCGTATCTAGCGTTTCTACCAGCAGAACTTGGAGATTGGGCCCAGAGAGCGTGATCCACCAAGGCAGTGACAGTTGCACCAGCAATTCCGGTCAAGACTTTGTGCTTGACTGGCATGTTCTTGAATCCAACAGTTAAACAGGCCAAGTTACCGGTACCAACTGCGATGAAGGTGTTCCATCCATCGTTCTTTTCTCTCAAGTTAGTCACAATACCCTTGGTGGCAGTAGCGATGGTAGCGAAACCAACGGCAGTTAATGGCAAGCCCAACTTAAAGGTGGTACGCTTCCATAAGTATAACCAGGCGTAGGCACCAACAGTTGTGTAGAAACCAAACTTGAAGATTTGAGTAGTTTCCTTCTTGGTATCGATTGGGGTCCAAGATGGGTAAGCAGAAGCGTTAGCCAAATTGACAAATGGGGTTGGCCATTTGTTGGTGGAGTCTGGGTAGGTTTTGACTTCAACCTGGCTGTCTTGAGGTTCTTGGGCGGACATATTGGTGGGGTGATTGGTGAAGTTTAGATGGCCAATCAATTTTTATGGATTTGTTGAACGGTAAATACACGTGATCAGAATCACGCTCGATTAGGCACGTGAGTTGTCCATTGGGGGTGAGAAGACGCCAGTAATATAGGCCCCTAAAACCTTCAAGAAACTGGTTACGGAAAAGCCTGAGGCATACAAGATTTAGAAGCAAGCTAGTGCTCTTTTGTGGCGGCCCAATCCGTGTCAACTTCCAATTTGGTGCCACCGTTCGTCTGTCAATGTGTGTCACGTGCCACCATTTAAGAAAAATTTTCATTTATCAGAAATCGACTCGCTAGCTTAACCTTGCTATACTATTCATAATGAACAAGGCCCTCACTATTACTACCATTGCAGCCACCGTCTTCGTCGGTTACGCTGCCTACTTTGACTACCAAAGAAGAAATTCCGCTGAATTCAGAAAGTCTTTGAAGAAGAAGGCCGTCAAGCATGCCAAACTCAGTGAAAAGATAGAAAAGGAAACCAAGAAGTCCAAATTTGAGGCTGTCAAGAAGGCTTTGGAAGAAGACTTGAAGGCTAACCCAGTCCCAGTTGATTTGGCCGAAAAGGAGAACTTCTTCATGCAGCAAGTTGCTTTAGGTGAGCAATTAGCATCTCTTCCAGACCAAAAGATCGAATCGGCCCTTTGTTTCTACAAGGCCTTGGCCGTGTATCCTAACCCAACCGATATCTTGGGTGTCTACCAAAGATCTGTTCCTGAAGACATCTACGAGGTCGTGGTCATGATGATCGCAGCCAAGCCACCTCCAGCTGTGTCCAACGTGTTGAACCCTGAACTTAAGGCTGAAAAGCCAGAAGAAGACTTAGATTAAGCATGTTAATGAACTCTCTTCTGGCCAGGTACCATGTGTACTTTTGATAATGACCCTCATGGCTTGATGACATTCATATCCGCAAAGGTAATAGATGGATTGGGGGACCCAGTCCCCACATAGGCTTCTGTATATATTTTAATCGAAAAACGTATGGCTACACGTAGATTAGATCTGCTCACTTGGGCAGCAAAAAGAACTAGAATTTGGAAACATCCTTCTTGCCATACTCTGGTAAAATCGAGGACAACGGCCATGCAGCAAATTTCCATTGAGAGTAGTAGCAGCCAATCCATGTTTCGTCATGGACTTGTGTATTGCTTCTTAACGGTACTTAAAGCGAGCTTTCTGGCTCCAACCGTCACCATAACTGATTTGCAGCCCAGAACCTCGTGTTTTATCTCACCTATCAAATGCTAGAAAAAGGCACGCATTTGGGGTTGGGTATTGTGTACTGTCTTTATACCTGCCGTCCCTTTGCAAAGTTCGGGTCTCAATTCCAGGATTCCATTCTTCGCTTCATGGAATGCATTTGGATTTTCGGCCCACGACTAAGCAAATATTGCAGCAATAAATGCTCAAGCTAGTTTCAATCCCCAAGCAGTGTCCTGAACTAGCCCAGAATGGTTCCGCATAATGGTTCGGCTACAGTATAGATAGCGAATTGAACAGCTATGCCAGCCATTACGTATCGTCTAGCTATAAATAGCCGAGCACACACCAACAATCAAAACCATCTCACTCCTGGCAGCAGGCTTTGTGTTCCAAAGTCCCCTTACCAACTCCTGTCAGCCACAAGTGATTGTCCGACCAGGCACAGTATAAATAGAGAACCAGTTCGTGAATATCGGTTGCGCAGTACTGACATGAGGTTATTATCCCTCTTAGCCTTGACCCCATTGGTGTCTGCTCTTGCCGTGAAGAATGAGACTATAATCGATACTATCTACGCCTCCAAGAACTACACCAATTCCACCAACTCCAGTTCAGTGCTGATCGAGTCCAATGCCGACGACTTCCAGTATCGAGGAGTTGCGCTTGGGGGCTGGCTCGTCCTCGAGCCATACATCACTCCGTCGTTGTTCGAAGCTTTCAACGGTTCCGAAGTCCCTGTCGATGAGTACCACTTTTGTGAGCAGTTGGGAGAAGAAGAGGCTACCAAGAGATTGAACAAGCACTGGAGCACTTTCTACTCCGAGGATGATTTCAAGGCAATTAAGAGCTATGGGTTGAACATGGTCAGGATTCCCATCGGGTACTGGGCCTTCCAGACCTTGGAATCAGATCCATACGTCGGCGGAGCCCAGAGCTACTTGGACCAAGCCATTCAATGGGCCCAGATGAATGAACTCAAGGTTTGGATCGACTTGCACGGCGTTCCTGGCTCCCAAAATGGATTTGACAACTCGGGACTTCGTGACATAGGATATCCTGGATGGTTCAACAGTACTGAAAATCTCGATCTTACTTACAAGGTGTTGCACCAGATTTTTGTCAAGTACGGTGGTGGAGTGTTTGGTCAAAAATACAAGGACACCATCTTAGGGATTGAGGTAGTTAACGAACCGTTCAGTCCCGTTTTGGGCTTGGATGAAATCGCTGAATTTTACACCACTGCATATGAGGAGGCCAGAAACATCCAGGTCATCAACAACACCATCATTTTCCATGATGCTTTCGCAAGGATTGGTTACTGGAACGAGTTTATGTCTGACAGAAGCCCAACCGGTAACAATACCAATGAAAACTATAATATTTTAATTGACCATCATCACTATGAGGTTTTTGGGGAAGGTGTGAAAAACAACATTACTACTCACTTACAAAATATCGTGAATTACGCCAGTTCCATAGAGGAAGAATTAACTCATCATCCTGCAGTAGTCGGTGAGTGGTCGGCAGCATTAACCGACTGTACCCCTTGGTTAAACGGGATCGGGTTAGGCTCAAGGTACGCTGGTGAACAGCCATACAATTTCAACAAGACCGGAAGTTGTGAGAATATCAATAACTTCCAAAAATGGTCCAAGCAACAGAAGAAGAACTACCGTAAGTTTATTGAGATTCAGCTAGACCAATACACCTCCAAGACTCGTGGATACATTTTCTGGTGCTTTAAGACAGAAGATACCATTGAGTGGGATTTCAAGAGGCTTGTTGAATTGGATTTGATGCCTCAGCCTTTAAACAACTTCACTTACATTGTCAATGGTACCGATACCGATCGCAAGAAGAATATGGGTATGAAAAACGGTGTCAGTGGTTTATTGGCCTTAGCCAACTTGATGCTTCTTGCTATTTTCTTGTAGACATCAAGATATCCCAGACCATATTTGCATAAACTAGTCATACAATAGATATAGAGATTTTCGAATGCCATTAGCATCCAGAAGTTCTACACTACGAATTCACTTACTAGACCGTAGAATGTTTTGGCCGCAATTATTGAGTCATATCGACGATCACGTGTACTCCCCTTCACATATATGGTTATGCTAGTGGAAATCAGCAGCATGAACAGAAGAACCGGGGCAACTCGATAGGTACTATGATATGGTCTTCCTAAGTAATCCTGGCTTTTTTCTGCTTGCTTTTGGTATCAGTAACCATGATTTACTGAATCGGACCCACACGTGACTCACCACCGGTACCGGCGATTTTAGGAGAACTGCCACAGTCTTTTCAACCACTACACCATGGTTAAATCAGTAAATGTGGCCATTATTGGCTCAGGAGTCGTTGGTTCTGCTTTCATCAACCAATTGAAGAACTTGAAGTCTTCCATCAACTTCAACGTTGTCTATCTTGCCAGATCTTCCAAGGAAGCTATCTTTTCCAATGACTACAAGCCTGTCGACTTATCAAACTACAAGACCAGCCCAGCCCAAGCTGTCTTGCCTTTAGGAGACTTGATCAAGTTCTTGACTGGTGCCTCTAGACCAACCATCTTGATTGACAACACTTCCAACGGTGACATTGCAGCCTACTACCCAACCTTCATCAAGCAAGGCATTTCCATTGCTACCCCAAACAAGAAGGCATTCTCTTCAGATTTGAAGACCTGGAATGAAATATTCGAAAGCTCCGAAGCGCCAAACGGTGGTTTGGTGTACCACGAGGCCACTGTTGGTGCCGGTTTGCCAATCATTGGACCATTGGCTGATTTGGTTAGCACCGGTGACAAGGTCGAAAAAATCGAAGGTATTTTCTCTGGTACCTTGTCTTACATCTTTAACGAATTCTCTACCACTGATGCTGGCTCTAACACCAAGTTTTCCGATGTCGTCAAGGTGGCTAAGGAATTAGGTTACACCGAACCAGATCCAAGGGACGACTTGAACGGGTTGGACGTTGCTAGAAAGGTCACCATTTTGGCCAGAATTGCTGGGTTTGAAGTCGAGTCTCCAACCTCGTTCCCAGTCGAGTCATTGATTCCAAAGGCCTTGGAAAGTGTGGAATCTGCTGACGAATTTTTGTCCAAGTTGCCAGATTACGATGCTGACATCCAAAAGATCAAAGAGGAAGCTTTGGCTGAGAACAAGGTGTTAAGATTCGTCGGACAAGTCGACTTCAAGAACAACAAGGTCAGTGTTGAGATTGGTAAGTACGGCTTTGACCATCCTTTTGCTTCTTTGAAGGGAAGTGACAACGTTGTGTCTATCAAGTCCGAAAGATATCCTAATCCTTTGGTTATCCAAGGTGCTGGTGCTGGTGCTGAAGTCACTGCTCACGGTGTCTTGGCTGATGCCCTCAAGATTGCTCAAAGAATTGCCAACTAGGGCCTGTTTTACATATTTGATCAGTTTTTTCGTAATGTACCAGTCAATACATGAAGATGAACCAGGAATAGAACCGTGTCGATTGCGGTAATATCCTCGTAGATTAACTTGCGGAAAGTAAGCCCAATGATTTGGACAGTAGTGAGTAATTGATTAATAAATTTACACTTAGTGAAGCACGTTATGAACCTGTGAATAGCGATTACGAATTAAAATACTATAAACATATTTTGGGATGGTAATGGACGGAAAGTCCGTCAATATCCATCAGACTGTCGATGGCATAACATGAGTTTTATTCTTATCTTCCCAATGATTCTTAGCTTCTCTGAATATTTCTCTCAATAGCTCTGGGTTTTGACATGTAGATCTGAAGTTCAACATGACTCTCTGGGAATCTAAATGGTAGGTTCTAGAGTTGTTATCATTATCAGGTAAACTGGTAAGTAGGGTGTTTACTCTAGTAATATGAATGTTATTGGGAGCCAAGAAGAAGTCCCCACTATCTCTCAACTCAACAAAATAAGATCCAGTCCTATGAATGTATTGAGCGTATTGGAATGTCGGCTTACCCCAACTGTAGGAGATTTCGATATGTCCCTTCAGGAAAAATACTGTTGATCTATTATCGAGGAGGAAGCCTGTTTTCTTTAATAAGTATAAGTGGTAATAAAACTTGGTTTCCCTCAAGATAGATGCATCGTTAAACTCATCATCTAGCCATGGGTTGACCACTAACTTCAAGTCCACAAATGAATGAAATGGATTTATAGATGGAATTGTACATAATTCCTTCCACGGAGTTTCCACCAATTTTAATCCGTGTCTTTCACACAATCTTGACCAATTTAAAACACTATCATCGATGAATCTAGAATTGGTGTTCAACCATTGGAGTCTGATATGATAACAGTGCTCAGGGTTATGAACTCTATCATAATGCACAGTGACAATTTCAGGTCTGAACGACTTGCTCAAGGGATCAACGTTAATTTTTACTGATTTACTCAAAACAAACTTCTTCCGTTTCTGTCTACCGTGAGTAGAACCTGAAAGTGAGGAACCTCCATCAGATTCATTGAGATTTCCTGAAATTATTCTGGTTAAGTCCAATGGATCATTCTGGGGTCTCATATGTGGTGATAAGATAGAGTCAGCATCTGAATTGTTTCGAGTATTACTAGGATTCAAAATCGGAGTAGTTGGAGTTACTGGAGTAGTCGAACTGCCTTGAACCGAGTTTGTACCGTTTGTGATTTCCTTCTCTGGCTTCTTCTTTGTGAACCAACTTGGAGTTTCTTGCTTATACAGTTCATCCACATATTCATCCTCAATTTCATAAAAGTAGTAACCATCCAATAATCCGTGCCTTGCGTCCACATGGCGGAACAAACCTTTATTCATCAACGTTTGGCCATAGGAGGTTGCCTCTTCTCTGCTCTCGATGTCCTCAAAGCATTCTTGTAACCATGTAATCAATTCACTTCCAATAAAGCAATGGAAATGCTTTTTGAAATGCCAAGTTCTGTCAACCAACCTTAACCCTGTTTCTCCTTGAAGCTCTTGTGCTAATTCATTAATCTTTATAGTTTTGTTGAATCTCATGTTTTCTGGAATCATTAACTTAGGCTGAGCACCCGTAATATCATAGTTTTCCGCTTCTTCATTTAAGAAATCGTAAAGATTGCCAGTGTAAAAGATAATCTCTGGTACTTTTCCTACTTTGACCTTATCCTTTTTGTCATATTTGGCTTTCTCAATTAGGCCAATAAGCTTTCTTAAACCTTCTACTCTAATCTCCTCATCAGATAAGCTCTCATTATTGATATAGTACGCATTTTTTGGAATGTCCGTTGGCATGATGACAAACTTCATTTGATAAAACTCTTTATTGACATCTGGCATAATATCTTCATAACCTGCCAAATATTGATCAAACTGATTCCAATTCAACTTAGATGATTTAAGATTTATGGCGTCGAGTTTTGCAGTTGAATATTCATCAGCATAACGAGTTCTGATTAAAGGGAAATATGGCTTGAGTGATGCTTTCGTAGAATTTCCATTCAATCCACCATGCCCTAAGCCCAAAGCTAACTTGGATTTATCGGAATTGGCAAATACGGATTTCTTGTATAATTGAACATTCAAGTTGCCACTGTAATCCAACGAAATCCTATGAATCTGCTTGTGAAACGACATGTAAAGGGTTATCCCATAAATTTCGCTGTCTGGAAAGTATTTGAAAACATTCTCGCAACCTTGTCCACCATTATTAGTACCTCCAACACCCAAGCGTCGCTCACTTTCAACCTTTTCAACATTGGGACCATAACAGATTTGGAACCCAGTAAGTAATCTCAATTGAATCATTTCTCTCATCAACTCGTGGGTAGTTTTGAGTTCCAAATAATTCTCATCAGGATTAAGTAGGACGTTATAGATTTGAAAAGTATAATCAGATTCCAATTGTTTCGTGGTGGGAAAAATTGAAGTAGTTATTGGTAATGCCGCTGGTGATTGTATCGAGTTCCATTTGATCAATTTTCTTTTAACGTTAGCTGGAAACACATCACTCCATCGACTAGTTTGTAGCAAAATATCAGAATGTGTCTCCTTGGAAGGATTTGGAACATCTTTCCAATATTTATCGGTCTCAGATTCAGGTTCATTTTCAATTAGACCGGTTCCTCCAGAGGATCTTTTGTGAGATCTGGATAGCTTTTCGTTAGACTTCAACCTAGACCTGAAGTTATCCTTTGGTGCATTAGACTTAGTCCTGGATCTGAATTTATCAAGCTGTTCATTATGCTTTTTATTGGCACGTAGAGGTTCAATGGTCAAATTATTTCTAGGTTTTAAACTTGACTCAACTCGCTTAGGTTGCTCCCTGATAAATGAACTCTTTGACCTAAGGGATGCATTCGAAGGAACTTTTTTCTCATCCGTGTTCTTGTTAAGGACATATAATGAAGACAAAGCCGAAGTTTCGGTATTGTTGGTGGTCGTGACTGTTCCAGTAGCGGAGACTTCTGAACCAGTGACACTAACAGTCGCAGTAGTTCCAGCACCATTTGCTTCTGTCGGAGCAGTGTTTGTTTTACCAATTGGAATTGCTGCCAGGACAGGCTCATCATGAGAAATTGCTGGACTTAGCATTGTGCGATTGCTAAAAATCAAAGATAACGTAGCATTCGAATCCTTCAAATTCGTAGGCTTGAACTTGCTCTTATGAGTGCTCTCAAGACGATAGTTGTCTATTTCTGCATCATTGAAATAATCAACTTTCTCCTTAATTGGCTTAAACACATCATCGTCATACTTATCCATAGATTCAAGTAGTGACCGTTCATTTCTTTTCATTTTGAACCTTTCAATTCTGACGTCATTTACCTCATTTTCCATTACACCCATCATTTGAAGTTCGTAGATCTTACACCGGGGAATCCACTGATGATTTGAAGAGGAACTTATATCTTTATAGAATGAGATATCACACCAATTTGGTACACAATGCTTGGTAGCACCAGACTTATCGCCGTACCGAAACAAAGGAACGGTATGTAACGGTGGCTGACTCAAACTAACCACATCCAAGCTGCAATCAGTTGTCGCCATTTTTTTGCTTGTCTCTAGAAGTAGATCATAGTTAACATCAAATAGCCCTGTTCCGGGAGTTATCAAAATGAAGTGGTTTAACGAGTGCTTCAAGTCAGTGTTCCTAAATTTGTTATGAACAAGCGATAAGCCCAAATTGAGAGCCTCGAGAGTGTTTCCTTTCACTGCAGGCAACGGCTCACCTTCCATATAATACTGATTGACGATACCTTGCTTCAACATGATATCACGTTTAAAATTAGCAAACTCCAATCTCAAATTGGCCATGATCCTATCCCATGATAGAATATTGACCTGATCCACCACCACTCTATAGTAATCTCGACGGTTATTGGGCCTTTCTCCTTGGTTGAGGGTGATCCACGGTATATCTGTTAAGTCCACACTAGTGAATAAGACGATGGTAATGGAATGATGAGTATTATTCGCTCTCCATTTTTTGAATATTTTTGGTAGCAAGTTATTGACTAATTTGTGGAATATAATCTCTCCATTTTCTTCAAAATGCCACATCTCTCTTGACAATTGTATTAGTACTGTTAATTTGGCACTTTCACTCCTGAAAATGATTTTTGTGTCCTTTCCTATGTATCCACTGAATACTTCCTTACCGTTATTATAGATGGCTTTTATCAAACCGATTCTGTTACTAAAGTAAGATACTCTCTTTTCGATATATGCACAAGTTCCCACTAAAGCAGAAGAAAGTGTCCACATTATGTCCCTGGACAAATTTATATCTTTAATGAAGATTTCAACAGATTCAACTTCGATAGTGGACGGGTCCTCCACAAGCTTTATTTGAGCCGCGCTTCTTGGTGGAATATCCAAAAGCTTTCTTAATGGAGTGGAAATTAATGTGATTTGAGCTTTAGACTTGTTACTATGCAGTGATTGTTCCAGCTGGTCTTCTTCATTGTTAGCAGATTCTTTGAAGTTACGATCATGCGCCACAAAGAAAAGTTTTCTCAGCTTGTTTTCGGCGGATTCCAACAGTTGGAATTCATAGACTTTGCCATGTTGGATTCCAGATGTACTTCCAGCATCTATAATGACATCTTCATTGGAAGATCTCAATTCATGAAACCACACCGTAACTGGGATGGGATCTTTTAAGCTGTTCTGCTGATTGTTAGGGGCCAGTTCAGTTATGCTTTCTTCACCTCCGGTGGTAGAATTAGTTGAGGGACCTATTTGTTGGAAGCGGTTGGTTTTTACTTGAGTGGAAACTTTCCTTCCAATTGTGATGGTGGAGCCCACATTGCGACTCATTAGGTTTTTGGAACCAGAAGGAGAGATGGATGCTGATTTTGAACCTATAACGATGCTGGCCTGGTGCGCAGTGATCGAGCTTGAGCTTGTAGTTCGATGTAGCTCACTTTGACTGGAATTTGAAACCGTTTTATTTAGCTTTTTATTTGGATTATAGTACCTGGCATGCTGCATTATGAACTAGTGGACGTTGGTCAATCGAGAAAGGCACAATTGACCTTATCTTCGGAATGGGTGTGGGGCGTGGATCAGGGGTACTATCGTGAGTGCTACAGTTCCAAGCTTGATGGTGGCGTTGCGCGTTGGTCAATGAAACAGCCTGATTGCTTGCGATCGAGAGTGGACGCAGGTAGTCTTATAATAATCCGAATTGCACGGTGGTGTTGTTTGATGTTTTGGATGATGCAACGGTGATGAGTCTCAGGGGTTCTTCGGAGAGGTATACTGGATTGTATATTTATGTGGTCTCAGTCTTGCGCTGTCCTTGATATTTTCTCTGTGCAAGCGATCAATTCTTCACCATTACCAATTCTGAATCGAGACTCAATGGCTAACCATCGATATTAATATCGATATCGATTCCTGCACATAAGCCCAACGGACTATGTCACCACCATCGACAATAAGGTAGTCCGCAACTACACACTCAAGGGCAAGTCTGACAAATTGGCCTCATGAGTTGCTGCTGCTGAACACACAACCAATGGAATGCTGAGTCATGGTGCCAAATTGGCAACCTTCAGATTCTAAGCAGCCAATCGTAGCATGTCAGCATGGCTATTATTGTGAAGAAATAAATGTGATCAACCTTAAATTAAGTTGGGTTGACAACTCTCGACACGTAACGCGCTTGGAGGTGTATTTGTTTGGACTCCATCCACATTGAATGTCATCGGCAGCAGTAGGCTTTGAAGAGTCCAGCATTACTAAGTAGGTGTGATAGGGGCTACAATTTGGTGGCAACTCTCACTAGATTCAGGAGGTACGATATTATTAATTGCACCCACGCTTGACGTGGTGGCAACGCCGATATCAGCGATATGAAATTAAGATGCCTTCCGCCTTATCTTGAGGAGACTTGGGCGGAGAAGAGTTTTGTGGAGTGTGTGTAGCAGGATTATTATGGTTGAGTGGTCTTCGAGTTAAGGATGTTTGAAGGCGATTGGTCGCATGGGCAGTATCGAGAGGTGCCACTGGCCGGTGATTGATGACCACGAGGAGGATTCACTGCCGTACGGCGCTGATGGAGGAGTGAATTTACAGCTGGCTTTTGCAATCTTTGCATTAATGCATCTAGGCAGGTTATGGTAGAGTTTTTCGAGGGTGTTTCGAGGGTCTACTGTCTATTGGGGTCTAGGGTATTTCTAGGATTTTTTGGAGTCTAAGTATGGTGTCCAATAGTATCTAGTATTCTAGAGTTCAGTGTCTCGAGGGTTTTCTAGGGTCTAGTGTCTCTAGAGAATACCACTCTAGATCTGGAGTTTGTGGGTCTTCTAGGGTCTAGAGTCAGAGAATACTACTCTACACCTGGAGTCTCTTGTGCCTTCGAGGGTCCACCTCTTCCAGAGTCTTCATATCGTCTAGGTTAGTGCCTTATGCTTCTACTTTCTTCTAGTCTATGATGTCTAACTCGCACTCTTCAACACGAACTCGTCCAAAAACCACTTATGAAAGCGGAGGTCGCTCGACAATTCGGGATGGAATGAGGTCCCCAAATGGTTACCCTGTCTGACAGCCACCACCAACTCATGGCCGTTTCTGTGCAATTTGTGGAGCACCTCGACTGGCTCGTCCAAAATGGGGTTCGAAGACGAGATCAACCCCTCTTCCGCCAGATCTACCACCCCGATCCGGGACACCACTGGGGCCCGGATGAACACTGCCGGGAAGTCGGTCAATCCCGGCACAAACGAGCTGAAGTCCAACACCTGCTCAAACGAGTCCAACTGGCGGCCAAACGCGTTCCGCGTCACCTCGATATTCAAGCCGCCTAGCACCTTCTGCTCTTTCTTACCGTTTTTCAAGTGCTGGGCCAAAAAGATCAACCCAGCGCAGGTGCCCCAGACGCTTTTGCAGGGATCACGCACAAACGCGAGGAGGGGTTCCAAGAGAAACGTTCGTTCGGCAATCAACGAGATAGAAGTGCTTTCGCCTCCTGGAATCACCAACGAGTCACAGGTGGCTAGTTGCTCGCCGGTCTTGACCTGGACAAACTGGAAGGTGTGCGCCGAGTACTCCGGGGACTGGACAATGGATTTAAGAAACTCAAGATGCTCGAAAAACGCACCCTGGAGGGCGAGCACACCAATGGTGAACGAGGTCATGTGTGGGGAAAATCGGGATTCTCAATCATTTGGCGGGATCTGTAGGCATATATATGGCGACCATTTTAGCGCATTGATAAGAAGTGCGCATAACCGGCCGTTGGGATGGATCTCCGTCAAGTGGGGCCTGGCGCGAGTCAAAAGTCGCTGACTCAGAGGCCACCATTGACTCATCGTGGCGCTGCCAGGCCCCTCCAATCGCGGCGGCAACTAAGCCCGAATGGCCCTGGTCCCGTGCCTCCTAGTTTGCAGGACCCTTTAGCGCCAATTTTCCTGTGCGCATGCACTTCCAGTCCCCACCTTGGCGCTATTCCAGAGTCAAAAAGGCTGGGTATTTATACGGTGGAAAATCACCTGTTAGAGCCATTCAAATAATTCCAATTGTAATGTCTGAATTCAAGATCAAAGCCGGATTGGCGCAAATGTTAAAGGGCGGTGTCATCATGGACGTGGTGACCCCAGAACAGGCCGTGATTGCCGAAAAGGCTGGTGCCTGTGCGGTCATGGCCTTGGAAAAGATTCCTGCCGATATGCGCAAGTCGGGCCAGGTATGCAGAATGTCCGACCCAAAGATGATCAAGAGCATCATGGAGGCCGTTTCCATCCCTGTCATGGCCAAGGTACGTATCGGTCACCGTGTCGAGGCCCAGATCTTGGAGGCCTTGGAGGTCGACTACATTGACGAGTCGGAAGTGTTGACCCCAGCCGACAAGCAGTTCCACATCCCAAAGCACGACTACAAGATCCCATTTGTTTGTGGTGCCAAGGACTTGGGCGAGGCTTTGCGTCGTATCCACGAAGGTGCTGCCATGATCAGAACCAAGGGTGAGGCCGGTACCGGTGATGTTTCCGAGGCCGTCAAGCACATCACCATCATCCGTGCTCAGATTAAAGAGGCTATCGAGACCTTGAAGACTGAAGAGCAGATCGAGGCCAAGGCCAAGGAATTGAGAGTTCCTGCTGCTTTGCTCAAGGAAGTCATCGAATTGGGCAAATTGCCAGTCGTCAACTTCGCTGCTGGTGGTGTTGCCACCCCAGCCGATGCTGCTTTGTTGATGCAATTAGGATGCGACGGTGTATTTGTCGGTTCTGGTATCTTCAAGTCCTCTGATCCAGCCAAATTGGCCAAGGCAATTGTCAATGCCACCACCCACTACCAAGATCCAAAGGCCATCTTGGAATACTCAACTGATTTGGGAGAGTTGATGGCTGGTGTCAGTATTTCTTCTATCAAGGACAACGAAAGATTATCCTCGAGAGGTTGGTAATTGATGTTTACCAGAGCAGGCTCCTAACCCTACCATGGATTCATAGATTATTCATTACTTGCGTAGTGTACATAGCCAATGGCTAGATCCTCTAGCCAATGCAAGTTCCACAAAAGTTGAAAAACTTCGTTTGTACTCGATTTCTGTGCCTACCCATATTTTTACCTGGTGAGATCTAATCGAGATTTTTTCAGTACATTTTTTGCTCGCTTGGGTGCAAAATTCTTTACAATGAAAAATATATTCGGAAGAATAATCCTGGTTACAAAAATAATCCTATGAACCGTATTCAAATCTATAAATTGCTGGTAACACCTTCAAGAATGGCCTTCTCCTCGGCCGCCCTAATTCTCTTCTTGGCATAACCAAACCACAAACCCACACCAACAATCAATGTACATCCCAAGACAGCACAGGCGTAGTTCATGTTATCCGAGGTGACAGGGTATGCTATAGGGAAGTTCAACCAGACCATGATAAAACACACCCAAAAGCACGCACAAATGTTCATAAACACCCCAAATCTTCCCAAATGGAAGAAGGGTAACCCAGTCTCCGTGTTGATGCACAATTGGTCGTCAGTATCCAACCTGTATCTCTGGTGAGGCGAGACTGCGAATTTGGATCTCCATAACAAACATGCAATAGGCACCAAGTAGGACAAGTTACTACAGACCATGGAAGTACCCAAGACAGCATTAAGAGCAGTGGCAGATCCAAAGAGAAGACACCCAAGAATCAAACACACCACCAAGACAAAAGTCAAGGCATTGACAGGACTGTTGAGTCTTCCTGAAACCTTTCCGAAAATGGATGGTAAACCATGGGATCTGCTGAAGGCCCACACTAATCTGGAGGTGGAACAGTAGTAAAAGAAACACGAACCGACAAAGGCAATGATCAAGCATAAAGTACCGATGGTTGTCAAGGCCTTCGAGTTGAAAGAGTCGTACATCAACTGGACAATTGGCTGGCCACCGAAGGGAGTGTTCAAGTTTTCGACGTTGGTAATGCAGAACATGTAGACGATGATGGCAAGCAAGGTGAGAATAGCGGAGGCAGAATTGGAGATGACCATCACCAAAGGAATTTGCGATTGTGGATGTTCCATTTCATCGGTCATATGAGCAGCACCGTCGTACAAGCAGATGCAAGCAATACTTGGAAGCAAACCCAAGAAAAAGACGACTCCGTTGGACTCCCAGCCGGTTTGGTTGACAATGTCCTTGAACACAAATGCGGCTGATCTCTTGGGGTGGGCCTTGACAAGCAAGGAGACGAGAATGAACAACGTGCCTCCGTTGATAACACACACCAAAAACTTGGTGATGTAGGGAAGCGACTCGACCGAGAACACATTCACCATGTACCCAAAAATCAAGATGCCGGCATAAATAAGGTACTGGTGCCAGTTGGTGGGAGCGTAGTCAGGGTTGTGCACCTGGGCCAATGCTATGATCAACATAGAACCGATCAAGGTGGCGGAAAAGCAAGCAAAAATCCACCCAGCACAAGACAAAACTCCGTTCATGAAACTCAACAACTTTTTGTAGCGATCAGGCGCCAAAACGTAGGTCCAGTGGACCTGAGCAGAGGAATGGGGGTATGCCGAGGCCAACTCGGCCAACGAGAAGCAGATGATCAAGTCGAAGGTCACAGCCAAGATGAACCCGTAGAGCAACACGGGTGAGCCTCCTATACCGATGACAATGGTCAAAAACGTGCCGATGGCCATTGGCGAGCAGATCAATGAGAACTGCATGGCTGCAGTGGCCCATAGCGAGAAGTTCTTCTTAAGAGCTGGCTCTTTTGAGTCGATAGATATTTGGGTCTGACTAACTTCAGCACGAAGCTTCTGCGACATACTGGGGGTCAACATCTTGGATACTGATGTGATTTGTGACTAGCTCAACGGGGAGGGGGGATGAAAAGCGATGCGATTTAGGCTACTCAGATGTCCGAAAGATGGCGAAATAGGACCTAGATAAGAACTGAATAGTAGAATACAACCCCAAGATAATAACGATGCGGAGTGGCTTGGATCAATCGGGCAACAGGTATTTTATGTAGTTGGCTGGGCATCTGCGGAGCGTACATGAATGTATTGGCGGCTCGCTTGTAGGTTCGTATCAGTACCGACCCCACATCGGTGATCATTTGTCGCAACGCCAAATAGGCAATGCCGCTAATGCTGATAAGCAATTTCGGCGCGGGATCTGTCTAGGGCCGACGCTGGACGAGAATAGATAGCTTCAGCCCACCTAGTAGAGCAAAACACCCCGAGATAGAGCTATCTCCCAAGCCCTGCCATAAAAGAGGCTTGAGAGCTAGTTATCTGGCGTATATTGCGCACGGCGGGCTCATCGTGATAAGTGGGGCAAAATTTCATTTGGGATACAAAGTGTATGCGCGAAAAACGTTGGCGGTATGGTTTGGTCTGGCGGCTTACCATTAACGCGACATTCGGGCGGGTGCAATAATTGCCGGGAGGGAAAGGGCCCGTTAACCCTCAGTAAATGTAGCGGGGGGAAAGTCATCCCCTCGGAGATCGTCCACTATGGGGAGGGTAACTCCTCATACTTCACACCTGCTACTCCACTACGGAATTTATTCCTTATTCTCCACCTGACGCCAGCTCACCCGCTACTAGCCGACCCCAAACAGGAAGTGGGTGATGCAGGCTTCAACGAGAACAAACGCTTACATAACCTATCCGTTTCCGCTTTCCGTTGTTATCTACGATAAGATGAACTAAATGGCTGAAACATCTTGACCAACCCCCCATTCTATTATGTTTCTGTCAAAAATATTGACACTAGTGAAATTTTGACCGGTTGCAGATATTATCCGCGAGTGGATTCCTGAATTTCATCTATATAATTGAACCGATTCCAGGCTACCCTGGCTTAGCCCAGATTGATTACAGCTCACACATTAAGCAAGCATCCCTTCTTACTTGTGGCTGGAATAAAAGAACCACACATATCATCCCCTATTGTTCTTCTGATCCCTGGACCCTTCTGATCCTTACTACTTCATCTCATCTTCATACTATCCTTAGCCCTTAGCATAAATGGGCGTCCTGGAATCTAAGGGAGACAGCTCCAATGTGGTGGTCGACGTGGAAAAAATCGGATCGGTAGACAAGTACTACGAAACTACCGGTTTCGAAGATTTCAACGATAAGCTCGACGTTGAAAAGTATGGTCAGACACAAAGAAAGTTATCCTCCAGACATGTCAGTCTTTTAATCATTGGACAATCGGTGGGTACTGGTTTATTCATCGGATTGTCGTCGCCTTTGATGACCTCCGGATCGTTGTCGTTGTTCTTGGGGTTTATCGGCTTTGCCTGTCTCGTCATCTGGCCATTGATGCAAGCCGTTGGTGAAATGTGTTCCTTCTTGCCCATCAAGGGAACCTTTTTGCACTTTTCCGCCAGATGGGTGGATCCTGCCCTTGGTTTTGCCTGTTCTATCATCTATTTGTACACCTCGTTGATGTTTATTTGTGTGGAAGCGGTTGGTTTTGCATCCGTCATCAGTTTCTGGACCGATATCAATCCGGGAGTGTTTATTGCCATCGCCCTTGTGTCTTACTTCGTGTTCAACATTTTTGGTGTCAACTGGTATGGGGAAATCGAATTTTTCTCTTCCATGCTCAAGGTGCTCTTGATTGTGGGTCTCATGATCTTTGGCTTGGTTTCCATGTGTGGAGGAAACCCTCACCACAACGCGTACGGGTTCGAGCACTGGAAACAGGGTGGGTTGATGAAGGAATATCTCGTGGGTGGAAACACTGGTAGATTCCTCGGGTTCTGGAACGTGTTGATCTATGCTGCTTTTGCTTGCGGTGGCCCCGATTTGTTGGGAATGGTTGCGGGTGAAATCGCCCACCCCAGAAAGAACATTGCCTTGGCTGCCAAGAGAGCGTATGTCAGAATCTACTTGTTCTACTTCGGAGGCATTTTCTTCATGAACACCTTGTGTGCCTCCAACAACCCCATTTTAATTGCCTCTCACGAATCCGGTGCATCTGGAGCCGCTGCTTCGCCTTGGGTCATTGGTATCAAGTCTGTCGGCGTCCACGGGTTGGACTCGTTGGTCAATGTTTTGGTGATGTCTGCCGCGTGGTCCTGTGGTAATGCCTTCTTGTACGGAGCCACCAGAACTGCCTACGGAGCCTCGCTTGCAGGGTACTTGCCTCGTTTCTTCTCCAAGTGCTTGAAGAATGGTGCTCCCATCTACTGTGTGATATTTTCGCTCTTGGTCGGGTGTTTGTCGTTCCTCAGTATCTCCAACTCCACAGCCGAGGTGTTCAACTGGTTTATCAACTTGGCCACCACCGGAATCTTGTGTACCTACTTGTGTATCTGGTGGTCGTACTTCAAGTTCAGACGGGTGATGGCTGCCCAGGGCTACGACATGTCTAGTCCAGACTACCCATACTTCACCGCCCCCTGGTTTGTGCACCCATACATGACCTACTTCGGGTGTTTCTTGAACATCGTGATCTTGTTTTTCAACGGGTTCTGGATCTTCTTCCCTGGCCAATTCTCGGTCGCCAACTTGTTCACCTCGTACTTTGCACCCGTGTTTTTCGTGGTGTTGTTCTTCTTCTGGAAATTGTTCAAGAGAACGCACTTCAGGACCAATGCCGAGGCCGACATCACCACAGGAAAGAAGGAGATCGACGACGAGGAAGAGGAGGAGATTGCCCGTGAGGCTGCTACTCCAAGGAGACTGGGGCTCCTTTTCAAGATCTACTACAAGGTGGCCGACTTCTGTTTCAATTAGGTATATACCAATCCAATAGAATTGGGTCAATAGACATATTATGAACGACATATTACACGTCAAATCGGCAGACAGTAGTTTATAATACACTGTGAGCTTTAGTGAATCCCCGTAGTTAAATAAGTACTGATATGACGTACAATAGACAGGTAAGTAGACATATTTTGCGACTAATAATCTGAGATAGGTCAGAGACATATTTTGTGACAGCAAGTCGCGGTTTTTCGCCTGGCATATTTTGCGTCCACCAGAGGGCCACAATCTTGGCTTAAAATACAATTTAGTCAATGACAGCGAACCACCGAGTTAACTTGATAGTATACTTGACGTGAATGACAGCAGTATTAAATCGCCAATTAGCCTCTGGTCTCAATACCCGCAATTTCTAAGACACTTATTGCTGTCTGTGGAAAGGACTATTTCACCCTAGTTAGTTGTCTAGTTGGAAAGACTCTTTACAAAAATTCAGTTGGGATTTAGTTATTGTTCAACGCCAACAGAGGAGTATGAAAGAACACACTCAGGGCCTGATTGCGAAAAAATAAGATCAAGAGGAATAAGGAAAGAGATTGGTGGGATTCGAGCTTGGAGTTGTCATCTGTATCTAACGAAGCACTAATCATTTTACCTTGTAAGCTTCCCGTAGTTGGTTCATAGACATATTTTGTATCCAAAAATTGGGTAACGTGAAATTTGCGTCATTCAGCAGGGCCAGTAGACGTATCATGATCAGTCAGACGAATCTTGAAAACCAGGTCATCAGAGTATTGTTGGAAGGGTTTTGTTAGGGTCAGTAGATATATACGTGTCAGTCACCATAGTTTGATAATAGCATATTTTGTGTCAATCACTGTCGTTATTGGGTGATTGACATCTTTTCCGCAATCAGACCGCGGCCCTTATCATTCTTGATTCCTTAGATGATCTTCTAGAACTCTTCAATATTTTATCCTGTTTGTGACTATCGTAGATAGATATTTTGTAATAACAGTGGCCCAACTGATACTTTGCGTCAGTCAGCAAACCCCGAGTTGAGTGGACACCGGAAATCGTAAATTGATGTACCATGCAGAAAAGATTAAACCAAGTTTAGAAGTGGAATTTGAAATTCCGTTGTTGCTTAGCATCGAATCGTCAATCTGGTCCAGTTGCCTACCGTAGTTTATAGACATACATACATCCACAATCGACAGCTTCCACGAGATGCCTAACCGTTCATAGACATATTTTGTATCGCCAACAGTAGTGACATCAATAAACTGACTAAGGTCGACACAAAATGCCTGCTTCCAAGACACATACTCTGAAACACCCCACCGTCTTCCTGCTTCTCGAACCGTTCGTATTGCAATCATCGTGCCGTAAATGCACAGGCATTTAGCGAGCCAATGAGTGCGCCTCTCCCAGGTGCACCGCCTTATCTGTGCCGGAAATGGACTGATGTGCGGGTATCGTAGGCCGGACAGTCACCACCACGCCAACGGTCGTGCGAGGCAGTGACACCACCAAACCCTGTTGCCGATCCTCTAGTCACGGCTGGCATGCTTCCAGACCCTTTCCCGAATAGGCGCAACGGGCCCACCGCCATTATCGCCAGCCCAGATCCATCCCAGATCTACCACAACGGCTTGGCTCCTGGACCGGGCCCCCACTCCATGGGTGGGGCCACCCAGCGCCGGCGGGGTCGCACCACACCCCGACGCCCACAACCGGCCGCAATGTGGCAGGGTCTAAGTGGTGGTGCAGGAGGGGCTCGCCCAGAGTCAACCCTGCCCGGGCACTTCCCAGCAAGGGCGGCGGAACCGCAAGGCGTCGTGGTGCCCGGAGGAAGGGTGCAAACGGGGTAGTCCAGCTGCATCGGGAGAACACGTATCCAACATGCCCTTGGCAGCAAAGATAAGATAAGCACCGGGACCCACCAGGCTTATCTTAGAACAGGAGGCGGTGGTGGCTCCCGCTGGCGTGCCAGAGCCACCGTGTGTCCTCCTCCAGTGCCGGTACTGACACCACGTCATGCCATCAATAGGCGTTCTAGACGTCACGTCAAAGCCTGCCCCTCTCGTCTGAGAGCCTCCCCAGCACGCTGGCGGGGCTGTTGCCCAAGTCCGGATAATGTGGGGTACCGTCGGCGATATGTCTCCGCTATCTCATCCCGAACCCTCACGGCATTCTTTTTTGGCTGCTAGTTTTTCTTGGCTATCCCCGCCTAGCCATCCGTGACAATAGTGTCGGTGCACCATCGGCCACACGCTGCAGTGCTCCGATCTCACCACCCGTTCCTCACACAGCCCATGCATCATGCCCCCCGTCTCCTCTCGCCAAGGGCAGTTTTCCTTAGCCTGTGTGCGTTTTTCCCGCAGGTTTGGGACCTGGTATCACTGCGCGCACTTTGTGTCACTTGCCATGCAATGGCCTCTGCTGCAAAACATTGTCCTATATATACCGTGACACTCCCTATGATTTAGCCATATCGAAATGTCTAGCGCGGAGAAGAACTACAAAGGCGAAGATGCCGTGTCCATGCTCCTGAGACACACCGAGGACTACAACCTCTATGTGTCCCAATCCCATCCTTCGAACTTGGCCCTCCAGTCCGGCAACCAGTTGAGACAGTCGTTGGACTCCAGACATGTTACCATGATTGCCATCGGTGGTGCCTTGGGTACCGGGTTGTTGATCGGTACCGGGTCTGCCTTGAAGGCAGCCGGTCCTGGGGCCATCTTGGTGGCCTACTCCGTCATTGGTTTCTGTGTGTTTATGGTGATGAGTGGCTTGGGTGAAGTCGCTACCTTTGTGCCTTTAAACGGGTTTGCTAACTACTGTCAAAGATACGTCGACGATGCCCTTGGTTTTGCCTGCGGTTACGTCTACTTGTTTAAATACCTTATCTTGCCCGCCAACCAGTTGGTGGCCGGTTCCCTTACTATGCAGTTCTGGGTCGACAGAGACAAGATCAACCCCGGAGTCTGGATCACCATTTTCTTGGTGGTCATCTTGGCCATTAACTTGCTTGGTGTCAGATTCTTCGGTGAAATCGAGTTCTGGTTGTCTTGTTTGAAAGTCTTGACCTGTTTGGGTGTCATTATCTTGTTATTGTGTATCACCTTGGGTGGCTCTCCAACTCACGACAGAATTGGTTTCAGATACTGGAACAACCCTGGTGCCTTCTTACACTTCAAGGATGGCTCAAAGGACTTGTTCATTGGTGGCTCCAAGGGAAGATTTGTGGCTTTCGTTTCTGTGTTGGTCACCGCTGTCTTTGCTTTCCTCGGTACTGAATTGGTTGGTATCACCTTTGCTGAAACCAGAAACCCAAGAAGATCCATTCCAAAGGCCATCAAGTTGACTTTCTACCGTATTGTCGTCTTCTACATCTTGTCTATCCTTCTTCTTGGAATGTGTGTTTCCCCTACCGACAAGTTGTTATTATCGGCTTCCGGAAGTGATGCTAGTGCTTCTCCATTCGTGATTGCTATCAAGAACGCAAAAATCCCAGGTTTGGACCACGTCATTAATGCTTGTATCCTTCTTTTCGTCCTTTCTGCTGCCAACTCCGATATGTACGTCTGTTCCAGAACAGTCTACTCCCTTGCGGTTGCTGGTTACGCTCCTAAGTTGTTTGCTGTCACCAACAGATTGGGTGTTCCATACTATGGTATTGCTTTGAGTTTTGCGTTCACCTTGTTGGCCTACATGACTGTGTCCAGTGGATCTGCCGAAGTTTTCACCTACTTCGTTAATGTGGTGTCCTTGACCGGTTTATTGGCTTGGTCATGTATCTTGGTTATCCATATCAGATTCATGCAAGCTTGTAAGGCTCAAGGTATTGACAGAAAGAAAGACTTGGCATACTGCTCTCCACTTCAACCATACGGCTCTTACTTTGCATTGTCCATTTGTATCATTGTTGTTTTCATCAAGAACTTTACTGTCTTCTTGGGTAACTCATTCACCTACAAGAACTTCATCACTGGTTACATTGTTTTGCCAGTTTTCATTGCCATGTACTTCGGTTACAAGTTCTGGCATAAGACCAAGTTGCTCAGCCCAGAAGAAGTTGATTTGGTCACCTACAGAGACGTCATTGACGCCGAAGCCGAGAGATACGAGGCTGAAGATGCCGAAAGAAAGGCCGTTAGAGAGGCTTCTGGTAACCGTTTCGATAAAGAATGGTACTACGACAAATTCTTGGGATGGTTATTCTGATTGACATTAGTTTGCACAGAGATAAATAGTATGACGATTTAACGAAAGCAGATTATTTAATTTAATTGATGAGATAATAATAATATTAATAATAATCAGTAGCCATTCTGTAAGAAGTCGTCATGGTGACGTTACCTCAACCATACAGCATCAGCTAAATCTTTAGCAACTTACCCCTGGATCAGTGACCTTTTTCGTACGCTTGTCACATTCTAGTTTAGGTTTTGTACCATCTCGCGACTTTCATCTCATCTCGTAAATTTGCCTCGCTGCGGCCGAAAAAAGGAACCACGAGGCCTGAGATTATCATGTCAAAATACACACTGATAAGACTATCTCTGTCCAGATTCCAATAATAAGAATGTCGCCGTCAATAATACCGACCACGACGTCCACCCAACAGATAAGAGTGCAAGATCCGGTACAGCTTTTAAAGGAAAAGCTTCCAACACTAGTTCTTAAGACCGAGGAAGCCGCTCATCTCGATCTCATCTCACCGTTATTCTCCATCAAGACTACAAAATATGGGGGACGTGGAGCCTTTGCCAAACACGATCTTCCAAGTGGCACTATTGTGTTGACTTGCGATAGTCCAATAAGTAGCACCATTATTAAGCCGTTCAGAAAAGAGGTTTGTAACCACTGTTTCGAATATTTTGATGGCAAGAACTTGAAATTCAAACTAAGCATGCCTGGCTCAGGTAATCTATCCCTATTTTTTTGCAGTGAATTTTGCCAGGATACCTTCGTAGCAAGCGATCCTGATCAGATTTACCTACAAAATCTACTCGCGGTCGAGAAGCACTACTTGAATGGGTTGAAGAAGCCTGAACACGAATTGAGAGTGCCAGATGAATCCCACGACTTATCGGAGCTTATTGACGCCGAGTGGGAAGAAGTCAATGCCTGGGATAGGAAAGTCCAAAAGATGAAACCTTCCAAAAGACTAAACTTGATTCCCCAGATCACTGATAATGACTACTCAGAAATTAAATATATCGTGGGGGTGCTATACAGGCTATCGAGGTTTCCCGACTATAAAATGGTCGAATACAAGAGTGAAACACTGAAGGATTTAGATCCAGAGCAAAAGATTCTACTTGAAATGAATCTTTTTGATATTCTACAATCAAGTGAACGCGAAAAGGTCTTCAGACACCCATACTTGTTGTATTCCTACATCAACATTTACAAGTTCATCAGACTCATTTGCTCCTCTCATCTTCAACCATTCATCACCCCTGATGCTGTCAGATCTATTCTTGGAAAGAATCTCTCCAATGCATTTGGTATATGGTCCAACGTCGCCAGTGAGACTGAAGATAAGGAATATTTTGGGTTTGGAGTTTATCCATCTGCATCATACTTCAATCACTCGTGTGCGCCAGGGTTGAAAAAAGCTAGAGACCACAACAGGTTGAATTTCCGTACAATAAGAGACATCAAAGAAGGTGAAGAACTTTGTATCGACTATGGAAATTATTTGGATGAGGATGTTCACAAGAGAAGAAAAGAACTCAGCGAATGGTTCTTTGATTGTGGATGTGAGAAATGTGTGTATCAATTACAAGAGTGTCTGTAAGGCATAAAAAGAAGGAATTGTGCATTTCTTAGAGGTAGAGCTTGAAGAAACTTTTTTTTGGAAATTCGTAATCTTCCATATTTATAGATATTGTTGCGTTAAACACCAATAGTGGGTGAGATACTGATCAATATACAGCATTAGATACTTCATGCGCTCCATTGCTTAATGGAAACTATTGTATTGAATTTGAACCGAGTTCCGTCCTATCTTTTAAAGACCATCAATTCTGGGGTGCGAAAGAGGGTGAGTACTAAAAATTGAAAAAACTGAAAAATTGAACAAAAAAGATACAAAACAGTTTGATCGAGGGAATACCATCAGACCCATTTTGTGAACGAACAATGCAACATTAGCTAGTTTAAATAAACAGAAAGTTATAAAAGTGGCTGGTTTACATCCGAGAAGAAGAGTCTTGATCGTATTGCTGATTACAATCTTTATGTATATTAAATGAATAATTAAATTGCCCCGTCCAAGAATGCTTTGAATTCATCACACTCTCTGGTTTCTCTTGTCCTAGACTGTTGACACTTTTCCCAGTAAATTCTTTTTGGTGTATTCAATGCTGAGGCCAAGGCTCTTCTTGGGAACTGGAAATCAACCGGCCTCAGCTCATCGGTTAACTCGCTCAAGTAAATAACCTTGGAATCACTGGACTCATATATCACAAGGCTGATATAGTCCGCTGTATTGATAATCCTGATATATTCTGGATCGTCTTCATTATACACTTTGAATTCCAATGGGTGATTTCTCTGAAATTTCTCGTTGTTAATGATGGCTCTATCCACAATATCCTCCTTTAGTTTACCCACTAAATGTTCTGGGATTGGTACAACTTGAGTATTTTGGTGAACGTTGGTGCCTCTGCAAACTTCGTAAAATACCAACCTATAATTAGGCGCTTTTGTGTGGAATGCTTTCACGAGTGACTTTTGGTACTGGAGAACCTCCTGAAATACTGGGGAGGAAATCACATTGGTAGAATTTGATCTTAAGGTAGGAATATGCTCGATTGGAATGATGATTGCGTGACCCGAGAAAGAGAGATCGCCATTTGATCTAGTGAGCGGACCTTTTGCAATGGTCAAATAAACATTGTTTCCTATAGAGACAATCATGTGGGTTTCGGCTTTTGGATTTGATAGACAAAAGAAACAAGATTCTGGCGTAACCTTTGGACGTTTTGAGACTTCGAATCCCTTTTCCGAATTTTGTGCCTTTAATGCCATACCCGACTCCAGGTTTTCATTCACCTCATCGATGTTTCTTTTAGGTTTGACAGAAACCCTTGTAAATGGATTTTCACCTAGTTTTGTTTCGTCAGGGTCCCCCCCGCTGTTGAAGCCATAGAACCACTTTTCTCCAGATCCTTCTTGACCCAAACTTATGAATCTTGTCACCTCACCAGATTCCCACTTGAATGCCTGATTCTCAAAGAATTTACCGTACTCATGTCCCACACAAAAGTGGTATTTTGGCTTGACCTGTTTGACCAATTCGTCTATGAAGTTATTACCCACTAAGGATAGCTGTTCTTGTTTAGCAAGGGCTTGTGGCCAATTGTATGTTATCAAAATGTCTACTTGAGAGATATTAGCCAAGCGCAATGCCTCCCTTTGATTCTCCTCTATTTCGGATGCACCCGAAACTATCATGATCTTGGTACCTGACTTGACTTTTAGCACATTCACCAAGCTTTTCAGCACAGTAAGATTCGGAAGTATATCAATTAGGTCTGAATCACCTGTTGAACTGGAAATTCCATTAGTCACTTCAACTGCAAATTCTTCTGCACCTTGAGTGAAGTATGTGGGCTGTTTAATTTCAGTGTTTGGGAGGGCCTTTCCTTTGGTTATGACGTCCCCAAGAAGAAACACCGCTTCAAAGGGTCCATTCTTCTCGTTCTGGAGATTAGCCTTACCCAAAACGCTTTCAAGGTTCGAGGGGGAGGGGTTGAGTACAAGGAATTTGGACTTGGTGCTCATTATGGTTAATATTGGAGCTTGATCTTCCCGGAGGCTCGTATATGCTTGGGGGCATCGGTAAATACACAACCACAACGCTCCCATCGCTGAGTGAACGGAGTCTAGGAAACATCAATCTCCAGGTTTGATTCATACTCTACGTTTGGTAGGCAGCTATCAACTGCAATTCCTGGCAGTTAGCTGTACAATGTTCATACCCAGGTATTTTGTGCATTTGCTCAATGGTGTAATTGGTGCAAAAATCTAATGAATCTAAAATTCAATTATGACAAGGATGTGCTTTATCGACACAGGTGGTGTCCCCAATGCAAATGTATCGTAGTTCGGTAAAAAGTTCAACTTTGGGTAGGTTCTGCTACATTACCTTCAGACAGAACTCAGTACAAGTCACCTGACTTATATCACGCGAGCCAACATGTTTATTTACCTTTTAGACGCTAAGCTCAAACCAGATCAACTCCCTCCAATGCCTTCCACACCAAAGAGTTCAAGTCCCACACCCGAAGATAACAGTATCAAGGTGTTGGTCAGAGTGCGGCCCCTCTTGCCAAGGGAAATTCCTGAAAGTGGCCAAGATGTCAAATCGCTCGTGTCCATGCCTGCGAATGATTCCAGAGTTACTCGATTGGAGGTACCTGCCAGTTCAACTTTCAGCAACCAAAAATCGAAGGTGCATCGACCATCTCAGGTGGAATCATCTGATACCTCTGAGGATGTCAAGACCTACCATTTTGATGAGTCAATTTGGTCGTATGACCTGAATGATGCACATTATGTCAGTAATAAGCAATTCTATACTAAGACGGGCCCTAGCGTGTTGAACCACTTCTTTCAGGGATTTAACGTTTGTCTTTTGGCATATGGCCAGACCAGTTCTGGTAAGACCTTCACCATGATGGGAAACAAGAAGGAACCAGGGATCATACCTTTGGTGGTACGGGATATTCTCCGCCAAAAGGAAATCTTGATAGGAGAAAGAATCAATTGTGAGGTCAAATTGTCATACATGGAAATATACAACGAGCAGGTGAAGGACTTACTAGGAAATCAACAAGGAAAGATGAGGGTGAGGGAGCACCCAACTACTGGTCCCTATGTGGAGAATTTGAGCGAATTTGTCATCGATCAGTATGAAGACTTTGAGAAGTACTTGAAGGATGGAAACATCAGAAGGGCAACTGCATCGACATCCATGAATGAGCAAAGTTCACGATCTCACGCGATATTAACCTTGACATTGAAGCAGACCAAGTTCAACCTGTCGGATCTGAATGAATCGATAGGGGAAGCCGAGGAGGAAATGATCTCGAACATTAAGTTGGTAGATTTGGCGGGCTCCGAGCGTTTATCAAAAACAAAGGTTTATGGACAACAGGATAGAATTAAGGAAGGAACCCTAATAAATAAATCGTTGACGGTTTTGGGAAGATGCATCAACTTATTGTCATCACCAGGGGCATCAGCCAAGTCCATTCCCTATCGAGACTCCATTCTTACATATATTTTGAGAGAAAACTTGGGTGGAAATTCCAAGACGCTAATGATATTTTGCATCTCGCCCATCGATTTCGATGAAACCCATCAGACGTTGAACTATGCAACCCAAGTCAAGAGAATCAAGACAACCGCAAAGGCAAACAAGACCAAGTTGGCCACGGTTCCGATCGACTGGAATCAGTTGGAAACCAACGACCAGGATGTGGTATCCTCGTTGAAAAACGAGATCCAGGAGCTCACGGCCAAGCTAAACTCCATCACCATTGCGGAAGACGAGTCTCGTTTTGCCAAACTCATGAACTACCTCGAGAAGGAGACGAGTAAGGTCAAGTTTGAGAACAAGTTCTTGAAGCAGCAACTACACCAGAAGACTGCCGAAGTTGCCGAGCTCTCCAGCCACGTTACCTACTTGGAGCACGAGGTGGGGTCGCTCACGCGGGAGGTGGTCGCTCACCAGCACCAAAGCTTGGCACGGTCCAAGGACCTTTTGCTAGAGAGTTGCCAGGCCGGGGAGATTGCCATGGGCGAACAATTGGCCCATTTCGACCCAGCGACGTTTTTTTAGCCCCACCAGTGGAATTTTGCGGTAGTACTCTAATTTGTCGTGTGGATGGTGCTAGAGGCTTTGGCCCTCAGGCGACCTGCCTATCTACAAGGCTTAGGCGGGTTCCGTTCCAGCCACGGCCCTGGACCCCTATTCCGCCATCTCCAGTGCCCTTCACCATCAGTGCCCCCTCCGCTCCACTCTTCACTCTGGTACTCTTCCGCAACATCTACCGACACCTCCCGCACCACTCGCTTCACTTCACACGCTAAATCTGTCGCGACTTTGCGATCCACCCCCCAGCAAGCACCACGCACGGGCGGACAGACAATAGATTCTAAATAGTTTAAACTGATTAACCTCACATCATCTGACCTTGATCATCTGACCCGTCCAACATTCTACAAGTCATCCCCACCTGTCACCACTGACCCTAGCACGTTAATCCTTCTTCTTCAAGTGCACGTCATGGCTTCATCGATCGATAGGATATTTGGCACCTCAGTGAACCAAGCGGTCCAGCAAAGCATAAGTGAGAACCGCCCGTTGTTTGTCTACTTGAGCCGGGACGACGCCGCTAGCGCCAGCTTCGTCCATCTGTGGCTAGGCGATAACAAACTGACGGTGCAGCAGGCGTTGGCACGGTTTGTGCTTCTCAAGTTGGTCCACGGGACCACCGAGTTCGGCTACTTCGAGCAGATTTTCCCCAACTTGGTGTTGCCCAGCTTCTACGTGGTGGAGCAGGGCCGTTTGTTGTGTGTGCTCAAGGACGCAGGTACCCCCGAGGAGCTCGTGGCCAGGATCAGTCCCTACGGCCCCAGTGCTGGCGTCGGTTCCGGAAATGCCGGCGAACACACCTCCCCATCATCTGCCACCCCCGAGTACTCACCAAACGCAGCATTATCAGGTCCTGGAAGATCTCCTGAGCCTGTGACGCCTTCGCCACAACCAGAACAGTCACAATTTGACCACGAGCAAGCCAGCCGCATCCGCAAGCACAAGCTGGATGTTGCCACCCAAAGACAGATCCAGGAGCAGGAAAAGAAAAGATTGAGAGAACTCTTAAAAGCTGACCAAAGAGAACGAGAGGCAAGGAGCAGAGAGGAGAGTGCTAAATTTGCATCCACGAAGCCGCCAGTGTCGGTATCGCCAACCCCACCACAACCAAGCAACACCTGTACATTATCTATAAAGCTCTTCAATGGAAGCTCGTTGAAACAGACGTTCGAATCGTCCAAGACGTTGAACGACGTGAGAAGGTGGTTGGACACCGAGTCGGGGGTGGAGGTGGTACCCAAACCCGGGTCCATGGCATCGTTCGCCCCCTCATCGTACCCTCCGCCAACCCACTACGTCTTCCACTGTCCTGTGATTCCTAGAACCACCTATACTGATGAGGATGAATTTAAATCATTGAGTGAGCTTAAGTTGAGTCCCAGATCTGCATTAATCTTGAAGCCCATCTACGAAGAAAACGGCTACTCCAACTCGTATCCCAATGGGAACGTGCCCAACCGGGGGGTTTTGAAAAGCTTGGGTTCTGCTCTTGGAAAGTTCGGCAATGCATTGTACTCGTTCTTCGATTACGGGGTGGCGGAAGATCACCACCAATTTGATCCCGAAATCACGGAAGACGACAACTACTCAGGAAGATCTACTGGTAATGCGTTGTCCGAGGAGCGGGTGCCGTTGTCTCGGGTAGGCACTCCCAATTTGGTCAGTATTGATGAGACTAGGCCGGCACCAGCGCTCATCTTCGAGGATTCAGCTTCTTCCCCATCCTCCTCTTCCTACAGAAACAGGAGTACCACTTCCATACCTCAGGCGGTTCAGGTGTCGGACGAGAGGCCCTCGGCGTACAACTCACGTTCGTCTACCCCGATTTCCTTCAACAGGCCGTCTACCTTGAAAAGAATTCACACGTTCCAGAACGAGGACGACAACGAGGATGGCAGCAACAACGGCAACAGCACCAGCGTGAGCAAAAACGACGACGAGAAGTAACTCCTTCTACTCCAGGCGTCTGCCTTGGGTGGGTTTTTCACATCAGTATGTATCGCTAATTAAGCCCGTAATTATTCACATGTAATCCTCGCTCGTTAACGGGCCCGTAACGGGCCCAACAACGGCTTAAGCCTGTCCCTTCTGTGTCAGCGCCCCATATGTCGTATTGTTCTGCATGCGCATTCCTCGATCTGCCCGAAAAAGATAACGATTCAAGACTCCGTCTGAATTTGGCACACACCAAATAGCACCACAGCTGATACCCACTGCAAGCACCGCAACTGTACGGAGTAGCACATCCAGGGTTCAGCACACGAAATTTACGTCTGCCTCACTTTTTTTTTGTCACAAACGGTCGTAATATCTAGAGTCTATTCCCATTGCTAACGACGTCAAGTAGGAAACTTTTCTAAGGTGAACAACTGACGTGGCAGTACTACCACCATGAACAAGCTCAATTTGTCATCCCTCGAAGAGCTTCTACGGTTCCCAGGTGTGCTTTCAGAGGAGCTCATCCCAGATGCGTCGGTACTTTCGTGTGGGTGCTTGACCTCCGAGGCCATCTTCCGGTCCAGTGGGGTCCCGTTCTGCTACAACTGCCAGAAGGAAGGTGTCGACATCATCAGTGAGGTAAGGCCCCTTCGGGACCTCTATAATATTATACAGCAGCTCAATGTCCAGCTCATTGGCCCCCCACAAAACGCAAATTATGGAGACAGACGAAGGTCTTCCTCCAAAAGAAGCGGTGGGGTTTTCGAGGACTCCCAGCCTGCGCCAGAGACTATGGATCTTATCAGTCTCTTCTACAAATTTGCCAAGGAAGAAGAGAATCTGGCGGAACCTCTAAAGCTGCAGACAGACCACTCAATAGTGAAGCCTATTGAAATTAAACGACATTCCCAGGAACTCCGCAAATTGCACCACTTTCAATCGGTGTCGCTGGCGTCACCAGGAAATGCAATGGACATATCCACTCCTCAGTCACACATGCTGTACAACCAGCTGCTTCCTGGCCAGAGTGTGCAGGTACAGTTCCAAAGCAATGTGCACGTACCCTCGACAAACTCCATTTCACCACGTCAGCGCTCTGCTGAGAAGGCTTCGTTCCTCAATAGCACTCCCGAGGTCATGAACTCGCTTCTTCTAGAGTCCAATCTTCTCAAGTCGCTCAGTGAAGAGAAGGAGTATAACTTCTCCAAATGTTTTCCATTTCATCGGAAGCTTACCACCTTCCCTACTCAACAAGTTAAATTCAACCTTGCATCCATGACTCAAATACCATTCAAGTCAGGGTCAATGATCAAGAAAAATACTAGATTCACTGGAAGTGATATCCATACCTACGTGGATCTCCAGTTAGACATCGAGGTAACGAGGTTTGTATTGATCAATGAGAAACGGTGGGAGTTGTATGAGTACACGGTGCCCCTAAACGATTCCAGTGCCGAGAGCAGACCTCAAATGATCTGTTGCGGCAAACTGTCTGGAGAGTACGGCGAGAATATGAACGAATTGAATCCAGCAAACAATGACACTACTGTAACCGGTGAAATAATTATCAAAAATGAATTCAATCACAACAATTCCGACCAAGTGGCTTCTTCTCAAGAGTCAGATATAAAGAAAAAACTCCAGCTGTGGGACTTCTTGTTCTGCCAGTTGTCCAGTGATTATCTTGTGATATCTGGTACCAAGGGTATTATGAGAGTCATTAACCTTAAACGCAACCTGTCATATGGACTTGGCCAACCCATTTACACCTACATTACTAATTTCCCCATTAGGTGCATCTCCATGGCTCCAAACAATTCCTTGGTGGCATGTGGGATTACTGCTCGAGAGAGACTCTCAGGAAAGGAGCAACCGTTTGTGATACTCCATCGGCTCATCTTGGGGCAGAACCAGAAATTGGCTTCAGTTGACCCTATCACGATTACCATTCCTTACCGTGACCCCATAAAACTCATTAATTTCAACCCATCTTCAACACATTTGGTGTGTTGCACAGTATGGGAGTCACGCTACTTGGTTATTAAGCTTCGTAGCAACGAACTCTCCGATAATTACAGAAGACCTCGGTTGATCTGGTCCGACTTGAGTATCAAGTCCCAACGTCGCCACAGTGAGCTTGAAGGAGTGGCTGCTGCAGATGCTCAGGACCAATTGATGATGGGGCACGAGGGTATCACCGACCTTCAGTTTGGTTCCAGATACTCCAACACTGTCATCATCACGTCGTGTTCGCTCAAGAGCCGTCCTCCATTGGTTATACGGCTCGATGGGCCCTTGATCGATTCCAACAGAACGCAATCGGTTGCAGTTTCCGATACATACAGTATTCAGAACAGTATGAATAGTGTGGAGGAGGAAGACTTTTCTAGTGTCAACTCGGCCGAGGTGATTCTCAAGTTATCGGAAGTGGGATCTTCTGCTCACAGGACCGCCCTTTCACCAAGAGGAGATGGCATTGTATTTGTGAACAAGGACGGGTCCATCTACTTGGTGAGCACTCCCAACTTGAATTCGTCTGCGCTTACGTCTACGAACAAGAGGGTGGTGGTTTTGTTGGGAGAAGTGGCCAATGCTGAGAGATTTACCGAGGCTGCTTCTATTAAGTTCAGTGCTGATGGAAGTAAGATATTTACGGTGGACAGGAAGGGGACGTTTTCGGTGTTCGACTTCACTAAAGGTGTTCCTGGCGAGGACGTGGATGTTGTCAAGTGTAAGTTGATAAATGTATAACCTACAATATACGGGACTGCAATGCATCATTCGATGGGCCTAGATTAGGGCAAATGTAGCAACTAATTAGCCTAGATCTGTCAGTAGCTTTCATGCTACGTTTCCTTGCCCACCCCGGAAAAAGGGCTGGAATTTCACCTCGGACTTGCGTAGATCAGCTGCAAGCCCTCGTACCGGCGAGTACGAGATAGAAATTCTATACTAAAATAGATGGGCACATGGTGGTGGTGGTTTTTATAGGGTGGGTGTTTTACAAGCCATGCTTCAGTACATGATCTACACGGCTATGGTTCGGAGTTCGGGGCCGAAGCCCACACAAGCCCTCCTCACCAGCCCTCCATTCGCTTATTTTAGCTCGTTTGGTGCTGCTGACGCCCATAACCGCTCCACCACGCCCATCTCCTTCACTAACCGAGCCATCGCGAGCCACACAAAAATTTTCGTGCTCACACCATAATAATCACATATAACTCAGGCATTCCATCCTACTTCTTTCTTCAACCAGAATGACTGCCCCTCCACCTTTGTACGAATCCTCGCTCGACCTCATCGGTAACACTCCGTTGATCCAGCTCAACCGTATTCCTCAATCCTATGGAATCAAGGCCAAGATCTACGCTAAAGTTGAATTGTTCAACGCTGGTGGTTCCATTAAGGACAGAATCGCCAAGAACATGGTGTTAGAGGCTGAAAAGCAGGGCAGAATTAAGCCAGGCTACACCTTGATCGAGCCTACCTCCGGTAACACCGGTATCGGGTTGGCATTGGTCGGTGCTGTCAGGGGATACAGAACTATCATCACCTTGCCAGAGAAGATGTCCAACGAGAAAGTTTCTGTGTTGAAGGCCTTGGGTGCTGAGATCATCAGAACCCCAACCGAGGCTGCCTGGGACGCCCCTGAGTCGCATATCGGTGTGGCTCGTAAGTTGGAAAAGGAGATCCCTAACTCGGTCATTTTGGACCAATACGCCAATGAGGCCAATCCAAATGCCCACTACTACGGTACTGGTTTTGAAATCTGGGACCAAACCAAGGGTAAGGTCACCCACCTTGTTGCTGGTGCTGGTACTGGTGGTACAATCAGTGGTATCTCCCGCTACTTGAAGGAACAGAACCCCAAGATTAAGGTCGTCGGTGCTGATCCTCATGGATCCATCTTGGCCCAGCCAGAATCTTTGAACACCTCGACCGAAGGCTACATGGTCGAAGGTATCGGTTACGATTTCATTCCAGACGTCTTGAACAGAGAATATGTCGACTCGTGGCTCAAGACTGACGATGCCGAGTCCTTCAAGTTGGCCAGAAGAATCATCAGAGAAGAAGGTATCTTAGTTGGTGGCTCCTCGGGCTCTGCATTGCAAGCTGCTTTGACTGTGGCCAAGGACTTGACTGAAGACGATGTCTTGGTTGTTGTCTTCCCAGACTCCATCAGATCTTACTTGTCCAAGTTTGCTGATGATGAATGGATGCAAACCAACGGATTCCAAGTTGAAGAGACCAACGTTGCTGCCGACAAGGCTGACGACTTCTTGCACAAGCATACCATTAAGGATTTGGTTGCCGACAAGGCCCCTGTTGTGACTGTCACTTTAGCTGATACCGTTGAAAAGACCTTCAACTTATTGCAATCTAACGGCTTTGACCAATTGCCAGTGTTGAACTCGTCCGGAAAGTTGGTCGGTTTAGTCACCTTGTCCAAGATTTTGAAGAGTTTGTCCACCAAGAAGGTCCAAATGACTAACTCCATCAAGTCCATCATCATTGATTTTAGAAAGTTGAACGACTTCGAAAAGTCCTTCAACATCACCAAGGAATCTGGTTTCACCAAAAGATCCTACGAACCAATCACCCTCGAAACTAGCTTGTCTTTGTTGAACAAGTTTTTCGAAACCAACTCCAACGCAATCATCACTGACGATGATTACAAGCCAGTCCAAATCGTCACCAAGGTCGATTTGATTTCTTTCTTGACTAAGAACATTCAGTATTAGGTTTAACGTTTAATGAACTCGGATAGATAGGCATTTTTGGCCCGGTTATAGATGGCCAACGTTACTGGTTGTATGGGCCATAGTACGTTACTTATATATTGTCTAGTTAGAGAAACCCCTATGCATGTATAATAATAATATTGGAAAAGGAATATTAGGAAGCCATTGGCACAAAGGTAGCATTTAGTTGTTAACATTATAATACAGGTCTATACACATGTGGTTCACGAAGTATAGAGGGTATACTCACCAGCAAAAGTCGTGAATTGGAATACTCCACAAGGGAGTCTTGGTAAGGCGTTGATTAGGAGAATTTCCATCTGTTACCACAATTCTCACAAGTACAGAAAGTAGTCAAAGGTTCATCCGCAGATCTAGTTTGCATTTGATAGTAACTGACCTTCTTGTGCTTACACTTACCACATGTAAATCTATCAGTAACAGCTCTCTTCTCGGTAGCACCTTGGGCATCAAATAAGTTTTGCTTGTGCAACTTCTCGATCTCCTTTTTCAAGGCCTCTGGTGCCATTTCACTAGGAGTCATTTTGATAAAAGCAGATGGAGAAATAGCCTTGCTTAATAATCTTTCTCTAAGTTCAGGGTTCTTTTTGTTTCTAAGATTCATGGTGAAGGTACGCAATTTGTTTCTATAGCTGTCATTAACAGCAGAGTACTCACTTTTGAATACTTCACTCTCTATAGCAGTAGCAATCGATATGATATGCGAGGGTGCGTCGTCACGCTCAATGGCCAAAGCGGTGTACAATGCGCTAACAGAAGCATTCCTGGTAGTATTATCATACAACTCAGTCCTGACTCCATCAGTCTTGGGATTTCTATTACCCCTGTGGAATTTGCTGTCGGTAGATCCTGCTGCGGGAGAGCCAGAACCACCAGTTGGAGAGCCAGACCCAGCAGACTTCGAGTCATTTGGTCCGGTTGGACTGGCATTTCCGCCATTGCTTCCCTTTTTCTTCTTTTCATTTTGAACAGATTCTCTCCAGTTTCTAATCATTTTCTTAACTAAGGAGTTGATTTCTCCATTGCTGTGGGATCTGTATTTGTTGACTGCTACACCTACTTTGGTTTCTCTCAAGAGCTTCTCAGTTGGTTGCACACCATCACTAAGGATATTCAAAAGCTTTAAAATAGTAGCATCGTCGGATGCCTTCTCAAGGTTCGAGATGGTCGATTTGATTTCTTTGGCGTCCATTTGGTATCCTACGTGGTGGGGTCGGTTGAAATTGTTATCAAGTAAAATTTTGACTGATACTCCAGACAAATTAGCTCACGTGACTACATACGCGCTGGGAGCCACCCATCACTAATTCTGCTGGTATCGATGATGATGTGCTAAGGTTGTTTAGTCATTGCTTTAGACACTCAGCATTTACAACATCCCATAATCATGAACTTCGGAAGTGGAACCAGTGTGAGCATCGGGAAGTTCCCTTTTGAATACTCAGAGCAGCAGGTTTTGGACATCGCCAAATCAATCGGGCCAGTGCAAGACTTGAAACTTATGTTCGACGAAATGACAGGAAAGTCCAAGGGAACTGCCATAGTCGACTACGGCGACCATGAAACTGCGGCTAGTGCTGTCAGAAATCTCAACTATATGGCATTGCCTAATGGGAGATTCTTGAAATGCGCATTTACCGACGAAGAGGAAGAGAGGGAAAGATTGCCCCCACTTCCATTGGGAATTCAGATCCAACCAAACCAGACTGCTTCAGGCGTGATTTCAAACGTGGCCAACAGCATTGACCAGGCTTCGGCACTTCAAATATTGAAGGAGGCGAAGAAATTGAGTGTCGACAATCCTGGAATGGCCCAAACATTGTTGGAACAATTCCCTCAATTATCGCATGCATTGGTGGAGTTAAGCTTGATCACCTCAACCACAAACCGTGATTTGATCGAGCTTGCTTTGAACAAAAGAAAGCCTGTGCTCACTGAAGTAACCGCAGATCACGCGAAATTACTCAAAGATGTCAACAACTTGAAGGAGGACGAATTGGAGGCATTAGATGAAAGCCAGAGAAAGGTGATAGAGGATATCAAGAAGGAGATTAGTGAAGGGACCTATGGTCAAGTTGTTTAGGCCTTTGTTCTGATGTGCCGCCCCATCCGGTTCCAGGTGGCCGTTTATTGTTCTGATTGTTCTAGATGACAAGTGGCCTAAATATGGACCGAAAGCCACTCCGGATAAACCATGCCTGGCGTCGCCACCGGTGGCAGTATTAGGTTAAGCAACAATATGTGGGAAGAAGCTTTTCACATGCATGTTGGTCGCACGTGACTGTTGGCATATTTCAGGCTCCTACTTGATGGGTAGCCACTATAAGTAGCCTGCCAGGTCTTTGCCTGAGAGTTTCTCTACCATAATTGCCACCATGACGAAGACCAAAGAAGAAATCCATGCCCAATTTGACTCGGAATTTCTTGACCTCGAGTCGATGATCATTGATATTGTTGACCACCAGACCCAGCTAGTCTACGCTAGAGACATGGAAGAGATGCCTCAACAATTACATTTCGTGCTTCCCGAATACTCGACATACGTGCTTACTGTCAAGTACAAGGTGAAGAAGAGAGACCTTGGAAAGCTCACCTATCATCAGGTAGTGCGCAAGCATGGCATTCCTTTCAAAACCAGAAACGAGGATGTGACCAAGAACGCGGTTATTACCGAATGCCCAAAGTCTCCCCACTCGGTGACATTTGCTCCCGATACCTTACCAGGAGGTCCATTCATAAGGGGCACTTATGACGCCTCCAGTCACTTCGAAGAGCAGGGTCAGAAGCTTTTGAGTGTGCCTTGGAAGATCGAGATTGTCAAAAAGAATGTCAAGCCTCGAATTGATGGTTACTACAGCTAGATTAGTTTGATTCAATACAAATAAATACATATAAATACATTTAAATACATTTCTTGCCTATAGCCACGAGTTGCCATTTCCATCCACAGTGACTGATAACGTCTTGTGCGGAGTGACCGGTAGAGCCGGTCACGTGCAGGATCTACCACACGACCACACTATTTAAATCACCCTTAGTGGAAACCCTAGTCCGTGACTACTATCAAATACAACAAGATGACATCTCCCAAAAGACGGATGGAAAAGGATGTAATGGAGCTCATGATGAGTGACCATGAAGTCTCGTTGATTCAAGATTCTATCCAGCAATTCTTTGTCATCTTTAAAGGGCCTGGCGACACTCCGTACGTCGGAGGTACCTGGAAGATTAGAGTAGAATTGCCTGACCAGTACCCCATCAAATCCCCTTCTATTGGGTTCACCAACAAGATCTATCACCCCAATATCGATGAGGGCTCGGGCTCAGTTTGTCTTGATGTGATTAATCAAACCTGGCTGCCAATGTTCGGGTTGTTGAACATCTTTGAGAACTTCTTGCCTCACTTGTTGCGCTATGCCAACCCCAGCGATCCTTTGAATACTGAAGCCTCGACCTTGATGACTAAGGACGAGGCGAAGTATACTGATACTGTCAAGCATTACGTACAGAAGTATGCCAAGAATGTGACACTCGATGATGACGAGGTCAACGGCAAAGATGGTGAAGATGACGAAGATGACGAGCTCAGCGACGTAGGAAGCTTATCGAGTGATGACGAAGAAGAAGAAGCAGTGGGAGCACTCGATTTGTGAGCTAAAGCTGGCCAAAAATTGCTTGTGCAAGCTACGATTTATGTCAAAACTTCAATTACCTCTTAGGACCCTAACTTCGCATTGGATTTGGTACTGGATTACTTTATTTCCCCTAATAGATGTCATAGTAGAGTTGTCATTGTAGTCTGGAGTCATGCACTCTGTATCCTCGCTTATGTAATTAGCCCTTGATTCTTAAGTAATCGCTTGCCTGCATAACTCTCATCTAATGCCAGACACTCTAATCCATCAAACATACTTTGGCAATGGATAGGAACGGTAAGGTAAAGACGGAGGCTGAACAAGACCCTCAGCCTGTGAAAAAGCAGCAAGTATCCAATGATGACCTTTATCGCAGATCTACCCAGTATGAAATGTGGTCGTATACTGCTGAATCATTTGAAGAAACAAGAAGGAAAGCCAATGAAAGTGGTCGGAAGGCTGCCACTGAAAAGTTTAATGAAGTATTTGAGTCCATCAGACAGAAGTCACCCGAACCTTTTGAAAAGTTCAAAGAGGAACTCAATCCTGAGAAGCTTCTTGACCTTTTAACTTATGAGGAAGAAACCAAATATTTGCATTACTACAGCAGAAGTATCATACAAACATGCAATCATTTTAAAATGCCCACCCAAGTAAGAGCCACTGCTGTGTCATTTTTCAAGAAATTCTACCTTGTTCAATCCGTCAGCGAGTATCATCCCAAGAACATTCTATATACATGCGTGTTTTTGGCAGCGAAATCCGAAAATTACTTCATATCTATTGAGTCCTTCGTCAAAGCATTAGTCAAAGTGCTGACAAAGGACATTTTGGATCTCGAATTTATCGTGCTTCAAAGCTTAAAATTCACATTGATGGTGCATCATCCGTTCAGACCGTTGTATGGGTTCTTCTTGGACTCACAAGCTGTGCTATTACATCCATCACCCTTGATGTACGATGTGAACATTGACACACTTGGATCATTATACGACAAATCCAAAAAATGGTTAAATGACTATGCATTGTTGAGTGATGTGGCATTCCTTTTCACACCTCCCCAGATTGCATTGGCTGCGATGTACGATATCGACAAAAGAATCACTGACAGGTACTTAAAGAAAGTATTCCTCAAGGAGCAGAAGCTCGAGGTGATAGATGAAGAGCCAAAAGAAAGCGGGTTTATTAAGAAGGAGGAACCCGAGGAAGCGGAAGGTGTGGAGCCAAAGGAAGATAAGAAAGACCCTCAAAGAGAGCAGTACGAAACCTTGGTCAAAACCATCCGGAGATGCATAAGGATAGCAAAGCAAATTCCTGAAACAACTAAGGAAGAGAGTAAGAATATCGATAAGAAGTGTTTCTTCACCTTGAACCCTACAAGATTGATTGAAAAGAGAGTGACAAAATTGTCCAGCCCTAGCCCTGAGATAAAGCAAGAGGCTGCTTAACTATTGCTAAGGGAACATGAACATTGTATAGACTACCAAACTATTGGCACATTCATTATTCTCTAATGTATGATAGACTCCCAGCTGTACTCAAATAATTTGTATATAGCTGCCCTTTGCCATTTTGGCCATATTGGTGCCTTTATCTTCTCGGTTCTTACGGGGCACGGTTCCCATCGTCCCCGATTTGATTGTCTCTCCGCGCCCATCCAACCGCGTTACTAATCTGGGGAACCGCTAAAATCGCATTTTGCAATACAGCAAAGTTCATATCAGATATCAATTGAGTATTAGCATCACAAGTATCATTTAAGTAGTGCTATATCCTTCTCATTCCCAGTATCTCCATCTATTCTAGCCTCTGCAGCAGCAATTGATCATGTTTAGGAATGCAGTGGTATTCAAAAGGTGGTGTTTGGCCCAGTCCTCAAGACAAGTGTTGGACGGGTTGAAGAACCAGGAATTGATAAGAACAAACGGATACATCAATGGCAAGTGGGTCGAGAGCTCCAGTGGTGAGACCTTCGCCGTGACGGACCCAGCTATATATCCTAAAGAGTCTGCCTTTATCGCAGAAGTGTCGTCCATGAGCGTCAATGATTACGAAACAGCAATTCAGGCTGCCCATGATTCTTTCAAGTCGTTCAAGAAAACCACCGGCAGGTATAGGTCAGAGCTATTGCTCAATCTCTACCGCTTAATGATCGAAAATCAGGATGATTTGGCCAAGCTTATTGTTTTGGAAAATGGTAAGCCTTACGCAGATGCCTTAGGAGAAGTCAAATACGCAGCTTCCTTCTTCCAGTGGTTCTCTGAAGAAGCCCCAAGAATAGGAGGGGATGTTATTGATTCCCAAAACTACGGAAATAAGATTATTACCTTGAAACAGCCAGTTGGGGTTGCTGGTATTTTGACACCTTGGAACTTCCCTAGTGCCATGATCACTAGAAAATTGGCAGCTGCTGTTTCCACTGGGTGTACCACTGTCATTAAGCCTGCATCTGAAACCCCTTTATCTGCTCTTCTGTTAGCATACTTGGCTGAGAAGGCTGGGTTTCCTGCTGGAGTGGTGAATGTTTTGCCAAGTCACGATTCTTCAGGAGTCGGAAGGGTAATGTGTGAACATCCATTGGTGAAAAAAGTTTCCTTTACTGGGTCCACTAACGTTGGAAAGCTCTTGATGTCTCAATCGTCGTCTACTCTCAAGAAGTTATCTTTTGAATTAGGTGGTAATGCCCCATTCATAGTTTTTGAAGATGCTGATGTTGATGCAGCTATTACAGGTGCCCTTATCTCCAAATTCAGATCAAGCGGACAAACATGTGTTTGTGCTAACAGAATATTTGTTCATGAGTCAGTGTATGACGAGTTCACCGAGAAGTTTGTTAAATTAATTAACGAGAAAACTAAATTAGGATATGGGCTCGAAGAGGGTATTACACATGGCCCAGTTATCCACGACCGCTCTTTTGCTAAAGTGAGATCGCATATTGATGATGCTATTTCCAAGGGTGCAAAACTTCTTGCGGGCGGTAATCCACGCCCAGATCTTGGAGAAAATTTCCACGAGTTGACTATTTTAGGAGACGTCACCAGTGACATGCTCATTTCTCAAGAGGAAACTTTTGGGCCAGTTGCTCCAATTATCAAATTTAGCACTGAGGAAGAGGTAATTCAATTTGCAAATGACACCGATGTCGGATTAGCAGGTTACTTCTTCTCTAGAGATGTTGGAAGAATCTTCAGAGTTGCTGAGGACCTTGAAGTTGGGATGATTGGTGTCAATACTGGGGCAATCTCTGAATCGGCATTGCCCTTTGGAGGTATTAAACATTCTGGATTCGGCAGAGAAGGTTCGAAGTATGGTGCCGATGAATACACAGTTGTCAAGAGTGTTGTTTTAGGAGGGATTAGATAATAGCGAAATGTTCATTAGTTGATATGATAATATACATTGTAAAATACATTCTAGGATGTTATGCAAGTCCCCTAGTATTCCATGTTGTCAGGATTTTGCACATACATGACTTGGTCTGGCACGGCGTTGATATCCAATTCTGGATAAGTAATTCCATCGCCTGAATAGGAAAGATGATCATTAGTTGGTTCAATCAGGATTTGTCTAGATTCATCGGGAATGATAGGTTGACTGATTGCTGAATATACGTCTTCTACGATCTTTTCGTATGGAGTGTAATCTGGATTCTGCACATCTTCAAACACTTCAGGCTTGACTTGAGGTCTATCCGCAATGTCAGGAATTGAATATTCTTCATTACTGAATGTGATCAACTTGGAGGGATTAGTTTCGGCATAATTCTTCTGTAACTCCTCACCAATCTCTTTAATAGAGCCTTTGCTCTCTAATATTTGTTGAAGTTTGAACTGAAGTTCGTCGACATCATTTCCTTCATCAATACCTTGGGCGTGGGCGTTTTTCAATTCGGTAACTTCCCTCTGTAAGTCGTTCAATACTTTGGCGGCATCAAACTTGTTGTCATTAATTCTGGATAACTCCAAATCATCATTCTTTCTGATAAGTGCTCGTCTAATGAGGTCGGATTTCTCAACATATTCAGCACTGTTGGTAGACTTGAAAGTCAAAGAAAGCAAACCGCCCTCTGCCGTTACACCGTTGACTATTGAGGATGGGAAGTTTTTAAGAGATGCAGGAGCTGGCTCATACTTTGTTGGAGGCACGCTTGAAGCTGCACGCTTGGTATCTACCAGGAATTTCTCGATTTTGTATGGATGTGCCATTGTGGGTGCGGTACAGTGTTTGGAATTATATTTCGTCTTCACTCTCAAATAGGTGGTGCGCGCACGTCCCAATATCAGATCCGAGATACAATAACCTCTTATACCTCATACATTTCCTCATATATAGTACATTATATTCACAATGCCGACTTATAATCTATTAAATAAACACAGTAGTGCAGAAGTAAATTAAATCAATGTCCATAGGAACATATCCCCAATCATTGATGGTATAATATTCCGTTAATATCGAGTGGAACAAAGATCAACCAACTGTTTCCATTAACGAAGCCTCAATCCCATCTATTAAACTGTCAATATCTTCGACTTTCAATCCACAACTCAAGCTAATCAATTTTCTATATTTGTACATCTTGCTATCAATGCCAAAGTTCGTTACACCATGAGCAAGCTGCTCCAAAAGATTGTTTCTTTCAATCTGTAATTTGGTTAATTCTACTGCATGGTTCAATTTCTCTTCCATATTGATATCATCATCGCTATCGTTGTCAATAGCTTCTATTTTCTCCTCTTCCTGTTGCACCAAGGCAACGACTTCGCTAGAGTTATTATTTTGCATACGCGCCAATAAAAGGTCTCTTCTTGAATTTGCCTGTTGTTTGCAGTGGCTGACTTCATTCTCTAATAACTCCTTGCCCTCATCGATAGATCCAAAGTTTTCAATACCAGATTTGCCCAAAACCTTCTGGAAACTAGCCAATGACTCGTTGTTCTTCTCCTCCTTCTCCTTCAACTTCTGAGTCAAAATTTTAGAGTCTGCTTCCAATTTCTTCATTTCTTGCTCATAAGAGTCGGAAAAGGAATTTATCATCCCTGTAATCATCGAGGATAAATCAATCATGGGCAATTTTGAAACCTTATCAGCTTCATCGTCCAGTTCATCCTCAACAATTTGTCCAACTTCATCCAATTTTGGAGGTTTGGGCTTATAAGCATGTTGTACTGAGAAGTTTTCGAGTGATTTTCTATCCTCCCTGATTGGAGTACTCTCCACAGTTCTTTCAGTTATCAGAGCCAATTGCTCGTGTGGAGTCTGGTGAGAGATAACTGAACCATTCAATGGGGTAGATTTCTGAATAGGGGTTGATACTGATTCAAAATTCTTAATACCTGTCATCGAGTTCTCCATAAAGATGTTTTCCTTGTTGTCTTCAGATTTGATGTAAGTTTCCAATTGGGACTTAACCACCCTGGCATTAGTATCATCTTCTTCCATGTCATCTACTTGAATTGTAGTTCTTTGAGTATCTGGTGTTTCAATAGTCCTGCCGCCATAGTTAGGTTGCACAGGAGTAGCCAATACCTGATATTGCTGAGGAACACCATTTGGTACTTGCAATTGATTACTTTGTTGAATGCGTTGTGGGTTCTGCACCTGTATTTGTGAAGGCTGTAACTGCGGAACTTGAATTGATGCAGAAGGCAGGTTAGAAACTGCTGTAGATTGTAATTCGGATTGATCAGCTGATAAATTGTAGTGCATGATCAACAATTTGGAGGTCTCTTTATGAATGTTTTCGAGATCGTCTCTGGCCCCGTAGTTTAATAATGTTCTCACGATCTTTGAAGAACCGGCTTTTGCTGCTAAATGCAAACATGTATCTCCACTCACGTCCTGATGATCCAAAACATTCTTCAACAAATCTATTTGCTTATTAGAATTTTGGTTCGAAAGACTAGTCAATTTGTTTAAAATCACGTTGAGATAATATCTTAAACTCTCGTACTTTGACTTTACCTTCGCAAATTGACACAAGTAATGCAATGGAGTCCGTCCGTTGATATCAGTATTGATCAAGCATAACTCCAAATCATCCAAAACTTTTGGAAAGTTTTTCATCTCATAACAATTATTAAAGGAAATTAATTTGGATAAGGGATTCAACCCAAAGTTGTTAACCACCAATGGACTTGCACCTTTGGAAAGCAACAAATGTATCATCTGATAATTACCAATGGATGCAGCCCAATGCAATGGAGTATGTCCTTCATCATCAATTGGTTCGTTAATGTTGAAGTCATATGGTGGATTATGAACAAAATATGGTATGTCAGAATTGTCATCACTGAAAAATTTCAAAAGTTGAGCAGCGTATGTGTCATCTCCCTCCGGTGATCTGTTCACATCCAATTTATCTTTACGGTGTCCATGGATTTGTTTATTTGAATTTGGATCCTCGTTGGATGAAAGTGAAGTGTCACTATCCCTTGTTTGATGATTATTGGAAATCTCGTCTTGAGACCAATTCGTTTCGTTGGTTGATTGAGACAGAGTATGCTTGGTATGCTGAAAGTTTCCCATCAAATGAGGTTGCTGTACACCGTTGGGTTGACCGTATTGTATGGGGTACTGCTGCAGCTGTTGTTGTTGCTGTTGTTGTTGAAGACGATACTGCATTTGGTAATTTTGGAACTCGTTCTGCACCATTTGATTATGAGCTGTGAAGTTGGGCACTTGATTGATGCTACCGTTTGGCATTTGCATCGAACCATTCATACCGTTTGTGCCGATGAACTCCGACTGTTGGAAAGTTGGAGGTAATTGATGTTGAGAAGCATACTTCCCGTTGGGCAATTGAAACATTTGCAGGTTCTGAATGTATTGACTTTGGGAAGTTTGAAAGGAATTCAGTCTTGAAATTGAATTGAACGAGTCTTGAGAATTGAAAGGGTCCTGATCAGCAGCCAGTGCTGGTTGGCCCCCTGTTTTATATTTCTTGGTTGGTGTGTCACCCAACTTCTTATTTTTCTTGGTGTACTTTCTCTTTACCGGAGTGGGCTCCTTTGCTGAGGCCTTGAGCTTCTCGGGAATATGTAAGTTGGGGTCAGTAACATCAAGATACAATACCGGGGCCGCTTCTGGTGCCAAACCGTACTCTGCAGCGAGTTTCTGGGCATCGGGCAACGGGATCCAGGTGCCCTGGAATCTTCCAAACCCACCCTGGATCTTCTCGTGCAATCCTTGTTGCACGCCCTTTTCCAAGATTTTGGTTCTTTTGGCCTTGGGGAAGTTGCAGCACTTGAGGATCTGGGTGGCGTTGACCCAGTCGTCCTTGCATCTTCTCATGATGGGGAATTCGTTGAACGTGCACTCAAACACATCGGTCTTGGGGTTAGTAAAAACGCGTCATTGGGCAAGCATTGCGGATTCGCATCAAACAGGGAGTAGGGGGTTGGCAGTACTTACGCTTGAATACGTGGCACGGTACACCTTAGGATCACTCTGAGACATCCTAACGTGGTATTTCCAATTTGCAGTGTAGTCTCCGTAGAAGAACGGTATAGATAGACGATTTATGCTGGCGAGGGTGAAAATTTATTTGGACGCGTGAGACGTATGCAGGAGATAGTCCTGGGGTGGGCTTGACTACTCAACTAGAGCAAGAGAGGGGAGCCCCATGACGAGCAAGGGGCAACTACCCTTCCATTGTGATGGTTGGGGCTGTCCGTACGGGCACTGCTACAGAGGAAGACCAGGCATTTTTGGGTGCCCGGCGACAACACCGCCGGACTCCACCACCAGATACCAATGCCAGAATCATGCCCAGCGCTATCAGGCAACTGGGATGCGTACTGTGGGTAATATGTGGGATTAGGCCACTAGTGCTTCTATTCATGCTAGTAATTTTCCCGATCGGGCAGGGGGGCCTGGGGAACGGCGGTCACGTGGTGAGCCACCCGATGGCCAGACGCGTCCACTCTGATTCGGGGGTTTCCGCCTGGTACGCCTGAGTGTAGACCCGGATTCTGTCTGCTACTGACACCCCGTTCCACACCTCGGTGCCGGGTTCGCGCCTAGGCACCCCCAACCTCTCTATGACGCAGCCACTGGCGACGTTGCCGCAAATGGCCGCAGTGAGCCAGTCACCGTGGGACAACTCGAATGCCACTCCAAACGCCCCGCAGAACGTGTTGCCCCCACCGGTGACATCTACCACTTTGGTCTGGTCTTGGTGGTAGGCAGGAAGGTGTGCTTTGAGACCATCCACCGTGTGGATGTAGCATCCGTCGGCACCACAGCGGACGAGGGTGCCGGAGTTAGGGATCTTCATGTGTTGCTGAAACTGGCTGGTGACAACCAGGTAGTCTGTTGCGGGTTTGTCGACTCCAAGCAAAGCACAGGCCTCGTCCAAGTTGGGCGTAAACACATCGATTTTTTGCAACACTCGGGCCAAGAGCTCCATTCGCTCCGGCACACAGTCGGCTGGAAACGGCTCAAACACGTACACTGGCGGTGTTGCCACCTCCAGGTTGATGGTGTCGATGATCTGCTCGGCCCTCTCGACGGTGCAGCACATGTGGAACACCCGCGAGCCCAAGAGCCAGGGGTTTGCCACCACGTCGCGGGCCTCGATGCGGATCTTACTGGTTCTGAACTCAAAATGGCGGATGTCGTCGATGTAGATGTTGGCACCTCGAGTGGTCAATCGCGTGGGATCGGTGCGGAACACCATGCCAGTGTCCCAAGAGGCCAACTCTTTGTCGACGGCTGGTGGGAAGTCGGAGCCCCTGTCGATAATGCCTGTGATGCGGTGGCCATACTGAGGGCCACTGATGATCCGGCCGCCCACAAGCGCGTACGAGGCTCCACCGCCAATGATGTCGTGCTCCGACGGTCTATCAGTTCCGGGGTAGAGGTTGTCGTCAATGACGAACAACCCAAGCGTGGTGAAGATGGGAGGATCCATGGTGGTAGCGATAAGCTGGTGCGAATGGTGGATATCTGGAGAGTGAGCATCACGTGGTGCCATGATCATCAGCCAGTGACACGCAGAACCAGTAAGGTGCAACCATAACAGTTATTAGGTAGTCACCGAGTCATAGATGCTATTAGATTAAAGATTATCAGTGGCACCGACTGATAGATGTTACTAGGGTAAGGATTAATGGTTTCAATTGATAAATTAGTTATTAGATGTAAAATTAAAAGTATGGCCAGCTGATCATTCAGATATGAGAGGATATATTACTAGCCAAATGATGAGTGATAGTAGTTACCAACACGTAGCTGAGTTGTTAAAGAAGTAGTGGTTATTAGTATTTAGGTCAGTAGTTAGAGCGTGGTGCTATTAGGGTAAGTATTAGTAGTTACTGAGTGATAGGCCATTACTGGAAATAGTAGTATCACTAATTGATGGATCTGTTATTGCTAAATATTGGTTCCCTGGTGGATCAATGATTAGAGTGATATTTCCATTACATGATAGAAAGTGATAGATATGCTACTTGAGTATTAGAATAAGATGCATCAACAGAACCTTGCTTTACCAATTAAGCTACTTCACAACAGTTCGATGAATTATAAGAGAACTCTTTTTAGTATGGCGAACAGTTAGATCTATTAGTAGAGTAATATTCTGAGTACCAGCAGCTAGATCCATCCTTCGGTAAAGATGCTAATTACCAACTCGTTGTTCAATTATTAGACTAATATTCTTAATTAACATCCGATAGATCACCAGAGATTCCTCTCATTCTGGTATTTGGAAGAATGGGAACGTACTATTTTACCCAATTGTTACTCTATGTTCCACTATGCCCGCATAATTTCCCTTCAATGCTTTCCTCGGCTGGGCAATCGTCCCCAGCCATAATTTAACATTTTATAACTACCTAGACATAAAATGTGAGTACCCTGGTGGATGTCAGTCATTTCCACCAAACGCTCCACCTGACTTACAACTCCATCACCCCAATCCTGTTATTCCACGTACCTGGTTGGCTGGACCACCTAGTACTAAATCGCCCATCCTCGCTACACCTTCAACTATCTCTGGCTAGACTATGCACCATAACTGCACCGCACTCGCAAGAAACATCGTCCCCTCCTCTTGGCGGCGTGCCGGCCGCACTCGCACAGCCCTGCATAACCTCACAAGCACAAATTACAGTATATAACATCACCAGTTTCCCCTCCACATCCCCAAATCACAATGGCTGTTAGTACCAGTGCAGTGGCGGGCATCGTCTCGGGTAGAAACCCGTTGGAGTACTCGGCCCTGAGTCCCTACACTCTTTTCTTGTTCCAAGCCGTGTTGATTATTGTTGTGTGCCATGTCATCCACTACCCCTTGGGCAAGCTCCAGCAGCCACGGGTCATCGCAGAGGTCATCACCGGCATCATCTTGGGTCCCTCGGTCATGGGCCATGTGCCTGGATTCACCAGCAACTGTTTTCCCCAGGCATCCATCTCTGGTCTCACCCTCTTTGCCAACATCGGTATCATCTTATTCTTGTTTATTGTCGGTTTGGAGGTCGATATTGGCTTCATCAAGAAAAACTTTAGGGTGGCCATGTCAGTGGGTTTGATCAACATGGCCGTTCCTTTCGGCCTTGGATGTGCCATCTCGGTGGGTATTTACAATCAGTACCACGATGCATCCAATGCGGCTGTCAGCTTCACCACCTACATGACCTTCATCGCCGTGGCCATGTGCATCACCGCCTTCCCCGTCTTGGCCCGTATTTTGACCGAACTCAACTTGATCGGTGACAGAGTCGGTGTGATTGTTTTGGCTGCTGGTATTGCAAACGATTTGACCGGCTGGATCTTGTTGGCTTTGGTTGTAGTTTTGGCTAACGCCTCATCGGGTGTCAAAACCGTCTACATCCTTTTGCTTACTGCTGGTTGGTTCCTTTTCTTGTGCTATCCCGTCAGAATTGCAATGAAGTTCATTATTCGCAGGTTCACAAACGACTTGTCGACTGGCGAACCTTCCCAGTTATCGATGGTCGTGATCTTGTTGACTGTTTTTGTTTCTGCTTTCTTCACCGATATCATTGGAGTCCATCCAATTTTTGGTGCCTTCATGGCTGGTGTTATAGTCCCCAGAGATAACGGCTATGTCGTCAAAATTACAGAAAAATTGGAGGACCTTGTTCATATCGTGTTGATTCCACTCTATTTTGCCCTTGCTGGTTTGGCCGTAAACTTGGGTTTATTGAACACTGGCATTGATTGGGGTTATACCATCGGTATTTTGTGTCTTGCCATGGTTGGTAAAGTTAGTGGTGGATTCGTGGCTGCAAAATTAAACGGTTTACTATGGACAGAATCTCTTGCTGTTGGTGTTCTCATGTCTTGCAAAGGTATCGTGGAAATTGTGGTGTTGAATGTTGGTTTGAACGCAAGAATCATTTCTCAGAAGGTTTATTCCATGTTCGTTGTCATGGCTTTGGTTACAACATTCTTAACAACACCTTTGGCATTATGGGTTTACCCCGTTTCCTACCGTGAAAAGAGAGACAAGTTCATCAAAGGAGAAATCAACTGGGATGGCACTCACGTCACCGCTGAACAATTGAGTGACGGTGATTCATATCACTCTAGATTGGTTGATGAAAATGGACCACATATTATACCCTTGAGTGAATATGAAATAAAAGATTTGCCACAGTACAGACTATCAAAGATTGTCCTTCTATTAAAAAAGATTGATACTATCTCGTATTTAATGGCGTTCATCAAGACGTTTAATGATCCTGTATCAACCGATATCAAAGCAATCCATTTGAGAGAGTTTTCTTCCCGAACTTCCCATCTTATTGAAGCATCATCTTCAAGTGCATATGAGGATGAAGAAAAAGTAGTGAATGCATCCAATCAGTTCGAATATAATAATTCGTCCTCAATTTTATCGATAGTGAAGTCCTTTGCAGACATTCTTGGTATGACCTGTACGTCTAGGTCTATATTATCTACCTTCAAGAACCACATATTTTCTATCAATGAGCAGATTGCGGCACCCACCGAATTTTTGATTACAACTATCAAGTTAAACCAATTATCAAATGATTTCTATGACTCCCTTCTTTACAAACAACTATTCCAACAAAGTGAGTGTCATTTTGGATTGCTTTTAATTAATGACAGACCTTTGGAGGTGATTGACAACGATCGCATAGGTCATTTACTGAAGGTGAACGAACTTTCTGATCATGAGGATGCTGATCATGAAACTAAGAACAGTTCAGCATATACAGAATCAATCCAAGAATTGCCTAGGGGATTAATAAGTTTCAAGACAATTAGCCTTGTGTTCAATAGTGACAATGTATTAAGTTCCAATGACTTGTTATCATTGCATTTGGTTTACCGATTACTTGCCCGCCAGGGACATTGTCAAGTTAATGTGTTCGTCAAAAGCTCTCCTAGCGCTCACTCTGCGGGATTCGAAAAAGAGATTACGAGCTTTTTGACTTCTAAGAACTCCAAGTTGGTTGTTAAAGTACACAGTGTTACAGACAACTTGGAAGCTTCCATAAAGAAGTACAGCCACAATTTAGTAAACGAATTGTTTATTATTGCTAACAATTCTGTTACTCCAAAATCCGAACTCAGGGTTTCAACTCCTACCAACGAGTCCTTGTTTGAAAACGACATCAACCAATTACTTAACTTGAGTGTCGCTGAATCATTCCACGTCTTAATTGTTAAAGCTTCCTCGCATTAAAGTTCTATACGTAAATTTTTTATGATATTGTATATTTAAATATATTTTTTTGAGATTCACAATTAAACGGTTACATCAGAGGTTGTACTCCTAGCCGCAGTTTGAGCTTGATCTTTCAAGTCCTCGTCATGTTCCTCCATAACGAATGCTTGGACTAAACAAATCACTGCAATGCCGGCAAGAAACACCCAAGATAATTGAGCGCGTCCAACCTTCTCTGATTCAGATATTATATAACCCCAAAGAACGGGACCAACAAATCTAGCAAAAGAAGATCCACTCAAAGCCAGTCCGTTTATAAAAGATCTATGATCTGGAGGGGCAGCTCTATGGATCAACATTGTAATATTTGGGAATGTGATTGCGCTGCAAGTTGAGTTGATGCAGGCTAAAATGTATAAGAAAATTTTGGTCAGACCCTGTGGGAAGATTGGATTATACTCGTGTAAAGTGAAGATCAAGTAGGGTAAAATAATATAGATGAATGGGAAAAAACTGGAAGCAGTTCTATAAGTATGAATAGTTTTGAAGTTTCTGTCAAGATAGGGGAAAATAAAGACAATAGCCAAAGTACCCATGAGACCAGTAACGGATAACAAAGTACCTATATCACTCAATTCAAATCCAAACCCACCCTTAATTTTAAAAGGAAAGTCTAAGTCATCCACCAGCAATTTTCTGGCTAACAAAACTGGCAAGAACTCGGAGTAAACAATGTTGTGCAACGCCGTTAACAAGTTGGCTGTGATGGCTTGAATGACAGCAGGAGTGAAGATTTCGGCATAGGAGTTTTTAACTGTATCTCCCGTATTTGAGCGGGAGAGAGCGGGCCTGTCTTCTCTGGTGGAGTATCGACGGATAATCGCCTGGCTAACGCGTCTTGAGAGTGGCCCAAAGGACTCAACAGAGTTCTGCTCTTCCTCTGAGTCCACACTAAGGGCATCGTCCAGCAATTCCTGGCCATCTGTCCCGTCTATCTGGGCAATCAATGGGGTTTCTTCGTCTGCGATTGGGTCTTCCAACTTTTTGGCCTGCCAAGGTCTGGGTTCTATTTTGAATCCCAACCAAGACCTTATTTGATCTCCGATGTCTAAGCCGATATCTCTTTGATATCTGTACTTCTTGTGTGTTTCTTCAAGGAACAAGAATGCACCTAGAATACTAAACCACAAGAAGACAGCGACCACAACATTGGACAATGCGTAGGGGTACTTCGTTGTGAACCTATCGTAGAAACTGCCGGAGGAGAATATTCTGGGAGTTCCTTCAGAGGGATCGTCCTTTCTTGGTCTTGTCAAGTATTTGGAGCCTCCAAGCATCGGCCCAATGACAAACCCCAAATTCCAAAGAAGAGGTAAGGTGGAGAACGCTGTCGCCTGGTGCCTTCTCTCGGTGGCAACCTCGCCAATTACGGTTCTAAGCACGGCAATGTTGCCGCTAGAGGCCCCCATGCACGATCTGGCGAAGAGTGCAATGTAGTAATTTGGGGCGAACCCAAAAATCAACACCGAGAGAGAGGTGCCGAGAAGTCCGAGCATCAAGATCTTCTTACGCCCATACTTATCGGCTGCAGTTCCCCACTTGACACAGAATAAGAACTGGAAGAATGCAAACGACGCCGCCAAGTACCCCGAGTAGGTGGCGATGTTGGCTTTGTCCTTGGCGATTCCAAAGTCTCGGATCATGAAGTACATGTACGGGAACATCGACGAGAACGCGATGGGCTCAGAGAACCGCATGATACAGATCACGGTCATCTGCCAAAAGGGAAACCCTCTGAACTGTTCCTTGAAGGTGATTTTCGTTTGTGCCATGGTGGTAGAGGGAGCGTTAGGCGGGGTGGACAGAGATAACGATGCTAAGGTGCATGGAACGCGTTATCAAACGAATAGAAGGATGGTGGTAATGCTACGCTGCTGGTGACAGTCTGGTGGTCAGTATATATCTTATCTAAGAAATATTATGACTCTATTCCGTGCGAATGTACGGGTTATTCATAGGTTAGGGTGCACGATCATAAGCGGCATTGCGAGGAAATATTACCTTGGAGACTCGGCAACGGCCGTGTGATTACACTAAATTGGATATTACGCAATGTGGCGGGGGACCCTGCGGAATAGGAGTTGGTGGGGCGGAATTGGGGCCGGTGCCAGCGTATGTTCCTCATCACATGCTGGCTTGCTATGGTGAGATCCCGGCCGTAATAACTGCCAGAGTAGGAGGCTGACCACTGGGCGGTGGATCCCAATTTCGCTAGCCGCGGCGATAACGGAGCATTCCGATTTGAGCCCTGTCATGCGAGATCAAGAATGCAACCGCTTGATGCTGGGTTCGGACATGCCAACCAAGCACAAAATGGGGGAGGTTTGGGGGATAGCATGAGTCTGGAAGCATGGAAGCGTGTTATTGGCTGTACCTTGAAGTTGACATAATATTATTTGCGGATGTCACTTTCGCAGCCGTTCAAAGATTTTCAGAAAATGCTCGTTTTCTAAAAAATTAGTTGTTGTACATTGTGTTCTGAATGTATATTTATCTATTAATTCTCTAAACTTCCACACCCTCCACCTGTTCCCGAGGTTGCAGGTTGATCTCATCCTCATCGTAGTCACCCATGAAAAACGCCTGAACTACGCAGACGATGGCAATGAACGATAGGAAAAACCAGGCCATCTGGATGACTGCGTGTTTTTCACTGATAGACAGAATGGAACCAAAAGTGACTGGGGCCACAAATCTGGCTAATGAACCAATGCTGATGGACTGACTGTTGACGTAGGAACGGTGTTCTTGTCTTGCTGCTCTGTGAGTCAATATGATAAGGTTGGGGAATGCAATGTTGGTGGCCATGGCATTGATGATGGCCAACACGTACAATGCCCCTGTGGTTACCCAAGGAGCGAAAAACGAGTTGTACTCATTTCGGGTGAAAATCAAGTACGGAATAAGAGCGTAGATGATTGGAAACACTAGGGATCCTGCCCGGTATGTGTGAATGGACTTGAAATTGCTGTCAAGGTAAGGGAAACTAAGCACCGCGAAACTCCCCACTATTCCCGTAAGAGAAAGAATAGAGCCGATTTTAGAGGTCTCATACCCGAACCCACCCTTGATATGCCATGGAAACTTAAGGTCTTCAACAAGAAATGGTCCTGCCAACAACACAGGTAAAAACTCGTTATAGATGATGTTATGGAACGCCATCAAAAAGTTTGCTAGAATAACGTTAATGACAGGCTTTGTCCATGCTTTCTTATTGTCGACAATGACTGACTCGGCGGTAGTACTCACACGAGATAACTCGTCAGAATTAGAGTATCTTCTGACAATCGACCCGCCAGCGGCATTGGATTGTTCATATTCGAATGATGCGATAGAATCGTTGTCGTTCTCTTCGATAGTCTCTTCTTGGTATGATGATGTCTTCTGGATCAAAGGAGTGTGCTCAGTCACCTTTCTGAAAGATCTGTTCCATGGCCGAACTGGTACTTTAAACCCAAAGAAAGCCCTGATTTTGTCACCTAAGTCTATCCCGTAGTCTCTCCGATTTTTCAATTTCATGTGGGATTCTTCCATGAACAAAATGGTACATATCAAGCTGAGAAAGGAAAATATGGCCACCACTACATTCGATAATGCATATGGGTATTTTGTGATAAATTTCTCGTAGAAGCTATTGCCTACCAAAACCTGGTCAAGAAGATTAGTGATCATAGGTTGCAGAGCAACTTCCCTGGGCCTGGTTAAGTACTTGGATCCACCGATCATGGGTCCCACGATTGTACCCACACTCCAGATGAGTGGCAAGCATGAGAATGCGAGTGCCTGATGCCTTCTTTCGGTTGCAATTTCGCCAATAATGGTACGAATTACAGCAACATTGCCGTTGGAAAGCCCCATGAAGCATCTGGCACCCATTGCAAACCAGTAGCTGGTAGAAAAGCCAAAGAGGAGTGCAGATACTGTTGTACCTGCCATCCCACAGATTATCACCACCTTTCTGCCGTACCTGTCACTCACACCTGCCCACTTGACACACACCAAGAATTGGCAGATTGCGAAGGAAGCAGCCAAAAACCCAGAGTACCGGGCTATATCGGCCTCATCTTTGGCAATTCCGAAGTCTCTTACCATGAAGTAGATATATGGGAAAAAGGACGAGAATGTGATGGGCTCCGAGAACCGTACGAGGCAGATGACTGTCATCTGCCATACGGGAAATCCCCTCATCTGCTGCTTGAAGGAAAGGGTATTAGTAGAGCTCATTGATGTGGTTGATCCTCCGTAGCTGCGAAATCTCTTCCTATATATCCAGAGTTCTCATTACAAGATTTGCGGTAACAGACAGATTTCAGGTACGATCCATGAGCTTGACGGACAACATAATGGTGCTGCCGTGGCTGATGGGGGAGAAGTTCATCAATGCTACCCAAGATCTTCATGCCAAGTTCCGGAACATTTGCGCAGCGCCAATCACTACCCAAAAAATGTCTCCTGCATAGTTATAATGATCTGCCTAGTCATCTCCAGTAAATGAATCAAGTACTGTACAGCATTATGTACCCCAGGAACAATAGAAGGCGCAAATAAGCGATCTCAGTCTTCCCCACCTAAGATCGCCGGGTTGTCCACTGGAACAGTAAGTTAAAAGGAACTTGGGAGACAATACCGTAGCATACCATCGTACTCATCTATGTGAAGGTTACACTGAGTAGGTGTATAGAACATGGAATGTATGTGTCCGTTTTTACGTGACCATCGTCGCTGCGCAACATAACGATGAGCGAGCTTGGACTCAACTGTTGCGAGTACGCTAGCGATCACTAACCAGGGTACAAAACCATAGTGTGAATAAGGTCCCTCCTTGCCCAGCCAGTTTGAGAAACCAATCCTGAGTCAGAATCACTGATGGTTGAGTGTGCAATCGTTCCCGGAAATTTCCTTCATCTTCAGTTGGACAGGTTGCAAATTAGTGGGGGAAATCGCCTAGAGGAACTTCATCAGCCACATGCACTACAACGTACGAGAGGGTATTCTTGTCGACTGGCACACGTGACTCTTGGTGGACAACTTTCTAATGTTCAAAGTCTATCCACAGTACTAGAGCAGAATAAAGCCCCGCTACTTCCACCGGAATGTGTGAATATGAGTCCCCACTGCCCTTGTGCATATGCATTCTAAACATAGGTCAATTCATGTAGAAATCAAAAAGTTATTTTTTTTACCAAATTATTAGTGCATGCAAAAGTTTAGGAGCGAATATATCTGAAATAGTTCTTTGTAGTCGAAAATATATACATTGGCGCCCATTTTGCACCAAATTCCTTCTTAACTCAAAGGTGCATCAATATTAAGTGTTTCCTAGGAAGAAATCGTGCCCGCTTGGCCAAGTGGTAAGGCGCTCCACTCGTAATGGAGCGATCGCCGGTTCGATTCCGGCAGTGGGCATTGATTTTTTTGCACATGAAGAGAATTTTAACTACTGTTCCCTATAAGTAACTTCTGTACGAACATGTCGGTTTGGTAAAAGCATTGGGTTGGTATGTACTATAGGTGAATTTCATATTGTATAAGTTCTCATGTCATTACTATTAACTAGACTTAGTTGGTGGAGGAGGTGGAGGCAACGACTCACTACTTCCTCTGTTATTTTGTGAGTCCAATTCCTTGGACTTTGCTAACTCTTCATTCATATAGTCGCTCAATCCCCCTAATGCATTTGTATTGGCAATATGCTTCTTTTTCTTGGTGGCAGAACTGCGCGGAGGCGCTCCTCCAGCAGGTGGTTGAGCAACAGGCGGACGTGGTACAGCCATTGGGGCAATTACAGCACCCAGTGGAGGTGGAGGAGGCGCAGTGTAGCCCTGAGCTGGCCGTGCTTCAGCATTTTGAGCTTCGCTCTCAAAGATCACGTCGTCCACTATGCTGTTGTTCTGGAACTTACCCACCACTTCAGGTAACCTGTGTAATAATCCGTAGCCCACATCACATCCTAGCACACCTCGATTGTGACCGTTGCCCCATGATTTGGAGAGATTGACGGTGACAGGCCTAAGAATATCATAGTCATGATTGTACACATATAAGGTGATAGGTATTTCGTCGACTTGGGTGATTTCAAAATGGTGGTAGTAGTAGCTTGCAACCACCTTTGACAAGAGAGACTCTCCTCCAGAAACCAAAAGACCCTTACCTTCTACATCTTCTGGAAAGGCGGAATCACAACCTATGATGTAATCTGAGTAAGGGACCAATTGGGATACAAATCCCGGAGACCCTGGATGTGTCTTCAAGATCCTCCATACATGGTTAGCAGAGCTAAGATGACTGGATTGTATAGTCAACCCGATTTGAGTAAATATGTTTTCAAATAAGTTGAGTGCATCTTCTTGCACGTCTTGACTCGCTTGATTCTCCAGCTGGACCTTATTCAAAGGAACCGTGATCTGTCTTACCACACCACCCTTGGCGTTCCAAACATCAAAGGTCAAAGGCTTCTCATTCTTAGCAAGAGTACTAATTTCCTGACGCAACAATTCAGTGTCGACTGCACTTGCTTGTTCAGGAGTAATGTTCCCCTGATACACTATGTATCCTCCTTCATGAATGCTGTAAGGATATGCCGACAACGAGGGGTTTGCCATGGGGAGCTCGTGACCATTGATTTTGATAATGTAGTCGAACCAGGATTCAAAGCCATTGGTATGTGCTAAGGAGTGTGGTACCACATTTAATACTCTCAATCCATGTCCTTTGTTATTCAATTGTAATGCATTTTTGAAATACGAATCGGGTCCACTGTTTTCAGCAGAGCCCGTCCCTTCAAATCTGTCTACCAATTTCTTTGCAAACGAAAACATGAATGACGAAGTTAAAGACTGGAGAAGTAATATTTAATTTGTTGATATTGTTGGTGTCATGTCGCAAATGTCGTGCGACATAGGCGGTTGCGAATCCTAGACTACAATTCCCACTTAGCTCTAGTCCTACTGAGGTGGTTCCTTGGCATAGTCGAACTACAGCATAACCGAAGCTATATGAACGAAAACGAAGTAGTGAAAAACTTTTTAGGGAATTTTCAAGTAGTTTGTTACTACAATATTTAAAGTCATTAAGAAAATTTTTCTAGTATACAATATATATAGGAATGAATTGAATGGATGCAAACATGTGATCTAAGAAGAATTGGCTAAGCCACCAGAAAAGGCCAAACTCCAAGTTCTACTTTGACCGTTATCCAAATAATTCGTGTTCCAGTCAGAGGATGAGAAGAAGTCATAAGATGATTTAGCATCATATAAGGCTTGGTTAAGACGTAAGATACCAGTCCATCCACTATTGACTTTACCAATGAAGGTGGAGATTTGGTCGTCCCATTCTTCCTTGACATATGATGGGGTTCTGATAACAGAAGATGCTGGGGTGATTGGTAACATATGGATACCATGGAGATATTCAGGATTCTTGTCCGGAGAACCAAAGTATGTTGTGTAGGCAATCTTGTTTTCAAACATAATACCGCTAACTTTATTAGGGATATACTTCGATGGTTCAACAGTGTTGTCATTCTTGTACAAGAAGTACATGTTCATAGCTCTGGACATGATGGATAACATCAAGTCACCTCTGGATTTCATGGAGTCATCTCCGATAACCTTACCCCACAATCTCATACCGTATGCGAAATTGTAATCTTCAGAACTGGATTCTTCATTCTTACCATCTCCACTTACGAACAAACCAGCAGCCCAAGAATGACCATGATACCAATCAAACATTCTGGAGACTGGGAAGTATTTGTCATCCGAGGATGGGTTGGCAACATCTCTAATCAAGTTGTTGACCCATTCCTTGTTGTCTTCAGCCCACGTACCGCCTAACTTCTTGTCGACGTAACCAACAATGGCAGCAGCGTGGACGTAGTAACCGTAATGGAAGTGATGATCGTTGTAGTAAGCGGAACCGAAATCAGCACCGGTATCACCATTTTGAGCAGAAGTGGAGGTGACACCACCGAATTTTGTATCGTACATGAATGGGAAATGTTGCTTGTTTTGGAAGAAAGTATCGAAAGCCTTCTTAACTGCTTCCAAAGTGGATTTGGTAGCCTTTTCATCCTTGATGATATCACTCACGACTAACAAGATATAAGCATACTTGTCAAGAACCTTACCCGAGTAGTAAGTGGAGTCCATAGAGGCAACAGTCTCATCGATGTCGACGGCTAATTCCTCATTGGCAGTCTTGGCTAACAAGTTCAACTGTTCTGAAGTGTACGAAAGTTCGGAAGTCATGGTTTGTGCCCATGGCAAAAACTGAACATTGGTATTGAGGGTCTCTTCTAAAGCCAAAGTTGAAGTAAGGAACGCCAGCATAACACCTTTAGTGTTTGAATCTAATTTAATTCCAGTGGACGTTTGCTTAGTTGAAGCAGCAAGAGATTCGACTTGATGAGGCAAAGCGAAAATAATTGGCTTACCACTAGAAGAGGTACCCTTGGCAGTGTATTCAATGTTGTAGGTAGCAGCAGTTCCTCCGCTAACAGCTCCCGTAACCTTTGCATCAGTAACATAGCTTCCAGCAGCTTCATCATAAAATCCTTCAGATTTTGAATCAGAAGGTGCATAAGCCACTTGAATAATAAGGCCATCAACGGAAGAAGATCCCTTGATACCGAAAGAGTCAGAAGCAGATAATTTGAAGTCAGAGGAAGAGTTTGGCAAGATAGCATAAATCAACCATTGAGCTCCGTTGAATAAAGTAGCACGATACTTTTGAACTCTTGAATCCAAGGCATCAGAAGATTCCTGGGTCAAATCCTTGAAACCTATCAAGGAGTTTAACAAGGGGGTCAAGTTACCATTGTAAATACCAGTAACAAAACCCATACCTTGAGCAATTGGGATGTCGAGATGGTTAGAACTATCATTTTCATCAGCAGATAAAGAGACCAAAACAGACATTTCCTTGATTTGAGTCACCTTCATGTTGTTGCTGTTTTTGCCAAATGAGGTTGCAGAAAGGATAACTTCAGCGTTTCCAGTGGCACTCAAATAGTATGAAGGAACATCCTCGTTGTTAGAGTTTCCGTAACCATAGATGTACTGGGAGGAATTGGCATGGGTGACACCAAAACCGTAGTAGTCTTGCTTCTTCCAGAACAAACCGTAAGGCAATGGCCAGATCGTTTGGGTTTGGTCATCCAAAAACAAATTGGCGTGAAACTTGTTTGTACTGATTGGAATACCATCATTGTCAACACCTTTTGGAATACTCAAAGGCAATTCTTTCTTCGTGAAAATAGACAAAGGACCATCAGTCGAGATTGTTGAAAACAAATCACCTGAGTTATTTTCACCAGTTGTAGCACCACCTCTAGATCCACTAGGGATGGCTGGGGCGCTAGAAGAAGATAAAGAAGACGAGCTTGACAATGTGGAAGATGATGCAACAGAACTAGAGCTGTCTGCGGTCGAGGATGCAAGAGTGGTAGATACACCAAGTGAGCTCGACGCAGCAGAAGATGAATTCGATGCAATTTGAGTAGTTGAGTTGGACAAGCTAGAAGAAGATGCCAAGACAGAGCTGTTTGAGTATTTTCCAATGGTCGAAAAAGTGGTTGGGACCGAAGAAGAGAGTCTCAGATCAATTGTGGAGTTAGCCACAATGGGACCACCAGCCACAGGGCCAATAGAAGGGAAACGGGAGGAGGTTACGGCTGGAGCAACAGCAGTTCTGCTTTCCAAGATTGAGCTCAAGGTAGCATTAGATCTGGAAGTTCCGTTTGTGATAGCCGAGCTATTGGCGTAAGCAGACCTGGAGAATGTGACTGGATCGGAGAATGATGCAGAAATGGTGACATCCAACGATTTGGAGATAGCACTCTGGGTGACCAATGGGTTCTTTTGCGTGGTGGAGATGGTTTCAACTTCGGTGGTAGGCTTGAAGACGGTTTTGGGAACGGTGGTGGCCTTGAAGATGGTGGTGGTAGTGGTAGGCGCAGTTTTGGTGATGACTGCCTGGGCGGTCGAGACCTCGGTGGTGGTGTCATACTGGTAGATTGTGGACCTCTTCTTAGAAGTGGTAGGAGTGTCTGTTGCGGCCGGCGAAGACGTCAACGCAGTCTTGAGGGTGGTGTAGGTGATTCTGGTGGAGGAAGTGTATGAGTCGGTGTAGACTTGGGGAACCACATGGGTTTGGCAAGATTCGGCGCCACACACAAGCGAGGTGTAGTACTTGGTGGCCTCGGTGCTGACAGTGTAATGCAAGTCAGAAGCAGTAACTGGTTTGGGGGCTTCAGTACTTTCTGAGTCTGCGTACACGAACACGATGGGAATACCGGTGGTAGCACCTATGGGGTTGCCCTGGAGGATGCTCTGGGCTTTGTACTTGAGACAGTCTGGAGTAATGTAGTTTGTCTTGGTGACGGTGTAGACCTCGTCTGCGGATGAGGTCTCTGCCAACGCAAGCAAGATAGCCAGGAAGGATGTCAATGACTTGAAGATCATCCTAGTGAACGAGAGACTGACTGTGGGGGGCTAGGAAAGAGTGGCTAGCGGTTAAAGAAAGACGGGAGTGGGTGGGGGCGGATCATCTAGTGGGGAGCCCCAGTTTAAATAGAGATGGCACTTCCGAAGCTTTGAGTCAGGAAGCTGGCCGTTTCGAGCCGATTATCGCCAGCGCCTTGCAAAACCAGCCTCGTGGATCACGGCCAAGTGCTTACGCGACACAGCGCTTGATCTGACTATGGATCGGTGGGTATCTGAAAGAACTGGTGCTGGGCTATCCTGCATCTGATCCGCGGTCTGCAGGTATTTTTTTGCAGCTATTGTGCTAAGCCAGCCATTCTGATGTTCCCTTGACGAGGGTCGCAGCGGTGTCCCCGATCGGGCAGCGGAGGGCGATGGAGCCAGAGATCTCGGGGGGAACAATAGGGCCAGGCAGCCAGGGGCACCAGCAGGAATAACGCCGGTGCGAGCACTCGTTGGAGCTCCAAGGTGGGATGGACAGCTGGCTGGCAGCTAGCGGATCTTTTCTCAAGAAGGCCAAAAGAGGTATACTAGTTCCCGCTTCTGGCCGATCCCCCATGTGTCAACGCGGAGTCTCGCGTTTATGTATCTGGATAGATCTACGGTCTCGAGTATAGAGGGCCAGCTCGCTTAAACTAGCTGCATCTAAATTCATGCATGCTGTATTCCCCCTCCCTAGCTTAGCTTGCGAATAATAGTTTTGCAAGTACATATGTAGCACCAACACAATAGCATTCAGAGCATGGATTGTTCTCCTGCCTCCGCATGACAGCCGGAGACCGACGACGCCCGCCAGTTGCTGCCAGGCACAGCGCGATGGCTAAACTGACATCAGCGAATGACCCCAGCACGGAGGCTCTGTTTGAGGCTAGGGTGACCTTGCTGTTACGCGATCGGTGGCCGTGTTCCCGGTCAGACCACCAGCTACATTATTATTAGCACTTAGTTATATTATGTCGATATTATACAAATATTATCTGGACACCGCGGATTACAAAGCGCGCCAATAGTCAACTTGGCCAACGGCATCATGGTGGTGGGAGTACCTGCCACTGTTTGTGAGGACCATCCCAGTCTGGTCGATATGCTTGGTGGTGGTCTCGAGCGTTCCCTAGCCGCACACCAACAGGGCTTGAGAAACGGGTCCTGGCCATATGCGGCTCCCACTGGGTAATTAATTGCACCGCCTCTACACTGATCAGCTATCCCACTGGAGGTAAACACGGATTAGTTGCACAATATTCTCTGGAGGATGCCAAATAATCTCTTGCCCCCCTCTTTGGCGTATTTCTTCTGGTGCTCCTTATCGGTCTTGTCGTGGAAAAAGTCTGCAGCCTTGTTCTGCTGGGGCTTAAAGGGCGTAGGGTCCCCCGAATACTCGTGGGTTTTGTGGTCTAAGTCAGCATAACCGTGTTGCGGCTTGAAGATACTGGTGTCTGATGGCTGTTCAGGAATGCTCATGGTGATATCGAATGAACCTGAAATTCCTCGAGCTTTTATATCGTTTCAGCCCCATGACTGGCGATACAATACCTGAAATCTGGCAGTCTATGATTGCTGGCCGGCACCTGCCTAATCGGGCCGGCACGTGCAGCACAGCCGCAACCTGGTCGGGTGGGCCAATTGATCATGTGAGCACACGCACGTGATGATCCTCCGTGCCGTTACCATCTTGATGATGAAAAAATGTGCAGCTAGCCAACATCACTCCCCACCAACATGAGAGCTTCCGCCGTTCACAGTTTCCAGCAGACTGCCGCTGCAAGCTTAAGAAGACCTTGGCAGACATTCAGAGATGGCCAAATTTGGTACGGGTTGACCAAAAGAGGTAACAAGAGACTTCCCTTGACCACCAAACAAGGTAACAAGCACTACTACAAGGGTACTCGTTCCACCGGTATTGGTAGTTTGAACTCCAACGGTACCTATATCATAAACTGGGAGAAGGTCAGAACCTACGTGGTGCCTGCTGATTTACACAACACCGAATTGAAAGCATTGGTATCTCCAAAAGTGCCTCAAATCTACCAAAAGTACGTTGGTTTCCAAGATGGCGCCAAGAGTCCTGAACTTGCATTTGATAACGTGGTCAACTTCATCGAACATGGTGAAAACTACAACGACGTCGACTTGGAGCAAAGCAACTACCTCGAAGAATTTGTCAGTTCCAAAGTTAAAGAACAAGAGATGGAATTAGATACCAAGCAATAGATCCACCTTAACTCCCTAATGGGCGAAATGAAGAGCGTGAGAATGCTGAAGGATTGGTAATCTCCGGCTGATCTTCTCTGGGTGCCACTAATTCGACCTTTTCTCGCAATTTCGTCCTTTCCCTCCCCCATGTATATATATAGACCAATTAACGAAGATATTAATAGTCACGAGGCTGTTATGTAACACCTGAGTACTGCTCCAGAGTGTCCCTGTAGCAAAACTGCATTGGTCCACACAGGTCAGGTGAGTGTTTCCGAAACTATTTCACTTCCCGCGACACGTCTTTTTGGTGCGTCTAAATTATCTATAGCATGTCTTCACCAACAGCTCTTGCTGACCACTCCATAATGAATATCGCAGAGGACGACACGCCCAACACTACCCCTGCTGCTGTGTCCAACACGGTGACTCCAACTCCTGAGGTTGCCGCTGAAATTGAAGGCCAAGACTTCGTCCATGAACAAGATTTCGAAGACGACGATTCCGAACAGGTCTTATCTTTACCATTGTCGAAGATAAAAAGAATATTCAGAATGGACCCAGACTACTTGGCAGCCTCTCAGAATGCCGTCTATGCCACTGGTTTGGCTACTGAATTGTTTATCCAATACTTTGTTGAACAAGCAAGCTTGTTGGCCAAGATGGATAAGAGAAAGAAGATTACTTATAAGGACTTTAGCAATGCCGTCGCTAGTCATGACTCCTTAAATTTTCTTAGTGACACAGTTCCCAAGACACAGCCTATAGGTTCCTTGTTAGAAAGGAAAGTAGTGAATGTCCCTTCGAAGGTCGATCCAAAGGCATTCAAGGAAAATTTAATGGGTAAGCCGGAAGAGCAAGGCCAGTCCAAAAGCACCGTGAAGAAAAAGTCTACATTATCTAAGGGTCAACAAACATTACCGTTTGCGGCTACAAAGGCTGAACCAAGGATCAAGAAGGCAGTAATTGACGATTTGGTGATCACAGAACAGACTCCAAGCAAAGAACCTACTCCCAATGATGGCCCTGAAGAAGTAGAAGCTGATCAGGTGCAAGAGGATGTAGTTATGGCTGATTAGTTTGTTAGAAGCCGTAGTTGCCATGTATATTACTGTAAATTATCAATAAATGGAAAAATTTCCATTCTCCAACTTAATTATCCATGCGGTATTCTTCACTTCTTGAGGCTGTTCAAGCTGTGGCGGAATACCCAAGGCATATGCAAACCTAACCATGTTGTATCTGGTAGTATCTGGAATAACTTTATTATATGCTTTGAGTCCAGTCCAAAGATATTTCACATAGCCAGCAGATATTCTAGGATCAATTCTAGAACGAGCCAATGCTTTACTTTTAGGAACAGTAACTTCAGATGACGAGTTTTGTCCTATCGATTGACTTTCCTGAGCTACCTCTTTTAATAATTGATTATGACTAACCAAGAACTCCCATGATTCAACAAACCTTCTGCCCATAAATCTCTCACTCAGTGCCTCATCCTCGTCTAGGATTACCTGAGCAAATTCTAAAGCTGGAAGAACAAGGTTTTGGGAATCAGAATTCGAAGTCTGAGTCTCTTGGAAGGTGGTTAATGAATTAGTACCACTTATCAATGTAAACAATACGGGCCAATTTTCAGTTACTATTGGTATTAACAAGCTGTGATCGGTGGACAAAACTGGATATGCCTGTTTCATGGCCCGTAAAATTTGAATCTTGACCGATTGGGATTGATGAGTTAGCATCATGAATCCATATTTAAATATTCTTTGCACCAATAAATAAGTAGTTTTGGGTACCGATGAAGTCCACTTTTTCTCGTCCTTCTCTGATGAGCCATTTTCATCAGAGTCATATTCTTCATCGTCAGAATCAGGAGTTTCTTCTATCTGGTCTCCAAAAGGAACACCCTCTTGCCTAACAAAGTATTCCTTGTTCAGATCATATTCTGTAGTGCCAGCCAAGATTTCCGCATCGCCAATGAGTTTCATTAATTGTTCCTTATTTGTCATTCCCCAAGGCTTGAAACTCGATGAATTATCTCCTATAGGTTGGGCTTTTAAATTCGTAGCAGACCCCACTAGATACTCCTTCTTGATTTGATTGATGAGCTCTTCAAATACGATGAAGAATCCCTCCACAATCATGGAATACCCATGATATGAATCAATAAGTATAAACATTTGTGTTAGAATCTCATTCAATTCATTTCTTTCCAATAATTTCATTCCAGCTATTTTCATCACCAATAAGAGTAACTTTGGCAAAGTTGGAGTAAGATTAGTGATGACTGATAATCTAATGTTCATACTATCTATGAGATAGTCCAGATTGTCTAAGATTAATGCTTCTAAAGATCCATTGTAGTAATTATCAATTATCATTTTTACCGCGTTTTGACCATGGGACTGGATTAGTGGATTGGACTGATAAGTAAGTGACTCAAGCAAGGGATATAAGTATTCAATGAGATAATCCGCCTGAAAATCCTCAAAAGGTAAACAGTTAGACAAAGTACCAATTGAGTCTAGTGCAATAGCATAAGATGTTTCGTACAAGTGAATTTCATCTCTCAGATACTTATTCAAACTCATGATTTCGGATATCTCATTGATCTGGTCTTGCGATTTACTCATTATAAAGTAACAGACTTCCTCAGAATGAGAATCCACTTGCACATCCAGATGATCCAATTCATCTGAAATTAGGAACTCATCAATTTCGCGGTTATGATTCAATTCAATTTTGCTGTTAGCTAACATATTATTTGCAATCCAAAGTGAAATACTCAATTCGAAGTGACTTCTAGCTTTTCCCAAAAAGTCAATTTGTTCAAAGTAGTTGGTAGGGTCTTGGTCGAAGAATTCATCCAAGAAGTCTACTGTTAAATCAACTTTTGTGGAAGAGCCAAGAAATCGTACAAATGACTGAAGCTTACTTTCAACTTTAGATGTATATGTCTTGGCTAGTACTCCTGCATTCTCGAAGCCATCATTTTGCTTTATAAGGTTCCGTATGTTGTCGAATTTGTTGGATAAAATCATCATGTTGGAAGAGTAAGTACCATCAGTGGACTGCGATCCATTACCTTGAGGGTTAATCTTTGTAATATACTTGGCATTTATGGAGGGAGGCAATTCAATATTGTCTAACATATTATCTTTGGACTCTTCATCGGTAGAGTCTCTGAATTTAAAGCTTTCAGATTTTGACAAAGACTTGTTTGTGCTGAAATGATGACACTCAATTATTGATGCTTTTAATCTCTTCAAAGCTCTAGAGCTCATGCTAGAGAGGTCTCCGGAACCAATAAAAGTTACTTCTGATAATTCAGATAATATTTGAAGCTGGATTTTCATACTAACCAAGAATGCATTGATTTTCTCCTCATCTGTGGAGAATAGTGCCGTCGTCATTTTTGAATCTATTAGATCCTCTAATTTTAATCGAACCAAATTAAATAACATTGTTCCGTGCTTTGACGGACTTTTACTTTGCTTTAAGGCATCGATGATAAGCTTGGAGCATTCTGCAATAGCTGTAGCTTCGACAAGCGGATCGTCGATTGTAGTGCAAGATATCAATGCCGAAAGTACATCAAGACCTAAGGGAACAACTTCATTGAATAATGTCAAGAAACAATTCTCACATATTTGGACTATGAAAGAAATCACCTTTTCTCCCATTTTAGGTTTGCTCCGGAATTTTGCCTTGTTCACTTGAGAAGATAATAAAAGATTTTTGAATAAAACATTCAACGAAAGCTTTAATTGTTTAGACGTAGCTTTTAGCCAAGACATAGTTCTATGCTTTGTAGATTCGGGAATATTAATCGCAATTTGTGATGCATTTCCATTCAGCATCTCCTGTTCAAGGTTACCACTCTCCCACAATTTGTTGACTTCCATTAATGTGTTAAACTCGGTTTCCACATTCTCTGACTCTACTCCGAGGTTAGAATCACTAAACACTTTGACGATCAAATGTCGTAATAATTCAAGAATTAGAAGATGCAAGGAAAAGTGTAGGTTTCTAGATGAGACAACAAAGTTCACAATCTGTGAAACAATTCCAGGTAGGACATGAGAAATGAGCTCTGCTGTCGCCTTGTCTGTAATAAGAAGATCAAGTGATTCCAAAGATTCTTCGACTAATGAACTCTGTTCTTGTGAAGTGGGATTTATTAAAGAAGTGATCACGGTCAAAAGGATTGTGATTGAGTTTCCAAGAAATTGTAATCGTTTCGGTTTCGTAGTGTCATTAAAGTAAGTGCTTGGGATTGCTGAAATAATGCTGGATAAGCAATAAATAGTGGAGGAACGAAGCTCTAGTGATTTGTTTCCAAGTGAGTCCATCGAGGTAATGCCACTTAAAACAACAACCAATGGATACAACTGATCTATCAATTCGAGGTTGACATCGCTGCTCCAGGAAAATCTGGTCAAAAACCCTATGATGTTCAAGACATGCTGGATCACGGCATCATCTAGATTTGTTTGTTTGAGCAATGCTGTCAAAGGAAAGAATATGTAGTCAGCTAAGTTTTTGGAAAGAATATAGGGACGCTCTACTAATGTGTTGTCTTTCTTATGGCTTTGGAGCGTTTGCGATATGGAGCCTAGGGTAGATACTAGCTGAGGTGATTTGGTGAAATTGGGACTCATTGTAAGAGTGCTGAGCTCGACGCACTTCGGTTTGACCTCTGCAAATAATAGCAGTGAAAGGCGTCGTATCTCATCTTCGGGTTTATGGTATTCAATGGACATTTCTCATCATTAGCCGTGGTTGCAATCATAGTGCTTTCGTAAGTGGCGCTAGCTGATCTGATCACGTGAATGAATATGTACTGAAGTATACTGAAACTAAGTATATATCAGCACTGAATAGAAAATTTTTTCGCATGCCTCCCTATATAAATTTTCACCGTCTTCCTCACCTAAATTTTCCATTCTATATCCCTACAAAAATAGTACGTTGACCTTTTAAAGCCAACAGTCAACATGAAGCTACTCCCTAGAGTCCAGCTTGGAGGGTCATTCAGGCCCCTCTCATCCTATATTCACTAAGAGCATGACATCCGAGTATCTTGAAGATTGACATAAAACTGGACGACTCAGTACGGGTCCAAAGTGGTTATGGAATTCTAGTTGCGTAAGCAGGTGGGTAAACGTTTCACTTTCAACAATTGAAGCGACAACCCTCGAGATCTCGGACACTCATGCTTTTGAGCTTTTCAAGCTTTCTGCTCATGAATCCTGTTAAACTGGACACTCATGCGGCTTTGGTTATGTGAATTGTGGATTAATACTAACCCATAGATAAAAAATGACTAGAACTTCTGTCTTAGCTGATGCCTTGAATGCCATTAACAACGCCGAAAAGACCGGTAAGCGTCAAGTTTTGATCAGACCTTCCTCCAAGGTTATCGTCAAGTTCTTGACCGTTATGCAAAAGCATGGTATGTTTATTGGATCCAACCAATTCAGTTTATTTTTATCACCACTTTTATCCCCGAATTGATAACTGGATGGATTGATCGGTGTTCAGTCCCTTTCTGTCTTTTAAGTATTCGGGAGAGCAATTTGGAAACGATTCTTACACGATCCTGATACTTCTATTATCCTGACCGTTTACTTTTCCTTTACATTTACTACTCTCAAACTGAATTGGGCTTATCGGCTTACAAATACTAACATTACAGGTTACATTGGTGAATTCGAATACATCGATGACCACAGATCTGGAAAGATCGTCGTTCAATTGAACGGTAGATTGAACAAGTGTGGTGTCATCTCCCCAAGATTCAACGTCAAGATCGCTGACATCGAAAGATGGACTGACAACTTGTTGCCAGCCAGACAATTCGGTTTCGTTATCTTGACTACTTCTGCTGGTATCATGGACCACGAAGAAGCCAGAAGAAAGCACGTCTCTGGTAAGATCTTGGGTTTCGTTTACTAATTGGGTTTGTTCTTACTGTGTATAATTAGGTTAATAAAAGAGTAATATTTGAGCCAACTAAACGTAGTGAGACTGAGCTAATTTGTGTCCAGTAAGTGTGGGCAATGTCGCGCCTATGTCGCATTCGGATCGGTTGATTTATCAGAGCCCCATCCAACTCCCTCCACACCATTCATGAGATACCCAGACTCCGTGAGGTTCGTTGTGTCCACGTTGTCGTGGACATTGCGGGCAGGCTGTGTGGCCCACTTGGTACACGAATACATCTACGAATTTACAGAAACCAGAGGTGAATCCATGCTTCCTACACTTCAAAGTCATTACGACTACGTTCATGCGTTGAAAAGGTATAGATTGGGAAGAGAACTTGACATTGGTGACTGTGTGGTTGCTGTCAAGCCTAGTGATCCCAGCCACCGAGTTTGCAAAAGGATATCTGGTATGCCTGGGGATGTGATTCTCATTGACCCGTCTTCATCGTCCGAGTTAACCAATTTGCCCACAGAGGTGATACTGCATGATGGCTTCAACAAATACATAAGGGTACCCGACGGCCATGTTTGGTGTACTGGAGATAATTTATGCCATTCCTTGGATTCCAGATCATACTCGGTACTCCCAATGGGACTTATTACAGGAAAGATTGTAGCAGCCAATTCGATGAACCGAGGAGTTACTACAGGATGGGGGTTCAGATGGATACAGAACTCTTTCGTGGATGAAAGCGATGATTAGCATATATCGATTGTACAATAGCATTTATTTAATAGAATAATTTCGATTATAAGGAGAGCCCCACCACTTAGAATCTACCAACCTTTCTGTTTTCTCTCAAACTTCTCAACACTTTTGAACCAAAGTAGATGCTTGGTAATCCAAGAATAAAACTGTTGAACAAGGTAGTGAAAATGTTCTGACCTAAGTAATACTTAATGAAGTTGACTTCAAACCCGATGATAGTAACTAAGAACGAAACGTTGTAGGTCAACTGGGTTGTGGTGATGGTTTTGAAAGTAGTAGTCAAGTCTGCACCGATAAAGCCGACCCACGAAGCAAATAATCCAAGAGTTAACACCACAGCAGCGCCAATGAATGCCACTGGGATAATAGCATTGATAGTTTTGGGGTCTTCTCTGAAAATATGGTGGATTTCTTGCTTTCTTCCAACCCTTGGCTTCTCAACGTATTTGGAGGTTTCCTTGTATTCGGCACCTGGGATAATTTCCACCAAATGACGATCCAAGTTACCAGAGACTTGGTCACCAATAATCAAGCTTAACAACAACTTGTCTTGAATCTTCAAAACTTCAGGAAGCTTGTTGACTGGGATGGATGCTTTGATCTGATTGGAAACAGTGAAAGTAGGAACAAAATGAGCTGCCAATGCAGAGTCCTTGATACTAGCTAATGATAAAACAACTTGATGTGGTCTCTTAGCAAGGTCATCGTTGATCTTCAAGTTGATATCAATCTTATCCTTTGGCGACTCGATAGGTAATTGCTTAACTTCTTGAGTATTAAACTCACCGAAACTCACGCTCTTCTCACCAACTTTAATGGTACCCTCGGATATGGTATAAGCCAACGATACAGCCAACAATTGAGCTGCAGTTGCTATGATTGAAAACTTCATCCTCTGTGTAATTTAGATAATGGACCTGTTTAAGTTAAATTGTCATTTTTCAAAATAGTACGTGGTCGAATTGAGCGACACAAAACTCGCAGTGAGCATGGAGGCTCAGGACCATTACTGAAGAATCTAGACTTCAGCAGTGATAGCTAGGTTATGCCACAGATATGCAAGGTATTCGAAGTGCCTCTATTGCAGTATTCGCTTTTTCTCAATTTCAGTATATTTTGGATAGCCAAGTATGTCTTCTCTTTGAAGTTTGTTTCTCATTCACCATTATGAATAGTGAGATCTCCACCATTGGATGAGGAACCTAATTCTTCAATGGTTGTAGTTGCATATCGCTTTGAAGATCTCAGAGGTACCATAAGCCCTATTAATCCAAAAACTGCAAGTACTGTGAGGGCAAAAGGAACAATAACGATAGCTGTAATTAGTAGATGTTCGAAATTGGTAGGAAACCACAAACATACCTGTTAGAAGGAATAGAAAAATCCCGATCAATGAGATGAAAGACAACAGGACTGTTGATAATCCCAACATATAGAATACTAATACTAGTATGGGGGTTATAACGATTGGCAAAAGCTGTGTGTTAGTAGAGTACGACTAATGCAACAGGTTACTTACAACGAAGTCTATAATATATTTTGGAGTAAACTTCCACTTTCTAGCTTTCTCAACCTGGATGTAGAGCTGGAAGCAATAACTAGGCGTTAGTACATTCTAAATGTTCTTAATTCAACATACTCCAAAAGATGATTAAATCCTTCCCGCTTTGTGGACGCTTCCTTCACCAACTTGTCAAGCGAATACACTGCCTGAGCAATTCTACGTGATATGGTCTGGTTGATAGTCGGAGGGTTTTCAGTTTCCCTCTCGGTGTTATACTCGTACTTCAAATTGCCTCTGGTAATTGGTTGCAAATAGAAATCCTCTAATGATTTTCTAGACTCGGCAGTTAAAGTGGACATAGGATGAGGTATCAATTATCAAGACCGACTCCCTTGGATTACAGACTAAGTATAGACTAGTCTGTTTCGTTATAAGGAACAAGCTCTGGCTAGAATTAAAATGTTGTCAAAACTTGACGCACTACTATGTCGAAAAGGTAATTCCTATGACAAGGAGCAATTTTAAAATATTTTGTTACATCAACTATGTAAGATTGAATAGTGGCGTTTTTAACACTAGCATATCTTGTATGAGACAAGACTGTGTTCCTTTTCTTTGAATTTTCAGTTTATTACACAATTTTTTCAATTAATTTAGAAGCAGATATGAAGTGTCATGATTAGTTCCCAAAATTCCACTGACAAAAGTGTTCAAACTGTTGTGCACATGAGCTTGATCGTGTAAGTATTGGGGAATTTCTGGAATATCATGCAAGGATTCGTAGATCACAGCACCCATTCCTCCAATCAAATGTCCCAAGTTGTGACAGTGGAGAAGCCAAATACCAGGATTGTTCGCTTCAAATCGTATTACTGCATGACCATTGGGTGGAACTAAAATGGAATCAAAGCATGGTGATCTAGAGTCTATACTAAAGCCGTCGAGCAAAGCATCCTCCATAGTATTGTATTTGAAGCTTTTTTTGTTATTGTAGCTGATCAATCTAAACGTATGACCATGTAAGTGAATAGGATGATTATATCTTCGGAAATTATTCATAATGATATCAACCACCTCACCATGCTTGATGTGAGAATCTAGAACATATTTTGATACTTCTGGTTCCTGAAAATAAAGAGGTTGCAGCAACTCAGAAGAAGCAGGTAACTTTGCCCCATCTTTAAACATTGTGAACTCAACAACACCAGATCTGTTAAGGAAAAGATTAAAAGTATGATCGGCCTTTCCAGTTTTAACAGTTTTTTCTTCAAATGGACGAAGACTTGGGATGTCAATTCCTTTGAACCCTCCATTTATTTCCCCCTGGAGGTTTTGCACCCGAAATCCATTTTGTGCGTAAACATCTGTGTAATGAGTTTCACCATAACTAAGAAGGGCCAATCCTTCTATGTACTGGGGGCATCTGATTGCTGCAAAACGCATTAGAAAGGGCCGGTTTGTATCATTGTGCATTTGTCTATCCGTTTCAAGCACAATGGTTACTCTGGAACCACTAGAGATTTGGATCTGATGAACTTTCTCCGGAATCACAAATACGCCGTCTATTGCAATCACATGGAATTCATGATCATCAATGGAGAATGATTTCGTGTACTGAGCCCCGGCATTAATAATGTTGATGTAGTGCCATTTTTTACCTTTTATCTGCAAGTTGAAAATGTCACTAAATGTAGGGCTGCAGTGAGATGAGAAACCAGGATTCTCAAGAGCATAATTGTCCATATGATTCCTTAAGTCTGCATAGCCATTAGAAAACAAGTCCCTAAAACAACCCATTGTATCAATAATCTTTTCCGTGCTGTTCCTCAACTCTAGTTCACTATGACAATATACTCTTCCTTTCCCATTCACTAAAATACTCTGAATACACAAAGGATCAATGCCGTATTGATCCATTTTCAATAGCGTATCATCCATAGGCATCTTGAAGTAATCATCTACTATTATATTTGTTGGTGTTCTCTCCATCTTAATTATTTCTTGAATATCTTCGTCATTATCTGAAATCAGCTTATATGGACGTGCTCTGAGCTGACTTGGCCTTATGTATATTGGTCCCAATATCCCATCGGAAGAGTAGCCCCTGTAGTGGGAATGGTACCAGGCTGAGCCATACTGCTCCTTCAACTGGAAGTGATAGGTGTAAGTATCGCCACTTAGAATTGGATATTGAGATAGCCCAGGGACCCCATCAAACCAAGGAGTACCTTTTTGGAGAATGCCATGAAAATGGATTGTGAATGCAAAAGGGGTAAAGTTGTTAACTGTAACAGTAATCCATTCATCTTCATCTCCTTCTATTGCAGGGCCAGGTGACTGCCCATTTATCAAGAAACCACTCCTATAAAAGCCAGCAGGGTTGGCGTAACTACGAGTAATATTAAAGGTGTATTCTCGTGCTGTAGACCCCAAGGGAGGAAGAGTTTTAGGAAGATCTGGAAGAATGTACCCATGAATCACAGCAAGGAAGTATAGAATTAGCTTCATGTTCTATTCGTACGGTAATATTTATATAGACTGTTCTGGTAGATGGAATTTGCATCCTTTGTAACTCGCAAATCCCAACCTGCAATATCTGGGATGAAAAATGGCCTTCAAATCGTTTTACACATCACTAGTCACCAGTCTCCAAGATGCAATTCTTAAGTGCCAAAACTCTCTTATACGCCAGAGTGGTTTTCATCATCATCATCGCATACTATCTTGTCAAAGATCCAGAAGCGTTGTCGACTGCAGGATTCGTGGTCTTACTCGGACAGGCCATGCAAGTGCCATTAATAAGGCTTCAACCAACGGATACTTTGACCGGATTCTGTGCTGTTATTATGGCTGGCTTCAGTATCGGTGACCTTATCCCCTTATTGGCCAACAATGTCGAATACTTTGACACTCTTGTCCCTGTCAGATTGGCTGCGTACTTTGGATTGGCAGCATACTGTTACTTTGTCAACGACTCGCCTGTCAGCAACAGCTTGATCTTTACGTTTTCGTTCTTCGAAATCTGGTTCAACTTCTTGATTTACAATAACTTGAAGGATGAAAAGTATTACAGAGTGAAAAAGTACATCGAAGAACATAGTGATGAGATCAGAGACGCGTACGACGAAGAAATCAGAATTGTCGAAGTGGAGTAAGCTCCATCTTCAGAGGAATACGGCTATATATTGGAAATAGTAAAATCTCAGTTTAACATGGTTCATATAGAAAATTATAATTTTTACGGTTGAATGTAATCTCGAAAGAAATGAATGTAGTATTGATTTTGATCGAAAGCTGCAATTGCTTAACATTACTATATTAACTTTGATTAGGTACTATTGACTGTGCACGAACTTCAATATAGACCAATCCAAACACTCCTCTATGTCGTTAAAATCATTAAAACTCATTTGCAACACATTTAGACCATTCAAGTTCTTTTCCAATTCATTTGAGCTAGAGAACCTAATGATACTCATATTTATTATTAGATTCATGAATATTTCGTTAGTGGTTAATTCGATCTCCACTTTATAAATGAAGTCATTCTTGTGGTTTCGGAGAATTACCTTGAAGTTTGACACTGGACGCTCAATAGACTTCTGGAAAGGGTTCGATATATCATCTGCTTTCATGTTCGAGTACTTTTCAAGCTCAGATGTAACATCTAATTCTTTTTTGTACTTGTTGAATAGCTTGTCAAGTATCTGTTGCATGTTTTGAATATTTAATTCATACCGTATGTTTCCAACCATTGGCCTTAAGATTAGAGGATGAGAGTTAGCCTGCTTTTTCTTAGTAAATGCGGTGGGGATTTTTTGTTTCAAAGCCAAATTGTACTTGTAATAACAGCACAACATTAACTTCAAATAGACTAGTATCAACTGACACTTTTTGTTGTGCATAGACGAGAACTCATTGATGTTCTGATAGTTGTTGGTTAATTCGTCTTCGTTAGATTCGTCAAACACCACTGATTCAATTTCTATGATTTCATTATTAATCTCAATTATGATTTTGTTCGATATAATTGATATGTTATAGTTTATGAGGGTTTTTGCTTCTCTGGTTAACTGATAAAATAAATCCTCCTCAAATAAGAAATATCTCGCTTTTTGTATTTCTTCCAAAAGCTTTTGGGCTGGAGAATCGCTCGAAAATCCCGAGTTGGTTGCAGTTGGAGGTATAAATGTAGACTGGCCAGTCAACATGTAATCTCCATCAATCTCACTCAAAATCTTAATTCTGATATACTTATGAACCTTCCTCTGACTTCTGTTGGATCCACTTGTCAACGGATTAAAGGTTACTTCCCCAGTTGTGTTATCTTTGCGCAAAATCGCTGACCCTTGAACATGATAATTTGAGCCAGAATCACCATACCCATATTTGATGCCGATGGCTCGAGAACCGTTCAAGGGGTCTCTTGTGCGGAATAAGACTTCATCATTACTCAACACTATGTTAATCATGTTCCAGTAGTTTTTCTCACGCAACACTTGGTCTTTCAATGTTGTGCTCGAATTTTTGAATAAAGTGGTGATCTTGTTGATTGATTCTTTCTTCCAACCTTCACCAATTTTTGTCGACAATTTAGCTTTCTCATCATGTGCCGCTTTATCGTCATCTTCGCCTTTCGATAACCGATCTGCATTGAGAGATCCCAACGGAGCACTTTTACTAAGATGAGGTGAGATGGTGGACTTAGCAATATTGGGCTTGACTGATGATAAGAGCAAGGACACAAAATCTAAGGACAATGATGTTTCGTTCAATGCAGTGTTGATATTCTTGGATAATTCCGCTTTCTGTGTTTGAAAAACATCAAGTACATCGTCTTCGAGAACTTGGGGTGAGTCTATTTCCTGGAGAGTATCTGGGACCTCGCTCGATGGTTCTGATTCTTGTTCTGGATTTGCTATTTCTTCTTTCAAGGATTCTTCGGTAATATTAAGAAAGGACTTTCTTTCTATCAAGATTCGTGGGATCAATTGAGAGATGGTCAACTTGTCTCTGTTTGTTAGTACTGTAGATGTAACCAAGAAAGGGGACCTGCAATCAAATCCACCATGACATCTAAGGGTACTTACTCATCTTGAATAAAGGGATCCTTGAATGTGTCTCCATACAAATCAGGATCCAAGTTTATGGGAATCTTGTTGAAGGAACTCATGATATCAGTTGTTATAGTCTCGGAAGTTTATTTTTCAGTTTTTATGAGAGTGAGGAACTCAACACGCGCAAAGGCAATTACCAGGGCTAATCGAAGCAGATACTGAGAACTAACAATTCTCCAAGAGAATGGCGAACTCAGAAATCGCAGCTTCGTAGTTGGCACCCTTTTGCCTTATCTATTTGGTGCTTCTTCTACAGATCTAGACACCACAGGTTTGTATGCAGTACTATGATATTGACTTTGGTAATCTATAGATGGGGATTATGGGGAAATCCATGGAACTAGTCCATGAAGTCATCCAAGTCACCTTCTTCGATGGCCTTCAACAAGTCCATTTCATCTTCCTTGTCCAAATTCTTTTCGGTTTCCGGTTTGGTGTCGTTATCACTAGGATATCTCATAGACTTGACACTGTCGTTGTGCAAGGATAAGCAGAACTTGATTCTTTGATCAAACTCTGATTGTGGCAATTTGGTCGAATAAACGTCAAGTAATTCTTTCGATTGCATGAAACCCTTCTGATGGTTGATACTGGCTTCTATAACCCCATCTCTAATGGCCTTGGAAACAATATATTCAGTCAGTTCTTCGGAATCCAAGTGTAATTTAATACAAATATCCTTCAAAGAGATCTTGGAGTACGACAAAGAAATGATTCTGATACCTGTCTTAATAACATTTTGACGTAATCTTGACACCAAAGTGAAGTTGTCGTCTCTTTTGAAAAACTCTTCATACTTCTTCAACACTTCACCGAACAACTTCAAATCTCCCAACTTAACAGCCTTGGTAACATAGAAGTATGGTTCAAAGTTACCAGGTTGTTTCTTGAAAACCTTAAGTTCTGGGATATCACCCATTAATAATTCAATTAGAATACTCAACTTGGTAGCACTTTGAATAAATCCAGTTGCTAATTGAGTTTGTGGGGCTTTTCTGATGGCAGCGATAACACATTCATTTGCAGACGAATAATCCAATTGAATGGCATGTATTCTAGCCAAATAGTAGTAGTATCTAGCGACCAATCCATTACCTGCTTGCTCAGGAAATTCAGTCTTTTCCACCAAGTTCAATGCTTGAGTAACATCATGAGATAACAAATAGTTTCTTAATAAGAGGGTGATGATAAAAGCGGTGGTTTCAGTGTCATGTCTCAAAGTAGCAGTTCTTAAGCTTGCCAATAATTCTGGACGGATTGAGTATAAGTCGTTGAGTAATTCCTTGGTTCTGCTGATATAGAACCATATTTTACCTTGAATGAAGTCCAACGAACGTCTATTGAACGACTTCAACAAGTAGACTATATGGCCATTCAAGGTATCCAATCTACTCAATTCATTGTGATCCAAAAGGTATACTTGAACCAATAAATGAACGTATAACTGAACTTCTGGAAGCAATGAGGTTTCAAGAGCTTCATTATCGAGAGACTCTGAGGGTTGGGATTCTGTAGCGTTGATAGCTTCCAACAAATACTGCTTGTTGGTGTAATCTTGAGGGAATATTTTGTTGATAAGAATTGGCAAAACCTCGGAGTTCTTGTTCAATTTACGCCTTAAAGGACCTAAATCACGAAACACCTTGGATATGTAACGGTTATCAAAGTTGTGTGCTGCCTTGGCCAAAAGAGTGAACGACTGTTCAATTTCTTTGACCAAGGTCTCGGTCTGAGAAAGGTTATCGGATGTGTCTGCAACGTCTTTCATTTCGACGTCTGCCTTCGTGGATTCTGTCATATTGCTTGTATGGTTGGTGTTGTCTCAATGATTTTTGATTTTCAACAAATTGCCACCATTTGCGGTAGTGTGCGCGCAAGATACATTAGTGTGTAGTACGAGGGAGGCAATAGAAGAGTGTTTATTTACGAAGAGGAGACAGCTTGTATGGTTAGAGATTCAAGTCCAACGTAGCGTAGTACAACAACAATATGAATTAAGAATATACATAGACATGTGCATAAGAACAGCTAAAATATTCACTAGTAGATATGCCCTTCCGTTCATGTCTTCACAGATTATGTGGGCCGGTTCTATTTAACAACATGAGTTGGATTGGTTAGAAGTCAAGGATTGGCCTCTCAAGTTGACGTTGGACTTACCGTTGTTGGCGTTGTTTGCGCCGCTGGAGTTGGCGTTGTTAGTCATTTGAGCCTTGATCTGTCTAGCCATGGTGTAGAAAGCTTGCTCAACGTTGGTGGAGGAAAGAGCAGAAGTTTCCAAGAAGGGAATGTCCAAGGCATCAGCGAATTCTTTGGCGGCAGTGTATTCGACGATCTTCTTGTCGGACAAATCGGCCTTGTTACCGACCAACAACTTCATAACTCCTCCGGTGGCGTAACGATCAATTTCTTGTAACCATTGCTTGACGTTGTTGAAAGATTCTTGATCAGTAACATCGTAAACAATGATGATACCATGGGCACCACGGTAGTAAGACGAGGTGATGGTTCTAAATCTTTCTTGTCCGGCAGTGTCCCAGATCTGTAACTTGATGGTCTTGCCATCTAACTCGATGGTTCTGATCTTGAAATCAACACCGATGGTGGAGATGTAGTCAGGGGTATAGGTATCATCGGCAAATCTCAATAACAAACATGATTTACCGACACCGGAGTCTCCGATTAACAATAATTTGAATAAATAGTCGTATTCGTTATTCATGCTGGGTGGGTGTGACGTGGGCGACAATTAGGTGTGAAGCTAGTGGTTATTCTAGATGGTGAATGTAGTGTGTAACTATGGGGATCGATCAGGGCGAGCGTGAGCAGCTATCGAATCAGAAGTTTGGCGGTCCTAGGCTTGACTAAGATGTATACTTGATCGGATGGGATCTAGTGTTGTATGTGATTTGAAGGACTATGCTATTGATGGCCTAGCTTATCTTTCTTTGATCATATGGACCCGTTGTTTTGTTGGTCATGAATCGGTCGTGTCACGACTAAGCGAGCCTTCGAGGAGCACCATGAGATCGCACTTGCAACTGCCCGCCCACTGGTGGACCACTGGAAGCCCCCTAAACGGCACAATGTGTGCTTGGCAACTGTGCACAGCAAATGGGGAGGGTTATTCCAGCGTTATGGATATTTCTGCTTGTGATGCCAATGAGCCTCATTCGTATAAAAGCGAGGGAAGCTCTGCAATGGGAAAGCTCCACTAACGGCAGCAACATTCTCCGCCAATGCCTTGGTTGGGAGTGCTCTGTGCCAGCCATTCAGACGGCGGTGCTTGTACTAGTGTGATTATTTATGGGTGTGGAGGACGACTAGGATCTTTGATGGCTCGTCACATTCTATGCTCATACCTCCTATTGCTGCAAAGAGTGCGACTACGAGTAGATGGTCATATTTAGAACTGGTAATAAGCAGACGCTCAAGAGGGGAGTCTCTCAATTGCGGGAATCGTGCGTGGAGATTGTACTCGTGGCACTGTCAAGCATGCCAAGTGTCCAGCTTGCTCCTTCGATAGGTACCTCGTTGGGGAGTTTTGCACGCCGTTCATCTTGTGAAGAAGCTGAAAACGGGGCACTTCTAATACCAGTCTACCCTGGCCCTCAATTAAGCCCATCAGGCATTCTACAGTGACATCCAAACTCTGCCTTTGTTCTATGCCTATGTACTCTACAACTTCTTGCTCTTACCGGTGATCTTCTTCTTTGCAATCATGAGCATCTTGTAGAACCAAAACACATTGAGGATGTCCAACGACACATTAATGCTTAAGATGCTGATAACAAGGAATGGAGATACATGGCCCCAGATGCGGTAGAAGTCAAGGGCAACCTGGATCACAGCATAGATACCCCACACCAATCTGACCGAGAAAAAGGTGATGAGAAGCAACACCCCGTTGATCAAAATTGTTCTGTCGCTAAACGTGCCTGCTGGCAAACGGGTGGAGAACCAGTTGATGTTGACAAAGGGAGTGCTGAGCTCGAAGAGAAGGAACGCAGGAATCCATGGCTGGCAGAACGGAATCAAGCACAAGCAAAACACGTACAAAGCCGCAACTCCGTGGAACAAGAACCCAAACCCAAACAACGAGTAGTATCTAAGGCACACATAAACATCCCAAGCAAAGTAGCCACATGTGACGGCTGCCACTAAGCTCCCGTATGGGGACAGGCCATGGACTGAGGACGAGGCACTTTCGGACCAGAGGGAACTGTTCCACATGGGGAGCAAGAGCAGGATGGAAATGAAACACTGGACCATGGAAACCACATGGATGTCGAAATTGATCTTGGTCTTGGGCTTCAATGACTTGTACGTGTCGCCAAAGTAATATCTGGAGAACGGTTGTGAACCATACTGAATGGCGGTGTAAAACAAGAACGTGGCGGCAATTTCATGCCAATGATCGATGAAGTTGTTCCCAGTCTCCTCGGCTGGGAACGGACGGTACTTCAAGAACGGGTCGTTATAGAATACTGGAAAGACCATGGTAAAGAGTGGGTTGGGCCTTCAGTTTGGTCGCATATTTTTTTTGGGTTCCATGTGAGGAGACAATCAGAATACTGAGATCGTTCTGGGTGGCCGAGATGGAATGGATTTTCAAAGCCATTGACAAGTATTCAAGTATTCTAGACCATTGAGCTAGGAATTGAGCTGGAACCAGCACAGATTCCAGGTTAAACCCCTTACAGTGTGTGGAGTATTGTAAGCTCATAAGCCTCACTCAGCGGGAACAAGTTTCAGCAGATTACTTGCGAGGAAATGCCTGCCACTATGGACAGGCACAAAGAGCTTGGCCCCACCGCTGCAGCTATTACTTAGGGCCACACTTCGGGTTCTAGCGTGGCACCCCACCAGCCAATTGGTGTAGCGAGCCCCCGGTGACATGTGACTACTATCAATGGGCCACAGTGTCGCACAAAGGAGACCCAACGTGTGAAAAATCTACACCATCTAATATCTCTCGATTAACCATGTCTTTCCCATTAGTTGTCTTAGGAAACCCTTTGTTGGACTTGCAAACCAACGTCGATGCTGAATACTTGCAAAAGTATGACTTGAAGTCCGACGACGCCATTTTGGCCGAAGAAAAGCACTTGCCAATTTACGAAGAAATCGTCAAGAAGGACGACTTGATCTTGGTTGCTGGTGGTGCCGGTCAAAATGCCGCCAGAGGTGCCCAGTACATCTTGCCAGCTGACTCTGTTGTCTACTTCGGTTCTGTTGGTAAGGACGTCTACTCCGAAAAGCTTCTCGCTGCCAACAAGCAATACGGTTTGAGAACCGAATACCAAGTCCAAGAATCAGTTGCCACTGGTAAGTGTGCTGCTTTGATCAGTGGCCACCACCGTTCTTTAGTTACTGACTTGGCTGCTGCCAACTTGTTCCAAGCTTCTCACTTGCAAAAGCCAGAAAACTGGGCCCTTGTTGAAAATGCCAGCAACTTCTACATTGAAGGTTACCATTTGACCGTCAGTGTCGAAGCCATCCAACTCTTGGGTAAGCACGCTGCTGAAAACAACAAGACTTACAGTTTGAACATCTCTGCTCCTTTCATTGCTCAATTCTTCAAGGACCAATTGGACAGCGTTCTCCCATACGTTGACTACGTCATTGCCAACGAATCCGAAGCCGCTGCCTACGCCGAGTCCCACGGTCTTGCTGTCGACTCAAAGGACGTTGTTGCCATTGCCAAGGAAATCGCCAAGTTGCCAAAGATCAACAACAAGAGATCCAGAACTGTCGTTTTCACCCAAGGTGTTGACCCAACCGTCACCGTCACCTACGATGCCGCTTCCGACAGCTTCGATGTCAAGGAATACAAGGTCAGAGAGTTGAGCTCCGACAAGATTACCGACACCAACGGTGCTGGTGACGCTTTCGCTGCTGGTTTCATCGCTTCCTTGGTCCAAGGTAAGTCTGTTAGCGAGGCCGTCGATGTTGGTCAATGGGCTGCTTCTTTGTCGATCCAGGTCGTTGGTCCATCCTTCCCATTCCCAAAGCAAACCTACCCAGGTTCTAACTAATTGGTTTGAAAACCACTATCCGGTCTTTTACTTTTTTATCGGCGTCATTCAACATAGGTTCCTTTTATTTCGGATAAGGTCAACATAAATTCTATAGAGCAAATTCAACATACTTGCACCTAGCGTAGATCGGGTGAGTAACGACTAGCGGAGTGTCCTTGGGTTCGGCTCGCCAAACTGAGCCCGAGATTCCCCCACCCAAATGAGCTCGCGCAACGTCGAAAATCGCGATGAGTTGTCTTCCACTAACACACACAACACGATGACAGTCCTGACTGACCACTACTATAGGCTTGCCTCCGAGCTTCCAGATGAACGTATCGAGGCAGTCATCAGTCTTTTCAAAGACTTGAACAGCCTGGACTCCAAGGACGATTGGGTCTATGCCTTGAACAGACTTGTCAAAGGTTTGATCACCTCCAGACAAAGTGCCAGATTTGGGTTTTCTATGGCTCTTGTTGAGGTCATACGAGAGCTCATCAACCGTGACTCAGACGAATATAAGGAGTTCACCATCGCTTCCTTCTTGGAGCTTGTTTTGCTGACCACACAAGTCAAGGCATCTATGAAAGGCAAAGAGGAACGTTCGGTGTTGTTCGGTAGATTGTTCGGATTGCAAATCTTGATCAACTCCCACATGTTGTTTGACTCCGTTCTCGTGGCGAAAGAGGGAGAAGATATTCTCTTCAAATTTGTTTCTTCGTTAGTCGAATTGTCCACCTTGAAATCTTGGTTGAGGGAAACTGCGATCTTTACCTTGTGCCAATTTATTACCCAACTTAATGCAAGCGAATTGTCTGCTAACTTGAAGGAACTGGTATTATCAACGATCTTGCAAAGCACCAACGATCAGGGCTTAAATTTATCCACCGAGGGAATTGCCATCTACTTATCCATCCCAAAGGAACAGAGATCAACTCTTGCTGCGGCCATTAAGAACCCTAAAGCCAACTGGAAAAATGGCGACCCTTTCTCCAAGGGGAACTTGCCCATCCTTTCCAAGGCATTGAAGGATGTTGAAGTGATTGAAGACGAAGAAGAAAACCAGAAGGGCAAAAACTCTAAGCAAAAGGGCAGTTGGTCTCCTAGACTCCCATTTGTATGGATTTCAATCATAGAATCGTTCAACAATCAAGAAGAAGACGACGACGAGGAAGTCGAGGAAAGCTCCAAGAAGAGGAAGAAGTCCTCCTCTTCGAAATCTAAGAAGAAAAAGCAAACTTCTGACAGCATTTCATTACAAGAATTTTGGAAAGTTGTTGTGGATGAAACTCTCTTTTCTGAAAAGTCTTCTCATGAAAGGAAGTTTTGGGGTTTCGAATTATTTGGTAAGTTCTTAGAATCCATTGACAACCATGAACAAGTTGAACATGTATTTACTACTAACTTCATGAGATGTCTTATCAACCAAAGCAGTCAGGCCAATAGATTTCTTCACAAAGTGGCCACTAAATCGTTGGAGCTAATGGTGAGGGTGTCTAAAGACAATTTCTTGAAGGCTCCAGTAATTTTGGCTAAGCTTTTAAACGAGAACAACGGTGGATGTTGGAACTTTGATTTGGTAACTAAATCTAGAACTGTGGATTCATTAGTATCAATTCTCAATGATGTCGACTCCGACAAGGTCAAAAGTGAGGAAGTTGAATTGGTCCTTTACGAGATCAAGGATATTTTATTAAGCACTTTTAATAATGCATTAGAAGGGCAAGAAGATGACGATGAGAACGAGACTCACAAGAAAGCAAATGACAATATATTAAAGTGGAGTTTGGATAAATTATTGTTGCTTATTAGAAACAGTAAGCAATTGATGATCGCAAGAAAACCTAACTCGAAGGCCAATAAACTTACCATTAAACCAAAATTCATTGAAGATATACTCAAGTTGCTCATTAAACTCTTGTTCTTCAACCATACCGGACATAAGAACGTTTCTACCAATGTGAGAAAGCTCTGTCAAGAACGTTTGAACTCCATCTTATCCGACGTTATTAGTATTAAAAGAAAGGATTCATCTTGGTCCTACTTCTGTATTAAGTACATTTTGAAGATAGAAGAATCTGATGAGTATTCCAACTTGGTGGATTTTGAAGGCGAATTACTTGACATCAAGAAGAGTACTGTTAAAAAGATCAAGTCTATTCACGAAGAATCCAAAAGTGGAAGAAAGGAGGAATTGGGGTGTTTTGAATTGTTGTTCTCCATGGTATTATTGCAATTATATTGCGGCGACGATGAATCTCTCGCTGTGATTGATGATTTGAAGTTTTGTTATGATGACTTTGTGAAGACAAAGAAATCGAATGGCTCCGATGAAGAGCAGGCAAGCTCTTCAGTGGTTTTGACGGAAATTATTATGTCTTTCTTATCTAGGAAGTCGAGCTTATTGAAGAAGTTATCCTTGATCATTTGGGAATCATTTTTATGTGTTTCCGATAGTAAGGGTCTTACCAGAGTCGATGAAGAGAGTTTAAAACTGTTGCTCAAGGTTCTAGTTGAAAAGGAGAATAAGGAGGGTCAACAAAAATTGTTTGATTCAGTCAATGATTCTGATGTCGAAGAGAACGACGAAGATGGCGATAGTGGAGAAGATGACGAAGAAGAAGAAGAAGAGGAAGAAGAGGAAGAGGAGGAAGAAGAAGAAGAAGAGGATGACGAAGAAGGTGACCAAGATGAAGCCGATGATGACGATGTGGCCGCACTCGACAAAGAGACTAACTTAAAATTGGCACAAGCTTTAGGCATTCCAACCAGTGGATCAGGTGAAGTGAAATTTGACGAATTGTCATCAGATGATGAGGAAGCATCAGACATGGACGACGAGGAAATGATGGCCATGGACGATCAGCTTGCAAAGATCTTCAAGGAAAGACATGATGCTTTGGCAAACATTTCTAGCGGAAGTAAGAGAAAGGCAGAAGTGGTTGAAGCCAAGGAGCAGATGATCTTTTTCAAGAGCAAGATCTTGGACTTGTTGGATATTTTCAGCAAGATACAACCTCAATCAGAATTGAACTTGTACATAGTGGAGCCAATTGTGGTCCTTATTCACTTGACTATGGATAAAAACTTGCAATCCAAGGCTCACAAATACTTGAAGACCCGGTTGAGTAAGTGCTTGATTGACAAGGACGCTTTCAACCAAAAGGAAGCATCTGCCCAACAGCTGTTTATCGATTCTAAATTGAAAATGCTCAAAGAGATTCAAAAGAGAGCAGCAGCCAAGAAACCTAACCAGGCACATACTTTAGCATGCAACCAAGCCTGTATTATACTTTCCAAAAACATCATCAATGTCAAAGCCGAAGAGGTCGATACGATTATTGATGTCTACAGCGAGAGCTTGAAGAGCTGGGCCAAAAGCCCTGGCAACAAGATCCAGGCCTCCATGTTCTTTGATTTCATCAACTGGTTAAACTCCAAGAGAAGTTCAACTATATAGAAGTAGATCAAGACTAATATTTACGCGCATAGTTAAAATTGATATTCTCCTGTAAGTAATTTTCAGTACACACTCCGGCCAATGAAATTCGCGGAACGATGTCGGAGCTCACCATTGAAAATTACAATACTCACTGTTAGTTCAATATCCAACACATCATGTCTGCCTACAAACAAGCTGGAATTTCCTTGAACAAAGCATTGTCTATCTCTGCCAGAACCCTCAGAAGTGCCTTGAAGCCAGAATTCAAGGCTGCCGCTGAAAAGAGAGGAATCACTGAAGTCAAGGCCATCAAGATCGAAAACGGTGTCCAAGCCGAAGCCAAGACCTTGAACTAATTGATGAACACATTCAAATGATGTGCATCAGCATCCATAAGAATCACAGTGATGATAGCATCCCCGCTCTTTGCGAGAAGGAAATACGTCAGTATAGAGCAAATACACGAGTTAAAACCATTCATAGTAGATCACGATTATATACAAAGTTCTATTATTATGTAAAGTATAAATATTCTAGGGTGGGTAGCGTTTTTGGTATGGCAATTAGCCCACCAGCTCATATGATTATTGTGGTGCATGTGCCTTCTGTTCCAACTTTGGCTCATCCAAGGATGTTTCACTGTTATTTAAAGAAAGCTGATCAAGAAGTTGTTTCCTCAATTCAAATGGTAAGTCATCTATCATTGAAGTAATGGTCTCCAAATTGCTAAGATGCTGGTTCGACTCCAAAACTTCAGCTTCATGATCCAAACGTTCCTGCTCCTCAACTTCCGCGTCAGACAACTTCTCTTCTTCCTTCTGGTTTGCAGATTCGTCCAACAACTTGGACAATTCTGAATTGGGGTTGCTGAACAATTCCACAAATCTTCCTTGTTCAACTACAAATCCTCCCTTGCCCAAGACAATTACGTTTTCGGACTTCGAAATTGTAGACAATCTGTGTGCAATTGAAATAATAGTCAACTTGCCTTGAGAGGTCAACTCCTTCAAGGTTTCATTGATCAAACTTTCCAGCTTGGAATCCAAAGCAGATGTAGCTTCATCCAATATCAAGATAGAGGGTTTCTTGATCAATGCCCTAGCAATTGCAACTCTTTGTTTCTGACCACCAGATAAAGAAGCACCTCTTGATCCAATAATTGTATCATACCCATCAGGGAAGGTGGTAATGAAATCGTGGCAATTAGCTTGTTTAGCTACCGTTTCAATGTCATCCATACTGAGCTTATTGATTTCTTGTGGAGTAAGACCGTAAACAATATTTTCCAATATGCTTCCTGAGAGCAAAACTGGTTCTTGTTGAACTATACCAATTATGTTTCTTCTCAAATCACGTACTTGGAAATCATTGATATTTTTTCCACCTATAGTGATTTCACCACTGTTAGTATTGTAAGATCTTAATATCAATGAAGCAATAGTTGACTTTCCACATCCTGATGGTGCAACAAAGCAGGTACTAGAATTTGGCTCGACCTTGAATGTAACACCATTGAAGACTTTTTCATTTGGCCTGGTAGGGTAACTGAAAACGACGTTCTTGAATTCTATCTCGTTGCTCAAATTAGGTGGAACTTTGCTTCCCTTGATCGCAGGAACATCATTGTCGTGATCGATAAGATCAAACAATTTCACACCAGCACCCGATCCCTTCATTAATTCCATGTATGTCGTAGTCAAACTGTAAAGGGCCATGTTGAAAAACTCCAGATACATGGTGAAAGCAATAACATCACCTGTAGTCATTTGGCCATTCAAGATAAGGTAAACACCCAAGGCAATACAAGACAAATATCCAGAGTGGTATAAACCGTAAATCGAAACACTGTAGTTTGATTGGGCTAATGCTTCTTTTTTAGCAACTCCCACAACTTGTCTAACTTGATCAGAGTACTTTGTGAGCTCCTTTTGCTCTCCAGTAAAGGCCTTCACCAACTTGACAGAGTTAAGTGTTTCCTCACTGACTTTGGTCAATCCCGCAGTTGCGTTCTGCAAACGAGTTGAGAGTTCTCTGATACGCTCACCATACCAAACCGAACCAATAGTAATAGGTGGCGAAATTAATAACATGACACAGAACAACAACGGATTAATCGAGTACATCATGTAGGAACTAATAACCCCAAATAGCAAGTTTTTAAGCCCATCGGGCAAGTTGCTGGTAATTGATCTGGAAACCACATAGGCATCACTAGATAATCTGGAAATCAAATCACCCACCTTGTGCTTTTCGTTGTCATAGAATGCAGCATCATGTCTCAACATGTTCTTCATTACCCGTAACCTTAATCTAGCGACCAATCTTTCACCAAGCACCTTAAGCACCCAGATTCTAGCCCAGAAACAGAGAGCACTTGCAAGCATGAATGGGACCATGACTCCGAATATGGTGGTATACTTGTAGCCCCAAATAACCAAGTCTCCATCTTCGTCTTTCATCCCTGCATTATAGGCATCTATGGCAGCACCCACCAACTTGACCAGCGTCGTTGGGTAGAGAACAGCAAATAAGATAAATCCAAGAGCACATAAGAATAACTTGAGGTCAGGCTTTCCTAGCCTTAGAATCCGCATGATGGTCACAAAGTTCTGCTTGAACGTCCTTTTGTTCTCAGTCTGCTCCTTCTTTTCTTCTTGTTTGATTTCCAACTTTTTGAGCTTAGTGAGCTCTAGGTGAGACTTTAACGACTGCGAGGTCTTCAAAGACTTCAACAACTCTTCTGAAGGCTTGGTGCTGGCATCCTTTTGTATTATGGAAGTGTTGCTGAGATATCTGACTATGTGATTTGATCCTCTTGCACTGAACCCCAGACGTACTGGAGCGGCTTTTGAAGCAAGAGCCCTAGTATTAGACAAGTTCAAAAAGGGCAGCTTCAAAGCCTGCGATAAGACCCCATGATTCGGCTTTAGTAGCCTTAAGCCTAGTATTATGGAAGGCATGTGGTCTACTGTCTAGGCAATGAATCATATTAATTCGTACCTCTGAGCGAGTCATGCACGTGTATTTGATCACGTGAGGGATACCCGCTTGATGGAGGATCACAGAAATGCGACATAACAAATCAGCGACATTGTGATTTCAAACACGACTAAATATAATCTACGCAAGATAAATTACACAAGGACGCAAGAATCGGGAATAAAATGGTATGGAAAGCGAAACCAAAATGTTGAAGAAAAGGCAAACGTTGTTGGCACGGCAAACGATTTACCCAACACCGTAGCCTGAGCCCAACACAGGAGCAACGGCAGCCAGAACCGAACAGCTGACAAATTAGCTGAGTAATTCGGAAAAGACTGGATCGAAAATTACAATATAAATAGTCGTAAAATCCCTATGATTTTACGGTGTGCTCAAGTCTACTGAATAGTATACTAAATATTGTTTTAATACGATAAATCCCCTTTAATATCTCGCTCTCTTAGGAAATAGCTTCGCCTGCATACAAGGGTTTTGCGTTTCTCCATCACCGCTAAACTTAATCTGTGGCATTCGAATGCTAATACTTGCTTACGATGTAAATAGGGCACACTCAGCCTTTGATCATGAAAACGTTAAACACTGAATATTATAAAACTAGTTGTACTTTTAAACATCTCTATCAACGAAACTTTGAATCATTCCGACCTCGGTTTCTTCGTATTCAACTACTTCAACATCACCACTTTTGATAACAGTGTTGGCTTGAATCAAGTGTCTACGAGGCAACTTCTTGCTCAAAACAGCATTTCTGAAACGAGCGTATTGCTCGGTGACTTCGGTCTTATCATTGTAGTATGGGATACCAGCTTCGACATTACCAGAACACTTGTAGACGTGTAATTTCAACAAGAAGTCACCCAATGCTTCAACGGCAACAGTGGACAACTTTGATTGATCAAGATTGATGACCATATCACTAAAGTTTTCTTCATCCTTGAAGTCGAAGGTGAAGACACCAGCTTCGTGCAACACCTTGGAAATACCGAATCTGGCTTGCATATGTGGTTGACCCCATTTCTTTGATTCTGGATCCCAAAATTCTAATGCAAGCAAACCAGCTCTTACCATCAAAAGAGTTGCAATAAGGATAACATCCTTTTGCTCCTTTTCATCCTTGATATCGAAAATTGGCAAGACTTCTAATGGCTTTTTAAGAATAAGGTACAAAGCAACCAATTCGGCACGACATTCTTCGTAAGAACCAGCAACACTACTGAAAAGTGAACCCCATGTAGCATTTGGCGCATACCATGACTTGACATCAGTCTTTTCTTTGTCGAAATTGAACACACCTGGTGCAGTCTCTTGTAACAATTTTCCGGTACCATGACCTAACAATTCATGCAAACCGACCTGGACCTCAAAAGCATCAACTCTCCACTTTCTGAAAAGCTCTTCCTCATCTGCTTTAAGGAAACTAAGGGCTTCGTTATTCTTCTTCTTCTTTGGCTCAGCAGACAAAACATTTCCTAAAGAGACGTTCTTAAAACCAATGTTTAATCTAACATCATCATAGTTTGGAATGTTAATACCAGCTGGCACACCGGAACCTGCGAAAGTCAATACTTCCAAAGATGTGAAATCTGGAGGAGTGAACACATCTTTCTCGTAGATTGAATCCCATGGTAAATGGGCAATCAATAGCTTGGCATTATCCACAAGCACTGAGAACTTGGCAGTTCTTTCTTGATTCACCATGGCAACTAAACCTTCCCATTCACCTCTGACACCAGATGGGTCTCTGTAAGTTTCAATGAAACCGATGTTGTTTTCAACAGTTGGTTGGAGGTCTTTGACCCATTGAATTTGAGAATCCTTGTGAGCATTCATAGAACCAGTCTTGAACGATTCGATGTAAAACTTGATCATCTTTTCTTGGGTCTCGTTGCTTACGTATTTCAAAGCCTGTTCCAAGCTTGCAACGATTTGGCTGAAATCCTTCGAGTGGTCACCGAACTTGAAAGTGACACTTGCTCCAGAAGGAGTGGTTAAAGACTCTGGGTAGTAGCTGGTCTTGTTGGTGGTCTCAGCACTAGCAACATGGACCACGAACTCCTTGTCTGACTTCTTTTCAACTCTGGTGTTTTCTGGCATGATTCCGTTCTTGGCCAACACTTCGTTCACAGCCTCAATTTCAGGTCTAGTGATGGTTTGGCCGAGGTAGTATGAGGATACTTGGCCCTTTTCTGGCCATCCAAGCAAACTAGCGTCCAATGAATAGAGGGCCTCGCGGACATTCTTGTATAATTGAGAAGCATCAGCATCGTTAACGGCCTCAATAAGGTGGTCAAACTCCTCGATGCTGAGTCTTGGAATGAACTTTTGGTCACCAAAAGACTTGAAGTTACCAAGGTTGGACAAGAATTGAGAGGCATACTCCAAGTATTGGAGGATGACTGTGGCGGAGACCTTGGACTCAAGGGCCTTTTGGTAGGCTTCGTTGGTTGCTGGGGCGCCCAATGCTTGGTGCACCTTCAAGATCAAGTCGTAGGTATCCTCACTTTCTGGGGAAACTGATCTCAAAACAGCTCTGGTACCATAGTGGGAGGCTCTACTGAGGTAGTGGGCGTATAACTTGGCGGTTTCGGTGGGCAAGCTGTCGAAGTGCTTCTTGGCGCTGAGCATGACCACAGGGGCCTCGGCGTCGGCGTGGTATTCGCTGGCAGACATCGTAATTGTTGAGATATGTGTTCAGTGTGAACAGTGGCACAATCGGTGTTTAAATATGCTGGCACTGAGCCGTGCCATAGTGTGGAGCAGGCGCGACATTTGCTGCAGGCTAATCTAGAGATTTGCCGCTATTTTTGTTGTGCGACATGCCACTCAACAGATGGCATCCTCGCTAGCAGATCCGACCAGTAAGAGTATAGGATCGCCACCAATGTCAACCGAGAGTAGTGATGCACAGAATGAGTCAACGCGGGCCGGTGGCAAAGCTGTAGGACTCCCATTGGCCGAGTCAAACCAGCTGGGTTCTGGGCCCGTCCATAGTACTCCAAGTGCAGACAACAAGGAGTCGGAGGACGACGATGAAGAAGAGGAAGATGACGACTACGACCCTACTGCAAAACAAGACGATGAGGAACAAGATGATGAAGATGATGACGATGACGAAGTTGCCTCTCGTGAGGCTGATTACGCCAAGATCCAAGCGCAGACTTCGCAAGTGAGGACTAGGCGTCAGCGCCAGAACGATACCGACAACCAGGCTAGCCGATTCATAGCGGGATTCGAGACCGACGAACGGGGATTGGTGAAAGATTTACACTCGTCGGTGGACATTGACGCCATCTTCAACGACTTGAAGACCAAACAGGAGGCTGATGACTGGAGAGATTTGGCAGCACAATCAGAGTCTGTCGAGCAGACCCCCAAGGCTGAAGAATCGCACACCGACGATTTGAACCCCGAGAAGATTCAGATCGAATCCTCCTATACTTTTGCAGGACGGCTCATCACCGAGACGAAGTTGGTGGATGCTGATTCGGCAGAGGCCAAGGCTTACTTGAACTCTACTGCTTCCATCACCAGGGTGCCCGGTCAGAAAACCATACGGTCGCATGTTACCGTTCTTCGTACCATTCCGGGTACTACTGAACCCACTGAACTCAAAATCAAATTAAAAAGGCCTTCACTCATTGACAAGTTTCTCTCCACCTACGGAAGCAAGAAGCAAAAATTGTCTACGCTTGAAAAGTCTCGGTTGGACTGGGCCAGTTTTGTGGACAAGAGAGATATTGCCGACGAGTTGAAGCTACACGGCAAGGCTGGTTATTTGGACAGACAAGATTTCTTGGGTCGCGTCCAAGATAAGAGAGATATCGAATATCAAAAGGCTAAGGATCTTGAAAGGCAAAGACAATGGCAGTTGCAACAGAAGTAACCGGCCCATATTGTACCACTGGCAAAATATCCCCACATAGGAATATGTATTGTACTATAGATGTATTATAACTAACACCATAACCTCATCCGTGTGTTCCTCTGTCGCGTTACCCTAGCCTGTATACAGCATATCCGACGAAAATTTATAACAGGCAAAAAAACACTCTGCTACCCCATCACCGTACTAGATAATGTCAAGTAATAAGAGAAAGAATGAAGAGCTCGACTCGGCTGGTATAGACCAGTTGAACAAGAGAGTTGCATTGGACAGTGAACAATTGGCCTTGACTGAGCAACAAGAAGAAAAAGCGCAGACCGCTCCCGCAATTGGCACAGGAGAGGAAGACCAAGATATTAAACCAGAGCAGACCGAGTGCAATGAACCAGAACAGGAGCCACCTACCATTGACGAGAGTCCTACTGAACAGAATGAGCCAGCGTACCAGCCTGCTGAGGAAAACGGCTCCAATAGAAATGAGAACTCGCTACAAGCACACGCAGCAGTCCCTCAAGGGCCCTCCAATGACCCAGAAGACGAAAGAAACCAGGGACCCTCTAAACCTATTTCCAACCACAGGGAGAGAGAAAATGATCCTACTTACGTGCTGTTACGAATGTACTGTCCTGTTAAGGAAGCCAGTTGCATTGTGGGTAAAAAAGGTGAGACCATTAATCATATCAGAGAAAAAGCTAATGTCAGAATGAATGTCAGTGAGAACTTGAAAAATGTTCCAGAAAGAATCATCCTGGTTAGAGGGCCAGCAGAGAATGTGGCCAGGGCATTTGGTCTAATTACTAGAACAATTTTGGAAGAACCGGAAGATGAACCTGCATCCATTATGAGCAGACAATACAACTTGAAAATTTTGGTTCCACATCCCATGATTGGCTTCATAATCGGAAAACAGGGTATAAAATTCAGAGAGATTGAAGAGAATTCAGCTGCGAAATTGAAGGCAGCAGAACAACCGTTGCCATATTCTACTGACAGAATATTATCTATAACAGGTGTTGGTGATGCCATTCATATTGCAATCTACTACATCTCGCAGGTGTTGATAGAACACAAAGACACTCTCAAGAAGAGTAAGATCATATATTACAACACAGCAAATTACCAAAACACCATGAACAATAATGTGATGAATATGTCCATGATGCCCAATCCTTCTATGATGGTAATGGGGGGTGCTGGTGGAACCAATCCACTTACCATGCAAGATATCAAAGACCCTTCCATAGGAATGAATTACAATCAAGTGAAACCAAATCAATACGGTCAACAGAAACCTTATAATTTCCAAATGATGTTCCAACCTGCCACACACCCACAACAGCACTATGGTGTAATGCCAGGTCCTGCACCTCCTATGGCAGTCCCTCCACCTCAGAATTCATACACCGATGAGCATGGAAACAATATCATAGGTGATGTTATCACACACCCACCTGTTCCAGCAGGCCAAAATGGAGATAAGTTTAATCAAGACATATTTGTCGCAAATATGAACATAGGATCAGTGATTGGTAAAGGTGGTAACAATATAAAACAAATCAGGGAAAAGAGTGCATGCACTTATGTGAAAATCGAACCTGACAAGGGTCAATCTATTATGTTGGGTGGAGGTAAAGGTCTTACAAACATAAGAAAGTTGACTTTAACGGGCTCAATGAATTCGATTCAAATGGCAATCTTTTTGATTAATCAAAGAATAATTGCTGACAAAGAAAGAAATGCCCATCAATAGACCGTCACGGTATGCATTGATGAGTACTTTAAGATTTTACGACCGTTGTTCTCTCTGTGTTCTGAAAGTTTTTTGTATTTGTATGGTTGTTGGACTTTGCTTTTGCTTTTAATTGTTTTACATACTACTTAGTGTTCTTTCCATGCTGGTTTTGCTTTTTCTTCACAATCCAGTATGGTTTCTTCTATAGAGTATGTACTACTTGAAATGGGAATATTTCTATCGTTTTGGGTTTTGTTTTTCTGTATTCTAAACTCTCGTTCTTTGTTTATGTCATGGTCCTATCGGTCACTCACGGATTCCAGGTTAGGATATCGTGGTGGTAAAAATTACTCATAATAAATACTTAATACTTAAAAACTTCTATTGAAATGTGCTAGGTCATTATGGACTTATTCCGTAATCTATAAAATTTGTATGTTGATTGAAATGCTAAAGTAAGTGTTTGAAAAACCTTCATAATGAACCTCATGTAGAAATGCAGAAGTCTAAAAATGTTGTACCCCTAATGACGTCAAAATCATGGTAACTGCACTCAACAACCCTTCACCCAAAACTAAACCACTACTGAATATAATCATACCAATCTTGTTGACCCCTCCATCAGTGCTCTTTCCCTTATAGTTGACCCACCAGTATGCAATTACGCCACCGACGAATCTGGCAAGAGTGAAATTGGGGCTGTTGTAAATACCGATACCCACCGCAACACCATTTGGTAAGTATACTAACCATTTGTGATACTTCGAAGTCTTTGGAGTAACATTCTTAATAATGGATATCATACCAAAAATTAAACCTGACACAATAGAGAACTGAAAAGCATATGGTGGTAACCCTGCACCAGTAACCAATCTTGAGCAATCAATCCAAATGATCGCTGTAGGAATTCTAAACATTGAACCCGGAATCTCATATACAGCGTTATAGACCTTGTACATGATACTACTCAAGAATACTGAATAGACAGTACCTATTATTTGAGCAGTAAACTGTGCACGAGGAGATGCTCCAATTAAATGTCCGGTTTTCAAGTCTTGCATCAAATCACCAGCTTGCTGGGCACCTGCTTCCGCAATTCCTCCCGCAATTAAATTGATTAAGATTCTGGAAGGATTTGACGCAGGAACAACAAGAGCGAAAATCAATTGTGACAACTTGCCAATACCACTAACGGGATTCAAATCGGTCTCACCCAAAGCTCTAACCCCCAATATTGAGAACATTAAAGCCAAAATAATTGCAACAAAAGTTGCGTACAATGGGACCAAAGGTCCAAAAACGAGTTTGATAGCCACAACGCAAAGCAACGAGGACAAAATCACTCCGAAAATAGCCACCTTGTTACTCACCAAATGGACTTTTTCGACCTTGTCTCTTTCCGACGATACAGAGGGTCTTGGAAGTCTTGGCTGCCCCAACTCAGGATCATAGGTGGAGTCCGAGTCGACTAACAATGGCTCTTCCAAGCTAAGACTATCATAAATCTCACGTTCTCTATTCTTCTTCATCAAGATAATACCATTATGGATAGACTTGTATGTAACGATGGTGAAAGAGACTAAGGAGTCACTGATCATTACACTCAAACTAAGCCATAAAATCCAACCCTGGCCACCATTTTTAAAGTCATCGATTGGTCCTGGTGCCCATCCAACATGTTTGGAAAATGGTGCCAAAATACCCCAACCAACCAAGGCACCAAAGAGCATATAGGAGACTGTGGGCAAGCCCATGATGATACCTTGACCAATGTATGCTGGCGATGGCTCGAAGTTCCATTTATATTTGGAAGAAGCGATGTTACCAAATATAGGCAACTTCTTTAAGATCGGGAAGAAGTACGATAAAAGAGTGTATGAAGCAGAAACCAAAAATGTCTTGACCAACGTACTGACATTGGAAGAATAAGTGTCATTGACTGCTGGGCTCACTGCAGGAGCTGGCGATATTTTTTTTGGTTGAATTGTTGATGGGTCTCTCGATTTGTCATCATGCTCTTCGTTGTAGATTTCAGTTCCGTGTAAAACAGATATCAAGGTTGCAGTAGCACTTCCTGATGGAAACGGAAGCTTTTCTTTAATAATGACTTGGTTTCTTAAAGGGATAGCAAAGAACACACCAAAAAGGCCTAGGCCGAGCGACCATAAGATCAACTCATTAAGAGAAAATTTGATGGCACGGCCAATACCTGATTCTTCTGGAGTCAAGAACTTCTCGATGGCCGGAATGATACCAATAAGTCCGTAAGCCAAGGGTCCGGTTCCCACAGCAACAGCAACGCTTTGGACGTAGACATTTTCGACGTCAGTGAAGTCATCGGCCCAGGGAGTCAACTTGAAGAGAGCAAAGCCAAGCAACGCCGATGGTAACGACATCATGGACACCCAGCCGGTTTGCAAACCGAACTGGAAGTTCGAGACTAACACTACCGTACCAATAAGAAGGCCGATAAACGTGGCTCTCAATGTCACTTGGGGCAAGCCAATCTTGTGGGAATATATGGAAACCACATTACTAATGGCGGCCTGGTGGTCTTGCTGGGTGCTGGAGCTGGCCATAGTATGTGCTGAGTGTGCCTCGAGGTGGTGTTAAAAAGCCTCCGACTTTTGAGTAGTTCCTATTCTCCCACTTGAACTCCGAATGGTGAAGGAACTATTCGCCGTATATAGATTTGTATTAGTAATTCTATAGATCTAATCACCACGGGATTCGATGCCTAATTTGGAACAATCGCGCCGCGTGTCTGGAGTACCTACTAGCTATTGCCCGCACATGTATTGCTGTAATGATGGACGTTAGACGGCCTAGGAGGCCAGAATGCCTACCAGGCGCCTAATCCTCACCAAAGAGTATATAATTCAAAATATCACTCAAGGTGATCACCGAAACCAACTTACCTTCGTCATCAACCACAAACAACCGGTGCAAGCGGGACTTTCTAATAGTATCCATGATAGTACTTAATCTGTCGTTCAAGGTACAGGTGTGCACACCTTCAAAGTCTTCTGGTCTTCTCAAGAGCGCATCTCCCACACTCAAGTCTAAGTCGGTGTACATGCCACCCTTGACCAACGCCAACACGTCGACGGCTTCGTAGACATTGATGAGCTTGCCTTGGTCATCCACAATCGGCACCGAAGACACCGACTTGTGTGCCAAGAGGTGAATGACCTCGATCACCGGCGTGTTCATGGTACATGTAGATATGTCTTTGATGGTTCCCAAGCCTTGGAGATCCTTTATTGGTTTCAACAACATCTTGGTCTCTTTGCAGTTCAAGGCGACGAACTTGAGGATACGATATTGTGTTAATACTGACACAACAATCTCACGGTGGGTCTTTTCATCCTGGTCAATCAATGGGATTCTCCTGGCTTTGGAGTCGAGCATCTTGACACATGCTTCGTAAAGTGACTTAAATGGATGGATGTATGCGGTTTCAATAGGATCCACTCCGATGGCCTTCTCGATGTCCCTTAATCCGTCCAAGGTGAGTTGGTCCACCAACTCAAACTTCTCGGGAAACTGGAAGTAGTACTGAATAACATTGATGAAGTCTGACAGCGTCAACAACCCAGCGAATCTCAGATTCTGGTTATTCCACAAAGGAGCACTGACGATGTTGTTCTGCAATAATATATTCAACGATTTCTTTACCAAGAGGGAGGTGTCCAACACTACCAATCTATAACTGACTGGTAACACGTCGTATGATGTTTTACTTTGTAAGAACAAACGAATGGCTTTCACACCTATCTTTTGATCATGTTCGATTTGCTCTGGTGTCAAACTCAATATGTAATCATTAGGGCTAGCTGAAGATGGCCTCGTATTGGTGAGTTCGGCCATTTTATTGATTTATGATGAACGATGTGTGGGTTAACTTGAAGTGCACGGACAAATTGGACAAGAAGGTGCGACAATGTCGCAAAATCCTGGAGTCTCTACATGCCATCACCACAAGACTAGCAACTTAACCCCATAATCTGTACACAAGGACTCCTATAAACCTTCGAACTATCTAGATGTCATCATTTCCTGGTCCGCCACCAACTGCTGATGCTTTGGAAAAGAATCCAGAACTCATCAAAAGTATCGATGAGAGAGTCTTCTATGATCAAAACTCCAAGAAGTGGCTTTTTGAACTCACTGAAGGCGATACCACTAATGAATATGAGTACAATTTTGATTCACAACAATGGACGCTAAAGATATTACCCAATAAGCGTTCTAGAGATGAAGCAGCCATAGATGAGGAGGAGGAGCAGAACAAGCTAGAATTGAAACGTCTCAAGAAAGAGAGGTCAATGAGAATTAAGGCCGAAATAGCAAAGCTCAAGAGTGAAAGGTTGGAAAACTTGAAGAAAAATACAGACTCCACAGCCGTCTATGTTACCAACTTGCCAGAAGATGTTACAGAAGAGGAACTAGCTACCACCTTCGGTAAGTATGGCTTGTTATCGGAGGATTACAATACTGGGAAAGCAAGAATAAAATTGCAATACGAAGACGAAAAGTTTAAGAGAGAAGCATTAATTATATATTTGAATAAGGAGAGTGTTCCCCTTTCCATAGAAATGCTTGATGATTCATTATTAAGGCAGACCGACAAAGAAAGAATACGAGTAGAAGCTGCTCAATTTAATTCAGAAAAACTGAAGGAAAAGAAACCATTATCGGAAGAAGAAAAGAAGCGCATTAAACAAACTAATGACAAGTTGAAAGCAAAAGTTACCAACTGGGATGAAGATCTTGATGAAGCCTCGAAGCTTGAACGTTTTAATGAAGCAAAACGTAAGATCTTGGACAAAATTGTTGTGATCGATCAAATGTTCCGAGAAGACGAATACAATAAGGATCCCATGCTTGAAATGGATATCAAAGAAGATATACAAGAGGAGTGTAACAAGTTGGGAATAGGAAACGATATTACCAAAATATCCTTTGAAGAGAACGGTAGGGTAAAAATAAAATTCGGAAAGATTGAGCTGAGTAGAATTTGCATAGAAAAGTTCAATGGAAGATATTTTGATGGGATAAAATTAGAAGTTCATGTCGAAGGTTCTAAATCATAAAGTAGCACGTTGAAATACTGTAACGGAGGTCAAAGCTTACTAAATCGTATTTTATAGATTTCCACTACTCGATCATGAGAAAAGTATTAATGGAGGTAATAAATGTTGTCTCGTTCCTTTCGGAAATGACACCATCTTGCAAAAAAATCCATTAAATTGAAGTACATATCTACAGTTGATTGAATTACATTCAGTTCATCAACTTAAAATCTATTTATTATTCCTCTCAATATTGTTGCAATGGCAATTCCTGCAATTGAGTATTCACTCGATTGAGCTGCTCTGAATCTTGTTTCAAGATCACCTTCAATCTCGCGACTACTTGAGCCAATTCTCTTTGCTTCAACTCCTCCAGCGCAGAAAAGACGTTTTTATCACTTAATGATGGATTGACCAAGGCACGTACTTGGGCTTTGTAGGATTCGATCTTTGCTGGTAAGGATTCCTGTTCTGTGCCATCGACTTCTTTCTTCATCATTGCATTCAATGCATTAATTTCCTTAAACCAAGCCTTTTCTGTTCTCGACAATGGTAAGGACTGCTTCTTTTTTAATTGCAAGATACGAATGGAAAGCCTTGATTTGACTTGAGTTTGTCTCTTTTCCAACTCTTCTTGCTTTTTTGCGATATTTTGAGCCTTTTTAGTTAAATGTTCAAGTTGTTCTGGTGATTTAACTTTCTCTGAGATATTTCTCAACATATTAACATACAACTGTAATTCATCAATCTTCTGTGTTGCATTGAACAGTGACTTGGCAACCAATGCAGCTAGGTTGGCTAGTTGGTTTAAGGCCTGTGTAGAAACTAAGTGAACTCTTGAAAGATCATCAGTCGTTTCACCGATACTTTTGGAGAGAACCTCTGAATTGATATTCGTAGATAGAGCCTTTTCGTCAAAATTGCCCAATTCCTGCAGTTGCAAACGTAATTCACCGGAAATAGTATCACTGTTACGTGAGTAGGCACCAGTGCTCACTGAAGGTTCTTTTGAAGGCTTGGTCACAATAGTAGGCTCTGAAAGGACATCCTTCTGTTCTGTCTTCAACTTAAGTTCATAGACCTTCAAGTTATCTATCAATGAATCGCTGAGGACAATCAAATATTCGGAAACATCATTATCGAGCAAAGGATTCACAGCACAAGATAACGCACTGAAACGTGAGATTTTGATATGAGTATACTGTATTGGGCTGAAATTGTTAGGATCAGACTCAGATGTATCTGATATCAATGAGTTGCTTAAGTCAGATAAGAAATCATCCGCTTTTATAACATGACCGTCATCCTTTGCTTTCAAGAAGAGTCTCTTACCCTCCTCAGAATAATTCAATAAGGCAAAGTCATTCCTTGAAGTAATAGTTGGAAATTGGTAATCTAAAGCAACAAACTCTAAAAGTGTAAGTGAATTAAATTCCTCTTTCTCGAATTCCTTTTCTCGTTGAGCACGGTCATTGTCCACTTTGACTTTAGTCAACGACAATGTACCAAAATTATCAACAGTATCAGTAACATCATCCTCATCATCTGAGAATGCAATGAAACCGAACCCTTTGCTTGGTTTTACATAAGCGTCACTCTTCTTAGGAACTTGCTTCTTTGCATTTGATTCTGCTTCTAATTTAGCAGCAATTGGTTCAGCGGGTGTCTCAGTAGAAGGACAATTCAACTTCATTATCAACGGCTTCAATTGGGCGTAGTATTGTAAATGTGCTTCTCCAAATTTTGAAGCAAGAGCAACTACAGTGGTGAAATTCTTGTTCGAATACATACTTTGGATATCAATTAATGATTCTCCATCGTTTGCACTCAAGGGACCTTGCAACTTTGGTTTGTAATCGGAATGTAATGAATGAGTCAACCGTTTCAAGTTGAATGTAGAGAAAGCCTTCAATTTTCTATTCTCTGTCTGTAAGGGAACACCAGTCTCAAATTGATTTCTCAAATGCAAGAAGAATTCGTATTGTGAGATTGCTAGTAAGGTCAATGGACTGGAAATAGAATCGGTGATGGATTGGAAAGAAAACCGACTCTCTATAGTCTCTATAATAGCTTTGGTTTCATCAAGTGCATAATCTAAACCCTCCATTGAGCATGCCAATCTTGAAGTTGGAGCTAAAAATGGGTAAAATGCATAAACTTCTTTCTCCGATGATACATATAAAGTCAACGAGCCTTGCACGTTGACCGAAGAACCAAATGAAATAGAGGTTGCATTTTGGTGTTCAAATTCGGGTTGAGCCTTCAAATCGATTTCCAATTGAGGGAAAGAGGCTGACAATGAGAGGTCAAAGCTTCTGATCACTGAATAGTCGGTCAATATGACCAACAGACAATCTTTTGCAACAATAGTTTGCCACAAAACTTTGACAATTCTTCCCTTCAAGTTACCGATGTTGTAGTGCTTCCCTGAAATTTGGGTTTTATGTACATCGTCAACAGCACCGGGAATTTCCACCACTGTTACTTTTGTATCCCCTACCAAGGCCAATAATGTTTCCAGAGCATTGAGGTACATTGCGTGAATCTCGAAGTCGGTGGTGAAATTCAAGGTCCTGAAGGCCGTGCTGGTGGGAGATATCACGCAATGTCTCACTATGTTGTAATTGGCATAGTAAACATGGCCATCAGTGGTGGTGACGACTTTTTGCGCTGGAAATAACGGAGAAAGCTCGGTGGGCAAGCTGAAGCCAATGTAAGTTTTGAAAATAGTTTGATCCGTGATCTGAGACTGGAAGCTCTTGACCGGGATCGGATCTCTTGTCGGCTTCGTCATGTTTAAGGATGATACCTATTTGTAGCCCAACGAAAGGAGTTCTAGATGCGATTGTTCGTGCAGGAAACCGGTTGGGGAGTAGGTGCGCGAAATTCCGGTATGACAGGAGAGCTTCAAGCTTCTTGTAACCAAACGGAGTTGAATAGCCTCGTTGATGAAGTACAAAACACCGTCCTCGAGCTAGAATTATTTCATTTTCGTGACAGCTCTCGGGTTTTGTGGCATTAGAATTTAAATTCTTGTTCGTGAGTTTCGATAGGTCTGCTTGTACGAGTTTGATACTTGTACGCACCAAATGGGTACTCCTGCTGTATTTTGCGTAACTGTAACTGCCTCTCCATTTCGACTTCCTTACCTTTACTCCTCTTCAAATTCACAAACCTTCTCTTTATGCTTCTCAGCACTCTATTTCTGAGAGATTCGTGTCGCGGAAGGACAGAATGGTACGGAGCATTGCAACGCTGATGGCAAGCACCGATGTCAAAGGATGAAATTTCGGAGGGCTGCCTTTCCTGCGTTTCTAGGTTTATTCCAAACGTGGGGCTGTCTATTACCCTTAAGGTTGCTGATTCTGGCCGTATCCCAACAGTTGGGCGGGGTGCAAAAAACTTCAAGAATTTTGTTTCGACTTTAGCACCTCTTCGAATAGTATCGAAAAAACCGTTGTCTCTAGATGTTTTTCTAGGTTGTTTGCCGGATAATTTCCATGTGTCCTCCTCGAAGGATTTTTGTGGGGCTTTGTGCCGAATTGCACCCAAACAATTGTGAACACCCACAATATTTGCATGAGGAAGTGTTCTACCTTCAGAAGATGTGGAATACTTTGTATTTAGCTGTTTCTTCTTTCCGAAGCTGGAACTTAGTGGTCTTGCAAATTTAAATCCCCGGCTACTATAGCTCATTGTGTTTGTAAACGTAAGAAGTAATTTTGCAATTTTCGCAACTTTACGGAAAATCGGTCTGAAATCTATCAGAGCATCAACATCACTATTCGGAAATTTAAGAGCACGAAACTACAATTCAAAGTGTGGGAAGGTCTTTCATGTATTCTGTGGAGTTTACCTTAACTACATCCATGAAACCAACTTCTCCCTTTTGTGTAATATTTCGCTTACTATCAGTTTAGAAAACCTGATCGGCTCAGGCAAAACGCCTAAGATGGAAAGTCCATTAGCTGCTGGTCGAATCGAAGGTAAAGTCATATCCGACCACATTAATGGTTGACCCCCCCTTCTTTCGTAAATTTTGTTACCAGTACCATTTTGGCTTGCGAGGACAGTTCACACGTGATGCCCACATTGATCAAACGATCATACACCAACTTTATTCTCCAACATGGGTAAACAATATATATCTACAGTCAGTGCTGCCCAGGCTCACTCCCTGGACATAACAGACTTGACGATTGTCAATAAATTCACCATAACTGTCTCTAGTGATGGATACGCCAACTTTTGGGACAACAAGCAAGATGAAGTTCATGATCCAAAGCAGTTTGTTCATAAGGAACTTATAAATGAACTTGGTGTCCACCATGTGGCTAGCTATGAAAACAATTTGCCCTCATCCAGCATAAGAATAGTATTTTTGGCCTTTGCTAGCTTTGATGGAAGCGTAGTCTTCAAATACTACATTAACGATGACATATCCACTTTAAAGTCGTTCGAACCTGTGAAGCCAGTGACCAATTCCTGGGCACCTGTGTTTCATAAAGATCCTGAATCGAAGCAAGACTACTTCATCTGTACTAAGGCGGATGGTACAACCACAGTGTATTCATTCACTGTGGCAGCCCATGAAGACGATGTTAGTGTTGATATCACCTTGGAAAAATTTGGTGATTTGGATGCGAACGCCTCTTCATTCCCTACATCCATAGCTGTGTCAGAAACGATTGACAAAAAAGTGGCCATTGGTTATGCTAATGGTGATGTTTTGTTGTACGACCTTTTATCATTGAAAACCGTCTACACTTTTCACTCCACCGATTTACAGATTTCCCATAAATCTAAGACTTCCAGATCTATTCCTAGGGTTTTAAGATTCTCTCCTGGAGGAACAATATTGGCGATTGCTAGGGATAACCAATCTTCAGGATCAATCACTTTATACGACGTTCAATTTGGAGAGAATATTGGCTCTTTAACTACCCCAAGTCATTCAGCCAAAAGCACTATTGGAGGCTTTGCCCACGAAGGATGGATTATGGGATTGAGTTTTGATGAAGAAGGTAAAAACTTGGCAAGTTGTGGATTTGATAAATGTGTCAGGGTTTGGAACTTAGATACTAGAGAAAGGGAGTCTACTATTACCGTTTCAATTAGCGACCTAGAGGATACGGAACACGATGAGTTCGATAAAACAGTATTAAGCGGAGTTGAGTTTATCAAGAAAAAGGTTAGAGGAGGTGCAGGTGGGGACACTAACGAAGGTTTGTGTGTAATTAGTTTTGATAGAGGTATTAGATGGTACAGGGAAGCGGGTGGTATCTAGACTAAGAATGGATTACATTGCTAATTTTTAATTAAAATCTTTCATTTATTGTCCTGGAATAATCCTATTTGCTCAGAATAACATGCACAAGGCGAGACTTAATTAATTCCATTGCCGACTGTGAAAGTTGACTAAATTCAGGATAGAGTTCCGTCCAAAATACAATCGGGGGTGATGCGAAATCCCCTGGTATCTATTCAGCATACAATAAAAATATCCCAAATTTCCTCATGGACTCAAAGTAAAACCAATTATCGATTTGTAGATCCTGATTTTTCATCGGGGAACTAAGGGATTTAAATTTAAATCGTGAGCAGTGAACTACTTGAATGGATGGGTTCAGAAACAAGGATTAAAAAGCTTTAAGTATAGAACAGCCCACTCGGTGGTTGAGCCCAAATTGACTGGATACAATTGCAAAACAAGGACAAGCTACCAAGAGGTCAGAAGCTTGATGGATCCCGAATTCAGTAGAATAAACATAATCATTTCACTGCTGCTCTCCAAATTGATACATATGCTTGACTGGCATGCACTCAATGGAACTGTGGACTAGACTTCTGGTATTGCGAACTTTCAGGTCAGTTTGCACCCATCCCTCTAATTTGGTGTAACGGTTTTTCTGTTTAATTCAAGTTCCCCATCGCAGGATACATTAGTCGAAAGCGACGTAAGAAGTATTAAGGAGTATTTAACTGGGGTTTTCTACAAGTTTTATCGAATATTATGTATCCAAGCATAAGGGTAGTTCAATCGAATTTTACACGTGACGCACCATCTAAATAAGATTGTTTATGTTTTCTAAACACCATCATGTCTGAGTCAGAAGGGCAGGAGCGCTTTACCAGGCTAAAGCACAAAGTATCCAAACGAATAAAGCAGTTATCTGACTTAGAGAATACAAATTCTGCTGATAGACAAGCAATCCTACAACTGTTACCGCCTCTAGTGAGAGAAGTAGGAGTTGACAGTAATGACATCCAAGAATTAATAGAATTGATCACCTCCAATTTGATATCGACAGCAGACCAAAGTTATATTATTGAGGAGATACTCGTTCCATCAAAGTCATCACAATTGCCTGTTGGGGTCATTTATCAAATTGTTAGTCAGATAGGCATTCCCCAAGTGTACCACAAGAATGGCCGTAAAACGAAACTGAAAAAGTTGTCTAAAGGAGTACAAATCAAGTTACTCGAGTGGCTAATCTGCTCCATTCATTTATTTGGTGCTGCTACCTCTAAGACATTACAGCGGATGCTGCCAATTCTTTTCAACTATTTATCTTATGAATACCTGAGACCATACATCTCAAATTTAATTTTTCTTGGTGTTGTGGGTGGCAGTTCGAATTTTAGAACATTGTACAACCAACATAATATTCGCCTGGTTCCAACCTTCAAAGCATGGCACATACAGCTTGTTGTCGATTTGTATGTCAAATTTCCAACAGATGAGTACTTAAGGGCATTGTTAATCCTTTTCAAAAGTTTGGACCCTCAGATTAACCTACATGATTACTCTCGAAATCTGATCTTTGATACGCTTAAAATTGGCCCTGTATCCCCTAATATTTTTCTGTATCCTAATGCGGGGTATTTGAACAAGTTAAATGGGGTCGATAGCACAACTGTGCTGAACGTAGTGCTAAACCACAATTTAAAGGAATATTCGGAGTTTGGACAGACAATAAAAAGAAGAAAACTCAATAGAGCCCCAATTCAGAATGAAACCACTATTGTGTTTGATAATATCGATATTTCGACACAAGCTAACCAAAGTACGGCGTACAAGCTTCGGAATAATCAGGACTTGATTGCCAATTTAGCTGATGCAAGGAGCATAAAAATTAATGATCTTTTCCAATCTAAGGATTCATTCACATTATCGAAACTACGGAAATTGATGGTTATTTTACAGATTAATGCCGACAAAAGCTTTGGCTCTAACCTCCACAAGAAATTAGACCATTATGTTAAGCTCAGTCTCATTGATGATAACTTGACTTGTTCAGAGCTTGAAAAACTTTGTGACGAAGTTCAGAGCCTCATGAAGTTCAGTGCTGGTACACTAGATCTTCCACTGGTCGAGGAATTAGTATTATATCAGTTTGATTTTAACCCAATACTTATTCTGAATGAACCACAACAAAGGGAATTGAATAATTTAAATCAGAGATTGAAGTTTTTAAGGTTTTTGCCTATCAAAAGCTTCGATAGCCTCAATTTGTTCTTGAAACCCACATTGGAAATATTTGAGCGAAATTCAAGAAATAAATTATTGACACACAAATTGAATGTCCTATTATTAACATTTATCCAACAATTGATATTAATGTTCGAAATTTGGATTGTCAGGGAAGTTGATAGGCCAATTGTTTTTGATACTGTTGATAAAACCATTTCAAGTTTGTATGATTTCTTTACAAATCATATCAAAGAATACGGCTCAAGTTCAGAGTATATGATTATTAGTATTTTCAAGTTCGTGAAATCTATTGATTTGGACATTTTAAATGAACACTTTTCGGACAATGCAGTGGTTCCACCCAAGGTGATAGTTTACAGATTGTTGTTCAAGGGGGACCCATTTCTCATCTCAGAATTATGTGGGTTTATCGCTCATACCAAGTCTTACTATTTCAAGAAAGATCAAATGAAAGCTCTACAAAACAGCTATATCATGGATATAGTGAATTTTCTTTGGCGTGACAAAGCTCTTCATCAGGAAAATAATTTGCTGTCTTCAAGCAGGGGATTCTTTTTACATCCTGACTTTCAACCATATGTCAGTTCATTACATGTTTTCAATTATTCAAATATGATTACATTATCTACTATAGGGAACTTGTTTGTCAACCCAGCATGGGCCTATTTGAGTGCTCAAATTGTATGGAAGCTTGAAGATCAATCTAGTGAAGTGACCACCAGGCATCAAGGTCCCGTTAGTAAGGAAAGCATTTTAAGGTTGCAAACCGATACTGATAGTCTGTGGCTTAGTGTATCGTATGATGACTTGAAGTTAAAGGTATTGAGAGAATTAGATGCTTTGGGTTTCACAGGCTTGGCTGACTTAATGTTTAATTCGTTAAAGACTCTTCAAAACCAGCGTCTGGAAACCCATCCATCGGTCGCACAATCATAGTAAAATAGCTTCACAGCTCAAAACCCCTCAGAACTGTACCGAATTTAAAGAAAAGGAAACTAAATAACTAGTGGCGCGCTACCAACCTCTTAAACAAATTACCGCACTGCATATAGATTAACAAACATCCAACTTTTCAGTTCTACCATTGATTGACCATGTTCTCTCGTGGGAAAATCATAAGCCCCCAGAGGCACCGCCTCTTGCGGCAAGTTTCAAAGTCTTCCAAGGTAGAGCTCAATGAATTGGACGCGAAATGGACGAAGAGATGGAGAGAGGCCTCCCCCAACAACTCTATTCATCCTAGTAAACATTTAGTTGATCCAGATGCCGAATCCTTTTACTGCCTTTCAATGTTTCCATACCCTTCAGGTATGCTTCACATGGGTCACTTGCGTGTTTACACCATCAGTGACGTAATTTCACGGTTCAAACGGCTTAAAGGTTACAACGTTATCCACCCAATGGGTTGGGATGCATTTGGTTTACCAGCAGAAAATGCTGCCTTTGAAAGAGGTATCAACCCTGCGGTATGGACAGAGTCTAACATAGCCAAAATGAAGGAGCAAATGAATTTAATGTTGGCGGATTTTGACTGGGAAAGGGAAATTTCAACCTGCTCGCCAGATTATTACAAGTGGACTCAAAAGATTTTCTTATTATTGTATGAGCATGGCTTGGTGTATCGTAAAGAAGCTGAAATTAACTGGGATCCCGTGGATATGACAGTCTTGGCGAACGAGCAAGTGGACGCCGAAGGAAGATCTTGGAGAAGTGGGGCCATCGTTGAAAAAAGAAACCTTGAACAATGGTTTATTGCAATCACCAAGTATGCCCAAGATTTGAACCAAGATATGAAAGTTTTGGACCAATGGCCCAATAAAGTCAAAGCGATGCAAAGAAATTGGATTGGCGAGTCACATGGAGTGGAAATTACGTTCCCAACCGATTCAAACTATGATATTACCGTCTTCACTTCAAGACCAGAGACTTTATTTGTCGCTCAATTCTTAGCACTCTCCTTGAATCATCCCATTGTAAAAGAGGCAGCAGAACTTGACGAAGGTCTTGCAATGTTCATCGAGGAGAACAAAGAGACAGACTTTTCGTCCAAGAATGGGTATCTTATTACAAGTATTAAGGCTTCTATTCCTATTGACGTCCAGAACAACGTGAGGAAAGAGTTTGATATCCCAGTCTATGCAGCTCCTTACGTCATTGGATCGTATGGTCTGGGTGCTGTAATGGGATGTCCCGCTCACGATGAGCGGGATTTTGAGTTCTGGAGCCTTCACAATTCTTCTAAACCAATTAAAAGAATTGTGGGCGACTCTAATCCCGCAGTTGCCAAGACTCTGAGCTTAGAACAAGCTTATACGGATAAGAATGGTAAGCTTTACGATGGTTCTATTCTCAGTAATGGACTTACAAGTTTAGGTATCTACCATGGAAAGACAACCAAAGAGGCCGCCTCATTGATAACCAAGGCTTTGACAGATGCTAAAGTTGGGAACAAAAAGGTTCAGTTCAGACTTAGGGATTGGTTAATTAGTCGTCAAAGATACTGGGGAGCCCCGATTCCTATGATTCATTGTCATAGTTGTGGAACTGTTCCGGTCCCAGACGAAGAATTACCTGTAATGTTACCCAAGCTTGATAGTAGTAAGTTTAAAAATGGTAACCCATTGAGTAACCTTGATGAATTTGTCAATACCTCATGTCCTTCTTGTGGAGGGCCTGCCAAAAGAGACACTGACACAATGGATACCTTCATGGATTCATCTTGGTATTTTTTTAGATATCTTGACTCACAAAACACTAAGATGCCATTCTCAAAAGCAAAAGCCACGGAAAATATGCCGGTTGATATGTATATTGGTGGTGTTGAACATGCAATTTTACATCTACTTTACTCAAGATTTATCTCCAAATTTTTAGGAAGGATTGGATTATGGGATGGTCAGCATTTTAAAAATGAGCCTATAAGGCAATTGGTTACTCAAGGAATGGTCCACGGAAAGACCTTCTCTGACCCTCACAATGGAAGATGCTTGAAACCAGATGAGTTGGACTTATCTACTCCAGATCAACCTAAAATAATTCCGTCTGGTGAAACACCAGTTATTACTTTCGAAAAAATGTCAAAATCTAAATATAATGGTGCTGATCCAGGAACTTGTATAAAGAAATATGGTGCTGATGCAACTAGGGCCCACATGTTATTCCAAGCACCAATCTCTGATGTTTTAAACTGGAACGAGGAACAGATACTCGGAATTAATCGTTGGTTGCACAAAGTGATCAGTTTGGGTCAATCTATTTTACAAGGGTTCAACAATTCCCCTATAGCAAGGCCTACCAATGAGACTTTGACCGAAGCCAAAGATATTACCTTGAACGGAAAGTATTATGAATCGATTAAATTCAATGAAAGCGAATTTGCGTTGTATAATGAGGTTCTGGAATATGTCAATAAAGTTGCAAATTCGATTGAGGTTGATCTCACATTCAACACGATCATTTCAGACTTAATGAAACTAACCAATGTTCTTGTTTCATCCCTCAAATCGGGTCACTTCTTGCATCCTGAACTTTTATTGGACTCGTACAAGAAGCTTTTGATCATCATGAGCCCTATCACTCCTTGTGTATCTGAAGAATGCTGGGAGAACATCTCGTTGCAATTGAACCAGGAAGCTCGCTCGATCTTTTTCGAGAAGTATCCTGTTGCTCAAAAGTTAGAGACTTCTAACATCAATTTCAATGTTTTTGTTAATGGCAAAATCAGAGCACTGTTTACGGGAAATAAGAATTTGATTGAAGCAAACGATGAATTTATTGTCCAAGAAATTAGAAAACATGGCCAAACTGCCGAGTACCTTGGTAGCAGTATAAAGAAGTTGATTGTCAAACCAGGAATGATAAGTGTCGTTACTGCAAAATGATAAACAACTCTAATTTATTTCCCGAAATTGAGGAGAGTAACGTGATTGTTGATAATACCGAGTTTGTAAATAGAAATTTAGGACGACCATGTACATAGTTATATAAAATAGAAGTCCTACGGAAACTCTGTCCTTATCTCGTATCCATAAAATTATCCGATGCTATTTATAGGTCTATGATACACTATATACAATCTAATTACAATTTGATGCTATAACTTTGTCAGCTATTTTATGAATGATCCCCTAGAATCCTCTTTCCATCATATATCTCTTGAAATCTTTCCTTCTAATCTTACCCGCGAAATTTAATTGAGCCCTCTTGGCAACTCCCCTTACCGTCTTACATATTCTATCATCACCTATTTCAACGGCTGCTTTGTGCAAGTGGGTTAACTCTTTCCAAGTCCACTTGAACTGGTACTCCGTACTCAACAATATGGAGAGAGCATCTTGCAACAAATTCATCCTAGTCAATGCCAAGATCATAGAGCTTGCAAATTGGAAATCTAACCTATCTCTTTCTGAGCTCTCAAGATCTCTGAACTGACTAGTTTTTCTGAACTGACCTCTCTCGACCCAAATACTTTGTGCAAAATCATAGTTCTTTGATTTTCCGGCTACTTTCAATGCAATTACATACATGAGTGGACTCCGGGGCACTTTGACCTTCTTGAAAGAATTGTCCAACTCCATTGATTGTAATATTGGTGCTTTATGTTTGTCAGTCTTAATCCCTAGTTGTGCTAATTCAGGGACTTCAGGGTCAATAATTTCAATACTTTGGAGAGTGTCATCTTCACCATCTTGAACAACTCTCTTGCCAGGCAAGCCTGTCTTATCAAAAAAAGTGGAGTTATTGAATCTATCGATGAAGTCATCGACGGATCCGATCTCAGCAGCAATATTCAAATATGTGCATGTACTCTCGTTATTGATATATTCTAGATGATAAAGCAAGTTGTACGCCCATAAGGCACTGGATTCAGCTAGAATTTGATCCTTAGTCAAGAGATCTTGGATAGGTAAAAATGGAATTCCAGTTTCAAGAGATTCGAATTTGGAATCCATCAATATATTTCTTCTGAAAATCCTTCCTTGTTCATGGAAGTTTAATAATGGAGGTTCGTATCCTTTATCATTCTTAATACTACTCTTGGAGTAGGCCAACATCAAAAATGAGAAAGACTTTGCAGTGGTGGAGTCACTCTTGATGAGTTTCAAGTATAATGCTCTGCTCAATGCTAAATCACCATCTCTTGAAGCCAAATAGAGCATATACTCAAAGGATTGAAGAGTTGGCGTCCATCCGTTATTGTAAATCTCAAACATGAAGTCCCACGCTTTAATTCTCAATTCTGGTCTTGAACTGCATCCTCTTGCAAGCGCCACCATAATGTTTTGGTTAAGTGGTACCCTATCTGTTATCATTTCCTGATAGAGATCAAGTGCTTTTTCAATATCATCATTGTTAACGTAGGAAACCAATATATCTTGATAAGCTTTTGTCGAGGGTTTAGTGCTTTCACTAAAGAATTTCATGGAATCAAAAATCTCCACTGCTTGTTTATGATCACGAGCTTTATATACAGATGTGGTGAGGATATTCGAAATGATTTCTGGGGACACTTGTAACTTGAGACTTTTCATCTCTTCGAGACAACGATTAATTTCAGCCATGTTGTTACTCTTTCCGTAAGCCTGGATCATGATCGTATAAGTGTCCCTTGAGAGTGATCCTTTTCTAGAGCGTTGCTTAAGGTATGTGCAGTAATCTTCGAGGATCTGTAAGTCATTGTTGGAAATCAGCGCAGTAGAGTTGACTGCATTCATCATAAGGTGCGTTAATTTTGCAGTTTTGACAATATTTGCTTCCTCAAAGAAATGTTCTACTATTGATAAATTTTCTTTTAGCTGCTTTGGTGGAATTACTTTTATGAAGGACCTCACATCATCCAAGGGTATATCTTTGAATCCACCACTCAAGCGAAGTTGCTCGAGCACCATTGTCCAATTTTGATTTGTTTTTGATATGAGATACTTCAATGATAATCCTAATTTCTCGCTGATTGACTCTGGAATTTGTACGGATGGAACTATGAAGGAAGTTTTGGAAATTTTCACGGCAGCACTATCTTCGTTTGATGGACCCGATTCGACCAATAATGCAGATGACAGATGGTTGACCTTCTCACCGGATTCAGTTATACCTAATGCATTGAACACTCTCTCTTGGTCTTTGTTTATTTCGGAAGGCAATGGAATACTGTCTATCTTTTCTTGCTGTGCTTCTTGCTTCTCTCTCTTCTTAATCATTGTTGCCACGCTTCTTGTAAGATTTTTCAACTCATTAAGTCTATCAGTGTACTTGGCTTCTTCTTGACGAAGTTTTCGACTTCCGTCTAGTTCTAAGAACTTATCAATGGATTTTCGCTTATCATCACGCTTTCTAGGTCTCAGCTTCTTGGTATCATTTGCCACAAAAATTCCCCTTCTGGTAACTAAGTTGATCTCATGTCTATTTAATTTGGTTATGCTCCTTCGTATGTGAAACTGTAGCATTATCTGTAGGATCAAACGGCCTCTCTATCGTGCCAACTGAAGTAAGGATAATTGCAGTCAAATTTTTTTGAGAAAACTAATGTCGCATACCTCGATGGATGTTTGCAGGATGTCGCATGACTGCGGCAACGACATTAGTCTACATTACCGATTTATAATCTGGTGCAACACCAATCCCCATAGTAACTCACCATCAAAAGCTCGCTTGAAAAGCATGGCCACGACGTCATCTACAGGAAAAGTTTCGGGTAGATCTAGAGCTATGTCAGGCTCCATTCCTTATAAGGATTTGGGTTACGTTTCGGCTAACAACCCGCACCCAACCTCGAGTGCCAATATCGAGGCCCAATCGGGAGTGGTATCGTCAGGAACAGCTGTAACCAGTTTTCCTCATGATATACCTCCTGATATGGTGATTTTACTCCAAAAGTTAGAAGATGATTTCACAGTGCACAAAAGCATTGATCAATGGACGTACATCAACAGAAGAGAGGAGATCATGCAGTCAGTGAGCAGGTTACATCAACAGCAACAAGAAAACATCCAGTTAGACGAAACACAGTTAGAAAAGCCATTGCACCCACGTCGTGCAGCTACATTGACAAATGATAGTTTGTTAAATCCAGACTACTTGATTGGCATATTAGCTGACCGTGCCAGACTATACAAGACAGAACACGCATTCATGGTCTTAGACACAAAAGGAAAAGAAGTTTCTTCTATTACTTGGGAGAAGCTCTATTTCAAGGCAGTTAAGGTCGCATATGAGATCCAGCATAAAATGTCCTTGAAAAACAAGGATACTGTAGTGTTACTTTACAAAGACGGAGAAGTTGGTGAGTTTGCTGTGGCATTATTCGGTTGCTTTTTAGCAGGAGTTACTGCCATCCCAATCCACCAGGATATATCATGGCACGAAGTTTTGGATATTATACAATTGACCTCCACTAAGTTGGTTCTATTTTCGGATGTTGTTTCCAAGGAACTTGACAAGATTAGTGTTCAGAACCTGCGCATAAGCTGGCCTTCAAACGTCATCCGGTGGAAAACGACAGAATTTGGCTCAGCAAAATCCTCAGAGATGTCCCATTGGAATTCCAAACAAAACCACAGTAAAAATTCTAAATCTGGAAGTAAGGCAGACCTAGCGTACGTGGAATTCTCAAGGTCCCCTGTTGGTGAATTAAGAGGTATTGCTTTGAGTCATCGAACTATACATCATCAAATGAACTGCTTGAATGTCACATTGCTGAGTATGCCTGATTCTGGAGGAGGGCTTCAACGAAGTCATAAAGAATTCAAAAGAAATAGAAAAGTGTTTTTGGCCACTTTGGATATAAGATTTTCAATTGGAATTATTTTAGGTGTTTTATTCACTGTTTACTCAGGAAATTTGCTTATATGGGCACCTCAAAAAGTCATGGAGATTCAAGGGCTTTATGCTAACATTATATCCAAATGCCGGGCATCTTTATTATTAGCAGATTACATCGGGTTAAAACGAGTAACTTACGATTATCAACAGTCCCCTAATGCAACAAGATACTTTTCTAAAACACAAAGGGTTGACTTTTCCTCAGTGAAATGGGTTTTGGTGAATGCTTTGACAATTGATGGAGAATTTATAGAAATCCTTGCTCAAAGATATTTACGTCCCCTTGGATGTCAGCATTCTGAGAATGCAATTATTCCCATGTTAACTTTAAGTGAGTATGGTGGAATGGTGATCTCTTTGAGGGACTGGATTGGTGGAAAAGACAAGCTTGGGATAGATCTATCTCCAAAAGAAGAGGAATCGAATGATCTCTCGGCTGTTCTAATTGATAAAGAGGCCTTGTCAAGAAATATTGTGAAAGTGGTTGATACCAATCCATCTTCATCAGACGAACCTTCTCACGACACTTTAAGAGTTGATGCATTTGGATATCCCTTACCAGATGCAACTTTAGCGGTAGTTAATCCAGAGCTGTCAATCATTGTATCTAAAGGAGAATTAGGTGAAATATGGATTGATAGTCCATGCTTGTCAGGAGGTTTCTTCGGTTTAAGAAAAGAATCCAAGCTGATTTTTCATGCCAAATGTCGTGATGCCCATGGAATCTTAGAAATGGACTTCTTACGGACTGGTCTCTTGGGGTTCACATTTGGTGGTAAAGTATATGTCTTGGGGTTATATGAAGACAGAATCAGACAAAGAGTGAGTTGGATAGATCAAAAGTTGTACAATCAGCTCAATCGTGAGCTTATAATTGGAAACGGCCTGAGGTATCATTACTCCTCGCATTTGTTAGCTACTTTAGCAAGTGAAGTCAGGCAAGTATACGATTGTACAATTTTTGATGTGTTCATTGGAAACGAATATTTGCCTGTTGCAATTGTTGAGGCAGAAGTGATACGAAAATTACTAGATGATGGAAGTAACAATGATTCTAATGGAAACGGGGCTAAATCTGGCGAGAATGAAGGTACTGTGAACTACTCAGCTGTTCCATTGAATGAACCTGAGTTGAACTCCATTGCTCAGAAATGTTTCGACACATTGTACAAAAGACATTTCTTGAGGTTGTATTGTGTTGTTGTTGTTGATTGTGATACGTTACCTAAGATCATGAGAAGTGGAGGACGAGAGATTGCGAACATGTTGTGTAAGAAAAGGTTCCTTGAAGGTTCTTTAAGAGCAGAATTCGTTAAATTTTTTGTTCGGAAATCAATAAGTATGATTCCTCATGGTGAAGATGTAATTGGAGGAATCTGGTCACCATATGTTTCCGAACTCAGGAATGTTGCATTAGCAGGTTTTCCTGAGCAGGTATCTACGGTAGACTACCGTGAAAAATCCATAGATGATAAGACTGGTGCTCCTTTGACCGATTTTAAAACAATAATTGATGTTTTAAAGTTCAGAGTGGCCAGTAGTGGAGACTCGATTGCCTATCAAAACATTGACAATAGCGGTAAGGGCAGTTCGAAACCTTTGACTTGGAAAAAGTTCGAGCAACGAGTCTATGCTGTCTGTCAATACATGATCGAAAAAGCATATATCAAGCCTGGACAGTATGTTATTTTGATGTTTTCTTTATCAGAGGAGTTTGTGATTGCTTTGTTTGCATGTTTAATGTGTGGAATCATTCCTATTCCCATGCTTCCATTTGATTCCAATAGAATTGGAGAGGATTTCCCAGCATTTGTTGGTGTCATACGTGATTTTGATGTAAGTGATATCTTAGCGAATGAAGAAGTTGAAAAGTTTTTGAAGAATGGACCAGTTGCAGATGCTTTGAAAAAGGTGATTAACAAGAAGGCCAAACCATTGAGAATTAAAAATACTGGTAAGTTAACTAAGCTCTCTAATGTTGCGTCGTTGAACTCCAAAATTGCAAAGTATCAAGCTACAGTAAACTTCAGAGACGAGAGTACAATTGCCTTGATCTGGTTAAGCTTCACATCTGATCATTATAGAATTGGTGCCACATTGAGTCACAAAAATATACTTGGCATTTGTAAGGTTTTCAAAGAAACTTGCAATTTAAGTTCCAAATCCTCTATCGTGGGTTGTGTTCGTCATTCTTCTGGGATTGGGTTTGTCCAGGCTGCTTTGTTAGGTGTATTCCTTGGAACTACCACTTATTTAAGTTCCCCTGTGAATTTCGCTGAAAATCCGCTCGCGTTCTTCTTGGCTTTGGCTAAATATAAAGTCAAAGATGTGTTTGTTACAGAACAAATGTTGAAATATGCAGCAATCAAATTTACTCCAAAGGGTTTCAACCTTAGTAACTTGAAAAACATGATGATCAGTACTGAGAATAGGGTTGAAATTGATCTATTGAGAAAGATCGTTAGGGTATTCCAACCTACTAAACTCGGAGCAGCTTCGATGTCCACAGTGTACAATCACTGTTTCAATCCAATGATAGCGACTAGATCTTACATGACTGTGGCACCTGTTGACTTGTATTTGGATCCTATTGCATTAAGGCAAGGCTATGTTTCTGTTGTAAATCAAGTGGAGGTACCCAATGCTTTACACATTCAGGATTCAGGTATGGTTCCTGTTTGCACAGAAATTGCGATCGTAAATCCTGAAACTAGGAAGCTATGCAAAGAAGGCGAGTTTGGGGAAATTTGGGTTTGTTCAGAAGCAAACTTGACATCTTTCACAAATGGTCCTAAGGGGCCAGTAGACAGATTTAGTCAGGCCAACTTTCATGGTGTTGTGGCAAATGGTGATCCTAACGTAACATATCTTAGGACTGGAGATTTGGGTTTCTTGCATCATATTTCTATTACTAAGAATGGCTCGAACTATGGAACGAATCTGCAAGAACAAGAGGAGTACACTTCCTTTCAACCATTATTTGTCTTAGGTAAGATTGCTGACACATTTGAAACTATGGGTTTACATCACTTCCCAATTGATATTGAAAATACTATTGAATCATGTCATTCTGACATTTTCAAGAATGGATCATGTGTGTTCAAATGTTCTGATTATACTATTGTTGTTTGTGAATCGAAGCGGTCCCGCTTTTTTTCATCCTTGGTGCCTTTAATCGTCAATACTATCCTTTCGAAGCATCATATCATCGTGGATATAGTAGCATTTATCAAAAAGGGTGAGTTCCCAATATCAAGACTAGGAACAAAGCAAAGAGCAAGAATTATCGATGCATGGGTGCAGGGTGTGATTCCAATTTCAGCATCTTACGGTGTAAATTACGGTGAAAATAGCATGATCAAGTTGGTAAAAGAAATCGATGTTGTGGCCAGGGATCACCTTGTCACTGGTCTTAAGAACCCAGCTCTATCTTATTACGATGCCGATGTGGATGATGCAGATGATGCGTTCAGCAAAAATGAGGGCCTAATCTTAAATGAGATGGGCAGAGGTGAGGGGGCGGTGTTCTCGATGAATGAAGAGTAGGTCTGTACAGGTTCCTATCTCGACACTCTTAGATGAGACCTGGATGGTGCTCATCGCCGTGCAAGGGTAAATCTTAACGCAGACTATCTTTTCATAGTGTCAATTTATTGAAATACGAAACAGCCTAGTAGGCAGGCAATAGCCCGGATGGCACCTGTGTAGAGCTTGGATTGGGCATTGATTCTGAATCACTGTCTTAAAATTTGTTATCGGTTACTATAAGATCCAATTAGTAACGCACCGGTTTCCGGCCCGATCGTTCCATTTTACACTGAAATTTGGGTTTGTTTGCGTTATTGTTTTCCCCATGGAACCCCTGTATCTAGTTTTAGCCTGGTTGAATTATTGCGAGAAATTGAAATATTTGCTCAGCACGCATATTCTTAATCAAACCTTAAGAAAAGCTGGAGTAAGAAGATTAATACTTTGTGTTGGTTTAAACTCTACTGATGTATTCGAAATCACAATGGCACTATTGTCGAGCCAATATGTTATCTGGTACTTGCAGCCCACGAACGGAACAGAAAATAAGTTTGCGAGTATCTGTCAAATATGCATTATCGCACCATCAATTGGGGAAATTGAAATTTGATGCAACATGCGAAGAATAGAAGATAGCATACCGTGTCTAAGAATATTGCGTTAATAACGCGGCAAGTCTAACCACTATCATTATTAATTATTATATTACATAGCTTCGGCTTAATACGATCTGCAGCGCGCCAAAACTATTCAAAAATTAGTAAAGTTTGATGAATAGGTTGAATCACTTTTCATATTGCTGTTTCTCCTGTTATGAGGTATTATATAAGGGCAGTAAAAGGCCAGAAAATCATTCCGGCCACTGTACATTATTAAAATAAGCTAAACTACAACAGATCAAAATGGTCTCTTCGGGAATAGCTAGATTGTTTGTCTACCTCGCTTGCTTTGTTCTGATTGCAAATGGGCTTGCTTTGCCTGGAAGCAGAACACATGTAACTCGAGACGGCCTAAAGGTTCTCTCAGTTGATCTTCATGTTAACAGAAACACCTCAATCATCCAAAAGAGGGACAATTTTACCACACCTATTACAAACAGATTCTATCTCTACACAATTGATCTTGGGGTTGGTTCTGACAAACAACCAATAACTGTGCACGTTGACACGGGAAGTTCAGACTTTTGGGTTGTGTCTATAGATACTCAATGTGCTAGCAGTTCCTGTTTTTTCCTTGGTGCTTTTGACAATTCTACTTCCACGACATTCAAGAACTTAAATCTTCCTTTCGATTTAGGCTATCTTGATCAACAAGGGGTTGCAGGAGTTTACGTCACTGATGATGTAACTCTTCCAGGCGATGTAACTGTCAAAAATCTCCAATTTGCTGTTGCCCGTCAAACTACTCGTAATTTTGGAGTTCTTGGACTTGGTTTGATTACTGAAGAAGCTATGTACTATAAGAATCTTCCAGGCGTTGAGCCATATCCAAATCTTCCTTTTCAATTGAAGAACCAAGGTTTTATTGGTAAAGCCGCCTACTCGTTATACTTGAACGGTCCACAAACAGATCTGGGGTTGATTCTTTTCGGAGGAATTGACCAAGCCAAATATGAAGGGCCATTGACCACAAGAAAGGGCTACAGTACTTTGAGGTTGGGAATTACTGCAGACACGATATCTGTAAACGGACTGGATATCAATTTCGATACAGTCGTTGTTTTTGATTCTGGCTACAGCTTCTCAACATTACCCCAAGGTGTCCACGATGCCATCCAAAAGCAAGTTCAAAACCCAGATGGTAGTATCAATTGTAACCAGCCTGACGATTCTTACTTTTCAGTGCACTTTGGTGATACCAACATCAAGGTTCCCTACTCTAGTGTTGTCTTCAACCAGAATGGGCAATGTACCTTCACCATCGGGGTCTCTACCGGTGGCCTCAACAGTATGGCTACATTGGGGGACGATATTTTGAGACATGCATATGTGGTTTACGATCTTGAAGCTAATACTATTGGCGTTGCTCAAGCAAAATACACAGATGATAGTGATATTGTGGGAATTTGATATGGACCCAATGACTTATACTAATTCGATGTGAAATGTTTTTATTGTAGGTGGAGCTGTAAATTGAGCTTAGACGATATTCAGAGGGTTATTAATTGGGTAGAGCTACATGGAGACTTCCTTAAAGCCTGTATTTCGAAGTATTAAACATGAGTGGGCCATCGTTCTCATAAGGATGTACTGCTCTCAGGCGCAGCAGTCTCCTATATTATCACCTAAGTGCTGGTTTCTTCTAATATACAATACACATAAAATTGTTTACTCATTTCTCAGTATAGGCTCCCTGCCATGAAAGCTACACTATTAATTAGTAATCGAATCTTCCTACCTGGACTGTGCTAGTTCGCAGCAAATCGGAACCCTCACCAGCATAAATCGTCTAAAAGGTACTTCGGAGCCACTATAACAACAAAAGAGGCTACAATTCCATCTCATATTTGATAGACTATATCTGCTGGATCTTGAAAGTTAAGCACCTTCAAGTGTTGTTTTGTACATTATTAGAAGGGAATATTATTCCGACGTATTTCGTAGCCCGGAACAAAAACAAGCACATCATCACTGCGCTGTGCTCGCTACCAAAAGAAAAATCAACTGCACTCGACCACCATCATCGACCATCAATGTACAATCCTAATGAGAGGTCTGTGAGTCCTCAGACGGTGACTAACGAACCGCTGAAATCGTCTGGGTTCGGGATTGGGTCCATCTTCTCGTTTGTGAAAGATATTATACCCAAACCAACAGCGAAACCAGAACATACTCAAGAGTCTCCTACATTCGATGAAGCTAACAACTCCGATTTACAAATTGTCCAAAATGAGAAGCTCTTGAACGACTTTTCGTCAGCAAAGAAGCAAAGACTCTCCGTCCAGGGACACCCCAAGAATGGACTCATTCCTAGATCATCCACCTTGAACAACAACAAAGGATTATACAAGACATTCTACGACAACTTGAAAACTTCAAAGGAAGAGGAAGGTAACGAGTTGGAAAGAAGAATGAGCACTGTGTATGGCAGCATTATGAAAGATAGTGTACATGAACCCAGACTTTCATCAAGAGGCACCTCCCCACTTGGAGAAGTCACTCCAGTTCCAGAAGACCGCGATGTTGGCACTTTGAAGAGCGATTCGCCACGTTTCATACCAGAATCTGACCTCGTCAAGTTTGAAGGAGAAGGTACTCCATTGATCATCGAACATGAGTTTGCCCCTTTATACAAAGACAATGAAGGTAACCTTGTCAGACCCCCATTCATCAACATAGATCCTCGCGAAAGATATCAACTCTTGCAATTGAAGAAATCAATTGAGGCCTCCGAAGCATTACAGAGTAGAATCAAATATATGGTTAATCCAAACGAGACGAAATCAACTTACTCAGACTCCAACAAAGTGGAGACTTCAACCCAAACACATGATATTGATTATTTGGAGACTAAACTCAGTTTCGGAAAGAGAAAAATCGATTCTAAGACTGATATCAGACAATCCAAGAGACCAAAGAAGAATACTGGTTTTTTTGCGGGTGACTTTTTTTATGACGACGAAAAAGATACTTCAAAACCAATCAATCAACTAGGTGGGTATCTCGGTGCAGTCAGTAAGCCAAAATTCCAGGAATCTCGCAAGAGAGGAATTGAAGCTACAACTACCGAAGACGATGACAAACCATTTAATAAATACAGCAATAATAACCTCAAATCCACGAACCAAAGGTTTGGCCTCGACGATTCTTTGCTTAGCAACAAGAAGCTTGATCTTTCTATAAGTAAAGACTACAAACAAGGAACGGAGAAAATTTCCAATATTATAAAACTAAAGGAAGACAGTTTGGTATCAGATCACAAGAAAAAGGATTCAAAACCAAGCTCGGGATTTAACTTCAACATCAACAAGGATGAGATGAATTCAATATTGAACAAAAGACCAGCAGAAGAAGAAAAGATCAATCAACCCGCAACTCCATCTTCGGCCCTTTTCGATAATATTCCTAAAAGTGGTAAGAGTGCAACAACTTCAACTTTGTCCTTCCCTTCAAAAGATTCGGGTAGTTCTAATTTGTTTGGTGATAAGAAAACTGATGGGCCAAAATTAACCTCTGACGTTAAAAGTACAGAGCTCACTAAGCCCTTATTTGGTGAGAAGAAAGAAACCACCTCGCTTCCCTTGAGTGAAAAGAAGGATGTCCCATTATTCAGTTTCCCATCCAAAGCATCAGATTCCAAGGAAACCGAGACAAAAGCGGGCTTGTTCGATGTGAACAAGGAGAAAACTCCTTTGTTCTCTTTTGACAAGAAAAATGGAACTAAAACTTCGAGTCCTGCGCTCTTTGGAAAGCCTGAATCTTCTTCAACTGACAACACGTTGGGGTCAAGTGCACCCAAGCCCTTATGTGGAGATAAGTTAGACTCTTCAAAATTCTCTTTCGGTGAGAAGAAAGAAGAAGCCTCAAAATCTACTTTGAGCTTTGGTGATAGTTCAAAGAAAGCCGAGCCCTCGTCGGATGCTCCAAAGTTTTCATTTGAGGTCGCTGGAACCACCAAACCTTCGGATGACGCGAAGGAACCCTCCAAATCGTTATTTGGTGCATCTACAAATTCTGAACTTCCTAAATTTTCGTTTGGCGAGAAGAAAGCTGAGTCCACGAAAGCTAATGCTGAATCCAATATTTTCTCATTTCCAGCTAAGGAAGCCTCCAAAGATGAGGCTTCGAAGCCACTCTTTGGTGCCTCTGCCACTGCTGATAGCTCCAAGCCCTTGTTTGGTTCCTCAAAAACTACAGACTCGGCCAGTTCGTTGAAAACAGGATCAGGTAACTTATTTGGACTTAAACCTCAAGAAAAGCCAACGGAGCCATTTGGTTCGAAGGATACAAACAAAGACATACCAAAGAATATTTTCAACTTTCCAGGTACCAGCGACAAAAAACAAGGTGACGAGACGGAAGATGGTCAAGATGGTCCAAACAAAAAGAAGGTGCGATCGATGTCTGGAGGCTCAGGAGCACCTACATTTGGAGGATCCAGTGACAAGCCACTTTCCAGTGCTTCGGAAAGCGCTTTCGGAGCTCCTTCTACGCCTAATTTGTTTGGCAAGACGGGAGCTTCTACAACCACGGGAACAGAGTCCAAGCCTGCCTTCAACTTTGGTGCCAAATCTGTTGAGCCAGAAGCCGGGGCCTCGAAGACTGGTTCCCCAGCCCCCTTTCCTTTTGGGTCCAACTCGGCTACCCCCAAACCTGCCTTCAATTTCACAGCGCCTGAGCCCAACTCTGCCTTTGGTCAAGCACCACAGGCAGCGTCTGCGCAAACCCCAGGCATTGGCGGAGGAACAAACACGTTTGGTTTTGCTGCGAAAACCAATCCTAACTTCAAGTTCGCAGCCGGATTGCCAACCATGAAACCAGTGAATCTTGCCAATGGCACCCAGAGCGGAGGGGCGCTGCCAGCTCCTGTGTTTGGCCAGACCCCCGGCCAGGCTCCTTTTGGACAAAATCCCGGGTTTGGCCAGAATCCTGGGTTCGGTCAAAGCTCGCCATTCGGGCAGCCGCAACCCCAGACGGCGTTTGGGCAAACTGGGACTCCAGGATTTGGCCAGCCGGGCAGTGGACAGAACGGATTTGGCCAGCCGGGCAGTGGACAGAACGGATTTGGCCAGCCTGCCCCAGGCTTCGCCAAAGAAACCACCCCTACCTTCCCGTTTGCCAACAACACCCAGAACCCCGCCAGTGTGTTTGGCCAACCCCAGGGCCAACAGCAAGGGTTCAACTTTGGCAGCAGGGAGCCCACGCCCGACCCAGCGTCCATCTTTGGTGGAGGAGGCAACGGTGCCTTTGGCGGGATGTCCATGCCCCAGCCTAGCCAGGCGTTTGGCGGTGCTCCCCAGGGCGTTCCTGGCAGTACGCCAACACCGCCATTGCGAAAAATCATCCACCCCAGACGGAGAAGATAGCGGTGTGTATATAGGCAGATTCGCAACAAATGCAACTCTATTGTAATGATCCTAGTGTAGTGTGACTTAGTAGTGGCCAGGGCAGATCGATGCCACGATTAGATCTGCGAACCCCACCCGACAGGAGGGGAACCATGGCTACAGCCACGCCTCCTGCCCCCAACATCCTTGAGGAGGCCGCCGACATCGCGGAGACCCCCCGAACCCGCATCACGTGCGTGGCCAACCTTGTAGATCTAGGGGATTATTCCGCGGGTAACGATAGGCACATGCCAGTAGATCCCTAGTGAAACTCCGCATCTTGCGTCAAGTAATGTCAGTTCTGGGGAAACTGATAAGCAGCAAGCCATCCATATATCCGTAGCCTGCGTGTGGGTCTAGCGGGGTCAGTGGCTAGTGCAGGGAGTCCACCATAGTGTCAATGGAATAGTCATTTCCAGGGACATTCCCCAGGGGCAGTTCCCAGACTCGCTCGCCAGGATCACTCCCCAAAGACACTACCATTCCAGTGCCAACACAGTGCCAACACAGTTTCTCAACAGTGGGCTCTGTAGTCCCAGCTGCTCGTCCCAGTTGCTCGTCCCTGCCCCGCCACTACCGCCGAGAACGCCACCTAGACCCTCCAGCACTAATTTCTTCTTTGGACCTGGCCCCAAAATTTCCCTTACCGCTTCGAGTAATCTACGTCTGTCCCCACCTTTGCAAAATTAAATTTAACCTGTGAGATTTTGTGAACTATAAAGAGTGAGCAATAGCCAAACCAATTGGTCAGCAATTTGAGACCCGGCATCTTCCTATAACCTTCCACCAAACATGCCCACTCATGAACCGGTCAATTGGAGACCTGGAAGAATCCAGTCTCTCACTGGTGAACAGGAAGTCACCTTGAAACAAACCTGGGCCTACCTCTTAAAATACTGGGGCTACGACGTCGCCATTGCCGATGAAGATCTTGCCTTCAAGGAGTGCTTCATCGCTTCCCTCTCCACGAGCGCTCGTGACGGCTCGGAAAATGGTGCTGGCACCAACGGATTGGCCAGAACCACTACCAGGGGCTCCATCAACTCCGCCCACACCAACAAGACCTCCACCTCCACCCTTCTTTCCAAAAAGAGAAGGGGCCTCTTTGGTGGATCCAAGAAGGCTCCTGCTGCTGTGGTTGCTGCGCCTCCCCCAGACTCCAAGCGGATGAAACAGATCCAAACCAGCTCTTCGTTTGAACGTTACTCTCGCGTGGAAGAACCTAGTGAAAAGGTTTACGCTGCATTTTGCCAGTTCTACAAACAAGATTTCCTGCATTCAGAAGACTATGTTTCTGAGGAGGAGGAGGATGACGAGTCCGACACCGATTCCATCGAGTCTTTTGTCACCGCATCAACATCCCTCACCGAGCCTGATGACTACTACGCTCCTCCGGTTCCAAAGGGTGGCAGTCCATACACCAAGAAAGGAATTGTCCATCCATCTTCTAAGAATAATTTCAAGTCTAGTCCATCCAATGGCTACGCTCAATCCAACGGTCAAGTGAGCAGAAGATCGAGTGTCTCCTACAAAGTCCCTACTCCATCTGCCGCCCCTTCCAAGCCCGCCCGTACTGCTTCCATCTCTCGTGCCCCACTTTCCAATATCAAGATCACTACCAACCCTGGAATATTGTCGGCCTTAGCTCAGTACAAGCCAGCTGACTTGCATGACACTTTGTTCAGTTCCATGAGAAACGAAATGCTCGATAACTTTATTTTGAGATATGTCAGAGCCAGAAAGTGGAACACCGAGAACGCTATCCAGATGTTGAGTAAATCGTTGAACTGGAGAAGAAATGAAATGTCTGTTGTCAAGTGGGTCAATGAAGGTGATGCCTTGTCATATGTCACCGGAACCAACAAGGGTTTCGTCAAGAATCTTCAAACTGAAAAGTCCTGGATCAGAGGTCATGATAGGAAAGGAAATCCACTTTTCTTCTTCCAAGCTAGAAAGCATTTTGCTGGAGACTCTCCAGCCAATGAAACCCAAAGATACGCCGTGACAATCGTTGAGTTCTGCAGATTTTTCATGAGGGACACCCATGACTCAGCTGATGAGACCTCTGTTATTTTCGACTTGACTGGATTCTCGTTAAAGAATGCTGATTATGATTCAATTAAGTTTTTGGCTGATATTTTTGAGGCCCATTACCCCGAGTGTTTGGGAGCAGTCATGATTTTCAATGCTCCATGGATATTTTCCACTGTTTGGAATCTTATTAAAAACTGGTTAGATCCAGTTGTTGCATCTAAGATTCATTTCACTAAGGACTTCAAGGAATTGTCTCAATTTGTGGACCCTACTTTCATTCCTAAGGATTTCGGTGGTATGGACAACTCGGTCCCAACCTATCCAATACCAACCAAGGCAGACACCCATACCATCAAGAAGAAGGACGAAAATTACATTAGAATAAGAAAGGAGAGAGATGACTTGTACATGAAGTTAATTGAAACCACCATCAGATGGGTCGAGTCCACCAACCCAGCTGTCAGTGAACAATACTACCAGGACAAAATCAGATTGGGCCTGCAATTGAGTGACCAGTACCTCCTTTTGGATCCTTATTTTAGATGTCCAAGTATCTACGATAGAGAAGGTACTTTGACTATGAGGACTTAGTAGACTAGTGTATTTTACGAATTATATGTGATAACATACATGGAACAGCCTTAGTAAAAATTAGATCGTACAATTGATATATAATCCAGCTGACATTAGATGCTTACGTGGAATCAAGCCTTGGTTTTCATATGCGGTTATAAGAAGCGGGGCCATTGACGGAGTTATCATAATGCGGGGAGAAATCCTAGCCAAGTTTATACCATTGGCGAATTGATTCAGGCGCGACTTCACAGTTCTTTGCCTACTACCCTATGTGGATCCTCGAGGTCCCAGCGAAACGGAGACTTGGGCCTGGATGATGTAATAGTTTGCCTGGTGGTTTTCCTGCACCTATTGGGATTGCTTGTATGTAGGTGGTGCAGTGGGATCACATGACCCATACTGCACAGGGCCAATCCAACTTACAAGCAATTTTACCACCACAATCCTATCCCCGACATGTCTCGTCGTTCCGGCAGATCGAAGGCATACGCCGACCCCAACGAGACCAATGAGTTCCCTGAAGAGGACGAAACCAACAATTACGAAGCCGAACCAGAAGATGAAGTGGAGGACGAGTTAGAAGTGACGCGATGTGTATGTGCTCTAGACGAATTGACCAACTCCATGGTGAATCCCCAATTGGGGGACGTCCTCAACAAGGAGTATCACATCAGAATAGATCAGGGACTTTTCATACAGTGTGACAAGTGCTCTGTATGGCAGCATGGTTATTGTGTGGGTTTATTTACCAATGATGAGGTGCCAGAGAAATACTGGTGTGAGTTGTGTAAACCTGATCTTCACATATTCATATATGAAAACAATGAAGTTGTTCGCACGCTATACCGTCCTGTCAATGACAAGCGGAAAAAGCTTCTGATTGAAGATTTAGCTGCTGGTCAACTGACCTCCAAAACAGCACGCTCGAGATCCAAGCGACTGGCAGCTTCATCCGCTTCTCCTTCAGCTGCCCCTGGCGATCCCAAAGCATCAAGGAAAGAGAGGAGGCATTACGACGAATCTTATGATGAGCAACTACAAAAGGCCTTGAGAGAGAGTGCAAAGGAATCTGGTATTCCTTTATCATCCGAAGTCAAGAAATCCGAAAGTAATGAGAAGTCAAGTGTCTCATCGCCAAATTCATCTTCAAATCAACTTAAAGAAAAGACAGAGTCCTTGAACAAAAGGAAAGGTAGAAGTGATGGTCGTGAAGATTCTCACAAAAAGGTGAAGACCGAAAATGACCTTGAAGAATCTGAGAATAACGAGCAAGATCCTTCCAATCTCGAGGAAGATCGTGACGATGAAACTGATCCAAAGTCCAGCGAGACTGTTAGGAAGTCGAAGCCCAGAGGTTCCAGAGTAACTAAACCCAAGAAGGCTAAAAATGATATTGATGAAACCGAAGAGCGTCCTAAGAGCAACGGAAAATCTAAGGCTCATTCTGCTCAGAATGCCACTCCTCTAAGTAAGGATGAACTAACGAATCAAGCCTCAAAACCTAGGTTCGTTAGTGATAAATCATCGATCTATGAATTGAGAAAACGTACAGGTGCTATACTTGAATGGTTAGGAAGATCACAGATAGAATTAGAGGAAGAAAAATTAAACAAAATTGAGTTGTTTAGTTACAAGGATTCTGAGACTGATTCTCAAATAATAGTGGAGAGTGGCTCCGTCATTAAGACATTTGATGAAAACTTGAAACTTATGGAGAGTCTTACTGAAAAGATTTTAAACTGGGAACAAAAATTTGGCAAGTATGCCCCATAAACTGGACCAGCCAAGTTTCAATAAATTGGTTCCTAATAGACTTCTTGTTGTATTACTATGTATGTATCCTTATAATATATCCCTCAATTGAGCCCTTCTCTCTGTTCTAGTTCCATCGATATTGGTCTCATTGGACTCGTTAATGGCGTCATATAAGCTATCCAACCATTCTGCACTGTTTATGAGATTGTCTCCACCAATGATCAAATTTATTTTTGGATTTGCTTCACTCAATTCGTGCACCAATCTGGCTTCTTCGTAGGTCACACCTCCCTTAATATAAACAATTATGTCTTGCACCGGTTCATTTTGTGCTTTCAGTCCATACTGCTTGGAAACCACATCTGGTACCAAAGTTGATAAATTGATAGAATGAACATTCTCTTGCAGACTTGTTGGTGCAAGAAGATATTCTAATGTGTCATTCAATCTTGGTACGTATTGCATGTAAATATTGTCCGTTTTAGGATTATTGTGACCAATATTATTAAACAAATTGTTGATGTTGATCTTCTTGTTAAATATGTTACCAATGTTGCCATTCTTTGCTGCATTGCTAGTACCACTTCTTATGTTGGGACCCACTATACTTTTGAACTTTTTGATCAATGCATTTTGGGTTACGGTTAGTACGGGGTTGCTTTTAGATGGATCATTCAATTTTGCAATGAAGGTAGTAATTTCATTTGCATTTGGAAATCTTACTGAGTACAAGATAACCAACTTCAACTTTTCATCTGTTGGAATATTAGGTTGATCAAATAACTCTAATAATCTGATCTTCAAAGCTTGTTGATTATCTAAATCACAAATAATAGTTTGTTGTAATTCACCGATATCCCATAAGTTTCTTTTAGAAATTTCAGTATCCAATTTACTGATCAAATTCAAATGCTTCAAAATGTTTGCTGATAACTTTTTATATTCTGGAAATTTGGTAAGAATCTTCTTAAGTTCAGACAAATTCTGGCTGTTCAAGTTTTCTCCCCATGACTGTTTAGTTTGTGATTTGTATTGCTCCACATACTTCTGAAACTTTTCGGTCAAATCTCCATAGTTGAGATATAATGATTCTCTATAGAATTTGTCCTGAGTATCGGATAAAGTCACCGACTCATTTGATTCCACCAAATTTACTATATTCTTCTTTATACCTATGAGTTCGTTAATCATGGATTGATAAGTCCAAGGGGTGATAATTGGAGTAATCGGATCGTTTTTTCTGTCTAGAAGTAATAATATTGGTGCAGTATCTGATTTTTGATTTAAATCATCAAACAAATTGTTATTGGAATTGGAGTTGATATTGTAAAGAATTTCTGAACTCAACCTTTTAAGGCCGATACTGTTTTGTTCGTACTTGATAATTGGGCACTTTTTCAAAGAGAGCAACAAACTTATTATGCTATTTGATTCTTCCACGATACTATCAGTTGATTTCGAGATTTCGATAGGAGGATCAACTTTCTGAGTAATAAAAAGGTTCTGATTGACAATAACATAATCTTGGAACAATTCAATTACACTTTGAATTGTTTCAAATTCATCCGCCTCGGCAAGCTTCTCGAGTTGATTCTTATTGATAGTATTATTCAAGAATAACTGATAAGAATTAAAGTGGGGGTTCTTTAATTCGTTCGTCAAATGCTGTATAGATTCTTTTGTAGGCTTCACATAGACAATACAGTTCAAGTGCTTCATCACGTTCAAGTCATGCTGGTTTTCGATCAATTCAATCAATATGATATCGTGTTGTAGCAACTGTGATTGCGTGTAGGACATAGAGATCACGGGAGTAGTATAACGGTCAACAAGAAGCACTTTAGCTTTTGTGGACCCATTGCTGCCATCCCTTTGTGAATTGAAGAGTTTGGAAAAGTACGTCTCGCTGACTTTGGCTAGATTTAACGTCATTATGGATTATGATTGATTGGCAACATTTCCCGTATAATTAAGTGAGGTGTTATTAGGTCACGTGCAAATGAAGTTGCGCAAAAGTGATAGAAGTTATGAATGGCAACTTGAGCAGCTAGAAAATTAGTAAAATGCACTTTGACTGTTGATTCGTCCGAAGAGTCTGGTACAAATAAGCGTGTGTAACCCTTCCAGAATATCGCAATATGACCTCAAATGAAAAATTCTATGGACGTATTATGGTGCCAATTGCAACCAAATTGCAACCACCGTGAAGGCGCAGATGGTGAGGAAAGGGGTTGGCATTAAGAGAGCTTGGGTTTATGAAGTAGTCAAACATCTCTATGGTCATCATTGTAGTGAAGCTCCCCCAAATCAGAATTTTTGGCGCTTGAGATACTATTCGTTTCGTTAGTCGGGTGAGAATACAAACTTGCTTTTCTATCATTCCCCTCCAATATCCTTGGTGCATTCCATGAGATATATCCATTGTACTGTGAAATGAATGTATTTTTGATATTTCAATGGTCTATCGAAAATTAGAAGGATTGCATTTTAATAGAATTTTTACATAAAATCTGTAGAGTTATTGAATCGTTATGCGAACTGCTCATGTATAAATTCTACTTTTTTATCTAGTTTCTATTTCTTTATCTAGTTTCTATGGAATATGAGTTCTACTCTACTCAGTAAGATTTAGGCATCCCAATGATTAATAAACCGCCAGCCAGACAGGTTATAACCTGGAATGATCATCAGGATAATAAAACTCCTTTCTGCTAGCTATTGGAGTTGGTGGTCCACCTTTCTTGAATTCTTTTCTAAAGTCTTCAATAGTAACTAATTTGCCTATTGGATACTTTTCTGGGACGGGTGTTTCAAGATTGTGCTTCAAAGTCTTTACTAAATCGATCTTCAAATCCTTGTCTATGGAATTTTCCTCATTCTTTTCAAGCTCGGTAACAATGTCATCTGCGATGAGTTCAATATTTTCTTCATTCTTGGAAACAATCTCATCAACTATATCAGAGCTAATTTCAAGGTCTCTAAGGGTCAAATAGTTGGACAACGAGGATTGGATCAATTTAGTTCTACTGACTTCAGGAACACTTTGTGCTTTCAAATGAACCAGAATCTTTGAAGTCTGCTTAGACTCATTGAAGATGAAATTACTCACGAATGCTAAGAACTCATCCTTACTGATATTATTGAGAATATCGACATGTCTATCTTTCTCTTGGAAGTCCAAATAACCAGAGGAAATTTCATTCCAAAACCTGGCGGTCTCTTCAGATAAGAATCTCAACTTGGTTAACTTAGAATCTCTCAAGGATTCCTTGAAAGACTCAAATTCCTCCTCGGTCATTTTTTCGATCAAGTAGCTTCTAAACTTAGATAAGAACTCCTCTATTCTGTACTCCAAGTACTCCGTTGATCTTTCAGATTGAACCAAGACTCTAAAGTAAAGAGAGGTTCTGCCTAATCTAGTCCCTGAAAACACAACATAACCTAATTGTTCCTTGGTTCTCAATTGATCGAATGATGGCTGCTTGCAGATTGTCGAAAATAAGTCAGTTAATACTCTCAATTTATCGTCCTGGGAATTAGGAGAAATTTGAATAATGTACTCGATACATGAATTGATATTCTTTGGATCTGGATTGGCCAATTCAAATCTCAGTAATGTGTTGGAAGAAGCAGCGTAGTTTTGTAATCTAACTTTTTGGTAGATCTTTTCGACTGAGTCTTCAACTGCATCCCATTCTTTTGTGTACTTAGAAAGCAAGTCCTTCACTTCTATGGCATTGCCGATATCAAAGTTACCATGAACTAAAGCTTCAACAAACACACCATCTGCCCAAATACCCTTCGTGACAAAGTCAAAGAAGTCATTGAAGTCAGCATCTTTACTTAAAAACTTGGCCTTGTCCTCGCTGCTAAAAATGCCTTCATTGGTCAAAACGAGGAAGTGCGTACCGATTTGTTGAAATGGATTAACGTATCCAAAGTTCTGGTAATCTTGAATGACCTTCAACTTCAATGTTTCAAATCTTTCCTTATCAGGCTTGAAATGCACGAACTTTGAGAGCACTTGCTCCAATAATACAGTTAATTTATCATTGTATCCTGATACTCTGATATTGAAACCATCTCTTAAAAATGAAATTCTGACGTTCAAACCCACGATGGATGCGTAATAGGTAATTTCGTTCAAGTGATCAGTTACAAGCTCCGATAACAATCTAGAGTATGCACTGGATCTGATGTCTTCCTTCGAAGGTGGCAAGTGGAAGAGGAGTTCAATGTTACCTTTAGGGACTTCAAAGCGGTCATCTTGCTTGAACCATAATTGTAATTTGTTATTGTCCTCTAATAGATAAGGATGTTTCAAAGGAGTTTCTGATTTCTTTCTTAAAACATTGAAGTTCTCAGGAATAAAATTGTTTGGAGATGGGTAATGCAATTCCGGATTCAATTGAACATTCTTCAAATTGTTGACCAAAGTTGTGGGAAAGTCTTCATAAGAGTATTCTGTTCCATACCATTCTTCTTTCTTATCTAATCCCTCCAACAGCTTCGAGGTATACATGATTCTGAAATTAGCTGGATTCAAGTATTGGCCGAATTGCTTGATCAAATCAGCATTGAACTCATGATGAATAGTCGAACTCAAAATGTACTCCGAGGGGATGAATCCACCATCACCAAATTTATACAATTTGTTACTCAATTTGGAAACGGTATTTGCTGCTTCATCCTTTTGTCTAAATTTAAAGTTGACCTTTGAGATGTCATTAACTTCTTGCCAGATCCACTCTTTTGGTTCATCAGCATTCACAAGCTTCAAGTATTGAAACACAATCACCACGATCTCTTCCCAGTGTTCAAGTCCTTTTGTGGTAAGCTCAAGTTCAAAAATAAGCGAGCTACTGCCTTTACATGTCTTTTGGAGACCTGCGCTGAGTTCGGTTACCCAACCCTTTTCCTTGATATAATGATAGATGGAACCTTTACTTTCGTGTCCCAACAAATGTGAGTAGTACCTCGAAGGATCGTAGTTCCAAGTGTCTTCAAAGTCATCTGGAATCATAAACGTTAATTCTAATTTGTGAGTGTCTTGCACGGGCTTTGCAGCAATTAGCTTACCCAACTCATTTTCGGAATAGATCACTTCACCATTATAGTCAGGTCTAGATAAGTCCTTGTTTGGGACAGGGGAGAACTTCTCGATTGCCCATTCTGACAAGGTGTCCAAATCCTCTTTTCCCAAGATGGTCAAACCCATTCTGTTTGCCGAGTAGGAGTTTTTGTGGAATTCAATCAAAATATCTCTAACATTCTTGCCGTCATTAAGGGGGTCGTCACGCAAGGTCTTATGGTTACCAGTTGAGAAACCATTGTAGGGGTGATGAGGGTTACTGGTGCCTTTGTCCAACTGGTAGAATCTCCACATGTCACTCTGGAGGTTCTTTTTGTTCTCCGAGTCCACTGCATTGATTTCACGGTCCTTACAACTGTTGCTGAAAAGTGGGGAAATGAAGAACTGAGCGAACCTGTCCAACGCACCTTCTAGGTAGTCGGCACTGACCTGGAAGTAGTAGTTGGTGTGCTCTAATGCAGTGTAAGCATTGGATCGTCCTGAATGTTTGGCAAGATATGAGGCATATTCGTTTTCCACTGGGTACTTTTCGGTACCCATGAACAAGAGGTGTTCACAGAAGTGGGCCAAGCCAGGCACGTTGTACTGGTGGTCGCCAAAGGAGCCAACATTGACGTCGAGGGCGGCTGCTGCCTTGTCAGCCTGTGGATCGTGGATCAACAACACCTTGAGGTTGTTGTCAAGCTTGATGAACCGGTAGCTTCTGTCGTCAGTTAACGGCTTCTCGATGGCAGGCGAATCGGCCAACACCGTGAACCCAGACATATTACTAAGACGAGAGGGAAGTTTGCTGTTTGTGGAAAAAGGGATCAGACTCAATGGGAATTTGGCTTTTATATGGCTGGGCCTAAACAACATGGACGTCAAGATAGTGAACAAAATCACCAGAACGAACGTTACACAATGTGAGATGTGGAGGCGTTCGCAACTGGGGAACAAGCCGCGGGAACGTTGCTTGTGAGGTGGCGAGGGGTGTCTCGGCAAATCGAGAATCTTGTAGTGTGGCAGGGGCCTGGGAGGTTACAGAAGAAAGTACCTCGCTGGTTGTGGCGGGTTCCAAGTGAGCTTCGACACCTTAGTAGTGGGGATTATATGCAAACTATGACTATGTAGCCGGGGTAGCCCGGAGGAGTTGGGCGTGCGCGGAGATGCACGGGTGGAGCAGGAAGCATACATGGTAGCACGAGACAAGTATGCATTCTGGATCTACTGTCGGGACTGCAGACCAGCTAGAATTCATTTAACAGATTGGATTTATTGACAGTGATGTAGTACTGAAAGGACCAGCATAGAATTGGTGTGAATGTGTGTCACCACGGCCACCATCTTGAACCCATTTCCCCAGATAGCCAACTGAAAGCTAGTTTAGGAGACACTCGAGATTGACAAGAAAGCTGCTGATCAAATACTCCACACTGTCCAACTTGGTGAACGCACTTACCAACACCGGGTCGGGCGAGGACACCTCGATCTTCTTATTAATCATCACTACCATGTTGTTGTAGGTAATACACTTGGTGACATAATCAATGGGCTCCAACTTGGGCTTCAACAGCAAGTGACTAATGACATTGCTAAATATCCGCGAGCCTTCGTGTGACCTGTCAGAGCTCTGGGTCAACTGATTCAATCTGTCCTCAATTTCCGACACATTGAGCGGCGAGGCAGGCCTCACTGGAGTTGCTGCCACCGATATGGCCCCAGGCGTGGTATGCGAGCTTGGGAGTTTCATTTCATCCCTTATCTTGTCGATGTAGGACAAACCGGTGGGGGTGATGTCTCCCCACGGCCTTTCTGTCACTCGATGGAGGCTCTTGAGGTCGACGCAGACTTCGGCTTGGCTGATGTACAAGTCAATGGCCACCGTGGGCGGGAGTTCGGGTTCAAACGCCAGCAAAGGAGTAACGTTGACGGGGAAGACTAGACTGGGGTCTGTGGGTAGCTGTAAGCTACTTTTGGCAATCTGGATCTCATGAAGAAGCGAGCTGAATGATTCGATCAATTTCTGGTGGCCAATGGTGGAGCAGTCGTCTCCCTTGGCCAAGTCTCGCAAGATTGCGATAGCCTTCTCCACCGAGTCCTTTGCTGTCACGATCTGGGCCAACAAAATGGGCTCCTTCAATGTCAAGCGATGGAGAGTTTTGAAGTGGGAATCTCTTATAGCTAGCGACATTTTGGTGACATGCTGTCCATCCCGGACTATAATACCTTTGAGGGCCTCCAGCTTGTTGGTGGAAAAGGGTAACTTGATTGCGGGGCCCCGTTCAATCCGATTGGCTTCGTCTGGCTCTTGGGGAGAGTTGAAGATGAGCAAGTTGCAGCATATCTGTAGAGCTTCTATGATTTGGGGAAATTCGGGAGTCACCACATTTGAGGTGTACCAGTGGAGATCTTGGTCTGCCTGAGAATGCTGGCGTTCCTTTAGAAACTCGACAAACCTGTTGTCGGAATACACGCCCAGTAGAGTCATGCTGGGACGGTAGAGGATCAGGAGCCGCTGAATAGTACTACGCACGTGACCAGATATGAGGCCATTCACAAGCTAGGGTGGGTAGCAGGGGTAAAAAGCGGCCAAAAGAAGCTCAGCTAGCGAGCACAGGGTAGGACTGTGTATGTATAGTCTCCTTGAGCTTCTTGTCCCACCAAACCCCCAGCCATCCCTCCTGGGCATTATCCATCCAGTCATCCCCACCGACCCCCCGCGTCGCCAACCTGCAAAAAGTGGCGCTGGACATAACCTGCACTTCTCACCATCACCAACAGAATCAACAACAAATCCATACCACAACGCAGTCTCTTACATGTGCAGGACTGGCTTATATCCACAACTATAAACATACCACAGATAAACGATGCTGGGACCATCTACATCCAGCGAAAGATCCACAGTGATACCTGGCGAAGCAGGCGCTCACGATGGCGGTTCTGCTAGGCCAGACTACGACAGCGTGACCGCCACGGCGGCCGCAGCTGTTTCAGCTTCCGGGTACGGTAGCGGACTTGGAGAGGAAGCCAATCAGTTCCATCCCCACCATCAGAACAGCTATGCCACTGCCGAGTTCCAACATCGTGCCGAGCTCCAACGCAGACAGCAGCAATTGCAACAGCAAGAATTGCACCAGCAACAACAACAAATCCAATTTCAGCAGCAGCAACAGCAGCAGCAACAGCAGCAGCAGCAATTGCACCACCACCACCAGTTGCAACACACGCCACACGCGCTCCCCGAGGAGTACGACAACGGTGGCGTGCTTGGGTCCAGGTACTTGGAAAACGAGATAATCAAGACGTTCTCCAGCAAAGCATACTTGGTGAAATACGTCAAGGACGTGCTTAGTGTCGAGGAACGGTGCAAGATCGTGATTAATTCGTCCAAGCCCAAGGCAGTGTACTTCCAGTGCGAGCGTTCTGGGTCCTTCAGAACCACGGTCAAGGACTCGGCCAAGAGACAGAGAGTCGCGTACACCAAGAGAAACAAGTGTGGATACAGATTGGTAGCCAACTTGTACCCATCGGATAAGGACAAGAAGAAGGTCAAGAAGGAGGACATGAAAGAGGAATTGGACTTTCCTGCTGACCCCTCCAGCGAAATGTGGATCTTGCGTATGATCAACCCAGTGCACAACCACGCCCCAGAACCACTCAGTGGAAAGAAAAAGAGACTGAAAAATGCTAGAACTTTGGTTGAAAAACCATTACACCGCAACGTCGGAAGTGCTGCGGTTGCGGCTGCTGCCCACTACGTACCAGGCGATGTTCAGCAGTTGGCCCACAATGGGTTGCATCAGCTCCATCACGAGGATGGCCACACCCCATCGGTGCAAGACGCTGCTGTGATTGCTGCAATCGAAGCTACTCCAGCAGCAGCAGCAGCTGCTGCTTTGCACAACCAAAACCCCCCTGTGGACCCAAATATTGATCCTAATGTCGACCCCAGTGTCCAGGCCCATGACCATGCCATGAGATATCACCAGGGTTTAAGACGATAGCTGACTTCTTTTATTTCTAAATTGTTTTATAATAAATATGTTTCCGTAGAGCCCAGTATGTATAGCCAAAAACTGGTAAATAACCTATTGTGGACTATTACAGCACCTTGACTATTGTGCTTATCTCGTCCATCGCTTGTGACGACGCGCACGACTATTGACAACGAGTTTTTTCCAGACAAGCTCAAGAAGCTCATTTCAACGATATATGATAAGGACGTTGATCCAGAAACGAATAATGTCTACATCACATAGCGATTGGTCCGCCTCAAAGGTCAGATCGACCTTCTTGGAATTTTTCAAAACCAAAAAAAACCACACCTTTGTTCCATCTTCATCGGTCGTTCCTCACAATGACCCTACCCTTTTGTTCGCCAATGCTGGTATGAACCAGTATAAGCCCATCTTTTTGGGTACCGTTGACCCTCTGTCCGACTTTGCCACCTTGAAGCGTTCTGTCAACTCCCAAAAGTGTATTCGTGCTGGTGGTAAGCACAATGACTTGGAAGACGTTGGCCGTGACTCATACCATCATACTTTCTTTGAGATGTTGGGTAACTGGTCTTTCGGTGACTACTTCAAAAAGGAAGCCATTTCTTGGTCCTGGGAATTGTTGACTGAAGTTTACAAGTTGGACAAGGATCGTTTGTATGTTACCTACTTCGGTGGTGACGAAAAGCAAGGGTTAGAACCAGATTTAGAGGCTAAGAACTTCTGGTCCGCTGTTGGTGTTGCTGACGACCACATCTTGCCAGGTGATGCTAAGGACAACTTCTGGGAAATGGGTGACCAAGGTCCATGTGGTCCTTGTTCTGAAATCCATTACGACAGAATCGGTGGCAGAAACGCTGCTCATTTAGTCAACATGGACGATCCAAATGTCTTGGAAATCTGGAACATTGTCTTCATTCAATACAACAGAGAGGCAGATGCTAGCTTGAGAAGTTTACCAGCCAAGCATATCGACACTGGTATGGGTTTCGAGAGATTGGTTTCTATTTTGCAAAACAAGTACTCCAACTACGATACCGATGTTTTCCTTCCAATCTTCGACAAGATCAGAGAGATCACTGGTGTCAGACCTTACACTGGTAAGTTTGGTGCTGAAGATGTCGACGGTATTGACACTGCTTACAGAGTTATTGCTGACCACGTCAGAACCTTAACTTTCGCCATCTGCGATGGTGGTGTTCCAAACAACGAAGGTAGAGGTTATGTCTTAAGAAGAATCTTGAGAAGAGGCTCCCGTTACGTTCGTAAGTACATGAACTACCCAATTGGAACTTTCTTCCAGCAATTAGTTGATGTGGTGATCGAACAGAACAAGGAGATCTTCCCTGAAATTGTCAAGGGTGCTCAAGACTTGAAGGAAATTTTGAACGAAGAAGAATTATCCTTTGCTAAGACTTTGGACAGAGGTGAGAAATTGTTCGAGCAATACGCCATTATTGCTTCCAAGACTCCTGAACAAACTTTATCAGGTAAGGACGTTTGGAGATTGTATGACACTTATGGTTTCCCAGTTGATTTGACCAGATTGATGGCCGAAGAAGCTGGCTTGATGATCGATGAGCCAGGTTTTGAAAAGGCCAAAGAACAATCCAGAGAAGCCTCCAAGGCCACTGGTAACAAGGACACCGCTACTTTGGTCAAGTTAGACGTTCACTCTTTATCTGAATTGGATTCGAATGACGATGTTCCAAAGACTGATGACTCCTACAAGTACGGTCTCGAAAACATCAAGGCTAACATCGTTGCTATTTACGATGGTTCCGCCTTCGTCTCTTCCATCAGTGATTCCACCAAGCAATACGGTATCTTGTTGGACAAGTCACCATTCTACGCCGAGCAAGGTGGTCAAGAATACGATACCGGTAAGTTAGTTATTGACGGTAAGGCCGAGTTCAACGTCGCCAACGTCCAAGTCTATGCTGGTTACGTTTTGCATACTGGTTCCCTTACTGAGGGTACCCTTAGTGTGAAGGACGAAGTCATTGCTGCCTACGACGAATTGAGAAGATGGCCAATCAGAAACAACCACACTGGTACTCACGTGTTGAACTATGCTTTGAGAGAAGTTTTGGGAGACTCTGTTGACCAGAAGGGTTCTTTGGTCGCCCCTGAAAAGTTGAGATTTGATTTCAGCCACAAGCAAGCTTTGAAACCAGAAGAATTGGCCAAGGTTGAAAACATCTCTAACGAATACATCAAGGCGGATAAGGCAGTTTACTCCAAGGAAGTTTCCTTAGCTGCTGCTAAGGAAATTTACGGTTTGAGAGCCGTCTTCGGTGAGACTTACCCAGATCCAGTCAGAGTTGTCTCCATTGGTGCTCCAGTCGATGAATTGGTCGCTAACCCAAAGAACGAGGACTGGAACAAGCTTTCCATCGAATTCTGTGGTGGTACTCACGTCGCTAAGACTGGTGAAATCAAGGACTTGGTTGTTATTGAAGAATCTGGTATTGCTAAGGGTATCAGAAGAATTGTAGCTGTCACCGGAAATGAAGCACATGAAGTTCAAAGAATTGCCAAAGATTTTGACACTGAATTGAACCATGCCAACGGCTTGCCATTCGGTCCAGCCAAGGAAGCCAAGTCCAAGGAATTGGGTGTTGCATTAAAGAAGTTGTCTATTTCTGTCTTGGACAAGCAAAAGTTGACTGAAAAGTTCAACAAGTTGGACAAGGCCATCAAGGACGAATTAAAGACCAAGCAGAAGGAAGAATCAAAGAAGACTTTGGAGGTTGTCAACGAATGGTTGGCTAAGGAAGATGCAGGTGAATACTTGGTCAGCCACATTCCAATCAACGCCAACGCTAAGGCCATCACAGAAGCTATCAACTTGATCAAGAAGTCCCACAAGACTAAATCTATTTATTTGATCACCGGTGCCACCGACAAGGTTGCCCACGGATGTTACGTTTCTGACGAGGCCATTGCTAAGGGTATTGACACTACTGCCTTAGGTCAAGCTGTTTCTACCAAGATCGGTGGTAAGGCCGGTGGTAAGGGTAATATTGTCCAGGGTATGGGTGACAAGCCAGAAGGCATCCAGGCTGCTATCGACGAAGTTGCTAAATTGTTCAATGAAAAGTTGTAATGATTGAAGCTTCTATAAGTTTAGATATTGTTAATATATAGAGTGTCTATCTGTTCATATCCTTGTATCCAGTACAATATATATAGTTCGATATGGCTTTGTAGTTCCTGGAATTCTATTTGGGTGGGTCTTCATTGGTGAGTTTGTCTTCTTCCACCTGGTCGATTTGGGTTGGGTTTCCTCCCACGTTCCTCAATATGCGGTCGACAAGCTGATCTAAGGCTGATCTAGGAACCTCAGGAACTTTACCGATGATGCTGAGAGTGTTGAGCTTCCAGTTGATATGTGGGTAGCTCCCGAGCTTAACGGTGCCCTTGCCATAGGCAGTATCCACTTCGTCTTGCAAGCGAGTCAAAAAGCCGGCAAACTCGTTTTCAGAAGAGGAGGTCTTGACATACAATCTGACCAAATTGGAGCCATCGGAGTCTATCCGCAGCTTGAGAAACGGCTCCATTCCCTGGATAAGCTTCGTGAAGAGATTGGGGACCCCCGGAAGCACGTAGACCTGTTGGTCCAATGCCACTATCGGGAACCACAAAGAGTCCTCCACAAAGATCTTTTCCACTGTGGTCGGGTTCTGTGGGGTGGAAGAAGGCAAAGTAGCCATTTTGTAGAACGCATCAAGCTGTTCTTGGGGCAAGCTTTCGAGGTATGAGCCACGAAGCTTGGTCATACGTTCCACCACCTCGGAGTCCAACTTGTAGTCTAGGCCGTAGATTTCGCTGAGCACGGCGTAGGTGATGTCGTCATGGGTGGACCCCAAACCGCCAGAAGTGACGATCAAGTCGACCTTGTCGTGGTCGCGGAGGATCTTGAGCGAGTTGATGATGTCCTGCTTGTCATCTCCACACACAATAGTTCTCTTGAGAGGAATCGAGAGATTATTGAAGCAGAAACGGGCAAAATTGTAGGAGTTTGTGTCCAAGATCTTGCCATTGAGCACCTCGTCGCCGATGATGAGGCATCCCGCCGAGCGGATGGGCTTTAAGGAGGAAGACATGGCACGGGACACAAGGAGGCGGGAAGTATTCATGGTGGGTAGCAAAAATGTCGCGCAACTAGCGAAGATTGGAAGTAGAGGAGGCGAGAGCGACATTACTGGCTAGTATAGACTGATACGGTCTGGTAAGCTAATTGAGCCAGTGCCGACTAAATGGGCCATTTGGCGTGTCAGCTCATAGTAGATATTGTTTTATCACCCAGTAGGTAACGGTTTAAAGTGAATTCTGGTAGAAGGTATATCTATGTCCTAGAGTGTGAAGCATTAATTCTGGATACTTCTGAGAGTATCTCTGCTCTATCCAGGCAGTACTTGATATCTGGCTACATCTCTACTACAACAGTCTGGAGCTGCTGCTGAGAGAAGCGACCTCACTAGAAACTGTAGGAAATGTCTGGTAGAAACCACTGGTCCGACATTAACATCCCTACAAGCCAAGCTCTAGTGGGCTCACGTGCTGAACCGTAGCTAACTAGCCCTGCCTGTACAGTCCTTAGCTCGCGCTAGCACTAACTGTCCCGGTTCCCCACCTCGCTGCGGGCCACTGCCAATCCCCGTCCTTTGGGGGGTGTTACTAGCTCCGTCGCTCCCCTCCCGGTGGGGATTGCCACAGTCCAGCTAGTGGCTCTCCCAGCACCGCTCGTGCCAGGAGTGTCCCCCCAGCAGTACCAAAGCATATATCTTCCACCCAGCAGAGCTCCCACCACGCTCCACAACTCTCCAGCTGCACTCCTCTCCTAGCTTACTCCTCTACCCTCTCCTGCCATGGCCGCCAATCACCGCAGTGTGGCGGTCCCGAGCGCGGGAAATCCGGATTCTCGCCATGACCACGTTGGGAGTGTGTACAGCCCCAGGCCAGCGAAAAAAGCCCTCCCATCGTCAATTTGACACTCTTGTGACTTCTCACTACCATCCACCTCCCAACACTCAGCCCCTTCATCCAGCCGCTAACGCTCCCTTTTCATCTTCCCCATCCCCTAAGACACGCAAACTCCGGACTAAGTACCTCCACACCGCTTAGAACATGGGAAATAGCCCGTCCAAGAATGATCCTCTGCCGAACAACCAATCTTCCACCGGTATCCCTGGTGGTGAACTAGAGGCCGATGAGTCGGCGCCGGCGCTATCGCAGCTATCGTCCCTTAGTTTACATTCTGGTGAAAGCACCAGATCCTCAGCCATCAATATTGGTGCCCCTAGTGCCACCGCCTTCAACCCCAACTACTACAAGAACAAAGACCTGTCCTCCAAGAGCAAGCTGAAGCCGTTTCTGGACTCCCCCAAGCGCTCGCGCAAGCAGTCCATCCAGAACTTGGACTTGGACTTGGAAATCGGCGCCTCCATGGCCCAGCTCTTGAAGACATCCAGCCAGCCGTTGTATGGCTCTTCCTTCGACAGCGTCAAGTCGGACGCGTCCACAGTGTCCCCTGTCTTCACCACCGCAGGTGAGGCCAAGGATGAAGAACTGCTTCTGTCGTTGGGATCCTCGCCCTACGCAAAGACCTATTACCACAAGAATGACTCGAAGGAGTTGGCCACCACTCCTTCCACCAGCACCACCGTCCTCGGCAACGCCTCCAATAAGCGTCTCGACTCCATCGCCGAGTTAGACTGCTTCTCCGAAACCAGGGACGTGAAATCTCTCTCGTTGTCAAACTTGAAAAAGCATGATTTGAAGAGTTCTGCAGTGTTGGGTGAAACATTGACGAAGAATGTATCATCCAGCTCTTCAAACTTGTCAAACTCCCCTCCGTTACTTCCAAGCCCCAAGCTGCTGGAAATCGACCTTGATTCGGTTATCGATCGTTTACTCGCAATCGGTATGAACAAGAAGTCGTCTAGTTCGCGTCGGGCTCTGAAAGACAAACTTCCTTTGACCACCCAAGAAATCAAGTACGTTCTCCATAAGGCAAGATCAATCTTTTTGGAGCAACCATCTCTTCTTAGGTTGTCGCCTCCTGTTAAAGTCGTCGGCGATATTCACGGTCAATTCCATGATTTGATCCGTATTTTTAACAGTTGTGGTTATCCACCTTATTCAAATTACTTGTTTTTAGGTGATTACGTGGATAGGGGTTACAAGTCATTGGAAACAATTTTACTTTTGTTGTGCTACAAGATTAAGTATCCGGAGAACTTTTTCATGTTGAGAGGTAATCATGAAAGTGCAAACATTACCAAGATCTATGGTTTCTACGATGAATGTAAACGTCGTTTACCTACAATTTCTGGCAACCATAAACTTTGGAAAGTATTTGTTGATGTGTTTAATACGTTACCAATTGCTGCAACTATTAATGATAAGATTTTTTGCATTCATGGTGGATTGTCACCAGATTTACACAGTTTGAGTCAAATTGAGAACATCAAGAGACCAACCGATATTCCTGACAAAGGATTATTGGCAGATTTGTTGTGGTCCGATCCAGATCCACTGGTGAAGAACTTCTCAGTATCAAACTGGCCAAAGAATGATCGTGGTGTCTCCTATTGTTTTGGAAGAAAACACGTTGACTATTTTTGTAATAGGTTCAAAATGGACTTGATTGTTCGAGGTCATATGGTTGTGGAAGATGGTTACGAATTCTTCAATAAGAGAAAATTAGTAACTGTTTTTTCTGCTCCTAACTATTGTGGAGAATTCAATAATTTCGGGGCAGTTATGAGTGTTGATAAAAGCTTATACTGTTCCTTTGAACTCATCAAACCACAATGAAATATTTTAGTTGGACTTTAGAGGCGTTGGTATTATGAACTGATTTGAACCCCATAATGTTCATGATATTCACGATTTTTTATTTCTAGTTGTTATTTTTTGATTGATTTATATGATATTATGAAGAGCTATTCTTTAGTAGATCATTTTTATGTGTTACAACCTATATGTACGAGATTTTATTACTGAATAAATTTTCTATTATTTTTTAACCGTATAAACCTTACCTGGATGGTGAACCTAACCCCAAGGAGTGTGGAAATAACGACGCTATTCCCAATGCAAACTGTAATAAAGAGAAATGAAGCTTATAAGCCGTCGTACCGCTTACGTTTAAGATGAGGTGAAGATGAACCATCATTGCTGTAACCACGAGAGTTGTACTTTTTCAAGGAAGCACCTGTGATGGCATCAAAACTGACCACTTGATCAGCATCGGAGTCTTCGACATCGACGTCAACGTCTTCCTCATCATCGACTCCGTAATCATCGTCATCTTCATCCTCATTAGAATCGTAATCAGTGTCATCTATGACTTCATCCTCATCAAAACCACTATCATCATTTGAGTCTCCGGAATAAGCAGGTGTTATCTGCTTTGTGGGACTAGATGTAGCCGAAGTGCCTGGCAAGTAGTGAATATGTATGTTACCGCGGGAACCAGAAGCAGTTGTGAGGTTTTTGCCCATTAACTCAATTAATTGGCTGTAGTACAAATTCAAAACATCCTTGGCATATTTTATGGAGCTTTCTCCAGGAGTGTCAAGATGCTTTCCAGGCATACACCTCCAGTCCACCCTCTCAAGGAAATCGAGCTCCAAACAGTTGAGCTCGGAGATGGCAACACCACCAACTTTGGCATAGTGATCATTTGTGTAAAAGAAGTCTTCCATCGATTTTTGAGCGAGCATGGTGCCCACTAAGAGGAATCTGTGTACCGTCCATGAGTTAAGCGTGAAGAAAGGTTGATACTGATGTGACAAAAGATCGATGTAGTATATGGTGGTGAGCAAAGTTGCTGCGTTGAAGTTGTTGAACTTGGTCAATCTGGTGAGATAGGTATGGGTGGAAATTGATGGAGGTGTTCTGGAATGGTATCTCGTTAATAGGCTATTGGACGATGACGAAGATGAAGATGTAGATGGCTTGGAAATAGAGGCTGGTACTGATTTGTCGTTCAAGGAAATCAAAGACAGCATCATCCTAGTGATGAGGGTGATCAAGTCATCGATAGGACAGTCCATAAACTCTGCTGGCAAGTGCTTCTTGATGACCTGGAGTGGAGATGCTGGCTTGGTCTTGACCGGAGCTTTCTCCTCTATCTGAGGTACGTCTTGCTTACGCTGGTGCTGCACAGGGGATACTCTGGTTACCTTGACAGCGGCCGAGATGGGGCTTTTGGGCTTGAAATGGGGCACAACGTAGGGGGTGGTGTTTATCAAGTACTTCTGGTATATCTCGATCAGCTTGATTTTACGATGCTGGTTGATGGAGTTGAAGTAGAGCTGGTGGTTGTTCAAGCTGGAGTTGAGGTTGGGGGTCTTGATGTATTGGGCGAGGAACGGGTCCGAGGGCGAGTTGACCACCATGCCGTGGGCCACTGCTGGCCTGGAGGCCTTGGTGTAGGTGCTGGACATTTTGGGAGAGACCGTATTGATCACTGTATCATTCGGTGACGGGAAGGGTGAAGATCTAGATATTAGACTCATTGTGGTGCAGTCCAGATAATCCCATGATTCTCTCGAAAAGACAGGGGTTCAGGAAGGAGGTGGTGCTGGAACAATCGGGGTTGGTGTGCCTACAGATGTGGCAGCCAGATGAGATGACGGTGCTAGTGCAGTACTGGCAGTCGGGAGGGGTGGGGATAATAGGCTCCAGCGATAACTGCGACGAGGAGGTTGGGACGGTTACGGATGTTAGGTAACAAAGTCGGTGGGCCAGGAGTAAGCAGATTCACTGGCGGTCGATATATAAAATGACTTTTGCTCGGGAGCGACACAAAATCGACACACGTGGAGGCCGCACACGTGTGGGCCCATATATGTCACTAACGAATGTGGAGGCGATGGGGGCGGATTTGGACCACGCCAGCAATTTAAGCCCCTGACACGCGGAATTAGCAACAGCTTCCTCTGCCAGGCACACAGGGACGCCACTGTCAGCGCCGCTGGTGACTGGTCACCACGGGTGCTGGTCTAGCCACGGGTGGTTCTGTGAAGGGCCCTGAGGGCTCGCTGACTAAGACTCCCCCAAATTACTTTTTCTTGGACGCACCGAATCCAAGACACCGCCACTAATGCGGTTTCTGTCGCTGGGCGATGGGCGCCCGCCAACGGGCCGTTCGGGTTTCGCTAATGGGTGGGCTGGACGGTGCATGGTGGGGCAGTGGTAGTAAAGATAGCGCTGGTAGACGTAGTGCTGGTAGTAATAGAGGTAGAGTTAAAGGTAGCTGTGGGGGTTGTACGGATGTTTCCTGCCCAGACATCCGTGCAGCTATCTGTCCCCCGCCAAGCTGATCCCTCCCCGACCATGACCCAGCAAAGATCGCCTTGACGTGGCGGTGTGGAATCCGCCTCGCATTGAACTAGCGGGTGGCATGTCGCGGGACAGCCGCCCCATGTCGCGCGCGATGTCGCGAGATCTCAATCACGTAAACAAACAACATCATGCAAAATTTGTAGTGGCAACCCAACCATGGCTGACGAGAACTATCTTGAGGAAGGTACGTATCACTTCCACGCACCCGCCAGCACCTCTACTAACCTCTAGGATTCGATCCTCATGAGCTCAAAGTCACCCAGCTCCGGTCCATTCTCAGCCGCCACAAAGTGAGGGTACCTTCCAACTCCAAGAAGGCACAATTGGTCGAGCTTTTCGAGCGTGAAATCACCCCCAATGCAAACGAACTCAAGCAAGACGACTCCCAGCTCGTGTCCGACGCCGATTCCTCCAAGAACCCCGGCGATGGCGACTCCAAGATGGAGGACACCTCCACCGACGAGTCTGGCGCGGTGAAGAGCGATGCTCCTCAGATCTTGCCCAAGCCATCAAGAAAGAGACGAATTGTTTCGGAAACCTCCAAAAAGAAGCGTACCAAGGCTGGTTTGACCTCCAATTCGAATGTGACCTCTCCTGAACCAGAAAACGCCTCACCAAAGGCTTCCCCACACGCTTTGCCAAAATCGCCAAAAACTTCTAAATTGAATACCCCCGTTGCTTCTCCAGAACCAGCAGTGAAAGCAAGTCCAAAGATAGATTCCAGTCTCGCTTTGCCTAATGCTGCGGGAACCTCGCAATTGTCATCGCCCAAGGTCAAGTCCCCCAAGTCACGCTCATCAAGATTAACTTCTCCTAGACTGATGAAGAAAGAGAAGGTCACCAAGTCCATCTTTTCTGACGACGAAGATGAAAACTCTCCTATCCTTTCTCCTAGACTCCTAACATCCCCAACTCATAGTGCCATCAAGACCAACAAGGTGACAAAGGCCACCCCTAAGAAACATGTACCCATTGTGAAACTGGAAAAATCCCCCAAAGAAGTCACGAAGTCCGAGAAAACGTTCGATTCAATCTACGACGAAACGAAGGATTTCGATGAAGTCATCTCGAAGTTGAAGAAAGAAGAACAACATGAAGTCCATCCTACAATTGACTTGAATTTACCTTCTCGGCTTGGGGTTTCCATTCAACAACCTCAATATTACATTGACTCGCAATTAGAAACCCCTAGAAGATTGAGATCTTCTGCCCAACCTACACCTAGAAGAACTCCCGCTAGAACCCCAAGACATATTCCAACACATACTCCTAAACCAAAACTAGTTCCGATCAACAAGAAACATAGTGAATTATCAGATGACGATTCTGAAGATTCTGATGATGATGAAGGTGAAGGTGAACTTGAAGATAGAAAAGTGGAGGAACCGAGTTCGTCAGAGAGTATCAAAGATGATTCTCAAAAAAACAAGGGAACTAAACACAAATCTAGTCAAGAGAGCACAAAATTGTCCAAAAAGACATGGGTTCCAGTCTTCTTCACATTTTTTGCGTGGGTTTTACTAGTTTCAGGGGGACTTTTTGCTTACTGGTACCGTGAGCAAGTCATTTTGATTGGATTCTGTGGCCAAGAGATCAATAAGCCTACATTTCCTAATACTGAAAATCAATACTTGCAAACATTTGGTGACTACTTGGATGCGAACTTCAAGCCAAACTGCACACCATGCCCCAACCATGCCAGGTGCTTTCCTAATCTTGAACTTGGATGTTATGAAGATTTTGTTGAACTCAAGCCATGGAACAACTTCATTTTCCCAAATAACAAAAAGTGTATCCCCGACACCAAGAAAGCAGAAAAGTTGGAAATTATGATAGATGTTGCATTGGATTTGTTGCGTAGCAAGAATGCAATCAAGCAGTGCGGAAAGTCAGAAGACATAGCAGAAGCTGGTATCAAGATTGAGGAGCTCCATGACCTTTTACTTTCGATGAAAGCCCCATATATTACTGTTGAAGAATTTGAAGAATTATGGCAACGCTCGGTTGTTGAATTGGAGAAAGAACCTGAAATAATTGTAAGGCAAGTTTAATTAAATGATTGAAGTCACAATGTGGAATTGCTTGCATGATATGGTATTTGCCATTTTGAAGGATTCTTCTTACCTTGTGTCATTCAGAGTTTTGGAACAATATACTAACTAAAGCAGACGGGATCTTCAGGTGTATCATCCACAAAACTTATTACTAACATTAACAACACTGAGACCTCGGTACAAACGCAGGACAAGATTCTTCGATCAACGTCCTTATCAAACCTTAGTTTACAGTGCCAATTAAAAAACAGTATTGTTGGTTCAATTGTACAATACAAGTATAACTTAATCATTATGCTTATAATCTTTTCGATCATCAAATACATCCAGCATAAGTACAATCAGTACAAGGTAGAATTGATCAAGATAGATATCATTTATAAGGATGTTCTTTCCAAACTTCAACATCAGTATAAGTTGTCAATCAATAACCATCAAATCAGTCCATTCATTGGGTCCACCCAACTAAGAGACCTTATCTTAACAAATGAGCACAATTTAAAGAAACGAGTTAAGATCTGGACTCAAGTTGTCTACAAAGTGGAAAACAATACAAATGTTTCGTGTAAACTCATTGAAAATCATGGGGAGATTATGAAGGTATGGCAATGGATAACCGATGTTGAAGAATGAAGTCCTTTGTAGCATTATTCCTACGGGAAGTATATAGTCAATAAACAGTTTATTAATCCTTCTATAAATTACCCGTATTGGTACTACCTTTCACTGTGGAATGCTATCATGTTAGGCATACCCCAACACTTATAGCCCAAGGGTTTTGCTAAATAGCATAAGCCTTCTGTTTCAATTCCGTCATAACCTTCCAATCTCTCCCACGTAGTGCCAACAATATAACTAGTGGGGAATATCACGCCTTGCTTGTATATGATAGATTTGGCAAAGAGCACAGCTCCACCCACGGAATCAAGCTCAACAGTGTAGCTCAAATTGTCATGATTTTGTTCATATGTGGGTTTGTCTTCGAGATATGATGAAAAGTGAAACATGTTTTTAGTGACATCTTGAGGAACGTAGTCCCAGTGATCCCAGTCGTTGGCGTCCAATTTCCTGAGCTGGTCCTCATTCGGTTTCGTTCTCTCACCTCTCCACGAATTCCTATCATAGTCTACTGCTGAGCCCACGTCAATTCTGGGAACAATAATATCCAACTTCGCGTCGATAAATGTGGAAAGAAGCTCTCGTGGATTTTTAAACTTCTTGATATCTGCATCCACAAAGAGGGTATACTCCTCATCCTGTAGAGCACTGGATATAAGGAAATTGCGTGCCCTTGCTATGGATCTCCTCCTTTCCCTTTGAAACTTGTCTGCGTGTCTCTCGTCATCAGAGGGCATGTTCTGAGCCTCTATGGTTGGTGCTATGACCAAAGTGATGCGATGAAAATCCACTTCGTTAGTCTTTTCGTCCAAGATCTTCGAAATGACATCGAACTCGGCTTGGTTTTTCACCAACAATCCTAACGACACCTGGTAGGACTTGTTCTCATATAAAGTTTTCAATGTCGATAAGTAGTCAGAAAAGTGCCGCTTTGGCCCATAGGCATCTTCGCCAGCTATGGAGCTGAGTACCAATATGCTTGTAGGACGTTGCGCTAACAATGTCGTTGGAAGCCCTCGCGTCTTCTTGATCTCCAACACCACCTTAGTGTAATGACTATTGGAGAATTTTGTGTAGGTGTAGGATGGATTGGTGTGGTTCGCGGAGTAGTAGAACGTGGAAATGGTGAAGAAGGCTCCCACCACGAGGCAGAGCAACAAATTGGACCGTTTCACCAACATTGTCGTCGTAGTGTTGATTGTGGAATTTAGGGGCTGTTATACTTGGACTTCTATGCAGTCTACCACATCTGACCCTCCCAACCCCTGCCAAGGACCTCGGCTAGCAAGAAGACGATAAGACACCAGGAGGCAACTATAATGACCCCAGCTGGCCTACCCCAGTGGCAATCTCAGCCGTAGCACTGGGTCTATTTTAGGGGAAAATTCCCGATTGAGAAATCACTTGATAAAGATGGTGAGACGGCAAAAATTGAGCAACCACTTTGTTCTTCTTCATGAGTTCAGGAACTTCGATTTTCGACTTGGGAGATGACCTCCTCATCACCCAAATCCCACAGTACTTGCTGCCCGAGGATATCTTCAATTTCTCCATCATCAACAAGTCCACCTACAACGCATTCCACAACTCGTCCTTGACCACTGCGTTGTACAAGATCTTGTACAACAAGAAGTTTACCAACCATGAGATGGACTTTACTTTGGACAGCAACGAAGACTTGAATTGGACCCAGCTCTTCAAATTTAGGGTCGGTTTGGGCCAAAAGGTGTACACTTGGGGGGCGTCGTCCATGGCACGGTTAGGGTATTTGACTCGATCAATATCTACTAGCCATTTGACGTCAAATGCATACGGAATTAGAAACGTCCACACTCCCACGAACATTCCCGACTTCAATGGACATCTCGTGATTGATGTAATTGCCAACGGATACAGCTTTTTGATCCTCACCAACGATGGGGATATCTTCTACACTGGATTATCGTGGAAAAGACCACACGCGGGCTCGTCCACCCCGGGGCCTGTAGATGGCGAGGATACTGGACCATCCCCTTCTTCCCTGGCATTGACGACCTTGAATGAGACTCCTCCTCTTCAATCCAGAAGATCAATAAGAGGTTCTGGGATAGTAGCGATTCCGTTCACCGTGAACAGAGGAAATCGCTACGACCGTGATGTACAACAGACAGCAACACCCCTGTCTAGAAGGATGCTTCCTCCGAATCCAAACCTCACGCTTCCCCCAGAAGAAATGACCTTTCCACCAGGACTTGCCGAGTCTGTTCCTGGTTCCAAATCAGTGAAGGAGTCTAATTTATTGACCAAATTGCATTTACCTGATCTTCCCCAGAGTGAGCAACGGAAACGCAAAATAATTTCCCTTTCCAGTGGCAGGGAACATATTGTAGCGTTGGATAACCTCAATAACATCTACACATGGGACACGGGAACTAAAGGTCACGAGGGAACAAGGTTGAGTTTTCCGGGCTTGGACCTTGCAAACCTATCTATTGTCAAAATATCCGGTGGCTGGAATTTATCTGGATGTTACGTCTATGAGGTCGGGCTTGTTATCTGGTATTCAAGGATCCCAATCTCGAGAGAGCAATTTGACAGTGGAGCAAGAAGCTCGGAAGCGAAGTACTTTGTTATCCCTCGGACCAAAGCCAATATTGTCGATTTTACTGTGGGCTACGATTATATCTTGTACATCGACAAGAGCTCGGGAAAGCTTTACAAGTGTGGGTTTAGTGCCATTGACTACAGTTCCAGATCAGATACAATTTCCCAAGACGAGATTACTGTGTCGGTACGTCCAATGGATAACTTCAACAATTGGTTGCAGGAGCACAATGTCAGTGAGGGTAAGTTCGCCAAATTCAATCATGTCAAGTGCTGCTTCACCAATTTTGTGGTGTTGACCGACGAGGACAACCTTGTTATCGGAAACCAAGCACACTTGCAATACACTGGTAATGACCCTGATGATGATGGAGCACGTCCCAAGTACATCCCCGAGCTACAAAACCAGCACATCAAGACGGTGGACATCGGAGACCATCATTTCCTAGCGTTGACCAGCGAGGGCACCGTTTTAAGCTGGGGGTTGGAGATAGATAACTGTGGGTGCTTGGGGCTTGGCTCCAAGGACGAGTTTGTGGACAGCCACCAGCCGTCCGAGGTCAAGGATGAGGGCAGGGGCAAGGGCATGAGGGTGCTCAAGCCGTTCCAGGTGACCAACCCGCCGTTTCCGGGAAAGTGGGTCAGCATTACTGCCAGCGGATGGCACTCTGGCGGGATCTATGTTCCTACATAAATATCTGAGTCGACTTGATAAAGGTATTAACTTCAGAGAATCTTGTAACTCAACATATCTCAATAAATTTATGGAGCAGTATTTTTTGGGAGTGGGTGGTGTATCATAATCCAAATACGTAATCTATTGCAATGGAAACATTAATTGATCCTTTTTACCCTAAATATCTGACTCAACCATTCTCACCTTTTTTGAGTCATGGTCAAGTATGACCTCAGTCACGTCACGTGTATGCCCAGCCTGTTGCTCCCCACACTTGCTAGATGACCAGGATTTTGCGGTGGGTGGAGGGAATGGCGCTGACCAGCTGGCCTGGCAGCTGCAATTGTAGACCCCCAAGGTCATCGGCAAAATCGGAAAACCACCTAGAAGGAGGCTAAGCACCAGAATGTCGCAGCATTTCAGAATCGGGTGCCGCGACGTTGTGCAACTGCCACCTATACGAGCTGGCCCTACACCGCCCGAGGTTCCTGGACCCCCCCACTCGAATGACGTGGAAGATGCCACGCCTCTCTACGCACCCAATTTGCCACCTTTCGTTCGCCGAAATCCCTCGTACCGGTGGGAGGCGTCAGCTCTGGTGTCGTTCTCAAGCGATGGGGCCTTTTGTGTCACCCAACCTGTTATTTGTTTGCCATATAAATATAATCTGACGGTGACATTCGAGACCTAGCCTCAAACTACCTCCCATCAGCCACGAGCCAGTGCCAATCCATCCCAGGCTCCGACTCGCTTTCCTCGCCCCTACATACGCATCTGGCCCAGGTTCTACCCTCGCGTCCCCACGCCCCTCCTCCCGTTCCTCCCTGAGCAGATACCTCCCTGCTTGTACTCGTTTCTCGTTCATCCCTGCATCACCATGGCCACTTTGAGTCCCAGAGTCAACAACAGACACGGCCACTCCAATAGTATAGGCAGCTTGACCGGCGGCATCGACAACGGTGCCGGGGGCATCTTGGCCCCCAGTCTATCTCACCAATCCGTGCACAGCGAGACCCGTCAAAGGCGTTCATCCTCGATCATCCAGCACTTGGAACCCGACAACTTGGAAACCAAGATCGACCAGTCGTTGAACCCCAATGTCAACGCCAATTGGGTCCATTTCAAGGGTGCCTGGATCATACACATCGTCTTGATTTTGTTATTGAAGATCTTCCTCAACTTTATCAACGTCTTGGACAACAACTGGAACTGGACCCTCACCAACTTGACCTACAACATAGGCTCCTACATCATGTTTCACCAGGTCAAAGGTACCCCCTTCGAGTTTAATTCGGGTGCCTACGACAAGCTTACAATGTGGGAACAGATCGACAACGGCGACCAGTACACCCCCACCAAGAAGTTCTTGATGTTGGTGCCTATTGCCTTGTTCTTGATCAGCACCCACTACTCCAACTACGACTTGAATTTGTTTATTTTGAACGGGGTCAGTTGTTTGTGCGTCGTGGTTCCAAAGTTGGCATTTGCCCACAGATTGAGAGTGACTTTGTATTAACTCGAATTTAATCGATAATTTATGAGGATGTAGTAATAAACACAAAATTTAATATGACCGCATCGTGTACAATTAATGTCTACTAATATTAGTGTTGTAGCACCAACAGTATTACCAATTTTGCCCGCACAAAAGGCCCTGCTAATCTGATCTGGAGGAGTCATCCTCCCTCAGGCGGGTCACCTGATGCCAGCCTAACTACTAGCATCACATGACCGCTGACTCCATCCGATGGTGTCCTAGCAAGATCTGCCTTGACTGGTCCTTCGAGATGAACGCGCACGTGAAATTACTGACTCTGAACCATCCCCTCAGTCTCCTTCCGCCCTGCTTACGTAAACGGCCCCCACGACTCCGTACTAAATTACTGGCTGACTCCGACAATTATCAAACCCCAGCATCAATTTCTATATAAAGTGCGCTGCTGCTCAACCCTTCCCCCCATCCTCCCCACCCATCCAAACATGCCTTACGCTTTATCCGAATCCCACAAGAAATTGGTTGAAGGTCACCTTCAAGAAACCGACCCAGAAGTTGATCAAATCATCAAGGATGAAATCCACAGACAGAAACACTCAATTGTGTTGATTGCTTCTGAAAATTTCACTACAACTGCTGTTTTCGATGCTTTGGGAACCCCCATGTGTAACAAGTACTCCGAGGGTTACCCTGGTGCTCGTTACTACGGTGGTAACGAACACATTGACCGTATTGAATTGTTGTGTCAAGACAGAGCCCTCAAGGCCTTCAACGTGACCCCAGACCGTTGGGGTGTCAATGTTCAAACCTTGAGTGGTTCCCCAGCCAACTTGCAAGTCTACCAAGCCATCATGAAGCCCCATGAACGTTTGATGGGTTTGGACTTACCCCACGGTGGTCACTTGTCCCACGGTTACCAAACTGACTCCAGAAAGATCTCAGCTGTTTCCACCTATTTCGAAACCATGCCTTACAGAGTCAACTTGGACACTGGTTTGATTGACTACGACATGTTGGAAAAGACTGCCATCTTGTACAGACCAAAGGTTTTGGTTGCTGGTACTTCTGCCTACTGTCGTTTGATTGACTACCAAAGAATGAGAGAAATCGCTGACAAGGTCGGTGCTTACTTGGTGGTTGACATGGCTCACATCTCTGGTTTGGTTGCCGCTGGTGTCATCCCATCCCCATTCGAGTTTGCTGACATTGTCACCACCACCACCCACAAGTCTTTAAGAGGTCCAAGAGGTGCCATGATCTTCTTCAGAAGAGGTGTCAGATCCGTCAACCCAAAGACTGGCCAAGAAATCCTTTACGACTTGGAAAACCCAATCAACTTCTCCGTCTTCCCAGGTCACCAAGGTGGTCCACACAACCACACCATCGCTGCTTTGGCCACTGCTTTGAAGCAAGCCGCTACCCCAGAATTCAAGCAATACCAAGAACAGGTTTTGAAGAATGCTAAGGTTTTGGAAACCGAGTTCATCAACAAGGGCTACAAGTTGGTTTCCGATGGTACCGACTCTCACATGGTTTTGGTTTCCTTGAAGGACAAGCAAATCGATGGTGCCAGAGTTGAAACTATCTGTGAAAAGATCAACATCGCTTTGAACAAGAACTCTATTCCAGGTGACAAGTCTGCATTGGTCCCAGGTGGTGTTAGAATTGGTGCTCCTGCCATGACCTCTAGAGGTTTGGGTGAGGAAGACTTCAAGAAAATCGTTGAGTACATCGACTTTGCTGTCAACTACGCCAAGGAAATCCAAGCTAACTTGCCAAAGGATGCCAACAAGTTGAAGGACTTCAAGCATAAAGTCTTGAACGGCGAAGACGACAAGTTGAAGGCTGCCAAGGAAGAAATCTCCCAATGGGCTGGTGAGTTCCCCTTATCTGTTTAAGATAAAAATCGAAAAAAATCATAATTCATTTCTTACTGAAAGACTCCTCTTGAAGTGTTCAACCCTTCATTATAATCTTTATTTGGGTTTATTATATTCAACATAATAAAATTTAGTAATAACAAATGTAGTAATTGGCAAATCCGTGAAACAGGGCTTTCTCGTTGCAGAATTCCGAAGCCTTGGCATAAACATTTTCCTCCATTTCGCTTTCTAGTATCATATTCCGCTCCTAAGTTTCGGGAAAATGCCCTTCCGATGAACCCTTCAAATATAATAATTTCCCCAAACAAGCCACTAAATAAGGTTTGAAAGACTAGTCGAAGGAGATTATTTTTCATCGTTCTTTCTAATCGCTTATTTGTCCGAGATTACCTGAGGGTGCATTCCGAAGCCTCTTTCAGCATTTTTAGGTATAACAAAACTTTTTCAATCGTTAATGTGGGGTATACAAGTAGATATTAATTATTGTTATATTAGGTATAAGCTATAGAGTGGGGTAATTGTACAAGCCTCAAGCTCGCTAGGCTGTGTGTTTAAACTTCGGTTGGTTTGTTGTTGGGTTCTCCAATCAATGGACCTTCATTGGACTCCTTGGCATCGTTAGTGGAGCTGCTAGAAGGATTTTCGTTAGTGTCAAATTTCTCCTTTTCGAAATCGTCGTCGTAGATACCCAATTGGTTACCTTGGTCTTCGATATCCTTGATGGACAATTTAGGCATAGTAGCAGCGACTCTCCAAGGTTGTCTACCATCGATGTGAGCCTTAGCGAAAATGATGTCAATTTCTTCCAAAGATCTACCAGCAGTTTCTGGGTAGAAGAAGAAAATAACAGGAATAAAGGCGTAGTTGACAGCAGCAAAGAACAAGTAGGCACCCCATCTGGCGTTAGCAATGAAAACTGGGGTGAACATAACAACAGCGAAGTTACAGATCCAGTTGGTACAGGTGGAGATAGCTGAAGCAATGGTTCTGGTTCTCATAGGGTTAATTTCAGGTGGGTAGATCCATGGCAATGGCAAGATGGTGAAGGCAAAGAAGACAATGAACAAGAAGATACCGACAGCGGCACCCTTAGCATTGTTCTTAGTGTTGTCAATCAAACAAGCAAAAGTGATGGTGAAAGAAATACCTTGACCAGTGGCACCAATCAAGAACAAGTTTCTTCTACCTAAAGTGTCAATCAAGAAGAAAGATGGAATGGTAGCAAGGGCATAGATGGTAGCGAATACACCACCCAAAATCAAAGACAATCTTCTTTCTAAACCGATAGTTTCTTCGAACAAGACAGTAGAATAGTAAATAGCGGCGTTACAACCAGTGAATTGTTGGAAAAATTGGGATGATGAACCGATAAGAATTCTTTGGAAGTGTTGAGACTTACCTCCAGAGAAAACATCCTTGATAGAAAGTTGAACTCTGGCGAATCTGTTAACGGCATCTTGAATGACGGTGGCTTCAGCAATGATTTCATCATCTTCTGGAGCCAAGTCCTTCAAAGCAGCCAAAATCAAGAAAGCTTCTGGCTTTCTGTCGTGGGCAATCAACCATCTTGGGGATTCTGGCAACTTCAAGATACCAATAAGCAAGAACAAGGCGAACAAGATTTGAACGGCAACAGGTAATCTCCATGAAACAGAACTGTCGACGTAAGACAAACCAAAGTCCAACCAGTAAGCAATAAAGGTACCGACAGCAACAACGGCACCTTCCATGTTGACCAATCTACCTCTGTTTTCAGCTCTGGACATTTCGGATTGCCACACTGGGATAGTAGCGGTATTCATACCATTACCAATACCAGTAATAACTCTTCCGACAACGAACTGACCTAATGGCCAGTGTGGCTTGACTGGAGCAACAGAAATAATGGTACCAAGAATGATAATCAAAGCACCAACAATAATTAATGGTCTTCTACCGATCTTGTCACCTCTGAACAAGGCAAACAAGGCACCGAAGAAACAACCTAATTCGTAACATGAGGTGACACCACCTTGAATGGTACTGTGACCCTTGGTGGCTGGGAACTCATCGTTGAACTGGGGAGCGGTAATCAAACCGGACATCAAACCTTGATCATAACCGAATAATGAGAAACCGGTAACTGCAGTAAGAGTAATGTAAACTCTTAACTTTCTGCCTCTGAGCCCAGCAGTATGGGTTCTGTCTGTAAGCCAATCAAATGCACCCATTGTAGTGTGTTAAATCTAGCGTGGGGATAATGTAATCAGGTCTATACTAGAAAGAAGCATACAATGTGATAGGATTGACCGATATTTATACTTTTGCATCCTAAGATGTGAAGACACCCCCAAACGCAACCGGATGTCACAAAGTATGATGAGAAAACGTCAGTGCAGCAAACACCATGCGGGGTCTCAAATATCCAGCATAAATAAAAAATATTATGAATTTCTTTAACCAGCAGAGAAAAATTCCGACACTACCTCCCTGGAACCATCTGCGCCATACCGACCTGTCCCAAACGGGCTAATAAACACAAATATCTGTATGGTTACGTACAATAGCTATGAGCCCTGCTGCGCATCTCGACTTTCTTGATACAATTATGCTGGTAAATCCGTGGTTGGAGAAAGCCAAGACCCGGTATGCAACAAGCGGAACCGCCGTTAAGTGATGTCTTCAACCACACGCTAATTACATATCACGTGAGGGATTGACCAACGATGGTTGCTATCACTCTATCTCTCGGCGTAGTAATTAATCCCTCTCCTCGCAGGAGCTAGAGAAGCCTCTGTGCCACAAATCTCCCCATACCTAGGCTTTCCCCAGACATTGATACGAGTCCGAGGCTCAGAGGCCATTTTCAAGGCACATAACTTGACAAAGAGGGTCCAACTGCTCCATGCAAGTACCGCCACGCAGTTTTTTGTGGTTAGCTGCACCGGCCGGGTGGCCGGAGGAGGTCTCCGGATGGACCCGAGCACCAGCGCAAGCACCACAGATCTCTCCCTCAGATACTTGAAGCCCAGACGTCATCTAGCAGCAGTAATAATAGCCACCAGGTAGGGCTGCTATCGTCTCCACCAACTACGAGATCCTTGGTGTGAGACATTGCTAGCAGAATGACCTCGGTCGTGACACCCAGCAGGCAGGACAGCCCGCAGAGAAAATACGCCTAATGTCAACCTTATTCGGAGCTCGGCAACTTTCAAAAATGTCCCCTCAAGACGATGTGGGGCTAATTTGGACATGGGCTGGTGGGGTCAAGAAAATACCACCGGGAGGCGAGCCTGGGTGGCATGTGAGTAAATAGGATGCTCCCTGCGTTATTGGCCCGCACGGTGGGATTCACTACGCCGGCTCAAACACTATTGGGGAAGCCCAGGGTTGTTGACCGTCAAAGGCGCTCTGGGGACTGCGACGAACGGCGTGAGACGAATGGCGCGTGGGGCCCGGGTTCGTGACTAGCCGTCTAGAATGCAGTTCTAAACCAAGACACACTGGTATAACTAAATCTGATTGACGGTTTAGCAAACGCGACAGAAAAGACGGAAAAAAAATGTCAGCCACAAAATCGCATAAGCATCAGTCATAGTGCAAAGCCTATTAGTAATTTTGGCCCTTCCAATTGTAATTCCGATCGTCCCCTCGACGTCCCCACAGTACTACGGATCTGTGCAGTGTCCGCAGGGGTCGTCTGAGCACCCACCGGTTGGGTTGGTTCCTGACGGATTTGTCGCTACCGGACAATCACACAGGAGCGATGGCCCCGAGATCGGCGCCAAGGCGCGGTCAGCCCATAATCTAAATAGTTGTAAAGCACCAACCACAAAAAGCAAAGAATAAACCAGGATAATACTGGTTTAGGAAGTCTAGAATTGTAGTCAAGTACCGGCTGGTGGGTGGCAGTTGCATTACATCATAAGTGAGGCACCCACGGCCTTCTGACACAAAGCCTTGTGTCGCAGTTCATCTCCGAGGATGTCACCACTACGTCATAACCTTAATGACCTACGTCCCATTTTATATATACCCTATTCATTACTCATAATGTTCTCATCGTCTCGTACATATCCAAGATGCTGAAGTAGTGACCAACAATACCCCCGACAACACACATGTGCCAGATGTTGTGGCTGGACAAGAAGTAGTCCACCCACCACAACGAGAAAAAGTCCCGGTAGTACGGAGTCATGGTGGGCTTGTCGGGGAAGTGCTTCTTGATGATGGCCTTCAACTTGTCCTCATCGTTGGCAGTTTCTTCCTCTAATTCGTGCTCGATTTCCTCTTTCTCTTCCTCTCCGCTCCGGTCCACCCGGTCCATGATGACGTCCTTGGTGCTGTAGTCTCCGTGGCAGTTGTGCTCATCGTCAATGATCACATCATATCTCCACCTTTCTGGGATCAAGCCTCCATAAAACACAACACCAAGCCAGTACCACACGAAACTCTTGTACACCATGGGCAAAAAGAACATGATAGTGACCACGAACCCCTCGTAGAACCACATACAAAAGGAAGTAGTCACACCCATGAACGCAAGACCCATGAAGAATCCGATTCTGAGCGAACGACACTCTGGTTTGTCGAAGTAAGGTGACCAATTAAATAAAAACCCAGTCGACCCACACAAGGCAGAAAATAGCACATAAAAGTTAAGCAACATTGGGTGCTTGTAAAGAGAACAATATTCCGCGGAGATCACTGAGAAGGTGATCAACACAGTTATTCCGGTGTAATCAACACACGCACATCTTGATCTAGTGGTGAAATTGGCAAAACATGAGTATGTGTGCCATACGACAGAACTCACCAAACAATTCATGGCAGCCGCAAAGAAGCCATAAATCGCCAAATTATCTCTGGTGGTATTCTGGGCATAGACTTGAGTGCTTGGGTAATGGACGAGCAATAAATACAATAATGCAAAGAACCCAAGTAGATGAGTCCAAATATTCATGGTTTCATTGTGGTTAAAATGAAAGATGGAGCGAAGCATGGTCGAATGCTTCAATGAGAAACGGTACCCCTGGATAATGTACTTGTTCTCTCTCCAACTAAGAGGAAGTTCGTAGTAATGCAAATATGAGTGTTCGGCATTCTTTAATGCCTTGTTGAAATTAAAGTAGCTCAAATGGTTGAACGCAGCATCTTGGTCGTAATCTTCCTTGGCAGCTGGTTTGTTATCCTTGATGAAATCATCGATCTGGAGTAGCTTCTCGTCGAAGTATTGTATGGTTGTTATGATTTTCTGGGACAAAAGCTCCTCCTTGTGGGACTCTTCCTTTTGGGTGGTGGTGGTTTCGGTCACCTCGTGGTCGAGATCGGATAACGACGAATTGAATAAATAGTTGTATTGGTCGTCTAAGGTATTGTACAAGTAGTCCAAGTTTGTAATCGAAGTTTGTAGCACTGAATCCTTGATCACATTCAATCTCTGGTGTATTTGGTTGAGGTAATTGACGGAAAATGATTTGATAGAACTCAAGCTAGCACTGCTGTTGCTTCTGGATCTGGAGTATCCTACATCCAAGCTGGCAGAGCTGGTGGTCTTCTCGGTAAACTCGTCCGAACGGAACTTAAAAAATTGTTCAAAGTTGTCCAACCTTGACTCTATCGAAGAGAGAAAATGATCCAATTTCTCCACGAGCAACTCCTCGGTTGACGACTGTGAGTATGACTTTCTCGTCAGACGATGCCTTAGCCCTGCACTTGTTTCTGCGCCATCGAAGGCTGAACTGTTCTCCACCATTTCCGTTCTGGTAGACATCGTGCACACTTTGAGCAAGATCTTACAACCGGATATATTTGACTTATATAATCCTCACTCACAAAAAGGGGCTCTCATTGCACGACTAATGTGGGCGATGCAACTTTCTTTTTGGTGCACGTGCACCTCCTCCCCAGCACCGGGTCCAAGCGGATATCATCGTGGACATGACGGAGGGGGCCATATGGCCCGACGATGTCTATTCCGTACATTCGGCCGATAAGCTCGTATCAAGCTATGGTATTTCATGTCAATGCTGCTAAGCGGTACTGACACTTTCTGTCTACCTGCCAGCATGTATTTCTTTTGCCCAGACCCTTGCTCATTTCTTTTCCCCACCTGTGGGTGCAAATGGCACCTGCCATTCTAGCAATAAGCGTGGAAGTGGAGAATATTTCCCCAGATTTTGTGATAAACATTGAACGTGGATACAATACTTGGGTGCGTAGCATAATGCCATTCTGTGGGCAGCAATCGTAAACGTTCACCAGACACGGGTAGGTCTTGCTGTGGATTCCGTAACTTTTATTGCGGCCCGGATCCTGTAACAATGTTCGAGCAAATAAAGCTTTCTGCTTGCTCCTTTTTGGTTTAGAGTGGGGTGATAAAACGTACTCGTAGTTTCTCGAGCCATTTATCTAATCGCTGGTTAAAGTATTGTGTCCATAAGTTTGTCGATCTTTTGGATATCAGTGTCCTACGTGGATTCTCAAGTATGCTAATGTACATGTGTTACTAAATAACTCTATTGTTTTTCATGATGGTGCTTAGGCCGTTCTATGGCCTCGAACTGGTATAATGCCTTTCTAAGAGGCTTGGACATCTTTAGTCTCGAAGTGAGTTTGTTGTATTCTTCTCTGATCTTGTTGTCGGTATCAAGCTCCATGTTGTCTTTGCCCATGGAATCAAAGAGGTAGTTTCTTTCAGCTTCATGGAAGTCTGTGAGCTCTTTAGTAAGATAGTACTCAGTCAAAATGTCGTCGTTCTCCAAGAGTTTCAAGATCTGGTCGTCAGTTATACCTTGAATGGCTCCCAATAACTTGTCCTTGTCCACTTGCCCGTTACCGTTTTTGATTGCATCCAGGTCAAACACATCTTCAAAATTTGGCTTGTGAATCCACAAGTTCAACTTGTTGACAAAGTACCAGTTATTGTACTCGTATGCAGAAAGACCGTTTGAATATTCGAAAATAAGACGGTTTGTGATAGTGGATGGTACGAAAACTGGAACACCGCACATCATGCTGTATCTCAATGGAGATAATTGATCTAATTTGTAAAAATGCTTACGACGATCGTTGTAGACTTGAGCCAGGGCATCCTTGGGTGGCTTTTCGATGTCTGCCAAAGAGTTATCACGATATTCTTCTGGTGGGTTGGCTTCAGAACGACTCAACCCGGTGATATCAATGTAAATTCCTGAATCCACATCAATAAATCTGGCGTCGATATGATTAGATTGGGCCGAAATACCACGGTTATGAATGTAAGTTCCTACTTCAATCAAGAACTTACCGTAACCTTCCGTTGGATCTTCAACGACCAAGGTTTGGTTGTACTCCAAGGCTAATCTTGATAATTCAACCATTGGCATTTGAATATCAATATCCAAGTCAAATGGAAACATAAGACCATCCCAGTACCACGACAAAAGTGGACCATGCATAATCCAGGAAACAATTCCCTTTTCCTCGGCAAATCTGTTCCAGTTACGCAAAAGTCTGTCCAAAATGATATTGGTACGATGGACTAATTCTTGCTCACTCCAGCCATCACGGTCATAATTGAGGGCACCATTGAAAAATCTCCAATCATAGTGCCATCCCCATTCACGGTCCCTATTTCTATCGTCATCGACTCTGATTGTAGCCATCTTGAAGAAAGTTGGCTCGTTGGAGTCGTCATGCAAGGAACACTCCTTCAAACCATCATAATATAATTTCTCCTGCCTTGAAAGACTATCGACTCCTTTCTTTTCGTAAAATTGGATCTCGTCAGCGATGACTGGAGGAGAGAATAAATCTTCACTAAGAACCAAATCTCTTGAAGCCCGAGGGTTTTTTTGTTGTCTTAATGTTCTGTACATTCCATGCACATCTTTCTCATCCTCCAAGAATCTAGGAATAACCGCCTTCTTCAATGATTCAAATTCGGTGATATGACTGATTTGGATGATGGTTCCTGGATCAATTGATTCTGGGTCAAGCTCGTGGTTCTTGAGGTATTTTTCCACCAAGTCGGTTTGGATCAATCTATTGGTGTTTTCCTCATCGACATCAAACTCGAAAGTACCACCATCCTTGTCACCATTCAAAATAATCACCCTGTTAGGATTTGGTAAGTGGGTCATTGCGTAAGACTTGGCCTCGTAGATTCTGTAATCGTTCAAAGGACGGTCTTCGTGACTAGAGTGACTATGGATGATAAATCCTGGGAGTTGTTCTGAGGAGCTGTAGCCAAGCTTCTGGTAGTGAACCTTTTTATACTCTTGATTGTTCATACAAAAGTAAGCAGGGTCGGGGTTATTGTTGGTAACCTTTTTGATGTCGTTACATGTTAATCTCTCATCCATTGGCTTGCGCAAGTCTTCATTTAAAATCGTCAAATCCATCCAATCAGCCCAGTTGAATGGAAGCTTGGGGCGTTCCACTTTGTTCAGGTCCACTTGGATACTGCCTGCCTTAACAGTTCTGGTTCTCAAGTATTGGTGCTTAAGTTCACTTGACAAGACGGACAAAGTAAATCTGGGGTCGTAGAAAAGGTCTCTTCTGTTGACCCACGAACTGGTCAAATCGTTTCTCAAGAAATGCTTAATTTGGAGATGAATGTCGGTATTGGTCAACTCTGTATGGGCGAGCCAGTACCTGTCTTTGTTTTCCTCCACATCCTTGAAGAGTTTAGCAAGCTTCTGTTCTAAGTTTCCACTTGAACCCTTGGCTGTGGTGGTCTTTTCTTCTTTATTTATTGATAGTAATGGAACATCTCCTGAATAATAAACGGCGAAGTATAGCGTGTTAACCACAAGGATAACCAATATCGCCAACTTAAAGGTCTTGATAGGTAGACGTGAGATTACTGGAATACCCATAGTCGGCCCTAGGTTGATACGTATACGAAAAATTGTTTGAACAGGCGACCGGTATTTCTTATATATAAGGTTACTAATCCGTGCTATTCCGCTGTACCTGACAAAAACGATGGGGATCATAATCATGGCACGAAATTGAGGTGCATATGCATGAGTCCACTCCGCATTCAAACACCATTCGGGTTTATAAGGTGGGAAGGGTAGGCGTGTCAGCTACCACACGCCTGTAGGTCTTGGTATTCCAGCTCTCAGAGGTATTACAAACCAAACCGTGGCGGCCACGGGCAATCAAATTTGGCAAAAATGGAATTTGGTTCGCCGAATAAGCCTCATATGCACCTTAAAACCCCGTTCAATTCCCGGGTCCACAACTTCCCTTGCCTACCGAGACGCTTAACACGTCAACATCGCCTGCTCAGCACATTCCACTGCAATCCTAACCCTCGACAAGAATTGTACCCTTGCAGGCGTTCCTACAATATGAGCCCAGGCAGTAGGGTTTGCTTGTTTCACTTTTCTTGTCTTCACAGTGAGCAAGTCTGCATGAAGGTGGCTATGTTTGCAAAACCCACGATAAAATTTACTTTTAAATGTATCAGGATGCTGTGACTTCTCGGTGGGTCTGAACGGAACGGCCCAACAGCAGCAACCTTCTTACTAATGGGATCGTCCTACACCTTGCTGGTTCGCGTTTTGTTTGCTCTTGGCACGCATACGTTGAGGAATCTCGAATCTAATTTTTAATGCAACTCGCCGGGCTCACAATCTCCGTGGCCTATTGAGGTTAACGGTTGTGTGACCTTCGTGATTTTGCCAAAATTGGACTTCTACAAAACTGCACTGAGTCGCGCGGCTTCTATCGAGTCCTCGAAACACGAACTCACAGTCCTTCTTCTTCTTGGGTATGTGACAGAGGGAGTTCGAACTTCTGGGCAACTGCTGCACAATTTCCTTATTGGGCTTGCGCCCTCACGACAACTGTTGGGCGTACACGACTCTTCGGGCGGAGATAGCGCAAACCCGTCAAGGATTTGCAGTTTTATCTAAAAGTCACGGAAAGAAATTTCTTTCGCAGCTTGTCACGCATTAGTGTGACACAAATAACAGTCCATGGCTGACATTAATCCTAGATGTGTATGAAAACTCGCTTAGTATGAAGGTGCGAGATTACTTCTTTATTGCGTTTTCTCTATGGTCGAGCAGGAATCTTGGCCAAAACGAGCTGGTATTGCGTTTTCGTAATTATTTAGCATATTTCCGAAAAAATAGACTCAATTACAATTTTTAGGAAGCAAAAGAATAATGGCCTAAGTTTAGTACCGGGGCAAGTCGCTTGGCAATGTACCACCAAACATGTCAATGTAGTTCTATATTGTGGTTGCACTTTTGTATCTACTAGATGTTAAGGTGGAGAATAAATGGGGAAATTCTGATTTCTGAGATGTATGTCAATCAGCAAATTCAATTCATAAAAGGGATGCTACACTAATAGGGCAAAGTTGCATTAGTGAAGAAGATAGAGCCAGAAAATCCGAGTGAGAGGTAAACCATGAGGTATGGTTATGCCAGATTTCTTCACGCATATTGATTCGGATTCAATCACTGTACCGATTTAACAAGTTCTTGAGAGAGTTGTACATATAATATCTCCAACATAGAACATTACACTATTTATCAATCGCTACCAAAATGTCAATTCATTTTTTGCTAATGGGAATTACATCATGGTCTACTCTCTAGATACCCGAATGTTGTAATTTATGAAAAGATAAATTCATATATAGCAGTTCTGCTTAACGTTTTACAACTTGATTTTAAGTGTATGGCGTAGGAGGTAGCGCCTTTGTCTCGCAAGCAAAGATGAGTCTAATCAATGGAAATGTAAATATGAGTAGTTTCTTTTAAATGTCTACCAATGTCTATTAGATTATACTTAACTGTGCCGATTGAATCAACATTATAGAAAGTGTTCGAACTGGAAATCAATTATTCTTCAAGCCTGTTGGAATGTTCTTTAGTAAAGTACTAAGCTCCGGCTTGAGTGCTATATCTAATTTGTCAAGTTCACTAGTACCAAAGTTTTCCAGTTCACGCTCCAAATTAAACAACTTCCGCTTCAATTCCCTTTCTAAAGTATCAGCACCTTCGTTAAAATCATCTTCAACATGTAAATAGTTGAAATCGTCCATGTCTGCACTACCGACACCAAATTGTGTGACGTCAACTTCCTCGAACATTTCGTTGTTAACATCATCCCATTGCTTGTCAAGCTTACCCTGGGTGGATTCCATGGATTCTTTGGATTTCTTTTCCATGTACTCTTTGAATAACCTTCTTTTCTCAACAACCTTATTTGCCCGGCTATTCAATTGTTTCATGAATAATTCATTATCTATTCCTAACCCCTGAGTGCTCATGTGAAGTTTTACTTTCGATTCATCCTCGAATTTGAGTCGAATTAGTACCAAGAATTCTTCAATCCATTTGAAAAGCTTCAAGAATATATGTTGGTCATCTTTAATGTACACGTTATGAATGAAATTCCACATTACATCTTCATGATTGTCCAACAAACTTTTTAATTTATCAAAAATTTCAATTGCACTCAAAAAGTACATCTCTTCTTTGCTAAGTTGGGTCAATTCCTTCAATAAATCATCCATAAACTTTTGAAAACTTTTGAAAACAATATGCATATCACTTTTAGCAAACACTTTCATCAATGGTTGATAAAATATTGTCAAGAAATTCTTGATCAATTTTGTCAACTCTGGTTCCTGCCAAAGCTGTTTGAACAAGTCTTTATCCTTGCTTCTAATTTGGATTTGCCAGTACTGCTTGAGATTTAAGTACAATTCTGATTTATCCAAGTCTTTCTCCTTCTCCAATGAGTCGTATGCTTTAAATGATTCTATGACTTGAGATAATAAACTCGTACTTTCAGAATCATTAAATACGGGCAGAATGAGAGATGTCTTCAAAATTGTAATTAACAAGTCCTCGCCATTTTCAATAGATTCACCCTTAATTTCAGACGTGATATGATACGGCGAGTCCACGTATGACCTGATTTTTTCAAGAAAAGGATCGAACTTAGGATCTATCTTCTCGTCTTTAAGTATAGTAAGTTCTTTTTCAAAGCCACTCAAGTCTTCGTTTAAAAGCATGATGAATATCATAGATAACAAATTTCTAGCACCACCAGACTTTTGTTGGAGTTCAGCTTCTTCGTTAGAGCTACCCCAACTCGGGAAAGAGAACTTAGGAAAGTTTAACAATAACAAGTCAATGATCCTTGATGTTATTTTCACTGGATTGGTAAATCTTAAAATTCCATACACCATTGAGTACGGAAAGATAAAATGAAACTTTTTGCACTTATTTAACCATTCATTTGAATTATCCTGTCCCAAAAATATCTGGTATAAAGTGGCTGCTACCTCTAATTTACACCACTCGTTGAATGTTCTCAACAAGGGAGACATTTCTTTGATATTTCCTGACTTACCGATGTCATTAAATATTTCCGTGATTGTTCCTGGCTCTTTGATAAGATTTTCTTTGAATGAATCGAAATCTTTGGTAAGTTGCATAATCACTTTAGTTATCTGTTGTTGGAACTCAAGTTGTGTTTTTAAGATATGCTGCTCGTGCTCCACTCTGATTGCATAGTCTGCTAAGTCCTGGGAGGTCAAATCTTGAAAGCTTTTATGAGAGTCAGCCATAAATCTTTTGAACTCTGGTGAATGGACAATCTCTGGAAACTTAGTTAAGGAAATCAAATAGCCACGCAATGACATTCTTAACTTTTCTCTAGCTAACTTGCTGTCAGAGTCACCACTCAGTAATGAAAACTCCGATTTCTCCGACTCAAAGGATCTTCTGTTGATATTGAGTTCTTCAGTCAAACCCTTGTCGTGCTTTGCTTTGTGAGGCAATACAAGCCCTTCAGTGCTGATTATTCCAGGGAAAGCCTTTTTTAGTTGCTTCTCAAAGTTTTTGAATTCATGGTATGGTCGGGAAATATAATGCCTTTCATAACTATACTTTCTATTGGTAATTTCTGTCCGAGTAACAATTTGGATGACGAATTCATAATGATGTCTAGGTTTTTCGGGAGCCGAAACAAATCGTTTGAATGGATTCCACGAAGCATTAACGCTGCTTTCGCTACTATCACTACTATTTCCAGTAGTGGTGTTTGGCTTATTGATATGTCTTACTGCCACAATGTTAATGGCAGTATCATTACTGAAGGACATATTGTGAAAATCGTCAAGATCAGATGAGATAATTGGAGTATTGTCATTCTTACCCGTTATCTTGTCCAATTTTCCAGTGTCTGAAGCTTTCAAATGGCTCTCTTTCAAGTAAGTTAAGTCTTGCTCGGTAATGATGACTGAATTATAGAAGAGCAAAAGCCCAGAAAGGAACTTCTTGTTGACTTGTCTTCTCTTGGTAACATTTTCTTGTCTGTCCTCTGAGCTACTTATGTGTTTCTGGTTAAAGCTCTCCACGAAAGGTTGCACTGTATCCTGCCAAAAAGCAAGTTGGTCCTCCTTGGAGTTATTCGTAATGAAAGGAAAGGTGGTCAAGAAGTTGTTGAAAAAAAAGGATAGCAATGGCAATTGATCTTTTGCATCTTTCCCGTTTTCTGACTTGAATGGGAAGCCTAGATATTCACAAAAATCAGGTCTATTCAATTGGTGGAGTTCATCTGATAATCGATTCTCTAGGATATACTTCTTCAAAAAATGTTCTTGAGTCGGTGTCAATAGCTTTATGATGTCTTCATCATGATTCTGGGCTCTACTCATAACGAAACTTCAGAATACACGTAATTGATCTAACGAATTACTATTGCTACTAGGCAGCTTGGCCTGACGATCTAACCTGTAAATTATCAGTCCACAACATGTAACCCCCTCTGGCGACATTAGTTGCCATCGTATCTATGTCGCGACACTCACGTGCGCTCATCTAGCGACACCTCCTCGATGATCTTCTCACAAAATTTTTCTACTACTTCACTCTGGTCCTCTTTTTCTTCCAGTACTTGATTTGGTCACAACTTCAGTCAATACTGATATAACACAATGGGTACCCAGAAGAAAGAAAAGCAAAGAAGAGTTAGGGAGAATGACACCAGAGATGGTAATCTCCGTGTCAAGGGAGAGAATTTCTACCGTGATGCCAAAAAGGTCAAGCATTTGAATATGTACAAGGGTGGTAGAGCTATTCGTAATGCTAAGGGTGAAATCCTTAAGGCTGCTGTTTTACAAAGCACTGACACTCCCAATGCTAGAGTTGATCCCAACAGAAAGTGGTTCGGCAACACCAGAGTTATTGCACAAGATGCTTTGGCTCACTTTAGAACTGCTATGGGTGAAAAAAAGAATGACACATACCAAGTCTTATTAAGAAGAAACAAGTTGCCAATGTCTTTGTTGGACGAGAAAGACCACACTGAATCCCCAACTGCTAAGATTACCGAGGTCGAATCTTATTCTCTGACTTTCGGACCTAAGCAACAACGTAAGAAGCCAAGAGTTGCTGCATCTTCGTTGGAAGACTTGGCCCAACTTACCGAAGCTGACTCTACCGCTTTCCAGGAAAAGCAGGAGTTGGACTCCACTTTGGGTTTGATGGGTGGCTCCATTTTGGATAAGGACGATTACACCCAAGAAGCCAAGGAAGCTATTTTCCACAAGGGTCAATCCAAGAGAATTTGGAACGAGTTGTACAAAGTCATCGACTCTTCTGATGTTGTGATACACGTTTTGGATGCTAGAGACCCATTGGGAACTAGATGTGAATCGGTTGAAAAATACATTAGAGACGAATGTCCACATAAGCACCTTATCTACGTCTTGAACAAGTGTGATTTGGTCCCCACCTGGGTTGCAGTACGTATAATACTAACATTGAAAGATGGATTGAATGGTTTTCTTTTTTCTCTCATACCAAAGATCTTTGTCAGGGTGGTACTCTTGATCGATCACTAGATCGATTATCTTCACATTATTGCCTGTTACATCTTTGGAAGAATAATGCTACTCGCTCGTGTTCCTGATTTATCAGTTCATTAACCGTTTTGGTTAATGATTTGTTCACACCGGTTGATAGTTTTTATCGACCATTTTAGAGTAGTATCGGGATCTTCTTGAGTTGAAACATTTCTTCTAGGCTAGTCCAAGAATTCGTGATTTGTTTCGTAGTATAGAACCCGACATTTCAATTCATTTTCTCTCTGATCTTCCAATAGCATTCCATTCATCTTTCAAGTGTTCCAAATTGAGTTTTACTAACATTAACAGGCCGCATGGGTTAAACATTTGTCTAAGAACTATCCAACTTTAGCATTTCACGCCTCGATTACCAACTCATTCGGTAAAGGTTCTTTAATTCAATTGTTGAGACAATTCTCATCTTTGCATTCAGATCGTCAACAAATCTCTGTTGGATTCATAGGATACCCAAACACTGGTAAGTCCTCCATTATTAACACTTTGCGTAGAAAGAAAGTGTGTCAAGTTGCACCAATTCCAGGTGAGACCAAGGTCTGGCAATATATCACTTTAATGAAGAAAATTTTCTTGATTGATTGCCCAGGTATAGTGCCACCTTCCTCCAAAGATACCGAATCTGATATCTTATTCAGAGGTGTTGTTAGAGTTGAGCATGTTTCTAATCCTGAACAATATATCCCGGATATGTTGCGCAAGTGTGAAAGAAAGCATTTGGAAAGAACTTACGAAATTAAGGGCTGGTCTAAATTCGAGGAGGACCCATCATTATTAGAGCAGGCAAGTAACGAGTTCATCGAGATCATTGCAAGAAAACAGGGAAGATTGTTGAAGGGTGGAGAACCTGATGAAAGTGGTGTTTCCAAGCAAATTTTGAATGACTTCAACAGAGGTAAGATCCCTTGGTTTACTGCTCCTCCAAAGGATGAAGAGGAAAGATCCGGCGAAGATAAAAAGTCTGGTTATAAGAGGAAGAGAGCTGAGAAGGAGGAGAAGGACGATGCCAAGAGAGCAAAGGTTGAAGAAGCCTACGCTAACGAAGCAGAGGAGAGTCCTTTAGCAAACGAGGAGGCTTAATTTATAGTTCTTTTGGTGTATAATTATTTATTCAGTATATTTGGTTAACGGCTTAGCCTGATGACAAAAGATGTCCGCTTTTGCTCATTGATTTTGTAAGTTGGCCTCTCGTGTTTGTTGCTAGGATTGTGCTCGGAGTTGGCACAATCTCTTAATGAACTCCAACATAGTCGATGATATGCAAAGCTGTAGCTATGGCTATAACCGATTTGATTTACTTATAGTTTACAGGTTACAATAGTTAGCTCAATCTTACATGAACTATGAATATACAAATATGAACAAAATCTAAAGTACAATTACCATAATGGGTATGTGCCTATAATGGTCTTCCAAAAATCACAGCACCTTTGGAATTTCCACCAGGAGTTGAAGGAGCAGGAACCCCGCCACTTTGTGCCTCAGAGGCACTACTGCCAAGCGAGTTTCCCTCACCACTCAAGTTTCCTAAACCCCAGATGAAACCCCTGAATCTAGTTAATAACGAAAAATCAAAGGAAGATTGTCTCAAGAGTTCTTTGAAACATTCCATGGATAAATAAGCATGCAAAGTAGACGTCATTTGTTGTTGATGCTGGAACTGGGATGTGAAGTGCTGACGGATTGCTGGAGAAATTGGCAACAAATGCAATTCTTCAGCCAAGTATTCTATAGATGGCTTATTGCTCGAGTTATTTGAATCTGATGAGTCAGCACTTGCTTTGTTGAGCAACTTGTTTCCTATGTATTTCAAATCAAAGAAGTTTGGGAAAAATTTAGAGCAGTACCAGAAAAAGTCCTTCTCATCAACTGGAAGGCTATCATTTGCTAGTAAGCTTATAAAGAATCCCAAATCATAACCAGCATGATAACTAATCCAATTAATTGAATTGTCCAAAAGTAAACCACTTTCAATGATAAGTTCAGCGAAGGAGAAATGTGGTATACCTTGAGTCATATGCATTTGGAAATTGATTTGTGAAGTTTGAGCCAACATGTTCAAGTGTTCCTCATTGTACATTTCTGTAGTCAAATCATACAAAAAATTGAATTGCCACACGATGCTGCTGCTTATTTCATTATTTTTAATCTTAGTAACACAGAAAGAAAGTTGAATCAAGTTTAACAAGTCCGAATTAGCCCTAAGTGTTTGAAAATGATAGTCAGACGATGATTTGAAAGTTCCCACTGGTCTTGCAACAATCCCCGGAATCTCTTGATGAATTGCAATAAAGATTTTGGAAGTTTTGTCATTAATGAAAGTACGTAAGGTATGGAATTCGTGTTCCAAGTTTTGAGCCCACACTTCTTTAATTATAGGAACTTGAGCTTGGATATGTTGCGATGATAATTGTGCTTGCTGTGCTTGAAGTTGTTGGAAATGAAGACTCTGCTGCTGCTGTGGTTGCTGTTGCAGGGGTTGCAGGGGTTGCTGCTGCTGCTGTTGCAGCGACTGTTGCTGTTGTTGTTGCAGCTGTTGTTGTTGCATTTGTAATTGTAAAACTGGATTCACTGGTTGATTTGATGATGCGATGGCGCCACTCGATGCGTTGTTCTGGCCAGATGCTGCTCCGCCATTCAATGCAGCCAAAAGCGGGTTAGTCGATTGGCCACCTAAAGATCCCAATTGTTGCTGTTGCTGTTGTTGCTGTTGTTGGAGGTGGTGGTTCAAAAGCTGCTGTCTTTGTAATTGATGCTGTTGGAGCTGCAACTGAGAAATCTGTGGAGACTGGCCACTAGAATTGATCTGCTGCTGCAGCGCCTGTTGCTGCAAGTATTGGAGATGTGGATTTACGTTCATCTAGTCCTTGATCTATTATCAAATTGCTTGGTGATTCTCTTTGATTAATAATAACTATCACTGGCTCGATAGCTGGGGTTTATCGTGAATTAACTAGGTACTAGTCAGTCTTATTTCAGCTTGGATATCTCTTCACTTTGATCCAATTCGTCTGTATTCGACAGTAGTTTCATCCAGTGTAGGGCATGCTACATAAAAATTCGTTGGTCCTTTTTTGAGCGAGACACAATTGTGTTTCTACACGACCGCGACCATACATCTTATTACACAATTACAACATGGCTCTTGTATTATAACTGATCTCTGAAGTTTGCAGGAGTAGCATCAGTACTCTGCAAATAAATGTGGTCGCCCACCCTTCTTGGATTGAAAAGATGTTGGACTAAGAATGCAACACCAAGAGCTAAGGAGAGTGCTGCCACCACGATGTAGATAATACCCAAACTCATGTTACGGCCTCCAAAAATAGAATTTGTCGTGATAACCATACTCTTGGTACCGCCAAATATAGTCACTGGGTAGTTCATCCCGATTTGCACCTCGTAAGTTCCTGAGCTTAATGTTTCAGTGGTGTTCTTTCCGTATAATTTGAAGAAAGAAGGCAATCCTGCAGTTCTCATCCAGTTCTGCAAGAGTTCCCACTCACCTAAGTCAGGAATGTTGGACTCGTTATAACCTTGAGGAAACATTTTGTCCCAGTTTGGAGGAGGGGCGATATCATCTGGGTTGTACTTAGTTTTCTTAAATTTGTGTTTCCTATCGGAGGACCATGATATGTCCTTGGAAGGCATCTCGTATGTTTCGTTGTTGTTACCATTTTGAGCGTTCAACAAGACTGGGCTGGAGAATGTATCATTGAAGAAAGAGTTTGCAACAAGGCCACATGGGTAGATAAGCTTCTTTTCGTCGTTTATATAACGATGCAACAAAGGCTTGCAATTATCGGTCACCGAGTCTTCCGATACTGCGATACCCTTGATTTGCTCCAAGTCGTATGATTCCACGTATTTACGATGGTTCTGGAAAAAGTTGGTTAACTTGTAGTACAAGTATACTGGAGGCTTGATGTCCACTGGTAAGTCGAACCGGACACGGCACGTCTGCTCGCCTTCCGTATCGTTCACAAACATCCATTGGAAGCCGGGATTGGAGTTTTTGTGCTGGAAATGATAGTTCACGTACTTGCTTGGAACGTTTTCGAACTTACTATCCGAGGCTCGGTCACAATGGGAGTAGTCGATCGAAAGGGTCTGTGAATTGTAGGTGGTGTAGATAATTGCTATTCCCAAGGGAGTGAAAATGATAACCAAGAGGAAGAGCAATGGAATCACTGATTTGGGTGTCAAGATCGGTTGCCACGCTTGTAATCTTTGTTGTCTGAAGGCAGTGTTAGGTGGTTTTCTCGACTTGTGGACAGCCGATGCAGACCCATTGGCGACATCGTCGTCATCATCGTCTTCAGAGGCTCTTCTTCGCCGTAAGAAATTCATGCTGCTGTTGGATCGTGTTCTAATTTTGTTGATGGTATCACGAAACCTGAATGCGCACAGGAACTTTGGCGGAGATGGGTCATGTGACCGATCATTTGAGGCTGAGGCTACGTTCAGTACGAGGATAATTAGTATTTCTATAGGACCTTCCACTGGTGGCCAGTATATACATTGGCAGACTATTCTGGTCTACCGGTTTGCTTGGTTGCCTTTTTAGGAGGAGGAATTTTCTTTTCAACCTTACGTTTTGGATCGTTGTTGGGCTTTTCCTTTTGATCCTTGAACTTTTTGTGGTAGCTGTTGCCAGTCTTGGACTCTCTAGGCTCCAAGAAAATGGTGACCCCGTCAACCACGGTTTCCTTGGCATCGAGGGCCTTTCTTTGGGCTTCAACTGACACGAAATCACACAAGGCAATATTGGCATTAGGTCTGAAGAACTTGAGCTCACCAAACTTCTTGGAGATATGATCACGCAAAACCTTCTCGTCCAATTGCTTGCCTCCAGACTTGATTCCACGAATGTAGATTGGGAACCATTCTTCCTTCTTGAACTTGCCGTTCTGAACTGGAGCTGGAGCTGGTTTCTTGATTGGAACAACCTTGGTGACGCTTGGGGTTGGTACTGGTTTAGCAACGACCTTGGCAGCTGCTTGAGAGGCCAAGGCAGCCCAGGACAATGGTTGTGATGGAGTCTTGGAGCTGTCAGATTCGCTTTCTGGAGAGGATGCGGCCTTCTCTTCCGCGGTTTCTACATCCTTGTCCTCTTCCTTATCTTCTTCCTTTTGTTCTTCTGGCTCCTCTGTGGCAGCATCGGGTTCAGGAACTTCCTCAGACTCAACTGGTTCTTCAACTGGTTCCTCAACTGGCTCAGGGGACTTGGCCTGCTCTTCAGATTCAACAACCGGTTCAACTTCTTGACTAGGAGCTTTAGGTTCTTCCTTCTTGGCTTCTGAGGTCTGAGTAGTGCTCTTTGCCTTCAGTTCTGCGCCTGTGAATCTCAACACATCGTTGGCCACATCGAAGGTGTTGTCCTTCTTTCCTGGAACCAAAACAAAAGTTTGGGTAAATTGGTAGTAAGGAGAGTCTTCCTTGGACCATTCTCCAAACACCACAATCAAGATGTTCTTCTCAGAGGACACTTGGAACTCAGCGTCGGTGATCACAATTCTATTACTATTTTTCTTCAACTGATCGTTCTTGAATCTGTTTATGATGGCATCAGTTCCCTGGGCCTTGTGGACAGTTTCTTCGTCGTTGGATCGGGGGAAAGCACCATGGCTGAGTGAAGCATTCAGCTGGTATATCTTGTGGATGTTTTCGATCTGGGTATTGTAGAACTCGTAGTAGGAAGTAATGAATAACCATCCAATTGAAGAGGTGCGGTCTTCCAGCAAAACTGGATCAACCTTACCGTTAGAAGCTGGAGACTTGGTCATCATGCAAAATATTCGCTTCACGGATATCCAAAGTGGGGAACCCTGCCTCTCGTACTAGTATGGGGTAGGTGGTCGTTGTCGTCTCCTTGAAAAATTTTAGCCATGGCCACTATGCAGGTATCGTGGAGGATCTACGGATATAGCCAAACTCCAACCCTGACTACAGACGGCAGAGATCATATCTAATATAGTGTAGTAGGCCGTGTAATGTGTGCCAATACAGTGGTCTAGATATATTTATTTCATTGAGTGTATATTAATGCCTGGCATCAAATAATCATTGCGGTTTATCATACGTGGTAAGTAATACCCAGTTCATTGGCACTCTCTCAAGAGTTCTTCCAAGACCTTGTTTTCTGTATCAGCCTTGTTGCTAACGCCGTTGAATGACTTGATTCCCATTCTTCTTAAAACATCGATGGTCTTGTCCCTTGGGAATCCCATGTTTTCAAACTGGACAACGATGGCGTCGTCGATTCCGTATAATGCAGAGTCACTGAGCTCAGTGTTCTCGTCCTCGGTGGCGTAGATACGGGTCCAATAGGTGGCGGTCTCGTCAAAGCCGGATCTGTTGGACAAGTAGTGCTTGGCCACCTCGGCATCTTGGGGGTCGTTGGGTTCGGGGGACTGTAACAACGACTGCAACGAGATCAACGAGCTCTTCAACGTGAGGATGGGGGTCCATGCGTCTTTCAATATGTCCAAGCAAATGGCGCCTGTCACTGATGAAATGTTAGGGTGGTAGATCTTAGTGGCAAATTTCATTTGTGGTGGCTTGAAAGGGTACTCGTTGGGAATGTTGATATCCACTTGAAATACACCACCGTCGTATGGAGTACCTGGAGGTCCTTTGAAGAACCCGGTCAACTTGGTCAAATCGTTTTCGTTGTTCAACTTCAACGAAACGCCGGACTGGGTGTCCTGGCGGCACTCCTCCAATTCTTTGGCGATTCTCTTAACACGCGACATACTCGATGATACAACCAGTTATCTCTTGCTGAGTGAAAGTGTCAAAACCGTCAGATAGATTGTGGGTAATCTCTATGAAAAAAGTGGTGTATTTTGTGTCTTGTGCGTAGGTGGTCAGAGGAGTTAGAGAACTGCGTGGAAGGAAGTGGTGCGAGGTCTAGGGTCTAATGAGATCACCTCGATGCGAACAGAATGGGGTTCGTACTACTGGGAAAGATACAAGTGCTATCTTGAGACCTTCTCGGGAGACGTATTGCTCTTTCAAAGGTGACTAAGTGTCAAGTACGCCTCAGTAATGGAAACTGTATTACATTATCATACATATTATACAACTAGCTGTCACTAGTAGGGGTGGAGCCCTTGACGTTGACGGCCAAAGCCTCGAAGATACTGCGAAGCTCGGGAGTGGCTTCCTTGACAAATGGCAACTCGAAGAAACCAAAGTCGTCATTCTTCACCAACTCGGTAAACACAATGGTAAGACCCCAAGGATGTGGCTTGCTGACGATTCTTCTCTCTAACAACACTCTAGTAATCAACTCTTGGATAGTCAACTTGGCAGCAGGCGAGCCCCAGATCGAGCTGGAACTGAAAAAGTGCAAAATGATCCCAATAAACCAATGAGTGTGGCTGTTTGGATAACGCAATTGGTTGGCAATAGCATTGATCAAGTGGAACTTGAACTCCAGTGATCCATGGTTCATCAAGTCAACCAACAATGCCACCTGCGAGGATTTAGTATTAAACCCGCGAACATTGTTAGGCAAGCGATCAGCAACTGCAGAGATACCGACATGCAATACCAAAGCATTGATCAACTTCACATTGTAATGGATAATATCAACACCAAACCCGTTAACCTCCTTTGGATGGTTCAATTTAATGCCAGAGTAAATTGTTCTCATCAAAGCAGGTGCTGGAATTCTCAAGAAATTGTCAACTGGCTTCTTCAAACCAACCTTCACCAAGTCATCAACCGGTTTATAAGCGATCTTTGGCGATTCATTGATTTCAGGAAGTCTTTCGACTTTCAAGCCCTGAGTGAATGGATCTGGCACTGAAACATTAACCGGAGTGGCTGACAAGATGATGTTTCTCAATTGCACATAACCTCTTGGAACAGCAGTAACAAGTTGATAATGACACTCAACCAAAAATTGTGGGTAGTCATGAAGCAAACCAGTGAAGATTCTGTTGACAGCTTTAAAGATAACGCTAATAACATCATGATTGACATTCTTAGAGTAGACGGATTGGAATTTCAAAATAGCGGTCAACAACTTTACAACAGTAGCATATCCTTCCTCTTGTGGCAACTCAAGAAGCTTTGGTAAAAGCATACGATGAGCAACTAAAGAAACCCATGCGAAAGTGAATCCAGGATACACAATTGGTTGGAGTGAGTTGAAGACTTCTCCAATGAAGATGTAAAATTCCTTGTCCAACACCTTAGCTTCCTCGGCCACAGAAACATCGCTCCAGGTTGCCAACAATGAAGAGAAAAACCTGAAGTATGCACGTTCATTCCATGATTTGGCATTTTCATGGTCATTGGTCAAAGCTAACACAATAATACCAATGATATTCTTCAAGTAATCGATCGCTTCTTCCTTGACTTCAAATTTCAAGATAATCTTCACTATCAACATAGCCAATGTATCAACAGCCAAATAAGTTTCATGTTGGGTTCTAGTCCTAACTTCGTGTTCAGCCCCAAAAGAGGTGACAGAAATTTCAATTGCAGCTTTGAAGAAAACTTGGAAATATTCTGGATTAGTCAAAATCTCAGTTTCTAATAATCCTTGAATAAATTGATCTTGCAAGTCATCTGACTTTTCACCATGAGTTAAGAGCTTAACCCATTCAGCAAACACATAACCCAATTGGACATATAATTGATTCGTAGCGGGAAGAGTGGTGTTTTTCAACAACTCAAACAAATTATCACGGGCTAATGTAGCTTGCTTAAGATCATCATTTGAGTCACCCCCAGTGAATTTAGCTAAAGCATCTAACGTAAGTCCAAATTCAGATCTAAGGGCAATTGGACGTAACTCCTCCGATGTGAATACATTGATCAACAACCCAGCAGCAAACTTGACAACAACTGGATTGTTTGATTCAACAATCAATTTGCTAATAGAAGAATCCAATTTCGTAGATTGGACCAATTGGACTTTCAACAAAGAGAATATAACAGGCATGTTAAACTTACGCTGGTCTGAGGAATGAACAAGCCACCAAGTAACATCTTTTGCTGTTGAGGGTGAGTATTCACACAATTTGTCTAATACTACCACATAAATTTCATTACTCATAGGATTTTCGTGAGCCTGAGTAAAAAGACAATTGACAGCATATTGTGCTGCTTTCAATAACAACTCTGGATACTTCAAGGCATTACTTTGCGCGATTGACAACACCTGGGACAAAGTTGTCATGATTGGATGAGTAGGGCTAAGACTTGACAACTTGGTTTCGGAAACTTCTGACAATAACAGAATTGCCTTTTCACAGTGTTGAGTAAACGCACCGAAAAGTTGTTCAAGAGGAATCACTTCTTCAGGAACAAGAGGAATTTGTGCTGCAACAGGTGCCACAGTCTCGATTGGAGCTGGAGGCTGTTCAACCTTTACACCAGCAGCGTTAGCACCAAAATTTTCATAAATCTTCAATTGATTTGGACCAAGACCATCCGCATTCAATCCTAAAGGTTCTGGCAATCTCAATGCGTAATCAGAAGAACCTTCAGCTACGAATGGCTCATTCGAATTGTGCTGCTCTCTAGCAAGGACGTGGGTTTGCATCTTCTTATCAATTAATTCACTGATGTTATCAGACGCTATTCTGTCAACTATGTCAACACATAATCCAACATTTGCCTGAATAGCGGCATTCAATTCTGCAACAGGAAAATCGTTGCTACCTAACAATTGAAGCATTGTAGCTTCGATGGTTTCAGCCAAAAGCTTCCTTCCACTTGAAAGAACCATAATATGCGATAATTGTTGTGCCATATTTTGGTAACTCTTGCAGAACTTGGTCACATCTCTTTCAGTAGCAAAATCCTTCTTTATAAGTGCCTCAGTTGTAGTAAGAACAGCTTCCGATACTCTAGTCAAAATTGGAACTGCGCATTCTCTCACTGCTCTTGTCAAAGATGCCTGGAATGCTCTTCTCAAATTAGCATGCTGGGTGAAAACACTGTTTCCAAGCAAAGTACTGAAAGAAGTATCAAGAGATTGTTCCCCAACTTGGGCTGGCTGGCCTGGGGTTGGGCCTGGGGGATGTTGTGCTTGTTGGGCCTGTGCTTGGGCTTGGGCTTGGGCCTGTGCTTGTGCCTGTGCTTGTGCTGCCTGCGCTTGTGCTTGTGCCTGAACTTGAGACTGCAATGGCTCTTGGCCAAAGTGTTGCCTAGATGCAATTCCAGCACGAGCAGCATCCATTGGTTCGGATGTCTCTAAAGCTAATCTTGAAATATCATTAGCCAAGGTCACAGTTTCCGGATGGATACCAAACATAGCTGCTAAAGCCGTTGGGTTCGAGTTGTGCGATCTGATCAATGTAGAAGACTCTATATCTTTAATCTTCAAACCAAGAGTATTCAACAACACCTCAACCTCGAACTTCAAGTTAAGCTTCAAGTCAGCACATTCGTAAAGCTCTACCAAAACTTTAATGATTCCAAGAACCCATGGGTTTGGTGGACGGAAAATTTTGGAGTATTGAACTTGATCTAAAATCTTGCATACAAATGGAATAATTAAATGCAAAGATTTAAAGTCAAATGCCTCAACAAGTAAAAATTTCAAGGCAATCTGGTCTCTTCTCAATGGTTTATCATTGGCAAGAGTAATCTTACCAAGCCAAGCTCCCAAGTTCTTCAATTGGTTTCTTTCTGTGGAACTGTCCTTAAAATTCCTAATCAAACGCTCGACTTCTTTTAATGACACATTCAAGATGTATTCGAAGAAAATGGCGTTGTCAAAACCTTTGACCAAGTTTGCATACAAATCATGATTGTTTGGCTCCGCCTTAGCTCTGTCTGCAACTAAATAGTCTGCAAACCATGCAAAATACTTCTCAGCCAATAGCTCTTTGATTTCTGAAACCTTCAATTTATCCTCAGTCATATTGTTAACAAAGAATAACAATTTATCAGATACTGCCTCGGTTGGCTCTTCTTGTTTGAAGAAGCCAACTGTTCTATCAGTAACAGTAATAGACTGGTATCTAGGACCGGATTCGGGGATTGGAGTAATAGTCTGGCCATTACAAGGAATTCCGTTTGAAGCATCTTTAACAATTTGATACATCTTTGCATGAGCTGAAATGGAACGGCACTCCAACAAGTGTTTACAGTACATTGGGTACTCATGCAATCTGGACTTGAAATTGTACAAAGATTGTACAGCAAATTTGAATAAGTGGGAGTCTTGGGGCTGGTTACAGGATTCCCAGATGAAGTTCAACGCAACAGTCAAGGTTGTGCCTTGAATCAAGTCCTTTTCTAATAATGCACCAAATAAGAGGGAGGTAGATGCCAAGGCAGACAATGGGTACTCTGAAAAGAACTTGTACTCATCAAGTAATGAATGAATCATACATGCGAAAACGTCTTGCTTGTGTGCGTTATCACTTCCTTTCATATCAATAAGCATGTCCACAATGTCCTTGATTTCAACTTCCTTATTGTACATTTTGGAGTAGTAGGACTTCATTTCTTGCTCGACATTTGGTGGAAAGAAGTTAGAAACTTCCGTATTAAGCAAAATAGCTTCATCATGGCCATTGCCGAAGTTAATCAATCTTGGGTAAGTCGTTAACAATAATAATTGTAGATTCTTTAACTTCTCGGAGTCAACTAACCCTTTGCTCGATTTCAACTTTTCCAACAAGTAGTAAACAACAGGAATCTTCAAAGATTTATAATGTTCTGGAGGCAGTTGTACTGCTCCTGAAAGAACCTGTTGACTCTTCTCGTAGTCCTTCTGTGCCCTCTCATCCAAAGCTTCCAACAATGATGGATAAAACAAGGCCCTTTGTTGTTGATCCTTGATTTTTGCCTCAACAACAGACTTGTAATCAATATCATACAAGGAAGATTCAACAAGAAACTTAACAGCGAGCTTCAAATCCAATGTCCAAGTTCTGGCCAAAACAGCGCCAAGTAAACCAACTTTTGAGGAATAGGACGCTATCTTGAAGATGGACTCAACATTCTGTCTCAAAGCAAAATAGTCAAGTAACTTAGTGATAACCAATTGAATGTCTAATTCCTTGAACATGTTAAGAACTTCCACGAGATGCGCATTATCGCTATCCATTAACAAATTGAATAAAGTGTCAATTAAGTCACGGATAAATGGAGTCTTTTCAGTAAATGTTGAAGCGGCAACAAGTAGATATTCTGGGAATACACGATAGTCATGCTCGAAAATTTGGGTCAAGAAAAGATTGAGTTTACGTTCCGGGTCTTGCTCTTGAAGAGGAGGTTGTTCCTGCTGTTGTCTTTGGATATTGGTTATTACTTGAAGTTCCAACTTACCCACGTTTATGAATTTCAAAATGTTACGTCTTGGAGGTGCCCCAGGAGGTGGCTGAGTTGATGTTTTCTCACTGTCAAAACAATAATTTAAGTTCTTGGAGTTTGAGATATCATACCCACCTTGTTGTGGATCCATAGTATGCAAAATGTATAACAAAGTTTTACTAAACCACCAGTCGTAACTTAAGAAAATGTCTATAATTTCAACATCGTAGTCTAACGAAGACAAAAACTGGGTAATGCTTGCCATTGTCGGTTGGACATTTCTTTGGGATGACTCAAAGAGATTCTCGTGAACAATTGAGAAGACCTGGTACCATTTGATCGAGAATTTACCTTGTTGGTCCAAAGAACGTAAACATGCTTGTAATTGAGCTCCTTTAGCATTGGCTTCAGGTAAATTGTTCGAAATTGACAATCCAGACAAGCCTTGGGATCCAGAAATTAATATTTCTGACAAAATCAATGCAATGCTTTGGTCGATCTCATTTGGCTTTATCTGCAATAAACTTGGAAGCAACTTCTCTGGCAATAAGCTCTCAGGGCCTATTTCAAGTAATAAATCTTTGAATGACATATCTAATATGTTTAAGTAAAAGCGGTTTACTGGTTCAATATCTCTTCTGAAAGCCTTTAAATAGCTTAGAGTCAATAGCTTGTTGATGAATGGGAAAAATGGAGTGTTTAATATATTATCCAAAAGTAAAACCCAATTGTAACTTTTTGGAAATTGACGTTGCTTGACAATAGCTAAAACTCGGAGTGAATTGTGCTTGATAAAACTTTTTGCTCCTTCAGGGTCAGATGCTTGAAACTGAATAAGGAAAATGAAAGAAACGATTAAGTCAAAGTCGAATCTGTTAATGAAATCAGCAACGGAAACTTTCTTATTCTCAAATAATACTGATAAGTGAACAATTAGCAAGTCCAAATATTGAAGATCGTTAGCAAGATAATCAACCTCTTTTCTGAAATATTCCTCTATTAATGTGCGAGGACTGGTGGATGAAAAGTCTGTGAATCTAAGATAATTGACTAGCTTCTCAAAATAGTTATTGACAACAATAGGATTGTTTGCTTGTTTAGCTAGGATGAACTTAACTTGTTTAAAATGGGAGGTTAAATTCTTTTCCGTTAATGTGGTTAAAAGGATAGATATTTGAGTAATGACAACCTTGGTTAATTCTAAATCCTCAATTTGGTAGTCTGATTCTTGTTCTGTGGCTGCTTGTGGCTCAATTTGACTAGCTAATACTTCTGGGGATACGATTGATAGTTCAGGTGCTTCTTGGCCCTTTGGGCTATTACTGGCTGATGAAGACACGATTTAGTGGGGAATATCGGAAATGAAGGGGAATGCCGGGTAGGACAATTCAATTCTTATATGGAACTATTCAAACTCTTGTGGTGTCGGATTGGTTGATGACAATTGACCTCCAGTTTAATGTAGATGAAGGTAATCCGATTGAGTTTGTTGATAATCCACTCAATGATTGAGCTAATGCAATGAAACGTATAATAGATCTAATCAGTAGTCTACAATACTATGAAGAATGTTGTATCAGGTATGATCTGGCTATGTAGAGGGCGCCTACGGTTTGGCCACCAACACGAAAATTTTTGTGAGCGCGGGTTACCCGGACATAAGAAGTTGCTGGTAGATTGAGAGTTAGTCCCTACACCACTACAGGGGAAGAAAGGGGGATTACTATGGGGTATACCTTTGCTATGGTGGGTCCTTAATCTCCTATTTCTCAAGTATTTTACGTGCAAAAATGGTGAATCTCTAATCTTTTTGGAAGGGTCTCCTCCTGGGGTGTAATCTGCCCTCCGGGTTTGGTATCTTGGTATTCATTCAAACATTATCTCTATATACGAAGCTCTATTACCTTACGATCAACATTGTGCAACATCAACGATTTTAGAGATTTCATTCTTCAAGGTGGCGGCCTCCAACAGGTCTTGGTCGATCATTGTGTAAGCTTTCTTCAACAACGCCTTCAAAGTGTGGTTTTCGACCATTAATTGGTTGGAGGTTGTCAAGTGGGTATCATTGGTTTCATCGGACATTCTCTTCGTCAAGTATGGCAACTTCAAGTAGTCGGCGAACGACTTCCCTGGCTCATTGCTACTGACCTCACTTATATCGGAGTAGATAGACTCCAACTCGTTATTGTGATTGTTGGAGTTTTGACCGGTTCTAGAATGCGAGAAAATCGACAAACTAGATTGGTTGTTTTGACTTCCACTATCTGAGCTATCCGACCTTTCTCTTGTGGAGATCTGTGACGACGAGGATGATGTGTTTCCTGAAGAGCCCGACAAGTTCATCGAGAACTTCTTGAATCTTCCCACTAAGGATGAACTCTTTTCTTCGTTCGATTGGTGTGCAGATTGTGGAACAGGTGCTTGATATTCATTGATAAATAAGGATTCATCCCACTTCAATAACAAATCACCGAAGAACAAATCAAGGTCGTTGATAACATTACCCCACTTTGATTCATTCAATAAATGCTGGTAGATGACCTCTTCGTCACCCTTGTCAAGACTCATGATGATCGGCTTGTTAATGACCAATAAACCCAAGGAAATCTTGAACAAACCTGTCTTCCAGCCTTGAATAATGCAGAAGTCCATTACTCTGTTAACAATGGACAAGTCAGGTGAGTGACTTGACATAAATGACAACCACCATTGGTAAAGGAAAACTTGCAATTCTACGAAGGAAGTCAAGTGATCATGCAATTCTTTGTCAGTGGCCTTTAACACGTCCAAAAATTCATTGTGCCACAAGTTCAAAGTGTCTGACATGGTTGGAGCGGTGAAGATATCATGGAGTTCAACTTCAGATTCCATGATTGTGATCAAACAATGGAATGTCAATTCACTGTTGCCGTGGAAGTGGTAGTACAAGACACCTACCAAGAATAAGAGACCCTGACAGTAACCCAACTCGGCATCGTAGTTAGCGTAAACATTGAGAATTGTGGACAAGTTCTGGATAGTATCCTCCTTCTTGAAAAAGTTAACTGTTGGAAAGGTTCTGTTCAAATCCTTGCTTATTTGGTCGGAGATTTCCGAATTGTATGAGTGCTGGAAGTTGTTGTATACCAACATGGATGCCTGGGGGATTTCGTTGGTGTTGAGCAAAAACAACTTCTCCCATACCTTAGACCTTAACTGGTTGGGAACCCCTTGCTGTAAACACAAGAATTCGGTGTAGTGAGGCAAGGTGTTGATGGTTCTGGTAGGGTTGTTGATGAAGGCCAACCAGAAGGAGGCCTCCAATTTGGAGGATATGGAGGAGCTGTTTTTGACAAAGGCCTTGCAGCAAGACTGGTACAATTCTTCCAGCTCCAACGAGCGTCCGCATTTGGAGCATGTGTTGAATTCGTCATCGGAGATACGGTAGTTGGAGTAGAGCTGGTCCATGTCCTCGTTGGTGAACTCGGGCAAGGCGCTGAGGCAGACGTCGTCCGACAAGGACGCCAGACGGGCACATTCGATCTTGAGCTCCAAGTTGTTCAAGAGAATGAGACTGCCTGTGAGGGAGGAGGAGCGAAGGGATTCTTCGAACTCGAGGAGTGATTCGTAGTCAATCATGGTGGGGGTATAATCGGATTGACTGGGAGCTGAGTTGATAGTAGGATTGGCTGTGACGAGACGGGTGGACGAGGAAGACCGTGTTATAGATGCGAAGAAGGGCGGATAAAGAGTGTAAGTAGTAGGAAAGGATAAAGGAATGTAGGTAGTTGGGGTGGCCCGATAAGGAATGTGTGCTACGCTATAACCGGTCTTGCAAAGGTCTCAATAAAGGAATGTCTAGTTGGGGCTACCAAGAATCTGAGGAAACGATAACTTTTATACAAATACAGTAATTCCCAGATGTATGGATGTAGAATTGTTTTGGCGCGCGTAAGGGGGACAACCAGCGCACCGATTTTTAGTGCGGCCCCTGGTTGGGTGCAGGATGTTTAGCCGAGGAGTGGATATGCGTCGTGGTGAAACACGAACAGGAGACCCATTCTGAGCCCAAACAAAAGGGGCACCAGCGCACACGGCAGGAGGCCGTGGTGCGGCGGGCCTGCTAGCTTTGCTGAAACGCTCACAACTGTAGTCTGGTATGGTTCTGGTCGTGTCGTGTCATTTGCCAGCTACTGGTGGTTCCGCTGGTGCTTGCCAATCGCACACTATGTGGTAGCGGCCTATCTGGTAGCACCAGCCAGCCACATCACCGATGGTCAGCGTTGGACTGTGCTCGTCATCATACTGGCCTATAGTGCCTTGTAGCCACTAGAGGTGTCCCTTTACTAGTTGGAGTCCCTTCCTAGGCCTTGTAATCCTTGGAGTGTGTTTCTATTGTCTATATTCCAATCTGGTCTCGCACTTCCGAAACACAACTTTTGTGTCGCAGGTCATCGCCATGGTCTACTACTTCAAAACTCCAGTCAACGACTTCCAGGATGCCACCATCTACATGGGAAGGGACAAGGTGGAAAACGACCCGCTCATCAAACACTCCCACCCAAAAAACATCTGGTTCCATGTAGACAACTACTCGTCGGCCCATCTCTACCTCCAGTTGACCAAGGAAGAGTTGGCGTCGTACAAGTCGTTTGACAGCTTCACGATCGACGCCAATCTCTTGGAACAGTTGGCCCAGCTCACTAAGGCCAACTCCATCAAGGCCAGCAAGCTCAACAACATCACCGTCATCTACACCCCCGTGGAAAACTTGCATACCGATGGATCCATGGACATCGGAACCGTGACTTTCAAGAACCCCAAGCTCGTCAAGCGGGTCCATGTCACTAAGAAAGACAACATGATCATCAACAGGCTCAACAAGTCGAAAACCGAAAAGCCCACCGAGGACTTCATTCAGGAACAACAGCAATTGGTACGTGACATCCAGAACGAGAGAAAGAGAATGGACAGAGAGTCCAACGAACTCAGAAAACAGTACGAGCTGGAAAAGAAAACTAGAGCCGATCCTTACGGTGATTTGTTCACAGACAATAACATCAATGCCAGCTCAAACGAGTTCAGAAATGAAAACTGGGTGGAAGAGGAGTTCTGGTAGACCTCACACATCCTTCACTGGCACTATTCCAATGGTTGCGAGGCATCTGTAGATTTCGTTCATTCGCATGCATTGCACCGCACTTGACTGTGCCCGTGAACCTCGAGTATCGTGCTGTGATCCTTTGGCCCGTATTCCCGTAGCTATTACACATCCACTAACATCCCCGGAATTTTCACCACTTACTTGGTCACTAGCACCCTAGTTCGTTCAATTGTACATTTATTAGACTAATAAATCTATGCTACCTAAGCATCCATGTTAACTGGAAACTTACCTGCGGCTCTTTGGTCGTCCCATCTTTCAACCCAGTCGACTGGACACAATGAGGTGAAAGTCTTGAAGAAGACCTTGCATGGTTCGAAGTCTTCACCCTTGACAGAAACACACTTGTGGTAGTCAATGTATGATTGAGCACAGTGCTTGGTTTGGTTTTGGTATGGGAATCTGGCGTCGAATTGAGGAGTCTCAAACTTGAAGTTTTCTGCGTCTAAAGCCATTATGAATGTATTATGTTATGAGGAACTTGTTTAAAGGTGTCAACACTTCTATCTCCAAGATCTTACGACTTTCTCACTGTTTTTTCACTACAATTTTTTAGCGTTCTAATTGGTTGACTTTTTCACGTGACCAAATCCCGGTCCATGGTGCTATCTACAGGAAGCTGGCCATGAATCAGGTGATGGAGGATTCAATTCTACAGGGTCTGTCTATGGTAGTTGCTTCTGGTCAAAGAAACGTCAATTGTGTTATATTTTCTGGATCGTCCAGCCAGTCATATTCAGGTCTAACTCTTTTTTAGACAATAGTATATACATCACCTGCAAATTGAACACTTTCCTACCTCGTATCTGCTCGAGAGCCTCCTCCTCGGGCGTCTTCTGTATTACTTGGTTGTTGTTCGGATTGATATTGGAATTGTACTTGCTCACCTTATTATATTGCACCACCACGCCTGCTTTCTTTTTAACTATCTCAACCACCGAAATCATCTTGGATATGCTACTCGATCTCGCAGCAACCAACACTTGGCCTCTTTCTAGCTCATCGTAGATTTGCTCTACTCTTTTCTTCATGGAATCATTCTTCCCTATCAAAACAGGTTTATTCAACCCCCTCATGGACTCGTCCTGAGACTGTACGGAATTGTATGTGTCATTGCTAAGCTTTATGAACTGCTCTTTTTCTTCTAGAAAAGCTTTCAACCTCTCTTCCTGGACCTCGTCGAAAGTTGAGGCGGTCGTATTAGATTGTGACATCTTGTCTTGGTGCATCTACTGCGATGCCTACAAATAAATATCATCTCGCGGGTCTAGTCAGGTGACTTATGGCTGCAACTATTTATATTTATTCTTCCACTGCAAATTACTACGTATTCTATTGCTACTCTGAACCATAGTCTTGGCTGCAGTATTGATATGCCTGTGGCTGTTTGCTTGATTTGACCCCAAACGTGTATCAACTTGCATCTGTGTTTCCCGCACTTTATCATGTGGAGGAGGAGCAGGAACATGGCAAATTGGAATAGGCCCTGGAGGACATCTTATTAACGGTGGATAGCCATTTGGGGCTGGAATTGCACCCATTGGGGTGATATATCCATTTGGAGAGTATAAAAAGGTGTTTCCGAAACCGTCTCTGAGAACTGAACTGCTGAGCGAAGGAGGAATAGGATAGGGAGGTTGCAATGGGTGGAGCTTATTGATCTCTAAGCTAGGGCGTCCTGTAATCATTAATGGTGGAGGTAGCGTAGGCAGTGGGCCGAATGGGGCTGGCTTTGACAAAATTGACGCTGCCCCTGGCAAAATTGGCGTGGGTGCAATACTTGGTGTTGCAGCATTCCTCAAATTTGGTGGTGAAAGCATAGATGGACCTCCTGGACCACGCCCATTCTCTAGAATATTTACAGCTGGTAACAGTTTCTCAAGCTGTGGTTTGTTGCTAGTCTGCAATGCTAGCTCCTGTGTGTCGCAAAGTTGATCTTCCCCATAAGTGGGTTCCTCTCGTCCTCTTTTTCTAGAATTAACACTGTTCGAGTCTAAATCTGTTGTGTTTACTGGTGCAAAGCTGCCACTAGTTTGAGTTGGTGGAGTGGGTTTGGGTTTCGGATAGAAAGGTGGGTAATTCATCATATTTTTGGATGGAGGTATTCCGCGAACCAGGTCAATTCGCAAAAATTCATTTTTATTGAATTTTGTTTGAAAAAGTGTTCTCGGCGTAGTTCTCCCTTGTCTTATAACCTGGTCTCTTAAGCGTATCATTTGTACCATCATATTTGCAACCGATTCGATAAATGCACATTTAACATTAAATTTCTTTGCAATCTCTAGGACTGCTGCCATAACTTCACCGACATCAAGTTCCAAACCCTGACTGAAATCGTAAAAGACTTTATTCGAAGTGAGGAACTTTGGAAGATAAGTTTTTGAGTTAGCAACTTGCGTACGCAACTTGACCTTATGTTTTTCAGACTGCTCCAAGTGCTCAAAATACTCTTCCGGTTCTGCGTATCGCATCAAATATTTCTCGAAACTTTTACCCACTTCCCATAACTCTTGAAAGATACGTTTCATAGCAGGGGCAGCCACTTTATTTTTGAGGAGCCGAGTGATATCAGGTTCCTCGTAAGCCACAGATAAGGTGTAGAAACAAATTTGCATAGTTGTGTTATCCCAAATCTTTCTTGTAAAAGTTAACCGTGATCCACCCCGTAAGACCATAAACTTTTCAAACCCACGCACAGCATTGTACGCCTTTTGTATGAACGCCATAGCTTCTCCGTCCTTTCCCCTAAGGTCTAAGCACTCCTGAGCCTTCTTTCTTAAGCAAAAGCTATTTACACAAACTTCAATTCCATCGTTAATAAGTGTCTGATACACCCTTGGTTTGACCATTCTACAATCGATGGTTGAAAACAATCCTAAAACCACCATATTGAAAAACTTTCCTCGATACTGATCTACGTCAAGGTAGGGACCAGTGGTATCAAAGAATATCAAGCAGCCGCTATTTAAGCACTTCTTTAGAATCTTGAACTTTCCTCCGAAGAAAGAAATTATTTTTGCATTCATAAACAAGTAGTCGTATTTGAAATTTTGCGATTCGTTTTCGGCAAGCAATTGATTAAAATCGTTGAAATCACTAATGTTCCGAGTAGGGGAGAACTGGAATACTTGATCGCCCTGGTAGATCCTGTAGCTATTTTGACCGCGCCCGTCGGGTGTGCTTGCAAATGGGAAGAAGTGTACATTGCACTCTGCGTTCACAAGGGCGTAGGAAATGTAAAGAAAAGTAGGAGACGCACCTATAACGAGTACGTTGCGTTTTCCTGACATAGGAGGATATTAATGTTGGCTTCTTTACTGAAGGATGTCTCTGTTTGACAGAGCTATTTAACTGTTCAGGCTTGGTTTGAGAAGAGTACAGACGTAAATAGTTGTAGTTGCAAAATTATGCGACCACAAATACGAGTTGCAATTTACGAAATGAGGTCGGAGTCCCGACTGTAATTTACGAAATGGGCTCTGTTCAGGTGGAGAGGTACCCTTAGCTATGAGGGTAAGGTCTTTAGGTAGTCGTGTACTACGTGTGCCATAGCCTGGATATGACTTCCTACTCCGTCAACCTTCACACACATTCACTCCGAAGATGGAGACACTATCAAGGGCCATCCAAGGCAGGTCTTAGCCATTAGTCACGCCTGAGCCATCATACACCCCTAGCTGGTGATCTGACCATCGGCCTAGCCATCTCCACGGGGTTTGTCCTGACTCACAAACCAATGCTGATTAGCGGATCACATGATAGCCAGAATAGGCAATATTTCCCGATTGGTCATATCGGTAGTTCGGATATCTCCAGAGACTGGGGTCAGCAATATAAAACAGAAAAAGTGTTAGTGAGGTTTTCCATGTACATGATCAGAACAGCATTCAAATTACCTGTTCGTCGTCAATTGCTCCAAAGTATCTCCACAAAGCGTTTTAGTATAGTCTCCGCCATGTCTTCCAGCTACAAGCAACCCCCCCACAAATTGACCATGATTCCTGGTCCAATTGAATTTTCGGATGAAGTTCTCGGAGCTATGGCCACTCCTTCCCAGGCCCATACTTCGCCAGAATTCGTGGCCACTTTCCAATCGGTGTTGAAGAACTTGAGAAAGTTGTTCAAGTCTGAAGATGCCGAGGCCCAACCCTACGTCTTGGCCGGTTCAGGAACTTTGGGTTGGGACGTTGCCAGTGCCAACTTGGTCAGTCCTGGCGACAAGGTGTTGGTGTTGTCCACCGGATTCTTCTCTGACTCTTTTGCCGAGTGTTTGAAGGTGTACGGAGCCGACGTTGACGTGGTCACTGCTGAGGTTGGTGACGTGGTTCCTTTGAAGACCATTACTGACAAGTTGAAGTCAGAAAAGTACTCTGCCATCACCATCACCCACGTGGATACCTCCACTTCTGTTGTCAGCGACGTCAAGGCTATTTCCGAGATCGTCAAGAAGGAGTCTCCCGAAACATTGATCATCGTGGATGGTGTCTGTTCCATCGGAGTAGAGGACTTGGAGTTCGACAAGTGGGGTGTTGATTTTGCGTTGACTGCCTCCCAGAAGGCCATTGGTGTCCCTGCAGGCTTGTCGATCTTCTTCGCTTCCGGCAGAGCTGTGGCCAAGGCTTTGGCAAGAAAGGAATCTACCTTCTTCGCCTCGTTGAAGAGATGGACTCCCATCATGAAGGCCTACGAAAGCGGCAACGGTGCCTACTTCGCCACTCCTGCCGTCCAGACCATCACCGCATTGAAGGTATCATTGGACCAGATTTTGGCTGAAACCTTGGACCAGAGATTCGCCAAGCACGAGCAAGTGTCTTCCCAATTCAAGTCCTCGGTGGAAAAGTTGGGATTGAAGATCCTCCCCGTCAACCACGAGGTTGCTGCCCACGGCTTGACTGCCGTCTACCTTCCTGAAGGCGTTGCTGCGCCTGATCTTCTTGGTGCCTTGTCCAAGAAGGGCTTCACTGTGGCTGGTGGTATTCACAAGGCTTTGGTGGGCAAGTACTTTAGAGTGGGCCACATGGGCTTCTCTGTTTACGAGGGTCACGTTGACAAGCTTACTGCTGCTCTTCAAGAATCGTTGACCGAGCTTGGCCATAAATAGACTAATAGTAAATGTATGGTCCGTGTCGGATCCGGCTGACTGGTAACTGTAGACCGAGGTGGTTAAACTTACAGGTTACCGACCCGCTAGATTGTCGCAAACACTGTTGCACGTGACCAGCACTCATATCAGTAACCACTAGCCATACCTCGAGTGGCACCGCAGCTCTGATTCAACTACAGAGCCTCTAGACCTCCCTCCACGCTTCATCTTACCCAGTATGATGTTTAAACGGCCCATGATGGTACAGCCATCACGGCAATGGCTCTCTATAGCAAAAAGATCGTGGTCCACTGCGGTCTCTAGACCAGTGCCAATCCGATCTGGAGGCAAAATTGTCTGGCCAAGTCCAGTTTCATTCACGAAGCAGGCAATTCTGTTCAATACCAAGCCAGGCTTGACCTTCATCAGGCTGTTCCGTGCCTCGTCGGTGAGGAGCGCCGAGGAACCGTCCAAAACCGACTCTTCGTCTTACTTGCTAGGCAGGAAGATCTCCACCTCCGAAACCAAAATGATGAAGTCATTGTTTGCCACCATCTGGCCCAAGAACAATCCACGGTTCAAGATCAGGGTGCTCGTTGCATTCTCGTTGTTGATTGCGTCCAAGCTCTTGAATGTACAAGTGCCATTTTTTTTCAAGCTGATTGTGGATGAAATGAACGTGGATTGGACCAGTCAGTTGGGCACCATTGGAACTGTCATTGGGTCTTTGATCTTAGCCTACGGTGGTGCCCGTTTTGGTTCCGTCTTGTTCGGAGAATTGAGAAACGCTGTCTTCGCTTCTGTGGCTCAGAGTGCTATCAAAAGAGTGGCCCAGAACACTTTCAAGCACCTTCTCAATATGGATCTTCATTTCCATTTGTCGAGACAAACGGGTGGATTAACCAGGGCAATTGATCGTGGTACAAAAGGTATCAGTTACGTTTTAAGTGCCATGGTGTTCCATATTATTCCGATCTCGTTTGAAATCACAGTGGTGTGTGGGATCTTGACCTACAACTATGGCTTGTCGTTTGCTGCCATGACTTTCTTTACCATGTTGGCTTATTCGATTTTCACCATCAAGACTACCGCGTGGAGAACGGGCTTCAGAAGACAGGCCAACAATGCCGATAACCAAGCTGCATCTGTGGCATTGGACTCTTTGATAAACTACGAATCCGTTAAGTACTTCAACAACGAAGCTTTTCAAGCTTCCAAATACGAGAGTGCCCTCACCAACTACCAGAACGCATCGATCAAGGTGGCCACTTCTCTCGCTTATTTAAATGCTGGTCAAAATTTAATTTTCACCAGTGCATTGACGGCAATGATGTACATGGGATGTCAAGGAGTGGCTAGCGGAGCCTTGACTGTGGGTGACTTGGTGCTTATTAACCAGTTGGTTTTCCAGTTGAGTGTCCCCTTGAATTTTTTGGGGTCTGTGTATCGTGAATTGAAACAGTCATTGTTGGACATGGAAAACTTATTCCAATTGCAAAACTACGAGGTCAAGATCAAAGATGCACCTGGTGCCAAGCCGCTTGTGTTGAAGAATTCGGAAATTCCCCCAGAGATAAGGTTCGAGAATGTTAGTTTTGGCTACCATCCAGACAGACCTATCTTACAGAATGCCAGTTTCACGATCCCAGCAGGGGAGAAGGTAGCCATTGTGGGACCCTCGGGGAGCGGGAAATCCACCATCTTGAGGTTGGCATTCAGATTTTACGATGTGGATAAGGGACGCATCTTGATTGACGGGCAAGATATTAGTAAGGTGACTGTGGAGTCCTTGCGTAAGGCCATTGGAATTGTGCCCCAAGAAACGCCCTTGTTCAACGAGTCGATTCTCGAGAACATAAGGTATGGCCGTTTGGACTCCAGTGACGAGGAGATCAAAGACATGATAGAAAAGGTGCAATTGACCAAGTTGATCGAGGATTTACCCGAGGGGGTCAACACTATGGTGGGAGAGAGAGGAATGATGATTTCGGGAGGAGAGAAGCAGAGGTTGGCTATTGCCCGGCTTTTGCTTAAACAGGCCCCCATCACGTTTTTCGACGAGGCTACGTCTGCGTTGGACACCCATACTGAGCAGTCGCTTTTGCGCACCATCAGACAGGTGTTCAAGGAGGGAAAGAACACCAACATCTCAATTGCGCACCGGTTGCGGACGATTGCCGATGCCGACAAGATCATTGTGTTGAACAAGGGCCATGTCCAGGAGGAGGGCAGCCACTACGAATTACTTTCCCAGGACAACTCGTTGTACTCGCAATTGTGGGACATTCAAGAGAACTTGGACATAGACGAGCAATTGAAGGAGAACGCCGAGGTGCAGTCTGCCAAGTGAGCGTGGTGACATGGTTGTGGCACCAAAGGTCAGTTGGTTGTGGTATCACGCAATTTTCCTGCACACTGGCCCGGCCCAGTTATCACCAGGGATCAAACTGGCGATCTTTCACCACTCTTATCTTACCATGTGCAGACCCAGCACCTGCTCTGCTTGTCGTACGTATCGGATGCGTTCAATGGCCACGGCCGACTAACCATAGAAAACACTACCTGGATCGGATGTGGCTTGCACATTCCCAGGGCCATGGATCCCGTGCCCAGACATCAATGGTGTACGTGTGAGTCCATCAGCGGCACCGACATCGGCGACTATCCCCCCAAGGCAGGCGACGGCCGCCAGGCAGCGCCAGCGCCATGATATTATAGATTAGTTAATGCACGTTGAGGCAATGGAGTGTAGGACCTGAGAATGGCGGAGGCCGAGCCAGAATGGCGAACCAGAGCCGAGGCCAGAGGCAGGAAGGCGAAATTTGAAGGAAGTAGCGAATGGCCAGAATGGATGGAGGTAGCCAAAGTCCAGAATAGATGGAAGGAACCAATGCCCAGAATGGATGGATTGTAGGTCCAGAAGTGCAGAAAGGCGAGAACGATGAAGTAGAGGTGGCCGGAAGTAGAAAATGGACCCCACGTCATGCCTGAACGAGCCTGGATCTACCCCCTGGCCAGACCATCTCCAGGCAGTGCAGGTCAACGGCAATCTGGGCGCTGGCACGTCTGGCACTGGCACGTCTCGCACTGGGCCATCACAGTTTCGCCTGACGACGTTGCAGTGGACGATGAAGATCTGGCGCACCGCGCCTAGGTGCGACTCCTGCCAGCGCACTGGCCTACGAACCCGCAACACGGTGACTCCTAGCGACTCCTGGCCGCGACGCAATTCGCTTAGTGACACTCCCTGCCTGGAAAGTTGGCACCACTGATCAACCGATATCAAGACCACGGCTACATCAATCGGCTGGCTATTGTAGACCACGCATAACTAGCATGTATGGCCACACCTAGCCTCAGTAATTCCACCAGGGCACAACTTAGACCGTACAGCATCTGGCATGAGGTTACACTACCAGCACCAGCTGGCACCAGCCTCAGAAACCCAAACCTTAGACGAAGCGTCAACAATGGATAACGTCGGTTGATCGCCCGTGACAGCTCCCCACAGGTGCATCCACGCCTCGTATTGTTGGTCAACAAACCACCCCTTTATGGGCCTGCCGTAGGCACGGCAATTGGACTCGCCATAGGACGCAACCCCTATCGGGAGGAGGTAATCAGTTACATAATATTACCGGTGCGCATCTCCCCCACCACGATATATATTGGAACCGGAGCCAGGGTTTCTGCCTCAGCGATCATGGACGAGCAAAGAGTCAAGAAATGGTTGGGCAAGTCCCCTGGAGGCACTGGCTCGCCCCTGAAAAAACCCATCCGGCTGCTAGGCTCCTCATCGCTGTTGGTGCAGTTTTCGGCTGTGAAATACCCCGACTCCAGCCTGGGCCTGAGACCAACGCTGATGTTCCGTGGCAGGGCAAACTCATTACCAGCAAAGGTGTCCAATCTACAGAGACGTCCCAGCGGCTCTGCCAGAATTGGGCCCATGGACAGGGCCAATTCGCCCTACCAGCCAATTTCCACCCCCGAGCCCGCGGAGAATTATGAAAAATATCAAAATTACCTGAACTACAACCCCAACTCGCCCCCCTACCACGAGCTGTTCATCCCGCCATTGCCCACCGCCGCAGGCATGCCGGTGGAGCCCATGTCCACCGCACGGACCCACAGGCTCTCCCCCGTACGACAAGAGGACAATGTGGACCAGCTAGCCACCTCGATTCTTCACGTCATATCCGATACCGAAATCGAATGGGTCATGTGACCCTGTCCTTGTGCCCCCCACCACACCTGCATTCTTTTCAGTTCACCTCTATAGCCAGCTGCCTTGACGGAGCTGCATGCCTCCGTAAGGCGCAAACCCGTTGCCGCAAATGGGCTAGGCCCATCTGCACATTTTCGGTCCCAGCCATTCATACAACGGAACAATTATTAAATATGTATCTCGAGAAAATATCGTCTATATACACTCCGACCCCGATGTTCATGCCGAGTCACAATAAAACGGTCCACCTAAAAGCTAACAATCGCCCCACCTCGACAATCGTAACATTCCGGCAAATTCTTGTCCATGACATCCTGGCACGTCACGGCACCGCTTTCCGTCTTCCGGCCGGTATCATGCCTGGGGCAAGGCCCCGACCAACTCAGGGTAAAAGCCCCCAATAGTGGCTTTTTCGTAGTTTTCCGCCTCGAGGGTTTCGACTAATTCAGTCAATTCGTGCGGGGGTAAGCTGGTTGTTTTTTGCCTTACGAACTTTTCCTTCATGCCTAAGAGTTCCGGATCGTATTGCATGATTTCTCCCAACACCATGGTGGAAATATTTTTCACGGTGGCTGCCATCTGTTTGGACCAATCAGACCCCTTTCTTAACGACTTACGAACCCATTGATCGTAGTGCAACGAGTACCATTGGAAAAGCTTGATCTTGTCCTGCTTGTTGGGCTTGTATTGGAATCCAATCAATCCAAGCTCAATCATCTTGGAATCAATGTTAGTCATCACGAAGTTAAGCGTTTTGTGCACAAGCTCGGCATCAGTCGCAAACGATAACGACGAAAGTGCAATAGTTTGCAACTCGTGTTGAGTGACATTTGAGTGGTCCAATAATGAGTTGTTGGAGTTCTTGACGAGTTCCAAAACTCTCTTATAGTCCTTCTGGTTGGCCTTGTACACAAACAAGTTGAACATAGAAGACAACAATTCCTTGGGGATGTACTGGTTTTTGCTTCCAGGATTCAAAAACGTTTTGGTCAACTTCTTTGCAATTTCCTGGAACTCAACATTCTTTATACCAAATTGCAAGATGGAGTTTCTAACTTGGACTTCAGTTAGCGAGCTCTCTCTGTTTAAGCTTGACAAAGATTCCCATCTGCCGACCTTTTTGTACAATCTTAAGATGAATTGTTGGAGCCATTCTTCAAATTTGGTGTATTCACTGAAATGCATGAGAATGTTGTTGAAAGTTTCCAAATAATTAAGAGCGACCTTCAAAACATGGTAATCTATCTTCCAGCTCTTCAGGGACAAACTATTGATTACCAGGATGAAATCAATTAATTCAGTGCTAGTAGAGTTGGAAGTACCCAAGACTTTACCGTAGTCATTAATGATAGTGATTATATCTTGAGCGCATAATCTATTTTCTTTGATTTGGGGTACAATAGCCTTCTGGATAATTTCACTGGAATATAAGGTTCTATAATATCCTCCACGCTTGTTATTGACACTAATGAATTGATGAATTGGAATATCCAATTTTAAACTTCTGTCGGACATGATGACGTTCAATACCTTAACTACTCCATTATCGTCAACCACCTTCAACAATAAGGGGACGTGGTATGGTTGATCCTCTAATTTAAGCTGTTCTGCAGTTGCATCATAAACATATGTATGTTGCTCAAAAATAATCTTATCCATGGCAGGGCTACTTTTAACCTTGACTAATGGAAATCCTGGATTTCTAGTCCATGAATGGACAAAACTTGGGAGATCAATTGAAGTAAACTCATTGAGAATGTTCCAAATATCAAAAGCCTTGATAGATTTGAATTGATATGTCTCAAGAACTTTCGATAAGCCCTTTAAAATCAAAGTGTAATCCTCGTGATACAAATTCTCTGAGCTTGAACCATCAATATGCAAGATATTCGAGACCATTCTCAATAAGATAATCCCCTTTTCGTATGACTTGGTTTCAAAAATGGTAGCGGTTGATGAGTTTATACCAGTATCGACTTTTGAAAGATATTGGTGGATGCTAGGGATTATGTGGCCATTCTCATCGAACAAACAATCCTCATCCAAGTAGGATTCATAGCTCTCGATTTGCAGAATATCATACACGCTTTCGGGCTGTTTTTCAAAGTCTGCAACTTGTACAACATAATTGCCCAACCATGTCGCAAAAGCTTCATTTAACCAAAGATTACTGTAGTCGTCAAAAGTCACCAAGTTTCCAATCCATTGATGAACAGCTTCATGAGCGATGAGTTTTTGCATTTGAATCTTTTGTTCGAGAGAGCCCTTACCCTGTATTTTGATTTGATCACAAATGACGGTAATCATTCCCCAGTTCTCCATAGCTCCATCACTTAAAAATGGTAAGCCAATGAGATCGATCTTGTTCAAAGGGAATTTGAAGTTGAGTAGCTTTTCCAACGTGGTGATAGAAGTTTTCAATACTTCCAATGCGTATGCTCCTTGAGTGGCATCACCAACCGCATTGTAGACTCTTACTCTGGTAGATCCTGCATAGCTTTCCACATAGCCAAAGTCTCCCAAAACAAACCCAAAAACTGAAGGAGATATTGGTGGGGTAGGTTCAAATTCAAAAATGGAAGTCCTAGATTCATCTTCAGTTAATAAAGCGTTGGAAATGACATGGAATTTAGGCGAGGTCTCAATGGTGAGCTTGATAGGCACCTTGAAGTGAACTTCATCGATCAATGGGAACAATAATCTGGCCCCATGTGGTTGACAGTGAGTGGCTAAGATATAGTTATCTGATCTTCCAGAAACCGAGTCAAGGTAGTTAGTCTTAAACAAACCACGAGTGGTATCCTTGTAAGTTTGAATCTTGTTGATTTGTCCGAAATAGTTGATAGTTACGGATTTAGGACTCTTGATGGGAGTCTCTGATTTGAGAGTAATCACTTGGTTAGCTCTGTCATGTGTGACTTTCAATGAGTGGCTGTCATTATCGTCGGATAATACTGCCTTAGTGATAATCAATTTATTGGCATGTAAGCTGATTTCGAACGGAGTTGAGTCGTTGGAGGTATCGGTATTTTTCACCAAATCAAGAGTAACTGTACCGCTGAAATTTGGCTTTGTGTGGTCAATAGCCAACTTCAAATCGTACGACGAAGGCAAATAGGCATTCGAAAGCGAAAGTAACGAACTGAGGCTAGTGGCCGCCATTTTGTTGGCGATATCAGTCATAATGGCTAGACTGGCTTGTCCCACTATCGAAAATTTTCCACAAAGCGAACTGATCTGGTTCTCCGGATTACATAAGCAATTACCAAGATCTGGCTGATAACCGAGAAGGCCACCCCAGGATACCCATCGTGGAGTAGCCGGAAGCCCTAGGCTGCTTGGCCAATCGATAAATGGACATCCACGGGAAATTACCAAGCTGTTTCTCTATTGTGCTCGTGATTCCGGGGCCTCTCTGGGACTGTTCCCCTCGGCCGAAGAGCTCAGAACGGCCATCCAGGGCTCCTTGGTGGGGCCAGTTCGTGTGGTATTTTTCTGATGCTACTTGTGATCTTACTTAGGGGCATGGATGGCCAGATCCGCGGGATTCGACCGGGGTTTGGCGACGGAGGGTGTGGAGTCGGCTTGGTCGGAAAAACGGCACTCACTCGCAGGTTGCAGCCACCGGGCCCTGGCCAGAGTGATGGGGCCGTGGCCCGCGCGACTCACCACCACGACTAGTAGTCACTGTGGTGGATGACTGGTGGTTACTGCATGATCCCCAACATTTCTGACACGGTCACGTGATCGAGCTCGCTCCGCGGTCCACCGCCAGTCGCGTCCGTCTGCTACAAAGGCGTGGAGTGGAACCGCACCGCCAGGCAATGGCTACAGCGATGTCGGGACGGTACGGGCCATCATCCAGTAGCCAATCGAACTACACGCTTTCAGAACCCGCTGGGCTTCCCCAACCAAGTTGTGCCAGGCTCAACCTTGCCATTTACGGCAATTGTTCGGCCCCTTTTGTCAGCTAAGCCCGAGGATGGGTAGCGGTTTTTTTGGGGAAAAATCACACAAAAAAACTTTCCAACATACTCCGATAAAGACTTATACGAATGATATAAGTAGGTGGGAAAATCCATGGAGCGGTACAAACAGCATTAGCACCCTATTTATTGACTTTGTCCATCCATCCAAACATCCTTACCACCATAGAGGATTAGTAGGTCACTAGCCCACACCATCACCATAGAGGATTAGTAAGTCACCACCCCACACCATAGAGCCCTGATTAGTAGTCTGACTCCACAGACCACCAGAGCCCTGATTAGCACTCAGAATCCACAGACCACCATAGAGCCTGCTTCATAAGCCAGACTCCACATAGACCACACATCATGCACGACACATCCACGCTACCTTCGCCAGAGGAGCTCAAGAACTTCAAGGATGCGTACCCTGGAGCCATCAAAATCGACTGCTCGGGAGCGTACATAGCGAACGACCACTTGTTGAGAGACTCCAACCAGTCCTCCAACTCAGGGTCTGCCTCCACATCGGCCACAGGAACTCCCTCTCCCGAAATCAGCTCGGAGTCCGACGAAGACGAGGACTCTGTCAGGCTCGCAGACACCTCTCGCTCCGACCACGAAGTCGATGCCGATGACGAGGACTTCGACTTCACCAAGAACATCACCCTTCCACAGCATAACTCAGAAATAATACACATCTCGGTTGACATCGGAGGCACATTGACCAAGTTGGTGTACTTCACCAAGAGTAAGAAGAGCCAGAGTGGTGGCAAATTGCATTTTCGGGACTTTCAGACAGAAAACCTCGCGTCCGAAACCCTTCATTTCATGATCAAACTCATCCAGAAATCCATCACCAAGTCCAGCGACCCTCCCATCACCTACATCATGGCCACGGGAGGAGGAGCCAGCAAATTCTACCAATTGATGAACAAATCGTTCCGCAAGCGCAAACTTCCCATGAAGATCATCGCCAAGGACGAGATGGAATGCTTGATCAAAGGATTGGACTGGTTGATCACCAAAATCCCCAACGAGATCTTCACCTACGACCTCGAAACCGACCACACCATCTCTTCGCATTCCCTCCAGCATCCTGACCAAATATACCCATACTTGCTCGTGAACATCGGCAGTGGGGTGTCGATGATCAAGGTGACAGGACCAGGCCCAGACGGCTTCGAGAGAATAGGAGGTTCGTCCTTAGGTGGAGGAACCTTGTGGGGCCTCTTGTCGTTGCTCACCGACGCCAAAGACTATAACGAGATGTTGGAAATGGCCCTGCGTGGTAACAACGAAAACATCGACTTATTGGTGGGAGACATTTACGGATCCAACTATAATAAAATCGGGTTGAAGTCCAGCCACATCGCCTCGTCGTTCGCCAAAGTGTTCAAAAAACTCCGTTTCAATTCTAAACCCATGACTCCGGCCGAAAAATTGGCTCATTTCAGGCCGGAAGATATTTCTAGATCTTTATTATACCTGGTATCCAACAATATCGGGCAAATTGCTTACTTGCAGGCTGTTCGTTTCAACTTGAAGAGAATATACTTTGGAGGCAGCTACATATCGGGACATATGCAGACCATCCATACCCTCAGTTATGCGGTCAATTTCTGGTCCAAGGGAGACATGAAGTCGTACTTTTTGCGTCACGAAGGATACCTAGGCAGTGTTGGAGCGTTTGTGATGGGGCCCCAATTCGGAGCTGGTCAACACTCCCCAAAATAAATGATTTGGTGATGAAGTAAATGAAGTTGTAGAAGTAAGGTTGAATAGTAGCAGGCGTATGGGAGGAATTCATGAGTATTCCATGAAGATTTCAAGAAGAATAGATCGGTAGTGAATAGCACTTTAACGGTGGCACGCGATGGTCTGTTTAGCACGAAATTTGGAGGTGTGGCGTAAGGCGGGCCATAACAGTAGCGGCCGTTCGAGACAGATCTGCGAAGGAAGACAAATAAAAGTTACTGCGTTTCACTTATCAGAATAAGTAAATAAACGGTAGTAGGGAGGTATGCTATAATAGGCTCCTTTTTATTGTAGCATGAAGTTACTACCTGTTTTCAGACTCCACGCGGGCCAGGTAGTTCCATGGTAACAATTTCCCATTAATATCATGAGATCGGTAGTTGGGAGAAAAGCACTAGCATACCACAGTAGCTAATCCTGGAGACTACCACTAGTAGGCCTAAAAGGTAGACCAATGCTAAAATGAGGTGGTTCTTTTGGCTATTTTATGGCTTAAACCACAGTACATCCCTCAGTAATGCCCTATCTAGGCACGAGAAAGTCCGCCAGTAGATGTTCCTAGAGAAAAATAGCACTTTCTGACCCGCTTAACAGGTAATTTTCTCTAAAACAAGGGCATCTTGGAAAATATTCAATCTAGCCAAAGAATACGGGATTACGGAGAAATAATGATTCTACGTAAAAAGAGTATTAGCGTGGAATCATTCTTTCTAGTGAACAATATGCTATCGTGGAAATTTTAGATTATGGTGACATTTACTCATTTATTGAACAAGATTATAAGCGTGGACATATTATATGAAGAGTATGAGATTCATAAATCATTGAACAGGAGCGACATCGTAGCAATTATTTATCTGCTAAACAAGATTGTCAACTTCAAAAAAAGAGCATTATTGTGGAAAACATGCATTTATCGAATAGTGTTAGCCTCCCATTGGGCAAAAGTACTATCGGGGCCTGCTGAAAGAACCTGTTAGGAAATTATTTATTCTACAGGGAAGCTTATTAAGGTACTCTGCTGAAAAGGAGAATTATTGTGCAAATTATTCTCCTAATGAATGAGAGTACTATCGTAGAGTACTATCGTGGAGTACTATCGTGGAGTACTATCGTGGAGAAATAGGCCTATCGACTAATCTTATCATCGTGGAAATCATTCATGCTACTGATAATACGGTTCCAGGTCACGGTCTAGTTGACGAAAGTCCGTCGGCCAACAAGAATCGGCTCTCTCTCCACGTGGAGCTTCCTCACCCCCTGCCTACACAATACACACAACAATCCCAATCACACTATTCACCATCGTGGTTGCACCTGTGTGGTTGCAACGCCTTCTTCCCTACATTCAATTCCAATAAACACTCTTCACCTCATGGCTGCAACACCCTCTTCCACGTGCTGCGCTCTCTAAATCTCCCCGTCTCGTACTGGCGTCGCACCCTAGTGCCAATTCCACATGCTCCCGCGCTAGAAACCGCCACGAATTCCACGGTCCGTCCCCCCACCCCCGCTACCATCCTCACTAACCGCACCTCCACAACGACACCTCATCGATACCTTCCAGCAACCAGAACTTCCCACCACCGCAAGAGGTTACACTGCAGTGCCGATGCCCCAGCAACTAAGCTAGGTTCCATCCCACCACCACCAGCACCCCCCTCAGGACTCTCTGCAACGTTCCATCACCCTCCGGTGTCAGTGACACAAAGCCAAAAGGGTCAACTCCCAGTAACGCAACTAATAAGATTGTTTGTATAAGAGTGTATGTCTAGCACCAGATTTTTCTAGATGAGTCTTGACACCACCGGATACGTGGCCTACCAGTACGACCACGCCCAGGCCCACCAAAACGCCCGAAGTAGTGCCGCCAACACCACCTCCACCCTCCACCAGCGCCACCATCCCAGTCACAACATTGACCCCACTGGAAGCTTCGCCAGCCCCAAAATCCCCCACAACACAGCTCCACAAGCCCCCAGGCAGCCCCAGCACCCTGGCGTCATTCCCTCCCGACAGTCGCCCGAGTTCTACGCCTCGTCCAAGGTGCCCCACCAGCCCTACCAGTACTACCAGAGTGAGTGGGTCGAAAGTCCCAACCTCTCGCCAGCCAAGTTGCCCCAGTACTACGAAGAAATGACCACCATCCAGCTCCAGCAACAGAAATACGACACCCCGCTGAAACTGAAGACGTTCAGCTACATCACTCCTGTCAGCGCCCACAAGGTCAACGACGTGATGGTCAACGAAAAACACCTCGACGACGAGACGTCATCCACGTCCTCCGAGGAGCCCCCCACCGTGAGCACCGAGGCAGTCGCTACCACAGTCGGCGCCTGGGATGTTTTCTGGGTGATGTTGAACGATATCACCGGTAAGGATAAGCTCGCCAAAGTGGGCCAGTATGTATTAAAATTGCTTCTCCTCAAAGCGGAACAGTCGCAGTCATATCTCAGCGACTCCACCATCAACATCAACGCCATCAACCTCAGATACAATGATAAGGAGAAACGGTTGAACTTGATCCGCAACTTCATCAAACATCCCCAGGATTTCATCAGAGTGATTTCCATCTTGGTTTGTTCTATTTTCCAATCAAAACTTGCAGGCATGGTTAACGGATTATCCACATATAGACAATACTTGAGGTTTGGTAAGAGTCCGTTCAGATTAAGAGGATTGCTCAACAAATTAAGAACTAATATCAATTTCAAAAATGCAAATGTCAAAATCAACTACACCAAAATCTTCAATAGAACCACGCTCGGTGAATTCTTTGGTCTTTACTACAGTATTTTCGATGAAACAAACTTGCTCTTGAAGTTGAACTTCTACTCGGACCCAAGAATCAAACAAATCTCCGCAAGACACGAAGCCTTGGCTTGGTACTACGATACCTGGTTGAACTTGTACAACGCCTATGAAAAATCGCAAGACTTGACCCAACAGGAGATGGATGTCAAGATTCAAATACAAGTAAAGAATAAGGCCAAGGTGTTGTCCAGACAATTGTTAGGTGGTAACCCAATTCAAATCAACAATAAATCAACAAGCAAAGCATCAAAGGAAGACGCAAAGCTCTTGAATGATATTCAATTCAAGAAGAACAATGCTTACTTGGATATCTATAAGAATATCTCCGATCTTATATTCAACTCATATACTGTGTTCAACTTACGTTTGCCGTTTGATACCATTCAAATTTGGATGGGTATCAGTGCCGCCTCGTTAAGCACGATTAAAATCTATCGTGAGACCAAGAAGAAGTTGATCGAAGATGAAATCAAGAAGAGAAAATAGTGATCTTTAAGATTAGTAATTCACAGTGTATTGGTAGATAGTTATGCAATGAGATTATAGACATTAAAGGTCAATACAGTAGGAGAGTCTCGTGTTGGTAATATAAATAAGCTATCATGGGTAGCTACGCAAAATGACTAATACTGCCTTATTTAATGAAAGGAATAAGATTTTTAAACTATATATAAGTGCATTTCATAAACCAATATCCTATGCTAAGATATCATCGATTGTGACATCGTCGTTCTGTTGTTGGGCCAACTTCCAAAATTTGGATAAGTGTCTGGCACCCGAGTCACATGCAACCACCACGATTTTTTGGCCAGGACCGTATTTGTATGCTGTCTTCACGGCTGCAACACAATTGACTGCTGCAGAGGAGCCCCAGAACAACCCGTCGTTGATACACAAGTATTTTGCCATTTTCAACGCCTGGTCGTCCGTGACTCTGATGGCCTCGTCAATTAACGATTCGCCCTGCTTGAAGTTCCAAGTCAAGCGATTCAAGCCGATACCCTCGACCGTGGTGTCGACTTGGTGTCTCCTTCTAGTTCCTTCCTTCTCCACCGAGTCGTACATCACCCCGTAGTTGACCCTGTTGGCCAAACCCGAGCCCTGGGGGTCTGCCAACACTATGCGGACGTTTTCGTTCTTTTGCTTCAAGTACTTGGCGACTCCTGCGATCGTTCCGCCCGTGCCGGAGCCGTTGATGAACACGTCGATGTTTCCGTCCATCTGGGTCCATATTTCTGGGCCTGTGGTGTCGTAATGGATGCGCCAGTTGGCGTCATTCTCGAACTGGTCGGCAAATACAGCATTTCTGGGGTCGTTGGGGTCGGCATCGATCTTAGCAGCTGCGTTCCGAGCTGCATTGGTGTATTGGTTGGGGTCCACGATCGATGCTGGCTTGACAGGCTCCACCACGGCTCCAAGTGAGCGCAACAACTGGAGCTTTTCGGGGGACGTGTCGTCAGGTAGACAGATGTGGGCCTGATAGCCCAATGCGTTGGCTAGCATGGCAAACGAGATGCCTGTGGACCCTGAGGTGCCCTCGAAGATCAAGTCGCCGTGGTGGGGCCGGAGTTTTCTCGCTCGTTCGTTAGCTCTTATGATGGCCAACGCCACCCTGTCTTTGGCGCTTCCTCCGGGGTTGTTCAACTCGAGCTTGGCATAGATCTTGCATCCCGTGAGCCTGGAAAGTGACTTGATCTCGATCACGGGCGTGTTTCCGATTAGCGACTCCACGCCTCGTGTTCGTGGTGATAGTGTGGTTAGGTGGCTAGAGCTGTCCCTGTGCTGGAGCAGGCGATAGAGCTCATTGACAAGCACTGCTGTTGCCGCCACCGCTGCCGAAGTCTGGACCAACAGCCGCCAGTCCCATCCTTGCAAGAATCCACCCATACTGCAAATCTGGTAAGTTTTTGGGAGGTGCCGATCGCGAGTTATGGAACAAGTTCAGCGGCTCAACAAACTGGACCCGAATCCACCCCAGTCCAGAACACCCAAAATCGCTCAGATCGTCTTCCTGCGCCCACAAAGCGTGCCAGTGTCCTCCACGCCGTTCCTACCACCATAGCTGTTCCGTTGGCTCCCCAAACAAGTGCTGCTCCATGGACCCTCTCCATCACAACACCGTCAAGCGCCAGCGCAGTTCCAGGGCTTGCAGCGTGTGTCGGGCCCGCAAGATTCGCTGTGACTCCGACAAGAAGTTCCCATGCACCAACTGTGTGACATTCAACTGTGAATGCACGTTTCCCGAGCCCAAACGGCCTAAGAAGACCGTCAGCCAACCGCCACTCTCCATCACCACGATTCTCCCGCCCACCATCCCGCCTCCAGGCCAGTACCCCGGCTACGTGGAGCCTCCGTACCCATATCCACCCCCAGCACAGACCAACTCGCCAGGAGCCCAGCAGTATAGATACTACCCCCAAATGGCTCACCCCGTTCAAGCAGTACAACCCGTACAGGCCCCAGGTGCCCCAGGTATCCCAGGAACACCCCACCAGGCCATTCTTCCTCCTCCCCAGCCTCCACAGCCCCCACAGGGCCCACAGGGTCCACAGCCTCCCCAGCAGCTCGTGGCGCTCCCGCCAAACCTCAACGAGAGAAACAACGACTCTCGCTTCACGATCTCGTTCAGCTACAATCACGTTGTCCACGGCCAGCCGTTCAACTACGTGCCCCCTAACGTGGTGTCGTCGGGAATTCACCCCCAAGTGCCCGATGATACTGAGGCGTACATTCCCCAGAACCCCATCAAAAACATCTCGTCCAGAGACTTGACCCCCATCTTCGACATCGAACGCAACACATTCCAGAGCAACACAGAACACGGCATCAAAATATGCCTCGACCGCAAGCTCAGCGAGTACTTCTACTTCGGTGAAAGCTCGTGCTACACATTCCTCCAGGACGACAACGAGCAGAACACCAATTGGCCCGTGCCTGAAGAAGAAAACACCCAGTACAAACAGCCACTCAGAAAGCCCAACAATATACCGACACAGGAGGTGTTGTGCGAGTTGGCAGTACTCAAGATTAAAAGGGCATTCGAACTCCCTTCCAAATTCATCTGCTCATTGTTGATCAAGTCGTTTTTCGATAACGTGTATGCTCAGGTTCCCATCATAGACAAAGAGTCATTTCTCCGGCATTTCAACGACCCAAACCCCAAAAAACATCCTCCAATTATGTTGCTTCAGGCCGTGTTGTTGGTGGGCTCGAGGACTTGCAGACACCCGGCTATTTTGGATGAAAATGGAGGTATTTCCACCGTTTCAGAGGCCTTGTATCTCAGAACTAGAGCCTTTTGCGACACCACCTTGAAATTTGAGTATGTGGGAGACCTGGCCCTCGAAGACGACGGGCACGTAATATTTAATCACCCCACCGTATTGGTTCAAACACTTGCATTATTATCGTGGTACTGGGATGCACCCGAGGATGTCTCTAGAGGGTCTTACTTTGTGGTCAAAAATGCAATTAATGTGGCCCAGAGTTATGGATTCCATAGGGATATGGAGCGTTCTGTGGTGGTGAACTCGCTTCTTAAGAGGTACCAGAAGTCCAAGCAGGTGACGGCACACAAGATCCGCCAGCAGTGTTTTTACTGGAAAAAGATCTGGTGGTGGCTTTTTACTCGTGATCGATCGTTGTCCATTAGTTTTGGTCGGCCGTTAGCTATCGACATGAAGAGTTGTGAGATCAAGATGCTCACGGAAGAGGACTACGAGCTCTACGAGAGCGAGTGGTCGATCAAGAACAAAAAGGACGTTATTGTGCGAGACTTTTACCTTGCGTTGATCAAGATCTCGGAAATCACTGGAATCATCATCAACGAACATTACGTGTTGCACGATACCACCCCATCGAAGAGGAAGTATAACGTGGTCAAGCAACTCAACTTCTTGATGCGACACTTCCTCCAGGAGCTCCCTGAGTCATTGCAGTTTTCCATCAACAACCCTGAGTCGTGGAACATCTATTCGTACTTAATTGGGTCGCTCTACTACGTGGGCATCTACCACATCAACCGGGTAATGTTGGTGGCAGTCAACAGCACGCTGTCTACCAATATCTACTGGGGAATCTGCTTCCAGTCGGCGTGCATCTTCTCCACCATCGCCCAGCACTTCTTGAACCGCACCACCGAGACCGAGAAGTTAGCTGCGCCGTTCCAGATGTTATACACAACGTCCATGTTCATGGTTTTCCTCTCATACCACACCCAGTCGTTGAATACTATCGTAGCCAAGACCTCAACCAAGCAGATGGACTACTGCATCGAGTTCTTGGAGCATTGCAACTACTTGTGGCCCAGCATGACGTACCTTTTGTCCAGTTTCTTCGAGGAGTACAACAAAGACGGTGAGAGCCAGTTCCCCATCCGAGCCAAGCAGTTGATCTTCAAGATCTGCGTGCAATACCAAAGCGACATCACCCAGCTGAAAAACAAGGCCCCGGACATCAACTTCCTCCTCAACCAGCAGGGGAGCAAGCCGGAGGGTAGCAAGTTCCGCTTGAACGAGTTGGACTTCACCGACACCCACTTGCCCCTCTACAAGGTGCGCACGATGTCAGTGCCGCTGTTGGGCACGCTGCCAGACTTTTTCAAGGACTTCACGGCCGTGCAGCTCTTCCCGCTGTCCAGAGACAAGAAGGACAAGACCGACGATATTCATGTGCCTGAAACTCTGGTGGAAGCTCCCACCATTCCCACGCCTCCGACACTTGACTCGGTGGATGGCAACGCCTACGAACTGCCAGGGGTGTTTGAACGTGACGACGGGACCATGGCCATTTCTGAGGACTTGAACGGGACTCATGCGGCATTGATGACTCCGTCCGACGTCAATTTGATGTTTGACAACGAGTACTTTCTCACGGCCCTGAGCGGAATCGACTGGTACAACATTGGATAGAATTGATATCCACTGGAAAGCTACAGACAATTATATTGAGCATTAATGAACATTGGTTAAACAGATAACCACTTGGAAAGTCCTCCAACTAAGACAGGCAAACCAATCGAGTGGTACAATTGTTAATAAATGGGCATCACATACGGGAAATCACACGTCCATCTGATTACAGATAAGTCGACTGTTTGATTGGAAAGAAACGATACCAAGCTGTCTAAGCGAATTAGGAAGCTTATCCACTCCAAAGCACATTTTGCGGATCGACTGGTAAATGCTTAGAAAATAGACCACATACCAATCGATTCTCAGAATTAGAAAGCCCACAGTCCTATTCTGAAGATGATTTTGTGGAATCGACTGACATAAGATAAGTCAGGCACAATCGCAATCGGATCGTCCACTCCGAAGCAGTCAAGTATTCAAGATCATGGTACATTAGTTGAATTAGGCAATCACATTTGGAAAAGTCTTCTTCACTACTCTGGGGAAGCCTATCTTTCGAAGCACAGACAAGGGATCGTAGGAGATGGTGATGGAATTACTGGGTCTGTATCGTTTGTCTCCCGCGTGCTAGTGATACCAAGCTTCTGATTCGTTGTACTATGTAAAGAGGAGTTTTGACGACTTAACCATAAAGACCTCATGGACATCGATGAAATATGCAATGAGGCCATAATGCTTCATCAAAAGACAGAAAGTTACAGTACAATTGAAGGTTGCTTTATCAAAAAAAGCATAAGGAAGATTTACTGTCTACTTCATCAAAAATGAAAAAGCTTCGTGAGACTCAAGGACAATTTTATGGCTGCTTCCTCAGGCCGAGTGAGACAATGTCTTGGATGACAAATGACGGAACGTTGTGGTCGGATCACTCGCACTAGTCGCCCAGGGCGCGGAACCAATGGTGGCTACTGATATTGAAGCAGTCTAGCGCGATGACAACCCTGTCTTCGGAGATAATTCTGAAAAGAGAGACTAACGCTGAATGCACTCGTTTAGAACAATGGGAGTCGCTTCAGCTTGCTTGACTAGCAGCCATTCCGTGGCTTCCGCCCCCACGGCGCACCATGCACGCTAGGCCGCTCCCGACAAGCGAGCCATCTCGCAGCACGCGCCCCCCCACCCGTGTGGGGTTGACGTGGTGGTGCCAGACTGGAAGCGCACGGGCCGGATGCGAAAATTTTCCCCAGTCAGGTTGCGTCCGCAGGTGTCGGAGATAGACGGTAGGCTGCTGCCCAGACTACCAGAAAAAACCCATACTACTGGTGACTCACCATAATACATGCCAACACATCCCCTTCTACCCATGCGTAGCCCAACATCCGAACTACCGTACCTGTTCCCCCATCCTCTACCTATACATTCTTCAAAGCCCTTACCACCATAGTCTCTCCCCCGACGGACCCTTAGTAATCTTTTCGCGGTTGCACCAATCGCTCCTGCACACAGTCCATTAGCCTTCAGCCACTGAAACGGACTCCGCAAAAACAGCAAACCCTCCATCCTGTTCTTCTCCGTGCCACGCCATCCGCTGCCTATCGATCCACCTCCGCCACCGTCCCTCCTCCACCATGGCGTCCGTGAAACATGAAGTCAAAGACACAACTGAAGTGTCGCCCGCGCCAGCAGACGACCCAGGCTCCGAAAAGCTCACTGACGCCGAAGTGTTGGCCCAAAGCGCCAAAAAAAACCAGAAAGCGCCCGAAAAGCCCAAGACTTTCACCATCAAGTATAAGCGTCCGCGGGGCAGCAGGGCCTGTACTGTTTGCCGGTCAAGAAAGGTCAGGTGTGACGCAGAAATCCACATTCCTTGCACCAATTGTATCACTTTCGGGTGTGACTGCGTGTTGCCAGAAGCCAAGAAGCGCAGCAACCCGTCACAGGACCTGCGTCCTAAGCGCAAGCAGACACTTCCCGTGACCAAGAAGGAACGGTCGCGAGGCGCCGACTCCGAAGGGGAGTCAGACCTGCGCGAGCATCTCACCACCAAGTCCGACGACACCAGCAATGAAACCATCCTCAACATCTCGCAGATCAGCTTGCCGCCATCCCTTACCTCCAGCTACAAGTCGCGGCCCACCATGCACAAAAAGGAGATGTTGAACTCGAAATCGCCCACCGCAGCCCTCACGTTCTTGGGATCGTCGTCCATAGGTGCCATCGCCCAGAAGGTGGACGAGAACCACGTCCAGTTGACTGCAGACGTGTTCGACTTTGGCGACGATGCCTTGGACTCGGTGGAGTTGGAGATCTTGAAGTTGCGTGGGGCGTTCTTGTTGCCCAGCCATGATTTGGCTCTCGACATAATCAACTCGTACTTCGAGCACGTCCACCCGTTGATGCCGGTGATCAACCGCACCGAGTTCATGCGCAAGTTCGAGGATCCCGACGACAACCCCTCGTTGATGCTCTTGCAGTCGGTATTGTTGTGTGGAAGCAGAGTGTCCAAGAACCCCCTCTTAATGGACCACAACAACTCCACAATGTTGGCCTCCTTGACTTTCTTCAGAAGAGCAAAGGCCTTGTATGAAGCCAGCTACGAAAGCGACCCAGTTTCGGTGTTGCAGACCCTCCTTCTTGTTGGTTCATTCTGGGAAGGCCCGGAAGACGTCACCAAAAACTCCTACTACTGGACGAAGGTGGCCATTGCGTTGGCCCAAGGCTATGGTTTCCAGAGAGATATCAGCAATTCAAAGACCCTCAGTAATTCCGATAAGAAAATCTGGAGAAGAGTGTGGTGGTGCTTGTTTGAAAAGGATCGTAATGTGGCCATTGCTTTCGGTAGACCTGCGGCCATCGACTTGAACGATTGTGATGTGCCCATGTTGACCTTGGAAGATTTTGACGAAAACGACAACGAGTTGGGAATTAAATCGCCTTATCCGGTGAATGAAACCCAGGCTCTTTACTTTATCCACTTGGTCAAGTTAGCTGAAATCACAGGAATTATCATCAAACACCAATACTCAGTGAAATCTGAGCAATTAAAAAGAAAGAATAAATTCTCAATTATTCAACACTGTGATATGTTGATGGGTATATGGTTCACAAATCTTCCTCCTCAATTGGTATTTTCGGTTAATGATACTTCGAATCAAAACTTCTATTGTTGTCTATTGAACGCTCAATACTACAACAGATTGTACTTAATCCACAGATCCAACTTGATTAGAATGGCTAAGTCTTCGTCAACCAATCCAAACAATTACAGGTATCCTTCTTGGGGTATTTCTTTCCAGGCCGCAAGAATGATTTCAATGGTTTCAAAAATCTTATATGAACGTGACCAAGTTAAATACTGCCCTGTGATGTTCGTCTACATCTTGTTCAGTGCGTTAATGATGTTGATTTATCATGTCGATTCTGCCAATCAAGTTGTTGCGGTCACTGCTTCTGACTCTTTGTTCGTGACCAAGAATGTGTTACGTGAGTTAGCCAAATATTGGCCAGTAGCTAGAGTCTTAAACAAGTTGTTTGACAAATACGCCAACGATAAGATCAAGAGAGCCAAGGTAATTGAAAACGGAACTAAGATTGCCGAATACCAAGAGCTCAACGCTAACATCAAAGCCATGAAGAGAGAGAATAGTATTAATGACTATTACACCGAGAAGAATAACAACAACCCCACTAATAATCAAACTGGAAGTCCACTTTCGAAGCCCAATTTCACATCCCCTTTCAACTACAATAATAATAAGAGCTACACAAGAGAGAGAGGATCTCCTTCTGCCTCGGTAACATCTGGTATTTCGCCGGGCGGTGCTTTGTATGATTATTCGAAACAGCAGATCACGTCATCAAATCAACCATCCGCGCAAAATCCTACTTCTGATCAAGCTAATTTTGAAGAGCTAGTGCAGAAGTTCAAGCAGCCAAAGAAGCATCATGTTGAATACCATGAGATGTTAGATACCACAGCAAGTAAGATTTCGGATGATACTTCGCCAACTTCATCTGCTCATTCGTTCCCTGACATTTCTTTGGTGACGGAAACAATGCCCGCCAACTCTAATTTCTTTGAAAACTTCGAACCTACTCAATTATTCCCAGAACACAGAACTAGTGCACCTCCAACAAGAGCTCAGTCTCCACAGATTGTCACCGACACTAGCATGGGAGACCCACTGAACGGAAATGAATATAGCAATGGTCAACAAGATCAATTCATGGGAGGGGAAAATCCATATCCTCCTACTACCCCCGGTGGAACCTTGAATACAAACTTCATCGATAGTTCGTTCATCAATATGAACTTGCAATCAGGATTCGATAGCAGTTACTTTGGAGATGACGTGGGATCGATGTTTAGTATGCCTCACTGAAAAACGAAAAACTAATAGACTATTATGCTGTGCTAAGACCCATTGACTTTTGATTTTAATATACGTCCTAATTGTGTTAGCTATACTATTTCTCTATAAAACTAAGCTTCAAGGAACTCCGGTTGTTCGATTTCGCTCTGCGACAATTCGATCAACTATTAACCTGATGAAGATTTTTACCAGAGCCTTTTCGATTTCTTACCCTTATGCTTCACCTTCTTCAAGTTTTCCAATATTTCCTCTCTTCGTAACTTTTGACTGTAACCTATGAAGTTTTGAACTACCGATTCGTAGATGTCGAAGTTGTTTCGCAAATCCTTCAAGTGGCCATTCCAGATACTGCTGAGGGTCAACAACTCATCGTAATTAGCCTGGAATTGCTTGAGTTTTGAGTCCAATGCATCGTCACTGCTGGAGCTTTCCAAATATTGCCTGGTGGAGTTGTTCAAATTGTCTCGTTCTATTCTTGAAAGCGTTTGGGACGTAGAGTTCAATAAGTTGACCTTCTCTTCACCTGTGAGCTTCAACGATTCAAACTCAGGAATATCAAATCCGTCCCAATTTATGTCATCTGCATTTATGGACTTCTTCCTTTGGTGGGTATGTTTGATTTCAAGGTGGGACCTTTTGTCGGTGTCGTGTTTATCGTCTGATATTTCATCCAAATTGATGGGTATGCCCAATTTGATCAACAAATTGTGACGTATCTTCAGTTTTTTCCAATTGGGTGGCTTTAAATGGGGCAACGTCGCCAACTCTGTGAATATCTCGAGAGATCTGTCGGAGAGGAATGCATTGGAAGACGACGCATGATCTTCTTTTGCCGTCGCCTGGGGGAAAATTGTGTCCAAAACCAGCTCGAGCCTTTCCTGAAACAACTGTGGGTCCTCAAGCACCTGTTCGTCGAAAGCTGCTTGGTCTGTCGCAGCAGGCTCTGGTTGTAGTTGCAGCAGGTCGTTTTCGAAAGAAACATCATCAAACGACCCAAAATCGCTGTCGCCGTCATCATTGGCCTCGTTAAAGTCGTCAAAGTCGTCATCCTCCTCGTCTTCGTCACTTGCTTCCATATAGTCCTGGAGTTCTTGCTGAATGTCTTCGAGGGTGCTGTTGCCAGAAATGTGTCCATTGGCGTCCACAGAAGGTGCTGCCAAGTTGTGGTCAGAAGTGTCCTGTAAGGGTATAGGTTGTTTGCCAGCTATGTCGTTTTCCTCTGCCATAGTGCCTGGACCCAGTTCGGAGTTTGGAATAGTAGTTTTCACATTTAGATCAATCGCGTTCTGAAGTCATGTGACGCGGTTTGTTAGTCATTGCTTAGTTGCAAAGTCTGAGTAAGAGTCACCCAACCGGGGTCTACAGAGGAAAAATCTCTATATAAAGCCCAAAGTCTGCCTGTCCTTGAGCTGAGCTTTGCATCATCTACATTTCCAATAAAAGTGAGCAGTCGACCTCTCACTGATAAAGAGATACTACGAGTCGTTAGCAGCATCTCCCATCACCACATAAAGCGTCCTATCGACCTTCACAAAGTCCAACAACGGCAGGATAAACGTAAGCTACTTATGGATACTGTGGTAATCTTCTCTATAGGCAATCCAGGGCCGGTAAACCGACACTCTGCTGGCCATTTGATGCTCCTGAAGTTGATGGAGCATTACGATGCTTCTCCGTTGGTGAAAGGCGGCAAAGGCAAGTACTCTTCGTCCCAGGTGGGCGAAGGAAGTGTGATCTTTGCCAAGTCCAACTGCTACATGAATGAGTCGGGCCAGGCACTCAAGGATTTCACAGCCTCAGAGAGGCTCAGTCTGGAGTCTATAATCGTGGTGCTTTACGACGACTTCGAAAACAAGCTAGGCAAAGTGAAGTTGTCGCCATTCAAGGCAAAGGAGTCGCACAACGGGCTCAAGAGCATCTACCAATTTTTGGGGCCATCACGCTACGAAAACTGCTTCAAGTTGGGTGTGGGAATCGGGCCCAAGCCATCAAACGCTTCCCGAGACTCCATGGCTTCGTGGGTGCTATCGGCGTTCAAAATGGACGAAAAACAGGTGCTAGTCACCGATGGGGTGGAATTGTTGGTGATGTACCTCCAAGAGTTTCTCGAACGAGATGGGCACATACCCGACTTTAACAAGTTCAATGCCCATATGACCAAGGTTTTCGCTGCTAGATAGAAACACCTACCTGAATTCATACAGCATACCATGAAATGTTACTTGGATAGGCATTGTGCTTTGATGTATGACTACAGTTTTCAAACCTCCCTATACTTCATGGACTCATTTTAATAATTAGACGCTCTACATACTGGGTTTTATAGATAATTGAAGCATGGTTATTGGTTTAGACTAACTTTTAAACATTCTTCATGCTGGGTACTTATAGAATAATGCTAACGAACACAGTCTAGTGTCTATGTAATAGTGTTTCTGCGATCCTTCGATCCATGATTTCCAGGAGAACGGAGTAGCAGGCTGAAAATGCTACCTTCTCCAGTATCGTCATCGTCAATGTTTTCACTCTCTTCACTAGACGAGGTAATGTCGTCATCGCCTGTGGATGGAAGATAATCCTCGTCCTGTTCCTCATCTTCTTCATCTTCGCTTCCAACTGGAAACATTTGAGTGCCCAATGATTGCATCAATGTTTTGCTGTCATATTCGCTCAGGTCACTTTCAAAATCATCATCTTCTTCATATTCCACGTTGTTAATCTGGAAATCATTGGTGGCTTCTGAGCTTTCAGAGACAACAGTATTAATCTTGGTGGATAACTTGGTGCTTTTCCTACCTCTCTCAATTGCCCTTTCAATGGTCAATCTGTGTTTAACGAAAAGTAGGCGAGGAAACATGGATCTTTCACCTTTAAGAATTAATTCTTGTAATTTCTCCTCGTCTGGATCGCTCAAAATGTACCAGAAATCCTTGAGCCTGATCCGAGGCCAAATAGTAATAGATCCTGAAAATCTTTGCAACCAAATATTCAGCCAATCCTGTTCCATGAAGTGAGGCAAAAGATCCAAAGTCTTCACTATCTGCAACCACTTTGTAATTTCTAACTTGAAAAGTTGTTCCAATGCTGTGGCAATGAATCCTCCTCTCAAGGACGCAAACTTCTCTTTGTGAGTCTTCCTTTTTGCCATTGCGACAGGTCTACCAACCGTGCCCTTTGGTGCAAAGAAAAACAACGAAATGTGAGGGTTGACTTGTGATACAATCGAAAAATTCACATTGTAATAAGTGTTAAGTGCTTCAACGGGAATATCTGTTCTTAACGATCCGTCTCTCCACTTGCTACCCAATGAGAACGGAATAACCTGTTTGTTGTTGGGATTCTTCATCATAAGTACTACTGGGTTTAAAATTCCAGGTACGGCTGAAGAAGCCAAAAGTGAAGACCAAATTATACAGTGAGGTGAAGTGATGTTATTGCAAAGAATAACAGGGGAGTGAGGATCACCCGGAACCGTGGAAATGTTCAACTTTCTACCTGTTCGTTTGTAGGCTTCTTCAAACGTGGTAGATCCTCTGGTAAAAAAGCTCGACTTCCTTGCCCAAGTAACCGCATCGAATCTTGCGCCTGTCTTGATAAACCTAGGTATCCAAATATACCATGGATCTTCACATGCGGTGATTTTTCTTGCTAGTTGGGGGACTAGCAATTTTTTCAACTCCTCATCAGTTCTTGTACATGTGAGAGCAGCAACCAAACCTCCGCCTGATGTACCTGACACTATAGATGGAAGTAAATTGTTGTCTTGTAAGGCTTTGACCAAGCCAAAATGGGTATATGCGAAACAGGCTCCTCCGCTTAGACAAAGAGCTGTTTTTCCGTAGTTTTTCAGCACGATCCGGAAAAACTTTCTTTTTGCTTCGAATGATACGCTTGTAGAGTTTGATATCTTATCTATGCATTGGGCCACCTCCTCGACGTATTCTTCGACCAACTTCTTGGTTCCGTAATAACGATGTGAATATAACTGTCTGTTCTCGATACCTGCGAAATTCTTTTTGAGACACCCTTGCAAGAAGACCATCAAATCTTTGTCGTCGTTTTCCTGGCGTAATCTTCTCAAGCGTGAAATGGTCAATGCTACTGTCTTGTAATCATAGTAGGAAAACTTGGGATTGGTCGACCACGAATCCAAGTTTAAGAACTTGTCCAACTCCAACGCACCTTTGATCCATTCTTCATAGGTGGTGGCCTGACGCAAGCGATCCCGCAACACCTTCCTCTCGCCTACCCAGGTAAAGAAGTACTCTGTGAGGGCAACGTAGATTCTGACGGAAACGTAGAGGAAGCATAAGAACAACACCCACCCGATAATGAACATGAGGACGGGCCACCTGAGAATGGAGTACGCTGAGCTTGAGCGAAACTCGTTGGGGATCTTCTTGGTGCTGCTCTTGCTGGCTTTGCGGGTGCGACGCTTGTACTTTCTGTGGGAGTTGGTGAGGGGATACCAGTCACTTTTGGAAGTAATCAAGTCAGGACGTTTGACAGGGCCCAAACCAGCCCCGATTTCTGCTGCTCTCATTGCGTTGGCATCCTTCTTGACATCCGAGGTCTCCTCGTGGTTATTCACCTCTTTCATGAGTCCCTTGGACGTCTGCGTGGTCCGACTGTTCCATTCTTCCTGCTCGTCTTGTTCCTCCCAGACTAGAGCTTTTGCAAAGGCATCAATATGCTCTTCGTCTATGTAGTCCAACTCCTCTTCAAACAACGGGATACGTCCGCGTTCTCCCGCTTGTAGCTCCGGTGAGTCTGATGTGGACATATTGCTCGAGCTGAAGGGGCCGTAGTTATGACGTTTTCTAAAAGGTCATGGATCTTTTGCTGTCAACTCCGATCAGTTATCTTTTGTTGGGCGCATTGTTTGCCATTTACGGTTGCGAACGGAATTGCTGGGTGGTGACGTTTCCTGTCAAAATGTACACGAAGAACTGGATAGCGGAGGTGCGTGTGTTGACAGCAGTGGTTCAGCAGTGATTAGTGTGTAGTTTCCAAGATCTCGGAGCCTTGGGGGCTTAGAAGTCTTGTTTTGGACACACAGTTCTCTGGATCAGAAATAGCGGAGTGGTGGGCACGTGATTACCTATGGTTATTTGAAATTGTGATCTTGCTGTGGCAAAAAGCGTGGCAGGGTGATCCCCTGGAGGGACTCTAGCATGTGCTACCTACTACTTGAAAAGATAAGATAAGGGAGGATGATGTCAATAAGTCTAATAGCCTTGATGAAAGACATACAATCGAGAATCCAAACAAGTTGTGAACATAAGCATCCTTTCCTACCAATTTGTAGCCAGCAGTAGGCTTTCTACCTTTGGGAGAACGAGCACGCGTCGTGAATGAACATTTCCGCATAAAAGAAAGCGATTTGTTGTTAAAGTTAAGAACCTTTGGTTTGCAAGTGGAAAACTACTACCATCTACTGTCTCGCGACTAATGTGCTAGAGATATTTCAAATACTGGTATCAATCCTTGAAAAAGACATCTGACTCAGCTCCCTGGCTACTGATCAGACCAAGTCATGCACATTCATAATCTCAATTTCTCCTCTTCTTATCTTCCACATTTTTCCAAAGTAAGATACATAATTCTCCATACGCTTTAACAACATAGTGGGGTCTTTTACTTGACCCTAAGGCTCCTATACGACATGATAGGAGTCATTTTAGCATCTCCTCAGCTAGTGTATATTCGCTCTTTTTTCCTTATGTCATAACTAACAGGTTGCGTAGTGTAGTGGTTATCACTTTCGGTTCTGATCCGAACAACCCCAGTTCGAATCCGGGCGTGACCTCTTTTTTTGCAAATATTTTCCCTGCAACTGGCATTACCTGACGGGCAAACAATGTTAGAGGTGGCTCGTTTGGCCATTGATACACTCCTCGGCCAAGTTCCCTTTCGTTTTGCTTGAGCTGCAGGGGAGTTGGTCGTATCACGTGTAAATGTTCTCATGAGGTACAATTAATGATTAAACGTGTGGCTGCGTAATATAGCATCATTTATACCTCAATGGCAGTCGACACTCTTGTTCTTGACATAGAAGGGACTATCTGTCCTATCACTTTTGTCAAGGATACTTTATTTCCTTACTTCTTGGAGAAATTGCCTGATTTCTTACAGTCTGTCAGTTTCCCATTGGATCAGAAAGGCGACGATGTGCAAAAGATCCTCCATGGTCTTCCTGAAGAAGTGAAGCATTCTCGTGAATCCTCCTTGGAGTACTTGGAAGGTCTTGTGAAGGCTGATGTCAAGGATCCAGTATTGAAGTCGTTACAAGGATACATATGGAAAACTGGATATGAAAGTGGAGAGTTGAAAGCTCCTATTTATGAGGATTCCATCAAGTTCATCAGAGAATATCCTTCCAAGAATACCAGGATTTATATCTACTCGTCAGGTAGTATCAAAGCACAAATCTTGCTCTTTGCCTATGTCAATGACAATGGCAAGTCAGTGGATCTCAACCCATTCTTATCGGGCTATTACGACATCACCACCGCAGGATTCAAGCAAGAGCTGACCTCGTACCAAACAATCTTGAAAGACATTTCTAGAGAAGATGATCCTGCTACGGTATTGTTTCTCAGTGACAACGTTGCAGAAGTCGAAGCAGCAAAGGCTAGCGGAATGCAGAGCTATATAGTCAAGAGACCAGGAAATGCCCCATTAACCAACGAGGATTTACAGAAGCACAAAGTGATCGAGTCTCTAGAGGAGTTGAATCTTGTTTGATAAAATGAGCAACTAAAATACTAATAGAATAATATTGTAGTCGTATAATTAGACCAAGACTATTGTTAAATCAAGTGTCTATTGAGACTAAGTGAATATGCACTTCAAAATTGGATTGATATAGATGGCGTTCCAATTCTGTCGGCAGATACATTTACCTCGTAGATGCATGCTAACGGTCAATATGACATTTGCTTCGTGTGAATTGATTTAAGACTAATGTACATACACTTTTACATATCTCTGAACAAGATATCAGCAGCAACTTCCTCGTTCTTGTCACAAGCCAAGTAAACCTGGATGACAATGTCACGTTCGAATCCCAATTCACAGAGTCTCTCTACAGCATTCTGGTCCTGTTCGGTGAGTGGAATACGCACCTGGCCCTCGGCCGCACCCTCTGCGTCTTCTCCTTCTATTTCAAATCCCAAGTCATCGCCTCCAGCACCCAAAAAGGTTCTTATGAATGCAGCTGGGTCTTGTTGGATCAAGGCAGCGATTTGAGGGTTCGATTGGGCCAATCTCTCCAACAACGGTTGCATCAATTCAGGGTCCGACTGTAAGGCTGCTCTCAACATTTCCATATCGTCACCTCCCAGTTCAGCGTCTCCGGAAGCACCACCATCGAGGTCTTGACCTTGGGCTTGGGCCGCGGCAGCAGCCTCAAATAAGTTTTCGCCGTGGTGGTCGTCTTCGTCGCGCGAGACGTCGGCATCTTGTGAGTATTCAGGTGGTGGGGCAACGGCAGAGGCTGCTGGTGGTGCTTGTAACGACTCTGGAATACCAGTCAACAAGTATTCGACGGCACGATGTGGGTTGTTGAAGGCAGCCCTCAAGGCAGCCTCGACTTGTGATCTTTCGTAGCCCATTTCCATGATGTTGGCGATGGTGGCTTCTCTTTCAGAGCCTTGGGCAAGAGCCGAGTTTGGGGCATCTGACGAAGCATCGCCAGATCCGCTGGGGGCATCGGTTGCTTCGGTTGTGCTGGTGGCAGCAGGGGCTGCTGGGGCTGCTGGCTCGGCTGCTGGGGCGGGAGTGGCCTTCTTGGCCTTGGAAATCATGAAAATGATGGAATCCCCTTCCTTGACCTTGACCTCTTCCAACGTTTTGTCGTCTTGCAAAACCTTTCCGGAATAGACAAACTTGAGTTGCGAAGCGTCCACGCCCTTCTCGGCGCCCAATTTCTCCTTGGTGGCCAACACAGAGTCCGACAACTCTACCTCGATAGGTATCTTTTGTTTCTTGAAGTCTTTGAAGATTATTTGCATTTGGGATCGTAAAGTTGTGTTTCAGCAGGCTTCCAAATACGGCGATGAGTAGGACACTTGGACTGGTTTCAACAAAAAGTGGCGGATGGTTGTGTGTTTCTGAACACTGGGATGTCACCAAGCTGATGGGCTCAAATGTAGTAGTGGCAATTCCGCGAGACCGGTCGTGCGCGGCCGCAATGTCATTTGGCTGTGAAGCCAGTGGTGATGGCAAAATCACCATCAGGTAGTTCTCTAGCCAGACACCATGTCCCGAAACAGAAAGTCGTCGGGGGTCAGAGGCCCCAACTCGGCGTTGACCGAGTTCTTGAAAAATGAGGGGATCACAGAAGGGTTCCGGAGAAGGAGAGAGGCACAAGCGTCCGAGAGTCCCCATCCACAGCAAGAGAGGTCTACGGAGCCGGAAAACGAGGACATATCGGAAGATCCCGAAGAGACAGTCTCGCCAGCAGGAGCAAGAATCCGCAGAGGTGTTGCCACAGAGTCCGACCAAGAAGAAGAGGCCATCCGAGCTGCTGGAAGGGCCAAAAGACGCGACGATTCCGACTTCGATCCTGAGTTCAGCGATGACGATTTGGACGCCAACGGAATCAAGAAGTTTGGCGAGGAGGACAACTGTGTCACTTGTGGGAAGGTGTTCAATTTGACGGTGTACTCTCGTTATCTCAGAGATCAACGCGGATATGTTTGTGAGACGTGTAACGAGACCATCAAAGCAAAAGAAAGAAATGCAAAGCGTAACCAAATGAGTTCGAGAAAGAAAAGAAAGAAGATCGCGCTGGCATTGTTGGACAAGCAGGTGGTTCGTATCCCAAAATTACAAGATATTTGCATCAAGAAAATTACCCTGAACATCGATGATGTTGAGGCCTTGGGAGATATCGGTCAAGTCAACATGAATAAAATCTCGAAAATCTTGTCGAAAAACAGATCTTTAAACAACTCTACAGTGTCGCTATTCTTGAATCCAAACTTAAAATCATTGGAGTTTTGGGATTGTTCGAATGTGGATTCCGACTCTTTGAACAGAATTGCATCTTATTGTCCTAATTTAGAGTCTTTGACCTTATTCATGTGTGGACAGTTACATAATGACAATCTCAAGTACTATACGACAAACTTGAAGAGTCTTTCGGAATTATCACTCAATGGTCCTTTCTTGATTAGTGACACCGTATGGCAGGAATACTTTGAACAAAGCGGATCTCAATTGACCAAGTTTGAAGTGCGAAACACGCATAGATTTCAAAATGATTCCTTGATCAGCTTACTCGAAAATTCGGGCCGTAACTTGACTTCCTTGAGGTTGTCCAGATTGGACGGATTGGACTCAAAGGACGTCTACGACTTGATACCTCATTATCTCGAACCTTCTAAATTAGAGCAGCTTGAGATCTCATACCCTTTCCAGGAGGATTTGGTGACCGATGATTTACTTATCAATATATTAGCTATTACTGGTGAAACAATAACTCATCTTAATTTGGATGGATGTTCTAACTTGACTGATCAATTTATCACTGATGGCCTTGCTAAGTTTTGTCCAAATTTGACCCATTTATCTATGAAAAACTTGGATCAAATAACTAATGAAGCCTTTGCGAGAGCTCTTGAAGAGTATTCTGCTGTCAATAGTGGTGGTTTGATTAGTGTTGATTTGACTAAGTGTACCGGTCTTGGAGACGAAGCTATTTACTCACTACTTAAACATTCTGGACATACTGTTGTCGAATTTAGTATCAATTCCTTATCCCTTCTTTCGAAGGACTTCTTGCTGCAACTATTCACAGAGGATCACCACCCTTATAAGAAAGGATTGAAGGAAAAGCTCGAGAAGCTTGAAAGTAATGGAACTAACGAAAATAACGAGGAAAATGACAATAATGAAACCCCATCCTACTATCCAAAGTTGAGTTTCCCGTTCTTGACAACAGCTGACTTCGGATTCGTGAGATCAGTTGACGATGAAATCTTGGAGCTAGTCGGAGAGTCTTGTCCAAAATTGTCCATCTTGGAAGTATATGGAAACAACAGGTGTACTTTCAGAGCCAACTTCAGAAAGGACCTCATGGTTATAGGTCGTCAAGGTGATGAAGTTTAGTTGTCATTAGGATAATGAATGGGCAAGCTTGCCTTTTCGACGTTTTTAAAGCTGGGGTATGGGGGAACGGTTAACCTTGGATCAGTGAGATCTATCATGTCACCCTCGTTCATGATCTTGTTGGTAATATCCGGAGTCGACTCTATAAAAATCCCTGGACTTCCAATATGTTTGTGAGTTATCTTTAACAACTCTTCCTCCTTGTTCACTGGTGAAATATTTTGTTTGGAGGACCTCAGGTCATCACCACGTTTTATACTATGGTTCTGGTTGGCGAGTGTTCTCCTTGCTGATTGGTTTTCAAGCAACGAATTGGAAGTTTCTGAGCCCTTGGATATCAATAATGTATCCAAGTTTGAATTTGATGGAAATATCTCTGAGAAGTTAGCGCAAACAATGTCATATGCCAAATCGACAAATGAATCAATGACTAGTTTAGGCAATTGAGTTTGGGTCCGTACGTAGTAGAACACTGTTTCAAAATTAGCAAAATCTCTCTGGGATATACCTTCGAACTCCATAAAATATCTCCAAAAGAATACTGACGTTTTGAACGCAATTTCTTGGGAGTATTTGTTGTAGAATTCCCTTAATTTAGGAACGTTGTCCTCAGAATAGCCCGTATGCTCAAGGTAAAACTTTACTACCAAGCATACTCCCTCGTTGTTTATCAATTGAAGTAGTTTGGTCTTGAATGATTTTGTGGCAATGTCTTCCTCTTCCGATTGACTGTCTAGGACCCGTTTCTTTTCATTTCTACTAGTAAAGTACTCTTCGATTATTTGAATGCATAGACTGGTAAACGAATCATTTGATAAGTGCTTCTCCCATAATTGAAGAATCGACCTCACGCTCTCGATATATGGCTGCTTCATGTAGCACGTTGCATTGGATCCAGATCCACTGCAAAACTTTATGAAATCAACTAGGAAGTCGTTAGCTTCATCAAATTTGTTGCGGCTAACCAAAAACCGGGCATAGTTGAAACGGATGAAGTTTTCATTTAAGGGAATGAATTTTGTAATTGCTCGAAGATATACCGGTTTCATCGCTTCCAATTTTGATTCCTCTGGCGTCACTTTATTTAAGAATGCAAGATATTTGAGCCAGATAGAACTGTTGAGACAGTGTGGAATTAGGCATCTTTCAAACAAGCTGATGATCGGTTTTATCGTTGCCGCCCCGTTGGACTCTAGCTCATATTGCTTGATTTCGTGATCCAAGTAAGTTTTCCAGCTGGTTAATTCGGAGGCCAAAGTGTCTTTTTCCGTCTTCAAATCGAAGTTGTGAATTGTGATTGAAGACTCAAACGCCCATTTGATGTTAACTGCCTGTTGAGTCTTGAGGAAAGTGGCATAGGTGTAGTCATCGATGATTTGGTGTTTCTCTATCAAGGACAACTCCTTCAGCGATGTCTTGCCAAACTTGGCCACGTAGTGCTCCAACTGGTCTTGGTCAAGAAGCTCGGCCACCTGAAAGCTTTTATTGATTTCGACGAATTGCTTGTAGTACTGAGCGTATTGATACAACGGAATCTGGGTCACCTGTTTGTAAACATGCAAGATTTCCGAGGAAGAAGGATCGATGGAGGCTTCGAAGTCGAGCACTTTGTCCCACAAAGGATGAGACGAGAATTGGTGGCCAATCAAGTCAATGGCACGGGAGTATTGGGCCCTTATCAATTGCAACTTCTCTCTGGATTTGGCGGACTCGTACTGGGAGATCAAGGCACTGATGTAGTCCACCCAGAGCTCGAGTGAGAATGGGTGGTTCTGGACCGAGTCTTCCAAGACTTTGATCGAGGACTCCACTCCGTTGATCTTGTACTCGAGAACCAGCCATAGTCTCCAATGCTCACTCAAGTACGGAAAACGCAGCAACAACGTCTCGAAAGTAGCGTGAATGGACTTCTTGAGCTCGTCTGTGATCTTTTCCGGATGTTTCGGGTCGTAATCCTCGTCTACTTTGTCCTGAAACGCTTTGAAAAGGGCATCCCAGTGGTGTATGTTCGTTTCGTCTTGAACGATCTTTTGCTTGAGGCTTGAGAACGGCGGCTCCAGGGTCACCTGGCCTTGGAGAAACGTCGGAAGGACTAGCCTCGTCATGGTGCTAGCTTGTGATGTAGATGTAGTTTGGATGTCGATTCTTGTGTCTGAGATGGAGATGTCGCAGAGAATATCAAATTCGGACAAAGACATAATCAAGCTGCAGTGAAAAGACAGAGACCAGAGACGGACTCGGCACAAGAACAAACAGGATAGGACACCAGACTGTCCATAGGTACCTCCAACCACACATACTCTTCATAGGAATTTCAGCTGCCAGAATTACCTTCACAAGACGCAGCATCATATTCAACTGTGGTAAGTTATTCCACCAGCATACCTCCAAATCGCTTCACAGCCACCGAATTAGAGCCCACTGCGCTCCGTTTACGGCATCAAATACCTAATCATACAATTTTCAACCCCAAAATCTCCAATCTCGTCGTAAGCACGCCTAAAATGTTTCCTGTCACTACAGTAGCACCATATGCATTGACTCCATCTAACAAGCTCTTGTCGGTGCTTAAGCCAATCCCTTCCATACCAGAGGATGCCATCCAGTCGGAAGTCAGAGCCACAATCCCAGTATTTGCCTCGGTGGACGTAAGTGAGATCATCAGCACAAACACTCACAAGCTCTTGACCAAAAAGTCACTTGAGTCGAAACAGTCCACTGCTGATGAGGAGCCTGTGGAAGATGCTGGCCAGGAAGACGAGCAGCCAGAGAAATACGTGGAGATTTCTTCATTGCTCCCTTCAAACAAAAAAGACCAACTCAGTATCGTTATCATCCAGAACTTTCCCAACTTGAGGAAAATCGCCATCGAAAAGATCCTTAATGTGCTCATAGCTCATCAATACCAGTGGTCTCATGTGAGTTACGACTTTCTAGACAGCAAGTTGGTGTACATCAAATTAAACCATTTAAAGGCGGTGAAACGCTTGTATTCCTTCAAAGACACCATACCGGAACTTTTCAAGTCAGCCACTATTTATTTTGATCCGGAAGTGGTGCCGTTGTTGGACAAGATTGATGTTGAAGTCAGTGACTCCAACGCCAAAAATGTCAGCGCTCGGGTCAACCAGATCTTACAGAGTAATATAGGCAAATCCTTGAAGTCGGGTACTGAAGATTTGGATGCGGTATTAAATTACTATAGTAAGTACAAAGTGGACAACAATGAATTGATTGATGTCCCCAATACCATGAAGGATATGATTGTCAAAGATATTATCAAATTTAGGTCCAAGGTGTTGATAATGGAAAGAGATAACCGAAAGAAGGAAATTGAACAAGAGAGAATCAAAACAAAAGAAAGATTGAAGCAAGTCTTCCAGGGACTACAGACTGAGGATGTGGTTATGGTGGATTCCTCAAGCTCTGATCTGGACAGCACGAAAATTAAGGAAGAACATGAAGATATGAATGAAGAACAATATGAACAGCATTTGATAGAACAAGAACAGGCAAACCTCGAGAAAACATATCAAGAAAAGCTCTTACAAATGAAAAAGTTGGAGAGCGAAAGAAATAGCCTTGAGCAAAAGCTCGACAAGCTAAAGAACTACGAGACCACCTTGATTGATAACAAGTTCAAATACATCGAAGACATAACATCTGTTCAAGATCAAGTCCAAGAATCAAAGCGTACTTTATCGACTGGTAACAGCTTGGCATCGCTCGTAGGTTTGTATTTTGCAGACCATTCTCAATATTTGAAGTTGAGAACCCAGAAAAGGGCGTATGAAGAGAGTCAGGACCAATTGGATAGAGAAGCAGAGGAGAAGGAAGTGCAATCGAATGAGCAAGCGACGCAGTTCATTGCCAGCATCAAGAAACCAAAAGTTGATTCACCAAAAGCTGCTAAAGAAGTCAATGTTGTCATCTCCGAGCTTCCAGGCGATGTCAACTCCAAGCTACAGTCCAAGATCGTGGAATTGGTGGAAGAGTATTTGGGTATCAAGGATACGCTCTTAATAGATGTCATCAATGAAAATTTGAAAGCGAATAACCTTGAAGGAAAACTGGATCTTGTTAACGATTTAACTGAAGTCTTGGATGATGATGCAGCTAATTTGGCAGATGATTTATGGGCTTTTATAGCTACTTTAGTATGATACAAATACAAAAATAATATATCTTTATTAATTCAGTATACTGATATAGAGAGAACGGAAAATAAAAACCATAACTTGGTTTAGTGGAATGACCGACAATTATATAAAGAATACTGATGCTAAGCAGTGATGCTTGTATGAGCTATCACCTTGTTCTGATGCAGTATTCTTTGCTGTTAATGTCAGTAGAATAACACCCACTGTACATGAAAACATGAAAACTGTCATGGACAATCGTAAAAAAACCAATCATTAATTCCAACCCAACGAGTTCGAAGCTTGCACAGGTTCACTGATTTGAACAGTTCTTGTTGGAGACCCAGCCTCAGAATCATAGTTGTTTAATCTGTTGAAAATAGAAATACCTGAAGTCTCTGTAGAGTTGTTGGATTGAACGCCAACATTGGATTCAGAGTCAGATGGTGGTAATTCAATGGTCTTAGAGTTCTTTTTGTATCTCTTGAATAACAACAACATCAAGGTCATATACAAACCACATCCAGCTGCTGCACCAATAGTAATTCCAGAAATTCTAGCTTTATCAACAGCGTTGCCGTTTCCATTTGCTTGATCGATGGACCCGTTGTTCAGTGATCCGTTGCCACCGTTAGAACCAGAACCCTTAGTTGCACTGTCTGATGTATCTAAACCAGTCAATGGGATTCTGCTGTCAATGAGACTAGCCACCGAATTCAAAGTTGGTTTAGGATTTCTGTACAAGAGCGATTGGGAATCTTGTACCAAGTTACCCAATGCCTTTACCGAATCAGATGGGAAGTAAACCTCGGCGACGGTGATAGTGTATGGGATCCCAGCCGCAGTGAATGGAATTAATCTCTTGACAGAAACATCACTGTAATCATCTGAGTTGCTGAATGGATAAGTCAAGACTTGAGGCAAGTATTGGAAAATCTGAGCAGAAGAGAGCGAGTGTGAAACAATCCATGGATAGTTCAACTCCGATTTGAAACCAATGTAAACAACTTCGTAGTTACTTCCTGGAGTGGAAGTAGTAGCAGGGGTGATTGCTTTTGGTAATCCGGAAGTTTCAGCAGATGTGGCAGTAGCTCTAGCAATAGTCTCAGTGGCAGTGGCAGCGGTACTGGTCTGCTCAATGATCAATGTACTAGGCAACCAGTCACTATCACCAGCTGGTGCAGTGGTACTGCTTGAAGCTGGTGCTGGTGGAAGAGTGGTAGAAGCTGCTGCAGATGGTACTTCAGACGCAACAACTGAACTGGCTAGCTCTGGAGCAGGAGAAGCAATCGACGTCACAGAAGGTTCAGCAGTAGCAGAAGTTTCAACACTTGCTGAAGAGCTTTGTTCTTCAGCTTGACTCTCTGGGGAGGCAGATGAAGAAGCGACAATAGTAGTCGATGGAGATTCAGAACTGAGTTCAGAAGTCACTGGAACAGCAGATGAGAGTGGTGCTGATGAATCACTAGTCACCTGTGAAGAAGTAGGTTCTGGTGCTGAAACTGTAGACAAAGATTCAGTTGCTGAGGCCAGTGATACTGGTGCTGGCTCACTGCTTGAAGGAACTGCCGAAGAACTTGCCAAAGATTCCGAAGTGCTTGGACCAGGAACCAAAGTCTCTGAGCTAACCGGAGTTGCACTTGATTCAGTCACTACAGATGATTCCGGGAACAGTGAAGTTGAAGGAACTGCTGAGGAAACGGGGATTGGTACCGTGCTCAGCACATCTGAAGAAGAAGGAATTGGTGTGGAAGACTCGATTGGAAGAGATGATTCGGTTGGAGTGACCACTGGAACAGAAGATGACTCAATTGGAGTAACCACTGGAGTAGAAGAAGATTCAACAGGGGTGGTCACTGGAATTGAGGATGATTCGACTGGAGTAGTCACTGGAATTGAGGACGATTCGACTGGAGTGGTCACTGGAATTGAAGACGAAGGCACGGAAGAATCGATGGATGAAGTGACTGGGGCTGCAGAAGAAATCTCACTCGAAGATGGAATGACAATTGGGGTTTCAGAAGAAGCAGTGGTTGGGGCAGCAGATGATTGAGATTCCACTGGGGTGGAGGTTGGGGATTCTACTGGGGAAGTTGACACTGCTGGAGCTGAGGAGGGAGCTGCTGACGACTCGACTGGAGATGGAGCTGCTGAAGACTCAACTGGGGATGGAGCTGCTGAAGAAGTCAAATCAGTGGTAGTTGGTTCGACGGGGGATGACGAAACAGATGCGGATGATGGTGCAACTGGGAAGGTTGTAGCAGAAGGAGCTGCTGAAGAAGGTGAACTCTCAACTGGGGCTGAAGATGCAGCCACTGAAGACTCTGAAGGAGAAACCAACACAGTCGAGGAAACAGCACTAGAAAACTCCGAAGAGGTGGTTATTCCAATCTCAAGTGGGTTCTTGAATGTAGGAGTGTTCGAAGCGGTGGAAGGAGTGGCCAAAGCCGTGGAGGACTCTGGACTGGTTTCCGGGGTGGTTTCTTTGGAGGTTTCTCTAGTGGTTTCTCTAGTGGTCTCCGGGGTGGTTTCTTTGGTGGTTTCTTTGGTGGCTTCACGGCTCTCTTCACCAGTTGATGGAGCATTCCTTGTACTCGTGGTAGGGGTATTTTCTGGAGTAGACTCTTGAGTAGTTCCACGGGTGGTTACAGGGGAAGTGCCTGGTGTGGTTTCTGGTGTGGTTTCTGAGGTAGTTCCTGGAGTGGTTCCTGGAGTGGTTCCTGGAGTGGTTCCTGGAGTGGTTCCTGGGGCACTTGATTCAACAGGCACTTCATCAGAGATATGTGGTGTGTGGGGGGTGTTGGCAGTGTTTGGAGCCGATGAGCCACTGGATGGAGCTTCTTCAGAGGTAGGCTTGCCCTGGGTTGATGGGGTTTGAGTGGTAGGGGTCTGAGTCACCTGGTCCGAAGTTCTTGGGAAAACTGGCGACAGAGTATCGTCAGGGGTATTTCTAGAGGTATCGGAGGTACCTGGGCCGGTGCTGGATGCAGGGGACGAGCCTCTGTTGGTAGAAGAAGGCACAGGAGCCGCAGAAGACGAGGAGGTAGCACCATCGTTCTGGGAAGGAGTGGATGGGAACAAACCACCCAAGAAGCTCGAGCCGTCGAAGAGGCCTCTTCTGGTGGAGCTGGAGGTTTCAGGGGCGGAATCGGGAGTGGATCTCTCGGTTCTGTCGTTTCTGTTGGAGTTCACGCTGGAGGTTTCAGGAAAGGATTCTGGAGTGGATCTCTCGGTTCTGTCGTTTCTGTTGGAGTTCACGCTGGAGAGCTGGGCCAAGGCCGTGGGGGTGGCGCTCACGAGGGTGGTGTTGCTGGCATCAGCGCACACCGAATTGAGGAAGGACAAAACAAGCACGGACGTAACCACGTTCAATTTCAAGTTGGCCAACATGGTGTAGGGGTATCGTAAAGGGGGGAATCTGAAGTGAAGGACGGAAAGAAGGACTGTAGTTAGGATAAAATCAAACTAGGCTGGAGGAAGGGACCAAAAACAAATCACTGAGCGGCTAGCAGGTTCAGTACAACGGGCGATGGGACGCTGGCGTGTTCATGAAAGGGCTGGCAGCACGTTGGGAAGCGAGGGACAACGGGACTGGGGGAGTCTTGGTGGGATAAGGCTTCCAGGGCGGGAACCAGACGGGAACCAGAGTCAGGAGTGGGCGGTTAAGGTTGCTAGCACAAGTGACGGTGGTGGCGGAGGTTCACGGGTGGACGGTTCACGGATGGAGGGGACGTGTGGGGGCGGTGGTGAACCTGAAATGGAGAGTATTGGCCTTGGAACCGTAGAGAAGCTGTTGGTAACCAATATATATAAAAGAGGCAGTTTTTGGGTGGGATAAAAAGTGGATACAAAGGACGTGACACAAAGGGCGGCAGGCGAAAAGAAAGCACGCTTATGTAAACCCGCGCACATGTCATTGTTAGTACATTTCTGTCTAAAACAGCTTGAGACGAGCGACGGCAGGGACACGTCTGGGAGGGTGGTGAGGTGCGTCGTCTAGAGGGTAAACAAACAGCGGGAGGTGGGAGGGCTTGAGGAGGGGGGATGAGTTACGGATGTTCCAGGGAAGTGCCTGAGCGGTACGGATGTGAGAGGAGTGTGTGAGAGGTACGGATGTTGGAGTGTTGCTGCGATGGCCGTGGCGAGGACTACAAGATCGGCACCCTGCGCAGGTGGGACCTTATCACGCCAGTGCAAAATAATTCAGGCACCAGCTGAGCGGTGCGGGCGGGTGTCGCTTATAGTTGTGTGGGCCAATGGCATCGCCGGCGCCTGGCTGGCACTGGCGATTGGCAGTATTTTGTGCGCGCGTCGCAGGATGGGGATGCGGACGCCGCATGGGAGTGTTGACAATGTGGCCCAAACGATGCGGTTCTAGACCGATTCGAGATCGGGGACGGTCTGTGTGCAGGGGTTGCGAAGACCTCGAATTGGGTGACAACTGGCATATTCGGGTGGCCCGATGCGAGGGGAGGCTGTTCCACGCATGCCTGGAGACGAGCCTCCGGCACTTGGCACGAGCGTGTCAGAGGGGTCCTGGTGATGTTGGTGCCGCTGGTGCTGCTGCTGGTGCTACTGGTGGTGTGACAGATGGTGCGACCGTGGTGCAGATATGTAGGTGGCAAGGCACGCTTGGTGCGCCAGCCGCAGGCCTGCACAGGTATATCCGCTGCGGATTCGCTGGACTAGCAGTTGCAAATGTGGGGGCACTATCAGGCCAGTTGTGCGGGCGTAGCTCCAACATGGAGGGCCATCGAGATCTCCTCGGATCTCTTGTATTGGGAGGGTGAGTGAATTTACTGGGCAGTTTTTTAGAAGGACTCTTTGTCCTAAGGATTGAGTTTTGGTGAGTCCCTTCAGAATTTGATCAGTTCAGATCTGTATGAAAGGTCCCAGTTGCAGTAAAGGTATATCGGTTGAGTATTGGTAAAGGTTATCGTTTCAGTAGTAGGTTTATCGCTTCAGTATCTGTATGTAATGTCCTAGAGAATTACAGTAAAGGTTTATCGGTTCAGTATTGGTAAAGGTTTATCGCTCCAGTATCTGTGTTTAAGGTCCCAGAGTATTGATGTATGGGTTTTGGAGCCGACTCTATAACTGGTTCTATTCTCCATCATCCTAGATACGGATTTTTAATGTGCATACAACATGGTCAATTTCGAAGCTAGAAGCAATAATCCCCGTTTCATGACAATATCCCTAGTCGATGGAAGCCTGGGGCATTATCTCAGTTGCATATAAAATACTCTTAGAGGAAAGCAAATTGATACTTGAAGCGTATCAGCCAAATTTCAGTCTTGATAGCCGTCGTGTTGGGAGCATTAAATTAGTGCTGTGGAGCCAGTCGTTTTGCAAAGTTATCAGCTCCCTTTTTCAAACAATTGAAAGTCACAGAAACATCCACAACATCCGTATCCAGGATTTCGCCAGTATTTTGGATGATTGTTCCTTAGTCAATATAAATTATTTACTGCGAATGGCTATCATAATCGCTACTTTGCAGTTCCTTTGGCTGGCTGTGGTTTCGAGGCTCGAGTATTGTTATGGCACAAACTACTTAGTCGTGGCCGCTAATAAACGCTCTTATCCACCTCTGGAAGCAGAGTTATTAGAAGCAAACCCTCGCTCTTAGTAATGGCTAAATCCGCACTTCTTCAATATCTTTCTGAATCGGCCATATGCACTCCTCCAATCCTGCTAACATGTCCCGGCTCCGTAAGCTCGACAGAGCGGTGCTTGACACCTCCAGCGAGCTCCTCGACTCCGACGACCAGGCGGCGTTGATCGATCGCCTCTCAACAGAAAACATTCACTCCTACGCCTCCGGCAAGCGGTACCTCTCGCTTGCCCTTCTCGTACAGCTCCCTGTGGTGATGTACTTGGAGCATCACCACAACCCGCAGGCTGCACATGCCCATTTGCGGGTGCTCCTCATCTTGCTCTCCAACGTACTCACTCTCGTCAATCTCCGTGAGTTTGCCGTAGGAGTGGCGTCGCCAGTGCCGATTGCAGTGCCTGTTATAGTTGACGTGGTCAATGGCATCATCTGCTGCCAGCTCCTCTATTCGCTTGGTGCTGGCTGGTCGCTCGAGAAGCTCTACTATCTACTTCCATCCATCAACCTCGGCAGTCTCGTGCTCTTCCGGTGGTGGTACGTCAGTACCATCCACGAGGTGGAGGCGTTGGGCAAGCTCACCTACAAGTACAAAACTGTGTGAGAGAAGGCAGTCCGCCAGAGATCATAATATCCATCGGCTATTAAAGGAATAAGCTACTATATCCATCAGCTAATTATCTTTAGCGACACTAACTGGGTGAGTCACTTGCTACTAGGTAATACTTGTGAGAATTGAATTGCCAATCCCCAGAACAGCTAATCACAGAGTCACAGCCACAATAAGATTCACAAGAAAGAGCTCCTGTCAACGTTACGTGAAAATAGAATCGAAAATCCTGGTAATATATTTGTTAGGTTGTTAGCCAGGATAATGATGACTTGTCACAGAACCTTGCAATCTTGGGAAACAACTCAAAAGTTTACACAGGTAAATTTTTAGAGGGTATTAGATCAGCAGGGGTTGAATCTTCTGTGAGTTTGGATAGTATAAACGATATAAGAGTAGTCCAATCATAATGGATGTTCCACCATTCAATTCTAAGAGAATGTTAGGATGAATAGCCTACTTGGGAATACCATCAAGATTAAGACCCACTTCAATGAGTAGACCCTGCGTGGTGACTCTAGAAAAATACTGGCGAATTACAGTGTGTGATGTACGTAAGCTAGCTTGTGCTATATAAAGCTCAATAATTACGAGCTCAATGGTAGAGTAGTCCACTCATAATGGATGTTCCAAGGTTCAATTCTAAGTAATTCAAGTAATAATAAAAAAGGAGAATGTTAGGACGGATAGCCCACTTGGGAAACCTCTATTTTGGAAGGGTGTACTTGTACAGGAAGGTCCCACAGCAAGTTGCGTAGACATCTAGCTGGTTCGAATTAATGCTAGGTATAAATATACTACATGCGAGTTTATAAATGATGGTTCCAGATTTATGCATTAGCGGGCTCATACTTCTGGAGTCCACTTCATACTGAGTTGATACTTGTGCAACTAGTATCCTTGTGAAATTTGACCACCCAGGGCACTGAAGTGTGTTCTGGAGTCCACTTGAGTGGCATCTGTACTCCATCAAAAACTAGTGGAGTCCAGCGCAATTCCACTGAGTGTCACACTTCATTACGAGAAGTTATAGTTCTGTTTGCGGTTATACTAAAATTATTGGTATTAGAACGGACCTGTAGGATGGTGTAGCCTACTGGAATACTCGTGCATATTTTTGCTTTGCATGGCATACTTCTGGTGTCTCTGAGCTAAAATTGTGATTCCTCTGATCCCATCCGTACTACCATACCCTCCTAGGTCATCTAGCCACAACCCCGGTCTTCATACTAGATGAAACGACCCTGGATGACATTATCTGACGTGACATTTACATGACTTTTACCACCCCGACAGTGCGTGGCTGAAGAATTTGCAGTTTACATCTGGGTGACCCACCCCACAACTTGCCCCAGCCCAAAGCTGTCACCCAGATGTCCCAGATGTCCCAAATGTGTCATCACTCGCTCCTCGCCACCAGAGAGCCCGATTCCGCCGTCAATGATCTCTTCTGTAGCTGTGATGATGTAATTCGCTACTCAGATTGCTCACCTACATCTTTGCAATTTTCGTAAGAAATGTACAATTTTGGGACAAGATTATTTTGCTGGTGCACTAATTCCAACTGTAGCTTGCCTCCCAGACAAAAACTAGACGAGGTGGATGTATGTGGGCAGCGACGAGCCGAGTTGGCATATGTTTGTTAGCCCGCTAGAAGTGTGGTGGAAAGTGTGGTTGCTCCAGTACCAGAACCTGTGGCTCCAGGACTGGGTGGTGGGGCAGTTTCAGGGCAGTCAGGCTCGGTTCTCAGACTCGGTTCCAGCCCCAGTAAGTGCGTGGGGTGTGTCATGAGGCAACCCTCTTTTCCGGATTTAGTCTGCCCAATGCGGAAGTTGTCCTGCGAGTGAACGAAAATTTTCACTACCTGAGATTTCAGGGTCTCGCAAATGGTTCGAATTTTAGGCGGTGCATGGCGCTAGGGAGTCGTTTCATCTGAGCCATGTAGAGGGTGAGATCACCGTCTGCACGGGACGGGAGTGAACCACAGTCACTCAGGGCATCGCAGGACTATTGGCTCTAAAACGGCACAACACCTCCAGCGCTGACAAGACGTTTGCCGTGCTTGGTGGCCTGACGCACCCTGCACCTCACAAAGTTTCGCTGTGGGGTTGTGCCGCCTGGCACACCACTTCTGGTATGAGGGTGGTCGTCAGACTCACCCAAGGCGATCATGCTCATGGTCCTGGCCCGTTCGTCCAGAAGCGGAGAGTGATCATTATTTATCAAATAGACAAACAGGGAGGGGAAAGGCCGCTAGCGGGAATCGTTTGGCTCCATTACCGACTACGGTTTTCGCGGGGTGACTGGTGCATAATATGCATAATGTTTACCCAGTAGCAGGTTGCTGCGGGCAGCGTCGGTACCGAAAGCTGCAGCGCGCACCGTGCACGGTGGTAGCGCCCGGGGGACGAGGGGGTCCTGGTAAGACAGCCATTAGCCGGGGTCGGCAGTGTGGCATTGGTACCAGTTCCAAAGCCTGCCAATGCCGCCTCCATGCCCAGAACTACGATCCGGCCCCGATCAATCGCTTCCAAGCCGCCCGTGGTGACACCACCAGCAAGTGAGCGAGCCCAGCAAGCATGTCCGGCTCGCTGGGCGATCTCCGCTTCGCGCTTCCAGCTTTCCCGCCGAGCACGTGAGTGTCGGTGCGAGGGCACCATAACCAGATCTAACTATAAACGAATTATACAAAGAGCAACCCGTAACTGGAACACATGCACTCGCGCTGCCAGTATGGAACCATGCTTGCAGGAGTCTAGCTATAGCGTGCACCGCAGGCCCATGGTATCCGGACACAGGGCCATGCACATACACCTGCATTTTTTGTCGTGTCGGAGCAGCGGCTGTGGGGGGTCACAACTCTCTAGAATCTGCTAGTGGATCTCCGACCGTTCCACACCGTTCCACACCGTTCCAACAGTAGCGAAGCGCCCGGAATCAAATGACTTGCATACAGGGCAAGCTCTGGCGTAATGGGAGCCATGGAAAAGTTTTCACCAACACTGGCGATGATCTCGTCTCCCCGTCAGTCCATCGGGTAGCCCCACAGCCTTTCGTGTAGCATGGATGGTCGTCTGGGTTGCCCCAGCGAGACTGGTCGCTTCGCACTGGAGATCGCGAGCGGTGTTGATGCCAGCCAGAGCGACAAAAATAGCGCGGGCAAGAGATTTCTCGCTAGGCACCGCGGTGCAAGGCTCCGCCAAGGTTCTGGAATCAAGGCTGGAACCATCCAGCAGACAGAGGTTTGGGCAGTCTAGACACTGGTAAGGGGCCAGGGTGGCTCCAGCTGCCACGTAGCAGACGACTGGCACCATGGCGGCACGGTGGCGGCATGGTGGCGACACTATGGCGGTGTTGTAGAGAGACCAACAAGAGGCGTAGTAGGACGTCGACCACGTTGGGTGTTGGGTGATGGGGGAGGGGGTACCACGGTGGTGGCAGCTGGCCCCACGAGTCCCACCACGAGGTGCCGAGCATCGCGGTAAAAATTTTGTTGTGTCCTAATAACACGTGTGGGGGAGAGGGAGGTGCTGGTTAGAGGGGTGGCAAGTGTCTGGCGATGGACGCCAGATACGCCCACCACCGCATTAACGGGAAAAGTCCAAACATGCATCTAGTCCAGGGTGACGTAAAGTTGGGTGTGGCAACTTGGGGCATAACTATCAATAGCCCCAAAAACCCGCGGTAACAGGACTTAGTGAGAATTTTTTACTGGTTGCTAAACACTGCAAATTGCTCATACACCACAATTTGCTGCAACTGGAATATATAAATATGGTTAACCGCTCTTATCCTAGCCCTCCGAAAACCATTCCTATCGAAAGACATTTCCATCCCCTCTATAGTCCGACACTACGCCAATCATGTCTGATTTGGCCTTCAACAACTACTGCATTACCTGTGATCAGTTGTGCTCCCACAACTCGATCTACTGTTCGGAATCGTGCAAGACGGTGGATGAACAACAATCATCGCATATAATACATCGTCACGAGGACTCGCCTTCGGCCACCACTTCCGAGGAGTTGGTGTCGCCCTTGTTAGCCCCCAACATGTACCAGCACTACAACGGCAGCCAGTCGTACGGGCAAGACTTGTCCAAGTCGCCCTTGCTCCTTCCCTCCAACTACTATACCACCTCCAGCGGCGAGGACTCCAACAGGGACTTGGACTACTTCGACTTGAACTACTCGGTGCAGTCCAACACCAACTACGCGTTGGCCAACACCAGTGCCAGCTCCGAGTTGTTGAGCAGCATTCCTTCCACCAGCCACAACTACAGAAAGTGGTTGACTGCTTGCTTGTAGCGGGCGCTTCATCATGCCGTTTATGTTGTTTACGAGATTTTATTTATTGGGTTAGCTACGGGTTTTAGCTATATTATTTGCTGTTATAGAGAATATCATATTCATAGTCATTACATAATCATCCTCACCCATGTGTAGTTTGGGCCCGGCGTGGGCCAACCGTCGCGATACCGGAGGTGGATCGTGGGGTATTGTAGGTTCCGGTTGTGCAGTGCTCCACACCTGTCCTGACAATACTTCGGCTCCAGACGTGGGGTTCGCATGTTGCAGTGCCATTGATCCCGGTAGCGGTGGGAGGGGGTCGCTGGTATCGGATTTTGTTGTGATAACAATCAGATCGCCGTCTGTCCACTTAAGGCGGAACTGCGCCGGCTGCTTGCCTTGTCCAAACCTTCTCCTATCCACACCCCCCCCATCTCCTATTTGAGTAGCAGAGGTTCCTGACAACAAGCACCCCAGGCCTGGTGTGAGGATCGGCTCACGGGGGTGGAAAACGCATCCCACCTGCCGGATGGGGCAAGTGGAGCCACCGAGCGCATTGTCGGTGCTACATCGCTAAATGCCCCCATAAACCTACCCATTTATTAGCTCACTTGCTCCTGCGATTGGCGCCAGTAATCCACGCAGGTGCTATGCGCCACGTTTAGGCGCCACCGGGTGTCGCATATCGGGAAAGAGTGTGCGCATGGTGCGACATTGACCGTGCTCATCCCCAGTAGAATTGCCTGTTTGGGTAAACATTGGCGAGGCTCCATTGAAGGATGGCAATACCTCCTTACTGGCGATCGGGCGCTTTGCTCTTACTGGGTGGGGTATCTGCTGCCGTGATTCAAAGTTTCAACACCGGCATGTCAACAAAAGTAATTCTCGAAAAATCGTTTTGGGACTGTCTGGCCCCTTGGGCCCCTTGGGCCCCTTTACACGTTAGCCCACTATCGGCACTATATTAAGAAACCGTAAATATGTATCCCTGTCGATTGGGAGCGTTGCGTGCATATCGGGACCTCTCCAAAAAAAATCTCCTGGGGGTGAGTCGAACACCCGATCTCAAGATTACTTTGAGTAACTCATTACAGTCTCGCGCCTTAGCCAGCTTGGCCACCAAGAGGATTTCTGAAAAATAGATGTACCGTTGAGGTAGCGACTATTTCGGAAACTCTGACTAAAGTCACCCAAAATACGTTCTACGGGACTGAAAACTGGACACCAAAGTATTAGCATTTCTTTAAGGCCAGTGTACCAATTACAAGAGAATAAAGCAGCTGTGGGGCGAGATACATCCATATTTGAGTGCTGGAGAACGGGGTCACGTGACCAGATTAAGCCCCAGTTAACGCCAGTCCAATTGGCCAACAGCTACTGGCGGACCCGAGTCCATCAAGCCTGCTCACTTCAGCCCAAACGGTCCCTCGTAGAACCCTCCCGTTCATTTCTAAGTCCATGGACTTCCCGCCATGTTTCGTCTTTTCGCACGACCCAGTGAAAATACATACCAAAATTTTTAGTGAGAAGATTCCAACCACAACCATGTTCGGTGCCTTTAAGTCTACAGCCACCTTGAGTGGTGGGTACTTATGGAAGTTTGCCCCAAGATTATCGGTTCCCCAAAAATACAGATTGAGACAAAGAATGAAGACGGTTGATGCCAACGTCGAGGTTTTATACCAGTCATTGATACAACACCAAGGCAAGCAAGAAGGTGAAAAAACCGGGTTTGGCAAGATCGACTACTTGAAATTCGACATGCCCAAGGAAGCCGAAATGTCCCCCAGAGACAAGTACACCACATTCAGCAGAAACGAAAAGCACTACAGAAAGGATCTTCACAGGGTTCCCAAATGGACCAAGAAGTCTTTCAGAGAGAATCCAAAATACTTTTAGTTGGCTACGACTATCAGCATGGTCATTACTCATAATTGGCGATTAAATACTAGCGTTGGGGGCGATGCCACTGATGCTTGACAGCTGGCTTGTACATAGATATTATAAACGGAACGAAATAACTTGTTGTAGACTGGAGGAGATGTTCGTTGATTTCGCCGAGAGATCTGAATGCAGACCCTTTACTTGAGACCTTTACTGCATTCTGGTGTAATACTTGGTTCCTGAGATGGATAAGTAGGCATTTTCGCATATGTGGGGGCCCCCAGTGGTCCAGTATTAGCTGGTACTTTGTCCGTAAAAACCATATTGGGCAGATTCTCCCATTGATTGTCCTTTGTTGCGGATTGATTGAGAATGGATCAACATCACGGCTATGCATCTGGACCCGTACAGTCTTGTGCTTAGATGCGTGGACTGTTAAAATGGATCAATATCACGGTTCTGGTGGTAAAGCGTGTGGTCCACATCGATTCTGTGTGATTTATGGATTGATACAATTGATCAGCTGGTGATGGTGTCCCAGATGTAATTTGAAATGAAAAAATCACTATACTTATCATCCACCTTCAACACACTTGTTAGGTTAGTTTCTTTGTTGAACACCAAGACCCTATCGTTCTCGTTCTCCTGAGTATCGAAGTTCTCGATTCTCACCCCCAAATTTCTGTACAAATTGATCTTTAGGATATGCGAGTCTTGGTCCAACAAGTCGTCATTTTCTCTTCTCTCAAACGGGTTGTTGAACAAACTAACGACTTTCTCCTTAATCTCGTCCAATTCGATTCCTAAGCTGCTTTTGGAGAGCTTCAACGAGCTGAGTGAGCTCTCGAGGTCATTCAACGTTTTAGCTATGCTGACCTTCAAGTTGTCGAGCTCTATGGATTTCTTGTTCAACACTCGGAATATATTCTCATCCTTATTGATTTCACTGACGTTATAGTCTTTGAACGCACTCAAGCCTTGGATTATCTCGTAGTTATAGTCACTGATACGGTTCAAGAGGTTAATTTCGTTGGTGTAGTTGTTTACGAGCTGTTGCAACTGGGTGTTCTTCGCAAACAACGCTTCTATCTTGTCGTCACGGAGTTGTTTGGTGGAACGGATGGTGTCTTCGATTCGTTCCAACGTGAGGAGTTCAGGCTCGATCTCGATGCTGTCTATCGACTGCTGGATGATGTCTTCCGGCGTGCCTTGGATCATGGTGGTGGGGTGAATATTGTAAACAAATGTTTCGCTTATATGTTACATCACGTGCCTGGGATCACATGACCAACCCAGTCCCAACACAAGTATTCTTTTCACCCACGAACTCAGACCACCATCATGAGTTACGGGGGCAACAAGAACAAAAAGACGTTCGAGGACGTGGAGCTTCCCACCAACCCCAACCTTCCCGTTTGGTTGATCACGCCCAAGGAAGAAAAGTTGATTTTCGAGCGGTGGAGAAAGAAGGCGTTTGCTCGTTGCGATGATTTAATCCAGGCCTACGTCAAGTGCTCCAACTCGTACAAGAATCCCGTGGAGGGAATGAGAATGTGTGACGAGGCCAATAAGGCTTCGATGGGATGCGTGGCAAAGTATCAGAAGCAGGAGTACCTCGACATCGAGAGAGAGATTTTGATCGACGAGAAGATTGTGAAGAAGAAAAAGTACAAGGAGTTCTTGAAAAGCTTGGAGGATGAGAAGAAGAAGGCAGTATGAGTACGAGTAGGCTCACTTATACTTGGAATCATGTACATAGAAGAATTATTAGTAGTCTGAGATGAATAATATTATCACATATTGACATATATACAAGTGTAGTCTACCGGAGACCACACGACACACGGTGCCATTTCGAGGTGCACATAGCTATTTTTGGAGCTGATGCAGTAGTTGTATGGGTCACGAACCGAAACAATGCTCTTAGAGCCACATCGAATCTATCATTTCAGGAATTAGAGTAGTCCCTTATGCTGTTGATTCCAGAGAAGTGAAGTAAGGATGTACCATCAGCAATCGATTCTGACATCAGCTATCGATTCCGTTTATACTTCAGCAGATTCCATTTATCTCTCAGCAATCGAATCCAGTTTAATTTCAACTAACGATTGCAGTTATATTTCTACTATCGATTCCACTTATTGCCCGAGAAATCGATCTCGTTATCACTTCAGTATTGTAATTATCACTTCATTGATTCCAGTCATCACTTGATCGATTCTAGTATGCACTTTGGAGCACCACTTTTGTCTCTCAGCAAATGCCCTTAATTAGTTATCACTCCCCTTGCCGACTCTCACAACTTCAGCTGTGCCGTGCTTCACTCGTCCTGCGTTTCTTGCCCGCTGAAGTTGTCGTTTTCAAACACCGCATGGCTTGCCATGAACATGGCAGCATGGAGCTTGCCTAAATTCTCGATCGACTGGTACTGAGTGCAAGTTGTGTGGATGAGCTCGTTGAAATCGGAGAGATTAGCGTGGAGCTGGGCCATCTGCGAGTTGAGATGGCTCAACTGACGCTGCTTGATGGAGGACGCCACCGTTCCACTGGGAGCACTCATGTTTGGGGTTTTGCAGTGTTTGTTGTGCGATGATAATAGGGAGCGCACGTGACGCGTTTTATTAGGAGGATGAGTTTACATGTAACTATTAGAGCAAGGCGACATGAAGCAAGACGTGACAGTAAATGACACGAGCGAATGGTAGCAAAGAAGAATCGCTCAATAAAAGTTGAAATTAGGAAAAATTAAAGACTACTTTGTTTTACTTTTGCAATATTTTAGCATGAATTTGATCTATTGGCAAGGTCTTTAGAGCTATTACGCGTTCAAATCGGGCCGATTCGTAAGGCTAAGGGGAAAAAAGAGCTTAATAGAAGAGCCTTATGATGTGCAAATGGTCTCACTTTGAATTATTGCGTAACTACGCTAATATGCCTTATACTGGCACCAGAAGCTACGAATTAGTGCGCCGAATTATCTTCATAAATCTGTATTCGGATTTCTGAAAGCCACTCCATCCAGCCAGATTTCATCTGGTAATGACTCGCTCAGCCATTGTAGGCCTTTTTTTCTCTGGGAAACGTGTCTGCCACTTCAATGTGTATGTCCAGCCAATTGCACTAGCTGCGAAATGTCCATACTTCACTTACGGGGGTCAATAATGTATCTACATCTTCTAAAAAACTATTTCACCAAAGTACGTTATATGGCACGAGATCTATTTTCTGGGGTTTTTGTTTGAAGCCAATTCATGGCTTCCTCGAATTTACGTCTAGGTAATAAACCAGTGAAGAACAATACTAGTAAATAGTTTCTGCTCCGGCTCAGTCTCCACGCCAGCCACCACCACTAGAATCCACCACTCTGGACACTCGTCTATCCTCTAGCTGTCCTATTTCCCTCTGCCAGTTTCCGCCAGCCTCTACTTCCGCGATTTGGCACCCATTCCCATTGCCACTATAATACCACTCCAACCACCACTCCAACCACCACGTCCAGGGACCATTACCACCAGCACCAGCACCAGCAGTACCACCAGCACCGTAGCCAACCTCCTTCCACGCCTATCCTCCCACCTTCCTACACCTGACTCGCCATGACTCCCCCACACTCACCCAATCCGTACTTTTCCATGTCTCCGAAAATTGAAAACTTTTAGAGCGGAGCAGAACGGAACGCACTTGATTACCATTCTTGAATCACGATAACCACCCACAAGGTTGTACCACCCACATTGTCGTCACACGAGCACACGCCTGGCACTCCGTCCCGATTCTGGCCTAGTCACCACTACTGAATAGGGAAGCATCGGTCCACTTCACGCCATGTCTTCACCAGTCGAAAAACCTCCCGATGGTGTACGAATGGCAATCCCAGAGCCTCCAGTCCCGATCAAGCGGGAGTCCTCCGAGCTGCGCATGGGTCAGCCTGCCAGGGCCCTCGACCCATCCAAAGGAATCTCCCAGCCTGCGTATCCCGCCGCCAAACCCATGCGGGCCACTACAGCCACCAATGCTAAATACGCCAAGATCCAGCCGGCAATTGCCCCCAAACCGATGGGGGCTGTTCCCAAGCCCAAGACGTTCTCGCCGGTGGCCATTCTCAAGAACGGCAAGCCGGCTCCATCCCCAAAACCCGACGTCAACTTGAACATCAACACTTCCAAGCGATGGGTGCTCCCCCCACGCCCTCGTCCGGGCAGGAAACCGACCCTGGCGAACGAGGAAGACCCCAAGAAACAGCCGTTGAAGGTAGCCACCTCCACCAGCGTGGTGGCGTCCGATCTAGGCCGAATAAGCCCCAAGAAGAGAGCTAAAGTATGCAAGAAGGAGGACGAGGGTCCCACGCTCGTGAAGCCTGACGATCCGGGACTCATGGCAAGCGTGGTGGCTAGCGAAACGCTGGCAAGCTCGCTATCCGTGCCACCTTCTAGGACTCTGTCCACTACTTCTGCTGCACTGCCACCACCACCACCGCCAGTGTTGAAGACAGATCCCAAGACAGAGCTCAACGACTTGAAGCTCACCTACTTGAACAAGCTTAAGGAACAAGAGCTCATCAGAAACTATATGGAGGTCATCACCAACCAGATCAAGGAGTTGAACTTTGTCCAGAGCGGAGTCATCACGTTCGATGCGTTGAAAACGAACCGAATCAAGAAGGCCAACGGCTCATCAGTGTCAGTCTCCACGCCACTCGCCAAAACCACAAATTATGACCAGTTGGAGTCTATCAACAATCTTAACGATTTGAATAAGTTTCTTGGCTACCTCACCAGATCTTCAAACATAATTCACAGTGCCACCAAACAAACCAATAAATCCGAAGACGCGGACTCAATCTTGAACCAGCAAATCCATCATTACTTGAACGTCAGGTCACAATTCAAATCGATGCAGATGGAGGAGACAAAGAAACTCCACAGCTTGAAGGAACAAACCCAGATAAAGAAAAAGCCAGTCCTGCTTGGAATCGATAAGAGCGCTGTCGAAACTAAACCGTCGTCAATTTTATCCAATAGTTCGTTGTCAAAGAATGCATTTTCACCAGATTTGCTTGGAATGAGAGGGACGAATTTATTTGACGAAACGGATAACGATTTGCTAATTGATTTAGTAAATGATGATTTCAACCGGGAAAGCCACGATTTAATTTTGGACGAGTTTTTGGACAGTGCAAAGGTTGACCTTGATCAGAGCAGGCTTGAGATCGAAGAACAACAATTGGGTAATGTTAAGATTTATGACAAAAACGAGGCACCTCCAAAGGTGATTAAGAAGAAGCTGAAATTGAACTGCGGATTCTGTACTAATGACACTCCATGCTTGTGTTTGGACGCGGAGATCGATATGGGACTTTTAAAATAAGGAATAGAAATGTGTATACGCTGTAAATATTAATACATTTGATTCTTAATACGTAAGGTGATTTCAGTATTCCAGTAAGGAGAATATTCAACTGTCACAGTGTGTTAGTCAAATATTGAAGGCATTTAGGTTACATATTCTTTTTCGTAGTGGGTCAAGTATAGTGAATATTAAACTCGTAATGTCGAAACATGCTAGTAAGATTGGGTCATATATTCACTTTCTTAGCAGGTTAGGTTAGCCAAAGATTGGGGGTCATGCTAGTAAGACATATGGGGAATGGAACAAAAATATGTATGGATTTCGTTTCCAGCCCAAGGTAAAACGTATGAACGTCTCTCAACACACAGACACCATCTACAGTAATCACAGTTTCATGGTTTTAAAGAATAAATACGTAAATGCAAGATTTAATAGAAGATGAGGTAGGAACCAAGAGTGGCAGTAAGTCCCAAAACAACGTACCCAGTTCTGTAAACCCCCTTGAGAGTCAATTCTCTACCGGTATCCCAGACCAAATGTCTGATACCGTTGAAGGAGTGGAAAACGAATGGGTATGACATAACAGCCTTGGCCAAGAATTGGACTCCCAATGGCAACGCGGTGAAGGCAGAGACCAAAGCAGCGGAATCCAAGCCCAAACCAAAGATCGACGAAGCAGCGTAGCCACAGGTCAAGGCATAGAATCCACCAGCCATGGCAACACCAGTGACTCTGTGCAAACCCGACAAAACCCAAGTCAATTGTGGCTTGTAGATGGTAAGATCTGGGGAGAGGGGTCTGTTCTTACGTTGGGCAACCAAAATCTCCTGTTCCTGGTCGTGGGAAGCTTTGACGGAAGCAACACCACGGATGCTCATGACGGCAGCCCTGGAAGGCACCATAACACGGGAGGTAGCTAGATGTTAGTACGGTTCGTCAACAGTCCGAGGCAGCAGTATACTCTGGAATCAACAGTAGCACAGCTCTGGAAGCAACACAGTGCCGCTGCAAGAGCTTCACTCAGGAATATCCTTCCTGTTCCAGCCTTCATGGCTGAGGTCTTTCTTCACTCGTCTTCTGTTCCAGTCTTTCCAGTCTTTCCACTCCTGCTCTCCGCTCCGTCCGCTTGACGGCAGCACTCCTCTCTCCGCTCACATACGTCTCAATAATCCTAAACCGGAACGCAACATCTTGTATCTATACTGGCTGCTTGCTAAAGAAATTTTAGTGGTATCAACTAGTTTAATCCCGGGGAATCTTGGAGCCAATGTCCAATCAAACGCTGGGAAATATAATGGTCACGTTCCAGGTGCGACACCGCACCTACTGTCGCACCCCGACATCGGACCCACTTCACGACATTATCGCCGCGTCGTCTGGGGGCACTCACAACCCCGTGACTTATCCCAATACTGGCTGCTAGTTAATCACTCATAATAAACATCCCCTGGAACCCCCCACAAAGTCAGTTATGGAAATGGATGGCTCTACCACCACCAGCACGGATCCTCCCCATCGGAAAACAACCACCTTCACTATAGCCGCCGATAACGAAAGAGCCAGCGACGAAGGCGACCAACAGTCACAGGAGCCCCATCACAACCAGGGCCATCTCCGCCAGCAGCACTCGTACGGTGACTACGATAGCGAAGGGAACACACACGAAAACGGACGTCTGGGCCTCCATTCCGAGGACCAGACAGAGTACCAGTCGGAAGACCAGCTGGGCGACCAGTCGGGAGACGACCAGAAGGACGAGGAGGCAGTGGCGCCAGAGTCTTCGGATCTCATCTTCAAAAAGAAGGACTTGAGCAGGTCGCGTACCCAGTCGTTCCAATCGGTGCTCTCCACAGCATCCTTGAAATCCCTCAAACAACAAGTCACAGGCAACACCACCACCCTCGCCAATAACCCATCGTCCAACAACAGAAACAGCAGTCTCATCCCCTCCAACAACACTAATAATACCAAGAACTTCCAATCGTTCATCCAGGCACCAGTGTTGTCCAGCGTGTCCAACTTGAAGAACGACGACTTTATCGAGATTGGCCAGCAGTTGCCGTTCAACGACAACAAGTCTGCTGCATCCCATTCCGGCTCAGACAAGTCGGCGAGCAACAACAACGACGACTCGATGTCTAGTCCCAACGGCGACGAGTACTCACACGAGGACCAGGACACTATCATCCAACAGCAAAAGTTGACCTTGAACGCATTGAAAAAGTTGAGCTTATCTCCTATGTTAATATCGAATAATGACCAAAACTTACCCCAAAGGTTGGCTCGCAAGCCCTCACAAAAGAAGGTAGAGGCTGGCAGCAACAACAACAACAAGTTGAAAGCCCCAGAACCTTACAAACCGGCCGAGGTAGACCTTTCGTCATTTGCCAGTCTTACAAGGCAACCCAAATTGGCCCAAGTGGCAGATAATAAGGAGCTGCAGAAGAGCCAACCGGTTGCTAACGATTCAAAGAAGACTTTGCCAAAGTTGGAGGAGGACCATCAAGCCGAAAATGTTAACAAGACACAGAACGACCATCAAGCCGATTTAAGGTCACAGCAATCAGGTAATACTCAGAAACATCAACAAGACCAAGAGCTGCGTCAGCACCAACAACAGAATTCCCAATTATCCCAGCATGTTCAACCCCAGCATCAGTCTATTCCCCAATCACAAAATCAACAGCAACAAAGCAAGGTTCCCGCTGCTGTCATTCCACCTCAAAGTATGAATACGAGAAGACAATCCAATAATATTCCCGCCCATGGATCTAATCAACTGTCTTATGTACTGAACTTTCAACTCCACAACCAGCCTCCTCCATCAACTAATCAACATGCAATCAACCAGTACAAGCTTGCGCAAATAGCCCAACACCAGCAACAATTCCCACAGCAGCCTCCACAAACGTATTCTCAGCAGCATCAAAGTCCTAGTCAGCATCAACAATATCCACAAACTCCTGGCCAACAGTCGGCACAGACATCCAAGGTCAGTAAGCAATTACAACAGATCAAAGGTCTTAGAAGTCCCATGTATGTCCCAGCAGTATTGAGAATGACTGTCAATGGTCTTTCACCCACTAGTTCTAATATTTCGAGCTCCATTACATCTAACGCTAGTTCTCCAGGTGAAGGGGAAGTGAACTCCCCTAAACAGAACTTGGAGCACAATTTAAACAACTTGCAGCATCAAAACGATTTGGAACCAAAGTCATCCACAGCTTCTATTAGGTCATTTGATTCTGGGATATCTGTGGAATCAGGTACTTCGAACAAACTCAACGGAAAGACCAGTTTCTTAGGATCATCGAAAAACTACTACGATGACGTGTTGAGGGCACCACCTACACGTAAGCATTGGGTCAAAGATGAGGTGGTGTTCAAGTGCAGCATCCCCAAATGTCCCAAGGTGTTCAATTTCTTCGAAAGAAGACACCATTGTCGGAAGTGTGGAGGGATCTACTGCAAGGAACATACCTCGCATTATCTTTACATTAATCACTTGGCTCAGTTTACCACTGGTGGAAGAGGCACGCTTTCTAAGGTGTGCGATAACTGTATTTCTGAGTACAATCAGTTTATTCAGAATGAGTTTGGGGTGAGCATCAGCAACTCCAGTCAGAGGTCCACGCCCAATCTTTCGGTTCCGGAACCTGAAGAGCTGCCTATAATCCCCAAGTTGGAGCACAGAGCCACTCAGATCGACAAACCCATAGTTCCGTTCGAGAAGAAAGAGCGCAATGAACAGCTTGTTGGTAGTGTTCCTGCTAACTGGAGCTGGAGCTCCTTCTAGCACTCTAGTAACGAAATACCGAATCGGAAGTCATATTGGAAGAAAAGACCGCGTCCTTACCGATAACATTAATGAGAAAGATGGCGCTGAAAACATATATAATGAGTAATATTTAACCAATATACTGTTGACTCTTCTTTCAGAGGAAGATGTAACAAACAAGTATGGCGTAGGAATGATCTTTTTGAGGAAGGGTTACTGGATTAGGCTTACTAGTACGAAAGTGTCTCGTGGTGATAAATTTTGTGTACTGGAGTCATTTTATCATATCAATTTCCAGATAAAGCCATCCTTATGAACGAGATCGACGGAAAGGGCTATATAATAATCAAGACACAAGCACAAGAACCTAATAGTACAGCAAAGCTTCTACGTCACGGGCTCTTAGGGTCCAGTGGTTCTCAAAGTCAATAAAATTCTAGTAATTAGACACCATCAAGAATAATACCTACACAGATTATATCCATTTAAATTTCTTCACCAACAGAGGACTACGCAGAGCTACACACAAACACATGCCACCCCGCTTAGTCATATATTAAGCACTTTGTAGTTGAAATAACCAATTTTGTTCATCTTGACTACTGGAAAATCCACCAAAAAATTTACTCAAAAACCCACCTGGTTGAGTGAGTCAAACAGCTCTGACGGATAGCTTCCCCCAATCTGAATACAACCTGCTTGGTATAACACAATGGCCAAAAAGAAACCACCCAGTATCGTTCAGAGCATAGGAACACCCAGAGCATATATGCAGTACAGGATTCCATCAAGACACGGTGGATTTTTCAACTGAGGAAACCACTTTGACAATTGCACCAAACCACACCCGTATTCCCAGAATGTCGTCACAACACGCCCCTATCAGAGTCCTCGGGGTCAATGTGGAAACAATCCGGTTACTCTTACGAGCAATCATCTTTATCTCCATCGCAGGAGCTGCCATACTGAGTCGGTTGTTTTCGGTGATCCGTTTTGAAAGTATCATTCATGAGTTCGACCCATGGTTCAATTTCAGAGCCACCAAGTACTTGGTGAGCCACTCGTTCTACGAGTTCTTGAATTGGTTCGACGACAGAACCTGGTACCCATTGGGTAGAGTGACTGGTGGTACTTTGTATCCCGGATTGATGGTGACTTCAGGTGCTATCTGGCACATCTTAAGAGACTGGTTGGCCTTGCCTGTGGACATCAGAAACATCTGTGTCCTCTTGGCCCCAGCCTTTTCGGGATTGACTGCTATTTGCACCTATTTGCTTACCAAAGAAATGAAGGATTCCAATGCTGGTTTATTGGCAGCTATTTTCATGGGTATTGCACCAGGTTATATCTCCAGATCGGTGGCTGGATCTTACGATAACGAAGCCATTGCCATCACCTTGTTGATGGCCACCTTCTACTTCTGGATCAAGGCCATGAAGTTGGGCTCCGTTTTTTACGGAACCTTGACTGCGTTGTTCTACTTCTACATGGTGTCTGCTTGGGGTGGCTATGTTTTCATCACCAACTTGATTCCATTGCACGTGTTCGTGTTAATCTTGATGGGTCGTTACAATCACAGATTGTACACCGCATACACCACCTGGTACGCCTTGGGAACGTTGGCTTCCATGCAAATCCCATTCGTGGGTTTCTTGCCTATCCGTTCCAACGACCATATGGCCGCTTTGGGGGTGTTTGGCTTGATTCAATTGGTGTCTTTTGGTGATTACGTCAAGTCTAAGGTTCCTCACAAGCAGTTCAACACTTTCTTGGTGGTTTCCTTGTTCTTGGTGACTGTGTTGGGTATTTCTGGCTTGTTTGGCTTGACTGCCTTGGGCTGGATCGCCCCTTGGACTGGTCGTTTCTACTCGTTGTGGGACACCAACTATGCAAAGATCCACATTCCAATCATTGCTTCCGTCTCCGAACATCAGCCTACTGCCTGGCCTGCCTTTTTCTTTGACACCAACATGTTGATCTGGTTGTTCCCAGCTGGACTCTACTTGTGTTTCCAAGAATTGAAGGATGAGCACGTTTTCGTGATCATCTACGGTGTCTTGTGTGCCTACTTCGCAGGTGTCATGGTCAGATTGATGTTGACCTTGACCCCTATTATCTGTGTTTCCGCTGCCATTGCCTTATCCAAGTTGCTTGATGTTTACTTGAACATCGTTGACATCTTCAAGCAAGAGGTATCCGACAAATCAAAGAAAATCAAATCTCAAACCTTGCCAATTTTCCAATTATTGTCCAAATTAATTGTGTTGTTATCATTTGCCTTCTACCTCTTCTACTTCGTGTTGCACTGTACTTGGGTCACCTCAAATGCCTACTCCTCGCCATCGGTGGTGTTGGCATCCACCAACCCCGACGGATCTCAGCTCATCATCGATGACTACAGAGAAGCTTACTACTGGTTGAGAATGAACACTCCAGAAGATGCCAAGGTCATGGCTTGGTGGGATTATGGATACCAAATTGGTGGTATGGCCGACCGTACTACTTTGGTCGACAACAACACTTGGAACAACACCCACATTGCCACGGTTGGTAAGGCCATGTGCTCCAACGAAGATGTGGCCTACAAGATCTTGAGACAACACGACGTTGATTACGTATTGGTTGTATTTGGTGGATTGTTGGGCTACTCTGGTGATGATATCAACAAGTTCTTGTGGATGGTGAGAATTTCTGAAGGTATATGGCCAGATGAGGTCCACGAAAGAGACTACTTCACCGAGAGAGGTGAGTACAAAATGGACCACGAGGCTTCCAAGACCATGCAAGATTCCTTGATGTACAAGATGTCTTACTACAGATTCACCGACTTGTTCAACGGAAGAGACGGTATTGACAGAGTGAGAGGACAGACCATCCCAGCTGCCCAAAGCCCTGAATTGAATGTTCTTGAAGAAGCATTCACATCCCAGAACTGGATGATCAGAGTGTACAAGGTCAAGGATTTGGACAACGTCGGAAGAGACTTGAAGCAAGCCACTGCTTTCGATAAAGACACACAGAAAACCACCAAGAGAAAGAGATCGGTCAAAAAGCCTATCTTGGACTTAAGAGAATAGTTAGATTAGCGTATTACAAATAAACTCGGTATGATTGATTGAAACGAAATGTGCGGATATCGTGGGGTATTTCGGACAACAAAGTTGCTTCAGTCACATGGTAGCGTCATAGTACCTCAGCACATTAGGTTCAAAAGGAACCCCAAAAGGAGGCTTCTTGGAATCATAGAAGGCTTATAATGCCCCGCACTTGTAACGTGTACCCAAAATCAGTTCTCGGACTATTGTGTTGAATTTCTACCATAGTGCCGAGTAGGTATCTCCGCACTTTTTTTTGGATTTATAAGTACCCTGGGTTCCTCTACTCAAATACATGCAAGGATGACTGGAGTCTTGGATTTGGAAACCCACTTGGGGTTTTATAAGTCATATCATTTTAATCGTGTCAATGTGATCATTCATACCATTTGTATTCCTATCATCTTGACCACAATCGTCACTGCCCTTACTACCATCAACATCTCAGATCAGCACCCATTCCTTAACGTTGGTACTGCATTCACAGTTGCTTACGGCATATATTACACCTTATTGGATACCCCCGTGGGTCTTCCTGTCTTCTCCGGTTTGGTGTACATCAATTATGCCATAAAGGAACACTACTTGTCGTTGGATGCCCTGCAGAAGAGTCAATTTGTGAAATCGGCATTGACCTTACATGTACTTGCATGGCTTGCTCAATTCTACGGTCACGGTGTTCACGAGAAGAGAGCTCCTGCATTATTGGATAACCTCTTACAGGCATTGGTTTTAGCCCCATTCTTTGTGGTGTACGAATTGTTGTTCGTCTTGGGTATAAGAAAGGACTTGGAAAAGGCAATGTTGAACAAGGCAGGCGTTATGAGAAGTAAGTTTGCATCATCCAAGTAAGTTACTGCTTATTGTCGTACCTCAAAATGACTTCTTTTTCATGAATTGAACTTTGGTTCAACTGATTGCCAACAGTGAACCACCCTGGACGAGTGTTATGAGTCCGTCCAAATATTTCCAATTTGCGTGTGTGGATTCCAACCAACCGCTCTACATAATCATATACCTCATCTGGTTTTCTCAGGGTTTCCCTGGTATTACTGATAAGCACGCTAGTGTCAATGTGACGAGTTAGCCAAATCGGATTTCCCTTTATTCCAACAAGTAGATGCTCTTTAGAATGATTTAGCCAGTGACCCGTACGCCCTGTTACAATTGTTCTCTTCAATTGATTAAGCTTCACCCAAATCAATTCATCACAGTTTCTGTAACCCCACCTCTTAAGGGCTTTCCGGCCAACTTCAATGGAACGGCCGGTAACCCAAAGAAGTAAAATTCCTTCATCTTGTAGAGCTCCAATATTCAATGATAGCAATTCTGTATCTTTGCAAGTACCGTATGGCAAAGACATGTGAATATCCCAAGCAGGATCCGAAATGATAGCTGCAAATTTCCCTAGAACCAGTAAAGGTAAGTAGCGAATATCGCATTTGATCCACTGAGCCGGGATGACTTCCCTCTCATGCTCCATGAAACACTCATCAATGGTGTATTCACTGATGTTGCGATTCCTTCTGGAAGAATTGCCCAGTTCGGGATGCAATGTAAAATAATGTAAGTATCTACATGTCTTCATCTTATGGCAAGTATCCAAGTATGAACAGTCGCCTAAGGATTGCTCTGTGTGGCTGTTGAAAACTGGCAAGAAGTGAATCTTCGATTGGGAGCAATCGTATTCTTGCTGTGAAATTAAATGCTTGTTTCTTCTGAGGAGATGGTGAGCTTGTTTGGTACTAGGTAGATCGTTTTTGTCATAGCTCAGGTCCCGTTTGCCCAAACAAATCTTGGATAAAGTACCACTGTGTTCTGGATTGTAGCACACTGGGTGAAAGGGTTTCACTGGGGTTCGATCTCTAATCTTCTGCTTAGTCAACACAGTGCTGGCTGTTGGTGCCAGGAGAATGGAATTGAGCGTTGCATAGTCACACTTGTAGTACCATGGAGAGCATGGTGATGAGAATAGTGGCTCATTGAGAATATCAACAAGTGCTTCAGGGCCCGTACTGTAATTGCTTGGGGCTTTTGGCGCATGATGGGTCTCCTCACTTCCCTTCAATTTGCACTTGAGCGTCATCACCTTGGCATAAGAGATGTACTTAATCATGGGGTCAAGCTCTAGTGCTCCACATATCTCATTGTATACGTGTACTATACCTGAAAAGTCCTCATAGGTCATTTCTGTGTTAGTCTGCCTCTGGTAGAGGTGATGTATGATCGCCAAGTTTCCCCGGATTGGTTCCTCCAACAACTCAGTGTTGTACTTCAAAATGAAGTCATTGAAGCAAGCTAAATCTCTCATTGAAGTTGCCCCCTTTATATGTCCTGAAGTTGGTGGAAATGTCTTTCTTTTATACTGCCACCCAATTGCTGCAAATATGATACATCTACAAACCACGCACCAAGAGAAGCCCACACTATGGAGAGAACCAACAGTACCAAAAACGGCAAGACTACTCTGTAGATACTGCAAAGCTCAACGCATCCCATACATAGTATGGTCTGAAGGAATACAATCATGGATCCAAGATGATTAATATCCATTATTAGTGACGAGAAATGAATAGTAATGTGACGAGTTGTACAGATTATGACAAGACTAACTATTCTATCACCCCTACTGCTCAAAACGACTGATCACTTGGATTTGCCACTTTACGCTGAAATATTCCGAGACTGATTCTATCTACAGCTTTTCATGAAGATAAACGTATACATTAACTAAAAACAATATTTCTAAATTTTAGACATGAAGATGCTTTATAGACATCCCCTAGAAACCGAATGGGTTATCCGGGGTGGCAGCAGAAAGATTAGCTCTTCTACCAGTGGGCTGGGATTGCAATGAGGCTGGGGCATTGCCAAAGCCTGCTCCTGTTGGTTGCGACTGCAAGGGTTGGAAGCTATCTTGACCAAACGAGGTTGTTGGTTGCTGTTGGAAGCCATTTTGAGAAATACTGGTGTTCTGGAACATGTTGTTCAATTGACCCATGTTGGGCTGAGCTTGTTGGCCAAACTGGTTAGCTTGTGGATTGCCAAATTGCTGCTGGCCGTAAGGCTGCTGAGCAAATTGATTGAAACCAGGTTGCCCAAACGACTGTTGTGGGCCAGTTGCGAAAGAGGGCTGTTGATTAAAGTTACCCAATCCCCCCGTGGGCTGTTGGCTGAAAGAGGTTTGTGGGAACCCATTAGATGTTTGCAGACCAAACAGGGTTGATGGGAAGCTACCAGTGGGCTGTAAACTGAAAGAAGTTGGTGGGTTCAGCTGATTGAAAGAAGTGGGAGGGTTCAGTTGACCGAAAGACGTTGGTGGGAATCCACTAGTAGGTTGCTGACTGAACGAGGTTGAAAATCCACCAGTGGGTTGCTGGCTGAATGAGGTTGATGGGAATCCACCAGTTGGTTGCTGGCTGAAGGATGTAGAAGGGAAATTGCTACTCTGACCAAATGTGTTTTGAGGCAACCCACCCGTTGATTGTCCGAAAGAAGTTGGAGGTTGATTAATAAATCCTCCAGTAATTTGCTGACCAAAAATAGATTGGGGAACAAATCCTCCGGTTCTTTGAGCTGGCACTAAAGGTCCAGTTTGTTGTAAAGACAATGGTTGTCCGTTCAAGCCTGTTGGAGGTAAACCTCCAGTTATCTGTCCCGAAATAAGGCCAGGCTGGCCAAAAGATGTCTGAGGCATTGTGACACCTCCAGTATGCAAAGAAGGTTGGAATGGTTGCTGACCAAATGAAGTTTGGGGCAATGCACCTCCAGTTTGTTGACCACCAGTTCTTTGAGCAGTAAAAGTTGCAGTGCCCGTTTGTAAGGGTACTATGTTGTACGTGAACTGGGGCTGAATACCGGTTGCTTGTATTGGAACAAAACCGGTTGGTTGTGCAGTAATTGGAATAAAACCGGTTGGTTGCACAGGAATCAATCCTGTAGCTTGAACTGGAATCAATCCACCTGTGTTAGCAGCAGTCAAACCAGTGCGTTGAGCAGTCATTTGACTTGTACCCGTCTTTTGAACTTCAAACTGTTGACCTGGTTGTATCAAAGTTCCAGTCTTGACTGGAGTCAAGCTTGGAGCAGAAGGCGTCTGATCCTGTGGCAATGATGGCATAGGTTTGTTGACATTACTAGCTGGAGGAGCAGTGCTGTTCGACTCCAACGGTTTGATATTCACCAAATCCTGCAATGCACCGGTGTATTGTGGAGTTTGAGGTTGGGACCTGGAAAGGTCTTCGTTCGATCTGGCGGCTGGTTTGACGGCCCATGCATCGTCCTCAAATTTGTTACCACTTGGCGAAGCTGGCGTTGTTGCAGTTGCAGTTGCAGTGGGATTGGCTGTTTTGTTTTGAGAAGAAGGAAGTGCATCAGCATTGACCTTGGAGATCTCACTTGTAGAGTTATTGTTCTTCAAAGCACCAGTTGGCTCAGTGAATAATCCACCTGAAGATTCCGGTTCTTCAGCAACTGGTTTCTTTCTGTCAAACTTATTATCCAAGAATTTCATAACTCTGAGGATATCTCCCTCCCTTAAGCCCAATGTTCTTAACAAGGAAGGGCTGATATCTTCCAAAATGTTCTCGTCCATTTGCTCTCTACTGAAGTTCAAGGAATACCTTTGGCAATTACCAATATCAACACCACACTGAAGGAAGAATTCAAACCAATCATAGTCTGGTTCACTGGTAGATAATTGCGTAGTTGTCTTAGGTCTTGAAGGTTGAGGTGGGGGTAAATCATTAATAGCTGCCGTTGCCGATTTGCTCTTGGATACCCCACTTGATTTGGACTTCGACTTCTTCTGACTAAGCTCAATTACTTCTTTCTTGTAGGATTCTAAAGAAGTACCAGTGACCTTCTCGACATAGTCCAAGTCCTCTAAACAAAGCTTGGTTGCAGCCACTGCAATCTTGACACCATTAGTCTTGTGCAAATGAATCTTTCCTTCAACACAGCCTAAAAATTCAGCTTCAACTTTGAAAGACCCGGAACTATCAATCCAGGTTCTAACTCTATGGTAATTAGGCATGGACTTATCATTTTCATCAACCTTGGAAGCATGCTTATCTCTTTGGATCTTGTCTTTTTCTCTAATTCTATCACGTTCATCTCTAGTACGATGACGATGGCTCTTATCCTTGCTCTTACCATCGACTACTCTACCCTTGGAAGACTTAGATTTAGTTCTCTGGGGTGCATCGGTCAATTTTTCCAAGTTGGAGGTACCAATTATCTGGATGTAGGAAGATGGTATTACACCTTGTTTTCCAGTGAGAATATTTTCACACATCCACCATTCCTTAGACTTAGTTTCGTTGATAATATAGACTTCATCACCTTCTCTACTTCCTAATTCATCTTGGCTCTGAGCCTCGAAATCATATTGAAGTCTACCGATCTTTCTGTTCTTTTCACCGGTGGTAGCTTGAGAAGCTCTAGCAACTTCCCTCAAAGCCTTGGCAGATTCAGCACCTTTCAAGTCCCCAAGAATCGACATAATTGCTTCCGCAACATCCTTCGTTCCGGTATGTAACTCCACCGAACTTTCGGGATTACGAAGCTCCAAGAACAAATGCTTTTTCTCGTTGCTGAAACTCAATAAGTCTTTAACTCTCCATTGATTATCCAACGAGGAGGAAGACTTGAGTTTCAATTTTTTTGGATTTGTTGTATTTGGTTTCATTATAATGAGTCCCTGACCAACAGAAAGAATAACAGCCCTCTTCTTACGTCCCTCAACCTCATCGATGTACCAGGTGAAGAATTCTCCATCAAAGGTATGTTCGTTTGGCGTGCTTTCAAGCTCTTCTACATCTTCTTGGTGGGTCGATGCATAGGATTGGGTTCTTTGTGGCTTTTTAGGGGATGGTTCCGCTGAAGGTCTGGTTGGCATAGGTGGGGCTTCCTCCTCATCTTCACTGCCCACAACCATTTCTCTTTCCGGTTGTTGACGCAGTTCCACAGGTGCTGACGCAGCTGGGGTGTTATTGATCTGACTTGGGTGGAGGGGAGGTGGAGCAATGGCAGTTAGGTTTTGGATCGGAGGAGCGTAGCTGGCATTCTGAGGAGCGGCACCCGAATCTAACTCAAGGTAGTTCGCTGGAACAAATCCGAATTGGGTACGGGTTTGGGAATCTCCAGCCAAGAGCCAATCTGGGTCGTTCAAATCATATATCTCAAACTTCTCACCTTCTGTGAATGACAATTCCTCTTCGGTTTGTTTGGTATAATCGTACAATGCTGTTGCTGTTTTCACAACTGGAGCCTAGGGGTTAGTATCGTTACTCAATTGCTCCAATCTATTGGGAGACATACCTCTTCTATGTAGTTGGATGGTACAAGACCAGTAGGCTCGTCCACTTCCTCGTCGCCAACTGGCAACACTCTCTTCTTGACCTTCCACCAATCATCAATTTCGGATTTCTCCAACAAATACAAGATATCATCAGGATACAAGGTTAATTCTTCTTCTGCCTGTGCAGCATATTCATACAATGCCTTGTAGACACCTATATAAACTGACAGCATGGTCCCAGGTCGGAAATTGAATGATTACTGATACTATTCAAGTGTCGATAATTGATCAACGATCTATATGGAAAAGGAGTGCGGAGCTAAATTTGGTGCATGCACTAGCCAACCTATTTTGCAATTATTCATATATGATCTTGAGGCTCGGAGATCGAAACAGTAATGGACCGTGCGTCAGGCTCTGGCCTTCATTTGTACGCTTCTGGTAGTGCTACTTGAGCTGGCTTGTAGTTGGCCGAATTAAGCTCCGAACGAAGTGTTCTTTTACTCGGCCGAGTCCGAAAAGTGGTGAAACATCTCTACTGATCAGTTTCATCCCGTAGTGTTCAATTTCTATTAGCTATGCTGACATGGATCCTGACAAAGCACCTCGTGGATTCGCGTGAAATTGTCTGCTTGGGACAGAAGCTTGTTTATAGTCTTTTGCCACCATTAGAAGTTCTGTGATAAATTGGAGTAATCATCCAAATTTGACACTATTAGTCTAATTTTTACCGTTTCTGTAATAAATACAAAGGAGCTGAAATTAATTCAAATAAAATAGTTGTAAATTAGATGTATGAGCTACTTACTGGTACTTACTTAATTAGCAAAATCATAAGTATAATCACACCAAATTTATCTGGCATTGGTCTTACTATAATACAATCTGGGGTTTGCATAGCACTAAGTACGTCACCTTACTTCGAGTATATGTTTTTTTAAAGTATTATACCATTTCGTATTTTCTGGAGGGTGACTAGCACCTGCATGTCTCGAAAAAGAGCAGGAACATAGGCTCGGATAATTAATGTAACAGCCATTGATAACTAGTAGGCAAGTTTACCTCTTGCAAGAATACTGCTAAGCAATTAATAAAAATCGAAATGTGTCAATTCTACAGTTGAGAAAATGGCCAGACGATTGCGGAAACTAGCCTAGACGTCCGTACTGCTTTTGAGTACCAACCCAAAGCATCTTTGGAGATAATTCTGGTTGGCAGAGCTGTGAGGATTGATCTATAATCTATAAATGATAGATAAATGCTAATCGCTTTATCATTATGGATCCCAGAATAAATTTTTTTGGGTGCAAATTTGCGAATTTTTTATTACTTATTGGAATACTTAATTAGCTATACTCCAACAAAGCTTGGCGACTTCTATTTACTCAACTGGATTTTGGTTGAAGTACCAGAAGTTTTGTATGCAACCCAATCACTTTACTTATGCAATAAGAACTATTGTACTTATTGCCATGTATGACTCCTACGATGGACATAAGACCATATAAAATTAAATTAAATATTCACACTAAACTACCTTGTTAATGTATCCGTTTGATTCCGTTAATACCTCGTTGATGTTGTTGAAGCAAACATCCAATGCATAGTCGAGCAAGTCCACTGTTGAGGATGCACAGTGTGGGGTCAAGACAACGTCTTCTCTACCAATCAAGCCCGGGTGAATGCGTGGCTCTTCTTCGTAGACATCCAAGCCGGCAAATATTACTTTTCCGGACTGGAGACCTCTCACCAAGGCATTTTCGTCAACCACGAAGCCTCTGCCAACATTGACTATTCTAATTTGTTTCTTCATGGAAGTTATCAACTCGTCATTTATCATGTGCTTGGTTTGAGCATTTCCAGGGCAAGCGATGATGATTAAATCAGCAAAATCGACAGTATCCTTGATCGACTGGTGGTATGTCACCTTGTAGCCAAGACTGGCCTCCACCTCGGGATCAAGCTTGGTATTCTTGACGTAGTGGATATTCATTCCGATGGCACTCAATCTCTGGCCAGCCACCTTGCCAATGGAGCCAAAACCCACGATCACTGCATGGTGACCCCTAGGCAAGGTGTTAGAACGGCCACTGATAATCACCGAAACGTCGTAGTTCTTTCTGGCTGCGGGCGCGAGCTTGGAGGGCACCAGCAAGCCAGATTCCAGGTCAAATGAGCCTGTGTTCAACTCGGCACGGACCTGGCCCGTGGTGAGACCCTTGGTGTTGGTGTACTTGTCGAAGATCTTGAAGTTACGGAACGACAGAATGGCGTGGTACAACACCAAATCAGCCACTGCCTCTGCGGCCAACGGGGTGGGAAGGTTGGTCAACATGATGCCCTTCTTGGCCATGCCCTCCAAGTCGTACTCGTCATAACCAATTTGGGGGATGGCGATGATCTTCAAGTTGGGAGGTGCGTTCTCTAAGAGCTCGCGATTGAATCCGCCAATGGCATACAAACTGCCAAAATGGGCGTACATACCAGAGATGTTCTTCAAGGTGGTCTTGAACGCTTGCAAGAGCTGTTCTCTGCTGGTGAACTTGTAGCGGATGACGTCGTACTTGGCGGTGAGGTCGCGGTAGGCCTGGCCGTCTTCAGGAAACGCCCCAGTAACGAAAACTTGTTGCTTGGTCATGGTGGTGGTGGATAAGGAGTAGCTACAGGACCAGGCATCCAAGCCATTTTATACTACCGTGGAACGGTTTGGATCGGAGGCCGTATATGGTAGGACTACTGATCGTTGCCGCACCCATCAGCAACCGGTGGATGCCGTTGGTTACCGGTGCGGCGCACCGATCTACACCGATAACCGTTGTGGAAACAATCAACGCCACCCTTGCCGGGCATAATCGTGCCACACATTGCACGCAGATCATCGGTAGGGGCTTCCGTTGGAGGAGGGGGCAGAGGAATGTTTTTTATCTCTACTATGTGGCTTGATGCCGTGGCCCACCAATAGATGGAAAATGAGGAGCAAGAAATCAAACCTTTACTATATGAGAATATTTACTCATCCCTACTTCAATACTCTTGGGAACAGTATGCAATTATGGTTTCCCTCCGCTGCTCCTAGGCTGTTTGCTGTACATGCCAGCAGTGGTAGCCTTGATGGGTCTGTGCGTAGAGCCGATCATATTTCGCCGATCGCAAAATAATATAATAAATAAAGAATAGGGCAATAAATAGACAATCGGTGGATTAGAAATCCTGCTATTGAGCTATTGATTGAAATTACCCAAAGTTGGAATGTAAATCTGGAATTTAGATCTTCATGGAAGAGATCAGCAACTGCTAAGGGGAGAGCAACACAAGTTGCTTGGGTTTGAACCTAGAGAAAGGACGTAAAGACAGGAAACGAATTTACCAAGAAGCTTATAGGACTACTCCCACATCATAAGTGCACCGAATATGCTAGTAGCAGAAAAGACTCTCCGATTGTAATTCACAACACTCTTACCGAGCCGAGCAATTGGCGCTATAAAATTAATTTAAAAATACCTCTAGACAGATGCTTCGGCAAGGGGTTGACAGTTATTGCGATGCTCCTTCTGTTCTATTTCTACTCGGTTGTAATTCACTCGACCGTGACCAGTTGAATCCACTACGTGTAATATGCCAAGTTAAGCTATCATATACTTAATCCTTCGTAGTTTTTACAAAGGCCGAAGTAGTTAGAAGTAATCTCCAATTTGTGAGGTTGATATTTCAGAAGATAATTAAATCTGAAATATTCGTATATCGGTCAATATACTCCAACGGCTTGTAACGTAATGCTATTATCTCTATTCTTTTGGTTGTAATAAGAGGTGCTCATCCGCCCAGCTAATTTCACAAACACTTTGGTGTGAGACGTGCTTTATCAATTCATCTAGAACCGAGATGGCACCATTCTCCAACACATTCTACAACATCTACATGAATTCAAGTTCCGATTAATCTTTATTGATGGCAGAAATGCAAAATCCGCTTAATGGTGGGCATGGCCTGGTTCTCCCAAGTATTTGGCGGTGAGGGAGGTACCACATTGCCAGCATCTAGCCAACTTGCCGTCTTCGACCTTCATCCAGTATGGCTTGTGTTCTTCGCCACCCTTACCCTTACATCCAACGTAACGGTATCCAATGTAAGTTGGGACCAAGTATGGGTCTTGTGGGGTACCGGAACCTTCGGTGATTGGGTCTTCCAAGTCGAAAACATCGACACCTTCTCTCTTACCCAAGATTTCGAATCTTTCCAAACCGGTGGCTTGGTCCATGTCGGTAGGTATGGTACCTGGGGTGGCACCTGGACCAATCAAAGAGGAGTCTGGACCGGTAACTTCAGCCAAGTTGGTAGCGGTCTTGACATTTGCTGGGGCTGGCTTGCTGGCCAAGATTCTGGTGGAAGACAAGAATCTATTGGATTGTCTAGCAATACGGAATGTACGAGAAAGCATTACTAGAAGGTTAGTATTGTGCTGGGCACTGGGGTGGAGTTTGAGGTGGTGTGACTTTCGGGGTTTGAAATTCGAGAATCCACGTAGACAAGTCCATAGGACCCATGGACTGGGGCTCTTTCGGCACAAGCGTGGCTGTATAGTTCCATGAATGGCATTGAAGGTGTTATTCACGCGGAATTGAAGGTTTTGGTGATATGGCTTGTCTTTCTGTTCACTTGGAAGTGAGTTGGTCAATGCAATCACCACGTCTGAGCTGTGGACGGATGCTCCGAGCTAGGACTTGATGTGCGGTGGTTGTGTGATGTGGATGTGCTTTTCCTCTTCTGTGTGCTCGTTTGCCTTCGTTCTAGCCGGTTGTTATCACCTCATTGATGAGCCCGCTGGCGCTTGTTTAGGTGAAACAGCCAGCCTAGCCTGGATGCTCAACTCCAAAGATCCTGTCACGATACCCCCACGAAATCGGTTAACATACTGAACGTGATTTAATGAATATATGCGATAAGACTATTAAATCTCTATCTATTTATCCACCAGCTATTGGAATTTCCTGTTTTTCAATAAATCAGCTAACATTTTTCTGTCTCACTTAACTTTGATTTTATTGGCTGCGCGGTAGGAGGAGGAGTGCGAACATCACGTTTTGGAGGGCCTCTAAACACGTGTAACCAGTCAGGTGAGAACTGTCACCTGATCGGATGCGGTCGGAGCATCAGGGCTGGAGCCCTCACATATCACGTGCAAACACCAACTGAATGGTTCCCGCACGCGGTTTTCCTCTGCTAGCCCGCGCTCAGCGCCCTGTACACAGCAGCACCAGGGGTCCGTAACCCGCGCTCCATAGTTAACGTCCTTAACTATGGACGCACTACAGGCTCCACTAACAAAATCCTCACGGTCCATTTCCATAAAGATTAAAAAAGTTTTTCATCTTTTTGAATAGACTTCTTTTACAGAACACTAATAGGTATGTACCGGACATATAGATGAGAGTCTTGACATGACACACAACAGCCTAGCATCCACACCACGTTGATACCACACCAGTGTTGGTTGTCATTGATCGCCTGGCGGCATCCAGAACCCAACTAACATCTAGTCAATATGCCAAAAAAGAGAGCTTCCAACGGTAGAAACAAGAAGGGTAGAGGTCACGTCAAGCCAGTCAGATGTTTGAACTGTGCCAGATGTGTTCCAAAGGACAAGGCCATCAAGAGAGTCACCATCAGAAACATGGTTGAAGCTGCTGCCGTCAGAGATTTGTCTGAAGCCTCCGTCTACTCTGAATACGCCTTGCCAAAATTATACAACAAGTTGCACTACTGTGTCTCCTGTGCTATTCACGCCAGAATTGTCAGAGTCAGATCCAGAACCGACAGAAGAGTCAGAGCTCCACCTCAAAGAAAGAGATTCTCTACTGAAAGAAAGGTCTCTCCTCAAGACGCTGCCAAGAAGGCCAACTAAACTTGTTGATGCATAGGAAAATATGTACATATGACGAGTTTATAGGATAGCAATATATTGTATTTGTAACCGATGTAGTGACCACAGTGTGGTCGAGAATGAAAAACGGTTGTCGCTGGACAAACCAATCGGTGTGTCCTGGACGACTATCCAGCAGTGCCAAACCTCGCTGGCTACCGTCGAGAAGCACAATTATCAACCTGGAACATTGTCCAAAGTACCAAACCTCGCTGGCTGCTGTCAAGCAGTAAATTGTCCAACTTGGTAAATTATCCAAGTCTCGCTGGCTCACCGCTGTTATTCTCACCAACAGCTGATGCACTACACTATCTATTGCGCACTGGCCAATAAACTCCTACGGTTGTTGCTGACACATTTTGGTGCCCTCCAATCGCTACCATCCCACTCGTATCTTATCAATTGGTGTCAACGGTCCGCCCTGGGCCGTTCCTGTCACTGTAGACTAAACCCTTAACTAGAACAATCGCTGGTGTCGTCGTCTCCTTCCTCAAAAATTAACCGGGCGGTCGTTCATACCTATTTTTTTTTGCTGAGGCACAGACACACTACCACGACACTCTCAGCAATACTACGGATAATAGTATTACCCCAATTCAAGTTTAGCCAACCCAATTCAATCTAGTTCTCGAGATTGAATCCCATTAGTATCATTGGAGCCCCAATCAAGCCAATTCGCCGTTCGATTGATCTGATTAATCCTGCTATCCAACCGAATCGAGGAGGTTGTTGAACAAGGAATTGCCCTTATATTTGCGCCATCAACCATCAGAGGTCCTGGTTATATCGAGCTCGCAGAGTCCCTGAACATATCGAGCCAGCTACACTCTCTGCAACCACAACGATAATCCAACGTCCGTGCATCGACCCTAGTATATGAACATACCATGACCATGGAAGAAAGCTGGAAGTTCTCACAATGCTTTGGAGACAAGGGAGACATTGAAAACATCACCGAGGCCGATATCATATCGACCGTGGAATTCGACCACACCGGTGACTTCTTGGCCACCGGTGACAAGGGGGGTAGAGTGGTCTTGTTTGAGAGAAACCAGTCGAAGAAGAAGCAAAGCTGTGAGTACAAGTTTTTTACAGAGTTCCAGAGTCATGATGCTGAGTTTGACTACTTGAAGTCGTTGGAGATCGAAGAGAAGATCAATAAGATTAAGTGGTTAAGAAGTTCCAACAACTCCTTGTTCTTATTGTCCACCAACGATAAGACCATCAAATTGTGGAAGATCATGGAAAGACAGATTAAGTTGGTCAGTGAAAACAATTTGTCCTCCATCTCTACTACTTCATCGAATAACCCTTCATTATCATTATCTTCATTAAAACTTCCTAAATTACAATTACATGATAAATTAATATCTGCACAGCCCAAAAAGATCTACTCAAATGCTCATGCTTACCACATCAATTCTATCTCGGTCAATTCTGACCAAGAAACCTATTTATCATCTGATGATTTAAGAATCAACTTGTGGAACTTGGGGATTTCGGACCAATCATTCAATATCGTTGACATCAAACCAGTGAACATGGAAGAATTAACTGAAGTCATTACCTCCTCTGAGTTCCATCCAAACCATTGTAATTTATTCATGTATTCATCTTCCAAAGGTACTATAAAGTTGAGTGACATGAGATCGAATTCCTTATGTGACAGTCATGCTAAAGTGTTTGAAGAGTATTTGGATCCAGCATCCCACAATTTCTTCACTGAAATCACTTCTTCTATATCTGATGTTAAATTCAGTCAGGATGGTAGATACATTGTTTCAAGAGACTATATGACAGTTAAGGTGTGGGATTTGGCTATGGAATCAAAACCAATCAAGACTATTAATGTTCATGAACATTTGAGAGAGAGATTATGTGACACGTACGAAAATGATGCTATTTTCGACAAATTCGAAGTTCAATTCAGTGGTGATAATAAGTCTATTATGACTGGATCGTATAATAACAACTTTATGATTTATCCAGATGCTGTTGGCGGTAGTTCCAGTGCTGCTCCTAGCAAGCTTCCAAACTTTAATACTTCTTCTTTCAACAAAAAGAAGTCTGTGGATGATTCCGATGATGAAGAGGATAATGAGTCGCCTCCATCAAATGAAACATATCCTCAATCTCCTAATTCTAATGTTGATGAAGATGATCAAGAGGAAATTATCTTGCAAGCTGATAAATCTGCTTTCAAGTCTAAGAAATCAGCTAATAATGGCAGTACTATGAGACGCCGTATGATGAGTGGGGTTGGAACTGCTGGTAATGATAGAGATTTCGACGACATTGATTTTAAGAAGAGTATCTTGCACTTGTCGTGGCATCCAAAGGAGAATTCGGTAGCGATTGCTGCCACCAACAATCTCTACATTTTCTCCACGTTATAAATGTGAAGACTGTTATGTATGTTTCTCTTTTCCCATTCAATCGACTTGTTTCACTTCACTCTTTCTACATCTACAATCTGGTCTCATGATGAAGATTTTATAATTTATGTAATCAATTTTCAGCTTGTAGAAGCATTGTGCTTGATGAATCCATTTATAATCATTTATTGTGCTACGACTTCATATACTCGTAATGACCTAAGCTTCAACGTGTCTGTTGACATCTGGGTTCCAGAACAAAGTCTTGTCACCATCGCCCCAGAAGAAAGGCTTTTGTCTCAAGTTTTGGTAGTCGTATTGAGTTGGCCATTCTTCGTCGGAGAGGTGCTTCAAGTGTTCTCTGTGCTTGGCGTGCTTCATTTCAATGTTGACAACTGGGATGGCAGTCAAGACAATGGCTGGGAAAGCAATCAAGTAGGTGAGTCTCTTCCAGGTGTTGGTGATACCTTCGGAGTGGTGGACCTTTTCTTCGAGGTTCTTCTTGAAGGCTTCACCAGCTTCCTTGTTGATTTTTCCAGCGGAAAAAGCGTGCTCGTTAAGGTGCTTGGATGGACCGTAAGCGTGGTGGTTGAGTCTTCTGAAAGTGACTTGTTGGGCTCTTTTGAACATGTTTGATGATGGTTAGCACTGAGTAGAGTGTTCAAAAAATCAGTTCATAAAAAATGCGATAGTTCTATTGGTTGGGTACACGAGCGGGTTTTGAATGGTGTCACGTGACCCATACCCTATGAGCTGACCCCAGCCACCAGGCCACCTTTTGGAGGACGTCTCGATTGGGCATAGGTGCCCTTTCGGGCAATAATTCACATCGTTCTATTTGCCAGTGCTTGTAATATTCTACGTAATATGGCACTTCTGCTAGTTCTACGAATAATTATCTAAGACAAATGGACCCATGGAGGATATTTAATCCTTCGTGATGAGTAAATTCTGCAAAAGAATGCATGTTGTGGTCCTAATCTCTTGAATACGTTCTAATTGTTCATTACGAGCACTCTGTGTGGTTGTGGTTGTCGTGGTCACTACATCCTTACCTCACACTTGTATGCGTGGCTATCATGGTCATTATCGTTCTATTAGCTATGAAATCATCAGGGTGAAGCCGTCTTTAACGGACCCTGTGATGTTCTTGTTAATTGCAATTTTTCATTAACTTTTTCAAACTCGTCGATTTGCTCGAGCGTTTTCTTAAATGTAGCACCGTAGTCATACTTGCTTTTTTGAGCGAGGTAGGTGAAGTAATCATGACGGATCAAGAATGGAGTGAAATCAAAATTCCCATCTTGGTCAAAAAAGAACTCTGATGCTTGGTCAGTTTCAATCAACTGAATGATTTCACTTTCGTGAAATTCAGTAACATTGTTACTTACTAAGTATTCGAATAACGAATAGCTGTGTTCGAATATCAATTTGATGAAATCCTCGTCGGAAAACACCACTGGTAAAGGCTTGCCTTTACTATCTTTACCAGCTTCCATGTGGTGCTCTTTGATAAAGTTGTTTAAGTCTCTTATTTTCATCCATTGCCTCAATTGTGGAATATACTCGTAGCCCTTGTATGAATAACTTGATAAGCCAGCTTCATGATATTCATTGACTAACAATTGTTCGAATCCATTAGGAACGTAGGTGACTTGGCCCTCCACAATAGACATTTTGAGAGGGCTCAATTCATCAAGAAGAGAAAAATGGTTGTTCCTGCAATTGTAGACCTTCAAGAATTCGTTCCTTTCCAATTCCGTCTTGGATCTGTCTCGTGTCCATTCGGGAGATAATAAGTCGTTATATCTATCTGGGGAACGGGTGGGGGTCAATGCAAGGCCAGTGATATCAATATAAAGACCAGTATCAATATCAATAAACCTGGCATCGATGTTGTTGTAACCATTCCCACTCATACGTTGAGTGATGAAGGTTCCCACATCCAAGAAGTAACGTCCGTATCTTATTTCTTGTGATGTAGCATCGTCTCCAAAGTCAACGATGATGGACTGGTTGAACGAACGGGCCATCCGATGCAACTCGTCTACCGGCATTTGTACGTCGATGTCATTATCCCATGGAAATGCCATTCCATTCCAATACCAGGATAAGAGTGACCCATGAGCGATCCAAGTAGAGAAGTTGTTCGCATTGGTAAAACGCAACCAAGCACGCAATAATCCGAACAACACTGGTGGCTGTGAATCTGTGTAATTGATGATTCCATTGAAGAATCTCCAATCGTAGTGTCCACCAAGCTCCCAGCTGGACTCCTTCTGGACAATTTTGGCTTCGCTAAAGTACTTGGGAGGGGAAAAGGTACTCATGGAAACCTTAAGCGATTCGAGGTACCTGAATTCCGTAAAAGATATGGACTGTCCACCGTCGAGTTTGGACTGGATTTCGTTCACATACTCCTCGGACTTGTCGATGAATTGCAGATGGTCCATGTGTCTGAAATACGACAAATTTGCTGGCGGTATCACAAGAGCACTGTCTCTGTTTAAATTTTCAGCCAACCTGGTTATCTCGTCTTTCACATTCACTACGATATCGGTAGACACTTGCAACTCAATGGTGTGTTCGGATCTGTAATCAGAGACGTAATCGTTGAGAAGACGGCAATCCTTCATTCTTCGTTTGGCCATGGAGACGTCCTGATTGACTTTGATGTGGATGTTCTGATGGTTGGGGAGCAACATGTTGATGGAAAGCGGAGGGGGCATGAAGTCGTTCAAGTAGGACTTGGCCTCAAGCACACGCTTGACCTTGGCTGAACGGCCTGGGTTGCCAAAGATGTGGAATCCTGTGGAGTACTTGTTGCGCTTGAGGATCTCGAGATTCTTTCTGATATCGATGGTTTCTGGCGTTGCCAGATTTGTGGCAATTACTCTGTCGAGCTCTTCGATCATAGTGTCAATGTTCTGGTCATCCACGCAGAACAGTGCCGGATCAAACAACTCGAGCCTGGTGTTCTTGGTGGGGCTGGCAGTGGTGTGGTCAAAAAATTCGCAGCCAGTCTTCTTATGGCTCAACAAGTGCTGTTGCAAGATCGACGTGTCCACGTAGTCGGCCCAGTGGAAAAACGGAAGTATCATGTCGTCCTTGGAGGCAAAGTGGCCCAGCTCGATTCGTTTGCTCACGTAGTTGAGGAGGATGCCAAAGGTGAAACGAGGGTCGAAGTGGAGCAATTCGGGAATGGCCAGCTCGTCTGGCTCTGCCAACTGTGGCGGGAGCACGAACGAGTTGAATTTCTCGTCGTTGGTCATGTCTAACTGGTATAGCTGCAATTTGCGCTGGTCGTCATCGATCTCTTCGACTGGCCTCGAGAGGTACACTTTCTGGAACTTGGCGTAGAGCTTTGCATTGAACACCGAGAAATCGGTTCTATCGTGCTGCTTCAAGAACGTCTGCTTGAGACCAGAGAGGTTGGTGGTGATGATGTCACGGATGGTGGAGTCTGGATTGTAGGTCCATAGCGAGAAGAGCACGATGTGGAGGAGCGCGATGGCGATCACCAATAGCCCAGCTCGGGACCTCCTGATGAGCATTTTGGGGAAAGACTGGGTTGAGGAGAGGGTCTGGGGGCGGAATCTACGGTTATATAACGTTGTCGGCGCATAAGCCCACCGACCAGTGGCATAGCATCGGACGGGGCTACAGATTCATAGCCTCCCCCCACCACAAAACCGGTTCGGTGATTCCAGGCTTTGTGTCAGGAGAGCGGGTTTTATCACAAGACCGCAGCCGATTTTGAGCGGCTGCGCAAGCGAAAATGCAGACAGCGAGGGTCCTGGGGGAAAGTGCTGATAGTGGTGGCGGTGATGGTGATGTTGGTGCTGGTGCTGGAAGGTGCTGCCATTGGTGCTGGTGGTGCTGGTGCCGGTACTGGGCAGTGCCAGCGTGTCGTTGGCGTCGGCATCAGCACTATTGTGGGAGGCGACTCGCCTTAGCTCCCGATTAGGGCAGCAGCCTGGTGCAGATCGTTGAGGTATTTTAGCATCAGAGCCACGCGTCGTTCGGTGCAGCGGACTGGGGTGGTTGAGTGTCTGACGGGTGTCTGACGGGTGTCTGACAGGGTGTAGTGTCTCGCAGGAGAGAGGTGGGAGTTGGGAGAATAGGCATCACGGCAAGCTATCGGCTGTGGCCCCATGTCAGATCCTCGCGAGCGTTTCCGCTCATCGCCGGTCTTCGTTTGCTCGTGTGTTTTGCGGGCGAACGTGGGAGTGACCCGCTGCGGAGTCCGCCGTAAGCCACTTTCAGGGCGCCGCGCCCACTTGGGAGGGAGCGTGCTTGGCCGCAGCAGCCGTGTGAAGTTATCGCTACTCCCAGGCCTTGGGACCATCCCCAGACACCCCCCGACAACTGTCTGGCTTTGGTTGCAGCCAAATGTGTCAAATGTTGCACCCACCCCCAAATTACGTTTGCCAAGACTTTTGCTGAACGGTACATCTAGAAGCCCCCGCCCGATCGGCAATCGCCTAAGCCCTGTTGACGCGCGCACACGACCGAGTCCAGCAAACGTGCAACCCGCAAATGAACAGGAACAACCACTACAACCCGCAAATAAACCCACCACCACCATCATGAAGTTGAAAATCGCCTGCTTGCAGCTCAACCCCGCCATCCACCAGGTCGAGGCCAACGTGGCCAAAGTCCGCACGCTTCTCGCCTCCGTCAAGGATGCCCTTGACATCGTGGTGCTTCCGGAGCTCGCCATCACTGGCTACAACTTCCAGTCGCGTAAGGCCATCGAGCCTTACCTCGAGCAGGGCGACACGGGCCGTTCGGTGGCGTTGGCCCAGGAGATTGCTCGTCTGCGTAACTGCTTTGCTGTCATTGGATATCCTGAATTGCACCAGTCCACCATCTACAACCTGGCGGTGGTAGTGGGGCCGCATGGGCAGGTGGTGCATCGTTACCGCAAGACGTTTCTCTATGAGGCAGACGAGCGCTGGGGCTGTAGCGAGAATCCGCAGCGAGACTTTGCGGCGTTCGACCTCGTACTTGACCGGGACTATTATAGGGAGACCCAGGGAGGGAGTGGGACTGCGAGCAGTGAAGGGACTGGGAATGCGAGCAGTGAAGGGACTGGGAATGCGAGCAGTGAAGGGAGCAGTTTACCGACTAGTGATGGGTTAAAGAGTGGACTGTCCCAGGGTGAGCTGTCCCAGAGTGAACTGTCCCACTTGTCCCACACTAGTAATTCGCAGGCCTCCCACACTAGTGACGTCTTTCCTCTGGCCTCGTCCCGCACCTCGGTGCGCGTCAACTTGGGCATCTGTATGGACTTGAACCCCTACAAGTTCGAAGCGCCGTTTAACGCCTTCGAGTTCGCCATGCGCTGCTACGACCAGCAGGCGCGCTTGGTGCTCTGCCCAATGGCCTGGCTCCTGCCCCATTCCCCCTCCATCGACTCCAAGCATGGCTGGTCTGCCTCCGAAAAACTCCGCCAGGGAAATGCATTTGCCCTCCGCCACTTTAGTGCTTCGCCCCGCTACGAGATCAACACTGGCAACTCCCCTCCTCCCTCTGCATCTCCCGCCAGCACTGCAGGTGACTCTCCATTCACTCCCGCAGTGCCCTGCACCTCAACGGTGGACTACTGGATTCTCAGGTTTTTTCCGTTTTTGAACCACCCGCACTCGCTCCCTAAAGCCTTCCGCTCCGTCACAGTGGTAACCTGCAATCGGTCAGGGGTCGAGCACGACGTGGTGTACGGGGGCTCGTCGTCGATCTTCCAGTTCGACGGCACTGCTCCCTCGTCTACCGCCATTGACTCCTCCAACCCCAGCGTATCGGTGCTTGGGTCCTTGGGCCAGGGTCTGGAAGGCATCCTCGTGCGGGAGGTGGATGTGGAGGTTACCCTGGGGTGAGCGGAGTCTTGAACGATGGTCCGTCCCCCGCGGCAGAACCTGCATTATCTGCCCGCTTAGGTAACTCGCCGAGTGACCTCATGCCAAGAACATTTCGCTTGCTATATGCCAGACACTATCTGAAACATTTTCCGGACTCCAGACTCTGGACCACCCTAGATGCCCACCCTCCAGATAGCCAGATCGCCAGATCCGAGGACAATCAGCCCCATCCACCGTCTGGCCCGGTATTGTTCCACCCTCAAATGCCGACACTCCATCTGGCTAAGCCTTCGCGACGTTGCTCTCCCCACCAACTCCGATTGGGAACCCGGGTGGCCCTGGCTCCAGACACTCATCCCAGGGATTCATTTAGGTTGCAGGAAAGTCTTGGCTTCTTGTTACTTAAGGGGTCGATTGTCTCCAGTTTTTTTAGGTAAGTGATCTTTCGAGCCCTAATCTAGCCAGTTAATGTACCCACCATGATCGTCCCTGGCCACCTACCTCGTAAGATCGTCTCCAAAGCCACCATGCTCGCATTGATGATGGTGTGCATTCTTCTCCTCATAACCACTACGCACATTTCGCTCCCCCACCAGTTGCATCGCTCGATCAAGCTCCATTTCAAAAACGCCTACAACCTGATCGTGGCGTCCACCAGCTTCGCTACTGACAATAACCCCTACTTCGAGGCTGCGCTTGTCCGCATCTACGACGACAAGATTGCCAACGACTGGTCCAACGAGTTGTGGGACCTCCATCGCGAAATCGACTACCCTCTTGACATCGCCCTTCCCTACTACTACCACACCCAGGAAAAGCCAGCAGCCCAGCCGTTTGACCCCAGGTTCACCATCGCCGTCTACCTCCACCATTTAGCCCTGGACCCCTCGGAGGTGCCCTTTCACTGGTCCGACTGGGTGGATGTCTCCAGGCTCAACAAGTACATTCTCAACCCCAAAAAAGTGTCTGACGCCTGCACGTCGTTGTTCGATATCAGGAGCGACAAGCAGTTGGTTGACGGGTCCACTGTTCGGGACCCCACGCACTACTGCACCAACGATGCGGACTTTGCGCTCGGGTACAGGATCCACCAGTTCGCAGGCCAGCAGACAGAAAACAACCACGAGATCCTAGGAAAGTCGTACTTGTACTCCACCGCCCCCTCTCCATTGAAATTGGTGTTTTTGACAAACGACAAGGGCTCCTACACGGTGGATGTTCAGGACCCCGACAAGCCGTCGCTCCAGCACTCGCTCCTCCAGAATGGCATGATCGAGCAGATGTTGGACCAGAACGTACTCCGCACGTCGCAGCCATTGAACGTACAAAAAGCATACACCGCATTGACATCCCTCAGGCCACTTCCGGACACTCCCCAAATGACGGAACACCAGGTCAAAATTCCGGAAGAGGCCTTTAACGTGAACCCCTACAAAATCATCGCCGACTTCGAGTCCGCTCCGGAACCCCTCTCGCGGTCCCACCAGGCATACCTCGACTCGGTGAGAAATTCCGTCGCCAACAGAGACCCTCCCAAGTTCTTCTACGAAGCCAAGCTCCTCCAGCTGGTGTCCAACAACTGGCGTGGAGAGCACTACGACTGGCGTTTTTTCAACGGAATCACCATTGGCGACGACCAGCACTTGGTAACCTTGCACAGATTGCTCAAAAACTACCTCCATTTTGCCAGAACCCACAACCTCAAGACCTGGATTGCCCACGGCTCGTTGTTGTCATGGTACTGGAACGGAATCGCATTTCCCTGGGACACGGATGTGGACGTGCAGATGCCCATCGAGGACCTCTACAAGTTGGCGCAGGACTTCAACCAGACATTGGTGGTCGAAAACGCCGCTTCTGCAGATGGCTCTTTCGACGGCATGGGACGCTATTTTGTGGACGTAGGCTCGTCCATTTCCCACCGCACCAAGGGCAACGGCCGCAACAACATCGACGCCAGGTTCATCGACATCGATACTGGCCTCTACATCGACATCACGGGGTTGGCGCTCACCGACACCCCAGTGCCTGACCGGCTCAAGTATCTCGCCAACGCCACGTCGGGAACCACCACCACCGCAAGCATCAAGGCCTACAACTGCCGCAACATGCACTACAACACCTACGACGAATTGTCGCCTTTGGTGATGACTGTAGTGGAGAACCAGGTCGGATACGTGCCCAGCAACTTCATCGTGGCCCTCAACGCCGAGTACTCACCCAGAGCCATGACCGAGCTCTTCCACAGAGACCACTTCTACAACTTTCACTTGCGCATGTGGATGCCCACCCAGACAGTGTCGGACTACATGACACTGGCTGAGCAGTGGTTGCACATGCGTAACTCGACGTTGAACAACCCCAGAGTGATGGGGGAAATCCGCACCCGTGACTTCAAACTGGCTCAGCTCAAGTCGCTTGGCCTCGACGACCACATCAACCTTTTGCAGGACAACGGGTTCTTTGGTGAGTACTACAAGACCAAGCAATTCACCTGGTTGCACCAGCAGGAAATGACGCTTCTTTTGGACCCACACGGCCAGCCGCAGGCTCATGCCAACCTCTTGAAGAGGTACTCGCCTGGAACGGGGCTCAAGCCAGATGTTTTTATGGACCTGGTGATGCGGGACATGAAGAAGTTCAGCTACTCCACGCGCATGAATGAGATCCTTGCCTTGTCCAGCTTGTACGGCAACTAGTTAGCATATAGACTTATAGACGAAGAAATTCATACTTGTAGTGATAAGATGGGAGGAATGAAAAATAGACGACTGGAAAATTAGTGTACCTCGGGGGTTGTCAATCCACGGGTATAACGACCGAGGGAAATTGGAAACATCTAATTAGACGAATAATAGGAAACTCGTAGAAACACCAAACTTGTCCATTCACGAGAGATAAGACAGGAGATAGAGGTTAGAAAAAAAAATAGAACAGGACGAATGCAGGGAAATTAGAGAGATTTTGGCTCTTGGTTCATTCACGGATATAATGATGGAGGGAAATTAGCAAATTATAGAATAAAGGCGAAAAGGTAAGGAAATTTAGTGCACCTCGGGTGCATGTTTACTCCGTCAATTCACGGGCGGTAAGACGGAAGTTAGATGGTTAGAACTAAATATAGAATAAGACGGGAAAGGTTGAGGAAACCACCAGACTTGCTTGTCGCCTGGTCTTCTGGGCGATATCGACGGAGGAAAAGTCGAATCAAATATAGAATGTTGAAGAAAAGAAAAAGGAATTAAAGATGATTAGTCGAAAGAGACTTCTTTGTCGACTGGCCCGAGCGATAAGGCAAGATGAAATTGGAGGGTGATGGAAGCAATTCAAATACAGAACTAAACGAAAAAGGAATTAAAGAAAATTAGTCACATCACCTTCCGGCTTGCTTGCTCGTTTTGTCAATTGACACACCAAACTCGGGCGATAAGGCATGGAGTGTGTTTATGATGCTTCGTAGTATGTCATTCGAATGTAGCATCTAGAGTAAAGACAAAAAGGAATTCACGCAATTAGTCGAAAGTGCAGTCGATAAGACGGTGCATTTTGTCTGACGAGTGTCCCCGCGCCAGTTGTTCCGAAGATGTGCATAGGGGCAGCCAGGCGAGCGGCGGAAACAGCACACGAAACAAGGAAGGTGGAGGACAGCAACGCCGTGAGCCTTCGATTCGACACATGCGGTAGGGGCGACTCCCAAGGCGGCGATCATGACTGCCATGACGTAAAGAGAAGCAATCGTCCCGGTTGCATCATGACACCAAAACCGGCTGGTGATAACGGAGGCCGCACAGGTGTCGCCACGTGATGGCGGTAACAGTGCAGGTTGCAGATAACGCCAGGTTACAACCAGTGGCGTTACTGGTTACGCACCATGAAACCTGAAACGAAATGGTTAGCACCACTGCTACCACACATAGAAGCAGACACTCTATGATCAGGAGCGAAGCAACGAACATCATCCAGGGGGGTCAGGGGACCGTGCATGCGGTCGTGGCCAAGATAATGGCCGGGCACACTTGCTCAGTGGCTGGCCCCGCCAGTGGCAGCTTCCTTTGGGAGATGCAGACACTGTTGGTGGAAGAAGAAGAAGCAGCAGCAGCAGCAGCAGCAGCAGCCCGGCATGGCGCACTGCCGATAACACTGACAGCCAGCCCCTTGGTGGGGGCAGCGCCATCCGCTGGGGTCCGTTCCTGGCACCACGTCTATCGCGCGCCTGCGCGCGCCTACGTGCACCCGCACACGGTGCCGCCACTAGGGCTCGGACACCCCATGACCCCGCGGGTCACCCCGCTGGCACAAAAGAAATTCGGCCCGATCGGGAAGCGGACCAGGTGCAGGCGCGTCGTTTCTTTTGAGGCAATCATAGCCCTTTCTCAATCTGGAAAATACTAGAAAAATTTTCACTGAGGCGATTAGCCTGAACGCCTTTTGTGGTGGGCAGTGGTAGTTTGTCCGTATATATAACTCGCAATCCATCTCCGAATTTTGGTTTTTTTTCTTTCTTACCCATCCACCTAAGTTCAAAATGCAATTCAAACAAGTCGCTATTGCTTTAACTGCTGCCACTGCCGTCTCCGCTGCTAACGCTTCCAACGGCTCTAACGGTTCTAACGGATCCAACCACTCCTCTTCTTCCAACGCCGCCGGTGTCTCCAACGTTAACATCGTCGGTGCCGCTGCTGCTGCTGCCGCTGGTGTTGCTTTGTTGTTCTAAGCAGTGAGGATACGGAATGCTTTCCGTACCAAGGTCGGCCGAGCCAGTCTCACTGGCCCAAAACTTCATAGAGTGACCAGCAACTAGTCTAATAATTGTTTAATTAATAATACATTAAGTTTAATTAATTAAGAAACCACATTTTTTGTAGTGTAGTCGTTCCGAGCCTTCCACGGTATCGTCGGGTGTCGTGGGTGCAACTGAGCCATCAGCCGCTCCAGCTCCATTGGGTCAGTGCTTCCTGGTCTGCCTTCGAATCCACGATCCTTGTTTCTTCGATACCCCCTACAAACTTTGGTTAGACGATCCAGAGCAATCTAATTTCGTGGTTGGTGTTCCATCCTAAAACTCTCGAATTCGCGCCCAAAACGTATCCTCGTGCCTCCCGCCCCCGTGCACGCCTTGTTGCATAATCCCTCCCGGCCTTATTGTTAGATGTGTTGCGTCGTCTAAAAAAATAGTGCGGGGCACCACATTTGACCACATAAATGTCTGCCGCGAAATGTTTACCCGAACTACCCTGCCAGAATGTGTAGCGGCGCCTCCTAATTGTCGCACGGTGTTGTGACTTCAAACCATGCATGAATCGACAATTCCGCACCAACCTAAAAATAGGCGCAAGGGGAAGGATCAAAAAAAGAACCCACGCCGGGAGTCGAACCCGGAATCTTTTGATTAGAAGTCAAACGCGTTAACCATTACGCTACGCAGGCGCTCGTTGTGCAGAAGTGGAACGCGAATAGATATATTGATCAGTCTGTAAATTACGTAATAAGGATTAGGTAATACAGTTGGGTGAGAAAATATATTTAGAAAGGCTAGAACCGTGATTTAAAGAATAAAGTATAAAGATGATATGAAACAAGAACAGAGCTCCAAAATGCGGTGAATCACGGACAGAACTCCAAAGGTAAATGACATAAAGAACTCAGAACAAGATATCTATAAAAGGGCAAGAAAGTATATAGATTAAATATTCAAGGAGTTATCACGGAGATCTAGATACAGACAGATAATTCCGATCCAGAGAGTGACGGGCTAACGAGTATAAGGAAATATAAGAGTTAATTAGGACTAAGACGTTTCCTAAAAGTTATAAGCTACTGCTGAGAAGACAATAGTATTTAACCTAGCTTTATACCCAGAACCTAAGTTTAATCTGTTACCTTTGGTAGAGCCATTAAATATTAATTTTACATGTTTGAAGTAATTCTACAATTTGAAGAGTCAAGGAAAGCATTTCTTTATACGAACGGAATCTTGTTATCATTACTTATAAACATAGCTGTTCCGTACTATGTTTATAAAGTCACTAGTTTCATACTTACTAGTATTAAACGTTGCGTTGCTGGCAGCAACTAATAACTCAACAGCTAAACTTGCAGGTAATGTGGGAGAAGACAGTCAAGGCTTAAGCCCAGATGTGAGTTTAAACATACTGAATGGCACTTTGTATAGAGGGTTAGATGTCGATGGCGGGAATGTTAATAATATTACTAAGCGAGAAGGTATTCGGAATTATCTAAATACAGCTTTCAATGGGGGTATTATCTTTGAATCAATTAACGCAGCAATATCATCGTGGCTTAATACTTATTATCTGGCTATCAAAATTGTTAAACAGCAGTCTGATACGCATAACTGCGGCATAGTGCAGAGTGTGACTGTTGACAATATGAGATACATATACTCGTCGAATGGCAGGAACTGTGACACTACAGCTAAGGCTGCGACTATCGAGGGGTCTTTAAGGAAGGCGTTTGATACGTATAGAAAGAATAACTATAGTTGCGTGTACTGCATGGAGCTAACATATAGTGGTGCTTGGGTAGGGTATCTACTAATAGGACCTAATTACAACTGGCCTGATGACCTAACGTGTGGAGACAGCAATGGAGGTCAATGTGTAAAGGGTGGCAAGAATGATGTAGTACTATAAATGAATTCAATAAAATAAAATAAAATGAATATGATAAATAAATGAAATGAAAGCAGAGGTTAAAGATTGGGTAATTTGATATACAAAAGAAAATAAGATGAACAAAGTCAAATCATAATATCAAACAGACAGAAATAGCCCACAAAGAATTGAACAAGCCATTGAGAAGTTATGCCTTAAATCGATACGAATTTCCGACAGACCACTTACCAATGTTAGACTTTGAGCTGAACCATACCTACACTGAAAGTATTAAATGTACCCCATTTTCTGCAGATTTAGGAAGACAAGACCTGATTACACTAGTAATTACGTAATAATGATTGGTTAAATATTATTGAGCGCGACATTGTCTAGCACGTGATGTGACATATCGTGCTCCTGTCATACTATTCAAACTAACGATAACTACGTTGAAATACCATGAAATACCATCAAGCAATGTTTCCATTGAAATCGTTCTTCGGTCATCGTTTCTTGCTCTGGTTATTTTTTGTCTGCCTCTTTTGGCCGAGTTTAGCAATTTTTCCATAATACTGTAATTATTTAAAATTTATACCTTCTTCTCTAATCTCAACTTCCTCAACCTTGCAAAGTCCTCCGATTCTATCAGGACGAATCATTGAACCTCTGTAGTGGGAGACTCGGTAGTATCTTCCTTGAGCCTATACTCTGCTCGATCGGTTGAATGATCCAAGATTTGTAACACTGGCAATTAAAAGCCACACCTGAATGTTTACTGTTTGCGCCATGCAGTTGGACCAGGGCTGAGTACGGATATTGTACAGCAAGGCTGAATATCTGCAACTGATAAGAGCACTTGGAGGGCTTAGCATACCAGACAGTTGGTTCAACAGTATCTGTCATGGTTCTTGACTATGACGGCTGTTTCGAAGTGTCTCGCATATCTCCCCAGATGCAGCAGAATCAGTTGGGTATTGACTAGTTGGTCTCCTGCCTTGATTATGTGCACCCACGAGATCAGATCGCGCGATAAGGATTGTTGCGATGGCAGAAATCAGTTGTGGCTGAAGCTGGGGTAGAATGGGGAACCCCAAAATACCCAAATAGGAACTACACCCCGCTCTACCCATACTCCAATCAGCTGGCACCTCCTCTGTTGGTGACTGCAAGGAATATTGCTATTCCAGTCAGTATCTGAGGGCAGTCTGGGTCCTCCTATAAAGAATATAATTAAAAAAAGGGACTCAAGGTATTCCCCTCCCAATCCTGCTGATTCGTAAAATAGGGAACCCCTGAATCATGAGCAGGATTAGCTTGGCTGAAATTTATTAAAAGCATAGAGCCAAGAATCCATAAGCAAGGGTCCAGTTTATCTTGGCCACCACCTGGTAGCCTTTTATCCGGCCACGATTCTTGAAGTGCGCACGCATGGTTCCTGAATTTGGAATTTGGAACTTGGGGTTGCTCTCCCAGCATCACGTGCACCACCAATCAATTGAAATCCCCACATCTACTAGTTGACTCTAGACTGCCACCATCATGTCTGACGACGAGAAGAAGAAGAGATCGGTCAAAGCCTCGGGGTTGACCGAGGAGCAGAAGAAAGTATGTCGTTCCGTGCGTTCCACAGTCCATTACTAACGCCATAGGCCCACCATATAGCTTCAGAGCAGAAGAGAAGAGAGAACATTCGGTCTGAGTTCGACAAAATAGTGTCGCTCACTCCCACGCTCAACGAGCTGGAGAATCGGTCGGAGTTGAACATCTTGACCAAAAGTGCCGACTTCATCGACCACTTGAAAGAAGAAAACCGCAAATTGGTGGAGTTGTGTCGGGCCAACCACATTGAAGTACCCCAAGATTTGTACTATACGGGTCCCGCAAGCGACGGCAGTGATGTGACCAAGTAGACTAGAGAGGCTCTGTGAGTCTATACAAAAATGACGAAATGTATTTTACTATTTAATGATAAAACAGTATGTGGATGTATATAGCAGATTTGACCTCGATGTTATTATGTACATGGCATACGTGAAAATAACGATGAATCAATGAATCTGATGCCACTCAATGGACCAGTAGATATATATGAATCCAATCAAACAATATGGCTTCGGTTGCAGAAAATCGAGTATAAGGAGTAAGAAGATATTGGTATTTCTTTCTGCTTATACCTATGTTTCAACTCTCCAGATTAACCCATAATTGTATTGAACTCCTTCTGAATTATATATGTGTTTAACTGGCAAGAACTCAACTGACCCTGGATACTCTGTTTCCAATTCCTTATACAACAGGCTTTTAGTTATGAGTTGGATATGATGGATGTTTTTGTTGAACTTGATCACCTCCTTCACTTTATCGCTGGAATTGGTGAATAAGGTGACAAATTGTAACTTTACTTTCCCTATCTGGACGACTCCACGATCCTCGAAGGAGTTTATCAACCTGTCAAGCTCGGTCTCGTCAGTTTCAGACTCGTCGTCACTGTCGTCATACATTCCAACAATATCCTTGTAACTAGTTCCACTCCATTCTATATCAGCAGCTCTCGGAAGCTCAGATACCTCGGCAATCACCAACAGCTTTCCAATAGAGTCTGGGTAGTTCTTCCACGTATCTCTCGCAATACTGACGGTACTGGATTCTTTGATAAAGCAAATAACAAGTGCAAGTTTCTCTGTACCTATCAAAGCCTTCACCCGGTGTAAATGTTGGAGGGAAAGCACTGAATTGAATCCAGTGTGGCTTGCAGAGATCTCCATGGAAGCTGGAATTAATGGGATTTGTCCAGACAATGATACCAGATGGTACTCGGTTTGCTTTTCAACAATGCATTGGGAATATGGCCCGATATTCTGTGGAGCCCAGAACGATCTTGATCTGACATGGAGTCCCAACTTTTCCGATGCAGTTTGATTCTTCAATACTATGCACGATAATTGCACTTCTCGTGCAAGTTCAGTTTGAACACAGACTCTTGACGGAGGCAAGTACAAGCCCTGGAACTGTTTTGAGTAGATTTCATTTATATGAGCAAAGTCACCCATGTTGGCTAATAGAAGGGTTATATGTTGGATATCATTGAATCCAAGTTCATTCAGGATGAGGTGCTTCTGGAGTTGCTCGAAGATATCCTTTGCTTGTTCTTCCAATGCAGATCTGTCACTAGTCAAGTTGGATACGTATAGTTTTGTGGCCGTCGAAACGATACTTGGGGATACTGCTGAAATTTCCCCAGGGTCCAGCAATGATAAAGCATCCAATTTGGGTTCACTTGTAAGATCGTCAAGCATTTCTTCAAAATTTTCTTCCAAGAGGACTGGACTGGGTAATTCGAGGGATTCGGGTTCCTTATGTTGCTGCTCAACCTTGATTTTCAAATACGAAACGTCGTCATTAGAATGGTTCACGATTTCCTGGTCCACTATATGCAACTTCTTCTTGAAGAATGGGGCATCCAACACGATGGTTTCAAACTCGCCTCCCTCTCCACATATATGCACTTCGTACATACTGTTGAGCTTGACTAGATGAGGAAATAATTGGGAGATTGACTTGCCCAAATGGCTTGAGTTCAATCCAATTGCTGCAACTTTGATGATTCTGGCATCGAGACGACTGTTGCACATTTCTTGCATTAATTCATATTGGTTCAGCTGCCACAAGTATGTCAAGGAAGTTAAGCCCAAACGGTCACACACGTTTTCAACTCTTGTTCTTTGGTAATGAGACAAAATTGCACCACAACTCACACCTTGAATGTCTGGATGTTTCTCCAAGACTGTCGATAACAATTGATGCAAATCCTCAATTTCATCGTTCTCGGTGATGGAATACTCCAAGCTCTGGTTAGTAGAGCCTCCAGTAATTGCTTGTCTATACAATGGGGTCTCCAAACACTGGGAATAGTGCTCAATGATATCATGTCCTACAGTCTGGAACATAAACGAATCGATTTCATCATCGTTTGTTTGGGGGTATAAGTTTGCAAGGGCTACCAACTCATGGCCCTGTGATAAGCATCGATGTATATTGAAGAATGAGTCTTTTCCTCCTGAGATCAATGCCACAAACTTCATGGTATTGTAAGGGGACTATCGGTATGGTTCCAGCTACAAACTGCAAGATGCCCGGGAGTAATCGTAACCTGTAACGGGACCCACTGCCTGACAGAATCTGTAATTATCCCCCCAACATGTAAATAGAAAATGAAGGTCACAAGCGAGGACTAGGATTTACTCGCCCGCGTAAATATAGGGATACTCGCAGAGGTGCAAAAATTTTCAATGGCATCTACCGCGCGCCAACTTTATAAAAGGAGTTCAATCTCGTCTTTTGAAATATTTCTCCTTAGATTAAGACAGTCAATATGCCTCGTATGTACTACGCAATACTAACTTAGCAGCAACTTCATTAAACAATCAGTAGCATGCTACTCTTTGTTGAGGTTCGGGTCCTCTTCTTTGATTTCATATCAGATTATTTTAATTGTAACTGAACTCCCGACACTTCAGTTACAAGCTTGGGGAAAAAGTGACCTGGTCAGACAGAGTTTGATACTATGTCTATCCAGCACTGTCTCACGGCACACCGTAATGGTGGCCTGACAGGTTGTCACTTGATCCTTGATGTCTAATATTCTGTAATATCATCGTAAGCTCCCAGCTGTCTAAGAACGATTTATATGAATGTATTCTAACATTTCAGGTGCTCCAAGAAGTTACTCCAAGACTTACTCCGTCCCAAAGACCCCTTACGACTCTGCTCGTTTGGACGCTGAATTGAAGTTGGCCGGTGAATACGGTTTGAAGAACAAGAGAGAAATCTACAGATTAGGTTTCCAATTGTCCAAGATCAGAAGAGCTGCTCGTGACCTTTTGACCAGAGATGAAAAGGACCCAAAGAGATTGTTCGAAGGTAACGCTTTGATCAGAAGATTGGTGAGAATCGGTGTCTTGTCCGAAGACAAGATGAAGTTGGATTACGTCTTAGCTTTGAGAGTCGAAGATTTCTTGGAGAGAAGATTGCAAACCCAAGTCTTCAAGTTGGGTTTGGCCAGATCCATCCACCACGCCAGAGTCTTGATTACCCAAAGACACATCGCTGTTGGTAAGCAAATCGTCAACATCCCATCTTTCACTGTCAGATTGGACTCCCAAAAGCACATTGACTTCGCCCACAACTCCCCATACGGTGGTGGTAGAGCCGGTAGAGTTAAGAGAAAGAACCAAGGTAAGGGTGCTGAAGAAGGTGCTGAAGACGACGAATAAATTATTTAATAATAGTCTTGTATTTACTTCACCATTTTTAATAAAATTGGTTTTCCATCTTTCCTTTAGTTCTGTTTATGTAGTTTAATGAATTTATCAATTAGAAAATCAGTAGACTAATAATCATATGGGTACTGCAAATTACTATTCGTCACTTCGATGTCAGTAGGCTAATAATCCTAAGAGTAACTGCAAAGTAATGATAACGAAGGCACAAGACCCCATTATCGGGCATGAGATAGGAGCGCTATCCCCGGTAGAGTCTTTCTTGCAGGGATTACTATTGAGGAATATTAGGTGGTAGGGTTATACCTGCCATTACTATTAAACTTAAGCGTTGACTATATTAATACGACTAATATAAGTACACTACGGCCTCTTACAGTAGGAACCGTCAGGGCCATCTACCTACCCTGTACTATTGATATTGATGCCTATAATATATCTGAATGGGAAATGCTATAGGTGAACGTAGCACGTGCATGAGGGCCCGAGCCCTAAGGTGTGCGCAGAACAAACCTGTACGAAATAATGAAAATTTTCGACCTGCGACTGGGTCTCACTCTCTCTAGAAAACTTACATACACTATTCGAGACTTCTCTTTTGAATAGTTCACCAAAATCAATACAAAATGGGTAAATCGTATGTGAATAGAGGATAGATTATATCTATGGAACAACTGGAGAAACGATCAAACAGACAGGCACATTAGAAACTTCCAACAGTCCAATAGTCAAAGACCTAACTTGGGTGAAAATTGTGATAGAAATGATGGGATAAAATTTCGAAATAGAAGACCACAAATTTAGTCGATACAGAATGAAGGCATAGTCTAGATCATCTCATCAACAGTTGCTCTGCCCCAGAGCTTTATACTAACAATATAGTCGTGGTTACAGATCCGGTACTCGTTACGCTTTCCAACGTGACTTCAAGAAGCATGGTGTCATTCCATTGTCCACCTACTTGAAGACCTACAAGGTTGGAGACATTGTTGACATCAAGGCCAACGCTGCCATCCAAAAGGGTATGCCACACAAATACTACCACGGTAAGACTGGTATCGTTTACAACGTCACCAAGACCTCCGTCGGTGTTATCATCAACAAGGTTGTTGGTTACAGATACCTTGAAAAGAGAGTCAACTTGAGAGTCGAACACGTCAAGCACTCTGCTTGTCGTCAAGAATTCTTGAACAGAGTCAAGTCCAACGCTGCTTTGAAGAAGGAAGCCCGTGCCAACGGTAAGACCGTCAACTTGAAGAGACAACCAGCTATGCCAAGAGACTCCAGAATTATCTCTACTGAAGGTAACGTTCCTCAAACCTTAGCTCCAGTTCCTTACGAAACCTTCATTTAAATGTATTTGTATGGTTTCAGCAGAGTTGGTTTACAATTGCAGAATTCTAAGCTTTCTTTGTATTATAAAGTATATACTAATGCACGTAAAAGTAAGATAATCGAACGTAAGCAGCGGACCATCGAAAGCTACCCATACTAGAATATCCGTACTTTACACACTTAGAAATTGTTCGTATTTGTGGTGAATCCCAAGATCCGGTCACGTGCTGCACTGTGTCCTCAATCGTACGTCATCATTTATCCTACGGCCAGTAATTAATCGTTGTTGTTCACCAATGGCTGAAGTTTCGTCGGAAAAGGCAGTGCTGCCATCTGGCACTGAAGCTCCAGCTTCAACTCAAGGTTCGCTTTTTAGCAATGCTTTGCAAACATGGACCGAGATCGACTTACCTTCGCTACAAAAGAAACTTGATGATCAAGGGATAGAATTGAAAGACGAACAGAAGACATCGCTTATCAGTAGAAAGAACCTTGCTTCAAAGACCAAGGAATTCAGGAAGTTGGAAGATGAAGAGAAATTGGAGCAAATAAAGCCTTTATTGAAGTTATACCAGAATGAGATCGATACACTCACCACTAAGAAGAAAACGGTGGAGAACTATTTCTTTGGTCTTTACAGGTTATTGGCAGAAGCTCCAGATCCCAGACCATTGTTAGAAGCTTCATTGGACTCTGTTATGGACTCATCCGAGTCGCAATCTTTAAAACGTGAGATCAACAAATTGAACGAAGAGTTGGCCAGGAAAGCCGATTATGATCAATTGAAACAAAGGCTATTGCGAACCGAACAAAAATCAGCAGAAATGTTGAGTTTAAAGCTTTCTGCCAAAGAAGATGAGCTCAAATCATTGATCGACGAGAAAGAGTCTAATTGGTTCAAAAAGGAAAAGCATTTGGAGGGACAGGTAAAAGAGGCCCAGAAGAAGATCGAAGAGTTAAGAGCTTCCCAAGAGGTCACCGAATTACAATTGACAAAAAATCGTCCAAAGGAAGACCTTTCTTCATCTGCATCGATTTTGGCTGAATTAGATATTGTATCAAGAGATGCAGAATCGTCAAAAAAGAGAATTCTTGAGTTGGAGAAGCGAAACGAAGATTTGAGAAGGGAGTTGTCCATGGCTAAGAACGACTTTGATTCTAAAAGTATGAAGGAAGACTTTAGCAAGAAGATTTCTGAATTGGAAGGTGAAAACGCTATTATCGTGGCAAATTTAAATCAGACCAGAAAATTATTTGAAGAGTTGAAAAAGGAAAAATCGTCTCAAATTGATACATACAAGAGAGATGTACAACAGTTGAGTCTTGAAATCAAGAACTTGAAGATCAGATTGGAGAACACCAGCGACTATGATGAAATCAAACACGAAGTCTCATTATTGAGACAGATTCAGTTGGGGCACGAGGAGGATGAAGAGAATGATGCGGAGTCCTCCAAGGGCCTTGATTCTATACTCATCCGTCGTAACAAAGCATTGACTCAAGAGGTGGCAGAGTACAGATCTCAACATGATGATTTGAATGCCAGTATCATCGATATGCAACAAAAGTTGAGTACTTCCCAAGAAGAGTTGACCAAATTTCAACAACTTAGTGCAAAATTGGAAAATGATTTAGCAAGTTTCCAAGATGTCACCAGCAACAAGTTCAATGACAATTCTAGTTTGATATCAGGAATGAGCAGGATGACCAGAGGCACGATCAAGAATGGAGGGGTCCAGGAAGACTCGTCAATTTTGCCAATCATCACCAAGCAGAGAGATAGGTTCAGAGACCGTAACAACGAGTTGGAGGAGGAGGTGAGAAAACAGTTCAACGTGGTCAACGACTTGAAGCGTCAAGTCAACACCTTGAAGAAGGACAATGAACAACTCTACGAAAGAACCAGGTATCTTGCGTCGCATCAACACAGCGAGCCAACCCAATCCATAGGATCCAGAAACAAACGGCTCCAACCCAAGGCCAATGTCGATCTCGAGAATCCTTACCAAAAACAATACGAATCACAATTGCATCCAATTGAGCAATTTAGAATGAGAGAGCAGGAAAGAATCAGTTCCAAATTGTCTCCAATTGAAAGGTTGTTCATCTCAATGACCAGGGCCATTTTGGCCACCAGAACCACGCGAATGTTGTTCATGGTGTACTGTGTGGGTCTTCACTGTATCGTCATGGTCATCAGCATCTATGTGATGGGGTTGAACTCCACGCTCATTCCAGAGGTGGGCTTGAACACCAGTACTGGTGGCTACGCCAGCGGGCAGGTGGGCTCACCGGATTCTGTTCGGATCCCCGAACACCCTGCCTAATACATCGTCATTACTTCGAAATCCTCATTACTGTGAGGAATCCTGCAATATAATCCTCATTACTTCGAGGACACCCATCCTCATTCTTCGCCTGTAGACGGTGGCTTCGTGTTAATCGCTCCCCATTGATCAACACGAGAACTATCCATCCATATCCAGTAATCCTAGTGGTTTCACTATGGTGGCTCATCAGTCTGGCCCTCTGGACAACTGTGTCGTGGTACATACCACAATCTCGCTAGAACCTGCTCGTAAATCTCCCCACCACCCAATCGGGTGCTTAGCCGACTCGTGCCCTGTATACGCCCACTGGGCCCCCAGTCATGCATTTGTGCCCCTCGTCCTTGCTGGTGGCTATATATTGCTGGATTCATTGCGCGGTGGGTGCAGGAGCAACAAATGACTTTTGCCACCACTCCTTATAAATGAGTCGCCTTTTATTCAACGCTGTTCTCATAGCACTAGTCTTCTTGTACTACCAGTATCACATCCGCAACATGGCCCAAGACAACAAAAAACTTACCCAGGAGGAAATCGACAAGCACAATTTCGACCCCGAAAACTTGATCGTGAACCTTGGCGGCAAACAGGTGCCTTTCAGCGCCATCAACAAACCCCACCATGCGGTAATCCAGCCCCAGCAGAACAAGCCCCAGGTCGACGCTGCGTCGTTTCCCGACGTAGAGCCAGCGGCCAAGGAAAGAGAGGCCCAGCTCGAGGCCCAGGCTGAAAAGAAAAAGAACGATTAGTTGGCGTACTGGGTATTTCCAGAGTAGTGAAGTAGGGATGTTCCCAACCGGCCCTTCAATGCCACCCCCAGCAGGAACTGTCGGTGGTGCTCTAGATTGTATAGTAATGAGACGTCACGTTATAAATCCGCGATGTACCAGCCATACGCGCAAGCGCACCAGTAATTAATCCCATACTGTCAACATGATGGGTTTACCCAAAAGATGGATACGGCAACTCACCTACGTGTTCAGCTTGCTTGGGGCCGCCTTCCTATTGGTGCTCTTTGCCAATAAGCACGATGTCATCAATGTGGATAAAATTTTTCCCCAGGCGTTGACCAGTTTGACGCCCTCGTTCTTCCAACCACCTTCAGATCTGTACATCATTGACATAGCCATTGGCAACTGTTACAAGGTCAAAGGCGATGGTAAGAGATGTGGTGTTCCCAAGGCTGTCGACGGCAGACTTGGCAATTTATTCGACACTGGTGGCTGGTTCAGGATAGACAAAGATTTGGGATTGGGCACCTCCTGGACCAAAAAACAGTACTTCTCGTACAAAAGGGTCAACTCTCAGGTGTTGAGTGGCAGAATCACCCCTTCCGAGAAGCCTTCCGAGAAGGCCGATTCAAAGGGAAAGAGAGACAAGACTGGCAAAGAGACCTCGCAGGACGTGATCGTCGATATTGCCATTTCCAATCCCACAAGCGATTCCCGTATCAAGGGCAACAGAAAGATCCCCGAGCATATTCTTGACGAGTTCCATGCCACCAGAGAATTCAACGATGCCGATTTGCAAAGGTTGAGGGAAGAAGGCCAGAAAAATAGCGGCAAAAAGACAGAAGCGCTCACGGTGGATAAGGACAAAGCTGCCAGCAACAAGATTAACGAGATCAACAAGAAGATCGAAAAAGAACAGAAGGAAAAAGCAGAAAAGGAAAAAGCAGAGAAGGAAAAAGCAGAGAAGGAAAAAGAAGAAAAGAAAAACCAGGCCAAGAGAACTGTCGAGACCGACAGATTCAAGCTTGAAAGAATGATGTATATTCCCACTGACGAAGAAATTAAGGAAGCTGGGTGGGTAGCAAAATCCAACGGCATCTGGGTCAAGTACGGCAAGGCCTCCCCTGAAAATGCCATCACTGGTATCGACATTCTCTTTGGAGAGGACGCAGTCGATCCAAGACCAAACTGGAGACTAATCGAACGGAGTCCATTATTGGATACATTAGCTCCTTCTGGAAAGAGTGCATACTTGACAATTAGAAGAGGCCCTAGGGTGGATTACTCAAAGTATCTATTACCATTGAAGCTCAACAAGGGAAAGTTCAAAATTTTGCAAGTAGCAGACTTGCATTTTTCTACGGGTGTAGGAAATTGTCGTGATCCTTCCCCTGCAGACACCAAGAAGGGGTGCGAGGCTGATCCTAGAACATTGAGGTTCCTTGAAAGTGTGTTGGACATCGAAAAGCCAGACCTAGTAGTGTTAACTGGTGATCAGGTGTTTGGACAAGAAGCTCCAGATGCCGAAACCGCAGTATTCAAGGCATTGAACCCGTTTGTATCCAGAAAGATTCCGTTTGCTGTTACTTTGGGAAATCATGACGACGAGGGTTCCTTGTCCAGAAGTGAGTCCATGGCATTGTCAGCAAACCTTCCATACTCCATAGCAGCAATGGGACCCGAGGAAGTCGACGGGGTTGGAAATTATATTGCAACTGTTGAAGATCCATCCAATGGACACTCAATATACCTTTATTTCTTGGATACCCACAAATACTCCCAGAATCCAAAGGTTACTCCTGGGTATGATTGGATCAAGGAAAGCCAGTTGAAATGGCTTGAGAGAGAGGACGCAGCATTGAAGAAGGATGCTTTTTTCTACTCTAAGAAGCACTTATCCAACTCTAAGAAGGACTTATCGATGGCATTCTTCCATATTCCGTTACCGGAATACCGCAACACAAACAGACCGTTTGTGGGTAAAAACCCCGAAGGTGTCACCGCGCCCAAATATAATTCTGGGGCCAGAAAGGTATTGGGATCTTTGGGGGTTTCGGTAGTTTCTGTGGGCCACGACCACTGCAACGACTACTGTCTTCAGGACGTGGTCAATGAGGAAACTAGCGAGGAGAACAAGATGTGGCTATGCTATGGAGGAGGCTCCGGCGAGGGGGGATACGGGGGTTATGGTGGCTACATCCGGAGAATGAGAGTTTTCGAGCTCGATCCACTGGTGGGAAACATCAGAAGTTGGAAGAGGGCCGAGAACGACCCTGAGCAGGTGTTTGACGACCAAGTATTGGTTTCTGAGGGAACCGTAGCGAATATATAGAGAGTCCATTAGAGCTTGGATACTATGAGACCGACACTGTATTGGTTGGTGGTTTTTCAAGTACGCAATACATATATACATAAATAGTTTATTCGAGCATGAGAAGAGACTGACACAAGGTTGGATAGTGATATTTTAAAGAATGTAAAGAGTAAAAACGTGAATCCCCTATAGTAATGGAATTGTCTTGAGGACTTTCAGACCTATGATAGCTCTCTTCAGTACCGCTAGGGTTTTTCAGCAAGTAACCGTAAGTTTTCAGGCTCCAGCTGTCTCATTCTTCAGCCGCGCCTGACAGATGAAATTCCCACTAAAGAACGCTAAAACACTAAATACTTACTATGGGCTATTCCAACCAACACCCTATGAGCCAACACACTACACCAATACCCGGCTATAGTAGCACTGGATAAACATTCATACATCCTTATGAACATAACTTATTCTATCCCCCCCATTTGTACCCCTTCCTTTATCAATTTGTAGTGGCATGTATCGCGACAATTTAAATTGTGACATGAAACTTAAGCGAGCATCCATACCACTATCTTCTCCTGACCAGCATGGTGGAAAGCGAAGACAGACTGGAGCCAGAATCCCGCAACGAGACCAGAGAATTGAAGCAATGGCTAGCCAAATCCAACTGCCAACATCATTACTCCAAGTTTGTGGAGAACGGCATCACCTATGATCTAGTTCCTGAACTTGACACCGAGTCCTTGAAAGAGCTCGGAATAACCAAGCTTGGCGAGCGACTCCGTTTGGAGTTGGCCATTGGAGACATGAAGGCAGAGCAGCTTCTGTCCCACGTCAACGTCAATGAGCTCTTTCGTTTGATGAACGTCCACTTGTCCAACCAAGACGCCAAGTTATTCACCAGGCTCTTGCGGAGCCACGATGCGACTCCCACCAGCGAGTCAGCTACCTTGACACCAACAGGGTCCTCTTTTCCCGGCGGCCTTGGGTCCAGCCTGACGCTTGCAGGCCTCGATTCAAACAAAAGCATCACTTTCATCTTGCAAGATGGATCCACGAAGAGAGTTAATGTCACTGGCTGCTTCAACGCCCAGTCCATTAAGCGGAAAGTTTTGAAACGGTTGGGAATCAAGCAGCAAGAGGCTTCATATGACACCTATATCCATTCATCTAACAATGTGGAGGGTATGGCGGTCAGTCTTTTGTTTGATGTGGAGTTAGTGACAATATGCTTCTCCCCTGACAGATTGGAAAAGCACAGAATTATTCTTTGTTCCAAGAACGAGACTCCTTCTGCCGCAGCTATCGAAGCCTCAAGGCGAATCATGAACAAGTACGATAAGTTCCAGTCTTCCAAATTAATAAGTCAAGACAGTCTCAGTCAATACCACATCCCAGATCCTAAGAAGGTCAACATCAAGAAACCAACATTGAGAAATTTCTTTGGCCAGAGACCCCCAAGTGAATTAATTTCCTCGAATTTGGCTGAATATTTCCCCGATACCCGTCAAAAGGATTTGGAGGCCACCGTTAGGAACTCTGTCAGGTACAGTGTTCGTCTTTCTCGTCGTTTCAATCTTGCACCTGGGCAAAAGAACAGCAGCGCGTCCTCCATTGGCAGAAGAGTCTCGGTTTTCAGTAACTCTACCGTTGGTCGAGCTCCGTCCATTTCTTCAAACGAACTCGCAAGAAGGCCACCGGCACGAACTATTGGTGATGTGATGGTTAACAATATCACCGCAATTGACGAAATCGTGAATTCAAACGATGGTCTGCCGATGTTTAGTAAACCACCATCTATTCATTCAAACACCAGTGGGCCAGCAGATGCAAGATCAATTCACTCCGGAAGCAAGCTTCACAATTCGCATCAAAGAATCTCGATTGCTGCAAGCTTTGCTGATACCTCAGGAGGAAACAACAACAGATACTCTCGCATTGAGTTGTTCAATGTGGATTCAGACTCCGACGATGCTGAAGACTTTTTGGCAGAGTATGCTGAGGAAGATGAGTTTGAGGTCAATGGATTGGAATCAATATCCGAGGACGGTCCAAAAAACTGGTTGAAGGGTACAAGGATTGGGGCGGGAAGCTTTGGTACAGTTTATTTGGGTATGAATCCACTCACAGGCGAATTGATGGCCGTAAAGCAAATCCCATTACCGAATAAGAACAGTTCTACAGATATTCAGAAATCAATGTTGGAACAACAACGAGAAATGTTGTTGCTTAAGGAATTGAACCACGAAAACATTGTCCGTTACTTTGGTGCCTCTACAGACGAGAATTTCCTCAACATTTTCTTGGAGTACGTTCCCGGAGGGTCGGTGCAATCGATGTTGTCCTCATATGGACCATTTGAAGAGCCTTTGATCCGTAATTTCATCCGTCAAGTGTTGATTGGGTTGAATTATCTACACGGAGAAGATATTATCCATCGTGATATAAAGGGTGCCAATATTCTTATCGACATCAAAGGAACGGTCAAGATTGGAGATTTTGGAATTTCCAAAAAGGTTAGTAGTATAGATGAGGACGAGAGTGAAAAGAAGGCCAGCAGAAGGGCGTCGCTCCAGGGCTCTGTCTACTGGATGGCACCAGAGGTCGTCAAGCAAACTGCATATACCAACAAAGCAGACATCTGGTCTGTGGGGTGTTTGATTGTGGAAATGTTCACGGGAAAGCATCCATTTCCCGAATTCAGTCAGATGCAGGCCATTTTTAAGATAGGAACTCATATTGTCCCACAAATCCCCGAGTGGTGTACGCTTGAGGCGAAGGATTTCTTGGGGAAGACGTTCGAGATCGACTACCAGAACCGCCCGGATGCGGTGCAGCTTCTTTCCGACGCTTTTTTGAACCCATTGATCCTTTCCAAGGAATAGCTTGCTTCACCTTTCCTGGAGAAAAGCCTGAAGAACCAGCCAATCCAAGTAATCTAGTCCTATAGAATGCTAATGTATACTACATATAGGTGGTTTGGCCACCGAAATTTGGTATTGACCCAAATTAATGGCGCCCAGCTATTTTCTGCTGTAACCAATTTGCACTATTTGCCCGAGATTACTACCCCATATTCTGGAATTATTAGTCACAGTAAACCCCGGGATCGCGACATTGGGGCTCCCTCGGCGAGAGCCGCGACATTTTGTATTTCCTTACTGCTTAACCACGAGGAAAAATTGATCATCACTTTATTACCACCACTGGCCAATTGTCTACATACTCAATTAGATGGAGATCCCGTTAAAGTCGCAGCCGAAGGTATCCACAGTCAACCTTGTAGACGAGTCCAAGTTTCAGTTCGACGATGCGAGCAACATCTCATCTCAATATCCACGAGTTCGGGAAGTCCCGAACCGCTCATTAGGTGGAGAAAGTCCTGGGAAAAACTATCGTTTGACCCGTACTTATTCGGAAACAGAGAAGAGCAATTTCGACGAGGAAACAGGCCATCGTTTGTACGACGATGGCAGAATTCGGCCCCAGCTTTCCAGGTCTGGATCCAGCAGAGACCCTCTTGACACCCACTACAGCATAGGCAAATCCAACACACCCAAGCTTTATTCCAGATCACACAACGAGTATATCGATGCAGGAGACGAGTATCTGAAAGGATTGGAGGACGAGTACATACCAGGTCTAGACTTTGGTGATGTCCTTCATCGTTGGAACAATAGCCTGTCGGAACAAAGTTTGGCTGGGGCCAACAACAATTACGAAAGCGCAGTATCAAGCACTTCATCCACTGCATCGAACACCCCGCTGAGTAGAGACCAGTCCTACTTGGATCTCAAAACCTTGCACGCAAAGGTTGCACCTCAGCCAATTAGGTTGAGAAACCATCTTTCCAATAACAAGCATTCATTTTCCAAATTACATGATTTTATGAAATTGAGAACCCCCAGCAATAATAGCAACCCTGGAGTTATGGGTAAGGCCGATGGTTCTAAACAAACATTGGTCAACGATGACAGAAACAATAGCACCACTACTTTAACTTCCTCAGAGAGATCCAAAGACGACGCCAATGACTCTGGGTCACACAAGAACAAGAAGCAAAAGTCCGAAGAGAACTCCGTGGACTATGAATGGATCATTAATAGTTTACCCTCATACTTTGAGGATTTACCCTACTCTCAACGTAAGAAGTTGGTCGCTTCTCTCTCGGAATCAGTTGACTATTCACAGTTCTCTGTCTACGCAAAAAATTATTTCAATGATAAAATGGCAGGAGCTGGACGGACTCCCAGAAGTGGTGGGATTGGTTCCAACAGTGGCAGTTTAAGAAGATCAAGAAGAAGTAGTGTCAATACAGTTGCTGGTAGATTACTTGCATTATCTTCTTCAACTGATCTCAAGAAACTCGAGGAAGCAAAGCCAAAGGTTAATGTTGACGAAAAGGGAGCTATGGTCATGGAGCACGAGCTCGGGAAGGTCATTGGTTTTGGAGCATGGGGTACCATTAGGGAATGTACTGATCGGCATGGTACTGTTCGAGCCATGAAGATCGTCAAGTCATGTAAGGATTTTGAGAGTAGATCTTCTTCACCTGGCAGAAGTGGCACACCTCCTAAGTCAGATATGACACATAACCCAAAGGTATTGCAAGTTTTCAAAAAGGAGATTATGATTTGGAAACAATTACAGCATCCAAACATCCTACCATTACTCAAGCATTTGGAGACCGATCACGCTATTTTTTGCATAACAAATAGAATTTATGGGGGTACTCTTTTCGAACTAGTTTCATCGTGGGGGCTCTTCAATGCTGGAATAATGAACACGTCTGGACCTATTGAATTTCTGATTGAATCACAAACTGAAAGATTAACCCATATTGTGAAAGCGACGAAACAAATCGTGAAGGCTTTGCTTTATATGCACGAGGAGAAGGGCATTGTGCATGGTGACCTCAAGTTGGAAAATGTTTTGGTCGAAGATGGCGATAAAGGCGAGTATAAAATGATTCTAGCTGATTTTGGAATGTCACGCGTATTCAATTCTAGAGTCAGCAGAAACTCGTCATTACGAAGAATTCCCTCCTTGAACGACGACGAAGATGACGGAACATTGATGATGAGAAGCAAATCATCGACCACTGATTTGAGACGGCCATATAATGGAGGCGACACTCCAAGCACCAGAAATTTAAACTGGGGCTTTAACGATGATTCGAAGATTGGTATTTCCAACTTTATGAGGCCCCATGGTCCTTCCTTGCAATCTGTTGATTTGACTCCCGTGCAATCAGCATCCACTGGCTCGATTATGGAATTCAAGAGAAAGAGCAAAGCTTCGCCAAACAGTCAAGATGGAATCGATTCGGACTTACCGCATTCACACATCGGGTCGTTACCATATGCATCCCCCGAATTGTTGTCGCCTTCGCCACCGCCATTAGGACCACTGGCGGACGTATGGGCTTTGGGCATTCTCATGTTTACTATGTGCGTAGGGAAATTACCGTTTCAGCAGCAGTATGAACCGAGGTTGCGAGCTATGATCAGTGCCGGGAAGTACAACAAGAGAGACTTGAGGAAATCGTGTTTACTCGAATGGATCTACAGGGAGGACGACGAGGACGACGAGGACAAGCTTCCTGAGGGCATGATGATCAACTCACCTTCGATGGTGGACCTCAAACGACAGGAGGAACTCAGTCAGTTGCACCAGTCGTGGAAACAATTAATGGCTGAAAACAAGAAGCGAGGCTCACCCGAGAGACCTGACTTTCAGTTTGAATTCTTGTACGATATCATAGTGGGGTGCTTGGAGTTGAACATCACCAAGCGTTGGGATTTGGAGATGATCCATGATTCCCTTGAGGCATGCGATTTGTTTCATAAAAAGTAAATGTTGGATATGTATTACGAGTATACGATTAACGAATTCCTGATAAACACGCCATTTTTGCCCAAACGGGAACATGGGGGTGAGCCTGTAGCCGCAAGAACAATCAGTAAGGAGGAGATTAAGAGCAAGAACACCGACACTGGGGCTATGGTGGAGCCGTGCCAACACCCCACAGTGACCCCACGGAGGATAAGGGTCCTGGACGAGTCCGGCTTTCCCGTGGGAGGTGGCCATCAAGTCCGGTTCAAACAAAATGACAGCCTCGGAGTTACTTTGTCAGGCACATAACCAGGAGTGCCAAGCTGGCGAACATTAATTTATCCGCAAGCGATGCCGTCAAACTGGGAGTGGATCTTGGGAATAGGCTCGGTGTCCACGTATCGAGTCGTTGAAACAGCTCGAAAAGCAGGACCAAAAGCGTATGCTGTCTCCACTACCCCATGCTAGAGCATCCAGTTCGTCATAGCGCATCCCGAGGTTGTGCCAGTAGCAACCCAGGCTGCTGGCGGTCTAAAGGCAAAGTTCATGACGGGTGGTTTGTAGCCCCGCTCCTGCACGGTTACACGATTGACACCAACTAAATTATAACAACGGGTCGAAATTTGTGCCATGCATGCTTCAGGCAGGACATCCGGATTTTCTTGGGTAGCCCAGGCTACCAGCGAGCCAGGGTAGCAATTATATTTTGTTTCCCACACAGTGTTCCTAGTATTGCTGCTGTAGGTGTGCCTAAACAGGATGGCTGCGATGAGCCTAGGCTGGCTGCCGCCCCAGACCGTGTGCAACAAGATGAACCATCCGGAGCGTTCCGTACGGGCCATGGTTCATGAGCACTCGAGGAGTCCATTTGGAAGCCCCCAACTATCGGGTCTGCTAGTGTACAAGCTCGTAGTTCCCAATGGGGAAGCCTCAAAAAGATCAGCGGCCGAGTGACATCATTTGGGTTGACGTAGGCTTGCGGAACAAACCCTATGACATATCGGTAGCAGGCGATGGCGGGGCGAAATTATTACACCCACTACTGATTGTTGCATTTCCAGCCGTGATGCGTTTCATGGTCTCCACGGGCTTATTATTATGGGGTGAAGGGCTAGCACGGTTTGCATCTTTTCTTTTTCTGATTGCATCTATTTAAGCATGGTGTTTCCCATGGTGTTCGCTTTCTGTTACTAACAACTACACACAATATGGGGTTTAACATTTGGGCTAGAACCAACTGTGCAGGCTTAAGAGGCCGGAAACTCAGAGTGATGATTACCATCATCGCTGTCACTGGTTTCTCATTATTCGGATATGATCAAGGATTAATGTCTGGTATTATTACCGCACCTCAATTCAACAGAGACTTCCCAGCTACTTTGTCTAAGGGCGAGGGCGACCGTCATGCTACCGTCGTGCAGGGTGCTGTCACCTCGTGTTACGAATTGGGTTGTTTCTTCGGTGCTATTTTCGTTTTGGCCAGAGGTGACCGTTTTGGTAGAAAGCCAATGGTCGTCTTGGGGTCGCTCACTATTATTATCGGTACTGTTATCTCGGTTGCAGCTTTCAGAGATCACTGGGGCTTGGGTCAATTCGTCATTGGTAGAGTCATTACCGGTATTGGTAATGGTTTCAACACCGCTACCATCCCAGTGTGGCAATCAGAAATGTCCAGAGCTGAAAACAGAGGTAAGTTGGTCAACTTGGAAGGTTCCGTTGTTGCCATCGGTACCTTCATTGCCTACTGGTTGGATTTCGGTTTGTCGTACGTCGACAACTCCGTTTCCTGGAGATTACCAGTTGCCGTGCAAATCGTTTTCGCATTAGTTTTGTTCATTGGTATCATTCAATTGCCCGAGTCTCCAAGATGGTTGGTGGCCCATGACAGAAAGCCAGAAGCCATGGAGATCTTGAGTCACTTGAACGACTGTGACGTGAACGACGACATTGTTTATGCCGAAGTCACTGTGATTTCCGATGCTATTGCCTCCTTCAAGAGAGCTCAACTTGGTTTTAAGGACTTGTTCTCTGGAGGTAAGTCGCAACATTTCCAAAGAATGCTTATTGGTTCATCCGCTCAATTCTTCCAACAATTCACTGGTTGTAATGCTGCTATTTACTACTCCACCGTGTTGTTCGAAAACACCATTGGTTTGGAGAGAAGATTGTCTTTGATTTTGGGTGGTGTTTTCGCAACCATTTACGCACTTTCCACTATTCCATCGTTCTTCTTGATTGACACTTTGGGTAGAAGAAACTTGTTCTTGATTGGTGCCACTGGTCAAGCACTCTCCTTCACTATCACCTTTGCTTGTTTGATTGATGACACCACACAAAACGCCAAGGGTGCTGCCGTTGGTATTTTCTTGTTTATCGTCTTTTTTGCATTCACCATTTTGCCATTGCCATGGATTTACCCACCTGAAATCAACCCAATGAGAACTAGAACCGTCGCTTCAGCCATCTCCACTTGTACCAACTGGATCACTAACTTCGGTGTTGTCATGTTCACTCCAATTTTCATTGACTCTTCTAAGTGGGGTTGTTATTTGTTCTTTGCCTTGATGAACTACGCTTTCATTCCAATCATTTTCTTCTTCTATCCAGAAACTGCTGGTAGATCCTTGGAAGAAATTGATATCATTTTTGCCAAGGCTCATGTCGATGGCAGACAACCTTGGAGAGTTGCTGCTACTTTGCCAAAGTTATCCTTGAAGGAAATCGAAAGTCAAGGTAACCAGTTAGGTATCTACGATGGAGATTTTGAGAAGGACAAGATGGAGAACAAGGAGGTTACTTCTGAATTTTCCGATAAACACGAAGGATCTGATTCACCTAACGAAGGCGAAGCACCTTTCGAGGAAAGACCAACTCAAGTTTAATGTCACTTTCATGATCTCCTTACGAACTCTAGAAATCATAAATATTTAATAGAAATTTCACTTTATCACAGAAACTGTAATGTGCCATATTCTACATAAATTACACCATAAAGCTCTGTATTGTATCACTGTTCGAAGTTTTGAAAAACTCAGAGGATCCTGGCATCTTGGAAAGCTTGGTAAGTATTGAAAAGTACTCCTCAGAGTATGAATTCCGTACTTAGTGCAGTACAATACGGGGAGTAGAAATTGTTGACGTTCTTGTGAATAAACAATTTATTAAATAAGTACGTAGTTAAGCTTCCGTTGACAAGGGTTCCTAATCTTGGGCAACTTGGATGATAACCTTACCATTGGCCCTGTTGGATTCCAACCTTTTAACGGCCTGGTCAAGGTCTTCGAACTTGTGGACACTGTCGACAAAAGGAACTAATTCTCCCAGTTCAAACAATGGTTTAACCTCGTGGATCCAGTCCTTACCAGGGAGCAAGAAAATGTGCTTGTAGTGGTAGGAGGTCAAGCCCCAAGAGCTGGCGAAGCTTCTGGAGAAGGACTTGGCATAGGCAATGATGCTGGCCAAAAGATCGAACGAGGCGTAATTGGCCTTTTTGTCGCCAACAATGGTGTTGTAGTGAGTGTCCTTGTGGACAATACTGCTAATTTCTGGGAAAAGATCACTAGTACCTGCACAATCCATGATGAAGTCGAACTTTCCAGACTCCTTGACCGATTCCAAAACCGGGTTCAACACAGACTTGTGCTGGGTGTAGTCGATGACGGTGGTGGCACCCAATTCCTTGGCCAAGTCTGCGGACTTGCCGGAGCAAGTGACGACAATTTCTTTGGCTTGGCCTATTCTGGCCAATTGGACGATGTATCTACCCACAGAGGTGGAAGAGCCGATCACAAGCACCTTCTTGTCCTTAAGGTCGTAGTCTCCAAGCATGAACCAGGCTGTACCGTAGACCAAGGGGAACGAGGAGGCCTCATTCAAGGACAAGTTCTTTGCTGGCACGGAATATTCGATCTTGCTGTCATTGGCATCGAAGAGAAGGTATTCAGCCACCGTGCCTGGACCAAAGAGCTTGTGGACGATTCCAGCCAACTCGGTTCCAACGCTCAATTTGGTCTGGGTAGCAGCCTTGGACCCAACGGCTGCAACTGTGCCCGAAAAGTCCTTTCCGAAGCCGTGGTTTCCCGAATAGGTGATGGGGAACCCCGAAGCTTTCTTCAACACCAAATCGACTGGGTTCAAAGCAGCCGAGTGGATCTTGATCAAGATCTGGTTGGGGCCCACATTGTAGGTGCCATCTGGCTGCTTGTGGAGCTGGACGGTTTGGGTGGTGACCTTGAGGGAGTCGTTTCTGTTGTCGTAAGTGTACGCCTTGTAGGATAAAGTGTCAGAGGAGAAAGTCATGATTGCTGTATAGGGATTATTTCAGCCCGCATAATCTGGGGCTAATATATACCAAGAAGTGGCAAAACTTTTTGTCTGCATTATTGCTGGTGGCAACTGGAAGCATGTGGAATTTGACAGGGAAGCAAATCCCGATACGGGCAGGAGCCCCGAGCAAGCGCACATTTACGAGACTGGCGTCAATTGACACCTTGGCGAGTCCAGCCGCTTCGCTGGCACAGTCAGGGTGGTGTCCCTGACATCGCCCCCAGCGCCATCGCCCCCACCTGCGTGAGTGCGCCTCAAAATAATCCCCAGGATGTGGTCACGTGTGCGGCTTTGCCAGTAAAGGCCAGATAATTCTGTTTTGGGACACATCAACAGTACACCAACCAACACCACAATGGGCTTACCACAAGGCTACACCTTCCGCAAGTTGCAGGTCTCCGACTACTCCAACAACTACATAGAAACGCTCAAGGTGTTGACCACCGTGGGCGAGGTTTCTCAGGCCCGTTTCGAGGAGTTGTTTGCCCATTGGGACAGTTTGCCCCAGCTCTACCAGCCGCATGTGATCACCAATGAACAGGGAGTGGTTGTTGCCACCGGCATGCTTCTTGTGGAGAAAAAAATGATCCACGAGTGTGGTCTGGTGGGCCACATTGAAGATATTGCCATCGCCACCTCGGAACAAGGTAAGAAGTTGGGGTACACCATGATCACCAACTTGACCCAGATCGCCGAGGCTGCTGGCTGCTACAAGGTGATTTTGGACTGTTCTACCCATAACATTGGCTTCTACGAGAAGTGTGGCTACACTAACGGGGGAACTCAGATGGTCAAAAGGGCCTAGTGTATTAGATAGATATGTGCTAAAAGGATTAGAAAAATGTGCCTAAACGTTAGCAAAGGCCCTAGCGTTAAATTATGTGCTTGTACCACCCCAAGCTTGGTGGCTAGAAGATTAGATTTTCTCAAGTGCCTAAACGTTAGTACCTCTGCTCGAAACGAGTTCCTGGTGGGTCAGAACCTCCTCGTGTCGCTCTCTATACATACTTCCAATGATACGATGGAATTCCCTCTCACAACCTGTTTGTTAGTACATGTCGTTAGTGTCGTCCACTGGCTCCATACATACGATAGTCCCAATACTGAGCTTTTCGCCATCGGCTTGTTCTTCCAAGGCATCTGCCAAAGTCACGTTCAAAAACACCTGGTGGTTAGTACATGATGCTGCGAGTAGGAGTATCCACACGAGAAGTTGTAGCACCGTCACACACCCGTGGCTCTCTTCTCTAAAAAGTGGTCCCATACATACGTCATATCCCCTTAAGGTGCCTATCACCTTTCTGCTTCCATTCAACTGCACAGACAACTTCTTGTCCATATACTATCGGTTAGTTGCTGTCCTCAGACTTTTCGGACCTCTTCCGTGTGGTACGTACACTTTTCAACTCTGGAGCAGAAACCATGGCTGTGTCGTCTGATGGTCAATCCGTAGTGTTTCTGTTCTGGTGATGTGGAATTCATCGTGGCCTGTATAGAGGCGCACCCATTAACTAGCGCGATGTATGTTTTGGTGTTCATCATGAGTAACATTCCTGATATAACGTCTCTATCGGACTTGTTGACGACGTCCCCCAACCAGCCCAGTTCGTCGGGGTCCAAAGAGCACCTGGGAGAGAAAAACACGGGACTTCGTCTAGATCTAGCTACCAAGATCAATGAAGAATCGCGTCCAGACACTGGCGAAGAGTCCAGGACAAACAATTCCATGGAGGAGATGGAGGTCCTTCTCAAGCAGCAAAGCGTGAAGCTTGCACTCGTGGGAGAGAGAAACGAATTGCTAAAAGAACGGGCCAATCTAAGAAGTTCGGTGGACGACTTGCGGGTCAAGATGAAGTACCTCCAGGACCTCAAACAAAAACAATCGACCCAGAAGAAAAGGGAGGACTTGTTGACGGAGAATGCCCGTGGCATTGTGACGAAGACGGCCATTCCTTCCTTGCAGAATGATAACGATGACGACGAGATTCTCGAGAGTTTGAACGTGCTCCCATCCTCAAACTGGAACCACCGTTTGGACTTGATCAAGAAATTCTATCCGTATATCGACGTTTTGAAAATCGCTTCATCAAACTACTATGACGAAGATGGACGCCTAGTGCGAACAATTGAGTTTGTTTTGGTATCTCCGTTACTCTTCAGGATCCCCTTCAAATTGTTAATTGATGCTAGGACAGAGGCCATATTCGATATCCAACTCCCAGAAAAGAAGAACCACTTGACAAATCATTTTAAAAAGTCCAAAACTATACTCCAAAGCTTGACCACATTGACTATGCTTTCACATTCTTTCAGTCAAGTATTCATCAAAGACTATCTCCCTGCTTGCAAGATCAATTTGGCTATGTATGGATTATCATCATTGTCGAAAATACTCCATAAACGAATATCAGTGATCTACAAATTGGTGAGAAAGTATGCAAGTCATATCAAAGACGATCAAAGGTTGAACCCGTTACTCCAAAAGGATGAATTAACAGATAATGTCAAATTGTTTTCCATTCTTAAACTGTTAGACAACGTTACACTAACAATGAAAAAGGGAGATGATATTTTCACTCTAAGTTTACATTGGGATATAGTATTGAATGATCCTGTTACTGGTGAATGTGAATCACAATTGAGCCTTGGAGTTTTTCAACAAGATGGTAAGCAGGTCTTTCCAAGCATAAATGAATTATTCATCAAATTAATCAAGGAGTATGGTGTGGTCATTGGCATAACGTTTCTTATAGAAAAGACTTTCGATCTACAAATATAGCCTACAAGTAATTGGTCATAACAATGCATATCAGTTAGAAATAATAGTACATACACCTTTCATTAATATTACAGAAGAAGAAGCATCAACAATTCATTGTGTTGTTTTCCAAGTCAAACAGGATCAGAGCAGGACGATCAAACTTTTCTTGGCTTATTCTTTTCAAAAACCAATCATTACAATAGGTAGCCAACTGTAACAAATACGAGTTTGTTTCGTTAATCGCGTTAAACTCATGTGCTGGAAGGTACTCGAATGCTAAATCCTCTTCTGATGACTCTTTAGGGTGTTGATGTGCCTCGGGGACATGACGTAAATCCAATGACCTACCAAATTGTTGGTACATATAGGACTCCAATCCATTGATGAGATCATATCGTATATCTTCCCACTCAATCCCGAGAAGTTTGTTTCCAATTGATTTTTTGTACTTGAAGTATCTGTAAACCCAGTTACCCAAAATTATTGTCTTTTTGTTAAATGAAGCGGTACTTGCTTTAGATGACGTTCTAACTTGATAGATGATTGGTTTGGATCTATCAACAACATCTTGACGTGCGATAATGGCTGTAGATTCTTGTGGAACTTCGGAAATGTAAGAAGAAGTTGAATATAATTCGTTTAGAACATCTAAATTTTCGATCGGAAACTCAAGCTTCCTCACTTTAGATCTATTTCTTATAGGATTCTTAGGTGAAAAGTCAATAGCACTGTAGTTTTCTTCCAGGTAGTCAACTGAGCTGTCAGAATCTTCGCTGGAATAGTCATCATGCTTAGGGCCAGCAAAAATCACCGTTCTAGTCAAAGGAGAAGGACCGGCTTTTCCTGAGGATCTTCTACTCTTTTTCTTCTTACTCTTAGCATCGTCAGTCAATAATTGTCTCTTTTTCCGCAGAGGTTCATTGTCATTTTCTGGATCTTCTTCATTAACATACTCCTCGTTATCATGACTTTCTGAGCCATTTTCAGCAGCGGCAGCAGCAGCAGCTGCTGCTGCAAGATCGCTCTTGGACTTGTTTCCCCTCTTTGGAGTACTGTTGTGCTCTTCGTCTGCCAAATATTGCAACCTTGTCTTGTACATTTGTTCAGAATACTCGATTTCGAAATCTGTATCTTTGTCGAAAGACTCCAATTCCTCATCGGGAATATAGTCAACTGAAGGAGGAACAGCACCACCGAATGGATTGGATGCAAGTTCTTCGGGGGAGAAATTGGTCTCGAGATAGGTGTAAAGAAGCCACAAGAACCTGCGGGCTCTGCACTTTGGATGCATTTTTGAGTTTAAGAAGAATTGCATGAACGAGTTGAAGAGTCTGCTTGACATATCCACAGACTCGTCGTCGAAGTGAGGAATGTTTTTGTTGTAGTTGCTCAACAAGAAGATGATTTGGATGACGTTTGTGTTTGGTTTCTTGACCGGAGGATGTGCAAGCAACTCTTCCAATGACTTCACCACATCATCGCCCTCGCAAACGGCCTTGAGGATCGATTTGAGTCTGGGAGTGTCTTGCAACGGCTTGGATCCTCCATATTGGGGGTCAGCCTGGAGCGACGGAATCGAGTGGTATGTTCTTAATGTGGATCTCATTTCGGGAACGAAATTGATGGTGGTGTTCATTCTGCCAGCGTTGACAAGGAGGCACACCTTGGAGACTGACTTTCCGAGGTCCACATCCTTGATCAACCGCTCCTTAAGGATCTTGGAGCACTTGGACGACTCCACGAGCGACCGGATGTAGAGCTCCGAGAACGTGAGCTTGGGGCTGTTGTTTGCCGATGGGATGTCGCAGAAGGGGAACTCGTTGGTGAACGCAGGCGTGGGGTCGTCAAAGAGCTCCTGGAGAAAGTCGTACTGGATGTCTTTGCGCCAGAACGGCTCTCCGTCGGACTTCTTCAAGTGGCGGCACTTGGGGACAGCGGGGCTGGTGTACTTTCTCTTCTTCTTCTTGGAGTTGCTGGGGTCGTACGAGGGGTCTGACAGAGGGGCTGCCTGGTCGGAGTGGTCGGTCTGGTCGGCCTGCTTAGCAAAGTGGCTAGCCAAGTGGCCAACTAATTGGCTAGAGTCGCCGTTGGCGGGATGGATGGCGCTGCTGGTGCCGTTGGCATTCTCTGGCGTGGCCTTGGCCCGGCCAGGACTCACCAAGCTGGAGATGGAAAGGGCGCTGGGGCGAGGAGGGGAATTTTCCACCACCACCGTTTCGCCAGCATGGTCGCTGGCAGTGTCCTTTGAAACGTAGGTGTCGTGGATAGGATCGTAACTCATGGGCAGGTGTGGACGGATGAGGACCCCTGACGGATTCAATGGCGTGGTGGATTCTCAGAAAAACGTGTACACAATTTGAGGCGCCGACCTCTTTTCCTTACAGGCCCGATCAAAACGAAGTGACGATAATTGTTCTGATTCGAGAACAGGCTGGTGAAATTAGCACAAAAATCTTACGAGGGACGACGGTGCGAAGACGGCTGTGGGTGCAAGCTGGTGGAGGGACCAACCAGCTGCGGTGCTGAGCGTCCTGCTCGTGCTGGAGGCACGAGGAGGCGGGAGGCGCGGGACGGTCGTGGTGGTGGTGGGACTGGCTTGACGCGCAATGGTGTGGTTTGCGCGATCTCCGGTCAGGTGGGTGGAAGTGATTGTACAGTACGGAAATTTCCAAGCAAATGTCGCGTCTCCATTAACTGGATATCTTTGATGCACCCAAGTTATGGACATGTTGCTGTGATGTAATCGGTAAGTCAAGCTTCAATATTAAATGTGTTGAGGCGAAAAGTTAATGATACCATCTTTTCTCTAACGATTGAAATTACGGGAAGTCTTTGGCTCTTTTATGAAAATATTGAGATGAACCTACCATTTTAAAGGCGAGAAAAGGATTGCTTTGCTGGAGCTAGGTGGTATCACTTCCAGATGGTCAACTCCAGCAAAGTAACCCTCCTTCCCTACGAAGTTTGCCATAGCAAGGCTCAATATTCTGATAGCCTCAGAACTCACAATAAACCTATACCCCACTTATTTTGGCGTAATTTTTTGAAACGGATTGATGTAACATATATTGTGTGCAAGGCACATTCATTGCGTTCTATAAAGCGATGATCTCCATCTTAAAACTTGTAAGAAAGGTAGTTTCGATAAGAGAGATACCCCTATCTTTGTGGAATCTAGAGGCGTTCAGCCATAACCCAGCGAATGTCTACATTAAAGCTTGGGCTTGTCGATAACAAAGAAGGCCTAGGCATTACTTCAATTGGAAATAGTGTAGTTGCGAATTATAAATTACCGAATGTTGCACCGATGGTTCTGAAATGTTTTGAAATATTAAAGCTTCTATGAAACGTCCCTCACTCCTTCTACCCACATCCCTCGTATTGGTTACTTACTACGTAGCTCTCCCGTCTCTATTGTGTTCAATTAAGTTTGTTTGCTGGCTTCCGGAACACTTCTACTGCGAAAACAATATCGAGTTATCGAAATCCAGAAAGTGAATATTGTTGTCCATTGAGATATCAAATCGTCAAAAGGGCAAACTTGCTAAGTACCAGAACACAAGACAATCTGCTCCACTTATCCTAAATGTATAAAGCAAACGAAATTATTGGGGGACCTCCCTTGCACACAAATTACGCCTATCTAACCATCGTATCCAGTTAATGGAGGTGCGACATTTACTTAGGTCTAGTGACTAATGCCACCAGTAGGAAGACTTTTCGAGATCCCACTCTGTAGAGCCCTTTGGAGTTTCGCTGTATTGTCCTGGCTCTTCATATGTTCCCTCCGCCTAGGTGTATTGCAGTATGAATGTCTGTATGATGTCTGTATAATTCTCTCGCTCTCTAGTTCCTCAACCTGTAATCGCGCTCCAACTAATCCTATAGCCACCACCAGAATGACCTCCAAGATACCGTGGAGACAGTTCCAGTTGTTCGACTTCACCCCCATCCGAGACCCCAACTACCAATCACCCGACCCGCTCTACTCGGACCCCAGCTTGTCAGCCATCCATGCCACCTCGTCGTATCTTGCTCTAGCCACCAGCAACTGTTTCCTTAAAATCGTCAACCCTCTCCAGTTCACCCTCGAGAAACAGTTCCAGGCGTACGATGCCGACTACCGCATCTCCGCTGTTAGCAGCGTGCCCAGATCCAACTTGCTAGTCACCGTAGCCGAGCGCCAAGGCTCTCCAACTGTGCTCAAGCTCTGGGACTTGACCAAAATCGTCCACTTGGACGCTATAGACCCCGACCAGGAGAAGTACAAGTTCCAGACCCAAGTCCTAATCACCAATGGCGACAATTCCTACCCTATCAGCTGTTTCCAGTTCAATGACGAGCTTACGTGCATTGCGATTGGCTACACCAACGGCAAGGTCATTCTAGTCAGAGGCGACTTGTTGAGGGATAGAGGCTCCAAGCAACGTACCATATTTGAGTCCCTTGATCCTGTCACTGGAGTCCAGTTCAACCGAGAAAACGACCTCCTTTACATCACCACTACCTCCAAAATCTTGACGGTGTTGACCACCGGCAGAAACAATGGAAAACCAGCCAAATACTTATCCAACAAAACCGGTATCGATCTCAATTGCTCAGATGTGATTCCTTCGACCCAAGAGCTAGTGGTGGCTACCCAAAATTCCATCCGATTCTACAACAACCTTGCAAAAGTTAACTCCTTTCCATTCGAGGTCTCCAAATCCAAGCTTTACTATATCAAAAATTCGTCGAAGAATTATCTACTCCTCGTGTCTTCCCTGGAGGAGGAGATCTCATCAAATAACAATAAAAAGAAGTTGGTCACAAGAATTCTCATTTTGGACTTGGATAGTCGGCATTTATCGTTCAATTTGATGGTTCCTAACAATGTCATTACCCATGTATTTGAGCAGAACGATAACATTTTTCTCCTTTCCAATGATGGGATATTGTATAAGTTACATGAAAAACCCATCAACCAACAGATCGAAGTTATCTTGCAGAGAGAATTATTCTCAGTCGCATACAGACTTGCTGAAAGAAACAAAATGTCAAAAGAAGTACTTCTCCGAATCCAAAAACTACACGGTGAGTTCCTTTATGCAAAGCAAAGCTTTGATGAATCTATTGGAGTATTCATTAAATGCTTATCGCTCTTCAAAAGTACAAGCAAAGCCCAAAATGAGGTTGAAAGTGAAGATGACGAAGATTTAGAAGATTTTGTTATGAATATCATTACAAAATTCAAGGATGTCTCCAATATTTCTAATTTGACCAAGTTCTTGCATAAGCTTTACAGCTTAAACATCGCTAATAATGATCATATTACATTATTATTGTGTTGCTACTGCAAGTTGAAATTAACTGATGATCTTGATAAATTTATTGATGATTTAGATTTGGAGAATTCTACTGATTCACCCTTCCAAGATTTAAACTTTCAATTGATTATAAATCTTTTCCAGGAATGTGGATACTTTGATCAAGTGATAAAGCTTCTCTATAAACTAAACCAACCCAACCTTATAGTCGGGATTCAATTAAACCACCTTCATCAGCCAAAACAATCATTGCACTTCATTAAGGGATTACCAATTGATGACCTTTTGCTCATTTTGATAGACCATTCAAAATCTTTGTTGGATTTTCTTCCAATAGAGACTACCGAGTTGTTGATCGACGTCTTCACAGGAAACTATAAATTAAACAAAGAGATAAGAGACACATTTATTCAAGACGTTAAAGTACAACGGGAGGAGGAAATACTCCACACTCATGAAGAGGGAGATGATGTGTCTTCGTTCCCATTAAATAGTTACAAAGCCTTTGTGACTTACTTATCAAGCTTGAAAGATGATGATATCAAAAGCAATGGAAGTAATGAACAAGCAAAAATAGATGATGAATCATCTACTCAAGAACCTACATACCTTCCCCCTCGTCCTAGTTTGATTTACCCAAGTTTCATGAATCACCCAAATGAATTTGTCATCTTTTTGGAAGCTTGCATCGAAACCTTTGATAAATACCAAGGTAACATCAATGATAAGAAAGAATTATTGATGACTCTATTGGAAATGTATCTTACCATAGCCAGCAAACTTGAAGATGGGGAGTCCAATGAATGGAAAGATAAAGCTAAGCAATTGGTTGACAACAATTCCGAGCTTCTTGATAATTCTTCCTTGTTGTTAGTATCCCATATTTATGATTTCAAGGAAGGTGAAGCATTGTCGAAAGAGCAATCAGGATTTGAAGAAAGTTTATTTACTACATATCAAATTTCTGAGGACGTGGAGAAATGTTTTGAGATGGTGAGAAGGTACGGAGATCAGAAACCAGAGTTATACAAGTTGATGTTGAAGTTCATGATATTTAAACAGCTGGTTTTTGACCAAGTGACGCAACAGGACTTTAGATTTATTTTGAACAAGATCGAAAAGCTAAAGATCATGAACCCCTTGGAGATATTGCAAATCTTGACCGGTGGAGCCGAAAATGAATTTGTTACTCTAGGATTGGTGAAGGACTACTTAATCGATTTCATTGATAACCAGAGTAAGGAAATCAATAATAACCATAAGTTAATTGAGTATTATGAAACAGAGTCGACAAAAACGTCTCATAAGCTCACTGAGCTCAATACCAAGCCTTTTGTCATCCAAAATAATAAGTGTTCGCAATGTGGCCAGAAGCTTGATTACCCAGTAATCCACTTTAGGTGCAAACATTCATTCCATCAGAAATGCCTCAACAATAATTTGATTGCCACCTCGGTGAATGACGATTCTGCAACGGAAAAACAGTGTCCCATCTGCATCAACGAAATTGATGAGATAAAGTCCATAAGGAATAGTCAATTCAAGTCTAAGGACACTTTAGAGGTGTTTGAGGGCAATTTGCACGAAAGCAAGGATAGGTTCAAGTATATCAGCGAATACTTGGGCAAGGGGGTCATGGAAAACGAATCTGTGACTTTGATGAACTAGCATTTATAGAATCCATAAAGCTTGTATAGAAGATTCAATGTAACCAAAAGTACGGATAATCAATTGTACCAAAGACTTCCGGTCACGATCATGAAGGATCTCCAGATTCGTATTAGGGCATTTTGATTGCACCCAGAGAGGGGGCTCCTAACGTTTCGCAGTCAATTTTTGCAATCATCTGAAACCACACTGAGGAAAGCTCAAAACAACGGGTGTCTATTTAACCAAAGCACAGTATGAGCAGATGTGACCAGAAATGATTCCGCTACGGAGGAACGCTAGGGAAATACTAGCTCGAAGAAGCAAAATCCACCCCATCAGCGGAACAAGGTCCCAGACACCGTCAGCTGGATCCAACAGAACCAACAGCAAAAGCGCGTCAGAATGGTCAAACTGTGACAGTTATACTGCGGAAGACGATGATGATGACATTTACTGTCCCTCTTGGCTCAAGGATAGGCAGTTATGTTCCGAAAGGCCTTTTGAGCCGGATAGTTTCGAGGGGTGGATGTATTCATTCTTCGAGTATCTTGAGAGAGAACTCGAGTATTTTGAGTCCATGCTTGCAAAACACTGCTATTGCTTCGGATTTAACACTAGGGAGTCGGGCCTTGTGTTTGGTGAGGTGTGTTTGTTTGAAAACTACAACAGGCGACCCGTTCATAGCTGGAAGAAGGTGGTTGGCAAGGAAAGCGAGCCACCATTACAGTTCGAAAGACTGGCTGAGATTGACACCATTTTTAGCGAGATGCTTGCTGGATGCAGCAGGCTCCAGCCGACTTTATTATCTCTTCACACGACACTTCCGTTGAAGTATACGGTTATTGGAACCACCCTCAGGGGCCGGGCCCAGGACGACGTCAAGAGTTTGGTGCTTCGTCCGTTGGAGCAGGTGTTCCAGTATCCGCGATACTTGACTGCACTAATCAACTTGGCACCCTCCAGGGTGGTTTCTGACCATTGCAAGAGCGAGATGCTCCGCACGCTCCGTACAATCAACCAGATTTTGACACAGCTCCGCGACACCAACGACGAGAATATGGTGGATACGTGGGCAAAGTACTTGGCACCGGACCCTATGCAGGGTGGGCGGCCAGAAGTGTCCTCCAGCCATGATCTTGGCGGGACTTTCGAGGTCCAGTTGCGGTCTGCAGACGATCTCAGGATCGTTGGGTGCAAAACGGTTTGGCCCTACCAGAAACCACCGCGGGAAAATCCGCACCTCGCCAGGCTAGTGCACCACCAGACGAAGTGCCTCGTGCACGTACGGAAACAGCTCCAGGGCCACGTCCACCAGTTGGGGGTGTTCAGCCGGGAACAGCTTCGCTACAGCACGCTCTGGACCGAGACAATGGTGGAAACCCGTGCCAGTGGCAACTACATCGCCTCCATGTACGAGTGTTTCGAGCAGAAAAACCAGTTCCAGGGCGAGCGCACCACCGCGGCGATCCGCCAGTTGCGGGGGCTTATCGCGCAGATCTCGCGCGCCGTTGCGGCGCCGGCGATTTGCCCCGAGGTGGTGCACCATCTCCAAGAACTCGCCACCCTCGTGTGGAGTCGGTTCGTGGAGATCTCCCGCCAGTGGTACGCGGCCCACGGCAGCCATCGCCACTACACGGTGGGCGCTATTGCGTCCCACTACCAGCAATCGTTCCAGGTGGCCACGGCAACCATCCGAAAAATGTGACACGCATCCGTGCAAAATGTGATGAGGGTGCCAGCGCGTGGTGGTGCCGAAAAGACCTGACTGTGGCCGACCCACCCGGATGGTGACACATGGCCAGCACCACAGTACCAGCACTACTACCACTGCCACTACCAGCACCACCCCACAACCACCATCTACTAGGCGACACGTCATCCACATGCCAGTACCGCCCCTACTGCCACCCCCTGGCCACCGGCCCATCCATCAGGGTCCTATCGTCTTGTGACGATTGCTACCCTCACGTGCGAAAGTCGTCAAGGAGAAAAATTTCATCCAGGGGCGTCTAGCCGATAATGTTCGATCTTGCGAGCGAGGATATCTTTCGATCTCGTTGTCCCATCCGTTTTTTAGTTGTCCATTGATACTAATCGCATCTACCCCCTCCACTGTATCATTATGTCCGCCCCATCAGTCACCGCCGACCACCAAGACGTCCTCTCCTTGTTGACCTGGAAAGACCCCGTCAAGACCGGGAAGGTCTTCGGAGGTGTGGTTGCTGGATTGTTGATCTTCAAGACCATCAACTTGTTCAACATCTTCTTCCACCTCGCCTACATCGGCTTGTTGCGTACGTACCCAATCGCCTGCACCCACTCCGCCCGCTCCTACTAACCGTCTAGTCTCTGCTGCCGCCGAATACGCCGGCAAGTTGGTCACTGGCCAAGGCTTCGTCACCAAGTACAAGCCTGCCGTCAAGTCCCACGCCAAGCACTTCAACGACGAATTCTTGCCGCTCGTGGCCGAATTCAACTTGAAGGCCGAGCAAGAATACCAGAAGATCGTGTTTGCCCACGACATCGAAACCACCTTGAAGGCTGCTGGTGTCTCCTACGTGTTGTTCAAGGTCACCTCCTGGTTCTCCTTGTTCACTTTGATCACCACTGCCGTTGTCTTGCTCTTCACTGTTCCTGCCTTCTACGTCCACAACAAGAAGCAAATTGATGCCTTGGTTGCTCAATACTCCCAGATCGCCAGAGAAAAGACCTCCGAATACTCCAAGTGTGCCCAATCCAAGGCCTCCCCATACGTCAACGACCTCATCAAGAAGACTGGTCCAGTCGGCAACTTCATCAGCTCCAAATTCCCAACCAGAACCGCAGGATCCACTGTCGGTGACTCCAGAGCCACTAGCTTCGGAACCGATGCTGATGCTTCCATCCACGCCAAGAAGGTGGAAGAAGAAATCTCCACTGCCACCTCCACCGGTGCTACCAAGTTCCCAGAAGTTCCAGCCGCCTCTTTGAACGCCTACACCACTCAAGACATCGTTGACGAGATCAAGGAAGCCAAGGTCGATGCTGTCCACGATGCTACCAAGGCCATCTAAGTTCTTTTTTGATTGTTCAAGAATAGAAAGAAAGGTTTATTAACAGGTTCTTTCAACAGTCTACAGTAAACTAACCAAGTCTATACTTGTTCAACCTTTTTTTTAACTTGCGTTGTGTTTCTGATATTTATTTATTACTATTTATTTATTGCCTTCTTCCACAGTTGCTTGTATATTATTTATGCTGACTGTTCTAATATACACATGTCCTTTCAAACTATCAATCACAATCTTCTGGAGTGGGCAATCTTCTGAAGCATGCAATCCACTTTGAGCCCTTGTTTCTGGTGACTTTTTGACCCTCCTCAGTGGCGTTGTACATGATGGACACACATTTATCTTGTTCTTCCCACGCCTTATCTAATCTCTCAAACATGGGATGCTCTTCTAAGTGCTTAGCCATCCAGATGTGCAAGTCCTCGACATCGGTGATAGTATACACGACACCTCCTTCTCTTAACACGTAGGCATACTCCGACAAAAGAGTGTTGGTGATAATTCTGGCCTTGTGTTTTCTTTGCTTAAAATGAGGGTCTGGGAAACAGAAGAACATCTTAGAAAGTTGGCCCTTTTGGAAAAAGTTGGGTAAGAATTTCATGGCGTTGCCTCTTAACACTGATATGTTCTGGAAATTAACCTCGTCGTCCTTGTGCTTTTCTCTTAATGCAATAATACGATCCTCGACGTATTGGGTGACTTGAACACGAATCTCCATCCCCAAAATCAAGGTAGAAGGGTACTCGGGAGCCAATTTGGTCAACAAACCACCGTATCCACACCCTATATCCGCAATCTCCACTTTAGATAACATACTGTCCGAGTCCTTGTCATGGTACTGGGGGTATAATTTTTCCCACTTCATATCCTCGGGAGACCTTGGGTACTCCAATCTGTGATCAGAGAACGGGTTGGAGTGGGCTCTTTGTCTGTAGAACCTCTTTCTTGGAAGGTGAACTTGGGCCTTTCCATCGGTGTCTTCGACTGGTTCTGACTCTTCGAATCTGGCATGCTTCAACTTTTTTCTGGTTTCTTCCTGGTTGGTTCTGTACTGTCTTCTCCTGGTTTCAGCTTCTTGCTGTTCACGCAACTGCGTCTCTTTGTCTTTGACTGGTTTGGCCATCTTCTGTTGGTGTAGAGATGAGATCCAAATTTTTCATATTAACTCGGTGCGAGCGCAGACTACCACGCAGTTAAGATAAGGTGAGAGTACAACTAGTCAATGGAAACTAGAAAAGCAAGCTGAGAGTGGAAAAAGTGTCTCTAAGCAATGGCATGGGTTTGGGTGGATAAGTAGTGAATTTTGGATTTCCACAGGTGAAATGCCTCCCCAACCCGTTCCTCAGCTACTATTTGCCAATTATACTGTAGGTTAATTGGCTCGTGCTCTTGCAGTTCACTTCTAATTACGGGCTACAGTTGGCAATCCGTGCCCCAATTGTTAGCCAAGTCGGTTCTACAGCTCTTAATGCTTTCCAAATGTTCATTACTATGTACAGGTATCTATTCTTCATTTGGGTCCATGTCCTTACGACGTTCTTCCAAGGTAAGGTACAACATGTTGGAGGCCGACTCCAAAGTTCTGACTAAGCCAGCACCTCCCAAGATAGTAAGCAAACCAGCCAATTGACTGTTTAACTGGTCCTTGGTTGGTAAGTCCTTGAACTTGTTGATTTCATCCAAATCATTGACAGTGGTCTCAACACGAGCTCCGACCACGAATAACTTGTCTTGAAAGCCCCTGACAGTCTTCAATACTTGGGCGACAATACTTGGATCACTCTTTGGAATAGTGATTAATGCGGTAGGTCCACTCAATAATGGATGCAATGGATGTTTCACGTCCTTGTTCTTTTTGGTGCTTTCTGCCAAAGCTGGGTCTTCTTCGTGTGCTGATCTCAAGTAGACTGTATATATGTTGTTGGCAATGACATTAAATTGGGCACCAGCTTTCTTTAACTCAGATCTGAGTTTCTTGTTGTCTGCCTTGGGTATGTTGTTGTGATGGACGTATAAAACAATCTCGTTGTTGTCATTGAGGTACTTGTAGTAGTCCATCAAGAAAGTCTTTCTTGACAACACTGGCTTAGCGGTGGCTCTATCATTCAAACTGAATATTGGTGCCTTGGGAGCAGCTTCAGTGCTGTATGATGATCTTGTGAGTATGACACGGGAGAGCCCATTTATGGTGGAGGCCCTTGGAGCGTTGGCGATAATACCGCCTCTCAAACTACTGGCCAAACATCTAGCGAATACCATCTCGTTTGGTTGTAGGGGTGTCGATGTCGATTAGTCCTAATTTTTCACCATTAACTTTTTTTGACAGCCGCACACGACCATCTACACTCACGTGAGGTTCGCCCTCATCTGGTAATTTTACCCCATCACCATATTTTACGACCACAGTTGATGAAGCCCGGCTAATTTCTATTATTTATTAGGATTGGCACAGAGAATGAAAACTAAAAATAATGGTGTGACATCGAAAGGTTTAGCTAACGAATCATCTTCCACAAACAAACGGAAAATGGATCGAGGAACTGAAGACGGATCTTCAAAAAGACAAAATTCTTCCTTACAGAATGGCAATAGCGAGATTGGATTAGTTGAAGTCCAGAAACTTGAGTATGGAACAAGAACATTGCAGAAGAGTGTGCGCTTGATTGTTAATGACGCACCGGATGTTATTGAACTCGAAAGAATTTCCAATTCCAGTTCTACTGATCCAAGCATCAAGGCAGAACTTGAACAGAACAAGCTCCTTCATTTAGCCTCTCAATTAAAAACCAAGTATAAATTAGGCCAGCTCAAGATCTTTGACGACATAGCTGAGTCTCATGTGGAAATATCTGATGAGGAAAAGACCAAATTGGAGGCCATTTCGGAATTGCCAGAAGATAAAATGCAGATCGACATCCCATACCTCACACCTTCTGCACTGGTACTTTCCCACACTGGATTGGACGGAACCATGCCTCCATTGCCAGTGATCAAGGATCCTCACTTATACGAAAGAGTCTTCATTCATAAGTCCACCATTAATCTGAAATCATACTTGCAACAGCATGAGCTAATTAACTTGCATAACGAAAGGTTGGAATTTTTGGGTGATTCCATCTTGAACAATTTGGCAACTTTAATCATTTACGATAGATTCCCTGGTGCCTCCGAAGGTGACTTGACCAAGATTAGATCACATCTTATTGATAACAAAACCTTGAAAGAATTTTCCTTCGAGTATGGACTTAACAAGAAGTTAAGAACAAATATCAACGAAGAGATCTTGAAACTGAGTGATCAAAAGATTTATGCTGATATTTTTGAAGCTTATGTTGGTGCGTTGGGTATCGAGCGAGGATTAGATTTCGCTGAAATCAAAGATTGGTTAGCCAAGTTGTATGAGAAGAAGCTCAGCGAGTTTGACATTGAATATGATATCCAGCCTCTCAATAAGGAAGCAAAAACTGAATTATACTCCGTCTTGGGAACTGCCCAGTTCCATCCTACCTACCATGTTATTTCCAAAGGTGACGGAACCAATCAACCATTTGAGATTGAATGTAAAATGGGCAATGATGTTTTAGGTTTTGGAACTGCAAGCAATATGAAAGACGCAGGATTGAGAGCTGCCATGACTGCGTTGAACAACAAGCCAATGCTCGAAAAGTACCACAAGTTAAGAATGGCTACAGACAGAAAAGAATCGGTAAAATTGACTAAGAAAGTAAAGGTCCCAGAGGAAGAGCCCGCAAAGCCAAAGCTTGTCATGGTTAATAGCTCGATCTTTCCGGTCAAGGGCAACGAAGACGACCCCCTTGATTCTGATGCGAAGAATAGATTATATGCAGAAATAGGTAAGAGAATCGGAGAAGTTCCCCAGTATGAGATTGCTTCTATCAACAACGGTGTTGCCGTGGTGGAATTGAAGATCAAAGGAGTTACAGTTGCAACTGCAACTGACAAGTCTAAGAAAAGGGCCATGACGAGAGCTGCGATGGCATTAGTTAATAATCGAGAAGCTTTGGAAGAGTTGTGCAAGTAATGTATACATAACTTGACTAGACAACCAAAAGCTTGTGGTTGGATTTCCATTCCACTGAATATTGATATTTAAATGTAGTAAAATATACTAAATGCTAGAAATTAACTGGGAAGTTTGTACAGATTGTAATTGAACCCAAGAACCTTCACAGGTCAATGTTCCATTTAATTGAAATGTTGTCTTGTTGTTGGAGGAGTCCAAAAATTAAAAAGAATGGACGAGTCCGGAGTCGAACCGGAGACCTTTCGCATGCTAAGCGAACGCGCTACCAACTACGCCACACGCCCTTTTCTTGTTGCTTTGATTCTTCTAAAAATATGGTTTTTGCAAGTCCTCCTGTTAGTAAGTTATTACTAATAAATTAGGGTGATCCAGGGAGCAGATTATAATATACTTCCACTAACTTTTATTGTATTCTAGACCTGTAGTTCCTGGGTATAAATCGAATTGTAACTTCTGGCTAGTGATGTTTTGACAATACGTAAGCCATTTTACTTGTTTCACTCGGCATGCAACATCCCATTTCCCCCATTCGTCGGGAATCTCATAGTATTTGTTGTATATGCTTCCAAAGTATGGTCAAATGGGCATAAATCTCATTATATCCGTATGAATATGAACGTAAAGTTACAATTGCGATCGAGGTTATCATTGTTGGTGATACACATTGCCTTTCACCAACCTCTTACTCAAAAGATTTGTCGAAAATCTCTCACGAAGAACCCAATGCATCAACCCAGACATTACATAGAGCCCTATATTGTTTTCCTAATCTGGTGCTCTGATAATCTCTCTCTCCGTATACTCTGCCTCTCAACTAGTGGATCAACGCTATGAGATTTATATACAGAACTCACTTCGATCTATTACAGTGAGCTTCGCACCCAGTTTTGCTCCGACCTGAATATTCTGAAAATACCAGAAAACACCAACAGGAGATCATAGATTGCAATCTGAAAGGTTTACTATAGAATGTCATTGTATAATAATGAAATCGGTATCTTTCTTATTCCAACGAAAAACTCCCACCTCATTTCTATTTCTTGAAATATTTTGCATAATTACTGCAAAATTGAAATGTTGATGTACTATTTGAAATTATTTTCCGAAGACAATTACTGGCAAACAGAGGACTCACATTTCAGCTTCGAGTCTAGCATATACTTGAGGATGATATAAGATCCACAATTTGATCTGGAGATTAAATTGCGGGGGTTGCTCGAAAATCTCTCGGGTGGCGCATAATACAAAGTAGGACCAACACTTCCAAGCTACCGTTTTAAGAGCAGTTTCATTTATACAATTAGACTATCAGTCATATACCTATGTAGTTGCTCCGTTATAGCCAAACATCCTTTTTTATGGTGCTCACTATAATGCTCAGGCCCAGATCCAGTCGCACTAGCGCATTGTTTACGTGATCCTACTTTTACCCTTAAATATAATTAGTAGGAACTAGAAAAGCCCAAAGAGACAATCGGGTTGACTAATCCCGACACTTCAAGGAACAACTCTCTTGATATAGAAAGTCAGCATGGTTAGCAATGGCAAGGGCGAAAATGCCACCCCAGATCAAACTACTCATTCACTCCAAAAGACACCCCAGTCATCCCAAACAAACAACCAGAACACGCCAAAAGGCCACACAAGCACCAGCAATGGAACCAAGCCTCCCGAGCATCTCTCTGAGTTTTATTCCTTCATGAATACGAAGTCCAGCATACCCTTATCTCCTACACCCAGTAGTTCGTCCAGGAAGATTCCAGCCGCATCAGAAGATCGCAAGATCCAACGCCAGCCTTCCTTGAATACATTCACATCCTTTTCGCCGTCTGTACTGGACCTTCCTAGCATTGTCACATCAAAGGACTTTCTGAACAACATCAAAACCTACAACAAGCTACTCAGCCTGGCTTCAAAATTGAGAACAACTTTACTCCAAGTATCCGAAGCCGCCAATGAATTTGGCCAAGCATTGGAAGAGTGCATCACCGAGTGCCCGAAATCAAACAATAATAAGAGTGTAAGTGATGGCTTGATGAACGCTGGTGGGTTACAATACATGTTGGGAAGCAATCAACAGATATTGAGTAATTTGATACGAACTAGTTTTGAAGAACCATTGGCCAAAGAATTGGCCAGATTACAGGAAGAGTACACCGTCAATCATGGGTACTATCAACAGGAAGTTAAAAGAAAATCTCAGGCATTGAGAGAAAAGGAATTGGAAAATTTGAAGTTATCTAAGCAGAGAACCCGAAATTTGAACGCATACAAAAACAATCTTCTCAACTTGACTAATCAGCTTGAAGAAATTGACCGCCTCAAGTATGATTATTATCATGAAATTAATTTGATGATCGAAAGGTTCAACCTGGAACAACTATTGATAAAGACTGGTTCTTTAGTGAGGGCACAATTGGAAATTTTTGAGGGGATAGCGAGAAAGGGATGGTCCGGTGGGGGGTTGGATGAGCTACTTGAGATATCTCCAGATTTATTTGAAGCTAGTTACGAGTCTGATGATGTTACAACTCCAGATAACGACTATGATGATAGACTTGGGGGTTTAGATAAGAGTGCCTCAGTTTCGACTTTGAAGCAGAATCTGGTGACAAATCATGATGTACGAGAAGGGGTCAAAAACATCGATAAAGAGGTCCTCGAAGTTGTTAAGGTGGAGGATGAGGATGATTACGTCGAGGACAATGTTACCGCGGATACAGTTCGAATTGATAGGAGTCGCCTGCAAACCCCCAGAAATGAAGATCAAACCTCTTCAATATCTAAACCCCTTGCGTCAAGCAAGTTTTCCGAAACAGAAGGCGGCCAAGACGAATCATTTTCCCTACCGGTTGTCCATAATTCTTCCTTGTTGGGCCCCAAGTACAAGTCATCAGATGCTGAAACCTCTCCAGAAAGTATTGCTAATATTGACCATCACAACATTTTAGATGAGTTAGATAACTAAAGGAAAGCATCACCTATATGACCATCACAATATATTAGTTCCAGGAGTTAGAGAACTAAAATTATGTATTGACTACATGACAATAAAAAACGTTGAATAGTCATAGGACTACAAAATAATTAATGAGAAGCAATTTCAGATTGTAGCAAATATTGGTGATAGGGCTCATGGCATACATAATTAAGAGGAGGCAGAGACATAAACAGGCTTTGTAGCTTCAGAGGAAGGAACCTTCATGGTGTTGTCAAGTCTTCTGAAACTTGCCATAGGCTTAATTCCCCATTTGGCGAACATGGCCTTGTCTTCGTCCCATCCATTACACATGGTGGTCAACATCTTCTCACCAGTAAAGATAGCGTTAGCACCACCCATGAAACATAAGAATTGTTCGTGTTCCTTCATACCGTAACGTCCAGCAGACAATCTAATCTTTGATCCAGGCATGATTAATCTAGCAGTGCAAATAACCTTCAACATTTTATCGAATTGGAGCTTACGAGGGGAGTTTTCTGGTAATTTGGCCAAGTCGTCAGCCATAGGAGTACCTGGGATAGGAATCAATCTGTTGACTGGGAAGGACTCAGGATGTCTTTCCATGGTGGATAAAGTGTGCAAAAATGAAATGTGATCCTCGGTGGTTTCACCCAAACCTAAGATAGCACCAGAACAAGCCTGGAGACCAGCAGCTTGAACGTTCTTGATGGTGGTCAATCTTTCGTCGAAAGTTCTGGTAGTAATGACGTTTGGATAGTGCTCACGGGAAGTATCGATGTTATGATTGTAGGCAGTGAGACCGGCAGCCTTCAACTCCTTAGCTTGGTCAGCATCCACCATACCCAAAGTAACACAGGTTTCCATACCCAACTCCTTGTTAATTCTGGAGATCATTTCGGTGATTCTCTTCATTCCCGACTTTCTTCCTTTCATGTCTCTCCATGCAGCACCCATACAGAAACGAGTAGATCCATTTTCCTTAGCGATTCTGGCCTTTTCCATGACTTCATCCACCTGGACCAACTTTTCTGCCTTGAGACCAGTGTCGTATTTGGAGGACTGCGCACAGTACTTACAGTCTTCGGCACAACCACCGGTCTTGATGGATAACAAGGAGCACATTTGAACTTCCAGAGGGTTATGGTATTTACGATGTTGGAGTTGAGCTTGGTGCATCAATTCCATCAATGGGGTGTCGTAAATCTCTTTGATTTGTTCTTTGGTCCACGAGTTGAGGGGGGCATTTGCAGTTCTAGCAATTTCAAGGGCGCTCATGTTGGTGTTGCCAACAGTTTCGGTGTGAATATTGAAATCAATAGTAGAGTTGTCAACCTCCACAAGCTTCATGGCTTGGAGGTTGGTGGTGGCACGCATCCATGCTCTGGATGTGGAACTGAGAAATCTTTTGGCTACTGTCATAATGAAGGAATCCAGTAAGGGTATGAGATGAGACAATGTGAGTAATAAAATTTGTGTGATTGGATTCCCACCCCCCAAGCGGCGGACAACTGCATATCGGAGATAGATGGTCGGTCACGTTCTCCAAGAGTCATGAGTCAACATAACTCCAGCGTGGTGGCTTGGGTGATTCATGCGCACTCCATGAGTCATCACGAGCTTTCCCTCAAATCTAGGGTTGAAGCCCCAAGTCACAAATCCACCCGCGTCAGTCTGAGTGTTTAGCGCACGACTTTTCGTCCCATCGGCAGGTCGCCCTGCAAGGTATATATGTTCGAGCGACAAATTTGTTCATCTTTTTCTTCATCCAACAATAATAGAAATGGCTCCAATTGTATGTATACTAATGACCTATAGATAATTACAGGATCCCAATGCACGGGTAAGTGGTGAAGAGTTTTATTGCTCCAGTTGAAAGAATTTTTTTTGGGAGAAAGTCAGCAATGACATCCATTTTTTTGATCTAAAGCATTCTAGATACTTTTATAAAACCTGATAACGCAAACCCGTCCCTGGGCTATGCTGTCTTTATCTGGAATACGGGTGCCTGTGGCATGTGTATTTGTCGATAATAGTGCGGTAGGCTAACATGGGAATAGACCAACAAGAAGGCTAAGGCCGCTAAGAAGTTCGTCGTTGACACCACCGGTCCAGTCGAAAACGGTGTTTTCGACCAAGAAGGTTACGTCAAGTACTTGGTTGAACACATCAAGATCGAAGGTCTTGTCGGTAACTTAGGTGACGACATCTCCGTTTCCTCTGAAGGTAACAAGGTTATTGTTGTTTCCAACGCTAAGTTCTCCGGTAAGTACTTGAAGTACTTGACCAAGAGATACTTGAAGAAGAACCAAATCAGAGACTGGATCAGATTCGTCTCCGTCAAGCAAAACCAATACTCTTTGCAATTCTACTCCGTTGCTGACGAAGAAGAAGAAGAAGACGAAGAATAAATTATTTAGCTAGTTCTATACTAAATAAATAGTTTATTTCTTGGTTTTGTTTTATACTTTGTTTATTCGGGTTTTAGGTTAATTAAATGTATCTTGCTTTATGAACGAAAACACTGTAGTGAATGTTACACCTGAGAATGGCAGCGAGTGCCGGATAGGTGGTTTTGCCAACAGTAACGTGCTGAAGGTGTCAATGGTCGGGGTGATGTCATTTAGGGCCCGAACTGCTGTATGTTTTGGAATGCTCGCAGTTCCGGTGGATGGTGGATTATGCTCACAGTTCACAATAAAACTAAAATGTGCACTTTTCAGCGTAGGTGGCTTCCAAGCAATGCAGCGCCACCTCACGGTGGATCCAAACTGGAATACTGCACATCACACTTATCCCAGCGCTTGTTTGTTTGATGGATACCGCATACCACTACTGGGAAGACAAGGTAAAGTCACGTGAGCATGTCACATGATAAGACAGAGTGCACACATTCGCGCCAAAAACTTACACAAGAATCGGGCGTGTGGTCTAGTGGTATGATTCTCGCTTTGGGCGGACTGCTCAGGCAACTGAGCTGACTAACAAGCATGCGAGAGGCCCTGGGTTCAATTCCCAGCTCGCCCCCATTCTTCTTAGGGCGTGTGGTCTAGTGGTATGATTCTCGCTTTGGGTGTTGTCGTGGAAACACGCAAATACAAATATGCGAGAGGCCCTGGGTTCAATTCCCAGCTCGCCCCTAATTTTTTTGGAACTATTGCTTCATCAACACATTATTATTGAACAGAGATCCCTGTGATAAGCACGGATGATAGTGATTCGCGGAGTTATCGCTAGCGGTCATGTGTGGGCAAGTAATCACGAATCTCGAGTCTTTTAAGCACACCAAACGGTTGTTCCGGTTACATCATCTGCGGGGAAGTGCTTAGATGCGAGGTGGTTGCTTTTTACAGAATCCAAACATACGAACTGACTACCATTTCCGTTGCCGCGACCACCACGAATGTCGCAATTTTCGAGGTGGAGTAGCGCTAACGGTCGATCGAACGATGGAGGCCAATTTACGACCAAGGGTGGTTTGGGTCACCCACCAACTGGAATCTAGAGAAACAGAGTTGATGACAGGAAGTAGGCTGGCCACCGTGTCCAGGGGGTAGTTCCTTGAATTCCAGGTCTAGCAAACATACGGCAATCCAGCCATTCGTTTCATCGTGTTTCCTCATCCCAAGTGTGGGGAAGCGACAGTGCCCGTTTTGTAGTATTTTCATGCATCGAACAAACGATTCAAAAAATATGTGACTACAGAAAGAATCAAACAACCATATTGCTACAAGACTGTGGATGACTACACCAAAGTTAGATGAGAATGACGTGTAATAAATAGCAGCTGGCTATGATGCCAGCTAGGTGGGGTTGGGTGGAAATGAAGAAATGTACACCCAGTTAGCCCTGCACGCAGGACGGCGATGCATGTCAGGCAATGCGAGATGTGCAACCCTTGAATGCGGAGAAACACAGATCATTGACAACATCGTGGGGTGATGGAGGAGGCAAAGGGTAGGGGACGAAATGAACTGTAGTGTAGGGAGGTCTAAGAGGGTGTCTAGTTGATATTATTGTACATCTTGTGCTTGAACGACGACACCACGATGTTGTAGTTGTAGACAAAGTTGTTGGAGAAGGTCACTACCAACTCACTGAAGATCAACACCATCATGGAGATGTTGATCACGTAGTAGATGAAGGTGTCTAGCACCATGTACGCCAGCTCGAAAGCGTTGGAGAACATGTTCAAGAAGGTTGCGAACAACACTTGGAATGGAGATAAAAGCTTGAGCATTGAGGACATTAGAACGGGAGTGGAGTGTTTTGATCAAAGAAATCGATGAAGGATACTCCACCTTTGGAGATTCTCCGGCTTATATAGTTGGTGATAAGTCACAGTCTGGTGTTGACGTTTTGTGTAATTGCAATTTGTGCAGGATGCGTTTTGTGGTAATGTAAGTTCCCCCTAGTGGTGTGCGGGATGAATGTCGGGGTGCCAAAAGTGCGTCACGAGGCTTACGTACTACACTGCGGAGCGGCTCGGTACCGCCACCGCCCGCTCGCTACTGTGCCGTTTTGGGCACTCGGTCCTTTCCGACTGGCCTAATTAGTCGCGAGGGGCAGATGCGGGACGCCTGTCGGACGCTTTGGTGGATGACGTGGCGGGACATGGTTCAAAGCAATGTCCCCAATTCTAGGCCCCCGATATTACTTGCATATGCTAGTTTCTTTTGGCGTGCTCATTTCATGACATCGCTGGGTCCTTAATCGTGCTGAAAAATTCCCGTTAGGGCTCGTCTGTGCTGTCGGTATCGGCAGCAGGTTTCTGTCATTCCATGCACATTATCATATGCATTTCTCGCTAATAATTCGGGCGTCAACGGCCACGATTACGTAACGGAATTACCTTTATCTGTGGCCTAATTATCCGGAAATTAGCTGCGATCTAGACCAGTCGTGGTATGACGAACCAGGGCAGAAATTCCACTCTTGCCATCGCTCAAAGGGTCTACGGATGAAAGAAACGTGTATGTGTATTATGCAATAGGCTTATTGTTTTCCAAGTTCAGATTTGACCCATCCTTCTAATCCTCCCTTGACGATAATGTCCTGTAAGTTGGCACCCAATTCACCAACCTTTTGGTTCAAAATTAAGTTGCCTTCAGAGTCAGCAACGTACACCTGCGCCTTGGTGACGTCCCATTTCAAGAACCAACCGGTACGGATCGTCAACTCGCTGGAACCGTGGTACTTTTCTCTCAATTTGTTAATCAAATCGGGAATCTCCAAGGTTAACAAGGCGTTGTTAATAGAGTTTCTGGAAAAGATATTACCAAAAGATCCTGCGACCACCAACTTCATGCCGCGGGCCAAGATACAGGTAGCAGCCTGCTCCCTGGAAGATCCGGTACCAAAGTTGAATCCAGAAATAATGATGTCGCCCGCCTTGGTTTTGGAGTGAAATTCACTATCGTAGTTTTCCATACAGACCTCGGCCATTCTTTCCTTGCTGACATCATCTTGATAGGTGTATTTTCCTGGATAAATACCATCGGTGTTAATGTTGTCAGCGTTACAGAGGATCAACTCACCTTCAATGGATTTGGGGAATCCAGCCAAAACTTCAACCCCACTAGCCTCGCCTTCTTCTTCAACGATTTCGGCTTCTTCGCTAGGGATTGTCAACGACTTGACAATCTCAGGGTTGGCTGGAACTGGCTTTCCTTGTAATTCTTCAGGTCCACCAATCTTACCCAAGACCGCAGAGGCTGCAACCACCTCAGGAGAGGCCAAGTAGGCCAAAGCGTCTTTGGAACCCATTCTTCCCTTGAAGTTACGGTTGGTGGCTGAAATGCCAACTTCTCCATCCTTCAACAAACCAGCACCTAAACCGATACATGGACCACAACCGGCAGGCAATGGAATGGCACCAGCGTTGATAATGTCTTGCCATGCACCAATAGCCTCAGCATCCTTTTGGACGTTGGAGGAGGCAGCAGCAACGTAGAATTCAACCCCTTCAGCGACCTTGTGGCCCTTGATGATATCGGCAGCAGCCTTGATGTCACTCAATCTGGAATTGGTACAGGAGACCAAGTATGCCTTGTTGATAGCAATGTTCTGGTTAGATAATTCGTGCAATGAGGTGGATACCTTAACGGAGTTTGGACCAGAGACGTATGGAGACAATGAAGCCAAGTCAACCACCAAATGTTTGGCATAAACGGCGTCGGCATCAGACTCGAGTTTGTTATCCACGATGGCCTGGACAGTCTTGGAGTTGACTCTTGGATGTGGCTGAGGCAATTTTTCGATTCTCTGGTTGTAGAATTCCACGAGCACATCATCCACGGGGAATAACCCGGAAAGAGCACCCCATTCGGTGGTCATGTTGGCAATGGTCAATCTGTAGTCCACTGACAAGTTCTTGACACCTTCACCAGTGAATTCTATAGCGTGGTTCAACACCTCATCGTTGTTGAAAATACCACACAACGCAACAATCACGTCCTTACCAGTCACTCCCTTGGGAAGTTCGTTGATCAACTCGACCTTGGCCACAGGAGGAATCTGCCACCAGGTCTGTCCAGTGGCCCAGATGGAGGCAGCGTCGGTTCTGACGATGGGGGTACCCAAAGACCCAACCCCTCCGTAGGTGTTGGAGTGGGAATCGGACGCAACTGTCAAGTTCAACGGGAAAGCGTAGCCCTCCTCAATCATGATTTGGTGACCAATACCTCTTCCAGCGGGATAGAAGTCGATGCCCTGTTCTTTGGCGAAGTTCTGGATGTTGGCGTACTTCTCCAAGTTCTTGTCGGACTTGTTTTGCACGTCGTGGTCCAAAGTACACACGATCTGCTTGCGATCTTTGACCTTGGTGGCACCCAACCCCATGAACTTGGTGGCCACGGGCCACGAGTTGTCGTGGGACATACAGTGTGCTGGTTTGATGGTGACGTAGTCTCCACTATGCACTTCTTTGCCGTGGGGCAAACCTATCGAGTACTTTTGCACGATCTTTTCTGTCAAGTTTTGGCCTCTGGACAAGGCAGGCGTGGAGGCCAACCCTCTATAGTGTAATCGTAACAAGCGGGTCATTGTGGGTGATTTTGAAAAGCAGAGGACTGAAAAATTCAAAATCACGGTGACTATCTTCTCCAGATTATGCGGCTCTTGGATGAGTCAGACCTACCGGAGCGCTTAGCATTGGCCAGCCGATAAGGGAAACACACGTGACTGCAACCCCGGGTTTCGGCAGGTCTACTGTGCAGTCCACTCACAGTGGTATCTGGTGGAGGTCTGCTGAAGTATTGTTGTGTGTGCTTCGAACGACCAAGGGACATTCTTCCTTCATCCAAGTGCATACCTACCAGCCGATACCCGACTTAGGTCCAGTCTAATTTCTTTGTCCAGTAACTGCCGCATCTTTCATTGGATGTTTGTCATACTCTAGGGCAATAAAAGTAACCTTCCGTCCACGTACCTGACTTTTCGGGTTGACATAGCTTGCAAGTACTGACCCTTGCCTATATCTTATTTCTTTTTGATTTCTTTGATTCAAGTGCAGTAATAAATGCTAGCGCATAAAAGCAACCAAGTCCTCAAATAGTGGAGTTGTAAGACATGCTCACCAGCATCAAGATTTTTCTGTGAAAATTACCAACCATTTAACATTTCTGACAGAATGCAAAGCTCTGATATTGGATTTAGATAAGAATTCTAAAGATTGGAGCGAATGTTGGTGGTTCTGTAGAAAAATAACAAAAGCATTAACATGGCAATCTTTAGGTCGGAAGCTGGTCCAAACAGTTTCGCTTCTTAGTGCAATACAAGGACCTTAACGGACACAGGGCTTTCTCACTAGTCAATTAGCTTAACTTTCCCGGTACCAAGTGCTCAAACAAAAAAATTGTACTGGAACGGCGAGTTGGGAATATGAATCACCTATCCCATTCATAGCGAATCTCTCTGTGTCCACCCCGTACCCCCAATAAGAACCTTGTACAACAACCACCAACTGGACAATTGCCAACCCCATTAATGGTACCTGGAGTGCTATATGAGCCTTTTTACTGGAGAGAAATCGCCTTCTTCTTTTGTTCCAAGTCGATGCCTATCAATTGGGTGCAAGATATGAAGCGACATTACTTGGGAATTCAACGATATCGTTGATGGAGCGACATTACCTGAAGTACTGTATCCAATAGGCAACATTATTGATATCCAGTATAGATATTCCTGACCAGCTCTTCCCCCGTGCAGTGAACTCAGAATATGGCCAAAGTGTTTCCCAACGACTAGTTACTTCCTGTAGACGACATTATCTCTCCAATTGACACTTCGAAACTCACGTGACCACACATACATCTTCCTCTCTCTCCCACTGTTGCCCACCATGCATATCTTGTTAGCCATCTCCATCGCGTCCTCGTACGTGTTCAGCATCTACTTCAGGCAGCCTGCTGCCCTACGCGGCCAGCACAGGGACCAGCCTGCCGTGATCCGTCACCGCATCGCCCGTGTCACCATGCTTTGCGCTGGATGGGTGGTGGTGGTGCCAGCACTTCTTCACTACTGGGATGGCCTGCGGTACTACGACGTGATCCGCGAGCTAGGACTCGTTCCAGGCATGGGAACTCGCACGTTGGCCCAGGACGTGGCCAATATCGCCAAAAGCGCCCTGTTGATCTCCGTGTTGTACCTGGCAGTGATCGTGGACTACCTCCGCCAGGGACCATCGCTCGCTGGCGATGTGCGCGACGGGTTCTTAACGCTCCACGGGTTCCGGGACCATGTGTTCGCTCCGTTGTCCGAGGAGCTCATCTACCGCAGCTTGATTATCACCGTGTTGGTGCACGGAGGCGTGAGTCGCCACACCCAGCTGCTCTTGTGGACGTCGTTGTTGTTTGGCATTGCCCACGTCCACCACGGCGTGGTGTTGGTGCGCACCACCAAATTGCCGGTGGGAATGGTGGTGGCCAACGCCGGCTTCCAGACAGTATACACCACCGTGTTTGGCATGGTGGCCATCCAGGTGTACCTCTGGTACGGCAGCGTGTGGTGTCCCGCGGTGGTGCACGCGGCGTGCAACCTCATGGGGTTCCCAGCCATCACGGTGGCGAGCCTGGCGCCCTGGCAGGCCCTGTACTACGTGCTCCTATTGGCTGGCGTGGTCCTGTTTAGTCGTCTAATTGGTTTGTTTTGAGGCTGCCAGGCACCACCTCGCATTATTTCCGCTTGTGGCCACCTACTGTCTGTCACCTTTGGCAATCGCGCGTGCGCTCGCTAGCCGACTCGTTTATAGCCTATGGTAACCATGTCGTGCCACCCCTCCAGGCGTAGAAGGCAACGTGACCACCCTGCCGTGACCACCCTGCCGTGACCTCCCGCAACCTCACGTCCTCGTTTGCTTGTAGTTCCACTGGCATTCCCCACCTGTATACGGCCCCTTTTCGCTCGGCCCCCCCACACGACTTTCGTGTTGATTTGATCTACTCTATTCTTTGTCTGAACTGGTGAATTTCGGGTTCAGTCGTTCTGGTGTCTTTCAGGTGTACCCTCGTTCTTTGCATCCGCCGTTCCCTCCTGGCCGCCCCACCTACCACCCCTCTGCATATCTATATGATTCATTCCACCCACCATGCCTCAACCAACAAACTATGAGTCTGCTGTCCAGGATATCGAGCAGGAGAAGAAAATGGTGGCCGCGTTGAAGCGGTTGTCCATCGGCAACATGATGAGCTACGATCCCGACTTGCCCATGGAGAACATGGAGCAGCAGTTGCGGTTCCAGCACAACGCCGAGGACCCCCATCCGTCCTCCTCCACCATACCCTCTTCTGCCAGCTCCTCAGCACCCTCCGGCACCAGTTCGCCGTTAAGAAGGCGCTCTACCTTGTCCAGGAACCTGTCGTTGAAACGAGACCACCGCGACGACCAGAGCTACGAGTCGGACGAGTTCTTCGACGCAGAAGACAACGACCAGTTCTATGACAGCTCCAACGCCTTGCTATGGGTCCCGGCAAACTTGCATCCCGAGGTCAATCCTGACAAGTTCAAGATCCATGTCAAGTCCACGGTGGAGGAAATCATGGAACGCAAATTGAGCAGGAAAAGCTCGTTGTCTCGCAACTCGTCTCTCAGCACCAGCTCGTTGCCCGTGGAGGAGACCTCGGAGTCCACCATACCCGCATTGCAGGAGGAGAAGTCCGAGCCAGATGCCTCCAAAGACAAGCGAGAATCGTTCCATCAGCATCGTTTCAGCAATCCTTCTTTGCGTGATTTGACCCATGAGCTTGAAAAGCTCTCCAAAATTGCCGGCATGGATGCCAATGACGCCGTCACCTTGGCAAGAACATTATCAACGTCATCCTTAGGCTACACGGATGTAGAAAAATTGGCCATGGACGAATTAAGCTCATCCCCACATACTTCCCCACTGCATGCCCCCAAAAGAGCTAAAAGCGAAAAGAGTATTGACGACCCATACGATTCCGAGGATGATGCCTCCATTGATCCAGATTCTCCAACCGCAAATAAGGACAAGACCGTCTTAGGCTCCCATGACAACTCACAACCTATATCTTCAACCTTGCACTTGCAACAGCGTTTACAGCAACAATTTTTCCAGAGCCAGTCCGACAAGGAGGACGATCCAGAGGACCCAAAGGAACTGCATAGTCATCAAGCACCCAAGCATCCAGATTCAAGTTCTCGCGCAGCCCATGACTTTGCTTTGAAGAGAAGCAGGAGACCAGACTACAGAAAGCCAAGCGCTACTAGTGTGGCTCCAGCATTGGGTTCCAATTTACAAAGTTCGAAGCACGGCAAGTTGGCAGAGTTGAGAAACAATTTGAATGCTAGTTTTGGGAATGAAGTAGTTCCTCAAAAGGATGGCTATAATAACAAGTCTTCCACTAGCCACAAAAGCTTTGACAAGAAAAGTGCCCGTGATTCACAACTCTTATTCAGCTACAGAAACCCAAACGAACCACCCCCAAGCAAGAATGGCGATAATTCATCCTCCAAAAAAGTAGCCCACGATTCAGGTTCACCATATCCATCGTCTGCTACCTCTCATTCTGTTGAGCTGCAATTTACACCAAAGTTTAACAATCAAAACTTGACGGCAAAAAGAATCTCCCGGATTAAGTCAATACAGACTGGACTTGAACCAGACAAGTCTAGACCACGTCAAGCTCCTCCCACTCAACCATACCCAAACCAGGACTTGAATTATGTTCCATCTACAGGCAGCTCGAAACATAGATCTCATCAAGGTCACCAATCGACCCGATCACAGCAATCACACCAGCATCAACCACACCAGAAACAATCACACCAGAAGCAGCCACATTCGCAACATATGCATCATCAACAGCAACAGCAACTGCACCAACCACTACCACAACAACAGCAGCAACAGCTACAACAACAACATCAGCAACATCAGCAACATCAGCAACATCAGCAACAACAGCAACATCAGCAACCTCACCATCATACTCGCCACCATCATAGGTCCGACAGAAGTTCCAGCCCTATAGAACTTCCACAGCTAGAGGAAAACCGTGCCAGACGCCATCACCGTAGTAGCCGCAAAAAGACAGGGTACCAGAAGACTTTACATCAGCCTCATGTCACTACCCCTTCTATGAATGAGAAGTCTCAACAATTGAACCAGAATTTGGATTTATTGAGATCCGAGATAAATGAGTTCAAGGAAAGCTTGAACAAAAACGAATCAGTTAGTCAAGGTAGCAGAAAGAGTTCATCTTCATCCCAGAAATTGGTTCCACAAGATGAAAGACCAACTATTGGGGGCACATCAAGCGAGCACAACGAGGCAGACTTCAGCTTTGAACTTAGTTATCAAGACATTAGCTATGAGGATTCTTTGGGTATTGAGAGGGAAGTGTTGACCGAATTGGGTAGGTCAACTCAGCCTACTTCCAATATTCTCGATTCTGAAGATATCAGATTTGATGGTTCCCGCAAAGACTCTCAGAGTGATGAAGTTCCTACGAACACCGTCAACGATATCCTAGCAGGCCGCGCAACAAATGTTGCCAACCTGGCTACCGAGAGAGATTTTGTCGGTTCGGAGAGAGATAGACGTCAAGATTCACCATTTTTGGATAATAGGGCTAAATCATTATCCAAAGATCAGAATCAACGTCTTGAATCGAACCTGGCCCATGAATCGAAATTGCAGTCACCACCCAAAAGTTATAGGCATCAAGCTCAAGCAGCTAATATTCAAGACAAAGTGCAATCCGAGGATTCTTCCATTCAACAAGCCCAGCAATTTTATGGAAGAGAAATCAAGAGCGAATCACCATACCCCTCTCCTAACCTTAACGATCATTCTCAAATCCCTCAATCCAAACAGAAAAAGTTGGAAGAGCAATTGCATCAAATAGAGTTGGACGAAGCAGGAGTTGCTTCATTGGAAGCAACAGCAAGGTCTCAAAAGGATGGGGAAAAGGTATCCACTAACGAGTTAGAGAATATCTATGATCAGAAATTGTCCATGGAAAGCCAAAAGAGTATTCCCATTTCTAAAAAGTCGGTGGATATTATACACCCTATTTCTGAAACTGAATTTTCTGATGACTCTAGTTTTGAAACGTCACCAACCAAGGCTGTCAGAAAGAAAAAGTCGTTCGGTGTGCTCCAAAACAATTCGTCTCCTTCTTTGGAGTCTGGTCCAAATAAAAGTCCTACTAAGAAATTGAAAAAGAAGAAGTCTTGGCCATGGTTGAAGGAAAGATCAGTCAGTCTTTCGTCCGCTGAAGGTAACAACTTACCCACTGTTACAGAATCGCCATCACCTTCACGGTCTGTTTCAACTCCAGAAATGTTATCTAGGCCCGAAGATGAGGAAGAAACCAAGGTGAAATCCAAGCATGCTAGCGAGGGCAAGGAGAACATGATTACTAAATTGTTCAAGAAGAAGAAGCCGGCCGTACAACCCTCGAACGCTTCTGTCCATTCTGTTGAGTCGAAGGACTCAGGTGTTGTGGTTGACTATGAATCTGACTCAGAATCAAAGAAGAGCGTAAAAAAGAAGAGTAGTGGGATTTTCAAGATGAAGAGCAAGCCCAAGCTTGTGGAAAGAGAATTGAGAGAGGCTGATCATGAAAATTTAGTTGCTAATGTGAATGCAGAAACAGCAGCCGCAGGCAAATTGGTAAAAGCAGCGGAAACAACACAATTAGAAGAAAAGGTAAACCCAGATAATGAAGTTGAAACCATAAAGACTCAAACTGTCAAGAGCAAGAAGCAAGAGAGCCTTGCGTCTCCAATTGATGATATCAAAATGAGTGAAGCTATGGAGAAGAAAGATGCCAAGGACAAGAAGAAGTCCAAGTCGAAGTTTAGTAGGAAATCACAGGACAAGAAGGACATCGAGGAAGAAAAGGCGTTAAAGCAAGAGCAAGAAGAGGAAGAAAAATCGGCAGAGAAGCCCCAGACCACCCATGAAGTGCAAGAAAAATTGAAGAAGTCCATCAAAAGAACATCCAAGGCTAACCAACCTATTGTGTTCACTGACTCTGCGTTTGGGTTTCCGTTGCCTCCACCATCCCAGTCCACTTTGGTTATGTTGGATTACCGGTTTCCAGTACACGTTGAAAGGGCCATTTACAGATTATCGCATTTGAAGCTTGCCAACCCCAAGCGGTCTCTCAGAGAACAGGTGTTGTTGTCCAATTTCATGTATGCGTACCTTAACTTGGTGGACCACACGTTGCACTTAGAGCAACATATGACGAACGGGGACTCCGGACAAGACGAGTTGGACGACAATAACGACAAGGACATGGTATTTGCTAGTGACGAGCACATGCTCATGGAAGGGGACAACATCGATGAAATCGATGATAGCGACCTCGTGCCGAATGACGACTCAATCCCCATAGACTTGGATATTGCAGATATGGACAACGCCAATGCAGGCATACAAGTTTAGTTGGAGTAGCATGCCCAATATTCTATCCGTGATAGGGATACTCATGCTGGGAGTATCAGCTGGAAGAGGCTTGCCAATCAGTGGTAACATAGAACTAATAGAAGTTAGAGTAGCGTCAGTGTGTATTACAAGAGTAAATTCATGCCAGTGCGGTAGTACTAAGAGTAGCTTCCATAATATTTTTTCTAATGACAAGCATAATCAGATGTTCAGTTCCAAATAGTCTGCAAGTCCATAAATGTAGTAGAGAATGAAGTTGATTCACCAATAAAGACGAATTTCTGGATTCCAACTAGACCCACCCAGTGCCCACAATTCCGCGCACATGCCGGTGTTCCAGAGAATAGGAGAAGTCATCACCCAATCCGTCTCCACAGACCGAAACTTGACAGGCGCAGCCAAACCCCTGCATCACGTGTACAAAGAAATTTTCATAACAAACGGCCTACCGTGTCAGGCCACCCATACTTGTGTTTCCACTATATAAACGGCACACCTGCAAACCCCTCAACGTGAACCACTAAACATCATGGGTAGATCTTTACCTTTGTTATCCACTGAACAAGTCAGCAAGCATAGCACCCCCAAGGACTGCTGGGTCACCTTGTACAACCGTAAGGTGTACGACGTGACGGACTTCTTGGAAGAACATCCTGGAGGAGCTGATCTTATCTATCCTTATGCCGGCAAGGACATCACCCAGATCATGGCTGACACCTTATCCCACGAGCACTCGGAAAGTGCCTACGAAATGTTGGACGATGGCATGTTGGTGGGATACTTGGCCACTGCCGAGGAAGAAGACGAACTATTGAACAACAGAAACCGTACACTGGTGGAAGTGAAGTTGAACGAGCCTAAAATCGACTTGTCCGAGTTCCAGGACGAGCTTCCAGCCATGGAGTACTTATCAATTCAGACCGACTTTGCCGAAGATGCTAAGAAGCACAAGTTCCTTGACTTGAACAAGCCTTTGCTTATGCAAGTGTTGACTGGTGGCTTTTCCAAGGACTTCTACTTGGACCAGGTCCACAGACCAAGACATTACGGTAAGGGTTCGGCTCCGTTGTTCGGAAACTTTTTGGAGCCTCTTTCATTAACTCCTTGGTGGCTCGTGCCTTTGATTTGGCTTCCATGCAACTTTGCCATCTTTTACGTTGGTTTTGTCAACCAAAACAAGGTGATCGCATTAAGTTTCTGGGTGTTAGGTCTTTGCATTTGGACTTTTGTTGAGTACTGCTTACATCGTTTTATTTTCCACTTGGACGGATACTTACCTGACCACCCACTTGCTTTGACCCTCCATTTCTTATTGCATGGTATCCACCATTACTTACCTATGGATACCAAGAGATTGGTGTTGCCACCAACCTTATTCATTGTGTTGGCCTATCCATTCTACAAGTTGGTATTTGCAGTTTTCCCATTCTACATGGCTTGTTCTGGATTTGCCGGTGGAACCCTTGGTTATATCATGTATGATGTGACCCATTACGTCTTGCATCATACTAAGTTGCCTCAATTCTTGCAAGAGTTGAAGACTTATCACTTGGAACATCACTACAAGAATTACGAGATGGGTTTTGGTGTTACCAGCAGGTTTTGGGATGTTATTTTCGAAACCGAAATTTACAATACTTTTGAAAAAAGAAATTAATCAATGACTTCATGTGTTACGTTCAATCGGGAAACTTAATTAAATTTTTTACTGGAAAGGTGACTGGATAAATTTACCTTTTGGTGTATATAGCTTAGAATAGTCTACTATGACTTTGATCGGTCCTAATTTCCCTGACCTGATCAATTGTTGATGTGAAAATAAAAATATGCATGGCTTTAACTATACCCAGTCGTAACTAATGAGACAATCTAGGTTATATATTGAAATCCTCAAGACGATAGGCATCTCCATCTAGCTTATTCGAACCGTAGTTTAATGCAGTATTTCTGATTTGCTCGGGCTCTGGATTTTTCTCCTCTACCTTTCTGATAAACTTTTGGGTTCTATCATTCCAAAACAAATTGTTTATTCTGGCTTGGGCATCCACTCTACCCATGAAGACCGTCTTTAGGTCGTGATTGATCCTGATTTGTTTGTTTCTTCTTTCCGTATAAGTTCTTGCAACATCACCATAATGAGGCAATGCGATACTCTCCAAGTATTCAAGTACATTGAAGTTACGTTTGTCTGTGTTTTCCTGACTAAGATCGACAGGGTCTTCTGAATCATGCTGATCTGAAATGTATTCGTCCTCATCGTCGTATTCGTATCGATAATCGATGTTTTCGAACATCGCTTCGCAAGTATTGTATAACTCAGCATACTTTTCTGGCTTATACATGGAATATGGTGATTCCATTGCACTTAGTCCAGAAAGAAGGATTTGCTGCCACTTGACAGTTTTATATGGCATAGCTATTACCTCTGCTTTCACGAGCATTTTGAAGTAAACCGAATTCAATAACTTGTCTACTTTGTATGCAACTTGTTTACTCATTTCAATCACAGCTTTTGATGAGAGGTCTGGAGATAGGACAACGTCGTCAGCGGTTGAATTTTCCTGTTGTGCCTTCCTGAATTTCTGTGTTATGTTCTTCTCTATAAGATGAGCGATCTCATTGACTAAGTCCGACTTGCTGTTGGATGGATGCTGGATGTATTTGATATTGTTGATTCTCTTTGCTGTATCATTATTGTAGACGAATGACAGCTTGCCTTTGTAGTTTTCGTCGAGTGGATCTGTTTCTTCTGGAGGGTTTTCGTTTAAAATGAGCCCATCTGTGTTGGGAGGGTCATCTATTTGTTCATCCTGTTCATCCTGGTCTTCATCACCACTGTTTTCCTCGTCGCTCGAGATAGTCTGGTGTTGTGCATTGTCTGCAGCCTCCACATCACTGTCCTCCTCGTTAGAGCTGTTCTGGTCCACCTCTTGTGCAGTGTCTACTCTTTTCTCTCCTCTGTCGTTTTCGTTGTTTGAGCTGACCTGGTCTACCTGTTCCCGTGAAGCTTCTGCTTCGTTCTCTGCCAGTGTCTTCTGCCTTTTTGTGGGCTGCAGGGATGACGCTTTCTTCCATTTTCGTTTCAGTCGGGACTCTTCCAAGGAAACACCGTACTTCCTTCTGTGGAGCGCATCTTCCACTTTGCGGTAATCTGCTCGAAGCTTGGCAAAGTCCACATCTATGTCGTGTTCGTACTCGTCGTTTCCCACCATATTGTCTGCATACTTCAATGAAGTCCTCGGTATGGGAACATCATCTATGGGCAAGGGCCACCCGCCCCATGTCAGCCTGGGAAAGGCCGGGTCAATCCTATTGAGGAGGACGCTGGAGTAGAGGTGAATGGCGAGGTCCTCTCTGTACTCATCATCGAGACTCTGGAGGATATCTTGTTGATCCGATGAAGATGTCATGATGGATATTGTCATCACAAAATCATCGCGATTGCAAATACGGGAGTGAGCAGCTCAATAATGAGAGGATGTTGCAAGTTTTGTGGACTAGTCCACAGTGTTGGGCCGTATTTGATATGAAAGAGACCAGCGTGGAATTGAAACGTAGCACTGTGGGGTCTAGAAAGATTGACCAGACTGCTGGTTGTAGTATCTGGGATCACTACTCATCATTGGATGTTAGCTGTAGGGGCGCATTCCCAACTGTTCCAGTATGGGACGAGTTTACTAAGAATTGTTGGGCGACAACTTGTCTGATAAGAGTTCTAGCCTTCTGGCTTGCATAGCCATGTGAGTCGATGAAGACTACTTTTTATTATTTATTGACAACTTGAACATACATGTTTTCCAAGTAATACTTGTTTTACGATTACAGTCTGATCTGAAGAGTGCAATGGTCATTTAGGTCCGTTATGTCTGGTCCTGATTCTTTTTAGGAAGCACAAGAGATGGTAATTTAGGCATTTTGTTAGTTGATTGACATTTGGTCAGATATGGCCCTTACGTTTTTTATGTATTTAGTGAGATTTTGAGAAATGTAATTATCCACGCGAGAATGACTTACAAGCCCACTCCGACAATAGACTGTGATACACGCTACCAAGTTGTATAACGGCAGAATGGACATACTTCTTATCCACATAGGAGCAGGAAACCATTCGCAAGCCAAAAATCAGCAATATCTGAAACTTCTCCGCCAGGCACTTGCAACCGAGGACTTTGTTGCCAGCTCCAAAGTCATCGAAGCGTCAAAGCTCACCAACACCGGGTACGGATCCTCACTAAACTACTTGGGGGTGGTGGAGTGCGATGCCAGCTTTATACGACATGAAAATGGAAAAGTGGATATGGGATCGTTTGCAGCGATGGAAGGATCTCTATACCCTATTTCTGACACAATAGGCCGATTTGAGCTGGTGTGGAGCAAGTACAGCAGCATGGCCAGCTACGGGCTAACCAAGCCCATCGCATTGACGGACAGCTCTTACAAAAAGAGTATGGATCTGGTCTCGGATCTCAAATGCCACAATCTTGTGCTGAAAGAGGCGGAGAAATATTACAAAGCATACATTAACCAATTGAAGGGACCAGCCGAGGTTTCAGATACCGTTGGAGTTTTGCAGATCAAGAATGGAACTACAATCATAGGGACATCATCGGGAGGAAACTTCTTCAAGTTTCCTGGAAGGATAGGATGTGCTGGGGTAATTGGAGCTGCAATAGATTTCAAGCGCAGAGATAGACTTGAACTAAGCTGCATGTGCAGCGGGAATGGGGAGGATATAATTATGATGAAGTTGGCCCACGAGATCACAAATCACACCTTTCAAGATGATGACTATGGAGAGGAGTTGGTCCAATTGATTCGGAATATTGCAGACAAGTATCAGTTATTGGCGGTGGACAGCAAAGGAATAACATGTATTTACGTGGGAGCAATCTTGGTAATCCATAATACTGTCACAGGAGACAAGAAGCTCATTTATTGCCATAGCACCGAATCTTTCTACTTTGGATTTAAAAGTTCACAACAAAAACCACAAGTAGTCAGAAGTACACTAACATCACCCGACAGAGCGGGAAAGACGTTTGCATACGGAGAGTGTAAGATATAGACTACTGGAGGTAACCAAAAGATATATTAAATATACACTGTTAACACGATAAGATTAATTTAGTATTCGACAATATTTAAACTAAACTCAGCTTACTTAACGGGAGGTAGCGTGGACTTTTTGGAAAGCACCCTTTTGTTGTTGCTTGGAGACACCAGCCTTGGCACCGGCAGCAGCAGACTTGGCCTTTTCAGCCTTTCTGGCGACCTTGGCAGCCTTCTTGGCTTCCTTGTCCTTGGCCAACTTGGTTTCTCTGGCAGCCTTTCTGTCAGCTGGCTTTTGAGATCTTCTTTCTTTGATCAATTCCAAAGAAGCACCAACGATGGCTCTTTGGTTCTTGACGGACTTTCTGGTTCTTCTCTTGGAAGTTTCTTCAGAAATACCCTTCTTGTGTTGTCTTCTGAATAAAACGGTCCAAGCAATTCTTCTTGGGTTCTTTCTTTGGTGGAATAAAGAAGCAGACTTAGAGGATTGGAATCTGAAGATCTTGGAGTCTCCTCTGACAAACAAGGTACCTCTACCTGGGTAAATTTTAGAACCTGAAAAGGAATCAATTTCAACCTTCATTTTTAACTATATGTTAGTAGGGATCGATGGGAGTGTTTGAGACTATACGCCTGGAGTTGGGCAGGGGGGACTGTTTCTTGAAGGGAGGGTCATTCTGGCCCTTTTTGGCAAACTTTTCTGGTTGGTGATATCAACATTGGGACACCCGTGAATGGGCTCCTTGCTCTCGTTTGGACGGGCAGAACAGCCCCTGTTGTTGACCGCTGACGGGTGCTTCCAATCCGTGGTGTTGTAACGTCTCACATCCATTTAGGTCACATACCTATTCGTGGTTATTAAAGCAGACCAGAAAACAGTAAGAAATTTTTTCAACTTTTTTTCACCTAGCCAGAGCGACAGTCGCAGCACTGGCGGTAGAATGGTGATGTGAGGGCAAGCGTCGTGCACGTGACGGGCACCACAGGAGTCGCGACAGTTGTCGGACGGGTAACTTGAGGGCGCAAGGGCCAGAAGTGCGGGAGTGTGTGCAGGAGCACCTTCCTGAATGGTGAGTATCATGTGACCAATGTGACTGTCTTTTTCGCGAGCGAGCAGCTGGCTCGCATCCCATCCATAAAATTTTCAGATTAGTATATGAATCTTCTTTTCATTATCCAGACCGGAGTGTAAAACAAACAACGCAGAGATGGTCAGTATCACCCCATAGCCGATGGACGGCCTGCAATGATTGTTGACAATCATACTAACATCTATAGGCCCCAAAAACTAAGACCCAAGAAAACATTAACGCCAAGTTAGGTTTGGTTATCAAGTCCGGTAAGTACACCTTAGGTTACAAGTCCGTCGTCAAGTCCTTGAGAACCGGTAAGGCCAAGTTGATCATCATCGCTGGTAACACCCCAGTCTTGAGAAAGTCTGAATTGGAATACTACGCCATGTTGTCCAAGACCCAAGTCTACTACTTCCAAGGTGGTAACAACGAATTAGGTACCGTCTGTGGTAAGTTGTTCAGAGTTGGTACTTTGGCTGTTTTGGATGCCGGTGACTCCGACATTCTTTCTTCCATCAACTAAGATTGCTGTAATGTGCACCCGTGTATAATTAATAAAAGTAATAGATTGGCTTAACGTAGGGTCCTGCTCACTGAGGTTCAACCATGGTGTTGGCTACATATCTGTCTTCGGAAACTAATGTACATTAAGAGTCGTTCGGCCATGATCTAGCTCATCGCATTTCTTAGTTACCCTGCATGCTATCCAACTGCTGCTCCAATAACCGGATTTCCTCTTCTTCCTGCCGTATATACTCCTCGATATCCAATTCCTCTTCGTCGTCATAGACTTTGTCCTGCCCACTGGATTTGATAGGGCTTCCAATATCACTGTAATTGATATTTAGTATTGTCAACTGCCTTTTCTGATCATCAATTTCCGACTCCAACTGAGCACATTGGTTAGCCAATAGGCTGTATTCATTCTGACTCTGCATCACCTTATCCACAATCGCATCACGGTCTTCGATCAAGTTGGGGTACTTTTGGATCACAGTCAAGATTTGCGAACATATCTGGCCCACATCTTTAGTCTCAGCCGAGAACAACAGGGTGGTCATTGACTTTCGCCTCCTGGGCGAAGTGCTCGATGAATGTGCTAATTGTGGTAGCTTCACTACCGATTTGCTTTCAAGACTCTCCTGGTCGCCTTGGTCGCCCTTGTACTGAATGTACTCCTGGAAGCTCTGGTCCACGTAGATAGACTTGCCGTCAGCCCTTTCGGGGCGGATTTCCATGTTTATTCTGTTGGAACTCTCATACCTGGTGCTTCCTTTGATGGCTGTCCGCGTTTGGTTTCTAGGCTTTGTTATTTTGTATAAAGCTCCCTCATCTACGGACGGGTCCTTCAACAACGTAGTGATGCTGGGTCTCTTGACAATGGCGTTGGTGAAAAGGCCGGGCGGATGGAAGCGCAACGATTGGATGGACTCTATGGACTGTTCCGTCCTATCTAGGAAATAGTTTAGAGACGACATGTAGTGGGAGCTGCAAACACAGTTGCAAAGTTGTTTGTTGATACTGGAGCTCGGTCGTGCATAAACCGATACCATCTTCAGATCTCCCCATACCTTGACCAAGACAGAAAGACTAAAGGGTATTAGCTGAGATGTCCAACAGCTCCAGTAGAATCCCGTAGTATCTAAAATACGTTTAATCTTAGACGTGGTTGTCTTTTGCCCCACCACAACGCACTAGAGAGTAGGCCGTAACTTTACCGATTCACAACCTAGGTCGGCCGTATTCACATCCAATTAAGAACCAATTGTGCCCACCTAATAGTACGCCCATTTGAACGCATGTATGTATTTCTTACATTACTTAATTGTTTGGTACGGCTACCTAACGGTCCTGCTTTGTCAGATCCAGTGGTGCACGAGGATCTAGTCATGTGACCAGGAATAAATTAGTCCATCTGAAGCTTAGAAACCTACAACTACCAATCAGCATGACCGTGGATCTTGATCAATATGCAAAGCCAGGCAAGGGATACTACCTTGCTCTCGGATTGGAGGGCTCTGCCAACAAGCTTGGTGTGGGAATCATAAAGCATCACTTGGGCCAGTTATCTTCAACTAACAGAGCTGAAGTCCTCTCCAACGTGAGAGACACCTACATTACTCCACCAGGAGAAGGTTTTCTTCCCCGTGACACTGCCAGACATCACAGAAACTGGGTGGTCAGAATCATCAAGAAAGCATTGGTGGAAGGAAATGTTCGTGGGACTGATCTTGACTGTATTTGTTTTACTCAAGGCCCAGGAATGGGTGCTCCTCTACAGAGTGTGGTGATAGCAGCCAGAACATTGTCACAACTCTGGAACCTTCCTTTGGTGGGTGTTAACCACTGTATTGGTCACATCGAAATGGGACGAGAGATTACTGGTGCCCATAACCCAGTTGTGTTGTACGTTAGTGGAGGAAACACCCAAGTCATTGCATACTCCGATCAGAGATATCGGATTTTTGGGGAAACTTTGGACATAGCCATTGGTAACTGTTTGGATAGGTTTGCCAGAACGTTGATGATCCCCAACGAACCAGCTCCTGGTTATAACATTGAACAAATGGCCAAAAAGGGCAAGCATTTAGTCAGTCTTCCATACACCGTGAAGGGAATGGATTTATCCATGTCAGGAATTTTGGCTAACATCGACCAGATTGCCAAAGACTTGTTTGGCAAAGCCAAGCAAGTGAAAAACAAGCAACTCATTGACGAAGAAACTGGTGAGCCAATCACCTCGGAAGACTTGTGTTTTTCCCTACAAGAAGTATTGTTCTCCATGTTGGTGGAAATTACTGAAAGAGCGTTGGCCCATGTCAATTCCAACCAAGTGTTAATTGTTGGGGGTGTCGGGTCTAACGAGAGGTTGCAAGAGATGATGAAACTCATGATTCAAGATAGAAAGAACGGTCAAATCTATGCCACAGATGAAAGGTTCTGTATCGATAACGGAATAATGATTGCCCACGCGGGACTTTTGAGCTACAGAACTGGCCAAACCAACGACTTGTGGAACACCGTTTGCACCCAGAGATTCAGAACTGACGAGGTATTCATTAAGTGGAGAGACGATTGAGATAGAGGACATCCGGAATATAGAATTAATTGATTATTATGTAGTCGACATGGAAACTTCAGCTTTACTAACGAGTACTGCTGGGTTCTAGTCGTACATCGAACAAATTTTTAAAGGCTTGGTATACTATTCTACTATTCTGAGTCAGATACGGATTTAACATGAAAACGAAGGATACCAGTATCCATTTGTTATACGAGAAGATTCTTGGTTCCAATATGAGATTTATCCAAGAACTCACAGAACTCCAAGAACTCTCAGCCCAATGATTTGCAAATGCTTGCAGGATTATGATCTTTAGAACAGGGAATCCCAGCCAACACTTTGTTGATCCTTGTACTATTAGGAAAGTTCATCCAAAGACCTCAACGTAAATTTATCCAAGATGGAGTCGACGATCTCGTTATTGGTGCCGACATATTTGAATCCTCTGGGTAGCTTAGAATGATCAATGATCTGGGATGCTCTTTGATTCTGGCTTGCCAGAGTACATTCTCTGAGCAAACTGGCTAGTTTTCGTACACTTGTTCCATCCCATAAATTGGCAGAGACTTTATAGTTGTGGCAGAGTGCTTTATTGGCATCGGTGTCGTTTTCATACTGTATCATTCCAGTATCATAACGTGGTTTCGGATCTTGACTGGGCAAGATCACACTGGATTGGATGGGTCCAAATATCTCCATAATCTTCTGTAGCACATCGGCGTTAAACATGTCTTTGAGCTCTGGTTTGTGCTTCCAGCGAACTATGATCGAGCCGTTTGCCTTTTGAGTTTCAAGAGAGGTTATATACGTTCGGGGTAATTTCAAGCTCTTGAATGAAACATACAAAGGTGCCGATTGTTCAACCTTTTTGTGGATGCCCTGTTCTTGTAGTCTTCTACGTTTTAAGCCATCCTCCTTCAATTTCTCCAAGTCTATAGCCAATCTTCGTTTCAGTATAAAGTCCTTTAATTCCCCGGTTCTGTTCAAGTTGTAGCGATGTTGGTTTTCTGCTTGCTTTAGATCCTCCTGAAACCGTCTTGTGGATGCCAATAACTTCTCTTGTTCAATATGCTTTTCCCTTCTGATTCTTCGTATTTCATTGTATTGGTTTCTTAACTGTTCGTCCACAAGGATCTCGTATACTTTGGAGAGAAGGTTGAATTTGTCTGGATCGCCTCCCTCTTTATCGGGATGATACTGCAATGCTTTTCTTCTGTACTGAGTCCGTAGTTCTTGGTCTGTGGCATTAGGTTGCACTTGGATGAACTCATAGAGATCTAGATTACCATTGATGAATTCCAGGGTCTGCGAGTCACTCATGGCTGGTATTTATGTGTTGGAAGTGGTGCTCTAAGGCTGAAGCAACGTGATATTGGTGGGATGACCAGTTGTAAGACAATGCTGTGAATACAGGAAGGAGATGCTTTCAGACTAGAATCAGCTTGTAGTTTTCGGACGTGATGTTCGGTGATACGTTTTGGACTAGGGCCAGACAGCTTGCACTTGTGAGGTCTAGCTATTCTCGGACTATTGATTGCAATGTAACCAAACAGTTCGTAAGACCAATCCAAAAAGACTATACTATTCAGATCTGTTAGTTGGCTGTTACCCGACCTTTACTGGATGTGATGGTCGCTCCTCGCTGTGAAGGTGTTTCCACTTAATGAAGATGAGATGTCTAGTTCAGATCGAGATGAGTCGCATGTGCACAAGATCAGTGAGAGTGAGCAAGGAATGTATGGAAGCACTACGAAACATTTCTGCCGATAGTTGGCAGACAAGAAGAAATGGATGCAACAGCTGAGTGTAGGAGAAGGGCGGAATATACCATTGCAATTAGCGAACGCTGTGGCCAATTTTGCCAATTTTGCGGGGCTATACATCAGGAGATTTATCAGATCGAACACTGCTAGGAGAGTAGTTTACGAAACAAGTATATTGTACTACGCCAGAATATTGGTAGAGTGATCAAAGGCACGCTTCGCTCTCAATGGAGGGATTTGCACTAGTATGGATGCATGGAGTGTCTGTAATTGTGATATGCTGAACGAGCCAATTTTGATGTTATGTCTAAAGACGTAGGAAGCCTCAATTGCACCCATGGCGGACTTTGGACACTGAATGAGAGACTAGGGGAATATCATATTTCATTAGTACTATACATATAAAAGTAAAACCCTGTTCAATGCGATTCGGCTCGTGAGACTCCACATCATTGCATTATCACACTAGCAACAAAAATGGCGAATTACATGCTGGTAATATACTCTATTCTACAAGCACTAGCTGTATGCGAAACAGACGTTTATTCTATACTATTCGTTAATAGCATTTTACACACAAAGTACCACTCCATGTCTAAAATGGCATGAGCCATGCAAATGTAGGCATACCTACGTGATAAATAATTTTGGGGAATTGAATGTTTAAGCCTTGACGTTTCTCAAGCCATGGGTGGATCTGAAAATGGCATCACCCTCGGAGTAACCTCTACCTAAACCGAATCCAACACCTAACCAGACAGGAAAGGCTCTTCTCTTGAAAAACAAGATGGAGGCCAAAACACCACCACCGAAACCTAACCCGGTCTTGATGAGAGTGTTGGATAAGACGACGTCCCACTTGTCGTTCAACAAGTTTTGGGAGGCGGAAGTTGGTACGACCTTTTGTTCAGCAGACATGACTGGAGATGTTAGTATGGAACCGGAAAAGGGTGGAGAAATTGCCGGAAAAAAAGCACGACAGCGATCCGATCCACGACTGGATTGTGGTGGCACGGATTTCACGATTTTGGTGGAACAAGGCAAGCAACCGATGGACATCCAAGCCGGTGCAAATGGGCCACTGGGACATGAAGATGGAACATTCAGGGAAGTGTCTGGGCGGACATGACGGTGGAAATCGAGGACGGATATGCGAGTGCTAATTGTGGGACAGCCACGGGATACATACTTGTAGGTTAGTGTGGTATAGCTTCTCCGAGGTGGGTGAAAATTGGACAACAACTGGTTGGTCAACGCCCAGTCACGTGCGCGCCATCACGTGGACACGCCGCCATGCCTCCCGTGCCTGGTGGTGTGCTCTCTAGTGGCCCTGTGAGGGCTGGAGCAGTGCTACACTCCAAGCAATGGGGACACGGGAGCCTACCCGCTGCCTCCTGGGGCAGACGTTTGTCCCATGCACGCAGTCCGGGTGCCTAATGTGCAACTCTCGTGCGACACCGTTGATGGCGCCAACCCGCAAGTCTACCGGCACCAACCCGCAAGAACCATCCACCCCAACCACCCCAACCAGCAAGCCGATCTCCAGCAAGGGATAGCCGACAAAGCCCCAAACGGGCTCGGCGCCGTAAAACCTGTCTGTCGGTCTATCTGAGGCGGAATTTAGTCGCCGCATGGGGCAGCTAGTGCAATACCAAAACAACAGTGTGCTATTTTCATGCACGACGCACAAAAGCACCCTGATGTAGTGGAACAACAACGTCTGCCACGGCTCCTCTGCCATGACAGCAAGACGTGGCTGTCACCTGGAGATCCCACCAATCGGTGCCAGAGTATAGTATTATGTTGCTGCCACCTCTCTCCCATCCTCTCCCTCTCCCCCCACTAAGCCAGCTGCTCCCAATCCCCGTGTCGCTCCGGTCGTGCAACGCTCGCTACCACTGGACCTACGCGCGGATCCAGGTGACGAAATCAATGTACGCGCGACACAAGTCATAACCCAGAATTGACATAAGTGTTGTTTTCAACAAGGGTGATTCTTGTTGAACTTGTTTCCTATTTTCCAGCATCGCTGCCTCTCGCGTGTGCTCTTTGTCCCTGCCACCGCCAGCCATTCCTCGGTGTGAGCCGCCATCCCTGGAACCCCACCACTAGTCCCAGGAGTTGTCCCACTGCTAGTCCCTGGAACTCACCACCAGTCGGTAGCCATAGCTCACCAGTCGTGCCATAGCCATCACCTTCTTCATACCACCTAGTCACTCGTTTATCCTCCCCCAAGCACGTCTTGCCAATGTCTGCGCCCTCCAGCACCCCTAGTGACGCCAGGATAGGCGCCCACAAGCCGTCAAAACAATCCCAGCAGTCGCCGTTCTTGCCCCACCACCACCCAGACGGCGCCAAAGCACCCAACCCGTTTGCGTCGCCGCAGTCGCCAGAATTCCCCCAGTTCATCCCCAGCCCAACCCGCAAAAACGGCAAGCCGTCTTCGTCCAGGCGATTCGCCCACTCCCGAAGCCAGTCCCACAACTCGCAGGTGACCTCGCCCTCCAGGCAGATATTCCACCCCATCCACCATAATGAAGACCCTTACGACCAGCATTTCCACTTCTCCAGCTCTCCGCTTCCCTCAGACCTTCCTCCAGCCTCCAACTGGACATCGTTGATCCCGCCCATGCCCTCCAAGCCCAAGGCTGCCTACACCCCAGATCCCCGTGCCGAGCTGCAGTTGGCCAACCACACCCGCCAAACCCGCCAAGAAACAACCCCGTCGCCTTCGTACTCCCAACGCCATTCCATTGCCATTTCCCCCAGCAGCGAGCATCGAAACGACTCGTTTGGCGGCCCATCCCTCGACCAGCCCTTCTCCAGAGACCTCCACACAAACGGCACCGTGCAGACGCCGCCTGCACCCACCGAGCAGTTCCCTCCGGCCCAAAAAACATTACAGCCTGCCTATCGCAAGTCTAGCATAAGGCGAAAGAACAGGAAGATATGTAAGAAGTGTGGAGTCGAAATCACCGGCCAGTTCGTCAGAGCATTGAGTGCTGCCTATCATGTGGAGTGTTTCAAGTGTCATGACTGTGGAAAGCCTTGCGCTGCCAAGTTCTTTCCTTTCGAATACACCGACCCCACTAACCCAGAAACCAAGTACCAAGTACCCCTTTGTGAGTACGATTACTTCAAGAAGTTGGAATTGATTTGCCATAACTGTAACAATGCATTAAGAGGACCGTACATCACTGCCTTGGGCAACAAGTATCATTTGGAACACTTCAAGTGTAACGTGTGTCAACGAGTTTTTGAGTCCGACGAAAGTTACTACGAACATGAGGATAGTATTTACTGCCACTTCCATTACTCCAAGCTTTATGCCTCACATTGTGAAGGATGCCATTCTTCCATTGTGAAACAGTTCGTTGAATTGTACAGAGGTGGTAGAAACCAGCAGTGGCATCCAGAGTGTTACATGGTCCACAAATTCTGGAATGTGTGCATTATGGCTGATTCTGTTGGATTACAATCGTCTTTTACGATAGACGAAGACTACTTATCCGATTTGAAGTCGCTCAAGAAAATAATAGATGATGACAGCGAGAAGTCCAATGCGCTTGGTCTTGATCCAAAGGTGTTATTATCAATTGAGCAACAAATTGAAAATGTTGTCATGCAATGCTGGTTAACATTATCGGGGTTTGAAGAAACAACCGCTGCATGTATCAGCGACATGTTATTGAATGCATGTACAGGAAACCAAGCAAATGGATTATTGTCTACTGTCAAATTAGTTTTGAATATTGAAATCTTATTTGTCGCCTTCGATCATGTCTCACAGGTGTGCCAATCTTGCATCCCAATTTTGCGAGCAAGACTGAAAAGCAAAGACGCTTCTACAACCCAGGATGGTGATCTGGAATCATCTTTGAGTCTCGAGCAAGAATATTTCCAAACTATCAAGAAAGAACCAAGAAATTTATCAGGAAAGGTCATGAGCTATTTGGCCATTCTCAGAAAATCAAACCAAATTTCTCAATCCGGAAGCTTATCAGCAGAATTATTATCTGTGATTACTGGGTGTGCTCATTACCTCAAGTTATTGATTAGAATCGGACTTAATAATGCATTGAGAGCCAATAAGCTCTTGGGAACCACTTCTGCAACTGATTTATTCTTAAATTCAGTTGTCAAGTTCGAGAAGTTTAATAAACGTCTCGGAGATGAGACTGAAAGTGACATTACATTGATCAAAAAGCAAATTGCCATATCCTCCAAAGCAACCGATGCCTGTGTTGCATGCTCCAAGAGTATTGAGAAATCTTGCGCTAGATTTGATGACAGAAGATGGCATTTGAAATGCTTCAAATGTTCGGCTTGTTCTAGAGTGATACCACCTGAAGAGTTTGAAGTTACCAAGTTCGATGCTCAAGAATTATCTGTTTTTTGTAAGGATTGTGACCATCCTGACGGTATGGTTGGATTTGAGCATATAAGCGATTTGTCGCAATTGGTTTACTTACTCCATATTGCATTATCTAGATCACTGGCTGTCATGAAAGTTGATATTGGCTCTAAATTCCAACCGAAGATTGAACAAATCCCAGAAAACCAAGTTGTTCGACCAAAACGTCAAGCTTCTACAGCTTCTGCTCATTCGAGAATTGACGAAGCCAAAACATCAGTTACTGAAAATAACTATTCCAAGACAATAAGTGATGTCACTAGATTACGTACTAGACGACAAAGTCAAAAGCTTTCTAATTCCATCAAAAAGAATGCAAGGAAGTCAGTTATCTTAGAAGCACCAGTCGCAGATAAAGCGAAAGAAGATGAGGTTAACATGAATAGCTCCACGGTTGATGAAAGTATGATTGAAGAATTGTCTGAGGTAAGTGTGAGTACACCAGTAATCCGAAACGACAGAAAGGCTAGTGCAGCATCTCACTTATCCTATATTGCTCTGCACAATGAAAATGAACACTTCAATGTGAAGGCTGCCCTAAAGATCCGCGATGAACCCCAACGGCAATTGACAAATGGCCATCTTGATAGAACATCCGACTTATTAAAGAACGAAAAATCTTTGACATTGGATGATATTCCCAGAATTGTTGCAGCTGAGCAAGCAAGAGATCAAAGACCTAATGCATTCAAGCATCATAATTCATTGTATCAAAGACAAAAGCCCATGGATACAGTCAAGAATGTCAACAATATGCCTGGGAATAATAATGGAGGTATAACACCAACCAATGCATTGGAGTCGATCATAAACGCTCCATCAGCTCCGGTGTCTGCACCCAAGAGATCTACTTACTATTCAGAGTTAAGTAAAGATGAGCATTTCGTGATGAGACACATTGCTGTTGAAGCTTTATTACACATTACCGGAAACAAATATGTGAAGGAAGAAGTTCTTGCTTCAATTCAGACCAAGAAGCAACCAACATTTTGGGACAAATTCAAGTTCGGCGGCCAGGATAAACGTGATAAAAATATGGCTGTTTTCGGCGTTGACTTACAAGATTTGACCAAAAAGTACGGCGTTGATTCTGATTTGGGAGTTGGTCCTTCGAAATTGAGAATTCCTATTGTTGTTGATGATGTGATAAACGCATTGAGACAGAAAGATATGTCTGTCGAAGGTATCTTCAGATTAAACGGTAACATCAAAAAACTTAAAGATCTTACTGAACAGATCAACAAGAGCCCATTGAAATCTCCCGATTTCAGTAGCCAGTCGGTAGTTCAATTGGCAGCATTGATGAAAAAGTGGTTGAGAGAATTACCCAATCCGCTTTTGACTTTCAATCTCTACGATCTTTGGATTTCGTCTCAAGCAGAGAAGAACTTAGTGATACGTAAGAGAATTCTACAATTGGTCTACTGTATGCTTCCAAGAAGCCACAGGAATTTGGTTGAAGTCTTGCTTTACTTCTTCAGTTGGGTTGCTTCCTTCGCTGAGATCGATGAAGAAACTGGGTCCAAGATGGACATTCACAATTTGGCAACGGTGATTGCTCCCAACATATTATTTGCGAAACAAGCTGCTGGAGCTGAAAGTACCCCGCAATCCGGAGAAACTTACTTTTTGGCTATCGAAGTAGTGAACCAATTAATAGAGATCCACGAGGAGTTGAGTGTGATTCCAGAGGATCTTTTGCAGTTCTTCGAGAGGTGTGGTTTTAGTGGATCCAAGTCCGAGAACTTGACCACCAAGGAGATCATGCAAAGGTTAGAGAAGGAATCCAAGGAAGATGCCAATTTTTTCCGCAACTACGAGAAGCTTAGTGCACCGGACGTGGTGTCGAACCAAGTAGTCCACACCAACACCATTTCTAGGGGCCACTCCAAGGTATTGACCGAGTCCCATGGCGAAACGTCCAGAATTGACTGAGTCCGATGGATGTTCTCGTATTGATCATGACATGCTACAAGGTTGTTCCCTATTACAATAGGGATGTATATGTACAATTAACAACAATTAATAGAGTTCGTAGTTGGTAGTAGCACATTACTAGCGCTCCACCATTATGTAATTCTTCCAGCAAGTGATGCCACCACTCTACTGTCAGTCTCATGCGCCGATTCCTCCTCCCTACCAGGACTCATTAAGTGTAGTGGTTGGTGATTATGTAAGCCGCCCTGGCGCCTCTTGCGGTTGCGATGGCTTTATCTGATCCCAAGCCCACCTTGAACCACCACAAAAATGTCGTTAACAGCCGACTCTTTGAAGCAAATAATCCAAGACAGGCTTCAGGCCAGCTTAGTTCAGGTGGAGGACATGTCTGGAGGGTGTGGCCAGGCGTTTGCCGTGGTTATAGTGTCGGAGGTGTTCAAGGGCAAGAACAAGTTGATGAGACACAGATTGGTCAACACTGCCTTGAAGGAAGAGATAGCAGGCATTCATGCATTCACACAGAAGGGATTCACCAGCGAGGAGTGGTTGGCCCAGAACAAGTAATCGGAGTGCTAGAGAAGGGCATGAGGGTCGCTTACATATCGGTCGAAGGTGAGAGGGTGGGTCAATTCCTGGAAAAGACTCCTTGAACCGAACTTCACTCTTCGCTTGTCAAGGCCTTCGGGCGGCGTCCAGCTATGCTCACAACTCTTGAAGCTGTTGTGGCTGGTCAGACCTATTTATTTCCAGTCATCTCAAGCTGTCCAGTCTCTACAAATGTATTATAGAAACCAATGTATAGATTACAATAACAAGCATCTATAAGTATTAGACGAAGCATTGGAGTTAAATGCATTTGTAAGGCAAGTATTGATTGTATGCTACCAGTAGCAAGTGTTGATTTTATTCAACAATTTAGCAATCTAAATTGACACAAGCACTGTACCATCCCATACCAGCTTTTCACTGCAGCTGTAGATGTGACTACATGTCCATATGATTTGTAGGAAAACAAAAACATCTATTGAACCTTTAAATAAATTCTACCATAAGTATCACTGGCCATCAAAAAAGAATTTTAGCAGTGCTCTGTATCCGTTGAGCACTTTCAATCATATAAATCATTAATAGCATCAGAAGCGTAAATCAGGGGCCCCAAACCTAAGTAAAAGCATGGAAGTAGAACCACCATATCGAAACGAATGAGGCAGTAGTATCACTAGGGTCAATCCCGTCAATGAGGAACCCATCCATGCCAAAAAGTGATACAGCCCATCAAGGAACAGTAGTACCTCTATTTTCAACCAAAAATTTGGAAAGCACTGACAGCCCTTCATCTAATTCATGCCGCTCAAAGCTTGCGACCATAACTTTTAGCGTGGGTTGCCATGACCAATACCCACATGGCCAACAATACACCGAACATAGCGGTGACAATCAATGGATAAGCAGTGAGGCCAGCATCACTCGAATCGGCAACCAACCCCACAAAAAAGGGAAGAATAGCAGCTCCACCTCCTCCAAATGCACAGATGAATCCGACACCAGCGGTTTCGAATCTGACTGGAAGGACGTTGATGGCAGTCACAATGGTGGTGGGGAAAATGGGACCAATGGCCATACCAGTTACGAACACAATCACAAACAACAATGGAATGATGTTGGTGAAGGCAAATATCCAGAATACAAACGTGCCCAAGAAAGACCCTGCAATGTAGGTCAAGTTTGCCGTCAATTCTGTCTTGAAATAGCTGGAGGTTGCAAAACCAAGCACGATTCTGCCCACAGTCAACCCACTCCAGAAGCTGGTGGCGATGTACGACGAGAGTCTGTATTCCAAGTGTTGAATTCTGGTCAAGAACGTGATCATCCATGCCCCAAAAGCGACCTCGTTACCCACGTAGATACACAAGATCAACGCAAAGAAAAGCACCTTTTTGTTGGTGAGTGTCTCCTTGATGCTAACTTCCTGGGTGTCATCTTCCGAGCTATCGAGCTGGCCATCCTGTGACTGCATTTCGAAATTGTTGCTGGACTTGTACTTCTGGTGTTTTCTGTCGAGCATGAACTTATACTTGGTAGGGGTTTCGTGCCGGAAGCACACACTCATGATCACGATGAGCATGGCTCCCAAGACAGTGAGTACGTGGTAGTACTCGTTCCAGGCCCAAGGGTTCTCTTTTTCAAGCAAGTATGTTATAACAGGAGGAGCGATCATGCTCCCAACTCCGTAACACCCGTGCAAAATCCCCAACAATTCGTTGGAATCAGCCAAGGCACCCATCCAGGTGTTCAAACACGCATCCAAGCACCCGCACCCGATACCTGCCATCACAAAGCATATCAATAATATGGGAAACGGGGGTCTGGTGGATGTGATCAAGTACGACAATGTCATGGACCCGCTTCCTAAGGTGACCACGCCTCGTATTCCGAGCTTCTGGTGGCTGACGTCACTCAACAACCCCATGGTGAAGTAGCCAAACACACTGGAAAGGAAAATCAAGCTGACCTGCTTATCGTTGATGTGGTAATGGGCCTGGAATTTGGGGATCATGGTTCCGATGGCCTGCTCTGCTAGTCCGAAGAGGATGAACACCAAGAACGACGCCACGATCTGGCACTTCAAGAGCCTGCTTTCTCTCCAGTCCTTGCTGCCCACGTATATGCCATCGATCCAGCCCATGGGGAGGTCGTCCAGCTCATCATTGTCGCTGGTAATCTGGGGGTCGATTTCCGATTGGAACCCATTCTTAAAGGGAGAAGCCGAACCTTCGCGGTCCTGGGTATCAAGCCTGCTATACTCTGCCATGATACGGTTCTATGGAAGTGTTCTTGCCTGGATCTCTTCCGCTAATAAGATGACTTCCGTGTCTACCTCAACCCTGTCCCATCGCTAAAAACCCCCCAGGCATCGGGATTTTCGATGCCAATTGCGCGCTTGCGGGGGTGGCCGGAAGGAAAGCTAGTTAAGGAAGTGAAGACGGATATCAGTGCTGGAGCCGTTGGAGTAGCCGACCCACTTGCCAAGAGAAACGTCATGGGGTGATCGTTGCATGGAACTTTGATTGTGTGGAGCGGAAATGACCACGCAATACTCTACTAGATTTACTGCAATGGAGAATTCAGAAGTTGCGACTGCTCATGATGTCAAGTTACGACTGTTCATCCAAGGGTTACCATAGCTAAGATTACTCATTCTAGTTGTCAGTCCAGCTCGACTGAAAAATAACTAATTTTAGTAGGCTTACTTTTCCGGAGGTGCTTCTGGTCGCCAGCTGTACTTGGTGCATACCAGCTATTCACCTATTCTCTACTGGACTTAGTGTAGTGACTGCCAGGCAGATGCAATTGCTGTTGCAATTGATAGTCCTGGTGGCCCAAACTAGTATCGGTCCCGCGCTGACGTCAAGTGGAGATATGTCCGGTGAAAAGTGTACTGTTGAGTATGAGTGGTCGAGATGACTAGGCAAGTCACTGCTTCTCCCCGTTCGAATGTCCACCCTGAGGAGAACTTGCGGCTTTAGTGGGCCTCCCAATAATTATTTTTAAGTTGAGTCAGAGATTCTCTGTTTACTTGAAAAAGCGTAGCAGTCCAGGACAAATTGGACCCTCTTCAGGAGATGTTTTTAAGAAAGTGGTATTTCTATTCAATCAGAACAAAGAATTAACGTTCAACGCCTCAATTTCTCTTCACAGATGTAGAGTATCAACTAATGTTTGACTGAAAATTAGTTCTGGAAAGCAAGGATACTGTGTATATTAACGTGAAGCTCGAAAGACTATGTGAGCAGTTGCAAGAGACTAAAAATGAACGATTTTTAATCAGGAACAGTTCTTGAAACCCAAGTCTTTATGCCGAATATATCTCAGAAACATCCTTAATAGAGGCACAAACTATCCTGAAATGCTACACCTCTTCCGCCGTTTTTTTACCAGATTACTGTCCAATTGCGCTTCAATCCAGTCTTCGAATTGGAAGGACATTTCTGAATTGGTTTTGTAGGCATATCAAGCCAGACAAAGATGGAGGAACCAAACCACTTAACAATCTACATGCAACAGCCGATCTGTAAGGAGAATTAACTATCTAGCATAAAAAGTAGCTACCGTAATTACCGAGCCTCACAAGATCTCTCGGTGCCTCCTTTGCCTCATCTCTTGACATATTCTAGTCAGATCTTGCGACCGTGATTTCGCACCTCCACCATCTGCTATGCGCGCGACTTTTAACATTCACATACGCGTCACCATCCATCACTATCCATGGCAGCCTTGAACGATGTCTCAGGAGTTTATATCTGATTCTGAAGACGAGAATGGGATGCTCCTCAACACCTCGATGATATCGCCATCTCGTATGGCAGTAGCATTGGATCATCTAGCACCCGAACAACGAATACGTGCAGACGATCACTTACACCAGATGGGTCTAGCAGTACGACAGCCCCAGCAAGACGTCACCAACGAGTTCCAAGAATTGCTCAACATTGCCGTTTTGCCGTCCTCTGACGACGAGCAGCCTTCCGGTGTCACGAATCCCCCCACCAACCAGGATGACCATGAAAACGAAAACGAACACGAGAATATCAACAACTTACGGATATACCTCGACTCTAGAAACTATGAGCATACGTCCAGAAGGGGTCTCCGAAAGAGGAACTTTGCCAGTACGCATCCTTACTTGGCCGACCAGGCCCACTATTTGGGGCTTTCCAGCATCAACTACTTGAACGAGCTTTACAACGAGAAGCAGGACTTCGAACACATCGTCAAGTATCTCAATTATTCATATCGAAAGCAGAAGGAAGCAAATCCTAAGGATGAAAAGTATAAGGCCAAGAATTTCTACACCATTTTGGGTCGGCAAACAGCAGTCGCAAGAGCCAAAGAGAAAGAAGAGGTGGAAGCTGAGCAGACTCCTCAAGAATCACAAGGAGAAACATTAAGCCAACCAAGCCAGTTCCAAAATGACCTCAGTGAAAATAGTAGTTACGAGCTGGATGACTCCACCTCGAACTTGACCTCTTTTGGCAGGCACCAAACTCCTCGAATTTCGGATGAAGAATGGTCAGGCTCCGAGAGCGAGATTATAGACACCAGGCGGACCCCCCTCGAGAAATTCAGCAGGAAACAAAAACTACTACAATACAAGGAGCAGCGAAAGGGGTTAGCAGTCAAGAAGAATACCGGAATCCCAAAGCATCATAATAGAGAGGTATTTGATTTTGTTGATGATAATGTGGAGCAAGATGCAGACAATCTCTTTTATCGTCGCGTGGATACCTCTCATGACCACATGTCCGACTTCGATGCCCCATTACGGAGTGTTGATACATTTGGTATATTATCAGAATCCTCTGGTTCTGAGGCAGAGCAAATCCATGAGTACGATTCCGATGATAACTCGCTCTTTAAACAAGGTTCTGACACTCCTAGAATTTTGGAGCAAATTGAGGTTCTCCTGGATGGTTCAGTTGAAGAGGTTGATAGAATAAACCCCATGTTTGCGTCTAACTTCAGCTCTGGGAGAAAGAGTGGCTCAAAGCGATCCAAACCCAAAGCCACTCCAAGAAAATCGCAATCTAAATTATCTCTGGGACTTTCGACACCAAGATCTTACTCTGATAAAGAAAATCGTCCTCTTCAAACCCCAAAATCCATTTCAAGAACCAACACAAATTCACCTAGTTCGATGGGCGGCGGCCAATTGCAAGCAAGGTTGAATTTGCCGTCAATCAACGGCTTGGCACATCAACCACAGACACCTACAGTAACTTCTCGGAAACCAAAATCAAAATCGAGAATGAGCAAATCCAAAGGCATGATGATGCCCATAGGAACTTTACACAAGAAAAAAATGTCCAAAGCTAATAACAAAAAATATCGTAAAAATGGGCATAGGCGTAACCGTTTGTATCCATATACGCGGCCGTCTACCACTAATGCACCCAACAAAGCTCAACAAGAAAATAATAAGAGTGAGCCCGCAGATTCATTAGCTCCAATTCCATCACATACTAAGAATGATAAGGATTTATTGAAGCTGGATTATTATTTTCTGAGGTCTCCTGTCCAATTCACAACTGTATTTGAAGCTGAGAGTGAGCGCAATTACGTCCAAGAAAGAGGATTTAAAAGACACCAACTTGAATCAAATCATAAGATGCAAGAATCTTTTCCTAATGGTTTCATCCTTAATGAAATTGATATAAAAAAAATTCATCTGATCATGGATGGGAAAACATACTTATTGAAAAAGGATCTAGTTCAATTAAATTATTCAGGAGAATCATTTACTTTCACTATGATTGACAAAGAACAGTCGTGGAAATCATGCGAACGATTGATTGTTTTACTCGTGAAGGTTTTGAAAGACCTGAGCATTTTGGCAGAACAGATTAGGGTAGATGAAATTTACAGTGCTATCAAAGGGCTAATAGAATGGAGTTTGATAGTCCAAGAACCTCCGCACTCAGAAAAGATTTGCAAACTAATCAATTATTGCTTGAATTTATTAACTCCGATTAAGGATTTAGAATCAGGTAGAAACAGTGTATTGGTATATTCCTGGCTCATCTTATTGTCATTTTCCTTAAAAACGATGCAAAGGAAGCAAGTTGGCCTTGGGCAGTCTTCAACAAATAAGGAGCTTAATATCAAAGAGACCTCTGAGCAGTATTGGATATTGTTTTTCCGTTTCTTGAAGTTTCCGTTCAGCGAAGGAACCCATTCAAAATTTGAAGAATCATTCCAAATTATGCGGACTATTTTCAACCTTGAAGGTCATTTTTGGGATTCATTGACTAATGTTATGGATCCTATTTCAGCAGAAGTCGAAATGGATTCAATTTTTGATAAAATATTAAGCTTGCTGTTTTCAGGATCTTGTCCTGTGCCTGGTTGGTCACCACTTATCAAACTATACTCACTCACCGACATTAATGACAGTTCCGATAGTCATATCCGATTTATTGATTCTATTGTTGAACTTAACCAAGCGCTACAATGGCCATTAGATGAGTCGATCCTCTTGAAGATATATTCAAGTATTACGTCGCGAAGGTTCTCTAACTTAAGGAATGAATGGGTAGTTCCTGAAGTCTTAGGGAGAATCAGAACTAGAAATGACATTCCATATGATAGTTTTTTCGAAAGGTTCATGTATTTGGTATACATTTACGTGTCGGGACTTTCATCGAATGTTAGCAAGAAAAAGCTTATCACTAAGCTAATCACATCTAGCCATTACCAATATCAAGAAGGAAGAGCACATTATACTATGTTTATAAACCGGTTGAACCTAATATTGCTCCTAATTCAGATATCTGAAACTGATCTTAAGAATCAACTTTTGGACTTGATCCAAAGTGCGCAAGATTGCAAAGATACCGAAATATATGAAGCAATGGTGCTGGGCCTACTGCTTCATACAGAAATCAACATAGGCAAGAAATCTAAAATTGCGATTAATTGTTTTGACTGTTCCATCAATGGAATAGTAAATAATTACTTGTCTATAAGAAGTGTTCAGGGATTGTGGTCCTCGCTTATGGAGATTTTTGAAATGGTCACTGATCAAAATACGCAATATGTCATCCAGTTTCTTGAAATCTACAATAAGATTAATGAGAATATGACGGATAAATTATCCCAACCAATTCATAAGGTATTGATGAAAGGCTTGAAGAAATTAGTAGGAGTCGAGTCTAATTTTGGCCTGCAAGAGCTCAGTACATTAGCTCGAGCTAATGATAAAATTTATTCTCTCCTCCACAAATTAATGTCAAGATTTCCTTTACCTAATATCAACGAGGAGATAAAATTAGATCAATTAGTTGAGTTATATTTCCAGATTTGGCTAAATTCAGCAAGCTTACTTCCTAATACAAACTGGTCAAGGATTGCCCTACAATTTTTTCCTTATCTTGGTAACTCCAAGCTGAGAGAGAAGTTCAAACTCTATTTTTATTCGATTTTGATCAAGTTCACCTCGTATAAGCCTTTTGTGGATGATATTATTATTGGTTTATTACGAAGTCTTGGATCATATTCTCCTTCCAAGTATCATTCAGTCCTAATGAACCAACTAAACGAAGAGAAAGATGAGATTGTGCAATATCAAAAGAAATATATTCCTGAAGATGTAACCTCGTTTCACTTGCTGAACTTCAGAACAAGGTTGGTTCTTAACTTATTAACTAACTTGTCAAAAGCAAAGATACCAGAGGTAACAAAAAGAATATTTATTGAAGAATTCCTCAAAACTCTAAATGACGAGTTTGATAAATACTTTTCATCATCTTGGTTCAAGGAATACTGTGTGAGATGTGTCAAGGCAATTCAGAAATATTGTGGAGATATTCTTCCAAAAAATCCTTTAATGAGGGCTTTTGCATCAAAATTGAGCATTCCTCAAAGCGAACTTGACAAGTACGAATGGCTATCTCTTCCATTGAAGGAGCGTTTAATATCTTTGAATAAGGAAGTTACAAATCATATTCATTATGGGAAGGACAACCTAGCCATTCTAAAGGTCTACACTTTTGATGAAGGAGTCGATTTACTTTATCATCTTCTAAGTATCTATGCCAGATCTTTAGAAGTAAATCAAATAAAGTGGAGGTACATTTATTGTTTATTAGACTTTTTCGAGATCCACTTAAAGACTTACAAATTTAGTATCCTTAATGCATCCTTCAAGAAGTTCTTGGAAATGTTGACAGATGTCTCAAATATAAGGCCAGGTGCTATAAACGAGATCGGAAGGCTTTACCGAGTTAAAAGTTTGGAATCAATCGTGAAAATTCTCAAATTTGCTCATAAATTGTTTGATGGTTACAAGGACCAAGAACATATTATAGATCTTGTAAATGCTTTTATGAATGGAGATGATAGTGGACAAATCAGATATTTTTCTCCGTTTAGATTGTTTGATATCCAGGATTTAAGGGAAGATAATGTGGGTGAGGGTTTGATTCAAGTCGAAGAAGAGATAGTTATTGAAGAGGAAGAGGTATTGAGAATAATGAGGGACGGGTTGAAATTGCATGAAGTACCTCCTAAAGAAGAATCCTTAGATTTTTCCCTATGTTTTTAAAGAAATGACTTTGAGGTCAATTGACAGATAATTAATTTGCATTATGCATTTGCATAGATATAACGAACATAATGACAGCATACTAATATACAATTACAATATACAAGACAATAGACTTGCCTTAACAGGCCAGAAACTTCTAATGTCACTGTTCTACGACTGTAAAACAGTTTGGGGTTTCACGAACCTAGGCTTATTGAAGCCCTCTTTGACTCTTGATAAGGCGAATTTCGGCTTCAAGCTTATCCTTACCTTTTTTAACATCCAATAATGCTACCACAGACCTAATTAATTCATCATACTTAGTCATAGTCTTTCTAGTGGGCATGATAGGTTTCCAACTAGTACCCCCAGCTGTAGGTATGTCCAATTCATGTAATACAGAATTCACAGATTTGAGTACTGATTGTTTTTGTTGTAAACCTGGCAATTTCTGACTTGATCTAAGAATAACACCAGGGGTAAGCTTTTCAGTACCATGGAAAAAGAGTCCATATGCTTCTTCCTCCTTTTGGGTCAATCTCTTTGCTAATAACTGTTGAATCGTATTAGCTTCTTGTTTTACACTTGGATTAACGATTTGATTTTGTTTGAGCAAACCTGACAAATATTGTTGTAAATGGGTTTGGAAGGATCTGTCCTTCTTAAATGACGATGAAGCAGCGATAGGAATTGGAGGAGGAACTGGATCTTGATTCAGAGAACCAATAGATCTATGTTGTTGCTGTTGCAATTGCCTCTTCTTCTGATGCTTGTCAATAATCATTAAGTTGTTGTACAAATTGGTCAAACCTTGCGACGACTGGTATTGTTGGATTGGCTGAGTGGTTTGAGGAGAATCAAGCAAAGTCAAAAGATGTGATCTTTCTAAGAGCATTTTCTTTGCAGCGAGCTCGAATCTTCTGGCCTCTATGACTAGTGATTCTTCTTCAGCGATTTCGGCAGGTGTCCTCTTTAATAAATTTTCCAAATAATTTTTCCTTTCGATTTCTCTGGATTTTGAAAACACCTTTAAGGATTCGATTAAAGCTGGGTTGGAGTTCTCCTGAGATTCAAAAATTTTAGCGCAGATTCGGTAAAACTGTTCTTTCAAATCTTCCAATGTTCTAGAGGTAGTATGCCAATTATATCTATCGTAAACGATTGGCCACTTGAGCTCAAATGCAGAGCATAACTCAAACAAATACTTTGTTTCATCATAGCTCCATTTCTGCCCGAGTTCACTTTTTTGCTCATCCTCGGATTCTTTTTCTTGGTCTTCCTTCTTCTCATCTTGATGTTCTTTGGTTTCACTCTTTTCATTGCTCGAGTCTTCTTCATCCGACTTCTTGTCGTCTCCCTGGGATTCTTTTGGAACTTCTGCCGGTTCTTTTTTGACTTGATGCAGCTTATTATCTGAACTCTTTTCTGTCTCCTTCAACTTGGCGGACTCCTCTCTTTCTCGCTTTCTAGCTTGTTCTTTTTCTTCTCTTCTTTGGGCCAATATAGCTTGGACTTCTTTCTCATGTTCTTCTATTTCCTTCATGAACAGATCAAATGTCTCTTCATCTACCAACTCCGGGATATCCAACTTAACGTTGAACTTCTCAAAGAAGTAGGGTTTCTTGGTTTCCTCTTCGGATTCCAATAACTCTCTAGATCCCTTAACCCAGTGGTTGAAGTTTACCTTCAGGTCCTTACGGGGTTTAAACTCAATTCTTGTCCATGGGCTTGGCTTAGACTTGAACCTGTCCTTTGTGTTTGTATTATATGCTGAAGATGAAAGATTCACTGGAGGAGTATTGGGACCGATCAAGTTGTAAAGCTCTCTGGCCATCCCCAGTCTTGGGTTTGAATCTGCGGTTGGCTTTAGCTTCTTCTTTGGTGGCTGCTTCAGCTCATCTCTCTGGATGTTTAACACATCCAAAATATCATTGGCAGACATGGCTGTAAATAATTAGATGGTGGTGTTTAGTTTATTTCATTACATCAGATTATATGTGGTTTGGACACGACCTTGCGATCTATAGTGATAGATATCATAAACTACAGCTTTAAGAGTAGGCCTGCAAGCTACTTAACACCTGAGGAAAAAATGTGCGCGGGACCTGCTTGTTTAAAAGGTTAAGCATCCTCACTTATAATGTTTTAATTAAAATTTAGTTCAATTTAAAATTGTACGATTCGTGTAGTGATTGTATGGGTATTATTAATATATCACTCAATGTTTGGCACCATGTCAGGCATGTAGTCCTCTAAGCCACATAGTGGTATATGTTTCTGTTTTCCTCGTCCCTCTTCAAATATTCCTTCTCGATGAGGTCTTCAATCCTCTGCTTGATAAGCGGAATCAGTGGTTGAAACCTGCTTGCGAGTTGTTTGACAAGCTCCTCGAATAATTCATTATGTTTCAACAGGTGCCTGGACTTCATGATACGAACAATGGCAGCATTGACTTCGTGTTTGCGGCCCTCTTGAATATTATTCTTAACCTCTTCTGCTTCCTCCTCCTGTTCAGTCTTCTGTACCTTTTCTTTAGGTGCTGATGACGACGCTGAAACAGTCAACACCTTCACTTTCACAGAGGGTGATTTGAACTTCTCATTCAACTTGAACACGTCGCTGGAGTTCACCTCTTTTGACATGGGAATCTTAATCAATAATCTCAGTCTGGGAGCCACTGCGATAGATTGTAAGTGTCTTTTGAGATCAGACTCTGGGATTCCTGTTAGCTCCTGGATCTCAACATAGGTAAGCTCCCTTTTCTCATCAAAGGCCAGCACCTCCGGGTCACTAGACTGTGGCGCAAACAAGAGCATAATCAACCCAGCATATGTTGGCATATTGAACTCATAAGTTCTGCTAGGATACGTAATCCTGAAATCCATAGAACCAAACTTGGGACTCCAGAATAATGACTTGTTGTGGTTCTTCTTTCCAGCAAACCAAAATTCTTCAAACTCTTTAATAGTCGGACGAAGTTGACGTGACCATATCAATGATTGTTCATTTCCTGTTGGGTTCGAAAATGACTTGTAATCTTTAGTCATCGACTTAGGCCAGTCAGTAACATTACAAATCTTCAAATCAAGTTCAACTAAATCTGTCTTCTGATTTTTTATGATGTATCTCTTCCAATCATTTGTCATATCTCTGGACAGCTTAATATCCTTATTCATTCTTAGCACTTTGCTTAAAGACGAAGATCCCATTTCCTCGACTAGCTTTGAAAGAACTAATTCTTCCAAATCAACCCCTAGCTTGTTATTCGAAGTGACGGCCTGTGAATTGCCCTTGGCGTTTAAGAATCTTTTGGCAAAATGATTGGCGTAGTTTGCCTCAAAAGAATCTTTATCCTTAATTGACCTTAAGAATGCTATTGATTTGGCGATAAGTTCGTCAGAATCGTCCGGAGAATTAGAATTTGAGCTATCCTTAGAAGATACCGCTTTGCTAAATTGCTTTATGTGATAATCCATGTAAATAGATAACATTTCGGAAGCGTCAACGTGGTTACTTGATGACTTCTTGGACACGCCTGTTCCAGAATCGTTAATGAAATCTCTAATGGCATAATTTATTGTTGCTTCGACCATCGGATTCAGATCGAACGAAGTGTTCAATATGCTCATGATTTGACTATGATATTCTAACACCGTATCGATCCACTTCGTTGCAAATGATGCTGGGCTGCTGGATTTTTTTGTAGAAGCACTGGCAGCTTCAAGGCTATTTCTCACGAACCCAGGAATTCTTTTTCCTTGTTGGACTATTATCTCCTTCAATCTCATTCTCAATAATGCATACTCATCATCTATCCTTCCAATAAGCTCATACAACAATTTTAACTCATTAATCTTATGCTGCTCATTTTCTTCTTGGAAGATATTATCAATGACTGGCAGTAACCAGAACGAAAGGCCTTGGTACTCAAAAGGTAAGGAGATAATTTGATCAATTTTGTCTTTGATGATGATGTTATTCATCAAGTCTATGAGTTTAGGATAGGTTGATGAGGGAAGATAAAAATTAACTCTGTTTTCTTCATCTTTAATGAATTGGCTTGCCTCATGAAGAAACTTAGTACCATTTGTATAATTAACAAAGTCTTGAGAAAGTTTGTAAAAGAAGGTTTCTGAACTGGCAAGGAATTCGGGTTCAAAGACACTTTGGTAATATGATTCACCGTAATGTAGATCGGAATTACTTGTTTCGATCAACAACTGGAGCATATTGATGAGTTTGGAGATGTACATGTTTGAAGTGATGACTTCACCATTTCTATTCCTGGTGATCTCCGTGATGATTATGTCTATAATTTTTTTGCCGACCTCGTCGTTTCCATGCTTTATGATATGATCCTTGAAGAGTTGAATCCCGAGATCATAGATGAGCAACTTTTTGTTTTCCTTAACGTAAACCCTGTTCAAATACATTAGGACATCGCTGATAAATTTCATGGCCTGCAAATGTTCATTCCACTCCAAAAGGATTGACTTCATAAACTCCTCGATTCCATCTTTTATTGACAACAAGTATTCTCGTCTTTGGAGAAGATGCTGGGTGATAAGTGCCGCCACGTTGTCATACAACTTTGCACCAAACTTCCTTAGCACCAACACGTATGCTTTACGGTAGAGCTGTTCATAGGATAAGTTTGACACGTTTTTTTGCTGGATCTGGGTGATGGCGTTTGCTAAGATGGGCCACGATTTTTCGAAATCGGCCAATGGCTCAGAGGAATTCTCCAAAGAGGAGCTAACCAATGACTTCCGGGGTGGTCTGATCTTGGATCTGCGGCTTCCTGGCGGTAACATGATGGATATTGGTGGGGAGATGGCGGTGTTGATCACTACGGCCTTGGTTACTTTGACTCAATATTGAGAGTTCGTCACATGATTTCCGCGTGCTTCTACACACGTGTTCCCGTACCAGGTGACCGTCCACCTGACCGGAGGTGTCCCCGCACCGTGACTGACTCATGGTAGTGTGACAAATTGTTCAGGGCCGATTGGCCCAGGTGCACCGGGATGGTAGCCGGGAAAGCGCCGGTTCCGGCGCGATACCGGCGTGCCCGCAAAATTCCACCCTGGTATATAAAAAGCAAGTATTTCGGGTTATACAAGTCAACACCTACAACAACCACTATGGCTTCCAAACCAAGAACTTTATACGACAAGGTCTTCGATGACCATATAGTCCACAAAGACGAATCGGGGTCGTACTTATTATTCATCGACCGTCATTTAGTCCACGAAGTCACTTCTCCACAGGCTTTCGAAGGGTTGACCAACGCTGGTAGAACCGTGAGAAGAACCGACTGTACGTTGGCCACTGTTGACCACAACATCCCCACCACCTCCAGAGAAAACTTCACCGATGTCAGCACATTTATAGAACAAGACGACTCCAGATTACAGGTGGAAACCTTGGAGCAGAACGTGAAAAAGTTCGACGTCACCTACTTCGGCATGGACGACGACAGACAGGGAATTGTCCACATTGTGGGGCCTGAGCAGGGCTTCACTTTGCCAGGAACTACCGTTGTGTGTGGAGACTCACACACCTCCACCCATGGTGCTTTCGGATCGTTGGCATTTGGTATTGGAACCTCGGAAGTCGAGCACGTCTTGGCCACCCAGACCATCATCCAAGCCAAGTCCAAGAACATGAGAATCACCGTGGACGGCGACTTGTCCGAGGGCATCACCTCCAAGGACTTGGTTTTGCATGTTATTGGTGTCATTGGTACTGCCGGTGGTACTGGTTCCGTGATTGAGTTTGCGGGCAAGGCCATCGAGAGCTTGTCCATGGAGGCCAGAATGTCCATCTGTAACATGGCCATCGAGGCTGGTGCTCGTGCTGGTATGATCAAGCCAGACCAAACCACCTTTGACTACATCAAGGGTAGACCATTGGCTCCTAAGGGTGCCGAGTGGGAAAAGGCCCTCTCCTACTGGAAGACATTGCACAGTGACGAGGGTGCCCACTTTGACTATGACATCAAGATCGCTGCCTCCGACATTGTGCCCACCATCACCTGGGGAAACTCGCCCCAGGACGCTTTGCCCATCACTGCCAGCGTTCCAGACCCTGCCAACGTGTCTGACCCCATCAAGAAGGCTGGTATGGAAAGAGCCTTGCAGTACCAGGGCTTGACTCCAAACACCCCCTTGAAAGACATCAAGATCGACAAGGCTTTTATCGGTTCATGTACCAACGCACGTATCGAAGATTTGAGAGCTGCTGCTAAGGTCGCCAAGGGCCACAAGAAGGCTGACAATGTCAAGTTGGTCTTGGTGGTGCCAGGATCGGGTTTGATCAAGGCCCAGGCCGAAAAAGAGGGTTTGCACAAGATCTTCGAGGCTGCTGGCTTCTCGTGGAGAGAAGCTGGATGCTCCATGTGCTTGGGTATGAACCCAGACATCTTGGATCCTGAAGAAAGATGTGCTTCCACCTCCAACAGAAACTTCGAAGGCCGTCAAGGTGCTAAGTCCAGAACTCACTTGATGTCTCCCGCCATGGCAGCCGCTGCTGCCATCAAGGGCCACTTCACCGATATCCGTGAGTTCGACTTCAACACCAGCGACGAACCATCGGTGGCAATTGAGGCTGAAGAGGACAAGGCCTTGCAAGATGCTGTGTACGAGCACGAAAAGCAGCCTGTTGCCGATACCCCAGGCGCCATTGACGAGCAAATCAACGACATTCCCCAGGAACCCGAAACTAAGAAGGCCAAGGTCTCCGCCCCAGCTACTGCTGCTGGAATGGACAAGTTCACCGTCTTGACGGGTACCACTGCTCCATTGGACAAGGCCAACGTCGACACTGATGCCATCATTCCAAAACAATTCTTAAAGACCATCAAGCGTACCGGCTTGAAGAACGGTTTGTTCTACGAAGCCAGATTCACCAAGGATCCAGCCACCGGAAAGGACGTCGAAACCGACTTCGTCTTGAATGTGGGTCAAAACCGTGAAGCTGAAATCTTATTAGTCACTGGTGACAATTTCGGTTGTGGTTCCTCTAGAGAGCACGCTCCTTGGGCCTTGAAGGATTTCGGTATCAAGTGTATGATTGCACCTTCCTTCGGTGATATTTTCTACAACAACTCCTGCAAGAATGGTTTGTTACCAATCAGAATCCCCCAAGAAGTTATTCTTGAAAAGTTATACCCTGTTGCCCAGGCCGGAATCAAGTTGACCGTGGATTTGCCCAAGCAACAAATCAGACATGGTGAAACCGATGAGGTATTGGTTGAGCAATTCGACATCGAACAATTCAGAAAGCATTGTTTAATCAATGGTCTTGATGACATTGGATTGACTTTGCAAAAGGAAGAACACATTGCCAAGTATGAAGCTGAAAGAAGAATCAAGTTTTCGTTCTTAGAAGGTGGTTCTAAGTTGGTGAAGCCAATTAAGGGTACCAAAAAATCCAAGTTTGGTGTTAAGGCACAAGAATGGTAGATATAGTTACGTCTAATAATAATAATTGATGATAAGAAATATATTGTAGAATAGAAGTGCTAAACCCGTCCTAATTTCAACCAGTCTGTAGGCGGGCTGAGAATAATACGCTAAACACTTATAACATACATTGAGATTCTGAGTTGTAGGAATCATATTTGAGATCAAGAAGTATTTTTCATTACAGGGCCTCTGATTTTATAGAGTGTCGGTCTCCCGTTTCTGAGACCTGAAATTCTGTCACATTCAATCAAGTAAGAGAAGGGAAAGAATAAAAAGGAAGGAATAAATTTCTACAATTCGCTGATTATGAATAAATTAAGGAAACGAATTCTAAATGAACCATTTTATCAAAAGATAATTAATACACATAGTGTCACTGACCACGGCAGTGGCTAGAGAATGAAAAAACAAGTTAGCCTAAAATCAATCCACAGTTCGATTCAACCAACAACAATCTATATTAAAGGAGTAAATCTAATCGGCCTTTTCAGACATCACCTGTTTCACAGGCTCAGAGTCGTAGTAAAGCTTGTTCTGTTGGATGTACCTTATCACTGAGTTGGGCAACAAGTACTGTACTGACATTCCTCTTCTGATGAACAACCGAATCTTCGTGGAGGAAATATCATTGTATATCAATTGTTTGATCACCAACACATTTCTTCTATGCTCGTACATTATGTCATGACTCAAAAGGAAACTTCTAACGTCAGATCCCGTTCTTTCCACGATTAGACAGCCGTACTTGCCCAAGATGTGGTGTAAATCTTGGTCGGCCCAGACATCTGGTTCGCCCATCGACTCGATTAAGTCACCACCGGCAAGCAACATGATTTTGACGCCTCTCTTCTCACCTGACTTGGTCATAATCCCTCCTCTCTTAATATTTATTTCTTCATTAAAGTGGTCCAATACCAAAGCAGTTCTGGTGTATTTTGGTTGCAATGATTCCCAAGCGTCAACCATCAACCATGACGACGTACGTTCACATGCCAATTCGCACATCCTCACCCGGTGGTGAGCTGGAGCCAATCCTTGTTTTTCGTAATTGGAGGAAACAGGCGAGTAAAAGCCCCCAATCACTTCAAAACGAGTCTGCTCAGTAATTGCATCCAACGCCATCTCGAACATTCTCAAATGTAAGTAGGTGATTGGGGAGAATGAGCCACAAGCCACAATTACCAATGGGTACTTGGAGTCGTCCAGCAAAGTAGTGGCCAATCTGTGAGTCGGGAATTGGTACTTGTCTAAGGTCTTGGCCTGTCTTTGAACCCCATGAGGCACCTCTTCGAGGTCAGCGATTTGGGACGACTTAACTTCCACTGTTGGGGGTAATATTGGTTTGTCCACAGGTTTGGGCTTGTTGCGGCCCCCCAAGATGTCTTCGTCGGAGGAAGTGTCCACGAGGTCCGAGTGGATCCGGGGGATTTTCGAGTGGTACTCTCCCTTGTTTAGGCTCTCATCAACCGAATCGTCTTTCTTTGTGGTCGAAGGGTGGGGAGGAGGGGCATCCATGGCATTTCCCAAGTCGGCCAATACAAAGGGCTGTATTGGCATATTGTTGGGAATCTGCGAGGAGGGAGCCGTGGGCTCAATGTCTCTGTTTAAAGATGGAGGTAAAAAGTTGGGATCGTTGGTGGGATCCATGACGCAGATTAATTGGGAAAGGAAGCCACACAAGAATGGGAAAAAGTGATCTACTTGAGCACAATTTTAGAAGGAAATGGTGGTAGCTAGTTTGGAGCCTATCGGCGTACTAACAACTTCGTAGTGAACGGTAAGGGATCAATAATGACTCAGTTATAAACCGTTGATCGAGTTAAAAAAAAAATAATAGAACTTGGTCACGAGACCACACCAAAACCCATAAGTGGAGACTCGGGCAAACTCCGGTGATGCTAAACTCCTTCGCTTTAGGTGGTGAGGGGCAAGATTGGTATCAAATCGGTGCTTCGAAACTGCTTTGTCTAAAGTCCAGGACCGTAAACGTCGTAGGGCTTTATTGTGGTTAGAGTACGGGATTCGAGGAGTTCTCCCGGAATGAAATCAAAATCATCAAAAAAATGGCGTCACAGACAGGATTCGAACCTGCGCAGGTAAAACCCAACACCTTAACCGCTAATAGCAGGGTGTCGCCTTAACCACTCGGCCACTGTAACTCCTTTTGTGCTTCTTGTCAAAAAAATAATTCTGGGTGCTGTAATTTTTGTCGACTATTCACAAATTCAATTGCTTCTTTAACGGCAATTTATGGCATCTGAGCTAAATTTGTGGTCTTTATCTAATTACAGCAAGTCTGAAGCCTTTTTTAGCTAGATTTAAAGACATGAATAGAAATATTAAGTCATCTAGAGAGTAAAGTAATCTGCTTCCCAATAGATAAAACGGTAATACGGCATTTTTTCGTATAGTTTTTGTTCTGATCGTATTCCTGAAGTACTTAGTTGTTCTCTTCTGTGTAGTCAGATATTTTGCACTAAAGTAAACATCTGATTCGATGAGTAAAACAACGTTTCTCCCGTCATAGTTCCTCGTACTGAGTCTCCTTCGCAGGAATCACTTTTTTAAAGAGATCTCAGCTTCATCTAATGTGCTATATCGTCCTTATACATAGTATCCTATGACATCTGTCCTTTCCCCCCCTCCTCATAGGAATATTTCTGCCCCTCGGCCTCTATGATATAATCATCACATCATGACTAATTAACTCAGGTTACAACTAGATTAATCATAATACTTACAAGTAGTTAAGAAACTTGTGGTATAGTTCAAAGTGTGACAAAACATTTTTCTTGTCTCCGAAAATAATATCGTTCTGATAAGAGAGAAAAGAATATAATAACCAAGCGGAAATGGTTTACCCTTGCTTTTAGTCCCTCATTGCTATATGAAACGCTAATTCTCGTTGTGCTCTTATAGTACCGCTTAAATAATTAATTATGAAATTTAAAAGTTCTATATTGACAGAATGGAAGCAGGTTAGCAATTCTTGCCTGTTTCACATCAAAATATACTCTAGCTCAACCTGTTGAAAGCCGCTGGACTGCACTAGATACATGGCTCACCTCAATTCCCAGGAGTATTGTAAGTATTCCATTGAACATGCACTGTATAATCATAGCTTCTTTTTCGATTCCCAGTAATAAGTAAATAGTGCAGCAACAATTGCATAAGGGGCCACGCCTACTGCACCCTCACTTCTCCATTTAACTGTACAGGCAGCGATTGTCAGTACTGTTGTTAGATAACAGAGAATCCTTGTAAAAAGCATGAAGATGAATACATTTCAACTTTTGCTACCAGTATGACTATACATTCTATGCTACTCTATAGATGATCTTACTTGTTGTATATACACCACTGATATGGACTCTGGCTCTCAAATAAAGTTTATTAATACATCCCCTACAGCTTCAATTTAGTAAATTCATACTGTGGCCCCTTTTCCTTTCTTTGCATACTGTTTTGAAGAAATGTTTCCTTGAGTAAATCTTCATCACTCTGGATACATCCACAATGCAATGGAATGGGAGACGATTGCAATGTCGCAAGAAGGCAAGGATCTGCAGATACCTAATTTCACGAGCACTTTGTAAGCCCAATTACAAATATGCTTGCTTATGTAAGACCCCGCACTCCCACCTGACGTAAGCATTACCAACACCCACACTAACCATCTAACGTAAGCAGATTCCATTACTAATGGGCTCGCAACCAATTTTACTAATATTGATAATCGTCCTTGCTTGCAGCTCCACTTTGCACCCACAATTATTTTGGAGCCAGCCGTGGCTCCTAAATATAAATACGAGATGGTCAGCCTCCCGATGTTAAATTATCAAACAATTGGTCTACCAACCAACCAGCACATACAACCACCTTCCACATATAATGTCTTCAATTGCAGTTATCGGTCTCTCAGGCCAATTGGGTCAGCCTGTCTTAGCCGCGTTGGAATCTTCCGCGTTTGCCGACAGAATTGCCTACCCCATCAAAGCTTTGACCAGAAAGGATGACAAGGTCTCCACTGACAAAGTTCAGTACATTCAAGCCGACTTGGCCGACACCGCTGCCGTGGCTCAGGCATTGAAAGGTACCGATGTCATTGTCGAATTGACCACTGCCAACCCGGTATTGTTTGGCCACGTCGAGAAAATTGTGGCTGCTGTCAAGCCCAAGCTCGTGATTCCATCGCAATTCGGAATCCATGTTGGGGCCGCCCAGGAGCTTGCCCCAGGCTTTTTGGGTATCAAGATTGACCACTCTACCAACCTCAGAAAGCTTGGTGTCAAGGTGGTCGACATAGCTACCGGTTTTTTTGCCGAGAAATCGTCGTTTTCTTATGAACTCGTTCAGCACTACGGTGTTGATACTGCTACCAACACCATCAACCAATTGGGTCCTGACGACGCCAAGGCCTCCATCTCTACCGTGGCCGACATTGGTTACGTGATAGCCTCCGTGGCCTCCGACCCCAACCCTTCCAGATTTCCAGATTCCTTGAAAGTGTACTCGGAAAATGTTCCTGTAAAGAAGGTTTGGGAGACTTACGAAAAGAACCACAACGTCAAATTGGAACTCAAATCCAAGAAATCTGCAGCAGAGGCACGTGCTGAGCTCAAGCAGATTTGGGACACTGAAGGGTTTGTACCAGCCAAATTCCTTTTGTACTTGAACTACATTCTCGCTCAGGGTGAGGGCTACGGTGTTCTCTTTGGCGAGAACGAAAGGGAATTGGTCAATCCAGGCGAAAAGTACTGGAAGTGGAGCCAATACTAGGCATTCTGGAATCCACAGAGTATTTAGGAGAGATTGGGACTTCAAGAATCGATAGAAGTTCCATGCAATGAATTATTTTTGGCAACCTTCCTGTAGATCAAGAGTAAGAATTGAAAGGCCCTCAATGGTGTCTGTTCTTCTTTTCATAATAGTAATAGAGTTTTCCTTTAATAAGCTGAATTAAATTACCCTCAATCTGGCAATGAAACTGACATTTGTGGCCAACCTATTATTTGGTAAGTTATGGACTTGCCAATCAACCCAGGAAAATCGTCATCCTAGATTAATCTGTAAATTGGCTACAATTCAAAAGTAGGAGTTTTAGCGGACACCTTTTTTGCAACTTAGATGTTAATTTTATAGATGAACGGTACTATCCACTCTTGGTACTCGCCCAGAGACTTCTTTGCTTAGATAAAAATTCTAATGATTCAAGGAGTTTTGTTTACTTCAAGTAGTTACCTGCTCAAATAAACTTGGAAATTTGGTCGAATGATGCAAAATAATCAAAATTAATGGAACACGGGAGTATTTCTTCAAGGTTTTCCCATTTTTTTAGAGATATCCTGGATTCTTTCGAAGAATTATACAACATTATGGTCGATAAGTACAAATATCATGATACCAGAACCTCTTAGGGTCATATCGATTGCTTGAATTAGCAAAATTGCTTGTTTTGCTTGTTATGAATTTTTATCTGATCAGGTATATCTACAACTACACTTGTCTATATTACTTACTAGTATTAAAAAGACACATCTCTACACAGAGAGCCAGACAGAAATTATTCCCATCGATATGATAGGTATGGTCCATGGGGCCAAAGACCCCAGCAATTGTACGCGCACGACCCGCTATGAAAAAACTGGGCCTGGTGTGGATTTGATCCTCAAATATGACTTCCAACCCAAGAGTAAGACCCGCCAAGAGGCTCTTGGAGACGAGTAGCAAGTGCTCACAAGAAGGCATGGCATACGGCCAATGTGTCTTGAACACCTACAGCACGATGGCCAAGGGTTCGTGTGAACAGGAGTTCGCTAAGTTCAAACAGTGCATTTCTAAGCAGATGAAGGGCAAGGTGTGGTGAGTGCTCCGCCAAACGAAAAATCACATACTGGGCAAGAACCCGACCCTAGTACGCCTGAAACGGCTGGGCGGGAGCTTCTGAGTCGACAACACCAAACTAGGCGGTTCCTGCACCGCAAAAAAGCCTGAGGCTGGGCGCTCATCGCCAATTACACGGTGGCTACACTGTGGTTAATGGGCACCAAGCTCGCTTGAAGGACATGCCAGTGTCGCTCCAGTCCCGACAGGTGTATAGCATATGTATGGCAGTACGGGTGTTCCAGCCAGTGGCTGGTGTGCCACCATTCCTGCCCGTCCAATAGCAATTCTTGACACCTAGCTCGTAGTTTCCAGACGCACATGAAATTGTTCAGGGTAGTTCGCTTACGTAAACCGGTTCCTCGGCTGGGGCATGTGTGGGGATTGCCCACAGTTATTGTTATCTCGGAGTTGACTACAGTTTTCTTTTCCTCCAGTAATCTGAGTAGTACCACGGCCACCATGATCAACATGTCCAGGCTAGCTGGCTACAGCAGGCAGGATATTCGAAACATCGTGCTACTACTAAAACAAGCATATCAGACCAGCAACCTCACCATCAACTACCAGTCCCGACCCGTGGTGCTTTTCTTGGGAACCCTCATTTCCACCTTTGGCTTGGGAGTGGTGTTCACCATCCGCAGTGCCTTGAACAAGTACAAGGAGCATGTCACCAACCGCCGTTTGAACAGGCCAAACTTGATCAGACAGTCGTCTACCGTGCTCAAAAACGGCTCCAGAGAGATCTTGATCCCCAAGGGCAAAAACTCCTTCACAAGAATCATCATTCCAAAGCCCAGTCTCGACCAGTATGCTGCAGACAAGTACTTATACAAGGACTTCGTCACCCAGCAGAAGTACCTGCAGAAAACCATCTTCAACTCCAAGTTCTTGAATCAGATTGCCATCATCTGGAGAATTTTAATCCCTAAGTTCAACAACAAGAACACCTCTCTCTTACTTTCACAATGCTTCTTCTTGATCTTGAGAACCTGGTTGTCCTTGTTGGTGGCCAAGTTGGACGGTCAGCTTGTCAAGAACTTGATTGGTGGTAACGGTAAGAAGTTTGCTAGAGATTTGATTTACTGGCTATTGATTGCCTTCCCTGCTTCTTATACCAATGCTGCCATCAAGTATTTGGAAAACAGACTTGCCTTGAGTTTTAGAACCAACTTGACAAGATACATCCATGATATGTACCTCGATAATGTCATGGCCTACTACAAGATTTCCTTGAATGGTAGTGATATCGAGAACATCGATCAATACATCACAAATGATGTTACTAGGTTCTGTGAGTCCATTTGTGGATTGTTCTCAAGCATGGGTAAGCCTTTTGTGGATTTGATATTTTTCTCGGTTTACTTGAGAGATAACCTCGGAACTGGTGCCATAGTGGGTATCTTCACAAACTACTTCATTACAGCAATGTTGTTGAAGAAGGCAACACCTAAATTTGGTAAACTCTCCTCCGAGAAAACTCACTTGGAAGGTCAGTATTTCAACCAGCACCTTAACTTGATGACCAACAGTGAAGAAATTGGTTTCTACAAGGGTTCTGTTATTGAAAAGACCAAATTGAGTGAGAGTTTTGGCAGATTGTATAAACATCTCGGTAAGGAGACTAACATTTCCTTTTATTACTCTGTCTTGGAAGATTATGTTTTGAAGTACACTTGGTCTGCTTGGGGATATATCTTTGCTGGTTTGCCAGTCTTTTTAGATGAGCTCTGGCCTGCTGACAAAAAAGACCAATCTGAAAAGAGTAAGGAAGTTAACCAAAGACAGAATATGAGACAATTTATCATCAACAAGAGATTGATGCTTTCTTTGGCAGATGCTGGGTCTAGATTAATGTACTCCATCAAGGATGTTTCTGAATTGACTGGTTATACTGAGCGTGTTTTCAATTTGTTGACCCAATTGCACAAGGTTCATTCTCCTAGATTTGATTTTGGATCCGAATTAGGAATTAAAGACATCCGTGGTACTATTCAAAAGAACTATCAAAACGGTATTAGATTCGAGCACATTCCTGTGATTATTCCATCGAAAGAAGGTTCGGAAAATGAACCATTGATTAAGGATTTGAGTTTCCTGGTTAGTCATAACAAGAACTTGTTGATTTTAGGAGCCAACGGATGTGGTAAGACATCGATTGCTAGAATCATTGCTGGATTATGGCCATTATACCGTGGATTGTTGTCTAAGCCAGACGATGATGACATCTTCTACTTGCCTCAAAAGGCCTATTTCACCACCGGTAACTTGCGTGATCAAATCATCTACCCACACAGCTATAGTGATATGCTTGAAATGGGTTACAATGATGACTACTTGTACCATATCCTTCGTGAAGTAAAGTTGGAGTACTTGCTTAAGAGAGAAGGAAACTTCAATGTTGTGAAGGACTGGAAAGATGTGCTTAGTGGTGGTGAAAAGCAGAGAATGAGTCTTGCTAGAGTTTTGTTCAAGAAGCCAAAGTTGGTTATCTTGGATGAAAGTACCAATGCCGTTTCCACTGACGTGGAAGATTATTTATTTGAGTTGTTGCAACGTAAAAGCATTACTTTTATCACGTTGTCCCACCGTCCATTGTTAATGAAGTACCACGACTATATCATGGAAATCGACCAAGAAGAGACCAAGTTCCACGATTTGACGTCAGAGGAAAACTTGAAGTCCATTGACAACGAGATCAACGACATCCAAGCCAAATTGAGTCAAGTCGAAAAATGGGAGAAGAGGCTTGCTGACATCGAGCTTTACTTGGATGGTAAGTATGATGATATCAAGGAGCCCCAGGTGGACAACAGCAAGAAGCCCATGATAGGTGTTTAGATATTTATGTGTGATGATACCATTTTATGCAAATGTAGCTGTGGTTTTGTCCCTATGTCGTTTAATAGTATATCCTTAATAAGCATAATATGTCAGTAATTGTGGAAGCGATTTGACTATCGGTAGTCCCTGAAATACGGCATTTGCTCCAGCCCTGCTTACATCAACGCATCCAACTAAATTTCCCTACTGGGATGGAATTAATCGAGCACAAAAAATTAGATCTTCACTATTAGCTAAGAATCTATTATTATAGTTTAGCACATGAGGAGCCCACTTTATGATTGGCGAGGCAGGATCTGCGAATGGTTACTCGTGGATGCTACCCCTCACCGGCAATCGTTCAATCGCGTCACTTGCTACTGGTGTATCAACTCCTCCCATCGTCAACCTCACCATTCAGCAGCGGATTCCCTATTTGGAATCCCACGTCACTCTGAATTGGGACCTCGCATTAACGCACAGAACACGTTCTTTAGGTAAGCCATGCTTTTGGCCACAAGTGATGTCTAGTTTACACTCTCTGAAATCTGTCAATGCACAGAGCCAGCGCCTGACAGCAGTCTGTGCATTTGACGGATGGTTGGTGCTTGCCCCCCAACCGCCAGTCCCCGATTGTCATCAGTTTGCCCAGTGCTGGCTGGTGACACAAAGCCATCGTAAAAAAACTCAAGGGATGAACGTCGTGCTACGAGTTCAAATCATCTAGCAAAGGCGTTCTGACGACTGTTTTGTACAAACCGGTAGCATTCTGATATCAATCAAAGTCTGACGAGTATCATTCAGCGAAGGATCTCCCCAAACCGATAATATCAGTGCAAAAGACGCGTGAAACCTTTTTCTCATCCGTGAATACCAGTGGCAATTACCATGGCTGAACCTATCAGAAGCAAGAACGGAGACATCTCCAAGGCTCCCACCCCCCAGAACACCCCATCATCGATCACCAACTCCTACCTCAAGCAGCAGCCTCCAACTGTTTCCACCATCAACGAAGAAAACGAAGATGTTAGCCAGCAGTTGGCCAACAACCCAGCTTTATTGTCGATGATTCAAGGCAAGTTGGGCAGTTTGGTTGGCCAACAGAGCGGATACGTCGACAGCTTGCCCAAGAAGGTCAAGCAGCGTGTCTACGGGTTGAAGTCTGTCCAACAGCAGCAGATGAAGCTCGAGGCCGAGTTCCAGAAGGAATTGTTGAACTTGGAAAAGAAGTACTTCAAGAAGTACGAACCATTGTACGAAAGAAGAAAGAAGATCATCAACGGTGCCGAAGAGCCTACTGCTGAAGAAATCGAGGAGGGAGAGTTGTTGGACGAGGACGAAGATGACGAAGAAAATGCCGAAGCCAAGGACGAGGACGACGAGGAAGAAGACGACGAAGACGAGGATGACGAAGCCACCGGTATTCCAGGTTTCTGGTTGACTGCCTTGGAAAACTTGTCCACCGTGTCGGAAACCATCACCGACAGAGACTCCGAGCTCTTGCAGTTCTTGAAGGACATTCGCATGGAATACTTGGAGACCCCAGGCTTCGAGTTGATCTTCGAGTTCAATGAGAACCCCTTCTTCTCCAACCAGATCTTGACCAAGACCTACCACTACCAAGCCGAGTTGGGATACTCAGGAGACTTTGTGTATGACCACGCCGATGGATGTGAGATCAACTGGAAGTCCAAGGAAAACAACGTGACCATCAACATTGAAAGAAGAAAGCAAAGAAACAAGACCACCAAGCAGACGCGTACCATCGAGAAGTTGACTCCTACCGAGTCGTTCTTCAACTTCTTCGACCCACCAAAGCCACCTAAGCGTGCTGAGGAAAACGAGGACGAGGAAAACGAAGATGAGGAAGAGGACGAGGACGACGAGGACTTGGAGGCTCGCTTGGAGTTGGACTACCAGTTGGGTGAAGAGATCAAGGACAGATTGATTCCAAGAGCCATTGACTGGTTTACTGGAGAAGCCGTCGATTACGGGTTCCCAGAAGACCTCGAGGGCGACGAGGACGAGTTTGACAGCGAGGAGGGTGACGACGATGACAGCGATGACGAAAAGCCAAAGGAAAATCCTCCTGACTGCAAGCAACAATAAGCAGCTGACTACCAGGAAACCCAGACTGTAAGCAGGAAACAGCTGGTCAAGGAAAAACCCCATGAGGCCCTGTGCCACTAGTCCATTTGTTTAGATAATCCAAAATGTATTTCTGCCCCGTAGTCCGAGGTCCGCACCAGAATATTATTCAATCGGCTGTGCACACCAATTATTATTATCCTGGTCGGACATGCTACCTCGAGGAAACCAATCAAATAGTATTGATTTGGCAGGTGTAGCTTTCACCACCAACCCAAATAATATTCCATGATCGGGCAAGTGTAACTTTCGAGAACAATATAATAGAATATTATTCAAGTAGTAGTGTATGTAAATATCAACAACAATCCATCGCCAGCTTTAACTTTACCATCTGAATATTCCAATCGGGCAGTAGCTTCGAGGAAACCAATCAGAATAATATAATGATCGGGCAGGAGTAACTTTACAATCCAAATAATATTCGGTGTACCTCACAAATCCGATTTATTCCAATCGCAGGTGCCACCAATCCGAATCCCATCCAGAGGCGTAACACTTCAAACTCTATTCGAGTTCTCATGCAGTTTCCGTGGACCTTCCGGGACTGGGAGAATATTTTTATCCATGATGCTGCCATCGGTCATCGGCCACACCACAGATCCTTCCCATTGCGTGCGGAGGCGCCTCGCGCGCGTGCTGACGGGTCTGGCTGCGCCAAGGGAGGTTGTCAGTTTGCGGTGTCAACTGGGTGAAAAACCGGGCACAGCGATGATCAGTGTCCCACTAGTGCCCCGCGAGCCACTCTCCATGGCTACTCCGGACCCGGTGATCCTGATGCCCGATGGCCCATGTGAAATTCAGGGTCTTATCAGTGGCCTGGTGCATATTTCCTGGTGGTGCGAGCACGGGTTGCGACCTGCCAGAGGCCGCTGGCCCTGCCAGCGCTACCACCACCACCCGGAACCAGCCGCGGCTGCGCCCCATACTATGGCTGCCGGTGGCCAGGGTGGCCGCCTGGGGTGCACCTTGGCGCGGTTCTCCCCCTGCCGTGTGTGGTGCTAGCACTTCTGACACCCGCATCACCACATTTGCACCAGTTTCACATGCACCCGTGCGGCGCACGACCCATCGCGTTTGTGTCTGTTGCTCCCGGTGGCTGCTAACACATCCCCTGTATAAGAAGGCAAGCCAATCCTGATTGCACCCCCATTCTTCAGTGTTGTTCTCCGACCAGTCCTGATCTGATACCCTACCCTTGATCAACTGCCCTGCCACAATGTCCCAAGTCGTTGAAAAACTCACCTCCACCCCCTTCCACTCCAAGTCCGTGGACCACATCTTGTCGTACTCGTACGTGGATGCCTTGGTCAAGTTCTTGTTGTCGTTCTCGCTCATCAACTACGTCTACTCCCAGCTCGCTGTTCCTGCCTGGGACTTGGTCAACAGAAACATTGTTTCCGCCAACCTGTTCATCTACAAGCCGCTTGCCAGGGCCGACGCCGTGGTAGACCAGCAGGTGTTGTCCCACCTCGTGGACGAGGTGGCCTTGGGGTACCCCACCAAGTACGCCCACCACGTCAATGTGACCTACTTGAAGCCCACCAACGACTACTTGTACGACCGTGTCGTCAACAAGTACTTGCCAGTGGCCGAATACAAGTTTGATGAGGGCATCTCCGAGGCCCACCGTTTGGCTGCTATTGTGTCGCAGCTCGTTGTCCGTCTCAGAAACCAGGTCTCCGACAAGTCGCAGGCCATCTCCAAAAACATCGTGTCCACCTACAACGAGGAGATCAAGTCGGTGACCCAGGCCGAGCCCACCATCTACAACAACTTGACTGCCTCCTACAACACCGCCACTAAGACGCTCACCTCGTTGAACGAGTCGCACATCAAGCCATTGCGCGCACAGACCCAGGAGTACGTGGCTGAGGTTGCTAGCAGCACCAGAAGCAAGGCCGACTCCTTAATCACCGACGCCAAGCAGACCATCAACCCTGCGTTGACTGCCGCCAACAACAAGGGCCACGAGTTGCTCAACGGATCCACCATCTCGGCCTCCGCCTAGCTGCCCACCCCCCCAGACAGCCCCTATTTAATTCCAGGCCATGTGGCTTGCTAATATATTTCTCGTGTGTAGTATTTATGTTATGCTAACTTATTTGCGGCTGTACTCATAACCACCCCTGACAGCAACTGCCGATTTGAGCGATAAGCACTAGTCGCGCGGGAACTGCTTGATGTAGTCGATGCCTCCCACGCACTGGGGCACGGTCAACGGCCGTTCGAGCTTGCTGGCGATGTTCAACGCCACTCCCACCGTACGGGAGTGGACGTCGTGCTCCAAAATGAGCCCTCTGCCGCCATTGGTTTGCTTGAACTTGTCCAATTCTGCGTAGATATCGCGTTCGGTGCGCGAATTTGGGGCGTTCTCAGCAAGCATTTTCCAGTCCAGGGTGTCGAAGTCCCACAACACGGTCTGCATTCCGAACTGGCGCACGATGCCACGGACGCGGTCGTCTGTGCCTCCGTAGGGGGGCCGGAACCACTTGGGAAGGTGACCTGCTGTGGCGTTCATGGCCCACACCGACCACTGAACCTGGGCCACGATTTCCTCGTTAGTGAGCGCAGGGAGAAACTTGTGCGACCAAGTGTGGGATCCCATAATGTGGCCTCGTGCCATTGTCTCGTGGTAGACGTCGGGAAAGTGCACCACGTTAAGGCCCAAGGTGAAGAAGGTGGAACGGTGCTTCAAGCCAGCAAGAAGCTGGCGCGTGGGTCCCGAGGGACCGTCGTCGAATGTCTGCGAAAGCTTGGGGCAAGTGTAAACGTCGTCGTACGACACACAGTTGGCGCAGTCAAACAGGCACCACTGGGGGCCCACTGCACCACAGGCGCCCTGGGTGTGCCTGGGAACTGGCGGGAGCAGGTCAAAACTGATGAAGTCGAGAGGTATGTAGGGCGGGTCGAAGTGGGGCCATTCGTGGAGCCCTGTGAAGTCGGTGAGCCACTGAGGAAACGGGACGGTTGGGGCGTTGGCGATGGCGATGGCGGGATCTGGAGCTCCTGTGAGAGTAACAACTGGGTCAGGGAGAATAATGGCGGCCACGATACCGAGGAGACTGGCCCAGCTGGCTATGACTGCTGGGTTGTTCACTTTCATGGTGGTGTGTTTGTGCACATTTGCAACCTCAGCGAAATTCGCAGCCGACTCGCAGCCGTACACAGGCCGCAACAACTGTGGCGCCATCAGCTGGGACAAGGTGGCGCCTGTGTAGGATGATTGTGGCTAGTGGTGAAGTCAGCTGGAATGACCAGCAAGTGAAATTTGGAGTTAAAGTTATGGAGTGCAAAGAGTAAAGCAGCTAGCGTTGACATGTGTAGATTAAGCCTTTCTGGAAATTCAATTACATGAGTCATCAAGTGAAAATATTGGCATAATTGGAGAATCCCCAGAGTAGTGAAGTATGGAGTTCATTTCAATTCATGGGAATAAACTACAGCAAATCTAGCGGGATATAGGCTTATTGGAAAAATTGTAACACAGGGACCTGATTTGTAGTGCAGTTGAATTTAAAATGTAAGATCTGTTGCTTTAGAGGGCAGTTCATATAGTGCTAATAATTACTTCAATGTACCTGCTCCGAAGTAGCTCGATCTCAATCCTACAATATTTGCGTTGCCCAGCTCTATTTATTCGAAAGTAGCTTTACCAATTCTCATCTGCTGGCTTTTTACCATTTATTGATAATGCAAACCACATATTGCCACACCCTTATCACCGTGTCTGTACTCTACTCGCTTGTCCATGTATCACCCTACGCTTGAACCCGTAATACTTCTCATTTTATTCTCACACCATATCCAGTATGTCCAGTAGCTTGCCGAAATGGCTAACGATGCTACCAGCGCACGTCTATACTTCTATAACTTACCTATCCTATCCTAATTATCCTTATACCTTTTGAGAGCATCGATTTCCTGCCTGAGCCGGGCCAATTCCAGCCGCAAATGCTTGTTTTCCTCGCAAACCTGATCATAAGGCATGATGGAACTGTTCCTGCTGCGAGCCTTTTGCCGGGAAGTGGGGCTGGGATCGCGTGGTTCCACAGAGTCGATCAGTGTCGATTTGAACTTCTTGTACATCTCGTCGCTGTTGCTGGACGCTGCCACCGAGTAATTGGAGAACAAGGCGCTGTTGCGCTTGTTGGAGCCAGGACCCGTGGCAGCTGGCTGGTTGGACGATGTCCCTGAAGAGATCGACGAGATGGAGTTGCGGTGGTTGGAGGAGAGCGACGACGACCTGCGCACCATGGTGGAACCCGAGCCGGAGGATGCCAGGCTGAGCGAGCCGCCATTGGTTTTGAGTGTCTTGTTTTCCTGTTTTAAAGCCTCGATTTCCTTCATCAACTTGAGCACAATGGCATCCTGCTCACGCTCCATGAGATCAATGATCTGCTCGTTGTTGAGCAGGGGCGAATGGGCAGATGGCGTGGGGATGGCTACGCTGTCTGAAAACGAGTTTCTCTTCGCTACTAGGGGGGTGGACCCGTTGCTGAAGCTACTGCGGGTACTGAGGCTGGGGGACCGCTGGATGGACGACGCCGACGACGTGGTGTAGTTGTGGGTTGCATGGGGCTTGAGCTTCAATTCCGGATGGCTGTTTCTGGGAGACAACTGTGATGGAGGGTAGTGGTGGTGGGGAGTGTGTGGGGTGTATGCGTTCTGGGGGAACTGGACGGGATGCTGCAACTGCAGAAACTGCGGGGGCGCGGGCGGAGGGTGGTGGTGTGGGTTCGTCATCGCGGATAGAGGGGGTCACAATCCGGGGAGGGCCCAGCTATATATACGTCAGATCATCACTGGAGGTGGTGCAGGCGCACGCCCCATTTGGGGCATCTTATCGGGTTGTTTGGCTTGCGCGAAAAATGAAATACTCCACCTATTATGAGGAGAAAAGGGGCGCTGATTGGGAGGGGAGTGACCGGCCAGCTGGTGGGTGGGGTGATGGAAGCGTAGGTGGGGAGTTCATTTGGGTGATTCGAGCCGGCGAGGTTGGCAGGAGTGGTTGGGTGTGCAATGGGCAATGGCCACTGGAGGTTGTCACCAGCGACGTATCAGCAATGAGATAGGGACAATAGTGGCAGGGCAAAGGTGGCGAGGGCGTCGGTAGGGGCGTAGTAGGGGCGTCGGTAGAGCTGCGACGGTAGCGACTCCTTCGTGCGAGCATGGCTGTGCTAGCACCGCGTCCCCGCCAACGTGGTGCGAGGACTGGGCTGGCGCCAGCATTGCTGGCGGAGGGCTGCGCTTCTAGACTGGGTCGCAGATCGTCACCTGGTGTCAACCATGCAGTGGAAGACATTGGCTGATCTAGACCTCGGTGCCTGCTCCTGCACTGAGCAGTGTTCACCACCGCTATTGTGATCGGTGCCCAGCTCTGATGCCTAGCCTTTGTGCGAAGCTCGCCACGCGGACATACCGGTAAGATCTACGAGGAAGTTGTGGACACGAATAGGCCAAGATTGTTGGCCAAACAGCGTCGTCGTCTCACGGCTCTTGGTCAAGGCAACGTGGTGCTTGTGACCAGATTTGTGGCCGCCAAAGCTGGTCTGGCTTGTGTTGTCGCCAACAGGAAATCTCAGGCGGTGAACTACAATAGAGCCAGAATTCGGAGTTTGTGCGCGCAAATGCCGCACATACCCCACAATCTCGCTATGACTTCATACCCAGGCAAAGATAAGGAGGGGACAATTCGGGCCGCTCGCAACCACAGTAGGTGGCTATCTCTGGATGATGCAGACGTCATGCTCTGGTTTTTGCCGCACATGAGCCTGCCGCAAAGATCAACCAGGTTCCCCATGAAAAATTCCACCCGTTGTAGACCATGAAAAACTTGAAAATTGATGGTGTAAACTCCCATTGCCATCGCAACCAGCACATCGAGATTGAGTACGCCAAACACGGTGAGTTTAGATAGCAGCGCCTGGCTTACGGGCTCCTAAGGCAAACACTCGTACCGGTGCCCCTACAGTCGCAACCGGTGCCTCCGTCCTTTGTTTAATGCCTCACCATTTGTAATCAATCCTAACCATGAAAAATATGTCTAGTCTATATTGTATCTGAGCAAGATACAGGCTCCAGATCGCATTCCCCTCCAAAACGGACTCATCCCTGTGCCTATTTTGGATTGCCTTCAGTGGTGACTGAGCATAACTACTATCTAGTGGCAAGAAATGGCTCAGCTGGCGGAGTCAAGCGTTTGCGAAGAATGGGTTTACGAGCCACAATGTTTCCAAATTTGCCTGGGGTGTGAAACACGTTCAGGTGCACTAAACAAGATAAGACCTTTTCTTACGACGCCATACCCCTAAATGCATTGGTCACGTCCAAGCTTCGAACTGTGGTATTTTCGGTTTCGGCACCTCGAATACCTTGAGGGTTATCAGCCTGAAGTGACCTTGAACCCGTCGTTTACAACTCTAATAATGTGGATTGTATGCCACCGTTCTTTATCTCGCATTTCGTACCGGAGACAACCCACTGAGTCATAGTGGCGAATTGGGCTGGTGTCTACCGACTGTATGTCTGTCCTGCTCGCTTGATCCTGCTCCAAAAGTTCAGTAGTCGTGCGAAGGAGGGACTTTGCCAAAACCTGCTCCGATAAGACTTCCTTATCAGTGGAACCAGTACTGCATACGTGAAGCATTGCTTCAAGAAGAGCCCATTACTTTGCCAAATATAGCATTTGCAGTATGGTGCCTATTGTGGATAATTAGGACAGACGATAGTCTAGTTTACACAATTAGCGACCTACATATACTGGAAATTGTGGAAATTTAGACGAAGTCCTCCACAGGAGACATTTGAACCGAGACGCATATTATGAAAGTAATTGACTGGCTTTGAGGTTGTTACAAGAGTAAGGCGATATTAATCACTTGAAATCGGAAGTTAGCTCTTCAACATATAGAATTTCAAACTAGTCGACCATTGGTGTAAAATTGTGGAAAATTTAAGCTTTTTGCAGACGTAACGGTTGGTCATCCTCATGAGAGTGTGATTAATGCCAAAAGCCTATCTGGACAAACGTGAAATAGGCAATATCTACAAATTCTCGCAGTTACTATTATAACAAACTCTCGCCAGTCGTTGTAGGGTTGCTTCTGTATGGATTGTTTCTTTATCGAAATTAATTTTGCAGCTGAAAATGACTTCGATGTAAAATACTAAAAAACAATCAAACCAGCCCATCAGAGCGTTTGTTCCATTGTAGAAATTTCCAATGTGACTTCATTTTAATTTTTCCAATTGAATTTGGTAAGCGAGAAGTAAGTATGCCAAAAATTTGCAGCACTAATTGGAAGCCATATCCCACAAATGATTAAGGGTAGAGAAATTAAACTGATGAGTGTGAATTAGACATTCTACATGACTTTGTTTGATTTTTAATGGGAAGTTTTTTTTCATTAGCAATGTCGACAAGGCTGTAAATTTACCTCTTCAAATCATGTGATAAGGTACTCTGGCCGAGTTGGTCTAAGGCGCCAGGGTAAGGTCCTGGTCTCTCCGGAGGCACGAGTTCGAATCTCGTGGGTATCATTATATTACATTTTTTATGTTTTTATGTATCGCGTTCAGTCGTCGGGGGCGTTACTGGGGTAACCGTGAGAAAAATTTGACGAATGAAAAAACTGGGGCAACCAATCACAATCAAGGGTACTCTGGCCGAGTTGGTCTAAGGCGCCAGGGTAAGGTCCTGGTCTCTTCGGAGGCACGAGTTCGAATCTCGTGGGTATCACTACTATTTTTTTTAGATTATGTATAACCTCCATTATTCTGTCAATTTCACCAAAATTGACCCTATTGTGTCAAACTATTGGCTCGCTCACCCAAGGAACATTTGAACTTCAGTTTTATTAGTAGATATCAATTGACCAAATAAATCATATAAATACTGATGTTCCCTTGTATCTAAAGGGCCAGGATTGGAACTGAGCGGTTTCAGTACTAGCCATGATCTTAACCTGCATATACTACCATCGTTTGTAGATGTCCTGGAAAGGTAATAATCAAAGGACTTGTCAGAGTAGTTTCCGTGTATTCAAATAACAAGGCAAACGAGTTGTAGTAGTTCTATTGTCGTAGTGGTTATCTCTTTATGAAAACAATTCACTTCACCTTTCTAATTACTTTCAATTTGGGTTTCATATTCGAATACCGTGATTTCAAGTCTTAATGGGAAGTGGTAATACCTATCACTTGAAATATTCTGGGTTTATTGTCATCATTGGATATTATTTAGCTACATGTCGGAATCAACATTATTCTGATTAATTTTTATTCATAATAAAAAAAAGGAAACAAAGTAGCCAAACACTTTAAAGGCCTCTGACCCTGATAATTTGCTCAAGTATATCCTTGACACTTTTCTCATGGGAATACCAGTCTTGCTTCAAGATCTCCCTGGTCTTCTCATTGTGGATATCACCCCAGAAAGTCTTGGTAAGGGTTGCCTGAGTAGTTTTTGGGTCACCGATTGGAACATTCTTAAATTGTTCCGGGTAGAATTTGTGCACTAGGTCGAGGAAGTTTTGCTCAGAGAATGCAGCGTTGAAAAGAAGAAGTCTCTTATCGGTACATTCGTCTCTTTCCATAGCAATAATATGAGCACCAGCAACATCTCTTACATCGATACACAAACCTCTGTCTCTATGAGGGGTTTCACCTGGTTGCAACTTGATAATACGGTTGATGATTTCGGAGGTTTCACCCATATGTTCAGTGACATCGCTATCGAAAGCTTGTGGGCCATAAACGTAGGTTGGATTAACAACAGCAAGATCAAAATTTGGGGTTTCTCTTTCCTTGAAGTTCCAAACTTCCCTTTCAGCATGGGCTTTGGAAGCAATGTAAGCAGTTAACCCATCGCTTTTTGCAGCAACATCCCATGGGATATCGGTCCAGCTAGCTTCGTCAATGTAGACATCATCTGGAATGGACTTGTCAACGAGATACGTCCAACCCATAGCAGCATATGATGAGGTAACCACAAGCTTTTTAAGGTTCTTACCGTAGGCGTGGGCGGAGGTCAAAGCTTCCTTGGTTCCTGCAAGTGCCGGCTTCAAAAGGTTTTCTTCAACGTTGTCATCGCTCAAGGTGAATGGTGAAGCAGTATGAAGGAAGTATTCAATTTCTGGGTGCTGTTGGAAAACTTCATCAAAACCACCAGGTGTAGCGAGGTTTGAAACTAAAACATACAGAAAATTAGGATTATTGAAATTCTTGGTCAAGTGTTGACCTTTTGCATCCGTTCTGACGGTACCAATGACCTTGTACTTCTTTTCAAGCAATTGCTTGATAATGTGTTGAGCAATAAAACCGGTGGCTCCTGAGACTAAGACGGTAGACATTTTGATGTTTGTGAGTGTGAATTGAGATGGAAGTGAGCTCACTGTATCTTTTTATATTGTGCTGCATTGCTGTCTGTTATCCGAATCAAGTATACCCGTTAAGGGGCAAACTGCACACTTGCTGACGGGGAACCAATGACTATCGAGACAGAAAAAGCAGGGTTACTAAACACACTCAAACATCCTGACAATTGAAGTTAACCTGCAGTGGCGGTATCATGAAACAACCCTTCTCCTGCAACGGTATATTCTAAAATGCAGGGTTCGGATGTTATATGCGGGTTGCGCCCGCTCCGCTTCCGCTATTAGGCGGTGCCGTACTGGGATAACTTCCGAAGTGCAGTTTACATCCAGACTTATACAACAACTAGAAGAAAAAACACAGGCATGCTCAAATGCTGAGCCATAGGCGTACCATAATTACTCTTTGTACCGCGGCTGCTATCTTAAGGAACACAAACATCTATCTTGAGGGCATTCTCGGTTAGGGGATTAGCGGTCCGGAAGCCTGCAAAGAATGAGAAACGTTAACGTAACTTGCAAAATTGCTGCGAGTGAATAAGAGCGCAGGAGGCTGAATCAGTTCCAACTTCGAACTCCAGCAAGAAACGTAATTTTGGAACGGGAATGGAGCTCAACTGAAAGTCTAGTAATTACTCGTTAGGATGATTGATATGGCCTCCGCTTTTGATACAGGCAACAATAATATTGATGTTCTGTGATGTTACAGTGTGCTTTTGGCATCAACTAGGTTTAGAGCTATTGCAATAATGTCTCTGCGACATTAAGAGAGGTGTGTGTTTCGTATGTCAATATTTGCTTAATATTATTACTAAAAGATAGCCACACCAATATTTTCATTGTAGCTGTTGTCATGGTTTTTTGATATTCAAAACCTAGTCAACAGTTTCAACTACGGATTGTGAAGGTGAATTTTTCGAAGCCTAATAACTTTTACTTATGGCAATCCAGAGCAACGAGAGCTTTGGTAACTTCCCCAACAGTAATATTAATGCCTCTAACGCCAGGTGAACTATTAGTCTATTACAATCGAAAAAGGTGAATAACATCTGGGCTCACATTTAATCTGATTCCTGAATCAAATATCCGAATACCAGGACGGAATTAACGGATTCAAGTGCAAAATTAGATTTTTCTTGATCTATTAAGTTCCAAACTTCCTTTTCAGGTAGAACTTTCGGAGCATTATTACCTGTTTAACCATTCAATTCAACTTGTTTCCAAATGATATTCGTCCAAGCTTCTCCAGCTATTCTCATATTTTCTGATTCTGCCAACGTAGTAAGGAAACTGGAGTACTATCCTAGAAATTCTTTTCTCTCTACCACAGGCTCCAGATCCTCTACTTGTATGTTGAGTAACGCAATTGAATGCTTATCAACCTTCAGAAGAATTGATACCGGGGTGATCTGTTTTCGTCAATTATAACACATTCGAGGTGACATTTTCTCTACAAGTTTAACACTGCTTCCGTCTTTTAAATTTTGATCTTGAAGTTGGTGAACCAACCATATTAGATTATTAATTGTAGCCCCACTGTGGCTTCATTAATCTCAAAAGATAACTATACGGCTGATACTAATAACCAACCCCAATCTAGATAAAGATGAGATCCCGATGAGCAGCATGTGAAAAAGAGATAAGCATGTGATCATTGGTTCAAACTCCACTTGAATCACCTCGTACCTTGCATAAAATCTTCATCTTCTTGTGTAACTTACAGGAGTGTTTATCCAACAATGCTGGTATACGTTTATTGTCTTTGAGATTTACTATACAGCCTTCTTCTTGCGCTTAACCAAGTTTGTCAAGTTATTCACCTTGGGTACTTCGGACCCCTTGCTCCTCTTTCTCACCGTCAATGTATTGACCACAGGATTGGAGTCAGACTTTTGCTGGGCGACGAATTCCTTAGTCCCCGTCAATTCTATGTACTCCTCGTGTTCAAAATTCTTATTATTACAGAACTCTGGTATCTTGGATATGACCAATTCTCTAACATCGGATTCGATGTTGTAGTGCTCGCTTTTCAATAGGTTAACCAACTGTTTATAGTCCCTGATGGAAATGATATTTCTGACAATCTCCTCATTTGGCTCGTTCTTCAAAATTGGAACTCCATCAATTTGTGCCCCAATGAGTCCAACTACATCTCCCAATCTAAACTCTTGTCTGCAGCCCAACTCTTCGTAGAAGCGATCGTTTTCCATCTTCTGGTAGTTATTTTCAACAATCAAGTGCTCCAAGAATCTACCTTTGGGATCATCTGGAAATAGAGGAATATTGTAGATTGCCAAATTGCTTGCATTGAAAATGTGACCAACAGTCCAAGAATTGCTTAGGTTTGTAAGAAACTTGGATGTTGGCTGTTCAGCAAGACCAGGAATGAGTAACTTGCATTGAGCACCTGGCTTGCCAGACAAATTTTGATCGATCACACGTAACCACCATTCCAATAACTTGACCCCATTGACCACATGCTTGTTTTTGTTCTTGAAGGAGCTTGGAAATAAATACTGTTGAGCAGCTTTGGCGAAGAGGGAAATTTTAATGGTCTGATGTGGTGGAAGGACCAATGACTTGGAGTCCGAAGACTCCTTTTTGTGAGGCGTAGATTTGTTGTAATATTTGATGCTGGAGTAGTATTCAGGGCCAGATGCCAACTTTTCGGAAATCTTTTCAAGATACACCAAAGTATCGGTTTTAAAGATGTTGTACTCCTTGGAGGAAGGGGTCAAGCTATCTGTGGATTCCTTCTTCATCTCTTTTCTAGTTTTCAAGTTGTAGTGACGAAGATCAAACAGGATGACCCAATCCAAAAGGACTTTCACCACGGGTCCGATCCTGACATTATGGTTGAAGAGCCCCACGGTATCACACTTGGAAACAAATACGTTCTGCTCCAATTTGGCACCCTGAAATGTGAGATACACCACGATTTCTATCCCAAATACGATGACGTCTTTGGCTGCGTCGATCAAGTTGAAAAAGTGTCGTATCTTGATGGTGGATGGCCTTTCTTCCAGCGATTTGCGGACATTGACAAGCGGCTTCACGTACGCTGGCTTGGACTGCACGTAGAACAAGTTGAACTTGGCATTTTTGGGTAGCTGCTGGGCTAGCGACGCCTTCAAACCGTCCATATGGTGGGCCTGGCAGTTGGTGAATGGAGGTACGCGTATGGGAGCTAACATGTCGTTGCGCAAGTCCCATGTCGCACTAGTTGATGCGACATTGTGTCTGGGGTGGAGATGAAATTTACCCCGGATTGGCCTCCCCCCCTATGACGACCAAGCATTATGTCTAGAAGCTTATTGTCCGCCTCCATCGGAAATTGAGCCCCTAGAGCTGGGTACAGCCAAGATTCGAGGTGAGCCCGAAATTTTCATTACGTGGGCCGTCTTATCTCGCTAAGCACCCGGTGCTTCTAATGCAGCTTATCAGTAGGCAGTTGATTGGCTGGAAGACGTCCAAGGCCCGGCTGTGCGCGCCATCAGTCCTTGCCAAGACCGGGGTGTTGACGGCCCTGGAGTGAAACTTGCTACAATGGTTGTTGGTGTAGTAAGAGGAAATGAAGAAAATGTTAACCTGTAGCAAACAATAAGTCCGGTGAGCCGGGGACGCAAGGTGCAAACTTCGGCCTCGTAGGGTACTGCCTCAGGTAGATAATTTCTTGAGTACAGCAATTGGGATCGAAAAAATATCTCTTAGGTAGGGCCACTTACATGTATGGTGCAGTAACGATCGGAGCTTCGCCTTCTTCGAACAGTGTGGGAACAACTCAAGCAACCACAATCATGTATTAGTGGCTTGCAATTAGAGGGATATCCCCAATGGGGGGCAAGTGTGTAATTGGAGGTTGAACAATAAAGCTGGCGTAAACCCTCTATTGTTTTACAGGTGTCTCCACATATGAGTGGATAGGCGGGTAGTGCCCGCACAACGCTCAGTGACCAGCCGTAAAGTTGCCCTCATCAGCGGAGTTAGGGTTCAGGATCCGCGAAACTCGCATAACATCCCCTGAAGGTGCATAGGAGAACTCTATCAGAAAGGGGGGAAAAGATTGCGTTCCCTGCAGCATTAGGATTTGAATAGCGGAGACTCAAAACAGAACCGAGGTCATGTAGACAGCAGAAACCTTGTAGCTAATGCGTGGAACACCCACTACATGGCTGAATGGAAGAACGGACGTTATGTGGGATATAGAGGGGTAAAAATGGGGCAAATTGGGAGTTAACGGAGGTCGGCAACGGGGAACTGGTGGCTGGGTTCCTTACCTCCAGGAGACCTAAAAAAGTGCGAAAAGTGGCTATGGCACTGGGCCCCTGGCAGCACCCCTGGGGCAGGTTCTGCCAACCAGGTCAGAGGAATTGATTCCAGAAACCTGTGTAGGTCCAAAATGCGCAGTCCAGCCAGTGGTGGACTTCGGAATACGAAGACTCCGAAAGGACAATATGCAAAGTACGGAGGTAATAGACTACTGCGATACCCCACTTTCCCAATAAGTCAATATTAATGAAAGATTGCGCCTCATCCTTCGCCGCTTTGGGCATCTGCTGCGAATTAAACGAGTAGTCCAACCCCACGCCCGCATTGTACAGCTACTTAGGCCGCGGCCCTTAGTTTCAAACTAAGCCTAGTAACTTTAAATGTCGTTTCACTTGGTCCCTGACTGCGAAACCTGACTATCCAGACGGGGTTCAGTAGGGCCAATACACCCTCCAGAGCCGCCAGAACACCGCCAAATCACCGTAACAACTCCCCTGCCGCAGCCCACCTGCCTGGGCCCTCTCCTGACCCGCCTGCCGCCTGTTTGACAGCTGTCCCTACAGGCAATCGACGCCCGCGGAAAAAAAAAATTGCGGGGCTGGGCAGCCAGTCCACGCTGCCGGCTACCCGAAGGCGTGTCGCCACCGCTCTTCTAGATCAATTTTGAAGTGCCAATACTACGGAGGATCTGGGGTAGAAATTAATGAATATAAATAATTGCCTAGGCGCTGTTTCATCTAAACTTCTTTTACTATGAGCGGACACAAAGACCGTGTTTATAATCCCCAATCACCCTCCAACTCCCATCCAGACATCCCGTCCCTGGAATCCACTGACAACGCCCTCACACAACAAGACTACCACTTCGACCAACTGTCTGGGCCAAGCTTCTCTGTCCAGCCTTCCTCCTCCCAACAAGTCTTCCCCGACCAGCACCCCAGCCGTCCCAACGAAGACTCCGACTACAACTTTCTCGACATACTTTCAGCTGACATGGACTTCGAGCAAGCCTACAACATGTACACCACCTTGCAGCAAAAAAACGCCATTTCCTCCATCGAGCAATTGGAAAAGGTCCAGATGTTGAACCAGCAATACGTGTCCACCTTGGCCTCGGGTGCCAGACACCCTACCCAGCAACAACGTGCCATGGTACCCCAAGGCTTGGGCCAATACTCTGCCAACTCACCTTTTAACTTCAACTTGAGCTCCGATCCATCTCCAGCGCCTACCAGCCGTGCTGAAGACCCTAACTTCAACTACCATCGCACCCAGATCTTGAACGGAGGCGTGTCAAAGAACTACATGTTCAATGGCGAGAGCCAGCAGTCCAGCACACCCTCGATCAAGAGCGAATCGATGAAAAAGCGTCGCGAGAACGAAGAGGACTTCGACCAGTTCTTCTCCAACACCGAATCCAACGCGTTGGAGAAGTTTTTGGACAACTTGGCCAACCCAGCCGAAGAGGCATCCCTCCACTTCTACAACCGTCCAGGAGCCGTTGGCACAGACTCTCCTGGCCAGGAATTCAACGACTTGTTCGACTTGCACACCATGAACCCGATACCGATGGGCAACAAGGGTAAAATGGAGACAGGCTTTGGAAACAGGTTCCAAAGCTTCAACCAGTTGAACATACAAAAGAGCAACTCCCTCCCCCTCAACATGAGCCAGCAGGGCCTCATGGAGCACGAGACCTTGAAGAAGGAGTTAACCGAAGCATTTAGTCATCCCCACAGAGACAACACCCCACCATCCAACGGAAGTCCAAACCACATAGCCACTCCCCTCGATTCCAAGGACCCTAATGGATTCAGGTATCAAGAAATGAAGAGAACAACCGAGTTGATAACACCTCCCTCCAGTGACAACAACGAGAGTATGTTCAACTTCAAACAAGAAAAACGCAACTCGGAGTCATTCAGTGGCGACGACGAAGCGAACGGAATCAAGAAGCGTAGAAGATCATCGCTGAAGCCATTGTTGTCGTTGGAACAGAAACGTTTAAACCATTCCCATTCTGAACAAAAGAGAAGACAGATGTGTAAGCTTGCCTACGAAAGATGTCTTCGCTTGATCATAGACATCGAGGCATTCAACAAGTTGCCAGCCACTGTCAGCGACTCTGTGCAAAGAAAGAGCAAGAGGGCTAGAGTCAACAAGGATGGCTTGCCAAACTTGTCTAAGCACAACGCACTTATTCGGATCAGTAATGAGATCGAATTGATCAAGAATAAGAACGACGCATTGAAGGCAGCTCTCGAACAGCGGGGAATCAAGGACCACCTCAAGTTTGCTCCTCCTGTTGCTCGTGACATCAATTAGGAAATGACGGTTACATTCAATTCTGATCTTATACGCTTGTATTAATATTGCTATATATTTATTTATTGGGGCACTGCCTCCACGGTTCAAACGACGACATGACTGACGTTAGAGTGATTTCATTCTCAAAATAGGGGTTTTTTCAGTTCTTAGTGCAATATATTACGAGAAACTAGAGATTCCTCTGTAGATGTGGGTGTTAGAAGCATTGAAACTTTTGTAGACGTAAGGGACCACCCAAGTTGATCTCTGGCGCCGTGGGCGGTCTAGTACCTAGAAACTGCCAATCACAAAAATCAGCTCACTTATTGTATATCCCTCCTACAAGTAGCTCGTTCAGAAAACTATTCTGCGTTCCTCAACAAGTCCTGGTAATTTTTGAAACAAAAACCATAACTATGTGCATACTAAACTTATCTCTAAATCACTTCTTGTTCCACGCCATCGTGGCACTCGTCATCGAATCAACTGCCTACTAATCCGACAGAAGGGCTCAAAACAGACTTCTTTCTATATAGTTCATTCTTAGCATGGTGTCTGATTCACTATCCCTATTTCTGACCTGAAGTCCCTCCGCTCTCTACTCTGTCGGTTTACTTCTTTACCACACGCTCTCCCTGTTCTCTTTTTCCAGTCCCACACTCCCTTCTCTACTCCTGCCTGCCCTTTCCACTGGCTCCACCTTATCACCATCACGCGCCAACGCGTAAAAAAGACTAGAATTTCAACCATTGACAGACACCACCAGCTACTCTAATCAGCAAGACACGTCGACACCAAACACCTCCATCCACACATAGTCTCGTCATGGTCGCTAAAAGCAAATCCAGCACTCCTGCCATCGAGGGACACCCCAGTCTCAACTTGTCGGTGGGAAACCAGGACCAGATTACCCAGTTGAGCAAGCTCCAACCCATCCTTCTCTTGAACCAACAGGACGAATCCGACGAACTCAAGGCATTGCGAGTAGATTACAAGTACCTCTACGTGGTCAATTGGTTGTACAACTTCCGCGGATACATCAAGCTTCAATCGGAGACTTTCGACGTTGATTTGTTCGAGCTGGAACTCTTGCACTATTTCCCTGCCACCCACGCAGAGGACGAAAATGGCAACCCCACTCACCTGCTCCTCGACAAAATCAAGCTTGGTTTGATGTCCTCTGTACAAAACTCGAAATTGACGTCTTTGAACAATTTCGAGAAACTTTTCCGATTGTGGTTCGGCTACGAGACACCTTTGAAAGGTAGAGACAGAGAGGAGGAAATTGAAAACGGTGAGGACTACGGCGATGAAGAGGACGATCCCAAGTTTGACAGTCTTTCTATTACTGAAAAGTTTGAGATCTTATTCATATTAATAACTTACATTTCGAGCTATGCAGGTTTCAGAAACTGGGTGGACAAGAATAACCTTACCTTGAACTTGAGAATGGATCCAATATTGACGGAAAGACTGTCGAGCGAAAAGAACTCGCAGGTCGACTATATTTTGTTGTTTGAGAACAATCGTTTGTACAAGAGAATCGTTAAATTCAATCCCCTAGTGATTCCAAAAAAGAGAAAAGTGTCCCCTATAGATCCCAATGAGTATTACGAGCCAAGTCAATTTGACATTGATCCCAACGTTGATTTTGAGTTGATTTTCAAAAACATCTATGAGTTTGACGAAGTTCTCCAGAAATATTCAAAGGGTAAAAATAACGCCTCGAAGACATTAACCTCCAAGTTATCCAGAAAAGCGGTGGTGGAATCTATTCTTGAAAATGAGATCAGAAAGAGAAGGATAATAACGAACAAGAGAAAGGAGTTGCAGCTCGCCAGCTTATTGGCTACTAGAAAACGGTCCTCGAGATTAGAAGCTAAAGAGAAGCAGAGGCAAGAAGAGTTAAGAGTACAACGGGAGCAAGAAGAGTATGAGCTCAAGGTGGCTGCTCAAAAACGATTCGAAAGACGTATGAAATTGAAAGAACAACAGGGACAAGTTGCACCCGACTACACTAGTGGCTTGACCAGAGATGAAAGGTTGAAGCTTAGAAGATCTGATGCTGAGCGTACTGATAGTCACTCTGCTACTCCAATGAAAACTCCAGATAATACTCCCATTGAAACACCAGCACCAACAGACAATGGCCAGGTCGGTGTTACGGAAGTACCAGTCCCAACTAGTGCAATTCCAGTACAATCAGAAACATTGGTTCCAACTAGGGAAATTCTAGAACAACAAGCACCGGTTCCAGCTAGTGCTATTCCGGAACAACAAGCACCGGTTCCAACTAGTGATATTGCACAAGGTCAATTGAGCAATGGAACAGGCCATGTGGTAGGACAGGCTCCATTGACCTTCCCTGGGAGCGCCCAAGAGGAACCCCAATCCCAAGCAATTCCTCCTCCACCATCCAACACTGAATCTGAAAGTGCAACATACCAAAATGGTCAATCTAACTTCCATGCACACTACAATTAGGCTGTATTAACTGCTCCTGTCAGCCCATATTTCAGTATATACTTTGTATTATTATAGCCCAAAATCCAATACGATTGTATAAATAGTCGAGATGTAAATTAAATAAACTTATATAAATTAGAGAAGAGAAATAGAAGAAAAATTAAATTGAGACTCGGAAGAGAAATACCTTCACCCAATAAGCAATTAGCTAAAATTAACGAAAACCAAAATGTGCAAATGCTCAGATAATAACAATTTGAAGAACCATACAAGAACTCACAAATTCAACTCATTCAAGACTTGACTAGCCAAAGTCTTATAATTCCAAGTGTTACCCAATAACTTTTTGAATTGTACACCATACAACCCAACCAATGGAACTTTCACAATATGAATCTCAAACTTTAATGGTGACTTCTTAGACTTCGACGATTGACTGGAGGTACTTGGAGACCTTTGATGTCTAGCTCTATGCTCGATTCTTGATGAGATTAACATGTCGCTACCACCACCAATATTCAATCCATTTAATGAGTCCACCGAATCATCGTCTTCAAACTGTTGTCTGCCATTAATATCGTCATCACCAAAATCATAGTCATCAGGATATAACGACTTTGCTACCCTAGCTGCAGCTGGGGTATTTGGTGGCATCATCACTTGAGAACCATTCTTCTTCCTATAAGATCCCAAAATGGAGTTTCCAATGGAAAACTTTCTTCTATGTCCGCCTCCAATTGAGTTGGAAGATCTATGGGTCTTCAATCCTGTGTTTGGAGTGGGCGACAAAGTTTGAGTGTTGAGATGTAAGGAAGGTTGTCTACTAGGAGTCTTGGCTTCGCTTGGTTCTGGAGTTCTTGCTCTTGATGGGGAACTCTTCTCATGCTCGAAAGAAGAAGAAGAAGTAGATTTGAAGGCATCGCCATACAATTGTTTGTGCTCGCTTGAAGTCTCCTCAGTAACCTTAGTTTCAAGATCACCCTCCAACTGAGTATCTATAGTGCTTGGATTATTGTAGTACTCCTCATCCCTGACGAATTGTTGAGCTTGCAACGAAGGTGTATGTGCACACACAAACCCACCTTTAACCTCTTGAAACTTCACACCCAACTTGCTCAAAACGTTGATAATGTTATATCTGATAACTGGTAATGGCTTGGTAGATGTAGTTTGAACACTAAAGAAACCTTTCAAGAACAATGTCTTGCAATGCTCAATCGAGGGCATGCTGTTGGGCTTGGCCTCATTGAACTGCTCTATGATTTGTTCCTCAGTCAATTGAGGAATATCTTGGTACTCAACATCATCCAATGTTACATCATCGAAGAAACCATCATTGGTTGAGCCCTCGCCAACCACTTCATCGCTGTTTTGAGCAGCTAATGAGTTTGGTAATGGAGGATGAGTCTGGGTATTAGCACGATTACGACCGTGATAAGAATCCTTTCTGACATGTCCAACTGACTTGGCTCTGGCCGTGGGATGAAGCTTTCTACCACTAGTAGAGACTGCACCGGGCTTGAGAGAGTTATTGGCATTGTTGGGGACGACGGTGTTGTTGGTGTTCAAGTTGGGCAATGGGGGCAAATATTCAACCGGAATGAAACCATGAGGCTTAGATTGACCAGTTGAGGTAGATGCTGAGCGAGCATGTGCCTTCTTGCTGGTATCGGAAACTCTGAGGTTCTTCTGGGAATCAGATTGCTGAGATTGCTGAGATTGTTGAGATTGTTGAGATTGCTGAGAACTCGAGGCGTTTGCTGAAGGATGTAAGTTTATACGGGAAGATGATGACTTTTCCTTAGCAGTAACCTTCATACTGACACCTCTACGAACCATTGGGTCCATCTTAGGCGATGAGGTTGATGTTTGAGGAGACAACTTGGTGGGAGAATCATGAGGAAGTACGACTCTTGGTAAAGGAGGATGTGAGCTATTGCTTTGATGTGGTGGCGACGTGGGCGAAGCGGTTCCTCTGCTACTATACGCAGAGTTCGATTTGTATTTCTTGGAAGACAATCTTCTCAACAATGAATTGAATCCACCCTTAGAAGCATTAGGATCCAAAGTCTCAGGAATAGCGGAAGACTCGACAGGACTATGAGGCTGTTGGTCTGGTATAGCTTGAGCATTCAATGATTCATCGCGAGTATCCCTTATTGAAGATACACCCGAAGTATGCGCTTGCTCTGGATAAGCAATAGAAGGCAATACATCCTGAGCAGCGGTTCTTGCACCTTGCGAAGTAGTCCTAGATTCTTGGTTAAGCACTGGAGTCGTTGGTTGAGATGTTGATTTAGCTCTTGATATCGTTGTTTGTCTATCAGGCTGAGGCGATTGAACTTGAGATGGTGGTGGGATCTGTGTACGAATTTCAGGCAACTCATTCTTGATCTTCTTCTCTTTCTGAGCTTCAGCTTGTGCTTGTGCTTGTGCTTGTGCCTGCGCTTGTGCTTGGGCTTGCGCTTGGGCCTGTGCTTGTGCTTGGGCTTGCGCTTGGGCCTGGGCTTGCGCTTGCGCTTGGGCTTGGGCCTGTGCATGTTGTTGATACTGTGCTCTTGCAGCTTCTTCCTTAGCTCTCTTACGCTTCTTCATCTCATCAACAAGGAAATAAATAGAAATCAATGGATGGAATCCGCCAGTAGGATCTGGTAAAATGTGCGCATTAGAAGCAGTAGCATATTCACGACCTTGGTCGGTAATCTTTTGCCAATTTTCACAGCTCATCTGGTATTCCACGCTAGTAAGAATGTTGGTCAATTCTTCAGAGATGTGTTGAACTGTTCCCAATTCGAAAGATGCAATAGTTTTGATAATCTCAGGATCCAATGGTAAAGATAATGGTTGTCTTTTAGGGATATAACTGGAAATTCTGTACTCATAACCCTTATTCATCCAAGGATGCTGAAGAACCTCATGTAAAGTTGCTCTCTTAGAGGGGTCCACCACTAACATCCTTGAAAGTAACGAAATACACTCCTTTGAAAGGAACGATGGATATTCGACAGCACCTCTCTTAATTTTTTCATGCAAAACTGAAACAGAAGAGTCATCAAATGGAACTTTTCCACATACTAACACATACAACACGACACCAAAGGACCACACATCGACTTCAGGACCGATATATGGTCTAGCACACAACAACTCTGGGGCCGCAAAGTACAATGAACCACAATAAGTCTTCAACAAATTTTTAGGAGAATACAAGTTCGACAAGCCAAAATCAATAATCTTGATATCACCCTTCTCACTTATCATAATATTCTCAATTTTCAAATCACGATGTACCACATTGTTCTTGTGACAATAATCCAAAGCTGAAGCGATTCCACGAGCGAATTTACGTGCATTCTTTTCCTTTAAGGATCCATGAGCAACGATATAGTCCAACATCTGTCCACCTTCCACGTGTTCAAACAACATATAGTAATGATTTGTCATTGGAACCATTTCGTACAACCGACAGATGTAAGGATGAAACAACAATCTTCCTAATGCACCCTCACGAATGGTTCTCTTATCTCTAGCTACCTCTTTCTCATATTCCTTATGCCTCTGGGCAGCTTCTTGAGCAGTCGAAGGGGGTGGATCGTCGGAGTGGGCTCTTTGATAAACCTTTGCAGCTCGAGGAATGATTTTAACAGCACAAAGCTCGTGTGTGGAGTTATGCTGTGCAAGCTTCACCTTACCCATGGAACCGGCACCGATAGTTTTGACAAAATCCCAATCTCCAATAGACTTTCTGTGAAACTGTTGGGGTTGCTGTTGTTGAGCCTGCTCTGCCTGTGATGGGTGTCTTTGATGGCCACGGTGTTGTTGCTGGGGAGTGTGTGGGTTCTGGCTATGATGCTGGTGATGGTGTTGTTGCTGTGGAGGGGCCTGGGATGGAGATTGGGAATTCTTAGACGCAACCAAACTACCCGAGTTTGCATCTTTTGAAGGAGGAGACGCTATGGCTGCTGGAGGTAACAATTCCTTTCTCTGGGGCTGCTGAGGATTAATAGCAGCGGGTGTGGCAGGTGGGTGGGTTCTCGATGTGCTGGTGCTTCTCTGGTGGGTCGGCGCTGGAACGGTACGGACTGGCTGAGACTGTTGCTGCTGCCACTGATGGAAGCTCGATTCCCTGGAATGGGTGGTGGCGTCGGTATTGGTGACATAATGGGGAGACTCGCCGTGGTCCTCAGTGGATCTGGAGTTGATGTCCGACTTGGAATTGCGGAGCGACCCGCTGACACTTCTGAGCATACGTGGAGTAGCAGGCTCGCCTGGTCTGGCGTAGCCTGGGTGCTGGGATTGGTCGGATTGGGCTGGGGGGGTTCTGGAGGGAAGGTTCAGACTCGCTACTCGCCGAGGCTGGTACTGGGGATCGTGGGTGCCATTCGGATCCATTTTTGTTCAGTGTAGGGGATGTTGGTACTGGGATCTGTAGTGGTGCTGGCGACGACAATTGGGTGGTTCGTGATAAAACGGAGCAAACACGTCGTTGGGTAAAGCGACAAGCAAGGACTAGCTCGCGAACGGGTGGGGTGCTAGGGGCTTGGCGGGTTGGAACAGGTGGAACGGCTCCGGAAGAACAGGCGTCCGTGATGTCTCAATTAGTTAGATGGATTCAAAGCTCCTACTGTTACCCAAATCTCCGTCAATTTTGGCTGCTGGTTCCTGGCCCATTTTTTTCTTTGTTAGTGATAAAATCACGAGTACAATCAGGAACGGTCGTGCGCGCGCCCCGTTTTCACTATTTTCATGGGGTCCCTGGCGCCCCTGGCGCGGTAGGCAGAGGGAGTGCTAGTAGGGAACCGTAACTAGAGGGGAAGAGAGAGCTGGTAGAGGAATAGAGAGCTGGCAGGGGAACCGTAGATTGCTAGTGTAGGTACCTAGAGAGCCTTCTAGTGTCCTGAAACTATCGCTCGTAGCGTCGCTGGCTGGTGGCTCGCGCTGGCATTCTGGAACCACCACTGGCCCCTGCCGCGTCTATGTCACCGGGGAGTCGGTTTGTGGTGGTTCTGCGGCATGGTGAACTGGTGCGTCAGCCCAGAGTGCCTGGAACGGACAGCCAACGCCACCAAACCACGGCTCGCTAGACACCACAGACGGTACAAACGGCAGCTGGTGGCACAGGGCTCGTTCAGACAGTACACTGATCACCTTCGTGCCGTTGGCAGTGGCAGCACTGACCCGTTCTTCGGCCTGTGGTGCTTATCGTGGGCCTGGCAGGCTGGTAGTGCGGCCCTTCTGAGGCACTCGTTTGCAGGCGTGGCAGCCAGAACCCGGCCAAAAACCCTCACTTCAGTACTACGACAGCGAGACGACCACCAGGGGTGCCCAGCGGATTCCTGCTGGAGGCGGCCCAAATTCGGGAAATATTGCTTAAATATAGTTTCGTTACCGTTCTGTGATGAGGTGGTTGGGCAAGCGTACAGTAGAGATGTTGTTTGTTGCTCTTCTGGCGGTACTCCTGTGCCCCTGTTCCTCTTATTGTAGCCGTGGTTTGGTTTGGGGTGCGAAACACCTTGGGCCTACTGTGGTGGGACTCCCAGGAGACTACGGAAAGACGACGTGGCGTGAAGCGTGTTGGGTCAGACCACGCAGTATTCGGTTCTAATTAAGCGATGGTGAAACGAAGACACAAACCGTATACTAGTGCAGAAATTGGCCAGAAATGGCAGCTGTTCCATACTCTCTGGCACCTATCTTATTCTAGCCATCAGTAGCATCTCCAGATCAGAGTCAGTACATGCTGGGAACGCCTCGTCTGTCTTCTTGCACTTCCAGACCACGAAGACTCCTGGAGGGGCTAGAACAGGTGTTCTAGACAGCCCCTGATTCGGCCCTTCTATTTGGTGGTTCCATGTGGCTTGCCCTTGCCTCAACTAAATAGCCCGTATCCGACTTAATTAGTCGTAGTCCAAACTTCCTGGCTCACAGCTCCTTGTAAAACTACCTCCTCCACAGAAATATTCCGTACTCTAATTTAGCACTGGGCACTGGCGTCCTGCCCCAGCTATTCTAGTACCGACAATACTTCGATGTGGCTCTACATCCTCTTCAATAATTTAGTGCTGAAAACTACCATGGCTCTGCATCCTCTTCAATTTTAATCTTCACAAAACCACTGGCTCTTATTCCTTCTTTTTCTTAATCCTGACAATACCACCTTGCTCTACATCCGGCTTCAGAATCTTATATTACTCTAGCTAACCTCTTAGTGGTGGTGCTTCAAGTGGGTTTGGTATTCCCAAGTGTAACCCAAAAGAATGATGGCAATGGCAAAGTGGACCAATGGCTTACCAGAGGCGTTGTCACCATCAAAGTATGCGGCCTTGTACTTGGCAAGTGGGTTGGTTGGCTTCTTTGGGGCTGGAGCAGCACCGGTTGGCAACTTCTTGTAGAAAGAGACAACCTCGGCCATTCTCTTGGCGTTAGGGTTGGAACCGATGTTCTAAACGTTAGTACTAGTTCAACAGGGCTGGGCCACGCAGTTCGAGTGGGTGAGACTCATTGCTTCCAATGAATACCTATGGAGGGTTCTGGCATGGTGAGCCTAGCTTGAATGCTCTGAAACTTCCACGATTTGACGAAACTGGATCTCTCTGGATCACTGGGTGTATTTGACTTCTTGGATGACTTTCCCATCATATTTGTTCCGTTGTGACCATTCAGCTGGAATATGATCGCTGGTCTTGACTTATTCATCCGTTCTGGCATGTGCTGGTGTCGATGTTCATTCCACTCGGGGCCTGGCGGGCAATCCAATGCAAGTACATACCTTAGCAGAAGCAACCTTTGGTGGGATTAAAGTAGACAATTGTCTTCTGATGATGAAGGACATGATGACTGATTGTATATGGCTATCTAATTCGAACCTATTGGATTGAATAGTTTGGGTTTTGCTGGAATTTTTCTTGCCAGGACGCACGACCGGGCACCATAGTTAAGCACCATAGTTAAGCGGATGGAGGGCCATTTCGGCCAACGCGGGTGCGCGCTTTGATTCGCTGGCGCTTATTACACAATACTCGTGCACGTGATCAGTCACGTGACTAGAAGTCTCTACTATACATTACTACTATACATTTAAGCAACACTTATATATAACACTAGATTGTTAGTAATGGCTCAACGCACGAGGATGCGCTAGAAAACAGACGGCGGACGGGTTAGCTCCATATTTGCCGCTCGGTCGAACATGTTGTGGTACTATTGCTGCACTGGCCAATTCCACATGTACAGGCCTTCGTTCATCCGCTAGCTCCATTTATGGGCATGCAAACACATGGTTGAATCTTATTGTTCCATTTCTGTCTTTTCTTTTCCATATTTGTCCATTTCCTCACATACTGCCCATATTTTGACCACCAGTACCACTCGCTACCTCTATCCAAAGCCAACAGGCTTCCTCCATTGTTTCCCACCGTGTATCTCCGTTTTACGTACCATTGTTTCCTCTGATGAAAACATCACCGAAGTTCTTGCCTACTTCGTTGCCAACCAACTCTTTTCCATCATCCAACACAATATTCATGAAACCGTCTATGCTCTGCAAGTTGCCGGAGTATTGGATGCCGTTGTGTAATTTGACAACCACGGAGTTGCCAATGATGTCGCTCAAGAATTTGGAGGGGTCTGTCTTAGTGATTTCTGACATTATGGGTGGTTTCTGATGTTGGCTTATCGATAGTTTTTTCTCAAGTAGTGGTGCGTGCGCAGGCCAGGTATTGCCATAAAACTATAGCTGGTAGAACAACGAAACGCAAGGAGAGGGCCTTGTAATGAAGCACAATGAGAGCGATCTTCGTCAGCCATCTTTGGCGTGATCATATAAAAATGACAACAATACTGAACTACTTTTTATAAATTTATTTGTCTTGTTCATTAGCTTTTTAGCTATCTATTGTACATAATATACACTACTCCTCATAGTGAATCAACGAATCCAAGATTGTCAACAACTTGACCACCTCCTTGAGGCCAATCAAATTAATCAGGTCTTCTTTGTAGCTTTCGTGGTGCTGGTTGTTCTCAATCAAGAGATCACGCTTCATGATACCCACAACCAAGCTGTCGTAGGTCTTCAACAAGTCCTTGCATTGGATCAAACTTGGCTTGTATGTGGGGCCCATGGATAATACGATGGACACCACCAATTGGAAAATTGGCACCAAGAATTCGAAGTAAGAGACATTGTTGGAGTTCTTGCCTGGTCCCAATTCATTGAATCCAACAGGTGCATCCAAGACCAAACTAATCTTGACGTCTTGGTGGTCGCCTAAGTTCAAACTCATTCCAAGATCGGGATTGATCTTCAAAATTGAGCATTGCTTAATTATGGAGAAGATTTCACATTGGATCAATTGCAAGGCACCAGGCTTGGATTGCGATACTCTGATAAGGAAGTATAACGTTGACTTGAAAGCAGTCAATTCAAACAACAAGGTTTCAAGACTGATGCCTTCGCCTCCTTTGCCATTCTGTAAACTTTGGATCATTTCATCAGTTCTTTTGATCGACTTCACTAATAACAACAACGAGTTGTTCTTGATCAATCTCTTCAACACGAAGTTCTGATTTGAGAACGAGGACAAATGAATCAAACTTTCCAACAATAAAATCGAAGTGATTCTTGAAGAGCCTTCAGAATAAATTGAGTCGTTCAATATGATTTCAATGAACTTCTTGTCTATCGATCTAATAATCGAAGAGGTTTCGTCGATCATAGATTGATTCTTGAATACCTTCAATAAGAACTTGTTGGTCAAGACATAGAGGTTTGATCTCAAATTAGGAGTAGAATTTGAGTTCAAAATACCTGTAATACATGTCTTGAACAATGAAGTGAGTCTTTGCATACCCTGGAGAAAGTCTTCATTGGCACTCTTCTCAAGAATCTCCTTGTCGTACAAATCGAACAACAAAACACTTAAAGAAATCAATTCTTCAGAGAATAGGATATCGGTCTCCAAGTAGTCATTGATCTTGGGTAAGATTATCTGAAGAACTTCTAGAATAAAGTGATGTCTTGAGATTTTTGGATCGGTGATCAATATCTCAATTAACTGACACCATGAGTGCAAACATTTCAATTGAATGTTTCTCAAATTAGTCGAAAGGATGAATTTATTGATGAAGTTGTGAAGCTTGTTGGATTCAACAATAATCTCAGAAGTCAAAGCAGAAGTATCAATTGCGGGTTGTGAAATGAATGTCTGGCTCAATTGAGTATTTTGGTTACTTGGGACAACTTGATTCTGGCTAAAGATGCTTGGTAATGTCTTGAATGACTGTTGACTTTGAATGGAGCGCTGAGTACCTGGAAGTTCTAGCGGTCCAAATGTATGTGCACCTTTAGTTTGACTGACAATTTTCACAATTTTGTCCAAGATGCCAAAATCCAACTTGAAATCGAATCCTTTAACATCTTCAACAATGGTCTCCAAATCGAACTTTTGATTCAACATCTCACCATCAGTGATATCGAAATTCTTAAACTTGAAGTTCAACACATCTAAGAAATTCAAAATTCGCGATGATCCACTAATAAAGTCTTCATGAATATTCAATAACAATTTAGCATAATGATCTTTCTTCGTAATCGATTGGATATTGTGGAACTCCAATGATAAGTATTGCAAAATCAACGTTCTTTGATTTATGAAGGAGAAGAGAGCTTGATAACTTGCTTCAGACTCAATGAATTTGTTTTCCTCATCCAAATCCCCGTTGAAAGGAAGTTCCTCCCATAAAGTTTGAAGATCGATTTTAGGCTGATAATCAAGCAACTTCTCGAAGAGGGAGTGGAAGTCTCTCAAATAAGTCAATGTTACATGAGAACTAATCGCGTCTTGGCTGAGTTTGATAATCGTTTCCAAGATCAATGATGAAATCTTAGAAGGTCCGGCTTGTACATTGAAACCATCTCCCAAATTGGTAAGGTTGCCTTCCAAGGTATTCAACAAAACCCTCAAGAGCGTATTATGAGACAGTTCATCGGAACTAGAGGGATTTGTCAAGAACAAATTTCCACCATGAATCTCATATCCCAAAAGGAAATGTCCGACATTAGGACTGGTACCATTGGATTTGTGAAGATTCTCAAGTAAAAATTCCAAGATCTTGGATTGCATTGACACATTCAACGACTCAAATTGACTAATGAAAGCATACTTGATCTTTATGGATTCATCAATACTCTCGAACGTACTTAACAATCTATTCTTTCTCAAAATAGATTCATTATTTGAAGTGATGAAGAATGAGGAGGATGAAATCTTGCTCAAGATATTAATTGAAGAGAAGACTATTCTTTCTGAACTTGAGTTGCCGACATACAACGCGATTTGGGGAATGACAGATAAATTGAACAACAATATTTCAAAGAAATCGGTCACACCATTAGTTCCAATTGTAGCAGGTGTGTAAACATTATCGAGAATAGACTTTCCAACAGAATTGAAAAGACTTGTATGAGTTCCCACTGTAGAACTTTTGACTGACTCTTGGTCTTTCATAATTGGAAGCAATGTCTTTATAAAGGTATTCTGTAATTTCAAAACATCTTCCACAACATTCAACGCAGTTTCAACTAATTTCACAACGTTTGCATCTCTATCGAGAGTATCTTGACCAATATTAATTATGCTCATCAATGACTTGTATACTTTCTCATCAAACAAATAATTTAAGATTGGAATCGAGTGATGCAACTTGATAAATGACTTGTAGTCTAACTTTAGGCCAGAAATGTTAGACTCAAAGATTTCATTAAAGTTGGTAAGGTCATGAATAACTCTCGATGAAGTATCAGTTAAAAATACCCAGTCAACCTCTTCAAGAGAAAACTTGATAATCTTGACAACTTGAGTTTTGATCTTAGTTTGGTCTTCAAAATTAGTCATTCTGTTGGACTTTCCAAAAGCTTCGACCATTAAGTATTCAATATATGGCCAAATACCAACAGAGTTATTTATTCTATACCCTGATCCCAAATCAACAGGGTATAACAATGAATACTTTGCGAATGCTTCACTTTGATTAGATAATGGAGTCAATAGATTTGACACTAACCTGATGAAATTGCTCACTTGCGAGAGAGATTTTAACTTGATTTCAAAGCCTTGATTGAGTCTGATAAGCCTCTTATTGATATACTTGGGTCTAGTGGACTGATGCAAAAATGGATCTTTTTGAATTGAGTTTGAAGGATTTTCTCCTTCACTCATTCCGTGATACAACCAGCGATCAAGTATCTCCCATACTTTGAATCTAATGCTCAAATCTTGCTCATCCTCAACAATATTGTTTAAAAGGTTGAGCATCAAGTTGATCAATATAACTCTGTTTTCCTCGCTGATTGTTATGTTAGGTAAATCAACATACTTAGGATTCTGAGTATTGTTCGAGTTCACATCGACACTCAAGTTTTTGCCTCCAGTTATTAAGTTGTCAAAGTATAAGAAGCCATTGATGATAGGGTAGAATCGGTTCAAAGCAGCTAGTTTGATATCTTTTGAATCTGACGACAAATTCTTAAACACTGAGGAGATAAGCTGAACAAATCCAGAAATGAAAACTAAAGAATCTTCGGCCAATTCGATAACCAAGTTGTCCTTTGATTGTGACAAATTATCTTGTTTAACCGAATTACTGGAGAACAAGAATTCTTGTCTCTTCTGTTGCTGTTTGAGCTTATCAGTCAAGTTTTCCTCAAACCTCTCTTTCAACGAGTCGATATAATAATTCAAGGAGTTTAGAATTGAATCTATGGAGATCTTTGAATAATCGTTTTTCTTCATCGAGGAATGATTGTTGGTTATGAGAATTTCCCAAATTTTAGATGCTGAATCATTTCCACCAGAAGTTAAAGATCCTAATAATAAGCAAAAGGTGGCGGTGATGAGAGGAGAAGTATTGTTGCTCAATCCCCATGAAAAGAAGCCCATAATATCGTTTGAAACGCTCTCAGATGTCCAAAACAAGGAGCATATTTCACTTCTATTAGAATATGTGTAAGCGAATGCCAAGTAAAACCTTTCCAAGTCTGATCTAGTGGAAATTTCATCCAAGTCCAACGTATCTTTGTCAACTTCGGATATATTTGAAGACTTCTCGATATCATCTTCATCTCCAGGTCTGATTTCACCTTCACCTCTTTCAGTTTCTTGAAGTTGTTTTCTGTTCATAGAAGATAAAAGGAAATCTTCCTCGCTATCTCTCAACAGGATGAGCAAAAGAGCAGCGTTTGTCACGAATTCCACAAAAAATTTATGGAAGAATGGTGCCAAAAGAGACTCGTTTGAACTTTCGCTAATCTTGTACGGTGCCAAATCAGTGAGAATCGAAACATTTTCGTAGCCCTGTTTTGACTCCTTCAACTGGAGCAAGTCTTGACTCATAGGATAGATAAACTTTTTAGGAGACAATTTGGGGCATGTTTTTTGCAACAAGGACCTGAAATCGTAAACATTGCTCCACTCGTATTGCTCTAGTGTCTTTGGATGACAGGACTCGGATGTGTAACACAATAACCATTCCATGAAATCAAAATTAATTGCCCACTCCATATATTTGACAATGTCTTCCTTGAAATCATACTTGTCAGTACGTGCTTGGCTTTGCTTGCACCAGGTAGTGAAGAATGTGAAAAAGATCATACTAGAAGTAATTTGAAGTCCAGTCATATTAGAGTTGGTCAAGTCCACGATATCATTGTTGGCGATGGTTTTATATGATTTGGATAACTCGGAAGTGATGTACTTATGGAACTTGTCAACCTTTGCTTCATCGTCTGAGCTCAATAAGTTGATAATGAATTTGAAAATCACAGGTAAAAACTGGACCGACAACGAATCGTCATTTTGGATGTTTTTGGTTGCGAAGTCCATGATCTTTGTGTAGAATGAAAGGGTCCCGAAACGATCAAAGTAGTTATCAATCAACGTGTATAAGATTAAGCTCAAAGTTTCGTGACACTTGAACAATTGGGACTTGGAGAAGCTGATGGCATTGATGAAGAGGAGATCATTGATGTTGCTTGTGACTTTCTGCTTTTCTATCAAGTCATTCTGAAAGTTCACCAACTTGTATATTTTCTCAAAACTATCGAGAACTGTCTGGAAGAGTCCTTCGAACTGGTTGGGTTCAAGGGTCAGATGCAATGAATTGTTTGAGGCGAGGTACCCCACGATGTTCAATATGTATTGGTATCTTGCGTAAAATGCATATCTCGTGGTGTCTTTGAAGGAGGTTCCCTTTTGGTGCCCTTCGGGCTGGGCATGGAGGGCCAACTCAGCGGTCATGACTTCGTCCAAATCAAACTCGCTCGACAACAAGATTGTTTCTTCCACGAACTGGCTGTTGAACTTGAACTCGTCACCATTGTAGAGACGGGTAGGCTTGGACTCGTCGCTCAATCTCTTGCGGGATTCTTCATTCTTGCTGGGAATCTTCAAGAGATCCAGAAGGTCTTTCTTCAATGTGAAAAGGGTGTCATGATCTATTGAGCCCGAGGTTTGGATGGAATTGTAGCATTCGGCTAGGAGATCCGTCGACCAGTGAAGTTGTGAGCTTGAGCTCATGGTTGGTACAATGGAATTGGCCTGATGGTGTCTGCTTGTTTATTGAAAATTTTGTTTACTTACTTAGGCCATGTGCAGGAGCGGACTCTACAAGTAGGAAGTGGTGGAGAATGTTCGAGTTCTCCGGGCTGGTTCAAGTGATTAGGCTTGCTGGACGTTGTCGAAACATGAATGCATATTGGTGCTCTCAGTAGTTTGTTCGGTGATGGCATTCGTTGTCTTCCATCACTAATAGCTACTTACTCACTTTGGGTGCGAGAACACAACCAGTGGTAAATATCTCGAACGAGGCATGTGGAACTGTTGGAGGGACAGTCTGCAGTAGCAGTCTGAAATCCGTTTGGCACCCATTAAATCTACACTGCTAGCCGAAACTGTATCGATAGACACCAATTATTATGAGACTATCGAACTATCCAATATTTGAACACTCATCCCAAAGGAAATATCAGCCATTCACCAGCTAGAACATTCAGCCCGAAACTCCAGCTACACACGAATAGCAATATTCGTGAGTCACTATCTCTAGTCTAATTTTCTGCTGGCAATTACAACAGGCCTATTATTTCCTCCAGCTCTACACCAGCCTAACGGTTCTTGCTGTCAGAGCATCTTCCTTGTAAATACATAGCAACAGTCCTCCAACTTCCACCTCGGTAAAATTGCTAGATTTAATTATAGAGCTACTACGATTGTTCATCTCATAACTGTGCATTTGCGCTAGCTCGCTAGCCCCAATAAATAACGTCTCAATAAAGACCAATAGGACACCCATCTTTAATACTCATGGTCAAGTGGGATTGCTTCTTGAAATTTGGCTCGTCGTGATAACAGTCGAGGTTGGGGAACATTTGCGCCAATCTGGTGATAACATATGAAGCTTCAGTCAATGCAAATTGTTGACCCAAGCAAATTCTTGGACCACCGTTGAAAGGAACAAACGCCCATCCCAACTTTCTGGTAGATGGCTCGAACCATCTTTCTGGTCTGTATTGCTCTGCATCCTTGCCGTACACCTTCTGGTCTCTGTGGGTAACGTATACTTGGTAGATGACATTTTGACCCTTGGGGATGAAAACTGGGGAGTGGCCATCGGGACCACCTCCTCTTGGGAGGGTGGTGTCTTTGGTGGCAACTCTGAAATTTTGAGGAACAGAAGGATACAATCTCAAGGTTTCATTGATCACGGCCTTCAAGTATTCACATTTCTTGAGCGACTCGAAAGTGATCTCGTCGATTCTGGCATCATCGCCAGAACCAAACTTCTCGTAGATTTCTTCCTTCAATTTCCTCCAGACCTCTGGGTTTCTGGCCAATTCGTAAAATGCAAACGACAAAAGCCCGGCAGTGGTATCTCTACCAGCAACCAAGATGTTCAACAACTGGTCTCTTAAAATCTTTGGGTCTCTGGTGTGTTTGACCAACTCATACAAGAATGTGTAACCTTCGCTGGATTTCTTTTCGATTTCTTCTGGGGTTGCCTTCAAGGCCTGTCCCACGTAGTAGTCGGCAAACTGGTGGACCTTAGCGTTGCAGTCTCTGAACTTCTTTGGGTTGATAATCCAGGAAAATTTCTGGAAAACAGCCCTGGTGGCCAAGATCTCTTGCGAGTAGTTGAAGGCATCAGCAAAACCGTCCTTTCCGTCAAACGACACAGCGTTCTTTTCCATGCCGATCGAGGCATCTTCCAACGACACAACCGACTCACCAAACAAGAACTCGGTGGCTGAGTCGACCGTCAACCTGAAAAACAACTCCTGGATGTCGAACTTGGCCCCGTTGTACTTGCGCACATGTTTGGCCAACGTCTGCATGTGGGGCTCCAACGCCTTGACGTGTGCAACCTGCTCTCTGGCAAACTGGGGCCTCAACATGGCTCTGGAGTGCTTCCATCCCTCGCCATCCAAGGTGAAGATCCCGTCACCCAACAATGGCTTGAAGTGGCCGTGTCTGAATCCCAAGCTGAAGTCGTTGAACTGGGTGGCCAACATAGCCTTGATGTTTTCTGGATCCTTGGTGATGATGATGGGCGCACCAAACACTCTCAAACTGAAGGTGTCGATGTCGGTGTTTTCAAGGTTCTTGAAGCGTTCGATGTTGAAGTCGAGCAACTCGCCTGTCGCCTTAAGCTTGAGGATCTGGCGTCCGGCCTTAATGCCAAACGAGCCATCATTAAGGTTGTTGACCAACGGCTTAGCGCCCAATTGTCTCAGCACCCGCCAGAGCCTGATCAGGTCTATCACTTTGAAGAGAAGGTAGGCCAAAGGTGCTATCAAGTACCATTTGGTGAAGTAGCTGGAATATTCGTCCACTTGTTGCGAGGAGATCATTCTTGCTGGATTGGCTGCTTCATGGTGGAAGGTGGTGTCTTCTTATAGGGTGAAGAGGGGAACTGTTTTTGGAACAAACATATGAGAGATGCGCATGGTTCGGAGGTACCTGCATGCATATGATTCCCACTGGCCGCACCTTATGGGCATAAACGGAGTTCGCAAAATGTTGGCAACCCTAGACGTCGATCCCGATGGTTCCGGAGCTAGTGCCTAGCATGGCAATACTCCGACGCCTGTGAAATTCACTAGCCTGTATGGCATCTATGGGCGAGATGCAAACCAGGGCGACATGGATGATCCTGGCGGTGAGGCATCGCTGCTGCTGCTGCCCATAAGCTTGCCACTGGATGTGAGTTGTACTTTGGCAGATTCTTTTGCTGGTGACAGCTGCTTGTAGGGTGTCATCGACGTCTGTTCCTGCAAAATACTGATTACTATGTGGTGGTTGCGACAGGCCACTAGCTCTCCACGCATAATTCGGTGCATAGGTGCACGGACCTTGCGCACACTGCGCCGCTTCTTTAGCCGTCACATGCAGATCATCTTCACGTGAAGCACGCGGCGGTCCCCTAGTGAGGGGGATGGAATATGGGGTTATGTATCTCAGATTTGAAATGACCAAGGTTGGATGGATTGCCATATATTCCTAGCATGCACAGCCTAATTTAACAGATGAGCACTAAACTAAAAATAAGAGTGGCAAGTGGTAAATGGGGCAATTATGGTATTAATGGTGGCCAATAGTGGTTAATCGTCAATGATATATTTGTAGCTTCAGGAAGAAAGGGTTGGAGTACAAAGCCTTTGAATACCTGAATTTATTATTCACTTGTACTTCCACTGATGTAATTACAATATTGGCGTCTTCATATTTCCAGCCCTACACGGATATAATAACGGTATTTTTAATAAATAGTGTACTTAGTACAAATATATGGTAGAAGAATGCATGAGCCTAGGCCCACCTCGCAAATAGAACTAGAAAATGCACTTAAGCGTCTGGTCCAGCAGCTTGAACTTCACTGGTGGCTTGGTCAGAGTACTTCTTGAAGTTTTCACTGAACTTGCCAGCCAAGGACTTGATTTCGTTGTTGAACGAGTCAACACCTTCAGTCCAGGCCTTGGTTGGGTTCAAGATTTCAGATGGAACACCTGGGCAAGAGGTTGGAACACTCAAGTTGAAGGTTGGGAAGTTTTCGTATTGAACCTTGCTCAATTCACCAGAGTGGATAGCATCCAAGATGGCTCTGGTGTACTTCAAGGAACATCTCTTACCGCCTCTGGCAGCAGAAGCTCCGACCCAACCGGTGTTCAACAACCAGGCGTTGGCGTTGTGTTGCGAGATCTTGTCAGACAATTGCTGAGCGTACTTCATTGGGTGCAAAACCAAGAATGGTTGACCGAAACAAGCAGAGAAGGTGGCTTGTGGTTCAGTAACACCTTCTTCGGTACCAGCCATCTTGGAGGTGTAACCGGAAATAAAGTGGTACATGACTTGTGCGTTGGACAACTTGGAGACTGGTGGTAACACACCAGAAGCGTCACAGGTCAACAAGATGATGTTGGTTGGGTGGGTGTCAGCCAAACATGGGATCTTGGCAGATGGGATGAAGTCAATTGGGTATGCACATCTGGTGTTCTCGGTGATGGTGGAGTCGTTGTAGTCAACCAACTTGGTGGCTTGGTCGTAGACGACGTTTTCCAAGATGGCTCCGAACTTGATGGAGTTGAAGATTTCTGGCTCCTTTTCGGCAGACAAGTCCAAACACTTGGCGTAACAGCCACCTTCGATGTTGAAGACACCGTTGTCAGACCAACAGTGCTCGTCGTCACCAATCAACTTTCTGTTTGGATCGGCAGACAAGGTGGTCTTACCAGTACCAGACAAACCGAAGAAGAGGGTAACGTCTCCCTTTTCGGTACCTTGGTTACAAGAGGAGTGCAAGGTCAAGACTTGGTGCTTGATAGGCATCAAGTAGAACATGACGGTGAAAATACCCTTCTTCATTTCACCAGCGTACTCGGTACCCAAGATAACCATCTCCATATCCTTGAAGTTGATTTCAACAGAGGTAGAGGAGGTCATACCCTTGGTGTGGACGTTGGCTGGGAACTTACCAGCGTTGTAGATGGTGAAGTCTGGCTCACCGAAGTTGGCCAACTCTTCAGCAGTAGGTCTGATCAACATGTTGGTCATGAACAAGGCGTGGTAGGCTCTACCACAGATGATTCTAACCTTGATTCTGTATCTTGGGTCCCAGCCGGCGTAGGCGTCAACAACGAACAACTTTTCTCTGGTTCTCAAGTAGTCCAAAGCACGGGATCTGGAGATCTTCCAGGTCAACTCATCGACCTGCTTGTTGACAGGACCCCACCAAATGTTTTGGCTGGAGGTTTCTTCGTCGACAATTCTCTTGTCCTTTGGAGATCTACCAGTCTTCTTACCGGAGTAGGCCATCAAGGCACCGGTGGAAGAGATGGTGGTACCCTTTTCCAACAAACCGTCTTCGTATAAGGTAGGTGGAGGAGCGTTGTGACGAATGATCACCTCAGGATTCAAGGACAATTGCTTGACCAAAGGATCTTGGGTAGTCTTGATGGTTGGGTGACCATGGAAATTGATAGTGGATTCGACTGCGGTTGGAGGAGTCATGATTGTGGATGTTAGTGGAGAAACAAGTCTGAAACTAGCAGGAATTGGCTGTTATTTATACCCATTTCACTGGTGCTAACTAGCTACCCGGAGAAATGGAAGTCGGAGCAGGGCCACCACAAAAGACCGCATAATTGCCCTACTCGGATGTCACGCCCTACAAAATCTGGGGTAAGGAGGTTTCCGGAACCGTTTTGGCGGTGCACAGGCGGTTCCGACTTCTGCCGGCTTAGGTAACCGATTATGTAAATGGCCGCTGCGCCCGGGCCAAGGGAACTTGCTAGGGTCACAATACGCTTGGAACATGCTCGGCACAAGGGAGCAATTTCATGCGCTGGGCCCAGGCTCTGCCGACTGGGCTTCTTGTCAGGACATATCCGAGCTCCTGGTGGGCCCATCCAGACAACCTCTCCTGCTGTTACATCCGACTTGCTCTCCCGGGATGGGCTACAGTTCGGTGCCTTCCCCGGACACCTTGTATGGATATCGGCCACCCCCTCTTTCCCCGCGAATCTACGGGTGTGAAAAACCTGGGGAGAAAACCACCGGGGCCGACGCCAGTTTCACAGCAATCTGACGGCTCCGACGCCCAACACTGGCGGGTGAAAATGCCGCAGGGGGGGGCAAGCGACCGGTGTGGGCTGGTAAACCCCACTGCATGACGTGGAAACCCCAGCCAGTTGCTGCAGAAGCAGTGTCAGCCCTTCGTCCCGGGTGATTTCGGGATGGGATGGAATGGTGCTGAGATTGCCAGGAACATTCCCGGTTGGCAGGGCCTAGGCCGTTGGGTGTCTTGGAGGAGCTATCGCGCCTGGCCTGACCTGGACTGACGTGCTTATAGCAAGATGTAAGCAGTTCCAGTCCTATTCTGTTCTGAAATGGGCTGTTCTTGGCTACCATGGTCCTCGGTGCGAGTGCTCGCTATTTTTCATTTTTAGCAATTATCGCAAATTCAAGCGAAAATTGAAAAATCATACAGTAATTACCCCAGATTCATTATAACAGGCCAGTAAAGGAAACCGAGGAACCCATTTGGCTGCTACCACAAGGTTGCCACACGCAAATACACGCAGTGTCTACTGGACCTACTTCCAGTAACTGGAAGTAGCTCTGGGGCTATCTGAACTGTCCAAATTGGGCGCAAAATCGGACCGTTTTCTCCTCTCTGTCAGTTTGACGTCCTTCCGTCTCATCCCATGAAACTGTCTGCCGGAGTGAGCGGGGCACTCCGACCACGCCCCACTTCTTGATGGGTGCAAATCGACAATAGCCACTAATGGCCCATCCTTTATGGGTCGGGCTAACGAGGAACGGTTTCCTGCATCTGGAGTCTTGACTTAGAATCCGGGCTCATAGAATTCGTCCCGGAGATCCAAGGAACGAAAAGGAGGCTAGGCCACCCGGTGAAGATCGCTACAATTCACCCTGCCAGGCTATCCCCACCCGCGAGGATCGACTACGATCCATCTGAAGTCCGGTATATCCCCGCCCTTTACAGCTCCGAACTCGCCTCCGAATAATCTTCCATATATTACATCGAGCACGCCGTGCCTATATACACCTAATTTACAATAGTCAAAAAAGAGCACCCGCGCTCCAAGGATTGGGCCACAAAGTATTCTTTGCGGATATTCCATGTGCTGAAGCGTTTATTGTTTGGGTTGTGGTTTGGGTGGAATCCTACCCAACACTAGTGGTTCTGTCGTGATCTTCGTAGTGTCTCAAGCATTGGCCATCGCTAATGCTTGGTCTTGAACGCTTTCTCTGAATCCTGTTTGAGATCATAATAGTCGTAGTAGTACTTCCACTCATGGAACCCGATTTCCTTGACTCCACTGATGGACTTGTCATCGTTGACCCCTACCATAATACATTGGTTCATCACAACCTCGCCGTCGTTCAAGTTGGACTTGAGGAATGTAATTCCACTGCATATCAACCCATACTTGAAGATTTCCGTCAAGTTGGAGTACAGAGGGTCAATCACAGGTCCCACGATACCTCCAGTCAAGGGAGTGTTCTTGGGAGTACCCCCCACTACACACTCGTCCATGAATGGATAGAACCTAGCAAGGGGCGACTTGTTGGTGAATAGAATAATACTTCCAATCACACTTTGGTTTGTGGGCTCCAAGGCAATGATAATCTTTACCCCAAATGGGGAACTGCTTCCTAAATGCTTGATAGCCTCCAAGTATAAGTTTTTTATGCTCTCAATTTCCTCTTGCTCTTGGGTGCCTTTGGCCAGGTCGCGAATCGACCTGTCGATAAGCTTCATTAATTTCTCCGGATCACTGCAAATATCGAATCTCACTCCAACTATCATCAATTCCCTGAATATTTTCTTTGGTACCAGCCATTTCTCTAACCCGTCCAACACCATCACATACTTCTTTCTCAAGTCCTTGTGCACAATATCCCATCCCAAATTGTGCATGAATGAGATCACTTTAGTATTGTTGGGCAAGAGCGAAAGATTGGAGTTCTCCGGGAAAACAAACAAGGGAAATGAAGTTCCTAACGTTATTTTCTTGCAATGTTGCTCTTTTATGAGATATCTCATAGCTCTAGAATGGAGATTTTTACCTATGCTTTGGGATGTCTTCGACTTGTCAACCAAAAGGTACATAATAGAGCCGATACTCTGAGATTCCTCTTTTGTAAGGTCACCATCCAAAGCAACCTGATCATGTAGCCATGTCAAAACTACACCATACAAGATGTTAAGTGACGAATTTCTGACCACAAAATGACGCTGTGTTTTAGAAGATGCTGCTAAAAGCCCATACATCTTCTTGAAGAAGTTCTCGTTGCGATAATCGATCTTGTTGTTTCCCATGGTTGCAACATCGGTATCAATGTTATTGTTCATCCACAATTTAACAAGACCAGGCCAGTCGCGATCTAATTCAAACTCATCAACCAACCATCTCCTTTTTGGAATTGGGTTTCGTAATTTCTTGTGTGAGTCTGCGCTTTCATCTCCAGGCTTTCCGGACCATTTGTCTTTCTTCAGCTTACCAACAAACATTTTTTCACCAGGTATACATCCTTCCGGTTCAAAATCTCCCATCAATACACCTACCAACTTCTCCAACAGATTATTTGTGTAATCATAGCAACACAAGTAAGCACTTCCAATAGTCTTATTATAAAATAGATCATAGGGTGACAGTGTTGCAACAATAATTAATGGTTTGGATAACTGGGAAGATCCGTTGGCAGAGTTATTGAATGAATTTGGGTCAGCTCCACAGAGGATAGAAACGTACTTAACTATTCCGATTTGGTACATGTTTCTAGAGGCCTCAGAAGTTAACACGATCACAACTTTAGAGTTTTCGATCAATGATTCATGCAAGGGAGTGAGCCCGTTTGCAGTGTAAGTTGTATGAAGTACGTTGTATGGTTTGGACTCATTAACCTTGTGATTGGATAGCATGTCACCGAATTTTTGGAACACCTCTTCTCCGGTAAAGAGCTGTTTATTGTCTTCATGACCAGATGAATGAGCGTAGATTGGATTAAGAAGGGGGGTTAAGAGGAGAATATTATCAACATTCTCCTTTCCTGCCGATATGAACTTCGTGATTGGTAGAGTTTCGTTGAAATCACGCACCAAGGTGATTGACTTTTGATATGCTAGTTCAGAGAGCCTCTTGTGCTTAGCCCATAGATCAGGAAACTCATTTTTGAAAAATGTGATTTCGTCTTCCTTGGCCGAGGCCTCTCCTCGCGGAAACAATTCCGACCACTTAGGTAACTGCTTTTGCAACTTTTCGATTCTGGCAAAGCTGGCCGAAACTGTTTCCTCATCGAGAGTTCCGTTCGATATCGCTTTTTCCATGGACTCAAGTGCCTCATTCTGTAGAGCGAAATCGTGACAGACCATAACCAAGTCACATCCGGCAGAAATTGCCAACACGACACCCTGGCCCAAGCCTATGGAATGGTACAAGGCGTCCATTTCCAAGCACTCACTGACAACAAAGCCTTTGAATTTAAGGTCCTGTCTCAAGAGCTGGTTGATCAACACGGGGGATAGGCAAGCGTGGGTTTCGTCGGGACTGATTGTGGGCACCCCGCAGCCGGCTGCACTCACACCATCAAGTAGGTTCTCTTCGATCAACTTGGCGAACGGAACACTGTTGAAATGTTTGATTTGTTCCAACGAGTCTCCGATCATGGGGAGCTCGAGCAACGAGTCAACAGTGGCGTTTCCGATGCCTGGAAAGTGCTTTCCGACGGTGAAAAGACCACCGTCCCGGAGGCCCTTGGCGCACAGCAAGCCGTACTTCGTCACACATTCGATGGTGGTGCCAAAACTACGGACCCCGACCAACTGGTGCGACAACTTGGTAACCACATCGAGCACAGGCCCCAATATAATCAGGAAGCCGATTTTCTTCAATTCGATGGCGATGGCCTTGGATATTTCGTACACCAACTCGGTGTCGCCAGTGGACGCCAACGCCATGGCCCCCGGACACTGGGTCAAGAAGTCTGGGTCGAACAACGAGTTCATCATGCCACCCTCCTCATCGATGGCGAACATGATGGGGTACTTGTAGTTGGCCTGGCTGAACGCAATGTACTGGAGGTCTCGGATGAGCTTCGTCATTTGGGCCACTGAAACTGCGTTTTTTCGGGACAAAATCATGGAGGACACATGATTGTCGACAATGAGGTGGTAGGCCTGGGGCGTGACGGTGGTTCCTTGGAACCCGCCGCAGAGAAGTTGCCCTACCTGGAAATTGGGGAGATCCAGCGGGCTCATTGTGGTGGTATGGATGGATGTAACGTTGGATGGGGTTGATGTAGTGCGGGTCAGGTGACGAAGTATGGGGTTGGTGCGGAGCGGAGCGCTGCGGGAATGGGGAGAGGCTGGGACAAGCAGGAGGCTGGGAAGGGCAGGAGAAGGCAGGAGGTACAGGAGGGGCAGGAGGTACGGAGTGACCAATGAGCGTGTAGTGTTGCTAGAGAAGCGTGGCAATTTTCTCGTTCTTCGCTGCGAGCTCCACTGGAATCTTCTGGTACTAACATTTGTGCATCCCGCACTAATAGACCCGCACTTGGACTATTCCACAACAAGATCCTGATCTGTGCATCTTGTACCCAAAGTCGACGTGTCTGTCCAGAAAGCACACCTGGAGCTAGAGACTATCAGGAGCTTGTCAGCACACTTCTTGGAGCGAGCTTGTCAATTCATCACATCTTGAAACCGAAGACAATCACCAGCTTGTCAAACCATAACTCAGTAGTTGGAACCGAAGACAGTCTTGTTAATTCTGCACTTCGTGATCACAATTTGCTGGTTTACTCTGTTACTGTCAAAGCCGCTCATTCCAATCACCTGTCCTGGAAAATCCAGAACTGCGTGCCATTGATGCTTCACGATAATCCAATCCTTCCACTAACTCTGACTATGGCCGACCATGGGAATTCCTACGCTTTGGGAGGTGCTTCGGACCAGTTTTGACGAAAGAGTGTCGATCGACGAATTCTCAGCCGAGTACCTTCGCCAGCACCGCAGGCCAGTCCGGCTAGCCATCGATGCTTACATGTTCATCTTCAAGTCCACCGTCAATTTGGCGGCCAACCCTCTAGACGACGAGTCCACCCACCCGTGGATAGTGCTGAACTTTCTCTCCAAGGTGATGTACCTCGTCTCCTTGAACATTTCGTTCGTGGTGGTGTTTGACGGCTGCTGGAAGCCCAGCAAGTTGCGCCACAGCACCACCAGCGACGCTATAGAGGTCAATGACTATGATGCAGACCTTGCGGTGTTCTTGAGATTGCGTCCCCACCAGTACGACGAAGCATCGCCACTCATAGAAGCGATAAAGTCCAGACTAGACGAGCTCGACATTGACTACACCCAAGCCCCAGGCGAAGCAGAAGCCCAGTGTGCCTACTTGCAAAAATTCGGAATCGTCGATTATGTGCTCTCCGATGACGTAGATACTCTTGTGTTTGGAGCCTCGGGTGTGCTTCGCAATTTCAGCAGATACAAGGAAGATGTGGGGACGTCTCCCAAAAAGAGTGATCCTGGGGCATCAGTGACCTCGAGATTCTATGTGACTCCAGTACGGATGGAGAGGGTGGAGCAAGAAACTGGTCTTACCACGCCTCGGTTGGTCTTTTTGGCGTCTTTGGGTGGAGGAGACTACTCGAAGGGTGTTGAACGAATAGGAGTTACCAATGCAACCAAACTAGCGCTCTGTGGGACGAGCCATGCTGCATTTTATCACAGGAAATTGTTGAAAAAGGAGCTTAAGAAATCTCCAAACCAAAATAGAGCCCCTCTTCCTGATTTCTCGGAGCAACTAATCAGATGCTTTACTAATGTGCCAGCACATAAGTCGATTTCTGGCTGGGACCTGATCTTGCCTTCCAGCACCAGGAAAATCGAATTGGCCAAGTTTTTGGACACTTTGAATTCCTCGATCAAATCTAATTCGAGAGAGATTTTTGGTCGCTTGGTAACATTGTCTCAGGGTTTGGTGGTTGATGAATACTTTCCCTTGTTGTATCTATTCCCATTTGTGGATAGTCTGCCGTACAAGTTTAGAATCTGTTTTAGCTTCGGCGAAATGGTTCCCGTTGAAAATGATTTAAATGTCGATAAACTTGTGAGATCCAACGACAAAGCACTGTTAAACTTCCCCAGAGTATATGGCAACGCCAAAGTTTTGGGAGCTCTGGAGGTGACGTACGATGGCCAAATACCCACCCAGAAGTTCGTGGCAGCCGGAGATTATGCTACTGATTCATCGTCACTTTACATTCCGCCAAAATTCAATCACCGAGTCAAAAGCATTATCGCCAAGTTGCTCTCTCACAGAGATACGAAGTCCCCATTGAAAACGATGGTGCTGCTTACTCGATCGAAATTGATCAATGATATAGAGCATGTGATGGTAAAATATGATGTGGAACAAATAGAACAGATATACCCAGAAATCTATGAGGCTCGAAACAAGCACAGAAATAACGAAGCGACAACCGACACAACCGACGATCCCGACCCACTCACCTCAAGTCCTTCAAAGTATAGACAAAACTATATATGGCTACCCAGGGAATTAGTCAGTATGCTTAATCCGTCAATGTTGCATGAATTTGAGGAAATGGTTGCATCTTCGCCTTCAAAACGGCCTAAAAAGGTGCTTCAGAAAACTACTTTGGATAGTATGGGTTCATTCTCTCTATCTCCAGTCAAAAGGGACCTGGTATCACCAAGCAAAAGAAGTGTCACTTCTTCTCCAACACGCCGGATCTCCCCAAGAAAGAGATTGGGAAATCCACTTCCTGGGCAGAAGAACATCACTCTGTTCTTTAGCAAAGAATCTGTTCCCAAGCCATTGTTCGAACCGGATTCTGGTACCACCAAGACTGCATCAAGGGTGGATCAGGAAAATCCATTTGTGGAGAAAGATTCCCCCCTTGCACGAGAAGATAAGGACGCTCAATTGTCCAGTTTCAGTGCTAGGAAAAGGCGTCAAGACTCCCTCTTCGTGGCCAGCGATGAAGACGACGAGCCCAACAATTTCAGTGCAATGAAGACGTCATTTGCAACGATTCCGAACCTCGAAAAAGGATCAAACCAAAAACGAAGCATTTGCACCGAAACCTCGTCCCCCAAGAAAGCACGAAGTAGTACCAGCATGCTGGTTGCAGGAGCACCCACAAATAAAGCTAGAAGCAGTACTATCCATGTGGATAAGCCATCATCGGTTCCAGCACACGTGAATCCAGAGTACATATACGTCGAGAGCGACCAGTCCATGGATGGGTCCATTATGGAGGTGGGGCCCGTTGAGCGGGCCACGGACGAGCCCATTCTCGTCGACTCTGACGAGGAGTAGCTTTGGGGCTTCGTGTGTTCCTCCCAGACACTCACCAATCAACCCTTTGTGAGCTCAACTCTCTCAACTGGGTAGTCATGGGTAGTCCTGCATAGCACTGGGTAGTAAAGTATCGGTAGTTCCGTACGGGTGTTTGACGTGTATAGTAGTAGCGATTGCAAAATACAAGACGATGAAAGAGGTCAACGAAATCTCGTATTCTCGACCCAAAAGTGCTGATATCTGCTCATCACAGCCACGAGCGCCATTCCCATCACTTTACCAGCCCCCACAGTGCCTCAGCATCGCGTGTCCGACCATTCAAAATATGTTGCTTGTGGTTGCCGCCCGCGGTGCACTCAAACATCATCAGTTTGGTTGTCACTACTAGAAAGCTACCATGTCTGCCACAGGCCCCACTAAGAAGATCTTCGATCAATCCGACCTCGCAAGCTTCAGGAGGTCGCTGGCCTACACGGGACTCCACCAGGTGCTTGGCAAAGTCATCGAAAAGGTGAGATCACAAGACGTCCCCAGCGGATACTTGGATGCCACTCTCGTTACCAGAGATGGCGTCCGTGCCATCACAAGAACAAAGCTTGAAGGACCCATCAAGGAGGATGTGGTTGCAGATTCGCCTGTGGATAGTGGACGTACTCCTGAGGACAACCATGGACCCGTTTTTGACGGCGTCATCGCTTTGTTTGACAAGCTCCAAGGGCTCATCGACGAAACACCCCCTTTGAAGGGGCCTCGCAGATTTGGCAATATGGCATGCAGAGAGTGGCACGAGAAGGTGAAGGCAAACATTGGTCCCTGGCTTCAACAGGTCTTGAATCCTGCGGACAATCAGAGCGAACTCTTGCTCGAGTTGAAATACTACTTGGAGAACTCGTTCGGCTCTCAGGTAAGATTGGACTACGGAACTGGCCATGAACTCTCATACCTCGCCTTCATTGGGGGACTTATAGACTTCAAATTCTTGGACTATGAAACATTGACGGGTGCACAAGTGCTTGCCTTATTTTCAAAGTACTACGACTTGGTCAGGAGGCTCATTTTGGATTACAACTTGGAACCAGCAGGTTCACACGGGGTCTGGGGCTTGGACGACCATTTCCATTTGATCTACATCCTTGGTGCCGCCCAATTCTCCACCTCCAACATATCGCCTCCAGTTTCACAGGTGCTCACTGGACAAATGGTGAATACTTACAAAAGTACAAACTTGTACGTGAATGCCATTGCATTCATTTTCAAAATCAAACTGGGACCGTTCAATGAGCACTCTCCCATTCTCTACGATATCCACACTGCTGTGCACTTGTGGTCGAAAGTGTTGCAAGGGTTGTTGAAGATGTACGAGGTCGAAGTTTTGGGTAAGTTTCCAGTGGTGCAACATTTCTGGTTTGGTGAGATTTTGTACCTATGGAAAGATAGGCAAACGGGAAGGGAATTACCTGTTAACCCCAGAAGCGACGACAAAGAGGATAGCGAGGAGGTGGGCTTTATTAATGGAACAAGAGGGGTCAATACTACACGGTCAAACATATCAATGACTGCAGCACCTTGGGCCATGGGTAGAAGTCAACCTAAAAGATGAATGGGAAGGTTTTAATCCTACAAGGAATCCTTTCAAATGCATCGCATCACATCTGTGGGATTGCCCCAGCACCACTTCAGGCGGTGAAGGAACATATCCCAGCATTCAAACTCTAGTAACATACCACCCTACACACCATTTACAGACAGGTCGAGTGATTCGAATATAATACAACTACCTAGTATGTATAACAGAGTCTTAATGAGCCTTAATGAGCTTCTATAAATTAGTTATGTCATGGAACAACAATAAATGCCGAGTTTACTTCTTGAAGTTGAATGGAGACCGACACAATGGACAGGTACTACTACCAGAACTCTTGAACCACTTGTAGAGACAAGCAGCATGGAACTTGTTGTTACATGTGGTACAAGTCTTTGAAGGAAGAGACAAATCTTGGTGCAAGATGGAATAACAAATGGCACATTCCTCAAATCCAGAGAAATGGAGATTGACGTTCTTGTTGAATAATTCTACCGCCTCCATGATTGAGCCATTGGTCAATGAAATAACCCTTTGTGATGCTAATAACCAAGCCTTCCATTGATTTTCCTTTACTCCTAAGCGCAAAGGACCACTGACATTGACATTCTCAAGTGGATAAATTGATGGAATCTTGATGACCATTTCCATCGTGAACTCATCAATAAGATAAACAGATTTGATTTCGTTGATAACTTTGTTCACTTTTATAGTAAGGTTTTCGTCCTTACTTTCGATGGATGCTTTAGCATTTGACACCTCGTCTAAGATTTTGGTGATCAAAATTGGAGAAACTGAAGCAGAAGAAAACTTCTCGATCTTTTGTTTCAATTGACGATCACGAATATGATTATACCAGGTTTGGATCTGGGAGCCCAAGAATCTGAACGAAAGGAAGTAAAGGTGGAGCAAGAGCACTTGGTATTCATCGTGAAGCGAATCACCAGCAGGGCTCTTTGGATCATATGATTGCAAGGAAGTTTCAATGCTTAAGCTGGCCATCAACTTATTGTCACTCACATCAACCTGGTCAAAAATGTAATCAAATAATCTTTCAAAAACCCCAAGTTCCTTGAGTTGGTTAATGTATTCGGCTTTCATGGAGAAAGTAATGTCTTCAAAATGAGCAAATATCAATACCCAGCTCCAGAGGTATCTGGAGACAACAGGACTGGAGGAGTCAATATCCCCAACATAAACATTGATGTTCTTGATTAAGGTCTCGTTCAAAACTGCTAAGTATGAGTTTTCTTCATCCTCACTCAATTTTGACTTACTCAATTGATATTCCACAACAAAATCTTGCTGGTTGACTAGGATAAGTTTCTGTAAAATGGATACGACGATACGCTGCAAGGGGATGAAATCACAAGTTGCAAGCAACTCATATAGTTGATTGATTTTCTCATTTGCGATCCTAGCAGGAATCTCAACTTGATTAAATAATCTTTGAATCAAAGAATGGACCAAGTCAATTGGTTGGTTGTTGATCTTGATATCTTTCTCAATCATATCTTTGTTCAATACAAGTTCCAAGAGTTCTTCCTTTACCTCATCAATACCTTCTACTTCTTTCTTATTGACCAAAAGAATTAACTTCAAAGTAAAGTACCTCAAGTCCAATCTTCCCAACTCAGATTCACATATACTCAAGTTGTCATTAACAAGTCTGAGACTCATTTCCCAAAACTTGTCCAGCAATTCAGGCACATTATTGATCAATCCAGTAAAAAGCTGAGCAAGTTGCACCCTCATAGAAATGAACTCTTCGTCGTAGGCAATGTCAGAATCCAACCATTGGGAGATCTGATTAATAATCATTGCAAGCCTATGAGGAGGAACAACTTCGTAGGGTTCCTCTGCATTGAAAAAGTTTATTAACAAACTGACCCATTTGGTTCCTTCCTTCAAGATCTGATCGGTTCTTCTGACACCTAGAATTTCTGCCGCAACATAGTTCCGGATTCTATCGAACTTGGATGATTTGGTGTTGAAAAACTTGGAGCCACACTGAAGGAATACGGCCAACTGAAGAGGGTTGGAGTTCACCATTTGGTTGAAGTTAATACTTGAGTCTTCGAAAGCTTGGAATGTTAAGTTTTCAAAGACACGGTCAACAATATGCTTGTAAACTCTTGCTGAGTAGAACTTATTAAATTGACCGGATTTCATGTCCTCACTTAACCACTCGATAATAGAGTCACTGGAATTGATGGAGAGCACATCTTCCAATTGGGTTTGCTCAAATACGTAATGAAGAGCACCGATAATCTCTGTTTTGAGATTAAGGATTTCTTCATCATTTTTTATCTCAGCCTTCGACTTCAAGAACAAATAGTCATTGATATATTCAGAAATGAACAAGCCTAGGAGGACAAGGTCTCTGTCCTTACTAATTCTCACCAATTCAAGAACAAACTTTCCAATCACAAGAATTGATCCATCTAGTTCTGAGCTTGAAGTAGTTGGCATAGTGACTAAAGCAATGTTTTGTTGTAATGGGTTCGACACTGCCAATGAATTGATATCAAGGGTCTGCAAGGACTGTTGGAGCAACTCGTTGAATCTCAGGATTCCAATTTTGGAGCTTTTCAAGTAGTTAGCAATTGGGTTGAAATCCATCGAGAAAGATGCATTGACAATGAACTTGAATAAACTTTCTTCAATAATATCCGATTCAATGGAATCAAAAAAGCTTTGGACTTCAGGACGTTCGATTGACTTCCACCCATTTTGAATTATCAGTTTCAAAGACTCGTCATCCTTGTATTCTGAAAGTGAGACCTTATTTTCTAAGCGAGAATAATTGGTGATGAACTCGTTAGCTTTTTCAACACTTGAGCATGACTTGATTATGTTGGCGAAGATGATAGGGTCATCTATATGCTGATAAACGATTTTGTTTTCATCTTGACTCAAACTTGATTTTTCCGAAAGTTTAGAAACATAATCCTCTATTTCAGGAAATGAGGTTTGGTTAAGATGAATGTGTTGGCTGATCAATAATATGAACTTAGGGACAGAAGACTGGTCCACCATGGATAATTTCAAGTAAAAATCATTGATGATTTCGTTATTGGGAACGGTGCCTGTTCCCAAAAAGTCAGATAATAAGTCTATTGGTGGTTGAACAAAGTCTGCCTCGACAAACATGGGAAGCATTTCTATCAATTCCACCACTTTATCCTTTGGAACTGACCGAGATTCCTTCAATCCAATGGAAACCAACTGGAAACCAATTTCTGGACATTTGATTGAGTCATCTTCCACAATCAAGTCAATAACCTGGCTACTTAGCTTACCGAAGGTCTCCTGGTTGTTGCATGTTGCCAATACCTTGAAATAGTTTTGGTATGTCAAAGGAGGATAGTCCGAAGTCCCGGTTTCAATATGCTTTATCAAAGAAGAGTTGAAGTCATCAAGTATATCGGAATATGAGTTTAATAAGCCTTCCAAGAATAATGCTATACTGGAGTTCATGGCCAGGTATTTGCTAGCTTGAGAAGCGATTGGCTTCGATTTTGCCAACGTTTCAAACGCGGTTATTATGATTAATTTAGCCAAAGGCTTCAAGCTCTGGAGATCATTAGTTGTCTCTTCAAATATTTTGAAAACCCGGGCCAAGCATTCAAACGACTTGATCCTGTAATCTATGGCCAATGCCGACTGGAACTGTTTGCACAAAGTCTTTATGATTATCTCAAGATCATCAACATTGTTGAAGTCCAAAAATTCGTCGTCTTCAATGTGTGAATGATTCTTGGCAAGAACTTCAAAGAAATGGCCAACGATAGAATAGTAAGCTGGATCCAGGTTGCAGGGGCCCATCTTGAGGTACTCTATTAATCTGGAAAAGCTCTTGGACCCGCCCAATTGCCAAAATGACTTCTTGATTTTCAATTCTTTTGCGTTAGACAGAGCACCGAACTCCGTAAGTACGATCAAAATATCCCACAACTGAAGAATAATGGATGAATATATTACATTTGAGTTTGGGCCCGATTTGGACTTCAACTTAACATTTTTGATGAACTTTTTGGAGACGAGCTTGAAAAGACCCTTGGGGTCTTTAAACTGTGCAAGGAGCGATGGTTCTTTGAACAATCCTTTCAACAAGGCAAGAATTGACTTGAACAACGCCAAGTTCAAAGTATCGCTGTTCAAGGAGGTGGACAAGTAATCCCAGATATTATCCATGAAGAGTAAGGTTTCGATATCACCCGTCAACCCTTTTTTGGGCGATTCGATCTGGATCACTTTGTTCAACATGTTTAAGCATCCACCCACCACTCTCTCATACTTGCCAATGGAGTCTGATTCCTTGGTGTACCTCTTGTCACTCAAACTCTCGGATGTTTCCAAGGCGATGCCAGTTATTATGAAGGTCACGATCTGCTCGTAGAAGAGGATCCACAATTTGTCGATCTTGTCTTTGTCGTTCTGAAAGCTCAGCAACAACGACTTGTAGCTTGCAGTGGCGACCAAACGGTCGTTATCAAACAACCCGAAAAGCCAGATGGGAATGGAGCTCTTGAGGTATTTGCTGAAGGACTTGCCTCCCACCAACTGGAGAAACTTGGCCTGGGTCTGATGGGCCAAGATTCGGACTGTTCTCGAGTTGTCAGTGGCCAACTTGGCGTAGACTTGGACCCACGAGATGATGGTGAGGTCGTCTTTCAACGCCACTGGCGCCTGGGCGGAATCGAACACTTCGATGAGTTCATTGAGCGACTTCTCTTTGGTGATGGAGTCTTTCTTGAGCAAAGACTTGAAAAGAATGACAAGGTTGGCGTCCGAGAGCACAGACGGGTCTGGCAACCCTGCGAAGTAGTTCAAGGTCACCAGAAAGCCGTCATGGCCCAAATCTCCATTGAATTGGAACGACATGGTGGTTGATAGTAGTGGATGGTTTCCTGAACAAATTTCAGCAAGATTCTAGCGAGCGGATTAGTGAGACCGCGCAATCTGTGCTAGAACGAGCAGGCACATTAAGGTGTTTCTAGCGAGGAAACTGCTACAGTGCGGTGCGAGGCATCAGGGTATGTACTGAGCTGAAACTGGGCGTCTTGGTTGTGTGAATTACGGGTTAGTATGACTAGTTAGTGGGCGTAGGTGACGATTAGTCATACCGTGAAGCCCAGATCGCCCGTGCGACGGTGGTGGCACAAACCGTTTCTTTCGGCTGCGAATTCCGTATGCTGGTGGTGGAGGCTCCAGAGGAGCCGATGCAATTGTCTATGTGATTCTGTAACGAGCCCAGAGTATTGCAGTGGTTTTTATTTGGTATCTGTAATCCCTGGTCGTCGTGATGGAAAGATTTCGGTATTCTAAGCTCCGAGGCTAGTGTAGAACCTCTGGACAGCGGGCGAAACTGTCACTTTGCTTGGGTGGAAATTCTGGATCTCGAGGTGGTCCTTGTTGGTGGCTCTTGAAATGGCGACATAAACCTGTCCCTTTTCAAACACCTTTCTCAAGTCTACCTTTAAGCGATCTATTGTTTGTCCTTGGGCCTTGTGGATGGACATTGCCCACGACAACAAGAGCGGCAATTGCTCTCTCACAATTTTGCGGGATCCCGGGTTGCCTGAGGTGCTGGGAGCCTTTCCGAGGTCAATGGTGAACTCGTGCCTATCAACAAACACGAGGTTATCGTATCCTCTTACTTTGAAATTAACCACGGGAAATATGTCCTTTTCAAGTTGTACACTGGCCAATTGACACAATCTGTCAAAACTAGCTTTTCTATCATAAGGAACTTTGTTGTATCTAGCGGTCTCTTCAGGGAGCCAATCTCTGGTTGAACCAATTCGAGAGCATGCCAACCTTAGCTCATCAAGAATTTGTGGATCCGAGACATCTGGGATCCCATATATGTCGTTGATTCTGCTCCAGAGTTTGGAGGTTGTGAAGAACATTATGGTTCCTACAGAACCGTTAACGATATCAGATGTGAGGTTGATCAAATACATGACCTGGGCTCCCTCTTTCAACTCTAATTTCTCTTCGCACATTAAGTTCTCCAATTGTTTCTTTTCGATTGGGTTGTCAACATTGTCAATGGCTTCAAAGACTATGGTTTTGGATTTAAGTTGGTTGAGTCTCGACATGTTAGCCTGTTTGACCTCCCATCTAGTAGGGTATAATTCTGTAGGTTCCACTCCATCATGGTAATGTACTTTTCTAGACAACCTCTGAAACTTCATTTCAATTTCGGTGTTGATTCTTCCACATCTCAAAGCGTTCAACATGTCGATCAATTCCAGGTCTCCCTTTTGTCTGAAAACTTTAGTTAAGACAATGGTTTTGTTGATGACGGTCTTCCAAGCATCGGTGTCAAAACAGAATTTTGGTTCGCCGCCAGTTCCTTTGGCAACAATGGGAGGTAATTGGAAGAAATCGCCAGTGCATACCACTTGAATGCCTCCAAAGGGTCTATCGCTCCCTCTCAACCTCTTTGCAAGTACATTCAACTTTTCGAAGAGGGCACCATCAATCATTGAGATCTCATCAATAATCAATACCTTGAGCGATCTCCACTTCTGAAGTTGAAAGTGATTTTTGTTGATCCGGTTGAACATTTCATTGACCCCACCAGTACCCAACCCGATGTTCAAAAACTTGTGGAGAGTGTTGCCACCGATGTTACATGCAGCCATGCCTGTGGAAGCTGTGAGGCCCACATTATCGCGGTAGATTGCCTTTAGTTTCTTGACTAGCTCTCGCAACACCACCGATTTACCAGTACCGGCACTTCCTGTGAAGAACACGTTTTTCTTGTCGTTGACAACCGAGTAGATCACTTTCAACTGCTCGTCACTTAACGAGGAGTCGGTCTTGGGGGCTTCTGGCGAGGACGAGGCGGTGGAGCTGAGTCTAGGCACCTTTCTGGGCTGTCCACGAAGGTCGAAAAGCGACGAGTTTGGTCTCTTGGACGAGCTGTTTTCCGACTTGACCACTGGATCTCTGGCGACGGGTTTTTCTGGCGATGACGACAAGTCGATGACCTCATTCGCAGCCGGGGAGGATAAGAACTGTTTGTTGGTGCTGCCTCCGTTGAACGAGCGCGAGAGGGCTGGGTTGCTGAAGTTGTTGACCTCGATGGAATCGTAGGAGGTGTCAGAGCTCGAGAGGTCGTCGAACTCGTTTGTTTTCCTGAGACTGGAGGACAACAGTGAGCTTGATCTGGAAAGCTCTACTTTGGTGTGGACCTGGACGGGTTTGGGAGGCGGCGCGCGGTTGAAGAAGCTAGCTATGGGCTTCTGCTTGACGGAACGAGGCTTGGAGGAGCTCATTTGTGGGGGTGGTGGACGGGGAAGAGGTGGTGGTGGTAGCGCTGGGGAAGTGAAAGTTGACTATAATGAGATTAACGCGACGCGCTGGATTGAGATTTGGGTTGCAAAAGCTGGCAGTGAGTGCAGGAGGGTTAGGGAGAAAGTAGGAGGGTTAGCGAGAGGATAGCAGGGCTGGGGAGAGAGAAGCTAGGGAGAGAGTAGAAGGGTTAGAGAGACAATAGGCAGGCTGGGGGAAGAGGAATTAGGGAGTAGGCACGAACTAAGGAGGTCGGGCTAGGGAGAAGGAGAGGACGTATGCTGAGGCAGAGCAATGTATGAGGATGTATGCTGAGGCAGAGCAATGTATGTTGGAGAGTATCGTCTGTGGTGATAGAGGGCATAGTATGAGTGGCTAGATAGTATAAGTTTGGTTACAGGAAGTAAGAAAGTAGTTTAGTAGCTAATTCCTGGTCGCCGAGCGCAGAGAGAAATTCGCTGTGGTAAAAGAGGACTACAGTGGGTCGTGGCCAGAGCTGGTATTGACTGTAGTGGCACGCTCTGGACTGGACGGGCAAGGTTACTGGATTCTAGACCAACTTCTGGAAAGAGCACTCGATGCTAGACCGACTTCTGGGGAGAGTATTGGATGCTAGTGCGAGAATGCACCGCGTTCGTCCCACCGCACCGCACCAGAAAAACTAGCCGTTTGTCGCTAGCAACTCCTCGCACTTGCCTGTAACTTCACATGGCGCCAGGTCCCGTCAGAAAGCCGTGGCATGCCTCGTCTGTCTCCAACAAACTGACGAAGTACACTGACATTGACGTGCAGCTGCATTGACACATGTGCCACGCCCACCTGTAGTACTCTCTGCATGCGCTACACAGCTTGTGATGGGCCACACACCACACCCTCACCAAGCTTGAAACTCTCTCACCACACAAGTCTCACAATTGTATGGTCTCACTATTGTGTATTCTCTGACAGCTCTGTCAATGTGGCCTGATACCGATGGCCATCCCCACCATCTTCTATCTAGCGCGTTCGGCCTCGTGACGCCTCGGCGCCTCTTCCGTAGCCCCTCCCTTCATTAGAGCCCCCATCTGTTTCCGTCCTGTTTCTTCGTCGCTGGGGTAACTGGTTTTAGGCGGAAATTTGGTCACGTGCGCGATCCATCCGTCACAACATTATTGACACCAACTCTCTCCCACCACAGTTCTGCCCCACCCCACGCTTGTAAGGCCCCAGCTGCACCGTACCAACACACCACGGGCTCCTCCATTCCGCCATGAAAAATGGTCCCGAATCCCAACCAAACGGGACCCCAGCAGACCCCGAGTCAAAGGCCCCAAAACGAGCCAATGTGTTCTCCAAGGGCATCAAGAAGCTCACGAAGTCCACGTCGATCTTGAACTTCAGCCAGATTGACGACACCACTGCTGCTCCCTCGCAGGCTCCTACCAGCAGGCACAGCAGTCAATCATCGAACCCAATTGATCTGGATCAAAAGGATCAGTTCCAAGCCATAGGCTACGATAATGTCACCACCACCACGAAAGAGCCTATCCACGTCATGTACTTACCCGATAGGAACAAGGGCTTGCAGTCTCCACGCCAGTCTTCGGTGGGATCCGCCAATTCCCACGACAATAGGCCCATCAGAGACCTCCATGAAGACCACTACGCCCCTAGCATATCCAGCAGTGTGGGAAGCTTTTCGTCGTTGGACCCCAAATCAAAGCCAGAGTCCGCGCCTCCAGGGCTTGCATCCGTGGGCTTGAACCTAGCAGGCTACGGCTTGTCCAGCGAAGATTTGATGCCTCCTCCCACAATCAAGCCCCACCACCAACTGTCCCCCCACAAGAATGGCCTTAATACCTCCTTCCAAAATAATTCCTCCAGCTCGTTGTCGGATATTCCTCCCCCAGCAGCTACCAAGCATTCCCAGCATAATTCGATAAATACCAGAATCAAGTCCGCCTCTTCAACCAGGACGATTTCACCGTCACAACTCACTGCATCGCCCAAGTTGGGCTCCAATCATTCAGTCCAGTCATTCGCGGCTGTGGCAACTTATATTAACCAAATGCCTCGCCCAGAAGTCGTGGATCAGCTTTTCGAGAAACTATTGTCCACCAGAGTGTTCACAGACAAGGCAGTGAAGACATTGCGAGATCAACCCACAAAACGAAAATGGGAATTACTACTAAGAGAGCATGAAACTAATACTGGCTTTGACTTGAAACTACTCACAAAACAAGCACAGGCACATATCTCGAGGACTGACTCGGACAATTCTATAAAAAGAAAAGTTAGTAATGCCGATACCAAATCCGAGGATGGAGAAAGCGAATCAGCAAAGCCTAAGCAGCTTTCTGCCATCAAGGCTATTGCAAAACTCAGTACGAATTCGAAGAAAAACAGTATTGAAGAGAATACCTATTCCAAACAGAAAAAGAAATCCATCGACTCTTCAATATCCAATGAGAGCGAAGGAGTGAATGCTTTGGCTAAGAAGAAATTGAAAGATGGATCGCCCGAGTGGTTTGTCGCTAGAATTATTTCAAACAAATTAACCCTTAGGGAATACAAGAAATTAGAAAAGAGATTGGTTGAGAATTCCTTATCTAATAAATACGGCACCCATTGGGTGCAAAGTTTTGTCGATGCACAAGGTGAAAGTGCATTATCAGTTATTCTTTCCAGAATTAATAAAAAGAGTATCAAATCAAATGAAGAATTCGACAAGGAATTCACAATCATCAGATGTTTGAAAAATATCCTCAACGCTGAGCGTCATGACGAAGAAGACTCTGATGAAAATTCCATCCTGACTTCTGTTATTAAGAAGAATAAGGCTCATGTTATCAAATCCATTATATACTCATTGATTTCTCCAAGATTGGCAACCAGAATTTTGGTGACGGAAGTGTTAATCTTCTTGTCATACTACAGAAGCAACAAGTATCTACCCAACATTTTGGATAGTATGGTCAACTTGCAAGATTTAGTTGGGGACTATGTGAGATTTCAACCTTGGTTAAATTCGGTTGAAGGATTTGTGGATCAGTACTTCACTAGTGGCAGCGACAGACTTGGTGGAGATACCAACTTACGAAACTATTCGTTGACTTCCTTATTATTGATTAATGGTATTATGGAAGGTACTGATCAAATCAAGAAAAGAATTTCTCTTCGGAGAGAATTTAGTGATTCAAGAATAGACAAGGTATTTGACAAACTTAAAGTTATCAACAATGAAAGAATTAATGACGAAATAGAAAAGTACGAAGCATTTGCAGAAGAGGACTATAATGAGTTTTTTAATTTAACAAACAACATCTCAGGCACAAATAACACTATCTCGGATGTGGCCTCTCTAGATGATTTATTCAAAGATATCAAGAATCAATTTCAAGACGTAAATGCCGATTCTGATGATGAGTCTAATGAAACATACATCAAATCAATCTTCCAAAAGTTTTTGATGTTGAAAGATAGTGGGAGAAGTGATGTTGAAATCAGCAAACTTTTGGTGTTGATAGAATCAGTTATGCAACATGTGATTGCTGAATCTACAATGATTGCGTCAGATTCCAATTCAGTCTTGAATAGCTCTATTCAACGGTTAATTGATCGTCTCATTACCGATGAAACTGCAAGAAGAGCCATTTTAGAGGCAAGAGAGTTGTCTAAGACAGTGAAAGTATTGGAAAGTGAAAAGAAGCAGTTGGAATTAGAAGCAAGCTTTGGATTAAATGAAACAATAGCGAATTTGAAAAAGGAGAGTACTATCAGTGCAAATAAGATTGCCTCACAGGAAAAGCACATAGGTTTGCTTCAATTGCAAATCCGAAAACTAGAAGAGGACAAGAGAAGAACTGTTAAAAACTTCGATAATTCTCACCTGTCTCACTTGTTGAACTCGCCACTAATTCAAGCAAATTCTATCAGAGGTAGCAATATTGTCCATGAATTGGAGAATGTGTTTTCCAAACACAGTTCCAACAAACAGGAGGGTGCTTCTAAAATTCAAAAATCGAAGCATAGCTCTTTACCTCCTCGTCCATTGCCGCCTCTTCCTACGCAAGAGAACGTGTTCACGAACTCAGATGATTTGGCGATTATTGAGGAAAGACAAATGGCAGCAAAGGACGGAGAATCGAGTAACGAAGGTTCTCAAGGTGGTGATGATGAGTTTACATTCGGTGATGGTCAAGAAACTGTCCATCTGATCGTTTCTGTCAAGTCAAGAGACTCAGAAATTGGTACTTTGGCGAATAATGGAACCAACTACCCAGGTGGTAGCAGATCGGCAGCTCCTTCAAAGTCCTTACCATCTCCACCTCACAATACATCCACGGTCACTACTCCTGATCGTAAAACGAACAACAATTCTCAAGACACAACGACCCAGGCTGGCCACCAACCGTTACCATCTGCTCTGGACAAGTCGACAGGTACGTTCGCAGACCCTGCTACAGGAGTTACTACGACTCCCCCACCACCACCCCCAGCATTAGCTGATGTGACTAACAAGAATGGTACAGGCTCTGCGCCACCTGCTCCACCACCTCCTCCTCCACCATTGCCTGGGTTTATAAAGAGTGCATCAAGCCAGGGCCCTGTTCCACCCCCACCGCCGCCTCCACCACCTCCTCCTCCATTACCTGGATTTATTAGCAAGAATGGTTCAGGTTCGGCGCCTCCACCACCACCTCCTCCATTACCTGGATTCATAAACAAGGACGGTTCCAACGAAATCCCACCCCCACCCCCACCATTGCCAACATTACTAGGAGGTACCCAGCTATCTGCCCCAAATACACCTAGTAGAAGTGGAACCGAATCTCTAGTGAATACAGCACCAACTACTCCTACCAAGAGTAGCACATTGACCCCTCCAGAAAATCCAATTGCACATCAAGAGTTGCTTGCAATTGTAAGACCCAAAACGAAGTTGAAGCAAATGCATTGGGATAAATTGGATGATATCAAGGAAACATTCTGGAGTGGAATTGAGCACACAACCGTCTCTGATAAATTGCTAGAAAAGGGTATATTGGGTGAGGTTGAGAAGGTCTTTGTGGCGAAGTCTTCGGCCATACGCTTGAAAAAAGATTTAGATGCTGGAACTGGCGAGGAAGGCGTAGTAGTTGTGCCCAAAAAGATCTCATTCTTACCTCGAGATCTAGCACAGCTGTTTGGCATTAACATGCACATGTACGCCAACCTTTCTGTTGAAAACTTAGTCAAGAAAGTCCTCCACTGCGATAAAGATTTAATGGAGAACATTAGTGTCTTGGAGTTCTTCAATAATGATATTTTGGTTGAGAATAGTGATTTTATGATGAGAAGTTTCTCTCCATACTCGCTTGACTTTTCACATCCCGAAAAGAAACCCATGAAAGATTCAAATGAATTGGAGAGAGCTGATAGAATTTATCTTCATCTCTGCTTTGACTTGAGACACTACTGGAAATCAAGGTCAAGAGCATTGCTATTGATGCAGACTTATCAAAAGGACTATCTTGACTTATTAAAGAAGCTTCAATTGATTGACGAGGCCAGTAAAAGTGTCAGAAACTCCGAAAGTTTGAAAAATGTTCTTGGTATCATTCGGTCTGTTGGAAATTTTATGAATGACTTCTCAAAGCAAGCCATGGGATTTAAGCTCGACACATTACAGAGATTGAAGTTCATGAAGGATGATAAGAACTCAATGAATTTTCTCCATTACATCGAGAAGATTATTCGTAATGCCTTTCCTGAATATGGTTCTTTTGTTGATGAGTTGGGTTCTTTAAATATTATACAAAATGTTTCCATCGAACAGTTGGACAGTGATTGCCAAGATTTCGAGAAAATCATCAACAATGTTAGCAGCTCAATCTCAAAGGGTAATTTGAGCGATCCATCCAATTTGCATCCTAATGACAGGATCTTGAGTAAAATTGCAGGACCACTTGAAAATGCCAAAATCAAGAATTCATTATTGCAATCCCACTTGCTGAGAACTTTATCCGAATTCGAATCACTTATGGATTACTTCGGAGAAAATTCGAAGGACCTGAATAGCAGAAATAGCTTTTTCAACAAATTCGTTTCCTTTATAAACGAATTTAAGAAAGCACATGTGGAAAACATTCAACGAGAAGAAGACCAACGGACATACGATGCGAGAAAGAAGATGATTGAAGATTCAAGGCTCAATGTAAAGAAGGCCAAGAAGAAGCTGTCCTCTCAATCCAAAGAAAAGCGTGGCACCTCGAATGTTCAAGAAGACGGTATCGAAGATGAAAACACAGACAACCTTGAAGACAACATTGCCGACGAAGAAGAGGACGAGATCGATGATGATAACAGCTCATCCAAGACCGATTCATCAAGTGAAGGTTCCACAGCAGTGATTGATACATTATTAGAGAGATTGAAATCCAGTGGTGCATCCACAGGGGCCGGATCTTTGTCCGCCAAAGACCGCAAGAGCAAGAACAGAAGAAGCAAGGCATTGTCTTTCTATTCAACCATGTCTTTGGATGACTTGATGGAACAAGTTTCGGGTGGAAATCATGTTGCAACCAAGCCCAATAATGAGTACGAGAGTGTCAACTCGCTTAAGCGTAGAATGACTTCTCGGAGGAACCAACCTGACGTTGCCGTCGAGTACAAGACTGACCAGATCATGCTTCGAGCACAAGCCATGTTGAACCAGCTCCGTAACGAGCGCAATGTGAGTACCGACGTATTGACTGAGGTCAGCAGCGATAACAGCGAATCATGACCATCCGTTGTGGCACCGCAAAATGAGCCATGAGCTTGTGTGGATCTGCCAATGATATATAGATTTTTCTTCCATAGTATCTGGATATACTACTGGCTTTGCCAACACAACATTATTGTAGACTTTGACACAACTCGAGAAACCAAGAATAATTACTCGATGTCCCTACTATTGCATTGTAACTGGATCTAAGTACCGTCGGTACTGATTATTCCTGTGTTAGACATGACTGACAGTTGGCTTAATTAAGAATTTTGAATTTCGTAAAATTTTTGCTAGTAATTTAATTTTGTCGGTAGCTTCAAAGTTAGGAACTGATAAACTCCACCTTAATGTATATGCTATTATCAAAGAGTATCCCAAATCTCCAAATACCCTTATTGATCAGTAATTCATTGATGAAATCGAAATTAGAGATACTAAAATTGTTTTATTCACTCTACGTGCGCCCATATACACTATACACCTAGTAGGATGGAGAGGTTCATATCAAGTGAGCTAGTAATGGAGATGAACCAAGTTCAAAACAAGAGAATGATTTGTAGAAACTACTTGATGAACTAGTTTCATGGTAGTCCAAACATTGGGAAGATTTGGACAAGAATATGACTGGTCCCTATCATTTGTGGTGCTAATCAAGATTTACAGCACTACTAATCAGTCTAAGATTAAGATAGAAACTTTCAACAGGGATATTGGCACAACCCAGATTTGAAACATCTGGATAAATTAATGGCGGTAAGCGGGTGATGGTGCAATGGATGGGAAGTGAATTATTCTACATAACTCCAAATTCGCCTTTTTAATTGTCCAAAGGCTATTTAACTGTGTAAATGACCAAGGTTAGAAGCAACTTTTAATCAAAAGTGCAGAGTAAACCATAGTTAGTTGAACTCTAAACCTAGAACCACAAGATAAAATTTCCGCTTCTGATAATTGTGATAGTGTAGTACCATATAAGACCAACAGAATTATCTGAGATTCGTAATTCAGCACCATTGTCAACGAATAGATAAGCTCAACATCTGCTCAATATGGTTATGATAGTCAGACGATAGCCAAATGGGATGAGTTTTGGGACATCCAGCATCGCCAATAACAGACGAGCCACAATTTGTGAATATTGATGGCGACCCACTATCCAGTGCAAGCATGTCCTGGTTATCCATTACTTGTGATTGTCCCTGATGTGAAGTTGTGCCGTGTCTGGGACCATATCAACTTCTGGAGTGGTCTAATATCACAGGCAACCAGCTGTATCATAACCCACTAGGATATTATGGGTGCAAAACGCAAGGCGTGCGGCTCAAAGGCTTATCATGGTATCACACGAGCCGTTCATCCCAATTGACTCGGCCCATTTATTATCTAGGGGCGCACCGCCTTTGGAGTCACATGCAGCTGACTCTCCCCAGGTCATCTCTTCAGAGTCAACTTTTCAAAGACACAGGTGTCAACGGTCAGTACAGACCCCGAAAACGGCCCTACTGGACGCTGTGACACCCCCAGCACGCCAGCAGTCAATGGGCAGCAGTTGCTGGCAGACGGGGAAACGACTCTCCCTCTGCTAGCCAGCCAATCAGAAGGTGTGACCGTGACTCATCGAAGAGTGAAAAATTTTAGCCCATAGTAGAAGGTGGCCTGCACATAGTCCACCTATATAGAGAGCCAATTTCTTTTAGGTGTTTCAGCCATATATAGCCACCAGCACCCACTTCCCTTCCAGGCACGCTAATCAACATGCTATCCAGCAGAATTTCCAGCCGTTTGGCCCGCAGTGCCAGAAGCTTGTCCACCTCCCGGGTGCGGCTCGATGCGGTGGTAGTCTCGGGAACCAAGTTGGCCAAGTCCATCAGACACCAGATCGCCGACAAGGTCATCTCGTACAACAAGACCCATTTCAAGGAGCTTGCCGACGCTGGCGAGCTCGCGTTCGACGCGTTGAAGTTCCGTCCTTCCTTGACCATCATCCAGGTCGGCTCCCGTCCTGACTCGTCTGCGTACGTCAGATCCAAGTTGAAGGCAGCCCAGTCGTCCAACATCCGTTCCGACTTGCTCAAGTTGGACGAGCACATTTTCCAGGAGGCTCTCTTGGAGGAAATCGACCGTTTGAACAAAGACCCCAAGGTGAATGGGGTGTTGATCCAGTTGCCCTTGCCCAAACACATCGACGAGACCTTGGTCACCAACTCGGTGGCCACTCTCAAGGACGTGGACGGCTTCGACAGATACAACGTCGGAGAGTTGTCCAAACGTGGCGGTAATCCGTTGTTCAAGCCGTGCACTCCCAACGGGATCATCGAGTTGATCAAGACCACTGGCGTCAAGTTGAGAGGAAAGAACGCGGTGGTCATTGGTAGGTCCGACATTGTGGGTACACCTGTGGCAGCCATGTTGCGAAACGAGGACTGTACCGTCACCATTTGCCACCGTCACACCGAAAACTTGCCTGCCATTGTGCGCCAGGCAGACATCGTGGTGGCCGCCGTGGGGATCTCCGAGTACGTCAGGGCCGACTGGATCAAACAGGACGCAGTGGTGATCGATGTAGGAATCAACTACAAGGACGACGCCAGCGCCAAGAACGGCAAGAAGTTGGTGGGAGATGTCGCCTACGACGAGGTGGCAGCCAAGGCGTCTTTCATCACTCCTGTTCCAGGTGGCGTTGGGCCCATGACGGTGGCGATGTTGTGTTCCAACGTCTACGATGCCGCCGTGTTGCAAGCGAAAAAAGCCCACGAGCACGCATTCAAGCCATTGCCTTTGGTGCTCCAGGACCCTGTGCCCTCGGACATTGCCATTTCGCGTGCCCAGAAGCCCAAGAAGATCACCAAGATCGCCGAGGAGTTGGGGCTCTTGGAGAAGGAGTTGGAGCCCTACGGCCACTACAAGGCCAAGGTCGACCCCAAGTTGATCATCGACCGTTTGGACGAGCAGGCTGAAGGCGACAAGGTCGCCAACGGAAACTACGTGTTGGTTGCCGGTATCACCCCCACGCCTTTGGGTGAGGGTAAGAGTACCACCACCATGGGGTTGACCCAAGCTTTGGGTGCCCACTTGGGGTACAACTCCATCGCCAACGTCAGACAGCCCTCCATGGGTCCCACTTTTGGGGTCAAGGGTGGTGCTGCTGGTGGTGGCTATGCTCAAGTCATTCCCATGGACGAGTTCAACATGCACTTGACAGGTGACATCCATGCCATTTCTGCGGCTCAGAATTTGTTGTGTGCCGCTGTGGACACCCGTATGTTCCACGAGAGCACCTCCAAGACCATCAAGGGCTTCTACAAGCGGTTGGTTCCTGCCAAAAAGGGCAAGAGATCGTTCACGCCCTCGATGTTGGCTAGATTGAACAAGTTAGGCATCACCGCCACCAACCCAGACGACTTGACAGACGCCGAGATCGAGCAATTCGCCAGACTCGACATCGACCCCGAGTCCATCACCATCAAGAGAGTGGTCGACTGCAACGACAGATTCGTCAGAGAAATCACCATTGGCCAGGGAAAGAACGAGGCGTCCAAGTTCCCACCAAGAAAGAGCGGTATGGACATCACCGTGGCCTCGGAGTTGATGGCTATCTTGGCGTTGTCCACCTCGTTGAAGGACTTGAGAGCCAGAGTTGGAAAGCTCGTGGTTGGTACCCAAGCCAACACCGGCGTTGCCATCACTGCTGAAGACGTTGGATGTGCCGGTGCCATCACCGCCTTGCTCAAGGACGCCATCAAGCCCAACTTGATGCAAACCTTGGAAGGTACTCCTGTGTTTGTCCACGCTGGACCTTTCGCTAACATCTCCATCGGAGCCTCTTCCGTCATTGCCGACCGTGTTGCCTTGAAGTTGACCTCGCCTTCCAACCCCATCAACAACGGCCAAAAGGGTTTCGTGGTCACCGAAGCCGGTTTCGACTTCACCATGGGTGGTGAGAGATTCTTCAACATCAAGTGCAGAACCTCCGGCTTCAAGCCCAATACCGTGGTGTTGGTTGCCACCTCTAGAGCCTTGAAATTGCACGGTGGTGCCACTGACGTTAAGCCTGGCCAGCCATTGCCTCAAGAATACACTTCCGAAAATCTCGAATTCTTGGAGAAGGGATGTGCCAACTTGGCCAAGCAAATCGCCAATATCAAGCAGTACAACGTTCCAGTTGTAGTTGCTATCAACCAGTTCGAAACCGACACCGAGGCTGAAATCAAGTTGATCCAAGAACAAGCCCTTGCTGCAGGTGCCGATTTTGCTGTTCCTTCCAACCATTGGGCCAAAGGTGGTGCCGGTGCCGTCGAGCTTGCCAAGTCCGTGGTGGAGGCAGTCAAGTTGTCCAACAACGACACTCCACAAAACTATTTGTATGATGTGAACGACACTGTCGAAAACAAGTTGTTCGCCATTGCTTCCAAGATGTACGGTGCCTCTGCCATTGAATTGTCTCCATTAGCCAAGCAACAGATCGAAACCTACACCAGACAAGGTTACGACAAGTTACCAATCTGCATTGCCAAAACTCAATATTCATTATCGCATGATCCAGCCTTGAAGGGGGTTCCAACCGGGTTCACCGTTCCTATCAGAGAAGTCAGATGTTCTGCCGGTGCTGGATACTTGTATGCCTTGGCTGCAGAAATCATGACCATCCCAGGATTACCTACACATGCTGGATTTATGAATGTAGAAGTCAATGACGATGGAGAAATCGAAGGATTGTTTTAATCCGCCCAATAGATATATAGACGTGTATTTTATAGAACACTAGCTAGTAGCACTAGCTGAAGATAATAGTTGTAGAACTAGCAAGTTTATTTGAGAAGAATTGACAAGAGATACTAGCCCTTTCACAACCAACGGTTGCGAAATATGAGCATTGTGCAATTAATGGATGTGCCACTCCACAGTTTTCACCAAGAGGGAGTGCTTAGTGTAGTTCCAGATCTTACAATTACTTGAAATGGTTGGATACGGTGTCAATAACGACGGTCAAAGGAAAAAATACTGAATACTTCCAGCGTACTTTCGCATACCTTATAAGCTGGCTCGATTGTGAATTAACTTCACCACATTTCTAATGCTTGCACTGGTGAAATGTCCTACTGGTAATTACTGAAGGACGAGCAATGCCGATTGTTTACACGGATTATTATTGTACGAGCTGGTACTGGACTGGAAAGAACAATGCTGACTGTATCTTTTTGGAGACAGATCTATCTTCACTACATAAATTATTCTCATTGGTTACTTAGTTCATTTACGTATTACTTATTGACTACTCCAAGGCAGAAGAAATGTCGTTGTCGCCACCAACGAAACCAATGGTCTTGCCATAGGTGCTCTTCTTGCCTATGGTTTGGTAAATGACGTCTGCAACGTCGGCTCTAGGAATGGCTCCAGTCTCACCCTTGTCGGACTTGGGGAAGACGTGGATCTTTCCAGTGGCTTCCGAGTCAAGAAGGGCTCCAGGCTGCAAGATGGTGTAGTCCAAGCTGTCGCTGTATTCGTCCGCAAGGATTCTGTCAGCATAGTGCTTTGCAATGTAGTAATCTCTGATGGCAGTCTGGGAGAAAACGTTTCTCTTGTCAGCGTTCAAAGCACTGATAAGAACGTATCTTCTGGTTTTAGCCAATACAGAGGCTTCGAAGGTCTTGACAGCTCCGTCCAAGTCCACCTGGATGACGTTTTTGCCACCAGATCCTGCAGTGAACACCACCACGTCGTGGCCCTCGATGGCCTTCGAGAGCTCTTCAGCAGTAGCGTCGCTCAACGACAACGAGGTGGTCGTGATGTTGGAAGAATTCTGGGAGATTTCTGCAATTCTTTTGGCCTGCTCTTCGTTTCTAATCACAGCAGTGGCGGTGTATGGAGATGCCTTCTGGGCAAAGAGCTTGATGAGGTGCTGGCCGATCTTTCCGTGGGCACCGAAAACGATAACTTTGTTGAGAGAAGACATTGGATGGGTTGATAGGAGAAGATCACAGACTGAGACGATTCAATTGAAGGAAGAGACAATTGCTGAGCTGATTAATTGTGGACTGGTAAGTTCTCGAATTGTGGAGCTGAGCAGCATGGGCAGTATGCAGTATGGTGTGGCTGGATGAGGGCTCGGAACTAGAGATTGGCCCCAAGGGGGTTGCGCAGGGGGTAACCTCTTAAGACGAGCCAGGAGGCGAGTTCGTGCTGTCAACAGCTGAAAATTCCCCACGGTTGTGAAAAATTCTTGACTCTGTTGAATATGTTGGTACTTTCTGTGCACCATTGAAAAATATGACAGTATGCATTTTTCTGATTGGAGATGGTAGGGACTCTGAGATGGGTTGCTGCTACCAGGGTGGTTCATTAGTTTGTTCATTCCATCAAAACTGAGTGGGTCAGATTTGGGTAGTAAATTTATTGATCACACTTTCGGGCCCATCACCACCAGAATTGGCTTAAAACAGCCTGAAACATTCGAATCGTTAACGAAATTAAAAATCAAGCTATTCTTGCCCTGTATCGTCTCTGGGAGATCGACCGCTAGGGCATATCCCTTTTCAGTGAAATTATAATTATAAATATGTCAAGCACAAAGACCTAGCAAAACAATACGCAGAATAATAAGTGAGCTTCTTATTACCATTTATTAAGGCTATAACTTTTTGTATATACTGTTTCCTATGCATTAGGATACTCATTTCACTCAAGAAATTGCTGAGAGATCATCCCAGAAGGTTTCAGAAATTTGTAAACTGCCATACCGTTTTGCAGCTATCCTTTAATCTCGAATTTCTTCTTGGTGTGAACAAGACCACTTCACTTCAAATATTCTGGCCATAAAGATAGTAAGAGAATAGAGAGGTAAGGAAGTACATACCAGTATATGTGTTTTTACGATGCGGTAGCGTTACGTTATAATATTGAGAATACTAGGGCTATAATACACAATAAAGAAGATAAATCGTTAACAAAATAACAGATTTTGACCGAGGCAGGGTCCACTCTTCAAGAGTGTCGCCGTGGTTTATGCAAATACTCGAAGTTATTTTGGATGGGGTTGGTTGGTGGTATGTATAGTCTACCCAGTCTATCATAAAGGCTGGACAGATGGGACCTTGGTGATTGTTTGCCCCACATATTAAGAGGACAGCGATGGTTGGGGTTGCGATTGCTGTTGCTGCTGTTGCTGCTGCTGTTGCTGCTGTTGCTTATTTGCAAGCTGTTGCTGCTGCAAGGCTCTCATTTTGGCCTGTTGGATGTAGACTTGTTGCCTTTGATGTACTGACTCACGTAAAAGACCATACGACTTGGAGAGTAGCATGGACCCAAATCTAATGGATTGCGTATCATCACTGATACAATTGAGTCTTGAGGGATCCAAACTAAAAGGGTCTTGTAACCCTTTCTGGTTCTCCGAAAGATCATTATCGAATCTCCAATTTGAGTCCAACCTCTTAATAGTATCATGTCTGGAATCATACACATTTGGGATAGTAGGTTCTTTTGTTGAATTCAGCTCTTCATTGATATCATCATCTTTGAAGTTCATGAATTCGTCTATAATATCATCCGGTCTATCGATCAAACCCTTTCTATCGATAAAAGTACGATTCACTCTACCCGCACGTTTTCTCAACCTGAAGATAGGTTCTGATAATTTGGAATCATCCTCAGCATCAGAATGTTGCTTCTGCTGTTGTGAGCCGTATCCATTATTATATGCACTGAAGTTATGAGTCTCGATGTTCGATAAAAGTTGTGCAATGTAACTAACGGATTTATACTTGTGCTCATTGATCTTGTCGCGAAGCAAGGACAGCAAATGTGGAAAGTTTTTAGAAGGAATGAGCTCCCCATTAGATCCTCTGAAAGTTTTCATACCTGGCAATGGCTTTTTTCCCTCTTCTAAAAGTTTCTTCAAGGACTCAGATATGTAGTTGGTGGTATTAATTTGATGATAATTTGCAGCTGCAATTGATGAATATGGTACATGACTAAGTTCCTTACAGTTATTATTGGTGGATATGTCAAAGTATGGTTGGTAAGGATCATCGATGACATTGACAAATCCTTTATCTTGTTCCTTTCTTTTCCGTAATTTTTCAAGAACCGCCCTTTTGATGGTTTCATTCTTTTCCTTTAATACATATGAAACTGTAACGAGATCCATATCTGGGATCTTGGAAGGTGGAAGTTTGACATATGGTTGAGTAGAAGTTGTGGAACCATCCTGTTGCAATTGTTGTTGTTGTTGTAAGTTTTTATCTTTATTAACAGCATTGGTTCCAATCGTTGCAGAACCAGGAAGACCACTACCATCACGAGCATCAAGTTTTCTTTTATCATTTCTTCTTGTCTTCATACCCGAATCTCTCTCATCGTCTTCATCCTTGATTCTAATAACCTTCTTCCGCTTGTGAGGATAGAATAAGTAATCATCACCCTTGACTCCAACAGCCCTCTTCAAAGTCTTGGCCTCACAACGCAATTTGAAGATCGCGTGCTCAGCTTCCCAGTCTTGTGCCTTCAAGAGTTCTCTTTGAGTGACATTCAAAATAAGATCACGGGCACGGTGCATTGACTTTTGCAACAATCTTATTCTTTCAGCTCCCAAAGTATCAGCCCTTCTGGTTTTACGGGCTTGGCGGAATTCACGACGACGGAAACAAATATATGGATCGTTATCATTATCTTTCTCATTGGCATTTGGATCTTCAAACTTTAAATCTGGATGAATAGCTTTACCCTTTCTCTCTAGTTTTCTCTTCTTCCAATGTTCATAAATTGGCTCTCCAAATAATTGCAATAGTTTCGGCAAAGGACGGGCAATTGCTACTGATTTATCTGCTGTAATCTTGTCAAACAATGTGACGAAGGGAGAATAATTGATCTCTTTAGATAACTTTTCTTTAAGGGCTGAAGTTGAAAGATACTTCGAGTTTGAGCCTATGGGGGTTGTTTCATTCGTGCTTTTGCACTCCACCAAAATATAGTTAGATAACTCTTCGTAGGATAATATATTCGAGGTATCCATAGATAGAAATGGCTGCTTTTCTTCAATAGTTTTTTCAAACTTATCACACACAATTTCGAATTCCAACTCTGTGCACTTCTTTGTGTTCACTGAATCACCTTCCAATTTGGTTTTCTTTGTTAATTTAGGATAGTTTTTGCTCAAAACATCATTCACGAAAGTTTCGTCCTCCTCGTCCATATTGAATTCCACTCCGACTGTATCTTCCACAGTGGCACTAAATTTAATATACGACTCTGGCTCTTTGAATATCTGGTCATTATAGTACTTGTGTGCGTCTGGCCACACCTTCGATGCATCTGGGGTAGGAATGTATACCGAGCTGTCTGCTTTCTTGTCTTTCTGCTTGTCATCTTTCTTTGATCCCAAGAGGGCTTTTTGGGCCGCGTTGATAACTTGTTGTAAATGGACTTCATCTTCTTCGTTCTTATCCACACCTGTTTCTATTGCATGTAGGTCTCGTTGTTGCTGGCTTCCATTTTGGTTCAAGTGATGGATCTGACTCGGTTCTAGCTCGCTGTTATCCAACGGCGGCAAGTCCTTCTGACTGTATATGGCCAATGGTTGTTTCACTGAGATCTTCCGTTGACGGAACCGAGCACCTGATGCATGCAGCTTGGCAGTGCCAGAGGCTTTGGCAGGTAGGACGGCCATGTTATGCAAGACGGTGCAAGGCCTGTGTGTTTATTGATGACAGTACCCTGCTTTCGTGATTGATTGCGTTGTTTGGAATCCGCCCAGTGTCCGTGCTAAACTATTGCGCTTTGGATCTTTGCGCGAGTTCGTCGGAAAACGTCCAGTGAGAATTTTTGTCGCCCACTTGTCGGGTCTGGCGGTCAAACAAGGGGCAATTTCGTGGGGAAGGGTGCGCACTTGTGGCGTGTGATTGGTGTTGGGTGCTTCCTTGGGGCAGAATATGATACGGGACACCCTTTGTTTAATTGATTAGGAGTAGCCCCATGCACTAGTATACTGAAACGGGTTCAGGGGTTGTTGACAACAGTGCAAATTTTTCTCACTGCCAATTGGGGGCGAACCGGAACAGGCGCGACCGACACCCATGCACGTGCAAGGTCACGTGGCAAGTGCTAGTGAGGTGGGATGACTGGGGGTCTGGGCGGCTAGCACCAGGTGGGTGCCAGCGGGAATTGGAGGTCAAGCAAGGAGCACCCAAGCGGACAAAGGACTGGTGCAAGCAGTTGCTGGCACTCTTATCTGCAAAGCGTTAGTATTGACGGCTCCACTCATTTTGCCAGTGGCGCCGGATGCCCACTACTATCCAGAATTTAGGTGTGGTATTCAAGAGTGGAAATCCCGCCTGGAAAAGGTGAATGTAAGTTGCAGCTGTAAGTTGAAGCTGTTTTGGCCTTCCAGGAGGCGGCGAGCAATTTCTGATTAACTGGCGGATTCGACGACGTCAACAAGCCAAACATACCATGCACAGAACAGAACAGGTTATGACTGCAGACGATGAGTACGACTAATGTGGTCGTTTTGGCGATCACAGGACATTTTTGGCGGCGTGGAGGAACATCAGTTGGAAAGAAGAAGTGACCCGATGGTTGGTTAATTTACTCTTTGTGGATTTAATTGCAAGCGTCACAATTAGCTAAGCGGTTACGTAAGCAGCAAATGCAGTTTATCCGCATGAGTTCCGACCTCAGTGGGGATCAGCTTGCATAAGGCAATAGCGTATCCTGCTTGTTCGGCTGGTATTGTGGGTGTATAATGCTGGACACTTTGAGGGGTCAGTTTACCCGAAATAGTTGTGAATTTGCCGTTCTAAGAATATTAATTCAAGGTTAGCTCTAAAGTTACCTGTTCGCCAAGCAGTACCACTCTTCAAGTAAGCGATAAAATAAAGGAGAATACGTATAAAATAATTAGCTACCTGTGGGGCTCTCCGTACTTATTGCCCTTTAATATGGATAATTTTGATAGGAGACTTCACTTAAATCGCCTTTGTAAACTCACTGAAATAACTCATTAATTTACTAATCCCACTCTGGTATCTCTTCCGCACTTGCCCCTTCAGCCACTAAACCGCGGAGCCATCCAGGTCGTTCTTAGTCCTGTTCATACCCCTCGGAAACCCGTAATTACGGTCGGAACCTAGGCATAACCTGCAATTCTACCCCGCGAGCCCCACCATCGGTCACGTAAGCGCTGACTCAGCACTCACCTACTCCTATATCGATAAGCCTTCCAGAAACCGCCGTTGCCTTCCCCATTCATCGCTTACGAGAGAGATTTCCCCCACCAGTCACGAGGTGCAAGCGTCTCTTCATTCACTACCATTACCAACCAGAGAAACCGTTTTCACATTCTAGCAATACTTCCACTTACAGTCACAAGGTGACCTTGCCATGACGCTGATTACTGTTTCCGAGCTCCCATCGGCCAATCCATTCTTGAACCTGGTCTGTCCAGGATTCCAGTTTCTAGACCAGAATGTCCACTACGTGTTGAAAGATCGAGCCGAATGCTCCGTAAATTGGCCCATTACTGGCACCAACACCACAGCAAAACTCCACAACTCGTACTTGAACATCGCTCGTCCGCCCCTTTCGCCACATTCGAACGAGTCCAATACCTACGTGTCGTTGCCCTACCACGTCACCAGCTTATTCCGCAAAATCGTCGACACCAAGGACAAAAAGCTGGAGGGAAACATGCACATCGGTGCCAACATCAATGCCTTGAACCACGACCCGTTCAAGATCATCAACTTGAATCCAGGGTGCATGACGGAAATCATCGACATCAACAACCACTATGGACGCAGCTACGAGCCAGAGGCACACACCAGAAACCCGTTCAACAAGCTCACCAACAACTTCAACAAGCTCTTGAAGTTGTCTGCGTCGTCGCTGAGCCACCACAGCGTGCCTGGCGAGGACTTCCACAGCTTGGTGCAGTTGCATGAGGCCAAGGTCCCATCGAGCGTATTTCCAGGCATAATCGACAAGATCTTGCTGTTCAACCCCGAGACCTACACCAAGGAGCTCCAATCGCCATCCACCGCCAAATTGTTGATCTCGTCGCATGTCAACGTGTTGAACGTGATCGCCATTGGCTCCGATTCCAACTACAAATCCACAAAAGAAATCGTCACCTCCGACCCATTAATACCGTACCAGGATGAAACTGGCGAGGCCAGTTTGTCTACGAAATCGATTGAAAACTCCCAGCCTGCGTCCGAGTCCAAAAAAGTGGTAGAGGAGCCACTCTTAAGAGTCCAGTTCCGTAACAATTCTGTCATCACAGCCATAAAGTCGTTCGTGTGGAAAGAAAAGGATCCCATCGTGATTCTTGGCTTGGATTCGGGTGAGGTGGTTATCCTCAATTTGTCCCAGTTAAACTATCAAGTGTTTGATGATCTTGGCTTGGAAAAGCCTGCTGGCCAGCAATTGCACGATAATACTTCCATCAAATCTGGCCACAGTGGAGGAGCTAGTGCCTCGTCTTCTTCCGGTGGGTTTGGCACGATGGCCGTCACCACCATAGAGGTCTTGACCCACCCCGATTATGAGTTTTTGATAGTGGCAGGATACTCCAATGGAGAAGTGTTGATAATTGATCCCTATGCTCCACACCAATCTGAGCAAAGGTCAGAAGAAAAATTCAAAAAGTCAGGAAGCGTGTCCTCAGCGAGGTACACCAAGAAGGTTGTGGGTATAGATGCCCACGTCACGTACTTCAAGAAGTTCGACTTGAGCTTGTTTGCCAAGGGCCAGATATCTCCACCCAGCGAGGATCAGATATACTATCCCTACTATCTTGTTGGGCATTTCAAAATCAGCCACAAGCCCGTGACTGCTATCACGTCTACAATTCTGCATAAGGAAGACGACCCGGTCAATTTCCACCAGACTCCTCTTATTTTGGCAATTGCCTGTGACGACGGATTTGTGAGATTTATTGACTTCATGTTCACCTACAATTGTAACTATGGTGATGCAAACAACAAGACTCACAGGTCCATCTTGACTGATACCATTTCGAACTATTTCAACAACGGAGTCACTGACATTCAGTTCTCCCCAGATTTGAAATTTTTCTGCGTCGTGGGCCAAGGAGACTTGATCGAGGTTTTTAAGATGACGTACTATAATGTCAACGGTTTGCTTAGCAAAAATAGCACCTCTCTCAGCAAGGCCCAAAGTCACACCAACATGAGTATTTTAAATGGAAATATCACCGGGAGGAGATCTAGAAGTGGCACTGTCAACAGTGTTAACTCATCTAACCAAGCCACCAACAATGCCAGTCTATTCTTATCTCCTCACAGCATTACTCCTTCCAACAGTATGGATATCTCTAGGAATGATCAGTCCTCGAGAGCTCCCGGCGTGAGCACGAAGGAACTGAACCCTCCTGTGATAAAGAGTATTAAGATAGTTGCCAGACTCAAGAGCCATACAAATACTGTCAGAAAAGTAAAGTTTGTCAAGGAGAATCTCTTTGGCGGGGGCGAGTTAGAAACTACTAATATTCTGGTCTACAAATTAATCAGTTGTGGCTTCGATGGCAAGGTGATCATTTGGGAGTTTGACTACAAGGCATTATCTAAGCTCAAGGTCCCTAGGCCAAAGGAAAAGCAGAAAGACCAGGAACAGAAGGAAAAGGAGCCCAAAGAAATAAGAAAATCAAGATTGGATGGGTCCAAATCCCCAAAACCAATCATTACCCATGCCAATAGCCCTTCTCCGATCAAATCCTCAAGGAAAGGTACCACTCTACTGTTCAAACCAACAGTAAACCTACACGCAAGAAGCAGGTCAATCAATACAGAAGAGTTCACCACTCCTCTTTTAAATGTGAATTCGCCCACGTTCAACACGTTGAACAACTCCTTGAATAATTTGACGAATGGTGGCACCATGAACATGAATACCATTTTGAATTCAGGAACCAGTCTTAATGCGGTCGATTCAAATGTACAAGGTAGTGAGCTTGTGGAGCAATCCAGCGAGTTGGTGAGCTCGTTTTACCGCTCCCTCTATGATATCAGATTCAAGAGACACTATAAATCCTTGACCAAGAATGGCAAACTCAAGAACGTCAACTTTGGGACCTTGTTTCATCCTATTATCGATGATAAATTGGTTCCTTCTATTGAAATCCCATTATTGTCATTGGACCTTTCCAATTTGGTTCACGATGGTAAGATCGACGGGTTCCACTTAGATCCCATGAACTTCTGGTGCTACGGTAAGAATGGGGATATTTTCCGGTATGTTATTAGTTGAATGAAGTATAGAAGAAGGGAAATTTACGATTAGAGTAACATTGAATAGAACGATTGAATGTTGGTGGGATTGAATGCTTATGGAATGAAAGATACTTCCATGTGGATTAATCAATAACTGGTTATTTCGATGCTGTCGGTTACGCTATTAATTCCTTACAAAAATGAATCATTGATCTATAATGTAGTACATATAAAAGAGCAGGTATCGATGATGTATCGTACCTTTAATGAGTCCCGTCGTGATATAGTTATGGTACACGTGCTTGTATAGTGCCAGATGGATATGAATTTCTGACTTCAAGCCTTGAATTAATTACGCTTAAAAGTCCATGCTTCTATTGTGGTATGCGTTCAACATGCCGTCGAACGGACAGTTGTGGTTGTGACGTTATTGTTTAATGTGGAATCTGCGAGGCAAAGTGAATGCAAGTGGCTAGGCTAATAATGATTGTTGAACATGGAATTACCGTCCAATCCAAACCCTAGTTCTTCTTCCAATCTGAAAAGCTCGCCATCACTCACCCCAGACAGTGGCTGGAATTGTGAGTTATGGACCGATTGGTTCATAACGTGGCCCTGGACAAACTCGTCCAATTCCTGGGGCTTTGGAACCGACTGGTAGTACTGGAGGTCCTGGTTGCTGTTCAAGTCGGAGGGATTGGTATTGACGCCAGCACTGAGGGCCAGCGACATGTTGTTGGAGTTACCGAAATTGTTCATGAGCTCGTACTGGTTGGGGACCGAGTTGATTGACATCGAAGTCAAGTCGTTGTGGAGGTGGTCCTCGGGTGCGGATTGGTGGTGGTCGAAGTACTGCTGCTTCTTCTGTTCTTCCTCTTCCTTTTGTCGTTGCTGGAATTGCAACTGGAGCTGGATCTGTTGCTGTTCGTGGATGGGTTTTCTAACGAATTCTCTAAAGGTCTTGACCTCGTCTATTATCATTTGTTTCATGGTGTCCATGTCGTCAACGGTTTCGAAGGCCTTGAAGTCGAACTTGACCTGGCACTCGGGCTCGTCCTGGGGATCGTGCCATATCGAGAGGTAGGGGTGGTTCAAGGCTTCCTCCACCGTGATTCTCTCGTAGGGGTCCAACGTGAGCATTTTCTCAAGCAAGTCCAATGCCAACGGGTTGGAACCGGGGAGCAACTCTTCGTAGGACACCTTGACCATGTAGGGGAGGGACCTGACGTAGTTCTGGGCTCTGACGGAGCCGATCTTGGTCAAGGTCGAATTTTTGGGGGTTCCCAAGATCAACAAGATCTGGTTCAACTGGTCCACGTAGTCCTTTCCGCGGAAAAGCGGCTTTCCTCCCAACAACTCGGCCAAGATGCACCCCACCGACCAGATGTCGATGGCCTTGGTGTAGTTGGTGAAGCTCAACATGATCTCCGGGGCTCTGTACCACCGGGTGGCCACGTATTCCGTCATAAAGCCTGCGTTCTGCTCGGGGTTCTCCGAGAAGCCCCTGGCCAAGCCAAAGTCACAGATCTTGAGCTCACAGTCCGCGTTGACCAACAAGTTGCCTGGCTTCAAGTCGCGGTGCAACACGTCTGCCGAGTGGATGTACTTCAACCCACACAACACCTGGTAGATGAACGATTGGTAGTGCGAGTCTGTCAACGACTGGCCCAGACGGATGATCTGGTGCATGTCGCACTCCATCAACTCTTCGTACAAGTAGATCTCGTTGAACTTGCCCGTCATCGGGTTGGGGATGATGTCCAAGTCGTAGAGGCAGGTGATGTTCTTGTGCCCGCGGAAGAATTGCAACAACTTCAACTCGCGGAGCGAGCGCTTGCACAAGATTTTCTTGGAGAAGATGTTGGTGATCTTCTTGATGGCCACGTATGAGCCGTCCAGCGTGGACGAATTGCACTGGTTGGTGTCGGGGGTGGGAGACGACGAGCCGTCGTCGTACTTGGCGGAGCACACGATGCCGTAGGCGCCGTGGCCCAACTGCTTGACGATCTTGAACCGCTTGTCGATGATGAAGTCCTGGTTGAACACCTTGTTGACGGAACGGCCGTAGTAGATGGTGTCGTCGGAGGAAGACGCCATGGTGGGGATTGGTGGGGATTGGGCGATGGAGGGTTAGTGGGGGTTAGAGTGTGTGGGGGGGATTTGCGAGAATGGAGGTGGCGATTGCGTGGTGGCGACGTATGTGGTGGTGGCGACGTTTTTGCTATGAGGGGGGAGTCGTCTCTGGCGACTGCGGTGTCTCGTGGTGGTGGCGATGTCTGGTGGTGTCGGTGATCACAGACGGTGGTAAGGTAGAGTTGCGACCCGTCAGATTTTTCTGTGTAGTGTACAGACAATTTTGCGGCGTGTGCACCAGGAGGCAGACACTACTTTATAGGGCCGGCGGGGGTATTATTAGAAGCGAAATAGTAAATATAGACAGTGAACGGCTGGGTGCGGAACCGGTACCCAAACGGGTGGGCCTGGCAGGGCACATTGTGCAGGAGACCTGGGTGGAGGGGAGCTGGTGAAGGGGAGCTGGTGGTGGGTAGGTGGTGGTGGTAGGTGGTAGGTGTCGGTTTGTGGGTGCCGGTTCGTGGGTGCCGGTTCGTGGGGGTCGTGAGGATCGGTTCCTATTGTTCTTTGCGTGCGCTGTCTGTTCTCCCGGCACTGTCTTCCCTGCCTTTCCCTGCTGCTCCCCCGCAGTGTCTACCACTAGGCACCTGGCGCCGCTGCCACGCCGTGTATGCACCGACGCCAAACCCTCCAGCTGGGGGTCCTAACCTGGCGCATCTTCCACACTGTACCCCGGCACAGCCTGCAGCCGTCCTGGTGGTATGACGTAGGCACTATATTTAGCGCGCATGGGAGATATTCCGAGTTCCACCCCCCCTGTGCCTGTGGCGCCAGCAACGGCCCATCGACCGGCGGCCCTCCGCCGTCCCAGTCCCTGCCCGCCAGTCCCCATTCAGAACCACCCCAAACTCTCTTACTACCATGCAAATGTCTATCTCGCTCGTAAAACGCATCGCCCTGCGCACAGTGCGATATCGCTGGATCACTTTTGACTGTCGGTGGATCTGCCCAGCAATCGCTACAACCAAGCGCCAGACGCCGCATGTACAAACTCGACTCGATTTACAGAACTAACTTTATTCGACTGTTTATTTGCTCGTCTGCACCCACCTATGGAGCTCGGCCAAACCCCGCTGAATAGCCTCCGGGTTATTGCCAAACCCAATCCGGACAAATCGGGTCCACTGCTTGCCGAACACGCTGCCGGGGACCGCCAACGTTGCATGGGACTGGGCGAGGTCCTGACACATTTTGTCCACGTCAATGTCAGCGTTGATGCGGATGAAGCACGTTGAGCCTCCTGCCGGGCGCACCCACGAGTATGCACCGTTGGAGGAGCGGATGAACTCGTCGATCACCGCCAAGTTGCGGACACAGATGCGGTAGCTGCGCTCGAGAAGCACCTGCGCGTGCTGCAACGCGTGCGCTGCCACCAAGTCGTCAAGCACCCCTACCGAGATCGTGTTGTAGTCCCGCTTCTCCCAGAGATCGCTACGGATGGCAGCGCTGGGGCACACGATCCACCCCACCCGGAGCCCAGCAAACGAAAACGCCTTGGAGATCGACGAGGTGGAGATGGCGTGCTCGTAGCCAAACTGCACAATCAGCCGTGGTGACGCAGGAACCGAGTGGAAGAGCGGCCGGTACACCTCGTCGCAGAGAATCCGCACCCCGTGCGGCCGGCAGATGTCGATAATGCCCTGCAAGCTGGCGTCGTTCCACACCACTCCCGTGGGGTTGTTGGGGTTGTTGATCACCACCAACCGCGGGCGGTGCTGCTCGACCAACGACCGCAAATCGTCCAACCGCGGCTGGAACCCGTCGTCATACGCGAGCTTCCAGGGGATCACATTGGCCTGGTTCCCGGAAAACATCCCTGGCACTGCCGACAATTGTTGGTATGTGGGGTCCACAACTATCACAGTGTCGCCAGGCGCGACCAACGAGTAAAACGCAAGGAAGTTTGCGCCGATGGCGCCGTTGGTGACCACCACATGGTCGGGCGCAACGCGGTCGGCGCCGTTGGCGTTGTAGACCAGGGCGATGGCTGCCTTCAACGCGTCAGACCCTCTGATGTCGCCGTAGGTGAGCTTGGCTGCAAGGATTTGGGGGGTGAGGTCGGTGTGTGTCAAGCGCTGGAGATCTGCAACCGACAACGACTCGACGCACGTCTCGCCCATGTTGTGGGCGATGCCGGACTCGTACTTGTCCATGAACTGCTCCACGAGGAAAGGGGGCTGATGGACCATCGTGGGGAGGGGAATATGAAGGTCAGAAAGAGACTGATGCGGAAGCAGAACGGAATCAGACACTGAAATCAGTAATGGATTCAGTGGAAGAAAAGTGTTGGGTATCACTGAAATCAGACACTGAAATCGGTAATCAAATGAAATCAATGAAATCAGACACTAAATCGGAAGAATCAGAAACGGAATCAGAAATGAAACCAGAAATGGCTGTATTTGTAGTATCAATCCAATCAGGCACAGAAATTGGTTTGTCGCTGGCTAGGAACCGATCGCTGGTGGGTGGCGTTTCTCCAATATTTATCTCACCACTCTCCTCGTTTATCTGACAATCCGATTTCTCTCCGCATCCATCTTATCAATTATGACTCTTCCCTGCGCAGTGTGCGCCTCCTGCGCCCGGTCGTACCAGGATAACCTGCCAAACGGCGTTTTGTCCCTGTCTGACCGTCTCCTTTCCGCACAATGGAACGTTGCAATATGCACCGCGGCTGAACATCACATGACCCGTACCCGCACGGTTCACTTCCTTATAACCCTCCAGTTTCCACCACTGGCACTCGTCGCTGCCCACGTCCCCAAAGTCCCTGCTTGTTGCACTGCCTCCACCGTGCCCCCACTGCGCTTCTAGCGTCTTCTCCCCCACGTCCCCGCGTCCCCCACGTTCCTCCCCACGCCCATTCCCCGTTAGCCGCCATGAACGACTCCAAAGACAGACTCGATGACTTGGCCTCCCTCTTCATTCCCGACATTCTCCACCACGTCTCGCCTCCTGCGCCTGCTCCTGCCGACGCCACGCCCGTCACCGTAAAGCAGGAGGATTTGGACTACAGCTACCACCAGCGCGATGCCATCGACTCCATGGCGTCTCCCACCTCCAAACAGCACGCCAGTCTGCTAGGAACCAACACTGGAGGGTCCAGCAACTACAGCAACTTCATGAACAACAACAACTTCATTGGCAGCCACACCAGCTTTGCCTCCACACCTTCAGGACCCGTTTCAAACCCCCAGCAGAACCTCCAGCAGAACCAGCAGTATCCCATGATGGCGCCGTTCGACATGCCGTTGGCGCCACAGCACATTGGGCACTACAACACCAAGCACCACCCGCAGCACATGTCGCTCTCGTTGTTCCAGATGAACCCCTACAACCAGCAGCTCGTGCTGCAGCAGCAACAGCAGCAGCAGCAGCAACAGCAGCCGCAAATGCAGACACAAGGGTCCCAGCAGTGGCTGAGCCAGCAGCAGCAGCAGTTGCATATGCTCCAGCAGCAACAGCAGCAACTCCAGCAGCTCCAGCAGCTCCAGCAACAGCCGCAGGCGTCGCATGTCCAGGACGACCAGTACGCCCAGATGATGCAGTTCCAGCCGTCCCACGGCCTCCATGCGTCCAATTCGTCCTCCAACTTCCTCAACACGGCTGCCTTCTCGAAAAATGCCAACAGAGACCTCAACTGGTTCGCCAATTCTGCCTTGGACTCCTCGATGGGCATGCCTACGTCTGCGTCCTCCAACCTCTACAACAACTCGCCATTCATCGATTCCTCAGAGAAAATCTCCAGTCCCGAGCCCTCCAACCTCGCCGAGCTCGAGGCTCCGTCTGCCATCGAAACAGCACCACCTCCCAGCGTAGACCCCTCGGAACCAGCAAAAAAACGGATGAAAACCAAAAAGAAAGACATCAAAGGCTCTGAGTACGAGTTGGACTACACCAAAAAAAAGTGCAGGGCGTTGTTGGATTTCAAGAAGGGTACGGCTGTGTCCCACACACCTGAAGAGTACAAAATCGTCGACAAGGACGACAACGAGGTGGAAGTCGACTTCAATGGCTTTTTGAACGGACGTTTTCTCACCAACGACACCGATAATATCGTCTACATCTTCGCGAAGAAAAATGACGAAGACAAGGATGCGAGCGACGAAATGGATGCCCCCGATCCATCAGTGAAACAGGACCCTAGGGTGATTTCTTGCTACAGGAGAAATTACATCCAGATCTCCATGAACATGAACATTAAGGGATTCAAACTGAACGACAAACTCCTCCGAGTGCGCAGCAGCGAGTACGGATACTCCATCACAAGGGTCATCAAGTACTTCAAGATCGAGGTGCTGGCTGTTACCAGCCTCAACAACAGAAGCGTTCCTATCTTTATCAAGATCGTGAAGAAGGATAAGGACAAGGCCGAGAAGCTCAAAAAGGACAATCCCGATATAATCCAGCCCTCCCATATGAACGAGAATGAACACGTAGTGATTCTCAACGACGATGTTTCGCTTGAAAACGGCGAAATCGATCAGTATTTCATCATCAATAAGTTGCAGTTCAAAAATGCCACTCCCAACAATGGTAACTCCACGTTCCAAAACTACTACCGGTTAAAAATCAAGTTGAGTGCAGTTGTGGCAGATTTGTATTACGACGACTATGTAGATGATGAGGTGAACAACTTGGGTGCTGGACAGGGTGGAAACAGTCTGGACAATAACGAAATCGTTCTACACGAAATTACAAGTGAACCGATCATTGTCAGAGGCAGAAACCCTAATTTCTATACTGAAAAGAACGACATCTTGATTAAGGGAAGACTGAGCACTTCAAAGAAGAGTTTCGATTTATTCACCAGAGATGATGATGATGAAGAAGATGAAGAACCAGAAGAGACTTTGGGCAACCCCAGTCAACCTCACTCCTCTGTCGAGAAACTGGACACCAAAAGAGCCTCACAAACGGCCCCAAGTGTTAAAGTCATGAACAGCATGTTAAACGATGCCATGGATGAAGATGAAGAGATCTCATCTGGAGCAGCATCGTCGATTGAGGAGGAGTCCACAAGTCAAAGAATGACAAGGCCTCCAAGTGGCAGCACTGAAGGCTCGCAAAAAGACCAAGCCAAGAACAGTTCAGTTCCACCATTGGCGTATTCTGGAAATAATGCGACAGTTTTGGACTTGAAATCAATTAAAAGGTACAAGTACTTCCCCATCTCTAACGTGTACTACTTGCCCCCTATCAATGTTGTCTATTTCCCACACAGAGCCCATCAAGGCAACAGTGCAAAGGACAGCGAAAACAATAGTCGGGTTGATGAGATTGTAAGTGAGAGAAGAAAGAGCTCCAATGTCTATTTTAAGTGAGAACCAAGATGGGGACTTTTGACTTTAAGAGACGTTGTGCTCATGTATTATACTATTTTCAGGGTATTACCCCTTATAAGTTAGCGAACATTCGAATTGTCCCATCAAAGGTCGTAATTCTAGCTACTATAGGGCTATTTTTCCTTGATATTACGCAATGCAGTGACGAAGAAAATAAGATGTAAAAGCCTTTGGCATTGTAAAACTGGTTCCTGGGAAATTAACTAGACGATAATAAGGAAAGGATTTCTAATCCTGAGTTTTCATGTTGGTTCCTAGGATTTTGTTCGAATCGATCTCTTTATGTGCAGACTAATTCCAATTCAGAGAGGGTGTGAATTTTACAACTATTTGTTTGAAAATAATAAAACACACATTGTAATACTATTCTGTACCTTTGGTGATTAATGGAGTTTTACGTTAGAGTGGCTTCATTCGGGCTCATTCAGAGATCTCTTACCATGATTGGCTTTAAGCTCGAGATGGCAACTAGTCTAGATTCGTTCATCCGGCATCTTTCCATGAATATTCCAGCTCTTTTTGAATATAGTGCTCCAGAATATGAGCCTCGCAAATAAAATTCTGGTTTAGACCGGGATATTCCTCATTTTTGGTGGTACTATTGAGAGGTGCCCATACATGTTACTAGAATAGCTGTCCCACATTCTGAAACTTCTAGTGGAATTCGCCAACTGGCTTACTGTTGTGCTCATTAGTTTTACCTGGCGTGTTGGAAGATGGTCAACGAAATTCTATTGGAGATCACAAAATTAAAAGATATAAAATAATCAAGTGAATAATTTGGGAATATCTAGTAAAAATGAATCAGAAATGCTGCATGTTTGAGCTATAACCCATCATGATTCAAGTGACATCCAAATTATAAGTCAAGTAATAAAATTCATCAGTGTACTCCTTACCAATATTAGAAGTATATTTACCTAATGAAATCTAGTATTAACTTTACATCACAGTCCTCGACATGTGAAATACATAATAGGGGGGGGGCTCATCTTATCTTAGAAAACCACCTACTTGAAAATAGGATTTAAAGCACAGTAATGAATTTGTTTCATATTAGGCATATCCACCTACATTCTGACTGAACCCAACATATTAAATCAATTCAATTCTTGTAGGACATCTTGTGGAGCTCAATTCTCTACTCACGTGATCAATTTTGGGTGCAAAAGTATAGGTTAATTGAGCGTTTTGTGACGACAGATAGATCTAATTAATATCTTTGCTACCATCTTGTGGAGTAAAATTAAAAGGGACAAATATTGCTCTAGTCAGCCAGCTAACTCAAACATGTCACCTAGAATGAAAGTAATATTAAGGTGTGGATATACGAAATGATGAGTTGGTGGTTTTTTCAATTCGATGAAAGCGATGATAGAAGTGTTGAAAGTACTGCAAGAACTGGGCGCAACAAAGATCGCACCCCAGATAGAATCTTAGTACTTCATATCTTACTTTTCCATTGATCTACTAGTTTTTTGTTCATTTATGAATGATAATCCACGAGCTTCACCTAGGTTAGATTGCACAATAGTAAATATTTTATAAGGGTCTAAGCCATACTAAGATTTACTCTGGGGGTAAGAACCACCCAACACCTGGGCAATGGCTGCGAAAAACGTTTGGACTATACAGCTACTCCAGACATCACTAATAAATAGATATTCATTAACTATAAATATTGAATCGTAAAACCAGGAACACTCAGATCCGAATTTTTGAATGAACTATAAAATACTGACTAGCAGTAACACCACTCGCTTACTCCTTGATAAGGACGGAAGCGGCACCCATACCAGTACCAATACACATGGAAGTCAAACCGATTTGACCTGGCTTCAACAATCTCAAGATGGTAGCATATTGTCTGGCACCAGTGGCACCCAATGGATGGCCCAAAGCGATGGCACCACCACGGATGTTCAACTTCTCGGATGGGATGTTGACGCTTTCAGCGGAGTATAAACATTGAGCAGCGAAAGCTTCGTTGACTTCGAAAACATCGACGTCGCTGACCTTCAAGCCGGTCTTTTGCAAAACTCTTGGAATGGCAACAGCTGGACCAATACCCATGATTTCTGGTGGAACACCAGCGGAGGTACAGAGAACGAACTTACCTTCGATCTTGTAGCCCTTTTGTTCAGCCAAAGATCTTCTCATCAACAAGACGGCGGCGGCACCGTCAGAGACTTGCGAGGCGTTACCAGCGTGGGTGGTACCGTCCTTGGCGAAGGCTGGCTTCAACTTGCCTAAGGATTCGGCAGTGACACCTGGTCTTGGACCTTCATCGGTGTCGACAACGATGGACTTCCAGGTGACGTTTTCGTCGTCATCTTCTTCAGCCAAGAACGATTCGATAGGCAAGATTTCGTCCTTGAAGGCACCCGAGGAGACAGCCTTCTCAGCCTTTTGGTAAGAGGCAGCAGCAAAGGCGTCCTGCTTGCTTCTAGGGATGTTGTGCTTCTTGACCACGTTCTCGTTGGTGATACCCATAGGGATCAAACACTTTTGCATTTCTGGGTCGTTCTGCAATTGTTCAGACACCTTTGGGAGAGATTGAGGGCCGTAGTTGGAAGACATGGACTCGACACCTGCAGCCAAACCACAGTCGATTTCGCCTGTCTTGATCTTGTTGGCAATGTCGGAAACAGCCATCAATCCCGAGGAACATTGTCTGTTGATGGCGACAAACGCAGCTGTGTTTGGAATACCAGAAGCCAAAGCAGCACCACGGTGCTCGAAAGCACCAGCAGAACGGTTAAGCACGTTACCGACAGCAACGTCCTCGATCAAGTTGACGTCCACGCCGGTCTTCTTGACGAACTCCTTCAAGAACGCAGTCAAGATGTAGTCGGAGCCCACGTCCTTGAACTTACCCTTGCCACCTCTGGTCAAGGCGGTTCTGTAAGCGCCAACGATGACGACGTCGTCAGGGTTCTTTTTGAGCAAGGCTTGCTTGGAGGATGGGCTCAATTGACCGCTTAATTGGTTTAATCTTTCCATGATGTATGTGATGGGGAATAGTGGCCTGAAAAGTGTGGGGGGTGTGCTGCTTATATAGTGACCAGGGACGATTTCACAGGACCGAGGGGAGGGGTGTGTCCGAGGCAAGCACGCGAAAAAGACTGGGGTAGGTGGGGGCTAACCTGTAACGCGAGGTGGGCTGTAACGTGCACAGCTGCGATGGAGGGTGTGGGGTAACGTGTAAACTGGGATGGGAGGCCGTGGATGGCGGTGGTAGTACGGATGTTCAGGTTGGCAGAGCGAGGGCTGTGGGTGTGCTGGCGGCGGCGACGACAGCCAGGAAGCCGAGGGAGCCGGCCAGTGGCAACATCCATGCTGCACTACTCTGGGACACTCACCCAGGTCCCGAGGTGCCAGGGCCTGGCGCGCGCACGACCGCGGTCCAGCGAGGTGCCGAGGATCACAGGGCCCATCGGCTGACGGGGCCGCTGGAGGCCGGCCCGTCACATGGAGCGTCACATGAGACGTCGGAGGGTACTCCGGCCTGCACTTTCCGGATAGTAGATCATTATTCATGATAATGGATCTTAAATTATTATTGGCTAGTAGGGAGAGGATCTCATTGGAATATAGCGTATCTATCTTCCATTGCTACCAGTAGAGGTCCCTAAGAGCCTGTAGCAACTCCTGGCCAGCAATTCCGATAGCTTGCGTAATCCTGGTAGAAAATGGACCAGATTAAGATTCAGCACTTGGTCATTACTTTACTAAACCTTGAAATTTGCAGTCGTCAGTACGCAGTACTAATGATTGGAAGTCGCCACTTTGGCTTTGGAGTCACTCGGGTTGGAAGAGTATATTGATTTGTCATCTAGAGTGTTAGGATCGCTGGCACTTAGATCTATTTTAACTAGAGATAGAAAGAATCCCCTATTATCCGAAAAGTGCATGGACATCTTCTATGGGGCCTATATTTGGTGGTAAGATAGGTATGTCATATGCTATGAGATCTGTTGGTTTTCTTTCTGGCAAATTCCAGTGAGTGGCTAGAACATAGACTAATTGATCGCAATTGATTTTCCACCTGAAGCACCGATAATCCAGCCTTCGGTGCTCTGGGGTCTACGGAACAGTCTACATGTTGTGGATTCAACAGCTTCGAGCGTTCCACGCCTGACTTCTCTTAACTTCTAACAATTCAGTTCACAATTAATCTGGAGGTAGACTCCACTGAAAATCCGAAATTTCGCAACTACAGCCAAACCGGAAACGGTTGAACAAAGCAATGTATAAAGATATAATAATAACAGAAGTCGAAGATAGGTAAGCCAATGTCCTCCTCACCTAGGGCAACATCCTGCTAGCAGGGGTCGGTAGGTGGGATCACGTGATCTCTTATGTAAGCTGGACTATAAGCCTCTAGATAATAACGTCTCTGGACGTCTCTGTGCATGACGGACCCGAAACATGCATGTGGGTGCAGAAATACAGAATTCTCCAAAAAGAGACCAATGGGCGGTGGCAGGTGGACTGGCAGTGGCAGCACTGGTGACTGGTTCAATGTGACAGCTCTCAGTAGCTCACTTGCCCTGTTTCTTACGATTCTTCCCATACGGATTATCACCCAGAATAGGAGGATTAATCACCCACAGTGTTTTATTCACCCAGAGTGGTGAAGCATTAACAACCTGGCCATCAAGTAGTCCATTTTCCTTTCTGGCTGTCCTCTAGCGCTGTAGCTTTCCGCAGGAGTCGTCCAGACTCCACTAGCTCCTCTCTTTTAGTCCCTCGTCCTTCGTCCCTCTCGTGCCACTCCTAATCCTCTCTCTCAAAGGAAAAGATCCCGATAAATGGCTCGATGTTGTCAGGCCTGCCTTCAGGACACTTGCCTCGGAAAATCAATGTAGGTACCTCTTCCTCCTCGAACTTGTCTCCGAGGTCGCTTTTCTCGGACTTCACGTCTGGCGTGGTGCCCACGTCCTTGGCGTCCTTGTCTTCGGGCTTGTCCTTGTGCAACGTGAAGATCTTGGTGAAATCGATCCGGAGCATGCCCTCGTCGTCCACAATCACGTACAATTTGTACTTCTGGTCTATCAAGTCGTTCAGATCATTGTAGTGGATGAGTCCCTTGGTGCTGCCTGTGATGAGGCCCATAGCCAGGCCGATTCCCATGAGGTTTGTTCCTGTGACTTTGATATAGAGTCCACTCAATCCAAAAGGTGAGCAGTGTATTTCTAGATCACATTCGTTGGCATACTGGAAGGAGATCTGATGCTTGTCATCGGTGAGAGCGGAGGCGGAGATGCCTGTAGGGGCGGGAGTCTGTGCGAGGTGGTGGTGGTGGTCGCCTGGAGGATTTATCGTGGCCATGGTGGTGGTGGTGAGTAGTGGTGATTGGTAGTTCTTGTGGGTAGTTGAGGTCACGTGTATGGTGATGATTGCGCGTTGGTGGTAGGGTAGGTGTGGTACTGATAGGGGTATGTGTGGTACCGGTGGTGCTAGCGAGGATTGTACTGGCTGGGAGTACACTGTTGTAGTACACCGCTGTAGTACACTGCTAGTGCTGGGAGAATAGTGTTGGTAGAACTGTGAATAACCTGTTAGAACTGTGGACTGATCTGACCTCAGCCCCACCAAGAGAGATTTGCGGCTTTCAGGTACAGGCGATCGAATAGACTGGCCAGACTCATCAGTCGTGAGTTCGCACTGATAATCTTTGCTATTACTCTCTAACTAGTGGATGCAATGCATTACTATGTCTACGATTTTGAGGTGCTCAGGTAGCTGGTGAATCTATTTTCGACACTGGGATCCCGGATGGTTTTCGCCGTGAAAAACTACGTAGTTCAATTATGTAGTAAACAGTGAGTCGTAGTCATTAGCAGGTAATTAGATGGTTTTATATACCGAGTTTGAATGATTGTATAAGTAACACATGATACATGTCTTATGATTATACACTTTCCTGTAGATCGGGCAATTTTGCTGTCATATTTAGCTACCTTGCGTCAAAATTTAAATTTTATAAATTCTAACAAAATTACTGGAAATTTGGGGTTTCATGCAATTAAAGAAATGATTTTAAAAAACCCGTTAAGCTACAAACTACAAAAATTTGACCGATTTTGGAGACTTAATTATTTCCTTAAGGATTATTTTACCAAATGTTGGAGCTGCCACTTCTTACTAAACTCAGTGAAATCACAGTAATACACCTGCTAACTTGCTTAGTTTTTATTATATTCAAGTACAGGGCCAAAGGGCCAAATGCCCAAAAATGAGAATTGTTTACAAGTATCGACTGGATGGAGACTTGCAATTTCGCTTTCCTTTGGCCTATACCGTCAGCACTAATCACTACGAATAATTACAGCATAATGGTGGACGAAGGCGCAAACCAACCAGGGCCCTGGCCGTGTATCATGATCTATTTAGAAGAGAAGTCCACCGATATTGTGTCAATACACCGTTAGAGGCACTCAAAAGCTGGTATGGAAATATACTGGAAAGCTATGTATGCGAACATTCCCCGATCTGATCTCTTCTTTCTGGTGAAGAATTTTCTCTTCTAGCACTCTTCTCCCATTATCTTTCTGACACTTGAATGGTATTTGCGCTCTGCACCCATTTCTGGAACTCCGATGCTGGCGCACAGAATCGTGCCAAGTTATTGACCATCCAGTTCAACCGTTGAACCAAGCTTGGAGACTCGGCCACGAAGCTGGCCACGTTCGCAGCCAAGTTCTTCTCTAACTGCTTGTAGTGGCGTGCAGTCTCAAGCAACAATTGTTGGTCGCCCTCGCTCTTCTTGTACTTCAATATCAAGTTGGTGTTGAAATTATTCGGCACAGAAACGCCAATATTGGCCTGGGGGTAGTTATGGGGCACCGACATCATGATGTCCACCGAATTATTTAATTTCCAGAGCTCGGGAAGCGATTTGTCGTATGCTGGCAAAGTCACCTTGTATCTGTGTTCCAGTGCCGATTTCTTGAAGAGTTTGATACTGGAGCCCAACTTATTGTTCATTTCTTCGAGAAGCTGGGCCCTGAGGGAGGCAGTTTCAGGCGACACTACGATGGGGACTTGAGAGGACTTGGTCTCGGGTTTTGTAGCTACCTTCGCAGTGGTGTTTTCGCGTGGTTTCTCCTGCTTTGCCAGCACAGGCTTGGGTTTGGTCTTAACAAACTTGATGGTCTCCCTCTTTTCCTGCTTCAAGAAAAGCTCAAGGTACTTGTCCAAGGTCATGACCTGTGACTTTAAGCCTGCGCCCTCGACCAACTCAATTTCTTCGTCGCTGACCTTATTCATGGCTATATCCACGATTCTGCGGAACCCCAATTCGATGTTCACGGCAAAGCCTCTAGGAATATCGTCGTTCAACACCACCACTGACGGCCTCTGGGCCTTCACCTTGGGGTAGTTGGCAGGAATGCTTAAGTTCAACTTCAATAACTCCAAGTCGAAGGGAAACTCGGGATCGGATGGTCGGATCACGAACGACAAATATATCACAGCCTCAGGCTGGTTCTTCATGTATTCCAAGAGGTACTTCTGGACGAACGAGAGCCTCTCGCTGTTAGTGTACTGGTTCTTGAAGTAGTCCGCATTTTCCACCTCCCGTTGCTTGATCTGCTCGGTGATAGACTTGGTGGGGATTCCGTTGATAGTCACAGGCTTGTACTTCTTGACGAGCTTTGACAATTGTAAGAACTTGGACGTCTGGGTGGGGTCCTTTTGCTCTTCTTTGGTGTTTTTGGGCTTTGGTTTGGTGGTTTTCTTGCCATTTTTTGGCCCTCTTCTCTTGGAATTTGGGGCTTTAGGGGTCGTTCTTGGGGCCGACCCTGGCTCTGGCGTGGCATTTATAGATTCCGGAGCAGACATTTGGGTCGTATCTATCTAAATTGCTCTTGTACGGGTTAAGAGGACTCTTACTAGTGCTTTATAGCTTATTTGTTAGTCATTATACTCGATCCGGTTTGGCGCGCATGCAGGATCGATGGGTGCAACTGGAACTGGAACCTAGTGAGTCATCAAGGAGGGGTTCGGAAACGGGCCTAGGGGAAGAGTAGGGCATGATAGCAGGTGTACGAAACAAGGTATTATTGAAAGGTTGAATTCAGTTTTTTCAACTTTCTCAAGTGGTTGTGGTCCGGATGTTTATATAGTGAAGAGGCCTTATACACCCAATTGCTATTGCTGATAGACAATTATAATCAGGCTACTACGATACTGAAAGCTCGAAAATCCTGTGTTTGATATATCAGAAAAAACTGCTGGTTTAGTTATGGCAAAATTGCATTTCAGAAACACGAAATTGAATTCAGAAACCCAGCACCATGGCCCAGTCACCAGATTTAGATCAAAAAAAGACTACTCAATACTCATGTGCTATGGCGGATATTAATGGCGTCCATTTACCAGCTGCATCGTGTGTGTTTCGACCTAATACTCTGGAGTACCTTATTCTCTTTGCACCAATCTGTTCCTTCACCTGCAGGACGGGATGCTCATTGACACTTGGAGGATTAGCCTGGAGTGATAGTGAAGTCTGGAATACCAGCCATGAGCATCAACATCGTCAAGTACACCTTCAAGTACGTGCTTGTTAACAAGCCCTCGGGAATCGCCTGTGAAGGCTACGGTGCACATAGCTTACTTCCTCAAGTAACCAAATTTTTCAAGCTGCTCAGACCCGAAGCTCCATTGGACCCCAAGCGGTTCAAATTGGTGCAAAGGCTCGACCGTTATGTCACTGGTGGCATGATAGTGTCGAGGGACGAGAAGTTCACCAAGAAGATGAACAAGGCGTTGGCTAAGAAGGAAGCGAATCTTCTGTTGACCAGACGGTACGTGGGTCTCTTGGGTCTAAGCGAGCGAGCATTTGAAGAGCACCTTGGCGAATATAAAATAGGTCCATGTGCCAATTACAAAGGTCTTGTCTTTGACGATAATTCCTTGAGTAGTGGGACCATCACGTACGATGTGGCTTCGCTAGAACGAGATCTGAAACGATCGAATGCAGACGGACAACTGCTCGTGAACCACGCTTCCAGCACCAGATTCAAGATCTTGCACCACCTCAAAAGAGTGCCAACTGGTCCACAGGTGCAAAAATACCCAGAGTTGTACGAGTCCAAGGTGCTCTATCCCATAATCTACGAGCTAGACACTGGCAGAAAGAACCAGTTGAGAGACCACACCCAAAATGCTTTTGGCACCACGCTCCTCAATGACGACGCCTTTACTCAGTTCAAATTATTCCTGGCAACCAAGGTCCTGGCAAATAGCACAGCCTACAAATCGAACCAGATTGGTCTTCACTCCGCATACGTAAAGTTGGTCCAGGGAGGGAATGTGAAAGAAGAAGCTTTGATTCCTGTGCACGTGGCTGAAGACAGAGAATTGTGGACTGGATTCACAGAAGAGAATGGTGATTTCGTGGCCGAGATCCAGAGAGAACTAGTTGAATTCACAAATGAGAACGGAAAATCATCGTAAAAGCCAGAAAATCGATTTCGGACTGTTATTTGGCACTGGGCTGAAATAATAGACAGTAGTGTCCGGGATAAAGTTACAGCTTTCGCTTTCAGCCCAATTCAAGCACGCATCTCAAGCTTATGATTCTGTATCTATCGGTATGAATCAATAAAAACTCATTAACATGCATTATTCGAGAACTTAATAGGACTAGAATACTAAAACAAGCGCTGTAGTTGCTTCAGAGCATAGTACCATCACTTCTCCCTCTCTTTCCATCACAGGTAGTTCTACAATCACCTTCTTAATCTGCCTTCCGCATACTGGGGCGTGCCCCGCCCAATACACTTATCCAAAGTTCATCTCTCTGCTTCTCGTAGCCACCACCACCATGGCTACTTCCTTGCCCTACACCCTCAACCTCAGCATACCGTTCGAGTCCGCAAGACAGGCCGAAATCGCCTGCAAGACATTGTCGCCAGATCCGATTTTGAAGGTCAACGAACTCAACGTCAAATACTCTCATGACTCGAACACCTTGACATGTGCCTTTTCTGGAGTCAGCGACAGAGTGATCAGGGTGGCTGTGAGCAATGTGATAGACAATATCAAGACTATTATAGAATGCATGGATGAGTTTGACGGAAAGGAGGACGAGTTGTTTCAATAGATCTGTTTCCATTAGTGAGATGTGCACCACTAAGGAGAATAGCTCCAACTACTGTGATTTGTGGAATGTGCCACCAGTCCCCAGAAAGGGGGGACTACTAACAGGCCAGTGGGTGCCTGGAGGGTGCAGATTGGCATTTTTGTAGGGGTACGGCCCTCCCAAACTCAGCACCACAGGACTGCGTGCTCAAACGGCACACAAAAACGACTTTGCTTGTGTATAGATACGAATGCAATGCCACTCATGATTCCAGAGCATCTCCAGCTCGCTAGACGTACCATATTCCAGCGTTGGCCAGAGTTGGACTTAGTCATCGCTTACGTAATCAGCCCTCCCACAAAAGTGCATCGCCAACAAAACGTCCCCACCAATGCTTCCGATTCGTTCAGTTCCGCCCCAAGCAGGGCGAACCTCTCGGCAGTTCCGTCGGTCCCTCTTCAACCAAAAAGATGCCATCAAAAAACTCAAAAATTCATCCAATGACGAGCCGTTCCACCACGAATACTCGGTTCGTCCCGACACCTATGCATTCAAAGTATCAGCTGCAAATGAAAGGACACGTCTTGTGGATACAGCAAACATAAAGGCAGAAGCACCAACCACACATCCGTTGCAAAAAACATCTGGGGAGGAAGGCTTCAATCTAATTAAATTCATATACAGATACTCCACTAACTATCCATTTGGTGACAAGTCGCCTCAACAGGTGTACAATGAGTACCCAAGCACCACATCGTCCAAGTTGGCTCGTTCGAAATACCGTCCCAAGAAGGTGAAGATGTTGGCATCAGATTTCATTGAAGACAGTTTGTACAATCCCCACTACGGATACTTCTCAAAAGAAGTCGAAATCTTCCATCCAGAAAAGCCTTTCGACTACAACAATATCAACGACATTGACGACTTTATGGACAGCTGGCAACAGGCGTATAGAAAGTACGATGACTTGCGTGGAGAGGGCGTGGAGCCCAAAAAAGAGCCAACACTGCTCAAGAAATCGCCAAAAACCAAAGCCCTCTCCAAACCAGTGCTGAAATCGTTATTCAAGAAGCAGTCCGCCCTTCCGGTCGCAGCTCCAAATAAATTGGATACGGCAGTGGCAACTACCACCTCCAAGCTCGCCCAGAGAGCCCATAGTCTCCAGATGGAAGAAGCATTGAATGATCCAAAACCAAAATCTAGAAGATCCTTACAATTGTGGCATACGCCGACAGAATTGTTCCAGCCCTACTACGGTGAAGCTCTTGCAAGATACTTGCTTGTGAACTACAAACTCAACGGAGCATACCCATATCAGGATTTGATCATTTACGAAATGGGTGGAGGTAACGGAACTTTGATGTGCAACATCTTGGATTATATCAAGAAGCATCAACCTGACGTGTACAATCGTACCCAGTATAAAATTATAGAAATCTCGTCCCAATTGGCTGAAAAACAATTGGAAAGTGCAATGAAGTCGAAGTTGATACAGCACGGATTGGACACCTCCAAATTGGAAATTGTTAACAAGTCGATCTTTGAATGGGACAGGGTTGTCGAAGAACCCTGTTTCTTTATTGCTTTAGAGGTGTTTGATAACTTTGCCCACGACCTCATAAGATACGACAACGTGACCGGAGAGCCACATGAAGGACAGGTGTTGGTTGACCAACATGGCGATTTCTATGAATTCTTCACTCCCCAATTGAGCTACTACTCCAATGCGTTTTTGCAGTTACGTGAAAATGGAGAATTTCCTGTGCTAGGAAGTGCCAGCACATTACACGGAAGAGTTAACACCTTGAAAAGCACAATTCCTTTCTTAACTGACAAGGACTTGATCCACCCATTACACCACTCGTCAGCCAAGTTAAGATGGCAAAACTCACTCTTGCCCTTCAAAGATAACCTCACTCCTGGAGAGTTCATCCCTACCAGATTGTTGCAGTTTTTCCAGATTTTAAAGCACAAGTTTCCCAACCACTCGTTGGTATGCTCCGATTTCCATTCCTTGCCCAAAAATATAGGTGGCTACTATAACGCACCTGTGGTCCAAACAGTATTGCAAGATAAAATGGTGGATGTCAGCACATATATGTGCTACCAAGGTTACTTCGATATCATGTTCCCAACCGACTTTGACGTGGCTAGTGATTTATACAAGCAAGTTACTGGAAAGATTGCCAAGGTCGACTCACACAGAGACTTTTTGGAATTGTGGGCCGACGTTGAAAGTACCCGTACAAAGAAGGGAGAGAATCCAATGCTAGACTTCTACGAAAACGTCAGTTTTATGGTGAGTTAGCTGTCCCTACATAAGCTTCAAAGAGAAGGTGCCCGCCCCTTGTATATAGACTTACGCTTGTATGTATTAATTTTCATTTATTGCTTCCAATTACCGTAACCTAGCTAAAAAGATAAACCTATTTAATAATACCTGAGTCTAATTGTGAAATTCAGGTATCATACCCGAGAAATAAATGTAACCGAATGGACGCCCTCTATGCTTGGTGGGCTTTCCATCAAAAACCCCACATATAACATACTGCCGCCACCCTATCACTTTCCAAACTATCCAGTCAATTTAGCACTAATCCTACCAATTTCTCAAATCCCCCAATCACCATTGACCCTGTAAAAATTAAGCCTCTTGAGATATCCCTCAAGTAGTAAACTATATCATCAAAGAACTTCGAGCTCTTGACAGTCTCGATGGAACTCATGACAGTGTCAAGTATACTATGAGGTGCATAACCATAGCTTGTAATCATTTGCCCTCCTTGAGTTGGAGCGACATTTGACAATATCTCAGTTGTATTCGAATCAATCGAGAATACTGAGCATTGTTCCACGAAGTACCCGAAGGCACTTTTGAGATTGTGGAGCATGAATACACCAACGCCCAAAATCGAATCGGCAACGTTGGTAAATCCAAACCCCAAACCTATTCCCAAAGCAAAGCTTAAGATAAACCAAAGATTTTTGTTGTCCTGGCTAACAAACTTCTGATCCTTAGTGCTTACTATTTTCTTCATTATTGAATAGCACAACTTGATGTTAGAGCTGGATATCTTCAATGGATCATTAAATTGATAGGACGATTCTAAGTCTGACTTAATCTGCTTCTCAATAGATTTATAATCAGGCTTTTTAGTAGAGATCAAATTGGTGTAAATTGAAGTGCTAGGATTCAGTGCATCTGACTTACTTAAGTTCAAAGGTTTCATTGTGCAGATGCTATCATCATTCAATAAGTTCAAATAATCTACCTTTGTTTCGGGAATTTCGATTCTTGCCCCTGAAAGGTTAGCCAATTCGAATTTAGTACCAGCTAAATTCAAATTAGACCTAGCTTGAGATATCCTTGATTTTGCCAAATCAAAATTGTTTGATTTCATACCAAACTCCCTATTTTTCTTGAATAGTTGCTTGAAGTTTTCGTGGAAAATCTCCGATTGGCTAAATTCAACTTTGACGAAGTCTTTCAATTTATCAAGTAACTTCTCGTTTTTCAACGAGGAAGTTTTCCAAATCTGATATGGCCTGATGCTATTGATTAGATCAAATAATGTAATGAAGTAATTAAAAGTCATTACATTAATAATAGTTAGCTTCAAATTTTGCTCGCATTCTTCCTCTTTCCTGTACTTCTTGAGGAATGAAGATAAGAACTCCACCAAGACTTTTGAGCCATCGTTGATTATAAATACGAGGCTTGAGTTTTTCACGCTGTTGTACTGCTTTTTTAAGGCTTTGGATGATGTCGGGCCCTGGCCCTCAAGCACTAGGTGTTTGATGATGATTTCTCGATTATCCAATTTCCTCCCGATCGACTCAACCAAGTGAGAAGAATCGTTCTGGTAGGAGGAACACGAGCTTATGACGGTGATTTGGAAATTGCTGTCATAGGACCTGTGGGTGTCAGAGAGCAGCATTTTGGGCATGATGAATGAGGACGGATTCTTGGACTCTTCCACTTCTTCCACGTCCTCTTCGTCTGTTTCAAACACCATCACGTTGGACACGGTTTTTGGCGACTGTACGATGACGATGGACTCCTTTGCATCCTCGTCGGTGGTGATGGACAAGATGGACGCAGGTTTGTTGGCAGCAGGCGACGGAGTCTGGAATCGCGAGCTCTGGTATGAATTGACTGACTGGACTCGTGAGTGGTCAAACGACTCGTTGCTGACAGACTGCCACGAAGTGATCAGGAACAGCGGATCGAGATCTGGCGTGAATCGTGCCGTGTTCTGGTAGCTGAGGTTGGGTGACACGTCGAGATCGGGGTTGTTCAACGCGTTGTAGATGGACAGGTGTGAATTGAGGAGCTTTTTGAACGAACCGTGACTGTTTGTGGAGGGGTTGATTGAGGGCTGGAGTGCCGTACTGGTGGTTGGGTGGGGCGACTCAAGCACTGACGCGTGGGACGAGGTGCTCGTGGAGTGCTTTGGCTGATCATTGACTCCAGGAGCATTGTGAGGCCCTTCTTGCAAAGACATACCGCTGGAGGAAAGATGGAGAGGAGGTAGACTTTAAGGGGCGGTTGCGATAAGTGACGATAAGAGCGGTCACGTGACTTCTCCGCTCCCGGTGGCTAGATTACCCTTGCCCGCCACAATCCCGGCCACAATGCGCTAACAACGCAGCCTTGACACCTGACGCGCGTCCCATTGCCCCTGTAGCCGAGATGTGGTGGAGTGCTCGAATCGGGGGCGGTGGGCCGGTGAGGGGTGGTGGATGTCGCGTGCAACCACCTGCAACCGGGCTGGAGCCGGCGGGGGGTGGTGGAGGGACCGGCAAAGGTAGTAGAGTGCGGAGCTTTGGGCTACGACAGCTCTGGGAGTATTGGGGGAGACTGGAGCAGGCAGACCAGGGGATTGTGATTACATAAGTGCTTACTAAGCAGGAACTCCCCTAGTCCGGGGAAGTTTGCCTTGTCAGGCTGGAGCATGGTCAGGCGCTCAGTGTGTGTTTGCTGTAGAGGATTTACAGAGTATTTCACTAGAGGTGTTGATTGAGATTCTTGCATGTTTCACTTACCGTGTCAAGTGTGACTACACACCACAAGTGGAATGTTTACCTTTAGATTGAAATGGATAGGACCACATTGAAAAGAGGGGTCCTGAAGTGATGGTGGTGCAGTTCTCTCACTCTTCGACTAGACAAATGCATACACATATTTTTCTTCGAAGCAAACTGAAGAATTCAAGCCTGTGCCTTTTGGCCTGTGATTTTTAATCAGCTCTACCATTTCATGGGAAGCTGTTGCCTCTTCACATACAACTCCATCATCGATACCACACATCTTCTTATTTTGGCGGTATTGGAGAAATCTTGAATTTGAATATTGGGAAATTTCGATTGTCAAGAGTAGAAAGCATGGAGCTTACAATAAAGATCAAAACAAATCAATCACGATACCTGCTCTCTTTAATGCAGAAATGGACCGTATGGATATTTAGCTTGACATATTTATTCCTGCAAACTGACAAAAAATTTATGCTTCTTGGTGAATGCATGCAGATTAAGCGAGAAATGTATAAAATAAGATGGTCCCAAAGCTTAAACTTCTCCACTTATAATAATGCTACCATATTGCCAACACCATATAGTTAGTTACAGCATTAATTATCATCAAGGACTGCTACAATGGAGTATAAAGTCACACTATTATTCTATAAAATAGAAGTAACTATATCAATCGCCAGGATTGCACATCTAATCTTCTGCGAAAACATCAATATTATTCCAGCTAGGATTGATTAATCTCTTGATTCCCTTTTCCTTGTGGATGTTGTCCAATTGCTTTCCTTCCTCACTGGTCAAGTCGACGATGAGGAAGTTGCTCTCAATTCTCGAGGGAGTCACAGACTTTGGCAACACAACCGTGCCTCTCCAGACTGCCCAACTGATCAAGATAGTGGCTGGTGAAACGTTATGGTTCTCTGCAATCTTGACGATAGTTTCATCAGTCAAAAGGGGAGAGTTGGTGGACCCCAAAGGAGAGTACGCTTCCAAGAGGATGTCGTGCTTCTTGGTGAACTCAAGTAACTCGTTTTGGGGCAAGTAAGGGTGAAGCTCGACCTGGTTTACCACAGGCTTAATCTTGGTCGAGGGATGCTCGAGCAATCTGGTCAAGTTCTTGATGGAGAAGTTGGAGACACCAATGGCCTTGGTCTTGCCTTGTTGGGCCAATTCTTGCAAAACCTTGTACGAATCGATAAAGTCGAAGTCATGAAGCACATCACGGTCCCCATTGGGCAATGTTGGGATCAATGGATGGCTCTTGTTGTTGGGATTCAAGGCGACAGGCCAATGGATCAAGTACAAGTCCACGTAGTCCAAGTCCAAACGCTTCAACGAGTCGTTCAATGCGCTGACTGGGTCGAGCTGCTGGATCGAAGCCAACTTGGTGGTAACAAAGATCTCTTCTCTTGGGATTCCGGAGTCCTTGATGGCTTTGCCAACGGCCTCTTCGTTTAAGTAGGCATAGGCAGTGTCGATGTGTCTGTAGCCAGTCTTGAGGGCCGCAAGAACGGCATCGTAGACTTCGCTTTGAGACGATTGCCAGGTCCCCAATCCGACGGCAGGAATGGAGGCTCCGGTGGAGAGCTTGAAGGTGGTGGAAGATCTGGTTGTTAGTTAGCTTGGGGAAGAAAGTGCCAGGTTGGAGGAGCTAGTTGGGTAATTCCAATTGGTCCGTCAGCTCGGCCTGATACGTACTTGTGGGCAGACATGTAGATGCAATTGCTTGCAGACTTTATGAAGCAGATCAAAAGTATTAAATAGTTCCCACTCGGAGTAGAAATGGCTTATAAATAGGCTCATAACCGAGCTCCAAGTTCGACTCTACCGTTCCCAGAATGTTGCAATGTGACGTGATTGGCGGATACAAATTATGAGTGCACGCCCACCACACAACGCTGGCTCTGCCACCACCACCACTGCCCCAAACTGTGCAGTACAAGCAAATAATTAGAGTTCACTCTGCTCCAATTATGCCCCAAATGTGGGGGAGATCCACCACCCCCCCCGTTGTCGAGAAAGCAAGCACTTTGGCTCTAATACTCGGACGGGCAAAATTTCCCCCATATTTTCGATCTGAGTAATCGATATTATTTCCTACAAAAGATTAGCGTATTGACAGGTGGCCTACCTAATTTCAGCCCCTGAGCAGCATTTGCCAGCACAGAAGCTAGCATTCCGCTGTGGGATTGGCTTCCCATCGTATCAGACTCTGTAGATACGTCTATCCTCAACGGTAGCACCAATTGGCTATTCAATGCCTCAATTGATAAATTGACACATCGGAAATTGAAATAAAGTATTTGTCAGCGTTCGGAGTATTTCGAATTGCGGAGACTGCATGCCCCCACTTGCGAGCCGCCAGGCAAATTGTGGTGGAGGGACTTCACAATGCACAATGACGACGCCAGAAAATGGCACTTCCAGAGTGTGGCTCCTTCTTGTGTGCGAGAAGAACCCCACTGGGGTGATCCGACAGTAGACGAAATGTGGATTCTACAGTAGTGTGGTAACAATAGCCTAGAGACCATTACTGACTTTATTCCGTGGATTTAGGCTTATATATTGTTTGATAGGCACCCGATTAGAGTTGACACTTAGCACCTGTAAAGCTGTAGATTGAATTGTGCCCATGGACCTTGTGGTGTAGCAAACCCCAAGATTGGAGTTGGAGTTGGAGTGTTGTGTTCACTAGAAGAACAAGCCTTTATTGAATTAAAAGTAATAAAAAAACATCTAGCACCTACATCACCAATTCCATGCCGTGAACTCCTGGAAATAACTCTTGGCTATTTGTGCTAAATTATCGGTTGAAGACAATGTCTCATTGACAGTACTGAAAATTTGACCCAAAAAGTTATCACGATTCAAAAGGGATTGGCCATTCCTAATACTGAAGGGTGAAAATGCCCCTCTTGAGCTGTCATCGGATACAACTGTGTTATTGACAGTGACGACCAGCCTGTCGAACTTGAAGCTATCAAAGTCTTCATTAACGTTTAGCGTGTAGTTGGTGTTTCCCGAAGCATATCCATAATTCCGACTTGTAGAGAAGACCAGGTTGGAATGCCCCGATTGACCTGTGATTAGTTCATAGACTTTCTCAGAATTTACCTCCAAGGTCTTTTCCTTGACATGATTAAGTTCCACAATATAATTGGTAGAGTTATCAGGGTTCGGAGAAGCAGAAGTATCCAACACTAGTGGATACAGAAAAGTAGAATTAAGCTCATAGACTTGGTTTTTTACTTCATCTGATATCGAGAAAGAGGTAAATGTTCTTCCGTAATGTGTCATATTTTGTAGATTACCATCATTGTAAATGCCTTGTATGTTGTATGTCCCAGACTTGCTGAAAAGATTGGTAAATATCTTGACGGTTTTGCCATTCTTCAAGGAAAATGACAAAGTACTTTGAACTAGGGCATAGAAAGAAGTGCTGATGATTTGAACATACCGGGAACTGGGACTTGTAGCAAAGACTGTTCCGTGTTGATTATGATCTGATGTATCTATAGTTCCATTCACATAGGTAACCTCATTGTTTTCGTAGGCTAATAAGCTTGCAGTAGTAATCCAACCATTACCAACTGATGTTGATTGTGCTCTGCCTATCTCACCTATACCATTGCTAATCTGAATCTGTAATTCCCTACTAGTTTGCGAGGAAGATTCCCACAAGTAAGGTAAAAGCCCCGTTATATCCACGTCGTAAGCAGGAAGGTCAAATGCATCAGTACATACAACTGGTCTCCACAAAGCTGGGGAAACTCCTCCTGTAAATAGAATTGGTTCCGGAGCAAAAGTTGAAATCTTCTGACCGTTAAAGAATACATTGAGAATTCTCACAGGTCCATGGCCACCCCATGACTGGCCAAACATTTGTGTATTCTCATCAAGAACCCCTGTATACCAAAATTCTTCATCCCCGTTCCCAGAGGAAAAGATCCGAAGAATCAATCTGGTAGAGTTGTCAAAGACTTTTGGCAATTGGATGGTCAATACGTCTTCAATTGTAGTGACGGGTGGGCTCAGTTCTATCAAGGGATAAATCAGATCTGCTGGTTTATTTGTTGAAAATATCTTGTAATCACCAGTAAATTCAGTGACTTGATGGGGGTCATAATAAAAATCAATATTCAATATTGTTTGAAAAGCCCCTTGAATATTCTTATCTATCACATTATCTAATTGGAAGATAATCTCACTTTCCTGATTAAACAAGTTTGCAAAGTCCGAAATATCCTTTTGAAATATCGAGAAAGAAGGATTTGGTCTACCTCCAGGCTCAATCGTTGAAGTTCTCCAAACTTCGTTACCAGCAACATATAAATGAGCCAAACGGTCGTATTGGACAAAACTCACAGAAGTCTCAAGAGTCACTACCACTTTGTTGAATTTCAAGTTTGCAGGAGGAGAAAACTTGGTGACAAAGGGATGACCGTATGAATTTCCAAAAGTGTGGTTCATCAATTGGGTGGAATAAAGGGAAAAACCGTAAGAGGGTCGAACAACTTCTGGATCAGAGACAGTGAAGATTTCGCTCGCTGGATGTCCTTGGCTAGTGACTTGGGGCAGCTTAAAGCTGAGTGCCCCCTGTACTTCAGCTCCCAATCTAATACCTGTGTCAGCAAAATGAAAATGTGATCCTAAACGTTGAGAGTACTTGGTACCAAAAGATTTCGGAACACGCAAATCCCTTTTCGTTACTGATTCAGGGACTCGCCCGTATCTTAGAAGAAGAACAGCAGTTATAATTGCCAAGTAAACAAAGAGAGCATTAATGATACCTCTGGTTCTGGACTTCTTAGTCAAAACTGGCTCATCTGCATCCCCTTCTTCCTGCTTCATGACTGCCAAAACTGGTAATTTCTCCTGCTGGAAAGCACGATTACCATTCAATTGAGCTGATCCGAAGAGTATCATACTCAAAATTCTGAGCTCTCGTTGTAAATACTCCATTCTGTGTGCAATTCTCTTGATATATAACCGTGATGATGTTTGTCTTATCTTGACATATTTTGTGGTTGGTAGACGAGTCGCGCTCCACACAGATAAGGTATATGCAACCACGAACTTGACGCGAAATCATCGCATTCATCGCAAGTTTCAAGTTGCCTTCTCTTCGCGTGGCTAGGAAGAGTGGCTTGTATGCCTCGGGATCCTGTGGCTATGATAAACATGCAGATATAGTCTCAATCCTGTTACTGGGATCTTGTGTGGGTGATACTTAGCCAGCATTGAAATCGCACCTATTGTCTTCCAGATAGACATTATCTGACTAGCTTAAAACAGTTGAAAATTTAAATTCCTTTAGTATTAAACAGTATCCACTGTTACTAGGCGATCATTTATCCTCGTCAGCTGCAAGATAAAATCATCCAGATTTGGCTTTTGAGATAAGAACGCGGTTGATAACTTTTGGCATACAAACAAATGCCAGTGAGCACAATAGAACTAGCCAGACGTGCAAGCCGTGTCACTGAAAAAATGCCCTACAGTAGTAAGCGAGAACCATTTTACCGGTTCAATTGTTTGTGGCTCGAATAATCTTTAATCTTGATTCCAGTTTGTGGTAAACCTGGTTTCAGAAAGAGCTACACTACTGCAACAGAAGGTTCGTATTAGGAGCACAATTTGCAGGAATGCCTTAATTGCTTCGTCAAGCACTGAAGCGCTTCGTACTATTCTTGCGAAACGGCTGAGCCTACATGAGCACCTTTTGGATATTATTGTAATCTCTCGAGTCATCGATATGCCGTACTCAAGAAAAGACATATGTGGGGAACAGTAGAAGGAAGGATATCGGAAAAGGCACAACCCATCTAGATGTCTCACCCAACAATGTATGATAATTCTGGGCCGGCTTAAACATGGTGTTTTTCTCCTCACTGTACCTGCTTGGAATCTATAGGACAATTATCCGGTGCCACTCGGCAAATGGACAAGTGCCCCTCAATACCCCACAAGGGAAATAGACTTACTAGGTTTTGGATGACTCGTGCCAGTACTATCTTGTCGGGGTGAATACACGGAGAAATACAGTAATCAATTTCCCAAACCATAATCCTGATTATTCCAAAACTAGGGCTTAAGACATTTTTTGCATATTGCGCTTGTATGTTTGCTGGTAGGCTCATATCCAAAAGCTTAATTATGACAAACCCCATACTTCCGCGCACCTAATTTGGATTCGGAGATTGAGAGCAAAAAAATGTCTGGGCCAACTCTTATTGTTTTTGGGATCATCACCCCTTAACTTTTTGTCTGCAACCTCCTAAGGCGCGCCTCCCAGTAAAATCCGAGCAGCCGAATCACATTCATGACTTGCTTATTGTTGTGAGTAGCTTCAGAAGTTAAACTCGGTGTTAGTGTAACAGACTCGTGCTACTTTGGTAGTGTAAGCCAAGAATTTTGTCTTTGTCATCGGCGGGGCATAGTGTCACTGTCAAATGTCACACACCTTACATTGTTCACTCAGACAGCAATCTTATTCAGCAGACACTTACTGGTTCATCTTCCAATATAGTTACAATTTCGTATGATTAGAAGTATACATTGAATTTAATTAAAGCTAGTTATCAACCAGTTGATCTACCACCACACAGTGATGGGATGAAGTAAACATATTTATTCGATATGAGAGACTTCGGTCTTCTCATTCCACTCAGGGTTCGTGATTGCCATTCTATGGTGTTGGTGTAATGGTGGTTGCTTTGGGATCTTACGACGGAACACAACTCTCTGGATATCATGCCACAACTCGACAGTTTGATACCTAGCATGCGTCATAGCAGGAATGGAGAAGACATCGTCTAATTCTTCCAAAGTGAGACCTTTAGTCTCTGGTAAGAACCATAACACCATGAAGAAGCCAATAACGTTCCACGCAGCATACCAACCGAAAGCACCGGTGGGGGTAAATGCTTGCATCATCTCGGGCCACGAAAAGGCCAAGATGAAATTGAAAAACCAACATGTAGCCGTTGCAAAAGACATACCCAAATCTCTGATGTATAATGGGAAAGCCTCAGCTGAATAAGTAAAAGGAACTGGTCCTTCACCTGACGAGTAGATACACGAGAAAACGTAGATTCCGAACACAATCATACCCAACCTTCCCTTCGGGTCAGCATGTTGGTTGATCAAGAAACCGAATCCAGCAATTAATAAGAAAATAGCCATGAGTGGAAATGTAGTCAATAACAAAAACCTTCTACCGTATTTGTCGATGGTGAGGAAAGCTGGAATGGCAAACGTGAAGTTAATCATTCCAAATCCCCAGGAAGCAAGTAATGCTGAGATTTCGGTGAATCCGGATTCAATGAAAATAGAAGAAGAGTAGTATGCAATCACATTGATACCACAGAACTGCTGCATGAACATGACAATCCAAGCACCAAGAGCACCGTTTCTATTTCTTCTGACTGTAAACATTTCAATCATTCTCTTCCAAGTAGGAGCATCATAGGAACTTTCTTCTTGTAACAAAACGTATTGGTAGAAGGCATCTCTCGCAGCGCTCATTCTTGACTTACGCAACAAACACAATGATTCGAAGGCTTCTAGATGTCTTCCCTTGGCCATTAGCCATCTTGGAGATTCTGGAACAAATGGAACTTGGAACAAGACAATAATTGCTGGGATACATGCAGACCCTAACATTAATCTCCAATTCAAACCCGTCCCAAAACTCTTCTTTGGCACATAGTAAAATGCTAAACAAGCAACATAGCCAAACATAATTCCCACCGCAGTGAAAAATTGCCACAACATGACCAATGAACCTCTTATGTGTGGAGGAGTACATTCAGCAGCGTATGCTGGAACTGTAGCAGACTTCACACCAATACCGAATCCAAGGAAGAATCTGGCAATGAATAAATGCCACCAGTTGTTGACAAACCCAGACCAGATACAAGTGACAGCAGAGATGAAACAAGTCCAGAAAATGGTCCATTTACGACCCAAGTGCCTGTTCCAAAGGTCACTGGTCCAACATGCGATAACTGAGCAGCAAAGATATGGCGCACCATTGACCAACCCTTCAATCAAATTACGTTCCCGCTTGGTCCATTTATCTTTATTTTCGAGACCAAAGGCACGCGGATAAAACAAGGTAGCACCGTTGATAACAGATTCATCCATACCTTGCACAGCTGCAGCCATTGAGCCTAATGCGATAACAGCGATCAATTTGCTTGGAATGTGCCATCTCTTGGTGGCTTCCAAATTCAAGTCAATCTTCTCTTCTTCCGTCAAGAAAGGCATCGAGTTGAACTCCAGGGGAGTTCTAGCAAGTCCAGCAGCACGAGCAAACAAATCAGCGTCCAATCCATGCTTGGAAGCATAGTTTCTACCCATCTGCATCACCTGTTTTTCCGAGTATTGCGCCAAAATATTACCACGCTCCCCTTGGCCGGCTTCAGCCAGATGAGAGTGGCTAGACTCCAAGTCGGAAGGATCTTTTGGCTTCTTCTCGGCGAGCGAGGAAGCGGAAGAAGAATGTTCGAATAATCCATCTTCTCTAAGTTGTGGGTTGAGCTCGGCAGCTGGAGGAGCCAGGGCTGGAGCTGTGGCATCGCCTATTCCGTGATTGTTGGGTGCACTCATTGTTGCTGGAATAGATTCTGTACGAAGATTGGAATTTTCTTGCCTTTTATACATCTGTTTAGCAACCAGTCAGTCTGGAACACCTGTAGGCAGGTGGGGTAGCCACCTACTTTGCGCCTAGTTCTTGCATACAACGTTACGCGGTGCATACCTTTCCAAGAAAATAAAAACGGAAATGGCAGGTGAGACAAGCGAGAAAAGCCCCACGAAATGTCTGCAGACATTTTTTTGGGGTGGGGACCCTTACAAAAGTTGCTACCTCGTCCACAACAAGACTCCAAGTAGCCTATTCACTATTCGGAAATCAGCAGGAGATAACGGGGTTCAAGATCCAGTTGCACGGTGGGTATTCTCGTGCAATCTCTACCACAATATGCGGGGAAATACCGGATACTCATAAACTTACTTGATAAGTGCCACCAGGATAATGATGTCACAACGATGACCACATCACGTGTGTGTTAAGTAGCCCTGCTAATATATGCAGGTTTCAACCACAGCAATCCCTAAGGCACCACTTAAGGTAAGGCTCAATCAAGACCTGCAAAAATGGTTTATTTTTATGTCAATTTGTGTTCTCGATAATAGAAAGGTCATGGAGAATTGAAGGTTCTTGCAAGTCACGCTATGAGGTATTTGTGGTTATGGAAGTATCCTAACCCACAAAAGCCTACATTCGTATCTTAAAGCAGGGATATCCGCAGTTCAACAATACTGAAAGCGTATTCAAAAACAATTTAGGTGTATCTCGGGAGAACTTGATGTTCCAAATGTGGGGTTAATTATCTACCCATATTGAAGGCTGGAGTTTCAAGATGCTAACCCCACAATTCCTTGGAAACTTCTTCTCCAAAGCTTATGTACACTCTACTCACTCTTCTACGGGGTCTTAGTAAATGCGTCCAACTACTTGGGGTTATCTGGGATTCCTAGATTCATAGCCATGATCACGCGTTATCCGTGGCGATGATGAACACCAAGTTTCCCTCATTGGTAAAGCCCTCTAAGTTCAGCTTGAGGAATGTTAACAAAGAATTCTAGATCAGGATAAGATGGGAAGTACTTGCCTCCATTAGTGATTTGAAAACCCCGGAAGTTTTCTACTCTACCTATAGTTCTGGTTTACTAGTTCATTGTACTGGGATTTACCGTCAAAGTGGTACAAGATTTTCGATAGACCTACTTGGTGGGGTAAATGGTTCGTAACTCACAAGAATGTGCGGTTCTAGGTTGTTCTGTTTAGGATACATTTTTCAGGGAGGTAACCTATGGTCAGTAGTCTTAAACACACATGTACGTCAATTTCGGTCCATCAAAGCGTAGTGGAATAAGCCTATACTTGAAGCTGAAAGTACACTTCTATTCTTTGCCTTTTAAAAGCGCAAATAAGATTTGAGACTTGATCTTACTAAATAACAAATCTAGGCATTAGGGTGAAGATTTTCGTGCAGATGAAATCATAAAAATAGCAATTAGTTTCAATTTGTAGTTAGCATATTAGCTGTACTGACATTCAGGAATATTCTATACAAAATGCTGGAGAATCCAGTAAGAGTGACAAAGAGTTTTAGTTCGAATGATAATTCATAGCAAGATGATAGTTCAGACCACTGTAGTATGAGGTGAAATAAGACCTACTTATAAATCGTCTGGAATCTGAAAGCTTATATCTTACTAGAATTTGGATCTGGTATAAAGATCATCGGGGAGCCACTTTTACCGTCAATAAAATCAGCAGAATAATCTCTTCTGCTTGTAGAAATATCTTACATATGGCTGCTTATCGTTTGAATACTTCTCAAGCTGTACAAGCACACAATTATATTCTTATCAAAGTGGAAGTACAGCAGCTTCTCAAATAGAAGGAACCTTCATTCTACACAGAAAGTTTTGATGGTTTCTTGTTATTCTCATCTCTTGGAAAACATCCTTACTACCGTACTCTGGTAACATCCTTTCATTTGGTTGATTTTTGCTCATAAACTATTTCCCCATTTGAAATGATAGCAAAATCAGTGGTAGCATTGAGGAAAATATATGTAGTATATTGATGACTCTTCCGCATGCATGATATATCTGTGACTTTAGAAGAATTGGTTGCACCAAGTCGTAGCTTCCTAAAGGCAAGGTATTAGGGTTGGCTTTGCAAACTATTCAACGGGTCAAGCCAGAGTATGGTAGTAAGGATGTTTCCAGAGTATGGTAGTAAGGATGTTT